AGACCTAATTACATTGGCTGTGTCTCAGGGATCAGGGTGTATAATCGGCAGCTTCTCACATAGCAGTCCATATCAGCAGGAGCTTTCTTTTTCAGCCCTCTGATCCTCTAATGGCCATCGACATGCTCGCTGACCGGTTTGCTGGGATACATATGTGATACATGTGGTAGGTAAATAGGGTGCCACGATTGCCAGATTCCGTCAACTGGAATGCGGTGAATGCCGCAATTCTAGCGCCATGTTTGTCCCGCCGCGGGCCAACAACATCGCCAGCACAGTCCCGTCCTCTCAGTCGGAATCATAACCCTAATTCCCTATATGGAAAGGGATGCGGCGGTATTAATGTTGGTGGTGCAATGCTTGTACCCCACTTGGCTTCATTCGGTGCAACAGGGTGCCAACCACAGCAGATCGGTGGACATGACTTCGAGATCCACTTGCTGAACATCGCCGAACTTTGCAGAAGTAAAGTGTATGCACGCTGGATCCATGTGTGCATGAATATTCATTACCACAACATGTATGCGTTTGCATCTACATGTCCCTGACATCTTTTGGGGTTGAGTGGTTGTTATAACCAGTGGCAGCACACAGTCTTGTAATTTGAGGGAAGAGCAATGCGTATTACTAGTATACTTGTTCATTTTGACAAGTTCCCCTCGAGTTGCTGGCTCCCATTGCTGACACTTGGCATAATGATGGGCTTTCGGAAAGGGGGAGAGCGGAGGTGTGTTGCATAATCTATCATCTGTAACGAGACGAGGCTCCTGAGGGGAGCTAGCAGGCAATGCATGCGACATCTCAAGTGTCCTCAAATTGCCAGTAGTGTTGGTGGAGTCCTGCAAGGTCGATATTATTCTGAGTTGTGCAACATTGGACTTTTGTCATACGTGACCACAATCTAAAATCACATTGGGCCCTGGAAATTCCCATTGGGGGGTGCTAATGGAAAATTTCCCGAACTCCTTTAAGGAGCAGCGCTAGGGTGTGTGCCATCGTCGTCATCGCAAACTGTCACTTGAATACAGCTTTTTTCGACATTCGTTCAGGTATGACTTTTGAAGTTCTCAAGTCCCTCTTTGGTCCAATATATAATCGCTTTTCAAAATTTGCTGAGACCTTACAGGGGAAATGTGGAAAACGCAACATGACCACTTTGCAACACATGTTCCCCAACGTTGTTGTGATGTCCTGGCAATTATCTGGCGGCAAGTTTGCCTGTGGATCCGTGGGCGTCTGTGGATCCGGAAGAACACTAGTGCCCCAAATCGTTGCAGATGATCAAGTCATTTGGTCAGACCAAAGCAGGCGCTGGGACACTTGTCAAGAATAGTGCATAGAGCGATAAGAGGAAGACAGACAGACATACAGAGCTTAGTTTGAAGGCAGCAAACTCATGCGCGGAGAGAGTCAGTATTGAAAATGTCTCGTGGTACAAGGATCCCGTTGGTGTTTGCTTGCAGTACTCTCATGGCGCCTTCACAATGAGGTGACAAGACAGTCGGATGTCTATAATGAAACAGCATGGCTCGTACTTTATAGCCCTTAAACTCCCTAACCTTGGGAGTGAATATATTTTTAATCTAGTCAGTGATCAGTGTCGAGAGAGCTTGTCTTTAACAATATTGTTCAACCCCTGTCTAACTGTATGACAGTCGAAGGACTGAGTGTACCGTCTCTGCAATTGGGATACATGCATGTGTTTTCTTTCACTACCGACAGTTCACTCTTGAGCCAGGCAGGGTACATGGCCAAATGGGATTACTCCAAGGAGTCTGGCAGCAGTGCAGTGGACTAAATTTGTAACATCTTCGCAGTGGTAGTATTGTCGCCATTGACTGAACAAGCGATACCAAATAACAATGATAGAGGACTTGTTTCGGGCAGATATGACCTCTGCTGCTGCGCGAGAAAGGCCTGTAATCGATGTAGTGGTCTGCTGCTCCAATGCTCTACTGGTCAAGAATGGTGGCTCACTTCATTGATGTTGACAACGCCCTCAACATTGCGTTTGGTTCCATGCCCCTCTGATACTGAAGGCCACGCTGCTAGTCGTTTTTTTACACTATTTATTGCATTGTGTGTCATAAAGGAAACGTTGCGCGGGCTCTTTTTATTTGGGCCTCTTTCTTTTGGAGGGATATGTATGATACACCCTCGACGCTATTGCGGGTGGCAGACATTGCCACAGTTTAATGGTAGTGTGAAAGCCATGGAGAATATACTCAAACTGCGGCGCGTTGTAAGGTAGCCAATGTTGTGAGGCATTCTGTGCATACAGTGAGCAGATTAATATTTCTATATATAATATAGATCTAACTATGTATGTTATGGAACACAAGTTGGCATGTTGGCTCTCTTTACTTACCTCTCCCAAGGCAGATATACTTCTGTCTGTTCTATATTCGACATGGAGACTGCACTCATGTTGGTACCTATCGTAGAATCATCAGATTGACGAAGTCGAGGATAACTAATTACACAGCATATACCCGCCACTGGCAGGATGTCTCCAAAATGCTTCCACATTTGCTTGCCAGGCTTGCGGACATGCTGCCACATTTTATCAGCAAATAAACCAAGCCCTACCATATATACTATACTGTATAGTGGAGCATTAATGGCGCTTTGGAATTTGTTCCCATCTTTATGGCGTCCCATTCAACTTACTCATCTCTCTATGTCGGCTTCAACAAGGCACATGGGTACAGCTGAAACGCAACTCGCTAGATTATCTTGGAAATATTTGCCTCCAGGCGACTCTCACACTCTCCACTCGCAGGCAAAGTACAGTACATGCCCGCAGACAGCTGGCGTGACAGGCTACATGGTTTTACAGAGGAATTCCCTGACTGGGAGAGGATCACTTCAGTCTTCAACGATCCGTGATATGTCATCGAGAAATACTACTAATAGTAGCATGAGTGTCAAACTTCACGAAGTGCGCGCAATCTGGTCAACGAGGTCTGCAATTTCACGTAAGTACAGTCTAAGCTTAGGCAACGACAAGGCCGACATTTTTACCTGGTATTTGTCTCGGGAGGACACCACTAAGTGAATCACGAGATCTTTCCATGTCTTCATAGCTGTAGAACTGTCGGAATAGTGCTCTGGTGGAACCGATTAATTAATTAGTTGCGCTGCCCTATATTTAATTCCGCTTCCTCAGTGCGCAGTGCCTATACAAGTCTGTAGTACATACGTTGTAGCTGTTTCGGCATCGCTCTTTTACTCAAAGTTAACAAGAACGTGAGAGAGTGAGTGAGTAGAAGTGACGGATCTGGACTGGCCAAGTATAGATCACCAGACTGGCACATTCACTAGGACCTTCTAGGCACTACCACGCCATGTGTATTTTCCTTTCTTGTTACATATTGTAGAAGCCGTCGCCCCCAACGCCATTATTATATCGCTCTACTAAACTATAGTTGTCAGGAAAGACCCTCAAAAGAGTTTACTTCAGAATTAATAAGTAAATCCGGAAAACGGTTGGGCGAATTTCAGTGAGTCGGGGCCGAGTTGGAGTTCCGGCAACATAACTCTCAAAATTTTGCAAACCTTCTGAAACGTCTTGGGGACATTATGGGTATGTATTATACAGACTGCCCGCAGTCGACTGCAAGACCTTTATTTGAGTTTGGTATACACTTTATTACAAGGGAGCAAAAGTGAGAAAACCTGCAACTCCGAAGGAGGTACTGTTGGTACATGGTCTGACATCCCTTGGCCAAAAGTGTCCGTTTCTTATGCATGTCCAGCTAAGGAGAATATGCCATTTCCAACGACCGAATTGGACTGACTTGTCCAAAGTTCCGTTTAATATGCGCCTACCAATCTTGTCAAAATCTGTCACTTCGTTGGAGACCTTACTCGCTGCCCTTGGAGACTGGAATGAGTTGCTTACAGGGTCAGCCCTCTGACGCTACTATCACCTACAAATATTGGTGATCCAGTCAGTTCTCTCCAATGTCTCCCTCGTCTCTGATCTCTGAATTCCTCCTCTACACCTCATTGATCAGTTCCATCCTCCTCACATTTACATACCTTGGTCGTTAGACACCAGGTGTCTGTGAACGCTGCAGTTTCACTTGCTATCACTTATACACTTAAAAGTGTGGGATGCTGTTTTCTGTCAGAAACCGATGTTCCAAACGCGACTCCAGTACAGCCTGTGCAGGTAAAATTCGAGTGATACATCCTTGATTGTTTGCCCGATGAATAATCAGTGAAGCCCCGCCTCGGCCCATCTATCTACCCACACTCCAATAAGGCTCTGCAGAACCGTATGTTGAGCATTAGAGCCCTCCGTTTCGTTACAACCGCCGTGCCCATAGAGGTAGGCGCACTCGGAGTGTTGTTTTTCGCCCTCCTGTGTCTTTTGGTGCCTTGGCTTGCCTCTCATCCACTCAATCTGGATCTCTTTCTCTCTTGCCACGGGCAGAGCAGGCTGAGTCGCAAACCTTTCATGGCTGGTTGTATGTATATGACATGGTTGTCGCTGCAAATTGGTGGACTCTGGCATGCGTTAGTTTACGGTATCTATATCTCACGCACTGAAGCGTGAACCCACGCTCTGCTTCGCCAAAAAGAAGGCACAACCATACTATACTCTTTTGTCCTTGCGTCGTCGGGTTTGATTGGCAGGATTCCAACTCCTTGTAATTGCTTTCCGGTTCTGTGAGAAATATCGGCAATGGTACCCATGTCTTCTGCTCCCTTCAAGCTCAAGTATTCATCTTGTTCTCTTTCGTGCGACTAGGAGCTGTTCCACCTGTGGCCAGCGGCCGAGTGGGAAGGAATCGGAGTCGATAGCACGATTGAACCGTCTATGCGGTAGGGAGTCCTTCCACTTAGATGGATTTGATTCCCACAGATGTTCTTTACCAGGTGATTATGAGGCTCCACTCTGTGTTGCCAAATTTCTGTCCCATTTAACGGCATATGGCACCCAACAAAGTCTTATTTGGTTTATTAAATGTACAGTACCCCATAGTCACTACTTAGTTACGGACCCACACCCGAACACCGCCGCGCCGCTTTTCCTCGTCCTGGGCAATGTCAAATCCGTTCCAAAAGTGGCGAGCTTCGTGATACCCTCGGGATGCCAAAGACTGGCGAACGGAGAACATTTCTTGTCCCACAGCCTGTGTGACATCAAGTAGGCAGCCAAATAAAATAATGTGGGACGGTAGTAATGAGTCTGTTTCAGCCGAAGAGGACGACGGTAGTGGCCGAGTCGGGAAAACGTCCAGAATGTAGGACACAGGCGATGCGTAAAACTGGTCCTGTTCGGTCCGATGCTGAGAAGGGTCTATGCCGGCGAGAGGTGGTTCGCAAGAGAGGAACCAGCCATCGACTTGGCCGAGGTGGCTCGCCCAAGGCGTCGAGTGGCAGGGCATGAGAGCGACCACCTTTTCTGTGGTTCCAAATTCGCCTCGGCGAAGCGCATTAATTGCACTCACTTGCCCTGCTCCGTGGAAAATGTTGAGATAAAGATACGGTATGATGGGGCTCAGGAGGATGAGGTAGAATGGACGGCGAGGTAGGCGACAATATTGTCGTGCTGCCTGTGTGAAGCGGCGACCGGCAGCCATGTCGGGAGTATACTGACGAATGAGAGGCGGAATGACGAATAACAATAGTTGAGGAAGGAGAGGATGAAGAAACCGCCACTCTGAATGCGGAGAGAGAGAGAGAAGGGCAATGGAGAACGTGATAGCGCGGGCGAGGGTTCGCAGTGGTGCCGTCGTCTCGACGCTCGAAAGTGAAGGGCATAGAGCCGCTGCGAATCCATGACCCCACCAGTACCAGACTGGGAACATGAGAATGGGCAAGGATTGAACAACGTGGTATAAGATACCAGTCCCGCCGTAAAATGACGCAATGTTGAGGACGACGTTTTGGTAAAAGAAGGTGACAAGAGGAAGGGTCAATCTGCCAACCATGACCCAATCAATAGCAGTGGCTACAAGAAGCACCGTGACGCTGTTACACGTTAACAAGAAGCTTCTAGGAGTACAAACCCACCCTCCAGTCAGAGTCCCAAGGGAGAGACCCGTCAATCCGGAAATACCTCGCGTTCTCCATGTGTGGAGAGACTGCTCGAGATGAATGTAAGCCCAAAAGACGAGCATCGTGGGGCGAATAGACAGCGACAGGGCGGCCAATGCTGCAGCAAGAATGAGATTGTCTTTGGGTCTGCTCGCGGTGTCAGCGCCCAACCCCCCCTCTCAACAGGACAGGACACTGCGACATACACGGAGATTTTGTCGCAACGTTCAACAGTGTCCAGGGCCACGTAGTTGAGGGCTTCCTTTCCATCGTTTGAGACCGGTATTGGTTTGGAAGGACGACCACGTCCACCGTCTGGAGAAGCCGTTGCAGACGAGTTTCCAGGACGGGGATCTACTACTGACCTCGCCGGCAGAGGATAGTAGCACAACGCAACGGTTGTAAGAAGGGTCTCTGGTGATGTGGACAATGCGCGAAGGAGGAGGTGGCCGTTGAACAGTGACGTCAGGGAGAGAAACAACTGTTTTGGTCGTCAGCGCTGTGCACGTCTCGCAGTCTATACGAACCGCTGCTGGTGCAGCACCAGGTCCCAGGACTTTGGCTGCGAGAATGTATGTGTAGTAGTCTGTCAAGGCTGCAATGACAACCCCGACAGCACGCGGGGCAAGGGCCTAACATGAAGGTCAGCGGATGGCCGGAAGGCGCGCCGGTGTGCCATACCCACAATGAGATCCGTCTCCTCCCAGCCAACGCTCCGCACCAGGCGATACACCAACATAAACACCCCAGGCCATATCCATCCCCTCAATCTCCCTCCGACAATGGTCGAGGTCCACCAGTTGTTGGGCGGCGCGTCAAGTGGAACCGGGAGGTCGCGCCATTCCCATGTCAGGTAGCCCCCGCCAAAAACGCATGTGTACGCGGGTTCAAACGCTTGGTAGAACTCATCCGGCTGAAAGAATGTGTGGGGGAGGAAGAGTGTTGCTGAGCGAACGATGCAAGCCAGTACGAGGGCTTTGGAGAGCATTTGGCGATGAGGGCAAGAGGAAAACAGTATTAAGCGGTTGGGTTTTGCAGACGATCCATCGGTACGTCATTGACCATTGATGTATCTGAGCACCCCCTTAAACAATTAACCGGTGATGCCGAAACGTGACCTTGCCGCGCAGTCTGCATTCAGTGCTGTGGCGATTTGTCGCGCGCTGTGGTGTTGTATCCAGCCGCTGTCAAGCTATCAGTCACCTGGCCATCCCGTGGAATAACTTCTTCTCGACGGCGCGAGGGTCAAGTACAGGCTGGGAAAGCAATAGGACGTTGTGCTCAATCCACGATATGGGTGGCAGAAGCTGGCCCACAGAAGCTGGCTGACTGCAGCCAACGAGCCCACGACTGGCCACAGCGCACACCACCTTGCCCCGCCATTATACTCCTAGCCACAGTGGTACAGTGGCCAGTGGCAAGCGGCCAAGTGGCCACCACTGATCCACTGATACAGACGGCGCCCGTGACCACTCGGGGGACGGGGGGGGGGGGACGTTTTGAGTGTGTGACGAGGATGAAGCGTTCCCTCATCTCTCTTTTCTAACATACGACAAGGCCTCATGCCTGCCCCATTTAGCACCAGAACCCTCTCCCACAAGTGACCGACACTCCGAAGCTGGAAACGGCGCCGATGACCGTCGGATTGTGCTTCAAGTCGTTCCCAGGATGGTATCGAAGAAGGAAGGAGACGAGAATGTTGAGAAGGACCACGCGTCAGGTGAGTCGCACACGCGTGAGTATTGCCACCCGCCAAATGACACATTCCTTTGCTCACGCCCTTTGCTCACGCCCTTTGTTCACGCCTACCCCAGGGCACCTACTCGACAGGCTGAGCGCCATGGAGAGTCGCATACTGGCCGTGGAAGCCAAGAATGCCCAGGTCGAGCGTACCAACGCCGACCTGCAACAGCAGCAGCAAACCTTGCACGCCTCGCTGGAAGCCTGCCCCCGGCAGGTCCGCGACCTGGAGGTCACTGTGCAAGACCAGGGCACAGTTATCAAAGGCGTCGAGGCGGACAACACCGCTCTTGAAGAGAAAGTCGACTCACTGCAGGCACGTCTAGACGCGCTCGAGACGCGCTGTAGGCGACGGCGATCTGACCGACTGGGCAACAGCGTTGAGCACCACCGCATATGAGGCTATCCAGGTGAGTGCCAAAACAATTGGTCCACTTTGACACCACCACCCAGACGGTTGTCCGTGAGAGCTACCTCTTCCTTGTCGACAATCGCGGCAGACCCTTCGCGCCGTATCCCCCGTCGATTGACGAGTGGCCTCGGCACACCACCGACCCAACCCTCTACGCCCTGCGCTGCGACTTCCTCGCAGGACCCCATGCTTACTCCAACCGAGTCGCCATCGCCCAGTGAACCAAATGGGTCATCCAAAACCCACCTCGTTGGCCAGTCTCTGACGTTGTCCGCAACGCTGCCACTTCAGGTGGCTTGGGCACTTCGAGCGTCCTCACGGTCATGTTGGGAAAGGCCGTGGCCGACTTTACCCCTGCGCACTTCTAAAGACTGCGCTTGGCGTTCGAGCTGAAAAGCACGCTGGTCGGATCGAGCGCGGCCTATGGCCATGGTGACGATGAAGATGACGACGATGACGACGACGACGACCGGAGCGACAGCCACCCGCCACACTTGGCCGAGGCCCTGGACAACACCGCCGAACGGTCGGGCGACGCTCCTCCCGACAGTCACGGCACCAGGCGAGACCAGCCCGGTTTGCAAGAGCCACCTGCCGACACGGACCAGCTGCGGCGACACTCAGGCTATGACAGTTCACGACGCCAAGGCCATCGCCGACCTCAACCCATCCCTCTCGACGAGCGGCGACCCTGTTGGCGTGCGCCATCCCCGTCGAGCAGCGGTGAGTCTGAGGGCTGAAAGATCTGGGTGACCGATAGCTGACGAGATAAGCCGGCCAAAAGAGTGGCAGCGCGTCGTGCACAGGTGCCTCAAATTGCCGGCTCCGAGTTTGAGGTGCTGGACAAACCCCACTCCGTGCGCGACGTCCTCCACAAGGGCGATCAGCGGACATGGGTTGTAGAGACTTGGCGAGACCCCTCGGCGGCCGCGTACACTACGTGTGCTCTGTCGACGACGGTCCCAGGAGTTCGGAGGACCAGTCTCGGTTCGGCTGTGCCGAGCTGAGTGAGTGGACAGACAGCAAAGTTGTCAACCACCACCCAAAATGGCCGTCCACGGACCCGACACACTGCTGCCCGCCACGCTACCCCCAGGCGTGGCAGTTACGCCCCGCATACCTCGGCGAGCACGGCGCGACGCTTACCGCCCACCTTGTCGTGCCGGTTTCTCGCCCCACATCGTTCGCCGACGTCAAGCGCCTGGAGTGGTTTACCAACCACCCGTTTACGAGGAACAAGGGAGAGGGTATCTAGGCTGTAGATGTTTAGATCTCTGTGTGTAGCATTGTTTGTAGCTGAATCAGTCGCCCAAGTGGTTGTGCAATGGCACCGGTCCCCATGACAGTACACCTTCCCCCAGCACCTTCCTTCGGCTTTCACTTACATTCCTTCTCCTCAACATTACACTCCCCCATCTGAGGCCAATAATACCTCCTCGTTCATATCCAACCGTCATGGACCCTTCTCTGTTTCAGGCTAGTTTGTCAGCAACTGCCGGCGCCAAACTCACTGAGAAATATGACCTTGTGTTCCCGTCCACCGTAGAAAACAAACAAAAACAAAACAAACCTATCCTTTTATCCTTTTATCCTTTTCCTCGCGCAAAATTGGCCAATACCCAAAATCCGAGGGAATATATCAGGAGGTCTGGGCCTCAGAAGCAAACGCCTTTGTGATGGTTTGGTTTTGAATGCCGGTTCCTTGTCCAAATAAATAGTCTTGCTCAAAACATGCCTTCCGACGGGGACACGTCTGGGGATGGATTGGGCAAGGGTCGGGTTGAGGTGGCCGACGGCCTTCACGTCGTGTAAATCGATGAGAGCTACGGTCTCAACGTCGCCGCCCGAGCGAACACTATGCTCGTTACCTTCAAAGGCTTGAAGTCCGGTGGGCTGTTGTGGCTCCCGTCCTCGCCATCGCCGCCGACGTCTTCATCAAGCGCATTGTCCGAGGCGTTGCTCTGACACATTGTAGTTCATAGAAGCGCATTGTGGTGCGACACAAATGACTTTAGAATGGCAGCTGGTCACACTGATCACTGACGTCTGGGGATAGTATCATGTGTATCACCACTCTTCTCTCATATGTGACTGTAAAGCATCCCACGCTGCCCTGGCAGGTCACCGGTACTGTCGCAACGAAGGAGCTACCGCGACATTCACTTCCTTGCTCTGTTTGTTGTATTATTTACCCTATTCTACTCGATATTGACCTTTGTCATCATGCTTTCCCACGACCTCTTGACCTGTGTAGCAAATTCGGGGTCAGCGAGGAAACGCATGCCGGTGCAAGCCATTCCGATAGTGTGCTTGATGGCCTCGGCGACGCTGTCTGCAGAGCCAGCGCCTGCTGTGAACCTGAGGCTGTTAGATCCACCTGAACGCCATAAAGCCAATATATGTACTCACGGCCCCAAAGGGGCCGTGAGACCTTCTTACTCGGGAGTGTGGTTCAGGCCATCCGCCTCAATATTGAACACTGGGTGGCATCCAGGAAGTACGTGTGTAACGTTTCCAAAGTCGGTGCTTCCACCGTACGGTTTGTCGAGGGCAAGGATAACCTTGGCACCAAACACGTCTTGCATGACATGTGCAAACTCGGTCTGAAAGCGTCAGTCTGGGTTTGGAGAGAACAACAAGAGAAAAACAAAGCTCACAGCAAGTGTCCGCTCGTTGCGGAGCTCGGCGACGGGATCCGTCACACTGATCTTGACCTTGCAGCCTGATACCTGTGCCGCACCCTCAAAACAGGCGACCACCTTGTCCAACGTCTTGCCGACTTCCTTGTCCGTTGTCGCGCGCACGATATATTTCAGCTCGGTGTGCGCAGGAATGACGTTGGGAGCAGAGCCTCCGTCGGTGATAACGCCGTGAACGCTGAACATCAGAAAAGGAACACTGATTTGTACACACCGAGTCTCCGACTTTAGCTGCTGACGAAGTGCCGAGATCGAGGCATACGCGATTGTCGCTGCGTCAAGAGCGTTGACACCCTCCCATGGCGCCATACCGGCGTGTGCTGGCTTGCCAAAGTATTCGATCGTCAGGTGACGGAGCGCAAACGTGCCAACAACAGCGGCACCCGTGCCGGTCATCGGGCCCTTGGCGGGGTGGAGCATCATACACGCTTCAAGATCCTTGTCTGTGAGGTGGTCAACAGTGGTCAACCTTGCTAACGTCCAACGCGGGTAACGGGCAACGCTCACAAGCTCCAGCCTTGAGAAGGTCAATCTTGCCAGATCCTTTCTCCTCCGCGGGAGTGCCAATAAGCACAACCGTGCCCTCAATATTGTGCTTGTCCATTGCTGCCGCAACAGCGAGGAAGGCACCAATACCACAAATTGCAATCAAGTTGTGTCCACAGGCGTGGCCAATGCCAGGAAGGGCATCGTACTCCGAGTTGAGGCCGAAGACGGGTCCCCCATTTCCACGCGAGTGGGCCACCCGGAAGGCCGTTGGATACTCGGAGACGTCTGTTACGGTGTACCCTTTGGTGGTAAGGTAATTTGTGATTTTGTGATGCGCCTTGGTTTCGTTCCAAGCGAGTTCCGGGTTGGCGTGCAGGTAATCAGAAATGTCCTTGAGCTCGGGGTGGAGGGAATTGAGCACGTTCACGACGGTTTGACGGGCCTTGCGTCAGTGACAAGTCCCCAGAGTCTCGCTCACTTCGGGATTGAAGATGGTCTGGCTTTTGCTGGTAGCGGCGTCATCGGGTAGAGGGTAACCAACAGTGTGGGCACAAGAGTCGATAACAGTCATGGTTTATACTACTCGATACACCAGCGGACAGCGCACCACTCAGACACTTTATACATTCACCTTCAATTCACCTACGGCGACAGCACGTTTGTAGGAAGCGGGAATTGCCGATCCGGATTTGCCCAACTCAGCCGCCAACAAATGTCCTCCAGCCAAATATTGACAACAAGGTGTGTGAGGCGTTTTGAGTCGGATAAACATGCCTCGTCAGCAGCTCAGCAGTGAGTTCGGCCGCCACTTGTGCAGGTTCAACGCGTCCTGTCACGAATTGTGCAATTCACAAAGTTTGGCCGCCCTGTTCAGGTTCCCTCATTCCACCAGTCCGTTGCTCGACTTAGTTTGCGAGCCCGTTGGGGCAAAAGCCAGTTTGTCGTTTCCCGTTTGATCTTGCCGATGGGTACTGTACGAGCGGCTGGGATCCAAACCGAAACTGATGTTCCTCTTGTGTCCCCGCACTTCACTACGCACGGCCTCATTGTGACCGTGAGACCTGGTGGTATGGACAACGGAACTAGCCTCTTGTTTGCCTCCCAGTTCAGGAGTGGACCAGGCCTCACGAGTACACCTCTGCCTTGACGTGCCAACTGGCCGTCCGCAACCAACTCTACGCTCCACAGTCCCCTCCACGTGACCGTTTTGGCTGACTCAAGACTCAGCTGTCCGTGTGTTGGTCACCTCGCACCTGAAACCGTGAAGGTGCCGTTTGCGTACCACATGTATGTAACATGCATGCACTCGTTCGATCTGCTCGAGCGCAATTGCATGTCTGTAGGTGTAGTACAATTGCTTGTTCCTCTGCGTGTGTCGCAAGGCCCTGACGTCCGCACACATGTACGCGTCCGCCCAAGGCGTCGGGTGCACCGCAGGGTGAAGTGGCGGGACACGGTCCTGGCTTGGCATACGCGAACACTGCGTTTAGTATGGTATTACGGAGCAAGACTTTTGGGACTCCGGATTGCGGAGGGTTTTAAGCGATCAGCGACTGCGTCCGGTTATCTGCGCAGCAAAAACACTCTTCTCTCCGTGTTACAGCTGAAATTGTGTGCACACTTTCTCACGTTCTCAACAGCGTACAGAACAAAGCACACGGCTAGGAGCACAGCTTGGTGGGCTAGTGCGACTAACCGCGTTCTGGTTGGGTGGCGCCAACGTCTACGCGGGCCGCCCCGCCGTGCCAAGACTTGGCAGGCTGGCATTTTAACGCTTGGCGAGGCCTTTGGGTGTTGCTTTGCCGCGTCCCACAGGTCGACGGCGAAGACGTCGGCGGATCTGGTCGGCGGATCTGGTCCCTTCAAGAGCCTCCCCAAAGCACAACACAGATGGGCAACTCGCTGTCTTCTTCACTCATCACCTCACCTTTCACTTACTCGTTCAATCCCGGTTTCACGATCATAGGTTTCGTTCTTTTCTGGCAGTCCCCTTCACCGCAACGCAACATGTGGACCTCGCTCCTCACTCCTCTTCTTGCTGTCGGCATGGCCCGTGCCCAGGTCACTGCTGCCGGCGCCAACGGTGTTACCAACCCCGACAAGCCCGAGTTTCTCCCCATCGGCGCGCAGGTCAACATGACCTCGTACTCGCGCCTTCTCACTCTCAACAGTGTCGACGACTTTTGCCTTTACGGCCCTCCCGAGGCCGGACCGGACTCGCTGATCGGTAACACCGAGCCGATTGTCGTTGCCTGGTGCACCAAGCCCCGTAACAACGCTCGGTGAGTGCAAAACGCAAGCCCTAACTACTCACGGCCCCTTTGCGTGAGGCTCGCTGACATCCCTTAGACTCATTCCCGACGGCGCCATCCACGCCGCACACGTGAGCTTCCAGCGTCACCCTCTCACGCACGCATACTGACAGCCCTGGCAGTTCATCAAGACCCCTCTCTACGTCCAGATCTCTGGCTTCTGGGACGGAACCAAGGTCAACATTCCCTATGGCGACTCTGGTGGTGAGCTCGACCCCCACGGTGCCAAAAACCTGGGCAACCCCATTGGTGGCAATGTTACCACCGACGTTGCTACCGGTTCAGATGTCTTTTACGAGGAGTGGATGTCCTTTGTACGTGCTTTGTGTAAATGGCAGGGCTGACGCAACCGCAGATCTCGTACGACCAGTTCTGTCTTCGTATCTGCACTGCGGAGACCAACAACGTTACCGCTGCTCTCCAGTGCGAGCACGAGCTTGACATCATGGGCTGCCGTTGGGTCATGGCCATTGACGACTTTTACCGCTCGAACGGCACCTTCACCTCGTGCGAAGGTGAGGCAGCTGCCCCCCCTGGCCTCTACCCCCAGGCCGACGGCTCCACCTCGACCTTCCGCCAGCGCTACACTGGCACTTGGTCCGCCGACGGAAGCCTTGGTGTCTTCACCGTTGGCCAGACTGTCACCCCCTCGGCGCCTGCCTTCTGGCCTGCCACCTCAAACTGCGTGACCTACTCCACCATTGGCAACGGCGTCGCCACCACCGACTACATGGTCACTGCTGCCCCCGTCACCTTCGTCTCCGGCTCGTCGGCTACTGTCACTGGCCTCTCTACCACTACCATGGCCACTGTCACGACCCCGACCAACATTGTCGAGTCGACCTCTACCGCTGCCGAGGCCACTGACGCGGCCAGCACGGATGGCTCCAAGTCGGGTGAGGCGGGCTCGTCGGCCGGTGCGGCCACCACCTCGTCGGGCAGCTCGTCGTCGGCTGGCGTCTCGGCCTCCAGCTCGTTCGGTGCCGTCGCTGTTGTCGCTGGTGCCCTTTTGGGTGCCGCTGTCATCTTCTAAGAGGTGGATCATTTATACTTCTCTCTCTCTCTCTCTCTCTCTCTCTCTCTCTCTCTCTCTCTCTCTCTCTACGTTGCCACAATTCATTCTAGAGAATCACCTTCACGGACATTGCGCAAGACGCTCAGTTCTGCACGACCCTCATTAGTTAATGCAATTAGTTAATGCATTCTTCTTACCACCACAAGGTAGCACGACGTTACACACTGAAACACTTTTGTTTGCACTTCAAATGCGATGGTCAAGGTCCGTGGCCGAGACCTTGATGACTTGCCGCAACTGCGCGACACTGCCGCGACATCCTAACTCCTGCTTCTGATTCCCACGAGTACTGCAATTCTCAGCTTCCGCGTTTCACACACGCCGCGGAATGACGACAAATTAGATCTGTTCCGTGGCGTCGTGAACTGCATCAGCTTATGGCAAGGTTAAAAACTCTGTATGCCAGGCAGCGTTCTTCCCTTTTCGCATTCTCTTTTTCCCAGACCAACATTGCTCGGCGATTCACCAACAACCCACCACCAGTATCCTTCAAACGACTCGATAGCCGGCTCCCGTGGACCAATGGAACGTTCCCCACTGCCTACTACTATTCCCACCCCGTCCAAAGCCTCTCCCACAACCCCATACGTCGTCCCATACAATGTAGTGTGCGAGCTTGCAACTGAGGGATCTCCGCCTTACTTTCGCCATGCGCCTTGGCGTCTTGTGATTGATGACTTGGTTTTCATGCTTAACAACATCGTTCTCCTACCGCTCATCTTCTTCCCAGTGGGCCTCTCATCCAGAGGTCCACTCTTTTTGGACATTAGAGCGAGTGGTGTGGTTGCCCAGGTCGTGTTGGCTGTCATTTCGGTCGTCTTCACAGTCACGATTGTCTTGTCTTTGAGCGTCGGCATACCGTCTCCAGCCTTGGTGATAGCCGCCCTGGTGGTCTATATTTGGCTGGCCACCAAGCTGCAAGGCAAGGAGCTGCGGAAATCTGTCGGAAATGTCGCCCTGACTGAGGGACATGAGCGTGAGGAGTGGCTGTTGTAAGTAGCTCAGAACAACTTGTTCGACCGGCGGCTTGTACTGACTCGCTGCAGTGTAAATGGAATCTGCACCACGGGCTCGGGTGCCCAGCTCGTTGCAAACCGCCTACAGCAACTGTTTGGTCGACCCGTCACGGCCGTCCTCAATCGCTCTCTGGGAATTTTCTTCGACCTACTGGAGTGTATTCTTCAGCGCGACCTCTTCCTCACAACCCCCGACATTCGGATCGGATACTCACATGTCCGGCGTGCAGTCATGAACCCAGCCAAGAAACGCGTCGTACTTATTGGCCATAGCCAGGGCGGCATTATCGTGTCCGCCTGGGTCGGTGAGTTTACCAGACTCCCATGTTCTCGACTGACGCACCAGACCAGCTCCTGTGCGACTTTCCCGACGACGTCCTTGCCAAAGTTGAAGTTTACACATTTGCATCAGCTGCAAACCACTTTTCTCGCCCAAGCCCAACCAGACTCGAATCAGCGCAGAGCATGCCTTTCGCCCATGTAGAGCACTTTGCCAACAATGGCGACTTTGTCTCTCAGTTTGGCGTCCTCTCCAAGGCCCCACAACCTCCTGGTCTTGACGCAACGAATGCCACAGCCACACTGGCTACGCTGAAGGGTACTTTGGGGGGCTGATATTCCGGCGGATGAACCACACAGGCCATCTACTCCTTCAGCATTATCTGTCCGAAAAGGTCAACATTCTGGAGGATGCCAAAGTCAAGACACATTCACAACTAGTCAAATATCTCAATGGCCAGAACGTGGCAAAATAAGTAAACTTCTTTCCCGAACACCGAGGACTCAAGTCGGTTTCCCCTTTCGAGTTTAATGCCCGTGTATCAATGTACGTGTCTCGGGGTTTCGTGCAGCACGCAGGCCCGCAGGTACGCCGGAAGATGACAGGTGCGGTTTGTTTATGTTTGTTTTATTTTATTTTGCAAGGTATTCTTCCCATTTCTTGTCTGCCACACATGGCCCGTAAACGTCAGACTTGCACCCCTGATCTCCTAACGACTAAACGACTATCAGAGGTGATCCAAAGCACATCTGGCAACGACCGGTGATCTTTCGTTTCAAGAATCCAGTGGGCGGCCAGAGCGCCGTCGCTACTCCATGGCGGAGCGAGCTCGGTGTCGCAAGAGTTCACATCGTTTCTCTCTCTCATCTTCACCTGTACACCACACCCAACTAAAGTGTTTATTGCTTCCAATGGGTCGCCCCAAGACGGCCACGGGTGTGGTCCCTCCGTCCTGCGCGACGACACCCCTCGAGAGTCCGCCCGGTCATCCGTCCGCACCTGCAACCGCCCACAATCGCAACACCTTCCATCTCGAGACGCTTGGGGATACATACCAGTACCTCAATACTGACGAATCCGAAGACACACTTTCACCACTCCCTCCAATCCCCCACCTCGCACCGCTCCCCAACTTTGCGGCCTCGGCTGTGCACCTCGGCGGCGTGCCCTTTCCCAACAACGACAGCCCGCAACGGACGTTGAGCCTGCCTCCGCCTCCCCGCGCTGGAGTCCGCACAGGCAGTACGTTCGGTCGTACCATCTCCAACGCAGAGCCCCCCGAGCGTATCCTGGACATGGGAGCTTGGTCACCCATTGGCAACGGCGACACGTTGGGTACGGGCACATTTGGTACCGAGCGTCAACCAGGTTTCACCGTCAGCACGGAGCGTCAAAGCGACCTCGACTTCACCCAGCGCACGCGCACGCGCACGCGCACCATGCACGGCCCTTCACCCTCAGTCGAGCGGTACATCCCACCCTTTGACGACCTATTTGAGAGAACGTTTGATCTGGCACCCCCATTTGAGATTGCCCACATCCGCGACAGCATGGTTGCAAAGGATCGCGCCGAAGCCGCTGCTCCGTACTACCATCAGAACGCGAGCACTTTCAGCATCAGCATGTGAGCAGAAACTGCAATGACCTTGACTTACGCCAGTCCTTCCGCTGCCCCACGTAACGGCCACGGATGCGGATGTTTTGATGGCTTGTTCGGCTGGTGGCCCAAGCCGGAGGATGGATACGAGGGTACTCACTAGTTCAACACAGTAGTGGAGATGTTGCGCTGTCTACAGGGGTCGCGACAGGTTAATATGTCGATGCTGTTCTATGTGTCACCGCGTCACCGCTCACCGAGCTTTTCGCGCTTTGCACAGGTGATCTCCATGATCCCCGCCAGTAACCCTTACCTGAGACAGCCCCGAAGCGCACACTGTGGATTGAATTTGGATCCTCGAACGGTTCGTTATCCAGTTACGATTTGGTTCGTTGTGATGGCCGTCCTGTCCCCTCCCACCCGCCCCCATGCGGTGTTCCTCACGGCTTCAGACCTTGCACCCACTTGCCAAAGGTGATTTCACGCAAAGGAGCACCATCAAGGGGTCAAAGTCAACACGGTGTTTAAGACCCATCAAGGGGTGAGAACCTCTGTCTACAAGATGGAGCGTTCACCACTTGTAATCGGACTCCCCCGTCCACTGCTCACAACCCTGACGACAGTACTCACGCCACTTGTCTTACACCCTCGAAACTCGATACATTACCTCAACTGACAGTGACGGGCCACCTGACACTCCCGCTTCGCACAGCCCAGCCGCCGGACATTAGTTTGCAGTAATTGGTGGCCTGGTGTCTGGCCTCACTGCGTTCCTCTGTAAATGTCGCACATTGTCGCTCCTCCTTACCCGGTACTCTCCAACATCCCGGAGTCACGAGGACCATTGGCCGTTATCAGTGACAGCTTCCGGTGAGTACTAACGGAAACTGGGGTTCTTTGGGGGAAGGGATGGTTATGGCAGTGCATGACGACGGCTACGCTCTTGAGGCTGCTCCTCGCGATAAATGACCACAGTCACAAAGCCACATCCTTGCGCCCCACACCCAAGGTCCATGTTGTGTCTGTACGCTCCGCAATCGCATACAGGTACACAGGGGACACTGCCCGGTCCCTTTGCTCCACTCTTGTCCAAGGGATTTTGCTCACTGCCAGTGAGTTTAACGTCGCCCTCCTGCGCATGTGGCTCCGTATCCGCCGATTCCCAGCTTGGCTTCTGGCTCCTCCCCGACCTCACCGACGCTACTAGAATGTTGGCTATAACCAAACCCGCCAGCCGCCGGTCCCGTTCTGTTGGTCGTCCTCCCCCAGTGTTCCTCACGGTCACTTTGGGGTCGTGAGACGTTACAATGTTAATGACGATACCCAAGGACATTACGAGCACGCCCCATGCGTGCTACGAGATCCAGCTCTTCAAAGAGCACCAACAGTCTGCGCCAGACGCTGAGGATGTCGTCCTGCCCTGCATGTTCGACCCTAATTGTCATTCCCCTCCGCCCAAAACAAAACACCAGCGATCTAAGACGGTAACGGGGGGCCCGGGTTAGCCTACTTGATTTGATTTGCTGCTCTGCATTTTTATATCTGCAACCGTTTGAACATTCGTGTTGGCTTCGTTGTTGAGACGTGGCCTGTAGATCAGTGCAGATGTGGAACGACGTCAATTCGGGTTAGTCATCATGCCAGAGCGTACCAAGGTGGCCAGTGAAACCTACCACAGTGGCCAACTAGCGTTAGAACTGATGTCCTTCAATCTGCCTGCTACACGCCCCCGACCCCCATTAGCCCGAGGCGGCTGGCGGTTCGTGTTGGTAGTTTGTTGGCCGCCGCCCTCTCGGCTGTCCTCACGGCCCTTTGGGACCGTAAGACGTTCGACTGGCGGACCAGCACGACCGTCTCCAGCCGAGTCCCTCTTCAGCAGACTTCCTCAGATTGCATGCATTTCTCTCTTCGGCGCTGCGTTTAAGCGTCCTCGTAGCCAACGGTTGGGCGACGGGCGCGGTCCGGGACTGCAAGTCAGGTGTTGGCCATCGCGAGCTGGCCGAGGAAGCAACGACTTACGAGGGAAGGTGGTAGGGATGCGCTCAGCGGGGGTCCAGCCAAACGACTTGCGAATAGGGGGAACGGTGGCGACCATGACGGGACCTGTGAAGGTGAGTTATGGTCACGTAGATAGTCCACGGTCGGCTCGATGGCCCGAAAGGCCGCTTGTGCTGTGCAGTGGCGATCTACACGCAGAAAGCGTTTCGGCAAACAGGGGAGGGGCGACTGAAGTCACCATAAATCACGTACCAGCGAGGCCAATGGCGAACGACCAGAAGTAAACGGGCTGCTCGTGGGCCAGGCGTTGCTGAGAGTTGTTAGCGCCCGCTCTTCAACGGAATTGGAAGTGCCGGGTTGGCAGCAGGGCTCCGGTAGTGACAGGCTCAGATGGCACTGGTCCTGATATCGGCGTGTGTCTGGCATCAATACGTACCAGGTAGCGGTACATTGTGATTGTGGTGGTGGTTGGAGGTGGTGACGAGCAAACGAGTGCAAACTACTGGACGGCGACTGGCCGCGAGAGCGGGTGGGGGTGGAAAGCGACGGAGGCAAACCAAGAAGCACATAAACGGAAGCAAACACACGTGGCTGTCTGGCGTGGTGCGCGTGGTGGTCGCCGCTGGCCGCTGGCCCGCTTTTGGACCCGGTGGTACGGTCGTACGGTCGTTCAACGTTCAACGATTCCACGACACATGTGGCTCCAGCTCCAATTATCCTGATATCAAAGAGGATAGACGGCAGACAAGGCCATGTTCTTTGCAACATAGGGCAGGTTATTTGGAGGGTTAAAAGGTGGTGACCCTCCTTAACTGACAAGGATTTAATGCGCCCGTAGACGATTCACAAAACTTCAAGCCATTCCTCTTGATTTCTCTCCTCCTGCTTGTTCCTCCCCCTCCCCCTCCCCCCTTGTCAGTTCCTCCCTCCCCGACCACAGTACATCTAGCCCATTCCTTTTTTACCCACCTCCCACCTCCGCCTTGTGCATCGTGATCCCAATAAGCCTCAATGCTATTTCTTGCGATCAAATGTCTAAGTTCAGTGTATTAAACACCGATCGTATAAGGGTCATTATCCATGCTTTCCAGTGGGTTCAGTTTGAACACACCTCGCTTGGGATAGGGGTTCGAGTCCCCTTCGGTGTAGCACAGCACTGACAGCAGGCGGTTTGTGTGATCTTGCAAAGTATCAATGGCCACAGGAAGAACACAGCGTCGACACTTTTTGAAACGAACGTTTTCTTGTGCTTTTCTACGACTTGCAGTCAAACCGAGTCAAGGATGAGACTAAAGGTATTCAGCTGCTGTTATCTTGGCTTTTATAACATTTGCGTACAATTGTTCACAACTGTGATTGACGAAAAGTGGAAAATGTGGGTTTGCACTGGTTGATTCCAGCAGAGATGGACGCGCCTATGTGCTCCAGGACGGACCCTCACAAGGCCCTATGGCGCCAGTGGCCGTTCTGTTCCTGCAAGGCACGCCCGCCGGTGGTCCCTTTACCTCCTTTACAGCGGCCATGTCTCGTACAGATGAAGCCTATATTTAACTTGTTGGTCCCTTTTGCGTAGGTCGAAGCGAACAGGCTAGACAACCGGACGGCTCAGCGGATCAGCGGGCCAACTCACCAGTTGGCCAGTTGGCTGATATATGGCCTAATATCGAGGACCAAGCCCCCAGCCTTGTGGATTTTGCTGTCCGCTGCGAAGGGGATTCCTTGTGGTCGCTGAGGCTAAGGAGGTCGTTGACGGCCGCAGACACCAGCTAGATCTTGGACAGCCACGACGGAACGGTCGACTGCGGCGGTGAGCTGCGTGTCACGCGATCACGCGTCCGATAAAAACCCTTTGCGTTGGCCTGGCTGCTTATTTGCGTCGAAGTTTCGTCCTTGTTTATATGTACCGCAGTAGGCGTATAGGAGCGGGGGCGCGGGCGAGTCAATTTCCCAATGTCGATAGGCGATCTACCGTTGCACCACCCGCCGCGCTATAGACGCTAGGGTGTGAAGTTCTACATGTGCCGTTGTTTGCATGGCCGGTGGATCCTCACAACACATCCACGCAACCTTGGAGCTACCACATGTAAAGCAAACCATGTTGGCTATGTGCTGTCACCCGGGCGACTCGGACCTGGGCGATGGTAAAAGGATAAGAGTGCCTCTCTCGCGTCCCGTTTCCCGCGCGCACCGCCGCCGACGACAAACAGGACCGCCTCGCTCGAAGAGCGATCAGAAGTGCAAGTGCAGCACAGCACGCTTCACATGCCGAGGCCAGAGGTGCTCTGCTGTTATACAAGTGTTTGCCTTTGTGCCTGGGCCGGACGACATGGCATATATGTACGGCAAACCAAGTCGTAGTATCTGCTGCTTGGTCGTTAACAGGGATGTGTGTGGCACAGCTGCCAGCAAGCATATGCTGTCCATGTCTCTCTCTCGCGTCGCCAAAAACCTCCTTGATCCTGGAGATCCCTCGTTGTTTGTTGACCCCTTTGGGCGGTGCCGCGGGGGGAAGGGGGGGACAGAGGGGGGGAGAGGTACAGAGGGAGAGCTGGGGGGGAAGCTCGCGTTGCACACATGTATTTTAGATTCCGCTTTTTGCGGTGGCCGCGCCGGATGCGCCGGTGGGTGGGGAGAGAGAGAGAGGAGGGGGCCAGAACTCGCGACGTCTTGGCCGGTTACCCCTGTGGCCGTGTCCCTACATGTTCCCCGCCCTGCAGCGCGCGGTGGGCGCAACCCCTCTCCTCCAGCTCCTCCCCTCCTCTCCCCCTGTGCACAGACCGCCCACCCGCGCCATCGTCGGCCGTCCACACACGGCACTGCAGCAGCACATCCCGTCACCCACACACACACACCTCGTCGTTTTGCCTTTGCTTCTTCTTTTCTCGTCGTCCACATTGCCCATCTCCTCGTCGTCCTTAAGTCCTTATCGTCCTTGTCCCTCCCTCTCTCGTCGGCCACATCTCCCCCCGCTCTCGCTACACACACACAACACCCCACGGCGTCACCCCCCCGCCAGAGCATATTCGTCCCCCCCTCTCAGGGCCCGCATTTCACCCACCAGAAACCGTCACAATCAAAACAACCCATCTTCGTCTTCTGCCCTTTCTTTTTCTCAACACACAACCGTCTTCATCTAAACCACCCATATTCCACACTCTCCTCATCGTTTTATCGTTTTTCTACATCACTACACCACCACACGCGCATCTGGACAAGGCCACCGCGACCCTACACAGTCCAACCGTCTCTCACACGAGCGTCAGCAGGTCGTCTGCCTCCCATCCACACACCACCCACCACCACCCATCCCCCCATTAAGCCGACGCCAAACACCGCCAACAGCGCGCGTGCAGTTTTGTGTTTGTTTGAGGAGGAAGAGAGAAAGCGAGAGGACAAAAGTAGCCACACGTTTGGCAAGTCGAATTAAGCAGCCATGAGCGGTAGGTCGTTTGATCGCGGGATCCTCATCCCAGTGTCCACGGGAGCGTTGCTTCCCGCAATAGATATCCAGATGCTGACGCTCCTGCGCCTTTATCACCACACTTTGCCACCCCGTCCCCCAATGTTGTCTTCTTCCTTTCGCACACCCACATATGCGTGAATATCGCGCATCCTCACTCAAAGCTATTTACACCGTGTTAGTAGTGTTTGTTGCCCACGCCATGGCCGGCATCTAACGCCGAAGCCACTTGCTGACTTGGACACAGCTTCACGTCGCCGCACCATGCACCGATGCCAAATCACTTGCCCACGCTGATCGTGACACCCCACGGTATGTTGTCTTTTCATTTCATCTTTGGCTGCGCACTGGAGGCATAGTTACTTATTGCGTTTACAGGTCAGCCGAATCAAGTCCTTTACACATACTTGTGAGTTGCCCTCGCCACCATCTTGTTGTGACTGTGCTGACATATCAGGCATACAGAGGAGGTACGAATCCGATAGCCCGGTATCCCACTGACACTTACCAGAACCGCGTCAACTATCTCCTCACGCCATCGCCGCAGGGCGACCTCTGTGTGGCCAAAATGTTTCCCCCGACCCGCACTGGTGCAACGTCGAACGCGTCGCTCCCTACAATGCCCAACCACAAGCACAATGTTGTTCGGTGCGAGGCATCGCGCGACCTCAAGTGGACGATTGAGAACACTGGAGTCCAGCACCCCACATACAAGATTGTCAACCAGGACGACACGCCCTTGTACCAAATCTCAAAGCCCAACCCCCACGCTGACTGGTGGACCATGTTCTACTTCAAGTATGCCGGTCACCAGATTCCCCCGAGGAGGGTAGAGTTTGGAAAGGTGTCAAAGAACCCTCCCGAGAAGGGCGGAGGTACCCGCATCGCCATTACCGGCAGGTCTGAGGACGAAAAGCAGGTTTGGCAGACCCTTGGAGTCGGCAACGAGGACTGTGTCGAATGGGTTGTCTGCTGCGCCTGTCTCAACCTTCTCGAGTGGGTCTACTCGTTCACTGGCTACTTTACTAACAAGTCTCAGTGACCAGATTCTCCAGGCCGCCGAGCGCAAGCAGACCGGCGCCGGTCCTGCGTCAACTGCTCCTTCGCCGGCCGCTTCGCGTGCCCCTGGCCCCGCTGCCACACGTGGTCCTGGTCCAGCCGCTACCCGTCCCCCTCCTGGTCGTAACAACTCGTACCCCGCTGTTGCAAATGGCCAGATGGGACCCCGTGGCATCGCCTCGACCGGCCCGGGCATCGCATCCACCGGCGGTGGTATCGCCTCGACAGGCCCACCCGGTGGGTACCGTGGCCCGCCCCAAGGCCGTCCTCCAATGCAACCTATGCAGCAGCCCATGCAGCAGCAGCAACAGGGATTCAACCCGAACATGCGGTCGCCCATCAACCCCGGCGGTCCTAACTCCATGGCACGTGGCCACCCCCCTCCTCAGCAGCAGCCGGCCGCCACTCGGCGCTTCTAAGAGTCCTGGCCGGCTGTGAATTCCTCGAACCGGGCGTTGTCGTCATCGTCCAGCTAAGCTAGCCGGGCTCGACTTTCTCGTCACGAAGGTTCCAGGTGGACCTTTATAACCTGTTTCTTCATATTTTGGACTGTTAGGCTGGGCTCATGCCGAGATACCTCACATAGATACCCCCTGTGACATGCACAACAAATAACGACACCCAGTGTAAAAGAGGTGTCCAGGACGTTGCACGAAGAAGCACGTATGCATCGTTACCGCAAAGGTGTAGAAAGCCGCATGGTACCGCATCAAACAAGGCGCGGGTTCTCACACTGATGGTCATGTTGAGCCACAAGGAAGGCGAACTGAAAAGCAGTGGAGTGGTGCAAAGGGGGGGGCCTGTTTACGGCCGCATTGAAAGGTGATCCTGGCGTTGTGAATGTAACACTAACACAAATGAGAGGCAATGGAGTAAACAAGCAGCTGTGGCATAGCGCTGAACACCTGCAAGTCGAAGGGGACGCCGTTGGGCCACACGAAATGGTTTAGACCGAACGAAGAACAAGTGGAGGAGGCGTGGTGAACCGAAAACAACTGCCAGTGTATTGGTGCTACTGTCAATGTAGAGCTGAGGCTGTCGTTTGATATCCTATAGGATCCGGTGTCCTCGTCTAGCCTAGGACGTATTCATGACGGCGGCCCCGAAGTCGTCCCCAACGCCCCACTCCTCCATCAGCCGTTTTACCTCCCCCATGTCACCCCTGTGGTTGTACTGTCCATGTTGGGGGATGAGATGCGTGATTTCGGACATGACTTTGAACTTGCGTTCGCTGGAAAGAAGGGCGCGGCGGAGGCGTTCTGTCACCTGTGCTGTTAGCTCTGGGAGGGAGGAGACAAGCTGTGGTGGGCAAGATGGCAGTGGCGAGGGGAGGGAGGGAAGGCAATAAAGGGCAACCTCTTGGAGAACCCACTGCACGTACCTTCTTCTGGTAACTTGGAATATCGCCCCAACTTTCACTCTTGATAGCTGCCATGTACCGATCAACAGCCTTTCCACCACCTTCGAGGCACAGTAATCCTGGCTTTCCCGCCAGGACAAACCCGGTTAGTCGGTAGGTTGCAGCATACTCGACAAGGTCGCGTCGCTTCTCTCGTGTTGACAGGGACGGGAACCAAAACCACACCCTTTCGAGTGCGCCGTCGTCTACCACTACGTCGGGAACGGGATCAGCTGGCTCTTCCGTCACAGCCAGTGTGGAAGCAGTAGCTCGCACGGTCTCGATCGCCGTCATGACTGTATCGCTGGCACTCTCGTGTTCGGGGGCGATGGGAAGGGCAGCTGCGAGGTCGGCGTATGCCCCTCGGGAGAGGAACGGCGGTTGTCGCACAGAGATCTTGACAGGAGCGTCCAGCAAAAGCGATACTGTAAGCTCGACTCGTCGGGTGACATCCGGCCCAGCGTCATCGTCGATCGGTATGCGGACCACAAGCTCGAGCGGAGACGAAAGAACAGGCTCGTCCCCGGCTTCGCAGGCGGCGAGAGCTGCCGCCGCGGAATCGCCCAGAACGAGCTCACCGTCGAGCGGGTACATTGCTGCTAATAGCTGGAGCGCGCTGAGCGCGTCCTCTTCGTGGGACATTGTCGGACGTGGTGAATGAAAGAGCCAGTTGGTCAGCAATTCAGAGAAACAAACGTCACACGGAGACACCGCGATTCAGAGTTGATCGAGTCCGACGGCCGTCGCGCATGACCGAAAGTGCGATATGGGGTCTCCACAGTCACGTGAACTCTCTTTGACGACGTGGGACACATGGGTTGATGTTTCGGACGCGCGGACGCGATTAACCCCCACGGCATCGCGTCAGTCACCGGCCGGGAAAGCTAAAACACCCTATCCGAGGCCGCGCTGGAGGTACAGCACATGTTCTTTACGTTGCCTCTATCACAAACATATCGGTAACATGCGCGTATTCTGGCCCACCCGTGGACTTCTGGCAAAAACCGGCACCGCCGTTGGGTGGAAGGAGGGCGAAAGCATTGTGGTGGTCACTGTTGTTGACAAGGTATGTGCTGCGCCGCTTCTGTGCTGACTGACGCCAAGTTTGACACTCCAGCCACCGATGGCGCAAATGCGAATGGCAAGGAAAAGGCGACTGATGGGGAGGTTCGTCTGCTCCAACCTCTTGCACGCGTGCACCCTGCACAGCACGACACGTCCTCTGTCCCATCCGACGTCCACAGTGACCTGTTCTCGATCTGGACCGACTCTGGCCGACCGGTTGCGTACAGTGTCGATGCCGAGACGGTCTTGTACACACCTCCCAAGCCGCTTACTCACCTCACCCTTGGTGAGGTTGCCTCTGCTGCAACTGGCGGGGAGAACGGTGCAACCTCGGCGGCGCCCACAGTCAAGGACAGCGACCTCCGTCCGGTTCTGTCTTTGGTATGTACCCGCTCGCTGCTTCCTGTGCTAATGGCAGCTAAACGAGTCAACCGCGGCGCAGTCAACACTGGCACCGCCCAAGCGCAAGATTCTCCAGTACCTCGGCTGGGGCCGCAACGCTTTTACGACTTACCGCTTGCTGGGAACGTTCCGGACGCAGGCCAAGAACGGCTTTGGTCTCGTCCCCGCAGGCCTTGTCGCTCCCGGTGTAGCACACACGACCTCGGCAAGAACGCTGCCAACTGTTTCCCTCCCAGAATTTACCTTGCTCGGGCGTGACTTTGGCGGTGAGATCGGTGGCTATACGTTTGGTACAGACAGCGTGCTCGAGCGTCCAACTCCAATCACTGTTCTTCGCAACGCGTTTACGCTCTTCATGTTCTGGAGCACCATTGGGCTGTTTGCCCTCACGCTTATCCCATACTCTCAAAGCTTAATGGGAGCGTTTGTTGCCATTCTCACCACTGTTACCTCGGTTCTGTCCGCCGATGTGGTCTTGTTTGGCCGCACTTTGTCGCTTCGGCGCCACAGCGCGTTTTGTGAGTTGACTTGATGTGCATCTGGGGCTAATTCTCAAGTGAAGCAGGTGGCTGTTCGCAGCGACCAGGTCAAGACACTTGAGACTTCCATTCGCGCTGAAATTGACGGAGAGGCACCTACTAATGCCTTCCTTCAAGTGCGGAAGGCTGTCTTTGTGAGTAACATCGAGGCCAGGAGGCAGGCAGCTGACAATCAAAACAGACGGACATGCTCGGTGGCTTTTTCTTATCCGCCATTGTCTCTGCAGTTCTCGCCTTTTACCCAATGCCACCTCTCAGTGCCAGTGCCGTCGCTGACCCGATGGTTGCGGCGCTCCAATGGCTCAATGCGTGGCCGGTGGGCCTGAAGCTCAACACCCCGCTGAGCCAATACTTTTGCTCGGCGTTCAGCACCGTTCTTGTCGCATGGCGCGGTAAGTCGCTATGTGTCCGTCACAATTCAAAGCTTATTCCAGATGTCGTCGCTCCGCTTCTTACCGAGGTTCAAGGGCCAGCCATTACGGCCATCCTCCTCGTGGCACTTGGCGGACTCTCTTTTGCGTTTGCCCTGCTTTCGGACATGGTTACGCTCGTCACACTCCACCTCCGCCTATGCTACACTGTCATGGCCAAACTTTGTGGCTGGCAGCTTGCGGCGCTCAAGGGACTCTACGATCTCTTCCGTGGTGAGTTGACCTACAGCTGAACACTTCTGTATGCTGACTTTTAGGTAAACGCTGGAACGTACTTCGCCATCGCACCGACTCGCACGCGTACGATCTTGACACCCTCTTCCTTGGCACTCTGCTCTTTACTCTCTCGACCTTCCTGGCCCCGACCGTGCTGGCGTATGGCGCCCTGTTTGCCGTGGTGAGTACGGTCGGCCGCTGCCCTTCTTAACAACGGCACAATCTGACGTCAGATCAACCTTGCTATCGTGGGCGTTGAGGGTACACTCGCTCTTGCAGTCGGCGCACTTAACACGATCCCCACACACGCGCTCATGTCCCGTGTCCTCAAGCCCGCGAGCGTTCCAGGTGCGTAACAGCCGGGCTTTATTCGATGGGCTGACCCTTCCCAGCGGGCATTGTGTTCGACGTTGTCCCCCACCCTTCCGTCAAGGTTGGCGACTCTACCGCCCTTGCGCCACGCTTCACGCTACTTCTCAGGACCACACCGAAAAGCATTCCGACGATCGTTAGCGAGTGGTTGCGCGCAGCCCAACGTGCTGCTGGAACACCATAGAATGGAGGTACCCTATGCATGTCATGGTAGTGAAAAGGGTTGCATTATGGAAGCCTTCACCCATCCGTCTGGCTTTCCTGGCAAGGGATCGCGTCCCTGCTCATGTTAGCTACTGTCACTTGCAACAACTCAAATGCCTCACGGAGATTCTCTGCCATTGCTACGCAACGATGGCGGCCAGTCCCAGCTACACCGTGGCCACAAGCAGAGCCCAAGGCGCCTCCCCGCCACTTCCATCCAATGCCTGCGGGACTGAAGGGACTGAAGGGACTGAAGGGGAACACCCAACCGTTCGTCCGTCGTCCAAGGTTGTAAGAATTTGGAGAGCAGCATTGAAGGCAACTGCATGTCGTACACAGTCGCAAAAGTCGACCGCTGACCGGGCGTTATGAGCGGCCCAGAAGCACTCCGCACCGGGAGTGTTATGTGTGCCGGCTGCAAGTGCACAGCAGCTTGCAGCCAGAGGAGGGTAGGCAGTGGTACAGTACGACATGAATATCGATTCCTCGTTTGGGTGTGATGTACTATAGATGGTAAAGGTCAGGACAAGTCAGTTGAGGAGTGTTGGAGTCTCATATGTAGCTGTACATGTACACGCAGATGACGAGCGGTCGTTCATGCCGGATTGTGTAGGGCTGCAGTCAATGGGAAGGGGCTGGGGCCAGTAAATGATGACACCGTTTCACAAGTTGTGTGCGTGCAGACACGGCTCCAGGTTGCAGTCCATGGAGGAGAGTGGGGCTTCAAAAAGACATGTGTTGATTGTGGTGATACAGTGCAATATTTACGAGACGTAATTGGGATAATAACCAGTGCAAGAGAGACCCTCATGCTAAACATTAAGCAATAAGGAAGGCATTTTCTACCATTTTGTGATGGGTTTTAGGCCAACATCGGCGTACAGTACTTACGTGATCATGCACAGGTAGTGGGCTCGATTTCAACACAAATATGAATAGATGCATCTACGCTGTGAGTGTCCTTTACATTGTTCTACTGCGCAAACTTGCTCGACCTCCTCCAACGCCTGATTCTATCGCGCTGCCACCACAACAGTCCAAGGATGACGAGGAGGCCAAGAACAACACCAACGACCGCGCCAGCAATAGCGCCCTTTGACACACCACTGCGGCACGACAAGGCCGCGTCGCAAGGCTCGCCCTTGGGGATCGAATATGTCCCGCCCTGGACTTGGACATAATACGGGTCTGAGGACGAGTTGAGCAGTTGCCATGCCGCGAGAGCAGGAAGGTTGGCGTTGTAGTCCAGTGCAACTTCGCACTGCACCCAATCGTCACGCCAGTCCCAGAACTTGTCAGTCTTGAGCGGGCCGCCAACCAGGGCACCGTAAAGCACATAAGCTTCTGTTTCCGGGTCGGTGCGGATGTTGTTGATGTTGCTACCACCAGCGGCCAGGCCAGAGTGCGGGTTTTGAGGCGAGTTGGGATGCTGGCCCACCATGTAAACGGCTGAACAAGTTAGCACAAAGCAATACAATTGTCAGTCCACTCACAGCTCATAGGGTTGTCTCCAAGAGCATAACTCAACTGGCTCTGGGCATAGTTCTACGCAAGTCAGCACTTTAAATAGTTTGCGACCTCTCCTTACATTATATGAGGATGCTTTGTCAGTGCTTGAGGCCAGCGGGGCGTATCGGTTCAGAAGTGCGGCTGCCGCCAGTGCGGGGTTGAGACTTGCCTCGTCCGAGTCGCCATTGTAATAGAGGAGACCACCGTTGGTCATGAAGCCATTCTGAAGATGCGAGTTGACAATGGCGTCTAGGTACGCCTCAGACTCCTTCTGCCAGCCAGACACGTTCGCTTCGAGACCGGCACCGGCTGGCAGGCCGGGGCGCGCAGTCGAGATCTCCGCGAAGAGGAGGAAGGCCGCCGGTGTCCGGGAGTCCCAGTTCCACACAGACTGCTTGCCGCTCAGAGCATACTTTTGGTAATTGGTATACGCATCCACGTAGTAGGCAGAATTGTTAGTGGCTGCTGCGAGCGCAAGGCCCGCCACAGTCAGGTCGTCGCCAAAGCCGCTCGAGGTGTAAGCTTGCCCAATGGCAGGTACACTGTTAGAGTAGATAGCCTGGGTGGTGGTGTTGGCGACATTGTACAGAGTCTCAGCATGCTTGAGCAGCTGTCCGGCGTAAGTCTGGTTTGCAAGTGAGGCCGGCGCGTGCGAGCTGCTCGAAGTGTTCCAGTTGACGCCTTGGTAAAGGAGAGCTCCGATAGCAAATGCTGCGGCCGTCGACGCCCAGACGTCTGTCCCAGGTGCGGAGGCGTTGACGGGGTACGCAGTGCGAGGACCAGGAATTCCCAGGTCGCCTCCCCAATAGGCCTGGTCCACGTCAAGGGAGCCGACCTGCACGAACAGCTGGTCATCGGAAGGGTGCGCCTGTGAACTGTCAGCATGTGTGCCTTGTTGAGAACTGCGGATTGACTGCGGATGATGATGTTGTGTTATTTAGTTGCAGTCATACAAGAACCACACGCCACCGGGCCTTAGAGCCGTGGTGCCAATCGCAACAGTTGTTAAACTCACCCTCATGAGCCAGTCAAAGCCCCATCGTAGCGTGCCATCAAGGTAGGCAGTTTGAGCAGCAGTGTCGTATGCGGGGCCGTAGGAGAGACCACCCCACGCAAGCGCAAAGAGCGTGAACCCCAGAGGAAAGGTGGCTTTGATGTACTACTTGTTAGCATCGTGCAGAGACCCAAGCTCCGAGAGGTGAACGGAGCATGTGTGCACCAGTGAAAGGGCAGAACCCTATCACACCTGGCGCGTTGGTGTGTGGGAGACATAGAGACATAGCGTGACGTCGCCTGCACTGCTTCTTCGCCGCACATGGCTGCTACTCACATCTCCAGCGTCATACCACCCTCCACTGAGGTCGACTCCCCAGTCACTGCCATCGGTGGTGCAGCTGTTGTTTCGCCAGCTGACGCGATTGCCATAGGTTCCTTGGTCGAGGTTACCGCTGCGCTGAGCGTCGTAGAACCACAGCGAATTTCCCATCACAGTCTCCCACTGAGCATTTGGTGTGGCCGTGCTCGTTACGGTTGCTTGTGTTGCGCTTGGTGGGGAATACGTTGGTGAGGGCGTGAGCTGTGCTCTAGTGCCAGGGAGACCCAGCGAAAGGGCAAGCACGAGAGCGGCGCCCTTCATCATGGCGAGGAGGAAGAGGGAGAGGCAGGTCAAGTGAGAGAGACGAGTCGAAAGTTGATGATGAGGAACAACGGTCTGAACAAAATGGGGAGTGGTGGCTGATATGAGGCGATGCGAATCGATTGTGGGATCGAAAATAGACCAATGACGTCGACACGCACTACACAACAACAAGTTGTCTGCGACGGACGTTGAATGCGGGGATAGGTGTCGTATATGAGAATAAAGGGAGCAGTAGCGTGAGAGGGAGAGAGGGAGAAGCAATGGGGATGACCGAAAGCTGTGCTTTGGTGCAATGTAGCAACGACGCATGCCTGGGCAAGCTTGGTAAACATGCGGAACTCGATTTTCCAGGCTTTGGCCGTGGATCCCGTCCCTAGCGCCACCACAGCCGTACACCGAAGGAGCAACAGGCAAAAAGTGAATGGAGTGCATGGAGTGGTGCCTGGCGCGCGTGATTTGTGGATGCCATCCCAGCCATCCCGGCCATCCCGTATGTTGGGCACGTGTGGACGTTTTCAACGATGTTGACGCACAAGGTTGCGGGTTGCATGAATACATTTCTAAAAGTTTACGATAACGGGACATGCAGGTGCAGGCACGTTGCAACCTAATGGACTTCACTGTTTTTGTCAACAACGGTCTACCAGGGTACTCACAGAGAGCCATACTCAACGACACGGAACAGTCTCTCGTCTCTCATTTGGTTCGAGTATCCAACGCTGACAAGTCAGGCCACTGTTTGCTACCCAATACTCACTGGTAGCGCCAGTCGAGACCAATATCGGCCCGGTCAACCGTGCGCTCTTTCCAGTCCTTCATCTCAGAGTCAGGTATGATGCGATACAGAACCTGTGGTCCGTCAGACAGCCAGTACGCGATGGTGTTCTCATTTACATAGACGCGGATGTGGACTTGTGGCTTGGGAAGCATGGTGATTGAGACCGATGGCTCAATCTGATCCCTGCTGAGAATTCTTTTTGTAAGAAACCGAACCAAAGCCGCGATGAGCCGTACCTATACGCCTAGGTCTGTCAGTTCCGATAGAAAGGTGACCTCCGTACTCACGACATGCTTGGCTTTTCCAAGGGAAGGAAGCCAACTCGAGATCATCTGACTGCGTGCCTCGGGTGGCAGACCGACTTCTTTGAGGACACTCTCCATGTGTGGCAAGAACAGCGCCAGCGGAAGAACGTGGGCAGTCTTGGGGCTGACGTCGGGGTAGGCTGTAGGGGTTCAGCTCGCGACTTGCTGTACTGGCTCACCTGGTATCAGTGGGTCTGTGGGTTTAGGATCTTTTGGCTTATCCTTGACAGGACTAGGACTGCCGCGAGTTAGATGATAAAGCATTTTCTGCTTGACTTACATCATTTCGTAGTACAGGCCACCTGCTTCCATGCCAGTGAGGAGATCCACCACAACCCCGCTGGGCTTGACACGGAGGAACCACTTGAGCGCGCTGCCTTTCAATGGGGCTGTAGGGTACGCCTGCAGAATCTGCCAGCCTTTCACCTGGACCGATACCTCCAGCTGAGAGCCGTTAGACGATACCGCAGCGAAAACGCCGACTCACGCTTCGATCTTCTGCAGAGTAAACCTCAATCTGTGGACGTGCCGAACGGGGCCGGAAAATGACACGAGCCGTGTTTTTATCGGCCACCGTCCCTAAACGTCAGTACACCGGTGTTTTGCAAGACGTACAATGAGTGAAGATTTGGTTTTCTGGGAGCTGCCAGCCCTTGAACTTTTGCGACAACGTTGACGGCTCAATGGTCATGAAACCAAGGTATTCTGCATTGTAAGCCTTCGGTTAGGGCGTGATAACTTACCTCCAGCTGGTGGTCCCTTTCCAAGTTCCCTGTCGTCAGAGTCACTATCAGTCTGAACGGCTTACCCAGAAATTTTTGCTTCAACAGCCAGCGTCTTTCCAGCGATAGTGTCACATGAGAGGTTCTGTTTCGCTGCCACGACTGGAATGGTCACCATGTCGCCCTCACCGCACACTCACTTTTGGGCTCCGCGGGTTTTGGGGGTGCAACAGCAGAGGCAGCAGCCCCGCCACCTGCCGCTGCAGCAGCAATCATAGCTTTTCCTCCATCCTTGGGGACAACTGTGACGACCAATTGGATGAGCATCTTGCCTGAACACGCCAGGTGGTAGGTTGAGTCATCGACGCTGACGCAGTCAGCGGCCAATACCGAAGGTGGCAGTAAGATAACACCCCTCGAGAACAAAGAACGAGACATGGGAGAACAGCACCACCACGTCGAGGGAGTTCACTTCAGTTGCACTGTGAACGACACCACTGGAGAACAGGAAACTCACATTCCAATGGTTCCTTGTGTTGGAGCAAAGGGGTAGTACGCCATTAGGGCACCCGCCTCAGCAATGGGCACAGAAATGTGAACCCAGTGAGTGGATTGTGGGATGTGGAGTTTTTCGTAGACGGCAGTTATACATTTCTGATGATCAGTTAACGCTTAATAAAGGGTGCATAGAGGCCAGGGAGATGACATGGGACGCTGGGTGCACTTGCGACAAGGTGCACTTGCCACAAGGTGCTGTTCTTGCCCCTCTTACCCAAAAGTGCTCAATGATCACTCTATGTGGTGGAGGCGGTATGTGAGTGGTGAGAGGTGCAAGCAACACCAGTCTTCCTTGTTGAATGGCAGAAACACCTGTGCTACAGTACCAAATGTTGTGGGTGCGTGAGAGACCGATGGTCGCCACAGGATGAACTTGTTTGCCATCAGGCTGTTGGTCCATCACCTGCAGCCGGCCTAATCTCCTCGTTGCCCTCCAGGTCTGACGGGCACGGCAGCAAGAGACATTGGACCACTTTGAGGTGGCTTTGGCCCACCCCCAAACCAAACACATGCCCATGTCATGTTCTGTACTGTGTGCCTTCCGTGGTTGGCAACAACGAACAGGTCGAACAGGGGGGGACAGAAGGACGCACTTCAAAGGAGGGGGGCCATTCGAGCATGTACTGCTGGCCTGCGCAGTTGACCAGCACCATGCGCTGTAGGCCCATCATGTTGGCGTGGTGAGGGGGTTGTAATGAATGCGCGGGCAGAGAAGCCGAGTGGTGACGTGCGGGGAGAGAGGGGGGCAGCCGGGGGAGGAGACGTTGGGAGGAGTGGAGCGTCAAAGGGAGGAAGGCGGCGTCAGGAGAAAGCGAGAATTGGGGTGGCCATGGGAGCAGCACAACAACCTACCTCGGAGACGGATGACACACACCCGAGCGATGGCTGGGTGTGTGTGTGCGTGTGTGTGTGCGTGCGTGTGCGTGCGCACGGTTCGCCCCGTCCACCAGGCCCACTGCTGGGCACTGGCCTCGCCAGCTCGCGAGCAGTGTGTCTGTGCGTGGCACACACACGCCCCCGCGTGTACCGTGCCGTGGCGGTACCCTTTTTGGTGCGGGGTCATGGTGTTTCCTTCTGCAATGGCTTTTGTGCACTCCTACAATCGTCCTACACCCCCCCGTCATGCCCGTCAGGCAAAACTCAAAAAAAAGGTCTGGTCCTTGTGCGCAGTGCAAATGCGGCCCTGTGCCGTCCTTTCGGACTCCGACACACCGTCAACATCCGGCCCGCATGGTCGTCCGTTGCCCTTTTGCCGTCTAGGCCGAGAGGGCGGCCGACAGAGGACCGGTCCGAACCAACCACTCGACGCTGTCGCAGATCCACCATCATGCTGCCACCCCACCTACAGCTCTGCGCTCCACATGGTCACATTGGGGCGCGGACGCGGGGTGAACGGTCTTGCGCTTCCGTGGCTGACTCGTATCTGATTCGTGTCTGCAAGTCTGACCATCGGAGGACACTCTGTTCTCCAAAGTTTTACTAAGCGCGCCATGTCCCTTCTGCTGACCCGACTGGCAGTCTCCTCAACGATCCCACAAACGCAGAGCGTATAATGTACACAGGCCCACGTCCGCGTCCCCAACACGTATCAGTATGATGAGGCACCAGGTGACCACTGATCCACTGAAGCGTGGCGTCCATCAACGCCTGCGGCGTGTAAGAGCTGCGCACCAGAAAACGCCCCTCCTTCGTCCTCCGACACCATTGTGAGTGTGCCTCCCCAAGCCCAAACTCTATCGCCTGCAACGGCACTTCACAACACCCATACGCCATTGCCAGCCCAACGGCCATTCGCCTAGCGGCTTACGCGGAGGATGGTTGTGAATCCGCAACCAAACGCGTATGGGCCACCGTGCGGCTGCCGTCGTGACAAGGCTGCATCCATTCTGCCCGTTAGCGCCGGGCCGGTGCGTTGTTGAAAGAGGGAGGGTCAGGCGCCCGCGGTGCCACAAAGTGGCGACAAATCGTCTGGTCAAATGTCTCACATCGTTGGGTGGATCTGACATGTTTCTTGGGGGACACAGCAAAGAGTTGTTCGGCGCCGGCACCAACGTACCTTTTGAGTGAAGGAAAGGAAGAAGGCCACTTGCAGCACCTCCGTGTTGACCTTACGCTGTACCGATGTATATAATCAGATTTTTGTTCAAATGTGCCACAGGGAGGGCCTCGGGGGCACAAAAACCGGCAGATGTTCATTCCAGAACAGTGCCACGCCCCAGTTCACCACCATGCACCCTCGGCACCTGCGGGACGGATTCTCTGAAAGGAAAAAGGGCTATCCAAACACGATACATCTCAATCGAGGTGCCTGGAACGGCTGAGATCGCAGAGAAAGATGCATGTGAGCATGCCGGCACGCGACGCCTGTTGTTGTCGCGGCGCTGGTGGGGGGGGGGGGGGGGGTGGGGCATTTGACGTTTTGCCTCGGCGACGCGTCCAATCGCGTAAAACTCGTCCACGAGGCGGCAGGCACAGGATCGAGGATCATAGGTGGCGATAGCAGGTCAACCTCGGGGGTGCGGATGGGCTTGTCTGACTTTTTGGCACTCCCCCCAGGGACTGGCTGGGCTGGGATGGTATGCATGCATGTGGCCCCTATGCGTCAAGTCTAATACGCGCGTTTCGAGGTGCGAATAAATACCAACAATCCAATTCAGATCCGAAACTTCTTGGCCGCTCTCATATTCTCCTTGTTCTTCTTCAATGGATCCATCGTCTACGTCAACGTAGGCAGGTATCTACTAGCTTCGGGCAGAATAAACAATTTTGGCGCAGCCGGCTTGCGGCGCTCTCAATACGAACGAATCTTCTCCTATCTCTTCTTGCTACGTGTTGGCACGCCCAGCGCGCTGATGCGGCGTGGATTAGGGCAGCTTTGGCAGCCGCTGGGCCAATACGTGTTCTCTCCAAATGCGCGGTGGATGGGTGACGCCGTCCTTGGCGTTGACCATCTTGCGCGTCTCGGTCGTGGTTGTGTCGGTTGCCTCGAAGGCTTTACTCGGCGATCAGGACCTTGCCTTTGTCGTCCGTCGTCCCAGGGCGCTCGCGGGGCACTCCTCCGGGCACGCCTGCACGCTCGTCATACTGCGCGGCACCCGGGTATGGGTAGGGGCCACGAGGGGGCACATCACCGGTGTTGGGACGCGAGTGCTGCGTGTCCTGCTGAGGCGAGCCGAGAAGGGCGCTGATGGCGAGTGATGAGCGGCGCTCAGAAGCGGAGGGGAACCACATCTCGCCGTGCGGGCCCGGTTGACGGGGCTGATCAGGTGGGGGGGCACCGTCGTTGCTGTTGCGCGAGTGCTTGCGCTCACCGCCGGCCTCGTCCTCGGCGCGGCGCTTACGCCCGTCGTAGCCAGGATAAGGGTATGGCCCACCGGCGTTGTACTGGAAGGGTGACTCGCCGGGGGGGGCATAGTTGGGAGGGTAAGCGCCCGCCGGAGGCTGACCACCAGCGCTTCCTGGAGGAGGAGGAGGCACTGCCGAGGGGAAGGTGGCCTGCTGCTGTTGGGCAGGAGACTGCTGGGCGTAGTAGCCGTGACCTTGCTGAGCGGGGTAGTAGTAGCCGCCAGACGACCCAGGGGGTGGTGGACCATAGCCTTGACCTTCCTGGGGGTGACCGGGCGGATAGGGGTGCTGGCCTTCAGCAGGCGGCACAGCTCCCTGTGGGTACATGCTTGGATCAGCGGGAGGGTAGCCGGCGTGGTGAGCCGGGGGCGACGTCCAGTTACCAGCCGTTGGCACTGCAGCAGCTGGGTGCGGGTACATGGGTGAGTGCGGAGGGGGTCCGTGAGCCGAGGTAGGAGGCTCGGAATCGGCATAGTGACCAGGTACGGGCATTTCTCTACCGTTTGACGACACCGGTCGGTAGGATGACTCATCGGCTGTGCCATACCCCGAGCCTGCGGTACCGGGAGGGGCGTTGGCGGTGGGCGGGCGTCCATGGGAAGAAGGCGGCGGCGGCGGCTCCGAGTAATAACCTGCATGAGGGTATCCAGCAGAAGGTGGTCGGCGAGACGGCCCCGCGTCATCTGCATATCCGACGGATCCAGCAGTTCCAGGAGGGCCTTGCTCACCCGGCACACCGACATAGCCACCGTACTCCATCCAGCTATTGCCGGCGGTACGGGGACGGGTGTGGTCAGGAGGAGGACCCCACTGCTGGGGGTGGTAGCCCGGTGGAGGGTAGACACCTCCAGGAGGGGGCACTGCAGCACCACCAGCGCTCTTGCTGCCCCGCTCTCCCCGAGGACGCTCGACGGCGTTCTTGGGCACCTCGACAACTTCTCCCCTACGGCGCTGGTCACGGTTGGCGCGTTGGGACAATGCAGCGTGGACCGAGGCGAGCGATGTAAGCATGGCCTCGTTCAGTTGGGTCTGGTCCGCGTGAACGGTGGCTGCGTGCTGGCGCAGGTTGTCGAGACGAGAAAACGCCTTGCCGCAGTGGCAAGGGAAGGGACGCTCGCCAGTGTGCTTGCTGCGGGTTGAGTCAGCTACAGTAATCAGAGGTTTCATGACCAAGAGACTCACCGCACATGGCGGGCCAAGTGTTCACTGCGAGTAAACACCTTGTCGCACTCCCCGAAGCCGCGGCAGCGAAACATCTTGCCGCCCGAGATGCCGACCGGGACAATGGGAGCACCGTCTACGGTATAGTTGGTTGGCGGGCGAGCGTTGGCCGTGGGAGGCGGGGAAGGGAGGTTTGGGTCCTGGTTTTGACCCGGCATGCCGTAGTAAGGAGCTGGGGGTTGCGGGGGGTAGCCAGCGGACCCGCTCATAGGGGTGAGAGACTGTGCTGGGTAACCGTGAGAGGAGCCCGGAGCAGGGCCAAGCTCGTGAGGAGCGTAAACTTGAGATGGTGACTGAGGAGGAGGTGCGCCTTTGGCGTAAGCTGCACCAGTTCCAGCGGAGTGAAGACGTTCAGGAGAAGGAGCCTCTGGAGGAGGTGCGCCGTGTGCCGATCCGGGAGCGGGGCGGCTGTAGTAGCCCTGGTAAGAAGTCCTGTCGTCGGTTGGAGGATACGACATGGACGACGTGTGTGGGCGATCGAGGGCGGCGTGCGGTGGCAGGCTCAGCGGTGCGGTCGTCGTGAGGGACATGAAAGGGCCGGTTGTCGGGGACGTGGGGGGGGCCTGTACTGCTGGAGGCCGAGGAGCGGCGAGTGGATAGGACAGGTGGCCGATCCAGATTATGGAGCTGAGGAGAACGAATGTCAGTACAAGTGTGGTGCACAGGTGGATGGATGAGTGATGGTGCAAACAAGAAAATAGGGGGAGCGGAGGGAGAAATGTAGGGGTGGAGGAACGCGACCTGATCGCCCAGGGGGTATAAGAGCATCGCGGCTGTGGCTGAGGAAAAGGACATCAAGAGTCACGATTTGGGGTGCGAGGGTGGGAACAATGGCCACTGGACACTGGACACGAGTGGTGTGCTTAGGTGAGTGAGGTGGTGCATGGCACCTCCACCCTCGGCTGCAACACCACCCTCAACAACAATGCACAGTAACGAGTATGGGTGGCGAACCAATCGAGGATGACGTGGGGCCAAGATCTCACGCGTAGAGCGAAAGAATCGGTAGGCTCCCACGCCAAACAACAGCCTCCCGCTGTTGCGCCCGGAGGGTATGCAGCACGGGCTGACAGCGCAGCACCTAACGCGAAGGAGGGGGGTGGATGTGTTGAGAATGTTTGTGCCATTGCGCGCCTGAAGGAGGCGACGGCGACCGCTGGTGCGGCTGGCCTGCTGGGTAGGCCTTGATTCCCTGCCCCGCGCGGTGTGGGGTGCGTACATCCCAACCAAGCTCATCATCATGCTGGAACATCCACTCGAGTGTGTAGTAACCACAAAGAACATGCGAAGGGGCTTGATGGAACCTTCACGGCCCCACAATGCTATCTGACGGGGATGGAATCGTGACTCGAATGGCGCACAAACTCACCTGCGCTCGGACTCTCCGCACTGGTGTTTGACGGGCCGCCGTTTTCAAGCTGTGCACAAGGTCAGCTGAGAACGAGGGAAGGGTAACAATGCCGACACCGGTGGCCACTGGAAGGCGCGGGGGGTTCCGCACTAGGGTCGGCGCTCCGTCCAACTAGTCCCATGCAACGGCTCCACTTGTTGCACGGAGCAAGAGTGAGATGGACGGACAGGTGCCCAGAACGGTCGAGGTCGCCTGCGCGACGACGAACCGACGTGGAACGTTGGACGAAGGCCGTTTGCAAGCGGTGCGCCCCCCGATAAGCTGTCGACAGGACAGGCCCCAGTTACGGTCGGCGCCGGCGGCGGGGAAGATAGCCACTGACAGGTACGGCGAGGATTGGGGATTGGGCGCCGGAGGTTGACGATGGACGACCAAGAGATGCAATGCAACAAGCTTGGTGTTGAGTCGCGGTCGTGGAGGTAGTAGGTGTTTGGTAGTGGTGGGAGTGTGGGTGGGGTTGTTGGGCTGTGCGAGCAGATGGGTGTATTCGGGGCGTTCGGGCAATCGCAGCGAGGTCGGGATTGCTTACGACCACCTGGCTGGGAGAAATGCAAGATCCGACGGGGGAGAGGCAGATGCGGCGTGAAGTGCGAGTGCTGGGTGGGTGGATGGGGGGGGGGGGGAGGGGGGGGGGGTTGTGGTGCAAACGAACAAGGTGTGGTTGATGCAGGCGAGAGTTTTAACGAGGGAGATGTGAGAGACGTAGAAAGAGAGAGAGAAGTAATTGGGTGGACTCTGTGGGTGAAGGGTGTGTGTGTGTGTGTGTGTGTGTGTGTGCGTGCGTGGTGTGTGTTGTGGTGAGGAGAGGGGAGAGGTGAGGTGAGGTGAGATGAGGAGAGACGGTGCGCAGGGTACAATGTCCTGGACGACCTGGTCGCTGTGGGACGGCAGAATGGCAGAGACTCGTCGGTGGGTGCGTGTGTAGGGTGTGTCAGTATCGGCTTGGGGTGAGGGGAGAGGGGAGAGGGGAAGGGGAGCGGGGGAGGCGGAAAAGCCTGGGCGGGTTTGTGCGAGAGAAAGTGTGTGTGTGTGCGGGCTTGCGTGCGTACGTGCGTGCGTGCGCCGCCGCCGTATACAAACGGGGGGAGAGGGCCAAACGGGGGAGAGGGGCAAAAGGTCTCGGGGTCTCTCTGCTGTTCTCGTTCGGGGCCTGCTTGCCTGTGGGCAGATGGGGGGCGGGAACTTGCGAGAGGGGAGGGGGGAGAGGGGGAGAGAGAGGGGGGTGTGGGGAGGCGGGCGGTTGCAGGGCGAAGAGCTGCAGCGACGGGCTGTAGCCGCAGCACGCAGATTCGCAGCCAGCAGCAGGGCGAGCGCAACAGAGGCCAACAGGGCATGACAACAGAAGGAAGCGCAGCTCTGGCCGCTGGCGGCTGGGGCTCGCGGCCACAGGGTACAGAGGGTGCTTGTATGCGTTTTTCTCAGCGAGCCAAATGCATCATCCATCATCATCATCACCATCATCATCGGACTTTCAGCCCCCGCTCGCTCGGTACTGTACACACACTCACGCAGTATTCGCCGTTTGGACACGGTCGTTGCACATACATACCTGCGTCATTCACTGGCTTGGCCTCCGCGGTGCAACCTCGTCCCAGCTACTGTATATGCAGGCGCCTCGCCGTTTCTCGGTCGCTTGCGTTTTTCTTGTCCTGTACGTTGCGAACTGCGAATTTGCGATGGATTGCGGTACCCCCACAGAGCAGTCTCGTTGTACGGGCCTGTGGCCTGTTGGGTGTGTGCATGTGTGTGTGTGTGTGTGTATGTGGGTGTGTGTGGGTGGATGCAGTCGGTGTGTGCGTGTGATGGTTGCCCTGTCAGGCACGGTTCGCGTCCGCCCAGCGGTGGAGGCTTCGCGACAGCCGTTTAACGGCGGTGTCACTGCGTGTCGTCGTCGTCGTCGTCGTCGTCTTCTGTCTTCCATCGCGCACCCATCTCGGCCTTCTCTCACATCTCTCTTTGTCGCTTTCTTGTTAGAGAGCACAGGTTCACGCTCACACACACTGCCCCTGGTGCCAAACTCCAGGCACACCAGTTCGCCTCCTTGACTGTTCTGGCCCGGCCAACAGACCTCCCCACCCATCACACCCTGTCACCTGTCAGCCAACTTGCAACTGGTGCATCTGGGCAGCTCTGCCCGCCCAGCCCCGCCCCCCCACCCCCATGCCCCCGCTGTCCTTCTCCCCCTCCGCCCATTCGCTCCCCTCGCCTAAACCCCCCGGTTTCACCCCGAACCAGTTCCCCCCGTCTCTTTGCCGCACCCCCCACGGAGACAACCTGAAACCCCGCCCAGCCTCTTTCTCTTTCTCTTCCTTCCCCTACCCTGCCTAGCCTCCTCCCTCTCTCCCCCGTCCTCCCCCCCCCACCCCCACCCACCCCCTTTCGCGCTTTGCGTCTTAGCCCGCGCCCGGCCCCAACGCCTGTGCTTCTGTTTTGATCCCCATGTCACCGTTTTATTTCCTTTCATGCCACTTCTCAGCCATCCTGTTCCGAATCCCAACCGGTGATCACTGTGATCACTGATGCTTGCTATCTCTCCTACAAGCTTACCCACCCATACACACTGTTGCATCCCTCTCCCTTGCCGCTCATCTCCTCTCTGTAACATGACGCGAGGAACCCGGTGGGCCTGGCCTGGGCCGGCCCCTGCTCCCAGAGATCCAGAGAGAGAGAGAGAAACGCAAGACGCCAGAAGCATGTCGTCCACTAGCTACAGTACCGAGCACCCACTGCCAACGCCTCGTTTGCACGCCGGCCCCGACGCCAACAAAACGCCCAGCTCAAACATGTTGCATCTTGCTCTCGCTAGCTCGCTAGCGTACTAGCGTCTCAATCAACCGTCAAAGCCATCCGCATTTGCTCATGCGTCAGGTCGTATTTTTGCCGGAGGAAGGGGTCGATCCCGACCTCTGATTCTGGTTAACAACACGGGCAAGATCGAACTTGACAAGGCCCATCCATACACAGGGACGGGTCTTTGACATGCCACAACACGCTCACGCAGAGTTTACCTCACAACCCTTGCATGACGGTACGCAATTATGAACGCAGCTCCGATGATAATGTCGACGGCGTCGGTGTGTCAGTGGCAATTAGTTGTCGGGGATCAGTAGTTGTGCGTGTGTGCGTGTGTGTGTGTGTGCTTGTGTGTGACACGGACACGCCTGTTGGGAGTGGATATCCACATCCATATTGATTCTGTCTCCCTTCGGTAAGGTCGGTAACTTGTCAACCTGTTGGCAAGCCGTGGGCGTGGCAACTGCACGGGACGGGTAAAACATGGTCTCCTCCAAACGGGGCTAACGGGGGCCGCTATTTGGCAGGTGTGACGTAGGCGCAGTCAGAGGCGGTATCGATGCGAGGGAGGTTGACGGAGCTGTACAGCACATGAAGCAGCAAGTTGGCATGCGCGGTTCAAGGATGAGGAACTGCGTTCCCAGCGCGCACCCTGGACAGCACTTTTTACCGTCGGAAGAAGGAGTGTGAGGCTTGACAACAATCGCTCTTTGTGTGATCTGTGATGCATCGATGCATTCTTCGGCTTCACGTGGTCTTGACGCTAGGTGGCCGGTGGTGAAGATGTTATTCCGTGTCCAGCAGGGACATATCTGTACTGTACGTGTGTTCTGTGTTGTCTGTCTTGTGTGTAATTCTGTAACCGATGCACCATGCACATATGAAACCAGACGCGGCCAGACGTGTGCCGAACGGGGCCCGGAAGAAGCAAGGATCGTATTGTTTGATGTGCCACACACCACTCTCTGAGCTCTGTACCTCTGTCGCTCGCTCGCTCATTGATTATTGACCAAATAAGGTGGCGTCGACCACGCCCCGCAAGCGCCACCTGCTATTCTGCCGAGCGGCGGCGGCGGCGGCGGCGGCGGCGGCGCAGAGGCAGCAGATGGAGGCGTTTAGCGCTTGCGGCATAGTGACGAAAAGTAGTGCGACGCCTCTCGACGCCACCACGGACTGCTGTCTCCACTAGCGTGCGCCCTGACGCTGTTTGCCGGGCCCTCGTCTGTTCTCCACACTCCCCCCCCCCGGCCCACTTGCGGCCTCCAGGCCACCACAGGCACATCAGCAGCAACAGCACACGCTGCCCGCACCCCTTTCCCCTCTCTCCCTCTATCTCTCCACCTCTCTTCTCTTGACTTGCTCGCGATCTATTGAGCTACTGATCAACTGACTTTCTGGTGATTCGTTTCTCTCGTTTCCCTCGTTCGCTCCGTCACTCGTGATCGTTGACGACCCCCTTCCCTTCCCTCGTGTCAACCCCCACAGTTCCGGAATTCCACACCTCGGCAACTTTGCCTCGCCCCCTCTCCCCCAGCCTTTGAGCCATGTTTCCGTATCTCCGTATCTCTCCTCTCGTTAAAGTGTCCCACAGGCCACAGGCCCCGAATCCTCCAGTCGCATCCCGCTGCGTATCCCTCCGCGGGTCCACGCACATATGTATGTATGTCAAATGGCAGGCTCTAAAATGAACATGAGAAACGCATCTGCCCAAAGGAAGGTCCACAGGCCACAGGGAAGCCAAGAGGAGCGCGTCAGTCTCACCCACCCGCTGTTGTCGCCGCCATGGCCATCCCGTCGTCAAGCTACGCTTCATAGCCCTGTCGCCCCCGCCGTGGCCCCGCCCCGTTCCAGGCATCCCCGCCCATTCCCGTACATTGCTGTCCAAGCGGAAGAGTGGGGGGTTATTTGATCATTTTGTCCTTGTTCTGGTTGAGCGTTGCGAAGCCATGTTATACGACGGTGACGGAATCAGGGTGGGGTGCGGTCGGAGAGCTGAGAGACTACTGCGCAGCGTGGCAAGAGACGAGTAAGAGACAGAGATGATCGGCAGTGCCTTGCTCCGTCTCTGACACGCGCGATCTACAGTGCCTAAGACAACAACCGATCATACTACCGGCCCATGAACCTCCTCATCAGGCCCCCGCCCCCAGGTCCCATCCAGCCTTCCCAGCTTAAAACTTCCCAAGCTCCAGACCTTTGCTCCACACCCTACTGCAGACGTTGGTCATGGGCAAAAATGGGCAAAAATTCATGCGCAGCACTACCCTCACGACCTTCCACGTCACTCATCACCTGCGCAGTCATCTCGTGGCTCCCTTGCCCCAGTCAAACCCACTCTGAGCTTGGCTCCCAAGGGAGTCATTGTCTCTCTTGCTGCAGACAGCATTCCCGTGCACCTCGTGCCAACTGTGCCCAGGTCCACAGGTCCGCCGCCAACAGCCACGGCGACGCGAGCCACCAATGCCACAACAGTGCCGTGCCACCGCTGTGACTTTGTGGACCACCTCGGCAATGCCTAATGGGACAGAACAAGGCCGCCAGTCCCCGAATCGCAGGCGCTTCAGCGACGTTGCCTCTTCTCGGGTTCAACAACAGACAACCAGTCCCCCCGTGCCCCGCGCCGGACCTTGTCTTTCGGCCTTCGGGTGGGAGGGGAGCCATTCTCTACCAACAATCCTACACGCATGTTCTGTAGACCAGTGGCTGAGTCGAGAACACCAATGGGCTGTGGCTTGCGCTGATGGCGGCGCACCGGGTTCAACGTCAGCTGAGCAATGTTTCTCAAGGAAAAGGGGGTTCTGCATGGGCCCCACGTCCCCGTGTGGCCTTGCTACGCGAGGTGTCGGGTCTGGTGCTCCACCCAGGAACGAAACGGGCTTGCTTTGCCTACACAACCCGGTGTGGTGGCAAGGCAGATGGACAAATGCAGCAGTGTGTAGGCTGTTTCCATGGAGGCATAATCGCGTGTCCGGCGATTGAAGTGCAGCATTGTCGTTGTCTAGAATCTCCCAACATGCAGGGATGGGCATTCCCCCTTATCCGGCGTCTGCATTCACACAGCAATCAACAAATTGCAACAAACAGGTCAGAACAGGCTCGTGCTTGCGGTGTACACGCACCGCCGCCACTCAGCCACTCGCCACACTCATCCGTCGCTCACGCAACTCGTCGGGACTCCGGACGAGTTGGGTGCAGAGACCGGAGGTCAGCGACGCGCCTGCACGTCGGCTGCCAGCAATCCTCACACATGCAGCTGCCTCTAGATGCCTTCGTTTCGTTTCGTTTCTCCCAGTTTCGTTGACGCAAAGGTCAATTCATGGAACATGTCGCACCGGAGGGGATATGGCGTTAACCCATCACGCGTGCAGCTCGTCAACCGCGGCTCACGTTCTAGCTGTCTGTTACAACGATCGATACATGCTTTTGCAGACGCGAGGCCAGTGCCTGTCGTCACGCTGCCGCCGGCTCAGGCAAGGCAAAGAGCGGTTTGCTGGGTCCCGCTTTCCAACCCTACTTGACTTTCCCTAAAACTAACGCACGAAACACATATCGGCACACAGGACAAACTGACAACCGGAGCCGTCGCTATCGATGACGGGACTCGTGCCGGGCACTTTCTCTGACTCTCTCTCTCTCTCTCTTGGTTTGTCGACCCCTCCTGCCCGCCACCACAGCTCTAGGAATCAAGGCCAAGGCCAAGATCCAGCCAGATAAGGCGCCAAAACATCCAGGTCACTGGGCTGCCGTAGAGCGGCACCGGCCCCCCCTGTCGTCTCGCACCAACCCCCGACCCGACCCAACCCACTCGCCCCACCGTCTCCCCGTCAGGCCCGCATCACGAGTCCGTCGGAACTCGCCCGCCAGTCCAGATGAACCAAACTGTCGTGAAACTCGTGCCATCTCCACACGCGTCTACTCGTCGTCCTCGCGCGCACGCTTGCGAGCCTCGCTCCTGGTATCTGTCAGCGCAACGTTCCCTTCCTTCAAATGCCAGTCCCTGTCATCCGGGAAGCCGGGATGTTGGGACAGGTTCGAGGGATATTCCAGGCAAGCCTGGCTGTTCCCCAAAGCATGTAGCTGAAAGTACAGCGCATCGGCAATCACTGTACTCACCCTTGTTCTGCTGTCCGCTTGCCACCGCGCTTTGCTGCGTCGAGGAATTGCTCCACACCGAATGGATCCGACGAGCCGTCCAGGCTGACGACCACGTCCTTTTCGAACTGGACGGGGCCATCGCGCACCTCGTTCGACTCGGCGCCGTCGAACCCACGTGTCGCACGGCCAAGTTGGAAACGGTCCTTGTCGAGCTCCTCGCGGATGCCGTCCTCGGTGCCGCCACCAAACGCCTCGTCGTTTCCAGCATTGTTGCCCTTGGGGCGGTAAATGGCGGCAGCGGCAGACGAGCCCTGGAACAGAGGCTTGTCGTACAGGTTGTACGAGTCGTCGGCGCCAAAGCCGGTGGAAAGAGACTCGCGGTTGAAGAGACGCGAGTCGAGAAGGGTCTCCTTGTTGGCGGTCGGCTTGGCAAGGCCAAGGGCGATCTTCTCGGAAATGTCGCGGTTGGCCTCGCGCGCAATGACCTTGGCGCGCATCTCGGTGCCCATGTTGGACATACGGAGCTCCTTTTCACGCTCACGACGCTTCTCCTCACGCACAGCCTCGCGCTCAGCAATCGCTGCCTCGTCGTCTCCCTCGTCCTTGTCCTCGTCGCTGTCGCTGGCGTCCGAGTCCGAGTCGGAACCAGAACCGTAGCCGCCGAGACCGATGCCGTAGGATGCAGGCGCGGTCCTGGGTGCGGCCGATCCAGATGCACCACCACTCCGCTCCTCGCGGGCCTTTTGAGCCAGCAGACGCAGGTTCTCCTCCTTCTGGGTCTTCTCCTTTTGAGCAAGGAGCTGCTGCATCTGCGAACGTGCGCGGACCTCCTCGCGGGCGTGGTTGTCGGCAACATAGAGCGCCTCGGAAAACTTCGCAAAGTTGTCGTTGATGTGCACGTCCTGCAGACCACGGCCGTCCGCAGCGAGACGCTTGTCAAGCGGAATAGTGTAACCCTTGTTGTTCTTCCAGTTGGAGATACAAGGAGGAATCATCCAGTCCTTTTGCTCCTGTGCTGTAACAGCACGGGGAGGCGAGTGCATGACAGGGGGCGGGGGCTCGGTGGGGCCGCGGGGGATCTTCTTCTGCTTGAAGCGAGGAGGCTCCAGAGGGTCCTCTTGCACCTCGGTCATCTTGATGATGCGCTGCTTGCTCTGGTCGGCACCTTGGTTGGCCGGGGTGTAGCGAACATACGTCGCATCGCCGTTTGACTTGGGAACGTGTTTGGGCTGAACAGCCTTGATCTTGCCGTGAGTAATCTTCTCGAGGGCAAGTCGAGTACGCTCAGTCGTGTCGTTGACACTGCTGTCATCTGGCCGCAACATTGCGCGGTCCTCCTCCGTCATATCCGTCCGGTTTGCAAGCGGAACAAGGTCTGACGTCAGCTCCACTGCCGTTGATGCTAGCAGCACTCACCTTTGAAGCTCGACTGCACCCTCGAGCCAGCGGCACGGCCCTGGGTCGCAATTGCGTCGTAGCGCACGTTGCCATCGGCGTCGACCTGAAGGGCAACGGTCGTCCCCGGTGCAGCCTTCTTCTTGCTGCCCATGTCGAGGGGGTACTGGGCGACATGGCACTTTGTTATTGTCAGCACTCGCTCCCGCACGATTCGCCGAGAAGGCTCGTAACGGCTCGGTTGCTGTCACACTCACCTCTGGGTACGCTCCGCCGCCACCAAAGTCGGCCTGGCTCTTCGGCTTCCATCCCCTCCTCTTGCCGTACGGCGGGATCACAACTGATGGAGTGGCCGGGAGGATCGGTCCCTCGTCCACTTCCTCGACCACCGTGTGTACCGGGAGCGGGAGAGCACTGTGTGTTAGCCGACTCAAGATGTGGCTGCTGTATCCTGCATGTACTCACCGAGCGAGAGCAGCCATAGTTGTGTTGTTGTTGTAGGTCACTGGTCGATTAGATCGATGACTGTTGATTCAAGATCTTAGGTGGCAAAGAGACGACGCCGATCGGGGCGGAGAAATGCGGCGTTATTCCCGTGGCACTGAAATGCATTCTACCATGTGGCGAGCAAGTGGTGAGATCGGTGAGATCGCTATGAGAAGCTGAGAGAAGCTATGCACTGTGCATGGTGGTCTTGGGAAGGTGCATACACCTTCCTCCTGCTGGGTGCATGCACAGTTGACAGACTCTGGTGTTTCTTGCGTGCCGCGAGTGCATCGCAGTGTACGCCAGGGACCCCCCCCCCACCGCATCCCTCCGAATCCACCGCAGTCCACCGCGATCAGTCAGTCGCCACTGGGTGGCGCGCAGCCATTGCTCGATCGTGTCTCTCCCTCTCCCCATACACACCGCACCAAAGTTTCACAATTTCACAGCAATTGACTTGCCAACCACTAGCATAAAAAAGTTTCCCTGTTCACCGTCCTACTAGTTTGCTGCCCTCCACTTCTGCAGTATATCTCCCACTCTGCATCCGGGCGCATCCGCATCCTGCTGCGCCGCTGCTGCCAAGTAGTTCGGACGCGTGGCCACGCTGTTGTTGCCTGTTGCCGGCATCTGATCCCGTTTCCACCCTGGCACATTGAAGGCTCGCTGTTACTCTTTCAGCATTACCTTTACCTCCACGACGTCAGTTTCGGCAAGCAAGAAGCTGTTCGCATCCTCGATACGTTCAGCACGTCAGCACCATGCTCGTCTCCACGGCTCTTGTGTCGCTCCTGCCGCTCTTGCTGTTAGCGGCCAACGCCGACGCCAGTTCGAGTTCAGGACTCCAGATTCGTACACCAATCCCCCGCAACTACGACACCCACACCTACTATGCCCTCGAGCTTCCAGAAGCTGCAGACGAGCAGGTTGCCCGCGCCGCCGCGCTCGCCCTTGGAGCTGAGCTCGTGGAACCCCTCGGTGAGCTGGCGGGCCACTGGATCGTAAAGCGCGAGGACGGCGGCCTCTCAGGACGTGGCATTGCCGGCGACTATGACCCAGTGCTGGCACGCTACGAGGTACTCCGGTCGGCAGGTCACGAGAGGCGAGCACTTGGTGTGCCATCCCTTCGCGGTATCGAACGTCTTGTACCCCAACAGCGTACAAAGCGCGTTCTCACTGGACCCAACGAATACAAGCGCGGCTCGCCAATGCGTCACCCCCGATCCTACACTCCCTGGGACGTCGAGCCCCGCGACGATGCCGAGCTCCTCTTCCTCCAAAACGACTTGGGTCTCAAGGACCCCGAGCTTCACACACAATGGCACCTTGCAAACCAAGAAGACAGGCAGTGGGAGCTCAATGTGAGCACCCTCTGGAGCCAAGGTGTCACTGGCAAGGGCGTACATGTCGTCATTGTCGACGATGGCCTCGACTATGAACATGAAGACCTAGCACCAAACTACTTTGCGGAGGGTTCGTGGGATTTCAACGACAACGGACCTTCGCCCAGCCCCAAGCTCAACGAGGACCAGCACGGCACTCGCTGTGCCGGTGAGGTGGCCGCCGCCCCCAATGACGTTTGCGGTGTTGGTGTCGCCTACAACACCAACATTGCTGGCGTCCGTATCCTTTCGGGTCCCATCACCAACGCCGACGAGGCTGCGGCTCTCAACTACCAGTACCAGCTCAACGACATTTTCTCGTGCTCGTGGGGCCCGCCCGACGACGGCAAGAGCATGGAGGCTCCTGATGGAGTCATTCTCAAGTCGCTTGTGAACGGCGTGCAGAAGGGACGTGGCGGCAAGGGCTCCCTTTTCGTCTTTGCCGCTGGCAACGGTGGTGGCAACGGTGACCAGTGCAACTTTGACGGCTACACCAACTCGATCTTCTCCGTCACCGTCGGCGCCGTCGACCACGCCGGCCAGCACCCTTACTATTCGGAAATGTGCTCGGCCATGATGGTTGTCGCTCCTTCCTCTGGCTCTGGTCAATTTATCCACACGACGGACGTAAAGCACAGGTGTGCGACCAACCACGGTGGTACGTCGGCCGCCGCACCCCTTGTCGCGGGTGTGTTTGCACTGGCTCTACAGGTCCGCCCAGAGCTTGGATGGCGCGACTTCCAGCATCTCGCAGTGCGCCACGCTGTCATGCTCCACCCTGAGGACGAGGACTGGGACACAATCTCCTTGGGCAGGAAATACAGTTACAAGTGTGAGTACCATGCGGCGCTACGTCCCGAAGCACCTCATACTGACCAAAATCCAGATGGCTTCGGACGTATCGATGCTGGCCTCTTTGTTGAGGCTGCTCGAACCTGGGAGCTGGTCAAGCCCCAGGCTTGGTTTGACTCACCCATGATCGTTCTTCCGGACACTCCCCCTCCCCCTCCTCCCCCCGCTCCGACGGCCACCGACGCCCCGTCCCCAACTGAGCGCGATGAGGGCGACGATACCGTGGACGGTGCTGAGCCTACCGATGTTCCAACCATCGATCCTCCTCAGCCCGAGCCGGTGATTGGTTCGTATATCGTCAAGGACGGTATTAAGTCGACCTTCGAGGTGACCCAGCAAATGCTCGACGACTCCAACTTCGAACGACTCGAGCACGTTACCGTGCGTGTTTGGATCAAACACCAACGCCGCGGTGACGTCGAGGTGGCTCTGCGTTCCCCGACTGGCATTCTGAGTGTGCTGGCCCAGGCGCGCCGCTTTGACTCGGCCGGGTCTGGCTTCGAGGGCTGGAAGTTCATGTCACTCAAGCATTGGGAGGAGAATCCCGTTGGCACTTGGGAGATTACCGTGAGGGATCAGAACAACCCCCAGAATGTTGGATCCTTCCAATCGTGGGCCCTTCAGCTCTGGGGTGAGGCCCAGGACGCTTCTAAGGCCAAGGACTGGCGCCCAGCAGAGTTTGGCCAGCCCGACGAGGAGGAGGTCGGTTCGGACCCCATGCCCACGACACAGCTTCCGCAAAAGCCCAAGCCGACCGACCTCTTGCCGTCCGACCACGGCCACGCTGGCGGCGCTGTTCTCCCTACAACCAGCCCAGCTTCGACGGACGAGGACATTGCCGAGCCCTCAGCGTCCTCTGACGCGGACAACGAGGCTGGGGCCGATGAGGGCGTATTCGATGGCATTGATGCCCTCCGCAAGCATTCGGCGTGGCTTGGTGGCGCCTTCCTCATCGTTCTTCTGGCTGCCCTTGGTGGTGGCGGCTACTTCCTCCTGGCTGCCCGCCGTAAGCGTCAACGTCTGTTTGGCCTGCATGGCGGCGACGGAGCGCGTGGCGCGTACGCACCTGTGCCCGAGGACGTTCCCCTTAGCCTTATGGAGCGTGGCCGCCGTGCGGTGGGTATGAGGCGAGAAGGCGAGAGCAAGGAGCTCTACGACGCGTTTGGTGACGGCCCATCGGACGAGAGCGACGACGAGGTCGACGAGCACACCGCGTTGAGGTACCACGACTCGTTCCTCGACGACCATGATGGAGAAGATGAGGACGCTACGCCCCAAGCGAGCGGTAGTGGCAGCAGAACCGCTGCCGGAGAGCCACCAGCATACCATGATGACGACGAAGGCGAGTCCGCCAACACGACCAGCTCGCCCGCCGAACTCGTGCAGAGCACCTCGAGCGGCAGTTGGCAGGACGCTGCGGACGATGTCCGTCGTGATTGAGTAGAGTTGGGGAAAGAGATCGGAGGCGACTTAGACACCACTGTCTTGCATTTTTAGCATCATGCACCGTGTACAGAGATACCATGATGCACCTATACAGATGATGAGAGATTGTTCCACGTTTCCACTTTCCCCAAACATCAAGATGCACAATAGTGGGTGTATGTCGCATGCGGTCTAAATAGTAGTGCGTCTATGCGACCTAACTGCTACAACTCCCACGAGGTGTTGGCTGCGTCCCCGTCGTCGTTGATCTCAGTTAAATCAATCACTTCGAGCCCATTAGCAGGAATGAAGGTCTTGAGCGTGGTGACAGGGGTTGCGAAGGCGAGGGGAGTTGGACAGTGCCACGGACGGTTGGGGCTCGCCGACGGTGTGAGCGAGAGGAGCGACCACCGCGGTGGCACGCTGAACTGGAGAAGGGCCGAGGTGAATGGGCGGGTTGGGACACGTTGACGGTGCGTCCATCTCCGCGTCCGAGTCGTCGGAAGAGTCCAACTCATCTTCCTCGTCGTCACTCACGACAAAGACTCTAGGGCGCCGGTAAGCCTGCTGTCGTGCACCGTTGAGGTCAGGCTCGCCGCCACGCGTTCCCCATCCGCCGATCCGCTCCATGCCGCGCCAAAGCACATGGCCAGGCAAGAGAGGCGTTCCATCTCCCTCGTTGCCAGATTTGCCCTTGCCACCCTTCTTCCCCTTCTTGCCGCCCCCCTTGTCGACAGTTGGCCCATCGTCGCCGACCATTTCATCGACACCGTTAGGTCCAACGGCCTCAGCTTGTGGTTGCTCCCACTTGTGGCGAGGACTACGACGGGCCTTCCTCGCTCGCCGCCAGGAGCGCACGGGGCCGTCGATGCCTTCGTTGGACACGCAAACAGGCGGAGCCGGAAGGCGATGTTGAGCACCGCAAGACAAGCAGGTCTGGATAATGACATTCATGTGATTCTTGCTTGCTATATGTTGTCAGCTGAAGGGTTCAGATACTGGGTTGGAGCACATATGACGTACATCGAATGCGAACTTTGCAGGTCAGACCAGGGACAAGGACAGCAGAACACGAGCAAACGGAACGCTTGATGCTGGGATCGAGCTTGACCTGGTTGTGGACGGTCCACTTGTTGAACGACTGAATGGTGGTGCGTCCCATGGTATCTGTAATCGGCACCGCATCGTCGTCCGAGGCCTTTCGCTTGCCCTTCCGGTCTCGAATCGCCTTGTTGGGAGCTGGTCGTGAAGACGAAGCAGCCGAGGCGGACGAAGTGGGAGCGCAGGCAGCTTGGAGGAACAGGCTCGCCTGGAGGGCAAAATTTGCCCGTTCCAAGTGGTCCCTGTTGCTTAGGGGAGGCGGCCCATTCGCCGCTGCCTGCTTCTTGGGCATGTTGTGAGATAGGGGAAGCTGCAGCACGAACGGATGGGTATGGATGGTCTTGATCACAGATCACAGATCACAGACATTTGTGCAGGTGGTTTGTGCCTGGATTATTGTCTGGGCTGCCTCACGTGACGTTCTCCCCCCACTTAAACGCCATCATCAGCCGTCATGATGCAAGCAGGTGACTCTCTGTTGGGCGCAACAACAATTCCATTCGCCTCCCTCATCGCTCCATTTCTCCAATCACCATAATGCGACCTAGGAAGAGCAGCGGAGGTGAGTAAACAGCCTAATCATCTCATACAGCACGTACATCGTGCAGGACAATGTCGACAAATGTGCTTTCCAAGCGCCAGCCCAAATAACCCCCACGCGCGACGCGTCTTACTGTCACAAACAATTACTGACATCATTGCAGTGGGGGCCGAAGACGACCCCATCGATCTAATTTCAAGTGATGATGGTTCACCTGCACCACCACCTGTGACCTCATCAGCAAGATTGCGCAAGGAGCGCGCGTATATACCCAATATCACCGACGATTCGGGCAGCGCGAGCGAGGTGAACCTATTACGCAATCTCCTCCCCGGCGTGCAAGCGGCCAAGGAAAGGGCGGCCAAGCAGGCAGCACAGGAAGCCAGTAAGTATGCTTGCTGTCCATGTGTGACACCCAGCAGTATATCTGCCCGAGTATGCGCCGGCTCTATGCTAATTGGTAGCAGGTAGGAACCGCGTGCAAGTGAAGCAGAGCGCGTCCACGACCAACACACCCGCCAAAGATAAGGGCAAAGGCCAGGCGACGATTGACAACGAAGAGCAGCGACGATTTGGCGCATATTTCCACAACACACCTAGCAGCTCCTCACGCCCAGCAAAGGTCTTGGACCTTACTCAAGACACCGACTCAGACTCGCCGGCGGCGGACGTTGGCAAAGGTAAAGGCAAAGGGAAAGGCAGGACCGTCGACAGCGAAAGTCGCAAGAGGCCAAGACAATCGAGCACCGCGTCGCCTCGCAAGCGTCCCGTTCCCAACCGGGACTCCTCACCTTCAGACTCCGACGACCCACCCCCGCCTCGCCGGCGTCATATCGGGTTTCAGCGTCTGGCGCTCGCGGCCGTGGATGCCATGTTCCATGAGTCGGTTGGGCCCGGCTCTTGGTCCCACCCTGTCCCTATGGGTGGCCACAACCCGGCACCTCGTCAGCCTCCCAGTGAACCCGCTCCGGTACGGGGTCCCAAGCCTGGAAGCTGGGGGAACTTTGAACCTCTTGTTTTACCCATCAAGAAGCGGGACGCGCCGGAGACATCTGGCCCCGAAGGCTCCAGCCCTCCTCCGTCACACCCAGAGAAGAAGAAGGTTGTGGCCCGCAAGAGTGTTGGTGGGCGCGCTCCACGCCCCGTTAAGAGTGACGTTGCGAAGGTCCCTGTCCTCCCTCCCCCCTCGCCACCAAAGGTAGCGCCAGCGCCCGTCCGAACTGGCCCCAGCTGGCGTGTTCACAGTCCGACCCCAGTGGTTTCCAGCTCATCACAGTCAGCTCCTGTAACCGCGACCGATCTCGAGGAGCCCCCGATGGACGAGCCCCGGATGGACTTTACAACGAGTCCTGTCGAAGACTTCGCCGATTCGGACGATGTAGAAGTCGACAATGGACTCGACTTTGGCGATGCAGGTGGCCTGGACGACGAGCTCCCGTCCGAGCCCATTGCGGCTCCCAACGCATCTACAGCGAACACGCTTGACCAAATGCCCGAGCCAAGTGACGTTCCCAGGACCTCAGACCTATCACCAGCCCCACCCACGGCTACTGTTGGGACGACCGCAACACGTTCTCGCAGCTCGTCATCGTCGTCAAGCTCTGACATGTCTGCTCTGGCGCGTCTGGACTGGGATGACAACCGAGCTGGTCATTCGGAAGCCGGGTTCAGCGAAGCCTCCGGCCCATCACGCGACCCGCTCAACATCATTTCCGAAGATGATGGTCCCGCTGCTGCCTTACACGGCTCTGGCTCCGAGGCAGAAGAGCCCATTGAATCCCCACCTGCGGGCCGTAAGGCTGCCTACTCCCCTCCTATTGCTGAAGCTCAGGCGCATAAATCGCGCTCAGAGTCGTCGGATTCCAACATGGAGGCTGTACAGACACCTGCAGCACTGAAACAGCATGACCCTGTTGTCATGTCTCCCACCGCGGAGGTAGACTCGTCTTTTCCACCCATCGTCGTGGACCGTCTCGAAGTTCGACGAATCATCGCCGAAGTCCAAGCACCTCCAGAGGTCAATAAGATCCTTTCAGGATGGTCAGCCTCCTCCTGTAAAGTAGCTCCTATCGTCACTTCAAGGGCTCCTGACGAAGAGCAGCCCCCACCCGGGCGTCGCGGTGTCGCCAAACGTTCAATTGACCACGAGATTGTCGACGAGTGGAATGGCCGTCTCACCAAGCTCACGAACAATGGCGATCTTCACTGTGCCATTTTCGAGGCGTACATTGGTTGGGCGACCAGCACGGACGAGCCTTTCGCCCCAGAGATCAAGGTTGTCAACAAGATTGACGCCCATGGTGGCCCTCCAAAACTGGAGTTTCAGTACTCGAATGAGATGCTGTACCATCCCGACGTTCCTGACCCAGAAATGGGACTTGGATGTGGATGTGAAGGCCCCTGCGATCCCGAGTCAAAAACGTGTACTTGCCGCAAGCGCCAAGAGCTGTATTTGTACGGCTACAACGAGGGCTTCAACTATGCCTCTGAGTGAGTCTTTCCTTCTGCATAGAATGGTCAAGCTAACATAACAGTGGTCGTGTGAGACAGCCTGATTGTCCAATCTGGGAATGTGGTCCAGCGTGCGGCTGTCCGCCGGAGTGCATGAACCGCGTACGTATGGTACTTTTGGCTAAAACTAACCTGCTCAGGTAATCCAGCGCGGACGGGACAAGGGCATGAAGCTTGAGATTTTCCAGACAGGCAAGTGTGGGTGGGGTGTCAAGACAAACTCGTACATTCCACAAGGCCAGTTTATCGGTATTTATGCTGGCGAGGTCATCACGGACGCCGAAAGCGAGCGTCGAGGTCACACGTACGAGAAACTCGGTCGTACCTATCTCTTCGATTTCGATGGATACTCGATCGGAAACCCACCACCCGAAGGATGGATGGAAGGGAAGCCGCCTCCCAAGGAACGACTCGAGGACTTCGATCCTCGCGCGGCACAGTTGGTACGGGAAGAGGCCAAAAGGATCCAGCAGGCAAAGGAAAACGGCGAGGACAATCCCTCTTCCTACTCTGGTGAGTCATATGAAGTACACGTTTCGCGCTGACAATGCTATAGTGGATGCGTTTCACTATGGCGTAAGTGTTTCCTCTGGCTATGAACGATACTCACCACCATTTTCTCCTTTTCTCTGTCCAGAATGTGAGTGCTCTCCATCAAGGAGCCAAGCTGACAGCAGTTCACGCGGTTCATCAACCATTCTTGTGATCCAAACGTCCTGATCACGTCCGCATACGTCAAGGTATGTTTTGGGGGTCGTGACCGTTTGCTAACCCCGCAGGACTTCCACCCTGCTCGGCCATTGTGAGTCGAATACACCAGGGTGCAGCCGCTAACTGCAGACTGGTCATGTTTGCACGCCGACCTATTATGGCTGGAGACGAGTTGTGTATTTCGTACAAGGGCATCGAGGTGCGTTACATGCTTTCCACATGTGGAGCTAACGGCCAGGACGACGACGACGCTCTACAGGCCCTTCCTAGGCCTCACTCCGTGCCTCCCGAAGCGGCCCACAGCGGTGGTGGTGGCGGTGGTCGACGCGCGGCGAAGAGCAAGACTACTGCGCTCGCCCATGTTACCCCGTCAAAGGGACAAACTGTTCCCAGCCATGCGGAGTGCCACTGGTAAGTCGGTCAACGGCATTTGTCACGATTCTCGGACTCACTCTTCAGCGGCTCAATCAAGTGCAACGGCTACATGTTCGGCAGTGGACCAGATTAGGTTACAGCAGCCCCGTGTTATTCAATGTATTGTATCACCTGTGCATGTGATCCCTCGGTTCATGCCACTATATACAGACACCTCATGCAGGCAATCCCAGACGCCCAAGGCTCGCGACGATGTTGCGCTCAGTGCCGTCTCCCAGTGTCACTCGAAGAATGTCGCGCAATTCGCCAAGGAGGGCCTCTGCCCAACTGTCAGCAACCAGCGACGGGGGTCAAGATATGTCAACCCACCTGCCTGTGCGAGCGCTTCCTTGTACTCTACATTTGCCGCAACCATCTCAGTTTGCAGCTCTTGCAATCGGGCAGCCTGCTCATTAGAAACTGCACTGACGACCAAACGACACCAGCACAACGCACTCTCAATCCACTGTCGTCTTTACTCGGCAGGGCAGCGGTGAGTGTCTCTACATCCTTTGCGCGCCGGACAATGTCGGCGACAAACGTCTCAATGGCCGCTGTTAATGTTAGCTATCGGTTTCTAGTCCATTGCCCAAGTGTACACACCCCTGTATTCTTTCCTTCTGGCAGCCTGTGCTGTCTGCAAAGTGGTCGGAATGGCCGCGCTTGTCTGCTCGAACTGCGTGCGATGGGTGATGTACTCGATCGAAGCAGACGTGATCGTCAGCAACTGAGAAACTGTCAGCAAATGCCATGTACCTATTGTAGGAAGGCCGACGGGCTGTCGAATCTCTCAAGGTTGTGAGAAGCTTGCCGATGGGCAGAGTACATCGAGGAAGGTGAAGGAAAGCTGCTCACGTCTAAGATGGCATCTTGCAGCTGTTCGTTATTAGCAAAGGTTGCCTTGACACATATCCACGATCGCATAGGAGGCAATGTGTTGGCTCACCTGAGTTATCCTGTCCATGTCCGTGGAGAGTTCCTCGCTGAGCATGTCGCGCCCAAGGCCATCACACTGCGGGAAAAGGTGACTGGCGGCTGGCTGGACGTCAGCGGAGTGCGTGTCATGCATGCAAGAGTTGGGAAGCTGCGGAGCAAGCCCTCATCTCCGATGCCTGCCAATGAGTCGCAGCGTTGACAGCTGTACTGTACGGCACGGGCATGGATGGTGGTGGGTAAACTGACCTGGAACGGCGAAGTGGACGAAATGAAGAACCGGCGAGATGATCGGTGTCAACAAGATCACGGCCGCTGGCCCTCCATCATATTCCTTCCGTTGTCACACTCCCACTCCACTCCGCTTTCAACAATTGACATCCCCCACCACCACAACCCGATAACTTCATCCCGACAGCGGCTGGCCCGCATCAACAGCACTTCACGACCTCTGCAGCGCACCCCTTACGCGCATACACACATTACCTGCGTCCTGTCGTGACCAATACAGGCCACCCACCAACCGGTCGACAGTCACTCAGACCACTCCTTCGTCCCCCGCCTCATTTCTCCTTCCTGTGTCCCCGCTTTGTGTCAGCCCCATGCCTCCCTCGTCTCAGAAAGAGGTTTACGACCAGCTTGCAACACTACTTGCCCCGCCCACTGCCTTCCCCGCAGGCCGATACCGTCCCAGCTCAGACGTGTCTGATGGCCTGAAGCGCGTCAGGAGAATCATTCTCACCGAGGGCATACCAGAGGTCGTGAGTGCCATTTACGCGTCATGGATTACAATGCGGGAGGAGCACTTCCAAGAGCTGGCAGTATGACGGCAAACCCCAAGGCAGAGGAGCTGCCAGCGCCAGAGCCGCAAACTGGTAGCTCGCGGCGCAGATCACACGCTTGGTCAAGCCAATGTGCTACCTCGGCACATATTCGCGCGGTCACTGCCCTACCCATCAATCACGTAGCTTCTTCAGTGTCCATGAGCTGGCAGTGTCTGGTACACTGCTCTCACTCTACGGATACACTGCCCCCCATGACTTTCGACGATCTATGACACCGGACTGACATCACAGGATGGCCGTCCGTCACTCCGGCCACGGATCTGGAAGCTCATGCTCAAGGTCGACCACCTCTCGGCGGAAGATTACTTGCGATATGTGGCAATGGGTCCGAGTGGAGCGAGCGAGAAGAGTGAGTTAAGTCGATAATGGTGTCTTCTGCTACCTCTGTTCATGACAACACCTGTGACTGACGGCTATCTCCCTACCTATTTCCCTCCTTCCCCTCCTCCTCTTCCACTTACAACCGCTTGGCCTTCTGTTGCCCAGTCCGAGATGACACCTTCCGCACACTCAAAACGGACGAGCTATTCAAAGGGCGAGTGAAGAATGAGATGCTTGTTCGTCTCTTGGAAGCGTTCGAGTGGAAACACATTGGTATGTTTCCACGCCGTCTGCGCCTGTTTGCTCACAGTTGTAGGTGGCGACAAGCCTTTGACATACGTACAAGGTAACCACAATCTGAACGGATACCAACTTACGCTCCAGGCATGAACGCTCTCGCTGCTCCCTTCCTCTATACAATGCCGACCCAGCTCGAGGCTTTTGCGTGCTTTTCGCGATTGATCGAGCGTTGGCTCCCAGAATACGTACAGACAGACCTGCGCGGGGTTCACCGTGGTGTTGAAGTGGGTCCCCAAACGAATATTGCCCCGGGGCTGACTTGTAGATCCTGGATCGGTGTCTACGGATTGTTGACCCCGAGCTCTACGAACACCTCATGGGAAGGGGATTGGAAGCCAACCTCTATGCTTTTGCTTGTGGGTGCTGACACTTCTCACGTTCACTGACAATACACAGCTGTGCTCACTCTGTGCACATGTACTCCACCCCTGGATGAAGTCTTAAAGCTGTGGGAGTGAGTATCCTTTGACCGCTTTGAGGGTAATCTGACCTTTTACCAGCTTCCTCCTCGCGTTTGGCGTTCACCTCAATGTCCTCTGCGTCATCGCGCAACTTCTTCTCATCCGTGAGAAGCTTATGGAGTCCCAATCGTACGTGCTAATACGCCCGTTCGGAGCTGACGTATCAGGCCCATGAAAGTCCTTCGCCAGTTTCCGCCCCTCCAGGCGCGTGCAGTCATTGGTGTCACCGTCGCGCTCGTGAAGGACATTCCAGAGGACCTGTACCGCGAGCTTGTGGCACATCCCTCCCATGCGAACCCGCCCTAGCCCCGTGTCTAGCTCCGTTGTACCATATACATCCATGTAACGATAACGATACCTTATTCTACAAGTGGTGATGACTTTGCTCTTACTATGATTACATCTATTTACAGGTGTTGCGACGCGAGGCAACGTTGGCGGAACGGCTCCAGGCGGCCACCCAGTCCTCAGACTCCGGCTCAAGCTGAGACTCGGGCTCAGGCTGCGGAGAGTAGGCGCGAGCGCGGCCGTTTGTTGGACTACCCGCCGCATTTTGAAGGAGGCGCAGGTGATGAGGCGTGTAGCTCTGCTTGGCTTGCTGCGTGCCATTATCGTGACTGAGAGGAGTCGGCGACCAAAGAGTAAGCTTGACGCCTTGAGAGGTTGATGGTCCTTGTGCCATCGATGGGCGAGGGCGAGGAGTTTGCTGTGGTGTGAACAACTTGGTGGGCATGCGGAAGCTGGATGATGTCGTTGGTGCTGCGGGACGAAGTGTGAGGCGTTTGCGTGTAGGAAAGGTACTCCATTCGGCGTCCGTGGTCGTCTTCTTGACGATGGACTGCCAATGCCTGGGTGCAAATGCCTGGGATCCATCCGGGTTGTACGAGTATGCAGTGGTAAGGGAAGGCACGGCATGGACCGGAGCATATGTGTGAACATGGGGCGAAGGCTCGGGTGAAACGAGCCCATACTTGTACTCGACGGTGTTGTGAGGCTGAGGATCCGGGCGGTGTGGGGTCTGGTAAGACGACCTCCAGGCCATGGCTGCACTTGTTGGTTCGGGGTGGTCAACGGTGCCATGTCCCTTGCTTTGGTCGTCATTACCGTGGGGCAAATAACGCGATGGCCTTTCAGGGACAATGTTGGCATGATTCATGGTCCCACCTGCCACCATGGCTTCCAGCCTTGGCACAGTTGGAGGACGAATGGGCTTGGGACGGACAAGGCTAGCGAACTGAGACGGGCATGAGTCAACGTCCATCTCAACCTCTGGATCAGGAGGACGGTTGGCGATCGTGGACTGAGGAGGAGTCGCAAGCTGAGCGTCGGGTGGAGTTGAGCTGTTCATGCGCTCCGGAAGGCCGTCCGTGCCGTGCACGTTGTGGTCGTGGTCCGTAGCCTCATCGAGCGCTGGGTCGGTGTGTTCATTATCCGACTTGTTGAACAGTTGTGTTGAATGAGGGGAGGTGAAGACTGTGGCCTGCGACGAATCAGATGGATTCTCACTCGACCGAGGCATTCTACCGTACCTTGTCCATCACAGCTAGCGGCTGAAGACCAGCAGTGACTGAAGTGGGACTCGAAGATCGGAAGGAAAGCAGAGACTTTACGTTGTCGCGCTTTACCTTCTTGACGGCGCGCTGGCTGGTTTCTTGAATGAGCGCTTCAACATCAGCCTGCGACTGCTTGTTCTGCAAGCGCTTCCTTGACGCCTTAGTAGGAAGGGCCTTTTGACGCTCGAGGGCAGCAACGATGGGAAACTCGGCAGTCGGTTTGATATTACCAGCTCAACGGTCAGTCCAGTCAGCCGCTGGAAACTTACGCAGGCTGTGGAACTGGATCTTTGTGTCTTCCTTCGTTTTCGTTCGTTCGTTCCTCTTGGCCCTTCCCTTGGACTTGGGGCCGTTCTTGGCTGACTTCTCCTGAAAAGCAGCTATCGTGGTCGTCGTCACTCCCACCGTAGGTATATGCTCGGTCTTCTTCGAGGGTGGACAGTGAGGGATCGGTTGACCGTTTGCACCCACCCAGCCTGAACTGTTCTTCCAGTCAGGCTTTGGCTGCTGGGGCAGGGGCGGTGGTTTGCTGTGTTCAGGGTTGGCGACTTGCCCAGCGGTCGCGAGATTGCCACGGACGGGTCGTGTTCTGCTCTTCACGCCTTGCTTGATGCTGGACTTGGGTCGCAGCTTGGCGAGAGTGAATGGTGTTTCCTTGACAATCGCGACGTCATCGCGCTTGCTGAGGTCGAGCTCGTCCAGGAGATTGTCGTCGGTGGTTTCGTGCGCAAGAAAGCCGTGAAGTGCAGATTTGTCAATGGGGTCGCAGTCAGATAAACTGGGGCTGGGTGAGAGAAGTGAGCGAGACCATGGGTCTTCGTTCGGCATGCTGGTTGGGGAAGGTCGGAGAACGGAATAAGAACAGGGGCGGAGGGAAGGTTGGTGGAATGTGGGATGTGAGCAAGCTGTGAGTGGATGGAGGAGGATGGTGGTGGGAAGCAGATATATGTATAAGAGAGAGGAATAGAAAGGGATAGAGAGGGAGATAGAGTGAAAGAGTGAAAGAGTTAAGAGGGATTCCACTGGAATGGTGTTGATAAGAAGGAGGGAAGACGAAAAACATGGAGGGAAGACGAGGGAATACCACCGACCTGAGTGGAGATCACGTGACCGCGTCGTGAGAGCACCCGTTGCCGACAGCTCCATTGTGTTGCTTCCTCGCTCTCCACCACCAACCTTTGTCTCCAACGACTCGTGTGCATTCCGACCCGCCCACTGGGCCATCCACGAAGGCAGCACAATGTCCGACTCTCCCACCCCGGTCGCGGGCTCGAGTGCACAGGCGCCGCGCGCTGAGCCTCCTGCTCACGCGCAAGCTGTGATGGAGTACCTCCAACAGCACGGTTTCGACAAGGCACTTCAGACATTCCAAGCCGAGCTGCAATCTGCAGGCGGGGAAGACAAGGACGCGGATGGCGAAGAGGAGGGCCCCTCTGGCGGTGCGGTTGCGACTGGCGTGCGCCGTGGTTCCGCGGCTGGCAAAGACGCCATCATCCGCGCACCCCCGCCAATTCCCCTCGACAACATGGTCAAGCGCAACATCCCACAGGCGACGGCCGTGTCTGTATCAACTATGAGTGATAAAATTACTCCTGACTTCATCGCACAAGCAAAATATATTATCGAGCAGCTCCAAACTCGTTTGGAATCTGCCAATGCCGACGAGGAAGCCGGCAAGCCCAGCACCAGCCAGGCGCCTGCCTTCATCGACCCATCTGATCGTGTGGAAGGATACAAACGCTACCGTCGATGGGTCAACGACGGCCTGGATCTCTGGAGGTTTGAACTGGATAACCTTTCGTTCCCCCTGTTCGCCCACACATTCCTCGACCTCATAGACTTTGGCTTTGCAGATGCCGCTCAACGGTTCTACCAGGAGAATGCCGAGCACCACAAGGTGTACCACCCATCCGAGCTCTCCTACTTGTCATCCATCACTGCAGCACACCAGATCCTCCTCGACCCATACGCGCAACGCTTGAGGTGAGTTGTGTTATTGGATGCGATGACTGACACCCTCAGGTCTGAGCGATACCAAATCCCATTGTCGCGCAACTCTTTTGCGCTCCTTGTGCAGTGGTTGAGTGGTGCGGGACTGGATGAGGAGTGGGAGTCTGGTCTGCACGGTGTCCCAGGCCGAGCCAAGGAGGCTATCCGCGCTATTGTCAATTCGCGTCTGGACATCAAGGGTGAGTCTCCGGTTCCTTTGTGCCCATACTGATAACTCAGTGTCGGACTCGGCCATGCCGCTTGACAAGATTGCGATCGCGTCGTCGAGTGGGCTTCTCTCAAGTCTCCTTCCTCCCGCGACCTCGGCGGACAAGTTCAACTCTATGACGCAGCTCAAGCTAGGCGCTCCCCAAATGCTTGACAAGCTGCGGGAAGAAGTGATCCGCATCGTGCGCGAAGAGGATGAGGCTGTGAATGGCGAGAATGAGGGAGGAGCGGGGTCGGTCGCCAATGGCCACCCGAACGGCACGGACGCCAACGGCGATATCGAGATGGGCGATGCGAGTCGCGATATGCGCACCATGTCACCCTTGAAGAAAACCATCAAGATTGAACCCGACGATAATCGCGACCCGGATCTCGTTAGCCCAGACAGCAACGAGACTCTTCCACCACAGCCGACATTTTACAAGGTTACCGATGTGAAGCGCGAAGTCGAGGCTGTCCGAGACAAGCGAAAGATGATACGTCTGGGCCCGAAGCCCGATGAAAAGGCAGGTGGCTCGAGTGCGACCTTGCCCAGTGTCGTGGCATTCACCATGTACGATGGAGGAGAAGCGTAAGTGGCACCGAAAGTATACAAGTCTGCTTTTTCTAACGGTTGCAGTCTGACGTCTGTGGAGTTTTCGCCCGACTCGTCACTCATTGCAGCGGGTTCGGCGGAGAGCACCGTTCGGCTGTGGAGCTTGAGGGATGAAAAGCTCAAGGCAAAGCAGATTGGTGAGCGACAGCTTACATTATATCTTTGGCTGACCCCCACCAGACCCGTCAACAGGGCAAATTGTAGAGGATGAGGGTCTTGCTATGCGCAAACTGGTTGGCCACTCTGGTCCCGTGTATTCGTTGTCTTTTGACCCCATTTCAGGCTCTGGCGGCCCACCGCATTCACTGCTGTCGGCTTCGCAGGACGGCACTGTCCGCTTGTGGTCATTGGACACGTACTCAAACTTGGTCGTGTACCGTGGCCACAACCGCGACCCCGTCTGGGATGTGGAGTGGGGACCCATGGGCGTCTACTTTGCGTCTGCAAGCCGAGATCGTACCGCTCGTCTATGGAGCTCGGATCGTCTGACTCCACTGAGAATGTACACAGGCCACCTGTCCGACGTCAACGTGAGTACAGTATTCTCAGGTTCAATGACTGACTCTCTTCCAGTGCGTCAAGTTCCACCCCAACTCGCTGTACCTCGCGACAGGCTCGAGCGACAATTCGTGTCGTCTGTGGGATGTCCAGCGCGGCGCTTGTCTCCGTCTATTCCTCGGCCATACCGACGCGGTCACGACCATGGCCATCTCGCCAGACGGCCGTACCCTCGCGAGTGCGGGTCTTGACTGCAGCATCTACCTTTGGGACCTGGGATCGGCCCGACCCATCAAGAAAATGACTGGCCATAACGCGCCCATTCAGTCGCTGTCATTCTCGGCTGAGTCATCTGTGCTCGTCTCGGGCTCGCTCGACTGCACTGTTCGGTGCTGGGACGTCAAGTCGTCTGGCGGACCACGCACAGGCCGTGGTATGGACTTTGACGGCGCACGTTCGGGCGGTATGGGTGGGACTGGCGCGTTGCCTATGGGACCCTCGGAGCTCAACTGGGAGGACCAGGGTCAGACAGCCGACCTGCTCTCCACGTTTCACACCAAGCGTACGCCCATTGCCAAGGTGCACTATACCCCTCGCAACCTGTGCATGGCCGCTGGATCATTTGTGCCGCCGACAAACAAGGCCGTGTAAGGGATGAGGTCATAATGAGAGAAGCGAGAGAAGGGTGTTTGTTCTGGAGTCTAGAGTGTATCCCATTAAGGCGCATGGACATGCATATGTACGGGGAGCTACATGATAACTGGCGAGTTTTGACACAGTGCTGCAACGGCAGACACTGAGCAAACTTACTTTTTCTTCTTGCGAGGCTGGAGCATGGTGACAACCTCCTCTTTGCGCTTGACAACACGCTCCACACCTTCCTTAGCCCCGACGTTGGCGACACATGCGGTCCAGCCGTCCTCCCCAATCTCGTCGGCTACAAGCGCATGGGTGGATTCCAACCAGTGGACCGTTCCAGCACAGGCGAGCGCACGCGTGCCAAAATCGGTATTGAGGAGGGACTTTAACAGGCGCTCTACAAGAAGCTGAGGGATGGCTGTGCGCGTTGATGCGCCATTGGTCTTGGCCGCGAAATGGTTGGCTGCTGTCTCTCCCTCAGTCTCGACGCTAATACTGAAAAAGCCCGTGACGTCGCCACTGGCACACTCTTGGCGGAAGCCTATCCGCTCCCAAAACTCGTCGGCGGGAACGCGGGAAAGAGCTGCGTGAGCACGCCTGCGCTCCTCCTCATCCTCGGCTTCGGCGCGAATACGCTCGCGATCGTTGTGCTTGTGCTTGCGCGTGGAGGAAGCGGTCGAGACGATGGAAGACGAGGACGTTGTCGGGCCCAGAGCGGTAGCGTTCGATGTCGAGGCCGCAGAGGAGGAAGACGTTGTAGGACCGATGGGCGCCGTAACCCTGTCGACAGCTGCATCGACGAGTTCCTCCAGGAAACGAGTTTTCGGGTCGTCGGGGAGGGAAGGAAGGAGAGTCGCGAGGCTCGGGGTGTCGGTGGGAAGGAGGGGATGAGTAAAGGGCGGCTTGTACTCCCATTCCACTGGCGGTGCGCGGATCGGTGCACGAAGCATTCCTGAGGCCTCGGAAGCCGAGTATGACGGTAACAGGTATCTCAGATGCAAGTCGCTCGTCTTGACGCCCGCTGTGACCAGTGCCTCGGCAGCACTCTCGTATACACCCTTCCACCATTGACAAAGACCCAGACCACCCAAGACGCGCTTGCCGCCGCCTTCGACGCTGTTGGGGAAAAGGTACTGGCCCTGCGACCGTGCGAACAGCGTTGCTGTGACGCGGGGTGTAGGGCGAGTGGCCGGGGACAGAAAGTGGGACAACACGCCAATCGCCAGCTCCCGAGTGACGGGACCGGCTGACGCTGCGTAGCCTGATGAGTCGACCTTGGAGATGTAGACAATACTGGCCGCTGGGACACCGTCACCTGTTGGCAGGGTGTAGACGTGAGCCGAGATTGCAGCTGCTAGAACGTTCGTGGGAGGCTCTGGAACAGCCGTGGAGGAGCTCTCATCGTTCGTGCCATCGTCTGCTTTCCCCTCGGCTGCTGGCGAGCTCAAAGGATCGACTGCAGGTTCCAGAGCTGCAAGCGGGAGACGACAGTGGACCACAACAAGGTACTCGGTCTCCATACACCTCACGCTGGCCGACGGCGCATGCGGAAAGAGCTGGGTCGTGCGCTTTGGCGAACTAGCAACGACGGTCAGGCCCAGCGGCGTCGTGTTGGGAAGTGCCGCGAGGCGGGCCACGAGCGCGTCGCGCAGTCTGCCGAGGATCGTGAGCAAGAGAAACCGGGCAGTGCGAAGCTACGTACGATGAAGCCATGTCGCGATCACGTGCACAGAGAGTGAGAGAGGAGTAGAAAAATAACGAAATCACAATATCACGCGTCGCGTCGTCATTTCAGTTGTGCACGACAGGCGCGCGAAGTGGAGGCGCCAGGGACCCCAGTGTTCACTCTTTTACTTCCGCTCGAGCTCCCTGTGGCTCCTGTGGCTCGGCTGAGCGCATTGCAGGACATAACTTTGTTTACATGCGGGACGGCGGATGCCATGAGGGCCGTCGACAGGCGGCGTCTCGCTAGGGCACACCAGCGGCCAGCGGCCAAGCGGCCAGCGGCCGGCAAGAGAGGCTTCCAAAAAACAAACAACGAAGATGACGGAGAGCGATGTTGTCTTCAAACACCTTTAGAGGTCTCACTCCTAATCCACGGGGTACACTGTACGCCTTATTTTAAAAGCAACCCACATTTCGGCTGCAACCACACTACTACAGGTGACGAGTCCCCCCGCATAGCCCGCATACCATACCTGTGCGGCTCCCCCCCGCCCTCCACACCAGCCACACCCCCGCCCAGACCATCACCGCAAATATATACCCTGTCGTCATAGCAGTCCCATCAGAAATCACGCGCATCTCCACAACATCTTTCCACCCACACTTCTGTCAACGGGCCGCAACGAGCCATGACAACCACTCCGCCGCCCAGGCTTCCCGTCACCCCGACCGACAGCAGCAGCGGTATCGTGTCTCCCGTCGACTCGCCTTCGCGTTTCGACCTGGGTCCAAATGCCCTCACGTTCTCGCCTTCTGAGGCGACCACAGCGGTCAGCCATGCTGCAGCGCTGAGCCCACCAAACGAGCGCACCCACCTCCTCTCTCGTCACCCTCCTGCACCTCTAGCTCCTCAGGTTCGATACTGGAGCGACCCAGAAGATGTTCCGCAAATGTCACCTATGCGCTCACCACGTCATCTGCTACCCTCAATTGGCCGTCCACGTAGGTGTCTTGCCCACGAGAAATGCGCTCACTCTCCAGCGTCTGGCTCCAAGCCCAAGCGTAGTGCCAACCGTGTTGCGAAGAAGATTCGCAAGCGCTCGCGGTACTACATTCCCGTATGTCTGCCGTCGCAGCCACAACTGACAACCAGGTCACCGACTGGCTCCCGCAGTACAGCTGGTCTCTGTGAGAATCTCCGTTCTTCGCCCCTTCTCAAAGCTCCACACTGACCACCCAGCTTTTCGGGTGATCTTGTCGCAGGCGTGTCGGTGAGTGTGCCCATGACATGGTTTCGGGGCAGTGGTGCTAATGGCTCGCAGGTTGCCTGCCTAATGGTGCCGCAGGTGAGGACAGGACGCCATTCTCAGGACGATGGCGAGCTGTGGCTTACCCACAGGCAATGTCCTATGCAAATGGACTGGCTGGCCTGACGCCCGTGGCAGGTCTTTGGGCCTCTGCCGTGTCAGCGATTGTTTACGGAGCCCTGGGCACTTGCAGGTGAGCGTACTTGGTACGGCTGGACGGATGCAGCCGTTAAGCCGTTGGTGTGGGATGGCACGTGCGTGCATTCGCTTGCTGCCCACTCCACCGTAGACTGCACTGCCCTCTCAGTGCTCAGTGCTGATGTCCAAGGCAAATGTCCATGGGGCCAGAGGCCTCCCTGTCGCTCCTGTTGGGTCAAACTATCAAGGAGTTGATCTATAGCGACCCTCACAGCGTGCCGGAGAACGCCGAACTGGAAGCGATCGCCGTCTCGGTCATTGTCACGTTCCAGGTTGGCGTCATCACCACCGTGCTGGGCCTTCTCCGCCTGGGGTTCCTTGATGTTGTCCTTTCGCGTGCGCTCATGCGTGGTTTCTTGACTGCCATCGGCTTTGTACGTCACTGATCGTAAATGTTGACACTGAACCCACCAGATCATCCTAGTCGAGCAGTCCATCCCGCTTCTTGGCCTCGTGCCATACCTGCACAGCCAGCCAAACCCGCCTAGTATGCCTATTTCCAAGCTCATATTCGTCCTCAAGAACCTGTCACACGCAAACATTCCCACCACTATCCTTTCCGCATGCTGTCTTGGGTTCCTCATTTTCTGCAAGGTTGGCAAGCAGATCGTCCTCAAGACCCCTGGTGGCACTTGGGTTCGCTTCGTGCCCGAGATCTTGATCGTAGTTGTGCCCACCACAGGTGAGTAGCGCAAGTACAAGGAGCACGCACTGACTCTTTGAGTTCTCTGCAAGGCGTACCGCTGGGATGACCTCGGCGTGGAGGTCCTGGGCAGTATCAAGGGTGGCAGCAGCATTCCCTTTGGGTTGCCTCTGAGTGCTCGTACTCTAAAGTACTTTAACGACACAGTGGGTACTGGAGCAATTGACTGTTTGTCTGACCGTTAGCTCCCCACCGCGTTCGTCATGGCTGTCGTTGGCGTTGTGGACTCGATGATTGCGGCAAGGGAGAATGCCACAAAATATGGCTACCCTGTCAGCCCCAACCGTGAACTCATTGCTCTGGGTAAAGATCATCCAGTATGGAGGTGGAAGCTGACTAGAAAGGTTCTGGCAACCTTGCGTCGTCGTTTGTCGTAGGCACTGGATCTCTTCCTATCTTTGGATCTCTCACTCGTGGGTGGTGACATTCCGGGAATACACTGACCCGAAGGCTCGCGTCTCAATGGTGCCATCGGCGCTCGTACTCAAATGTCCGGCCTCATTACCGCGGCCATCCTTATCCTGTCGGTCTTCTTCTTGCTTCCATCCTTGTTCTTCCTTCCAAAGGTACACATCCCCTGTGTGAAGTGGAGCTGACACCTAGGCTGTGCTCGCGTCGATCATCACAATGGTTGTGTATACTCGTGAGTGTAAAAGTGCCTAGCTATAGCTGAAACTCGTAGTCTTGAGTGAGGCCCCGCACGACATCATTTTCTTCTGGAAGATGCGCGCCTGGACCGACTTTGCTCAGATGACTGGCACCTTCCTTCTGACTCTGCTCTTCTCGATCGAGGTGGGTTGATGTTCAAGGCTAGGACGCGGGCCTCGTTGCTGACTAGTCAGGTCGGTCTCGTCGCGTCTGTTGGATTCTCCCTCATCCTCGTGATCCAACGCTCCACCACCCCACGTATCAAGATCATCGGGCGGCGACCCAACTCGGACGAGTGGGTGGCCATTGATGAGGATGACGAGGCTCGCGAAGAGATGCCGGGTGTTGTGAGTAACCGGCTTGGAACAACGACTTACACTCACTAGCTTGTCGTTCGCATTCGCGAGTCACTCTCTTTTGCCAATACTGGTCAGCTGAAAGAGCGTCTCCGTCGCCTTGAGCTGTATGGTCCGAAGAAAAGCCACCCGTCCGACTCTCCCCGTCGCAGCGCCGCCAAAGCGGTGATCATGCACATGGGCGACGTCGATGAGATTGACGCATCTGCGCTGCAGATTCTGTCTGAACTCGTGACGGCGTATCACGAGCGTGGCGTGGGCTTCTACTTTGCACACCTCCACCCTCAGCATCTTGCACAGTTCCACCTCGTCGGTATCACCGACCTTTTGGGTCCGCACCACTTCCAACCCGACCTGCGCAGCGCAATGCAAGAGGTCGAGAGTCTTGGGTTTGGAGGAAGCTTGACCACCTCGCACTGGGGTCGCGACCGTTGGGCAGATGACGCGTAGATGTGTCTGTCGGCTGGGCCGGGGGTAGACTGGGTATACGGGGAGGTCTAGACTGTTAATAGCTACAGGTTAATGCTATTGCGGTGGATTGTGCAGCATGAGGGGTGCAGGTGAAGTCCATACGTGCGGGCATGCGTGCCCAGCAGGCTGGCACGACGGTTGTGGCATACGCCGGCTGCAAGACCATCCACCATCACCGCTCTCACTGAGTGCCACATATCTGGACGGTCGTAAGCCGGCATTGTTGTGCACTACGGCGGCAAACAGGTAGTAGTGCATTTCAAGGCATAATGTGCTAGAACAATCAGTACGAAGAGCGCACGGAGAGAGACGACGCAGGAGTCTTAGTTATATGGATTATATGGATACACGATACACAATGTCCAGCTTTTTTGTGCCTGCGAAGCGCGTCGTTGGGGTTCGTCAAAGACGTTACGGCGTGTGTCTGCATCGCCGTCGCGCGGGTGCGGGGTCGTAGTGCAATGACTGGGATGTCACAGTCCAGGGCTACTAGTTTGGACAGTTGAAGAGCGATTGACATGGGATGGACGGGAGTTTCACTGCCCGTGACGCCGGCGATGTGACGGGGGAGACTAGGGGTGAGAGCGAGCTTGAAGTTTCGTCCTCGGAGGGCGAAGGTTCGACTTCGTCAGACGGCACGGAGTGGACAGTTGGCAACGATGAAGTACGGCGTGGCGTGGGAGGTGCAAGCTCCACCTCAGTGCCGGCTTCTGCCTCGACACTCCGGTCGACGTTGGTTGTCTCGGCACCGGCAGGCGTGTACAGCGGCAGAGGGTCGCACTCACGCATGTCGCCATTTTCATGGAACATAGAGACGTACGGGGGAGGTGCCGCGAGAGGGCGATGTGGGAACGTGGTGGGCTCGGTTGCGAAGCGAATGGGAGTCTGCAGAACAAGTGTCTCCATGTCGCCGCCAGGACGCGACAGAACGATGCGAGTCTTGAGACAGTGGCGGACGCGAAGGAAGGGCCCGTCCGAGTCCGGGTTGGGGCGGCTGGCGCTCTGTTCGGCGCAAGGGAGAGGAAGGACGATGCTGAGTCGGCGCCAACGGTAGCTGATACCGAGACCGCCCTCAAAGGCAAAGCTACGTTGCTCGCCGTTCTCAGTAAGGAGACATGCCCTGGTTGTGGTCGTGCGGCAGGCGGTGTCTACTTCGCCAAATACAGACTCGAAAGGTGGTACGGCGGCAGGCCCCATCAAGCGGTATTCACCCGTTTCGCGGTTGGGTTGTTCGCTGGGAAGCGGAAATGCAGCAACAAACGAGCTGAATGGTGCAGAGCTGGGAAGTCAGCAGTTGCCAAGCGGGGTCTCAACTCACCTAAACTTCTGAACTTCCTCAATCTCCATTCCAAGTTCCACAAGAGATGCCACATAGTCGTCCTTCCTCCGGGGAGTGTCGTTCTCGGGCCGGTCGTCGCGCATTCGGAAGCGGACCTGGAGGCGGAGACTGTCGCCTCCACCATACATGTCCGCCCATTCGGGAACAGTAACGACACACTCTAGCTGGCTGGTGAGATTCGATTGCGGCTTGAGAGTGAAGTTGCGCTCCCGAGGTACGGAGTCGGTCCGGAGAGCCGAAGGCATTCGGTGGCGTCGGACAACGAACGGAGTGTATGGCGATCGCATGCGGTGCATAACGTTGAGCGACGGGGTGAAGCGCGACTGGCGACCGCGAGACGACCAGGCAGTCTTGTCACTCCACCCAATCTCGGCAGCAGCAATGATACCGTAGGTCGTGGATGCGTAATTGGCCTTCAGCGACGGTGGCAACCACCCCGGGATCCGAAGATCAAAAGGAAGTGACACGCTGACTGTCGATCCGTCGGATGCCGGGTCGCAAGGAGGGAGAAGGATCGGCTGGTCACTTGGAATCAATGGCAGTGCAGCGGCGTGAAGCCGAAGCGGTGTGTATCGGTCTGGAGGATCAGCGGTGGAGACAACGGTGGTCGGACGAGAAGCCGAGAAGCCTCGTGGGTGGCAATTCGGCGCGCACGGCCGGACACTCACTGCTCTCGTCCCAGTACTCGGCCTTGCCCTCGAACACGATAGTGAGGTCGTGGAGAATACGGTATCGTCCTTCATAACAGAGTGGAAGAATGGGAAGCGTCAAGACGACAGTTCCCGGGAGCGAGTAGCTCGAGCTGGAATCGGTCAATCGAGGGACTGTAAATCGGCCATGTCCGGTCCGCTGCCACTTACCCAGTAGTTGGTCCTCCAACGAGGTCAACGACACTCGAGTCGAGGTGCACTTCAACATGTGCACTCAATGCCTTTTGGGGACCAAAGAAGGGCATCGCGAGGGCTGAGAGCTGAAATCGTTTTGAGCGGGGAAGCGTAGTATCGACAACCTCCGGGGACGGACGTGGTCGACTCGTTTGAGACGAGGACGAACCTGAGGCTATCTGAGGTTGACTGTGTGGCCGGGGACGTGGTCGATGTGCAAGGCGGTCCGCGATTCCTCCACGAGATTTGGGACGAGGAAGAGGAAGAGTTGGTGTACTCGAACCAGACGCCTGCCGTTGTCTTGTACTGCTCGCATCTGGGAAGCGCTGGGCGGCGTCTGACATTGAGAACTGGGCAAGGCCTATCGGAGATGACACCGAAAAGGACACGGGCAGAGTGGAAGGGCGGCGGGTGGGGATGGGGTTGGGGCGAAAGGGCGCACAAGGTGATCCGGAAGATGACAGGAAGATGCAACTACCCAAAGGTCAAAAGGAGGATTATGTACGGTGGCGGCAGTCGGGCTATTGTTGGTCTCGTGGTGCTGCCAATTCTGTTGCAGCTCGCCACAGGACGAAACGTCGCTGCGTTGATGATCGATGAGCGTGTGTGTAACGTGTAAGAGGGTGAATGCTGATGATGACAATGGGGCTGCCCTAGCAGTGGCCATGTACATATGTATTGTGTTGTGTTGTGAAGCGTCACTCCACTTGACCTGCTCGTTCTTCCCCCGCCCCAGCCCCCTGTGGTCCTGCACAGACCGTCCGCCCTGCATCATTACTCTGGCCATTCCTCCAGCAAGGGCTTAGATCCCTCATCATGCTTCCCCCGTTGCCCATCTTGGCACGCTTCCTCGACGCCTCCGTGCGTAATGCGTGTGTCTGCGGCGTGCGACGGTGGGCAACGGGCAGACTGAACAGGGCCATTCGCTCAGCGGCGCAAGGGTTTGGCTCTCAGAGGCTGACGGCTGACGCCTCGGCGTTCAACGCCGCCGTGCACGCAGCAATGTGCGGCGTGTTGATTGATTGCATAGAACCAGCCCTGGCGCTTAGAGTACGTCAACTGGCCAACTGCAAGGTTGTAATCCAGGTCATCCAGGTCATCCAGGTGATGTGTGCAACGCCAACGGCGCTTCACGTTGGCATTGTCCGAGCGCGCGAAGCTCCAGAGGCGTCAGCTTCGTCATACGCACACACTTGGTACACACTTTCGAGAGCTTCCGAGCGGCCCGAGCTGACGTTTGCGGGCTGCTCTCGATACCTCTGTGTGCAGCAACCCCCGAACGAGGGGTTGACTGGGAAGGACCCGACCCGTCGGCGAGTGCCCGAAACATATCAAGCGATCAAGCGACCTCACACCCCCTGTCGTCGCGCGTCGTGTGGCGACAGTTCACTGATCTCTGATGGGGGATGGCGCTCAGTGTACTGTACTGACTTTTGTCTTCAGCGCTTAGCGTCTATCGACCGATCCGGGGGATGCAAAGTGGTGAGGGGCCAAGCTGGGGAGATTGGGAGGGGGGGGGGGGGGGGGGGGGGAACGATCGCAATCGCACAACTGAATTGACTGCGAGCCGAGCACAAAGCGTGAGGACCCAACCTGCCTGCCTCTCACTTTGCAAGTCCCAGTTCCTCGCTTGGTTCTTGTGTATCTACAACGTCCTTCAACACACGAAACGAATCCGCACGCGAAACGAACACTGCTCGAGGTCGTCGAGGCCAGAAGAACCCAGTCTAGGCAGGCACGGCTAAAAGTAGAACAGTGGCCACCACAATTCAGTTCAGATATCAGAGAAATCAAACGCGCTTCCACGCCTGGCAATCAGCAATCGGTGTCTAGATTGGCATTGGCATTCATTGGTGTCTGGGTGGCACTACGTCGTCCGGGTTAGTTGGGCTATTAGCAAGCTTCGTGTGTGCTGTTCAATTATGTGAACCTGGATCACGCCCACATAACTGAACCTGTCGGGCACTGTGTTTCTGGACGCCTGACGAGCTACGTTATACGTTAGCTACGTTGCCGTTGCCGTGTCCGCCGTTTTGCACTTCGGCACCTCAATGTTCAAATGACGCCAACCTAATGCGAAAATATGACTAGAATGTCTTTCGCCTTTTAACGGTACAAAATTTACAATTTCCCAATAGGTATCACAGACATATCTGTTAGCTCCGACGGGTGTGGGTTCAACGCGTCCGCGTTAATCGTTGGACGCACGCTGCTCACACAGAGATCCATCCCAGAGGCTAGAGGCGAGAGGTGCAGTCCGCCTCATATACACCAAGGACGTGTGGGTGGTGTGGGTCACGGTTATTTGGATCCGTTGTATTACGTAACCTGTTTTCCCCCATGATCGTCATAGTCCGGTCACTTGAACACAAACAATTCCACGAAGGGAAACAACTTCATTCAACTACTCAACCCGACAATGTCCTCAACGAGGGGAACCCGCCAGGGGACACATCGTCGGGAAGACATTCAAGCGACCCCCACCCGCCGGTCTACTCGTGTCTCGAGCTCTGCGCAGTCCGGACCCTCTGGCACTTCGGACAGCCACCATCAACCACCAGCCGGACGCGCGACACGATCAGCCGTCTCGGTGCTCCCTCCCCACGTCGAACAGCGATACAGCTCTCCGTTAGTCGTCCCACCATTCTCTCCTCGACGTCCGCGTGTACGTGCCTCCCTTGCGCATGGTACCTCAAGAGAGAAGCCGCTCGCGTGGCGTGCTCAAATACTCGGTGGTATAGCGAACGACTGTCTCGACGCCACCCTCGCTGCGGCCACTGGGGATGCAGAAGCAGACGGTGCCGAGAGATTATGTGCTTCACTTTTGAGTAAGGCGCCGGATCTTGATACGTGATACGCGAAAAACGCTGACAGGCGCGCAGGCACTGCCGAAGCATACATTTTTCCTCCTGACGCTGAGCCGTTCACTTCCTCGGCGGATGTGATCGACAGTCTCGACCCAAGGCTTCGCGCACAAATGAAAGGCGACACTCTGCAAGATGCATTAGGGCGCTTCAGCATTGCCATGTTTGCATGGGTCATCTTCCGTCCCGACCAAGCTGGCGCGTTGTGGAAAAGCGACAAGGGAAAGGAGAAACCAACGGACGGCCCGTTGTCCGACGTTCGTCAGAGGAACGCGGTGCTGTTTCGCGCCTGGATCGTATTCAGGTCCCTCCTCCCGGAGGACCTCCTCGGCGATGAAGAAGGTCTTCAGCTCTGGCTCGAGTTTGGCACACAGGTGAGTCCTTTTGTTACATTTTGCCTGACACGCCCCAGATCTTCCTTGCATACCAGTGTCCCTCAATTGTTCCCTCATCTGACCCCGACGAGTCATTGTCTGCACCAAAGCCGTTTCTTCAGCTCTTCGGCCACGCAGATCTGACCGACATGAAGCCGGGTACTAGAAAGCGGTGGCAGCATCTGCTAAAGCGCCGTGACCAAGAGGTATGTACATCCGGCGGGCAGTAGGCGTCAGCCCTGCGAGGCCTCTCGCGTTTTTACGCTGACCAACCACAAAAGCTGCGGAAGGACGGCCCCAGTCGCTCTCGTGAACAGCACTTGTTCAGCGAGTTCCAGCAAACGATGTTGCAATTTGTCCACAAAGTGGTTGTAAGTGGACAATTAGAAGATCGCTGCTGATGATGACAGCGTCTCTACCTCGACAGCGACAGCGAAGGTTCCCAAGCGGGTTCCGTACAGTCCCTGGACAATGATGTGGACATGGTCGAGGAGGCTGAGCCTACGCACAGCTACTCTCGCGTGGGAGCGTCCTCTCCAGGCAACGCCAACGACCTGCCGCCAAACGCTTCTCGCGAGCCGAGCCCCAATGCCGGCCAGGGCAACACTGAAATCGACTTTGCCATGTTCGAGGCGACGGATATGGAAATTGACCTTGACATGTTCAAGGCAGTGACCATCGAGATGCAGGCCGCATTCATTCCTGGGCCTACACATCGCGCGCGCCTGTCTGAACCAGCACCATCCACCCGTCCGCGTGCCAATCCACATCCGTCTACTCCACGAAAGCGACAATCACGCCAGACAGACGGCGGCGGGGTGGTTGACGAGGCGTCTCAACCTTTCAAGCTCGGTTCACGTCCAACACCAAGCAGCTTCAACCACACTGCCCCCCACGCCGAACAGGTTAATGGGGATGGCCAGAGTCACCGGCGATCGACAAGTGCTACGCCACGGCCTGGACAAGGCTCCCCGCTGCTGGAAGAGGACGACGAAGACGTTCTCCCGACCGAATCTGTTCTGAACCCAGAGAGTGATCTCTCTGCGGACGACGAGGACGAGGAAGACCAAGATGAAGATATCCTGCCCCCAGAGTCTCAACTCCATCCTTTCAGCGATGTGGAGGAGGAAATGGACGATGACGAAGATGATGACGATGACGACGATGGGTTGCCTGGGCCCTCGCAACTCAACCCCGAAACGATGGAAGACGCGTCCGAGGAGGACGAAGACGACACCCTGCTAGCTGCAGCTCGTGACGAATCTTCGTCAGACGATGAACACTCGAGTGACGGCGGTGACGAAGATGAAGACGATGGGGACGATGTTCTCCCCTCCCTGGGACAGCTCGAACCTCAGAGTGACGAACATGATAGCGAAGATGTGGACGGCACCCCTCGCGCAACTCGGACCCAACAAGAAGTTCCGAATAACGGCGATTTGCCACCGTTCGAGTCACAGTCTCACAGCTTCGACCACGGCCACGATGAGGCCGAAATTGAAAACTCAAGTGGCCATGTCGACGAAGAGGATGACGACTTGCTGCCCTCTGAAACGCAGCTCAACGGTGTTGAGCAGGAGGACGATGATGAGGACATCCAGGACGAGGAACATGACCACCAGGCCCCAACCACCGCGGCTGCGAATGGCTTGGCTTCCCCTGTCCCAGCTCCCTCTCGTCCAACCAGCCATCGCGCCCTCGTCAACCGTAGTACAAGACGTGAAGAAGAGATTCGGTTCGCGACTCCGGACCCCGAGGATATTCTCGACGTTGAGAGGCAACCACATTCTACGCCTCGCAGGTCTCGGGGCATCACCAATCGAACACCTCCGGGACCACGACGCGTGTCAGCTCATAAAGCTACTCAGAAGAAGCGAACACCGACAAACCAGACACGTCATGGGGTTCGGACCGAGTCGCCAGATGTCCTGTTGCCGTATGTCACGCAGCAGGACATGGACGACCAATACCAGCCGAACGAGTTGAGTGAGGATGACAGCGCCAACAATCACGAGCACGAGCAGGACGCTTCCGTCCGCGATCCCACACCTGACCCAGACGACCGCCTCATGGTCGACTTTGACCGTCAACCACTGGTTGAAGACCCGTGCTTCGTTATTCCTCCAGATTTCATTGCTCCGCGGTCAGTGCTCCATGGTCGTACTCGGGACAACAAGTCGGACTACGGCCGCCTGAGCGGCAAGCGGAAGTGGACCCAGTTTGAAGGCGACCTGCTGTACCGCTCTGTGCAAAAGGTTCCACTCAGCCAGGCCAACCCATGCCGCGCCGTCGCGTACGTCCACGGTGAATTTGGCTGGGAGACCAGGCGTCTCAGGCACTTCAATGTCCAGCACATGAAAGACAAGATGCGGGTTATCGTCGCCACTCGCGTGAATGCCCAAGTGCCTGTGGTGGGCCGTGCCAGAGCCTACCTCCCTCCCAACCACCCCGACCGCAGAAAGTTTAATCTGGAGATGAGAAGGTGGCAGCTTGATCAGGACGAGGAGAGGGAGCGCCTTCGCCAGGAGGAGGAGTTGCGGCTTGCCGAGGAGAGCCAGAATGATGAAGCCAGCTCGAACGAGGGCGACGACGAGCCTGAGTCCGACTACCCTGACAAGGATCGTGGTAGCGGCGGTAACCCTCGCCCTGCCGGTCACGATAACAGCGCTACCGATAGCGACTCGGCAGACCAACAAACCCTTCGTCGCCTGGATGGCAGCAGTGATTCTGAAAGCGATCGACCTGCCAGTCCGCCGCAACCTTTGACCTCACGACAACAAGCGCGCCGGCCGATGACCTCGGCGCGTCGCCGCGGCCGCCAGCATGAGGGCCAGGGCCCGGCGTCCCAGCGTCGCGTAAGTTGGCGTGTGCCACCGGAATACCTGGAGGACGAGGATGAGGGCAGCAACGTAAGCACACAGTTGCGGGCTGAGCTGACGTCAGACTGCCATTGACATTGGAATCGCGACGGCGGACGACTTTCCGACTGCCGTAAGTAGAACGCCGACCACTGATTGCTTACGCTGCAGTTCACTCTCTCTCAGCATCGTTCCGCAGTCGCACTTCCCGTTGTCCCTCTGCCAGCGCAATCGCGTGGACCAAACCGCCCTCAAAGGCAGGTTGACGAGCCGGTGAACTCCGCGTCTCCTCCGCCTGGACGGCGCCTCAGGAAGGACGACCGCCCTGCCTCCAATGCCTCGGCTGGTCCATCTCGCCCCACTGGTGTGACACAGCTTCCTCCTCGCACAACCCGCGCAGCCTCTCGCCAGGCGCGTGCCCCTCCGTCACAGCAGGTGGATGTCATCCTGCCGCAGCGTGCGACCAGAAGCAAGGGCAAGGCGGCCTCAATTCCTGCCGAAGATCCTCCCGTGCGCGTTTCCGGAACGCAACGGAAGCGCAAGGCCAACGAGCAGCATGTCGAAGATCTTCCAGCTGCCACGCCGTCCAAGCGCCGGACACGTACCCAGGTCACGGAGAAGGAACCCACTCCGCCTGCTTCTGGCCGGACTGCTCGAGCGGCAAAAGTCAAGGCCATGACGGCCCTTACCGCTCCCATCGACGAGACACAAACACAGACGCAAACATTGGAGCGGCACATTCCGAAGGGGTACGATCCTCGTGATGAGGAAGACTTTGTCCCATCACTCCACCCCCACGCCGCCGGACCCCGAACTCGGTCGCAACGTCGCCCCGTCGGCGACTCTGACGAGGATGCACAGCAGGAAGACGAAGAGGAGGAGGCAGAGCAGGAGGCTGAGGATCATGAGGATGAGGATGAGGACGAGGATGAGGACGAGGATGAGGACGAGGACGAGGGCGTGGATGACGAGGCGGTGGAGAGCAGACAAGCAGCAGTTGCAGAGGAGGAAGAGGATGAACAGGCCGGAGCGGAAGGAGGAGAAGAGGACTACCAAGGTGACGCCGAGCTCGACGCGGCCGAGTCGCCGCCAGCCCCGTCCAAGACCAACAACAGGAGTACGCGCAAGAGTAACCGCGCCGTCACCACCCAAGCAAATGACACCTCCACCGCCGATCGCGAGCGTATCCGCCGCCGCGTAATGGGCGAGAATATGTAGAGATAGGTTTACATGTAGTCTAGCCATGTCAATAGTATGCAGTTTTATTGCACTTTTCTTGATTCAACTAGATGTTGGTTGTCATTTTGGTATCTTTGTCACATAAGAAGGGCCGTAGCATGTCAAATAAAGTCTAGAACAACCCCAGGAGATCATCCTGGGCGCCGCCAGCTGTTGCCGCAGGGGCAGCCGTGGGGGTAGCCGGAGAGGGGGAGAGAGTGGTGGGCGGGGAGACCGAGTTGGCGAGGCCCTCCAAACCGGCACCGGGGGCGAGTGGTGCGGCGGGGGTGGCCATGCTGGCCGTCGAGAAGAGGTCCATGAGCTCGTCTAGCGGGTTGGTCGACTTGGCGGCCGACGCGATCGCCTGTGAGCTGATCACGCTGCTGCCGGTGCTGAGCGAGCCGAGACCTGCCAGACCGTCGCTGGCGCCCGACTCGGGCTCGTCGGCGTCAAAGTCGAGCAGGTTCTCGGCCTGCTGGCCCGCAACCACAGTCTGGAGCGCACGCTCGCGCGCAGTGTCCTCCTCGGGCCTGTGGGGGTGAATGTCAGCAACCGCTCTCTTGAGAGGAAAATGGAAAGGGAAAAAGGGAGAATCGACTTACTCGACCGTGCGCTTCATCTCCTCGGCGCCAAGGCGGCCCTTGCCGATAAAGGTCGCGGCTGGCTTGTGGTAGACACTTGCCAGCGACGAGATCTCGCTGATGAGCTCCTCGAGGATTGCGGGCGGCACAGTGCGCTGCGGCAAGTTGATGGGTGGACGGACAGCCAGGACGACCGACTTGGCAGCGGCGGGGTCGGACGAGAGCAGTCGCCAGTAAATGTATGCGCGATCCCGGACGTCGGCATTGTCGCAGTCCTTGGTGGCGGCCTGCAGCACGCGCTGGACGATACCCTGCGACTGGTCTGGCTTTTTAAGGAACAGCTTGACGATAGCGGTCAAGGTTTGCAGCTGGACGGCGTAGCTCTCCTCCTTGAACGTGTCCAGGAAGGTGCCGAGCAGCTCGTCGGCGTTCTCAATCTTCTCCGCATACTCGCCAATAATCCAGATGAGACTGACACGTGCCTCGGGCTCGTCCAGCTCGTCGAGGTTGGCGCACAGCGTGGGGATGATGCCCTCGTAGCTGTGAGGGTACTTTCTAAAGACGTCCTGGCGTCGGTTAGCGTCATGGCATACATACGCCACGGCAGCAGCATACTCACCTTGATGACGATAACGGCCTCCTGCACAACATAGCTCACACGCGTCTCGATCAAGTCCATCAGGACGCTGACGCAACGCTCCGCCGCCGACTCAATCTTAATAGCCGCCTGGCCGATCGCACGGACCGACTTGCGCACAAAGTCGACGTCGACCTCGGAGGCATACTCCTTGAGCTCGCCCAGGAGAATGTCCACGTTGCGCTCAGTGGCAAGACGGACCATAATGTCGAGCTTTTCGACCTTGACATACGGAGGGTCGTTGTACTTGCAGAAGAAGACGCGCATCTCGTTGGCAAGGATCTCTGGACGCTTCTGGAGCAGGAGGTTGATGTTGCGAAGCGCAACCCACTGAACCTCTGGTGCCTGCGAGATGAGGGTGACTGAAAGTTAGCACCTGGGCTTCGTGTCTTGGGTTAGCTTACCAAGAGGAGGAGCCATTTTGCGAGTGAGAGACTTGAGCAAGTCCTCGCGCTGCACGTTCTTGATGTGGATCATGATGACCTTGACGGCACCGAGCACCACAGCGGCGTTGGCGTGCTGGAACTGGGGCATGACACGCTCGCAAATGTGCTCGGCCTCTTCGACATCGGTTGTGCGGTAGCGCGCCAGCGTTGACAAGATGGCGATACGGCCCCACTCGGAACACTCGTTGAGGGCAACCAGAAGCTTGGCCAGGGTGGCGTGGTCAATAATGAAGAGCTGGTTGTTCAGGCGAGCTGAATTTGGCGACGAACCCTCGGGCGACGACTCGGGAGGCGCCATGTTGAGAGAAGCCTCGTGAATGTCGGCCAGGGCGGTGACGGCGTTGGCGACGACCATGGGGTTGCCGTCGCCAATGAGGTCACGGAGCGTCTCCACAAAGCCGTATTCGATACACATGTCGGGCTTGAGGTCGAACACCTTGGCAACACACAGAGCAGCAGTCTTGCGGACGTAGGGGTTCTCGTCCTTCAAGCAACGCGAGAGCGGCGACGCGAGGTAGTTGAGAATCTTGTCGGCGCGGAGAACCGACATTGTGCGGATGGCCAATGCTCGAATGAGCGGGTTCGGGTCGGCTGCGTCCTGTACCTGTTAGCAAAGGGACCATGCAGTTGTTGCTTACCTTGACAAAGGTGTTGACGGCGAGGATGACAAGCTCAGGCTGCGTCTTGGCATAGTTCATGAGGTAAAGATAGACTAGCTTCTTCTGCTCGAGGTCGTCTGTTTGCTAAACAACAGTCAGCCAGTTCAACATGACACCACCACCCTCTCAACGCGTTGAGGGTGCTCACCATGTTCTTGACGACATCCGGGAAGAGGCCACTGCAGTCCTTTCCAATGGTATGGTTTGCAATAACACGCTTGATCGCGTCCGCGCGCTTGTCACGGTACTCGCTGTTGAGCTGCTGGCGCAGCTCCCAGTTCTCGCCTGCAAGAGTGAGTAAAAGAGCAGTGGCAACGGAGAGGCGGGTAACGCACCCTTTCGGGGAGGAGCGGCCATGACGAATAGTCGTTGATATGGAGAAGGGGGGAGAGTGTGGCGAGTGGGGAGGGATGTCAGCGATGATACATTGGTGGTCCTCGTCGGCGTGGATGGGCACGCGCTGACGTTACAAGCGCGTATTTGATTCCGCTCCTTTACACCTCCACTCTACGAGTTCGATCATCTGCGCGATCACCGCCTTTACGGGCACCCTTTGCAACAATCATCCACGAGCCTTGCGGCATGAGACATGCATGTGTAAAAAAATCGTCTAACAGTGTCGTATATATGTGGATAGTCGTGACAAATAACCCTTCTATGCCTCGGTCTTGGGGCGCTTGAGGAGTACAGCGTCGTCATCCATCTCATCTTCGGTCGTGGTCTCTTCACGGCTGGGAAGGGAGTCAGTCGAAGCTGTCGGGGTAGGTACAGTGACGACACGCTGCCTCACACCCTCAGGCGCAACAGACTCCTCAGTCTTCTCGGGGATCGGGGTGACCTTTGCGTCATTGGTGATGGCAGTGGAGACGGAAGGCGCACGCGCAGGAGCGGGGAGCGAGATTTCCTTGAGTGTCTTGAGCATGAGGTCACGGGTCGAGTCGACCAAGCTGTGAACGTCGTCCGAGGTCAGGCCGACAGTCGAGATGGGTGGAAGGACTAAGTACAGTCAGCAGGCCGTCCTTTACGCGCCTCAGAATCCTGTGCCCTCACTCTTAATCTTCAGGCGACCACCGTCAAAGCGGGTCTGGCCGTCGAACAGGCGGTTGTAGTTTTCACACACGACGAGGACAATTGGCGCCTGAGCCTGGATGGCGAGATGGAACGCGCCCTTCTTGAAGGGGAGGAGCGTGGGTTCCTCATGAGAATACCGAGTGCCTTCGGGGAAGATCCACAGTGACACGCCCTTCTTCTTCATGTCGACGCCGACCTGCTGCATGGCCGCAACCGCGTCCTTGCGGTTCTTGCGGTTGATGAAGACGGCACCAGAGAGCGCCACTGGCAGCGTAAGCATGAGGTGACCTCGCTCTCCGACTCACTGTACTGGCCCAGCAAAGGTGACCACTTGAGCTCCTGCTTGGCGGTGATGGCGGTCTGTTTGGGGAAGATACGTCCGAGGTAGAGAATATCGATCATGCTGCGAGGTGTCAGTGCGATCCCGAGCCACTGTTACAACAACAAACCACCTACCTCTGGTGGTTGCCGAGAACAACGGCGCTCTGCGGCTTGCCATCGCGTGCGGTCAGGAGGTTGGTAAGATGCTCCTCGCCCTCCACATCAAAGTCGATACCGACAAGACGGTGCGCCACCTGATAGAAGGACCGAGCCACATAGTAGTTGATGTTCAGACGCTGAAGCATGTCAGTGTGGGGTAGCGCGGTCCAGGACCAGATATCTGTTTGCCACTCACGTTGCCAGCGGCAGCACTGTAAAAGGTAATGCACAGGCCACAGACGCTGGCCCATCCGAGCGTGGCGAGGAAGAGAACCGAGTTCCAGTAGAAGCGGGCCTTCTGGTACCTTGTCGAGAGCAGGCCGAGGGTGGAGAAGGCGACAGCGGAAGCTACCGCGAGGGGTTTGAGTACCCAGGAGAGGGGCATTGTGGGTGAGGGGGGAGAAGGGGGAGAAGGAGGAGAAGGAGGAGAAGGAGGAGAAGGAGGTGAGATGGAGAGCAAAAGGGAAACAACAATCGCGTTGGAAGTATTGCACTGACAGATGGCGGCGGCGGCAACAATGCTCCGTGTGTGTCATGGGGGGGGGGGGGATACAGCACAAGCGCTGGCGGCTGGGCGACCTTGCGGTTAAGTGCAGAAGCACTGAACCGGACCGCGGGGTACAGGGCGGCAGTGTGTGCGGCGCCAGCCGTCTGCGTGGGGTATCGGGGTGGGCGTGCAGTGGGCGGGCCGCGCACACACAGTCATGGGCCAACAATTCCGCTTCCGTGCTCAGCCAGCGGCCAGCGGCCACAACGGCGGCGGCGCAACGGTGCCAGCTTTCGGGCACCCAGAGCGAAAAGCTAATACGTCACTGATCACTGCGGTCACCGCCCAAAGCAACACGACGTCGAGATTCCAACACACAAACCTCCCTATCGCCTTCATAAACTGCTACCATGGTCCGTCATCCCGACACGCCCTAGGCCCTCTCACCCCCGCCCATGTAACTGACGAACATGCACAGTCCGCTCGTACAGTCGATATCCCCGCCGACGTCAAGGACGCTCTCAAGGCCTTCCGCTTCAACAACCGCAAAGGCAATGCAGCAATCTCCAGTGGGTAAAATGAGAGCTTGAAAACTCCGTGGAGCCGCCATGGGTTCACGGCTGACCTCGTTCACTTCAGTCAAGATCGTCAAGTCTACCCTCGTCATGGCCGTCGATGAAGAGTTTGCCGACCTGAGCATTGAGGAGATTGCCGAGGGTACGTTCACATTCGGGGGCGGTGTTGCCTGCGGGCAATGGTTTATTCTGACGTCTGGTCACAGAGCTTCCCGAGAACTCACCTCGCTATGTCCTCCTGTCTCATGAACTGGTGCGCACTCTCATCTCTGATCTCTGACCGATGTTGACACTTCGTTTTAAAAGAAACACAAGGACGGTCGTATCTCGTACCCTCTGCTCCTCATCAACTGGCGAGTCGCTGGACCCAAAGGCAACATGCCCGTGTCACTGACCTTTTACCCAGGGCTCCTTCCTCGTCTCCCACCGACCTCATGACGCTCCACGCGTCCTCCCTCTCGTACTTTCAGCAAACCGCCGAGGTGGCCAAGGTGAGAACGGTGACAAAGGGAGGTATGCAACAAGCAGCATGCTGACGAGGCAGGTCCTCGAGGTCCGCGACGGCGAGGAGGGCTTGACGCAGGAGGCTGTCGATGACAAGCTGCTGCAGTCTTGATTGGGCCGCGCTGGCCGTAGTCTGTTCGCAGAGCCCTTCGTAGACATTCTGGGTATAGCTGGGGAAGCGGTGTACATGAGGTATCACGTTAACGTTGTAGCTTGAAACAATGGAGATTGTTCACCACATATGCATGACGAGACACGGGCTGCGGAACCAAACTGCCAGCGCCGCGCAGGACGAACGTTGCGCCTGGCGCGGGTGTGGAGGTGTGGATGATTGTACTGTTTTGGTGTTGTTCCATCCTGTCCATTCAACTCTGCTCCCTCGTCCCTGCTGTCCACCTGCCTCACCTGGTCACCAACCACCAAGCCCCCCTTCATCCATTTCAACCCAACTACCTCACCGTCCATAAGGTCTGTGGGGCCTGGCAATCCTCACAGCGACCCCCCGTGGCCATGAGCGACCCACAGGTGAGCGCGTTTTGCCACCATCAGCAGCCTGTTCCCTCGTTTCAGCGCTGACCTGGTTTCCTTCCTTCTTTCCCTCCTCTGTCCTTCTTCCTACGCCCTCCCCCAAAACAAACTACATCATCACCACCACCACCACCACCACCACCACCACCACCGTCACCACATCAGCCTTCCTCGCCTGTGGAGGAGCACGACGACCAAGTCAAGCACGATGCATCTGATGTAGGCTCGGACGGTGAGGGAGACGTCAAGGCCACCACCAAACCGAAGAAGGCCGGAAGGCCACCTCTGTTCGCCAAGGCCCCCAAGTGGAAGGACATTCCCTCGTGGTTTTCGCGCACCGACTGCCCTCTACTGCAGCTCCCTGATCACATTCTCAACCGCTGTTTTGCTCTCGACACCGGCCTCTCGCTGCGCGACTATGTCGCCCTCGCTGGCGTCAACAAGTTCTTCCGGACCCAGCTGGATGACAAAGTCTTCCACGTGAGTTGAGCCGGCGACATGCCACGAGGCCCAGAGGGATGTGCAACGAGAGACTAACGCGAATAGGAAATCTGCGTATACCACAACCTCATTCCCACCGAGCGAGAGCTTAAGAGTGGCCCCCTCCTCTCCGACATGATCGTCAGTCGCCCCGTGCCCGAATGGTACAAGCAGCGCAGCCGCAAGCCCCTCCGCTCAATCCAAGGCTCCCATTACATGCCCCGTGGCGATCGCCAGTACTGGTCCAAGCCCCAGTACAAGGTGTATCGCCAGGAGCGCGATATTCACCTGGCCTGCGAACGGCTCAAGCGCTACCAGGAAGGTCTGGACGCTGCCGAACGTCGCAAGCAGGCTGTGGGCGAGATTGAATCGCATCCGGCTGTGCGTGATGGCAAGGTTCTCCGCCAAGTGATTGGCATCGTTGCGGGTCTACAGCACGGCGAGCCCGCAGTCAAGATTGGTCTCGACGGACCCAAAGGCCTCGTCTCTCGCATCGACGTCAACAAGGTCGCCACAGTTGGCCGCAAGACTTGGGACGAGGCTGGCCAGAATGCCCTCAAGAAGCACCACGCCGACCTCATCCAGCGAGCTACACAGCCGCCCAAGAAGGACAGCGAGACCACCGACGAAGACAGCTATGATGAGGCAAGCGACTCTGATGGCTTAGCGTCTCGCCCAAAGAAGCGCAAGAGGCGTGTTGGACGCCGCCGTCCATGGAGGGTCCCCGAGACACCAACAGACTCCGAGTCGGATGAGTTCGAGTGGGACGTCAAGGGCAACTATATCATTCACGACTTTTGGCCCAGCATATACCGTGTCAGGGCTGCCGACTCGCTCAAGGACGCCCGCATCAACAAGAAGACTGCAAAGGACAACTTCAAGGTCACTGATGGCGAGCTCCTGACGCTCAAGCATGTTCTGGTTCACAACCCCATGAACTCTACCGCGTACGTGTCTGCTTTCGCTGCCTGTGAGCCCCGCGCTAACGCTCCCGCCAGCCCCAAACGGCTCTTCCTGGCCGCTTCGGTCGAAGCCCTTGCGTACTGCTCGCATGGTGGACCCATTGGTCACCGTGAATATGTGTGAGTGGCTCTTTTTGCGCAGGTCCGTCGTGGTCGTGTCCCATTGCTCACACTGTTTGTTTTCACAGCACGAAGATGAACGAGCGTTCCGTTAAGAACCGTGCGACTCGCAAGAACAACATTGAGAAGAAGAAGGCTGACGGCACGTATGTGCCGAGGATGAAGAGGAGCACAACGCCCCTTCACTGGACGAGTGGAGCGCACCACCCTATTGAGGATGTGTGATGAAAGCAAGCAGACCTGTGTGATAGAACCAAGGAGCGACGCGAGAGAGAGAGAGAGAGAGAGAGAACATGAGATAGCGATACGGCGCGAGCCCTTGTATTCTTTCCATCGCCATTCCGTGGAGGTTGGTGTTGAACCTTTATGTACATAGTAGTAGTGAGAGCATGTATCCTGTGGCCTGTTGTGGTACGTACACACGAGAGGCCGAGAGGGCGGTGCCTGCCAGAGATCCTGCAAGTACAGTACCAGAGAGAGGTGAGTGGCGAATTCAGAGCGGGAGCAAAGTGGGTTGTCGCACGGTGGCTGGCCCCAGGCTGTGTGATATGGGGGGCGGAGGCGAGAGCTAGAGACAGAGCCCACCCCCCCAGAGCGCCAGAGCTTCGCTCCCCCCGCGCCTTACCTTTTGACCTTTTTTGACTTCTCTCTTACCCAAAGAGAGGGCAACCCTGGCACTCTCATATCCCACCCACAGCGGTTTATTTCATCCCATTCCATCCACTTGCACTTCCGCCCCTCTCGTGCGCTATCCATCCCCCATCCCATCCACCCAACCATCCATCCACTCAACCCCCCTTCCATCCATCGCCACCACACCCTTCCTGCTCCCCATACCCTCCACCGACAGCGCATACATCCTTGCTCGACCTCTTGCCACCCCACTTTCCCACCCGGGCCCGCATTGCGTCACAAACGAGATACCTTTGCCGAGCCCACCACCTCTTACCTCTTTCAACCTCCCCCGCCACCCGGCCTTGCTCACCCCATCCATGGCCCATCCACCCACCCCGCCTCGACACACACACCTCACGCCCGCCTTCTCCTCCCCCGTCACCCCTCCCCCTCCAGAGACATCATCCACGTCTCTCCCAACTCCTTCAACAATACGGCGGGTACGTACACTAGAGGAAAAAACCTCCACGTTGTTGGCAGACAACAAGAAACACTGGCAACAGGACGAGTGCTGACACGTTGGACACAGCCCGCCAGGCTGGACTACGATGCGATGAGCGACAGCAAAGGCACAACACGTGCATTTGGAGGACGGCCGTCCCCGCCTGCGTCTGGCGCAACCACCCCTCCCCCGTCAGTGACTCCAGGCGAGGCGTCCCCCATGGCAGAGAATGACGATGGCGGTGATGACGATGGATTCCCCACCGAGAGCGAGTTGCAGGACATCCAGGCGACGCTAGATGGCCTGGATACCGACAAGTCGGGCGACGACGCTGCGTCGCAGAGAGACCAACTGGCCACCATGGTGAGCTCTTTTTTTTAAAAAAAAAGAAACCCCCTATAGGGGACCACCCTTGCAGCGGCTGACCACTCTCACAGCTGCGCTCACTGGTCGACACCTACACTTCCCGGGTCCCTTTCCTGCTTCAACAGGTTGCGGCACAGCAGGAAACTATAGCCACCCTCCAGCAGCAATCGCGCCTTTCCAAGTGCATGATTGACATTGAGCGGTAAGTAGACCTCCCCTTTTGTTTGCTCGTTTGCCGCAAGGGGGCGACAAGGCTGACTGTGCAGTGACCGATTTGCCGCAGAGCGCACCAGCTGGCAGGCCGAGATCCGTGCTTTGATCCGCGTCCGCGACGCTGAAGCGGCCGCTGTCAACCAGCCCCGGCGAGTTCTTGATCTCGATGTCGGATACCACAAGGAGCTGGAGAATGCCAACAAACGTCTTGAGATGGATAACCGCCTGATGGCGCCTCGAGTGAGTGACCCCCACAGTGATTCATTCACGTTATCGGGCAAGTGTCTAACCACGGGCACAGCTTGTCGACACACAGCAGCAGATCGAATCTCTCGTCACCGAGCTGCGTCATCTCCGTACCCATGTCTTGCTTGACACTACTGTCTTGGGTGGTGCCGTTGAGGCCACTGCTGGGCCCTCTGGCGCCTCGGCGTCACCTGCCGGTCCGCCTACTCGTCAGCCACAGCGGCAGGTCAACCGCAACACCATGGGCGACGCACGAGCTGAACACTTGCTCCTTGCTGCCAAAAAGGTGCGCTCAATGCGCAACACTGGCACCAACGTGGGCCGGCTCACTCTTGACGAGCTGCAACGTCACGGTGTCATCGGTCCCGACGGCGGTGTGGGATATTCGGAGGGTTACGGTCGTGACGGTGAAGAGGTGCACGCCGAGTCGGACGAAGAAGAGAAGAAGGTGTTTGCGTCGCCATCACAAGAGCGTCGAGGCAGCGCTTCGGCGGCCAAGGGAACGCCCTTGCTGCCGCGAGCCCGAAAGCCCGCCAAGCGCGCTGTGCCTACAACTCCTTCTCGCAACCGCGGTGTCCCTCAGGTCCCGCAGACCACTCCAGGAGGCAGCAACTTTAACGACTTGCTCCTTGCGGCCGAGATGGCCACTCGACCTGGCACCCCGACCCGCGACCACCATCCTGCCCATGTCATGTCGGCCACTCGGAGCACCACTACTGCCCGTGTGCCCTACGTGTACCACAGCCCAAGCAAGAAGCAGAGGCGGAACGAGCCGCCCGCCACAATCGAGTGGTCGACGCGCCGTCACCTCAACCAGGAAGGCGAGGGCTCCCCCCGTCGGTTTACTTCCCAGGAAGAAGTCTCAGCCTCGGCCCTCGACCTTTTGGCCCAGGCAAGCCAGGATGTTGCGCAGAGTGGCGGCTCCGCCGCCAGCCGCTTCGAGGGCATGATCTCGGAGCGTGAACGCCGCGACACTGCGGTAAGCAGCCGCAGCGCGACCCCACTTGGCCCCGCTATCAACCTGGACGACCGTGGGCGCTCGCTACCATCGTCGCAGGCCCATACACCAGCCCGTGGATTCCCTTCTGCCACCCAAGACGACCCGTTCAACGATGTCGCCAACAACACTGCCGCTTTCCAGAGCCCAACAGGCGCGGCTGTTCCTGGGTTGGGCAAGTACGTCCACCTCACAAGCACCATGCCCGCCCGTCGTGTGCGTTCGCCGTATCTCAAGTGGACCAAGGAGGAGGTAAGTGGAGAGCTAGCCTCATGTGCCGCTTAGCTGACATGTGCAGGACGAGCTCCTCACTCGCGCGGTCATGGAGCATGGTGAAAAGTGGGACCTGGTCAGCAAGTGTGTGCCTACACGTAGCTACCACCAAGTGCGCCAAAGGTAAGTCACGCGTGAGAGGATCTGGGGTGGCGCATTGGACGCGGCCTCTTTTTTTTTTCTCTCTCTCTCTTCCGTATTTCGGGAGCGTCGACCTGATCTGACGCCATCAGGTGGCTGCGCAAGACTGGAGCGTTTGACAAGAAGCCCGCCAACCAGACACCTGGCCAGACGCCAACCAACGACCCGTCACCGCTTGGCCGCGGCTCTGTTCCCGGAGAGCAGGCAAGTCCGACGCCGAAAGGCAGGAAACGCAAGGATCCCTGAGGCGTTTGCTGCAAGGGGGTGGTCGGATAGACGTATGGCGGCGGGAGGGTGCTAGCGGCCATTGCAGCCAGCGGGCAGCAGCTAGGAGCCAGTGGCCCCAATGTAGAGAGCATATGCACATTGCAAGTGGCGTTGTCTGGCGTTTTGCATGTCCTAACGATCCTAACCGTCGCCGCGCGCGATCCCGGGCCAGTCTCCAGCCAAGCCCAGGACCAGCCATCAGCCATGGTCAGTGCGCAAGCCCATCAGCCCCAATATTACCTGGTGAGAAGGAGGCCTGTGCATCACTCCCTTCTGCAATGTAATGTTTGCGGGACAGGCCGGGAGAGAGAGAGAAGCGACACTGTTTGCTTCTTGAGTGGCCCCCGACATCGTGTTTCTTGTCCTCTTACATTGATTGTCTTGTCCCACACCTCCCCCAACTTACCTCGGTCTTGACGACCTCCCGCGCTTGGTCGCCATCAGCAGCCGGTTTCTGCCATCAGGTGTGTCCTCCATCTTTTGCCGTCGGGTCTCCATCACTTCCCCCGGTCGTCTGGCACGACCACATATATCAAGGAGAGAGCGCGCTTGCTGGTCTGTTCGCTCCCATCCCTTCCACCCTCCACCCTCCTCCTCCTCCTCCTTCCTACTATCCACTTGCTTGCAAGCCCTGTGGGCGTGCGTACCCTTGCTGCTGTTCTCTCTACCTGAGCATCGACACAAACAAACACATTGCCCCGCAATGGTGTCCCTTTTGGCCCCCGCCCTCGCCCTCCTGTGTACGGCTGCGCCGTCCGTCCTCGCCGCCCCGACCAAGTACCAGTACTCCCAGCTCGACCTCGCGAGTGTCCCGGCCCACGTCAGGCGTGACCTCACGTGGAGTCTGCAGATGGGATACTCTGGCCAGACCTTCTTTGACGGGTGAGTATCGAGTACCGCGGTGGCGTGTGGGTGTTTCGGGATGATCGTCACACCAGCGGCTGACTTGTGGCGCAGCTTTGACTTCTTCACCGAGCCCGGTAAGCCCTCCTTTGTTGGCGGTTCCTTCCACATGTATCCTTGCTGACCCGCTACCCAAGACCCGAGCCATGGTTGTGAGTACACCTACCTACACGTCGTGACCACTGCTGACGCTCTCCAGCGGTGACCTATGTGAACAAGTCGCAGGCGTTTGGCGAGGGCCTCGCGTTCTGGACGGCCGATGGTATTCCGGGCATCCAGGCCGAGCACTGGGCCACCACCAACGTGGGCGACGCGCGCAACTCGGTGCGCATCACGTCCAAGGCCCTGTATACCGGCGGCCTGTTCATCTTCGACGTCGCACTCATGCCCTGGGGCTGTGGCGTGTGGCCTGCGAGTGAGTACCGTTGTGCTTCTGATAGAGTGTGGCACTGACGCCGCGCGCACCAGTCTGGACGCTCGGATACGAAGGTACCTGGCCGACGACGGGCGAGATTGACATTGTCGAGGGCGTGCAGGACATGACTGCAAAGTAGGTTTTTCCCCTCTGCCCTGCTGGCTACTCTCCATGCTGACACCACACTCCAGCCAGATGACGGTCCACACCACCCCGGGATGCACCATTGCCCAGAACACGTCCCTGTATACGGGCGGCATGATTTCGAGCGACTGCGACTCCAGCACCGGCGGTGCCGGCTGCAGCATTGTTTCCGACACGAACAACACCTTCGGCCCGTCGTTCAACGACAACGGTGGTGGCGTGTACGCCATGCTCTGGGACGGCGACGGCGTTCGCATTTGTAAGTTGTTGCTTTAGGAAAGAAAGTGTGTTCCCTTTTCTGACTCTCCGCTAGGGAACTTTCTCCGCGCAAACGTCCCGTCCGAGTAAGTCTCCCACAACTCTGTACGGACCGGCGCATTCACTGACACCCGTTTTAGCATCACCTCTGGCGTCCCCACCCCTTCGACCTGGGGCCTCCCCGCTGCGGCTTTTGATCGCACCCTGTGTGACCCGTACACCTTCTTCCAGTCGCAGGTGCTCATCCTCAACGTCAACCTTTGTGGTGAGCAAAGCTGAAAGCCCTTGGTGTCCTTGGAGGGACGAAAACACTGACACAGTTCACAGGCGACTGGGCAGGCACCACGTACAGCAACTATGCATACTGCCCCGGAACGTGTGCCGAGCGGATTGCCAACCCGGTTAGTTGATCGCTGCTTGCATTCTCTGCTCACAACTGACACCATACGCAGGCCAACCTCGTCAACACGGTCATGCTCGTCAACTCGATCAAGATCTACCAGCAGTCGGGCTTTGAGGCTATTGTCGGCGAGGCCATGACCAACTCGAACCAGACCGGAGCGGCCGGTGCCGTCGCGCTCAACACGACCAAGAGCAACTCGACCTCGTCCTCGTCCTCGTCCTCGTCCTCCAAGACCTCTGGCAGCTCCAAGTCGAGCACGGGCGGTATCGCCCGCGTGGGCGACACCCTCGTCCTCACCTACGCGACTGTTGCGGCTGTGATGGTTTCCATGCTGCTTTAAGGATGGCAGCCAGGCGGTCCCAGACGATATAATAGTATGTAGAAAGCAATAAAATGGCAATATTTGGGATTTACTGCCCGATTATGTACATACACCTGGAGCTAAATGAAGTGTAAAAAGCGAAGGGAGCTGAGGTCGTTCATGTTTCGTGTGTGTCATGTGGGCGTGTGTATCGTGTCGTTATTGATGGAAATGAAATGGCAAGAGGTGCTCGGTAGGTGACGCATGAGGAAGGCAGGCAAAGCCCTCACTGCGAGTCCTCTGAGCAATGGATCGTTACGTGGTAGTGTTTGATATGTGCAAGGCAGGGAAACTACAGGTCAGCTCGTCAGAACCTCACGGCTGACACTCACCGCCTCACACCATGAGTCATTCGTCAATGCTGATATCCGTCGTGCAGTTGCGCGATGCGTCCGCGGAACATTTGGCGTGGACAAGAACTGCTTTTGTCAGCTTGTGAATAGCCGATACGTAGCCCTCCAAGCTAAACCCACTCCCACAGTCGTCGCACTGCAACGCTGCCCGTGGCCCGAGACGCTTGCAGCACACGGGACACTTGTCCCTGGGGCCCGTGAGGGTGCGTGGGAGGAACGCTCTGGCGAGGTTGGCTGCGACTGTGCACGTTAGTTCAAGGGCAAAGCGGCCGGCCCGGTAACTGATGCGTACGTGATGAAGGGATGCGTTTGCTGTTTGACAAAGCTGGTGGGTCACGGTGGACGAGGGTGAACCGGTGGCGTCCCGAGTTGGAGGTCCGGCGGGGGATTGATGGGGAAGGACAAGCAGAAGGAACGGCAACGTCGCTGCCACTGGAAGAGGCACCCTCACTGGGTCCTGTGGAAGCGTCACTGGGTCCACTCGAGCTGCCATCACTTGAGACCCTGTTCCTCGGTACGAGGAAAGCAGTGATGGGAGTGATGGTGTCGGTTGATGGCCTAGGAAGTGACTCGGTAGATGGTGGTGAGGGTTGTGGTGCTGTCGTGGCCACACTCTCGTCCATGTCGGTTACCTCGACCTGAGGTACGAATGGTCCGGCCTCCGGTTCGCCGCGGACCTTTTCAACCTTGTCCTCCTTGATGGTACATACTGATCCCTCATCAGACGAGTTGTCATATGGTGGCGAAGGAGGGTATGAGCAGGGCATACTGGTACGCCGCATTGACGCAACATTGATGATTGTGGCGCGCTGGATGACGCCAGAGGATGGACCCGCAAATATCTCGCTGCCGAGCAACATGTGGTGGCTCTGCATTTCCGTCGCTTCCATGTACTGGCTGCCAGGGGTGTCGTCGCTCCACTGGGTAAAGTAGCTTGCGCCACGGTGCGGGCGAACAGCACCGGACACTGGACCGACTTGGACGTCGGCGTTTACCAGGGCGTCCAGGACGACTTCCTCGAGCATCTCCTCTTCCATCTCCTCGTCGTCGAGACCGCCGAGCTGTGCATCGACGGCGGCAGCGGCAACCTCGGATCCCACGGACATGGAACGGTCAAAGACGGGTAATGCGCGCGGGCCCTCGCGACGGAGTCGGAGGGAACCAACGTGCTCGCTGGTGTCGATCTCGGGCAGCGCAAGCTCAATGGCCCGCAGCTTGGCAAGAACCTCAGGCATGCTGGGTCTGTCGGCAGAACACAGGCTACAGCAGGCGATAGCCAGGTCGATAAACGCCCGAGGACAGCCGGGGGAGGCACGTTGACGCACAATCTTGGGATCTGGGACGAAGTGTGGTGCCTGCCGCGAGTAGACCTTGGAGCCCACCAAGATGCGGGTCAGGATCTCCATAAAGATGATGCCAAGCGAGTAGACGTCTGTCGGGAGGTCGAATTCTTCCCCCATGAGAATCTCAGGTGACATGTAGCCCTGTGCATGTGAGCAACGTGCAGTGTGGAATGGCCAACTCACGTCTGTCCCACAGTACGTCATGTGCTTCATTTCCTCGTCGTTGCGGCCCGTGATACGTGCAAACCCAAAGTCGGCGACCTTGATGCGGTCGTTGCTCGTAATAACCAAGTTCTCGCCCTTGAGGTCACGGTGGATACACTTGATCAAGTCAGTAAAGGCTCTCTGGAATGGCACACACCTGTCTGGCGTGCAGGTATGCGACTGCGCGGGCAATATCGGTCGCAAACGAGATCCTTAGACGCCAAGGGAATGCACATCCGGAGCGAATAAACGTTCGCAGGTTGCCGCGTGGAATGTACTCGGACACAATGCTGAAGAGAGACACTATGAGCGTGACACGGATTGGGAGAGAGTTGATTGAGAGGACACTCACAAGACTCGGCCGTCGACTCCAGGCTCTTTGCTCAGACCGACAAACAGGACAATGTTTGGGTGGCGACATTCTCGCAGGATACGCCACTCGCGCTCAAAGTACTTGTGTACCTGGGATATTGTCAGCAGCCCGCTCTCAATATGCCCAACACAACACCTACATCGTACTGTGTTGAGGGGTGGATCTCCTTGATTGCAATGTCGATTCCCAAGTATTGTCCTGGAGGCGTGAGCTCGTTTGAACGCCTATGTTGGGTTGTTTGGTCTAGCAAGACCCACCTTTGAATACAGATCCAAAGCTCCCTCCGCCAATTCGTTCTCCCCAGACAATATCTTCGTACTGGACAGGTACTGGTGAGCGCCGTCTTCCGCCCTGGGGCTTCCTCCCGACCTGTACTCACTGGGACGACGTCAAAGTCCATATCTTGCTAGCAGTAGTGTGGGGTTGATGAAATGGGTGATAGGAAGATCACAACACTGCCCTGTGGTGGCAAAAGGTCGAGAGTCGAGAGGGATGAATAGGGGATCGCCTGTTTGTGCGCCGCCCGAAAGTGATGTCTGGTGGCTGAAAAAAGAAATCGAAGACAGCCGCGCACGCGCTGGCTGGGCGACTGGCGGTACAATCGATAAGATCTGGGTAAGTGTGCTCTGGGTGACACCGCGGCAGTGGCGGTTCTTCTAGACTTGCGTATGTGCCAGCACGGAGACTTGCGTATGTATGTTGGATGCGGATGGTGTAGAGAGTCACGAGTTGGAAATGGTGAAAGGACTCATGAAGTGTGGGAGGAGCCGTGCGCAATGTAGCGGCCCAGGCCGCTGGCGCCGGTGGCCAGAGTGTGGTGTTTGTGACTGAACTGCAAGGCATAAGGGAGAGGGTAGAGTGACCTTTTTGTCACGCACGGCGCAGGGGACCATGGGTAACCAACACTACGGCCGCAAGAATTGTTTCAACCGACAGTCCGCTCAGCGCGCGCCACCTGTTCCGCTGCGAGCGACAGAGATGGCCACCCAGGTGTGCGTGACTGTGATACAGAGGGTGAAGAAGGAGTACGAGTTGGAGGTCGAGTCGTGCCAAGCACCCATGGACACGGATACACGGAACAGCGCACTGGACACCCTCCTTACCCTTTTTGCCAACTGGAAAAAGCAGGCGCGTGCGAGATGCTGGGCGGGGACCTCACAGCACACAACCGTGCCTGGATTCCAGCGGAAGCAGATCTTTCCGTTCTGCTTACGACAGCTTCCGTTGGAAGCACGCGCTTGTCAGCCAGCGAGCTCCATGTTCGTCATCCAATTCCCAGTGGTGAGCTAATCACAATACAATTGTGGGCAGTCTGTATTTAACCCGCGAGCGCTTGCTCCTTCTGTTCTCCCCCTCACCCACATCTCACACCCACTAACACCAACATGGCCGACCGGTTCGCTGCCCTCACCCCGTACTTCCCCGCCCTCGGCGAGCCCAAGACTTCATACGCGACCGACGGCCTCGAGCCCCTGGCCTACACCGTTGACCCCAACGGCGACGGCAAGGCAGTCTACAACCCCCCTCGTCCAGATGGAAAGAAGAGCCCATTCTATGACGCCCTGTACGACCGCGAGGGTGCTCCGGGGTCCCAGTCGTGGTGGGACTTTCACGTCTATCACGTGAGTGTGGACGGTGCGGCCGATGGCCGGTGAACCAAATCAGGCTTCATTTGGCCGTTACCCTCATTTTGAGATCTCGTTCGTGGGCGTTCTGGGCTAATATTGGCAGAAAGCAACAAACCCGGGCCACGTCGCCTACGCGCACAAGCTGTACGAGGCCGTGAGGCGAGAGTTCCCGGAATGCCGCGCATACCGCTTCTTCGAGGGTCCCCTCGGCCCGCACCCCATGCCCATGTTCGAGGTCAACGTCTTCAACCCCGAGCAGCTCGGCGCGCTGTTTTCGTGGTTTGTGGCCAACCGCGGTCCTTGCTCGGTTCTCATCCACCCCAACACTGGCGACGACGTCACGGACCACACTACCAATGGCACTTGGATCGGCGAAAAGGTCCCCCTCGATGTCGATTTGTTGCAGGCCTTTGAGAGCATGCAAAAGGCCAAGCGGGAGTCCAACGTGTAGACATTGTATACGGGAATACACAACAAATGTATCGTGCTTGTATGTATGCTACTGCTGCTTCGGACTGAAAAGTGCATCGGTACATTGCTACAAATTTAGACTTCTTCTTATAAACAACTCGATCTTCGAGCATTATCTCCACCGTGTCGGAGCTCATTAGGGGTTGACTAAGGGGGCATGGCGGTGGGTGGAGGTACTTCTTCACAGTCGTAGTCGCCCCAGAGGACAACGTTTGGGCATTCGGGGGGAGGGGGAGGTTTAAACGTTGGCCATGGACGTCAGGAGACCGGCCTGGGTGGAAGTGGAGCTGCCACCAAGGAACTCGTGGTGCTCGCCGTCTTGAACAGCTGCAACCATCTGCTGCTGGACATTGCCGTCCACGCTACTCGCTCCCATCTGTCCCAAGTTCATGGGCACAAACACAACCTTGGAGCCCGAAGTACGCGCCATGGCCTGGAGAGCTTCGAGTTGACGGATCTGCATCGCGGCCGGCGAAGCGAGAATGTCGGCGGCCTGCCTCATGAGCTTGGCGGCGTCGACCTCTGCGCGAGCGGCGATGACCTTGGATTCACCAATACGCTTCTGGGTAGCGGCCGACGAGAGCGACTGCTGGAGCTCGACAGAGAAGTTGATGTCCTTGAGGAGGATCGATTCAATGGAGACACCCCACTTTTCGGCCGTGGTCTCGATAATTTCGGCAACCTCCTGGGCGAGACCCTCACGGTCGGAAATGACAGACTGGAGGACACGGCCACCAACAACCTGGCGGAGGGTGGTCTGGGCACGCTCGACAAGGGCGACGGCGAGGTTATTGATACCGTAGGCGGCACGGTAAGGCGAGACGACATGCCACGAGATGACCGAGTCGACCTCGACCGAGACATTGTCCTTTGTCTGGACAGTCTGGCGCGGGACAGTCGTGAGCTGGATCTTGACGTCGACAATGCTGATAGACTCGGAACAAACGTTGACCTGGACAAGTCCGGGGTCGACCGACTTGTAGAACTGTCCGAAGCGAGAGACGAGGCCCACAGAGCCTTGCTTGACCTCCTTGTATGGGTTCGGGAAGGGGCAAATAGGGAACATGCCAATGAGACCAATGCAGGATCCGACGCCCGAGATCATGGAACCGTAGAAGCCGTGGGTAACAGACCCAGAGCCAAGGTCCTGCGCGTACGAGGGCTGCATGTCCGCCTTGCGGAGAGGCTGAACGGTCTGCAGGAATCAGGTCAGCACATTCAGAAAAGATAGGAGGAGAGTGTGCCGACGCTCACAATGAGGGCACCACCTTGGTTCAGAGGGGCAGTGGAGGACGTTGACATCTTGGCTTGACGCGGCATTTCATCAGTGACATAGCGGTGAAGCTCTTCGTCGTCGTGGAGGCGGAGGGGCTGGGCGGGGACAGTGCCCGACTTGTAGTCGAGGGCAGGCGGGGTGTTTCCACTGGACATTGTGGATGTAGAGCGTATGTTGGTGGGGTATGGGTGATGGGAAGAGGCAGTTGTTGTGTGGGGGAGGGTCTGGTGGTGATGTCGGTCACCGAGTGTCTCTCCCCCTTTAAATAGACTGGTCGCCACTCGGACAAGCGCGGTCCTGTGACTTGTAGAGAGTATCATGGTCTGGCATGTCTCTTCGGGGTGCGGTGCTTGGCTCCCCTGGCTGGCGTTCTTGGCGGTCAGCCCACCCGCACGCTGCCGCTGGTGGAGTTGCTCTGCCATTCCTGTTTAGCGCGTCTGCACGTTTGTGCGGTAGCAAGGGTGCAAGCACACTTCGCGTCATAGCAAGGCCCGCCTCTGGTGCTCCGCTGACGGGATGCCGCCATGTCCTGCCGGATCTGTCCGACCCTTGTCTGGGGTGTGGCCGTGTTGTGCCTTGATGGCTGCTCGCTGCTGCTCGCGTCGCACACACTCCCACAATGAGACTCACACCCAGGGAGGACCGTGTCGTGTCTTTGGTTCCTCGGTATGCGGTGCCGCCTGCTGCACAGCATCCAGCATGCTTCTCTATCGCAGGTCACAAAACCCTGTCTGTACATGAAAGTCGCGCATATACGCACATCCTCGACCTCGGAGATCTCGGTTGCTTCGGCTCCAACATGACACGGGCACTCGTCGCCCTGTGGTGGACGGCGGTGGACTCTATTGCGCCCATTACCCTGTTGCTCTCCATTTCCTGTGTTGCTGAAAGGTCGATATCCGGAGTGAGACGACGCGCGATTTTTCTGGACATCGTTTGCACATGGTCATAAACTCTTTTTGATTTGTGCAACCCGTGCGTCCCTTTGAACGTGGCAATTCTGGGATCTGGGAGAAGGACTGCTTCTTCTCTTCCGTCTTCACATACTCATAATCGTTGAAGCTGCAAGAGTATGGTCCCCATTGACCCCCATCAGCACAAGGCTTGGCACGCCGCCTTGCCGGCTTGATTTCGGCATGGTCGCCTCGGTCGGCACACCAAACCAAAAGATGTGGTCCACTTGGCTTGGCTCATGTCAACTCTTTGGTATAGTCGTTCTTGGCATTGCATTGAACTTGGGGAATACAGGGAGGATCGACGAGGCATGACCGAGGAACACAGCATCGTCATTATCTCCGCCGAGATGGCCGCGGGAGGTGGTCCGGAGCTAATCTCACCGGCAGACCAGCTTGTGTCGCACTTGGCCGACCCGAGCGCCATTGTCGCAGCCACGGGCCGGAGGAGTTGTCGAGAAGAGAGATGGGTATAGGATACCTGATATCCAGGGCGATTCCGGGATCCACGAGAATGAGATTACACGATCCGCACGACTCAACCGCTGAAGGACTTGACAGCTGAAGGACACGGATATGCAAAGGACTGTGAGGTTGCCCCGGCGCCTGCAGGACGATGCTGGGCGACTACACTCCGCACTCCCCACCGAGCAGTGGGTGCGGCACGCACCACTCATGTCTTGATTTGTCTACCTCTAGCTCGTAGTCGACTACCAAACGGCGTTCTTTACGTTGACTGCCCGTTCTTGTGCGTCCTCTCAATTTAGCTCCATCGGAAGAGTAACTAGTCTTAAACGTGACATTATTCCCTCGAAGACAATTTCCGGTTCTGACACCGCCACGGAGGGCCACAACACGGACATCGACCCCGCCACGGTCGCTGGTGGCGTGTACAGTTACGTTCACAAGCCCCCCATCTCATTGGCAACCACCTTGGGTGCAGGAGGCAGACTCGCCGACCCCACACAAATCGCAGCTGATCCGGTGAGTGGTTCTTGGCGCTCAGACACGGCACATTTTTTTTTTCAGACAGTGAGGTTGCTCGTTGGAGACCTCCTGATCAAGCTCACATGACCAACCCCAAGTCCAATCTTTCCCGGTGGTATGCTCATTCATAGAGCAGATGCTGGATTTGAGGGTTCCGATGACATGGGGGTTGAGTGAGGCCGGTCTTGCTTTGTTGTCCTCCACTGTTCAACAAGCTGCCGCTGATCCACCTCAAACGTCAAGTCCAGCCCTCCCTCGACTAATTGTTTGCCATCGCTGGATCACATTCCTGATGCCCCTGTCCAAAGATGCGGTTGGCAAAAAGGATGGACGAGATTCGTGCACGGCTTTATTTTTTTCTGGCGACATTGGCATAAAGTCCCTCATCAATAAATATCCTGGACGACATTGCTTAGGTTGGCATCTTGTAACAAACCGCAACGAGTTACAAGACGATGCTACACGGGCTCCCCCGCGAGGGGCGAAGGTTAGCAAGCGGGGACAGGACAAGAAAGTCGCCTCAGTACATATACGTGCTCCGCCTGGCATCTGCACTTTTAAATGTTCCGCAGCACATGTACATTCCTGTTCGGCTGGCTTACACCTCTGGCCTCTGGTCAACCGTACTCGTGTATAAAGGGCGACCAGCCATAAACCCGGCGGGTGTCTATGTATATGAACAAGCTGTGTGACGAACCAACAGCAGCCCTCACCGACGATGGGCGATTTCTTTAGTATTTGGGCGTCGCAAGTGATGAATGATGGATCGTCACGTGGGTTGTCACAACTTCTATACTTTTACGCACTTCGCACGTCCTTGACGTACTTTACTGCTGAAGGCCATGCAAAAACCAGACTCGGCATGATATATACACTCTACTGTCACAGCTCTCCTTACAACTTGGGCTGTTCGTTGCCCCAAGTCCTCTCACTCAGCGAACCCGACGCAATCTCGAGAACCATGAGGCGACGGAAGAAGGGCATGTTGGACTTTGAAAACTCGAAGCCGGCCTTTTTCAGGTCACGGCCACGGGCGATGCTCTCAAGAGTCTGGCATGCAAACACACCGCAGTCGCACGAGTTGTTCTGCTTGGGCGTGTTCTAACGACTGTCAGTATACATCCACTACACGTAGGCACCCCTGACGGGCTCTTCAGTACTCACGGGGTCGTAGTAATCAACCCAGTCGGAAAGGTCAAACGTGCCACCTTTCTTCTCCTTGTACTCTGCCTGCAGATACTTGCGAAGGTACTGTATGGTGTTAGGCAATTGTGTGAAGAAAAGGGACAACCTACGTCAAACGCCTTGTGACGGTTGCCCGAATCATTAAGCGAGTCGAAATACTCAATGCGCTTCTTGGCAAAGTTGACACTGGCACACACCCAGTGGGCATTGCTGACGTTGATGGGAACCAGGAATTGATCCAGCTCAAAGATGTCCACCTTGGCCTACGGATGTCAGTTAACAAGTCGGTACGATTCCACGACGTACCCTCTTGGTCCAGCGCTTGAGGTTCGCCTTTTCGTAACCCTGCTCGGACAGCTTTTGATAAAAAAAGCTGTTCATGCAGTGCACCTTGCGACCGGCCGCTTTGTAGCGCGCGTTGAGCAGTTCCGCATACGCGTTGACAATCTCATCGTTGAGCCAAGTCTCGGGCTTGAGACGCTGCAGCGAAGAAGCCTCTACTGGTGCACTGCCAATCGTGACTTCGAATGTACGGTCACGCAGACGGTCGTCCACCTATGGTGGTCAGTCCCTCCTGTTCAACAGAGTGTAACCCACCAGTTCCTCTTGCTCGTCCAACAGATGCTTTGGGATCCTGGGACGCATCTTCTCCTTTGCGCGCCTGGCCTCCTCCTTCCTTTGCTTTTCGAGCTTTTCAACAAACTCGCTGCTGTAGCTGTAACTGTCAGCAATCAGGTCACACGGTAAAGCACATACGCCTTGAAATCAAGAGTGGGCCGAGGACGAGGCTTGATCGGTGCAACTGCTGGCTAAGGCATTAGTATGGCATACTGCGAGAGACGAGGTTACCTTTGGTGGAGTAGGAACGACAAGCTCGTCCAGGTGGCGGCGACGGTCCAGCTGGATCTGGCCAAAGGATTTTGCCACATGATCGATGGGTTTGCTTGGACTCTTTTGTTGGTGAAAGGCAAGTCCCGACAGAGATGTACGGGTATCTCTTTTGGCCGCACGCTCCTTCTTCCTCGTTGCCTCGTTGAGATCGTCTAAAACCCGTCCAAAGACTGGAGCGTTGGGCGAGTTTTCAGCCTGGAGATTTTGATAGCGTTTGTATATCATCCTCTGTTGTGCACTGCCATCTCGGCTGCGGAGATTGCTCTGGCTGTTGACCCGGCGAACCTTTCCTGAGGCAGTAGAGTCGGTGCTCGACGACGAGGGAGATACCGACCGATGTCCAGTCCAGTTGTAGGCCCTTGGCGGCTTTTTAAATTCGACTATTGGGCGCTGCGGAAGTCGGGGCCTTGACGGACCAGGCTCGTTGTGGGGCGTCTGGGGAGGAGGCTTTGCAACTCCGTTGACTTGAGTGGACGAGCTAGACGACGAGGCGGGTGGAGGGTCAAACTTTGAAGGGAAGAGCTTCAGAATAGTGGACTGCGGTACATGGTCGTTGAGATGTTGGCGAGCTTGATTCCGCCTGTTCACCTGCTCTTCATGGCGTCTCATCGCCTGAGGGTCTTCACCGTCGTCATCGGCAATGACGATGGGCTGTGACGAAGTGGTGCCGGACGACGTGCCGCGTGGTGTAAACGTGCTGCCAAATAGGGCTAGTGAGCCTCCGGGGTTGGGTTCCAGTCCACGCATGGGGGGAGGTCCCATTGCATCTAGTGCCAGCGGGCGGCGCACCGTAGGCTCTGTGGAGGACGTCAATACACATGAAAGTCTCGGTCACTCACGTTGTTGAGGGTGTGCATTCCGGCCCATACTTGAGAAGTACTCTCTGAAGAGCCCGACACACGAGTCAAAGATTGATGTCTCTTGTACAGGACGCGCGAGACCGGTGTTGTGATGCTCAGTCCTGGGCCGCTTGGGGGAAGGCGGGGATGGGATATTGGAGGTTGAGGAGGCGGAACGTTTGGTCGGTCCAGCCATCAGGCAAGGCAGCCGCGCAGGGCGGCAAGCAATGGAGAGGTCGGCGGGGAGGGAGGTGTGATGGATGTATCAAAAGGTTGCTAGGGGTGTTGCAGAGCGTGTGGGAAAGAGATGACGGACGAAGGAGGAGAGGATGTGAGTGGGTGTGTGGTGAAATGACAACATGCCCCGTGTGTGGAGAATGGATCGAATGGAGCGAGGGGGGCACACAGACACACGCGCCTGATGGCAAGATTTGGTTCCGCTCTCGTTGGCCACCGGGCGCCCTCGCTCGTTGGTGCGCACCTTCGTCCTGAACCATTTGTTTACCATCCCTCATCCCCCGCCATTCCACCTCCATCCCTCCCCATCGTCGTCAAAAACAGCATCCACGGCGTGCCCATAGACCGCACTGCATATTGCCTACATTGGCATCACTCGCGCGCAACATTGTTCACCAAACGAGCCATCCGCATTTCGGCCGTCGCGTAGCAATCTCCCACCCACCCCCCTCATCCACGTCCACCGTCCCAAGTCACCAGCGTGTCTCGGCGGATGGCCAACCTCGAGCAGACGCGGTCTTCAGCCGACGTTCTTGCAGACGAAGTGGAGGCAGACCTTGCTCGTGAAGAGAACCCTGGTTCATCGGCCACGTCTGGTTCAAGCTCTGCGGAATCTCCCACCAGGCAGGACGATGACGCTCTGACCGATGCCATGGATGTGCAGCCCGACGACTCGGCTGACTCGGCGGAAGACTTGATGCTTGGGGATGCAGACCAAAACATTGGCAAACGCGTCAAGGTATGTTTGAGTTCGGTTCCTCTGGTGGCGAGATGTTGACCTATCAACACAGGTCTATGAGCTCCGCGATCAGGCGTGGTTTGACCGCGGAACTGGTCACTGCAAGGGGGTCTATGACGACCAGAATGATGTGGCGCTTCTGATCGTGGAGGCCGAGGACCCAGCCGAGGGAGCACAAGGCGAAGATGGTGATGGGCCTGGAGGCTTTCTCAAGGACGACCTGCTTCTCAACACACAGGTCTCCAAAGATGAACAGTATAGCCGTCAGCAAGGTAGGTTGCTCGCGTGCGTGCAGAAGAAGCAAAAGTCTGACGGGAAATCAGAAACACTTATTGTGTGGACGGACCAGGCTACTCAATTAGACATTGCCTTGTCGTTCCAGGACCCCAAGGGCTGTGACGACATTTGGCAGTTTATCATGGAAGTTCAGAAGCATCTCAGCAACCAGATTGGCGACGAGCCCAAGCTGGCAATGGCGTCTTCCTCGTCGCCTATGGGCGGCTCACCTCTGCTCGGTCCAGCATCAACCGCAATGGGTGCCATGGCTCGAGATCATTGGCAGCCTCCGTCTCTCGCAAACATCAAGTGAGTTTGCTACATTTATCATGAGAACCCGCTGACCTTTGTTCAAGGGAGCACGAGATGTGGCTTCGTATGCAGGCCAAGTCGGCTGCTGGTCGCGAGCGTGCAGTGGAGAACATTATCGGCGAGGTAGGTCTCTTTCGGCCGTGTAATATGGGCGCGCTAACTTCGTTAGGACTACATTAAACAGCTGATCGGCGTGCTCAGCCAGGCTGAGGATCTTGAGAGTATCAACGATCTGCATGCCCTGTGCTCCTTAATGCAGACCATCCGTGAGTCCTTTTTGCGCTGCAGGGCGAATGGGTGCTAACCTGCTGCAGTCATGTTCAATGACAACGGCATCTTTGAGTATATTCTGCAAGACGAGATCTTTATGGGTGTCCTTGGCATGCTGGAGTGTGAGTGTCCCACGGCCCTTGTGGTTTACTGACTCGTGTTAGACGACCCCGAGTTCCCGACCTTGAAAGCATCGTACCGTGCCTTCTACACCCAGTTCTCCAAGTTCCGACAGGTTGTCGAGATCAAGGACGAGACAATTCGCAACAAGATTCACCAAACATCCAGGTTACTGTATCTCAAGGACGTTGTGCTCGCGAGGATGCTCGACGACCCCACGTTTGGCATTCTCAACAGCTTTGTCTTCTTCAACCAAGTTGACATTACGACATATATCCAGTCCGATGAGGTGCTACTTCACGACCTCTTTGTGGATTTCCGTACAGATCCAGACGACCCGGCCAAGGCCGCCAAGAAGCGCGACCTCGTCCAGTTTCTCCACCAGCTCATGGTCATGGGTAAGGGGGTGCAGGTACCCAACCGTCTTGCGCTGTACCGTACCCTCTTGGACCGTGGTCTGCTGTTCGCCTGCGAGTGGGCGTTTGGACAGCGTGAAGCGACCATTCTCCACGCAGGTGCTGAAATCTTGACTCTGGCCGTTGAGCACGACGTGAATGCTGTTCGCCTTCACGCTCTTCGCGAAGAAGAAATGTCCCGTCGTACGCTTGTTGTTGAGAGCATTGGTCTTCTTCAGTCAACGTCCGATCAAGGCCTCATCCAGCAGATGACCGAGACCCTGAAGACGTTGCTGGAACCTGGCGCCGAGGCAGAGGTAAATCATTGTTGCTTGATATGTGTGCTAACTCGTTAGCAGGCGTTTGGTCGTGCCAAGGAGCTGTCAGTGGCCGACACCTTTACACAGTACTTTTACGATCTCTGTGCTGCTCCCTTGTTTGGCCCTCTTTCCGAACTTCCAGAGCTCAAGGACTTGAACGGTAAGCTCCTTGTTTTGGTCTGTTTACTGACAATATTAGGGTCAATGCCCCTTACAGTCGAGCGCGTCCCCCTTATCAACACTCTGGTTGACCTGCTTTCGTACTGCGTCGCCGTGCACGCACACCGTGCGCAGTACTATATCCTCTCCAACCCCTTGGCGCAAAAGGTGTGCTCTCTCATTTATGCCAGGGAGAAGCCGCTTCGCCATGCCTCTTTGCGGTTCATCAAGGCTTGTCTGCGTACCAACAACCATTTCATCCACCGCAACTTTGCCAAGAATGGCGTCACAAAGGCCATTCTCGACCTCGTGCTGCGGGAGACGGACCGGGATACCATGTTGAGCTCGGCATGTCTCGACACTTTGGAACTGATCCGCAAGGAGAACATGAAGCCCATTATTGTCGACATGTTTGAAAAGTACGAGCCGGTCATGACACGGCTGGCGGAACGACCATTCGTTCGATCCTACGTCATGGGTCTCCGCATTCGCTGGGACCAGTACAAGGAGCCCCCACCTCCCCCTCCTCCTCAGACAGCCGAGTCCAGCAAGGCACGCACAGTCGCCGAGGAAGAAGACGCGTGGTTTCAGCAGTCCGACGACGAAGACGCCAACGGAGGAGACACCAGCACCTCGGACTCGTCTAGCGAATCGCAGGTCCCGGCCAAACGCAAGCGCGTGTTCCAGGCCACAGGTCCGTCCCCCAAGCGGCCCTCGCCTTCAAAGCCAACACCAGCACTTGGACTCGACTATGACGACGCGTCGGACAGTGAGGGATCGACAGACGGCGAATCGCCCAAGGCAACCGGCCGTCGCCCATCGCCCTCCATCGACTCGACCGAGACAGAACACCTTGCCGAGGAGCTGACCGACGTCGAGCAAAAGGTCCGCGCCAAGCGGATGCGTAACGAAGAGGAAGAGGAAGAAGCCGGAGGTTTTGCAGACCTGGTCAAGGGGGTGAAGAAGGGCGGGGCAGGGAGTGCATCGGGCGGGCCACAAGCATCGGCAAGGACAGTGAAGGAGGAGAAGGAGAGCACAGCAGAAGGGGCCGCAAGCGGCGGCAGCGGGGGTGGCAAGGAGAAGAAGATCCGTCTGAGTCTCAGTGGGCTGAGCAAGAAGTTTGGAGGGAGCAAGGCGCAGTAGTAGTGTAACACCTTTGGCATGCAGGCTCGTAACGTACGTATAAACAAACAAACCATTTCAGCACGGTGGACATGGCGATGCATCGATCGGCCGTGGGCGGTAAATTAATCGGTCGGATCGGCGCTACGCCCTTTTGCCACAATGATCCGCTATCGCGGTGATTTCGGCGTTAAAGGAAATTTGCCTCCGTTGCAGTTTGGCCTCCCACTGCGACGGCGTGTGCGTGCGGGCGCTGGCGGTGGATGGGCTGGTAGCTCTACGTCGAATCTGTTGGATCTTTCACTAACCCTCAAGTCAAAAAAGAAGCCGTACGTACAGCACCGCTACAGACACGACGACGACGACCGCTGACACGCTCCGCAGAAGATGGGTGTACGTTTCCGCGCGCGACGGTTGGACGAGGAGGAATGGTTTCGCTGACCCAGGTGCAGCGTGTTATTCGTGCCCAGAGGAAGTCGGGTGGTATCTTCAAGTCCCACACCCACCACAACAAGAACCCTGCTCGCCACAGGAACCTTGACTTCGCCGAGAAGAACGGCTACGTCCGTGGTGTTGTCCGCGAGATCATCCACGACGCCGGCCGGTGAGTCGAGAAACTCTGGGTCCGAAATCGCGATTTCGGGGAAATTGGGGAGAGGGGGGCGCAGCAACTTTTGTTGTGTGCAGACGCGGCCACTGTTGTGCGGGTGGCGGCAGCTGCTCTGCGGGTGGCCGTTGGAGAGAGGCGCCGGAATCGCGATTCGACCACAGAGGGACGGACAGGATGCGTCTGATGCTAACCCATTTCTCAGTGGTGCTCCCCTCGCTACCGTCGTCTTCCGCGACCCCTACCGCTACAAGCTCCGCAAGGAGACCTTCATCGCCGCTGAGGGTATCTCGACCGGCTCGTTCATCTACGCCGGCAAGAAGGCTGCCCTTTCCATCGGAAACGTTCTCCCTCTCGGCCAGTGCCCCGAGGGTACCATCATCTTCAACGTCGAGGAGAAGGTCGGTGACCGTGGAGCGATTGCCCGTACCTCGGGCAACTACGCCACCATCATTGGCCACAACGAGGACGGCAAGACCCGCATCCGTCTCCCCTCGGGTGCCAAGAAGACCGTCTCGTCGCGTGCCCGTGCTACCGTCGGTGTCGCCGCCGGTGGTGGCCGTGTCGACAAGCCCTTCCTCAAGGCCGGTCGCAAGCACCACGCCATGCGCGCCAAGCGCAACTCGTGGCCTCGTACTCGTGGTGTTGCCATGAACCCCGTTGACCACCCCCACGGTGGTGGTAACGTAAGTACACACATAACAGCGAGGCAGAGGAGTACCTGGGCACTGGGACGGCTACTCCATGTTTTATCGCCGCTCCCGTGCCCTTCGGCTTCCTCTTATGCCTCCCTTCGGTCGTTGAACTCATGCTGACTTGTCTACAGCACCAGCACATTGGCCACGTGGGTTTTTTTGGCTTCAGGTGGGATGGGGATGTGTTGAGGTGTCGGAACAATTGCTGTGGACGGCAGCGACGCAGCTGCGACTTTGGCGAACGTCGTGACAGCCACTCAACACTCTGGGCTGGAGGATCGGCGCCACAATTTTGCTTCCGCTTGGATTTACTCCCGCTGCCGCCACACCACGTCCTACACCTCCTACACCTCCAACACCTTCTCTTCACCTCTCCGCGTCCATTGCTGACCTCTACAGGCTTCTACTATGGCTCGCGATGCCCCAGCCGGCCAGAAGGCCGGTCTCATTGCCGGTACGTTCATTCTCGGTCAAGACGAACGCGAAACTAACTTCCTCAGCCCGCAGGACCGGAAAGATCCGTGGTACTGCCACCGTCAAGGACGCTTAAACAACTCGTCCTCGCGATTAGGTCTCGGGTCGCTCCGGCGATTGCGAGATCACCCAAGGGAGAGGAGGAGCACCGGTCGTACGCGCCATACAATTCCAGAACCCAAGGCTTGTACATACTACCCGTTCTGGCTTTGCGTATGCATCACTATGGGTTTAGTCATGAGTTTGTGACCTGCGAAGCAGGTGGAAAGAGCGAACAGCCGTACACCGGTGGGCGTTTCTAGGTTGATTGCGAGATGCGCATGAGTGTCACACGGGCTTGTGGGGAGTATGCAGCGCGGAGGGTCTTGTCGTGGACACAGCATGCCGCTCTGCCGACCGACGGGCGTAAGCAGCATAACCAAAATTCAGATGTCGACCCACACGGTTAGGTACGAACACCATCAAGTTCTACGGCTGAAGGGGCCTGACATCGCACCCCCAATTGTCCATGTGCTGGTTAGGAACAGGAAGAAGACGTAGATGGCCATTACGACGAGAGCTTTGTCCGTCTCGACGAGGCTGCCGATGCCAACTAAATTCCAGACATAGAACCAGTCGACCTGTCCTGTGAGGCCTGTGAGGCACATGGCGACATTAATGTATGCAGGCATATGCAATACGCCATTCAGCCAGTTGCGCCGCGTCGCGTGTCGCTGGCAACCATACGGGAGACCTCGCGCATCGATTTGACAGCGATAATTGGGCTTCGATTTATTTACTTATTTATTTATTTATTTATTTATTTTACTGTAACAACCACTGTCCAAGTGGTCCCTTATTTAAGCAAAGTTTCCCCTTGGGTGGCGATGCAGCAAGCACATCTGCAACATACCGTGTCGCCCCAGCGGTCGGGCGGAGTTAGCACATGAGTTTCAATGTATTGAACGAGACCAAAGCGAAATATATAATATGGGTTGCCATCATATTTTGGGACCTGCACTGGGTGGACGCAGGCCCAGCCCCTACACAGTTGACAAGCTATCCGTGTTTCACAACTGTGGTGCTACCTACATCCTCACAGACCCGTAATCTCTACACAACAGGCCGTCGTCGTCCCAGCTGTGTCCCGCCACCGCAACTGCGACAGGTGGGGGAGGTGGAGGGTGACAGTCCTCCCAAAACCACCAAACATGCCCGGGCGGCCGAGATAGTGGGCGCAATGTTTCATTTCTAACTGACATTGCTGGTCAAGGTGCCAGTGCGTACACAGCTTTTAGCATGCCAGGCTGGCTCTCATTGCGCCCTCTTCGAGCAGTCATTGTGCATTGGGGGCGAGAAGGAAGCAACCGCAGGGCACGACACGTCAACGACCTACTTCACATTTGACCTCCTCGTCGTCAGTTGCTCTCTCCGTCGCCTCCTTCATTCACCCCCAACCATAGTGGCCTCTTCATCACCTTGGCTGTAAGTGTGTGGCAGACCTGCCAACATCTACATAGCAAGGCTAACCAAGTTGCTTGTGATAATGGTCGTTCGTCGCTCATACTGCCTTCAGCTCTAGGTTCCACATTTACTCAACTACCTCTCTACCAACTTCCACCATGACTTCGTCCGCCCGCTTGCACCCGGACCATCAAGTTTACAACCGTTTCCTCCTCGACCCGTCGGCATCATTGCCCATGTGGCTCGACCTAATGCCATCTGGCGACCGCGCGACCAACGGCGGCAGTATCGCTGGGTACATCGCCGCTGGTAACAGTGCAGCCGTCATGCAACACCTCGAGTCGCTCATTCCCGCTGCCGTCGACCCTAAACCCGCCATCATGCACGGGCAACAAGGCGCGGTGGCCGCCGACGGCACCATCATTGTCGAGAATCTCCCTGTGGTGCAGTGCCTGCTGGACGCGCACGAGAACCGCGACGGGCTGCTGCCATTCGTGACTGGATTTTCTCGCGCCGAGCGCAGAATTTTCCTGGAGCGCATCGTTCGTCTGGTCCAAGTGGAGCTGGGCGGCCGTCTGGTCCGCAACACGATGATCGCCGAGCTGTACGACATTCAGCACCAGGGACCCGACCGCCGCCGCTTCCTCCTCAAGGATTTTTATCTGGAGCACCCTTTCGCCATCTTTGACACGGCCCCACTGTTTGAGGAGAGCAACGATACAATCGCGAATACGCAAGAGCGTTTCCAGGCGGTGAGTCAGTGTAGATATAGGCTGTCACTGATGAGTTCAGTACATCCTCCGCAACATGAAGGAGCAGGGTCTTCAGGCGCCCGACGTCGTTTGGAAGCCGCGCAAGGCGAGTCATATGGGGTTCAACGACCTCACCGTCAAGTGGTGAGTTGTATGAAATGAACAGCATCTAACTATCAGGGGCGCCGAACTCCAAAAGGTGTCGGTTCTCGAGGAGGTCGACGACGAGATGGCCAAGAAGATTGTCAAGTACGGCGAGGCCCGGCTGGAAGCCGGCATCTTCATCTCGCTCATCTATGCGGAAGTACTTGCGAAATTTGGCGTGGTGCCTACGCAAATCGGATCCCAGCTGTACATGTTGACGAAGAACAAGAAGATCAAGCCCAAGCGCAACGCTCTTGCTTCCCGCGCCGCCTTGGAAAAGCTCCGCGCCCAGTTCGAGGCAGACCCCAACGACGACCCGGAAGCGTACAACGCATCCACCCTTCGGCGCGCCATGACCCCCGGCTCGTTTTCTCCTCGTATCCGTTCTGGGAAGTGTTTACGCGCTACGACGACGAGAAAAACATCACCACCGAGCAGCGCCGTGTTATCAACAAGCGCGGTCGCCGCTTTGGCTGTGTAGTCGAGTCGTGTGTGTACAGCCGCGACAGCATGGTGGAGCGGCACGTTGACTCCGGAGCCTGGTTCCCTTGTCCCGGATTGACAAGATTGCAATTCGAGACCGCGCCGGACGACGAGCGCTTCTTGTGCTTGGAGCACTTCTACTTTTCAGAGTACCTGACAGACGGCGTGGGTGCCACCACCAACGTCACCCGTGTCGTCCTGGAGAACCCCGAGGAGTTGGACGTTCAGCTTCGCTTTGGACACTGCCACGGCAACAACTGCGCCAACTTCGGCGTACCCATGCCCCTCCTCGCCGACCCGCTGCACCTCCTGACATACGTCTGCACCACCTGCTTTGAGTTGCGTAAGAAGCAGGTCAGTGAAGTGAACGAGCTGGGACGACTCGCTCGTGCTCGAGGCAACGACACCTATGTCGTCATCGCCCAAAAGGACGACCTCGTCAACTGCTGTGTCGCCGACTGTCCTAACCCCGCCTTCTCCGGCGACCTCGGTCGTAATAGCCGCGCATTTGGACGTTACGGCTACCACTGCCGAGATGGTCCCTGCTGCAAGTCCTGCTGGGTGGCGACTTACAGCGGCGTCTCCACAATGGACGAGCTCCGCCGGCTGTTTGGCAGTGCGACCAAGCCCAAGCCCGGCGTCACCATCAACATGCGTCTCGTCGATACCGCCGCCATTGATCTGTTTGCCTCCACGGCCTCATCCGACACGGACCGCGAGCAGCTCTTCCTTGCCAAGTGTATCCATGTGGCCATCAACCTCTACCCTGTGCCGATCACCATTTCCATTGCCAAGCGATTCCTTCGCGCAAAGCTCGCTTCGGCTAAGCACGCCAGGGCTGGCGTGTGGCTCAAGCATCTGCGCGAGGACGCAGACAGTTGGCAGGAGGCCGCTGCAGCCGACGCTGGGAACCAGTGAGACGTGTTAATGTGCACGGAGAATGACGGTGTACATTCTTTGTAAATATACACAGACAACACATGAACATAACGGTGTAGCGCTACATGATGGCCAGCTCAAAGCATCTGGAAGTCCGAGTCTGAGTCCGAGTTGCCAGTCTCCTTGCCCTTGCGGGTACGGGCTTTCTTCTTGGGCGCGGGCTCGCCGGACGAGTGCGAACCATAGGTGCGAGGTCGCTTGGAGGGGCCAATGTCATCGGTCATGGACTGTGAGTCGTGAGCTATCAACGTCGGATAAGGATAAAAGGGGGCTTACGGTGGTGTCCTCATCGCTTTCCATCACCTCCTCCTCATCACTGGACGCGCCTCCCACCACCTTCTTAGGGGCGGACTTCTTCGCACCGCCTGACTTGTCGCGCCGATTGACAAGGAGCTTGAGCTTGTTGGGTTGTCCCGCGCGGAAGTTGTCGGAAGGGTGTCTGCATTCCGCTCCGCCCTTGATCTTGTTACCAGTTGCTTTGAAGTTCCAATCCGACATGGTCGAGGTGAACGTTTTCCAACCACCTCCAACTCCCCACTTAGCCACGCTGCTTGGGTCAGCACAAAACAGTATTGACAATGTCCCGAGGGGCTCACATGGTGTCGTTCGCAAATCGACTTTTGTCCGTGATTCGGAAGGCTGTCTCCGAGACCCACCCACAGAGGCCCGCTCCGGGCTCGCCAATGCGCGGCGACGAATCGAGAAGGGCATGGAGCTTTTCCTTGAGGCCCATGGTTGACGCCACAGGCTTGGACTGCGACGCGATCTTGGAGAGTCCCGCGCGGTTACCGCGGCGGAAGACACCGTCCGGGTCCTCGTAGAGCGCTCGACCGTTGGGGAGACTCGTGCGGGTGATGGCGAGAGTTCTGCTTGTCGCGTTCAAGATCAGGTTGCGCGGCTCCTCGCGAGGGGTTTCGTAGATATCTTCCCTGGCAGTGTCAGCGCATGCTCCCCATCACCTGCGCCAGATGTGTCGGGTGGCACTGGCTCACTCAATGTCGCGGTGGAAACGGGCGTTGTCAATAATCACAAAGCCCTTGCCGCATGGACCGTACGCAACGGTGCGCAGCCGCTCCTCGGCAATGTTCTGCTCCTGGTCGTCGATGACGTCCATGACGAGCTAGAGTATTTCTTGGAGCGAGACTCGCTCTGGGGCGCGGCACCGTGGCCGGGCTTGACGCAGCTGATGCGCTGAGGGAGAGGGGCTTGGCGGGACGGGTCATTCCTCCTGAGATCGATCTGGTGCTGGAGCTTCTTCTTGTTCTCTCTCATCTGGCGGCGGAAGGCGCTGTTGGGGTCCTGCAGCTCGGAGATGGGAACGGAGGACATATCGGGGAGCGGGGTGGGGGAGTTGGCCGGGGGAGATTGTGCAGGGTTGAGGGAGAGAGAGGTCGAGAGCACGCGCGCCGAGACATGAGTGTATGGTAGCCCTGAGGGGCCATAAATTAACGCCGTTATCGCCGGGCGCGACTGATTTCGGTTCCCTCATGTGAGGTCAGGCGATTTGGACAACTTGTTTCCATCCTTCTCGTCACCAGAGCCTCCAAGGGTGCTTTTCTTTACAGAAACAGAAAGGTGCCGGCTCCGCGCACCGAACCATGTCTTCAAATTACTGTGAGGATGAGCTTTACGACTTTCCCGAGCTGCCTACCCAGGTAGGTGGACCTATGACCTCGCGCGACCTGATTTGACGCGCTGCTCCCAGCCTGATGTCCTCAATGGCAGTGACCTGTACCTCCTCGGAAATGAGTGAGGGGCGATTTCGGCGGGATCATTTCCTGCCGCCCCATGCAAGCTGCCAGAGACTGCCGGCGGCCCCATACATGCCGGCCCTTCACCGATGTAGAACGCCGCACCGACACCTGGAGGTCCACGACGTCGTCTCTTCGACCACAGCCACGATCATGAAGCGCATTGCCGTGGAAGGTTTGCATTGTGAGCTCATATGTATGCGTTCACACGAGACCCTTAATTTCAGTCTTTGTTTCACAACGATGGTGGCATCTTCTATGAACAGAGGTGGTCTTCCTGAATCTACTTCAATCATCGATGAACTCCGACGTCCATTCTTACTCTCGGTTTGCAGTCAAGTGTCCGTTGGATGTCGGGGATGGCAAACTTAACCCTGGTACTCAACTCGGCGGCAGGGGAGCTCTGGTTTTCGAGTTTCGCGAAGTTCTCTTTCTGGCGCCGGCGAGTGGGATTTCCTCTGCTGTGTCGGCGCGCTCTGCAGAGGACTCGACTGCATCCCGCTTCACGCGTTTGTGTGTCTCCCGAGCTTGTACGTCGCGCGCCTTCGTCACTGTTGTTTGTTCTGTTGTTGGCGCAACCTTGCGGCTGAGCTGGAAGAGACGGAGTATGTCGGTGTCCTTGAGGCCCACGATACGGGCGACCTTGGCCGCATGGGCGCCAAGTGCGCTGAACAGCTTGGAACCCATTTCCCATAGAACAAGCTGGTCGATAAACCACTGCTCGATTGTGCTGAACACAAGGTTGTAGCGAATGCGGCGAATCTTGTTGCCGGGAGCAGGCTGTGAGACGGCCGGCAGGATCGAGCCGACGGTACCATCCGCGTTCAGCTTGAGCGAGGTGAGAGCCATCATTGCAACTGCGCTCCGCGGAGGCACAGCTGACGGGCCAGGGCAAAGGTCGTCGGCGAGTACTTGTTCGACACATGCACAAAGGAGTTGTACATGATGCCCTGCAATGTTAGTTTGCTCCACGCTCGCAAACTTACGTCCACCTCGATGGACCACACGACGGCTGTAAAGTGAGGCAAGTGGTGGCTGGCCCAGGTGGGGAAGAGGGTCAATAGACAACCTCCACGCTTCGGGAAGAGTCGCCCGCCGCAGTCGATTCCGGCGGCATAGGCGTCGCTGGCGCTTGTGCGCTCTCGTGGCACCACACTGCCAGCAAGCTCGGCTTGCTTCTGGCGACACTGCTGGGGAGTGCCGGCCCAAGCGCGGAAGGTGGCATTGACGACCTTGACGCGGTTGAGGACCAGTGGCTGGTCCACGGTCACCGGGTCACTGAGGTCTGCGGATGTGGAGCGCGGCATCGCAAGGACCCGGTGCTGGAGCTTGGTGCCCAGTTGACGGATAACGTGAAGCGAGGCATCCTTGTTGAAGGGGAGTGCCTCGGCCGGTACGGTCGTCGGCGGTGAGGTTCGGCGGAGCGTGGCCGTGACAGCAGCGATGCGCGCAGCACCGTCAAGCTGGACAGACGACGCTCGCCAGGGCTGTGGGTTGACTAGGTCGAAGCCTGAGTCTGGATGAGCGAAGTCGGTGCCGTGCCGTCTCCTGGCAAGGGTGCGTATTTTGTGTAGGACGTGCGCGTCGGCTGCCGAGCGTGTGTCGAGGACCACATGCGTCTCGTCGGCAGCAAACGTGACATTATCAGAAGCGCTGACAAACTGGTTCTCGTACACAAGGACCAAGTCGTGACGCTGAACGAATTCGAGCAGGTCACGGACATAGCCGGTGTGCAGGAGAGCTCCTTGCTTCGCAGCTTCCTCGCAGTCGACAAGGGCGGGTGGGAATGCACCGGGACAAGCAGGCCGCTGGCGCCTCAGGTACTCTGCAGCTTGGCGCGGGTGGAGCACGAGGGTGCGGGTCCGCGTGTGGCTGCAGATTTCTGGGGTTTCGACCTGCTGCTCGACGACTGCGGCCAGATTGAGGAGGCGGTTAAGAGATGCGGACTCGACGTCGGCGCGAACACGCTGAGGCCCGAATGTTGCAATGATGTTGGCAAGGGTGCGCACCACTGCATCGGTGCCACGCACTGCACAAAGTTAGTCGAGGATCCTAAACTTGACGATGTCAATGGCGGACTCACTGCTGGGGTCGCCCTGGCAGGTAAGGTCCAGGTGCCGCGTGGCGAGGACGTTGTTTTCTGCTTTTATAGGTGGGTATAAGGTGTTCAGTTGTTCCTTGCTCATGCCCACGACTTCTAGAAGGTTAGCTTTGAAGACTTTACGCAACTCACGAGAGCGAGGAACAGGGCGGGTGGTGGAGAACCAAAATGCCACAACCTGGTGGTCAACCGCGTTTTGCTGTTGAGGCGGGGAGCGATCATCGGGTTCATTGATATCAACGTCGTCAAAATCGTCGTGACCCTCTGGTGCAGGGGTCTCGAAAGAGTATCCACATGGGAGCTTCGCATCGCTGAGTTGGGAATCACGGTTGTGGTGTGAGTTGGCCCGCTCGACCTCGTTGGAGGGAGCGCGAGCGCAAGACGTCTTAGAGGGGCCAGCACCAGCAGACGGTCTCCCGGGCTCTACTGGCAGACAGTGCGGTCGGTGTGTTCTTGGCGAGTGGTGGGGATTGATCGCGGTCTGGCCGAGCGCCGAACGGCAGTCGTGAACGTGGGGGTCGCCGCAGCGTGAATGTTGCGGAGCGTACTGTCCATGGCCAGGAGATCGTTCACTCAATGGTCAGCAAGTGTTCTCGACGCAGGCACCACATACCACTATCGGAATGAAGAAGAATGCAGAATGAAGAATAACTACGGGAATTACAAGGATTAAGTACTAGATATGAGGGCGCATTTGATACCGTGTGGCGCAACACCAACAACGACTTGGCGTTGCTCGGCAGTCCGGGTCGCTCGCAATTGCTCATCAAGATCTCACCGCTTGTGCGCTCGCATTTGCGCCTCTCACCCCTCACGCTTGCTCGACCCGGCGCCGCGGCCCCGTGTCAGATCACGACCCTGTTGGTGTGTGCCACACACGGTCTCAAATATACCCTCATATCTAGTATTTAAATTGTAATTTCCGTATATCTTTCACTCTAAATTCTTCTCCATTCCGACAGACCCCACTACCTCCTCAACATTCTCCATCTCGTCACGCAGGTCTACCACCCGGTATCCACCACCTGAGCTCTGGGAAGCCTATTTCTCTCGTCATCCTCCTCTTGCCTCCCCTGTTCCACTACTGGCACTTCTCGACTTCTCGCTTCCTCGCCTTCACCTGAGCCTGCGGTATCATCGTTACCTCACGCCTTACTCGTCGACCCGTCCTCTCGGCAAGGGCGGCACCTGGGCACCAGCTCAAGTTTGGATCTCGTCCACCTCCACTGGGGTGCTTTAAGTACCCCACTTCAACATCTCAAACCATGCGTCTCTAAACTGTCAGCCCCGTAAACCCGAGGGACCGGGCCCCTCTAGTGTACAACAGCAACTGTCGGCTCCCGCCAACGCGGTTGAGCCGACCAACACCACAGTCTCGTATTCGGCCGCAAGCTTCTCGTCCGAGGACCTCAAGAAGCTCGCGGAACAGCCTATCCACCCGAACCCCACCTCCCTTTTCTCAGCAGACCATGGCTCCCTGGGACTCGGCTATAAAACGTTGGCCCCGGACTCGGACCCAGCATGGGAAGCTAATGAAGACGAGGGAGTTGACGACGAGTACGTCGGGCATCCAACATCCCGCGTTCCCCCAACCCTGCCGGCGTCCGGTGATGCGCAATGGGTCCACAACTACATCCTGTGGTGGTGGTTCTCAACCAGCCGCACCACCCACCGCCCCTCCGCAAAAACGTACCTCGAGGAGCGAGACCAAGCTTACCCCCATCGCGAGGCCGAGAACTCGGTTGCCAGGTCTCGCCACCTTGACGTGCTTTGTCAAGCGGACCCCTCTAGTGAGTCACCCTTGAGTGGAACAATGTATTAATCACTGTAGTGCGTGTGCTCGACTCGTTGGTTCGTCTGCTCGTGAACCTCGTCCCCGCAGCCATCGCCGTTGGCCTGACCCTGCAGAGTATCGTCAAGATGACCGAGGTGGTCCGCCGATCAACCTTGACGCCGAGATCAAAGTGGGTCGTGCCCTTAAGACCCTCCTCCTCACTCCGGCGCAAGCTGCGACCTACCTCGAGCTCGAGCGGAACGACACTCGTGCCGACCGCGAACCGGAGCCTTCGCACCCGCGCTGGTGGATGATGACGAATGTAAGTTGGCAAAACTCGATACTTGCATTATAGTGACTGACAACACATTAGCGGTTTCGCAAAACGTGATGACACAAGTCAGGCGTGCGTGACATGCCTGACCTGGCGATCCGCCATGATCTGGTCGTCATCTACGAGACCGAGTACAAGTCCATATTTGACACGTCGCCTTTTAAGGCAGACGAGTCACTGGTCATCATGGCCGCCAGGTCAAGTGCAGAACCGGATATACTCGATCGGATTCGCTTGGTGGCGATGAGCCGTGTGGGCAAGGACTTTGTGGTGCAGCTCTCAACACTCAGCAGCTGCTGCTCGCTGCCGACCTGGCCGGCATCACGCGAGCGCAGCGCATGGCAGCTCAACGCCTCACACGTACGGTCGTCACCACCGCGAAGCACGCCACGCCAGGTGCTACGACTGTGTCAAGCGCGACTGGTCAGTCTGTTCCATTCAATTCCGAGGGCGTGTTCTTCCTCGGCCGCAAGATCGTCCCCGCGCCCGTGGCCAGCGCTCGTACTTCGTCTTCGGCCTCTGTGACAACAAGCTCTGTGGTGACCATTCGATCTCAAGGCGAGCTGCGCACTATGCCGCTCACGATGGGGGCAAGTGTACAGTCCCTCGACACATGCCAGCCTCTGCGACATAAGCCACAGCTTGTCGAGCTGGTCTTGAACAACACCGCAGTGCTTGGCCAGCTGGGGAAGCCTGGTGTCGAGGCCAACTGCGGACCAGGTGTCTGGACGGTGGCCGAGGGTGCGGAAGGCAGTGACGAAGTACCGCGAGATCGAGGGGAGCTCGAGGTACTCGCGTCGGACCCTAACCGAGTTGGGCTCGGGCCTTGACACCTCGTTGCTGACGGTAATGTCGGCAAAGGTGCGCCCAAGGCGGAGGAGCGCCATACGGGCGACGGCGGGGTCGAGACGTAGACGAGGAGCGAGGGCCAAGGTCGCTGGCGAGAACGAGTCCGAGGTGTGCATGTACGAGTTGTACACGACACCGTCGAGCTTGATCGTCCAGACGACCGAGGAGAAGGTGGGGACGGCGGAAGGGATGACGCCGGCGAGGAGGGTGAACAGGCATCCACCCCGTTTGGGGTAGAGCCTGCCGAACGCCTCGAGAACGGCGGCGTACTGGTGCCCCGGGATGACCGACTCGGGGGGGGGGGGGGGGGGGGGGGGGGCAGAGGAGGAGGAGGAGTCGCGGAGGATCTGGCGGCAAGCCTCGGGCGTTCCCGACCAGGCGCGATACTCGGCCTTGATGGTTTTGCCGCCCAGAGCGAGGTCCTCGGTGACCGCCACGGAGCGAGTGGTCGAGCGCGCCGTGTTGGCCGCCATCGCGCGCACACGGTCGAGAAAGGCTTGGCCAAGCTGGCGAACAATGTGGAGCGAGCCGTCGCGGTTAAAGGGGGCCGCGACGGCTGAACCGCCGAGGGGGAGGGCCGAGCGGCGGACCTTGCTGACGACCTGGTAGAGGTTACCAGCGGCCTTGAGCTGGGCAGTGGTGGCTCCCGCGGGGTTGGGGTTGGCGAACATTGTTCGCGATGTGGTGTGGCCAAAGTTCTTGCCCGTGCAGCGAATGGCGAGACGGTGGAGGGCGTCGAGGTCGGCGTGCGACTCGCGCGTGCGGCCGTCGACGACCACCAGAGTCGAATTCGCCGAGAAGGGAGCGCTGGCACCTGGGCGGCCGTACCCGTTCTCGAAGACAAGGACAAGTCCGCTCTTGACGGCGAGCTGGAGCTTGTCCTTGTCTTGTCCCAGTCAGCGTGCCCGAGCACGTTGTCTTTAACCGACTGGAAGTCCTCAAAGAGTGCGGGTGTAAGGGCGCCATGGCGCAGGGGGGGACGGCGGCCAAGGTAGTCGACAGCCTGGCCGAGGGTGAGTGCGAACGAGCGGGTCTTGAAGCTGCACGAGATGGTCGGCGTGCAGACCTTGCTCGCAAAGACCGGGGCCGCACCGACGAGCTCGTCGAGTGGTGCGCGCTCGATGAACGCACGCACCGGGATGCCCGCCACCGCTGCCCGAGCACCAATGGTGTCGAGGTACCCAATCAATGATGTCAGGTCGCGCACTTTGGGATGCTTTCAGCGAACGCCTTGACCCGATGTTGTAAGCCACTCAAACTCACTGGAAACATCGGCCTGGCAATCGACGTCGGGAGGTCGAGTCTTGTGGGCGGTGCTCTCCGGGCGCCTCGACGGGTACTTCTCCTCGCGCTCGTCGGTGTCGATCCGCGGTTGACCTCGACGTTGTCATAAGGGTACTCACAAAGGAGGCGACGACCAGGCTCATCCTGCTCCCAGAAGCGCTCCGCCAAGGTGGTCGCGGCAGCTGCCGAGGACGCAGCGCGGATTCGGCCCTCCTCTCACGGTCACCGGGTCACTGAGGTCTGCGGATGTGGAGCGCGGCATCGCAAGGACCCGGTGCTGGAGCTTGGTGCCCAGTTGACGGATAACGTGAAGCGAGGCATCCTTGTTGAAGGGGAGTGCCTCGGCCGGTACGGTCGTCGGCGGTGAGGTTCGGCGGAGCGTGGCCGTGACAGCAGCGATGCGCGCAGCACCGTCAAGCTGGACAGACGACGCTCGCCAGGGCTGTGGGTTGACTAGGTCGAAGCCTGAGTCTGGATGAGCGAAGTCGGTGCCGTGCCGTCTCCTGGCAAGGGTGCGTATTTTGTGTAGGACGTGCGCGTCGGCTGCCGAGCGTGTGTCGAGGACCACATGCGTCTCGTCGGCAGCAAACGTGACATTATCAGAAGCGCTGACAAACTGGTTCTCGTACACAAGGACCAAGTCGTGACGCTGAACGAATTCGAGCAGGTCACGGACATAGCCGGTGTGCAGGAGAGCTCCTTGCTTCGCAGCTTCCTCGCAGTCGACAAGGGCGGGTGGGAATGCACCGGGACAAGCAGGCCGCTGGCGCCTCAGGTACTCTGCAGCTTGGCGCGGGTGGAGCACGAGGGTGCGGGTCCGCGTGTGGCTGCAGATTTCTGGGGTTTCGACCTGCTGCTCGACGACTGCGGCCAGATTGAGGAGGCGGTTAAGAGATGCGGACTCGACGTCGGCGCGAACACGCTGAGGCCCGAATGTTGCAATGATGTTGGCAAGGGTGCGCACCACTGCATCGGTGCCACGCACTGCACAAAGTTAGTCGAGGATCCTAAACTTGACGATGTCAATGGCGGACTCACTGCTGGGGTCGCCCTGGCAGGTAAGGTCCAGGTGCCGCGTGGCGAGGACGTTGTTTTCTGCTTTTATAGGTGGGTATAAGGTGTTCAGTTGTTCCTTGCTCATGCCCACGACTTCTAGAAGGTTAGCTTTGAAGACTTTACGCAACTCACGAGAGCGAGGAACAGGGCGGGTGGTGGAGAACCAAAATGCCACAACCTGGTGGTCAACCGCGTTTTGCTGTTGAGGCGGGGAGCGATCATCGGGTTCATTGATATCAACGTCGTCAAAATCGTCGTGACCCTCTGGTGCAGGGGTCTCGAAAGAGTATCCACATGGGAGCTTCGCATCGCTGAGTTGGGAATCACGGTTGTGGTGTGAGTTGGCCCGCTCGACCTCGTTGGAGGGAGCGCGAGCGCAAGACGTCTTAGAGGGGCCAGCACCAGCAGACGGTCTCCCGGGCTCTACTGGCAGACAGTGCGGTCGGTGTGTTCTTGGCGAGTGGTGGGGATTGATCGCGGTCTGGCCGAGCGCCGAACGGCAGTCGTGAACGTGGGGGTCGCCGCAGCGTGAATGTTGCGGAGCGTACTGTCCATGGCCAGGAGATCGTTCACTCAATGGTCAGCAAGTGTTCTCGACGCAGGCACCACATACCACTATCGGAATGAAGAAGAATGCAGAATGAAGAATAACTACGGGAATTACAAGGATTAAGTACTAGATATGAGGGCGCATTTGATACCGTGTGGCGCAACACCAACAACGACTTGGCGTTGCTCGGCAGTCCGGGTCGCTCGCAATTGCTCATCAAGATCTCACCGCTTGTGCGCTCGCATTTGCGCCTCTCACCCCTCACGCTTGCTCGACCCGGCGCCGCGGCCCCGTGTCAGATCACGACCCTGTTGGTGTGTGCCACACACGGTCTCAAATATACCCTCATATCTAGTATTTAAATTGTAATTTCCGTATATCTTTCACTCTAAATTCTTCTCCATTCCGACAGACCCCACTACCTCCTCAACATTCTCCATCTCGTCACGCAGGTCTACCACCCGGTATCCACCACCTGAGCTCTGGGAAGCCTATTTCTCTCGTCATCCTCCTCTTGCCTCCCCTGTTCCACTACTGGCACTTCTCGACTTCTCGCTTCCTCGCCTTCACCTGAGCCTGCGGTATCATCGTTACCTCACGCCTTACTCGTCGACCCGTCCTCTCGGCAAGGGCGGCACCTGGGCACCAGCTCAAGTTTGGATCTCGTCCACCTCCACTGGGGTGCTTTAAGTACCCCACTTCAACATCTCAAACCATGCGTCTCTAAACTGTCAGCCCCGTAAACCCGAGGGACCGGGCCCCTCTAGTGTACAACAGCAACTGTCGGCTCCCGCCAACGCGGTTGAGCCGACCAACACCACAGTCTCGTATTCGGCCGCAAGCTTCTCGTCCGAGGACCTCAAGAAGCTCGCGGAACAGCCTATCCACCCGAACCCCACCTCCCTTTTCTCAGCAGACCATGGCTCCCTGGGACTCGGCTATAAAACGTTGGCCCCGGACTCGGACCCAGCATGGGAAGCTAATGAAGACGAGGGAGTTGACGACGAGTACGTCGGGCATCCAACATCCCGCGTTCCCCCAACCCTGCCGGCGTCCGGTGATGCGCAATGGGTCCACAACTACATCCTGTGGTGGTGGTTCTCAACCAGCCGCACCACCCACCGCCCCTCCGCAAAAACGTACCTCGAGGAGCGAGACCAAGCTTACCCCCATCGCGAGGCCGAGAACTCGGTTGCCAGGTCTCGCCACCTTGACGTGCTTTGTCAAGCGGACCCCTCTAGTGAGTCACCCTTGAGTGGAACAATGTATTAATCACTGTAGTGCGTGTGCTCGACTCGTTGGTTCGTCTGCTCGTGAACCTCGTCCCCGCAGCCATCGCCGTTGGCCTGACCCTGCAGAGTATCGTCAAGATGACCGAGGTGGTCCGCCGATCAACCTTGACGCCGAGATCAAAGTGGGTCGTGCCCTTAAGACCCTCCTCCTCACTCCGGCGCAAGCTGCGACCTACCTCGAGCTCGAGCGGAACGACACTCGTGCCGACCGCGAACCGGAGCCTTCGCACCCGCGCTGGTGGATGATGACGAATGTAAGTTGGCAAAACTCGATACTTGCATTATAGTGACTGACAACACATTAGCGGTTTCGCAAAACGTGATGACACAAGTCAGGCGTGCGTGACATGCCTGACCTGGCGATCCGCCATGATCTGGTCGTCATCTACGAGACCGAGTACAAGTCCATATTTGACACGTCGCCTTTTAAGGCAGACGAGTCACTGGTCATCATGGCCGCCAGGTCAAGTGCAGAACCGGATATACTCGATCGGATTCGCTTGGTGGCGATGAGCCGTGTGGGCAAGGACTTTGTGGTGCAGCTCTCAACACTCAGCAGCTGCTGCTCGCTGCCGACCTGGCCGGCATCACGCGAGCGCAGCGCATGGCAGCTCAACGCCTCACACGTACGGTCGTCACCACCGCGAAGCACGCCACGCCAGGTGCTACGACTGTGTCAAGCGCGACTGGTCAGTCTGTTCCATTCAATTCCGAGGGCGTGTTCTTCCTCGGCCGCAAGATCGTCCCCGCGCCCGTGGCCAGCGCTCGTACTTCGTCTTCGGCCTCTGTGACAACAAGCTCTGTGGTGACCATTCGATCTCAAGGCGAGCTGCGCACTATGCCGCTCACGATGGGGGCAAGTGTACAGTCCCTCGACACATGCCAGCCTCTGCGACATAAGCCACAGCTTGTCGAGCTGGTCTTGAACAACACCGCAGTGCTTGGCCAGCTGGGGAAGCCTGGTGTCGAGGCCAACTGCGGACCAGGTGTCTGGACGGTGGCCGAGGGTGCGGAAGGCAGTGACGAAGTACCGCGAGATCGAGGGGAGCTCGAGGTACTCGCGTCGGACCCTAACCGAGTTGGGCTCGGGCCTTGACACCTCGTTGCTGACGGTAATGTCGGCAAAGGTGCGCCCAAGGCGGAGGAGCGCCATACGGGCGACGGCGGGGTCGAGACGTAGACGAGGAGCGAGGGCCAAGGTCGCTGGCGAGAACGAGTCCGAGGTGTGCATGTACGAGTTGTACACGACACCGTCGAGCTTGATCGTCCAGACGACCGAGGAGAAGGTGGGGACGGCGGAAGGGATGACGCCGGCGAGGAGGGTGAACAGGCATCCACCCCGTTTGGGGTAGAGCCTGCCGAACGCCTCGAGAACGGCGGCGTACTGGTGCCCCGGGATGACCGACTCGGGGGGGGGGGGGGGGGGGGGGGGGGCAGAGGAGGAGGAGGAGTCGCGGAGGATCTGGCGGCAAGCCTCGGGCGTTCCCGACCAGGCGCGATACTCGGCCTTGATGGTTTTGCCGCCCAGAGCGAGGTCCTCGGTGACCGCCACGGAGCGAGTGGTCGAGCGCGCCGTGTTGGCCGCCATCGCGCGCACACGGTCGAGAAAGGCTTGGCCAAGCTGGCGAACAATGTGGAGCGAGCCGTCGCGGTTAAAGGGGGCCGCGACGGCTGAACCGCCGAGGGGGAGGGCCGAGCGGCGGACCTTGCTGACGACCTGGTAGAGGTTACCAGCGGCCTTGAGCTGGGCAGTGGTGGCTCCCGCGGGGTTGGGGTTGGCGAACATTGTTCGCGATGTGGTGTGGCCAAAGTTCTTGCCCGTGCAGCGAATGGCGAGACGGTGGAGGGCGTCGAGGTCGGCGTGCGACTCGCGCGTGCGGCCGTCGACGACCACCAGAGTCGAATTCGCCGAGAAGGGAGCGCTGGCACCTGGGCGGCCGTACCCGTTCTCGAAGACAAGGACAAGTCCGCTCTTGACGGCGAGCTGGAGCTTGTCCTTGTCTTGTCCCAGTCAGCGTGCCCGAGCACGTTGTCTTTAACCGACTGGAAGTCCTCAAAGAGTGCGGGTGTAAGGGCGCCATGGCGCAGGGGGGGACGGCGGCCAAGGTAGTCGACAGCCTGGCCGAGGGTGAGTGCGAACGAGCGGGTCTTGAAGCTGCACGAGATGGTCGGCGTGCAGACCTTGCTCGCAAAGACCGGGGCCGCACCGACGAGCTCGTCGAGTGGTGCGCGCTCGATGAACGCACGCACCGGGATGCCCGCCACCGCTGCCCGAGCACCAATGGTGTCGAGGTACCCAATCAATGATGTCAGGTCGCGCACTTTGGGATGCTTTCAGCGAACGCCTTGACCCGATGTTGTAAGCCACTCAAACTCACTGGAAACATCGGCCTGGCAATCGACGTCGGGAGGTCGAGTCTTGTGGGCGGTGCTCTCCGGGCGCCTCGACGGGTACTTCTCCTCGCGCTCGTCGGTGTCGATCCGCGGTTGACCTCGACGTTGTCATAAGGGTACTCACAAAGGAGGCGACGACCAGGCTCATCCTGCTCCCAGAAGCGCTCCGCCAAGGTGGTCGCGGCAGCTGCCGAGGACGCAGCGCGGATTCGGCCCTCCTCTTCATCACCTCCGTCGACTCTCACCGCATCCTCCTCCTCCTCCATGTCGTCAAAGTCGACATTCTCCTCCTCCTCGGGCAGCTCGATGCCATATCCAGAGTTTTTGAGTACAACGCGCTCAACCTCGGTGGAGGGTGCGCGTGCGAGAGACGTCTTAGAGGGGCCAGCTCCCTCAGACAGTCTCTCGGGTTTCACTGGCGGACAGAAAGAACGAGGGCCATGGTGGCCGGGAATTGCGAGAGTGGGGGCAGTTGGGCGCCCCAGGTGGTGGCCGGGAAGGAAGAGGGAAAGGAAGAGTGACGTTGGGCGCGGCCCGCGCAGCCCAGAGTCGGGAGGAACGGGAGCCAGGAGACGAGGGAGCGAATGTGAGAGGAGAGAGGTTGAGGCGGTTGAGGAGGCTGAGGGGGCTGAGGAGGTCGAAAGGTCGAGAGGAGAGCGGGAGCGAGAATGACCTGGCCCGGGGCCGCAGCGCCGGGTCAAGCAGGGGTGGTGGTGGAGAGGCGAGAAAGTTTGCTGGCCGGTGAGAGCTGGTGCGTCCAGGAGCAGTAGCAGTGACCTTTTAGTTGGGTCACGCCTTGTAAACCTTTCATGGTCTTCAGTGCCGGACTGAAGAAGGATGCAGAGTGAAGAAGTAAAAGTCCGGAAATTCCAACTTAAATACTGGATTTGACGGGTCGGGATGGATTTGATACCGCGTGTGGCGCCACGCAGCCTGTCTTCCTTGTCGTGACGGCGAAGCCTTCAAAGGACGGAATCATCCCTTCCGGCCCCACCCCCCCCCTAAAGGAGCATGTACTTCCAGCCTTCCTGTGACCCTATGAAATTTCATTCGTACACCTACGTACAGACCTCAGAATTCATCGCTGCTCTGTTCTGTTCAGCAAAAAAGATGCGCATGGACGAGGGCAGAGTCCGGAGGGCCGGCGGGGTCTCGGCCGTCTTTGCGTCTGGGATCCTGGGAGAGCGTCGGGTTGGCGGGTTAGGGGGGGGGGGGGGGGGCGGAGCGTGACGCCTGTCTCGCGCGCGCGTGTGTGTGTGGCATGCACGGGTGTGTCTGTCCGCGTCTCGTGTTCCCCCCCCCCCCCTCGGGGGCTGGATGCCCCGTTGCCCTCCGGTCGGTCGTCATTCTGTATCCGTCGTGCTGACTGGTGTGACAATGCTGCAGGCCAAGACGACCGTGGTACCGTGGGCGCACACAATCCCCATCTCAACCCATCACCCACTTGCTCTTGTCCAACCACCCAAACAACTCGACACCACCATGCCCTCTGCCCAAACCCCCATCACCAGTCCACCCCCCAAGTCGTTCGAGGAGAAGTGGTTCGAAACAGCCAAAAAACTCATGGTTGTGGGAAGCGGCGTGCCGGAACCCCCTCAGCGCTGGGAGGCTCGCAAGGTCAAGAAAACCTCAAAGTCGCCCAACATGCTTTACCCCCTGCACGATGCCATCAGCGATCCCGCCGACACCAACATCTACTGGTCTGGCCCGGACCGTTTCCGTATTGTCCATCGCCCACAGTTTGCTGGCCGCGTGGTGTGAGTCACTCCGCCTGGCAAGTGCGGACACCACAGCATTGGGAAGTGGGGCGTCATTGGAGGGTGGTCAAATTTCAACTACAACTTGAATAACTGGGGCTTTCGGATGACCGACTACAAGCCACTCTTTGGCGACGGCGGCGAGTGGTGCCGACCAGCGAGTGGCTTCCTTCGCGACGATCGCAGCGCCCTTGACACCATCTTGAAGGGCGGCTCGAAGAATGGCACCCGCTGGTCCACCCCCCCGTCCTCCCTGCACCCTTTACACACCCAAAACGCACACTCCAAACACTGTCTGTTGAACGCCTTGAAAGGCAGCCGGTGCCTGGTCCGAAGAGCTAACGGAAACCGCAGCTGCCTCAGCATCACCAGAATTCAGGTCATGGACTTCAACCGTGTCCCTGATCCCTGAGCGACTGCCCAGTACTGCCGAGACAATGCACCATGACAGCGACTTTCGCACCCACTTGAGGGCCGTCAAAGCCCTCCACAACCAAGAACTGGCCCTCTCGAGGGACAATGCCGCACTTCGAGCTCCGGCCCCACCTCGCCTCAGCTGCGTCAAGGCCGGGTTTGGTAGGGCAAGCGGTTCCGACTCGCGTTCCGTCAAGGTACTCAAGTACATCTTTGACGTGATCGTTGACCAGGAGGGCAGCGGCCTCCACGAGGAGCTCCGAACGGTTGCCTCTCGTCCCCGTGGCAGGGGCTTCGTCCTCGTTGACGCGGCCCGCTATAAACCCGGACGTCGAGTGAGTCAACAGCAATCTCCAGGCCTCCAGGGTTCTGCGCTGACATATTTCAGGACCCTGTTCGCGCGCCACGAGGAGAACCGCCAGGTGATCCTCAACGCGACGACGCGCACGCTCAACCTCCAGCGTACGACCCTGCCCAACGGTCGTGCCTGGTACCAGGACCCAGCAGGTCTCTTTCGTCGCGGCAACCGTTCTCGGCTCTCCGACATTGAGTCGCAGAAAAAGGTTGCCAAGTCGGCGGCGACGACCAGCGAGAAACTGCTGGCTCTCCTGGATTCGTCGCCGCGCATGGGCCAACCCGGTGCGGGACTGTGCTTCTGGGTGACGGACACGGTGTTTCGCATCGAGCACAAGTCCCGCTTCGCCCGCGAGGCCATGCGAGCTGACGGGTCCACCTGAAGCGTTGATGCTAATGAGTACAGCATTCCTCAGTGGAACATCCGGGGCGATTGGAAAACCTTCGTCTCGTATCTCTCTGAGTGGCAGTTCCGCTCCACGGGTACCAAGGTCAAGGGCGGCGCCGAGTACAGCCACCCATCTGGCAATTTCCACTCAGGCCGCCCCAAAAGGCTCCAGTACCTCGTGAGCGTGCGGAACAAGGCGAAATCGGCTCCTGCGAGGCCATCGGCCGCGCGATCGGACGCCGGCCAGACCGAATACGTCAACTTGACGATGTCAAGCGACGATGACGAGGTACGCCCCCTTCCAGGACTGTTCCCCCTGCACGATTCCACGGCTAACAAAGAGCAGGCGCCGGACGAATCGGACGACGACGAGGCGGGGCCGAGCTTTCCCGTGCAGCGCAGCCTGTACATCATCTCGGACGACGAGGACGACGATGATGAGCCCGGGGCAAGCTCCTTGGACATTACGAAGCGTCCCCGGGTCATCGCGGATCCTGACGACGACGATGACGACGACGACGACAAGTCTGCCCCTGGCCCCAGCATCGTCGCTCCAAAGCGCCGCCGCGTTGTGTTGGATCCTGACGAGGACGAGTCCAACGACTACAACGTTGGCTCGTCGTCCTCCCGTCCGCCGACCTGGGACGTCTCGAACGCGTCTTCCTCCTCGTCTGGCACCACCGCCCAATGGGAGTGTGCGCGCTGCCAGGCCCAGAATTCGGCCGTCAACGTCTTCTGCCGTGAGTTGTCGTGTGATATGGCGACTTCTATTCAAACCGAGAAGGGGAACTGATGGACCAAGACCAATGTACGTTCGACAGGAATTCCGGTTACACCAAGCCCACTGCCCCGTGGAGTTGCGTCCACTGCGAGACACGCAACCCAGCGGCATTTGTGATTTGCCGTAAGTCTCACTGTTTGCTGAACCTGTGCTGAGCCCACAGAGCAATGCTTGGAGTATGCGTAGAGGCTTGGGCGTCACGCTGTGCAAGGCGGTGCCCTCAAGTGGATGGATGCGAGGCGGTCAACGGGCTAGAAAAGTGTATTACATTGAGCAAGTGAACAAGGAGCTTGATAGAAATGTTGCCAGCATGTAAAGCATGTAACGTAAAGTGATGACCGAATAGCCATGGAGGTACACGGAGGGCTGTTGCGTTGTTGGGCTCACGACACTGTATGTATGTACGTTTGTACCCTTGATAGCTCTGAAGACTCGTTTTGAGCTTTGGAATCTGAGATTCTGTCAACGCGCTCTTCCCTCAGCGCCTCTACAATGCTCACCAGTGCTTGCCTGGTTGAATACACCACAGCAGCCGCATATACCTATGTAGCCATGAGTCTTCCTTTGTGACCCATTCCGCATCTCGCTTGTGTACATGATGCGGCAGATGGCGTACCGGAGGAAATGAGTGCCTACCTGGCCGACGGGGACTGGAGACAGCCTTGCGACGAACGAACTGTCACAGAATGGCTGCGTTTATGCACAGCGCACACACAGATCGCGGGATCGCGGGCAGTGTTAGGGTCTGTCTCATGGTTCTTTTGGAGTGTCATTCTGACCCGGGCACGACGGGGCGCAATTGCGCAACGTGAGGACAACATCCTTGTCACTGTTCTCACCCTCATCTGCTCCTCATTGTTCTCCACTACAAACGTTATTTTGTTGCGGATTCAACCTCTCTTTGTTCGTGAGTTACGGATCGAAGTCCCGGGTCTCGCGTCTCATGAACCGCGAGCGTGGCGGCAGTTGAATTCTGACCCTTTGGGGTGCTGACATCCGGCTCAGCGTTTGCAACGCGTTAACATCGTCCCATTCATGGCCATCCACCCTTTGTGTTGACGGTCTTCTTGCCTTTGGTGAGTGATTTGTCAAACTGTGCCATCCGTTGGCGAAAAGAACGTGCTGGGCCTAAAGGCTAATTGGCCAGAGCTGCCACCCGTTCCGACACTTTCACCTCTTCAAGACCACCCAACCCGCCTCCTCGAGACTACCACCCACCCACCAACCAACCAACAATCATACACCATGATGCACCCAACCCACAAGATTTACACCTTCTTCCTCCTCCCATACACCGCTACCCTCCCACCTTGGATCGACTGGATGTCGTCTACGGACCGTGCAGCCAACGGCGCCATCATTGCCGGCCACCTGGCAGCTGGCGACGACGTGGCCGTAATGAACCATCTGCAGCAGATCCTTCCCGTAGCCTTGACCCATACGCATCTCTGATGCATGGTCACGGCGACGACACAATTACTGCGGACGGCACGGTTCGTGTTGAGACGCTCCCGGTGGTCCAGTGTCTGTTGGATGCGCACCTGTATCAGAACGCCCTCCTGCCGTTTGTTGCTGGATTTTCGCCGCCCGAGCGCCGCGTCTTCCTGCAGCGTCTCATCGAGACGGCTTCGTTTGAACTGGGAGGCCGGCTGGTGCGCAACACCATCATGGCCGAGCTCTACGACTTGCTTCACCAGGGTGCGGAGGCCCGCCGTTTCCTCCTTCCAGACTTTTACCTCAAGTCTCCCTTCCCCGTCTTTGATCTCGCGCCCTTGGGTGGTCAGGGTACCGACCCCATCTTTAACAGACCCGAAAGACTTCAGGCGGTAAGTCTGTGACGCCATGGGCTGCTGCTGACCCTCTCAGCATATCCTGAAGTTCTTGAGGCAACAAGGCAGAACTGTTCCCGACATCGTGTGGCGTCCCCGCAAAGCCAGCTTTATGGGCTTCAACGACCTCGTTACGCATTGGTGAGTGGATTACCCTGATTATCGCAACTGACGACGATCAGGGACCCTGACCAGGTGCGCCTGGTGGCCTACGAGGAGGTCGACACCAAGACCGCAGAGCGCATCCGGGCCTACGGTTCTCAACGGCTCGCAGACGGCGTGATCGACTGGCTCGTTGACGCCGAGATCGTGGCAGAGTTTGGTGTGGCGCCAACTCAACTCAGCCTTGCCCGCAATATTTCGCGCAAGAATCGCCGCGCGTCTGACACCGCCGTCTCGCGCACTGCTCTTGAGGCCCTTCGTCGCCGTTGGGAGGCCGACCCCGACACCGATGCCGACCTCTACGTCAGTGTCCACCCCCGTGCGCGTGGCGATGCCCGCATAGTTTTCTCGGGTTACCCGCTGTGGCAGATTTTCCACGGCTACGACCAAGAAAGAGGCATCACGGCTGAGCAGCGTCACGAGATTAACGAGAAGGGTCGCCTGTTTGGATGTGTGATCCACCGGTGTGAGAACAGTCGCGAGCGAATGGCCGAGCGTGGCATCGACCCCGGCTACTGGTTTCCCTGCGGCAACCTGCCGCAACTCTCGTCCGAGAACGGACGTCCTGAGCACACGCGGTATCTGTGCGCACGCCACTTTTACTCGTTCGAGTTCCTCGACGACAAGAAAAACTGCATAGGTGCCACCCTCAACGTCACCCGTGTCGTGTTGGAGCATCCCGAAGAGCTCGCCGTCATTCACCGCTGGGGTCATTGCCATGCAAACAACTGCCCCAACGTCGGCGTCCCTGTTCCTCTCCGGCCGGACCCCTTTGCTGTTTTCCCCTTCGTCTGCACCATGTGCTACTGGCGGCGAGACAACCAGCTGCCCGAGATCGAGGCTCTAGGCAAACAGGCTCTGGCCAAGGGAAGGTTTGCCGGCGTCTTCCAAAAGGACTACTTGGTGGACTGCTGCGTTGAGGGATGCCCGAATCCGGCGGTTGCGGGCGACATTGGTCACCAGTGCACAGTTCTCAGCCGCTTCGGATACCATTGCCGCGATGGTTCCGCGTGCCGCTCGTGCTGGTCGACGAGATACGGCGGTATTCCGAGGGCCCAGGATGTTCTCGCCAAGTACGGTAGCCCATCCAAACCAAAGCCTGGCGTGATCATCAAGACCAACCTCCTCAATGGAGCGGTTCTCGACCTGTACGCCACGTCCGCCTCCACAGAGGGAGCCCTGGAAGCTCTTATCATCGAAAAGTCAATCCATCTCGCGATCCACCTCTATCCCGTTCCCATTAGCGTCACTTTTGCGAAGGCGCTACTGCGTAACAAAATTCGCAATGAGAAGATCGCACAGACGGGTACCTGGCTGAGGCATCTGCGAGAGGACGCCGCCACTTGGGTACAGGATGTGGCTGCTGCTGCTGCGGATGACAGTGCGGGAGACGAGGATTAGCAACGACGTGTATCTTTTCCTAGCCGCATGAATGTGAAGAGCTGCCACTTGTGCGATGCTTGCACCAAGACCGCGGCCAACGCAGCCTGCGACGCCCGGTGGAAGCCACGGGTACGGCCCTGACGATTGACGCCGTTCAGCTACATAGTCGTTAATGAAGCGAGCGGCGCGCGGCCTGGGCGGTGAGTTCGGGGTAGATAGACTGTCCCGCTTTCAGCCCCCAGCCGGTCTTGAAAGCGTTGAGAACGCCATCTTGCACGCTGTTGACGCAGGTGGGGCGTCTCTGATGGCGCGCCCATGATGATCTAGGACAGGTGAGTCATATAAACGCCCCGAAAATGATAAAAGTCGGAGTGGGTCCATCTTGGACGAAATGTGGAAAGTGCAGGGCGTGGGAGGGAGAGAGGATTACAGGAATAGGCCCTTGTTTCCACGTGGCCAAATTGACCCGTGTAGCTATGTGACTGCGCAGAAATATATAAGGAAAAATGGCAGAAAATAGGATAAAATTGCCCGGACTAACGCCACCACCGTTCCCCCTTCGACCGCCGCCCTCCGGCCCCTTCCACCTTGAACGCTCTTGGCATGTTCACTGACCTTGGTGTTGCCTCACTGACAAACCCAATACTCTCGCTTCTCGTGCTGGATTGTGTCTAATGCTTATTTGCATATGTGAATGGCAACTATATACACACTGGTTCGCTCCTAAGCGCCCTTCCTTAAAAACCCAATTACAGAGCAAACCTGAATCCACCCTCGATCTGGGCCTCGGAGGGGCCAGAGCGTCCAAGGTCCTCACCGCGGTCCAGACGCTTGTTCAGGTGCTGGAGGTAGCGCCTGAGGATCAAGACGACCACAATGACGCAGAAGCTGGCGGCGACGTTGACGCTAAAGGCGATGGTGTAGCGAGGCGCGCCAGTGTAAATGTACGAGGTCCAGATGTTGCTGGTGTTGGAGACGGCGTTGATGATGGCCAGGGCGACAGCGCGCTTGCTGTTGCTGCCGACGACAGTGGTGCTGACCCACGAGAGGAGAACCATACCCGCAGAGTAGAACGACGCGGGCATGAGCATCATGGCAAAGTAGCGGCCGCCGACGCTGAGGGTGCTGACCGCGATCACGTTGGCAATGATGCAGACAATGAACGGGACGATAATGTGCCATGCACGCTCGCGAGTCTTGTCACTGTGCCAGCCGTTGATGGTGATGCAGATGATCGAGAAGATGTAAGGGGGCGCGGTAATGCCAAGCGTGGTAGTGCGGTTGAAGCCGAGGGACCTGAGGAGGAAGAATGTCAGCGAGATGGTTTGGGAGTGGTCGTTTTTTTCGTCCACCATCGTCTGGATAGCCATGCACGTGCATGCTACCCAATGAGGACATTGGGAGAGCACTGCACAGCTGTTTCTGATGCATGCCAGCCTCTCTGACGAGAGTGGCAGGTGGGGCGAAATTTGCCGATCGAAATGGCCGATCGGCATTTTTTGGCCACACCACCTTCAGAAACATTCGTACTCATTTTGGCGCGCGCTCGAAGAAGACGACTTACTGAACGACAAGTGGGAAGAAATTTGTCACAGCACTGGCCACCCAGGCTAGGGTGAGAGCGAGACAAACGATCCACACCTTGGGGTCGGTAACTGCCTCCATGGCTGCCTGGCCGATGGTCTGCTCGTTGGAGGTGTCCTTCTGGCCGCGGTCAAACTCGAGACGGTACATGAGACGGTCACGTTCGAGGTCTGTGACCCAGCGCATGTTTTTGGGCTTGTTGGGGATAAAGGTCGAGAAGATGATGGCAATGCCGACGGTCATGGCGCCCTCGATGATGAACAGCCAGCGCCAGCCTGCGATGCCGTGTGCACCGTCGAGCTCGAGGATGGCCAAGGCGAAGAGACCGCCAAAGGCGTTGCCGAGCTGCGAGCCAGAGTAGAGGATGGCGGTGCGGAGGGCGAGCTGCTTGCGGGTGTAAAAAGTGCTGAGGAGGTAGAGGGCGCCGGGGAAGAAGGCGGCCTCGGTGAAGCCGAGGACTGTGCGGCAGATGGCGAGACCGGCGTAGCTCTGGACGGCACCGGTGCATGCCGACACGGTGCCCCACAGTGCGGTCATGATGCAGATGTACACTGCGGGCTTGGAAACGCGCGACGCGACCATGTTGGAGGGGACCTGGAGCGAAATGTAACCGGCAAAGAGCACCGCCACAGTGGTCGCAAACTGCTCGGTGGTCATGTTGAGGTCGACGGTCAGGCCACCAATCTTGGCCGTGGACAGGTTGTTCCCTGAGAAAAGAGGTTAGTGGACGCACTGCAGTGTACCCATTGCGAGGTGACACTTACTGTCCAAAAAGTTGAGGACATACAACACCACGAGGGCGGGCATGAGGAGCAGGTCGAGCTTGCGAGTGGCCTGCGCGTCGATCACTGCGATCTCGCTTTCTGAAAGCTTGGCGAGGGATTCCGGCACGGGAACGGCCACACCGTGGTGCGCACCGTTCTCGAGCACGGTTTCGGTAAAGTCTTGAGAGCGCTTCTCGTCTTGGCTCATGGTGGTGGATGAGGGGGGGGGAGGTTGGGATGGTGTTTTTTTTTTCCTCGCCCTTCGACACTTCATATATACGACTCTGGACTGTCGGACCCCCCCGTCCCGCTCCGCACGGAGAAAGCAACGCCCCGTGGGCCCGTTGGACCAGTTGGGGACGGCGACCCTTTGGTGACCCCATGGGCCAGTGGGACCGTATGGGGGTGAAGGACATCCTTAAAAAAAGGAGTCGGGAGACGATTTAGTGTGGATTTGTCGGCTTGTCGCGGCTCAAACGGCTATCAACGGCGGCATGTCGCGGCAGTGGGCGGGGGCGCGAGTCGGGATACCGGCCGGTGGTGCCGGTTTGTGCGGTAAGTCGCGCTCACATGCACTCACATGTCCAAAAGGCGCTCCCACATGTGCACGTTTGGGCCCTGCGTGTGCCTGTGCTTCCCTGGCTGGGCGGCCCCTCGCACCAGTCGGCGGTAGCGCGGATCAAGTGGGGAAAAACATCGTCCGCTTGGTACGGCCGCGCCAACCCACCTTTACGGTTTAGTGTCTGTTCACAGCTTTCGTCGTCGTTTACAGCATGCGCGCTAGCGTTCACAACTTTCTCTCACACCGTTGACGAGGTCTGTCCTCTGTAGGTGGTGGACGCAAATGTATGCCGCATCCGCAGCATACCACAAAATCCGCAAAAGGATCCACGTGTGGCTAGGCTGGCCCATTTTCATCACTGATCCTGTTGCCAAGTTATTCAGGACAAGTTGCCCCAGGGGAAGACATCATGGATCTCTGTCAGCCTGTGATCGAGATGTGAGGACGGACGTGCCATTCGCTGGCCGCTGGGTTCAGCACAGCGAACGGGTGGAACCGGGGTATACCGGGACACAACCAGAAGACGAGTTCCAACGAGTCCGCGGCCGCCAATCTTCCGGTGCTCCCGCGCCAGTCCCGCCATACCCCACCGGCCCCCACCACGCCATGGGGGACCACGCCATATCGCCATGGGGGGAAGGCATGTCGAAGTGAGAGAGACAAGGTTGCCATAGCACCATCGCTACGTTCACCATGTTCGGTGGAGGCCGACCCGTTCCTGGTCCATCTTCCATCCGCGGATCGTAGAGGCTTTCGTGGGGGAGGAACGGGAGGAACGTTCTGGCTTGTCACAAAGAATGCCGTAATGAAATACATTTCGGCCGAACCTCCATGCCTGCCTCGACAAGTGCCTCAAGTGCGTGAATTCCTCACGGCCGCACGAGAGTACCAGAGTCATCCGTGTGTTGATGAAAAGCGGGGCTGCAGCTAACGGCGATCCTCGCCACTCACTCGTCCCCAGGGATTTCCTGTATGTTTGTGACGGAAGATGCATGACTAATCACTGAGAAACCTTGTGGCAGACGACGCGCGGATGATCCATAAAGGAGGGACCACGAGTGCTGGAGTCTATTGCGACAGGCGGTTGACTGGACCGCCTGTCGGGCGGCTTCCGATTGACCTGTCTTCTTCCCTCAAACTTTCTATCTTTTCTTCCTTCAAGCCATACACCGACTTTCATCACATAGTCACAGTGGCCAAGCTATCGACAGACCACTGCAAGACCTTCAAAGAAAGTGTCACGACGTTTTGCGGGCTCTAGTCCAAAACGTGTCGTGAGTGGCTGGCAAGGGGGCACATGTCGGCGGATATGCAGAGGGAAATGATACGGTCCAAGCTCCACAATCACTGGTGGCTAACGAGCCTAACAACGTCGAGCACCTAGGGAATAGGTTGTCAGTGGCTGTCACTGGCACTGACCCTCACTTGGCACCCACCCCGCCACGCCAATCGGCACGTGTCCCAACGAAGTCGAACCGAAGTGGAAGGGGTAGTCGAATTTACGATGGTAAGGCCAGGTCAACAAGTGTGTGCATGCCGCACCCAGTAACTAGTGACTGGGGCACTGCCTCATGTCTGTTAGGCAAACGCGCTGTAACCCTCTTTCCAGACCCGGATGATGCATACCCACACCAGAACAAATATATATATATATACAAAGCCTTTACAAGTTCCGGTGCGCCGTTGGTCATGACCCATGTCCTGCCCCCTCGCGCGCGGGTCGTGTCCATCGTGGTGGACTGCCTAGGAATGACCGGCAGCGACGTTGGGGGCGGGGCCGGTCTTCTCTCCGCTCGCCGCGTGTTCCCTGGCCTTGCCCGAAACAAACTTGAGGGTTTCACAGAAGAGGACCCACAGCTGGTCGGGTAGGAGGCGTCGTGTTTTTAGGCGTCTGCGACAGCCGGAACGTCTTGCGGTTGGCGGCGCAAATGCGCTTGGTGGCCTTGCCATTCTTGTAGAACGAGATTTCCACATGGTCGGGGTCCCACGTTGTGTGGCCCTTGGTGCCCTTGATGAAGTACGTGTCCTTGTTGAGCTGGTGGCGGTCGCGGAACACGAGGGGGAACTTGAGAGTGAGCTCAATCATGCCCCGGCTGTTCGTCTTGGGGAAGTTCAGCTCGGGGAAAGGCTTTTGGAGGTGGTCCAACACCTGGTCGTTGGACCAGGCGATGGAGCGGTTGCGGAAGGCGAGCTGGCAGTCAGGACCCATATCGGTTTGCTTCACTTACGTCGTATCCGTCAACGAACTTTTGGATCCAGGCCGGGGCCCAGCCAAAGTCGTCCGCACGGCGGTGACGCTTGGCACGCTTCGGAAGGGTGCGCCTCTTGCGCTTGGACGGGCCTGAGATGTTAGTAGAAGAACAGTGCTCAGAATTCCTACTCACGGACAATGTCAGCCTCGTCAAAGTCGGACTGGTCGAGGTCCGACTCGTCCTCGTCGCAGGCGAGGGCGGGGGAGGTCTTCGAGGCCTTGCGGCGCTTGGGAGATGCACGCCTCAAAGATGAAGCGGCAGTCTTGGCTGTTGATGGAGTCAGACGGGCAGGCGCGTTGCGTAAAGAACACTCACCCCTCTTCATTAGGCTGGGCCCGGCCAGCGCCTTCTCCTCCACGAAACGGAATGTCTCCGCGACGAGGTCCCACTTCTGGAGGGCGGGGATGCCTGCGTTGACATTGACCTTGTTGGCCTCAAAGACCTTGCGCTTGAGGACACACCGCTTGACGCGGCGTCCCTTCCTCATCTCACGCTCAAAGAGCGTAATCTGCAGGTGACGAGGGTCCCAGGTATCGGAGCCGGCCGTGACAAGCGCCATGAACGGCGCGTCAGCGAGCTTGTGCTTGGCCGCAAAGTCGTGCGGGATGACAACCTTGACGCCATGTGGGAGGTTCTTGTCCTGGTGTTGCGAGCGGAGAAACGCCGTGACTTGGCGCGACGACGTATGTTGAGGACACGGGCCTTGTTCACCACAACCTACCGGTCAGTTCCGATACACCACACTCAAAAGCTCACGTTCTTTCCGTCGACGGTCCAGCTCTGGAGCAGGTCGGGAAACTTGGAGAAATCATTTGGGTCGAGTTTCTTGCCACCGCCCTTGTTGATGGGCTGAGCGACTGTCCACTTTAGCCACTACTCTGGGTACTGAGGTACTCACCCATCCGTCAAAGTGTCCTCTCACCATCGCTATCTATCGGAAAGAAGAAGAATGAAGAGTGAAGGGAAAATAATAATAAAAGCGTTAAATTGCCGCCTAAATACTGAAATGGTCGCGGGATTGTTATGGAAAGCCTTTTGATACCGTGTGGCGCCACAACAACGACATCAACATCATCGTCTTCTCATCCCCACCATAAAGGATACGAAACGCAAGGCCCCAATCACCCAAAACACTCCATACACACGAAATACCGGTACAGGTATGAGGTTCATGTCAGAGTTTGTTTCGGCCCAGGCCAAGGAACACGTAGTAAAAGCATTGCAGTGCTGCTCCGTGTACCGATGAGCACACCGCCTCGCACGGCACACTGTTCACGTTGCCCCCTTCCTGTCCGTACCTCGGTAGGGGTCTAGGCCCCCTCCAGATGCCGGCCAGACGCCGTGCCAGACACAGAGCCACAGCGCACATCAGGCCAGCATCTCGTGAACACCTGCGCCGAACATGCAAAGGCCGTCCACGGCTCCAGGCCCATTGCACTCGCGCACTCGAGACATCGCCTCATTGATGTCACTAGCACCCCTACCACCGCTCCATGCGCTTCGGTGTCTACTCCCTGCTGAACACAGAACCGTTGCTGGCGCCATGCCATCATCGAAATCTGACATCAGCTCCGTTTATGTACAATCGCAGACGCAACTTTCATGTCGATCCCAGCACGCAACTTGCATGATCTCAATGGACTAATGGCACACCTTTTACCTGCTAATCACAGCGGAATACAGGCGCTCTCCCGAACCCACGTTCAGCGACGCCACCGTGTCATTGTCCATGACCTCCTTGCCCCTCCAGAACAGCCTGACACTGCCCTTGGTGGCCTTGAGGTCCTCCGCGTGCATGGTCTTCAAATTTTTGAACTTGGTCGCCCTCTTCATGCCGTAGCGGTGTGTCTTGCGATTGCTGTCGCAGACAAACACCTCGATTGCCTCCGACTCGTCGGCCTTGCGCATGGACTGGCGCTTGGACACCACAGCCTGGATGTCGGTGGCGCCGCGACGGTCAATGTCCTTGCCCTTGCCGGCCGGTTTCTGGGCCTCCGCGCCTGGGCGGCGCTCGGTCTTGCGTGAGTCCACGGGCGACCTTGGCGCTGCGACGGCAGCCGCTGGAGCGGAGGGAGTGGGGCTTGGGGCGGCGGCGGTAGCAGGAGTGGAGTGGGTGCGGCTTTTGGTGGCAGCGGCCGCAGCAGCGGAACGGTTTGGGGTGGCGGCGGCGTCTGCGCTCGACTCGGAATCGTCAATGAAGTTGGCGAGCAAGCCACCGCTGTCCCTTTCCTCTGACGGCGGGTCTTCTGGAGCGAACCTCGAAGCTACCCGCCCAAAGTTCTTCAGACGCTTGATGTCCTTGGCACACTGCTTCTTAGCCAGTTTGGCGGCTTTCCTGGGGGGGGGGGGGGGTCTTCGCATGGTTGAGGATGTGCTGTTGGTAGTGGAGTTGCTATGATGTATGGGTGTTGTATAATGACATGGCTTCCCAAGCTAGTAGTTTATACCCCTTGACTGGAAGGGAACCTGTTGGGCGCAAATGCGAAGAGGTTGGCAGAGGGTATGCTCACCACACTGAAAGCGGCGAGACAACTATGGGCAGGGTCGCTAAGACACGACTGCTCACTCATTGAGACATGGTAACCTTGCCGCACTCAACGCTTACCTAGCATGACATTGTTTATGGATGGCGGTGCAGCAAGGCAAAGTATTGTCCGCCACACCGCCACGTTGCCTGTTTTTGGACAATTTGTCAACAGATTTCTGGCTTGAACCTTCGAATGCTCAGTATGGCACTGCTGCAAAGCATGCATTACGAGGAAAAACATCTGTTTCACCCAATGTAACAGACCAACCGAGCTCATCAAGCCTGGACAGTGCGGTAGCTGAGGCACCAGGCTTGAAGTGGCCATTTCCAGAATTTTACAATTCAGCAACACCCCCACCCCCCGCCCCTCCTCGCCCCTCTCCTCCCTCCTCCCCCCCAAAAAACCGGACCAAGAGACCATCCCGAATTCCCGAGAAACATGACACAGTGCGTTCACCGGGTGCTGCGTTAAGCGTGTTGCCACGAGCTGCACGTCCCATGCTTATATGCAGACGGAGAGCGGGTACAACATGTGTGCAACTTGCTGGAGCAGCGACAACCTTTGGTGCCGTCCTCGTGATCGGACGTCACTTCGTCAATGCTTCAGGGAGGCAACATGCGAGTTGGGCGATCTGTGTTTGTTGTTTGAGTCTCACTCTCAATCCCAAGACCAACACCATGTCACCAAACTCGCCACACGTCACTGCCTTCCTCTTCCTCCTTCTCCTACCTCGGCAAACGTCAGGGTGTGTATCGGCGCGGAAGCGTCTTGATGGCCACTGACTTCCCCAGCGCCATCCTTGACCATGGTTCAGGCGCAGACCGACCCCAACTGCCCGGTGCAGCGGCCGCCGCGCCTCAAGCACTGGCAAACCTCGCCCACGACCCCGCCCTGGTGAACCTCTTGCTCGCTCACCTGTCGCCAGCCCAAGACGACGAGCGTGACACTCGCGAGACTCCCGTCACCGAGGTGGCCAACTTGGGATTTGAGCCTGGCTCCGTGTTCGCCGAGCTTTCATCAGCAAGGCGCCCACCGCCGGGCCAGATCCGCGACATTGTGCCCACCAGTGTCACCGAGGTGACGACCTTGACGGCGGCATTGGCGGACGCGAACGACCGCGCGGCCCTCCTGCGGCTGCGCGACGCGCACGAGTGCCAGCTGGGCCCCGGCGTCGTGGCTCTCTTGGTGGCACTGCTTGGTCGACGCACTTTCTCGATCGTTGCCCGCCGCGGCGCCGGTCTCATGCTCACTGAGACGCGACATCGCCGCTCGCTTCCTCCGCGCGGTTCGCAAGAGCAACCCCGCTGGCGTGGAGCGCTACCGCCGTGAGGCCGAGAAGTGGGTCAGTGGCCGAGTCAAGGAGATCCCACAAACTGCCTTCGACGGACCCGAGGCGATGTACCACGCCAAACCGAAGGACTTCATGGTGACGTCGACAGCCAACCCCCATTGTCGGTGTTCAGTCGCACGTCAGCTGGCCCATCGAGGAACCCGTTGCTACAGAAGGCGGCAGAGGAGAAGACGAGGAAGTATGAAGTGGGGAGGGGGACGGCAAGGCGACGAGAAGTGGCCATTGGAGAAGAAGATACGTAGGAGTGGTGGTTGGGGACTGTACGACGAGCTGGAGATCTGGAGACCAGTTGTCAACATACCATCCACCTCCGCACAGATGCAACACGTCCCCAAGGGCCCAATTGCCTTCACATCACGTGACTTGATCGACTGTTCACCGAAAGATCTGATTTTCGGTAAATTTGCTTCCGTCCGAATGCATCGTACTGGCTGGGTTAACATTTTAGTGGACCTCCTCGTCCGCCCAACCCGACACCAAAGACCACCCGTCAGGCGCACCCCAACCGTCTTGCGCACCACCTGAGAGATCCTCGGCGCCGACCTCGACAACTTCTCTCTCGACCATCGACCTCACGAACAGCGTGATCCCCGCGTAAACAACAAAAATGCCCTCCATCGCAGAGTGCCAGCAGTCTGGCGACTTTGTCCTCAAGCCCGATTCGGTCGCCCCTGTCCTTGACACCTCCAACTGGCCCATCCTGCTCAAGAACTACGAGAAGGTGTGTAGATCCGCGTTCTTGAGGCCCAGACTGTGAAAGTTAGAGACAGAGAGTTGCAAAGACTCGTTTGCGGAGGCTAGACACAGACTGTCGTGGAAATGCCCAGGGACCATTGCTGACCTCTTCCAGCTCCTTGTTCGCAGCTCCCACTTCACCCCCATCCCTGCCGGCTGCAGCCCCCTCAAGCGCGACCTCAAGACATACATTGAGTCGGGAACCATCAACCGTGGGCATCAGACTACTCCAGATATGTCACGTGACCCTCGTAACTGACAGTACCCAGTTGACAAGCCTTCCAACCCTTCGTCGCACGAGGTTGTCGCTTGGCTCAAGCGCATCCTCCGTGTCCAGAAGACTGGCCACTCGGGTACTCTGTAAGTCGACATTCTGCGCTCTCTCTGGACCCGGGCTTTACCCCACAAACCACCTTCGGCCAATTCCTAGCGTACGCCTTCGTGATCCGACAACTAACATTGACAGCGACCCCAAGGTCACCGGTGTCCTCATCTGCACCATTGACCGCGCCACCCGTCTCGTCAAGAGCCAGCAGACCGCTGGTAAGCAGTACTTGGCCGTCGCCAAGTTCCACGACTCGGTTACCGAGAAGGACATCATCCGCGGCCTCGAGACCCTCACCGGTGCTCTCTTCCAGCGTCCCCCACTTATCTCGGCTGTGTAAGTACCCCCTGGAGGAGCGACGCTCATAAATACAGCAAGAGGCAGCTGCGTGTTCGTACTATTTACGAGAACAAGTTCATCGAGTACGGTGAGTGGCTTGGAGCGATTCGACGAGACAAGGACGGGGACAACGGACGACGAGGCGGATTGCTGACCACACCCCAGACCCCAAGCGCAACCTTGCCATCTTCTCTGTCTCGTGCGAATCGGGAACGTACATTCGTACTTTGTGCATTCACCTCGTGAGTAGCGCAAACGCAGAGGAGCGCAGAGGACGATGTCGAGGCAGTAGAGACGATATCGAGTTGTCGAAAGTGACACTTGGGGGGTTACATTTTCGGAAATTTTGATCCCGCCCGCCACCAACTTTTTTGCCACACACGCACCATTGCTGACTCTTTTTAGGGTATGCTCCTCGGCGTCGGTGCCCACATGCAGGAGCTCCGTCGTATCCGCTCGGGTATCACCAGCGAGAACGACGACATTGTCACCATGCACGATGTCCTTGACGCCCAGTGGGTCTACGACAACACCCGCGACGAGTCGTACCTCCGCCGCGTCGTCCGCCCCCTCGAGTGCCTCCTCACCAACTATAAGCGTATTGTTGTCAAGGACTCGGCTGTCAACGCCGTCTGCTACGGTGCCAAGCTCATGATCCCCGGTCTCCTCCGTTACGAGGCCGACATTGAGTGCCACGAGGAGGTTGTCCTCATGACCACCAAGGGTGAGGCCATTGCCATTGGTATTGCCCAGATGTCGACTGCCGACCTCGCCTCGTGCGACCACGGTGTCGTTGCCAAGGTTAAGCGCTGCATCATGAACCGCGACCTCTACCCCCGCCGCTGGGGCTTGGGCCCCAAGGCTCAGGAGAAGAAGAAGATGGTCAAGGCCGGCTCGCTCGACAAGTACGGCAAGAAGATTGCCGGTGTCACCCCCGAGAACTGGTCCAAGTCGTACGTCGACTACGCCGAGGGCGAGGGTGCCGAGCCCGCCGCTCTTGTTGCCACCCAGCCCGCCGCTGCCAAGATCGAGGAGGTCCCCTCCACCCCCGCCGCCTCGGGCGAGAAGCGCAAGCGCAACGCCGAGACCACCGCCGAGCCCGAGACCCCCGCCGGTGACGACAAGAAGCAGAAGAAGAAGAAGAAGCTTGTCGGCGAGGACGGTAAGGAGCGTGAGGAGACCGAGGAGGAGCGCGCCGCCCGCAAGGCTAAGAAGGCCGCCAAGAAGGCTTCCGCCTAAAGCAAGAATCTAGATTCACCGTCTGCGTGAACCACATTTTTTCCTGTTTATTGCGTAGAGTTTGGGCCTCCCCCTTTGTACTTGTATCCATCTCATGATGCACCCGCATCTCGCTACAAAAAAAAACACAACCCTGCATTGTTCCCGCTCTTGTGTCTCTAAAATTCATCCACCTTGAGCTCGGCGTCGACCTGGCTGAACACCTCAAAGTAGGTCTTGAACAGCTGGATGTAGTGCTTGACGTCGCCAGAGCCTGCAGTCTCACGGATCGAGTGCATGGACAGCTGGGCGAGACCAATGTCAACGGTGCGGACGTGGGTCGAGAGGTGGGGGCCAACAGTGGAGCCGCACGAGCAGTCGTTGCGGACCTCAAAGTCCTGGACGGGGACGCCGGCGCGCTGGGCGATGCGGCGAAGGAGGAACGTGGTCTGGGCGTTGGACGTGTACCGCTGGTTGGCGTTGGTCTTGATGACGACACCCTGGTTCATGCGAGGAGCGAGGTTGGCCTCGTACCTGGCCTCATAGTTGGGGTGGACAGCGTGACCCATGTCGGCCGAGATGAGGAAGCTGTTGGCGAGAACCTGGTAGTAACCACGCTTGGTCATGCCAGACACCTTTTCAACAAACGAGGGCAAGAGGTTGGACTCGGCGCCGTGGTTGGAGACTGAGCCGACCTCTTCGTTGTCAAAGAGAATGACACAGCGAATGTTCTCCTCCTCGGAGGCCTTGCCAGTGGCGGCCTCGGCCTCGACAGCGTTGCAGATACCCTCAATCGAGGCAAAGCAAGTCATGAGGTTGTCGCAGCGTGGGGAGAAGATGAACTCGTTGTTGAGACCACCGACAGCCGAGGGCTGAGTGTCGTAGAGACACAGCTCAAAGTCGTTAATGTCATCAATGTTGCAGCCAAGCTCGTCGGCAAGGACGGCGAGCAGAAGAGGGTGGTGCTTCTCCTCGACGCTGGTTGCACCGGCACGGTTGAAGTTGTCGCCCTTCTCCTTGGGAGTTGCGGCGCCAGAGGGGGTGCCGGGACGGGAAGCAGCCGCGGTAGCGTTGAGAGTCTCGTTGACGAGGCCCAGAATGGGGAGGAACTCGGTCTCCTTGTTAAACTTGAACTGGTCGTTGGCGGTGCGGTCGAGGTGGATGGCGAGGGTGGGGACACGAAGGATTGGACGGTCAATCTTGACGAGCTTGGAGGCAAAGCCGCCGCCGCGCTGGCTGACAACTACACGGCCCGCAACCGACAGGTCGCGGTCAAACCAAGTGTGCCAGAGACCACCGCCGTACAGCTCGCACCCGACCTGGAGGTATCCGGCCTTGGTCTTCTTGGAGACTGGGCGGACCTGAATGTTGGTTAGCTGCGACAACTGGCACTTGCTCTCACCTTCAAGCATGGGCTGTCGAGGTGGCCAACAGCCATGGAAGTGGCGCCAGGACCAGCGACACCCTTGGGAGGAAGCGTGAATGCGACGAGGGCGCTCTGGTTGCGAGTGTAAAAGTACTTGCCTCCAGGGACAAGTGACTCGTCAGGCTCGCGCTCCGAGACGCGCTCAAAGCCGGCCTTGGCCAGGCGCTTGCAGAGGTTGGCCACGGCGTGGAAGGGCGTAGGCGAGGCCGTGACAAACTCGCAGAACTTGACGGCGTCGACGGGGGCGGCGGCAGGGAGCTTCATGGCGGATAAGGGGTGTTGTGGTTGACAGCAAAAGTGGGTGGAATGTGTTCTCGAATTGGCACAAGAGTGTCCTAGAGTCCCAACTCGCTCCGCGTGGTACAACACGTCATGTTATCGGGCATGAGCGATCAGTGGTTGATTTGATTCCGTCAAGGGCGTGTGGCACTTGCATCAAGCTCTGTGTGTGCACTGCCTGTCTGAGAGCACCTGCTTGGATCATACATTGCAGCCGCCTCAGGATGCAGATGGAAGTTACACTAACTACTGCACGATTCCACTCCTTGTCATACATGTTGCATAGGACAGCGAGGACGGCGCTGTCCTCGCTGTCCTATGCAACATGTATGACAAGTGGGGTATCCTCGAGGGAAGATGTCCGCACCTAGCGGCCCAACAGACACTCATGCGAAGCCGCGGGGTGGCGGGCAGGTAGATGAGGGCCAGCATGTCGCGACTAGACTGGGACTCTAGAGACCCAAGTAGATAATGTCGTCGTCGTCCTCCTCATCGTCCTCATCGTCCGAGTCAGGCACCATGCGGAGAGGCTCCGCAAAGTACTGCGCGGCGAGTGTGGATGGGCCTGGGCGGGCAGCAGCGTCTGGAGAGCGCTGGGCGGCGATTGTGGAGGGGTTGGGGCCAGCGACAGCGTTGGCTGGCAATTGCGCGCTGAGTTGTTGACGGGCAATGGCAGCCTCGGCGGCACGAGCGGCAGGGCTAAAGGCCGAGGAGTTGGCAGGTCGATCCTGCGTGAGACCGTTGTCGTTGCCCGACCTCGGGCGCTTGGTCGCCTGCTTCTCGTTCGCGGGGTGGCTCGCGTCCGCCTGGCGCTTGGTGCCAGTTGACAGGGTGGGGGCGGCATCCTTGACCTCGACCTCGGGCTCGGCTGCGGCGTCCACCGAGGACATGATGTCGCCGATGGCTTGTCGGCATCAAGCCTGGCCTGCACCTTAACTCCCACCTTGCTCTTGACCACAATCGAGAGCAAGAGGTGAACGGGGACAAGGCGGTCAGGAAGGATCGAGTATGCCAGTTTGTGGAGGCGCTCCAGCCGTTCGAGACCGGTGCCGGTTCCACAGACCACGGCGGCGGCGGCCTTGGCGACCTTGTAGAATGAGTCGCGCGGCAAGGCCTTGAGAGCCGCGTAGTTGCGCACGACATTGCCCCGGGCGTTCCAGCACGCGCCACAGATGGCGACACCCTCGGGGTTGCGGGGCGCGAGGTGGAACTGTCGGAGCACGCTCAAGAAGCCTGAGCAGCGGCGGTTTCCACGGTTGGCGTCACCACAAGGTCCGCTCGCCGTACGGCGGCCCATCGGCACCAAGCGACGCAGATCCCTGGCAAGCTCGCGCACGCTGATACCGGCGTCGGCCGCCATCTGCTCGCGACTTTCCACCCATCGACCGTACACCTTTGTCACCACGAAGTTGCAGTGACGGCACGTGCTTGAAGCAACACTGACGGTTAGCTTACCACGGCGTTTCGACGTTTGGGACTCACCCCGCACCATGCATACGCATGCCGTGGCTGAGGCTGACCTCGGTTGCTTGGCAGTGGTTACCCTGGCACGTTTGCGTGACAGCCATGACTTGGCTGCGCCGTAGGTCTCCATGCCGTTTTCGTGCCGAATGTATGATGCCAGCTGCTGGTTGTCGAAGCCGAGCATCCTAACAAGTCAGTCAGAGCCCAAACCAACGGAACCCACTTCATCGCGTACAGCGCCTTCACGCCGTGGTGGACGCAGGCGATCTTGCGCTTGTCGCCTTGCACGAGGGGCAGCTGGAGGCCCACGACGGCCAAATACGACTCGCCGTTGAACGTGCAGCTGTCCCACTGACAAGTTAGCGTGCGTATATGCGAATCCCAAATACTCACAGTACATCCCTCTTCCTCGACGCGCCTGGCGTCGTCCTCCATCAGGTTGAATGCGGCCTTGACATCGGCATTGTCAAAGTCGGCATCCGGGTTCTGACCAGCGCATGCGACCTGGAGGAGCAGAGGGATACTCGCGTAGTCGAAACGCTCGAAAAAGTCGGCGTGCGCGTTCTGGCGCGCACCAGAGCCCTCGTCTTGAGGCAGGGGGGGGGGGAGGCGTCTGCATGATTAGCACGAAGAACTCCTTGTCATACCAGTACGTACCTCATCCTTGGCCCAGTCTCGACGCAGGGTCTTCAGCGTCTCGACGTGGCGGGACTTGGCCGACGGGAAGAGCTTGAAGCCCTTGGTCGCCTTGACAATGCCTGCCGGGGTCTTGACGGTGTGGACTTTGTCGCCCATGAAGTCGCACAGACCCACGACAAGTCCGATGTCGAACTCGTGGAGAAAGACACCGCCAAAGTACCAGGCATGCTGGGCCACCTTGTCGTACGTGACGCTGATGAACTTCTCCGCGACCGCCTTGAAGACCATCTTGAGGACACCGAACACCCGGTCAGGGTAGCGGTCGTCGTGGTGGTCGATCAAGTCGGCCGGGAGGGGGACCGCGCCAGGGAGGTGTTCAGTGAAGCGCATGCCCTTCTTGACGAGGCCGCGCTCAAATATTTTCTGCCATGAGCCAAAGGCGCAGGGGGGTTGACGGGTGGGAGATGATACTCACGTGCGGCCAGCGGCAAAAACCGGTGTCGCGCTTTATGTCCCTGCGCACAGTCATGGCGCCCGGAGCTTCAATGACGCAGCTGTAGCCGTCGACCGTGTACACCAGGTTACCGGGCACCTGAAGCCACTCGTGCAGGCCCTTCTCGCTGAAGACGGCGGCGAGGGAGAGCTTGAGGCGCTCGAAGATCTGGTCCTCGAGACGGTCGCGCTGGAGAGTCAGCAAACTGCCACGTATTCATACTCACCAGGCCGGTCCACAACTGCACACCCACACGCTGCGCCGTTGGTGTTTGTTTGGGGTACAGGTGGATTGCCAGGCCGTCGCCCTCCTGCTTGCGACAAGCGGCCTCCACCAGTGCGCTCTGGCCGAGGATGAAGCCGACAAGACCGATGTGGTGGGTGATCTTGTCCCAGTCACGGTCTTTCGGCGATGGCGAGCGACTGTGGTTCCTTGAGACCGTGTGGTCCCACTTAATGTCGTGGGCAGTGAGCAGGCCCGTGACAATGGCGACGTGGGTCCAGTCGGGGTTGAGAGTGGTGAAGTTGATCCCAGCCAAGCGGAAGTCACTAGCCTTTGCACTGACGACCGCGAGGTGGAAATGACGGAGGTGTTGGAGAGTGGTGTTGTCTTTGAGCTTGTAGCTCGGGTTTTGGCCTTGCGGCATGTTGGATGATGGGTTGGTTGATTGGTTGGGTGTGAGTGATGTTTTGTTATGGAGAAAGGTGGGTGTGAAGAGACGCAAGGGGGGTTCAGTTGCACTGTTGGGCGCAAGTGGTCAAGCGTCACTCCATGATCCATGACTCCACACCTCCCACACATGGCCACACAGATACACAGACACCGTCATGTGCTCATGTGCCGCACACGCACATCGAGAGAGTGGTACTATACCCATGGTACCATGGTCGCTGTACTGCTGTCCTTCATGTACTGCTGTGCAGATATGCAGATCCCGGTCGCGGTGCAAATCCCGGGCTCGAAGCACAGCAGTGATCCACTGGCCACTGGCCACTGGCGCCACTGGCAACTGGCCGGCGGGCAGCTGATCCCCTGTTCCGCTCAGCATTCCCTCTGCGTCTGACAACCGCCTTGTACTGTAGAGGTGACCATGTCATTGGTAATCGGGGGGAGACCGTACGAAGACGTAAATCAAGAAGAAGGACAGCAACATGAGTCATCAAGCAGAAAAAGACAAACCGATGGCGGGCCGATCATACATCGGATCATTCGCTGCTGGCTTCTAGCTTCTGGCTTCTGGCCTTCTGGCCTCGGGGAGGCGAACTTCGCCAAGGGCCAAGGGGAATACGAGTGTACTAGCGTCCGTCCAGTGTGTGGCATGGGGGGTACACACCTCCCTTTACTCTCTCACCCGGCCACAACCTGTCCACGCGGACTGTCCCCTGCCTCTGCCACCGCGGTCGGTGTCACGACGAAGGTGCCAACACCTGTCGGTGACCCCGGTCAGACGCCGTCGGAGCTCAGAGTAACCGCTCCCAAGAAGTCCGCCTCTCCAAGAAAAGAAAAGTAACGCCGTGCTGCCTGAGAATCAGTCCATCCTCGAGGCAGATGTCGAGCCCCACTGCCACAATGTCTTCTCTTGCACCCGTTACATTAGGATCTTTCCATGCCGTATCCAGCCCGGTACGAATCTTAGCCGGGTATGTATCACCCTCAAGAAGCTGCACACGGCCTGCGTTCACTTCCCACGAGGCTCGACGACCCTCTTCTTGAGTCTTTTCCGACGGTTCTCATGTCCGCGCACCTCGTCCTTCGTTACTGCTGTGAATCCCTCCCCTTGCACCCGTCCTCGTGGCCCTCATGCTCTCCGTCCTCATCCTCGTTTTCCCCTTCTTCCGTAGCCGCTTATTCTCGACCCCGGTCATGACACCGTTTTTTTTTTTTGCCCCACAAGATCCCATTGCACATGCCCACAGACAAGTTCGCCTTTGCCGATCAAGGCCAATGATCCAATGACCAATGGGTGGAGTGGGGTTCGAGGAGAGTGGACACCGAAAGTGGAGGTCTGCGTAGAGATCGCCTGCATCGGCGTTATGACGTACTTACGTAAACAAATTAAAACGCCACACCTGTCGGCGTTAGGTTGGATGGTCGGAAATTTGGAGGAACGCCCAGGTCCTGGGTACCCTGCGTGTGTGCAGCCGGCGGGGTGTAGTGGTTGTTGAGCTTCAGCGAGCAGCCCTTCCACCTCAATCATCAAGAATCATTAAAAATGGTGCGTTCCGCGCGGGCTGGATGGCGGACAAGGCGCTGACGGTGTGCTCCTTCGTGCTGCTCGTGACCTCCCGCTTTTCCTCGTCGTCAAACTCGTCCTGCTATGCGTGTATCGTGGCTCTTTTATCGACATTGAACATGTTCGCGCCGACTTCCTTCCCCTACGTTCTGTCGACTGTGCTCTTCCTCTGGCCTACGATCTGCGAACTTTGCGTTTCTCCAACAGGGTCGCGTGCGCACTAAGACTGTCAAGCGTGCTTCGCGCGTCATCATCGAGAAGTACTACCCCAAGCTTACTCTCGACTTCCAGTGAGTTCACACCCGGAGCTGGCGCCTAGAAGGGAAGACACGTAAGAGGTGGAAATAGGACCCAGCGAGGTGTGAAGGGGACGGGACTGCAGAGCAGAGAGACAGAGGGAGTGGTCGCGAATCACCACTGCTCGCCATCGAGTGGTCACCGAAAAGAATTTTTCGGCCCACCAGGTCGAGCAACGAGCTCGCAGCTTGCTTGCAATCGCTGGCACTGTGAGCACGTTTGCTAGGCCTGGAGTCGTACGGATGTCGTTGTGCGACTTCCCGACCGCGATGCGCCCTCTTGGCCTCTTGGGTGGTGGCGCCGATCACCTTGCGCCCCACACTGCTGTTTACATTCCTCCTCCACTTTCGCTTCCTTGATCTATTTTCACCTTCTACATCTTCGCCTGCTTGCTCTGTTCATCCTACGCTTATCCTGACACCGCAGCTCGAACAAGCGCGTGCTCGATGACGTCGCCCAGGTCCCCTCCAAGCGTCTCCGCAACAAGATTGCTGGCTTCACCACCCACCTCATGAAGCGTATCCAGAAGGGCCCCGTGCGCGGTATCTCTTTCCGTCTCCAGGAGGAGGAGCGTGAGCGCAAGGACCAGTACGTCCCCGACGTCTCGGCCCTCGCCGTTTCGCCCGAGGCTCCCCTCGAGGTCGACGGTGAGACCAAGGACCTCCTCCGTTCGCTCGGCCTCGACGCCCTCCCCGTCAACGTCGTCAACGTCTCGGCTTACCAGCCCCGCGAGCGCAAGACCCGCTTCGTCCCCGGTGCCGGCAAGGCCTAAACTGGTCGACAACCCCATGTGTATTTATGGATTGGGCTTTGCACTGGCAGTCGGCGTTGGTCCTGTGTCGTTTCCTTTGATCTACTGGTGAAGAGGAAATGCAGAGGTTACCCCCACAGAAGCAGGAGGCATTTCATTAAACTGACTTTTTGTCGGTGAAAGCTGTACCCTTCGCGCCAGATCCATAGACTTCATATCCCCTCTCTTCTTGTGGCGATCCGCAGAAGGTTTCCGCGCCTCTGTGGGGTCGATTGCTCGTAGTTTGGGGGGTGAAGCCTTTCGGGCTGGCGTTGAAGTGCAAGGCCAACACCGTTCAACTGACGCACTTTGCAGAGAAGACTGCGCGCAAGATGTGCTACTAACTGCTGACATGTCTGATGCCTTTTTGTACAAGCTGGTTTAGCGTTGCGATGTGACATTGCAAGTGGTTATCCTGAACATGAGGCAAGCACGGGCTGCAGGGTGTCGGTATAGGATCGTGACGACGAGGCCATGACCAAGTCCTGAGGCTTCATGCGCGGCGGACAGTATGACGGCTACGAATGCAAAAGTACGTCCACCGTGGACAGACAGCACTCCGCAACGCGTGTAAAGATGCCGCCGCCTGATTCCAGTGTCGTTGCCTGTCGACGTTCGTGATTCATGGATTGTCCATGGACCGTCATTTTCAACCCTCCGTCACGACTACGATGCACAGCGGTACAGCGGGCCGTCTTATTAATGACGGCAACCTGTTACCCTAATCCTAAAGTGACGTGCATAACGGCCGACGTCTCCATGGCGAGTACAACTGCGACCGAGTGACTTGCAGTGCAGCCGCCGTGGCACACCACAGGCATGCAGCTCGACTGTGGCCCCTCTCACGCCCATGCGTCATCGCTGACTGAATTCGAGGCAGAGTCCCGTAGAGCCCTTCCCGCCTGTTCGGTACCCAGATACCGCGCTTCTCACGCAGCTGCGATCTGCGATGTCACCGCTTGTGGAGGCTTATCGACGTCCCGGCGGGCCGGTGTAAGGAATGAGGCCAGGACCGCTATGAGGCCTCAGGTTAGGTGCTTCGCACCGTACAAGTACCACGACGGTCAACGGTGTGAACGGGCATGTCAGCGACGTCTATCGCTATTAATAGTGGAACACGTGCAAACCACTGCCCAAGGGACCGCTGTGCATTGTATTCTACACGTTGCTTGGCTTGAGCAGAAGCAGGCGTCTTCTCCATAGTACCCGTCATCGTCAAAGCGAGATTCGCGACGACTGAGAAGGCTGGAGACGGGCCATTTGCCCTATTCGAAACCCTGCGGTACCATCGTGCACCCTTCGCTTAGAAGATGGAGGTGCATGGAAGCTAGTCTCGAGACTGCCCTCGTCGGTTGCAGTTGGATGTATATGTGTGGGTGTGGCACGCTGATCCGGTGACACGTCGACAACAGCCGCAGTTCGGAAGGGGTGGGGAACTCGGATTGTGCAGTGCGGGTGGATGCAATGCCCAGACCTCCAGATGCAGACGTGTTCACAGGCATGCACAAGTGTAGGTAAGCGACAACGCGCGTAGGAAGGACGAGGCAGTACAATACATGCGATGCTGCCACCGGCATGTCAACTATCTGTCGCCGCATGTATCCCCCCTCTAAATCCACCACGTCTATGTCTATGGATGCCCTCCGAGTACCCTCTACTTGCTATCTTGCGATACTCACCGCTCTGGTGCATCCCGGCTATGCAACCGGTCAAACTATGTTCCATGTACTTGTGTTTAACCCAAAGCCAGTATTGCGCCGGAATGCAAGCGGAAGTCACACCTACTTCGTGGTTCGGCTAACACAACTGCCACACCTTCGTCTTCCTTGATCCTTGCGTACGTCGCCCTTTATGACCGCAGTTGTATCACACACACGCTGCATCTACAATGAAAAGTCGCGCGACAGTGTCCGCCTGTCCCGCGTCTTTGGCCGATACGTAGGCTCGTGCGTGGCAGTTCTGTACGCAGCCACCGGCCGAGACTCGGTTTATCCTTTGTTCCTTTTGTGGGTCCTTCTCAGGTGGCTGCTCTACTTCAGGAGTTCAAACTGTCATATACTGGCCTCAGATTACCTGTACAATAACACTGATGCGCACCATGGTTGGGCGCGTTGCCGAACCTTGCGAGGCCAGCTGGCGAGGCCCGTAGCAAGCGCCAACGAATTTTGGGTGGCGAAAGTGGCGACATTTCTCCGGCTCCATGTCCATGGGCTGTCCGGTCCTGTCGTCAGTTTCAAAGCAGTCGCCGGACCGCGCTGCTCTGCCTCTGTCGCTGGTGACAGTGTTACCTTGGCAGCAGCGACGCAACGATCGCCGTTTGTGACTGACAACAGAGACACTCAGCGGGCGGAGGTTGAGAGAGCCAGAGCCCAGGGCACCCACTCAGCAACACGCGTTCATCAGGCCCTGCGCGCGGGTGACAGCCCCCCCCCCCCCCCCCGGCCTTTCTGCCGACCGGCACCCACGGTGTGTACTTTTGAATTTCCGAACCTACCCGCACGATGCCACCGCTTATTGCTCGCTAACCGTCACGCAAGCGCGCGCCAGGCATGGCCGGCCAGCACAAGGCCAAAAAGGCCCATACACATACAGAACTGGCCGGCCGGGTTGGCGCGACCGATATCAACACACACACCAGCACACACATTTAGCATTTAGGCCGCTCAGCTTCCCACACTGCATCGTGTGTTTGTACTCTTCCTCATCATCCATCACCCATCACCCACCCACCCCGCGTTCACGCACACCCAACCCCGCTCCCCCCTCACTTGCTAAGCGAGCTGCCAAACACCCGGATCCTGGTGCCCCCAACCAAAACGCACGGCCCGGCCTCCGAACTGGCACGTTCAATACATCCCAACCCATCCCCCCCTCCTCGCTTCCCGTATCGCTCGCATACCCACACCGTATCGCGCAACCACCCATCGCCCCGTCGCCATCACCAGACCGTCTCGTGCTACCACCTAGACACGTTTGCGACCCCCACGTATCTGGCCGTGGTCAACCCTGCCCGCCGGCCCTTGAATCGAGCACCGATCATTCCTGTCCGGACCTCCGCGCGCCCAGGCGGCAACTTTCCTGGACAGCCAGCTTGCAACTTTTGAACGCAGCCCAATCTCGGCATTCGCCACCCTACCTGCACTTCTTACAAACCACACCACACATTCACCTTTCCCACCATGGCCGCCTCCATGGACGACCTCGTCGCCACCATCTCGAATGGCATGCACGTCGGGCAGCAAGCAAATGACCTCAAGGAACTGCATGCCAAGCTCGCGCAGACACTGCAGCAGCCCACTACCCGCCCTGGTTACGCCCAAATCCCGTCCACCTCGGGCCCACACTCGTCGGGTCCTATGCCACCACCTGCGCCGGCAAGCAGCTGGAACGAGGCCCCCGCCAACGTTCCAGTCCTGTCTGGCTGGACGTCGGGCCTGGGAAACTCGCCCCGCCAGGTCACCAACCACTTTGCGAGCATCGGTTCAGCGGCCGGAAACGCCACGTCCGCTGCCCCCGTCGCCTTTGTTGGCCAGCGCGAGACGGGCTTTGCAGCCCCCGAGCGTCCCCACCACAACACTGTCCTCCCTGCCGACGCATCACCGCACGAGACTGTTGGCTTTGCGCAGGACGCGTTCCGTCCCCTTTGGGAGGCCGAAGGCAAGCCTGCCGCCTGGAAGGGCTTTGCCGCGGCGTCCAAGAGCTAGTCGACAAACGTGCTAGCCGCCGCCGCCGCCGCCGCCCCCCATGGTCCCCCACAGCTCGGTACAACACTTTGTCCGTTGTTGGCCTTTCCCGACCTCCCCTCCATCCCACCTCGTGCACAGCGCCATAAACACGCCGCTCACTCTTAGTGCACGCACGCCCCCCTCGCACACTGTCCGACCCCACCTACCCCCAACATACACACATAACAGCAAAACAGGACTCTCCCCTCACTCTGTACCTCACACCGACACGGTTGTACCCCCGTCCCCCTAGTTATCCGGGATGTTTGATTTTTTTACATGACGCCTATAGAGGGAACTGAACATTCCAATGCACATGTGCTCCATATCTCTAGTCTGTTGCCGTCGGTGCGCGCTGCGTCCAAGAGTCAGGTCAGCCTAAACGGCGCTCTGCCTCACACCCGCAACTCGGTCCGCTGCCTGCGAAGGGTTTGTGTCAGTGGGGCTCATTGGCAAGTACAGGCACAGTAGCAGCAGCTTACCTGGCGGATGTATGGCAGCGAGAGGAACGAGCCGATGAACGGTGTCTGTCGCAGCGCCTGGAGGATAACAGGGAAGAACGAGCTGGGAGCTTGTTAGAAACGCTCCTACGATCAACAAGACACAGACGTACCCAAACAGTCCCACAAAGCCAACAAATTCAACACAGATACCGGTAATGGGCCACTTTGCGAACACAAGGATACTGGTACGTTAGCGCACTGTTCATCGACGTGGCGCGGACGTGGGACGCAAGACGCAGACGCGGTTCGCCACCGGCCTCTTCCAGGGAGGCGTCATCGCCCTCGCCGCCCGACTTCATTAGGGATGGAGAGGTAGCTAGCCCCTTTTGAGACAAGCACTGCCGTCCAACACGGCTGCGCCGCACGCCGCAGGCCTTGCTCAAACTCACATGCCGCCAAAGAAGCACACAGTTCCGCGCCACTTTTCGCGCCTGCTGAAGAAGTAGAACGTCTTGGTTGGGCCGATGATGAGGGGCAGGCCGGACAGGAAGAGGATCTGTGGGGGGTTAGATATGCTAGACAGCGATGTCCGAGGCAGTCCAGTCGCGTGCCGTCACAGCACTTGAGCGCAGCGCGAGACGCGCATCCCGCAGAACGCGTTCTGGACACACGCGGCCGTGGTCCGGCGTATCTGGCGCACACGCGTGCTCTCGGACGCAGAGGGGACAGGACAGCCTCGACAACGTGTGTCAAACTCACATTGCCCAGCGCCAGCAGGGGACCATCGAACAAGAGGATGATACCTGCCGCGGTCAGTTATGTGTTGTCACACGCGCGCCGCGAGTTCATTGCGTACCAAGGAACTGGAAGAAGATGCCAAACGCCACGAGGGCGATACCAATCTCTGTTTACATGTCAGCAACCGGGGCCCGTGCGCCTTGGTGTGTTCGTCCAACGTACTTTGCCTGTCGCTCAGCCACATCGTATATGAGGGGGAGGGGGGGAGTTGCGCGAAAGGGGAGGAGGAGGGGGTAAGGAAGGGTATATGTGGAGGTTGTGGGTTTGCTCCAAACGCGCTCAAGACAAGCGCTCGCTCCGCGCGGCCGGAAGCCAGGCCGTGCAGTCCACGACACGACGGCTGTGGGTCGTGGATGGGGGTGGACGACACGCGGCAGCGCGCCTATGTAAACTCAGCGGCGTATATTAGGCCGGCGTCCTATCCATTAACCTGCCTCAGATAGGCCCGCCGCCTGCGTCCCTGTTTATGTCATTAGGAAAACCTCCGCGGCAAACGAGTGGCACTCTGGCTCCCATTACGGCGAGAATCATTTTCGTTTATATTTTGCTTCTCTCGGCCCGGCCCCCCGCGCAGATCGGCAGAGTGTTAGTCGGCTTCTCGTCATACATTCGGTGTTGAAAAGGACCGTTACTGACCTCGCTGTGCACCCGCGTTTCCCCCCGGTTCGTTGCTTGTTCACTCCTCACGGTTTACAACAGCACCCTCGATTCCCGCGACCCACGCATACACGTGAGTAACCCTCGTTCCAGGACCCTTCCGCAACCCGCCTTCATCCCACGCACCACACCTCTACCAGGGCCATATCTCGGGCTCGTGTCAGGGGGAGCCGGCGGCATTGTCGTCATTTTTTTATGGGCCAAGGCGAGGTTTCGCAGGCAACCACGCAGACTTATCCTCGAACAGAGAGGGTCCATTCTCACACAAGACCAAGGGAACAACACCTTTCGCGTCACCCAGCGCAGCCATACGACACAGGCCAGCCGTTCCAGCTGAAGCAATCGCTCCTCTTCACCAGGATCCATCGACGCCACCACACCTTCTGGACAGTGGAGAGCGGTGTTGTTCCCTGCGTGTCACCCCCGCAATTGTGCGCATCGAATTTCCGGGGTTGCTGTCAGGCGGGCAGCGTCACGGCCATCACAACAGACTACTGGCAGGAGGAGGGTGCAAACGTCCGCTCCGCATTTTGAGTTTTCCTGTTCGACGCGCGCAGGCCGGTCTGGACTGCTGAGCCCCATGCATACCGCAGTCCGCAGGACCACGTAGGATCTCGCAACTGGACACTACTTTAACATCACCTATCGCCCACACACCCCGCCTATCTCTCCCCCTTCAGCTTCGCGTGCTGGGTGTCGCCCACTCCCATTTCTCTCTCCCCCTCTTTCTTGCCCCCTTCACCCCCCTCGTCTTTGGCCTGCCCCTCCCCCTACCCCTCCCCCTCTCCCGGCCATGGTAGTCCCGGACGATCCCTTCCAAGAACCGCTGCCCATTCGCGATCCAGCGCGGAGTGGGCACGCGTCCCCGTCCCCCATTCTGCGTATTCACTCCGAGGTCGACATTGCGGCGTCGCGCGCTGCTGCTGTTGCTAGCCACAGTGGCGAGCCGACACCCGACACCAGCCACCCAGTGAGTGGCGGCAAGACTCCTCGCCGTGTACAGTGGACGGCGGACCATGTTATCAACCTCGCCCCATTGGAGCAAGACGGAGATGTCGGTGGGGACGGCGAGGGCCAGGCACTCGACCACCACAACCTCCGACAGGTCAACGACGCACTCGAATCGTTCAAGAGAGGTCGGCACGTTGCCAGCCAGCTGAGTCTCAACTCGATGGCCAGCTCGGACAACACAGATGACCTCAATGGCGATCGCCGCCCCCTTCGTTCCGACGAGCACGACCGAGGCCGTCCAACTGCGACGTCTGAGGAAGACTACGACTATCGCCTTGACAATGACCCCGAGGACCCAGAGGACACGAGCGACCATGAGATGAACCTTGAGCACCACATCCTCGACGCTGGCGCCAATGACCACGTTTACGCATATGTGCCACTCGGCGAAACGGACGGCCTGCCCTCGGTCCCTAACGAGGAATCACGCCACGCCACTGCAGCCGAGATTGTGCGTGCCCACAGCAGCAAGTGGGGCACGCTCCGTCGTCGTGTCCGCACTGGCTCGCTCACCCGCAAGGCCCGTGCCAAGCGGGCCGCAGACGACATGTCCCACTCGACGGCCCTCGACACTGTCACTGAGAAGGGGCGCGACAGCGTCGACCAGACTGCCCCGCTCAACCCTGGTCCTCCGCAGGTCGAGGCGGCGGCCATTCAGCATCGGCTCAACGCTCTCAACCGTCCACCACCCGGCGTCCTTCCCGGTGGCGCATCGGTGTTATCGTCTCTCCTCACCCTTTACAACAAGCAGCAGCTCGACTCTGGCCCTACGACCCCCGGTTCCTCCCGTCCGCCATCACTGTACGACTCTCCAGCGACATCCGATGGCGAGTTGCCACCGACGCACAATGACCGTTCGACCGACCGCAAGAAACGCTCTCTGCCATGGCCCCGCAAGTCGGGCGAGTTTGGCGAGGAGCACCGCCGAGACTCGATGATGTCCATTGCCGACCGCGAGCCCGAGCCGTCGGGGTTCGTCCACTCGTTCCACCGTGCCATGGATAACATGTTTGACAACCGGCCCAAGGCGGCGCGGTCCAGTGCGGGTGTCTTTGGTGCTCTCATCCAGAACACTGGTGCAGTGGCGGCTGCAGCAGCTCCCACGTCCAGCACCCTCATTCCATCGGCCAAGCGGGCAGGGTACCACCTCAAGCGCTACGAGCTATCGGGACCCCCGGCAACCTCGTCAGCGTACGAGTCTGCGTCACGGAACTCGCGGTCGAGCCTTGGATCCCGCTCCAACTCGCGGCCTACTTCCCGCCCTCCTTCCCGGCCAACGAGCCTGTACTCTTCTCCCACCGTCGTTGACGGAGGCACGCCCGACGACAAGAATGGCGCCCATATCGAAATGGTGCCGCTCGACCAGCAGCGTTCCAAGAGCAGCGACAATCTCCAGCAGCAATCCAAGAGCAGCGACAACCTGCTCGAGATGAAGAAGAAGGCCAGGCCTAGGCCCAAGCCCATCAGCCTCAAGTCGATTGAGCGTGGCGCTGAAAAGTGGCTCAAGGCGCCCCGGACCCCCAGCTTTGTGGGCACGCCGACCCGCCACGAGTCGGGCGACCACTTTGCAGCCGCCTTTGGCGAGGAGGATCGCCGCCACAAGGAATGGGAGGCCGAGAAGAGGCGCCGCAAGAAGGCAAAGGAGCAGCGCAAGAAGCAGGAAGTCTTCATTATCCAGCACGTCGCGGCCATCCTGGCCCGCCAGCAGTTCCTCCTCAAGCTCGCGCGCGCGCTCATGATGTTTGGTTCGCCCAGCCACCGTCTCGAGACCCAGATCCAGGCCACAGCCCGCGTCCTCGAGATCAACGCCCAGGTCGTCTACCTGCCCGGCATCATGCTCGTGTCCTTTGCCGACGAAGCGACGCACACGTCCGAGACGAAATTCTTAAAGCAAGCAACGGGACTGGATCTCGGAAAATTGCTCGCCGTCCACAACGTCTACTGGGACGTGGTCCACGATCGCGTGGCTGTCGACGAGGCAAGCAAGGTCATCGACACGCTCATGACCATGCCACCGCACTACAACGCCTTATGGACCATCATCATTGGCGGGTGTTGCTCGGCCATCATCGTGATTCCGTCGTTTTACGGTTCATTCATCGACGCGCTCATGGCGGCGCCACTCGGCATGGTTTTGGTCGGCGTCCAGATGGTTGCGGCCAAGAACGACATGCTTGCGAACGTGTTTGAAATCACTGTCGCGACGCTCATCTCGTTCTTTGCGGCCCTTCTCGCCTCGACAGACCAGTTCTGCTACACAGCCCTAGTTTCGGGCGGAGTCGTCCTCATTCTCCCCGGATACATTGTGTTGACCGGCGCGCTCGAGCTGGCTTCTCGCAACATTACAGCGGGTGCTGTGCGCATGGCCTACTCCATCATGTACAGTCTCTTCCTCGGCTTCGGGATTTCGCTCGGCGCCCTCGTGTACAGCAAGATCAGTGGAAAGGAAGTTATCAACTCCACCAACTGGCAGTGCGATTTGACGCATGTGGCGGGATCGCCGTGGTTCAAGCAGACTCCGAGTGCCTACTGGTACTTCCTCGCCGTCCCTGCATACTCGTTTGTCCTCTCGCTTCGCAACCAGCAGCCCATCTTCCGCAAGGAACTCCCCGTCATGATCCTCATTTCGTGTGCCGGCTGGGTCACCAACCACTTTTCCTCTCTGGCGTTCTCGGGTCGTTCCGATATTGTCTCCGCCCTCGGTTCGTTTGTCGTCGGCATGCTCGGTAACCTGTATGGCCGCTTCTTCAAAGGCGCTTCGTTCCCGGTCATGGTCACTGGCATTCTGTTCCAGCTCCCGTCGGGTCTGTCTCAAGGCGGCATCTTCAACTTTGCGGCCACAACCGGCGACACATCGACGCAGTACTCTACTGGCTTCTCTGTGGCTGAACAGCTTGTCAGTGTGGCCATTGGTCTAACGTAAGTTCCTGCACGTTGTACCCCTCCCCACCGCCTGCTCGGTCGCTGACCCACACTCGCAGTGTCGGACTCTTTGTGGCTGCCGTTGTCTCCCACCCGCTTGGCGGTTCACGCCGTCGCGGTGCGGGTATCTTCTCCTTCTAGATCTATAGAATAGACACTAGACCCCCACCCCATCCCATTTGTACACTCTCTTTAACCTCTTCAAACTTGTTGCATGTGAATAGCCGTTTTCTGTCTGGCCGTTTCTTTTGTTGGTCTTGAATTTGTTTACGTTTTGACTGGATCGCCGCCACATTCCCCGTTGGACACGCACGCACCTCCACCGGGCCACAGTCAACCCGGACAGCCTCATGTTCCGTGTTGTCACTACTCACCACCACCCACCCAACACGGCCATGAGCTAAGCATGGAGGTATCCACATTCTTCACGCGTCTCCTCCAGGCGCCAAAGCCGGCTGCATCAGCCCAGGCCCCCGACGACGTGGCCGATTTCGACACTGCATGGACAGCACTCAAGGTTGGTTTCTCTCACAGCAAATGACGCCGGACACATACACTGACACGCGCCGCAGGACACACTCGAGCATCCCGATGAGCGCCAGCTCGCAAGGTTGGCTTGACTGTCGCAGACGTAGCTGACCTACAGAGGAATCGCGGTCACCGACGTCCCGCGCCAGCTCAAGCACCTCGTCGATGCGCTCGTGTACGAAGGCAACAGGGTCGATGAAGAGTGAGTCTGTCACACGACAGCGCCAGCCCGACCACACCACTAACAAGACAAAGCACTACAGGTGCCTGTCTCGAGTATTTTCTTCGACTCGACATTCTTGCCCAGCTCGAGCGACTGAGTGAGCGCGACCGGCCACGCGGTGTGAAGGGTGAGTTTGACCGATGGGTTCAGATCTTTGACGCTAACCATCGTCCCAGCCGAGGTCCTGCGCGCGGTCAACAACCTTGTCGTCCTCCTGCCCGAACGCTTCCTGGTACACAATGCCGTCCACAGGCCTCTACGCCGTCTGCTGCGCAACTGTGTCGGTGACGCGCCGGTCGAAAAGGTCGACGGCGAGGCGCGAGTGCTTGGCGCAGCGGCAGCCGAGGACCACGATAACAGTGCCCTGGACGAGGATCTCGTCGACCTGATGTGTATCATCTGCTCGCGGATGCGTGCATAGTAGGTTATTTTGTGAGCGAGTATGGCATCTAACCAGCAGCCCGCCTCTACTCCTCATCTTCTTCCACGACAAGGGCTGGCTCGTCCCCCACGCTTCGTCCGGAGCGCCTCCCCTTCCTGCTTCCCCACCAGCCGCGACTGCGACTCTTGACCCGGCACGCGCGCTTTCCCCTGCTCCGTCGACAAAGACTGGCATGTCGGCAGCTTCAGCTGCATCAGCGGACCCAACAGCCACGCACTTTGAGTTTTTGCTGTTCAGCTACCTGCTGCGCTTTGTGCACCGTGAGGGCCGAACAGGCGACTTTGCGCGCGCAGGTCTGTTATTCCTCTTTGACATTGCCTTCCTCACTGGCGAAGAGGGCGACGGCCTGAGCATGACTCCAGGCGTCGACGGTGTCGACCCGTTGCAAGACGCCCGAGACGCTCTGGCAGAGTACATTCTCGATGGGGACTTTGCCGACGTCATGGCCGCAGGACTCGGTGCGGCCTACTCTGTTCTTCCTTCCAAAGTGCGCGTGCCGAGCTTGGCCGAGCAGGCCAGGGAGGACCCAGAGCTGGACAGGAGCGGAGGCATGCAGCTTGGCGCCGATGTGGAAGAGGACGACTTTGACCTGCCGTCGTCTGCCGACTTTGAGGTGCGCGCTCAGCTGGACCTCCTCCTCAAGCTCTTCGGCTTCCTCCAGGACATTCTCTACCGCTGTCGGTCACCCGTCCTGCATGCCGACCCCATGGCGCGGACCGTGTCCTCAGCCCAGGTTCTTGGACCGGCAGTCGCAGATGCGGCACTGGACGCGATCCAGACGGCGTTTGTTGACAATGTCCTCTACCCTTCCATTCTCGAATGCTCCTCTTCGGACGGTTCGGCAGTGGCCGTCTTGACGTACCTCGACGTCCTGTTAGCCAACCTCGAAGACGGCCCGGTCCTGCAGCGCGTCCTCGAGGTGCTTATGGACGCCGACGCTGCGGTGCCAGTGTTCTCGCCCCAGTCAAAGAAGAAGCACCGCAAGACGGGTGCGATGGACTTTGTCACGCCCACAACAGGCCACCCAGAGTACTACCACAGCGAGGGCCGGTTCACACTACGTGACCTCGTGCTCGATAACCTGCGGTCGTCGGTCTCGGAGGCAAGTACTGCCGCGCTGCATCTCCTCTCCACGCTCTTGAGCGACCATTGTCGTCGTGTCACCCCCATGCTCCTCACTGTGGTGCGCGAACCCATGGCCACGGCACTCGCCCGACGAACCCTCCCACCAGCTGGCGCCGAGGACGGTCCGAGCCCGCTGCCAATGCCCGTCAACTCCACCGACGTCCACCTCCAAGAGCCAGAGCTGTACGGCGCTCTCGTTCCTCGTCTGGACGAGGGTGTGCCCATGGGCATCGACACTGCTGCGGGCTTTGCCTCGTACCTCACCGACGCCCATGCCGTTCTGGAGACTGACGGATGCTGGCTTGCTGCGCGCATCCCACTTCAGTTTGTCCAGGATGACGGCAAGCCCGCCCTCTTGCGTGTTGGCGAATACGACCAAGACCCTCTTCAGCACGCCTTGTCGCCCTCCGACCCCGTGGTGCGCCAGATCCTCTCCGACCTGGCCAGCTGGTTTACCGCGTCGCCCGATAAGAATGTCGCCCTTACAGGAACCATTTCGTCTCTCATCCAGTGTCCCAACCGCTCGCTGGCAGGCTGGCTGCTGTACAATGTCCCCGAGGTGGACCCATGGCAGGCTACCGACGACGCGACGTCGGAAGTCTCGGTAGGCGAAAGGGGGGCGCGGTCCGCCTCTCGTGAAGACGCACCAGCACAGACTTTGCCGGCAGTCTACCAAATCCTGCGCGAGCTTGTCCGCCATGTCGGCCAGTTCCGCGGCACGGTGGAGGGCTTTGACCGTCTCCTCGCCGAGAGGAGACAAGGTCTGCTGTTTGCCGACCACCTACAAGAGGCCATGAGCGTCATGCTCGAGGCGGACGTGACGTCGCCGCCATACTCGCCGCGTCTGGGGTTCCCCCAGGCCTCCAGGAAACAGTCTGGGCTGGCCACGTCGCTCAAAACATGGCTGTCGCCCCGGAAGAAACCCAGTACACCCTCTCTGGCATCGCCTGCATCTGCACCTACACCTCCGCCGCCTGCACCGGACTTTGGTGGGTCGCCGGCCACACCGGGCACGCCCAGCACGCCCAGCCGGCCCCGGAGCGGCACCATGTCGGGCGAGCCTGGCGGTATCATCACTGCGCCAGACCACAACCTCCCCTTCAAGTCGCACTACGCCCAAGTGGCCGACGTCGGCCACCTTGAAGTCGAGACGGTTGCCGGAGTGTCGTCGGGTCCGTGGGCGCCACGCATGACGCCGTCCCTCTCGCTCCCGAGCACCCCGCGCTTCGGAGACGAGGCCTACCTGGAGGATGTGTCGCCCACGTCCCCGACCGATACAGTCACACGGACGACCCAGTCGACCGTCAGCGTCGTCCTGGACAACTGTATCGTGCTGGAGGAGCTCATCAAGGAGCTCGTGGCGCTCATCACTGCGCGGAGGGCGCTGGGGATCGATCAGGTGGGATTCGTGTAGCGCCTGGCTGTGGGCCGGGGACGGCGCTCGAGGAGAGAGTACATAGAGCACAGAGAGAGGAGAGGAGACAGATTAATAGGTCGTAACGCCGCCGACACCGCGCTGGAGATTTGCGAATCTGACAGCCGGTCTTTGAGCTGGTGGCCTGGCGCACGAGGGGGAATAGATGTCGAATACCGACTTTTTGTAGAATTTTCCAATTTTTTTTCCACCAACGATAACATTGGGCGAGAGCATGCATGGCATCAAGGACGAGTACGGCTCGGCCCGTCTCACGTCGAACTCGGCGTTCAGATGCATGGGTCAAGTGGGGTACAAGTCGAGTGCGAGAGGAGTCACCGGGCAGTAACGTCATTTGCGAACGCCACACCACATGGCACTGCCCTCAGGGCTCGCCACTTGGCCACTTGAGACACCGATGGCGGTTCTTGATTCCACACACTACACACTCCCTCTCGCTATGACTTCGTTCTCCTACTCCTCCGCCGTCAACTGCACCGTCCCGGCCGGCGCGCGCGAGCTGGGCTTCCTGTGCTGCATGGACGCAGCGGGCACGTGGATGGACGGTGGTTGGTGTGCGTTCCGCACGCCCGCGGCCGACCGGAACACCGCGCCAATGCAGTCCCACCTCACTGCCTGGTCGCAATGCCTGTCGCGCGGCGGATGGGACGACCGGACGCTGGCGCGCCTCATGGCCGAGGCGGGCCAGGGCTGCTTTGCGCCTCCAAGCTATGTCGCTCCACCACGCGCGTGGTGGGACTCGGACGTGGTCGGTTGGTTGATCTATATTCTGGTGGGCATACTCGCCATGGGTGTCGTTATCGTGGTATGCCGGGGAGCACCGACATGTGAGTAACCATGCTGGCCTGGCGCAGGCAGTCCGGGAGCAAGGCGCTGAACTGGGAAGCGAATACCACAGGGCCAGACGAGGAGCCGTCAGTCACGGAAGCGCTGCTCGAGAAGCCAGACGCGAAGAAGGACTATTAGATTTACGATGATGGATGATGGAGGATGGATCACGCCGTTGCCGTGGCCCCCCCGAGTCAAGGCGCGGCAAGCTGTGCACCTAGATATCCAGCACACAAAGCTTGTACAGTCACCATGTAGGATGCAGTGACGATGGCGATAGCGAGGGTAGCAATAAAACGAGATGGCAGCGGAGGAATGAGGCCGAGGATGCGGCCAAGCAACAACAACAACAACAACAACAACAACAGCCGCCCTCACCCCCGGCATCATCTCGGCGTGCATCGGCGTGCATGTGCATTAAGGTATCAACTGTGAGGGGGGCATGGGGTGGGGGGTGCACTATGCTCTCTACTGGGCTTGGTCTCGCATGCAGACAGAAGTTTGGGGTTCCGCTATGGTGTCCAGATCTGGCGAGTCAGTGACCTGGTCTCTCGTCGGCTCTGCATTACGTTCAAAGCCGCCCCAGCCGTCGCAACTTGACCCTCTGCACTCACCTTGATAGTCTGGTCGACCGAACCGGTCGCAATCACGTTTATCCTCCTGGGCTCGTCCTTGCCCGCTCCGCTGCCATTCGCCTTGTCCTTCTCGCCGCCGTCGCCGCCGCCTGCTCCTGCTCCTGCTCCGCCTGGTCCTGTTCCTGCTCCCGCTCCCGCTCCGCCACCGCCACCGACCGTCGCGCGACCCCACGCCAGCGTGGTCACAAAGTGGCCGTGGGCGTCCACCGTCTTGACGCACCGGCCCGTCGCCAGGTCCCAGACGCGCAATGTCTTGTCGTCCGACGCCGAGAGGAGGTACTTGCCCGAAGGGTGGAAGACGAGTGCGCGCACCCAGTTGTCGTGCCCGGCCTGGAATGGTCGTTAGCACCTATACATATACCCACAACGACGCGGTACTCACCAGCGTCCGCACACACTGGCCCGAAACCGTGTCCCACACCATGATGGTCTTGTCGCGTGACCCAGTGGCGGCAAACGCTCCAGGCGCCTTGGCGCGCGTGTCGCCGGCGGCGACGGTGAGGCCACCCAGTTCCCTGATAGCCGCATATGCGTTGACGGGGGCAAAGACGGCGCACTCGACAACATGGTCGTGGCCGCGCAGCTCGACCTTGGTCTCTCCCGAGGCGAAGTCCCACACGCGGGCAGTCTGTTGGGAGTCGAGGTTAGCTGTGGCGCAGATACGCGTGGGTGGTGGCGACGCACCTGGTCATTTGACGCGCTGATAAGCCACCGTCCGTCGTCGGACGGCACGACCTCGCGGACCCACTCGGCGTGGCCTGTCAGTGTCTTGACACAGTAGCTGGGCGGGTAAGCGATGGTCAAACTTCAATTAACCCACCCTGTAGACACCTCCCAGACGCGAATGGTCTTGTCGCGCGATGCGGATATCAACTGCTCGCCCGTAGGCATAAACCTAACGCTCGACACGGAGTGGTCGTGGCCGTGGAGCGTCTTTGTGTTCTTGTATTCGTTTGCTGGGTCCCACAGCTTGATTGTCAGGTCGGTCGAGCACGTCGCTGGGGGCAAATGTCAGTGAAATGGTCCGTGGGTCGTGTTGGCGCAGCGCGCTCGTGCGCACCTAGGATGTTGCCCTTGGGGTCAAAGTCGACGTCCGAGACCGACTTGGTGTGGCCCTTGACGGTCCTCTCAAACTCGCCGCTCTCCCAGTCCCAGATCTTGACTGTCGAGTCCTCGCTCGCACTGGCCAACACTGTCCAAGTGGGGTGGAACGCGACACGGGTAATGGGAGCACGGTGGGACGACAAGGTGTGGCGGGCAGGCGCGCGCGGGAGGAAGGGTGCACTGCTGCTCGAGCCTGCCGTGGCGCGCGTCGGCGATGCCAGTTCCGCGACCAGCGCGGCGTTGCGCGACTCGAGGTCCATAATCTGAGCAGAGCAGTTAGCACACGTCACCAAACCATGCCGCGCGCGCGTGCGTGCACACACCTTCTTTTGCAGTCTAATCACACTGGTCCACTTCTTCTCGAGCAGGCCGACCCATTTTGCCTTTGGATCGGTCGGGTCAAAGTCGGTGATGCCAGACTCTCGAATGAGCTCTTGATATGTGTCGTGCATGCCCGACGCATGCAGGTAGGACAGCATCGAGCGCTGCCTGGGCGGGGGTGTTAGTACACGAGCTCGGGGATGATCGATCGGCGAGGCGACGCGCTGCGGCCGCCGTCATCGCCGCCGCCGCTGCCCAGTGGGACCTGTTTGCCAGCGCGGCATCACAAGCGATGCGATGCACACCTGGCCGTTCTGGCGGCGCCGGCGGCGTTGTTTTGTTCCTGCTGCTACTCACAGGTCCTCATTCTGCCTGTCTGACAGCATCGACGACGACATGGTGGAGGACAGAGATGCCTATGCCGCGAGGATGCTGGCCCACACAGAGGTCAATATCCGATAATGGCCCGGCCTCGTCAGCGGCGGCCGTCACCCGGGATGGTGGCCGGGGGGGTGGGGAGGGAGGGAAGGAAGGTGTCGTGTCGGTCGTCGCCGCGGCGCGCGATGAGGCCTCGTTGTTGCTGCGTTGTTTGGCTGCGGGAGGGCAGGTGGACGGTGGGGGTGATGGGGATATGCGATGCACACGACACCGGATATGGTCGAGTGCCGGGAGAGGGGTGTTGATGGATGAGGCGACGCGATGGATGGATGTGTGGACAAACGAGGAAGCAAGTTGACCTCACCTGAGACTTTGGCTTGGGATTCCGTCGGGGGCCCTGGTTCCGCGCGTGCGCCCACCCAGGCAGGTGGCCCATATATTCCATCATCACACCTCCACCCACCACTTTCCACACATCTCCTTGCTATCAGCCATGACCGACGTCTCTCAGTACAACGGCAAGTTCCACCGCGCATCGTCGCCCTCTCCCAACGTTCTCCTCCTCGAGTTCAATAGGTGAGCTCCCCCCTTTGCTCGCTCGCTGGAAAGCACGAGCGCTATGACCCCGCATGCCCAGCCCTGACGCCGCTTCCCCGCCGACCCCCGCAACCCGACGACGACCACCACCACAACAGGAAGCCCGCCAATGCCTTCCACGACCCGTACGTCGGTGCAATGGCCGCTGTCGCTACCACCATACGCTGACACCCCCATGCAGGTTCTGGATGGAGATGCGTGACATTATCGAGCGCGTCTCGCGTGACGGCAACATTCGCTGCATCGTCCTGTCGTCGGCGCTGGACAAGTTCTTTACCGCCGGTCTGGACCGTGAGTTCACCCATGGAAGCGTGTAGCTCACCATGTCTCCAGTCGACGGCACCAGCATTGGCAAGGCCGTGAACTTGGACGCGGCTCGTAGGGGCTTTGAGCTGTACAACCACATCAAGGTAGGTGTGTCCTTCCCCCAACCGTTACGTTCGGTGTTCGGCAACGGCTTAGCCGGCAACAAAATGTCCCTCTCTCTCATGTGTCGGTACTGACCACCAAAACCCAGGACTTCCAAGACGCGATTTCGTCGCTCGAGCACTGCCGTCAGCCCGTCATCTGTGCCATGTACGGCTACGCGCTCGGCCTGGCCATTGACATTGCCTCGGCATGCGACGTGCGCTTCGCCGCGTCCAACGTGACCATGGGTATCATGGTGAGTGTGGCAGCCGGGAGGCGGCCAACGCCGATCGACACATTGTCGCCGGCCGGCTCGGCCGGCAGGTGTCCTCCTTGTTTCTCCATGAGCTGGTTACAGTGGCCTCGTCGTAACCGGGCCATGCACGCTGGCGACGGTGAGGGACACATGCATGGTGCATGTGGTGCGCAGGAGCATCACTCGGGTCCGCCTTTTCCCCTTCCCTTTCTGCGTCACTGTGGCACTGCTCGTTTGCTAACCTCCCCCTCTAGGAGGTCAAGGTCGGCCTCGCCGCCGACATTGGCACGCTCCAGCGTCTCCCCAAGGTGGTCGGCAACGGGTCGCTTGCGCGTGAGCTCGCGCTCACCGGCCGCAAGTTTGGCGCCGCTACGGCCCAGGAGCTGGGCTTTGTCTCCAAGGTCGTCGACGGCGGCCGCCAGGAGGTCATTGGTGAGCTCATTCGCCCCGGGTTGTTCATTCGTGAAAGGCTAGCTGACACATTCCACAGACGCCGCGCTCGTCCTCGCCAAGGAGATTGCAGAGAACAGCCCTGTCGCTGTCTATGGCACCAAGCACATTATGAACCACGCTCGTGACCATGCGTGAGCTACAGTCGCCTGGGTCATTAGCTAACACTGCAGTGTTCAGGAGGGTCTCAACTACGAGGCGGCTTGGAACGCGTGAGTAGTGGTGGTGTCGGGATGGTCTTTAGAGTGTGCTAACCCATGTTATCAGCTCTGCTCTGCAGTCCAACGTAAGTGTTTTTGGTCCTTTTACGAGAGTGGTGGAGATGGTTTGTCCCCGTTTGACGGGGCGTGGACACAGACCAGAGAAAGCAGAGCTGACGACGTGCGACAGGACACGGCGGCATCGATCCTGGGTGTGCGGAAGCGCCAGGTGCCAGTGTACGAGAACCTCCCTTCGGCGCATGTCCCGGCCAAGCTCTAAGCACAAGGGGTGTAACGCTGATAAGGAAAGGAAGAAGGGAAGGAACATGTTTTTATCGCCTGCGTCTGGTGGGGGGTATATGCAGCCGAGTGGACCCAGTTGTTTTAGTGCGTTTAGCTCGTTAGCTCGTAGTGTGGTCCCGCCGATCCGCACGAGGACGCGCGATGCCGATCCCGCGGTCAATGTTTGTGCGCGCCGTGGAACAAACAAGAAAAACAGGGAGTGTGGGCGGCGGCGGCGGCTGCAGCTGCTGCTGGCCTGCTGGGAGAGAGAGCCGTAGTGCGTCATGTGGGAGGGATGGGTGAGTCTTGGGAATACACACGTTCATAATGGGCGGCTGCATTTTGCGCGGGAACACCGAGGCACAGTTCAAACGCCTTGCGACGTGTGTGTGTGTGTGGCTTTTGGTCTTCTCCCCTGTTACCTGGTTCCTGGAACGCACCTCCCAGCGTCTCTGACTCAACGCGCGCGGAAAGAGCAGAGCACTGTAATGTGGAACCACGAAACGCGTGGACAAAGGAGCGATGCATGGGGAGGGCGAGGGGGGAGGAATGGGAGGTGGTGGAGCCGTGCACACATGCATCCATCTATCCCACTGATGCCACTGAGCCATCGCGCTCCCGTCGAGAGGTACACGCGACACCAACATGGACGCGCGCAAGAAAACGAAATGAACGGACACGGTGCCGAGACGTCAAACTCGCAGGGCCAGAGCACAACACACCCTGACGGCCAGTGTGTGCGGTGGGCCGAAACCCTTTTGGGCTTTGCTGCCTGGGCGCGTGTGCGCTGTGTGTGCGCCTCCGCCATCCGCCGCCACACGCACAATGTGCCTTTGGCCGTCCTCGTCCCCCCTCTGATGGCACACCGCCCGCGCGTACGCCCCCAGCGTGTGCAGGAGTGCAGGAGTGTGTGCCACGCTCTCCTTTGCTTCCCGTTCACCTTTGAATCCCTCCATCCCAATCACCCCCCTCCCACCCCGACCGCCGCCGCGTCCTTTGCTTGTCCCTCCCATACACCATCTACATCCCCATCGCATCTCTCATTGACTGAGCGTGCGCACACACACATCACACGCATCTCCATCGCCCACTCCGCCTCCATCTCCCCTCCCCTCCCCCACCCCCACGTCGCCCTCATCCTTCCTTCCTCCCTCCCGTCCTTTACGACCCAAAGCTCGCCCGGCTACTGCAAAAAGAGCCACGCCCTACATCCACTTTCTCTCTCTCTCTCTAGGAAACCCACGTCCCAATACTCTCTTTTTTTTGGTCCGTGGCGCCGTGCGCCCTTTTGTCTGCAAGCAAAGCCTCGTCCCTTCCTACCACGCGTCAACGGACCTTTTGGCTTCTCTGACACCGACAACCACACACACACACACCCTTCTCCTTCTTCTTCTTGGGCAGACGGCCTATGACCCCCACCGCGGCATTGCTCAACGACCACGACCACAACCACGACCACGACCGCGGACACTACCCCGTCCCCTCGACCCACCCGACCCTGGCGCAAAGCGTTCCGCCTCTCCGTCACCATGGCAATCTTTAAGAAGAAGGCCAACAAGGAGCAGCAGGCCGCTCAGCAGCGCGAGCAAGGCGCTCGCTCGCCTACCAACTCGCCCCCGGTCCAGTGAGTAGCGGGCCTCCTGAACCATGATGTCCTGGTCGGACGCGTTCGGTCGGACCTCATGACGACCCCACCTTGGTTGCGGCGGTCTCGCGTGGCCCCCCGTGACGCGCTCAAAGCCGGTAGGACTCACGCTGACTTGTGCGCAGGACGCCGCCATCCATGGGTGCAGCAATGCAGTCGATGCAGGCGATGGGCCAACAGGCAATGGGACAGCCCGCACCCATGGGTCAGCGCGACGTGTCTGGCTCGTACGCGCCTCCCAATCCCAACGTCAACACTCGCAGGATGACTGCCCAGGTGCGTCCGGGAGACACTGCTCTGTTCTCGTGGCTAGCTAACCTTGCCTCCCAGATGCCGTTCCCGCAGCCCGACCGTACCCAGATGACCTCCCCGACTGGACGCATGTCGCCCGTCACTGTTGGCGGTCCCAACGCCGGGTTCCCTGTCGGCATGGGCCTGCCATCTACCATGCAGAACGGCCCCTCTCCGCTCGCGTCCCAGACCGCCGGCCCTCCTCCTCCTGGCGCCCAGCCCGCTGCTGCCCCTCCAGCGGCCGCAGGAGGCGGCAACTCGTCGTACCCATGGTCGCTGCGCCAGCTCCGCCTGTACCAGCCGCCAACGGTCCCTCCTACGGCCCCAATGACCCCCTTCCCCCGCTACGGGTTCAGCGTGCCGCCCTACCCTTCTCACTCGGGCCACGTCCTGCTCTTTGGTGGTCTTGTCCGTGACCGCGCGCACAATGACCTGTGGAGCCTCGACATTCACAGCAACGCGCTCCAGTTGGTCAAGACTCGCGGCGACGCGCCCGTGCCGCGTATTGGCCACGTGAGCGCCATTGCCGACCGTATCATGCTCGTGTTTGGCGGCGACACCAAGGTCAACGAGGACGACCACCAGGACGACAGCCTTTACATTCTCGACTTGCGCACACAAGAATGGACCAAGGTCCCCGTGTTGGCTGGCCCGAGCGGGCGATACGGCCACGCCGCGTGCATGTTTGGCGGTTCCTTTTACGTCCACGGCGGTCACGTCGACGGCCGCAACCTCGATGACCTGTGGTCGTTTGACCTGCGCCAGCTCGGCCAAGGTCCCGGTCCTTACAAGTGGGAGCGCGTCAACTATGCGACCCCGGCTCCGCTCGCGCGTACCGGCCACACCCTCGTCCCCACCCGCGACAAGCTCTACCTCTTTGGCGGTACCGACGGTGACTACCACTACAACGACTCGTGGTCGTTTGACATGGCCACTGGCGCCTGGACCGAGCTCGAGTGTATCGGCTACATTCCCATTCCTCGCGAGGGCCATGCGGCAGCCATTGTCGACGACGTCGTGTACGTCTTTGGTGGCCGTGACGTTCACGGCAAGGACCTCGGCGACCTGGCCGCATTCCGGATCTCCAACCAACGCTGGTACATGTTCCAAAACATGGGTCCGTCCCCCATGGCCAAGTCGGGCCACAGCCTGTGTGCGGCGCACGGAAAGGTGTTTGTCATTGGTGGCGAGTCCAACCTCTCGCCCCAGGTCCCGCGCGACGACCCCAACGTTATCCACGTCCTTGACACCACCAAGATCAAGTACCCCAGCGACAACCAGCCTCCACGTGCACAGCAGCAGCTGCCGGTTGGAGCTCCGCCGCCCCCGCAGCAGCAGCAGCAGCAACAGCAACAGGGCCGTCCCAGGACGACGTCTGACGCCACAGACCGCAGGCCGACGAACGCTCTCAACGCTGGTCCGTACCAGCAGAACAACGCTAGCGGGCCCCTCGGACCCTCGAGCGCTCAGGCCGCGTACATGGCCTCGCAGTCGCACGACGCTTTGGCCAGGTCAATGTCCCCGCCTGCAATTGTCACGACCGAGCCTCGTCCTCTGGTCGTGGCAAACGAGACGGATGCTCAGTCGCGGGCTACCCACTCCGAGTCGCACGACACGGCCCACACTGGTATCAGTGCGGCTCGTCTCAACGGCGTGCCGCCTCAGCGTCCCAAGCGTGAGGGCGATGACGAGTACCGCCGCGCCATGTCGCCCAACACGCCTGCCATGATGAACGGCAACGGCAACAGCAATGGCAACAGCAACGGCCACAGCAACGGCAACGGCACCGAGTCGTCGAGCCCCGTCACCGACCGCATAGTTACGCCCAACGACACGAGCCGCGGCAGCACGTCTCCTCCTGCCACTGCCACTAGCCACACGATCCACCCGAATGTCCGCAACTCGCGCAGCCCACCGCCGCAGCTCCGCATTGGCGAGAATGGCGACTCGCGCCCGGCTCTTCCTCCCGACGCATTCTACTTTGGTGGCAAGTCGCCAGGTGGCGGCGGTGGCAGCCGTCCCACGTCCGTGAACCTTGGCCGTCCAGGGTCCATGCTTGGCCGTCCCGGTTCGATCGTGGGCAACAGGCCCGGGTCCATGGCCGGGACCGCCGACTTGTTGCGAGAGCTCAAGGCGCGCGAGACCGAGGCGGACAATGCCAAGCGTCGCGAGGCCGCGCTCCGCGTCATCCTCAGCCGTGCCATTGACCAGGGCTTTGTCGCCGAGGACGAAACCGCCGCCGACATTCCTCCTCCCAACCTTGCCGGCGAGTCGGAGGTTGTCCAGCAGCTGGCCATGGCTCTTGTCCAGATGAAGACGGAAAAGGCCAACCTGCAAAACGACGTCGCCACGCAGATGAAGGCTGTCAGCGACAAGCTCCAGGACGCTGAGAGGCTACAGAAGAGTGCCCTGCACGAGACTGCCTACTACCGCGCCAAGGTTGCTGCCCTCGAGGTCGGTAACGGTGCCGAAGTCAAGCGCCTCGAAGCGATCCGTATCGCCGACCTCGAGCACCAGCTCGAAAGCATTGTCCAGAGCTACGAAAAGGACAAGCTGGAGCTGGACCGCGTTCAGGCCGACCTCGTTCGTCAAACTGAGATTGCCGTTGCTGCGACCGAGCGCGAAGCCGAGACGCTCCAGCGCGCCGAGGAGGCCGAGGAGGCCAACGCCAGGTTGGAGGACGAGGCCGAGGAGCACCGCAACGTGGCCGTGGTCAGCGACAAGACGATCCGCGACCACGACGAGCGCTTCATTACCCTCACGTCGACGCACCAGCAGCGCGAGGCCGAGCGCGACCAGTACAAGCGCGACCTCGACGACGCTGTGAACAAGCACAACGAGTACCTCCTTGTCATTGAGCAGGCCCAGGCGTCCATCTCGTCTGCTGGCGTCCGCGCCACCGAGCTCGAGACCCTGCACGGCTCCGCCAAGGAGCAGGTTGCCCAGCTCGAAAACGACCTTTTGGAAACTCGTCGCGAGCTCGAGGCCCGCACACGCGAGGCCGAGCAGGCCACCGCACGCCTTGCCGAAGTGGAGACTCTGCACAGCACTGCGCGCGACGAGGCCGACGGTCTGCGCTCCGTCACCACTGGCCGTCTCGGCGAGCTGCTCGATGCCCACCGCTCGGTCCAGTCTGACAACGAGCGCTCCATCAAGGGCCACGCCGACCAGCTCCGTGCCCTCGAGGAGGAAAAGTCGTCGCTGCTCCGCCTCCTCCGCGAGGCTGGCCAGCGCGTCGACGCTACCGAGGCTGCGGCAACTTCGCACCGCCAAAAGGCCCGCGACATCGAGGTGGCCCACCAGCAGCTGCGCGGCGAGCTGCGCACCCACCGCACCAAGCTGCTCGGTGTCCAGAACGAAATGTCAAAGTACCGCGACCTGTACTCGTCCAAGGACTCTGAGCTGCGCGAGCGCGACCAGGCAGTCACCGAGCTGTCTACCCGTGTAGTGCTCCTGCGCAAGCTGCTGGGCGAGCACGGCATTGCCGTTTCCGACAACGACCTCGAGTCGGCCGAGCCTACAAGCACGTCCGAGCTCGAGACCCGTCTGCGCGACAAGACGCGTGCGCACGAAAACGCCCAGCGCGACTATGACGAGCTCAACCATCGCCACCAGGAGGCCGAGGAAAAGGTCAAGACCCTCACTCGCCAGCTTGACCGTATCGCCGGTGCTCGCAGCGGCAGCGCGGCGTCGATGCGCTCGCCCAGCCCCACTGCTATCGGTGCTGGCGCCGTTGGCGGTGCTGCTGCCGTGGGTGCTGTCGCCGGCGCTGTTCTCGGTGCCAGCGCCGAGGGCGCGCGCAGCGGCGGTTCCGAGTCGGCCCGCGTTCTGGAGCTCGAGGAGAAGCTCGCCGCCGTCGAGGGCGACTACCACACCGCCGTCCGCTACGTCAAGGGTACCGAGAAGATGCTCAAGCGCATGAAGGACGAGCTCACCAAGCAAAAGGCGTCCAACATTTCGCTCTCGACCGAACTCGACAGCCTCCGTGGCCGCTCGTCCGTCGAGCCCGGAGGTACACGCAGCATCACGGGCCGTTCCACCCCATCAGAAGGCGACGCCAACCGCCGCCTGCACACCTTGCAGAACCAGTACTCGACGCTGCACGCCGAGCTCCAGGCGTCGCAGGACGTCCTGTCGGCGCGTAACCGTGAAGTCGACGTCCTCCGCATGCGCTGCGAGGAGGCCGACCGCGAGTGCGACGCGCTGCGCGACGACCTCGCCCAGGCCCAGCACCGCATCGCGACGCTCCTGGAAATGAACCAGTCGGGCATCCACCTCGGCTCGGACGACGACGACGATGACGTCGACGACGAGCGCATCGCCCTCCGCCGCGGATCGAGCGCGTCCTCGGACGGCGGCGCGTCCATGGCCTTTGACAAGTTTACAAAGGAGCTCAAGCAGTGGGAGCGCGCGCGCTCCCCGGACCTCGGTGCAGACGGCGACAGCTCGGCACTGCTGCTCGACCACGACGACGTCGTGCGTTCAGCCGGCGCCGCCGCTGGCGCCGCTGGCGGCAGCGTGAACGGCAACCACGCCGGTCCCGGCGTCTCCGTCGCGGCCGCCACGACCCCGGGCTCGGCCACCACGTCGCCCCTCCTCGCCAACGGCAAGCCCTTGGCCGCCGCCTTCCCGCCCGTCGGCAGCGTCGGCGGCACCATTGGCGTCCCCGGCCCCCTCGCAAGCGTCAAGGCCAACGACAGCGTCCACTCGCGCAGCTCGTCCGCGTACTCTGGCGACTGGAGCTAGAGCCGGGAGCCAGCGCCAAACTATAACAACAACAACAACAAAGCAAAAAAGGAAAAAACGATAACAACACACCACCCGACACGAGAGAGATTCCGCGCGACGAGACGACGAGCGAGACGACGGAGCCTGCACCTCATCTACCCCCACCCCGCGCGCGGGGTTGAAGGGTTGGGGGTGTAGGGCACGACGGACTATAGAATTGACACCCACGCCGCCGGGGTGCGGGTGCGTCACGGAGCATGTGGACAGGCGCTTGGTCTGCTTCTGCTTCTGCTCTCCGCTCTGCTCTGACTGGTAGCCTTGAGCAAAGCTTTGCCCCACCCCCTCTGACCCTTCTTGAGAAATTTTGTATCCCTGTTCGGGTTAATGCATCTGACTATGCGAGAGCTGTGCAGAGGCCAGTGGGAGGGCAAGCGAGCGCAAAGTGATATGCGATGGTGGACTCGCGTGGGGAATGAGTGAGGCGCAAGACAAAGCTGTGCCTCTGGGACATGTGATTGTGGCGGACCACCGTCGGGCAACGCCCCGTCGCCGCCGCCCGTCTGGTGCCACAGTCTACCCATCACCTGTTCCACTACCAGCGTTCCAGTCGACGTTATCTCGCGGGCGATGCGGTTCTCGTTTCTCGGGCACACAGTGGCATAGATCGACCTCAAACTCACTTACTGCAAAAGAGCTACTACAGAGAAAAAGAAAAAACACAGCATACAAGAACCAGTTTTTTTCGACACGCACAGTACACAAAATCGCCAACACGTCGCTCGCCTCGCCTCCCCCGGCGGCTAAATTACGTCCCCCACGCCCCCGTCCTTGAAGCCGTAACCACGCGCCAGACCTAGACCTAGACCTAGATCCCTAGACCTAGACTGTTCCCTCGGGCAGACGCTTCTGCTCCCCCTGAGTGGCGGGGGTTTCATTAATGGCTACATTGGCGACCTCGGGAACGGGGTTGGACTGGGGCTGTGACGCGGACTCCGACTCCAGCGCGGGCGCCGCCTCGGCGTACTGCGCGGGAACCGAGCCGGCCACGACGGCGCGGGGCGGGGGGTTGATCGTGTGCTCGGCAACGACAAACTGCGGGCGCTGGTCGGCGGGGACGACATGGGCCGGGACAAACGTGTCTGCGGCGTCGTCGTCGCCGTGGATGTGGCCGTCGCCGTGGATGTGCTCGACCTCGACGACGTTGTCTTCCTCGCCGTCATCCTCGTCGTCGTCGCCATGCGCGTGGCCCTGTGGTGGGAGGCGCGCGAGCATGGCCTCGGCGCCGTCGGGAAGCGTCGGGGCGATGGAACGCGTCGACCGCGTGGTGCGTACCGAGCGGATCGAGGCGGGGCGGGATACGGTGGATGTGGCCTCCTTGGAGGGAGGGAGGACGAGGCGGAGGAGCGACGTGTACGCTGCAAGTCAGCTTCACTCTTGTCACTCAGCTGCCACACTTACGCTGACGGCACACGGGGCAGTACCATCCCTTGGCCTTCTTCTTCCTGCGGGACGGCTGGGTTAGCGTCGGTGCGGCCGGTGCGGGAGGGGCCGCCATGGGCACGATACCACCGCCCGTAACCGCCGCACCGGTACCGGCATCGGCGGCAGTCTCGTCGTCGCGACGGGCAACACGGCCGCCGGCGCCAAACTCGACCATGCCGACAGCGCACTCGCGGCACACGACGAGGTGGCGACATGGGAGAAGGACGACGTCGCGCGGACTCGTGAGGCACACGATACACTCGTTGGGAGCAGACGCATACGGGTCCGACGTGGGCGGGTATGTCGTGTCTGCACCGGTCGAGCTCGACGACAGACCATAAATCTCCTTGAGGAGGAACGAGTGGGCGCCGATCTGGGCCTCGCGACGGACGACTTTGACGACCCACACGCGCTTGCCAGCAGCACCCGAGATGGATCCCGTGGTGCTGGCGTGGCTATCTGCGACCCATGTGCCGCTGACGAGCATGTGGGTGAGCTGGGCGTTACGGCGACGAAGAGGGCCGTCGTCGCCGAGCGCCTCGATACGGATCAGAAGGCGCATGCCGTGCTCGGGCTCGGCGGGCTTCTCCTCCTCGGACTCGACAGGCGGGGTAGCAGGTGCTTGTTGTTGCTGCTGCTGCTGGGTCATTTCAATCTGGGCCTCGACATCGTTCTCGCGCTGGCGACGGCCAAACAGGCCGAAGCGGCGACGGCTGGGCTCGGCAAAGTCTGGGTTGGGAAGCTCGGGGATCGCAGCGAGATCCGGCGTGGTGGCCGCAGCGTGGGTACGGTCGATAGAGGAACGAGTCGTGTCCTCGCTCTGGCTGGCGCGGTGTGCCTCGTCATCGTCGCCCGTCTTGCTGTCCTCCGACTCCTTGCCCTCGTTGGTGGTCTCAAGAGTCGGGAGCGGAGCAATGGCAGCGGACAGGTCGAGCGCGGCGTCGGTAGGAAGGGCAAACGCCTGGTTGAAACCTCCAGGGTGGGTTCCCGTGTACAACACCTGGGGCTCGCCAATGTGCTCGCCACTTGCAGAGGGAGAGGGGTGCAGGCTGAGCGTGATTTGGACCTGCGGGGTCATGGCATCATAGCTAAACTTGAGGAGATGCAGTGGTGCCGGGTGGATGACGCTCGACCTCGGTGAAGAGGCCACCGCCGAAGCGGCTGAAACATCCGCTTCATGGTGGTGGTGGTGGTCGTCGAGGGGCTGGAGGAGAAGCGTCGGCCGCTTGAGGTTGACGAGCGCTTGGAGTGTGGTGGTCGCATGGAAGCCCTGTAAGACGGCGGTCAGTACACACATGCGCAGCCACAACACGGCCGTATGCATGTCCAGGAGCACAAACGCACCTCTTCGCCCTTGGCACGCTCGACCCAGCGCTTGACCACGTCGACAGAGACCTTGTTGCCTTCGTCGGGACTTGTCCAGCCTGGTTGGTCGTCATCGCCCACGTCGGGTCCGAAAATGGTCTCGCGGCGACGAGTCTTCTGCGTGTCCTCGTTGCCAGCAGCACCGCCAACGCCGGCGCCGATTCCTGTGAACCCCGCGAGACCGTTGAGGGCGCCATCGACGACGACAGTCTGCTGGATGGTAGGGTAGTACATGCCGCCAAGACGAGGAGGGACGAGTAGCGACATTGAACGCGTGCGAGACCGGCCCAGGTTGTCACTGTTGTGGGAGTCAGCGGCCAGGTCTCGTCGGTCTCTCGGACGCATGTGGATGTGGGTGGGTTGCAGGCCAGCCCGAATGTTCAGTCGCCGATGCCGACATGCCTCTGTAACGGGAAGGCGGAGAATGCCATGATTACCCATCACAGCAGGGCGGTTTACAGCCACCATGCCTTGGTTCACAACAAAGGGCAGCGGCGAATGAACTGGGGGGTGCGATGGATGATAACCCAAGGTACTACTCACTACCCGCTCCATGCGCCCATTCCAAGGGCAGCGGAACCCATCTTGGAAAGTAGAGTAGATTACAAAAAGGGGGAGAGTGAGGAGGTGGAGTGGTTGTTGTGGAGAAGGAGGCCGGCGAGTGCGGGTTATTCCTTATTCAGGCGTCTTTGTCCCGTGTGGTGGCTGTGGGATGTGGGGGTGCCGGAGCGGGGGGAGGATGAGTAGGAAGACGAAGACGAAGAAGAAGAAGAACGAGGACGAGGATGAAGGCGATGGAGGGATGCGTCGTTGGGCGGGGCGGCGGGCACCTTTGGCTGACACGGACAGACTGGGCGGGGGGGAGGAGGGAGAGGGCGGCGGCGTGGGCAATGCGTGTGCACCAAACGAGAGCTACCACCGTTCGTAGAGCGGGTGGCGGCAAAACGCACAGAGGCGGGGCAGCTCGGCAGGACAAGTAAGGACAAGGCCAGCACAGTGCGTTCTCACATATTTGGTTCCGTCCATCCATCCACCCACGGCGTCGGCCGGCCTGGGCACGCGCGCCAATGCGAGAAGTAATGACGCTGCTCCAAATAGCAACATTCCCCCGCATGTGCAGCAGCACCGCCCTCGACCTCGTCGTCCGTCTCGAGCCTCATCGTTTCTGCCACGACAAGTGGCAGGGGAGGGCGAACATATACACACATGCCATATAGTGGTCATACAAATTACACACACCCTCGTCATCTAGATCCACTCCACGTCCTCCTCGGCGCCCTCTAATAAGTGTGTGTCAGCACAGGAAATGAGAGAATCAAAGGCAACAGCCAAGTGTGGCACAAAGTCACCGCGACGGTAACACCGTCTACGCCGGCCGGAGTGGCCCGACAGCCAGATCCTAACCAAATTCGGCATGCGCGAAAGGCCTCTTGGCGCTCTGTGCAGATCACTTGCGTGCAGGCGCCGGTGACAGGCGCCGGTGACAGGCGCCGGTGACAGCCATTTGTCGGCCCCCACACTCCGAGCACCTCCTAACCAATGTCCATCCCACTCACGTCTGTTGTAGCCCGCAAACTGCGCGCCGCCAAGCTCATCGTCCTCCTCCTCCTCTTCCTCGTCCTCGTCGTCGTCGTCGTAGCCCGGCAGCTCGGTCGTCGCGCCGGCCTGCTCCACCGCCGCGCCGAGCATGTCTGCAAACTCGTCCATGTCGTCGTCCGAGTCCTCGATAATCTCCACACTCTTAATCTTGCTTGCTGGCGGCTGCTGGGCCGCGGCCTTCTTCTTCGGTGTGGTCTTCTTGGGTGCGGCCTTGGCCTTGGTCGTCTTGGGAGCTGCTGCCGCAGCCTTTTTGGGCGCTGCCTTCTTCTTCTTGGCGGGCGCGGGGGGCTCGGTGGCAGTGATGGCGGCGACGCCGGCGGGGAGAGCCTTGCGCGCGATGCCCTTGCCGCCGACGCGGGCACGTGCGGTCGTCGCCGGGGCTGGTGGTGGTGGTGGAAGTGGCTGCGGTGGTGCCGGAACGTCGACGTCGACTTGCTCAAACTCGTCCTCGTCGTCTGCTGGGGTGGCCTGCCTGGGAGTAGCGGCACGGCTCACCTGGCTGGATCCAGCAGTACGCTGCGCAGAGAGAGTACGGTTCTGTGTCAGGTGCAGTGTGGAAGGTAGAGCGTGCAGGACGAATGACTGGAAATTGTCAGCTGGTGCTGGCGGACAGAAACCCAGGTGACGTACCTGGCTTCCCTCGTCCCACACGAGCACGCATTCCCTCGCCTTGCTCGTCTCTTCGCGGACATCAAAGACCTGGCTGCCGCCAGTAGGAAGGTCAAAGGAGAGCACACGGCCAGATCCAGAGGGCTCGAGTGCGCCGGGGGTCGACGATGTGACTGATGCAGGCTTGAAGGCGTCTGTTGGGTGGTAGCCGGCGGGTCAGGTTAGGGGCGCGCCAGTGACGGAGTTGCCGCAGCGGTGATGCAGGTTTCGCATGCGACGCAGAGGAGCAGTGCAAGCAGATTGAACATCGCGAATGTTGGAAGGAGGGACACAGCGTCAGCGGCCACTCTGCATCACTCCCCCATCACCAACAACAGCAGAGGAGACTCACATCTGAACGCAACGACGTCGTCGCTGCGGGCCCGCTTACCAGCGAGCGCATTGGCGCCCGAGGGAGCGAAGCGCAGTGGGTATGTGCCGTTCGGCATAGATGATAGGGGGTCCGCCATGCTGACCGGGGCTCTCAGGAGTCGCGAGAGGGCTGTGATGGAGGTGTAGTTGATGGAGAAGATGTCTTCGGATCTTGGGGACTGTGTCTCGGGGGGGGAATCTCGCGCGAAGCCGACACACCCAGAGCCTGCGCCGTCGCCTGCCGCCAAACGCAACGAGGTCTGAGCCGGGACAATCTGCCTCCGCGATCCGTTCCTCCCGATCCAACATCGTTTCCGACTTTCCGACTTTACTTTCCAGTCGCAACTACCCTACTTCACCCTTCTCACTCACACCATGGCCATCCCCAGCACCCTCCTTCCCGCCGCGCGCTCGGCGTACCGCAACGTCCTTCGCTCGGCGCGCGCAACGTTCCACAACGACCCGCCACGCCACGCCGCCATGGTCGTCGCTGTCCGCGAGACGTTTGCGTCGCCGACGCTGACCCGTCCCGGCGCCGAGCTGCCGCCTCCCACGCTGAACGAGGCGACGGGCGAGCCCATCGTGGTGGACCTGAGCTCGCCCGAGGAGCTGCAGAAGCGCATCAACGAGTGGAACGAGGTGGCGACGTTTTTGAGGCGGAACGTCGTGCAGGGCCGCCAGGATGACCAAGGCGTTTACAGTGAGTCGTGGCAGTGTTTTCACGAGCCGCAGGTGAGGGACGAGGAGAGGAGGTGGAGAGGGGGACGGTATCCGTGGTACAGGTGCAGGTAACGTGGCCTTGATCGTCCTATCTACCTGCCTTTCCTGGGCCACCGCGATCACAAACGAGCCACATTCCCTCATCCCAGCTCCAGCTGTAACAATGTCGAGAACGCACAGCTGGACAGTCATATGTCACCATCTGATCGCCTGCCTCACCACACGCACAGCTGACACACCGCGCAGAGCTCCGCGTGACCAAGGACACCGACTTGGGGGACAACGACACCATCAAGGAACCGGCCGTCATGCCCGTCACCCCCTTCCCCAACCGCGGCAAGCGCAGGGCAAAGAAGTGCGGCGAGTAGAGCTCTCTCGAGCTCGTCCTCGTCATGACGAGTACGATATTGACGTACACTGCGCCGGCGTTGCGCCTTCGGCATCGTCGTTTCTCGTCTCGTTGCGTCTCGACCCAGCCGCCAGTGGTCGGCCGTAGCGGCAACCCCCCATCCCCAACACACCCCTCACAGACCCACCACCCTTTCCCCTCCCGGACCATCTTCCTAGAGGCATGGCATTATGCACTGCATTACGACTGACGTGAAGGGCTCCTCTTGTGCCATGCAGAGAGCACATTGTTGGACTGACTCGCTGTTCTTTCTTTTGTGCTGGCGGGGCGAATTTTGCCCTCGTTGCTTGGTTTTGCATTGTGCCGCCACATGCGGCGCGAGTGTGCCGTCTGCCTCGCTCTGGTACTGCCTCTGCCTCTGCCTCTGCCTCTGCCTCTGCCTCTGCCTCTGCCTCTGCCCTCTCCGCCCTATACTGCAAATGCCCAACTCGTCCGTCGCGCGCACAGTTTGGCGCTCCGTGGGCGCCCCGTTGGGCCGTGCAGTAAACCGATGACGAACACTGGCTTAGCAAGCACGCAGCCATGTGCCGGGATGGACGAACATGCCCCAGCCAAGGCACTGCGTCTTGCCGTAGAACAGAACGACACGGCCAACACGTCCTTTCCTTTCCTTTCCTTTTCTGCGCTCGCGCTCAGAGTGCAACAAAAGACCCAAATGTAGACATAGATTTGGCTAAAGGCTAAGATAAGAGTAAGATTGTGGTGGGGTGGGTACAGATAAAACACTGGAGATACGAGAGGCTAAAGATAGGATGGATGGGATGGGATGGATGTGGTGTGGTGTATTCTCTCTCTCTCGCTACTACGTCAAAACACACCACACACACGGACACGGGCGCACACAACTACAACTCGATGATCTCACCGGTACACCGCTTGCAGCAGTGGCGGAAGTCGAGCTGGCTGCCGGGGATGACGGGCTGGATGCGCGCGTTGAACACGTCGCGCTCGAGGTGGAGGAGCGTCTTCTTGGGCGACACGCTCGAGGGCGTAATGGCGATGCGCGGGACGGGAGGGGTGGACCGCGGGATGGAGAGGTAGCCCGAGAGGAAGGACAGGCCAAAGCCTGCGCCTGCGCTTGCGGCAGCACCTGCGGTAGCGGCCTGGCGTTCCGGGGTGGAGTTGTCCGCGGCCTGCTCGGCGGCACGCGTGGGTTCCGAGACAACGCGGCCGGTCGCGCGCTGTGGCGCGCGCGAGGGCGACACGGGGATGATCACGTCGCGGTTGGACGCGTCGACGACGATGGGGGGAAGGTCAAACTCGCCGTCGACGGGGGTCCGCGCCGAGTTGGCCCAGGCGAGACCGAGACCAGCGTCACTGTGCTTGGGGGCATGGACGGGGCGGGGACGCGACAGGCCAAAGAACGACTCGCGCTTGCTCTCGCGGCTACCCTTGTCCACAGGACCGTTGGGGAACCCCCATCCGAGGATGCGGTGGAGGTTTGGGTCTTCGTCGTTGGGGTGACGAAGGAGCTCCTGGGGGGCAGCTGGTCCTTCATCGTCGGCGTCGGCAAAGTCGGCATCCGCATACTTGGCCTCTGCGTCGGCGTACTTTGCCTCTGGAGGCGTCATCGCCACTGCGGCGGCAAGCGAAGCGGGGCGAGGACGCGACTTGGGAGTCGTGGGCAGCGAGTGTGGGGACACTTGCGGCGTACGCACGGCGTCGACCGTGGCTTGAAGCTCGGTCGCGCGAGCGAGAGCATCGTCCTTTTCCCGGCGAACACGCTCAAGGGCCGAGGCCATGCTGAACAGCTGCTCGCGCATCTCACCAATGAGGTGCGCCTGGGCAATGGCACGCTCCTCTGAGGGGGCCGGGGCATGGGATGACGAGACGTTGAGGAGGCGGTCGCCAAGCTTGCGGACGCGTTCCCGAAGAAGCGATGCCTCCCGGCGCTCGGCTTCAAGCTTGTCCTCGAGTCCACGGCAGCGCTTACGCCACAACTCGACGTCTTCCCTCAAGGCATCGCGCTCCATCTCGGCGTCGATGCGGTCGCGGCTGTCGCGGAGGTTGGTGGTCCACATGGGGCCGTCCATGCTGTCGCGCGAGGCCTCGGTGCTGACACGGCCGTGCGACTCGGTCTCCTCCTCGGTCTCGTCGACCTCGGCGAGGATACGTCCAGACGTACCGCCCATGCCAAGGACCATGCTCCGGGGGCGCGGACATGCGCGAGGAGGGGCCGCGCGTGGCAGGCTCTGGAACTCTGCCAGTGGCGAGGTGTTGTATGTCGGTGAACTAATGGGCGAGGCAGGCCCCTTTGAACCAAAGTCGCGCGACGAGCCGCTGTTGCTGCTGTTGTCCGTCTTCTTGTATGAGATCGAACTGCTGCGCGAGCCTGCGCGACGCGGGATACCAAACGAGCCGTGAAAGCTAACGGGCCGCGCGCCCTTTACCGGACTAGGGGAAGAGTTGGCCAGAAACGACGTGGCTTCGTCGAGACCGAGTGGACGGGGACGCCCACGTGCTGTAGCACTGTTGTAGCCCTTTGTAGGCGTCTCGCGGGACTGCGCGGTCGCCCTCGAAAAAGCCTGCAAGACCTCGGGGTTGGAGCCTCGGCGGCTGGCGCCAGCCGAGGACACGGAAGACACCAGGTGGAGCTCTCGCAGTCGAGACGGCGTGGGTCCCGCCGCCGACGTGGTGTCGTCGGTCGGCGACGGTGCGTCAGCCATCGCAGAGTCGTTGGTGTCCGTCTCGCCGTCCGCAACGTCGTCCGACTCGGTCTCGTCCTCCTCTGCCAACACCCCCAGGCCGCTGCTGATGAGCACAGACGACGTCTTGTTTGCAGCGTTCAGGTCAAAGCCGACACCTCCAATGCTAGGGGGGAGCGCCTCCTCTTTCGGGGCAGCGTCAAAGCGGGCCGAGCTGAAGCTGGCCGAGTTGAAGCTCCAGCGGTCTGTCTCTTCAAAGGTCGACCAGGGAAGAGGGGATGTGGATCCGTTGAACGATGTCGATCCCGACACGATGAGGGAAGTGGGACGACTGGACGAAGCAGTCGAATGCATGGTCGTGCTGGATGGTGGCCGCGACGACGTCGCAGACAGGTCGTCGTCGTCGTCAAAAGCCGGGAGGGTGATCTCATGGTGCCTGGGTTCCTCGTGACGAGGTCCAGCACCACCACTGCTGCCACCTGCTCCTCCTCCCGTGAGCTTATCGAGTGCCCGCCGGCGGGACTCTTCCTTCTCTTTGTCACTGGGCTCAAACTTGAGGCGCGTGCTGATGGGAGTGCTGAGGCGCGACGATGAGCGAGGAGTAACATCGCCAAACGGCGAGTTGGGAGCAGAAGGAAAGCTGGGGGAGGGGAGGCCAAGTGATTGGGGACGACCAAGCTTGAGGTTTGGCAAGGAGATTGATTCTGAGCGGTTGTGCGAGTGCCTCTTCCTTGTCGGTGATGTTGGGCGGGACCTGGGCGCCGATAAGCTGTCACGCGGAGGAAACGCAGCAAGGTCGAGCGTCGGGAAGGCAGGCGCCTTTGTCAGGAGAAGACTTGGCGGGCGACTGCCGGGTGACGAGGGGAAAGTTGGGGAGGAGATGGAGATCTGTGCGGAGTGGTGGTGGTGGTGCTCGCGAATCGGAAGGGCCGGCAGGAGAGGCATACGCGGTGCAGCCCCTGGCGCAGCCTTTGCTCCAAACGAGAAGGCAGACAGACGAGCAATGGCGACAGTCTCATTGTCATTGTCGCCGCCGCCCATGAGTGGAGCGTCGGCCAGTTCGTTGTCCATGGGCGTCGTGACAATCTCACGTCTCGCAGGCGCACGATCATCGCTGTGAATGTCGTCGTCGGGCACAAAGTCATCGGCGGCATCCAGATCCGAGTCAAACACTCCCATCACAGATGGGCGAGTCGGCCCCGAAGAAGCAGAAGAAGCTGGTGGTGGCGGGGTCCACGAAAACGACGAGTTCTTGCGGTGGTGCCGGCTGGACTTGCGACCGTGTCGTGGTGGTGGTGGTGGCTTGGAAGGCGCCGCGTCGAGCTTGATGGTTGCATCGAGATCAGGGCCATCCAAACCACCCGACTTGGCGAAGCTGGGCATGCGTCTGGGCATGGAAGCCGTCTTATTGTCTACCATGCTTGTGATCAACGGCACGCCGGCCGTTGAGGAAGAGGCTCGGGACGCATGAGAGTTGGTGGGTGAATGGACACTGGACCGCGATGCGCGAAACTGCTTGAGCTGCGAATGGTGTCAGCACGGCACGGGCAACTGGCAACAACTGCGTGCGCGGGGCTGGGGTCTACGTCTGCATCTCGCTCCCGCAATGGCCCGGCTTACCTTCTTCTTTGCACTCGAGACCTGTGCCCTCCGGAGGTCGGTGTCCACAGCGGAGGACGACATGGCTCGACGTGCCTAAGGTTGGGCGGAAGTGGGTCAAGCGTGACGTCGGGGGAGACGAGGAGGAAAGACGACGTGCAGCCGCGATGGGAGGAGTTGAGCAGATGGGTGGTGGAGGTGGGGGGGAGATGACAATGAGATGGAGCCGGTGTGTCGGCACGTAATGTGGAAACGAGTGACGAGGGTCGGCAGAGAGGTGTGTGTGTGTGTGTGTGTTCGTTGTCGACGGGAGATGGTAGAGGATGATGGATGAGCAAAAGCAAAGAGGAAGGGACGTAGGACGGGTGGGTGTGTGGGGGGGTTGACGGAGCGCGCGCGCGCGTGAGCGGCGGCCAACTGATGCACTGAGGGAGAGGGGTGGGTGTGCCGGGGGCGTTGTGCGCGACGCGCGCAGTGACAGGGGCCCTGGCTGCTATGGCGCTATGGCTTGCTGGATGGACGGTGTGTGGCCGTCAAAAGGGCGATCCCGGCGTGCGCGCGAGTTGTGAGCCTGGGGGGTCTGTGCAACGGCGACGGGGGGGACAGCGTCGGCGTGAGCAGCGGGCGGCGGCGTAGTGTGTTTCAACGAGGCGCACAGGGCGGCCCGAACCACAAACCGACTGGATGTGCTCTCTCTTGAGAGCGAGAGAGATGGATGAGCACACACCGAGTGTCCCTTGTGTTGTTTGTTTTGTCCAGGACACACTGCTAGATGGAATTGGATGAACAAGAGGGAGAGAGACAACGAGTCTCCTGAGCGCCAGAGATCCAGAGAGGGTCTCCTTGCTGCCGCGGTATAGAGCCCTATGGGTGTGGGGTGGGTTTGTGTGTGGTGTGTTATGGCGACAGGACTCTCTCTCTCTGCACTCTGCCCAAAGTAGAGACTGGGGGGATCCCGTTCAGGCTCACCGTGTTCAGGTTTCACCGCCAACGCGCGTGTGTGTGCGCGTCCCGTGTGGCCGTGTGGCCGGTACGGCGCCGGCGCCATTCGGTCCGTCTGTAAAAGGTTGGGCCTAACCTGGCAAATACGCCATGCCGTATGTCGTGTCCCTTCTCTAGTCCCCCTCGGTCCCTCGCCCACGCGTGCGCGCTGGGTGGGCTGCCTAGGTTCCAACGGGCGGCCTGGACCTGTGGGGGACGCGTTTCAGGTAACACTTGTCTTTTTTTTCGGTCGCGTTTGCCCCCGAATCAGGAAATAAGCGCAAGAGTGCAGAGTCAAAGAGCGCAAAAGAGATCAAAAGGAGCAGCGTATACTAGCGTAGTGGCCGTAGTGGCCACTGTTGCTGCTCCTCTGCTGCATGCATCTCTCGCCATGGCCCAGACACATCTCTGCTCGTACAGGCACCCATATGACAGCGGAAAGGACAACAGGCAAGGGCGCCCTTGTCCACCATGTCGACCTTTGCCGTCCACATTGGCCACATTACCACAGCTGGCCAGCTGGCCAGCTGACCCACAAACCTCAATACATACATTGCCGCGGCAAGTCTCCCGATCCTCCCGCTCCGACATTAGATGGCGCACCCTTGGGTTTGCGTAACCGACTCGACACTCACCCAATTCCCAAGTTGCAGCACAACATGGCAAGCGAGGAATGTACACATATGAATGGGATGAGCACAACCGGTGGACCGTGGCTCGGCCGATAGGCCTTATACCCGAAAGAAAAGTGTATTGCAGCCCTCCTCTCGGTGTGGCTAAACTGCGAGAGACACTCCCTCGACACAGTCACTGCCACAAGTGCTCACCCACCACTCCTCTCGCAGTCCCAGTCTCGCGCCACTGCCCATTCCATGGCACACCCACCGCTATTGATGTGTAGCGGATGCGGCGGGCCACCCATTGATAAACGGCACACAACGGCCGCACGTCAGTAGTGTTCAATTCAAGGACGGTCGGACCTGCGCGCGGGCCGGCCCATTTTGCGGGCGCGCGTACAGTAGTCGTATATTATCCCCTTGTCCCGCTCACGAGTTTTGACGAAACAGAGGCGGCCTTGGTCATCAATCTTCTGGTGCACCTCTGTTACGTACGGCCGCCACGCTATGTGGATGAGGGACATGAGGGGACCTGGCCCAGTCATTCCGACGAGGACAATTTACTCGGTTCCAGCGAAAACAACAATTGGGCCACAGTGGCGAAATGCCAAGGCGGGTGTCCTTGTCCTACTTACGCTATCCCGAGGTCCCGCTGTGGGGTTAAGGTTATTGTGTTCCCGCCGGCTGTTTGGTCCTCATTGGCGGCATGCACTGGGCAGTGCTCCACAGCCGCGTACAGCGAGTTGCCATTGCGTGGGCTCGCTGATGCATGGCGCAGCGTGCACCGCGTCAGTTCTCCGCGTGTCTGTGCTTGATGCCATATGCCACGTTCCAGCACTTTATTCATATCGCTTTCGAGGAACAAGCCGCGACGGCACGCGGCATTCCCCCGTCTCTGCAACACCGTGACGTACGGTTCTCTAATCTCGGGGACTTGGGATGGATGACAGCATGGTCCAGTCTACTGGCCACTGGGTCTACTGGGTGTGATGGTCGGTGCGCTTGGTGGCGGTCCCGCTCGCCTAGGGGCGAGCCACAGATAACTGTCTAGCTACAAACAGCACTACGTGCTGACGAAGCATCTGATACACTACCACCAGCGGTCGATACCGAGGTCGATCGCGGCCGATACATGGCCGTCGACAGCCACGTCGCCCACAAACGTCACGTTGAGGACGTTGAGACCCTTCATCTGGCGATACAGCCCGTCGCGCTCGTTGGGCGTGCGGCGCACCGTGTTGTCGCTGTACGGCGGGACGAGGGCGAGCTTGTCGTTGGCCGCGTCGGGAAAGTACAGCTGCGTCGTCTGCCCGTGCGTCGTGTTGTGGCCCTTCTCATCCTGGCCCCACAGCGGGGCGTGTACCTTGAGGTGGATGTGGTTGGTCCGGCCCGGATACCATCCGGGATAGAGCTGGCGACGTCAGCGATAAGCAAACACATGACGCAATGGCCATGCGCAGTTGAATTCGTCGCAGTTGAATCTGCTCACAGTGTAAAACGTTACTGCACCCTCGCTGTCAGTCTCTTGCACGCCACGGAGGAAGGTCGCGTTCTGACGGTCAGTAGGTAGTCGAACGTGGGTGAACGCACGTTCACGACTGGAGGGCCATGGCCACCGGCGGGAGGACCACCGGGGGGAGGAGGACCTCCGGGGGGCGGGCGGCGTCCATCTCCAGGCCCGGGGACGACCATATCGACGAGGTTCCAGTCACGCCTGCTGTGTCCTTCCTCGGCCTCTGCGCCATAGCCCGAGTAGACACCCGCCGCATCGGCAGACCAGATATCGACCCAGGCGCCCGCGAGCGGCGCACACCCGTCCGATACGTCAAAGACGCGCAGCGTGAGGTGGACGGGCACCCCCGGCTGGCTTTCGGTGATGTGGGCCCGCTTCAGCGCATAGTCGAGGTAGAACGGCCCCTCCATCTGCTCGGGCGTGAGCAGGCACGCACATGCCGCGCTCGCCTGCTTGTCGGCCCATGTGTCCAGGTCGGAAAACACCGTCTGGTGCGCGCTGACCCCGCCGCCAAGGAGGAGCGTAAAGACGGTGGTGGCGAGCTTCATTGTGTACTGTACTGGGAGAGAGAGAGACAGTGTGGTTCCAAGAAGCATGGGGATCCTGGGAACCTCATGTGAATGTATGTATGATTGCAATGGCTGCGCACTGCGGCACAAGATGCACAGCAGGTCGGTGTTGACCGAGGCACGTGACTTGGGATTGGTGAGACATACCAGAGGTGGTCTGCGGTTACTGTGCAGACGCGCACGTGGGTAAAAGTCTCCTGGTGAAGCGTGGGGATTGGGGTTACGTGGTGCTGGTGTGGTTGGAGGTGGATGTGTTGTGGTTGAGTGACACAAGGTGGTGCCACGGCGATTTATTTCTATTTACCGACATTTTTCTTTCCGGTTGCGAGTGTTGTCTAGTGGCCACGGTGTTGCAGTTGTTACAGACTTGCGCCGGGTGCGACGACCGGGGGGCACTGTGGGATAGTTTGGCTATGTAGGTGACCGTATAACCCTGCACCTGCTCGTGAGATCCACGTGCTTGGAACACATTGGCAACTCCTCCAGGTAGTGGCAGCGTTGCCCCCTTCACCCACGCCGAGGCCCAATAACTGACCGTATGGTCTCCAAGGACGCCATACAAGGCATGGAATTGTGGGTCAGTCTAATTATCGCTGATCCTTGAGACTTTCGAAGAAGAGGGAGAACGCTCGTACATAGGAGATTGCGGAAAATTTTGCCACCTCGCCACCGCCCATGTCGCGGACCTTCCCTCCTCCGCCACCTTGCCCACAACACCATCCACACCTCCCACAGCGTCCTCTCCGTCCCTCAAAAGACCCTCCCCATGTCCCCCGACACGCAAGGTACCTCCAGAATTCATGCATAGCCTTCTACTCCAAAAATGAATGCCTCCAGACAGGATCGAACTGCCGACCTTACCCTCACTGAACAACCTTGGAGCTCCTCGATGGATCGAGGCCGAGATACGAAGGGCACGCTCTACCAACTGAGCTATACAGGCCTTGCACGTTCTTTGGCATGCATGGAGTGCTTATGTATCGCTGCTACGCATGGCCAAAGTTTGGAGACGATTGGAGCACTGGTTGATGAGAAAACGGTCGACGAAGATGGTGGGTAGGGTTTGGGAAGGCTGAACTTTCCGGCGCGAGGGGGCGGGGGTTTGTGCGAGCGGCGAGTTGTGGCGTTATACAGGCGGTATGCAGTGTGTTTTGGATGGGCTGAAGCTTCATGTACTGGTACTATCCCATGCCAAAGTTGGAGACGAACGGAGGACTTGTGGAAGAGAAACAGGTGGACGAAGACGATGCGTGCGTTGGGTGCGTTGCCGAAGGCTCAACCTCCGTGGCGAGAGTGCCAGGTTTAATCGGCGGGTTCTGTAGCTACGTGTGTCGGGGTTGCAGCGTCGAACATTTCTTGAGATTCAGGAGGCACACACACTGCTGCTCCTTATCTCGTTCGGCAGATCGCATATCCTGTGCATTGCAGAGCTCTAGAGCCCAGAGGCAGTTGGTGTTGCCAACATCTGTCGCTCGAGTTCTTCTGCTCGGCCCTCAGTTGGCCGCCACATGGGAATCTCAAATCACACAACCTTGCAACCTACCCCTGGTGCTGTCTACTTGTGCATGGTGCTTGCATGGTATTTGACAATAGCTGTATTCTGGGGATTGTGGCAACCTGGCCACCTGCATGGCACCTGCATAGCCGCTTGCCACCGTGAATGATCAGTCGCGATCAGCGCTGGCCACTTACCTAATTCCGCGGCCCACCCAGTGTCACAGGTTGACTCACCCTTCTCTATTCACCGACCTCCTCTTCCTTCTCTCAATCCACTCTCACACTATCACCCTATCCACCATGCCTGGGGCTAAGCCAACCCCCGCGGGCCCCAGTGACCCCGTAGCGCCTCCAGCCCCTCCAGGCGACAATATCGTGGACGACCCCTCGTTCACGGCGGGCGACTTCACCCTCGTCTCGGCCGACAATGTGCGCTTCCGTGTTCCCTCTGCAGTCCTGTTCGGAATGAGGTAGGTGCACCCCTCTCTCGCCGCGCCGCTCCCCCCTCTGACCATGTTCAGTTCTGTGTTCCATGCAGCCTCCACCTTTGATCTCCAGAAACGTCAAGTCTCGTTCGCCGACACCGACATTGAAACGGCCGCCGTCTTGCGCCTCTTCCTGACTGTCATCACAAAGGGACATATCGGCCCGTATGACACCAAAACAACAAAGTCCATGTTCCAGTGGTGTTCGCCCTCCATTTCATGAAGAAATACGAGTGCGGCGTCGCCCAGGCCATACTGTTCCTCGACATCAAAGTCAGGCTCCTCCAGAACGGCTACTATGCGGTTCTAGCGTTCATCCTGGGCGCCATCAACGACGACCTCGAGATTTGCAAGCTGTCCCTGGTGCAAGCGGGGATCCTCGTCTGGGGAAACAACAGCAAGCTCGACTCGTTGGAGGGTGCCATCAGTGGCGCGCCCATCATCCACCCTGGTGCACTTCCGTTCGAGATTTGGCACCTCATCCCGCAACACTACATTTGGGCTCTCACCCGCGCAAGTTACGGTAACAGCAACGTCACAGCTGCACAACTTCCGGACCGCTTTTGCATCCTCATCAGAGAACACCGAGGTAGGTTTGCTTGCCCCCGTACCCCCACCAACACCAAAGCTCGCTTCGGCCGTCACCATCAACCCGAGGTCGGGGCCTAGGGGCACCTGGCACACAATTGGGCACACAGCTCGCTTTTCCACCAACGCTCCAGCTACCTCCCTGCACCAAATCGCCTCTCTCACCGCTCCAGCGTCTCGGTCGTCTCTAAACCGCTCCAACGTCTCCAACGTCTCCAGCGCCTCCAACCTATGACTGTACTGCTCTTCGTTTCCTCCTGTATAAACTGTACCTCGGCTGCTCACCCAAGACAGAGTAATGGCAGTCGCCGTTGTGGCGGCCTCCATCGTGTGACACCTCTTTGTCCGTTGCGGCAATAGGATTTTCCGTTCTCCTGTCCCCAAGAGTCACGTCCTAGCTTTTTAATAGGCCGTCCTCATGCATGTAGTTGCAGTGGCAGTGTCATGCCCATTCTTCCTCTGCCGGCAGTGATCAGCAGCGGCGACAACTGAACACATTACGTCATCCGCGGCGCTCATCAACCGACGAGTGTGTGCTTCCAATCCATCAACATTTCTCCATCAACACTTCTCACTCATTGTCTCACTTTCTCGCATCTCCCATAACTCATCATGCCCGCCAGCACACCCACCACAGGTTCTAGAAACCGGCCCATTCGCGACCACAAAACCTTCAAGGATGGCGACTTCACCCTCATCTCCGAGGACGGGTGGCGTTTCCGAGTCCAGTCTCAGCTCCTTTTCGCCATGAGGTATGTTGGTTGCGGTTGGGAGCAAACAGTCCAAGCCTGACATGAGCAGCACTGCGTTCAAGGACATGAGCTCATTGAGCAATGAAACCCTCGAGATCACCTTCACCGACGACGAGCTTGAACAGAAACACACCATCGAACTGTTCTTGACTCTTATCACCTGCGGGCATCTGCTGGGCTATGAGGCAAAGAAGTTTTCGATCCCCGAACTGGTCCGCATCGTCCGATTTTTACAGAAATACGGCTGCCATCCTGCTCTGAGCATCTTAATTCTCGACCTCAAAGTCAAGCTCTACGAAGGTGAATTGGGGTCCTTGACAATGTTCGTCCTGGGTGCCATCAACGATGACCTCGACATTTGCAAGGCTGCGCTTTTGCAAGGTAAACGTCGGGTGTGGGGCGGGAATACTGGTCCTGAGACCAACCCTCTGAAGAACGGCACAAAGGGTGGTTGGGGGCTCGACCCAAGTACCTTCCCGCGTGAGGTGTGGGGCATCGTCCCGCCGAACCACCTGTGGGCCCTAGCGCGCGCTGTGCGCGAAGTCACGCCTCGGTCCGATGGCGATATTTCCACACACAAAAAGCAAAGACTCTGTGATCGCTTTTGCGAGCTCATGGCAGCAGTTGAACGTACGTCACCCTTCAGCAGTACCATGACTGACCTCAAAGCAACCTCAGCCAACAGCAACTAGGGAGAAGCTCGCTACTCCCCGACGCCATGATTCCCACTCTACCGCAAGGCTCTGTCCTCGAGCACCGATTTCAAGTATGTTTCGACCACACCCATGACATGTCACCCACGCACTCAAGCCCTCATCCCTTTCGCTCCTCAATTGTCCACTGCTTTGCGGGGGACCCCTCCCTCGTTGTATTTATCATCCGTGTCCCATGACGAACTTTGTATATAGGCATTTGCGTCAGTTGTTTCCCGTCCTCAATGTCATCGCCATGTCCAATACCAGGAACAGCAATGAATACACGGTGTGCTATGTACGGCACTGTGTGGGCTGGGACGGAATGCTCTCTCGCGGCTCGCGGTGGTGTTGTTACCCGCCCACAGAACACTTACACCTGGTGATCGCCGGATCGCTGGCCGACTGATGACGAACGGCGCCTGTTTCTGCCGGCTTGCTTCCGTCTGCCACAGTGATCGCCACACAAACAGTTGACTAACCCACCATCAGCCTCAACTTTCAACAACACTCCTTCTCTCACTCCTCCAACCCTTTGTTCCATCCATCCACTTGCAACTCGCGTGCTTATGATGGAAATGGACCCCGGAACGGCCGCAGACGCTACCAAGGAAGCCACCGAGGACGGCGCCCAGCCCATCAAGGAAGGACAACGAGACGTTCACGACAGGAGACTTCGCCCTTGTGTCGGCCGACCGCGTTCGCTTCCGTATCGCTTCCAGTGACATCTTCAAATCCAGTCCTGTCTTTGACCAGGCAAAGTCGATGACCCCCGTCACACACGAGGTCACCCTCACCGACAGCGACATCGAGAGCGCAAAAGTTCTGGACGTGTTCTTGACGATCATCACCACGGGAAACGTCCCGACCGTGCTCACCCCAAGCAAGGACTACTCCGACTACGATAACTGCATACGTCTGCTGTTCAAGACTCTGCGCTTCATGCAGAAATATAAGTGCAACAATGCGATTGACCTCCTCTTCCTCCGTCTCAAGGTCAACTTTTACGAAACCAACGAAAACGCCCTGGGATTGTTCATCCTCGCGGCCGCCAACGACGATGACGGGACCTGCCATTGCATAATCGAGAAGCAGAAACACTTTGTTTGGGGTCACCTTCCTCACGCCCCCACCATACCGCTAGACGCGACCGCCAAGGAGTCTCTTGCCGACCTCACCACCCTCCGCTGGTCGCTGTGTGAAATCTTCCCTCCTGTGTATCGCTGGGCTCTTACCGGTGCCACCGCTGAGGTTGTCGCGCTTATGGATGCCCACGATCCCGCGTTGGGTACCTGCGAATGCGACCCGAATAAGCTGAGCCACCGTGAAACCGTCTCGTATCATTTCTGCAAACTCATGCAGCCGCATCGAGGTATGGTCCCTCGGTATGTAGCCACAACGCTGACGACCAAGCCGGGTGAACGTCCCCAAAATACCAAGAGCTGGACCAGGCGCGCTACCTCGCGTGCGAGACACCCCTTATGACCACCCCCGACAATACCATGCTCCCTCCCCAGCCAACCCATGGCAGGGTTTCGCTCGCCCTGTTTATCGTTCTCTCCACCACGCATGTGATACCCCTCAACCTCGGACAACACCGGTTCCTTCGACAGCCAGAATGTGGCAGCGTCTCTCCCACCCACCCTGTGTATCGTCTCCTCCTCGACCGAGTCGCCTGTATATGTTGGTTCCTTATGTAGCGTGTCCACGTTGGCAAGAGCACGGATTCATAGTAGCACGAGTGCATGCATTAAGCCAACGTGCTGTGACACATACAATCTGCAGCGGCTTTCGGGCTGTGAAATCGCACTCTCTGCGCCCTTCTATGCCGTGCATGTGAGAACCATGGCGCATGGCCTTACACCAGGTCAAAATCGGTGTGGTCTATGACTCCTCACGTCACCAGTCCTTCCTTTCACTTGCAATCTGCGGCAGCTTACACGCTGCTGGGGTGTGAAATTGAACTTGCTGACTCTCTCGAAAGTTTGTTTGCGCCCCGCCACCCCGTCAATGCTTCTACATACGTACTGTGGTACTGTGGCCTCTGATCTGATTCCGCAGCAGGTGCCCTCACTTGTGTTGCAGAGAGGGCGACATCCTTCTCTCATTCCTTCCTCTCTTCACGTCTATCCACAAGCCATACGTCATGCAGACCGATCCTGAAGAGACGATAGCGAACGACAAAACATTCACACAAGGCAACTTCACCCTCATCTCTGCAGACGGCGTTCGCTTTCGGGTTGCCTCCGACCTCCTTTCCGTCCACAGGTGAGTCATCTCTGATTGTCAAGTGCAGTTGTCACATACCTAACCTGAACAGTGCAGTCATCAAGGATGCCGCCTCACTGAACCCTAGCGACCGCAAGATTACTTTCACGGACGAGTCATTCGAAACTGCCGACGCCATCAAGCGCTTCTTGACGGTCATCACTGAAGGACACATTGGACCCCATTTCAGTGTCGATGATGATGCTGTCCTTCCGCTGGCCCGCGCGTTGCGCTTTATGCAAAAGTTCGAATGTGGTATGGCCATCAAGATCTTCTTTCTCGATTTCAAGTTCAAGCTTCTCCTGGACGAGTTCTGTCCACTCGACGCTTTCATACTGGGCGCCCTGAACGACGACCTCGATACCTGCAAACTTGCTCTGGAGCAATATGAACCAAAGTGGAGTGCCATGACCGAAGAGGGGACGTCCCTGACTTGCGGTCTCGAGCATTGCGAACTATTCGATCCATCAGGTCTTCCATACACACTGTTTTCAGTTATTCCTCCGCCGTTCATTTGGGCGCTGGGACGCGCCAGAGCAGACTTTGCTGCGACTCGCGGTAAGAAGAATATCGACGAGGCTATACCCGTCAAAGACATTGCCGACCTAATCTGTGATCACATGAATATCTACAGATGTAGGTTGAGAATTGTGTCTTCAAGTCGCTGACAATGAAGCCCAGTGGCCAAGCGTCAGTAAAGAACTGCGACTCGGTTAGAGCCACCGCCACATTACCACACAACAAGCAAAGACCCTGTGCCAACGCCATACGTCCATAACAGCCATGACAGCCATGTTACATTCATGTTGATACTATACAAACTCTCCCTACAACCCTCCTTCCTCCTCCCATCGATTGTCCCCGTCCGGCACGTCCTCATAGACGATGCAGAACGCCTGTCTGTCACACACCACCGCCGAGTGGCCATCCGGCGACCACTGCACGTCGACCGCCACAAAGTCGGCACTGTCTGGAATGTCCACGCCTTCCACACCCAGTCTGTCCCACAGGTAGAGAGAGCGGTTACGCGTCACCATCGCGAGGCGGTTCGTGGTCGGACAGCACTGTACGGCCTTGAGCTGGTTATTGAACGAGATGCTTGCTGCCGGTGCCATGTCCGGGTGTGCCGAGGTGGCGTCCACGAGGAACTCGTAGATGTGCAAGAGGTTCTCTTGGCCAAAGAACAGCAGCGTGCCGTCGGGGCTGAACCCGAGCACCGTGACCGGGCCGTGTTGTGAAGCAGGCTGGCCAGAGTAGACTGAGGGTCAGTTGCTGGTGAGTCTGGCATCAACTCACACTGTGTGATTCCCACAGCTCGCGAGCCCGTAGGTGCCGGCTCGTGCCATGTTGGCGGCGAGTCACGCCCATACATCCTCAAGGTGGCAATGGACTTCCAGCTCTCGCTCTCAATGACGGTGACACTGCCCTCGGTGCTGCCTACTGCCACATGTCGACCGTTGGGTGCCCATGCAACGGTGCGGATGCCAGGTGCGTGGTCGTACTCGGTTGTCGAGGTGAAGGTGGAAAGATGGGCGCCGACGGGAGAGTAGAAGTGGATAGCGTACTGCCGTCAGCTGGGCACCGGTCAAAAGCGTAGCTCACTGAGAGGTGCCAGTCCCACACTGCCAGCCACTTTCCGCAAGGACTCCACGCGATTCCTCGCGGCTCACCAGACGGCAACGGAAAGTTCTACAGTCAGCTAAAGTCCCCGTCGAATAGCTTACCCTTGCGAGAGACTCCCTATCGTACACCCCAACATAGTCCTTGCCGTAGTGACGTTCCAGGACGGCCAGGTATCGGTGATCAGGTGACCAGGTGTGAGCTGAAGGCGTTGAGCTGGGTCCGGCGGACAAACGCACCTTGGGACGATCCAGTCTGAATGCTCTGGATAAATCGGCTGCTTCCAGTACTCAAGTCATGAATAGCAAGGCCCTAATGTCAGCTGAAGGTCACACAGTTAGCTTACCCTATCCGACCAAGACAACACGTCGTCGCCTCCCCACTCAACCTTGACGAGGTCTCCCGTGAGCCTGCACACTTCGTCGGCCTCGGACAGGTCAAAGACCCAAGCGCAGGATCCCTTGGTGGAGAATGCCAGGATCCTTGACCCGCCAGACGACCATGAGAGATGGTCCACCGTGGCGACTGCTTCGGCTCGTCGACTGGTAGACGCCACCGGTTCAGGAGGAGGCGAACAGACCCATGTTTTGACGGCCTGGAGACTTGAGGACGAGCGAACAATGACTTGGTCTTGAACTGCTGTTGCAATAAACGTTGATCCGGGTGAAAATGCCACTGCTGTGGCTTTGTGGACCTGGGAGAACTGGTATGTCTCCATTGCTGCGTGCGTATGGGTGGTTGTTTTGAAACCTCGACAACGTCAACAAAGCGTCGCGCGTCATGAACGTCAGGCGCGTGGATTTGCTTCCGCTGGGGGCCGCGAGTTCATTTTGCTTCCGCTCTTGCCAGCGCGGTTCGCACGCCACGGCGGGGAAACGGCCTCTAATCCCGCCCTCTCGCACCCATTTGCCTCTCGTTTGCACTATAACTCGCCTCCGCATCTACAACACTTCAGTCTTCTCCATCCCCCTTTGCTCGCTTCAGCATGGCCACATCCAGGTCATCTCTGTCGCAGCAGCCGGGCGCCATGGGGCACTCAGCTGAGCAACAGACGTGGGAGAACAAGATCGAACAGGCCAAAGTTGGCAAACAGTGAGTGGCGTGTCTCCATCCTCCCCCAAAACCCCTCCCTCCCCTTCCATCCCCCCCTTTCCAAGCATCCTTTCAAGATGATACACAAAACGCAAGTGGGAATCTCTCCTAAAATAATTGAGGACAACCTACTATACTTAGCACCTCTGAACTACCCCATCGCGCCTTCGTGTCTTTGAAGACCTAACGCTGACGCTTTACAGGGATCTTAATGCACTCCTATTCGATTATTTTGTGACCGAAGGCATGTCGGAGGCTGCCGTCGAGTTTGCCCGTGAGACGGGCATCTCGATTAACATCGACCAAGACGCAATTCAAGAGAGGATGGAGATTCGACAGGCGGTCGAAGACGGGCGAGTTGAAGAGGCCGTGCGCCGCGTCAACGAGCTGGATCCAGAGGTGAGTGTCTTTGTCCTTTCCTTCCCCCACATTTGCGATTGCGTGTCCCCAAGGATATGAAACATCATGCACCACGCTTAGCCGGCTTAGCAGCAAGGCCATGCGGAAACACCTGATTCACAGACCTGATATGAGGGGCCACACATCGCACTTGTTTTTCTCTATTACATTCCGTTCTAGAAGAATCATGTCGCTGACTGTAAAACCAGATCTTGGATACCAACCCGCCGCTCCTCTTCCACCTGTTCTTGCTGCGCCTTATCGAGCTCATCCGCGCGGATCGTATCGACGAGGCACTGCAACTCGCAACCCTTGAACTGGCGCCGCGCGGAGCTCAGAACCCCGAATTCCTCGCTGATCTTGAACGCACGATGGCGCTTCTCGCCTTCCCCAACCTTGCAAAGGAAGAGCTGAGCGAAGACCCCGCGTTCTCGCCCATCACCCAACTCATGAAGCGCACGCAGCGTGTCAAGGTGGCCAAAGAGCTGAACGCGGCAATTCTCGAGAGCCAGGGCTATGGGATGGAGAGCAAACTCAGCGTTCTCGTTCGTCTGATGGCATGGGGAGAGCAGAAATTGATCAAGGCGGGTGTCGGCGTCGATGACGACCGTGGACGCCAGTGGTCCGACGTTGTACTTAACGAAGCGTAGAGCAAATACCTTTTTTCCATTGTAGTTTCGCCGTTTGTAGTTTGGCGCAATGTAAGAAAGAAGAAGTGAATCCATTACCATTTTGTTGCACTGTTCCTCGGATCTACATTTGCCGGATGACCGCACGGCGCAGACCGACACACAAGACACATGTGTTGCTCTGCCCTTGTGCCTCGTCGGCTTACTCATATACCCATTCAGACGTCTTGTCTGGCCACCTCGCTTTTCATCTCAACCATGTGCATCGTCTTCTACACTCTTGCGCAGCCCGGGTATAAGCTGTGAGTCGACCGCTACCTGTCTTGCGCTTGCTGACTGAGCCCAAGTGTGCTGGCCGCGAACCGTGACGAGTTTCTCGACCGGCCGGCGTCTGACGCCGCATGGCACAACTTCGATGCGGACGGCACTGACGACAACTGGGTCCTCTGCGGGCGTGACCTCGGCAGCCCCGACAAGGGCACGTGGATGGGTATCACCAAGGACCTGCGTATTGGCACCCTGTACGTTCAGCTGGACTAGTACTTTGCTACGACTCTTGACGAGCTGACTGACCGACTCTCGCCTCTCTGCAGAACCAACATCCGGTACCCCATCGTCCCACCCCCACCTGACGCGCACTCCCGTGGCCTTTTCCTCAAGGACTACCTTGCCCCGCCGCCAGACAAACGCCCAAACCTGGACGAGTACATGCTCTCGCTCACACCCGAGGCGTACACGGGCTTCAACCTGCTCCTGTTCGACTTGAGCAAGGCAGACCCCGAGGTCGGGTATCTCAGCAACCGCACGACGCCGGCGTACATGCACCCAGAGCTTGCTGGGTGCCATGGCATGTCCAACTCGCCATGGGCCGAACCGTACCCCAAGGTCGTGGACGGACAAGTGCGCATGAAGGCCACGCTCGAGGAGTGGACCAAGCAAGGTGGCGACGAGGACGACCTCATTGAGCGCATGGTCACGCTCTTGTCGTGAGTCCTATGGGTTGGCGGGCACAGAGTCAAGCCCTCTCTACCCCTGTCTCTCTGCCACAGACTGCTTGCTCTCTGGCTTCATGTACACCGCCACTGACAACGCGCAGACCCGCACCAGTGGTACACGATACCCAAGACCTGACGTCTGCCACCCGCGTCATGCCCATTGTGATACCCCAGGCCGAGGTGTCCGAGACGACAGGCAATCCCCGGTGGTACGGTACGCGCATCTCGAGTGTGATCCTCGTCAAAGATAATGGGCAAGTCACTTTTATAGAGAGAGACAGGTCAGTCCTCGACAGCGACGGCCATGTCCAGCCAGGTGTGCAGTCCAAGGAACGCAGGTTCCAGTTTCAGGCAATTTTATCGTGAGCAAATGCATCTCCCCCAAACTACGAGCCTAAAGAGTAGCCTAGATGAGGCCGATCTGGAGAGAATTGTCAGCACGAGTTCGGGAGGAAGGTAGGGGGCAATTTTGCTCACCTTGTTGGCGACCTCAAGGGCGTCGTAGTCGGCGGTGAGGCGGACGTAGGCCTTCTTGGTACCGTCGGGGCGGATGAGGGTGTTGATCTTGGCAGACTCAACGTCGTAGAGCTTCTTCACGGCGTCCTTGATGTTGCGCTTGTTGGCGCGGAGGTCAACAATGAAGACGAGGGTGTTGTGGTCCTCAATCTTCTTCATGGCCGACTCGGTGGAAAGGGGGTGCTGGATAGTGCGGAACTGGTCCATGCGGGGGAGGTGGGGGACCGACTTGCGGGGGTACTTGGGAGCACGAGCAAGACGGAGGGTCTTGGGGCGGTGGAACGACACCGAGGTGCGGACCTTCTTGACCGCGTGCGACTGGGTGCCCTTGAGGGCAGCCTTCTTGGCCGCGCGGGCCTTAGCCTCCTGGGGGTTGCCGGCTGTGGACATGTTAGTATAATGTGGTGGGAGAGGCGGTGGGAAGATGGCGAGCGGGTTGAGAGTTGCCGCAGAGGCTTTCGAAGGAAGAGGTTGGAGGAAGAGAAACAGCGAATTTCAAGTTTGGCGTTTTGGGCACTGCGAATTTGGAGCATTGACCAGACGACCAATTTCAACGAAATAGTCGTACTGTTGCAACCAGGACGCGCACATCGGTCCCAACGACTTCTGCGCCATCCGCTCGCCGCGCCCGTTCGTCCTCGCTGTCCTGCACGGCACACTCGAAATTCTTTCGCCAGAGTCTCGAGCTGCCGCACACATCCAATGTCTCCTCCAAAATCTCCTCGTCCCTCTCCTCTGGTCGATCCGTTCCCTCGCTGCGGTTCGGATGCTCACCCTTGTTCTGCTGGGACATGGCGGTCTGCGATACGAGTCAGTAGGTGCTCGTTGACGACGGTGGTGGTGTCGGTACTGACGATTTTTTGCTGGATAGAGGATCGAGGACGTGAAGGAGCAGGAAACGACCGCCTGGCAGTGCGCGAGCGGCGAGCCAGAGCGAGAGGCTGCAGGCCACGGAATCAAAACCTGGACGTTTGGACGGAGAAGCTCTGACGGCCATGTCGCCGGTCGGCATTTCGCAAGTGGCATTTTTCTGATATCCGGCACCAGACGCACGGCCACAGTGTGCACAGCTGCCGCGGCTGTACCGCTGTGGAGAGCTTCCAGTCACTGCCCGTACTGGATTTGCACCAAGCCTGGGGCCGCTCCCTTCTGGATCGTCTTGCACGCACGAACAACACAGAAGCACATCGTCATCGTGGGTGTGGTACAGGCTGTTACACCCATGCATCAGTTGGTGGTTCCGTTGTGCGCCCATCTTGTCATTTGTAGCAGGTCTGTGATTTGGGAATCTCACTCGATTCTGCAAGCGACCCAACTGCAAGTCGTCGCGCGCGGGCGTGCACGATGTATCTCTGCAAACGGCTTTAACGCTTTTTGTTGTGTGCTCGCGGCGGCAAAGGACTGTGGCGATCATGTGGCTGCAGGTCCTCACCTCCTTATCCTGCCCAACCCCGCTGCTCTTCTCTGCTTGGCTGGCTGACGTGCCGCTCCCACAGGCCACAGGCCACAGACTCCAGCTCTCTCATGCATTCCTCTCCCCGTCCTGGGTGGTGCCGTCTGTCCTGGGGCCGCGGCGGACGCGCAGCCAAGCTGGCCCACAGCCAAGCAAGGCCCCCCCACAGGCCACAGGCTGCAGGCCACCAACACGTCCACGCGCGCTCCGCATTTTACTTCCGCTGGTTGACGCTGCCTGGGGTCTGTTTCCGCCACCGAGCGAGCTGTGGGCCTGTGGGCCAGTCCAGTCCCGCCGCCGCCGCCGCCGCCGGACCCGTCTCTCTGCGGGCTCTCTGGCTGCTCTGCTTTGTGTGTCCTTTCTTCATCTCCATCCCACACCCCACATCCCACATCTCTTCCTATCCCCTATACACCACCCACGTCTTGGCCGCCCCGTCTCTCGTATCCGTCCTAATTCGGCGTCCACGGTCCTCTGTAAATCGCCACCAGCACTACGCTCCCCCCCAAACACGTAGTTTTAACGACTTTGCGCGCCACAGGTCTTCAGCGCTGTATTTGCTACCAACACACGTCTTTCAGTTGACATCTATCGTCATTGTGCATCGCATCCGCGAATAGACCACATTACATTTTAGCCAACATGGTGAGTCCTTTTGCAACCACCGCAAGAGCCGTTGCACGCGCTTTTCTCTGCTCGAGGACCCCCCACCTCCCTGGCCGTTGAAAAGCGGGCAAGCTGCGGAAGGCTTGCGCGTTTGGGTCATCGTTCTTCTTTCGGGTTACGTCGTGTCATGTCGCTGACCACCGTCTTTCCTTTAGGGTCAAACACTTTCTGAGCCCGGTTCGTTTACGCGATGCTACTCGTGCTGGGGGTCCGTCTGCTGACCTGTATGTGCTTGCACCTCTTCTCCACCCGATCCGCGCGTCCTATCTCGTCATCACTCGCTTTACGATTCTTTGCACGCGACCTTTGCGGCCCAACAGTGACCGAGAAGCACACCACGATGGTGACTCGCCAGAAGCAGTTCTGGGTGGGCCTGTCCGACATGCAGGGCTGGAGGATAAGTGAGCCTCAAGACTCTGGTATTGCGTCATACTAAACCTGTACAGGCATGGAGGACTCGCACACTGTCCACTTGTATCTCCCTCCCGGTGGCTCCGACGCCACCCCCGCAAGTGACATCCCCGAGCAGCCTCTTGGCTCCACTGTCACCAATGACGGTACAGAGGAACGCGCCAACGCCCTTGCAGGTGTTTTCGACGGTCACGGTGGCTCGGCGGTGGCCAAGTTTGCCGGCACCACGTTGCACACTCGCCTGGCCAACCTGGAGGCATACAGTGGGTTCCTTCCCCGAGCCGTGCCATGTCGTCTGACACCCCCTCCCAGAATCGGGCGACTACGAGGCTGCCTTGAAGCAGGTCTTCCTCAAGACGGACGAGGATCTCCGTGCCGGTATGTGTTTGTGCTGGCAACCGTGTGCTAATCAGCCCTCAGACCCCAGCTTCTTCAACGACCCCTCGGGCTGTACCGCCGTCGTCGGTCTTATTACCACTGATGGTCGCATCATTGTCGTATGTATCCAAGTGATCCAGCGACGCAGACAACAAGCTGACGTTCCCAGGCCAACGCCGGTGACTCGCGCAGTGTTCTCTCGTACAAGGGCGAGGCCAAGGCCATGTCCAACGACCACAAGCCTACCAACAAGGAGGAGACTGCCCGTATCACCGCTGCCGGTGGCTTTGTCGAGTTTGGCCGTGTCAACGGCAACCTTGCCCTGTCGCGCGCTCTGGGTGACTTTGAGTTTAAGCAAAACTACACTCTCCAGGCCGAGCAGCAGATCGTCACTGCCGACCCCGAGATTATCACCCACCAGGTCGACGGCGAGGAGGAGTTTATCGTTCTTGCCTGTGACGGTATCTGGGACTGCTTGACGTCCCAGCAGGTCATTGACATTGTGCGTCGCCAGGTCGCCAACGGCGACGACCTCGGCAAGATCTGCGAGGGCCTCATGGTCAAGTGTCTCGCTACCGACTCGGAGACTGGCGGTATCGGCTGCGACAACATGACCGTTGTCATTGTCGCTCTGCTTAACGGCCGCACCACCGAGGAGTGGCAGGCTTGGGTCAAGGAGCGCGTTGAGGGCAAGGGTAAGTCTATCTGAAGACCGTCCGCAACCAAGCTGACCCCTCAGTTGGTCGTGATACCCCTCTCTCGGTTCCCGACATCTTTGGCCAGGTTCAGCCCTCGATTGGCGGCGGCTTTGGCGGTGCTGGCGGTTTCCGTCTTGGCGGCGCTGGTGGTCTGGCGAACATTGCCAGCATCCTCGGCGCCTCAGGCATCACCTTCAGGACGATGGACGATGAGGACGAGGTGGAGGACGACGACGAGCTTCACCTGGTCGACTCGGCCGCCAAGTCTCCCGAGGACGCAGTGAGTTCATGCTGCCTTTCTCTCCCCCCTTATAACAAGTCGCTAACGTACGCAGCTGGTTGTTGAGAGCCTGGGCGCCAAGGTGGAGCTTGTCGACGACGACGGCGACTCGCACATGGACTCTGGCGAGGACTCTGACGCCACCGCTGCCGCCGCCGAGGCCGGTGCCGCTCCTGCCCGTACTCCAGCATTTTCCTCGATCGGCTCGCCTACTGTGCCCACCCCCGAGTCGCTGCAGCCATTGCGCCCAGCGGATTCGGGTGCTGCGGCGGAGAAGAAGAGCGATGCTTAGGCAAATGTGTGTATAGAAACAGCCGTTTGTCGTCTTCCCAGCAATCCCACATTTCACCACTATCCCACCGCTGGTCCTCGTATCGCGCCAATGGTGTAGGCGGGCGAGACAGCAGTATACCCCATATGCCAGAGATCGAGAGAACAGTACATGATGCAAGCAATTGTACCCGGCACGAGTGGTGGCGAGAGAGACGACTTAGTGCAAAGAGTAGTGTGGGGCTTTTATGGCGTGTTTTGGTTTCTCCCACTTGGCCGTGTGCGGCCCCACGAGCGATAGCACACCAACCGGGCGCCGAGCCTTTTCTTGTGCCGGTTGGGTTCGTGGGAGTGTCCCCGGGGGCACTTTGGGTTAGCTTTCCAGCATACCATGGGCACGCGCGTGCGTGCATGGGTTCCAAGGGCCGCCAGCGGCGACGAGTGTCAGAGTGCCCGCCACGTCGAGACGCAGACACCCACCACGCAGGGCCAAGCAACAGGGCCGTGGACGGGCAGAAACCGCCGGCTAACGACGACGTGTAACCGGGGGGTCCATTGGCCCACGCCGCCAGCCAAAAGGCCATACGCTCCTTAAGTTGGGTGCTCGATAGTCCTGCGTACATCGCTTCCACCCTTTCTTCTCAGAAACTAAACTCGTATCCTACACCCCCACATCCACAGCTGCCCAACATGACGCTGTACCCGTACCCCAAGGACATGAACATCAAGAAGCAGGGTGTGGTGCGTTTCTGACAGTTCTCAAAGCTCTCCCCGCCGCAAATCGCGCGGTGCGAGAAGCCAACGTCATCTCGTCCATCCACTGACACACTGCACAGGCTGTCCCTGGCTCCGAGACCGCTACCACCAGTGGTGAGTACCGCGGGTGCGATGTGCGAAAGGCAAAAAGAGTGTGCTCTAGAGCTCTTGCCTTTGGCACGTTGGGAAGACGTGCTGCGATGGGAAATATGCTGACAGATGACACAGCCGTGTACAAGAATGGTTTGTGTTTCCCGAAATGACCGATACCCGGATCGCTGGTTGCGATGCTGACCGCCCCTCTCTAGCTTTCTGGGACAACTCGCTCATCCGCTTCGACGAGCAGGGCAAGGCTCTCCCCCGCACGCTGTACGAGGTCTTTGAGCAGTGTACGTGTTATCTTTTGCAAGCGGTTTGGTTTTGGTGGCGCATGCTGCACGGGCTCCTGACACACGCGCAGCTGTCGCGAGGCACCCCAACACCCCCATGTTCCGTCGCCGTGCGCCCATCGCGCCTACCAAGCCCGGACAGGCCTTGGACTTTGCCACGACCACCATCGACACGTCGTATGCTACCATCCAGCAGCGCCGCACTGCCCTTGGTTCGGCTCTCCTCTCGCTCGAGCGCCTCGGCCGTCTCCGCGACCCCCGTGCGGCTCCCGAGCAGCCCTCGCCTCCCGAGATCACCTACGAGGGCATCCCCTCGTACGGCGACAAGCTCAACCAGGGCGCTCGTCGTGGTTGGGCTGTGGGTATCTGGTCGGGTAACCGTGAGGAGTGGCAGATTGTCGACCTCGCGTGCCAGGCCTACGGTCTCGTCTCGATCTCGCTCTACGAGACCCTCGGCCCGGACGTTGCCCAGTACATGTAAGTTGCGAGATATTCCTTTGCAGGGGCAACAACTGACAGTCAAAACAGCACCAACCACGCGCCGCTTCCCATCATCTTTGCGTCGTCCAACCACCTCACCGACGTCCTCAAGGTCGCTCCTCACTGCCCCACGCTCCGCGCCATTGTGACCATGGACCCCGTCTCGGGCGCCGAGCGCGACGTCCTTACCCAGTGGTCTGCCTCGCTTGGCATCACCTTCCTGGACATGTCCGAGCTTGAGCAGTGGGGTTGCCAGCCCGAGAACTTCTTCGCTCCTGGCCCTCTGGAGGACGAGAAGGAGCTCGACGTCGAGCGTATCGTCACGATTTCGTACACCTCCGGCACGACCGGCAACCCCAAGGGTGTGATCCTTACCAACTGGAACATGACGTCTGCCACGATCTCGTCGGCGTACGGTGTGACCACCGACCTTGTCAAGGACCCCGGATGGAAGTTCTTCTCGTACCTGCCCCTGTCGCACGTCTACGAGCGCTTCCTCCACCTCCTTGTCTTCTACGGCGACGGTACCGTCTGCTTCAGCACCGGCGACACCCTCCGTCTCCTCGAGGACGCCTCCGTCTTGAAGCCCAACATGTTCCCCGGTGTCCCCCGTGTCTGGAACCGTCTCCACTCGGCCATCAAGATCCAGATGGACACTCCGGGCCTCAAGGGTGCTCTTCTCCGCCGTGCCGTCAACACCAAGCTCGCCAACTTCCGCTCCACCGGCGAGATCCACCACCGTGTCTACGACGCTCTCGTGTTCCGCAAGCTCCGCAACCTCATCGGTGGCGAGGTCAAGTACATGACCTCGGGAGCTGCTCCTCTCGCCGCTGCCGTCCACGAGATGCTCAAGATTGCCTTTTCGTGTGACGTTATCCAGGGCTACGGCATGACCGAGACCATTGGCACCTGCACCAAGGGTATCCCCGAGGACAACACTGCCATGGGCACCTGTGGCCAGATCCAGCCTTGCAACGACGTCCGCCTCGTCGACGTCCCCGAGATGGGCTACACCCACGCCGACAAGCCCAACCCCCGCGGTGAGCTCTGCCTCCGTGGCGACAACATCTTCAAGGGCTACCTCCACGACCCCGTCAACACTGCCAAGACCATCGACGCCGAGGGCTGGATGCACACTGGTGACATTGCCGAGATTGACGCCTATGGCCGTGTCAAGATTGTCGACCGTGTCAAGAACGTTGTCAAGCTCGCGCAGGGCGAGTACGTCGCCCTCGAGAAGATTGAGGGTGTGTACGCCCTCAACCCCCTGTTCGCCACCTTGCTCGTGCACGCCGACTCGCTGCGCTCGTCGCTCGTCGCCGTCGCCGTCCTCGAGCCCGCCCTCGCCGCCAAGCTCGTCCAGGACGTCCTCGGCCAGACCATCGACCCCGCCAACACCGAGGCCCTCAACAAGGCCGTCCTCGACCCCAAGATCCGCGCCTACCTCGTCGCCGGCCTGGCAAAGGTTGCCAAGAAGAACAAGCTCAACGGCTACGAGAACATCCGCGGCATCTACCCGCGCATCACCCCCTTCGAGGACGACCTCCTCACGCCCACCCAGAAGATCAAGCGCAACGTCGCGGCCAAGCGCTTCGAGCAGGAGATTGACGACATGTACAACGAGATCGAGGGCGCCGCTCCCGCCAAGCTCTAATAGCTTGATAGCATTACAAGGTCACTGGCATGCCGGCTGGATCACGGACGGAGCCGAGGAGACGAAGATATACAAAGATAGGATGATACAGTGATGTAAAAAAAGCCATGTGCCACTTTGCCACTTGCCCTCTTGCCACTTTCCACAGTGTTTTGGTTACTCTCTGTTTTAGCTGCATCTCTACGACTATGGGGGGTTTAACTCAAATATGTGTGCCATCGTTTTGGTTGGCCGCTGCCGGCTGCAATCCACATCCTATGCCTGGGGACGCGGCGCGTCCGGGTGCTGCCCCTCGGCAACGCGGGGAACAGGCTGTGCGGGACCCAGACGCTCACGCTCGATTCGGTCCCGCTCCATACGCTCGCGGTCGACACGCTCACGTTCGGCGCGCTCGCGCTCCATGCGCTCACGGTCGATGCGCTCACGTTCCATACGCTCACGCTCGACATGCTCGCGCTCAGGCTGCTCCCGCTCGATGCGCTCCGCTTGCGACATACCCGGGCTCCCGGGGGCGCGGTGCTGAGGGAACTGGGGGCCGTGGGGCCCAGCAGGCGCCCCCGATTCGCCCGACGTACGTCGGGCATAGTACTGTGGGTGCTGGGGATGCGGCGCCGGGCTGTAGTGTGCCGGAGGGTAGGGCTGGGGAGGATAAGGCTGGGGAGGGTAGGGCTGTGGGGCATGCTGGGAACGCGGCTCGCTGTGCTGGCGGTGGCCATCTACACGGGGAAGCTCGGCACGAGGATCAACGCGCGGCGAGTGCTGGGGGTGGGGCGGAGCGTGGTGCTGATGGGGTGGGGCATGGTGCAAGGGTTGCTGACGAGACTGGGGCGACTGCGGGTGTCCATAGCCTGGGTGCGAAACGTGCGTCTGTCCGTTTGCATAGTGTGGAGGCGGCACCGGGTACGCATGCTGAGGGTGTGGCGGATACTGCTGAGGGTGTCCAGGATGGTGTGGATGCTGGGCATATGCTCCAGGCTGAGCCGGCATCATCCGCGGGTCCGGAGGGTATCCAGGGTGCCGGGGAACAACATGGCCGTTCATGGGCGGGCTCTGTTGCTGGTGGTGTTGCTGAGGGTAAGGGTGGGGATGGTACGCCTGCCCCGGGTGAGGAGGGCCCTGCGGTGGGAGCTGGTGGTAACCGGATGACTGAGGAGACATCTGCGGAACAGGGTGCGCGTACTGGTACGGCGACGTTTGGCTCGCGACCTGCGACCTCGGCGGCACAGCCGCTGCATAGCCAGGGTGGCCATTGGCAACGTGAGGCGGACGGTTCTGGTGCGCCGCAGGGTGAGGTTCCTCGACGCGGCGACGCTTGGCGGCGGCGCGCTGCTCGCACTCCTTGCACCTAAAGTCGACCTTGTCCCAGTCGCGAATACCGCGACCGGCAGCAATGTCCTGGCGGTCGTGGCACTCGACGTGCTGCCACCTGCCACAGTCGTCACATGAGACGAGGCCAGTGTCGTCCACCTGAAAATGGGTTAGCGGCTAAATCAACTACGCACTGGAATAACCCACCAGGTTCCAACCGCTCTGCTTGCACACCTCGCACTTGAGCTCCCAAGAATCCTTGGGAGTGGCGGAACCCTCAGGTTTCGCCGGTGTCGGGTCAACAGGAGCAGGCGCCTCAGCTTCGTCCGCTGACGAGTCGGAGACCTGCTCGCCGTCACGGCGGCGCTTGCGCCTCTCACGCTTGCGCTCGGCCTTTTCGCGCTCTTTCTGCTCGGCCTCGGCCTTGGCGAGGGCAGCCTGCTGGCGCGCAGCGCTTCGCTCCTCGCGTTCCTTGAGACGGTCCTCGCGCGCCTTTTCACGCGCCGCGTGTTCGGCCGCGTCGGCAGCCTTCTTGGCCTCCTCCTGTCGAGACTTCTCCATGCGTTCCTCCATCTCGCGCTCGGCGGCCTCGCGGCGGATAGCCTCCTCGCGTTCCAGCTCGCGGGTGGCAATACGAGACGAACGCTTGCGGTTATTGAGCGCCTCCTGCTTGAGGCGCTCCTGCTCCTTGGCTTGGAGGACCTCGATGATCTGGGGACCAACTTCGTCCTTGAGGAGCTTGTAGAGGGCCTTCTCGTCCGGGTGCTTTGATTTCTCCCACTGGTCTGGGTAGTGTTGCCAGTCGTAGAGCGAAACGCAGACTGTCTCCCACTCGACAAAGCCCTCGGGCAACTCGGTGGCCTCCTCCTTGACGGCAAGCTGGAGCTCGTCGATGTCGGCGGAAGGCTCGCGGTCGTCCTCCTCGTCCTCGTCCTCTTCCTCTTCCTGCTGCTCCACATCTTCCTCTATGGGCGCTTCGTCCTCTGACTTGACAGCCTCGTCATCACCGGCATGCTCCGATGGAACGTACTCATCCTCAGGCTCCTGGGGCTCCTCGGGGGCCTCGGAAAGCGGCGACTCGGGCTTGACCTCGGGAGACGCCTCCTCGTCGTCCAGAGCCTTGAGAGTTGCTTCGTGCTCGTCCTCATCCGTCAAGTCGCTGAGATCGCTGTCGCCGTCGTCGTTGGCCTTGCCCTTGGTGGGTTTGGCCTTTTTGGTCTTTTTGTCACCGTTGAGCCAGTCGTCGGGCACTTGCTGCCACTCGTCGTCGACGGCGTGCAGTCGCCGGCTGACACGAGTACCCGTGGGAAGAGGAGGGGCCCTTGAAGGCCTTGACGGCTTGGTCGGGGTCTCGACAGCACCTCGCGTCCTCGCGGAGCTACGTGTTGAGCGGTTCGAGGTGGGAGTCGCGTCGGCTGTCCTCGTGCCGCCGCCACGCTTGAGAGCCTCCACGGTCGGGGTCACGTTGCCGTAAAACTCAACCTGCTTCCTCCTTCTCGGCCCAGAGACGGGCTCCTCGGGCTTTGGCGGCGGGGGAGTAGGCAGGCGCTTTGGTGGAGCCTTCCTCTTGTGTGAGCGCTTAGGTGGAGGACGTTGGCGTTTAAGAGCGCGCTCCGCACGCTTGGCCTTGAGCGACGACTTCTTCGGCGGACGAGGAGCGACGGGACGGGCACGCTGGATCCAAAGGCGGTTATCTGCGGGTGGTCAGGTATCGCAACTGTTGGCAACCCACCATCAAACAGAAAGTACGTGTTGCCATGCTTATCCCAACCGAGGGGATCCACCCTCTGAAGACAGTCAGTAATGTTCATTGAAGGGGTGTGTGTAGCACATACCCATGACGTGGCTTCCTCCTCTGTCTTGAGAAGCGACCTAAAGCGAGCGGGGTCGACCATCTGCCACTCGCAGAGCTGCCAGAGGATTTGGACCTTTTGCGACAGACCGAGGGTCGGCCACTCGATGGGCTCCTCGACTGTGCCGAGGATGGTGACCTCGCCTTCCGGAGCACGCTTGACGTACTGTTTCCGCAGTTGGTCAAAGGCATTCTCACGGCTGTGTGGAGTGAGCACGGGTGCGAGTTTGAGTACCAATCGAAGGCAAACTCACTTGATCTGGCGGTTCCATGTCAACGCATACAGCATCTTGGCGACAAGGTCGGGGATGATGGCATCTTCTGTGCCGTCGAGATCCCTTTCCAGAGTCTGTGAATGAACACGTTGGCCAGGCGAGAGAGAGAGTCGTGAAATATACAACCAAGGGCGAGGAGCGATATGTCAGCTACGACTCGCTCGATACGATACGCGGGGCAGACTCGAGCTCACCTCAATGTCCCATTCAACGAGGCCAAAGGCGTCTGCAAAGGTCCAGATGAACTGGCTGATGCCGGCCCAGCGCCAGTCCTGCCGCAGCTTCTGCACAAGCGGCGAAGGCGGGGGTGCTGGGCCCGGGGCCACGACGGTCGGGGGCAGAACCTTGCGGGGCATGAGTGTGAGCCAGGCGCTGTTTAGTGGTGGGATGGAGGTCGAATTGAAGACGACGAGGTCCGAGTGAGCGACGAGATTGACAACAAAGGGTTAGGGAGGGGTGACCGCAGTGATGTACAGGGCAGCGCAAGTGTCGATGATAGCGTGACGCGCGGTTGAACAAAGGGGGTGGAGGTGGAGGTGGTCAGCGTTGTGGTACGGGGTACTGTGATGTTGTTGCGTAAGACTCACCGATGACGAGGTTGTTGTGCAGTTGCGCGCCGAGGCTAGAGAGTAGGGGGGACGGAGGGCACAGCAGGAGGGCCGACGTAGTGGCTGGGACGCAGGCCGATGGTTTGAGTGCTCGGTGCAGGACCCAAACGCAGATGGCAGGTGTCCGAGGCGGGAGAGAACAATGCACAGGACGTGATGTAAGGCTTTTGGTCAAGGGACGCGTCAGGCGATCGGGAGGCGCGTTGGGGGGTTGGGCGAGTGGACGCGGGGTTGTTTGGTGTGCGTGCAGACAACAGGCGACTGGGGGTGGGTGGCTAGGCAAAGGTCTCTGACAAAGAGTGTAGAGGACCGACGAGGTCGCGACAGAAGCTTTGCCAGCGATGCCTGTGAATGGATGCCGAGGGAGGTGGGATGGTTCCTGTGGATTGACAGATGGGATGTTGCATACGCTCTCTCTGGCGGCGGAAACCGAATCCACCCAAACAGCACACCTGCGCAGCCAGGAGCGGACACTGCGAGCAAGCTGCCGGTCTGCAGTCTGCAGTCTGGCCAGACCCCGCCAGCTGCCAGGCCGGCTGACAGCCCCGCGTCACCGCGTCCAGTCGGCCGTGCCCATCACGTGACCTGGCCTGAGCCCCGGTGGAATCAAATCACCAGCTGAATTTCCGCATTCGCCGCGCGTGGCACAGAGAGAAGGTGCGCGCCCTCCACCCCCCCAGCCTGGGCGGTTCATTGACAACAGTGAGTCAACCGCCGGTTGATTAGTGAAACCTCGCCGTTACACAAACACTCTACCACCCATCTCGCATCCACTTCTCCACCATGTCTGACGCCGGATCCCCCTCTGCCAACGACGAGGTCAAGCCCAAGGCCGACGGTGAGCCCCATTTCGCATCCCCACGCCCCCTCTCCCCACGATGCGTGCGCCTAACGCGGTAAACAGAGAACACCCTCAACATTAAGATTCGCGCGACTGATGGCTCCGAGGTCTTCTTCAAGATCAAGAAGACCACCAAGCTCAACAAGCTCAAGGTAAGCTCCCCATCTCCAGGATGCGGCGCAAACGTACCCCCTTACTGACGTTTGCACAGAACGCGTACGCCGGCCGTGTCGGCCAGGACCCCTCGGCGATTCGGTATGTGAAACCTGAACATTGGGACGGGCGCGACGCGTCCGGCGATGGCGCCGGACCCCACCCCACAGACGCCGTGCCAGCGCCGTGGGAACCGCTCCGAAACGCACGTCACTGACCGCGCCACCACAGTCTCCTCTTCGACGGCCAGCGCATCGTCGACAACCAAACAGCCGAGGACCTCGAGATGGAGGACGGCGACGTCATTGAGGTTCTTCTGGAGCGTGAGTGGCGCACACACGGCGACGACGGCGGGCACGATGGGGGACGTGGGACGGTGTGGGCGAGCAAGTTCAAGTTCTCAGCACCGCAACCGTTGCTGTTCCCACCACCCCCCGTGCCCGGGCGTGTTTGCCACTGGACCGTGACAATTGCTGACGAGGACAACAGAGGTCGGCGGCTTCTTCTAGACACGCACTCATGTCAGCACTGCGTCTCAGCCGGAGCCATCCCCATCCTCCACGCACAACCACTTTTTCCCTCCCTCCCCTGGGGCCGCTCGTAGGGTTTTATTCCTGTATTTAAGCGTCGTCCATGTACATCACTGTCCCCGTCCGAGCGTGTCTCTCTGTTCCCCTACAGCCAGCCAGCAGCTGCAGCAGCCTCAGTCCAGAAAAAAGGTGGAGTTTGCGGTGTGCGGTGAGATGTGGCATCTCCCATCTAAATGTTCTGTAGTCTATGTGGTGGCGTGCACATTCATTACTCTGGAAGATAAATCTTGTACATCTACTGTATCTGGACTGCCCCAAACCCGTGTTTTTTGTTTTAAGCCGAGCCGTTGGCGACGACGGGGGCAGCGGCCTCGACGACCTTGACACCCTCAACGGCCTGCTTGCGGGCCTTGGCCTTCTCCGTCACGGCCTCGCTGGCGGGAACGACCTTTGCGTTCTCGGGGTGGGGGTCGACGTAGTTCTTCGAGTTGTACGCGACCTGCTCGTCGAGAATGTCGAGGCCACACGCGGCCGCGATGAGGCCCAGGAAGGGCGGGGAAGGGTTGAGGGGACGCGAGCAGAACTCGGGGTGGGCCTGGAGACCGACAAAGTAAGGGTGGCCCTCAATCTCGAGCATCTGCATACGCTCGCCGCGCTCGTCCTTGCCGGTGAAGCGGAGACCGCCCTTGGACTCGAGCTCGTCGACGTACTTGGGCTCGACCTCGTAACGGTGACGGTGGCGCTCCCAAGCGACAGGCTTGCTGCCGTACAGCTTGCGGAGCTTGGTGTTCTCAGTGTTGGGCTCAAAGATGGTGGGGCGGAGACCCAGGCGCATGGTACCGCCCATGTGGGTCTTGGAGATCTCGGGCATGAAGCAGATGACGGGGTGGGGGGTGGTCTTGGAGAGCTCGGACGAGTGAGCGTCCTCGAGGCCACAGACGTTACGGGCCCACTCGATGACGGCAATCTGGAAGCCGAGGCAGATACCGAGGTAAGGAACCTTCTGCTCACGAGCCCACTTGGCGGCCATGATCATACCCTCAGTACCACGGACACCAAAGCCACCGGGGACAATGATACCCTTGGCACCGCACAGGGCGCGCCAGGCATCGTGGTAGCGGACGGGGTCGTCGGTCTCCATGGCGGGCTCGAGGTCGGACGAGTCGACCCACTTGAGCTCGAGCTTGCGGCCCACGCGCATCGAGGCGTGCTCGAGCGACTTGACGACCGACATGTACGAGTCCTCGAGGGTGGTGTACTTGCCGACGAGGACAATCGAAACAGTGTCAAAGAGGCGCTCGGCACCAACACACATGTCGCGCCAGCGCGTCATGAGGTCGTTGCCCTTGGTCTTCATGTGAGGGGGGATGGTAATGCCGCCCATGTCAAGACGCTTCTGGAGGAACTGGATGAGACCCTGCTGCTGGAGGAGGAGGGGCACGTGGTAGGTGGACTCGACGTTGTGGACGCCAAGAACCTGCTTGGGGGTAACGTGGCAGAACATCGAGACCTTCTCGGTGGTCGCGGGCTGGAGGGGGACCTCGCAACGGCACGCAATGAGGTCGGGGACGAGACCAAGACCACGGAGGTCACGGATACCAGCCTGAGTGGGCTTGGTCTTCTGCTCGCCGCTGATGAAGGGGATGAGGGAGACGTAGATGAGGGCAAAGTTCTCGTGGCCGACACGGAACTGGAACTGGCGCATGGCCTCGATGAAGGGGGCCGACTCAATGTCACCGACGGTACCACCGAGCTCGATGATGCAGACGTCGGGCTCCTCGCCAGTCTCGTCAACGGGGGTCGTGGCGACACGCTCAACCCAGTCCTGGACAGCGTTGGTGAGGTGGGGGACGATCTGGACAGTCTTGCCGAGGTAGTCACCGCGACGCTCGCGCTCAATGACGTGCTGGTACACCTTGCCGGTGGTAAGGTTGTTGTCCTTGCCGAGCGAGACGTTGAGGTAACGCTCGTAGTTGCCGAGGTCGAGGTCGGTCTCACCGCCGTCGTTCAGGACGTAAACCTCACCTGTACAGCGGGTCAGCTCCTGTCGCCACGACAGGTCGCCAGCCACTCACCGTGCTCAGTGGGGGCCATGGTACCGGCATCGATGTTCATGTACGGGTCGATCTTGATCGAGGTGACCTTGTAGCCGGCGGTCTTGAGGAGGAGACCGGTGCTCGATGCTGCATTGGAAAGACGACAAAACGGGTGAGAGTGGGTGCCGCGAGAGAATTACCATGGTCAGCTTCAATCATAAACCACACGAGCCCCACAACCCTTCGCGCAGCTGAACGCACCGATCACGCCCTTGCCGATACCCCTGGGTACAGTCAGCTCCAGCCCCCAGCCCCACAACTCTTTTCAAAGTCGAGTCAACCAACTCACGAAATGACACCACCACAAACGAGAATGTACTTCCTAGCCATTGTGCTGTTTTGGTTTCAAGCACAGGTTTGCAATTGATGATACGCAGATGAGGCACGACGGTCAGCTCTGGGGAGAAGATACGGTAGCTGGGTGGCAACGCACAATAATGTGGATCTGAGGTTCTGTCGGTCAAAAGATCAAAAGCGGCGCTTAGTAGCAGACGCGACTGCACAATTCCGTGTCAGCCCACAGTGTCCTCTCTGTGCTCGGCATAGGCCGATGGGGGGCACAATTCTCACAGATAGAGCCAGTAGATTCGGCAGAGAGACTGCAGGTGATGGCAGTCGGAAAGTCGAGAGGCTGTAGGGCGCGCGGTCACAACAGAGGAGGGAAAAGGTACACAAAGCCAAGTTTTGTGGTCAGCCACGGGCGGTTCTTGCAAATCTGTCCCACAAAAACACCCAACTCTCACCAGAGGTGGGGGCAAACGCAGTTATGCCCAAGGTAGAATGCAGTCGGATCGGATCGAGTAGAACCAGGCTTAACACCAGCAGGCGAGGAGCAAGGGCTAAAAGTTGTTGCGCAAGACAAGAGGATATGAATGCGGAGAGAACCTGAATTCTGATGGCCACCGTTAAAATCGTCCAGCGGCCAGCGACAAACGCGAAGGGGTCTCTCGGTGCATCACGTGATCTACCAGTGGCAAAATACACCCCGCGCCCCTCTCTCGCTCCACCGCGCGCGCACGGGTCCCGCCCGCGGCCGCCCGGCTCTGCGCGACGACGCGCCGTAAATGATCCTCTGTCGGGTTGCTTATCGCCCAGTTTGACGCGTCGCGCGCCGCGAGACCGTGCACCATCCATGTGTCTATGCAAAACAACAGTCGCGCTGCCGTGCTATGCCTGAGGACACCACACGGGCTTCTCGCCGGGGCTGTTACATGTCCACCTGAACCCATGCGGGAACTGTTTTGTCTCAGCCAAACGCACGCATCCGATACCCAGCCTTGCACACTCACAATGTATCCCCTTGCACCGCGGTCGTAGCGGTGCACAATGTCCAGGACGCTGTCGACCTTGATGTTGCCCGTAAATTCGTTACGGGCAAAGACAAAGGCGTTGAGGGCCTTCTTTTTCAAGTCAGAGTCGGTGAGGTTGCCGAGGGCCGTCTCGAACTGGTCGGCTGGGAGGGCGTCGTCGGTCCTGCTGAGCGGGATGATGAGGTGCTCGATCGTGGCGTGCTCCACGTCGGGGTTGACAGTGGCGACGAGGCAGCCGCCGAGCATCGCGGCAGCCATGCGGTCGTCCACAAGACCATCCTGCCACCCTTCAAACTGGGAAATAATGTCAGGTACCGTTCACGACAACTTACCAGACCCCCACCGACTCACGATACAGATGCCCGCCGTCGACATGTGGTTGGCGATCCGTCGCTCATAGCTGGTCCAGAACTTGCGCAGTTCTGACGTAGGCAGGAAGCTGTTGACACCGCTGGTGTCACGGAAGAGCGCCTTGGCAGGCAGGATGGGCGAGATATCACCTGGCGTGAGCTAACAACGGAAAACAACAAGCTCACTGTGGAACAATGTGTAGCTCTTTCCGCTAGGCATCTTTGGCCAAAGCGACCTTGGAGTCGTGCGGCGCGGGTAGTAGTTTACGGAGCGGTACGACGGGTGCGCATCGCCCTTGGGGTGGTATACCTTGGGGCTAGGGAGTGAGTATAGTGCAAAGGAGAAGGTTGTCTCACTCGGCCTGGTGGGTTAGCAACAAGATCGAACAGCGCACCGACCATTGGCATGACGTGGGCGAGGATGCCCATTTTCCAGTCCGAACCGAGGCTCTCGACGAGTGCCTCGTACGTATTGTCCTTGCTGAGGAGGTACCGAGGCTCGGGGAGGATGGTGATCTGTTGGTCAGCTGAAAGCTACACTACATGAGGGATCTGCTCACGTCTGCGCGAGGGTTGACCTTGGGAGCCACGAGGCTGTGCGACGGTTGCTCGCTGTTGTCAGCTATACCATGACCGCTCAGCTCACTTGATAATGGTCGATCCTCGGCACGCGTCTCCAAAGTCCACCTCGCCTGCTCGTCAGCTGAGATGCGGACCGTCGCCAGCCTCACCATCTCCATATCGCCAGACACGCTTCTTGCACCCCACCGCCTCGAGGTTGTCGCCCACGCTCTTGTCCGAGTCCCAGTCCGCAGCCCATGGAGCGGTGACAGTCAGGACAATGTCGGGACGCGACGAGAGCACGTCGAGGAGGTAGAACGCATGCGGGAGGGAGAGCGAGTCGCCTGGTTGTTAGCTGTAGCTTCCTTCCCCCGACGCAGCAAGAAGCAGAAGCTACGCACGACGCAGGTCTGGAAAAAGAGTCAGCATACACCTCCTGAATTCAAAGAACATACCGATAAACAGCAGAATCTCCTCTGGCGAGCCGACAAACGCCTGTCGAGGCTCCTCGTACGGCGACACCGAGTCCCGTCCGCCAAACCACGACGGGAAGCCTGTGAGGTGAGCTGCGGCGGCAAGTCAGCAAACGTCGGTCCTGCCATCTCACCAACGTCCAGTCTTGCACACGGGTATATCCAGTACGGTCTTGACGAGGGCGGTTTGGGCCCACGCCGCCCTCTTCCTCATCCAGCATTCCAACCCCGCGGTCGTGCACTCACGGTCCTGTTCCTTCTTCCAGTCGGGCGGTGACGGCCGGTTCGCAATGAGCATGACGTAGGCTAGTGCGAGCGCGGCCACGCTGCACAGCAGCAGCAGCGGGTGCAGCCGCGGCATCGAGGTCGACAGCAGGGGCATGGCGGTTAGTGAGTGGTGATGTGGACAAACGCAGCGGTGGAGGGCACACGCGAAATGCGAGACGCAATGACCCGAACGCACTGCGCGGCCAGAGGGCTTGGCGAGAGAGGGGCTCCGGTGGCCGGTGGCGGTTGATATCCGCCCTGGTTGTTGTCGCATGCTCGCCTCGACCACTGTGGAATGGGCCGTCTACGCTGCTGCAATGACACTTTGCAGTATGCACAGACATTGGGAGGACCTTCAATAGACACATGATTACTTTCTGCAACACTGATTGACTAATTTGACGAATTTGGCTATAGGTACAAACAAAAGGATAAAGGTCCCGTGGGGAGTGCTGGTGTTGTGTTTTTGAGCACTGGAGAAGAATGCGAATGGGAGGCATTGTTGTGAATGAAAGGCGGCATCTTAGCAAACCTTGGGAACAGGGGCCACGGGCGTGCCGGTGGAAAGGACGCCGCGAGGTGCAATGGGGCGGACCTCGGGAATGGGAAGGAGCTTGCGCGACTCGAGCGCGCCGCAGATGTGGCGCTTGCCGTTGCCCGCACCGGTCTCGTCGACGCGGCACTTGCGAGAGCAGAACGTGAGGCCGCACTTGCGGCAGTTGGGAAAGTTGACGCCGCTGGCACCACACACACTGCAGTCGACATGCTTGGTAAGCGCGGACGCGAGCTCGAGGGCGGCCAGCTCAGGGTCGATTCTCGCAATCTGTTCGGTGGGCTCGAACGGAAGCGCGCGGCACGGCGGGGGAGGAGGCATGTTGTTTGCGTTCAGGTGCGGCGACGAGACCACTGAGCGGAGAGGTTTAGCCTCATGCTTTGCCTCGGTTGAGAGAGATCCGGCCGGAGCTGGCGTACGCGACCGGGCGACTGGCGACACGGTGCTCGTGACCGGGGTCATTGTCCAACCGTGAAGCGAGGGCCACCACGGACCGTTGGACGACATGCTGCGAGGAGCCTGGGCACGTTGAAGTTTGTCCTGGTGGTGTTGAACACTGCGGAGCGAACGGACCGCGCGGAGGGTCTGGGGAGCCACCACCTGGCGAGGAGTCGCTTCGCGCGACATGCTAAAGGCGTCAATCTGCGAATGGTCGCACGAAAGCGATGCCAAGGAGGCGGTCGACTTGACGGGCGTCATGAGGCGGAGACTTGAAGACATGGTGCTGTCCGCCAGAGAGAAGAGCGACTGGTTGGACATTTTGCGATTAAGCGGCCGGTTCCGGTGGGAGAGCAAGTAGCAAGACGACTCCATCTCGGACGGATCCAGTGGAGTGCCACCCGTCATCTTGAGAACAATGTTCAGGCGGCGGAAGGCCTGACGGATGAGCTCGTCGAGGAGCTCAATACCGCAAGGTCCAACCCTCAGGATGGCCTTGAACTCGGCCTCGGCAATCTCCGGCGACGAAGTGATGCCACGAATGTAGCGTGCCATGATGATCACGCCATTGCGCTTCATGAAAGCGTCCTTGTTGAGGTTGGGCGTCGCCAGGAGGGGCAACTCGAGAACCTTTGTGGCGACAATGGATCCCAGAGCCCAAACGTTGCGGCCCTTCTCCTTGTCACCCTGTGGCTTGAGCGCGCTTGGCAACTCGGATGCCTTGACAGGCGGCAGTGCCACGGGGTCATGCTGCTGGATGTGACCGTGGCGGTAAAGGTTGACAAGGGGAGAGAGCAGGTCATACTGTGGATGGGTGTTAGTTACAGGTAGGGATGGTTCACACGTCGGGAAGAATAGACACTCACGAGAAGCTTGATCTTCTTATCGGGGCTCAGCTCCTGGTCATCTTCCTCTGGGGTATGGATCTCGAACGAGTCATCGGTTGCAGACGACGTATTTGACGGAGGAATACGCTGGGTAGGCTCAACCGGCATCGGTGAGCGAGCGCGGGCCTTGCCCTTGTTCTTCGAGTCAAAGACGATTGCATCGTCGTCATCGTCGTTGTAGTCGTCGTCACGAGCGGGTACTGGCACTTTGGTCTGGTGCCTTGGCGTGGTGAGGGCGCGAGACCCCTCGTGCTGCAAGATCCACCCGATACCGAGGATCAGCCAGCCTCCGGCCTTGCCCATGCCGTCGACGTCGCGGACAGCTCGCTTGCCGTCGGTGGGCATGTGCCATCCGTTGCTAGTCAAGCGCGGGGGCGGCTTCTCCTCGACAGTGGGGGACTGGACTATTGGGCTTGCCGACGAGAAGAATGATGCAAACCACGAGTTCTGCGGGGGGGACTGCGGGGACATGGGTCCCGACTCGGGCACGAGGGACGACTTGCGACTGGAAGGTTCGGTGCCGTTGTCATCCTGGGACTCTGGTTGCTGCAACCCCGAACCACGAGCCAAGAGGTTTCCAAGGGCGAGGCATGCGGGCGATGAGCAGTGAGGAGGGAGCGCGGCGGTTGCGTAGTACTTTGCCGCGAGCGCAGGTTGGTGGGAGATGAGAGCCGTCTGTAGACACAAGTCAGTTTCATTACGGGTGGTGGCAAATGGGTCACACGACAGCAGCTTGCACATACCTGGGCATCCCACATTAGTGACTCCTCGTCGACATCGCTGTTTGCCTCATCGTCTTCGTCGTCTTCGTGTTTGCTTGGTCCCGGTGTAGATGGGCTATCTTCGCCTGCGTCGCTCCCGCTATCATCACTGCCGTCACGGTTATCGGACCCGGTGAGGCCGATAAGACGCGCGAGCTGTACAAACGAGCGGTTCTGACGAAGGCTTCGCGGCAGGGGACGGAGGGACGGTGGGGAAAGAGTTTTAGAGGAGGGCGGTATATGGCGAGGTTTTGCAGTCGAGGTCATTCGCGGTACTGGCTTTGGATAGAGACGTTGTGGTGGGGTGGAATTGGTGGGCGGGCGATCGCACGTGCGCGAAGGGACGAGTGGGGGAGGCGTTGAAGCGCAACGAGGTGCTCTTGGAGATGTATGTGTATGATCGCCTTGGAGAGGACCAACGATCGTGAGGGTGGGCAAGTAGGCACGGACGACTGAAGCGCTGCTTGGGTGTGTGGTCTATTTTGACAGAGGAGAGACAGAGTGAATGAGAAATTGAATAGACCGGATGGAGAGAAAAGGACGGCGAGAGACCGACGACGCGCGCTTAATGACCCAAACCCCCCCGCTTGGGTTGTGTGTGTGAGATGGACGGATGGCGCCGGCGGGTGGCGGCGCGCGGTGGATGCGCTGCGGCAGGGCGGGGCAGGGCGGGGCAGAACGGCCCAGACTCGGCGGCAAGCGACCCATCATCCCCCCCCCCCCCCGGGTACATGGCGATGTATCTGGAGGGGCCCTGGACACTGGCGTACACTGGCGTACACTGGCGTACACTGGCGTACACTCGACTGGTCGTGTGCACAACAAAAAGTCCTGCGCACGGCTGCAAGGAGGTATGTACGGCCCACAACGCTACAGCAGCGGGGTGGCCCCTCGCCCCCTTCCCCTGGCACGGCGGGGGCCGCTGGGTCAAATTCATCAAATTCAGGCTCTTAACACCTCTCTGCACAGACTAGTAGATGACACGCTACGTACGCTGCGCTTTTGCCCAGAAACCCCTCCCCCCACAGGCCTCAGGTGTCGCTCCTCCTACCATTGTCGGTGTTGACCCAACACACATGCCGCAAAGCCCTTGATCCTTGACGGCGTTGAAATCTTTGGGCAGGAAAAAAAAACGATCCTCAAAGCAACATGTCGAGGACACAGCGTGGGATCTGCAATGACACAATGACACAGGCCAGGGGGGAAACACTCTCTACACGCGCAACACGGACTCTACCGTCCCGCTTGACGGCTTGGCCGGGTTGGAACAACTGCGACAAATGCGCCTCAACGCCTCTTGTGCTGAAAACGTGCTTCCATCTCGTCCAACGACGAAGCCCCCAGCCTTGGCTGTCCTCTTCGGTTTGTCGCCCATGTCAGACTGCCGGGCGCCATGCCGGGCGCCCATTCGGAAGTGGCCGAATTGGGGTGTCGTGCGACCTGCTTTTTGGCACCTGATTGTGCCTTCCCGCTTGCTTCTCACGTCTCAGCACTGGGCGACTGGGGGTTGGTACTGAGGAACCAGCTGCAAGCCCGAAAGCCTCTCTCCTTCAGCGTAATTGATTGTGGAAGCCCATAGAAGAGGCGGTCACTGCCGCCGCCGTAATCGTCTGGCCTATACCCCCTCCACGGCATTGACTAGCAGAGCAGCATGCCAACCAACCGGTTGGGGTTGTTTGACAGGAAAGACGTGCGTAGAGTGTCGTTGTCCTTTCTCACATGCCGCGGGTCTGGTGCTAGTGCTAGTCGCCCTTGTCGCACAAACCTTTTCGTACGACGACGTAGTTACATGTCCAGGTCGACTCTGTTGACACTCTTGCAACCTTGTTCTGTAGCTGGCTGTCGTAAAGGGACAAGGAGCAGGTGACCATGTGCATACCAGGTATGTATACCCTGGGCCAGTGCCTGCGAACCATTGGCGGCAAGACCTAGGAAGGAAAACAACACAGCATGTACGCGAGCCACATGCAAGGTCATTTCATTGTCAGTTGATTGATGCCAAGCGACGCTGCAGAGAAGCCGTGACGAAACAGGTGTGGTGGCATGGTGGTTGTGGCCCGTGGCCCGTGGCCTGTGGCCTGTGGTGATCTGTTTTGAAACGTTCATTTTCGACACGCCTTTTTCGCGATTTTACGCTTCGCTCAACTACATCATCGCAAATCGATCTGGTGACTGCCTCGTTTCGAGTGGCTACAATGCTTCTACTGCGCGCGGTGAGGTCACTACGGACCTCTGTGGCGCGAGTCCTCGGCCCGCTAACGGCCTCAAAGCAACGTCGGCGGCACTCTGGCGACTGATTGGACACAAGACCAGACTCAGGACATCTGCGACGAGACCGGAGAAAACGAGTCGACTGGTGTGGCTCTCGTCGAATCGAACGTGTCCTCACAATCGCTCGGGCTTACGAGGTCCCTCAGGCCCTGACCTGCGCGAGAAAAAAAAAAAAAAAAAGTTACACAGGAAGAGATGCACAGAGCGCACCGGACAGTCGGCCCGTTTAGCAGAAGCCAGCCTGGCCAGCCGCCCAGCCGCCCCCCGCAGCGCAGCTATCTAGCGCTTTACAGAGTGACCGCCGAGGAGCGTGTCATATCTTGGAGCTTGGCACAAACAGAGTAAACCCACTGGGGAACTGGGGTGACGCCAGAGACCAGAGACGGAGCCTTCTCAGGTGTCCAGGTGGCTGAGCCATGAGCGAGTCCCATGGGCAGACAGGCCCGATCCCGGCGGCAGAGGACCAGGCCAAAGCGCGCCCGCACGCATGTGTGAACCCCTCCCTCGCTGCCATTGCCGCACGGTATAGGCTGGGCCAAGCTGGGGCGAGGAAGGAACTGTGGGGGAAACTGCCGCATGGACGCATGGGGCCAACCCCCCATTCGCTGGCCAAGGGTTGGGAGGGATTGTCGACGGGCGAGAGAGAGCGAGCCTGAGAAGCTGAGAAGAAAAAAGTGCCACACATGACCAGCGATGCGGCCTTGATGGTCCGGAGCGAGGTCCAGCCAGTTCCAACACGTATGGACAAGGTGCTGTCGGCGCCAGACTGCCGGGACGGAGCAGCGTGTGTGTTGGTGTCTGTACGTGCTCCGGGACGACCCGACTGTGTGTGGGCTGAAAGCCGATGGAAAGTGTGGAGACTCCGGGGTGGTTAAACGGGGGTATCGGATAAAGTGCTGGCTGGCCACTCACGCCCGCCACACACAGCCATTACCGCCGGGTGGGTGGGATCCCTGACGCTGGACGCGGAGGGGATGGCCTGTGACTGGTCGGAGAGCCGTGACGCTTCCATTCCCATGGCCCCCCCAGTCAGGCCAGTCCAGTCCTCAAAAGCCCCCCCAATCGTCTTTCCACCCACTTCTTTCTCTCTCTTTCTCCACCTCCCCCCCTTCCCAAAACACAAACAACACAATGTCTGCCATCACCAAGGTTCTCGCCCGCCAGGTTAGTCTCCCCTCTCACACCTCCCCCATCTGCCGTTTGCCTTCTGGCCGATGTGGTGTCCCGTCGAGGCCATCGCTCGCACCGTTTGCTCGCCACGTCATGGACCCAGATAACGACCGTTGCTGACCACGTTCTTTACAGATCTTCGACTCGCGTGATGAGTATCCAGTCCATTTTCTTGTTGTTGAGTGACCCGGCATGTCCAGACGCTTGGCTCACAGCTTTGGACTGTGCCGGGGAGCGACCAACTGGGTCTGAACAGAGCACCAATGCTGACATTAACCTCCTTGTTTCTTCTTCCTCTTTGTTCTGCCCCCTTCCGATCCATCCATGATGCTTTTCCCGATGGATTGACGGCTATACGCAACCCCACTGTCCAGGTTGAGGTCACCACCGAGAAGGGTAAGTCCATGACGGCATAGTTGTGTGTGCGATCGGTTCTGTGTGTGTCTGCGACGATCGATTGTGTACGATAGATCTAGTGGTGTGCGATATGACGCTGTGAACGTGTGTGAGAATTCGCGGCTGACTTTCGTCATAGGTCTCTTCCACGCCGAGGTCCCCTCGGGTGCCTCGACTGGTGCCCACGAGGCCGTCGAGCTCCGTGACGGCGGCAAGGACTACGTTGGCAAGGGTGTGTCCAAGGCCGTCGCCAACGTCAACACTATCATTGGCCCCGCTCTTATCGAGTCCAAGCTCCCTGCCACCTCGCAGAAGGAGATTGACGATCTCATGATCAAGCTTGACGGTACCCCCAACAAGGGCAAGCTCGGCGCCAACGCCATCCTCGGTGTCTCGATGGCCGTTACTGAGGCCGGTGCCGCCGACGCTGGCCTCCCCCTCTACGCCTACCTTGCCAAGCTCGCCGGCGTCTCGGAGCCCTACATCCTCCCCTGCCCCGCCTTCAACGTTATCAACGGTGGCTCGCACGCCGGTAACGCCCTTGCCTTCCAGGAGTTCATGCTCCTCCCCACCGGCGCCGCTTCGTTCACCGAGGCCATGAAGATGGGTTCGGAGACCTACCACGTCCTCAAGAAGGTCATCACCAAGAAGTACGGCATTGACGCCGTCAACGTCGGTGACGAGGGTGGCTTTGCCCCCAACGTTTCGGGCGCCGAGGAGTCGCTCGACCTCCTTACCGAGGCCATTGAGCAGGCCGGCTACACTGGCAAGGTCCAGATCGGTCTCGACGTTGCCTCGTCCGAGTTCTTCAAGGACGGCAAGTACGACCTCGACTTCAAGAACCCCAACTCGGACGCCTCCAAGTGGCTCACCGGTGAGGAGCTCGGTGCCCTCTACCACGGCTACTCGGAGAAGTACGACATCTGCTCGATCGAGGACCCCTTCCACGAGGACGACTTTGACGCCTGGGCCCACTACATGAAGACCGCCACCATCCAGATCGTCGGCGACGACCTCCTCGTCACCAACCCCCTCCGCATCAAGCAGGCCATCGAGAAGAAGGCGTGCAACGCCCTCCTCCTCAAGATCAACCAGATCGGTACCATCTCCGAGTCCATCCAGGCCGTCCAGCTCTCGCAGTCCAACGGCTGGGCCGTCATGACCTCGCACCGCTCCGGTGAGACCGAGTCGACCTTCATTGCCGACCTCGCCGTTGGTCTCCGCACCGGGTGAGTCTTCCTTTTGCTTTTCGACAACGCTCTTTCACATGCTAACGCGCGTGTAGCGAGATCAAGACCGGTGCGCCCTGCCGCTCGGAACGTATGGCGAAGCAAGTATCTTCTCTCTATCTCTCTCTCCTCGGCGTGGCAACGATTGGGACTCAAATTGAGTTCAGATGGCGAAGACGGGTGGATCGGCGAATATTGTCCGACGATCACCCGTCAAAAAAAAGCCCCCGTTGAAAAGCCCCCGTGGAGTGCCACATTGATCGTCCTACTAACACCACCCCCAGGTACAACCAGCTCCTCCGTATCGAGGAGGCCCTTGGCGACAAGGCCCTCTTCGCTGGCGGCAAGGGCCTCTCGAAGGGTGTCACCGCCCCCCAGCTGCACTCGGAGTAGGGTGTTGCGGAAAGCCTTTAAGTAATAAATAGCGGTTGAAGTGACGTCGGACGCCAACCGGGCCAGTCTTATGTCATGACCATGACAGTTTACACAATAGTTGCTTGGCGGTGTTGGCGGTGGAGGGGGAGTGGAGTGTACAAGGTTGTTGTGTTCAGGCTTGCTGCAGTGCTGGAGAACGACATCGCCCGTCGTCGCCTCGGGCATCCACGGTCCGGGGGCCTATACCATGCTGTCTCCACAGGCCTGCGCCCGTGTCAAGCTGCGTGTAGTTCTGATGCGCGTTGGTTGCGCGCGCCAAGACCACATGGTCATAGTACACCTGGGAGATAACGCGTCTTTACACGGGCAGCAGCCTGATGTGGCCGCTCGGCTCAGCTCAACTAGCTTACTTGCTACACCGTCTCTTTCATCTTACAGCCCCCGTATTATTCACGGTCATGTGTTGGAACACAGGAACAGAGTCCCAGTACGACACCCTGGGACCGCAGACACTGTCAGAATGAAGATGAATGCAGAGTGAGGATTGTATCATTGGGGACATCACAGCTTGAATACTAGAGGGTGTATATTTGATGCCGTGCGTGGCACACAGATCCACAGACACCTGATCCTTCCGCCGCTGTACCGCTGTCCTTCCTTCGCCACCTCCTTTGGCGCTTCTCAGTCCTCTCGTCTTGCCTTATCCTCGTTGACATTACACCACCATCCCCATGCCCCCCCACCCCCCCAACACACACACACACACATCCCCCCTCCCGTCGGATTTAAGCACCAATACCCATCAGAGCCGGTACGACCCCAAGATGAAGTACGTCACTAGAAGTGGCTCCAGCTTACACGACACGTCACAGCAAAGTCGTTTGCTGCGGTCAGGCAGGAGCGCAAGGAACTTCCATACGACCTTGCATTCCACCTTTATACCTTGGCACTCGACGACAACATCTTTGTTCAGGACATCACGGCCGAGACAGTCGACAAGCCCTCGCCGCAGCTCGTTGCAGCCATCAAGAACGCGGGTGGTAGTCTCCCACTTGTCATCCGTCCGGCGGCCACAAAGTTACCGATTCTGAGAGTCAATCGGAAGGGCAACAACGGCCGGTTTGGACCGGACCCTCTGGAACCTCTGACCTACCGCCACTCGGCGACGGTTTTGCAGAACCTCGGCGCAGCAGCCGGATACACGACGGATGATGACTTGGGTGAGTGACCTTGACCTGCAGGATGCTGACCACCTTTCAGGTCGCTTAACGTTCGGTGCCTTTCGCCACCTATGTAGCCATCGATCTCATGACGGACGGGAGATCACAGCAAGGCTGGCATCTGGACACCACCAGAACACCAATGTGGCATAAGTCAGTCTCTAACCCTGGTAAATGTCAATGAGCTGACTGAACTGCAGACGTCATACATCACCACGTTGAGCCCAGTCGACACGTGGGGTCGTCTCCTGGGCAATGCCATCCGATCTGACGCTGCTGCGAACGTCCGAGGTCTGCAGTACTTCGAAGGCCTTCCCAAGAAGCTGTCTTTCACTGAGACCGACGTGGCGGACGACGATGGAAAGCTCCAGAAAATGGTTGCCGACTGCCGTCCGGTAAGGAAATGCCGTGACTTCCCTATAATGACTTTACTGACTTTCTGCAGAGGCGCGACGCTCTTGTGTCCGAATTCGGCACCATTGCTGCCGCCAAGACAGCACACAGGACCAAGCACGACGAGTACCAGGTGTGCATGAAGACTGCATCCCATTACCGCGACAAGCTGCGCGCAGCGCAGCTCCAGGACGTGCAGCGGCGGTACATCCTGTCCCTCGTCAGCAACGCATCGGCCCATGATGTGGGTAAAGTCAACCAGAAAGACAAGCCCGCTGATGCTTCCTTGCCCCAACACAGGATGTGACAGATATCAATGCCGCCATGACCCCCGACGCCGCTGGGCCGTCGAACGTCTCCGTGGCCGATGTTCTTGATACTCTTGTCACCGAGGTCGACCTGGAGCACCAAGACGTCATCAAGGACGTGATCAACACCCCGGTATACACCGCCGATGAGCGTTCCCGGCAGCTGCAGAGGCTCGCAGCTGACGTAAAGTCGGAATATGACCCGCCCAAGGAGACCGTCGCCCAGCAACTGTACGCTGCCATGTTCAGTGCGCTTGACATCCCTCTCCCGGCGGTTCAGTGCCTTTGCCTTGCAGAGCCTAGCGAACCTCCCCCCAACTCCCAAGCGAATCGCGACGTCAACGGTGCCTGCCCAATCTGCCTCAAGGTGGCGACGGACATTGGCGACTCGCCATCCGAGCGCACCCTGCACATTCGCCGCTGCGTGAACAGCACCATTGGCCTCAAGTACATGGATGCCTTTGATGCGGCAAGGGGCAACGACAAGAAATGCCCTCTGTGTGACGATGACCCTTTCGACACTGCTGCGGACATGTCGCATCACTCGGTGGGCCACCGCTCGACGAGCCGCCACAACTTGGTTGACGGGAAAGAGTGCGGTCACGCGTGAGTCTAGTATTAGGTTACTGTGTTATTGTTGATGCTCTGCTGACTATCATGCCAGAACTCCAACCCCAAGGACGAGTCCGCTCATCGCGAGTTGGAGCACGGATACCTCAACACCACTGGAGCGTACCCAGTGGGGTCCATTACATACCTTTTGCGTCATGTGTGCAGAACGGTGAGTGGCCGTTGGAACCCACGTCCGTCGCTACGTCCGTCGTTTAAACCGGAGGACGATGCTAAATACGATCGCAGGCTGGTTGGCCTACCACAAAACGTAGACCACCATGCCCTGTACATTATGGACATCATCGACGCTTGTGCGGGCGACCCCACCTACCTCGGTTGCCCGAAACATTCCCCCGGCATCGTCGGTCGCCCCTGAGTCTGTCCGATCTGTCTCTTTGACATAGACTTGCACCTTCTGTCACGAACTCACCAGTGAGCCTCTTGGCCTCTGTAGAACCTGAGGACACCCGCTGATCTCTACAGGTTTCTGTCCAATGGTGAGATGAACACGCACGTGTCAAAACACATCGCGAAACTGCAAGCCGACGACAAGCACGCTTGCTCTTACCCCATGTGCAATGGCCAGACCTTCACTGTTGCAGGGCTCGTGGACCACAACTCAACCAAGGTGTCGTTAATGATGCTGACGCGACGATACGACAACGACGAAGGCACCGCCCACCACGAGTGCCGACAGGCAGCGGGCGTTCAACCAAAAAGCACAGTGTCGCAACTAGGTCATCTCATCAGGAACGGTTTCCGAGGGCTCCCAGCCACATACCATGTATCATATAGCTCAGACACAACAGACGCCTGTAAGAATGCATGACAGCTGCACTGTGTTCATTATCGTCCTTTTTTCATGCCTCTGATCGTCTGATCCTCGTATCCTCAAAGGCCACCACCCTCCACACGTTCATGTGCCACTTCCAACGGGACCAAAAGGGGTACTTTCCCACGGTACCCAAAACGCGTCACACCGTCATCACGCGTCAACCCAGAAGTTGCGCGCAGGGAAGGCAATGTTGTTGTCGGCACCTACCCACCCACACCGCGTCCTCCAGACCTTCAGCATGGCCAGCACTGAGCAGCTCAACACCTCAGAGAGGTGGCTCACACAGGCCCTCGAGGGCGACCAGCGTGCTGTGAGTGGGCGTCCCTCGCGCCCGGATACTGACTCCACAGGTCACCTTTCACGAGCTGTCGCGCGAGATCGGATGCCATGTCCACCATGCCAAGAAGTGAGCTCTGCTTCCCTTTCACACGAGCTCGGCCTAACCCCCTTCCCAGCCTGATGCGCGCCTACCTCTCCTCGCACCCGGCCGTGGCCGCGACGTACCTCCTCTCGGGCCCGCTCCTCGCTTCGTCGACGCTCGCGCAGACGCAGGTGGCCGCCAACGGCGGTGGCCCAGCCACGCAGTCGCTGGCGCACATGAGCGCGACGCAGAAGATCAAGATTGTGGACATGGACCAGATGAGCGACGACGAGCGTAATTCCGAGGCGGACGCAGAGGAGGAGCGCGAGGAGATTGAGCTCGAGCACAGCGAGGACAAGATCGCCGTCGACGACCAGGGCGCCGTCGACGACCAGGGCGCCGTCGTCCCCGAGGAGGTTGCGCGCTGGGGAGTCGTTCTTGTGGGCCAGGACGCGCTGGACGGTGAGTTTGGAAGCGCGAGGGAACGGCGCGCTGATGTGTAGAGAAAAAGGGCCTGTTCGAACCTGGTCAAGTGAGCGTGCACGTCTACGCTCTCAGCCCGGCGCCTGCCAAGGTGAGTTAACTTGATGCAGTCGGACACTAACTGACGTTGCAGGACGCGGCACAGCTCTTGACATGTGCGCTCGCCGTGCGTGAGCACAAGGCAAGCCGCAACCCAGCGGTGTACGGCACGATCACTGGCGATGCGCTCGGTGGCGGCCCGGCCAAGGCGATGCGCGATGGCGGCATGGACTTTGGCAAGAAGGCGGCCGACAAGCCCAAGGAGGTCAAGGAGGTCAAGAAGGAGCCCAAGGTCGAGGTCAAGAAGGAGGAGGTGAGTGAGAGGCGTGTTGACCCCAAGCTGACCTCTGCAGCCCCAGGCCAAGGCCAGGCAGGCGCCCAGGAGCAAGCGCAGAGTCATTGCGTCGTCGGACGAGGACGAACCCGAGCCGCCCAAGGCCTCGTCGTCCAAGGCACCTGCCAGCAAGAAGCTTGAGCCCACCTCGTCAATGGTCCGCGCAGACGACCAGGCGGCGATGGAGGCCATGTTGGTCATGGACGTCGACGACTTTGACGATGGCGACGACGAGTTCTCGGCCAAGAAGAAGGAGGTCAAGAAGGAGGTCAAGAAGAAGGAAGGCGGTAAGCGCAAGCGCCGCCAGGTGAAGAAGTCAAAAGTCGAGATGGACGACAAGGGTTACATGGGTGAGTTGGGGATGCAGTTGCAAAGGCTAACCACACGCCAGTTACCAAGGACTACTGGACCGACGAGTCGTACTCTGGTGGCTCGGAGACCGAGACCGACTCACTCCCCCAAGCGACGACGAAGAAGGCTGCTGGCAGGGCGGCCAAGCCTGATCCCAAGGCCGAGTCGAGCTCGAGCAAGGCTCCTGCGCGTCCCACCAAGTCTGCCCCTCCTCCCAAGCCCGCTGCTCCCGCAAAGGGACCGGCCAAGAAGGGCGCGATGGGACAGAGCACGCTTGCTGGGTTCTTCAAGAAGAAGTAGGCCGGGGGTGGTCGATCCATCCTCTGTGTATGCATATAGTATAGCCTAGAGTACAGATCTCCCGGCATGGGCTGTGCCGATGAGAGAGTGTGTTCTTGGGGGGAGAGGTGGGATTGCAACATCCCATCGAGATTAAGCTTGGCATGTCAGACACGTACCGCGGTACCGTGGGCGCGGTACGTGTCTGACATGCCAAGCTCGTCCAAAGTCATTGGACCATTGGCGCGGGTGGAGCTCGGCTCAGAATCGGAACAGCCAAGCCAACAATGCTGGGATCTAGAGTCTCGGCTGTGTTCGAGTGCAGTGAGCGGTGCAACGGCCACGGGGGCCACGGGACCTAGGCCGCGACCGTGGTCTGAGACTTGTCCACGTTCCGTAGAGTGTGTCACAATTCCTTCGGAAGGTGGAGCCAGTGGCCAGTGGCGGGCAGAGGGGGAGAGGGCCGGCTCGTCCTTCCCCCCCGCAAAAGGCGGATGATTGATATGACGGCTGTGTAGATAGATTACAGAATTACAGAATGGGGAGGGGGCGGAAGACGACAGAATGGGCATTGATGCTTGTACGACGGCTGGTGTGGTGGGTAGTGAAACCTGACGTGTCCTGCGCGCACCGCCATTGCGAGCACCGAGGTTTGCACTGCCATGGGCCATGGGACATATGGTGTGTGTGAGAGAGGGAAGGCGAATGCCAGGCACAGCCTCTTTGACGGTTCCCCCTCCCCTGGCTGCTGCTGCGGTTGCCCCGCGCCTTTTGCACGCGTTTCGTCGGTCGCCTTTCTCTTTCGCCGTCATTTGCACGGCCTCGTCCCACGCCTCTCTCCCCGCCGTCACCGGAACCACCCCCTCCTCCCCATACTCCCCCGCTGCCTACTACCGCCTGCTGCGACGTGCAACCCTCTCTCATCTTCACATCGCTCTACATATCATATCTCTCCCTCCAACAACGCGTCCTACCCCTCCCTCCCCTTTCTCCCGTTTACCCTTCATTACGCACGACTCTCCACCCACACCCTCTCCGCCTCCCCCGCACCGACCCCTCTGCGACCTCCGTACCTCCACGCTTCATCGCTCGCGTCTTGGCCTTGAATAAATCTCACCCGCAAGCCACGGTGAAAGAAGCACTTGTCCCAACTGGCATCGTCCTTTGACACCCTACACTACACCACACCACACCTCTTGCAGCCGGCGACAATATGCAGCCTGGCCATATTTACAGCCCGCCAGCTGGCTCGGCACCGCTCAACAACGACCCCTACGCCAACCCATCCCAGTACACCACCTACCCACCAGCAGGCCAGCCGCCCGGGTATGGCCAACAGCCTCAGCATCACGACCCCTTTGCCGACGGCCCTCCTGTCCCTCCTGTCCCCCAGCGTCCCCACACCCCGAGCTACAGCAGCTACAACCAACCACCCAGTCGCGTGGACTCTCACACCCCGTACAACCTCGGTGACACGGGTCTGACCTCGCCCCCTCCCCTCCACCCCAGCACCTCCAACGTCGACCTCTCGTACCCGCCCCGCCACCATGAGAGCCCGTACCAGCCGCTTCACGATGACATGTACGACGACTCCCCCTTGTTGAACCACGTGCGCCCAGACCCCAGCTTCAACATTGGCCCCCTCCCCACCGCCTACCAGTTGAGCGACAGTGGCGCAGCTCCTCCTCCTGGTGGCCCCGGCGGCTCGCCCCGTCAACAACGCATTCAGTTTGACCAGCCGTACGCTGATGGTGGTCTGCGCGAGGACGGCCGCGACAACGCCAACATGCACTATGGCCCTCTCCCTGCGAGGATGGTGCGCCGCAACAAGACCACCAAGCGTGTCCAGCTGTTCCGCGGCCACCTCGTGCTCGAGGTTGATGTGCCGACCAAGCTTCTCGAGAAGTGCAGCCGCCGTGACGGCAAAGAGTTTACCAAGCTGCGTTACACGGCTGTTACATGTGACCCCGACGAGTTTGTGGCCGACAAGTACGCCCTTCGCCAGCAGCTCTACGAGCCCGCGCGCAAGACCGAGCTCTTCATCGTCATCACCATGTACAACGAGGACGACATGCTGTTCTGTCGCACCATGCGCGGTATCATGCAGAACATTGCTCACCTGTGCACCCGCAGCCGCTCCAAGACCTGGGGTGAAGAGGGCTGGACAAAGGTCGTCGTCTGCATCGTTGCCGACGGTCGTACGAAGATCAACGACCGTACGCGTTCGGCCCTGGCCGCCCTCGGTGTCTACCAGGAAGGTGTCGCCAAGAACGTCGTCAACGGCAAGCCCGTGACGGCCCACGTCTACGAGTACACCACCCAGCTCGGTATCAACTCCAAGGGCGACATTGTCGCTGGCGGTGACAAGTATGTCCCCATCCAGCTCCTCTTCTGTCTCAAGGAGAAGAACCAGAAGAAGATCAACTCGCACCGTTGGTTCTTCAACGCCTTTGGCGCCACCCTCGACCCCAACGTCTGTGTCCTTCTCGACGCGGGCACCCAGCCCGGTCCCACCTCGATCTACCACGTCTGGAAGGCCTTTGACCTCAACTCGTCCGTCGGCGGCGCTTGTGGTGAGATTGTCGCTCTCCCCGGCAGGTTCTGGAAGAACCTCCTCAACCCCCTCGTGGCCGCTCAGAACTTTGAGTACAAAATGTCCAACATTCTCGACAAGCAGTTCGAGTCCATGTTTGGTTACATTTCCGTCTTGCCAGGTGCCTTTTCGGCCTACCGCTACATTGCCCTCCAGAACGACGCGACCGGCCAGGGTCCCCTGGAAAAGTACTTTTACGGCGAGAAGATGCACGGCGCCGGTGCCGGTATCTTCAAGGCCAACATGTACCTTGCCGAAGGTGAGTCGGGCCCCGAAAGGAAAGGACATGTACTGACACCTTTGCAGACCGTATTCTCTGTTGGGAGCTGGTGTCCAAGCGCGACAGCAAGTGGACTCTTCACTATGTCAAGTCGGCCAAGGCCACCACCGATGTGCCCACCGACGTTCCCGAGCTCGTGTCCCAGCGTCGTCGTTGGCTCAACGGTTCGTTCTTTGCCGCCGTCCACTCGATCCTCCACTTCCACTACATTTATCGCTCCTCGCACTCCATCTTCCGCATGATTGCTCTCCACATTGAGCTCGTCTACCAAATCTTCAACAACATCTTCGCTTGGTTCGCCCTGGGCAACTACTACATCACCTTTGTTGTTCTCTGTGACTCCATGTCGACCGATGGCGGCTCGTCAGTGTACAAGTACATCTCCACAGTGTTGCACTACGTCTACCTCGCCTTGCTACTGGTGTGCTTCGTCCTGTCGCTCGGTAACCGTCCTGCAGGATCAAAGGTCGGCTACACGATTTCCATGGTTGGGTTCGCCCTCATCACCATCTACATGATGTTTGCTGCCATCCTCCTCGCGGTGAGGGGTATCAAGGCGTTCACCGAGGACGGTCTCACCCTTGCCGACGCTGTCAGTCTGGACAATGCGTCCAGCAAGCAGTTTACCAACATTTTGATCTCGCTCGTGGCCACCTACGGTATCTATGTCCTCGCCTGCACGTTTGCTCTCGACCCCTGGCACCTCCTCACATCGTTCGTCCAGTACCTCCTCGTCGCCCCTTCATACATCAACGTTCTCAACGTGTACGCCTTCTCCAACGTGCACGATGTCTCGTGGGGCACAAAGGGCTCAGACAAGGTCAGCGAGGACCTCGGTGTCGTCAAGTCGGACGGCAAGGGCGAGGAAGTCACCGTCGAAGTCCCCGTCGAGCAGCACGACATCAACGCCGTGTACGAGGCAGAACTGCGCACTCTGGCCATCAAGGTCGAGGAGGTCGCGTCACCCCCGAGCGCCGACCAGCAGCAGGAAGACTACTACAAGAACTTCCGTACCAACGTGCTTCTCGCATGGACCCTGTCAAACGCCGGTCTCGCCATGGCCATTCTCAGCATCACCAGCGGCGGAACCTCGATCGCAGTCTACTACATGATCGGTATCCTCTACTGTGTCGCTGCTCTTTCGTGTAAGTTGTGGTGGAAATGCTTCGCTCGTTCAAATCAACTGACAACCTCTCCAGTCGTCCGCTTCATCGGCGCCACGCTGTACCTCATCATCCGCCTGTTCATGGGCGAGTAATTCCGCAAAACACCCCCAAAAGATGTGGTTTTCTTGACAAGGTTGGAAAGGGGGACCGGTATTCGAATGTCGAGTGGTCGTTTTTGAGCTTTGAAGTGTGGGGTCGTGAAGGGCCCCCAGCAGCACGGTTACCAAACAGGACGGAAAGAGCGTTTGCTCCTCCTCCACCCCCCTTGTGTGAACTGTTTTCTTTTTCTGGCTCCCCCAGATGCCAAGATGCGATACCTTATATTGTCCAGTGATCCAGTGACGCAGTGGCGTGGCTTAATCTAATCTGCAAAGGGGCCGGGTAGCCTTCCCGTGGCCTGTAGTGGACCCCAACCAGGATGAAACTGAAACTAACCGCAGCCAAAAGGCCAAAAGGGCAAAAGGGCCCGCCCAAAAACTTGAATTAGGCGGAAAATGGCCCGAAATCCTCCAACACGCCACACCACCACCTCCGACATCGTCCTGACCGTCCCGACTCATTTCCACCGTCCACCAATGCATGCAGAGGTGCATGGGGACGCCAAAAAGAATGGAAATACACCGTAAGGGAGTCGAACCCCTGCCGCGTCGAGACTGCACTTGGCAACGACGCATGATACCGTTTCACCAACGGTGTTATGATGTGGGTTGATTTTGTCGTGTCGAGAAAAATTGTCTCTCTTGCGCTCTTTTGCGAGCAGTTTGGGCTGCCAGGCGGTGTTCAGGCGGTCCAGATCGTTCAGGCGGTTCAGGTGGTTCAGGTGGTTGTGCTGTGCACAGAGGAAAAGTGGACGGACAACAGGAAAAAGTCGTAGTCGAACCTCAGGGAAGGCTCGACGCCACCTCATGTAAGGCCAGGGAAGGCAGAGTCATGCCAGCGACATCGTATCGTAATTCATCTCTCTCTTCTCTTCTTCATTCATATCATTCGACTGTACAATCCCCACGACAGGTCTGAACGGTGGGAGGGCAATGTGACAGACGCGACGCGAGCGGACGGACGAAAGCGATATGTGCCTGCTAAAAGTGTCAGCCCAAAGCCGAAGAGCCACCACCACCACCACCGCCGCCGCCGCCGCCACTGTGACGCGCCTCTGCATCACTCTCGTGGCGCTCGCGCCGCCCGGACCGGACACCTGGGTGTGTCCTGGGCTTTGGCTTGGCAAACGTTCACCCGAAGAACAGACAGAAGCCCGCTAGCAGAGCCTAGGCTAGGCGTCTCGGGGTCACTCATGCAATGTACTCACAGTCACACCGTCACGGCCGTACATTGCGTCGCGTGTGGGTCGGCACCGTCTAGTGCGAGCAGCCGCAGCCGCTGGAGCACGACGAGCACGAGCTGGAGCCACCGCAGCTGTCGGGGAGTGTGAGCTAGCCGCCGAGAATGGGCCGGGAGAAGGAGGAGGGATAACTCACCAGCTGCCAGTGCAGCTCGAGCAGCCGCCCGACGAGGGCTCGGTGTAGTTGACAATAGTGGCGACGGCGAACTTGCTGTCAGCGGAGCCCTGGGGGAAGTCAAACTCACCATTGTGTTTGAGGTGATGTGGTGTTTGCGGTAGAGCGAGAGGAAGGTAAGAATGCAAGTGAGGAGTCGAGGTGGAGTGAAGACTGTTGAGAGAGCGCGACCGTGTGCTTCTTATACGTCCTGTCGTTCAACCGCCACAAGCATGTACACCCGTCCGTCGACGTACCACAACACTGTACGATAGCCGCGGGCATCGGGTCAGAGTCTCCAGCTGCCCCCGTTTGCCAATGTCGCTAAAGCAGCGCACCCACGCATGCTCATGCACGTGGTGGTGTGTCTGGCTTCTTGTTGCTTCTTTCCCACTCGCTGATTGTCCGGAGCGCTCATTGTGCGTTCAAAGGTCCGCTCAATGAGAGGATTTCGCGGTGGTGTTCTGACAAATGAGGCACTGGCGAAGCGACAAGCGAGCAGCTTGTGGAGCTGGCTATGCTTCTAGATCCCCCACCTTTCCCTTATGGGCAGGGAGAAAGAGCATGCATAAGTGTACCACACGCTGCCTTGTCGTCGTCCACATTGGCTGTGGGCAGATACGCTGTGTCTCGGCAGTCGGCGGAATAAAAAAACCCCAAACTGACCCCGATTTCCGTACCATTGTCCGATACCGTATTGGCCGATATCGTGCCACTCTCACCGTGTCCACAGGTCGACCTACAACGTATCTCATGGCGCTGGTGATCCTGGACCAACTTAGCTGCTTTCTAGCGCTGCCTTTGGGGGAACGAGTGCTGCTTCTCGGGGGAATCTCGAATGTCTGTCCGTGTCCGCGTACCGTGTCCGTGTCCAACGTCCGACGTCCGACCGTCCACCCTGCTCTAAGAAGCGCTTGGACCACTCGGGACGAAGCGGGCATTGGTTAGTGGCAGCGTCAACATGTGCCGGCGACCAGTCGTAAGGAAAATGGCAAGCTGATTGGAATATCTGGGTCAATCCTGTGATCTGTACATCTGTAAAGGCGGTGAGTGGAGCCGACGGGTCTCCGAGTCATGGAGGTGTCGGTGTCACATACCGACATCCAGTCGGCCAGTGAGCCGGTGAACTAGTGCCCGCCACGTTAGGAGCAGCAGCTGTAATGTGCTCCTGCCAGTGCGAGTGGGTGGGGGAGATAGGGCAAGGGTGTAGGCGCTAACGTTTATGCACGCCCATGAGATCTAACTGCCCATCATTGCCACCAGCAGCTGCCACATCCTCTTTCTGGTCCCTGATGAACAACAGCCCTTGGCCTCGCGTCTTGTCACCCATCACCCACACTCAGGTAACCATGCCATGGTTACTCTCACCCCATCCTCACGGCAAGATCTCTCAAAGAATTTGACCACCTTGTTCCCCCAAAGCATGCGCTGATGCCGGCGTGTGTGATGCGGCCAATCTGGTCACATCCTGTCGTCATACCCGTCCTCCGTTCATGATCCGCCCACAGACTCGTCCCCCGACCCCTCCCGGTCCCAGTCAGGCGTGGTGGTAGTCACATAGACGACACCTTCCATCCCTCGTTTGGTTCATTGCGCAAGAGACCGGACAGTTGGCGTCGGAGGAGGAAGTGGAACAAGCCGCCGCATGGCCCGCGGAGGCACCACCAGCACGAGAGCCATCTGCAAGTGGGTGAGAACAGTCGACCACCGGCCACCAACACGTACCCTCCCGAGAGGTCTGGCTCGTGGTCACCACGGTCGAGCTCTTGTGCGTATCGGGGAGGTTCGGGCTGCCACAGCGTCAATCCAAGAGCCTTACCCTCCCCCACATCCGTCCTCCCGGCCATACAGTGACCCGGGGCTAGCCGCCACCCCTCTCCACTGGGACCCTGCACTCACGGTTGTGGCCGCAGTGTAGACGCCCTCGTAGCTCCGAGTCGCGGTGGTGGCGAATGGGTCTTGAGCAATGTCTGGTGTGCCCATGGTCGATGTGGAGAAAGTGAGCTGTGCAGATTGTGGGGATCTCTCAACGTGTCCTTCACACTCGCACTCCTTCTCGTCGCCCTCGCCGATCACTGCGCTGCGCCCCGGATGGCACATGCGCAAACGCAACGAGGAAGACGTACATACAATGACATGGCCAAATACACTATACGATGGTCGTGAACAATGGTCACTCTACAACCCCTCCCCCTCGTAGCGTGACCCGCACGCTCTCTCGTTACCTCTCCCTGCTGTGTCGTAGCCTGGTCTCACAAGGCAGGAAACTGCTCCTTGTATCCCCTAGCCCCGACGCTACATTGTGTTGCTGCGGCGCAAACAGCGTTCTGCCCATGTAGGCCCCATGGACAGGTACGTCGCCATGGTGAGGTTATCTGTTGAGGCGCCGTGTTCCGGGTTGAAGTCGTCTTCGAGCGGCGACTCGCACAGCTCGTGTGGACTGACGGAACCGTCGTGCTTGGAGGACGTGTTGGTCGAACGCGGGTCGCTCGACGTGCTGCCGTAGGGTCCTCGCTGGTGGGCCTGGCCCTTTTCGTCGCTGCTATCCAGTTCGCGGTCGCGGTCTTGGTGGCGACGGCGGAACAGCCTCATCTTTGGTCGCCGGGACGAACGCGGTGTGAAGAGGCTGCCGAGAGAGGACCAGGCGCGGGCGATGAAGTCGCAGCACCCACTGTGGCACGCGTTAGTGAGGTGCAACCATTGTGTTGTCACGGCCGCCGCCATGAATAGGCTATAGGCTCCACTTTTGCCCGCCACCATGTCGCAGGCGACCAGTCCACTCACCACGATGAGTTGCAAACGTCATCTGTGTCGTGCACGCGACCGCACGGGCCGCACTGTACGTCAGCGGTGTGCTCCCTCCCTCCTCTTCGCCATCCAGTTCAACTCACAAGTGCCATGACCATGGTGGAGTGGCAGGTAGCGAGCAGTCGATGAGCGTGACCGTAAAGTTGAAGGTGGAGCTCTCAACTTCTAGAGATCCGGGTGTATCCGGCTGCGTCGGTAGGATGGAGCGAGTGCACCGGTCTGGTGGTGGCGAGAGAAGCGCTCGGGAGGCCCGGAGCTGTTGGGTTCTGGCGAGAGGGACGGTAATACGCGTAGGCGGCGACGTGGCTGGCCACGAGGCAATAGGCTGTGCTGTGTATGAGACCTGTCTGGATAGACGCGACGGACGATGCTTCTTGATGGACGGTTTCTCTTTAGTGTCGCGTTTCGAGTGTGAACGAGAAGGTCGATGGGCCTCGAGGCCTCGACGGGGGGGCTCGAGCTTGATATCTCATGGCAAGACTAGGGTCTTGGCCGCATGCCCATCGTCGAGTGATCCAATGATCCAGTGATCCTGCCCCGTCCTGCAGTCCCTACGTGTTGGCTTGGCCTTAGCTTGCGTCCATCCTTAGCCCAGGCTCTCGCTCTTTCTCTCTCTGTGGAATGCGTGCTGGCCGTGCTGGCTTGCTCCACGGAGTGTCCGAGCGTCAACATATCCTGTTAGTCGGCGTTGGAGTGGCTTTTTCTTCGGTGGCTCTCCGTCCAACACCACACCACCCACCGCCACAGGCACTCCGAACCGCCAAAGTGTGCACACTTTCCCTAATCCGCCGTAACCCTCGTCCTTCCTCGGCAGCGTCCGGCCCGATGCACAAGTCCGACAGGTAGCAGCGGCCACACCTGGCCACATGGTTCCCTGCACGGCCTGTTTCCTGGTCACTCGGCTTGGTAGGCTTGTGGCTTGTAGGCGTGCAAGATGAGAGGAGACGGTGTTACACAAGGTGACGACCACCAGCCAGTGTCCAGCTGTCGCAGCCTGCAGCATCTACAGCATGGCCTCCAGTTGCAGCTCGTCAGTTGTTCAGTGCCCACGTAAGACATGGCATGAGCTGGAATGGTGACACTGCCCTCCGCGGGTTAACGCCCCCGTTGACCCAATTTCACTGCCTATATCGTGCATAATCCTATTCACAAACCACCGTCCCTCTAGACAATCTCGTACTTGTCAACAGTGAGAATCTTCTCCTGGCTAAACGCGTGGTCACCGCCACCGACAATGGCGTTCTCGACGTCGACGTTGGCGAGCGAGCCCGAGGCGGCAAAGCCAACGTTGACGGGGAAGAAGTCGTCGGCGTCACCCTCGCAGCGGAACTCGATGGATCCTGTAGGCGAGTCGGCGTCCACAGTGTCAATGGTCCACACAAACGCGCCGCGGTCGGCAGACCAGTCGACGTCGTCGCCGCCCGTGACCGACGGGAAGGCGTTGGGCGGAATGGGGATGGAAATGACGACATTCTTGAGCGCGAGGTGGCTGGCCTCGAGCTCGTACTCGACAGCAACGTCCGACGAGCCGTCGCCGCGGGGCTGGGGCCAGACAGTGACGGTGAGGGGCACGCGGCTCTCGTCCTTTGTGGACAGGCGCCAGCGGAGCACACCGAGACCCTGGCCGACGGGGAAGGAACGCGACTGGTCCTTGAGCGCGATAACCTTGTCGCCAGCACCGAACTTGGCGACGTTGGGGTGCTGCTTGAACTGGAGGTCCGAATAGTCGTTGGGGGCGAGCTTGAGGCTGGTCTTGGCATAGGCCTCGTCCGAAATAGTAAGATAGAGGTCACCCTTGAGCTCGAATGCCTGGAGGCCACCGTCGCGGTGGAGGGTCGCCGACAGCTGCTCCTTGATGCCGATGTGGATGTCGTCCTGCTCGACCTTTTCCAACACGTCCGCCGACACGGCGACCTCGGGCTCGAGCTCAGGCTCGGGAACCATCTCAGGCTCAGGCTCGAGCTCGGCCTCGTGACCAAGCTGCGAGATCAAGTCGCTCTGCTTGCCCTTCTTGCTGCCGAGCTTCATGCCCGAGCCCTTGAACACGGGCTTGGACGCGGCCGCGGGACTTGGGGTGCGGTACTCGCGCTGAGCAGGCGCCTCGAAGCGGGGTGCGGGCGACGCAATGGGCTGGTAGCCGCCAGCCATGCCGCCCATGCCGCCGCCGCCGTGGTGACGGCCGGCCTGGGCAAGACGCTGCTGCTCGCGACGCTGCATCTCGAGCTGCTTGGCGCGACGCTTGAGCTCCTCCTTGGCCTCGGCCTCCTTGTTGCGCGCGATAATCTCCTGGATCTTCTCCTCGTGCGACTCGCCCTCGAGCACGCTACGGACCTGCGAGAGGCTGACGTTCTCCTTGTAGCCCAGCGACACGACCTCGTCGAACGCGCACAGCAGGTCGAAGCTGTGGTGGAGGATCGCAGGCTCGGACATGGCGGGCGTAAGCGACGAGATGAGGCGGACGAGGAGGGAGAGGGTGTTGATGTCCTAAAAACGGTCAGTTCTGCTACCGGACCGCGGCGCGGTGTGGTACTGCTCACTTGGAGAATGTTGGAACCCTTGTTGGTAATGAGGATCACGAACAGCTCCTCAAATGGCTGGTACACAAAGCGAACATCGTTGGTCTCGACAGTGGTGTGCTGCGAGTTGGCAGGGATGAGCTTGGGGAACGATGCCAGGAGACCGTCAATGCGGGAGCGTTGCATTGGGCGGAATTGCCTAGAGAGGAGCGCTGTGGACAATGGTCAGCCCAACTTGAATGAACACACACACGCGTGAGGGACGCGCAACGTTCAACTCACGCTTGCCGCTCCGGGTGCAGATAGATGCAGCGAGGACGACCTAAGAATGGTTAGCAGGACGTTCGGGATCCAACTACCCACCATGTTGCACTACGCCCTCGAGCTCGCTGTTGTTGTGGATGGGAGGAAGATGAGGCCGTTACAGTTGAAATGGACGTGGAGAGGAGGCGTGGAGGACGGTTGAACACGCGAACCAGGGTCTCACCGACTAAAACGGGGGGGCTCAATTACACTAACCGTCACAATCACACCGACGTCACAGCCCATGCATTAACCAACCCAACTACTTGCATACACATGCTACAGCTACCTCTTGGCCTCTCTCTCTCTCTGTCTAATCAATCTGCATGTACTCTTGCTTCACAGGGGACATGCTGTGGTGGCTGCGATGTGACGCCTGGGAGCTGCTAGAACCAGTCTTCACCATCGGAGGTGCACTGTTTCCAGCAAATGGCCGCGGCGGTGAGCCATGGTTTCCCATCGCAGCGCCCACTACAGGTGTTTTTGGTCCACCGAGACGGAGCTTGATGCCCGTGGCGGATGGTGGCCCAGGCGAGTGTCCACGCGGGTCGACGGCACCTGACGCCTTTTCGTTCATCTTGAGACGCAGCACCTTTGCACCTTCCGACTCGCGAGGCGCCTGCGCACCGTCACCAGACTTGATGACCTTGCGGCCACTGGGGAGGCGTCCACGCGACCAACGGTCGGCGCCGTGAGGTCCAGAATCCCAGGTTGCGCGGAACCAGGCTTCGGTCTCGTCACCCGTTGCCTTGCCGCGGGCCTTGTTGAGCGCAGCAACGTCGGCACCGCGGATCGGGTCGCCATACAGCATGGGGCCATGGTCGCTACCTTGTGCCTGCGGAGGACGAAGTGATGTGAGACGCTCTCGCAGGGTTGGAGGGAGGTATGGTGTTCGAATTTGGTGGAGAATGGACGATATGATGCCACTCTGGTTCGGGTTGACTGGGATGAGACGAGTCGGCAACACATCAGAGTGCGAGGGGACAATGGGGGAGATGTGGGGAGGAGGGAGAGCCTGTGACAGAGTGTCGGCTGGGCTAAACTTGTCGGGGTTGCCAACAGTGAGTCGAAGCAAGTCGGCGGCCTGTCGACGGCCATCGGTCTGTCGAAACATGAGTGAGGGCTCATCCACAGTCGTCTCATAGGTCGTGACAAGGGAAGGGAATGACGAAGGAGCCCCTGGGAGTGGGGACGGCACAGATGGCTTGGGAGGGTCGGTAAAGCTGTGGGCCTCGGCCAGTTGTGATGTGCTGTAAGCCACCGGTCGACGGTATCGTTCTGCCACTGATTGGGGAGCAGGGACAGCATCAACTGGCACAACAGCACTGGAGCCAGTGACGATGGCATCCTCCTGCCCGCTTGGTAAAGGCGGAAGCCATGAGAGATCTGGGGACCGGGGTCGATAGTTGACGCGTGGGGGTTCCTCGCCATCGACGTCCATGGCCTCGTCCGATTCTTCAGACTCTTCGTCCTCCTCTTCCGCTTCCTCTCCTTCCTCCTCGTCCTCATCCTCGCTGTCCACAGGAACAAATGTCCTCTCAATGTCGGTTGAAATGTTCAATCCATCGCGGAGGTAGCCTGGCCGTTAGTTGAATTATAGTTAACCCCCTCAACCCACCTGCAAGCTCATCCATCTTGCCACCCGTAAAGCTGACCTCCTTGTCGAGGTCCGCCGTCCATTCTTGCAGCTCTGTGATGCCGCCAACGCCGAGATCTTCCAGTGCGTTGACGACATCAATAGCAGCCACCTTGGAGCGACCGGCAAGCGCGGCGCGTTCGGTACATGACGTGGCCACCAGCTGGAGGTAGCGCGAAAGCACGCCCGAAAGGGTGACGCTTGCGGCGCGTGACGTGGATGCGAAACCTGTCTGCGCGAGCGTGTGTAGCGCAGCGAGGTGAAGGACGGCGTCTGGCGACGCGGCCATGGTGGGTGGTGGGTTTGTTGTTGGTGGAGGAGCGTGTGCGTCAACATGAATCGATCGGTTAATCGGTTGCAGCCAGGGCGCGCGGGTTTCAAGCTGCCACAGTGGCAATTGCCGCATATTTCCGAACCTTGCAGTGCTCGTGTGCACGAACCATATGCATGCAATGCTGCAAACTCAGAGCAGGGAGGAAGTACTGGGTTATGCAAATACAGTCTCGGCACGACTTGGCTTTGAGTACGAATGGGGTACGACTTGGTGGATGGGTGGAAGTGGCATGGTTCTCATGTGTGGCGGTCGGCATTGCCTCCCCTCATGGTTGAACGCGGGATTCGCCATTTTCACGTGTCTACAAGCTGTTCCCAGTAGGCTGGTCAAGGAGGCTGGGTCCTCAGGCAATGGTAGCGGTCGCTACATACACTTTCAGAAGCATACGTGGGAGCTCAGGTCAACGAGCCGGGTCGTGAATGTCGCGTGACTTGGTCGTCAGCCGGGGCTGATATCAAAAGGTTGTTGTTGTGAATGTCACTGGGCGACCTGCAGACCACCTGTTATTCAATGCGCCAACTGCAAAATGGAGGCTTACACTGCCATGGACCCATTGCGTTGGGTGTTCAAGGTATCTTGTATCCGGCGAACGGGTCGCGTGCAGCGGTTGCAGTTCCCAGGCCTGTTGCCTCTGCATGCCACTGCCGTATGACGCACCTGTCCGGCGTCCGGCGTCCGGCGCCTGCTCTCCTCATCTGGCCATTGACCTCCTGTCATGCCTCCGATTGCCCATGAAGGAGCACCATATCTAGGACACGACCTCTTGCCGTTCGGACGACGTGAGCCAGGGTTTGGTGACAACGGAGTTAAGGGCCTGCCACGCCATGACTGCGTAGACACGTTACGAACACATCTGCGTTGTTCTATGCAGAAGATGACGAGTCCGGGGTACGCTAGTCAACGGGGAGGTGGCAGTCATAGACCAGTTCACCGAACAATCTTGAAGGAGTGATCGGCAGAGGGAGGATCGGCATTAGTGGCACCTGCCGCCACATTTTCAACTGACCTGTTTATCGATGTAAAAGACACCGTCCGCACTTCAGCTCGGCACCTCTGTGTCGCCCATGGCATCGACAGTCTTCAGTGGATCGCAACAACCGTCAGTGTATCGAAACAAGCGTATGGGCCTGGCGGGCCGAGAAAGGTGCTTCTTGGCGATCTGCGGAACCTTTTAGTCCGGAATGGAGGCACGCTGTCCCGATACGTGGGCGAAACCCACGGGCACCGTATCGACTCCTACGCATGGTTGAGGGGCACAATAAAAATCATGACAAATCGTGAGAACAGCATGCAGTGTGCGCTGTGACATGCACAGCACTGGCAATGCGGATGCACGAGGCGGTAGAGATTGTGCCATATTGAGCGACATTTAGGAACTTCGGTATTGATCGTATTGACAAAGGTCACAAATGCGTCAGACGGTGCGTCACAAATGACGGTGCCCCGGGCGCAAAAGTGCCACATGCGGCGTTAGCGGCAAGATTTTTCGATCAATCACCCATTCTGCGTTCTCGCGGGCGTGTCAACGCAGGGCCTACTCAAACCTCCATCCCATCCCATCCTCAACCCCAAAAACAAGACAAGATGTCCGACGACGAGCACCACGAGACCTTCGAGGCCACCGGCGGTGGGTGCACGATGTTGTGATGAAATGCTGACTTTGTAGCCGGCGCCTCCGAGACCTACCCCGCCCAGGTATGTGATTGAGAAGCGTGCAGAGTTGCACTTCTCGACATTCTTTCTCGTACTAACCATGTCGAAAGTGCTCGTCCCTTCGCAAGAACGGCCACGTTGTCATCAAGGTGAGCATTGTCCCTGTCTCTGCGTGCTCTGAGAGTCCGGAATGGCGGTGATGGCGGTGAACTTGTCCTGTGAGGCCGGGGGAGGTGCAAATCTCTTCCGATTGATCCGGGACATTTTGAACCGCCGCTCTGGAGCGGCTTTGGACGTCTGCTGACAGTTTCTAGGGCCGCCCCTGCAAGATTGTCGACATGTCGACCTCGAAGACCGGCAAGCACGGTCACGCCAAGGTCCACCTTGTCGCCATTGACATCTTCACCGGCAAGAAGATGGAGGACATCTCCCCCTCGACCCACAACATGGACGTCCCCAACGTTCGCCGCACCGAGTACCAGGTTCTCGACATTGCCGACGGCTTCCTTTCGCTTATGGACGCCGACGGAGGTGCCAAGGACGACGTCAAGCTCCCCGAGAACGACCTCGGCAACGAGATCCAGGGCGCTTTCGACGACGGCAAGGACATCATGGTCTGCATCGTTGCTGCCATGGGCGAGGAGCAGGCCATTACCTGGAAGGAGGCTCCCGCTGATAAGTAATTTGGCGTTCGTATGAGAAATGCTAGTTCTTACAGTGATCTGGAACGTCGAATGAAGGTCGTGCAAGCAGTGGAAGAGTTGGAAGGTCGATGACGGTGGACGGGGTATTTTTCCGGTTGGCTGGCGATTCAGTTCGGCCCAGGCGTTATAGCGGCCGCGAACAGCCCCAGGCACGCTCTAGGTTGCGGCTGTGGCTTGGACGGGGAGGTCAGACGACACGAGTCGAGGTATGGGTCAATTTCTGAAAAGAGTGGACAACGAGGAGGCTCGGGTGGTGTCATGTCTTTTTTTCGGTCAACCATCTGGCCAATGTGCATGGTATGTTCATGGAATGTAGCTGAGATGGTCTTGGGTGTACTCATGTGTCTTTCAGGCCGGTATTGCATGCATAGGATGGCTGGGGACTGTTGGAATGCATCTGTGGCGGTTTGAGAAAGAGAAAGTGGAAATTGAAATTAATATTAATGGCAGTTGCCACAACCACGTGGCGTTTCTAATTGTCCTTTCCTATATCAATTATAAATTCAATAATTCCTGGCCGGTGCGCCAATGGGTGGGCGTAGCTGTGGTATGAGCATGCTGCAGTGCACCCGAGGAGGCTCCCACTGATCCACTGACTTGCAGTATCCAGCTGGGGCACACGACCAGACCAGTGGCCACTGACCAGTTTCCTCTGACGTGCAACACGTTCAGGACGGGAGCAGATACCAAACCCACAGGCCAGAGGCCAGGTGGAGGTCGGTTCATCGACAGTCAGCATTCGCCCATCCATACCATCTACTGTGCTCATTCTCCACACCACAATGACAACAGACATCACAGTGCCAGATACGTCGTCGACGATCCTCGTGCTCCACGACCCGGAACTCGACCCAACTCCCTTTCTGTCCCGTACGTCCGTGTCCCAGGCCCGTGTCGCCATGTTCACACTGCAGGCCTCCTTGACGTCCAACTCGACGACGACCCTTTGCGCGACCATATCCCATGGACGATTGACAACAAGTACTACACTGCCGATGTCAATTTTTGCCCTCTTCCCCTTGGAGTGTCGCCGCTTGCGCACCCAGTCGTCATGTACCTGTTCTCTGGAAAGGTATGGGCCTCCCTCCCTTCCCTCCCCGTACTGACCGCTTCCAGGCGCCAGACCCGCTTCCACCATCGCTCACCCGCCTGTCAGTGCTCGACCCTCCTCCCGACCTTTCTGTCGCTGTCCGCATAAAGGAGGGCACCGAGCCCGCCGCCGACACCCACCCCACTGCCGAGGACATTGACGAGGAGGACCGTTTCGACGAGATTGGCATGGAAGTTGTGGACGAACGCGGCGTCGTGGACGACGATGACGAGAGGCGTGAGTTGAGGCACTGTATGGTTGGCACTGACACTTAGCACTTGACCCTCTCGAGACTGTCCGCCAAACGCTCATGACCCACATGTGGCCCAACATGGTCCGCAAGGGTACCCGCGGTGGCAACGTTCCTCGTCCAGACATCATTGTGGACGCTGAGAATGACGGAAGCAGCGACGAAGCGCATTTCCCAGTCACCTTTTCGGCGAGGACACCAGAACCCCGTCCAGCGGGACCTGTGAGCGACTTCCCCACGCCGCCTGGGCCCACGTCTCTCGATAATGACGACGGCGACGACTTTGGCGACTTTGCACCGCTCCCAGACGCGTCAGAATTTGGCCCCATCCCTGGCGCTGATGAGTACTCTCGCCTCGAGTCGTGGCTCGACAATGACGGCGACTTCCCTGACGCCGACGGTGACGACGAGGGTGACGATGTGGCGGCCATCATTGCCGAGGCCATGCGCCATATCCCACCAGGCATGAACGGCGCCAACGGCGCGAACGGCCTGTCATTTGAGGATGACGACGACGACACGGCAGGCTTCGAGGACAACTTTGGACCTCTGACCGGTGCGCGTGGCAGCATGCCTGCCATCCCCCTGGACCCTACCCCGATCCTCCTCCACCTCCAGCAGGTGCGTGCAGAGTTGTCGCAGGTAGAGGACGAGGACGAGCGTAGAATGCGTGCAGCGGCCGAGGTGGAGCGTCTCATGTCATCGCTCGGTATGGATGGCGGAGACTGGGACGATGACTTGGAAGGAATCGACGGATTGGAGCAGAATGGCAACGGCGACGAGGACACGCTTCAGAGGCTGGCGCGATTGGATATGCTGGACGAGTTGTAGATAGATGCATGGTGCTGTCCTGGGTCTAGAGATCCCCCTTTCGGGACACCCATTTCTACAGTGACAATGTTGAAAGTGGGTAGGACCTGTTTCGCGATTTGGCTCCATACGGATGCACGGCGGCCACCACCCTGTCAACAAATGCTTTCCTGATTCTCCACATCCTTCCTGTCCCTCCTTTTATCCTTCGTCGCTCGCCATGCTGCTAGCCGGCCCAGAGGACCTCAAACGGACTCTATAGCGGCCGGCTCGACCCCCGCACGCATACAGTGCATCACTCAAACACTGCACAACAACCATAGCCCGACCCCACCCACGCAATCTTTCTCCAACCATGTCCGTCGACATTGACTGGTCGCTCCTCTCCGAGCCCACCTCGTCGTCTCTCTCCGAAACCCTCATTGCCGCGCTCAACACGCAGCTGAACCGCGCCTCCAGACCGTCATTCCTCGGCCCCGTCACTGTCACCTCTTTTGACTTTGGTAACATCGGCCCCGACGTCGAACTCAAAGACATTCGTGATGTCTGGCGAGCATTCGACGAAGGTGACGACGAAGGTGATGCCTATCTCGAGGCTCAGGCCAGCGAACGCGCTGCGGAGGAAGCCCATTCTCACAGTCCCCCGCCTCCTCCGCCTCCTCCAGCGCCTGCGTTTCGCCGTGGTCCCCAGCGTAGTCGTCACTCGTCAGCACCTCTCCCTGGCCGAAACCTGCACCCATCGGCGTCGCAGTTGAACCTCATTGACGACGACCACTTTGACTTTGGCGAGCGCGACGACGCCAACGACTCGGTCTACTCTGGCTTCCACAGCGGGCGCAACTCTGTCGCCTCTGTCGGACTCGGCGTAGGCGGTCTCCGTCGTGGACCACCGCGCTACCCAATTGTGCCTTCCACCCCTCCCCGCATGGCCAGCACTGGTCCTGCGATCGCCGTCCCCATCGCCCATACGCACGGCTCAAACCCCACTCGGCCAGGCGCGCCGCTTCATGACTCTGCTGCTCCCCTCTCCCCACCTCCATCCCCACCTGCGCACCCAGTTGGACTGCCCGAGACCCGCCCAAACCCACTACCCTCGGTGCAGATCCACATGCGCCTCGATCACGCATCCAACATGAGCCTTACGCTCACCACATCGCTGCAGGTCAACTACCCAAGCCCCTTGTTCATGTCCCTGCCTCTCAAGCTGGTCATCACAGGCCTCACGCTCGCGGCAGACTTGGTCTTTGCGTATTCTGGGACGAAACACCGTGTACACGTCACAATAGTCGACACTGGCGAGGACCAGCCGCCGACTCCTGGCCATGGCGGACACGGACTGCACGGCATGCCCACAGGGCACTATGCCATAGGCCAGCGCGTGCTGCCCAACCTCCATATCGAGAGTGATATCGGTAGCGCAGACGCCCACGTCTTGCGCAACGTCGGCAAGGTTGAGCGGTTCATTGTGGACGTGGTGCGCAAGACGCTCGTGGAAGAACTTGTCTTCCCAAACTTTCAAACCATCGCTCTGGCTTAGAACATGTCCTGCTTCTGTAGAGAGAGAAAGTGTGACGCACATCGTATGCATGATACAACACTCGTTGGTACATTATAACCAAAACATCTAGTGCCGGCACGTGCTACACCAAAACCCAGTCGGCCATCTATCCCTACTTCTTCAGCGAGCGACGCATCTTGTTGCCCGCCTTGGAACCGGGCTTGCGGTCCAAAACCTCCTCCGGCTTGGGCGCCTTGCGTTCGCGGTTGCGGTTCTTGACGTTGGCAAACGTGAAGAAGTTGGTAGCCTTCTTCTTGTTGGTAGTAACACGCTTCTCCTTGACAGGCTTGGCACCGTCCGACTCCGACTCCGACTCGACCTCGACACGAGCCTTCTTGGCGGAAGGAGCATCGTTGTCGGCCGGGAAGACGTCCTCCCAAGCAAGGTCGGCGTTGGACTCGTCGACCTCCTCGTCGGAACTCTCCTCCTCCTCCTCCTCGTCATCCTCCTCCATGTCCTCGTCCTCCTCGTCATCCTTCTCGTAGCCCTTGCCCTCGTCCATCTTGTCGTCCTCGTCAAACTCGCCCTCCTTGGTGCGGTCGTCGGCGAGGTACTTGGTCATGGTAACGATCTTCTTGATGGCCTGGGGAACACCCTTGACCTTCTTCTCACCCAGAAGGTTGCCGAGGGCAATCTCCTGGGCCTCGAGGACAGCAGTGGTAGCCTCCGAAGCCTCGTTGACGGGCTCCTCCTTGGCAACAGGGCCCTCCTCGGTGGGACGGGCAGGAGGGGGAACGAAGAAGGGGATCTTGCCACGGATCCAGTCGTTGAGGACCATCTTCGCAGCAGCCTCGTGGTCGGGCTCACCACCCTTGAGGAGCTTACCGGCCTTCTTGGCAATGGTACCAAGAAGGATAGCAGCGCCCTCCTCGCCGTGCCAGCCACCCTCGCGGTGCTCGAGGCCGTAGGTACGCTCAATGTACTCTTGGCGAACGCGAGCAAGAAGGGTGGGGATGTGCTCGGCGGGAGTGTCGAGGTTCTCCACACGCACGACACCCTTGAGAACGGTGTCGGCCTCGGTGTCCTTGGCCGAAATGGGAACAACACCGGGGCAGTCGATGAGGTAGATGCGGCGCATAAGGGTAATGTACTGCCACACCTTGGTCTCTCCGGGGATAGGAGCAACAGTGCACACCTTCTTCTTCTTGATGGTGTTGATGATGCTCGACTTTCCAACGTTGGGGTAGCCGATGAAGCCGACAGAGATCTGCTTCTTGTCCGAGTGGAGGACCGAGAACTGACGGAGCAGCTGGATGAGCGAACCCTTGCCGAACGAGTTGTTGATCGACGCGTGGAACGCAATGGTGGGAGCCGAGAGCGAAAGGTGCTTGACCCAACGAGCCTGGAGGTCAGCAAAGAAAATAACAAAAACTGATATCCAGATAAAGATGTGTGGCCGAAAACTAAGGGGTCTGGACGAAGCATGTGCACAAAGGCGGTCCAAAGCCCAACTCAATTGGCCTGCTACGAACCCTTCTGGGCCCCTCACCGGCGACCAAAACGGCCGCCAGCTTTTTGGTCCTCGAACACCCAAGACGGGGTCGGGGGTGGGGCGCTGGCGAAGGGACGCTCATTCTTCCACTCTCGTAACAGCCCAGATGCGTATAAAATCCGCCGAAGCGCGCGCTTAAGGTCCTGACTGGAGTGTGGGATCGTGATAGGGGGGATGGGGAGGGGAAAGGGGGGGAAATATACGGAAAGCTGACACTCACTGTAACCCAAGTGGGGACAAGGTCGACCTTGTTCAGGACGTAGACGAGGTGCTTGTGGGCCTTCTCCCTGCGGAGATACTCGACAACGGGCTTGCAGCGGGTGCCGATAGGGTCACGGGCGTCCAGGACGTGAATGACAACGTCCGACGAGTCGAGGACCTTGTACAGCTCGGCCCAGATACGACGCGAGGTACCCTTGGCGTAGGCTGGCGCGGAGGCGAGCGAACGGGTAGGGTGGAAGGCGGCGGCGGCCTCCTGGTCGGCCGAGACAGTGTCCTCAATCTTGGCGTCCGTGGCAGCCGACGACTCGCCGAGCTCAGAAAGCGAGCCAACGTCGAGACGGGGGCGCTTGCGCTGGGCCTTGGGGCCGAAAGTGTTGGCGAAAGGCTCAGTCTCGACAATGTGGACACGCTTGGTGGCCTGCTCGCTCTCGTCCTGAATCAGGCCCATGGGGAGCTTGTTGCGCTTAAGCAGGACTGAGTAAGGGTCGGCCTTGTGGCCAGCGAGCGCGGTACGGAAGTGGTCGAGCGCGGTCTGCGAAATGACACGCGTGTTGCCGAACCAGCGGCGGTCGGGCTGCACACGACCAGGGGTGACCTCCTTGCTCTGGAAAGCGGCAGCCTCAACGATGACACCATCCTTGTTGCGCACCGCCTTTCCACCGTTGAGCATCTTGAGACGAGAAGCGGCCTTGGCATCGCGGTAGAAGCTGGGAAAATTGTAAGCGCGGTCCCAGCACGAAGATCTGCAGGTAGACTCACTTCTCGCCCTTCACACGCTTAAGGTTGAACTCGCCCTTCTGGGCGGAGGACTTGACCTTGCCATGGTCCGCCTTCTTGGTGGACTTGTCGTGGTTCTTTCCTTTACCCATCTTGTGAAGGAAGGGTGAACAACTTCAAAAAGTTGTGCTGGGGGGGAAGATATATCGAGAAACGTTCAGCGAAACACAGAAGTTGAAAGGGGTGCGAGCGATGAAATTCTCGGAACGCGGGAGCAAATTGGCGGGGGTGGCGGGTGGTCACGTGACGAGCAGTGATCTCGATAGTTGTATGGTTGGAGGTGTGGTGTCTCTCCAGCAACTTTCGTTGCGTAACGCCTAGGTGCATTGAGCTGTCGCCTTGCGAGAAATCGGACGTCACGCAGTTCTATGATCTATGATATATATGGTCGGAGTAAGTAATGAGCAAAATTTTCAATTTCTCGCACATTTGAACAGTCGGTGGCAGTACTCTCCTCTGGATCCTAACGCATGACGTCCTTCCTCCGCGGGGTCACAATCCATTATTCTGCGACACCCACTGCAGACACACGTTCACAGCAAATTCATAATGTCCGCTAAAATTCAAATGATTTAAACATTGTTCGGCAGGGGTGACACCAGCATGTGCTTTGACAAGTCGACCGCGTGCTGCAGACGTGGAAGAGTTGATGTTGTCGCTTATATATTGCTTAGCACGAGGCCATGGCGCTCATTCCGGGCACGCCCAGGCCAGAGAGGCCGTCGGTGAGTTGGCTAGGAATGAAACCAGTCACCGCACCCATGACGGAGCACACCGCCGTTTGAACGAGGCCCATAGTGTTGCCGGAGCCCAACACCTTGCCCATTGCAAGGACAGACGTGATCGACGGCACTCCAACATAAATGCCACCAAGCGACAGACCGGGACTGACGGGAGCGGCGGCCCAAACGGCGAGACCCCAAGCGCCCATCTCAAAGCTGGTGACAGGTACGGCGCTGCGCATTAGAACGGTACATATAATTGGAATGAGTGAACAGAGGCAAGCAAAAATGGTTGCAGGATTCGAGGAGGTAGTGGGAGGATTTCAGAACTTACCGCCTGCTCCAGCCGGGCGGGAAGCGCTCGTGGATGAACCAGTACTCAAGCATCTCCTCCGTAAAGACGGTAGCCTCACCACGGAGAGCCTCGTGTCCCTAGAATATGTCAGTACATATTCTCATTGGGAGTGGTTCTTGACTTGTAAGTGGCAGACGTGGAGGAAATGGTGGGGTGCGATCGGTGCCCGACGAGTGCCAACCGCAACCCGAGACGTCTACGAACTTCCACCCCATCGCTGCACGTCTGCCACCTTTATGCGCGAAACAACTTACAAAACCAGACTCTGAAGCGTCAGCGGAATCTTGACCAGAATTACTCACCGGCGTATGCGACGACCATGCGCAGCATGTTCATGTCACACTTGGGGTTATACTTGACGCAGTCATCGAAAGCAGCCTTGCGAGCCTGGGACAGAGACTTGATGGTGACGTCAAACTCCGACTGAGCAGCGCAGTAGCCCTTGAAGCGGTTGTAGCGGGACATGCTGATGTGGACCTGGTCACCAATAGCAGAGTCTTCGCGAGTGATCGAAGAGTCTCCCTCGAGGACGCCATGCTGGGAGAGACCGGGGCCGTTGATGACGACGTTGCCATGAACGTCCTTGTTACCTCCAATGGACATCTTCATCTGCGCAAGGTCGCCCTTCCAGACAAACCCAGCAAAGGTAAGAAGGCCACAGAGGTCGGGGGCGAGCGAGAGGGCTTCCCAGAGACCAACAAAGAGGTCGACCGGGGTGACAATGCCGTCGCGGGGGAGGTAGCCGTGGTTGGCGGCAGTGTTAAGACCGGGGCAGGGGCCGCGCTGCCAGGTGGCGTGGTCGGGGTTCTTGGGGTCGTAAGGAATGTAAGGGTGGGCTTCGTCCTCGGCCACACCCCAGACGGAGCCTCCCGCGCCACGCTTGGAGCTGGCTTTACGCTCGAGGCCGAAGGTCTTGTAGATCGAGTCCTTGGTGTACTTGTTCCAGGGGCCAGTCATGCGAGCGGTCGGGGCACCGACATCTCCGACCTTGGCCTGAGCGGCCTTGATCTGGGAGGTGAGGTTGCTGAGCTGGTTGTTGTCAAACTTCATGCCCTGGAGGTATTGCTTCAGGCTGTCCATGCCGCCGTCGCCGCCAGCACGCTCGGCCATCCACGGGTAGGCATTGACTGCCGACGGCACAATGGCCATGGCACCAAGGAGGAGGGAGACCTTCATGGTAAAAGGAGTGTGGGAATGAGTGTGGGTGTTGGAAAGGTGGACGAAAACGAGGCGAGGGGACGCGCAACTGGAGGGTGGCCTTGCCTTTTAGCAAGTCTGAGCCTGTTGTTTCGGCGCAACTGCCACATCAACAAGCTGATGTGCCACCTTCCCCACCCGACCCTCATGCAAAAAACACAACAATGATCCTACGTTGAGAACCCCCTTGATGCAGCCCGGTCGGTACCTGCATGCGGAGTTGTTCCCGTAACGTTTCAGCAAAGGGTGGCCAACGACTGTGATTGCGGTAGTCGCCCCAATGGAATTTGAGACGATACACACATTGAACAACTCTTGGCACTGTGGCCCGAAAACCACGCGGAGCATCCGTTCCTGTTTATGTTCTAGGACATTGTAACCCAAACAGACACACCCCGTGCTGTAAGCGGGAGCCAGGGTTGGTTGCTAACCCTCATGCAAACCGGAGTGTACCGGTTGATTACCCGTGAAACACAAGTACAACTACTGCAAGATCCGTCAGAGCCGGAAAATGGCAGACAACAAGCAACAACTGCAAGTATCTGGGATCCGTATGCTACAGTACGGCATGTGCGATCATTAGTGGGAACGTAAAACACCTCAGGACAGATGATGCTGGTCGATTCCAGTAGCTTGGCAGGATGCGATGTGCTCATGGGACGCGTCGTGCCGTAACCAACGACCGCGGATCGCTTGTGGCCGAAGAAACATACACGGGACCTTGACTACACCCATCACATATCCGCAGGAACAAGTGGCAGGTCGTTTGGTGACAATTAGGGATCAACCTCTTGTTCCCCCTTAAGGAACCTGCGGATAAGTCAGCGTCTATGGTTTCCAAAGCAGCGTGACTGCCCGTGAGCAAGCCGGTGAGCAAGCAAGCTGGCCCCCGCTCCGGGTTTGACTTGACGACCAGGGCCCTCTGTGTGCAATTCTAATAGCGGCCTTCTACTGCTAGAGGCACCACTCCAACGTTATGAAACTCGAGGTATCATGTCTATGCGGGTTACCTGTATTTAAAACAACGACTCCTGCTTAGTGGCACATAATCAGGCACACCAGCAGGCGTCACCAGTCACCTATGGGATCGTGCAGTTCAACCGAATCAACAAGCGATCATCCTCCCTTCGTGGCCGCTGCCTCCTTTGCTTCCTCCTCAGCCAGAGCCTCCGCCTCATACATTGCACGGAGGCGAGTAAAGATGGCATTCGCGCGCTGCCCTTTTGAGCCTTCGGGCTCGGTGTCGTGTGTGTAGGAGAAGAACGCCGGGAAGGCCTCGGACATCTTCAGTGGCCTCAAGTCTGGGTAACGGGAATCAATTGTTTTGAGGAGAGCCCGAGTAACAATCTGCCAAATAAGTGGCTGAATGATTACCACATCTTGACAGCATACTCACTTCGTAACCCTTGGCAGTAAAGTGCAATCCGTCGGAGAACAAGTCTTCCAACTTGTCGCCAACGGCAACCGCCGCCTCGTGCAGGTCAAACACGTTGATCACTGGAACCCCTGCTCCTTCGCCCACGCCAACACATGCGTTGACATAATGCTCAGTGTTATCGGGCTGACGGTAGTGACGCAAGTCCTCGGGTAGATCCATAGAGTCCTCTGCAGCGCGGGTGACCGCAACGTTCAACGTGGACGGCGTGAGGAGCACGATAGCAGCAGCCGGGTAGCTGGATTTGAGCTCGCCCACGATGGAGGTCAGGTTGGTGCGGTAATCGTTTACCGAAACCTGGACTGTCAGTTGTGCTTTACAGAATTGGAAAGTGCCTACCGTCTGCGACCCGTCAAGCGCGCTGAAGAATGTCAGAACTAACTACCTCCTGCAGGCACCCGCTCCCCTTTCTCCCACGTACCTGTCGTTGGTACCAATGTGGACCACAAACAACAAGGGGTGGACACCTGCGGGGAGCAGGTCCGACCGTAGCTTGAGCAGAAGCTGGTGGCTGTTGTAACCTCCCATGCCTCGGTTGAGAACATCAGCCTTGCCAGCGTACTGAAGGCAATTGTCAGCCCTCGCCGATGAACTCCGGTAGATCGGTCTGGCTTACCCTCTGTGCGAGTGCGGCGCCATAACCACCTGGCGCAAACGATCCCTGTGCGATAGAGTCGCCTGTGACGATGATGTGAGGGTATCCCATTGTCAGCGAGGAAGTGGAGAATGGTCTGTGTTCCTCCTCGACGTTTGTGGACGTTCCACATGTGTCGGACGTTTGGCGGGGCCCGCCTGTCCGGGCCATTTTCGGTGAATTAACTGCCATGCGGCGTCATGATAACGCCACTACCCAGTGACAATCTCAATGGTGACCCAGTATTTGGAGTGAGTTTGGCATTGATCCTTTGACTTGACCTCGTCCGACGCCGAGGGAGATCGCTAAATCAGCCATGCGAGCTTATTCTTCGTAGAGGAAAAAGTGCAGTGACTCCACCGAGAAGACCCAGCGTTGCCTGTACCCCATCATGGCTGGTATCTAATGTCTCGGGATATATGTCTCGTGAGATCCATCCCCGGCCCCTGCACTGCGTTATCGCGTGAACACAGACATGCTTTGTTGATTCGATCACTTGTGCCACGCCACCACCACACCACGCATAACATAGTATGTTTCTTTCAACGCAACCGTTCCCCGGCTTTCGGTCGCCAGCCTGCCCTCGCCCCAAGTCTGTGCCGTTCAATCATACATCACTCCCTGCTAACTCATGCAACAGGATAACCAGCCAACGTGATTGCCTTCTTAGTTCAGTGGTTAGAATTTTTCACTAGTATGGTGGTCTCTTGAGACAACATCTATGATGAAAGGGTCACCCGTTCAATTCGGGTAGAAGGCAAAGCAGCGCCTCGAGCGTCCTCTTTTGCTGGCCGTGGCACCTGGTGAAGTGCATTTGATCCAGTAACCTGCCCCAATTCGGTCTTGGTGTCCAGAGATGTTCCCAGATATGCATGATGTGTCGACTTCTAGTGATGACATGAGCAGCCGCGTTACTTATTCGTCTTGTTCGTCCCTGCCTCCCACGTCTTGCCTGTTACGTGCTCCCATTCCGCCAATCGGCTGTCGTCCCAAGCCTTTGTCCTGGCCTCCGCCTCAGGTGTACGCAGAATATGAGCATCCTCATTGGGATGGAGGCTACTGCACTCTGCCAGTTCCGAAGGAAGGTATTCGTTGGTGACGGGATGGCTGAAGTCGGGGTTGTACGCGTACTCTTTGCCGTACCCGAGCTTCTTCATGAGGTGAGTTGGCGCGTTGCGTACTTGAAGGGGAACAGGGGGTAGCGGTGGCCGCGTGGCGAGGGCCTCAGCTCGCTTGTAAGCTTCGTATGCGCGTGTCGACTTAGGAGCTTCTGCCAAGTAGGCCACGCAGTGCTGACTGTCAGCCGGACGCCACGGTTAGCGCAACTCACGGCAAGATTGATACGGCATTCCGGCATGCCAATCATCTGACACGCTTGGTGCGTAGCGATGGCAAGGGGCAGGGCTTTTGGGTCGGCCAATCCGACGTCCTCGGATGCCACGACAACAAGCCGGCGTGCAATGTACAGGGGATCCTCTCCGCCTGTCAACATTCTCGCTAGCCAGTACATTGCCGCCGAGCCATCGCTGCCTCGGAGCGACTTGTGCATGGCGGAGATAAAGTCGTAGTGCTCTTCACCGGTCCGATTGTACCCCTTGCGCAACCCATTACGAACAGCGTACATGAGCCGCTCGTCCCGCTTGGCCAAGTCTGCCTCGTTGTCGTTGCCGTCCAATGTTGTCTGGCGATAGCTGGGCATTTCACAAACCTTCAGTGCGAGCTCGAGACCGTTGAGGGCGGCGCGGGCGTCACCGTCGGCAACCTCGGCGAGGAAGGGAAGCAGAGTCGGAGGAAGACGTGGAGGGTCAGGAATGGCGGTCAAGGCGTTAGCCATGATGGTCTCCAGGTCCTTTGGTGTGTGAGCTGAGAGCGTAAAGACTTGACAGCGAGACAGCAAAGCACCGGTGCACTTGAAGCTGGGGTTCTCTGTGGTCGCACCAATGAGATGCACATGCCCTTGTTCCACGAATGGCAAGAACAAGTCCTGCTGAGGCTTGGTGAAACGATGGATCTCGTCGACGAGAAGGACGGTCTTCCGCCCCGTCAGCTTGAGACCGTTCTTCGCCTGTTCGAACACCTGCCGAACGTCTGCTGCTCCAGAACTTGTCGCCGACAGCTCCTTGTAGTCGGCATTGGCCATGCGCGCCATCAAACGCGCCAGAGTGGTCTTTCCGCTTCCCGGAGGGCCCCACAGAATACACGAGAAGGTATCGCCTCGCTCAATCCTCGCACGGAGTAGACTGCCGGGGCCAACGAGGTCGTCTTGGCCCACATACTGGTTCAAGGAAGATGGGCGAGAGCGTTCGGCCAGACTGATACGTCAGCCTTAAACGTAAAGATAAGTGCCTACGTACGGTTGGTTGGCCGTGAGAGGGTTGACACGGGGTTTCTTCTCCGTACCGTTTGGTGTATGGTCCTCACGCATACTTGCGCTCCGCTTGGCGCCGGCAAATGGAGGTGCTACCGGCCTGGATTGAGATGTCGGCTGAGGCTTTGGAGGTCTTGCTGGAGTCTCAGTAGATCTACCGCTTCCCTGTGACGACCGCAGATGGCCTTGCCCACCACTTGCAGACGGCTGGCTCAGTCTTGGCCTTGGAGGCGACGAAGGCTGTTTTGTGGGCGATGATGGCCCTGCTGCTCCAGGACATTGAAGATCGAGGTGCAGATTGATGTCTGATTCCGACACGGTGCGGTCACAGATGGGACACTGCACCTTTTGAGGGGCCATGGTTGGGACGTTGTGGTCAATGGGCCAAGGCTCGCAGGGACGCGTCCAGCTGTGTCAACATGTAGCAGTTCGCCACCCGCTTCGTCAGGTGGAGGTGATGCTCGTTATCACGGACAACACGTCATTTTTTTCACCAGAAGTTGATCGCGGCTTGTCCGCAAGGTGTGAGCGTTCAATCCTTTCGGTCGTACCAACCTGTCAACAACAACATACACAATGGCGACTCACGATTTGAAGCGCAAGTCGCCATCACACAGCCCCGTGTCCCGTCCACGGGCAACACTCGACCTGTCGGCGCCTGAGCCCGAAGACGACGGCTTCGAAAAGGTCAAGAAGCGCAAGCAGCGCAAAGTGGACAAGCATCGTCCTCAGTTCCAGTATGACACGAGCTACTTTCGCACAGGCAAGAAGATTGGCATCGCGCACATTCGTGACCTGTCCCTCTTCGTGGCCGCCGATGCTCAGAAGCCGTCATGGATTGTTGTCGACAACCCGTCCTATGTGACCCACACAGTTGTTGTCTTTGTTCCCGGTCTTCTTCCCGAACATCTTGGTCTTGCCAAGCTTCCTCCTGCCGCCTGCCTTCCCTTTACCACCAAGCCATCCCCTTTGGCAGCTACAGAGGACCTTCCTGAAGCTCGTGTGCCGACAATCCCAAAGCTCTTCTCTTATGGGTGCCCCACTCGTGCCCCCGGAGACCAGAGGAAGCTTCATTCCGTCATGGCCACGCTTCTCCACAGCCCGCTGCCCGAGCACCTCAAGAAGAAGCGTGATGCCGAAACCAAGCGCCTCACTGGTGAGTTTGAGATTGAAGGACCTTGCTGACAACAATAGCCTTGTCAAAGCACGAGCTGGCCAGCCCTCTCCTCTACGTCTGCACAGCAAACCAGATGACCAACAACGGATACAAGCTTCCGAGCTATGTCGAGGCCAGTGACGAGGTGTTCATCCCCGGCGACATCCCTGCCGAGCTGGAGGAGCTCCTCAAGAAGTCTCGCCGCCATGACACCACAGCGGGGCCACATGAGATTGCCACTGCTGCTGTGACACTTCAGCCCGTTGGCCCACGCCCTGTGGTCGTCGATGAGCAGGGGCGTAGGACGAGAGGAAACGTGAGAGGCGAGGAGGGTTGGGTTGAGACGCCCCAGGCCAAGGGTCCACCGGCCAACGGTGTCTACCCCGTGCTTGCGATTGACTGTGAGATGGTGAGTCTTTGGATCCCGTAATAGGGCTGACGTCAGTGCCTTTCAGAGGACGGCCAGGAGCTGGCTCGCGTGTCGATTGTGGAACTTGAGAGTGGCAAGAGCGTCTTTGAGGAGTTGGTTACGCCCCCCAAGCCTGTTGTCGACTACCTGACTGAGTAAGTGAAGACCAAACCGTTGATTTGTTCGAAGTTGACCGTCCAGGTTCTCTGGTATGACCGCCGAGCGCATGTCCAAGGCCAAGCACACCCTGAAGTCGATCCAGACGGCTCTCGTCACCGGCCCGAACCCCATCATTACCCCTCACACCATTCTTCTTGGCCACTCGTTGGATTGCGACCTTGCTGCTCTCAAGATCCGTCATCCTCTCGTCATTGACACGACCGTCATTTACCGCCATGCCCGTGGACCTCCATACAAGCCTGGTCTCAAGTTCTTGACACAAAAGTGGCTGGGACGGGCTATCCAGGGCAGCGCAGGAGGACACGACTCGGAGGAGGACGCCCGTGCTTGTGTGGACTTGCTTAAGATGAAGCTTCTTAACGGTGAGTTGAGTGGTAGTTCAGCCAAGGGGCACCTCAACTGACAACTCAGGTCCCGAGTTTGGTGACCCCAGCGTCGAGAGCGAGTCCATCTTCGAGCGTCTCTCGCGCTTCCGTCCCAATGCCAAGGCCAAGGGCAAGACGACCCTTGTGGCCGACCACGGTAACCCCGCGAGCTGGTACGGCGCCAAGGCCACGACTCCCGTCTCTTGTCAGACCGACGATGACGTCGTTGACGCCGTTTGTGAGGGCGTCGCCAGTCACGATTATGTGTTTGCGCGCCTGACTGAGCTGTCAATTGTGCAGCAATGTAAGTTTTCCAGCACAGAGTCCGAGCACTATACTGACGTACAGGGAACTCTCTTCCCAGTGGCGAAACTGACATGACGGACATGTCCGACTCGCCCGAGGTCTCCGCAGCATTGGAGCGCTTCGACGCTCGCCTCACCAAGCTCCACGCCTCTCTGCCCAGTGGCACAGCCCTTATCCTCCTCACGGGGCACTCGGACCCGCGTCCCATGCTGCACCTCACCGCTCGCCGCAACAGGTTCGACAGTGCCGTCCGTGTCGCCGGAAACGCCGACAACATTGGCCCCGAGGACGGCTGGACGACCGAGGACGACCGTGCTCTTGAGAGTGCGGTCGCAGACACGCGAGAGGGCATGACCTTCTTCTGCTGCACGTAAGCAGCGTGCGTGCGTGGGACACACCCCAACATACACCAGACCGTCACCGTTACATTCATGAGTAACCTTGCACATTTTCCTCCTCTGCAATCCACCACACATCAACCCTTGTCAGCATCCCTCATAGATTATTGTGTAGCCACAAGATGGATTTACCACGTCGCGCGGTTTGTGCGCCTCCCAACAGAGACAGAGAAACACACTATGCTGCGGGTCGCGTGGGTCTGGCATGGCATAAGTGGTTTAGTGGGCGTAAGCGAAGATATATAGCTCACGCGACAACGGCGTGGCGGTGGTGGGAACATTTTACACCTCCCACGCGAGGAGCACGAGTGGTATTCGAGGCACCGTACACATTCCTGCCTTGCGTCCACAAATCCACAGTTGGCACTGATGCTGTCCTCCTCGTCTTGCTACCACATCTGGCAGCGATACCAAGGTCTGTGGGATCTGTGGCATATGGGGAGACGAGACGGGAAGGGAAGAAATAAAATATGGATAAATCACTGTAAATGTCGTATAACTTTGGGAGACGAAATTACCATTTTGCATCCCAATTGAGATGGCTTGTCTGCGCAGCCCACACCAATCAACCGAAAGCGACGACATTCATAAATCACTCTTTCGTGGCACTGGCTCATATATCTTTGTTTATCCAAACCTCTTCCTTACGTCCTCGACTCTTTCTTCCCTCGTTTTAGACTCGCATCTACTGGTCGGCCATCGCGGCAGCATACTCGTCCTCGTTAACGACATAGGCCGAGGGGAAGAGACCGGTCTGGCCCTTGACCTCGCCCTGCCACCAGTCGTCGTCGATGCTCGTGTCGACGTTGGTGATGCGGTCGCCTTCCTCAAAGGACAGCTCATTGTCCTCGGCCGCGGCGTACGCGTACATGGCCACCTTGACGGTGCCCTCGGATGCGGCGGGCATGGGAGGCGCCGGGGGCGCGGGAGGAGGGGGAGGGGGAGGAGGTGCGGCGACGGGCTCGGGCTCGGGCTCAGGCTCAGGATCGTGCTCAGGCTCGGGCTCGTGGTGGTGCTCCTCCGCGACAGCCGAAGCGCCGCCACCTTCGATGAGCTCGACATAGTTGGAAGGGAAGAGGCCGACCTGGCCGTTGGGCGCGCGGCCTGACCACCATCCCTCGTCGACCTCCTCAATCTCGGCGATAACGTCCTCTTCGTTGAAGCTGATCTCGTTGTCCTCAGTTGCCGCATACTCGTAGAGCGCGCGGGCGCTCGGGGTAGTGGGCTCGGCGACGGCAGGAGCAGCCGCCGGGGCGGGGGGAGGTGGGGGAGGGGGAGGAGGAGGGGGAGGGGGAGGAGGAGCTGCGGCCTCGGCAACAACGGCAACGGGGCGCGACATGGTTGGGACGGGGGGAGGCGCAGGGGGAGCATCCTGCAGAGTGAGGTCTGCCTTGAGACGGGTGAGCTCTGACACGGGGTCGGCCGGAGGAGGGGGAGGGGGAGGGGGAGGGGGTGGAGGCGGGGCCGCAGCTTCCTCCGCGGCGACAGGTGGAGGGGGACGGAAGGTCGAGACGGGTGGCGGCGCGGGGGCACCCCAGTTGTCATCGTCCTCTTCCTCGTCATCCGAGTCAACAGGGCGGGGCGGAACCGAGCGGTTGAACGCAGGAGCAGCTGGTGCAACAGGAGCAGGGGGAGCAACAGGCGCGGGGGGAGCAACAGGAGCGGGTGGCGGCGTGGGAGCCTTGGGGATGGCCGTGGCCGCACCAAACGAAGGGCGCGAGAACGATGTAGTGGTTGTAGCAGCGGCCGAGATGGCCGAGGCGCTACGGGCCTCCTCCTCCTCACGCTGGCGCTTGGCCTCAGCCTGGCGCTCGGACCAGGTCAGCTTCTTGCCGCTAGGCTGAGGAGGAGCATTGTCCGATACGGCGGGCTGGTTGAAGGCGGACATGCGGTCCTTGAGGCTGACGTGCGGGGCAGGCGCCTCGTCCTCGTCATCCTGCTGCTGGGCGGCCGGGTTCCAGCGGTTCGCGAGCTTGCCGGGGGCAGCGAGCTTGACGGGCTCGTAGTTTGTGCCGACCCTGGCGATGCGGTCCTCGGCGGCAGGCTTTTGAGCCTCAGTAGGCGCAGGAGTCGAAGCAGACATGACTGCTGGACGAGGAGCTGAGGGCATGGGAGGCGGGGCAGCAGGAGCTGGAGGAGGAGGAGGAGCAGCAGCAACTGGAGCAAGAGCGCTGGGAACGGGGCGCGCCGAAGCAGGAAGAGGGGGTGCAGCGGCAGCAGCTGGGGGTGTCGGACGGTTGAAGCTCGACACTGGTGGTGGGGCGGGGACAGCAGCGGGCTGGCCCTGTGCACCGCCGAGGCCTTGGGCAGGACGGAACGAGGGAACCACTGGCTTGGCCACAGCGGGGCGCGATGGGACAGGAGCCGATGACGAGTACTTTGAGCCAGACGACTCCTGGATGCGCTTGTGGATGTGCTCGGGGGTCACGTCGAGCTGAGAACGTCAGTCGAGGCGTCAAATGATTCGTCAACGTACGTCAGCGCGAGCCTGGATAACGAGGTGGGCGCCACGAAGGAACTTGTTCTGGACCTGTGAGAGATGGATGTCTTTCGCCATCAGCGGGGCTGTGTAGATGTGTGGACAGCTGGCAACTCACGGAAGAGACCCTTCTTGGACTCGGGGACACCCTCTCCACACCAGGCGACAAGGACATTGCGGTCGAGCGAGCGCTGGGGTGAGCTTCAGGCATGAGAAAGATAAAGCTTACGCTGGGGTCCTGGACACGAGCAAACGCATACTGGACGCGGCCGTCCATAAACTCTTCGCTGAGGTCGTCAAGACCAGAACCCGTTGCCTGGACCTTGAGCTCGTTGCCGGACTGGTTGAAGATGGCCCAGTCGTAGTCGGCACTGCCGTCGACCAGGGCTTGATATGTGGGCTGCAGGTCTGGAGCCGAGAAGGAGACCGACATGATGGATGTTGAGGAGAATATCTGTGAGATGTCTCGACAATTCGACAAGTTGGACATCAAGTGAATGGCACAGCACAGCGCCCACACCGACGCCAGCGCCGTGCCACGCAGTGACGTCGTCGTTGCTTACGTAATGATATTGATTGCTTCCGTGTCCGCGGTTCACCTCCACCGGCCACGCGTGGCTGTGACGATCATCGGCGCGCGTTCCAGAGACTTCTCTCCGTGCTCTGTGCGACGAACTGCATCTTGGTGGTTTCTTTAAAACACAACAGCAACAGTAACGTCAACGAACGTATCGACTACGGAAAAGATGCCGCTCAACTACAGCAAGTGGGACAACCTCGAGGTGAGTCAGCTCAACGATACTATTTGTCGTTGTCGCTACAACCTTCCTCGCTTTGATGGCGACTGACACTCAAATGTAGCTCTCTGACGACTCGGACATTGAGGAGCACCCCAATGTCGACAAGAAGTCAATGATCCGCTGGAAGGTATGTCCCTGTGGAGTGACACACTGCTAATGACCTAGCAACGCGACATTCACGAGAAGCGCGAGCAGCGCAGGCTGCAGATTGCCAAGCTCAAGTCCGAGCTCGACCTGAACAACGTCCTTCGCCCGCGCATTGAGACTGTTATCAACGCTCTCGAGTCCAAGGGCGTGGACGGCTACCGTGCCGTTCAGCGCCGGATCAAGGAATCCCCCTCGGACGAAAAGCCAGCAACCAACGCGCCCAACCAGCCTACATACGACATGATGCTTGGCCAGCTGCTCGGCGACGTGTGGCGCGAGGCAGCGTGGCTCGTTGACGGCGACGCCAACGTTGTGAACGGTGGCGTCTTTATCAAGGGCAGGAAGGTCGACGAGAAGTCTGGCGAGCCCGCGTGGTCCACCGACGCTACGGTCCCCGACGCCAAGAAGGAGGTGATGGGCGCTGCCCTCACTGAGCGTCTCAAGTTCCATGTCTCGCTCCTCCACAAGCGTGACGGCGAGATTGCCAAGGAGATTGAACACGAGGAGCATGAGCAGAATAAGAGGATTACCAGCGAGGACATGCACGAAGGCTGGAGTTCGAGCAGTGTCACCAAGGCCGGTCCTAGCCCTCTGGACAAGCCCAAGGCTGCGCCCAAGAAGGAGACGGTCGAGACTATCGAGGTCCTCAACCCTGGTGCCAGCGTAAGTGCAAGGAACTGTTCCATCAACTGACATTACAGTCCTCTTCCGCTCCGGCAAAGGCCGCTACCGGAGACGACGACGACGACGATGACTCGCTCACCCCGCTCACCGACGCTGCGCGTGACTTTGCCAACATTCCCCTGGGCGCCTTTGAGCAGTCCTATCAGTTCATTCAGAAGGACGCGTCAGTGCTCACCGAGGCGACCCACGACGCCATGCTTCTCGAGGCGTTTGAGGCAGAGCGCAGGGGCGACAAGGCCCTCGCCAAGCGCTGTGTTCACCAATCGCTTCTCATCAACTATTGTCGCGAGCTGGGCCGTGATGGTGTCGGACTCTTCTTCCAGAGGTGAGACATAATTAATGTCACTGCGATATTGGGCCCCCTTTCTAACGCTCCAGGATGATCACCAAGAACCCCAAGTCGCTGAAGATGTTTGCCGACGACTTTACCCGCACGTACGGCCACGTCGAGCGCAGGTCACGCGAGCTTGCCGAGGAGGCAGCCAACGACAAGGGAGTGGAGGTGATCCAGCTCGTGTCCGAGGACCCCAGTGTCAAGATTGGCTTTAACATTCCCGACGGCCCTCCTCCCGCGGAGCTGCGTATCGAGGGCGAGGGCGCCGACGAGCTCGACATGGACCAGGTGCGCGCCTTTTTGAATCGCAAGTGGGAGATCTTTGAGGGCTTCCCACAGGACCTCCAGAAGGCTCTCCAGTCCGAAGAGCTCGATGCCGTCAACAAGGTTCTGGGCGACATGAAGGTCTCTGAGGCTGAGAATGTCGTCGAGCTGATGCAAGAGGGGGGCATGCTCAGCTTTAGCGAGGATGGCGTGCGTGACATGACCAAGTGAGCCTAGCTCGTAGAGGGGAGCGACGACGGAGGAATAGCATTGTACCATGAGAGCATGCGATGGATCTGTGTAGCAGCAGGATGGAAGAGCGTGTGCAGTCATGAAAAGCTGCGTGAAGCGGGTACAGCAGTCAGTGCGCGTGCTGTGGCATGTCAAAAGTGTGTGAGGACCTCAGTTGATGAGTTGCCACCTGTCGTCATTTGGTTCCGCTTCCATCCAAAATTCAGAGCCACCGACTAGTATTGACGCTTGAAGTGCCCAAGATACCTCACAGCAACAACATATGACAACCATGGGCAGGACAGACGGAAGACGATCAGGCGAGCTCCGCCCTCTGCACGTCACCCTTGGCGAGCTGGACCGCGCCGACGGCTCGGGACGCTTTGCATTCGGTATGTCGCCTCCCTCTCCCCCGTTCCTTCCTTCCTCCACCGCTCCGCCGCTGACACTCCTCTGCAGGCCCCGTCGCCGCCCTCGCATCCTTCACCGGCCCCATCGAAGTCCGCCTGCGGGACGAACGCGTCGACCGCGCGACTCTCGAGGTCGTCCATCGCCCGCTCGAAGGTGTGGGCTCCACTGCCTCGCGCGCGCTCGTCACCACCCTCGAAGCCGTGTTCGCTCCCTTGCTCCAGCTGAACGCGTTCCCGCGCTCGCTGTGCCAGATTGTCGTGCAGTCGCTCTCGCCCGCACCGCCTGCATGGCCGAAGAGGGTGGACACGGACGAGAGCCACGCCGCCTCGTGGCCGCCAAGTGCGTTCCCCGCCGTCGAGACGGACGCCGCGCCGCTCGGCGGCAGCACGTTCGGGTCGCGCGCCGCTGCCATCAACGCCGCGACGCTCGCGAGCTTGCATGCGGGCTCTAACGGTCTCCGTGCTGTGCCCCTTGCCGTTGCGATCGCGCTTGTGGACGACCACACGCTGGTCGACCCCACGGCGGAGGAGGAGGCCGCTGCGCGCGCGCGGTTCGGGTTCGGATGGGCGTTCGGTACCGGGATCTCGGGCGCCGGCGTGAGGGATAGCATGGACGACGGCGAGGTCGAGACCGAGCTGGTGTGGGCGGAGGCCGAGGGAGAGTTTACCCGCGACGAGGTGAGCTGCCATGGGACCGATGATGTAGAGAGAGCGCTGCTGACCAGCTTTCAGTTCAACGACGCACGCGACGAGAGCCTGGCGGCTGCCCGTGAAATCCTCGACTTTGCAAAGGACGAGCTCGAGGCCTTCTTCGCTTCGAGGCAGTAAAGCCGCAACCCATCAAAACACTGTAGACTACACTGTATAGACATGCATAGGGGCCACACTCCCGTGATCATGATAATATCTACATTCTACTGCTTGAGCCACGCCTCCACACCCTCCGCGGCGCGGAAGACGACCTCGTCGTGGCCCCACTGGCCCACCAGGCTCACGCCAATGGGCCAGCCGTCCTCGGCCCTTCCTGCCGGGACCGAGATGGCAGGCAGACCCGCCAGACTGGCGGGCACAGTGAGGATATCCTGGAGATACTCCTTTGCGCCGCTGCTCGCTTGGCCGAATTTCGGCGCGGTCCGCACTGCAGTTGGGAAGAGGAGCACGTCGACACCGTCCTTTGACGGCGCGTCACCGCCTGACACAGGATGCGCGGCACGGAACACAGCCGCAAAGTCGCGACGGACGTCACGCCGCAGACTCAATGCCTTGAGGTATGAGTTGTTGAACGCGTCGGCCGTGAGCGCGTGTGTTCCTGCGAGGATACGCTTGCGCACCTCGTCGCCGAAACCTGTGGTGCGGATGCGACGACGACGCTGCATCCCCGTCTCCTCTCCCTCAACTTTCTCCTTTTCCCAGTCTGCGCCGTACCAACCTCCACCGAAGCGGCCCAGGTTGGACGCGGCCTCGGCTGTGGCGAGGACATAGTACGCCGGGAGGGCCATGCGGAAGCTCGGCATGTCGACGGCGTGCAGTGTTGCGCCAGTGTCGCGGAGGTACTCTAGCAGGGCGGTCGGGAGCTGGACGTTGGGGGCCTCGAGGTGAGTCTGGATGGGGATACCGATCCTCAGAGGTCCAGTCACCTTGGACGCTGCAGTGGCGGCCTTTTCCCTGTCCTCGGTACTAGCACAGGTCATGTCGTTGTCGTCGGGCTGGGAGACGACGCCAAACACGTCGCGAACGCTCGAGACAGACTTGGCAAGCACACCGACACAGTCGAGCGAGTCGGCATAGGACACGACGCCGTGGCGACTGATCATCCCGTACGAGGGTTTGTGGCCCACAATACCACAGTACGACGCTGGGAGGCGCACCGAGCCGCCAGTATCGGTACCGAGGGCACTGAGAGTTAGCGTAACAAGATACATGACCAACCAACTCACGCCCAAGCAGTGCCTTCTGCCACCGCTGCGGCCGAGCCACCCGAACTGCCACCGGCATATCTGGGCTCGGCATCACCATCGGGCCCGCTGGGGTTGTGCACCGCCGAGTATGACGTGGGCATGTGTGTCGTCAACGAGCTGGACGTTAGCTAGCTCTCAACGGCATGTCAAAGCTCACCCCATGCCAAATTCGTCCATCTTGGCCTTGCCCGCAATGTGCGCTCCAGCAGCCGTCAGGAGCTGGACACATGTGGCATCGTACGGCGGCACGTAGCCTGCGAGGTTAGCCACACGCGTTTTCTGTAGAGCAGCGAACCTCACCATCAAGGATTCTGGACGAGCATGATGTTGGGGCTCCACTGAAGGAAATGTTGTCCTTGATAGCGATGGAGCGGCCAGCGAGAGGACCTGCGAGGTCAGGTTTCGAAATGTTGGATGGAAGCTGGCGAGGGGGACGTACCAGACGAGGAGCTACTAGGCGCCGCGGGGTTGACCCAGCAGTATGGACCTGGAGTCGACGATGATATCGCAGCAGATCCAGCTGCTGTGCGTGCTGCCTGTGAGAGACGTGTGACCGAGGAGCGCATGCAGTTGTTGTTGTTGTTGTTGTGGGATGTTATGTCTTTTGTATTGGGGCTTTGCGGACCAAAATGACGCCGTCACCTGTGGTCCTCCTCCACCTTGTCAGAGGGCGCGCTGTTGCCCGTGCCTGGGACTGGAGACGGTGTTTGCGGGGTTATGACCTGTGTGGCACTTTTTGGCTGGGACGCACGCCTATAGCTTCCCGGGGCTGCGGTGGGAGAGTGGTGGCTCACCGCCAGCCAGCCAGCCAGCCCGCCAGGCCTGGTCGCGGCAGCCTGGCTGTGGCCGCCTGTGCGTGCCAGGCTCTGCTCGCTCGCTCGCTCTGGGCTGTGATCACTCACGAGGTGTCACTGTCGCTCTCTGCCTACCACCACATACTGTCTATCCACCACCACCACCACCATCTTCCACAACCCCCCTCCCCCTCCCCCCCCCTCGACTCGACAGTTGACCACCTCCCCCACACCGTCCTGCGGCACGGCCCCTCCCTCCCTCGCGCAACCTACCCTCGTCAGCCAACACCCGCCGAGGCTATCGTTCCGCTCATCGTCGCCCCCCGGACACCGATCGATTACACCACACCCCCCCGTGCAACCACCCCGGAAAGCCCGAGGGTGCACACGGTGAAGCTAGGTGCGTTTACACTACAGCCTTGCCCAAGGCAGCAACGAGGCCCTCTGGCAGCTGTTTCGGTCTTGTGACCAACCATTGTGTGCCCTACTTTGTGGTCGTCTTGCTGCGAAGCCAAAGACCGTGACCTCCGCCGCCGCCGCCGGTTCGTTTCCGCCGCTGACACACTACCCATCAGTCTCCACCTCGCATGTCCTCCCAGCTGCCCGCGACAGCACAGAGTACCGGCATCTCCAAGTCGGCGGCCAAGAAGCGGTCCAAGAAGGCTGCAAAGGCGCTGGCTGCCAGCAAAGAGACCTCGGGCTCGGTCCACAGCGGCGAGGATCCCGGCTCTGTCCAGCCCGTGCCCTCTGCGTCGCTCGACGCCAGTAGTTACTCGTACCCCCCAGGCTCGTATCCCGACCCGGGTTACGACGGAGCCTACTACGACGAAGCTGATCTGCCGCCCACAGGCTCCGGCGTGACGGCGGGCGCGCCCAGCGACCAGTTTAGCTTTGGGTCGTACGCGTTCGTCGGTGACCGCGGCACCATTGTACCCCAGGCAAACGGCAGCCCGTTCGGCGGCCTGTCTCCGTCGATCAACATTACACACGAGGACCTCCTCGAAACCGCCAACGAGCTCTGGAAGAGGATGGGCGAGACAGCATACGGTGATGACGACCCTTACTGGTCATCCTTACCCACCCATGTCCGCCAGTTCATTCGCGAAGCCATCCCGTTCAACGGCCTCAGCAACACCAACAATGACCCCCAGGCAACGCAAAAGGACCTGTACGCCATGGCCCAGCGGATTGTCCATGCGGCCAGCCAGGGGATGGGTCTGCAAGGTGTCGGCTCCAACTTGCTTTCGCAGGTGAACGGCCGCGCGCACCTCCAGGCCAGCATTGCCGAGGACCTAGGGTTCCACCGCCACCCAGACTCGCTCGACCGTGGCGGAGACGACGACTATGAGGACGAGGACGACTTTGACGAGGAGCCAGACGCTGCGTACTCGCAGCCAAACGGCGACGCGCCAAAGAAGAAGAAGAACAAGAAGAAGAAGAAGGCGGCGGCGGCAGTTGAGCCACCGCCCGCAGCTCTTCCTCCGCCTGCTGTCAAGCAACCGCCTCGACAGCCAGTGCCACCTCAACCTCCTCTCCAGCAACCCGCTCTCAACCCCCCACCCCCTCCCGCAACCCCTGCCCCCACCCAGTCCACCCCTACATCTCGTGCCGCCGGCAAGCAGCCCATGACACACGCGCCTGCACCAGCAGCCAACAACCCTCCTACGCGGTCTGTGCGTGCAGCGGGCAAGGCTCCCATGTCTGCTGCCCAGCACACACACCACAACCACACTCACCCCCCTCCCGCCAAGCCCGCCGGCACCAAGGGCAAGGCAACTGCTGCCGCACCGCCTGCCAAGATTTGGACGACGGCGTCAGCAGAGGAACGCGAGAACATTACCCAGTTCTGGTTGGCACTCACCGAGGCGGAACGGCGCGACCTCCTCCAAGTTGAAAAGGACGCCGTTTTGCGTAGGATGAAGGAGCAGCAGCGACATTCGTGTGCCTGTGCCGTCTGCGGACGGAAAAAGGTCAACATCGAAAAGGAGCTGGACCAGCTGTACGAGCAATATTACGACGACCTGGAGCGGTACACCCAGCACCAGCGCGCGGCTGTCAGCAACCTCGACTGTCCGCCTCCACTTGGAGCCGGCCCCTTCCCCGGGAGCGTCGAGCTCGACTCGAGCGGCCAACTGCTCAAACTCGACCACCTCGCACCCAATCCTGCACAGCATCCAAGTCTCGACGAAAGCGACGACTATGAGGAAGACGAAGAGTATGACGAGGAGGAGGAGCTGGATGACGACGAGGTCGGATCAGAGGAGGCCGAGGTCGACTACCCCGCGCGCAGCAAGGCTGCCAGCAAGACACTGGCACCCAAGCCCGAAGGCGGCGACGACTTTTACGGATTTGGCAGCAATCTTGCAACTATCAAAGGCATAATCACCGTGGCCGACGACATGCTCAAGAATGACGGCGCAAAGTTCCTCGAAATGATGGAGCAGCTGGCCGTCAAGCGGGACGCCCGAGAGGGCCTCAACGTTCGCGAGCTCCAGGAGGAGACGGACGAGGATGACGACGACGACGAGAGCGTCTCCGAGTCGCAGCGCATGGAGGACGGGCGCCGCATGTTTGCCATCTTTGCAGCACGCATGTTTGAGCAGCGTGTCCTCCAGTCGTACCGCGAGCGCGTCGCCAAGGAGCGCGAGGAGCAGCTTCTCCGCGAGCTCGAGATGGAAGAGGACACCAAGCGTGCTCGGGAGGAGAAGAAGGCCAAGGAGGCACAGCGGAAGAAGGACAAGAAGAAGTGGGTTACATGGATGGACAGAAACAGGTTTTTGTTGTGCTAATACTTTCCCCAGGGCTCAGAAGCAACGTCAAGACGAGGAGCGTGCCGCTCGCGAGGCTGCTCTTGCCGAGGAACAGCGTCAAGCAAAGCTCAAGGCGGAGGAGCAGGAGCGCGAACGACACAAGCGGCAAGAGGAGGAGCGCCAGCGTCGCGAGGCCGCCAAGCGCGCTGCCCAGGAAGAGGCAACGCGTCGCGAGACCGAGCGCCGGAAGCGTCAAGAGGAGGAGCGCGCGCGTGAGGAGGAGGCTGCACGAAAGAAGCGTGAGCGTGAGGAGAAGATCCGCAAGGAGCGCGAAGCGCGTGAGCGTGAGGCCAAGGACAAGGAGCGCCGCGAGAGGGAGGAGAAGGAGCGAGTTGCCAAGGAGCGTGCCGACAAGGAACGCGCTGCCAAGGAGGCCCGCGACAAGGTCGAAAGGGAGCGTGTCGCCAAGCTCGAAGAGGAGCGTCTGGAGAAGCAGCGTCGCGACGAGGCTGCCCGCCGCGAACGCGATGCCGAGCAGCAGAAGAAGCTTCTCGCTGCCCAGCACGCCGCCCGCGAAAAGGCAGCCGCTGTCGCCGCCGACAAGGCCGCCGCCGCTGCCCTCGCTGCTGTTCGCCCCCCTCCCCCCGGCTCGGTCGCTCGCTCCACCAAGGCTACTCCTTCCGCTGGCTCGTCGTCTCGCAACGGTCCTACCCCACCCGGCAGTACCCCTTCGCTCATCTCGTCGCCACCGACTCCCTCGAGCGTTCGCCCATCCCCCATTGTCCGTGGTGGTGGCCCGCCCAAGACCCCGCAGCCATTCTACAACCAGCCTGTTCCGGCCATGTCTGGCTTCAACGCGCGCCCGACTGCGCCCGGCGGCTTTGTGCAGGGTTACGGCGCTCGTCCGCCATTCCAAGCCCAGTCGCCCGTGTTCACCGCACCCCAGACCAACGGCCAGGGTATGATGAGCTCGTCGCTCTCTGCTTCGCCCAGCGCCCTCTCCCGCGGCGGCTTTGGTGGTGGTCTTGACCCGACATTCGACTTTGACGCGTCGCGTGGCCCCCCAGGTCTTGGCTTTCCCTCCAAGGTCGGTGGCACGAGCCGCGGCGCATCGACCGACGACCCGTTCCGTGCACCCGGTGCGCCCCCTGCCGCCATCGGCCAGCGCGTCCCCTCGCAGCCCGCATCACTGTACGGTGACCCCGAGGCCGACCCGTTCGTCATTGGCCGCATGGACACGAGTGCCGACCCCATTGCGCCTCCCCCAGGACCCATTGGATCGCGGCCGACGTTTGATCAGTCTGTTGGTGGTGCCGCCCCTCTGGCGCGCGGCCCTCGCCATCACAGCCCGAGCAAGTACTCGGTTCGGCGGCCCTCGGTGCCGCAGACGACGAGATTGTCCAGCCCGCCGCACGCCGCGTGCCCCCCGGCCCAGCAGCGCCTGGTTGGAAGATCCCCTCGGCCCCCGGCGCCGGTCGGTGGTCTGCTGCCCCGCCCAACATCTGGGGCAACTCGACGCCATGGAGCCGCGGCACGTTTGGCGCCCCCGGCGCCGGCACTGGCGCGCCGCCAGTCGACTTCCGCCCAGACAACACCCTCCCGCCGCTCGGCGGCGTCCCCGTCCCGCCGATCGGTGCCCCCGGCGGTGTTGGTCGTGGCGTCGGCACCGGCGGAGCTGGCACCAGCGCGCCTGGCTCAGCGTCCTTTGGCGCCCCCGGGTTCAACGCGTACGGCGCGCCGCAGAACCTGTTCGGACCACCGCAGCCGCATAACCACCACTAGGATTCTTAGGATCTACCCCCTCCTCCCTACCTCCCTCCTGCGCATCTTGATTGGAGATGCATCGTGTGACCAACATAAATAAAAGGCGCTATGGCCGTGCTGCAGAGATTAGATATGATACTGACGAAGGGGTACTTGTCTGCCTGTTGCCGTGCTTTGTGTGATGTAGGCCAGAGGCCAGAGGCCCGCAACTTCAATGTGAGTATTTATTTATTTTGAACGAGCGACGAGCGTGGACAATCGACAACGCGTTGCACGCGACTGATCGCGACTGAGCGTCACCGGTTGTCGGCTCCCTCGGCTCCAGCCCGTCGGTCTGTGGCGTCCCACTCGTCTCGTGCCCGTGGCCGTCCGTGGGTCCTCTGTACCGAGTCGTAGAGTCGACACTATGACGCAACATGCCGCACTGCAGCATGCACCCGCGCGGTGTACGGTAAATGGTGTCGTCCTGTGCGCGACCCGCTCCGTTTCAAAATCAGGTGCACACAAAGGAGGTTGCAAGGTTGCCGTCGGGCTCCAAGTCGAAGAAGGTTTCCTGCGCCAGGGTGTGTACCACTTTCTTGACTTTGCTCCATGTTCAACGCCTATAAAGGTATAACCACATTCTTCAGCTGCATACCATCCCTTGTCTACTCTACTCGCTAGACCATACCTGTCGCAGCGTTCACCCCAGCGGCCTTGTTCCTCGCGTCCCCTCAGTCCGGCTCCACAGCTGCGTCCCAACCTGTCGGATCGCACTATTACAACAGGATCCGCCGAGCAATAGCATCGGAACCAAACCGGAATCCACCATAAAGAGGGTGATCTAATCGACCTCCACCTCCACTCTTCCATCTGGCCACTATGCCATCAACAAGACCACGACATGAGATCCATGACCAGAGCTCCGAGTTGCCGAGGATGCAGGTGATGGTGAGTCTGGTCCCTTGCTCTCTGCATTTATCCGCACACTCTGAAGCCACCACTTAACCGCTTCAGATCGTCTTCATCACCATCGGCATCATGTGCTTTATCGCGACGCTCGACACGACATGCGTCTCCACGGCCATGCCCAAGATTGCCGCCGACCTGAACGCCGGCGCGTCGGTCACCTGGGTCGGTACGGCCATGCTCGTTGCCTCCACGACCTCTCAGGTCATCATCTCGCGCCTGAGCGACATCTTTGGGCGCAAATCCTGTCTCCAGGTCTCGCTCGTGCTCATGGCGTTTGGCAACGTGCTGTGCGGGTTCGCAAAGACCCCGGCGTGGCTGTACGCTGCGCGCGGCGTAGCGGGTCTGGGCGCCGGCGGGATCATGAACCTGTCGCTCATCATCATGTCGGACGTGGTGAGCCTGCGCGACAGAGGCAAATACGTGTCGTTGATGGGCATCCCCACGGCGCTGGGACTGGGGCTGGGACCCGAGATTGGCGGTGCGCTGGCCGAGCATGGCGGCGGATGGCGGTGGGTGTTCTGGGTCACCGTGCCCGCCATGGTCGTCGCAGTGCCCGTTATCTGGATCTGCCTGCCCTTGAAGCCTGTGCCGGGCAACTGGAAGGAGAAGGTTCGCCAGGTCGACTGGGTCGGGTCGATGCTCAGCTTGGCGGCCTTTGTCCTCATCCTCGTCCCCATCTCGGCCGCTGGTACCTCGTTTGCGTGGTCGTCCGCCGCCGCCATTGCAATGATCACGGTCGGCAGTGTCATCTTCGTCTTCTTCCTCATCACGGAACACTTCCACCCCTTGCCAGCCATGCCGTTGCACCTGTTCAAGAACCGCACCGTCGCGCTGGTGCTGTCCACAAACTTCCTCGTCGGGATTGTTTGGTTTGGCAACTTTTACATTGCGCCACTGTACTACCAGAACGTCCTTGGCTACTCGGCCGTCACGGCCGGCGCGCTCATGCTGCCGCTCCTCGTGGGCCAGCTGTTTATCATGGTCGGGGCCGGCATGGCGGTCAAGAAGTGGGGTAAATCGCGCACGATGATTCTTGTCGGTTACTTTATCTGGACGGCGGGACAAGGCATGCAGATTGCCTGGCCAGAGCACAAGAGTATCGCCTTGATTGTCATTGCCCAGTTGATCCAGAGCGTCGGCTTTGGGCTGACGTCCCAAACCACGCTGGTGCTCGCCCAGGCGAGCTGTGCGCCGGCAGACCGCGCCGTCGTCACGGGAATGAGGGTAGGTTGCTTCATAGTCACTTTACCTACGCCTTACTGACCATCACCCAGAATGTGTTCCGCAACACTGGCGGCGCCGTGGGCCTCGCAATCGCCAACGCAATCATCAACAGCGTCTTTCTCCAGAACATACCCGCCGACTTGCCCGCAGCCGTCAAGGCCGACCTGCACCAGAACGGCTTTTCGCGTCTCGAGCCCGTCCCCTTCGAGCAGCGCGACGAGATCATCCACGCATACTACCTCGGTATCCGCGACGTGTTCATCATGTACACGCCTGTCGTGGCTGCGTGCTTCGTCTTGATCCTCGGCGCGGCGGTGAGTGCACCACGATGACAGGTCTCATACATACGTGGCTGACAGAGACTCAGGATACCAACTTTGCGGCACCCAGCACCGTCCCCACCGCTGCCCCCGCTGAAGAGACGGCCATCGAGATGTCGGCACCGCTAGACAAGGACGCCGCCAAGATGTCGGACCGCGACTCGGACAGCGGCCACGACGACGCCGAGGTCGACAGCAGTGGCGAAGAGCACAGTGCCCGGGCCATCAAGGTCATATCCAACAAGCACACTGCAGTCAACGGCGGCGGCGGCGGTGGCGACCCCGCGGGGCGGTCGTCCCTCGACGCCGAGGCGGCCAACACTGTCGGTCCCATCCATTCATCGGTGTTTGAAGAGGTCGTGGACTCGCGCCCGGCCACGCCGCCGCGCACGCTCTCGAGGAGGAGCAGTAGGGTGAGGAGGTAGTCTCTGCGCTGCTCCCGTCGCCACACGCAAATCGACCATGACCCACACCCGTAGAGGCAAAAGGCGCGACAAGACAAGATAGAGAGAGCGAGAGAGAGCGAGAGAGAGCGAGAGAGAGTGAGAAAGAGAGAGAATAAAAGACGGTCAGAAGATTCCAACATGACAAGGACATGTATACGCATTCTCAGAGACACACTCGTCAGATCGGACGGATGGGCCCGACTGCCTTTTGTGGGACAGCACCGTTCAGAGAAGACACATACACACTGCGGAATGTGTGTGTGCGTTTCTGCTGAACACGCCGATAGTGCAGATCGCGAACAACTGTATGTGGGTGATGCGATGGCATGGGCGTGATTCGCCACGCCTACAGAGCTACAGACCCGCACATGCCGCACAGCCACATGGCCGCTCGCACGAGAAGCTCTGCCAGGTTGCCGAGGTCTCGCCAACACACAGCGGCCAGCGGCCAGTGGCCGCTGGCCTAACCACAGCTGTGCAGCTGACGGGGGTTGACGTGTGTGGATGTCAGATGACTTGACACCGCGCGACGCAGCGGTCAGTGAGGGCTGTGGCGGTGGCGCTTGGCATGGAGCAACGTCTCTGGTCCATTGTGCTAAACCTAGGAGCTAGACAACTAGAAGGAACCTGTAACTGTAGATGGGGATAGCTGAGGAAAGGGATGGGGGCAAGGCCAAAAAAACGGGACTGAAACTGTATCATTTCGTGCTACAAGTGGGTTTGGGTGTGTATGTGGCGGGCCGGGGGGTGGGTGGGTTCTCCGGGGGTTGGGCTGGGTGCGATGGGGTGCTGACTCGTCCTGTAAGTGCGAGTCTTCCGGTATCATACATGAACTCCTAAGTCTGCTGGGGGTCGCGTCGTGCACAGGCGATAGATAGGCGCAAGGTCCTAGGCCTATGCGGCGGCGGCGGCAGGCGCGGGGACGGCGTCCTGGGCGTGCTCCGGCTCGGGGTCCTGTGGCCTGAACAGGTCAGCCAAAGCACCTTGAGGTTACCTGCCAAAAGTACTCACACAGGCGACGACGACCGGAAGAAGATGGTGGTGCAGTACTTTTTGCGGTAGCGTGTCGAGGTGGCCACTCCGAGGGTGCCATTCTTGACTGTGACGTGTCAGCTACTGCGAAATCCAGTCTTCGCATAGCAGACTCACTCGCACTGGCCATCAAGTGACCCAGGACAGTGTGGTTCGGAGTGGGCAAGATGGCATTGTCGTCGGTCACGACCTGGGGTTCGACGGGCATGGGGTCCGGACGACGCTGGGGGTCCGAGTTGAGAATAACCTGGAGACGCTGTCAGAACAAAGAACAACGGCTAAGAGAGGCCTGCCTACCTTTTCCAAAATACGGGGCAGCTGAGGAGGCTTGGGGACTGGCGAAAAGTACGGGGTGGTGCTGACATACTGCTTGAGGACGTCGGGAGGGAACATTTGCGGCAGCTCCTCGAGGTACTGGTACAGGACGAGCGGGGCAGGAATGTCCGCGGTCCACTGGGCGTCATCCATGTCCTCGGCCTTGTGAACGGGCTTTGAATCCATGGCCCACTCGGCGGCCATCTCGGCGTCCGTCTTGAGTGCCTCGACTTCGATCCAGTTGACAAGCGTGCCGTCGTCGTCCGTGGCCGTGGGGATGGCCTTTGAGCAGCGCCAGCTCTCATCGACAATAAACTTGAGGCGGTACTGTCCAGGAGGCAGACGAAGGATGGTGTTGAAGTCGTGCGTGCTCTTCTTCAACTTGATCCTTCCACGCCAGTTGTCGGCAAAGTTGCCCGTCACGTAGACGGCCTTGCCACCGCCATTCCACTGCACAGGCACATCCACCATGCCATCGCTGGGAGCTCCGACAGTGGCGGGAGCAGCAGCAGCAGCAGCTGGTGCTGCGTTGATGCCGTCGACCGGCCTGGGCGTGGCCGTCACCGTCGGCGGCGGGGGCGTAAGTCCCGTGCGCAAGGGAGTGTCGACGGGCTTGACTTCGGGTCGACGGGTGGCGGACGGGGGGTGTGGCCGATCGAGGCCTGGGAGATCGGGAGCATGGGCACGCGGCGACCGGATAGGAATGGGCTGGGAGGGAAAGTAGGTTGAATTGTCGTTGACGGGGACGACGGTGATATCGCCGCCGGCGCCGCCAAAGGCTGCGACTGTCGCTGGGTCGACCTTGGACATGGGCGCCAATCCGCCCGCCAGTGGCGACGACACACGACCGCCGAGCGTGTTCTGCCACTTCTTGCCAGTGCTGGGTGGACTAGCTGTCGCGCCGGCAGCGGCAGCACCTTTGCCTCCCGCCGTTCCCACCGCCGCCGTTGTCGAGTTGGCGAGGTGGTTGGACGTGTTGGTTGCGGTGGTCGGCACGGGGGCGGCTGGTGTGAATGCCAGCTTGTTCAGGTCGGGCAGCTCGAGTGATTTCCTCCTACGAGGGGACCCAGGACGCGCACCAGACGGGGACGTGGGGTTGGACGTCTGAGGCGAGACATGGCCGCGTTGCGGCATGGGTAGCCGGAGGTTTGGGGCGTGTCGCCGCGACGTCGAGCCCGAGCGTCCGAGGTCGGAAGCGCCTCCTTGGCGTGCCGGGCTCCCCGCATGGGAAGGAGTGTTGCCCATGGAGATGGAGTGGGTGGGTGGGTAGGAGTGAGGGAGGAAGAGAGGACGATGCTGATTAAGGATGGTGGACAAGGCGTCGTCGAGATGGGTGTGGATGTAGTTGCAGTGACGCGCTGGTGCCAGGCTGCCAGGCGGCGGGGCGGCGGCGGCGGCGGGGGCAGGGGACACTGGCGGGCGATTCGCGTGTTGCCTTTTTGGGTAGTAAATGGGCAGTGTCGCTGTTGGCGGACAGTCGGAGCTCATATGGTTGGTGTGTGTTTGGACAAGACGACGACGACAGACAGACAGCAAACCCACAGGCTAGGACATGCATTCGGCAACTAGCGAGAGAGAGGCGCGTGCTGTCTGTTACTCGTAGCCCCGGCTCTCTCCCCCTTGCCCACTCTTGCCACAGGATGGGTGGGTGGAGCTGCATCCAAGCGGCAAGACAAGTGCGGGCTTGCTGTGGCCAATCGACGAGCATTGCCGCCGTTCGGATCGTCACCGCCGCCAGTGGCTTTGTGGCTGCACAGTTGGCATGGAGTCTTGGTGCCAACGCGACCCGCAGCAGCAGCCGCCGAGATGGCTTCTCCTCTCGGTTAGCTAGTCAGCCAGTCCACAGGCCACAGGCCACAGGCAATGGCTCTACTGTCATGTATACATGCACGGCTGGGGCAAATGCTTATGGCCCGACCGGGTTTCATTGACCCATGGGGGGTTTGGCGTTGTGCACCCAGGGTGGTGTGGGGAAGACTGTTGAGGCACACAAGAGTGGGGAAGCGCACAGGGAGAGAGCGAGAGAGAGCGAGAAGTATTACCGTGTTTGGCCGCACTGTCTCGGTGCGACACACACTCTGTTCTGCTACACAGCACTACTCGCTGCCGACCCCTCTCTTAGATGACGATAAGACCCTTTTGAGCGATACCCTATATTTGTACGAGGTTGTGGACACGACACGCGTACACGGGATATCCGACGTCCGACGGGGTGAGTGATACAGATCCCTCCGCTTACAGGCCAAGGCGTTTTTCACGCAAGACGCGAGTGTCTGAAGTCGCGTCTGAACGACGGGGGTCAGTACTTGAGCTGTTGCACTACTGATGCACTTGGCACGACTCTCTCTGCCAGTGTTGTGCGTGCGCAGAGTGAATTGGCCCCCCCAGGAGATATGGCAGGAGGCCAGGAGGCCAGGAGCAGCGCCAGGAGACAATCAGGATGCAGGAGGACATGCAGGACACACACCCCAACCCCAGGATCCGGTGACGCGTGCGGGGTTGAGTGGGTGCAAGAAATGGTTACGTAATGTATCTTGTTGCCGTCACCCACCCCTGCCTGCCAGCCAGCCAGCCAGCCAGCCCGCATTCCAGGACGCCGCGCTGCCCACAGCTTACCAGCCGCCGCCGCCGCCGCTGCCGGGGGGCCTGCATCGTTGACCGTCTCCTGTGCTCGGTTGGACACTGACTGGCGCGCACACACCACAACGTCGCTCTCTCTCTCACTCTCTCCATCTGCTATACTCATCATCACACACCCTCTTCTCTCCACGAGCCCCACCACGGTCCCACCCAACTATACACCGCTGCTCTCAACACGTCGCCTCCCTCACCGTCACCCCATACACCTTCCCCCCGTTTCCCACCGTCCACACCGGCTGCAATGGCCACCCGTCCGGCTCCGCCCGTCCCCTCGGGGCGGTCCAGGCGCGATGTGCCGCCAGGCGCTACAGAGCCCCGCGCTTCGCGTCCCAAGCCCCGTATCGGGCAGTACATTATCGAGCGCACGCTCGGCACAGGAAGCTTTGGCAAAGTCAAGCGTGGGTGTCGCCGTGGAGCCCAGATGTCAAGAATAGAGGGGCAACTGGGGGGCAACTGTGAATACGTCGCTGACAACCAACACAGTCGCGACCCACGCGATTACTGGCCACCAGGTCGCACTCAAGCTCATCAACAGGAGCAAGATCACGACGCCCGACATGAACGCTCGTGTAAAGCGCGAGATCCAGTACCTCAAGGTCCTGCGGCATCCGCATATCATCAAGCTGTATGTTGTCGCACGCTGACTTGGCGCCGCGAACGATAGTGCTGACGCTGGGACTACCTAGTTACGAGGTTATTACCACGCCCACCGACGTCATCATGGTCATGGAGTACGCCGGCGAGGAGCTGTTCAACTATATTGTCGCCAAGGGCAAAGGAGGGGTGGGTAACAGACGTGGCTGTGAACAAGTGCTGACGCATTCCAGATGGACGAGAATGAGGCCAGGCGGTTCTTCCAGCAGATGATTGGAGCGATCGAATACTGTCACCGTCACCAGATTGTGCACCGTGATCTCAAGCCTGAAAAGTAGGTGGACGCGACCGTATACCATTTCTAACCTGCCGCAGCCTGTTCCTTGACTCGCACAACAACATCAAGATTGGAGACTTTGGGCTGTCCAACCTGATGACGGACGGCGATTTCCTAAAGACATCCTGTGGTTCGCCCAACTATGCCGCACCCGAGGTCATCTCTGGCAAGTGAGTTGCTCTGCGCTGACCTCCAAATGCCTATGCTAACTCGCAGGCTCTACTCTGGCCCAGAAATCGACGTTTGGAGTGCTGGTGTCATCATGTATGTGCTGCTGTGCGGCAAGCTGCCATTCGACGACGACCACATTCCTTCCCTCTTCAAGAAGATTGAGAGCGGTATCTACTCGATGCCATCGCACGTCTCCAAGGAGGCCCAGCACGTCCTGCGCCGCATGCTCGTTGTCGACCCCGTCAAGCGTGCCACCATTGCCGAGATTCGCCAGATGCCCTTCTTCCTCGAAAACCTCCCACACTACCTCCAGCCCCTTCCTCCCACCCCTTCCATCGAGCGCTACCCTGCTCTTCCCATGGACGACCTCAGCACCCTGTTGCTCATCAACGAGGGCCAGGCCGACCCAAAGGCGCTTGCAGAGTCCAAGGGCCTAAAGTGGACCGAGGACCTTGGTATCATCGACCCGGAGATTGTCAACGAGCTCCTCCAGAAGATCACCACCTACACAGAGCCTATGGTGTGGGAGGCTCTGCAGAAGCCCGGCGACAACCAGGTCAAGGTTGCATACCAGCTCGTCCGTGACCACAAGCGTATCTTGAGGGACTGTAAGTGTCCGCCGGAGGGGGAACAGACAAACAGCCTACTGACCCACGTGCAGCCATGTACGGATTCGACGACGAGGATCAGTCCGCGATGGAAGACTTTTTGGCGTCGTCTCCGCCAGCGTGGAACGCCGAGATTCCTCAAAACAAGCCTCCCCCCGAGGAGGAGAATGGAGACGTGGACCTTGAAGAAGTCGACCCAGAGATCCAGGACATTCCCAACGCCCACTTTGACGTCCTCGACAGCAGTCTTCCAGGCAAGACAACGCCGACGTCGAGCGACTACCAAGAGCAGGAGGCCGCGGAGCGTGCCGCTCGCGCACTTCTTGCACCCACACCAGACGTCCCCGTGCTCGCATTTGAGAACAAGCCACTCCAGAAGCCTCGCTGGCACTTTGGCATCCGCTCTCGCTCGCCGCCAATGGAGGTCATGCTGGAGATTTACAAGACGCTTCAGCTCCTGGGCATGGAGTGGCGAAAGAAGGACGGCATATCACTACCGGAGATCGGCCCGGTCCCTCCCGGAGGCTACACGGAGGAGGTTGAGGAAACGCTGTGGAAGTACCGCGAGGATCACCCAGACCGGGAGCCCGTGGCGATGGGCAAGAAGCCACCAGCAAAGAAGGAGGCGGCAGCGATCGACAAGTCGGCGCAGGGCCTCTTCTTTGTCGAGACGCGTGCTCGTTACGGCGACGTGATGGTAAGTTTTTGTCATGTTGACTCCTCAAACTAACAACCAGGTGCGGATGGACCTGCAGCTGTACCGCGTCGACGACCAAAACTACCTTGTCGACTTCCGCAACATGGGATACTTCCCAGTGCACGACAGCGCAAAGCTGAACGGCGCACAGCCAGAGTCTGCGGAGCCCGGTACATCCGTGGCCTCGGCAAACGCGGCCGCGACAGAGCGGCTCGTGGCCGCTGCAAAGGCCAAGGATGGCACCACGCAGATTGGCGGTGTCTCTGGACCCTTCCATTTCTTGGAAATGGCGTGTCAGCTCATCGCCGAGCTGGCGAGTGGGTAGAGTTATTTTGGCCAATATCATATAGCATTTTGGATATTTGGACCATCATCACTGGCCGTGTGCGTTCTCCTCGGGCGACGAGAGCTTATAGAACGTTCATTTTTGTAGCTTTTATCCGCGTTGTGACTGTGCTTGTTCATACCGTGCAGGAGGGCAGACTTCTGACACCCTCTATGGAACAGGCGTGCGAGCATGCATGCATGCATTAGAGGTTCTGTGGGTTCTGTGCGCGCAGCATGTGCGGCCCGGTGAGACGTGGGACCTGTTGGTGGCTTTTGCAGGTGACACTGACGATCCGTGCTGGTGGAGGGGAGGGGATATGGGTGGAGGTCGGCCCTTAGAACAACGACGACACGTATAGAACACCAACAGCCATAATTGTTCGTCAACTCCAATCCTTCTTCTTCCCAACTTTCTCAACCCGGCCCAACCAACTGCCGTCAGCGCAAGACCCGTCTGCGGCTTTCTTGCAATGCGGTCTCTTCTCCATTCGCTTCTCCTGGCATTCCTGGCCCTCGCGAGCTGCTGTGCCGCCCTGCAGGCCAACCTGGCCGGCGTGGTCGACTGGCACAAGCAACAAGTCGGCCAGCCGCTCCTGGTCCCGACCCCGCCGCGCGTGCTGGCCAACTCGACCTCGCTGATGGCAGTGACAAAGAAGAATGTCTTGGCTCGCATTAACAGCCTCACGGGCGCCACTGGTGGGTTGTTGGCGGTGTCGGTGTTCAACGAGACGCGAGTCGGCGCGCTGACGACATCGCAGTCTGGAGGCAGGAGACCTCAGAGGACGACCCGGTTGTGAGCTACCATGTCTCTAACGACGGCGGTGAGTAATGCACATCTGGGATACTGGGACGGCCTACGCGTGTGGCACAAGCGCAACTTTGCCTCTGGTGTCTGCGTGGACATTGTCTCCCCCCCCCTGTCGCTTGCACTTGCCGAGCGCAGCTGACGGTTCAGGCGTTCTGCTCCTCTCGGGCCCCGGTGGTGCGACCGCGCGTTACTTTGACCTCGAGACCGGCGCTATGAAGTGGGAGCGTACCCTCGCCAAGGCGTCCGATGCGGTCGCCGACGCCCCCATCTACACCGGTACCGATGCCATCTTCTCCGACGACGCCGTGGTCATTCTCTCGTGTGGTCGCCACGTCACCAAGATCACCACGGCCACAGGCGCCCACCAGTGGGGCTGGGGCTTCCCAGTCAAGGGCCTGGCAACACACCTCTTTTCCTACCTCCAGATCCAGAATGGCCAGGTTGTCGCCATGGCGCGCACCGAGGAGCCCAACGCGGCCGCGGCGCACCTTGTGCTCGACCTCGACAGGCTGCTGCCCTTCTCCGACCTGAGCTATGTGTCGTCCCTCAGCAAGCACATTGAGTCCTACCTCGTCAAGACTGACGAGGGCCAGATGCGCGCCGTCTGGACCGAGTACTCGCGCGTCCGTGTCGCCGAGCTCATCGAGGACGGTACCGCCGGCGAGACCCGCGACACCCTTCCCGGTAACGGCAAGCGTTTCGAGAAGCTCATCGACGTCGGACTCCGTAACGAGGGATACATGCTGGCGACGTATGAGAGCGGCACCGTCGTGGTGCTGAAGGTCGGCGACAAGGCTGAGATTGTCCACGAGCTCGAGGGATCGCGGGACACCAAGGACGGCGCGCCCGTCTTCTCTGCTGCCCAGCTCCCTGGCGGCTGGTTCATCTTCGCCCGTGTCTACTATTCGTTTGCCGAGCAGAAGATGATGGTCCAGAGCGTGTTCGTCCGCGGTGACGAGGTGTCGACGTCGACGTACCCTATCGACTTTGACATGGCCAACGACGGCGCGGTCGAGCACGCCGCCATCGCTTCGGTCGACGGCCACCAGCCCTCCCTCATCCTCTTCACTTCTACCTCTGCTATCCAGTATCACGCCAGCGCCGACGTGGGCGTCAAGTGGACCCGCGAGGAGAGCCTCGCCGATGTCGTGGACGTGCGCTTTGTCGACTTGGGCGAGCCCGAGACCGAGGAAGCCCTCGACCACATGGTTGACGAGTCGTTTGTCGGCCGCGTCGTTCGCCAGGCTATCGAGATCAAGAACCTCCCGGCCTTTGTGCTCCGTTTCGTGAACCGCATGCTGGACTCGTCTGCCGTCGTCGCCACCCCGCCACTCTCCCCCGGCCGCCTCCACCGTGACGAGTTTGGCCTCCAGAAGCTCCTCGTCGCCGTCACCCGCGGCGGCAAGGTGTTTAGCCTCGACTCGGCCAACGGCAACATTGTGTGGTCGCGCAACCTCGGCTTCTTCTCCCAGACCGGCCCCGAGCTCGAGGTCACCAACGTCTTTGCCACGCGCGAGCTCTCCGAGACCGGAAACCCCCAGGTTGCCATCCTCGCCGCGCGCACGCGTGACAGCCAGGTCGCCACTCTTGGCTACCACATCGACGCCTTCACGGGCGACGTTGCCGGTGACAAGGACCCCAACTTTGGCATTCCCCTTGGCAAGGAGCTGTTCTCGGGCTCCCCCAAGACAGCCTTCCTCACCCACTATGAAAACTGCTGCACGGGCAACCGTGTCGTCGCGGTCGTGGACGCCGCTGACCAGCTCTACATTTTCCCCCCTTGCAAGAAGGTCGCCAAGGCCGTCGAGGCCGAGGCGGACCGTCTTTTCTACTCTGTCCTTGACCGCGCGCTCGAGGGCACCACTCTGCGCGGCTATGCCCCCGCCGTGCGTAACGAGGACAACACCTTTTCCGCTGCCGAGCTGTGGGCCCGCCCCTTCCCCGCCCAGCTTGTCCTGGCCGCCACTCCTCTCACCCCTTCGCAGACGGCCTCGTTTGGCCGTGCCCTCGGCGACAAGTCTGTTCTGTACAAGTACATGAACCCGCACCTCATTGTCGTCACTTCCGTCTCGCCCCTCACTGCCCGCGGCCACGTCTACGTTGTCGACTCGACCACCGGCACGACCATCCACGAGATTGAGATCTCGAACGTGGTCGGCGAAAACGTCCAGGCTGCCATGGTCGAGAACTGGCTGGTGTACGCGTGGCAGGAGGGCCAGAACGGCGAGGGCGTCGGCGGCTGGCGTATGGGCAGTGTCGAGCTGTTCGAGGACGGCAACGAGAAGAGTGCCGGCCGCTCGACGCTCGAGTCCATCCCTGCCATCAAGGCCATTTCGCAGACGTTCATCCTCCAGCACCCCGTGCGCGCCCTGACGTTCTCCACGTCCAAGTTTGGCGTCACGTCCAAGGACGTCGTCTACCTCAACGACAAGGGCCAGGTCGCTGTCCTGCCCCGCCGTGTGCTCGACCCGCGCCGCCCCACCGACAAGCCCACCAAGGCCGACCAGGACGAGGGTCTCGTGCCCTACGCGCCTCTGCTGCCGCACCACCCCACCGCGGTCCTGTCGCACCAGTACCGCCTCATCGGCCTCGAGCACATTGCCACGGCCCCCGCGCTGCTCGAGTCCACCTCGCTGCTGCTCGCCTATGGCCTCGACCTGTTCTGCACCCGCGCCGTCCAGCCCAGTGGCACCTTTGACATTCTCGGCGACGGCTTCAACAAGCTCCAGCTGCTCGTCACCCTCGCCGTCCTCGGTGTGGGCGTCGCCGTCGCGCGTCCGGCCGTGGCCAAGAAGAACCTCCAGTTCAAGTGGTTCTGAGGAGCGTGTTCTTTTTAGATCAAGGATATCAATGCACACATTCATTCAGATGCGGGTTTGGATATATTACTGCTAGCTGTCCCTGTCCTGTCCTTTCTATACATTGCGGATAAGCATCCTCGCCGTGTCGAGGACGCTCTGGAGCATGTCGTCGAAGCGATTCTCCTCTCCCCGCTCCTCCTTTTCTCCCTCGGCAATGAGCGCAGGTACATCGAGCACCTCGATTTCGAGCTCGTAGCTGATGGTCGGCTTGGGATCCCTTGGCGAATTCTGAAAACCACCAGTTAGCCCCCACTCTCACTTGCCAGTATTCTCAACTCCGAGCTCACCTTTGCAGACACGACGGTCAGGTCGACCTGGCACAGCTGGTGCTTGTAGCACGCGCGGTCCTTGTCGCGGGTACTCAGTGCGGGGCCGTGAGGCATCTCGGCTGGGTCTTCGACACTGGCACTGACGCGCCAGTCAAACGCCTCGCGCGGACTGCAAATGTTCAAGTCGGCCAGGCGGCGCTTACGCACCACCCCGCCGCGGATGACGTTGCCCTCGCGGTCGCGCGACACGCGCACCTTGCCCTCGGGCCCGCTGTGGAAGTTGTCGACGTGCTGCGCGCGGTAGAAGCGCAGCGGGGCCGGCGAGTGCGCCGCGCCCTCGACGGCCTGGTTCAGCAGCCGGTTGAACGAGGCGTGCTGCTTCTGAACATAATGGGTCAGCATGGACACAAGTCAAAGTCTTTCGCCACCCACTTTGGTCATGGTGGACGCAAACGAGCCGACGGGATAGTCGCGCGGCATGACCATCTCCGTCATGGACGGCATGCGGATGCGGCGCTGCTGCTGGCCCTCGGGCGCCTGTGCGTGCAGTGTGCCGAGCTTGATCTCCACCTCGACATTGTCCACGCCGCGGCAGTGTGCCATGAGAAACTCGCCAATCGTCTTGGTAAACTCGTTGCGCGGGGCGATGCCGAAGATGGACGGCTGGATGGGGACCGAGGACGGGTGCTGCTGGTGCTGCTGCTGTCGCGGCTGGTGGTGCGCCGAGCTCAAGGGCTGCTGCTCGTCGTGGCCATAGTCGGCGTACTCGCCATTCGACTCGTCCTCGCGCCGCCGCTTCCTGCTCGGCCCGGCGTCGACCTCCTCGAGTCCCTCCGCCTCGGAGCTGTACCCGTACTCGTCGTGCTCAGCCATGGGCACAGAGGGGTCGAGGTCGGGCGGGCCGTAAAGAGGGTCGCGGGGGAGGCGGGATTCGTCGACGCGGTCGTGTATGGGAACGTATGCCATCACCAGGTAGCCAGCGACGCGGGTGGCTAGAGCCAGAAAGCGGTGGTGGGCGGGAGGATGAGAAAGAGTTGGACGTCCGAGATCAAAACCAACTCGTTTGCAGAACAGTTAATTGCCACCAGACGAGCTCGAAGTGCCTGGCCAGCCGTCGACGGAAGCAAATTTGGCTTGGGCTGGCGCGCTCGCCGCCCAGCGAGAGCTATAGGAGATCCCAAAGTTCAGACGAGAGCTCTCAACATCCTCCTGCATCACACCTCTCCCCCACATCACTCTCACACACACGCCGACGGGTAGAGCGAGCGCCACCATGTTCAGCTCAAACTCGTTCGGCGCGCTGGGAATGGACGACAGCGCGCCAGCAGCTGCCGGGCCTAGCGTCCAGACCCGCGACGGCGAAGAACTCGATGCCGACGTGAGTGTCTTACCTTTTATAGCTCTCGATTACTCTGCGATCAGAGCTCGTGCCAGGCCCACTGTCATGCTGACCCTTGTCTACAGTGGCTCAAGCTCGTCAAGCCCAACCACGATGTCGCAGTCCGCGTCTCGGACAAGGTCGACCTCTCGGGTCTGCCCAGCGAGAGCTCGCTCCTCGCCGTCTCGAACGAGCACGGCCTCCTCATCGTCGGCGGCAACACTGGTGAGCTACGAATACACATAGCCAAAGCTGACGTCTAGATGTTCGCATCCATCGCCTATCTGACATTCACCACCTCTTGGAGACTGCGGCCAAGGACGCGACTCCAGTGTCCACCCCTATCCAGACCATCTCCCTGCCGGCTCGCCCAGTGTGGATTCGGTAGGTGGCAAAGCGGCGCAGTCGTCGACAGACGCACACACGTATGCTAACGACACACAGTCTCGCTGCTGGAAACGAACGTCTTGTGGTAGTGACTGCGGGCGCTGGCATGTTCCTCTTCAAGATTGCAGACCTTGTTGCCGGGAACGTGAGTTTGTGACGGCACACAGCCTGCTGACATCACAGACCGCCCCGTACGGCTGCATAACCTCCGGTATTCCTAGCGCGCTTCTCGACGTGCTCCCCAATCCCGCCGCACCATCCCCGACCGAGCCGCTCTGGAGTTATGTCACGCTCCTCGCCAACGAAGGCTTTGTCATTGCCGACATTGAGAACGTCCAGCTCTCGGCTCCTCTTGCTGGCCCATTCTCGTCTGCAAGCTGGTCAGCCAAGGGCAAGCAGATTGTCGTTGGCACAACCGCTGGTACCCTCGTCCAGTACACCCCCGAGGGCGTTGCAAAGGCCGAGGTGGCCGCCCCGGCCGAGATGGAGGGACATCCAGTGACCACGGTCCACTGGCTCGAGAACGACCTGTTCCTCGCCGGTTACGCAGCCCCCAACGCGTCTCTCGAGGACCCACTCGACCTCTTTGTCATCCACCGCAACAAGGCCCAGCTCACCTACACCAAGTTTTACGATGTCAACGACACCATGGGCTACAACGGCCGTTCGGGCACGTTCCGTCACTTTGCCAACATTAAGCAGTGGGGACAGGCGACAAAGCACCTCGCGTTCCTCCTCTCACCTGTCGCCTCGGAGATTGGCGTCCTGCACGGCAAGCCCGTCGAGGGCAAGGCTGTCCCCCAGTGGGACGTCCTCTTCCTCGACGAGACGGCTCGTGGCGTCATGCCCGCGGGCAAGGCCGGTGTCTCCGACGACACCTCGCCTCTCGGCCTAGCTCTCGACCTCACCAACCCCAAGCCCGTCGTTCTTGGCATCGTTGGCGGCGAGGAGCTTCCGGACCTTCCCCCCGCCCCCCGACTCCTGGCATACAGCCAGGAGGGTATCATCATCACCTTTGACGTCCGGTACCCCGACGCCGGTCCCTACGCTGGCATGGTTGGCGCCGGACCCGGCGCTGTGCCTTCACCGGTCGCGCCCCCCGCCGTCACCGTCCCAACACCCGCACCTGAACAGCCCAAGTCTGCGTTTGGCGGTGGCAGTGCGTTTGGGTCATCTGCCTTTGGCGGCGGCTCTGCGTTTGGCCAGAGCGCCTTTGGTTCCACCACCACCACCACGACTCCAGCCAAGGCGCCTGCCTTTGGCTCCACCCCCACTACGAGCGCGTTCGGCTCCACGACTCCTGCCACCAGCGCTTTCGGCTCTACCACTCCTGCCGGCGGCTCTGCGTTTGGAAAGTCGGCCTTTGGCCAGTCCTCGACGCCTTCTGCATTTGGTTCGTCTGCGTTCGGAGCCTCTGCGTTTGGCTCGACGACTCCCGCCAGCACCCCTGCCGCACCGGCTTTCGGACAGGCTAGCAAGCCTGCTGCTCCTGCTAGCAAGCCTGCTGCTCCTGCCGCACCCGCCTTTGGCCAGACTTCGACTCCTGTCACCACGTCAGCCTTTGGCCAGTCCTCCACGCCATCTGCGTTTGGCCAGTCTGCGTTTGGCGCCAAGTCGACCACCAGCGCGTTTGGCCAGTCGTCTACACCCGGTACTGGCTCCGCCTTTGGCCAGTCTGCTTTCGGTCAACCCGCCGCAGGCTCCCCCTCGGCCTTTGGCGCAGGTGCTGCCGCGGGCAGCGCGTTTGGTGCCAAGCCGGGCTTTTCGTTTGGCCAGAAGCCTGCCGCTGACAACAAGGCGGCATCGCCGTTTGGCGCCAGCACGACGCCTGGGTCAGGCAGCGCGTTTGGCTCGGGAAGCGCTTTCGGTTCTGGCAGTGCGTTTGGATCCAGCAGCGCGTTTGGCACAAAGGACGACGCCAAGCCCGCATTTGGTGGCTTTGGTCAGCAGCCCAAGGCTGAGGACAAGCCCGCCGACAAGCCTGCAGACCTCTTTGGCGACAGCAAGGCCAATCCGTTTGCCCTCAAGTCGGACGCTGCCAACCCCTTCGCCGTCAAGGCCGAGGACAAGCCCAAGGCCGCCGCCGCACCCTCTGGCGATTCGTTTGGTCTCGGCTCGCTCGACTCTGCCATCACCTCCAACGTTCCGGGCCTCGCCCAGTCGCCGCCCGACTCGCCCGTTCTCGGTGGCAAGGCCACGGTGCCAGGTCTCGAAGACGACGACTCGCCGCCCGGCTCTCCTGCTCCCCGTGCGGTGAGCAGCACGCCTGCCAAGCCCCCACCTGCGACCTCGGCGTCGTTCATCAAGCCCGCCACGGCGTTTGGGTCTTCGTCGAGCACTGGCTTTGGCGCGTTTGGTAGCAACAAGTCGACCACTTCAGCATTTGGCTCGCCTGCCACTCCTGCCACTGGCTCTGCGTTTGGAGCCAAGTCTGCATTCGGCCAGTCGTCGACCCCTTCTGCGTTTGGCCAGTCGTCAACTCCTTCAGCGTTTGGCCAACCCTCCGCCTTTGGCAAGACTTCGACTCCCGCATCCACACCTGCGTTTGGTCAGGCGTCCACCCCTAGTTCCGAATCTGGCACACCTGCGTTTGGCCAGAGCTCTGGCTTTGGCACCAAGCCCATCACCAGCGGCTTTGCCAGTGCTGCCCCTGCCATTGGCACCATCTCTGGCGGGTTTGGCGGCTTTGCGGCCAAGAAGGAGGAGAAGAGCGCGTTTGGTGGCTTTGGCGCGTTTGCCAACAAGGGCGACCAAAAGTCGGTGTTTGGCGACGCGAGCCCAGCGACCAAGAGCGCGTTTGCAACTGCCACCAAGACCGACGACGACAAGGCTTCGCCATTCGCGACCGCCAAGCCTGCTGAGAAGAAGGAAGAGAACGAGGTCAAGGGTTTCGAAGTTCCTTCCACCACGCCCAAGAAGGAGCCTGCGCCTGTCGTTGCCCCCGCCACGCCTGTCTCGCCCGAGCCTGTCACTACCAGCGCACAGCCTCCCAGCCCTGGCACTCCCGAGCCCACCGTCGAGTCTCCCCCCGCCGAGGAGGAGCACCACGATGCTGCTGCTGCTGCTGACGAGCTCGACGTTGTCGAGGCTGGTAGCGAGGAGGATGACCTCGAAGAGGGTGACTACGACGAGTACGCAGAGGACGATTATGACGACGAAGAATATGATGAGGAAGAAGACGAGGAGGAGTACACTGAGGAGGAAGAGGAAGAGGAGGACGAGGACGAGGACGATGACTCCAACACTCGTTCCCCCCACTCTGTGTCGGCTGTTCCCGACATGGACACGATTCCAGAGGGAGACGAGACTGCTTCCGAGGGCGAGGACGACGACCAGAGCCCGTCCAAGCCGCCCAAGTCGCCTACGTGGTTTGGTGCTTCATCCGGCGCCGGCTCTTCGCTCCTCTCTCGTATGGGTCCTGCTCCCAACACTCCGTCTACCCCCTCTCCCCAGGGATCAGAATCCACCCCATCTTCGTCCCGCGCCTCGGCTTTCACCCTCAAGCACGCCCCCAAGACGAGCTCGCCTCTCAGCACCAACGCCGTCATTATTCCCGAGCCTGGAACCCCGAGCGCGACCCCGCCAGGCGCCACTCCGCCCGACTCGCCTGGCAAGCATGCTGCCTCCCCGCCCTCGGACCACCCGGGCATGTTTGGTGTGGGCTTGAACCTCGCTAGCTCCCCCCAGTTTAGCTTCAAGAATGGCAGCGGCAAGAAGGAGGACGATGACAACAAGGAGGACGTGCCCAAGGCACCATTCTCATTCGCGACTCCCGCTGCTGCACCCGGCGAGTGGACTTGTGACACGTGTATGCTCAAGAACCCCGACAGCGCAAAGGAAAAGTGTACCGTCTGCGAAGCGCCTCGTCCCGGTGCTGCTCCTGCCGCGGCCAAGCCTGCTGCCATGCCCGCTCCTCCCTCGGTCCCCTCTGGCGGCTTTAGCTTTGGCGGAGCCAAGCCTGCTACCACTGCCCCGGCTGCCACTTTTGCCGGCTTTGGCAAGCCTGCCGCTGGTGCTGAATGGACTTGCGACACTTGCATGCTCAAGAACCCCGACAGCGCAAAGGAGAAATGTACTGTCTGTGAGGCGCCTCGTCCTGGTGCTGCACCTGCTACAGCCAAGCCGGCTGCCATGCCTGCTCCTCCTTCGGTTCCTGCTGCTGGCGGCTTCAGCTTTGGTGGCAAGCCCGTTTACACGCCCGCCACGAGCGCGCCTGCCACTGGCGGCTTTGCTGGCTTTGGAAAGCCCGCTGCTGCTACCACCGAGTGGACGTGCGACACGTGCATGCTCAAGAACCCGGACAGCGCAAAGGAAAAGTGCACGGTTTGCGAATCGCCTCGCCCCGGTGCCACCCCGGCCGCTGCTGCCAAGCCCGCGGGCATGCCTGCTCCTCCGTCGGTCCCTTCTGGTGGATTCTCGTTTGGCGGCAAGCCCGTCGCGCCGGCGAGCGCTTCTACTACGACCGCGCCTCCCGCTGCGCCGAGCGCGCCGTTCAGCGGCTTTGGCTTTGGTAAGCCTCCAGCGGCTGCTCCCAAGGCCCCGGAATCTGGTGTCCAATGGACTTGCGACACATGCATGCTCAAGAATCCCGACACCGCCAAGGAAAAGTGCACCGTCTGCGAGTCTCCGCGTCCCGGTGCGGCCGCGGCCGCGTCGAGCAAGCCCGCTGGCCCACCGGCACCTCCCTCTGTACCGCTGACTGGCTTCTCCTTTGGAGGCAAGCCCGTGGCCCCCGCCCCTGCTGCAGCGACGACCACGGCCCCTACACCAGCGTTCACCGGCTTTGGCAAACCCGCAACCCCCGCCACGACTGCCGAAGCGCCCAAGTCTCTGTTCGGAGGCGCCAAGCCTGCCGTTGCTGCCGGCCCAGAGTGGACTTGCGATACCTGCATGCTCAAGAACCCGGACAGCGCAAAGGAAAAGTGTACCGTTTGCGAGGCCCCCCGCCCCGGTGCCGCACCTGCAAAGCCTGCTGCCCCGCCAGCACTACCCTCGGTCCCAGCTGGAGGCTTCAGCTTTGGCGGTGCCAAACCCGCTGCCGCTCCATCTGCCCCGGCTACGACTCTCAGCGCCTTTGGCTTGCCCAAGCCTGCCAACAACCCGCCCGCCTTTGCTGGCTTTGCCACAGCTACTCCTGCCCTGCCCACGCCCGCAGCGGCTGACAAGCCCGCACCGTTTGGTGGCTTCAACAAGCCTGCTGCTCCCCCCGCCGCTCCGGCGGCGCCGCCTGCTCTCGGTGCGTTTGGCCTGCCCAAGCCTGCGGCCAACGCACCCGCGTTCGCAGGATTTGGTAGCAACACGGCGCCAGCGGCGACGACGGCCCCCAAGCCGTTCGGCTTCGGTACCGCCCCCCCTCCTGCCACCAAGGCTGCGCCTGCAGTGTCGCCGTCGGAATCGCCCAAGCCTGTCCCCGGGTTTGTCGGGTTCGCGGGCTTTGGCCAGGGCAAGCCTGCTGCGGTCACCCCGGCCGCGACTCCCTCTGCACCTGTTGTCATGGGACAGATATCGGCCATTGCGGCGGTGCCGACTGCGCCAGTGCAGCAGCTGGCAAAGGAGAAGGAGAAGGAGCCCGTCGCGGCCCCCGCACCGCCCCCCGCACCCAAGTTCAATGTACCGGCCCGTCAACCCGTTGCGGCTGTGCCGCCTACGCCGACTACGCAGGCCAAGTCCATGGCCGGCATGCTCGAGCGCGTTGTGGCCGAGGTTGTGGATGACCTGAACAAGCTCAACGCCAACCTCAAGGCGGCGGAGGCGTTCCATGCTGCCATTGACGCGCCTGACTTTGCGTCGCCCGCTTCGGCGACACAGCTCGAGGCTGTTCCTTTCTCGGCCCTCGATGACGTGATGAAGCTGGCCGAGGACCTCGGTGACCAACTCGCTATTGTGCGTGCCGAGGTACAGGAGAGCGATGTGACGCTGGCGGAACTCCAGTCCCGGATGCTGAAGAGTGAGTTGACATGGCTTGGTTGTGCATTGCGCTGACACCCCCTCTTCCAGCGGACATGAAGGCTGGTCAAGCTGAAAAGTTCCTCAAGGCGCGGCAGGACCCGTCGTTTGCTCGTTCGATGCAGATCAAGGACCTGAGCCCGCAACAAGCTGCCGACCAGCTGCGCCTGCGCAAGGTTGTGCAGATGACGGAATCTCGCCTCAACGAGGTTGAAGCCGGAATTGCCGTCCTGAAGCGCCGTTCGGACCGTCGTGATCCCCACCACCGCCACCACCAGCGTGCGACGTCGTCGCTGCAGCAGCAGCAGCAGCAACCTGCCCTAGAGCGAATCCAACGCACGGTGCGCAACGTCGACGTTGCGATTCGAGACCGCCAGCACGCGCTCGACGAGCTGTCGCGCCGTATCGGTGGGCTGAAACTCGCGGGCCGTGAAACGCGCGAGAACACGCCCGTGCGCACCAGCACCCCCGTCAAGACGCCTGTGCACGACCTCCGCCATGCCTCTCCGACGAGCACGAGCGCAACTGCGGCCGGGGCCGCGACGCCGAGAAGGAACGGACAGACCAGTGGCGCTTCTGGCGCTCCTGTGTCGCTCGAACCCACAGACGCTCAGCGCCAACGTGCGGCCACGGCGTCCAAACCACTGGACGTGGCACGGAGCCGCCTGGTCCAAAGGGCCGCCGCCGCCGCGCCGGTCACGCGCATCGGACGGGCGAGCACGAGCACCGCGCTCCCGACCTCGAGCCTCGTGTCGCACGCTTCGGTCATCCGAGGCCCAGTGAAGGTGGACGCGGTGCCTCTGCCAGGCAGTGTTCTTCCTCCCCCCTCTCGAAAGGGTATCCCTGGCGGCGGTTCCAGCAGTGCGGCCGCGGGTCCCAGCAGCAACAGTGGTGGTGCCTCTGCCTCATCGTCATACCGAGAGCCTGCTGCCGCTGCTGCTTCGAGTACATTTATCTCCCTGGCCCCGATGCTCCAGGCACCCGCGACCCCACAGCCGCAGCCGCCGTCGCAACTTGCTTCAAGCTCAACCTCGACCTCCAACTCGAACCCCCCGACCTCGTCGCCGTCGTTTGGCGGCGGGTTTGCAGGCATCAAACTGCAGTTGGACCCGGGCACGATCGTGACTGGGAAATCGCGCGGCATGGTCGCCGGCGCGGCCAAGCACAGCGGCCGGCACTCAAACGCCGTGCGCCTCAGTACCGTCGCCGCGCTGCCTGCGGGGACCGTCGGCGGTGCGCCGCTGTCGCTGTTCGGGGACGTGGCGCTGCCGGCACCGAACAAGGATGAGAAGCCTGCGTTCTTGAAGTAGGACGACGAGGTGCCAGGAAGACGACCCAGGTGAGTACCACTACCATTTGCCACTACCACTTGGCCCACTGCCACGAAAAAAAACGCCATGGTGCTGCTCTGCGGTATATCGCTGACAATATACTTTTAGCCTTGGCTGCAACGCCACGACGACGCTTCTCCTCCGAACAGTAACCCTCCCCGCACCTAGGAACGAGGAAGGGAGGAAGGGAGGAAGGGGGACGGGGGGGTGAGATTACAGCCACAGTCGTCATCATCTCTTTTTTTTTGGCTTTCCTTGGTAGCCAGGGGAACAGGGGAACAGGGGAGGACGGGGGGAGGCGAGGTATGACGGGCGCGAAATATCGAGCGCGAGACAGATGGGAGTGGGAATGGGAATGGGATGGAGGGGATAGGGTGGGAGGGGGTGGGATAGGATGAGATAGGATGGGATCCGATGCAACGCTTGCTTGAATCGTCAAGAGACGAGCGCCCGGAGCAGAGTGGAGAGAGAGCAGACGACAGCGGCGGAGAGCAGCACCAGCACCAGCACCAGCACCAGCACAAAACGTAGATCGCAGAGACTAGAGCCAGGTGTTCATGGTCACCTGCATGACGACAGCAGGGATGCAGCGGTAGCCTGATGTGCGTGCCCCAGCGACGAGCAAGCTAGTTGTTCGGCTTGTTCGTTGGATAATGATATCCAGGGGGTGGGGGGGGAAACGGGAAAAAGGCGGCCGGCGGCAGGGGACGGTTGCAAGGGTAAACATGTAAACCGCTGTTTGTTTGCCCCGTTGTCAATTTGAATTACAGACTATTAAATTTGATGCTGTCTTGTCTCTGCTGGGCGTTTGCATATGCAAACGAACAAGATCAAAGGTGTTAAGGTGACGCGGGGCGGGGCGGGAGCGAGCACGAAACCGACACGCCGAGCCGCGGGACTACCACCCATGAGACCGCAGGTGTGAAACGGGACGGGAGAATGCAAAGTGTGTGGATGTGTTTGGGCAGTTACTGACGGCAACGCGGTTCTGGGTAACCGATGTATCAAGATGGGTCGTACGCTTTGGCCAGATTGGCAGATCACAGATCTCGGGTGTGTCTGCGAGTGCGACACAGCGAGGTACCCAGAGATCTAGAGATCTAGAGAGAATCTAGACGAGAGATGGAGAACATGACGACCCGCAAGCCCACAAGCCGCCACCCCGCGCGAGCGAACACGGGCAAAACGGGTTATGTGTGCCGTGTGAACCCCTGAGACGGGGGGCCCTGAGTAGAAGCCCCCCCGTCGGGTCAGGGGAACAAGGGGGTGAATGGTTTTGGGCGCTGGGTGTGCGCTAAAATGGCCATCTCCGGGGGGGGTTGGCCCAAAATGTCATGTTTCAGGCGTGGGCTGGGCGGTTGGGGGTAGCCTGGATGGATCATGGATCATGGATGACTCGGTCCTCGTGGCTCATGGCTCCCACAGCATACCAGCGTTCTCTTCGGCCCGACAGCAATAACCCACCCCCCCCCCTCGCCATCCTCGGTCTCCTCGGTCTCCTCGTCGCTGTCTCCCCCCACACAAAACACGCGCACATACCTTCTTGCCCCCAAACCAAAACACGCAACAACCCGCGCTTCACCTCATTTCTCCATTTCTGCCGCCGAAACGCACACTGCCGTAACCACCCCCGACTCCCCTCCACCTCTCGAACACTTCTGTGGCAATCAGCTGCACCCGACAGTGCACACGCACACGCGCGGCCCCAGCCCCCCGCAACGACCAACCCACAAAAGGAGGACGACTGAACGAGCCGACAGATTGCAACAGAGCGACACTACGGTACTACGAAAAGCGACGACCGTTTTCGCTGTTGCGCCGTCCTTTTGCCTTCCCCCCCCCCCCCCCGGCCGTGTCAGGAGGTCTTGTTTCAAACCTCGCACAGTCAGATCTACGGGCCCATCCTTCCGACCTGCCGAGCGAGCGTCCAGCTGCTGCTTCCTCACTCCCCCCCAAGCCAAGGCCAGCCCAGCGCCAGCCAAAACGCCCAAGCCCAGGCCCACCACCACACCGCCCGTCCGTCCGTCCGTCCGCGTCCCCGTCCTCAGCGGCGAGCCAGGCTGCAACCAACCTCTCTCACTCTTCATCCTCTCGCTCGCTCTCGCATCTGTTTCGTTTCCCTCCTCCCATTCTGTCATATCGGGACCAACACACACGCCCCGGCAGTCCCCTAGACCCCCACGCGCACACACACACACATTGTCTCGACCTCGACGTGTGTTCACTCGTCTCCTCCCCCCTCCCCCTTCAACTCGGCGGCCCCCGCCCACCCCCCTCGTCGGCCCTTCACGCGCACAACCCCCCTCGGCCCCCGCCGCCGCAGATCCGGTGCACGTCGCCATGGTGAGTGTCTAGAGACGTGCGTACGAAAAGGGCCCGCGGTGTGCCATGTGCCAGCTTGCCAGTTGTGTTATTTGCGTCCTCTGTCTGGTTCGCTTCGGGCTTTTGGGTTGTCTATTTTTCGGCGTGTCCGTGTGTCTGTGTGTGCCGTCTGTGCCGTCGTCGTCGTCTCTCATGTGCCCGGCGCCGCCGCGGCGCGGAGCTTTTGTGAGACCTCTGACATCTGGCGCGCACAATCTCAGGCCTGGGCCGGGGGGTTAAGGGAGGGGCCGGAGGGGTCCTTGCTCGGCACTGTGTGGCGGCCTGGCGGCCTGGCGGGGCTGAACTGCGCGCGCCGCGGCGCCGAGGAAGGGTGTTTCCCATTGTTCACGCCGTGTCCCTTTGCCTCTCGACTCCTTTTGCTCTCGTCCTCGCACTGCACATTCCTCCCTCATGTTGCATCCCTGGGCCCAGAACAGAACAGTACACCTGCAGTGTCGCTGCGGCTGCTGCCTAAATGCCGTGCTACGGAGGTGCTACTACGGTGCTACGGCGGTGCTACCTGTGCCCACCAAGGAATCCAGGAATTGGGCCCAGGTTTCCATTAGGCCACCCGGGGCGACCGCTGTGGGTGTTGCCTTTGCCTGCCAAGGTGCGAGGGCGAGAGCCCCTGTGCTTGATGAGCTCTGGGCGTGCCCGCATTCCTGGTCCTCTTGGTGCATCAGAAACACCAACCACAGCAACCATGTTCTTGCGCTCTTTCTTGCACGCGCACGCTTCTTGTGGTGGGCCTGTGGCAAAAAGTCTCGACAGAGTCTCGACCCACACCCTCCCAGGTGCGCACATGAGGTGCACATGAGACACACACACTCCCACACCCCTCACAGCCCACCCGATGCCACCACACAGAGTGGTTTGAGCAATGGCCGCGGGTGGGTTGGGGTGTAAGACATTGCCCCAGGTGTTCCATCTTTTTGTCAAACCCCCTTTTGACTCTGGGTGATTCCCTGGGGGGTGAGCGTATCGCCCTTGTGCCTTCCCTCAGGTCGGCCCCCGTGTCAGCCCAGCCAGCCAGCCAAGCCAGCCCAGCCGGGCAGCCAGCCAGCCAGGCAGTGCTTGCCCAACCCATCCCATATCCCATCCCATCCATCCATCCATCCTGCAACACCCATCATCGCAACCTCGATCATCATTGCCTTGCACAACATGCGCTGACACAATACCCACCCCCCTTCCTCTTCTTCTTCTACACAAACCCCGACAACAACAACATTCTCTCTACCACACCCTCGCTCAACACCCACTCCCATTCTCCCCCCTCATCCAGCTCTGATGCTCTGCCCCCCACGACCTCCTGCCGCCTCACCTCGCGACCTCTCCCCCCTCTCACCACTCTCCCCGCTCTCCCCCGCTCTCACCTCTCCCTCTCCCACACAACGTCCCCTTGCCACACATCGGCGCTCGCCTCTCTTCCTCTCGCTTCGCTTCGGCATCGCCTCTGCCATCGCCGTCGCCGTCAACTAGCGCGTTCACGCTGTCTGCGACCTCTTCGCCAACAACCCCGCGCCCCGCCCAAACGGTCACCCACCGCCACGCCAACAGCGCACTCGCCACGGTTCAAGCGTGCACGCGGTTGCGACAAGACGGCAGCTACTGCCCGCCGTCCGGGCCTCAGCCTTCTCATTCCAATGCACCAATCCCAATCAAGTCCGCGGCTCGTCGTCGAGCAGGTTGACGACGAGTACGCGTCGGGCCTCCCGACCATCACGCCGACGCTGCTGGGCTCGTTCCAGCAGGTCAAGCTGGCACCGGGCACCCCGAGTCCAGACGCATCTCCTCTGCTCCACCCGTCGCCTCTTGCGCCCTCGTCGCCTCGGTCATTGTCAAGAACGTCGTCGCCACCATCAATCCTGCCCCCCGTCATGAGTTTGAAACGCTCAAACCCAAAGGGGTTGTCCCTCAGCCTTTCGCTTGGCGCGTCTTCATTCCACAACACGTCGCTCAGCGCAACGTCGTCAACAACGCCTACACCCACCACTGCCTACTCGCCGCGGTCGCCATCGATGCCAGGCTCGGCGTCGGCGTCCGAGACACCAAGCACTTCGGGCCTCCCCAAGACGCCGTCATTGACAACCGCCTCTCTCGGACGTGCCACATACAGGACTGGACGTCGGCCATCCGTGCTGAGCCTCATCACTCACCAACCAACAGGCGGTGACGCGCCGGTCCCACCGACTCCGGGTGGCGCCCCGTACCCATACGGCTCGATGAGGAGTCGCGGCCACGCACGTATGCGTAGCGCAGGTACCCTCTCGGCCTCGTCTTACACGACCGAGTACGACACGCGCGCCTCGCAGTCGGCCTACCCTTCCCTGCGCACTGGTTTTGCCACCATTGACGAACGTGGCAGTAACGGCTTGGCATCTGCCAACCCGGGCATGTCGCCTTCCACGTCTCTCACGTCGTCGTCTGCCTCCAACACGGATTCCATCGCGTCCACTCCCTCGACGTCGCCGCCGCTCCCCGACGAGCGCGAGCACAACATGTACGCTGCAGCACAGGAACCGTACGCCGACGGCCCGCGGGAGCTGCTGCCTGGCATCTGGCTCGGCGCAGAGGATTCCGTCTGGCATTTCGACGTGTGGGCCCGTGGCGCAAGCCAAGTCGCGCTCGTCAATGTGGCGCAGGAAATTGAGAATCCATTCGACAACCCCACTGCCGACTCGTGGAACTGGCCGACCGCTGCAAAGGGCAAGGCAAAGGTCGCGCTCACCCACCACGCCGCCGCTGCAGCCTCGGCTGCTGTCGCCGGCGAGACCGGTCACGCGACCAGCCAGCCCGCGATCGAGTACGCCCATCTCCGCTGGTCCCATGGCGAGGGCGGTCTTGCCGATATTCCCCCCTCTGCGTCGCTCGACCAGGTGCTCCATGGCGACGCCCCCAGTTCCGTCGGCGACGACCAATGGCGGTTCTGGGAGGCGGTGCGCTGGATTGAAGTCCGTCGCAGGGCGGGCATTCCGATCATCATCCACTGTCAATGTGGCGTTTCGCGCTCAGCCACGCTGGCAGTCGCCTATGTCATGACGCTCGCCGCCACTGGATTCATGCCCGAGCTCCTTGGCCAGCTCCGTACCATGCAGGACGCATACGACTTTGTAAAGGACAGGTCGCCATGGGTCGGTCCCAACGTGTCGTACGTACCACACATTCCAGGTTTCATCGGAGGATTTTATGACTAACCACTCCACACAGCCTCGTGTTTCAGCTCGTTGAATTTGCGCGCAACCTGAGCTCCCTGCTGTCCAGCCGCATTGCCACGGGCGGCAGTCCCATCGACACCGAGTGGCCCGCCCTCGTCGACATTGAGACGGAGGACGCATGGGCTCAGCGTCGCCGCGAGTTTGGGGATGGCGAGGCCAGCCCGCGCGCCGCAGAGGAAGCGCGCGCGCTCGACGAGGCAATGGCGATGCGCGTCAGTGCTCGTCCGCAGTAAGGACGCGGACGCGCAGACGCGTCTGCGCAGCAGCAGCAGCAGCACCCCACCGCCCGCTCTCAACTGGACGGACACTTGCGGTGGCGATGACGGTATCCTGAGCGTCGATGCCAGGGCACGGCGCGTCCGGGTAGCGTGTCGAGCACCGCCTCGGCCAAGCTGGCCAAGCACCGTGCCGGCCACTGCCATTTTGGTCCCACTGTGGCACCACCGCAAAGTTGACTGCCACATCAGCTCGCCACAGCACCACCGCGACGGCCACCCGGTCCCCGTTGTCAGCGTCCCGATGGCTGGCGAGCAGATCATCGGATCGACACTGCTCGAGCCCACCACCACTACCACTACCACCAACCAACGCCCATGCGAGGCCCCGCCTCCATGACCACAACACCCAACATCACACCACACACCACACCAACTCCACGTCCCCATAGTGGAAAACGGACTTGGGGGACAGACCATATGTCCCCCCCTCCTCGCATCGATGTGTCTTTCATTTTAGAATCCATCAACCTGTTGTAGCCTCCTCGACCTGCAGACTCTTTTGTGCATCCCCCCACCCACCATGTGTCCTTGCGCAGGACCGTGCATGTTTGGTTGTCGGAGAGTGACTGACGGGGTGACAGAAGCACAGAGCACAATGATCCGCGACTGACTTCTTGACAAACAACCAAACAACGCTGATGGCTCCCACTCCCCCCTTTGTCTTTCCTCTCCATCACTCTCACCACCCACAACAGCAACGCCTCACCATGCTCCCCCTCGCCATCTTCACGGCGATACCCGCCGCCTGCCTCGTCGCCACGGCAGCCTACACCCTCCGCCCCGTACTCCCCACTGCAGCCCGCAAACTTCGCCTGTCCGCGCTCCTCCCGTCGCCGCGCCGCAACCTCCCCCGGGCCTTCTTCAACCTCCCAGCGCGCACCACCCCGCAGCTCACGTTACGCGCGCGCGTCCTCCTCGTCCTGGCGGCCAACGGCGCCGTAGCCGTGCTCGGCGCCGCGGCGTTCCTCGCATCCGCCCACGACGCAGACAACAGCAGCAGCAGCAGAGGCGTGGCGGCGGCGCTGGCGCTCGCCGTCTCACCCGTCCCGTGGTCCGTGGGCGTGATCGCCGTGCTGGCCATCGCCCGCCGGCGGCCCAGCGTCAGTCCCATCAGCGGCAAGGTCCTCGACTCGGGGCACGCATCTATGCTGGCCCTGGCCCTCCGTGCCGAGACGGTGCTGACGCGCGCGCTGCCGCTCACCCTCGCGCCGACGCTCGTGCTCGTGGCGCTGTGTGCCGCGCTGCCGCGCCACGCCGGCATCGTCCTCCTCACGGGCACGGGCGCGGCGTCCGCGCTCGGCCTGGGCGGCACGAGCTATGCGGCGTGGACGGCGGCGCGGGCCCGCCTCCGTCTCGTGAGCAGGCCCGGCACGCCGCTGTCGGACACCGGCAACAACAAGAACAGGACGATGGAGGCGCACGGGTTCACGATGGTCCCGCACGACTTGAGCGCGTCGGCCAACATTGACTTTTCGGCCAGCCCTCGTAGTATGTGTATATGTGGTCCCGTGGTCTTTTGGGCCCCTCTTTTGTGACGATTAAAACTGACGCTATCTAGCACCGGCCGTACCCACCAAGAATACCCGTACACACTCTCACTCCCACTCGCACTCGCGCACGCTGTCGCGCACCGTCTCGGCGTCTCGCGCACACACGCGCGTCGTGTCCAAGGACTCGATCCCGTTCAGCGTGTGGCACGGCCCAGACTATGTCACCGAGGACGACCACACGCACATGTATGCCGACTGGTCATACAACGAGCACGAGCACGACAACGACGATGCCGCGCTCACTGCCGAGGCGGTCACGGCCGAGGCCTTCAGCGTCACTCCCGACGGCCTCACCGCCGAGGCAGTCACGGCCGAGACGAGCTGGGGCGCGCGGGACGACGACGCGCTGGACGACATTGACCTGGACACGAATTCAGACACGCGCAGCCGCGTCGGTTCGTTGCCACATATCTCCTACAAGACTCCCGGCGGCAAGCGCTGCTCGCGCGGCTCACGCACGTCGCGCACCTCGAAGCGCTCCTCGGACGGCACGCTGCAGTACGGCGAGCCCACGCCCGGCGGCCACGATCACAGCTACAGCGTGATTGCAAAGTATTCGCCTGACCCGCAGCTGCCGCTCCCGCCACACGGGTTTGCTTCTCTGGCGAATTTCCCCAGCTCACCAGCTGCGAGCGAGCTCGTCACGGGCGACGGTTCGGTGGACACGTCCAGCTCGATGGAGGGCACGCACGAGGCCGTCGCTGGCGGCGGCCTGCCTCCGCCCCCGTCCCCGCCGTCGGGTGCGTTTCCCGAGTTCCCCCAGTTTATCCCTCTCCCGCGCGAGGCCAAGACGTCGGACGGCACAGCATACACCCTTAGGAGCTACCACGAGGCCAAGCACGAGGCGTACAACAACAACAACAACAACAACAACAACAACAACAACAACACGCTCAACAGTCTGCTGTCGTACCGCACACGCTACTCGGAGGCCGCCGGCGACCGCCACAACCACACGGTCAACTCGGTCAACACGCTCATGACGTACCACACGCAGTCGGACTCTGTCGACCAGGCCCACTTTGCCACCCAGTCGTCGACGGCCACGCACGGGTCGTTCTGGCACGACCACGAGCCGAACCACTACACCGCCACGGAGCTGGGCCACGGGGCACACCCTCACCCGCTCCCACCACCTCCCCGGCCTGCTGGCCCCCGCCCCGTCTTCCACCGTGCACACACAAGCTGCCCTCCAGGTCCTGTGAACGCAAACGCGACGCGTATCGGAACAACGCCGACGACATTCAGCGCCGAGCCGCTCGGCGCCGGCGTTCAGCCCCTGCCGTCGCCGTCCACATTCGCCGCCACCCCCACATTCCCCGTGGCGTGGGACGAGGAGCAGCCACTCGAGAGCGATTGGGTGGGCATGGGCGAGGACAAGAGCGCCGACATGATCACCAGCGCCATGGGCAGCGAGGCGCCGTGGGGCCGCGGCGACGCGTGGGCTGGCGTGCTGGCGATTGTGTGCCTCTTGCTCTGCTATGTGAGTCTTTTGGATCAAGGGAAAGGGAAGATTGGAATGAATAGAAGAAGACTGACCGACCTTTTGGTTTAGGGACTCGACGTGCCGCTCCTCGTCCTCGGCAGCAGCGACGCCACATTGGCGGCGTTCACAGCTGGTGTCTGCCTCCCTGCGCCTCTTCTCGCCGTCGCGGCGTGTCTCATGGATACCCGCAGCCAGAGCACTCCCGGCGACAAGCAGCACGCCCACCACGCGGCGCTTTCGTTCCCCTCGCAAGCGTCGCTGCCACAGTCGCTTCCCAGGCCGTCGCAGCGCACAGGCGGGAGCAACGACGCCGTCCTGCCCCTGTGGCACGCGCGGCATGTGGGCGCGACATGGGACGCCGCCAACATGTCCAGTCCCAGCCCCAACACGAGCACGACGCACTGGGCCCCCGACATGACCTCGGGCTCGGCGTACGCCGGCCTCGCAAACGGCCTCATCACGGGGCTTCCGGGACGCACGGCCATGTCCCTCCGCCGGCACACTGTGCACGTCACGGCCGCCAACGCCGTCCTGCGCGACATGAACAGCGTGACCACGGCCGAGCTGTGGCTCCGCTCCGGCCAGGCGCGTGAGGGCGGGAGGTTTGCGCGCGCAGCCGAAATGCTCAAGCCCGTCCCGGCGCTGTGTGTGCTCGGCGGATCGACGGCGCCAGCACGCACCCACAAGTCGGCGGACAGGAGCGCAGGCATCCTCGCGCGCCTGAGGGGCGGGGTCGTGTCCATGCTCCCTCCTAGGCGCGGCGCGGCTCCAGCGCCACCTGTCTCTGTCCCCGTGCTCGACACCGAGATCCCCGTCATTGTCACCACGGGCGTGAGCCCCAAGTCGTCGCCTCACAAGTCGGAAAAGTCCCACCGCCGCGGCGGGAGTGGCGGTACCGAGTCGGACGCCGAGATCCACGTCGCGACGCACGCGCGCCGGTCCCCGTCCCCGAGCTTCATCTTCACCAATGGCAACGGCAGCGGCAGCGGCCTACCCGATCCCAACGCAAAGGAACAGCTGCGACTCGACTGGATCAGCGGCGGCATGCTGCGTCACGGCCTCGTGCCCGGCTTGATCGTCGGCAGCGATGTGGCAGTCGACCAGATGCCCCTGTCCCAGTCGTCGCCAGTGGTGGCGCGGCCGTCCAACGACTCGATGCCCGATTTCCGTCCCAGCCTCGACGCGCTCGCGAGTGGCAGCACGCCGCCCAGTCGCCAGCGCGTGGTGGTGTCCTCTACGCCGCGCAGGGGCGCGCACAAGGTCGTCAAGTCGACGAGCACCACGCAAGGCACCCCGCAGAGCATCACGGACTTTACGCAGCCGCGTGCGGTCGACTGCTCGACCCCGCGTGGCCAGGTCTCCGGGACCAGTGGCGGCGGCGGCGGAAAGCTCGACATGGACTCGTCCATCTACCGCAACGAGGGACTGGCGGCCGAGCAGAGCATCATCCGCAACGCGGCGCTCGCGCGCACGTACCTCGACGGCGGCAGCTACGACGACGCCGAGGCGTCCCGCCAGTGGTCATCGTTGCGCAACAACTCGAGTTTCCTTCGTGACGTCCGTGCCGGCCAGTCGTTTGTGGCTACTGGCGGCCCACCCTCCAGTGCGTCGGGCCACTCGCCGTGCAGCTCGACAACCCACCTCGCCATCCCTGCCATTGCCCAGAGTCCACACACGCCGCCTACACGCCGTACCGTCACCCGCGCCGCCGCCCCGGCCGACTCGCCGGGCTTCCTCCTCCCGTCCCCTGGCGACGTGCGCAACGTCTCGTTCTGCTCAGACGTCAACGAGTCGGGTATCGAGGAGATGGAGGGTGTGCTGGCGCTCGACACGCCCGCGAGGGACGAGTACGTCCGGCGCCCCAGCGTCGGCTCGCTCCCGAAGAGCGTGCACAGCGGGCACAGCGCTCGCTCCCACCACACCCATCACAGCCACCACAGCTCGGCGCCGTCCACGCCGCCCAGCGCGCGCCTCCCACCCATCCCCAGCGACGTCCCGGCCCCTGCCTTCCCGCCTACAGCGCTCGTCCACGGCAACACCACCGCGCACACACACCCAGCTGTGGCTGCATACAACACCATGCCCCCGCACCCGGCCCTCGACAAGCTGTTCCGCGCCAGCGGCATGATGCACGCCGACTCGCCCGATTCCGTCGCGTCGTCGTCGGCGTACACGAACGACAGCGAGCGCCGGTTCTCGCGCAAGCCCCTCGCGGCGCAGTTTGAGTTTGTCGAAAACTATCTCTACACCCTCGGCAACGGCCGGAACAAGGACAAGGCCAAGGAAAAGGGCGGCGCCGCTCGCCCACGTCCACTCCCAGCCCCTCGTACCCACGCAGCCGACTCTGCCACACCCACCACACGCACTGGCCTGCGCCCGCTCGTCCTCGTCGAGCGCCAAGCGGGCGACAAGCGCAAGACGCAGGACCGCACCTCGGCCGAGCTCGACGTCGAGGTCGTGGCGGCGCGTGTGCGTCGTCCCCGCCTCTCCGAGCACAATGACAGTACGAGGAGCGTCAACGTTGTCGTCAGTGGCCGGCCCTCGCTCGACGCCGCTTCCAACTCGCGCGCGAGCGTCAACAACCGCCAGGCTCCTGCTCCAGCTCCAGCTCCTCGCGGCGGCGCGCGTCCCAGCCTCCCCCGGTCCTCCCTCAGCACGTCTGCGGGCTCGGTCGGCCGCTCAAAGGGCTCGATCGAGACGGTGGCCAGTACGCGGAGCAAGGTTTCGGCCGGGTTCGGGTACGGGTACAGCCTCAGCAACGGCAGCAAGACGTGGGGCAAGGGCGAGGGCGAGGGCAAGGGCCGGGGCAGCGCCGCGTCCAACTCGAACTCGAACTCGAACTCGTATTCCTACTCGTACTCGCGCTCGTACTCTACCAACACCAACTCGGCCGCCGCGTCCACCTCGTTCCTCGTGCACCCCGATTCGCCCCACGCGCGCAGCAAGCACGGCTCGGCCCGCAGCCGCGGGAGCGACAAGGAGAACAGCTTTGGACAGGTGTTCGGCCACCCGATCCCGGCCCCGGTCCCGACCCCGGCCCACGCGCTCCGCCAGATCGACAACATGTACGTTCGCAGCGGACGTGGACGGAAGGTGCATGCCGTCGAGGACGCGGGCGGCGTCATTCGCGGATAGGCGCAGGCGGGTTTACAAAGGGGCGCTGTTTTTTTTTTTTTGTTTAACACATACGGACCTGGTGTCCACAAGTAACGAAATCTGCTGCGAGTTTGTACCTTACACGTAGGCTCTGCCTCTTCTTGTATACTCTGCTGTAAATATACATATCTACCAGGTGATCATGCATGTGCTTAGCTCGTGTGCACGAGGGCTTGGGCAGTGGGGAGCAGGTCAGCCTGGAGTATTTGGACGTTTCTTTTTTTCGGGTATTTTCCGATTATTTTTTTTCCGTCCGCCTGGTATCCACCACACCCTCCCCCGGCTACCTGTGCTGGCTGAGACCGCTGTCACCCTCATAGAGCACGACTTTGAGTACCTGTACACCAGTTCCACCCCCAGACAGCTCCTGCAGCATGCATAGGACCTGGGTCGGCCAAAAAACCGGAACCAAAACCTGCACACCACTCGGCAGCCACTCCCACCTCCCTCTCTTGGGGGTGTCATTCCCAGTCGTCGTCTACATCTACAGTACACACCCTCTGAGGACTTGCAAAAACAAACTTCCTGTCGGGGAATCGAACCCCGATCTCCCGCGATCGTCCATGACAAGCGAGCATACTGACCGTTATACGAACAAGAACTGGATGATGGAGTAAAAGGGCGTTGGGCCGCGAGTCTGCGGCCCTGTTTCTGCGTCTTCTGAGGGCAAGGAGAGGCGAACGAGTGCCCATGCATGTACCCCCGGCTGCCCTCTTACCATATGCCATTGGGTGAGGGCTGGGAGGCGGCCTTACGGACGGTGTACTGGCGACATGGGAGCGACGATCGGGAAGGCGGCGGTGGTGGTTCCCGTCAAGTCTTGCCACTCGACGGTCATGCGCACACCCTCCAGGTCAAGGCTGTATGTGCACCTAGCTGGTCCCTGCAGCTAGCCTTCCTCATGCGTAAGGAGATGTATTGGGTTGCGGCGGAGAGTCGGGATGGGCGGACCACCGGGCTGTCAAGTCTGGCAGGGCAGCGTGCATCACAGTCGCGGTGGACTTGTTTTTCGGCCCGCGTCGTGCACTCGGCCGACACCAATGGTCCCGGGCCGGGCCTCTCTCCGCCTCACTGCACCATACGGTGGCAGGATACGGTGCTCCCTCTGCATTGACCACCCCTTGTGTGTTGCAAAGACATACATTGTGCGTCGCGTCAAGGTGCCCACCGAAGCTAATTCCTTTGTGTGGTAGTGTGTGGCAGCTTGACGTTGACAGGTGCACCCATTGTGCCTCACGCGTCACAGTGAACAGTGATCAGACGCCAGACAAAGGTTTCAGAGTCCGACCCACACCCTCCCGTCATGTCAGCGTCGACACGCAGCCCCCCTTCGTCCCCTTGTCCGTTCCCGTCAAGAGGACAAAGGGACTCCTGTCTCCCGCTGCGGCGGACGGGGAAGAAGCAGCGGACACGCAGCCCCTGTGTCAATCCGGGGCCACGTTTGTTGCACTTTTGGGACGTTGGGACACTGACCACCTCCCCTATCCATCACCCCCACCAACCATTGGACGACTGAACTGCACAGTCACTCGTCTGTGTCCTGGTCGCAGCAGCACGTCATTTGGGGATACCACAGAAGGCTTTTTGCATGCGAGACCCAGCCTTGTGGACGATCACCTGACGATCCTGTGGCGTATTGCAGGGCGAGATGGGTGGGGGGGTATAGGCTCAACTGTTTTGTCGCTGGCGCCGCTGGCTCGCCGCTGCCCGGCGTCCCGTTGGCCGGTCCGTTGCAGTTTCTCGCCGCCGCCTTGGCTCTCACCACTGGGCGAATCTGTGCTTATCTGACAGTAGAGTGACGCATCTGCGTGTCTGTCCGATGAGCACCATGGCTTCTTATCATGCACAGATTCACACATGTGCGTACACATCGCTCGCTGCCTTCTCACCATCGCACCACGCTTGCTTGTTCTCTGCCCAGCTCTCTCTACACCTGTTCTCCCTCATGACTCGCTTTTGACTCCTGCATTCCGAGACCTGAAATTCCCGACGCAGGCCCTTTTGGTCCGGCGCGTTGCCCGGGGGAGCCAACCCTCTTTGGTACATTTTGCTCTGACGTCTGACGTCGTTTGACGGTGTAGGCCGACTCGGGCCCACGTGGTTGTCAACCACAGCGCATGCAGCGCGCGCGCTTAGAGAGGCAGCGCGGAGGAGCGGCGGAGAGCGCGGAGAGCCCTGGGTCCGGTCTGGCCGCCGCGGCGGTGTAATCAAAGGCTTGCGAGTGAGGTATGCTGGCCCCACGACCACTCTCTGAACACTCCACTTCATACCACCACTTTCTCTCCATCTCTCTTTGCCCACCTCACCTTGGAGTCGCCTGCCGTCGTCACCATGGCATCTCCACGCAACATACAGCCGCCGCTCGGCTCCAGCGTGGCCTCTTCGACCAAACCAATGTCGTTGGCGTCGCGACCCCAGCTCGCCCCGACTTCATTTGTCGGCACACCCCCTGTATCCCAGATTCCTCCCCGGATCGTGTCCAGCTCTTTTCAACCCCGTTCTTTCACCGACCGCGCCGCTGCGTCTGGTTCTGCTGGTGTGTCTGCCTTTGAGCACCGCTCGTCCGTCGCTGGTCTGGGCGACAAGACGGTGCCAGCAGCACCCTCGAGCAACATGGCGTCAGCCCTGACAGCGGCCCTCGGCTCGCCCACCAAGAGCACACCGCTCGACAACCTCGAGGTGCCGGGGGAGACGGCAACACCGGACGCAGAGTCCGCAACCCCTCGTCCCGACGAGTCGACCTTCTCCAACGTCGCCGACGTGCCCGACGAGGAGAAGGCCCGTGTCCTGCGGCGCCACCTCGTCTCCGCCGAGGAGCGAGGCTCCGGCTCCAAGACGGGCACACCTGGCCAGAGGACGAGCCCGACTGGAACGCCTGCCGGGGGTAGTATCGCTGGTGACGCCGTTGCGGCCACTGCTGGCGACAGCTCGATATCGTACGGCAGCGCCACAGACCCCGCCAGCAGCGAGGAGCCCTTCCCCATCCCGTACGATGCGCCTGGAGGCGATGTGACGTGAGTGGTAGTTTTCTTCGGCAACTCAACTCAGGAAATTGAAATCACCCCAATGGTGGCTGACGCTGACATGCGACGGACAGACATGACCTTTACAAGTGGCAACATGACCACCGTCCTCGGCCCGGCCGCTCGGCTTCATTCTCGCACGCCGATCGCTCTGCCATCATCGACCCCCAGATCCAGCAGATGAAGGAGCCTGGAGGCTTCCGACGCAACTTCCTCACGAGCCGCGCCAACGAGCGCGGCATCGAAGGCCCGCCAATGCTTCGCAATGTGATCGACTTTCTCTATCTCTACGGTCACTTTGTGAGTAGTGTTACCCGCCCGTTGGGGCAGCAGCTTGGCTGACACGGTTACCCAAGGCCGGTGAAGACCTCGACGAAGATGAAGATCTGGATGACGAGGACGACGAGGACGAGGAACACGCCCACGCGCGTGCCGAGGCCGGCGAGGCTGGCGCGTACGGTCGCAGGGGGTCGCCTGGCCCCAGGTCAAGGGAGGTGACCGAGCGGTCGCCTTTACTCCAGCGCTCCACCAGCAAGACAAGGCGTCGCACAACCGGCGCACCGGGTGGAGGAACCGCCAGTCTCACCCAGGCGGTCCTCATGGTATGTTCGCAAGTGGTCTCGAACGTCACTGACAGCCCAGCTCCTCAAGGGCTTTGTTGGCACCGGCGTACTCTTTATGGGCAAGGCGTTCTACAATGGAGGTGGGTGACTCTTGTTGGAAGAAGGTGTGCTGATGTCTAGGCCTGCTCTTCTCAACCATCGTGCTCCTCACCATTGCGGCCATCTCGCTCTGGTCCTTCCTCCTCCTCGTCAAGGCGTACATGCGTGTACCGGGCTCGTTTGGCGGTGAGTGTTCGACCCTCGAGGCTTGACTGACCCACTAGACATTGGCGGCGCGCTCTACGGCCCTTACATGCGTATTACCATCCTCACCTCTATCACAGTCTCCCAGATCGGCTTCGTGGCCGGTGAGTCGCACTTGCTCAACCTCCGTTTGTTGACCTCTCCCAGCCTACACCATCTTCATCGCCGAGAACCTCCAGGCGTTTGTCATGGCAGTCACCGATTGCAAGACCTACATTCCTATCCGTGTCCTCATCTTTGCCCAGCTCTTGCTCTTCCTTCCGCTTGCCATGATCCGCAACCTCGCAAAGCTCTCGGGCACTGCCCTCGTCGCCGACGCCTTTATCCTCATTGGACGTAAGTGGGCGCGCTTGAGACTTGACCTGACAACGAATCCAGTGGGCTACATTGCCTCGTGCGAGGTCGGCACCATCGCCCACCAGGGTGTGGCCGACGTCATGATGTTCAACAAGGACAGCTTCCCTCTCCTCATCGGAACTGCCGTGTTTGCGTTTGAGGGCATTGGACTGTAAGCAACCTTCTTCCAATTTAAGCGCCACCCCCGCTCATTCTCCCCAGTGTCATTCCCATCACCGAGTCGATGAAGGAGCCGGAAAAGTTCCCTCGCGCTCTCTCTGGCGTCATGGTCTTCGTTGCCGTCCTGTTTGCCGCATTCGGTGTCCTCGGCTACGCGGCCTATGGCAGTGATGTCCAGACAGTCGTCCTTGTCAACCTCCCCCAGGAGGAGAAGTTTGTCCAAGGTGTCCAGTTCCTCTGTGAGTTGACTCATCATCAAACCCGTCATGCATTGGTTCCACACTGACACCGGCTTCTCCCCAAAGACTCGATTGCCATCCTCCTCTCGATCCCCCTCCAGCTCTTCCCCGCTGTGCGTATCATGGAGACCGGCCTGTTCTCCCGCAGCGGCAAGCACAACCCGCGCGTCAAGTGGCAGAAGAACATCTTCCGTGGCTGCACTGTCGTCTTCTGCTCCCTCCTCTCGTGGGCTGGCTCGTCCGAGCTCGACAAGTTTGTCTCCCTCGTCGGATCATTTGCCTGGTAAGTCACCCCCCGCTCGTCCCCACCCCAACCTCCCCATTGTGCCATTTGTGTTCCCAGCATTTTTGCCTTTTTTTGCCACCCCCCGCGCACGGGCCCATCCCCCCCGCTCTTCATGCGCCACCAACCACACCGCACCACCGTCAACTGACACTCCATCCCCCATCAGCATTCCGCTGTGCTTCATCTACCCGCCCATGCTCCACCTCAAGGCGTGCGCTACCACTCGCCGCGCCAAGATCCTCGACTGCCTTCTCCTCGCATTCGGCATCATCGTCGGCTGCTACACGACCATCCAGACCGTTCGCAGCCTGTTTGACGGAGGCAGTGGCGAAGCTCCAAAGTTGGGCAAGTGTGAGGTGCCCAAGCTGCTGTGACGTTGAGCATGCAATGCATCCAGTTACGATCGGCTACCTTTGTTGCAGTGGCGCAGTGGATGGCTTGGTCCATGTTAACATCCATGTTGACTGTTACACATCAAACTTTTTCATGTTGGGGATGTGCAGTTCGTCCCCTTGATCGCCTGAAGACGAAGACAAAAGGAGACATGCTTTGGAGGTCTCAGAAAGACGCATGGGCCGCCATGCCGCCGGTCAGGGCTAGCTGCACCTCCGCTGGCGAGGCGCAAGGGGACAGCGGTACAGCGGGCTTCTCGTGTGAACTTGGCCCGTGCTGTGCGCAAGTGTGCGCGTGTGTCGTGTGTGTGTGTGTATGTGTGTGTGTGTGTGTGTGTGTGTGTGTGTCTGTGATCTGTGTGTTACATGACAGACAATAGGCACTCCTGTGCACAACATGATAGCTTCCAGAAGGTGCATCTTGACATCTTCATCATTACCCACTCACTCGTCTACAACACATGCAGTTCCCCTCCACCTTAATGGCAAGTTACCCTCCTCAACGACAACCGCTGACATCGCTGCAGCCTAACCAACCGTTGCTGGATGGCAAAGGAGCCTGCCTCTCAGCCTACACACTGGCCCAGTTCACGCCGCTAAAACAAGCCAAGATCGAAGCAATTGTGCGCAGTGAGGTAGACCTAGCACGGCAGCCTTGTCTCGAAACCTGGTACCAGGACTTGCAGGGTACCCAGCCAACGGAACAAGCCATCAAAGAGTTCGAGCTGGCTTGGAATCATGGGCTGGCCACCTACATCGATTCAGTCGAGTCGCACTTGACCAAGGGTTCCTGCGTCAAGCGCGGGTCCAGTTTCGACGAGGTTTGTCCCATGTGGCTAGGCAATCCCTAATACTCTCAGCTAACGCTGCAGTCCACCCGCGAAGTGCTGGAGACTGCCTTCGCTCGCTCGCCATTCCTCAACAAAGCAGAGTGCTCTCTGATTTCCAAGGCGACAGGCATTTCCACGCAGCAGGTCAGTATATAAGTCTGCTGTGAAGCTTCTGTCTGACAAGCTCAGGTTCGCACATGGGTATGGTTCCATGGACACAGCTGCCCACGTATGCGCATGACTGACAGGCTTAGTTCCAAAACCGACGTAGTCGCTCAGGACGAGTCACGGACGGTGCCAAGTCCGGCCACCGAAGCAGAGCGGAGAAGAGGCGAAAGCCCTCGAGTGCAAAGAAGACAGCAGCGACCGTCGTTCGCTCGAAGAAGGGCCGTCCCCAATCAGTTGATTTGGGCGTGCATACGCCGCCAATTGCAGAGACTGTTGCAGTCGCGCCTAGGCTCTGCGGCCCCACCTCCGACTCATACACGACATTCGCTACGCCTTCACTGCACGACACAGCCCATATTTCACCGACAGACCGCACGCTCGAGGGGGATCTCGCCAAAGACTGCAACCTTGCCCGACTTCCTGGAGGTGAGCTGCGCGCCTACTCACTGGAGCGAGTCGCAGATCACTGACACCCCGGCAGAAACAGCAATGATGTCTACTCTCCGCGTCGAATTGACAACAGCCTTGGGCGACATTCACTCCTCCTACTAGGAGACGCGGATACACGAACCTGCAGACGGTGACCACGACACTGACAGTTATAGCCATAACTGTGAGATGGAGTCATTGGAGTATGAACGAATGTAACCAAGTGATGGTCAGTGTCGCTTTCGGTAGGCAACACCAGTAGCAATGGCATCATATGTACGAATGAACCTCAGTACACAGAGCCAATGATCTGAGGGCCCGAAATGCTGAGTACTTTACTCCTCGTCCTCGGCCTCGTCCTGGTCGACCTTGAAGTAGCGGAGCGAGTAGGTGTCCTTGGAGGTAGCGACGACACTGCAACCAAGTCAGCTGAGTTACAGCCCAATGGATCATTGATACGAACCGGAGGAAGTTCTCGAACGAGTTCTTCTTGAGGTGCTTCTTGGTGAGGTACTTCAGGTAACGCTTCGAGAAGGGGATCTGCGACGAGAGGACGAGCTTGTTGCCCTCCTTCGAGATCTGGATGACGTCGCCGAGCTGGCCAGGCTTGCCGTCAACCTTGATGCGGTCGTGGAGGAACTTCTCGAACGCGGCGGGGTCGAAGACGTTGTCGTTGGCGGGGACCGAGTAGTCAACGTAGAACTTGTGCAGGGCCTTGCCCGCGGTCTTGGAGGAGGAAGTGGCCTTAGGCTGCACAAAAGGATCAAACAACACAGACAGGTGCAGAAAGAGAGAATACGTCAGATAACAGCTAGAGGGGGGGGGCCAGCTCGCCGTCCTGGGGACGGAGTCGGCGTGAGGGGGAGGGGACATACCATGTCTACAGGTGTTTCTGCAAAACGTTTTGGTGTGTGAGGAGAATGCAAGTTTCACCGCCTAATTTGAACAACCCCTCTGTGGCAATGTGGCAATTTGCTTCCGCTTCATCGGAGTTTTAATCCGGGTTTTACAGCGCGAAGTGTGGCAGTACCTCAGTTCATGCACCCAACGTCTCCTCGTAATACTCCACTCTTGTCCCTGTTGCCGAGGGCCTGGAATGACGGACTGCCTTCCGGACAGCGAGGAGCAGGCCATGAGGGCCACACACTAAAGTCAGCCGCGTTTGATCGCCGAAGCTTACCTGCAACGGACAACCCATTTGAGAGCTGATTTTCCGAGGTCTTCGACAGTGCTCGCTCTACGACTGCTGGTATATTGGCCCTACCAACATGGTATCGCAACAGCGATTGTCCGGCCCCTATTGCTAATGTAGACAATAGCGGTTGCTCTTGGTTTTCTGGGTCCAGGAGATTGGAGTTGGAACACCGTTCGTTCGCGTTGCCTTGCCCATCCACAGGCAGCCGGGTGACGTAGCAATCTACGATCACTGTGAAGTCTGGCAGCTCGGTGCACTGCTCAGCGACCAGGTTCAGCATTGGGGCGATCCACTGTATATCTTTCTGGTGCCGAATATGCCATACAAGCCGCACTTCTTGGGTGCTTGTCGTACCACAGGCCTTGGAATCGACGATGGCCATGAGATGCGATAAACAGAAAGTGATGCCAGTGCCACCTTTTTGAAGTCAGGAGCCCGATCACGGTATGTACGTACCTGCAAAAAGTAGAACCGAGGACGTTGTGTCTAAGGTATGTACCGCCCCGTAAGGGCCTTCGATGAAGATCGGTATGCTGGTCTCACGCGGCTGCACGAGAACGTCACGCAGAAGCTTGGTTGCACCGGAGTGCACACGTATGAGGAAGACGGCCGAGTTGTCTGACCCGCTGGGTATGTTTGCCAACGAGAAGGGATGGGACTCGTGTGGACTGCTGGTGACAGATGTGAACGACAAGAACCTGGAGTCGTCAGCCAGATGCAGCGGGCCACAGAACGTACGCATGCTGGCCAGCCGACCAGCGGAACGAGCGTCGCCGAATTGTTACACGAAGAACGTTGCCATCGAGCAGCTCGACGAGATTTTGCTCGCGCAAAGCCACAGAGTCGCCATTTAGACGTCTACCGGTGCAAAAGTTGGAGATGACTAGTCGGCACAAGCGAATGAGGCGGTCAACAGCCCACAGACCGAGGGCCACGGACGGCTCAGACGTCAGCACCGCACTGGGAGATGACTCACCCAGACCCAAAGTTTCTTCCTTTGCCAGTGGATGATCGCTCCCACAAGGAACAAGCTGGCTCCGTCAGTGCCGCGTTGCAGTATCACTAACACTCACATTGAAAAGACAATGTGGGCAAGGATGAAGAACTCCCAGGCAACTCGTCTCACCAGACGGAAGCTGGTTGTCCACAGCATCGTGAAGGAGAACAAGGCCACTAATCCCTGCGCACCAGTCAGTTTCATACACCTGTATATAGATGGGCTTACCCATATAATGTAGGCATGGTCAAAGTGGCCTTTTGCCAGTACCCTTGGGGTCCATGCAATGGCGTGCGTCCAGCTGCAAATCAGGCAGGCTCGTGACGCGGCGCGGTGAAGATAGTTGAGCTTCTGGTAGCTGATACCCGTTAGGAAAGATATCGGGTTGTTCTTCATGATGAGGAGGATAATGAGAGGAAGTTGGCTGAACGCCTGGATCCCTATTAGCAATGAAGATCGGCCGTCCATATGAAACTAACCATGACTCCCATCTGGTTGGCCACACCCTGGTTGCCACCGACCACTTTAAACGTCAGCTCAATTAATGGAGGCTTACCCACGTGTTGTATGGTTGAGGGCAAAGTAAAACATCAACGAGCAATATATGGTTGTGCACAGAGCATCCGCAGGAGTGTCAGGTCCGTACAACCAACTTGGGAGGGTAGTAAGAAACAGAAACCGCTGCGTTACTGCGTCAAGCGCAGTCGCGACAGACGACGTCGATCTTGGTCGTCTTGACGGTGTGGTACGTCTGCGGTATCGCCGTTCCAAGGTGATGTATAGGTGGCGGAGTGCGAAGGCCAGCAGAATCAAAGCAGTGATGAGACAGAGATATCTACTGGCATACCAGTGATACTTCTTGGGCTTTACTCCACCAGGATAGGGAGCGGGGTTGTTTGGTTGTTGCGGAAGGTCGGCGGCATTAGGAATCTGCTGAGCTGTCATGACAGCCTGAGCAGGACCCTCCATTGTCCGGTTCGTAGGGGACGATGTTGTTGCAAGGGGCTGGGCGATGGGGAGGAGTTGGGTGGGAAAGAGTGGCCAACAAGGGAGAAGGTGCACCGCGTGCTTCTGTTGCCATCGGCCGGCCGACACCGACCGTGGAGGCAGAAGAGGACCCCACGCTTTATCTGATAATATGAGACGCCGCACCCATGCGTCTTTTTCGGGATTAACGGTGTGGCGTCGGGTAATTCTCCCGTCGACCCACAATAAGCGCATGAGAGGGCTCTGTCGTTCTTCATCCCACCCATATGCCGCCCGTCGACTACTCATCCCAGACCTATTGGGAAAGCCGTCTCGACAAGGAGCGAGAGTCAGGCTTTGAATGGCTGGTTCCCTCCGCAGCCATCCTCCCGCTAATCTCATCATCGGCGCAGGCTCTGCAAACCCACATTGTCCAGCCTCTGAAAGTTCTCCATTTTGGTTGCGGCTCTTCATCTCTTGGCACTGATATCCAAGGCCATCTGGGAACGGACGCTCAAGTCTATGACGCGGACTATGCGACCTCAAGTATAAACGACCGCACCTCGCCGCTTCTGGGCACCCGCACTGTCCCTCTTCTGCAAATTGACGTCCTCTCACCACAATCTGTCGTTGCGGCATCTCCAACGAATGGATGGGACTTGCTCGTCGACAAGTCCACAGCAGACGCCATCTCCTGTGGTGCACCCCACGACGTGCACGTAGGCGACTCGAGCAATTCCGCTACATGCAAGAGGGAGGCTCTCGAGGTCCTTTGCGACAACCTCGCCAAAGTCACACGAAAAGGCGGCAGATGGATAAGCGTCTCCTACTCGTCCTCGCGGTTCGCATTCATCGAATCCGACGATCCATCCTGCACTGGCAGTTGGAGACTGCTTGGTAAAGTGGCAGTGAAGCTACAGCCAATGGGTACAGAGGGCGAGCGAACCGTTTATCAACCAGAAACTGGTATCTGGGCGTGGGTTTTGGAGAGGTTGTAGAGTGTGGGATTCAGCCACAGTGCAATACATTTTACCGTTGGCCAGTACATATACATCCTCACATCCTCACATCCCCACATCTCTCACAATAAACCACCAACATACAGTGTCAACAACGACTTGTTGTGTAGGCCAAGAGCCAGATGTTGACCATCGTTCCGCCAAGCCATTGCCATCTGACGCTTAGCGAGAGATTGCCGAATGGGGTTACTCACCATCATGGGCCTGTCTCGTGCGGACTGGCGGTCCAGTTCCTCTGCAATTTCGTGCTCTTTCAACATTTTGCCAGTCTGCGGATAGATTAGTCAACGACACGCTACAGCACACGTACCGCGACGTCCCAAAGCACGAGCTTGCCATTCCAACCGCCGCCCGCAATGAGGCCTGAAGGGCGTCCAAGACCCGCAGGGGAAAAGGCAATAGAGCCCGTGCCGGATTCCAGCCCTGGCAGGACATGCAGGCATTCTCCACTAAGGGCATTGAACAGCTTGACAGTCGAGTCTTGGCCTCCGCTGCGCCAGTAAGCAGGTGTCAAGAGGACAAGATACTCACGCAGCCACAACCATGTAGTCTTCACGGCAATGTGGGCTCCACTCCAGCGTGTTCATCCTCTTGTTCTCAGTGCCACCGGTGACCACAGAGAGTCGACTAACGCAGTACTCGGATCCGGGAGAAACTGTGACCTGGAAGAAGTCGTCTGACGACTGCTCCTTTTCGCGGGGTTGCTTGCTGGGTGAGAGGGACCGGCTGACTGTACCTCTATCGACAGGGTATTGGGGAAGCTTCCAAATCATAATGTTGCCGTCGTCGGACGCGGACGCCAAAAGGCGATGGTGTGTTGGCACGCCAGCCAGAGGCGGGGACCATTTGACCTTGGTCACATCGTCCGTGTGACCTTTCAGCGTGAATCGAGGACGGCGGTCGTTGGAGCGGTAGATGAAGATGGTGTGGTCATTGCCACCTGACGTGAATATGTCGTCATCCAGCCAGTCAACATCATTGACTTCTTTGGTGTGAGACTCGAATGAGAGCTGTTTGGGAGATTTCAGGTCGAAATCCAACACAAACAAGCAGACGGTAAAGTCGTCTTTGGCTGCCAATAGGGACGTTCCAGATGGGTTGAATTTCAGAGAGTTGATGGTGCCACGGCCGTAGGTCAGAATTCCCTGCAGTTGGCCTGATGGAGTGAAAAGACGGCCAACGCCGTCCGATGCTGTTGAACAGTTAGTTGTGGTTGCCAAACGAGGACATACCTGTTGCAAACACAGTGCCATCAGGGTGCCAAACAAGTGCAGTGACAGCCTTTTTGCCGCTATCGATCGATTTGTGACTGATGGACGAGGGCTTCTTGGCCAGCTGCAGCGCGTGGCTAGACGAGCCTGGTGACTCCACAAAGTCCCACAACTTCGCCGTGCCATCGCCGCTGCCCGTGACAAGGACCTCCTTGTCCTTTGGGTTCCACGCGAGACAGGTAACCTGTCGGACGTCAGTGCTGCGCCCTCGGCGATGGAGGTCTACCCACAGCGTCACGATGTTCGGTCCAGCAGCCACCTCCTGATTCTGCAAGGGGAAAGCCATTCGTGTCTTTCACCTTGGAGCTGGGCGTTTCTCTCGGCGCACGAGAAGGACCATGCCTTGAACCCCCAGATGTATCATCGCGGGTCCTCTTCGGTGCTGTCGCGCGTTCAGAAGCGCCGCTGTTGGTGGAAGACTCGACAGCACTGGATGTTGCTGTACCACTGGACGCTTCAACAGCGTTCGTTCCACGGGGAGCATTGGGGTCGTCGCCCGAGACGGGTGAATCGGCGTGGACTTTGCGCTTGCCCTTGCCGATAGCCAGAGGCGGGGGCCCCTCGGGATCCTTGGGTGTTGACAGAGGCTCTGACGATGGAGTCTCTGTAGCCACGGTTCTTTCGGTAGACTGTCCCTGGGACCCAGATTGCTGAGCCTGAGGAGGGAAGGCTTCGGGGCGCTTGGGTGGAGGTGAAGGACTGATTTCTTCTGGTGGTTCTCCGTCTCGCGAGCACACGTGTGGAACCAGCAAGTGAAACGGCGAACGACAGGCTCCGGACGGAAGGTCCTGCAGAGGCGCATAAGCTAAGGTGTACTGCTACCGCTGCGTTCGTTCTGCGTCGATGAACTCACACTTTCCGACGACGTGTGGTGCTCAATCTCTTCCCAGCGGAGAGCCTTCCACAACTTGCGCACCAGTTCTCCTCGTGCAATCTTGCCATTGGGGTTCCCAAAGGTGTCTGCAGGAGGGATGGCTACCTTGACGATGCCATTAACGCGATTGGAGGACGAGCCCCGGGCAGAGGTCGATGATGGAGGGTTGGGGTGGGAGGGGTTGAATCGCTGGAAGAGAGCAGTGGATGGGAGGGAGGACTCGGAGAGGAGCGAGAACGCAGTATGGGAAAAGTTGGACTCGAGCAAGTACTGAGGTGACTGTCAGCGGTGGACTATAGGGTATATATATATATATATATATAGCAGGAGTGCCGTACCAGATAGATGAGGATGTTGATCTCATCGCTTGCGAGCTTGAGGTGTCCCATTCTGGGATCGGCTGCGGCGGCGAATGCAGTGTCTGGCTGCATCGCAAATGGTGCCGCGGAAGCCAACGGTATGGTAGGAAGGGCTGGGGACGCTGTGGGCGGTGGATGCTGCGAGTGGGACAAGACGGAGGGTATGAGAGTGGATGATGTGAACGTCGGGGGAGAGGTGTGTCCGTCATGTCGGCCAGAGCGCGAGAGAGGCAACCAACGGTTGGGTGGCAAACCGAGGGGACCGCCCAAGTGCCACAAGCGGGATATAGCGGATAATGCCGCCGGACGTGAGCTTGCGCGCGTGTGCACGCGCGGGGTGTGCTCTGACTGCGCGCGTCATGGTGGGTGCATGGGTCGAGCTAGCGACACTGGGTGCTGTGGGGCGTGCCGCCTGCGGTGGCGGCCAGGCTCTGGCTACGGCGCGTGTCGTCGTCGTCCGTCAATACATCCATCCATCCCACACATTTCTTCCTCCTCTCTTCTCTCACAATACACAACACGGTAGCGCAGTCACTCTCTCGACCGACATGCCTGCCATATCCTTCCTACCTTTCCTCCAGACAGTCCCCTGGGGCACCCGCATCCTCACAGCCCTCCTCGTCGTCTCATCCCTCCTCCAGTACTCGCTCGCCGCCGTCGTTCGTCGCAACTCGGCCGTCGACCCATCCTACGGCCATGAACTGCCATGGCTCGTTCTCATCCCCAAAACGAGCTGGAAGTTCCCTTGGACCCTCCTTACCTCGGGATTCGTGGAACTGAACATCATCGAAGTGAGCATTCGGATGCCGGTTGCTTACAACTCGGTCTAACCTTTGCCAGTTCCTCGTCGCGCTTGTCGCCGTTCCCTTCGGCTGCCGCTACCTCGAGCGTCTCTGGGGCATGCGGGAGCTGCTGCGCTTTGCAGCTGTCGTTATTGTCGGCTCGAACGTTATCGCCTTTGGATTCTCCTGGTTGACATACTTTGTGCTCGGTTCGGAGGACCTCACAATGTACGTTTCCCACCGGCCTTGCGCGGCTGACGGTGTAGTTCCGGCTTGCCCTACCACGGCCTTTCTGGCTTGCAATCCGGCCTTCTCGTTGCATTTACCCAGATCATTCCTGAGCACCAGATTCAGCTGTTCGGTGTTCTCAAAGCCCGTGTCAAGGTGCGTTCATTGAGACCAAAACGGTGGTACTCACTTCTGGCAGACCATTCCAGGAATCTACCTCCTTATTTCCAACGTTCTTGTCATCGTCCTCGGCCCTTCGCCCTTCATCCTGATCCAGTTTGGCTTCTTTGTTGCCTGGGTCTATCTGCGGTTCTTCAAGCTGTCGGAGAATGGCGAATACCGTGGTGACCGCAGCGAAACTTTCGCCTTCCAGTACTGGTTCCCCCCCATTGTTCGGTACGTCACTGGCTCGCGGGCACATGCTGTCAAACTGAGCGCCCACCTCTCATACTCATACCTGCAGCCCGTACATTTCCATCGCTGCCAACCACGTCTTTCGACTTGCCGTGCGAGTTGGTGTCATCCAGTCCTGGGACGACACCCATGGCGGCAACTATTCCGTCCTCCCTGGCCCAGGCGGAGCAAGGGCCGAGGCTGAGAGGAGACGGTGAGTTCGGTTCTCGAGGCAAAGCTGACGATGTAAGTGCTGTGGCTTTGCGGGCACTCGACGCCAGGCTGGCATCGACGTCTCCAGCGCCCGTCGCAACCAACCCTCCTGCGGAGGGAAACAAGGGTAACCAGCTGCCAACCAAGCCCAGTGAATCGACTGAGGCTCCCGCGTCATAGACCACACCCAGGACACCTGTTCGAGGTCCACGTGTGATGTACTATTTTGCACCCTCATTGAGACATGAACCTGTAACGAAACTCTTGTTATGTCAAACTGCACATAAAACTAGTGTCCTTGCATACAGAAAAGAAAAACGATGGATAGAAAACACTCATTAACAGCCAGTAAGCGAGTTTTTCTGGCATTGTCAGCATGGCGTCGTACTGTGTTGATAGTGGGCTTACGGGCCAGGTGTACCCAGCTGCGGCCCAGGTGGTATAGTTGGGGTTCTGATATGCGTCTTGGTGATTTGCGATGTAAGCGGCAGTGGGCCTGTCGGCCGGGTCACAACCCAGGTAGCCGACGCCTGGACGCTGATACACGCGCACATAGTCGACCAGCATCTCGTTTGGGAAAGCAAGATGAGCCAAGTCGACGGTCTGGAAACCGTTCGACATTCCAAAGTTGATGATCTGGGCACTGTCAGGAACACATCCATGCGTGCGTGCTGCTTACCATTGACATGGGTTCTTCGGAGATGAGACGCTCTCCAATACCGACACGCGTGTTCGCTCCGACAGCACCGGCCTTCATGGTCCAGGTCTTGGCGCCGTTGGCAACCCACGTGACGTATCCGTTCTGTCGATTGTTGGGATCAGAGAAGACTTCGACACCTGCAGAGTCAGTGTACGGCTAGCATAAAAACCCGTACCGTAAATGTTAAACTGTCCACTCGTGCCCTGATAGACACCGTTGGGGACGTATGACAGCGCAGATACAGCTTGCTGGTAAATTCCACCGAGGTAAGAGTTCAACAGCGTAACGTCCTGGTCATATATCGTGACATAGGCGGAAGAGTTGTCGAATTGGTAGAAGTCGTCAAATGGTGCCACCTGGAGAGACTGCGACATCTCGCCCTTTGAAGTTGAAATCTCGACTTGAGCCTACACATTGTTAGAAGATGGCAAGTTTAAAGTGGTTGTTGTTTGTAGCCTCACCTCGATGATATCAATTTCAGGCACTCCGCGACCATACGAGACGTCTGGTCCAGGGTGGTCTTCACCTTTACAGGTGCAGGCGGACACACGCTGTCCTGGAAGGCTGCATAATCAGTACGGGTTGGAAATTTGAACTCACTAGGACAGAGTCCCGTCGTCTGTTCCAGTGTTCAAAGCGGCTGCGGGGGCCTTGCCGTCGGGGTTGGTCTGGTTCACAAGAGTGCCCACGTCACACGAGTCATACGTGTAGGGCCACGTTCCGTCCGTTGTGGCACCGTAGCCGGGACGACCGAGGTTGCCCATGGTCCAAACACCTGGCCAGAATCCTCCAATACGGTTGTTGCCTGGGAGCGAAACGCTGACCTCCATGTAGTAGCTGTACTGGAAGCACATCTGGTTCCAGGACTGAAGCATGCCGGACTGGAACTGCAGGTCATGGAGGGGCTCTTGCGACATGGTGATTTTGAGATTGCCGCCTTCGGTTGTAATGGCAGAGGGATCGTACCACTCGAGGTCACTGAGCCCGTTAGGTGGCCGCTCCACATAAGGAACATGTCTCTTGGACGACTTACCCAGTTGGCCAGTAGTGAAAGTCGCTATTATTGATCAGAAATGTTACAACGGGGTCGAGACTTACACAGCTTGCCAGAACGGGTCGTCGCCCTCGTAAAACGTCCGGCCATCCTTGTTAAACTCGTCCGAGAAAACCAGCTCGTAATTGTTGCCGTCAAACCCAGTCCTTGACATGACATCGCTTGGGGTATCAGGATCGATGAGCTGAGGAAAGTTGGGAATATAAGGGACCTGTCCAGTCGAGTTGATACCACCCATGTTGTAGGCGCCGTTGTTGGACTGCTTATCCTCTGTGAAGTGGGTGATGATAGGATAGCCTGCGAAGAGGGTGATCAGGCAGATGAGAAGCATGAACAGACAGCCAACGTTGGTGACTCCTCTCCACGTAAAGACCGAGCCACCCCTGTCGTTCTAGACAATGTCAGCAACAAGTCGAACCAGTGACGGTCGACACCCACCTTGCCATCCCTCTTTGGATCAGGGTTGTGAAGGTAATCGTCCGCCTCGGGGTCATTCCACCCCCACCCGTCACCACTTGTGAATGCCGTTGAGGCTCTAGAGACATGGGAGGCACGATTGCTGTTGTATCCGGACATGGGCCGGGGGATGGACAGATGGGACCCTGGTGCACTGTCTCCAAGAAGAGATGCAGTTGCAGGAACTGGGGCGTCGGCGGCGTTGGGACCGTATTGTTGAGACGACAGCTGGGCAAATGTCAGTAAAGCTTGGGTGCACAGGCGCTAATGGGGAGACACTCACTCTGCTGTAGTCTAAGCCTGCGCTCCTGGGGCTTCCGGGATGGCTACCGACCATGGTTGAGAGTGCTCTAGGGAGCCTGGGTTCACGTCAAAAGGAAGTTGAAGTTGGTGTGTTGGCAAAGTGACTTGTGTTCTGTACAGCAAAAAAGCGTGGCTGGGATTGTGGTCGTTGCAGCGAGGATGTACAAGGTATGGAGGATGGGGTCGTTTGCGTGAAAGGCGGGAAAGGACTGGGGATAGTGAAGGGGGGGGGGGGGTTGGCGAGCGTGGATGGACGTGGAGGTGGGTGTTGTGTTTGGCGGCCCGGTTGAGAGAGAAGAGATGGCGATGCGGGAAAGGGTGTCACACGGTCAGAGAAACAGAGAGATGTGTGGTGTGTGGTTGGAGAGTGTCGAGTGTCTAGTCGTGTGTGTGTGTTGGAGGAGGATTGAAATGGTGCCAGACGGAGGGAGGGCTGTGCGGTGCTGCCTTCTGACTGGGGGGCTGGGGGGCCGGGGGGAGAGGGGGAGGAGAAGGGCGTGTGTGTGTGTGTGTGTGTGTGTGCAAAGAGCGTCGTCGTCGTCGCCGTTGTCGTTGCTCGTCTCCCGCTGCGCCGCTCTCCTGCGTCTCCTGCCATCAGGTGGCGGTGAACAAGACAACCTAGCCTAGGCCAGAAGCCAGAGGCAAGAAGAGCCGGGTGCGCCGGGCGCGCCCGGGGGGGGGCAGGGGGGGACGGCAGACGCGTGCATACAGGCATGCCAGGCCCAGCAGGCCAGCAGCAGACCGGGGCGTTCCAACGGGCGTCGTGCGCGCCCACACAGCGCGCAACAGCCTGCAGCGCGTGCAGCTGCCTGGCTTGCCTGGGAAAAAGAGAGGGAGATTCCTGTGCTGAGGCGCCGCTCTGTACGGACGCTGTACGCTCTGTGCGCTCTGTGTTTGTGCTCCCAGGCGCCGCTGAGCGAGAGAGAGGCGAGAGAGACCCTGTCCCCCTTGTTTTGATCCCGCAGTCGAACGGCGAGAGATAAAAGTAAACGCTCCCGCCTCTAATCCAATTAGACATGTGTTACCCACGCCAACAAGGGTCCCATTTAGGATTTTTCCATTGACCCGCCGGAACACACCCGTGTGTCGCGTGGGTCGTGTGGGCCGTGGCGCCGTGGGGTGCGGTTGGATCCGTAGGGAGGGTTTTGGGCGCCTCACGGCCATGTTTAGGGGGGGGAGGAGGCAACGCCCAGCCACACCTTGGCCCCTCTGGCTGTACAGCTGTGCGCATCTGCTAATAGCTCTTTTTGCATGCCTCACAATCCGCCACGGGCGCGCCACGGCACAGCACGTACAGTACATCAAGGGAAACACACCGATTCTTTCGGCCACCACCATATGGTTGTTCTCGTTGCATTTGGCTGGCCCGTTTGGACGTTTGGATGCTATATGCACAAAGGCCATTGAACACGACAAGGTTTGTTGTTTGTTGTCGTTGGCTGAAACACTGTGTACTGTTACCGACTGAACGGGGCCTGTACGATTCAAGGTACACCAGTGGCCAGTGGCCAGTGGCCTGTGGGCCTTTGGAGCGTCAATTGAACGAATCCAACACCTCTTCTCATGCAAAACAGGCCATGTAAAGATCCTATGGGGGATTATGTAATCTACCTGCCCTGCAACAGTACTTAGGGACACACCCCGACGTCTTTTGATGTCTGATCCGCAATTCCGCAACACGTCGGGTACGAGGAGTAACGCGAGTGATCACAGTCGCAAGCCGGCGCAGGGTTACGCATAGTCACGGTCAGCCAAGAAAACAACAAACCTGCATAGCCGCACAGATACCTTTTGTCACAAGCTCGTGAGTCACGAGTCCCTTGAACTTAGCAGGGCCACGGGCCGCGGCAACTGTAGCAACACTAACTGTCTGTGGCCCACGTCCTTTCATGCGTACTGGTGTTTGCAGCTGTGGTCATGTCCGCGCTTCCTGGGGTCGAGACCAACATGCCATGTCACTTCAACAGGTATACCGTTCAGCCATGTGTGTTTTGCCTCTTGGATCCTGGACAGACATCAAGTGCGCGTGAGACGTCGGGAATCCGCACCCTTGCTCTGGAGCTACCCCAGGTCAATGGTCTTACGCCGCAGGCGTGTTGCCTCTCTCCTAACTGCTGACGGGATCCTGTGGCCTGTGGAGACGTGCTTGGCGTATCCCTTTCCCCCATGAAGACACTTTGGCCCCCGTACCATCCTAATCGTATCGGCAACGGTGGATCCAGGTGGAGAGATACAAAAGGACACCGGGGAAGAGGGCCTCTCAGCGACCAAACTAATACAACTTGGTCCGGGGCCGCGTGGCGGACCGTCATTTTGGGGTTGCTCAGGTCCCTGTGAGTGGTACGTTCCACACCATGGCACCGCAAAGTTCAGAGCAGGAGTTGTGCTCCATGCAGAACTATGTAGCTGTGTGCATATGCGCATATGAAGACCAATCGATTCGACGGGCAACACGGTGTTGGATATAGCACAGATGCGGAAATAGATAATAAGTGCGCGTGTGGGTTTCGCGTGGATTATTTTTGTGGATATTTTCTCCCCATTTATCCTGGACCGTACCCAGTGATCCAGTGACGTCCCATGGACGCGCGTCCATGATGCGGGCCACCGTACCAGTGTCCAACTCCTTCCATACTTCGTCAACCCGCGTTTGTCAACAAGCCGCCTTCACCATGACCCTCGTTCCCGAAGATCGTGACACAGCATCTACGCTGGACCGTGCAGAGGCCCTTGGCAAGTCCGACCCCGCGCAGGCAGAGGCCCTTTACCGCTCGGTTCTCGATCACAAAGCCGGTACGTCTCTGGCTCTTGCCACGCAAATCCAGCTGACACAGACACAGCCGATGAGGCCGAGTTGAAGGACCAGGAGACTGCACTGCTCAAGCTTGGTGCCCTCTACCGTGATGTTGGGTACATAACACGACCCCGATGGAGGCATCCCCGCTGACGTTATCAGCAAGACGCAAGAGTTGGCGGACCTTGTCGTCCAGTCCAGGGAGTTCATGTCCCATGTGGCCAAGGCCAAGACAGCCAAGCTCAGTGAGCTCATTTGATTACTCTGAGATCTCAACCTAACTTGCAGTTCGCGCACTCATTGACTACTTCCCGCCATCGGCTCGCGATTTGCAGATGAAGGTGACGAGTGAGAACATTGAATGGGCGAGGGCCGAGAAGCGCGTCTTCCTTCGCCAGAGTCTCGAAATCAAGCTTGTGGCACTGTGAGTAGCCTGCGCCGCTCAAGCTACAGAGGCCCAGAACTGACCTGACCAGCCACATCGACGCCCAGAACTACCGCCAAGCTCTGGGCATGACGGAGGATCTCCTCAAGGAGCTCAAGCAGCTTGACGACAAGATTATTCTCACCGAAGTCTTCTTGTTGGAGTCGCGCGCCGCACATGCAATCCAAAACCTCCCTCGTGCCAAGGTACGTCTGTTGACGTAGTCGTGATCTGACCATCCCACAGGCGGCCTTGACGTCTGCCCGCACCACTGCCAATTCGATCTACTGCCCGCCTCTTCTCCAGGCTCAACTGGATTTGCAGGCCGGTGCTCTGAATGCGGACGACAAGGACTACAAGACCGCGTACTCGTACTTTTTTGAGGCATTCGAGGGCTTTACTCAGGTCGACGAGGCTGACCAGCGTGCTCTGCGTTCTTTGAAGTATATGCTCCTCTGCAAGATCATGATGGGCTTGGTAAGTTGTTTCTCTACAGTTGCATGCTGACGCTGCAGTCTGATGATGTGCCTGCTCTTCTTCTGATGAAGTCTGCGTCCCGTTATGCCGGCAAGGACTTGGACGCCATGAAGGCTACCGCCCAGGCGCAGAAGGAGAGGAGCCTGGAGATGTTCAAGGAAACCTTGAAGGAGTATCAAGATCGTGAGCCATTCAGCCCATGCCATGGTGCTAATTCGTCATCAGAACTCCAAAAGGACCCTCTCATTCGCTCCCATCTGTCTGCACTCTTCGACACTCTCTTGGAGCAGAACCTGCTGCGTGTGATTGAGCCTTACTCGTCTGTCGAGCTTTCTTGGATTGCTCACGAGGTCGGACAGGGACGCGACGTTGTGGAGGAGAAGTAAGTCCATCCATGAAACATACAGCGTTAACCACCCCGCAGGTTGAGCCAGATGATTCTCGATCAAGTCTTCTATGGCGTCCTCAACGAGAGGGCAGGTACACTGGAGGTCTTTGACGAAGTCCAAACTGAGGTAGGGGAAGCGTTGTATATTTGGAACTAACTCCACAGGCACTTTTGTCTGGTGCCCTCGACACGATGAAGCAGATGGGTAGCGTCATTCAAGCTCTGTACGAAAAGGTGAGGAAGGCATGGCGAGAATGGGACGCTGACATGGCAGGCTACCAGTCTTGCGTAATGAAGCAGTAGTAGCAGTTGGGGAAGTCAGTAGAAGAGTGTATAGCATGCATGTGACGTCGCCCGCAGCAGTGCGTTGGCAAGTGACTGTGCACTGACCAGATCACAGAGGTTCGTGACAGGGCGCCACTGGTCGTTGGTCGCCCGCCTCCACCCAAAATGCTTCCGCCCGCTGGGCGCTGGTGTCAATGACGCACCCCCACGCCACCCAGTGTCCCCTCTGGCGCGTGCACACTTGAAGTGCGCATCAATGTTAAGGTGGGATAGAGCCTTACAGTCTTCCTCCCACTCCCTCTTCTACTACCATCATGTCGCCACTCCAGTTCCAGCCTCTGATATCCCAGCCAACCCCCGAGTTCTGGTCGGCATTGACGGCATTGAAACTCGACAAGCTTCGTCTCGATGATTCCATTATTCCTTTGCACGCCTGGGTTGATGAAGGGCGTGAGGTGGCAAACACCAACAGGATGACTGGCCAGGTGGACGATAATGTTGGCGTAGATGGCAGCGTATTCCTCCCTGCCTCAGCATTCGAGGACTCTGGCAAACAGTGGGTTATCGCGCAGTAGAGACCCGAAGGTGAGTGACGAACTGACACCGCCATCAAGACTGCCCGTAACAAGCACCGTCATGCACGGACTCTTCAAGAACTACAATACGATTGAGCAATTTCGTTCCCCACAGGAGAAGAAACAAGTGTTTGACTCTGTTGTCCAACAGGTACGTGCAATCATGACTTACGCCAGCTGACGCCGCAGATGGTGGCCTCGTTTGACGATGATCAGCCGCTGCTCAACACGTTCATTCTCTTTGCGTTTGCGGATCTTAAGAAGTACTCGTATCATTATTGGTTTGCATTCCCAGCCTTTGTCGCAAAGCCTTCCTGGCAACTTGATAGTGACTTTACTCAAGCTCCCGCACAGGTGAGAAGCATCGGTGCCAGAGGGAAAGCTGACCGACCTTCAGGATGTCGAGGAAATTCGACAACTCATTGCCGAGCGCGGTGTTTCAGCGACGGGCTTGACGTCTGTGTTGCTGTTCAAGGGCCCCCCTGGGTCACGATCTTCTGCCCCTCTGTCCAAAGCATCGACTTTCTTTGCGGGGGTTCCCGCCGCTGAAGTGAGAGAGACAGTTGTCTCGTGGGATGCGCAGCTGACGCTCGTAGCGCCTGCTAGCCTTTCACGACCCTTCCTCCCTTCCAAACAACCCAGGTTGGCCATTGAGGAACATTCTCTTCTACCTTCAAACCCATCACAGCGTCCTCAATGTCGCCGTGATCTGCCTTCGTCAAGGAGATACCAGTCGATTCGGGCGCCTGTCGGCACAAGCTGCCGCGCCTTCGGAAGGAAAGCCACAAGCGGTCGGATGGGAGCGAGACGGCTCTGGCAAGCTTGCAAGCCGCGTGGCGAACCTTGGGCCGATGTTGAACCCAACCCGGTGGGTCTCCAGATCCGGCTGGGCATCGCAGCTAACATGTGCCCAGACTGGCTGAGCAAGCCGTGGACCTTAACCTCAAGCTTATGCGCTGGCGAATTCTTCCAGACCTCGACCTCGATCGTATCGCGTCCACAAAGTGTCTCTTGTTGGGTGCGGGGACTCTCGGCTGCTACGTTGCGAGAGCCCTAATGGTCAGTGTCCTTGAATGTCGCTGCTGTCGCTAACAGACGCAGGGATGGGGAATCCGAACAATTACCTTCGTTGACTCCGCCCGTGTCTCATATTCCAACCCGGCAAGGCAGCCGCTGTTTCAGTTTGAGGACTGCTTGAATGGAGGCAAGCCTAAAGCAGAATGCGCCGCCCAAAGACTGAAAGAAGTATTTCCGTCAATCGTCAGTTTGTCACAGATGGGTTGGCGTCTCGACATGCGCTGATGGTACAGAATGCCACGGGACACAGCATGATGATTCCTATGCCCGGTCATCCCATCGGTCAAGGAAGTGAAGAAGAAACGGCAGGCATGGTGGCCAAACTTGAGGATCTGATCCGAGAGCACGATGCTGTCTTCCTACTGATGGACTCGCGCGAGTCCCGATGGTTGCCCACCGTTATGGGTGCTACTCTAAACAAGATCGTCATCAACGCTGCTCTTGGCTTTGACAGCTACCTCGTCATGCGTCATGGTGCAGGACCTCTTGACTCGCAGACGAAACGTCTGGGCTGCTACTTCTGCAACGACATCGTGGCACCTGCAGATGTACGCACAAGCGGGAAAGCCCAAACGATGCTAACCACACCAGTCCTTGACAGATCGAACTTTGGATCAAATGTGCACTGTCACCCGACCAGGCGTCGCTCCCATCGCAGCGGCATCTGCTGTGGAACTGCTTGTCTCTCTTGTCCAACATCCTCTTGGGTGAGTCGACCCCAAGTGGTTTTGGAATTGACCTCTCCCAGTGTCGGCGCCCCAGCGGAGAAGCCTGCGGACCATCGTGACTCTGAAGGATCGCCCCTGGGTGCCGTTCCGCATCAGTTGCGCGGTCTTTTGAGCCACTGGAACACTGCACTTGTGGAAGGCTGTGCATACGATCGTTGCACCGGCTGCAGCCAGAAGGCAAGCACGACCACCACTTCTTCACTTCTTGCGAACGCTAACCGTTAGGTTGTTGAGGCATATACTGAAAGCGGCTTTGGGTTCCTCCTTCGCGCGTTCAACGACACTGGGTTCCTCGAAGGTCTTACTGGTCTGGACAAGCTCTATGCTGAGGCTGAGGCAGTGCTGGATAATGTGGACTGGGAGGAGGACAGCGACGACGGTGGTCTGTAGCCGTTCCCCTGCGTATTCATGCGTATTGTTTTGATGGCGATGTGAATTTGATTCCGGAATATATTTGATCCCGTGGCGCGTCCAAGTGGATGTAAACAACACCTCGCCTCAGGCTCCCTCTCGCCATCTATTTCAACAACCTCATCTCTACCCCCTATACCTCTTGCATTATCGCTATGGACTCTCGTCGTAGGACGCTTGCCTCTGACGGTCCAGCAGGTAACGCGGTTCAATCCTCCTCGGCGATACCACTTCCTTCCTCGGCGATGAAACGGCCTGCTGTACGAAGCGCCGCCTCGACCTCGCGGTTGTCCATGGCCGCACAGCCCTACGCCACTGCGACTAGACCATCGTTAATGGGTAGCAGCATGATGGGTTCTTCGTCTCTGGTTCCAAATGAGCCAAACTCGGTGCGGAGAAGCATTCTCTCAACAAGGATGGGCGACATGAATTCCGCATCAAGTGCTACCCGCGGCGACAATGGGGCGTATGGACGGACCCCACAGGCTTCCAGACACCTTGCCAGGTAGGTTAACTCTGCATGAGGGCGCTGACAGCTTCTAGCACGCGCCGATCTTCCATTTTTGCTTCAGCTGGTGGCGGCCGCGCGTCGATTATGCCTGCTTTCTCTACCGGAGCCATCAAGGACCCACGTCCGATTCGTGATCGCACGTTCCAGAGTGACTGCCATGCCAACATCCAAGAGTTCCTTGCCCGGCGCAAAGTGCAACTCGCCCTCACTCCAAAATGGCTGTCTTCGCCCACTCAGCGTGACTTTCAGAACGTCTTTCGTTTCCTCGCGGATGAACTTGTTGGCCCAGGGTTCCCTTGGGGCAAGAAGTTCGAAGATGACTGCCTTGCAATCATGAGGGACTTGCGCTACCCGGTCATGGATGCTGTTGGTAAAACAGCCCTGACCGCCCCAGGAAGTCCCAATGCTTGGCCCAACGTCCTGGCGATGCTCAATTGGATGGTGGATCTGTGCAAGGTGCGTACTTGGCGCGGACTTTGGGAGCAGTTTGCGCTAACGTCTCTGTCAGGCTCAAGAACATTGCAACGATGCCGACGTCGTGTCTGATCCTTTACTTTGCCCAGCCAGCGAGCTACCTGTCAATCACCCGCAGATTGAGGATCGGCTGCTGTGGGACTTCTGCGCCAAAACGTACCGAGAGTGGTTTGAGGAGGGCGCGGAGGAGTTCCCACATGCTGAACGCGAGTTGGAAGAAGCGTTCGGTAAGCCACCCTTGAGAATGCCTGACACCTTCGAGGAGTTGCTGACAGCTTGCAGAAAGGATTGTGGCTGCATCTATCGATGAGTGTGAGCGCGTCGAGACGGAGGTCAACAAGAAGGACGTGGAACTACGACAGCTGCAAGCTCAAGAGGTAGGCCCTTGTCTAGTTCACCGCCACTGACGTGATCAGCCTCCACTGAAGAATCTCGATGAAGAATACCTTCAGCTCATGAGCGACAAGACCAAATTCCTTGCCTTTATCGATCTTCATCGCCAAAAGGCAGAGAAGATGAAACAAAACATCACAAATGCTCAAGCGGCGAAGACTGAGAATGGCAAGTCTGGTACCCCAGTACTGTCTACTGTCCCCATGTTAAGCTGACAATTTCCTCTAGGACGCAACATTCTGGCGGCGCGCAGTGAGCTGGCGGAAACTGAAGCGGCCGTAGCTGCGCAGAACCTCTCGCCTGACGAGGTGAACCGAATGAATCACGAGAAGGAGGCACTGTCCCGGAACCTCGATGAGCTTCGGAGCAAGATCGCAGAGGCCAACAACCACGCGTGTGACCAAGAAATGCTAGTCACCAAGTCGATGGATCGCTTCGATCAACTGCTTCAAGACTACACCGCCTTGGGTCATCAGATTGGCACCATGTCCACCAACGTCGACGGTGTGCAGCCAGAGCTCCAAGGTATCGACTTTGCATTCGAGCTGGATCTTGGCGCGGAGAGCCTTATCGATATCCGTGATCAAGGGCGCTCCCAAGTACAAATCATTCGACCAGCGCTACAAGGCTATTGTGAGCACTTCCGTCGACAGGTTCGCCAGCTCCAGGATGACGCTATCGCCTTGGACGACGAGAACGACCGTATAGCCCAAGACGTTGAGAGGCAGAGGGAGGATGTGGCGCGCCGCGAGATGCGATTCAAGCTCGTCCACGACCAAGCTGAGGAGGCCAAGATTGTTAGTATGAACAAGTGGCTTTTGAGCTGACACTCTCAGCAAATGCAAACGGAAGCGGCCGAGACCAACCGAACCGTTTCCAAGCTGGAATCGGAAGTGTCAGCAATGTCAACAGCCAGCCAGCAGGGACTGTTCAGCACACAGTCACAGCTTGAAAGCACCAAGATCGAGTAAGCAGTTTCCCTTCCCCATTTGGGACTGAGAGCATCGTCTGACGACCCTCGCAGGTTCGAGGAGCTCCGCCACCAGACACAGGCGCTTCAAGAGGGTATTGTCACTCAGCTGATGAGTCACATCGATGTGGTCATCAAGGCCAAAGAGCATACCGCCAACAGTCTCAAGGGTGTAAGGAGTTTTGCCGAACAAGCGCAGTGAATGTTGTGTACAATTAGTTGTTCGCTGAGTCCTCCAAGTCTATAGTGCGGTGTATAACAGTAGTTGCAGTGAGACGGTGACGATGGATATCAGAGCTGCCGTGTGCTCGCTCGCATGGTCTTTTTCTACGGAGGCTGTGGTTGGGCGTGGCTGTCGCGCTGTCGGCTGATGCTCGAGCAGGCCCTCGAGCTCATGCACTCATGTGCGCAGCTAGCTTGGGTCTTGGAGGGGGGTGGGAAGAGCCTGTGTTGTGGAAAGGTTCCGCTCAGTGATCACTGGCAAGAGATGAATTGGTCCCGGTTAACTCCACGTCTCCCTGGACGCGGTCGCGCGTGCTGTGGGCCGCGAACACGCAACGAGCTAGCTCGAGCTAGGGAGCGCGCGCGTGCGCGGGGCAAAAGGGAGAGCCGGGAGAGAGAAGGGGGGGGCCTTTGCTCTGCGGCCGCGCGCGTTTTTGGCTGGCCTATTCTGTGATCTGTGAGATTGCCACGCTGTTACGCGACGCAGGGGGCCCTCACAAACGCACACGGCGGCAGCAGCATTAACGCACACGCCCACAGCGTTCCCTCCCCCCCCCCGCCCCCCGTGTCAGCCCGCCCGCCGCCAGGGCGACACGACAACCACCGCTTGGCCGACACAACTGCACATTGCCTTGTCCATTCGCATCTCATCCCTCCCCCTCTCCTCCCCCCTCTCCCCCCTCCCCACTCCCTCCTACCTCCTCTCCTCCATCTCATCTTCTCACCCTTCTTCCTCCCCCGCCTCGTCTCGTCTCGCCAGTCCCCATCAACAGCTGGTAGCTGTCGCCCTCGTTCCTCTACTCCGAAAGACGTTTCTCTTTCACCGACGAACGACATCTCCTCAGCCGTCCCTCCACTACCTCACACTCTCGAGGCGTACAAGCGTCCAGAACAGCAGTAGACTCTATTCCCAGACACACCCCTTGGTGCAATGACTTCTGTGTACGCCAAGGGGACCCGCGTCTGGTTGCCCGACACCACAGCTGGCTGGGTTCCGGGCACGGTCACCTCTGTGGTGCTTCCCCGCGACGGTGAACCCTCGTCCGAGGTCGCCATCACCGTCTCAGTGGATGGCTCCGACAACACGGTCAAAGACTACAAATGCTCGCTTGCCGATCTCCAAGCGGCATCTGACTCCAATGGCAACAGTCTGCCTGCCAGCTCCCAATCGCCAGGCCAAGATGCGTTGCCTCCCCTTCGTAACCCTCCTCTCCTCGAGAGCTCAGAGGACCTGGCGAGCTTGAGTAACTTGAACGAGCCCAGTGGTGAGTCCCAGTTCTTTGCTGCTGAGTGGACATCTGACCCAGTTATAGTTCTGCATGCGATTGCCACGCGATACGAGGCGCACCAGCCATACACATACTCTGGAATTGTCCTGGTAAGCCGCGGCAACGTGCCTACCTGCTGTCGTGCGAGTGCTCATCGGGTCCACAGGTCGCGTTGAATCCATTTAGCCCTGTCCCCCTCTGTGAGTCTGAAATGGCGACCGTGCTAATTTCAAAGACGGCAACGACATTCTTCAGGCCTATGCAGGCAAAAAGAAAGGCGAGCTCGAGCCGCATCTGTTTGCCATTGCCGAGGAAGCATTGGACTACATGCGTCGAGGCAGTGGCAACGGCGGCGTTGACCCGACCGGTGCCGGTGACCAAACCATTGTTGTCAGCGGAGAGAGGTGAGCTCCAGTTACCATGTAGGCCTCCTAACACTGCCCAGTGGAGCGGGAAAGACCGTTTCTGCCAAGTACATCCTTCGCTACTTTGCGTCAGTCCACAATCACGCCAGAGACCACTCGACCGCTCGTCGTCCAGGAGATGGTCCCGGCGATGACGAGGGCATGAGCGAGATTGAGCGCCAGATCCTGGCGAGCAACCCTATTATGGAGGCTTTCGGTAACGCGAAGACCACAAGGAACGACAACAGTTCGCGCTTCGGCAAATACATCGAGGTAGGTGAATATGGCACAGTTAAAATGCTGATGAGAAAAGGTCCTGTTTGACAGTGGAAACGAGATTGTGGGCGCCCGGGTCCGCACGTACTTGCTCGAACGGTCGCGTCTGGTGTACCAGCCCGAAACGGAACGCAACTACCACATTTTTTATCAACTGCTTGCAGGTGCACCTGCCAAGGAACGCAAGGACCTCTCTCTCCCGGCGGACCCACAGCAGTTTGCGTACCTCGCTGGTGGTGGCCCATCATCCTCGACCATCCCAGGAGTTGACGACGCCAAGGAGTTCCGGGACACTCAGGAGGCTCTGAGCACCGTTGGAATCTCAGTGGAGCGCCAATGGCACATCTTCAAGGTGCTTGTTGCCTTGCTCCATCTCGGCAACGTTCGCATCACTCAGTCTCGCACCGATGCTGTCCTGTCCGATGACGACGCCTCTCTTGTTCTGGCCACTGAACTGCTTGGATTGCCTCTCGCCGAATTCAAGAAGTGGACGATCAAGAAGCAGTTGATTACGCGCAACGAGAAGATTGTAACGAACCTGGGTTCGGCTCAAGCCACTGTCGTCCGAGACTCCGTTGCCAAATACATTTACTCCTGTCTTTTCGACGTATGTTGCTTTGATTGATTGCGTTAGCTGACTTTCTAGTGGCTTGTCGGCATTGTCAACGACAGCTTGGCGGGAGACATCACAGCGCCGGACGCACCAAAGCCGACGAAGTTTATTGGTGTCCTCGACATTGTGAGATCTTTATCGTACAACGTGGCTGACCTCTTGCAGTATGGCTTTGAGCACTTCAAAAAGAATTCATTTGAGCAGTTCTGCATCAACTGGGCCAACGAGAAGCTTCAGCAGGAGGTGAGTCCATTTCATAAACAAACAGAAACTTTTACTGACACTTCCAGTTCAATGCTCACGTCTTCAAGGTAAGGCTGCGATACCGCTTGACTTTCTGACACGTGTAGCTTGAGCAGGAAGAGTATATGCGCGAAGAAATCAACTGGACGTTCATTGATTTCACCGACAATCAGGCCTGCATTGACATCATCGAGGGCAAGATGGGTGTTCTGACTCTGTTGGACGAAGAGTCGCGACTTCCTGCCGGTGCAGACGCCTCGTTTGCCAACAAGCTCCACCAGCAGCTGGACAAACCGGAGCACAAGGGTGTCTTCAAAAAGCCACGGTTCAACCAGAACGCGTTCACTATTGCTCACTACGCTCACGACGTGACATACGACGTTGACGGTTTTATCGAGAAGAACCGTGACACTGTGCCAGACGAGCACCTCGCCCTCCTGCAAGCATCGTCCAATCCATTCCTTGCCGAAGCTTTTGACCGCTCGTCATCTGTTGCCTTGGCGGCGACTAATGCCAACAATGCAGCTGCCGATGCGCGAGCGGGGCCCAAGCGTGCCGCGGCTCGCAAGCCGACCCTTGGATCCATTTTCAAGTATTCGCTGATCAGCTTGATGGACACTATCAACAACACCAACGTCCATTACATTCGCTGCATCAAACCGAACGAGTCCAAGAAGGCATGGACGTTTGAACCTCAGCAGGTGTTATCTCAGCTTCGCGCCTGCGGTGTCCTCGAGACGATTCGCATCAGTTGCGCGGGATACCCAAGCAGATGGACGTTTGGCGAATTTGCCAGTCGGTGAGTACTCTCCTAGGCTCCTATCACTGACCGCAAGCTACTACGTCCTTGTCAACTCGAAGGAGTGGGAAGCCAACTCGGACGTCAAAGCGTTTTGTCACGTTCTACTGCAGCGAACTCTCAAGGATGAGAACAAGTACCAGATCGGTCTCTCCAAGATCTTCTTCCGAGCGGGTATGGTTGCCCTGCTGGAGTCGCTCCGTACCGCCCGCCTCAATGCCCTTGTCACGTTGGTCCAGAAGAACGTCCGCCGCAGGATCGCATACAAGCACTACCAAGACCTTCGCAAGAAGACCATCGTCATCCAGGCTTGGTGGCGTGGCGTTCTGGGTCGCCGTCGCGCGGAAGAGATGCGCAAGGAAGCTGCCGCTATCCTCCTTCAACGTGCCTCTCGCGCTCTTCTCCAACGCCGCGCATATGCAAAGACAAGACACGCGGTCATCTCTATTCAGTCAGGTAAGTCGTCACGCCATACGTGTAGCTGATCATCTTAGCCATCCGTGGATACCAGGCTCGCAAGCGGTGCTCCGAAGACAGGACCTTGCACGCTGCGGTCGTCCTTCAAAGCCTGTTTCGTGGACGGTGAGTCTGAGACTCTTTTCTTTGCCTTGCTTGCTAATGCCACAGTGCCGCCCAGCAACGTCGTCTTGGGGAAGTTCGCCGAGTGGTTGTACTGCAATCGCAATGGCGTCGCAAGCTGGCCGTCCGTGAACTTCAGACACTCAAGGCAGATGCCAAGTCGGCATCCAAGCTCAAGGAGATCTCGTACCAGCTTGAGAACAAGGTCATCGAGCTCACTAAAACCTTGCAAAAGCGGACAGCGGATAACAAGAGTCTCAACGTGCGTGTTTCTGATCTGGAAAAGGAGATTGTTGTCTGGCAAAACAAGCACGACGAAGTCCATCGCCGTTCCCTGGCCCTGGAGGCCAAGCTTGCGCTACCGACCGTCCCGCAGTCCAAGTTCGATGAACTGTTTGCTTCAAAGGACGAGAGTGAGGGCCGTTTGCGCACAACCATGAAGCGCGTCACCGATCAAGAAGAGGAGATTCGCCGCCTTTCAACACAACTCGAACGTACGACCGTCGACTTCAACGAACGTCAGTCAGCGATTGACACTGCTGTCTCAAAGCATGTCGATGACGCTTCGACCATGTCCGCTCTTCGCCACGAAGTCGCCACGCTCAAGGAGCAGATCAGTCGCGCCAACGCCCTACAGGCCCTTACCAAAGGGCAGCGCGATGCTCCTCCATCTCCCACGTTCGATCGTGGCCTGCGCGACTTTGCGAACGGTCTGCCAGGGTCCGAGTCGCGTGGGGCTGCCGCTTCCCGTCGTCACCGTCGTCGCCATAGCACCACGGGGCATGGGTCGTCGGCCATGGCACACTCTGATGACGATGGCTTCGATTACAAGCGTGCCCCGTCAAGCAACCCTCGTGCCGTCTCTGTCATGTTCCCCCAGAACAACCGTCCCCGCGACTCCAATGGCCTCCCGACAGTCAGCGACACGACTGTTGACGAGATTGTTCGCCTGCTCGAAGACGAGGAGGGACTGGACGAGGACGTTCTCCATGGTCTCATCGCCAACCTCAAGATCCCGGCGGCCAGCCTTCATAACCCACCTCTTGCCAAGGAAGTCATTTTCCCTGCCCACCTCATCTCTCTTGTCTCCAACGAGATGTGGAAGCTTGGCATGATCCCCGAAAGCGAGCGTTTCCTCGCAAATGTCATGCAGAGCATCCAGAGCTTCGTCATGGTAAGTGACGCACTGTGGTCTATGTAATAAGAAACTGACGTCCACCACAGCAATTCAAGGGCGAGGATGTCATTGTGCCAGGTATTTTCTGGCTTTCCAACGTCCAAGAAGTCTTGTCGTTCATTTGCGTGGCCGAGTCGGATGCTCAGCAGGGCATTGCCCCCGGCATGGATGAACCGGGAGGCCGTGAGCTGGACTGGGAAGGATACGAACGTTTGGTCGGCATTGTCAAGCACGACCTCGACAGTCTCGAGTACAACATTTACCACACCTGGATGTTGGAGGTCAAGAAGAAGCTCGGCAAGATGGTCATTCCAGCCTTGATCGAATCGCAGTCACTTCCCGGCTTCATTACGTCGGATGGCAGTGGCCGTATGTTCTCCCGAATGATTGGCATGGGTGGCAACAACAACCAGCCCGCAGCGAGCATGGATGACATTCTCAACCTCCTTAACAAGGTCTGGAAGTGCCTCAAGAGCTACTACATGGAGGAGAGCGTCATGCAGCAGGTCGTCACCGAGTTGCTCAAGTTGATTGGTACCATTGCCTTCAACGACCTTATCATGCGCCGTAACTTCTGCTCGTGGAAGAGGGGTGAGTTCCACGTACGGAGTCTGTCGCTAACTCCTTCTCAGCTATGCAGATTCAGTACAACATTACGCGAATTGAAGGTGCGTTCCCATGTTGCGACTGCGATGTGTCGCCAGCTGACATTATCCACAGAGTGGTGCAAGGCCCATGACATGCCCGAGGGTCTACTCCAGCTTGAGCACCTCATGCAGGCAACCAAGCTCCTCCAACTTAAAAAGGTAAGCTTCGTATTCTTGGGGACGGCACTGACTTGCTAGGCCACCATGGGCGACATTGAGATCCTTTTCGACGTCTGCTGGATTCTCTCTCCTTCCCAAATCCAGAAGCTTATCTCGCAATACCACAATGCGGATTACGAGGCTCCTATTTCGCCGGACATTCTCAAGGCTGTTGCTGCTCGCGTGCGCCCTGAGGACAAGAACGACCAACTGTTGCTTCAGACTGAGCAAGACGAGGTCGGACCCTACCAGATTCCCCCACCCCGCGATATTGCCGGATTGGAGACATGTACGTCAATAGTCTGGGCCGACACTGACAACGCTCGCAGATGTCCCAGCTTGGCTCAATGTGCCTCTACTGCGCAGGTTGGCGACTTTTGTGGCTTGAAGCTCTTTATACTATGGTTCTTTCATGGATGTGCACGCAATGTGAACAAGACATATATTGCATTGGTTTTACATATGCGTGATTACTGGTCAGAAGAATTCGCGTGGAGGCGCGCGGGACATCAGCTCGATGCCCTCGTTGCCATTAGATTCGTAACGGTCCCAGTGTAATCCGCTGGTTGAATCGCCGTACCCATGGGACTGTCTGTTACGGGAAGACGTGGCGCTGGGGCCTGTTGTGAGCGCTTCCCATACGTCGGAGCGTCGGATCTGCAGCCCCAGACAGGTGGACAGGAAGCAGTAAATGACGGCGGCAACACTGGACGGTGTCAGAGGGGGACGTAGAAACACATTTGCGTCATTCACTCACCAAAAGAAGAATACCACCAAGGAGAAAATGAAAAGGGACTCATCCATTCTTCCGGATTTCGGGTTGGTCTGCAAAGAACGGGTCGCCCAGCTGAGAATACGAAGACGCGAGATGGACAAGGAAATATGGACAACACAGCGTACAGCGAGGTGCACCCGCTGTCACCCCCGCGCCCGGCCAGCCGCCAGGCACAAAACAATCACGTGACTGGCTGGCCGGGAGGCAAAAGTTCAACCTGTCGTCGTCGCACTTGTGGATACTGCAGTAGTCTACTTTCAACATCTTCTGCCTCAGAACCCGGCTGCCCATACGCAGCTAATCTCGAGGCACGATGGCACCGCAAGCACACCACCACAGGCCTACTTTAAAGCAGGTGGGTCGCATATGTCCTCACCGCCATCGTCATGCCTGCTAAACTACTCCAGTCCAACAAGTCCTTCAAGTCGAAGCATGCTTCCAAGGGTTCGTTGAAGACAGCTGCGAAGGGTACGTCAACATGACTCGAATACAGAACTGGACGTAATACTGACATTGAAACAGGCAAAACGGAGTCCCTTGGCGGTGCGGTTGGTACTCGCAAGGCGGTTGAGGCTGGCTCAAAGCGGGTTCGCCTCAACCAGCAAGCCCAGAAGCGCGATGCTAAGCAGCGTACAAGCCGTGAGGACGCCAAGTTCTTTTCCACCAGCTCTGGAGGTGGTGAGTTTACTGGGAGCCAACGAGATCCTCAGTACTAACACTCGTAGGCAAGGTCCCCCGCGTTGTGACTGTCGTCCCTCTTGTCCCGTCTGTCTCAACGGAGCGATTCCTACTCACCCTACTGCCATCTCTCGGCCTCTCGGAAGAGGATATTGCGGTCATCTCCTCCAAGTTTAACGAGCACTCTTCAATCTTGGTACCCGCTCCTCGGTTCAAGACGACTCTGCTCCTGAATGTGGTTCCTCCCCTGCAGCTGTACCCTACACTAGATGCGGCGCTCGTTAGCGACACTGTCATCCTCCTGCTCAGCAGCGTAGATGAGGTTCAGCTCGAAGGAGAAGCTATTCTGCGCTGCCTCCAGGGCCAAACTGGAGGAGTAAACATTGTCTCTTGTGTTCAAGTGAGTTCCCTCATTTGTCTATCAGCAACTGACTTGATAAAGGCACCTGCTTCAAACCCCTTGACCCCCGCGTCGCGGTCGCTCGTGCAGAAGTCCCTCCTGTCTTTCTCTCGTTACTTCTTCCCCGATGTCGAGAAGATCTTCTGTGCCGATACTCCGAGCGAGTCTCTCATTCTGGCGAGGTCTCTTTGTGAATCGTTGCCTGCCACAATACACCACGCCGACGGTCGCTCATGGATTGTCGCGGAGGGTGACGCTGCGGTTGCCTGGGAGGCCACCGGCCATGACAACGACTCCCCCGAACAGCTGGGTTTGCTCCGTGTCGTGGGAACTGTCCGTGGCAGCTCAATGAGCGCCAACCGTCTCGTCCACCTGCCCGGATTTGGCGACTATCAGGTTGCCGAGGTACGTACATGTTCCATCCAAACTGGCACTAATCTCACAAAAGATTGTCGAGGCTCCCCCCCTTGATGGCACGGTTCGCCGTCACAAGAACTCGATGGACGCAGACAGCGGCCCTCGTACTTTGTCTACTCCCGATGATGGTGCCGATGACTTGACTTCCCACAATGTTCCCGACCTGCTCGCCAACGAACAGACGTGGCCAACTGAGGAAGAGATGATGTCGGCTCCTGCTCAGGCCGAAGGTTCCCAACGGAAGGTTAAGCGGGTTCCCAAGGGAACTGGCACCTACCAGGCTGCTTGGATTTTTGACGATGAAGATGGCGACGTGGAGGAGGAGGAGGGAAGTGGCAGCGAGGATATGGATGACGACGCCGCCGAGCTCGACGAGGAGGGTAGTGGTGAGTGTCCCTTTTGCCGATGATACTGTGCTAAGTTTTACCTTAGTCCACTACGACCACGACGAGGTTGAGGAAATGGAAGAGATCGAACTCGATACGCGTGAGGATCGCTATCAAGACCTGGCCCCGGAGGATGAGGAGGCCGAGTGAGTTGGGTAAAACTGGCCACCTACTGATTATAAGATATGCGTCGTACCTGCAGAGCCGGAAGCGTGCACAGCAGGACGACATGTCCTTCCCAGACGAAATCGACACACCTCGACACATTGCGGCGCGTGAGCGTTTCCAGAGGTATCGCGGTCTGCGTAGCTTCCGCACCAGCCCCTGGGACCCCTACGAGAACTTGCCCCTCGAGTATGGCGAGATCTTCCAGTTTGAGAACTTTGCAGCTACGTCGAAGCGCGTTGTGGCCGAAGCTATAGCCGATGGTGTTGAGGTACGTTGCCCCATGATACGCGACAGCTGACACAGCAGGTTGGCACGCGGGTCATCATTGTGATCCGAGACGTCCCCAAGTCCGTTGTCAGCTCCCGTCACCCATCGTCGCCTTTGATCATCCACGGGTTGCTCCGTCACGAGCACAAGCAGACTGTTCTTCACTTTGTTGTCCAGCGCAACACCGAGTATAGCGAGCCGGTTGCAGCCAAGGTGGGTTATTGACGAACCACATAAGGTTGTATAACTAACCAGCCAACAGGACCCCCTAATTCTTTGCGTTGGGCCTCGACGCTTCGACATTCGCCCCCTTCTTTCCCAACACGTACGTGGTGGTGGCAAGGGTGTCAACAATGTCCACAAATCTGAGAGGTTCCTCCGGCATGGAATGGCAACGGTGGTGACCACGTTTGGTCCAGTTTGCTTTGGGAAAGCGCCTTGCCTTCTGTTGCGCCACAACCCCGACAGCAGTAAGTCTTTTCCGGTGTATGACTATTACTCCTGGCTGACTCTGCCCTAGGCGTTCCTGACCTCGTCGCAATGGGCTCATTCCTGTCCTCCGACCCCACTCGTATCATTGCCAAGCGCATTGTCCTCACGGGCCACCCGTTCAAGGTTCACAAGAAGACGGCCACCATTCGTTACATGTTCTTCAACCGCGAGGACGTGGACTACTTCAACTCCGTCGAGCTCCACACAAAGTATGGACGCACTGGTCACGTCCGCGAAGCTCTCGGCACGCACGGCTACTTCAAGGCCCACTTTGATGGCCCAATTCAGCAGATGGATTCGATTTGTATGAGCCTGTACAAGCGCCAATTCCCCAAGGTGAGGATCTGCTACTCCAAAGATGTGCTAACACCCGCAAAGTGGTCGGAGGCGTATAAGCCCACCGCGACTGTTGCCCTTCTTAGTGAGGAGGAGGAGGCTGGCATGGATGTGGAATGAGTCTAGCAAACCGCTTTCTAGTTCCAATAGGCGGCCCCTTACTCCGCTGGACAGGACAAGTGGGACATGCATAGTTACATCGAGAGCAGCTATCCACTTATTACTGTTTGACGTTCAAACCCAGCCCAAGCCCAGACAGTCCGGGCATTGGCTGGTTACGAGCAGCAGCGGCAGCCCCAAGGGTTGCACTGGCCTGCTCGAGTGAAATTGACGTCCGCGAGCCTGGAGACTGGTTGACGTGGATGAAGGGGTGCTCGAGCAGAACTGCGGCTGTGGGACGAGCATTGTGATTAACCTCAAAGGTGCGCTGCAGGAAGTGGGCAGCTTCGGGGGAGATGTCGCTCGGCGTGGCAGGACGCGCCATCGTCGTTCCAATCTATAGAGTGTCAGGACTGGTACTTTCCTTTCAGCACGCCACTCACCCTGTACATGGCTTGCATTTGCGTTAGGTCCGCCCATGGGTGAGTGCCTGTCAGCATCTCCACAACGAGGCAGCCGACACTCCAAATGTCCGCTTTGGACGTGTAGCTTGTTTGCTTGACAACCTCAGGCGCCATCCAGAAGACAGAGCCTTGCAGAGAAGGTCGGTTCACCCGCATACCGGCCATTAAGCCTTACGTACGTCAGCTAGTGTGCTAAAGGGGAGGAAACGCACTGCTCTCCGCCTTCTTAGAAATTCCAAAGTCGGAGATCTTGATGCCGCCCTTGTTATCAACCAAAATGTTTGCTCCCTTGATGTCGCGGTGAATAATTTCGCGCTCATGCAAGTAGCTCAACCCTTGCAAGATTTGGCGGACGAAGTTGCGCACCAAAGCCTCCTCAAATGCGCCATAATTATTGAGAAGGGCGGCGACTGATCCACCTGGCACATATTCCAGGAAAATATTGAGGTGGTTGCCGTCACTGGCGGAGTCTGCGCAACGTTAACCTCCATCCACGCCAAGCAAACGAACCGAGGTATTGCACGATGTTGGGGTGGGCCAGTTCTTTCAACAGCTCGATCTCCCTTTCCAGGGCCTGGACCATGTTCCGCTTCTTCTCCTCGTTTCTAGCGTCACCTGACGGCAACTCGACTTGCTTGACCGCCATTAAGAGACCAGATTGAGCGTCCATGCCAAGGAAGACCTCTCCAAATGAACCGGCCCCGATAAGCGCGCCCTTGATCCACTTGATGTTGCGCTTCGCTGCAGTCTTGTCAGCTGATATTCCTGTGACCGTGCTGCACTACTTACAGCCAGTCGACGTAAATGCTCGCACGTGGCCGCGACCTTCATCGGTGCTTGTACCCTCTGAGTCATCGTCCTCATCATCGTCGTCGTCGTCGTCGTCGTTATCTTCATCGTCATCGTCCGAGTCGGATTCGCTGACGTCCTCATCGCTATCAACTGGGGTGAACGGCCCATCTTGGTCGTAACTGTCGTCCACAACAGTCATGCTGGCACGACGATTCTCCACCTCAGCAGTGATCTCATCCACTGTGAGGAGGCTAGCGGAGTCACTCTTATCTTTGCTGCGGCGGATCGATGACAAGACGCTGATACGACTCAGATTAGAGCCATTGGACCCGCGTCGGCCAGCGGTCGAGCGAGGAGCAGTACGGGCTGCAGGGGCTGGGGAATACTCTTGCAGCGAGTCCACGAAACTTTCACCTGTATGCTCGATTGGTGGCAAAAGTGGGGGATGATTCCCCACTAAAGCCGACACTTCATCGATGGTACTGGCAGAGCGCCTCGCTGGACCCTCGTTGGGAACTTCCACTTCTTCGGGGATAGCTGCCGGTGTGGTTGATGACGATACGGTTCGTGTGGATGGCGGACGTCCTTTACGATTCGGACTAATGACACTCTCAAGGCTGGCAGAGAACGGTGACGGCCCACCAAGGCCGTACTGCGCAGAGGAGCTGAGCAAGTGACGATCACTTTGTGCCTGAGATAGACGCAACATGCTTTGGCGAGCGGTCTTCTCTAGGTCTCGCTTTCGTGCATGCGGGAAATACTCAGAAAGGTGGTTGGAAATAAGCTCGCTGGGTGGTCGATGGCCGAAGAAGTTGTACATCTTTTTGGTGCGCGAAGAAGCGTCATTTGAAGGCGAACGACTTGCGTTCGGAGCGGGCACAGTGTCCACTACACCAGGGACACCCAGGGCAGACAAAACAGACACAATGCTGGCTCGGTTTGTGTTTTTGCTGGGAGGCTTCATGCCGTCCCGCTCTGTCTGCGAAGGGGAGATTGGCGAACGAGGTGGCTGGTCCCCGAGATAGTTGACCATGTTCTTGCGATTTACGGCAGTGGAGCGGCGAAGGATGAGGCCACGTAGAGAGACCTGGTCGTATGCTGAGTTGGACGATCGATTGCCGTTGCAAATGTCCAACAGAGCCGACTCGGTGAGGGGATAATCTGGAACATCAGTACCCATACCAAAGACCGCAGACACTGACCATCTTCGCCTGTCCCTCTAAGAAATACGCTCCAGCCATCCACTTGGAGTGCATCGCCATCCCCGTCATTGTCCACGTTGAAGTTTGTGAGGCTTCCTGGGTTTCCTTTCCCAAACTTCCTCAGAACCAGCTCGAGGACTTCAACACCACTGGAAGCATTTGGCAGATCGATTTTCTTGGACGTTCCGTCCTCAGAATTGACAAACTTGATAATACGCCTGTCTTCGAGTGTGCGGCGAGTGGTGTCCACCTGTGGCACGCCTTGGCGTCGATTGGACCATTTGTTGCCGTCATGGATGGCGAAGGGATGAGGCGGGCCGTCGCGAGGCTGCGTTGAAGGATTGGTTGGGCTGGGTACTCTGTCAGAGGGTCGCGATGCGAGGGGCCGTCTGTCTGCGATTTTCGGAGCTGGCGCAAGCTCGTGGACTGGGCTGGGTGACCTCCGAATATCACGTTGAGGTGGACGTAGGTGGGGTGCAAGATCGTAACCTGGTACGCCTCGCGTCTCGGGGCCGGGCACGGGGACGACCTTTTGGAGCCCTTGAGGGTGAAAGGATTTAGGGGTAACCGTCATTAAAGAGGAATGGTCCAGCGACTGGACGGTGCTGGGGCGGAGGTTGAGCGGTGGAGGTCGGGACTGTTGTAGACGTTTCGAAACGCCAGACATGCCAGGCGCTGCGAGCCGCTTGGGAACTTGTGCCCCTCGCGGGTCTTGTTCTAAAACTGGGAGGGGGCTGCCTTCCACAGACGATACGCCGATTGGAAGGACACGCGAGTTGACCAAAGTCAATGGAGTCGTGGCACGAGAGGCGCGCTTTCGGAGGTCTCGAACACCGCCAAGCAGCTTGACCCGGTCGCCAACCTTGCTGATACCAATCTCCTTCAGACTGGACATGTCTAGGTCCAACAAGACTTTGCCATCTATGTCGTTTTGGTGAAAGAGAGAGGTGTACTTGTCACATTTGTACAGGTTAAGAAACGAGGCGATTTCACTGGGACCCCACATCTTGACATGGGCTGCAAATGCTTGCCCGGTAGGTGCGCGAAGAAGAGGAGGCGTCGAAGACCGATGGGATATCGCCAGGCCATCGGCATGCCCGTTGACATCGTTTGAGTTTGAGGCTACGGTGAACCCTGCCGAGGTCGGCGTTGTGATAGAGGACTCATCCGAGTAGTGGTTCGCAGAAGCCATCGCCAGTGGATTGCAGAGTGGACGCCCGTACGGACGGACGGCCTGAGCTGTTACAAGTGGCTGGAGGCAAACTGGCGTTAGCATGAGCACAGTCCAGACAGAACGAACCTGTCGCAAGAGGATAAACTGATGCGGGAAACTAGGTGTGGGAGCGGGACGACGGGCGGTGATGTTGGTCACTGTGGAATGGGAGGGGGGAGGGTACAGGGGAAGCCGGTCATGCCGGTGTGGATTGGGCGATGCGGTGGGGCCGATTTGAGGGGCTGTTGCGATGAGAGGGTTGACGCAAGAGGGTTGTGATGGGGCTCGGAAGAGTATGTGGGGGTGGTGTGGATTGTGACAACGAGAGAACAAGCCACGACAACGGCCAATATGGATGTGTGTCTTGACGCGGACGGCGGCGGAGGCAGCGCGGACGGACCGGCGGCGGGGGGCCTGACGGCCTGACAGCAGGGCGGCAACAACCCAAAACAGGGCCAGATCTCACCCGTCGTTACGAATTGCTTCCAGGCTCGAGCCCCGTGTTCAACTTGTCATGTCAGAAACTGCTACGGTCCTACTACAATACAAAGTAAACCAACACTCCAATGTGCACAGCGCTCAGCCCCACACTACGTAGCAAAGACGCCCGAGGCTGGGCCAAGTCGACGAGCGCTAGTATGGTCAACAGCAACACAGCCATGGCCGGCAACGGCTGGCCGGCAATGCTCGACTGCAGTGACATGATCTACCCACGGTCAGCCTTAATACTTGTGACACACGCCTTTGGGAAACCTACTTTGACGGTAAACAATATGAACGAGGCCTTGGACAATAAAGTAGGCGGCGCTGGAATAATGGTCGCATTCGAATCCGCGGCAGCTTGGCGAAGACCCGGAGGTGGAGGCAAAGCCAGGATCGCTCTCACGGGTGACTGTGGTCTGGGGTATCGATTTCTGAGCTGTGGATGCCCTTAGTACTACCTTTTGACTGTACCCACCTGTTGGTACACATTGGTGTGCGTCTCATCCTCGGCATCGCGTCCTCCCCTCCAAAGACCACTGCCAAACCGGCGAGAGCGCAGTCCGGGCAAGGCCTTCTTAACCCGTTCCGCAGTTGGTCGCTGATCAGGAGACACGTGGAGCAGCCTTTCTAACAACAAAAGGAGGTTGCGAGGGATGTGTCGTCTTTCACACGTCTGTATGATATCTGGGGTTGCAGAGAAACCCGGGTAGGCCAAAATCTCCGAGTGCAGAACTGCAAAGTCCTCCGTGTCCAGGTAAGGAAGCTGCAAAAACATCATCTTGTGAAGCACCATGCCTATTGTCAGTTAGTACAGACGTCTGCCACTGAACTCACCCAGAGACCACATGTCGGCATGTGAATCTGAAGGTCTCCAGTTCCCATTATTGTCCATGACAATCGTCTCGGGAGCCTTAAAAACGGTTAACGATCCCTTGTAACTTGTGCACTCACCATGTATTCCATTGTACCAGTATGGCCCGTGCGTTCTCGTTTACCACGGAGCATCTCTTCCGATGTACCAAAGTCTGAGAGCATCGCCTTGGGTCTAGGGTCGTCAGCCTCCCGTAGACGGGAAACAGCTCTTACATGACTTGACCGTCTTCCCAGAGCAGTAAGACGTTGGAACACTTGAGGTCCAGGTGAAGGATCGAGCGGCCATGCTCCTCTGTCAGCCGGATTTGCCAAAGACGCGTATGGCATCATCGACACTCACCAAAAACGCAAGACCGTCCACAATATCACCGAACAACTGCAGAATCTCGTCAAAGCCGAGAAGGAGAACCCCACGGACCTCTCCTTTCTTCATCCCAAGCCCGCTTTGCCGTCTGCGCTTGAATGCCTTGATACGTTCCGCTTTTGGAAGCAGATCAATGTCGTCTGTGGCTGCGATATCCTCGGCATTGTGCGGAGCTGGGCCCGATGTCCCACCGTGGCTGCGTGTGACGAGAAAGGCGTCCAAGTTGCCAGCCGATGCGTACATCATGAGAATGTGGAGCGCGACAATGGGAGGGCCAAAGGATGAAAATTGGGTTTCGTCCAGCCAGGAGTGGTAATAAGGAATGATGTTGGGGTGCCGGAGGGCTTCGAGTAGACGGACTTCGCGTAGCATTCGCACGAGGTACTGCTTGGAAGTTCCGACAGCAATCTTCTTTACAGCGTAGGTGCCTTGCATAAGCATCAACCCGCTTTGTAGGCGTACCGAGCACATTGCCACCGATAATGTGAGTGGCCAAATAGACGCTTCCCTCGGCTCCAATTCCCAAACGCCTGTCTTCTGTGAAGAACCGCTTGTAGTAGCCCATCGCGGGCAATTCGAAGACATCCTCCGCGGCATTGTCAACTGGAGTTGGGGTTGGCGATCGATCCCGAATGGGAGACGACGGTGTCCCTGGGCGACTGAACTCGTGTGCCCGTTCGAGAACTCGGAAGTAGTGGGTTTCGCCGGCTTGCCCTTGACCTTGATTCACGGCCTCTGGTTCAGCTGCGGAAGTCAATGGAGGGGACCACGCCCTCTGGCAAAGGGGACAGCTGGTTGAAGATGTTCCCTGCTCAGTGGTGGCGGTAGTGGCGGAAGGTTCAGAAGACAGGACTCTAAGCTCCTTTACGGGAGAAGAGTCTGGAGATGAGCGGCGCTGTGGATGGGGGACCACTTGAATGGCGTGTGATGGCGGATGGTATACAATGAGCTGGTTGGATGTCTCTCTTTGGAGCCATCAGCAGAAATATGGACTAGTAAACGCACCCGATAGGCGTCCACGAGCGCCCATAAGAGGAGCGAGCGCTGTGGGAGTCCATGGTGTGGATGAGAGAGGTGTGTGTGGTTGAAGACAGGAGACGAGGCGACAGCAGGATGTATATCGCACCGGTAACAGATGTGGGCGGCCGGTGGCTGCGTCATGGGGGTGCATGTCATGAGACTGACGTAGGGCTGCAGCTGATAAGGCACACTTACCTTCCCACGGTGAAAGCCAACCCCCTCCGGTCACAACAGAGGTTACGTAACGCAATTGTACCTTCAGTGCGGTGCGTGTGTCGTGTCCCGTGTCGCCATCGACCTCGTCATAGCCTGTTGCACACCTTTGTTCTCTCATCGTCCTACTCCCCCTGTGCTCCCTAATCCCAATGTCGGCGTCGGATCCGTCATCGAACTGCCTGGAGTACGTTTTTTCTCAGTCAGATAAGTTGAACGTTGCTGACACACACCTGTACAGGTACGCCTTGCGAGTGGCGTGAGTATTGTCTTGTCTGCTTGCAACAACCCCAGTGGCATGTCGTGCGATCACTGACACTCCACCTCTAGTTGCCTCCAGGACGCTATTGAGGAGCGCCGCCGGATAGCAGCAGCAGCCCCACCTGAACCTTCGGCTCCCTCGGCTCCAGGCCACCGTCCACAAGAGTCAGTCTCCGTCTTCAACCTCGACTTTGGATCCCTCATTGGCCGCGATGGACCGAAGTCAACACGTTACCCCGAGAAGTTTATCAAAGTATTGGACGGATCCCTCCAGCGCATTGCCATGGGACAAGATGCCAAGTGAGTATCCGTTCACGCCTGCCCCAGGTCGTGACACTGACATGACATTGCCAGGTACACCGAACAACGTTTTCGACGTTCCATTGCTCTGTTTTGGTCATCGAGCTGGGCGGACAAGACTTTTCAGAGGCAACTGAAGGAATCCCGCAAACTGGAGGAGCTCATCCTGGCATTCGTATCGGCTTCGACTCGCGCCTTGAAGAAGGAGGCGGACTTGGCCGACGGCGGCTGGAAGATTGAGCTCAACGCACAGATCCTGGTGTTTCTGGACCTCCTGAGCGACAACCTAGCGTCAGTTGGCTCGTCTGCGTCCGAGCTTCGCAGCCGACTGGCATCATATCGTACTCGCCTACAGTCGGATCACCGTCAGAGTACAACCGCGAGTACCTCGGCCCAGCCGTCAGAAGAGCCTGCCACCCGCCCAAGTGGCTCCAATCAAACGCACGCGGCGCCTTCGGTGTTGGCTGAAGCTGTCCGTCATCTCCTTCACCTCGATGCCAAGGCGTTTGCCGACCGTCGCGATACCTTGCGTGCCACTTGCACTTTGGATGCGGCTCTTGATGATCTGAAGGTTTGTGACATTGGTTTACGGGTTTACTGACCCACTTAGGTGCTTCTACAACGTCTCAACACATCACACCCTATTCCATATGGCCCATCCGATTTTGGCAACGAGGAGCAGTGGGCCTCGTACCGCGCTGCAGAACTTAAATCTCTGTCAGACATGACGTTGGATCTCCTCAAGGTCGACCCAAAACGTGAACGCGACCGCTCCGACCATTCCCATGCCGATTTGTCCATTGACGGCCTTTCTTTGGAAACCCGCAATTTGACGTTCGTTCCCGTCGATCCCCGTGAGGCGTACCGCCAACTCTTGCGCGCCTGCTTGAATGACGATCTACAACTCCTCCGGTCGTTGCCCGAAGATCAGGACGTGTCTCTGGGCATTCTATCTGCTCCTCACGCGGCTCTTCTTGCGGAGTGCGCTCTGCGCTGGAGGCTTCCGCTTTCCTTCCGATCCTGGGTGTTCCTGGAAGCTATCCAAGAACACTATGAGCAAGGCGAAGTGCCTCCTGATTGTGTGTTTGAAGCGGTCGCAAATGTAGGCCGCGCATCGCAAGACCTGCCCGTTTCGGACTGGGCTACCGTCGACCAACAGAGCCTGCAGGCTGCTCTTCTTCGTCGTGACGTCTTCTTCCTCAACGACATTGAAGAATGTCTCGAGTCGGCAGGGTACTTGTCACTGGACTTTCGCCAGGCTGTCGTTCAGTGGAACAACCTCAATGTTGACAATGACGAGCATACAGCACTGCAGCGGACCCAACGAGCAATTTGTGATCGGTTGCGCCAACAAGCATACTCAAACTACATCGACGAGGCTAGTGAGCGCTACTCGCTTGAGGGCGGCAAGAACCGACGATTCGCTTTGGGCCTGGCAACCTGGATCGAGTCTTGCGCTAAACGAATGGACAAATGGTTCAAATTGCCATTGACAACGTACGTCACGATTGCACTTCGTTTACTGACTTGCAGCCAAATTGACATTGTATCCATTGTTCTCGACCAGCATCTCAAGCTGTGGATTCGTGACCTCGAGGAAGCCATGTCGACTGCAGATGGTGGTGATGCCGGTGGAGACCTGGAAGAGGCGTTGGCCATGTACCAGCGTGCCCAAAAGCTCCAGCAGATGGGTTCCGCATTTGACGTGTGAGTTTTAATTTTACCACGCATCGACATTTCTAACTCATTGAAGACCATCGTCCCAGTTCTCACTTTCCTCGATATTCGCTCCAGTCGTCTCAGCGTGGCTTGACGAGACGGCCACCAAGATGCGCCAGTGGGCCGACAATGCCTTGAAGCTGGATGACGTACGTTCCATCCTACACTTGTATTATCTCTGCTAACAAAGCTTTAGTTTACGCCTGTCGGTCCCAACGGGCACTCGTCATCTGTCACGGATCTTTTCGATTCCTTCCACAGCGCAGTGACATTCTTGCTTGGGTTGAATTGGGACGATGAGGAGCAAATGGTCACGTTCGCCACACGATTGGCAAAGGTTGGTGCTAATGGGTTTCCTGGCGCTCACTTTTCTAGATCATTAGTTTGTCAATTGACGACTACTGCACCAAACTGGAACGCCTGTTCGTTGAAGAGATGCAGCAATCCGAGTCGCACCAGTCTTCGGCAAAGCAAAAAGCATGGATTGAGAAGGCAAAGAGTACCATTGCGCACCTCCAGGGCGACAGGAAGATTCAAGCCTTCTTCAACTTCACTGCAGCTGTAAGCGATACTCATCGTCTAGCAGCCGGTCGTGATGCTGATCAACCAACCAGTCCTGCGTGAAATTGAACAACATCGACGCAGCTCGCCATAACCTGGACAAACTCTATCTAGAACTTGGCGTTGATGAGCTGGCCAACCTTGATGCCAACGCTCCGGTGGCGAAGCCAGTCGACCAGGCGTCACTGTTCACGATCAAGATTGTTTTGGGTGATGGACTGCTCGTGGAGGGAAGCGCCCGTGCTCCCGACTCATTTGTCGTTCTTTCCGATGAGCATGGTAACCGGTATGCGAAAACCAGAACGATCTATGACGATCACGATCCCCGCTGGGACGAAACGTTCGACATTGCTGTCCGCCACACTGCTTGGTTCATGGTCACGGTGCGCCATCGAAGCCTGACAGGCAAGCACGAGTTACTCGGTCGAGCCTACCTTCGCCTCGACCCATCCCAATATGTCGACCTGATTAGCAAGGACGTTCTGCTGCCACTCAACACAAAGGGACACGTGTTACTACGCATTAGTATGGAAGGCGAGCGCGACGATCTCCAGTTCCACTTTGGTCGCGCTTTCCGTTGGCTAAAGCGCACCGAGTCGGACATGGTGCGGACTTTTGTGGACAAGGTATGTGTTCATGTCGCTCATCTTTATATTGACACGACAGATGACTCCGGTCCTCCGACATACTCTGTCACGAAGTGCCATCAAATCAGTCTTGAAGCCGAATTCTGGGGGCGGCATTGGTGCCGGCATTGATTATAACGACGCACTCCGCATTTCGAACGACGCCATCGGCCGTATCTCTGCTGCGTATCGGAGTGCCGTTGGCTCGTCACAAAATGACTATTCCATTCCACTGCCACCATCCGAGGTCCCGACAGCTGCTCCAAAGGCGTCACAGCCTCTCAGGCGCGGCCCCACTGATGCCGAGATCGAAGCCGCCATCCACCCTCTCTTCGACTATCTTGATACCAACAACCACACACTGGCCTCGACCCTGTCACCTGACGCCATGCAAATGGTGATGGCCAAGCTATGGAAGCAGATCTTGACCACCATCGAGGCCCTTATCGTCCCCCCCCTCAGCGACAAACCGAGCGACATGGGTGCCTTATCGGACAGCGAGCTAGATGTGGCGCTCCGCTGGCTCAAGTTTTTGCGCGACTTCTTCTACGCTGGCGGCGACGACAGTGGAGTGCCTCTGAACACACTTCAAAACGCCAAGTTCAACGAGATCATGAGCGTCAGGATTTATTATGACTGGAACACGGATGACCTTATGGAGGTGAGCACCAGCGTGGGCCCACTTTTGCTGACAAGTGCAGGAATGTATCCGAGGCTTCCAGAACACGTTGAAGAACAAGGCAATGAAGCCCAGCAAGTCTATTATCGGTCAACGTAATCTCGGCACTATCCGGGCGAGAAAGACTGCGAAGCGTTCGATACCGCAGGGCGGTAACCACGCAGAGATGGTGATGAAAATTCTGCGAATGAGGTGAGGGTTTCTTGGACGTGAGTGCTGGGCAACTCCACTGACACACGAACAGGGAAGGAACACAGGAATTCCTGGCTCAGCAAATCCAGACCCTCAACGCAGTGAAGCTGGAGGATGGTCGGGGCAAGAGGAGAGGGCTCAAGTAATCTTGATGTAGCATAGATGTGCCCAGTGAGCGAGTGCACCACGGCGGTGAAGCGTGTGTGGGTGTGTCCTGTGGCCTGTGGGGTCCTGTACATACTGTGGTGTGAAAAAGGGGCAACGCGACGCGTCGCGACACCAACCGTCTGGACGATTTGGTCCCGCGCCACTAGCCACTGTGTGTGGGACACGCGGGAGGTGTGTCGCGGGAGTATTATTTGTATTGCGGGCGGGCGGACCCTTTTGGGTGCGGGGGCACGCGCGCTGCCCCTGTGTGGGTGGATAATACCCCCCCCGCCCGTGTCCCCTGCCTCGTCACACAACCCAAGTGGCCGCCATCAACGCTCACACTCTTGTCGTCACCCACTCTCCTCTCCTCGCTCTCCTCTCTTGTTCTGTCCACGTCTCACGTCGCGTCTCTCGCCCGTCAACACATACACACATATACGACGCATCACACACCTTTGCTCTCCTTCTTCCGCTTCCACGCTACGCCCCAACAACCAACTCACAATCTACACCACAGGCCGCCCCTTCGCCGGCCTCCCCCCTCCTCAACCTCGCCAAACGTGCCTTTGCCCGTATCCACTACCCACATCACACCCACATCACACACGTACACGCTCTTCATTGACGCGTCCCCTCGTTCCCATCGCTGTACCACTCTACTTGCAGCCCGCACACTACCGTGCTCTGGAATCAACACGCTCGCCGACTGCAATCCCATCCACTCGGGCAAGTTCACTTTCACCGTCTGCCCTGAACACCTCACCCACGTCTACCCCCCCTGGTGACCTCAGTGACCATGTCACAGTGGACACAGGCATCCCTCACCCCTTCTCGTCCAGCCCCGGCGCCTCCTGGAGCTCGCAACTCGCCATCGAGCTTACCCCCTGCAACGCGACCCCGCGCACCGGCTGCCAATGTACCCGCATATTCCTCAAAGGCGTATGCGAACTCGTACCCCGTTCTTAAACAACGTGGCTCCACTCCATCCAACGAGGTGGTAAGCGCAATCATCCGCACCGGAGGCGCGAGCGTCAAAGAGGATAGTCTCAGGCTCTTCCCAATATGGAGTAAACGCTGGCTTGTGTTGACAGTGGGCGAGTTGCAGATATTCAAAAATGAGGTAGGTCGGTCTGCAAAGGCGGGGCGCTCACACTTCCAAGCAATCGTCATCGCCCTCCTATGTCTGCCCATTAAGCGATGTCTCGGATGTCCAACGTGTCGATATGAAGCCTTTCTGCATTGAGATCGAAATGAAGGAAGACAACAAGCTGCTTTACTTTGCCTTCAGGTCCGACGAAGAGGTCTACGGCTGGATGGACGACATTTATTCGCGTTCTCCGCTCATGGGTGTGAGCCAACCTACCAACTTTGTTCACCAGGTTCACGTCGGCTTCGACCCAGTCTCGGGAGGGTTCACAGTGCGTTGTCATACGCAGCATTGGTACTAACACCTGTTAGGGACTTCCCCCGCAGTGGTCGAAACTGCTCACCAAGTCTGCAATCACGAAGGAAGAGGCTGCTCGCCACCCCGAGGCTGTCTTGGATGTCCTCCAGTTTTACACCTCACAACAGATGGGTCAAGCCGAATATCCTGTTCCGTCTCGTCCCGCTGAAGAACGCAACACCCCCGCGCGCTTCGACAATGGCTTGGGTTTCGGTGGCCATCAAGCCCCGAAAGCCAGTCGAGACGCCCCTCCTCCCCCTCCTCCCATGCCGCGCCTCCCAGACGTGCCACGAGACGACGTAAGTCACGACCATGAGCCATATGCAAGCGATGCTGATTCTCATCTCAGTCGTCGACCAGGCTCCATGCTGAGCGGAAGGCCCCCCCTCCACCACGCGCTCCTCCCCAGGCTCCCAAGCCGGCTGAGCAAAAGGCGACACCCAAGCCTGTCGAGACGCAACCATCAGCGCCTCGCAAACCTGCAGCGGAACAAGGCGCTACTGCTCCCACGAGCACTAAACCTGCGGCGGCGCGCCCCGTTGAGAGGCGTATCAGCACTATGAATGAGGCACAAATTATGGACAAGCTCCGCTCCGTTGTCAGCGCAGATGACCCCTCAACAATGTATGCTACAATCAAGAAGGTTGGCCAAGGGTGAGTAAAGACCACATGCTTCAAACCTGAACAGTGAACAGTGCCTCTGGTATGGTGTTTGTGGCCAAGACGCTGGCCACCGGCAAGAAAGTGGCCATCAAGCAAATGGATCTCGCGCAGCAGCCACGTAAGGAGTTGATTGTCAACGAGATCATCGTTATGAAGGAGTCCCAACACCCCAACGTCGTCAATTTCTTGGAAGCGTTCCTTGTCAAGAGTACAGAGCTCTGGGTCGTCATGGAGTATATGGAGGGTGGAGCCCTCACCGACGTCATCGAAAACAACAAGCTGCAAGAGGACCAAATCGCGTCCATCTGTCTAGAGGTTTGTCCATCTACCCGTTGCGAATGAGACTGACCGATATCGCAGACTTGTCACGGCCTTCAACACCTGCATTCGCGCTCCATCATCCACCGTGACATCAAGTCCGATAATCTCCTGATGAACGCGTTTGGAGAGGTCAAAATTAGTATGTCAATCCCTCCTCGGACAGAGAAGCTGATATCAATAGCCGACTTTGGCTTCTGCGCCAAGCTCACTGATCAAAAATCAAAGCGAGCCACCATGGTTGGCACACCTTACTGGATGGCCCCTGAAGTGGTCAAGCAAAAGGAGTATGGCGCCAAGGTTGACATTTGGTCGTTGGGTATCATGGCCATTGAGATGATTGAGAACGAGCCACCATATCTGGACGAAGAGCCATTGAAGGCTCTCTACCTCATTGCTACCAATGGCACCCCAACTCTGAAACAGCCGGACAAGCTTAGCCAAGACTTGAAGCATTTCCTGAGTGTCTGCCTTTGCGTCGACGTCAACTTCCGAGCCACCTCGACTGAACTGCTCAAGGTGAGTAAGGCAAATGACCTCCAGGCTCTAACCATTCAGCACGACTTTTTGCGTCTCGCCTGCCCTGTAAAAGATCTTGCCCCGTTGCTGCGATTCAGGCAGACTATGGTGAGTTTAGCAACTGCTGTTGACCGCTAGCTAACCTTGCAGGGGTAGCTAGGTAGTCAACATTATTGACAGGAATCTATCTGTCATGTCTACTCTATTCTTTGGGCCTCGTTGCAGTTAATACGAGAGTAACTGGGGATGCATCTGTGTGCTGCCGCCTGCTGTATACACGATGTATTCAAAGAAGACGTTCGGTCGTACCTTACACTATCTCACGATGGACTGTCACTGTGACGGCCAAGCCCCCAGAGCGACAGTCCGCAGTCTTGGCCTCGGGATGGAGACCGAGGTCCGCGTCCTCGATATCATGTGTGGCACGCCACGAACCAGCGGGGTGAACAACAGTAGAGCCGAGCATAAGATGGCCACCTTGAGTGGGCCTGAGGTTATCGTCAGCGATTGATACTACTGCAAGCGGTACCAGTGCCTTACTCGGCGTAGTTTTTGCGTGTCGTCCTGAACCCCAACTTGCGAGTGACATGAGTCCACCAGCGGCCATACTCTCTGGTGGCCTCGTCGCCAACCCCAAAAAACAAGAACGCCGCGATGGACAAACACGCGGGTATCCACCGTTGAAGGAAGTGGTACACGGACAAAATAGTGCTGGGGAGAATGTCGTTATCGGTGTAAACAACGACGCGTGACCACCCAGCGTGGACGCGGTCCCATGATTCCCAAGCAACAAGGCGCTGGGAAGCAAACACCATAAGATATACAGCCACCGGTAGACCAATGACGATGTCGCAAGAAGACAGAGCGATGAGGCGGACATAGTGGTTGATGTTCAGCGTGCTTTCTGACGCTTTGAGCAGCGATTTAACCCTGGAACGACGCATAATAAAGAATCGCGAAGCGTACACTACTTGTCAGTTTGCTAATGCTGGTAGTAACGTACAACCGTAGACAGCAGAGATCATGCTAAGTGCGACTGGGGCCAGCACGATGGTCAAAATTGCCCCGATGCAGTCCCATATGACAGGTTCACAGCCTAGACCTTCGACGATGTTGAATCGGTGGGGCTGGAACACGTATGACAGGATCATGATGAGAACTGGAATGCCCACGCCAATGACCAGGTCGATATACATTGAGAAACGTCTTTCCCGGTGGCCCATTGTGACGGATTTTGAGGCTGCTATAGCTGCAAGTCGCCTGTTGATGCACAGACTTGAAGCCGCCAACCCAGTGGGGAAAGCATTGATGATCTTAACGCCTGGAGTCAGTGCCGATTCATCTAACAAACGCACTGATGTCACACCACGGGCGAGCGAAGACGTCTGCACTGTCCCACCAGAGGATGGAGTTGATGAAGAAGACGCAGTTGCAAAGGAAAAGCCACGTGAGGTTGAGGAGAGTTCCAGTGTTGCCGACTCGGAATTGCAAAGGAAATGGAAGGAGAACGAGCACCAGCGCTAAGCCAGAAAAGAAGGTGAAGGCGGGGTCGTGCATGGTTGTGATGGGTGGGCCTCTGATGGGTGAGCCTCTGATCTCTGTTGCCACACCTTTATACTATAAACCGATTCCATCCGTTCCCCTTGCAGTTGCGGGGGGCGCGGCGGAGGTCTTTTGTGCGCCACCACACACAACCCAACACACATGGAGCACGAGCCAGGTGCCTGCACATTCGCGGCACATGCAGTTTGTGCCACACACATGTGGTGGCGCTTATTGTTCCAGCTACGAGCGCCCTGTCAGCTCCCACATGTCACGGCCACAGGCACACACACACACACGCGACAACTTCACCGGCCGCTAGGCGCTCAGATCCGTGATCACATACATAATCTTTACTCCGGTATACGGAGACAAGTAACCCATGCAATCTGGAATACATTGAAGACAGATCTGGCACAACGAGAGACCAAGTGTCAGAACGAGACAGTGTTGGCCTTTCGACGACATAACCCCGAGTCACAGGTTTGTACTTGGAGGACTTGGAGGACTCGAAGCTTGCGGACGTTGCCCATGACTTGTTGACAGTTCCGCATACGATCATTGCACTGGTGAGGTTAGCAGATGACCATAGGTTAGTTAGTCTTACATAAGGGGTCGCGGAAGTCTGTGAGTGTCAGCTAAGCTTTCTCGGCAAGTATCACCAACGAGAACTCACGTTTCTGGTTGTTATTGCGGAATCCGACCTTCGTCTTGAAAGCTTCCCGAGTACGCTGATCCTTGAACGCGCGACCTTGCTTCTGGGCCCACACCGCCTCTCCGGCGTTACGGGCCTTCATGACCTCCAGGCCGCGGCCAAAAGCACCGTGGCCACCGGCAACGGGGACCAAGGCCGAAGTTGGGTCAGCCAGGCGCTGACGCACAAGGGCGACCTTGGACTGCACGGGGTCGTTATCACCTGGGGCCGACGCTCGAAGGCGTTGAGAGTAGTACACTTTGAGGGAGCGATGACCAAGTACGCGACCGCTAGGCAGGACCAGCGATAGACCATCGGATGCCAAGCTCGGGACAGTTGACTAAAGGCGTGCGTTAGAATATTGGCTTAACTTAACAAACATACCTCAGCATCATAGTCTGAGCCCTCGTCCATGTCTTCCCAGTCGGAACCCTCAGCGCCTCCAAAGTCGTAAAAGTCGGCCACTTCCACACGATCCTCATCTGTCTCGTACGCAAGCTTGCAGTGCGACTTGTCAATCATGTGCTTACGAACGGCTTCCAGGCTCCCAAACTCCTTTCCACCGTTGGGGCAGTAGAGACAGAGATTGCCGACTGCAACCTTCTCTCCAAGGTAAGCAATGAGACCGGGCATGTCGAGCAACAGGTCTTGATCCGGGATAAAGAAGCTATGCACGGTTGACATGTGCGCAATGCTGGTTGCGATATCGGCAGACTTGTGGGTGCAGAAAAGACAGTCGTCCAGGCCAACACGTCGACGAGAGGCGGCGATAGCGTTCTCAATGTCCTGCTCCTCGTCTTCATAGTCGTCGTCGTTCTCCTCGTCCTCGTCCTCGCTGGCTCCATCCCTTTCAACCTCCGGCGCTGGCTCGCCAGTAACAGTACGCGACGAAGTCGCAACCTGGTCTTCAGGAGCTGGGGTGGAGGCCACTGGAGCCCTGGCCACGGCAGCCTCACGGTCGCGATGCTTCTTGGACTGCACGTGGGAACGGTACGCGTTTTCAGTCGAGAACTCCTTTCTGCATGGTCAGCTGCCCGTTTGGAACACTGTACCTACTTGCAAGCCGAGCAGGCCATGTCCTTGGGGTCAGGGCGGACTGCATTCTGCTCTCGACGCTCGATGACCTTTTCGTTGAAGGCGACTGCGGCAATGGGGGGAAGGTTTGCCACTCGACGCTTCATGTTGTAGCGGTGCCAGTCGGTGCCAAAATGGGAGCGCTGCTCCTCGGCAGTCTCAAAGGCAATGCGGCACGATATGCAGGTGAACATCGTGGGTGGATCGCTTTTGGGGAAAGAGTGTTTGGAAGCAAGAGGAAGAGGTGGATGTCGGTGCTGAGTAACGACGAGCGCCGTGCGCTCTGAAGTTTTGGATGGCCATTACGCGTTGGCGGAGGGAAATGAGAGGCATCACGTGACCCCACCGCGGATTTTCTGAGTGCAGGCGTGTCTATTTATCTATTTTGTTTGCTGCCAGGAGAGCCTCATACCTCATTCCGTCACCACCACTCCAACAAGCATGTCCGCCCACGCATTCAGTGTAGGCTGGATGGCCGAGGACGATGGCCAAGCGTCCCATGACCCTTCCGCAAAGTCCAAGTCCAAGTCGTCGTCCGGCACATGGCAGGCATTAGGTACCGCTCTCCCTTGCCACCCGATAGCTAACAGTCGTTAGGTGTCTCCGAGGAGCTTGTGCGTGCTCTTCGCCTGAGAGGATTCAAGAACCCCACTCCGATCCAGAGGGCTGCAATTCCAAGTGCCATGGGATCTCCACCTCGTGACGTCCTTGGCATGGCTCGTACTGGCTCGGGCAAGACCCTGGCGTACCTCATTCCACTTCTCCACCGTCTCGGTGGTGCCCGTATCGAAGGCTCTGGAACACGTGCTCTCATTCTTTGCCCCAGTCGAGAACTCGCGGTCCAGGTTCTGAAAGCGGGCAAGGATCTGTCCCGCAGCCTGGCCAACGGCTCTGAGGCCCTCCGCTGGAGCATTGTCATGGGAGGCGAGTCGCTGGACGCTCAGTTTGAGGCGCTGTCGAGCAAACCCGACATGTGAGTGGTGGCTGTCTGAAGGAAGACTGACAATAGTGTTATTGCAACGCCTGGTCGTTTCCTTCACCTTTCAGTCGAGATGGACCTCGATCTCCGCAGCGTCGAGACCGTCATTTACGACGAAGCCGATCGGTGAGTGAAACCTTGCGAACTCCACTGACGATTAGCCTGTTTGAAATGGGCTTTGAGCTGCAACTGCGTGAGATTTTGCATCGTCTTCCGTCCAGCCGTCACAGTTTACTCTTCTCGGCCACTCTGCCTTCGTCTCTTGCGGAGTTTGCCAAGGCGGGTCTGAACAACCCCGAGTTCATCCGCCTCGATACCGACCATCGCATCAGCCCCGATCTGAAGGTCGCTTTCTTTTCTACCAAGCCTGACGAAAAGGACGCCAGTCTATTAATTTTGTTGCGGGAGGTTATTGGAATTCCGGTTGCTAGTGCGGTTACCAAGGGCAACCCCAAAGCAATCGTGTTCGCCTCCACAAAGCACCACGTCGAATATCTCTCCGTGTTCCTCCAAGCTGCCGGCTATCGCGTGTCCTACATCTACGGATCACTGGACCAGCTTGCTCGTCAGCAACAACTGCGCCTTTTCCGTCAAGATGAAACAGACCTCCTCGTGGTCACCGATGTGGCTGCCCGAGGCCTCGACATTCCGACAATGGGCCACGTCATCAACTTCGATTTCCCAGCAGGTGTGCGTGTGTTCGTCCACCGTGTGGGTCGCACTGCCCGAGCGGGAAACCATGGCAATGCCTGGACCTTGGTGACTCGCGATGATCTGCCCTACCTGCATGATCTGGAAACTTTCCTTGAACGACCCCTTATCAGCAACAGTGAAATCTTCGGGTCCTTCCCGCGAGAGGACCTGGAAGCAGCAGTGGAGTACATCCACCAGAGTCTGGATGTGTCGGAGAACCAGCTCCCCGCTCTTCGCGAAGTCATGAGGCGTGGACAGAAGATGTTTGAGAGGTCCAGGACCAAGGCCAGTCGTGATGGGTACAAGATCACCAAGGCATTCCAGTGGCAAGCTGTTCCTGTTCATCCGTCATTCGGCGGCGAGGAGGAAATGGCCATTGATGACGACAGTGCACCTCGTCGCGAAACTCTGCTTGCCTCCATTCGAGAGTACAATCCGTCGGAGACCATTTTCGAGATCGGTTCCAGGGGACCACAGTCCGTCGCAGCTCTCATGAAGCAGCGTCGCCTTGCTATTTCTCGCCAGCGCGCCCGTACCACAGCCAAGGATGAGAAAGCGGCGGACGAGGAACAGGCGGAGCAGACCTCTAAGGTATGCTTCTGTCTTGAATTGACGCTCACTTGCATAGCCACTGCCACAAGCATCGGCCAAGAAGTCTTACCGTGATCCCAACTTCTTCCTCCCCCACGAGAATGTGGAGACCAACAGAGAGAAGGGGTGAGTTTCTGAAATGGTTAACGATTGCATTGCGGAGGCTGACGTGAGATAGATACTCGTTGAACGAGGGAGCCTCCTTCGCGGAGCAAGCCCGGTCTGCCACTCTTGACCTCAATGCCGATGAAGGCGAAGCCCAACGTGCCCAGAAGGCCAGTCAGATGAAATGGGATCGCAAGAAGAAGCGCTTTGTGAAGGGCGACGGCATCGGCGGCGACAACCAGAAGATGATTCGAGGCGAAAGTGGCGCTCTCCTGCCTGCTACCTTCAAGAGCGGACGTTATGCTGAATGGAAGCAACAGAACCGCAATGCACCTCAGAACGACGCGTCGGCCGCACCGGCGCCAGGACGTCACCAGCGTGGTTCTGGAAAGCATACAACCAAGGGACTGGCGACAGCGGAGACTATTCTGAAAGACAGACGTGAACAGCTCAAGGTATGTGACCCACACAGTCCCCTTCCCCCATCCACACTTGACGTTTGCTGACCCCCTTCTAGCGAAAGCAAAAGAACGCGCGTCCTTCCAGCAAGAACAAGAAGAGGCGCTAAGACGGAGAGCGCAGATCCGTACTGGTTTAGAGGTGCACCATATGCCGCGAGATATGCACGTATGGTCTGTATGGCCCGCGGTGCGTTCATTACTTGGATGCCCATGTCACAATGACCAGGAAGTGTGTACAGAGTCGGCGGCGGTGGATGATGCACCTACGGAGCACGAGACCAGCAAGCAGTTAGAGCAAGAATGCTTGCATTTAACTAGCAACTATATATACCCTTCGCCTTCAGCCACACTCTGCGATTCGTCAGCTGGATCATATAGGGCCACTAACCGTCGATTTAAGCGACAACGCAGTAAGTGGCATAGTCGAAGCTGCGGTCGTCCTCGTAGTTGCGAGGCTCCTCGGAGCCCTGAGCGAAAGAGACGACGTTGGTGAAGATGGCGGTGAAGGCGTCCATTGTAGTGGTGTTGGGTGGGTTTGGTTGTGGGTTGGTTGGGAGCAGAGGAGGAGAGTTGTTGAAGTTGTGGGTGAGGTTGGAAGAGCGTGAGGAGGGTCTTTTTTATACCATCCTGAGGCCAACTTCGCCGAGTGGAGGATAGCAAGTTGAGTCGGTGTGAGCACAAGACAATGGACCGCGACTTGCCTTGTTGGTGAGCAGGAGGATTGTGTTCCCCGGGTGTCTATTGTTGCCCCTGTCAGATCTGGAGATCTGGGGATCATGCTCAAACGCATCGACTGTCGACACACATCCACACACACACACACACAATCTGAGACAGATGCACACCGCACGCCACCAAAGGCCAAAGGGATGCGGTGACACCTTTGTATGTACATACTTCCTTTGTCCTCTGTCAGACCTTCTTGCTGTTTTAGGATGACACACCACGGGCCACCTCTGATCCTCTGACCATGGTAATTGCAGACAATGACGGCGAGGAATGCCAGTGACGCCATTCTGTGCGCGCACACACACACACACACACACACACACACGATGCACCCCCACACAGGCCGCCGCCACCACCGGCAGGGTGAGATCCATATCGCATTTCATCGGACACCTCCATTCGCCTCTCTGACTGAACGGCACAACTGCTGCACTGCTGCGCACAAGCGATAAGGCATATATATGGCATGCAAGGTACCCAAGTGACACTCCCCCCGCAATGTCTCGCCGTTCCGGTGGCGTCGGCTCAGCCAACGAACGCCTTGTGGCCTTGTGGCACACCAGCAGGAAGAAGCACATTCCAACCCCCCAACGGTGCGCCACCAGAGTATGTGGAGATCTGACCAGTCAATGAATGTCATCGAATCTCATCGGCTTCGCGGAAGGTCGGTCCACCGTGCGCCAGCCAGCCACACAATGTCCCCCAAGCCCCAAACGTAGAGCATTCAAGCAATGAACAGAAATGGAGGTCGCCGGCCAGTGCGTTCAATGCAGTCGCCGCCGACAGTGTCCAAACCTCCCTTGCCTGTCTCGCTGTCTATGCTCAGGAGAAATCACATGCCCCAACAACTGGCTGGGGGCCACGACACACACTTGCACGTGCGTTTAGATTCAACGTCCGGGTGCAGCCGGGACATCCACATCAATCTTGCTTGCGGGGCGTCGCCTGGCCGCTGGAACACAATCTGCATGTAAACTCGTTACGGACAATCATTTCATGCTGGACCAGAGAGTTATACTTGTTTTAGATGTCCACGGCACTGTATTATCAGTACCAACACAAGCTAGGCAGGGACTCACCGGTACAGCAAAATGTATGCAACGGAATCCTCGCCTCCACCATCCATAGAAACAATCTTGTCGGCGGTAACGACCGACACCTTGTCATCTGCGAGGTGATGGTCAGCACCAATATGCTTTTCCACGAGACGCACCATCAAACTTGAACCACTCCTCCTCGCCGGACGCCGCAATGTCATCGTCCTTTCGGGCCCAGCCAATGTAGTGGCCAGAATCAGCGCTCGCACCCTTGTGGGTCACCATTGCTGTCGTCAGTCGGGAGGCATGCAGTCCGAAACTCACCACAAAGCTCATAAATGCCCGATGCATTGGTCCCCGCTTCAATGCCACCAGTCGTTTCAATGAGAGCAGTGACTTCCTTGTGCTCGTCGTCTCGGTGCTGCTCTTCGGTCTTATCGTCGGCCGCAGGAGCCTTGCCCTTGGAGCGCTTTGAGATGGTTGCGCGGTCATCACGTCCCTTCAGAATCTGCTTGACGGCCGTGTTGACAGGGAGGACCTTCTGTCGCAAGTCATCGGTGGCAATGTCCAGGACATCAAACTGGAGAGGGAACTTGACCTTGCGCATTATTTTGGCCTTTGACTGGATGTCACGGCGCCAGAAGAAGCGGACCTTCGTATCAGCATCCTGATAGACATTTGAATCTTACCATGTGGACAGCAAGGTACGTAGGAAGGCGGGACAGACGGGACTTGGCATCATACACAGCCGTGCGGCCAAGAGTTGGGCTGTTCTTCTCAATCTTTTGGTCGAGACTCTGTCGCCGGTCAGCCATGCACAGCTAAGCACTTTACCTCGAGGATACCAGACACCAAGAAGTTGGTTTGGATTGAGATATTGCATTCGAGCTTAAGGGCCTTCTCCTTGGACGTGGTGGGCTCCTCGTCTGGTGCCTCTGGGGACGACAATCTACGACGGTCAGCAGGTTATAAGGGCCACACTCTCACGTCTTGGTCATCTCCAACGACATCAAGTCGTCGACGAATGACTGCTGTCCATCTTTCCCAGGAAGACAGGCTCGAAGGGCCGAGATCAGTTGGGTCCAAGCCTCGTCGGCATCTGAAGTGCTGTTAGCGGACAGGTGTATGGGTCTTGCGTTGGAACTGGGGCCTTCGCCATCGACGCCAACCAACCTTGCTGGGCAAACTGTCCGCGCTGGTCCTGTTCCGCGAACTGGGGTGCCAAAGTACGCAGGTTTTGGATCAGCGCGAAAGGAGCAACAGCCTCCGTAGTCTGGGCCATTCCCGAATAGAGGTTCTTGATGGAGTTTGTGAGCTTGCCATCAGGTCCGGCACCAGCAGAGTAGCTATAGCATATGAGCAACTGATAGACCTCCGCCAAGGGACTCACGTTTCCAGAACTGTCTGCAGCTGGGGGACCTTACGCAGAGCTTGCAAAGTTGAATTGAGGTAGCAAGTGTTGCCAAGATTGACCAGGCCAGGAGGAACGCGCGTCTGACAGATGAGCAATCACGTACGCATAGCGTGCGACTCACGCTCAAGGCAAGCTCTGAGTCGTCCATATCCTCCACTGGTGGGGTCAGCAAACGCACATAGCTTCAGTCAACATACAGAAGACGACAGGCTCCTGCGGAGCCTCAGGAAGTGGGCCAGCGTTTCCAATAACCTGATTGTCAGAGAGGATGGACAGGAGCCTATGTTTGCCAGCTCACCTGAACAGTCTGGCCCTGAGAAGGTTAGCACTGCACATCTAAATCGATCTTACAGGTTTGAGTCCCAGCTTGGACATATCCGCGTCGTCCTTCAGAATGCCCTTGATCATGACTTTCATGCGGTCTGTATGTCAACATACCTCCACTGCCTTGTGCGTCCGGGAGATGTTTCCGACAGGTGATGAGGGTAGGGATAAATGAGTCCATCCCCATTCCAGATGATGAGTGCAATACGTACCAACAGGGATGCCAGTAGTCTGGTAAATCGACTGCTTGAAGGCCGTCGCCGGCGCCGCAACATCGACATCCAAAGGGTAGGTCTTGCCGCCGTGCTTGATTATGACTAGACGGATCAGCAATGATATACACACCTAAGGCATTGTTTCTGGGACCCATTTCTTACCGTTCATTGCGTCTGGAGTTCTCGAGGCGGGCATGAGTAGTGGAAATGAAAGGCGAACTGAGAAGTAACAAGCAAATGATCGAAGGATACGCGATTGCGCGAGCGTTGCGCGTGGATCCAGGCACATGGGCCACTTATTTGATGCGGACTTGTGAGCTTGGGATCTGCTCCCGCCCATTTAACCATTTGATGCAAGATTCAATGATGACATAATTGAAAATGCTACAACTGTCTAAGAGCTGTCCATATCCTCTCGTTCCGCCGCCGATGCCACTGCCTCTAGCTCACTGGCTCTCTGGGCGAGCTGCTCCCACCTCCGCCTGGCCATCTTGCGGCCTTGTTTAAGAATAGTGTTGAGCTTGTCGCGGTCATCGTAGAGTAGTTGCAGCGCTTCCGATGGGATGAAGATACCTGCGCGATGAAGGTCACGCCTCGCCGCTGGTGAGGATGCAAAGTCGGGCAAGGGAAGCACAAAGCGGCCTTTTGCGTTCCGGGTGATGGGTGGAGCCGTGGCGGACTGTCGTCCAAGTTCAGTCTCATGAGCGACAATGACCTCGATCTCAGCCTCAATGGACGCGAGGGCAGACTCGACGATTGGCAGGGTGAGCGTGACACCTTGGCCGCTGAGGGTGTTTTGCCGCGCGAAGATGAGGCGGCACCACTCGGGGTGCAAGCGGGTCGGCGCCTTGAGCTTGTGTCGCAGCTCTGGTTGACATGCGAGATACACCGAGTACCAAGCAGCACGCTGTGACATGACGTCGTTCATTGTTGACTCGAAGACATGGTTGAACGCAGGGCTGTTCTTTCGGAACGCCAGGAGCATGTCAAGGATAACGTGTGTTTCGTAAGGTGGCGAGTATGGCATGCGTTGTGTAGGGTCCGCAACGATCGAACTAGGAAGTGGTGCTGGTGTGAGAAAGTCGCGGCGGAATCGACTCCCCGGTTGTGTGTCGACCACTTGGTCTGGTGCTTCTTCTGCCCATCAGCGTCCAACGTCTTCAACAACAAAAAGTGGCTCACCAGACTCGACTTCCACTTTATCAAACTCGTTCTTCTTCAACCCAAACCAGCCGCGGCCTGCAGTGTCCTGTTGAGCCATTGCCGCGGACAGTGCGGGACCGGCGTCCTCGTCGTCATACCCCTCCATCTCCTCCTCATCGTTGACGAAGTAGTCTGGGTCCACCCGCCCCTTCATGGTGGTCAAAAGGTCGAATGCCGCAATGACACGGAACGGGTTCTTTTCGCAACGAGTAATGTGGGACATGACAGCAACCAATCCCTTGGCGGAAAGACGGCGAAACGTGGTTTCCACCCCTGCGTGTTCGCGCTGCTGTACGGACAGGGGCAGGTTGGCGAGGTCAATGGACCAGGCGTCCTTGAGGAGGAAACGAATAAAGTTGTCAAGAGCCTCAAACGCGCTCGGGTTTACATTCTGGACGAGGCCGGCGAGCTGACTGGAAGCCTCTAAAAGAAGGCGGAGCGTAAAGCGGTCGAACTTGAATTCAGCGTCTTGCATGGCTCGACAAATGTCCCAAAATGCAGAGTGGGCGGCATCGAGGTCGCCGGTCGAGGCATGGGTGTAGTGCACGGCCATGTCGCGCGTCCTTTGAACAATGGCGCCGATACGCCACTGTGTGACCTTGACGTTGGTGCGGAGCGCAGGCGGGAGGTCGGCAACGAGTCGCTCGGTTGCCTGAACTGCGCCGACTGTCGAGAAGTATTGCAGGACAAAGGTCCAGTCGTAGATATCGGCGGCGTTACGATGCGTCAGTTCCGCTAACACGGCGTCCATACGACGCTTCCACGACGTCTCCACCACGCGCTTATGCTGGTAGCGCTCGCGAGGAGTAACGTCGGTAACAAGGCGCCATTTCTCGTCGTACTGGGGAACGAGCGAGCGGAGGAGTCCCCGGAGATCTTCGGTCGAGAGCTCCTTGCGTTCGGGTACTGTGAGGTCTTGATAGATCTTCCATGCACGATCGCGAAGGGCCTTGTCCGGCAATGGGGAGTGGGCAATCTCGCGGATCACTCGCACGCGCTCGGCAGAGGTGGTCGTGGAGTTTGTAGCGGTGGACGTGGATGGTGTTGGATCGGACCAGCGGTTGGTGGAAGTTTCCGACGCGGCTGGCAATGCCGTGTACGCTCGCCGGCGCAGGACTCGTGAGGTCCCTGCTGCGACATGGCGAGGGATCATGTTTTGAGGTGTGGAGCGAGCGCGGAAGTGGTATATATCGTGAGGCGTCGTTTGCCTGTGTCGTCCGTTCTTGATCTTTTCCAGCGGCCCAACGGCTGACCCGGCCGATAGACGCGCCGAGGGCGACATGTCTGCGATGGGAGAAAAACAAAAAGAATAACGGAGATAATATTCACCCGCGCGGTGGGTGGCAAGTGCGGCATCCAAGGTTGCAGTGATCGTGACTCTGGCGCGGCTGGACAACGACAACAAACCCACAAACGATGGATATCGACGAGCTCGGTAAGTCGCTCTCGACGCATGCAAAGTGTAGATCCACGGCTGACATTGACATAGTCGTCGACAACACCTACCAGCTTGGCGGCTCGGATGACGAGCGTGAGCGTGCCCAAAATGCTGCTCTTCACGAGCAGATTGAGCGCAAGAAGCGCTTGCGCCGTATGGCTGTCCCGACCGACGACAAGAAGGTCCGCGAGCGCCTGCGTGCGTACGGCGAACCCATCACGCTGTTTGGCGAAGGAGTGAGTCTACAGGAGCCGCTCGTGGAGGTTCCGCTCGCCGGACTGTTGAAGCATTGAATGTTGACGATTCCACAGCCCGGAGACCGTCGAGACCGTTTGAAGCACATCCAGGAGCGCTACGAAGAGGAGAAGGGGCGACCTCTTGCCGACTTTGACTCGGACGAGAGCTCTGACGAGGAGGAAGGAGAGTTCTACACCGAGGGCTCCGACGCATTGCTGCAAGCGCGCCGTAAGATTGCGACCTATTCCCTCAGTCGGGCAAGGAGAAGGATCGCCCGGCAGCGTCTCGAGTACGACCTTCCTCTCGGCCGCATTGTGAATGTGCGCAAAGAGGTGTTTAGCGAGCTGCAAACGTTCACCAACCTTGGCTCGCAGTTTGGCGACGACCGCCCGCTGTCGACCATTCGCTTCTCCCCCAACTCTCAGCTCCTCTTGACAACAAGTTGGACTGGCGCAGCCAAGGTGTGGGACCTGCCAAACCTCAACCAGGTTGCGGTGCGACGTGGACACACTGAAAAGGTCGGCGGCGCAGCCTGGCACCCCGAGGCGACGATTGGCCTGAGCGAGTCAGCAGTCAACTTTGCCACTGGAGGAGGCGAGGGTGACGTCAAGCTGTGGAGCTTGGCAGAGGAGAAGCCGCTGGCGACTCTGTCGGGACACACCAACCGCGTTGGCCGTGTCGCATTTCACCCCTCTGGCGCATACCTCGGCAGCGCGAGCTTTGATGGCACCTGGAGGATGTGGGATGTCGCGACCAGCACCGAGCTGCTCACCCAGGAAGGACACAGCAAGGAGGTTGTTGCTCTCGCGTTCCAGGACGACGGCGCGCTGGCTGCCAGTGGTGGATTTGACGCGATTGGACGCGTGTGGGACATTCGCACTGGCCGGACGGCCATGGTTCTCGATGGCCACGCAAAGGAGATTCTCTCCATGGACTTCGCTCCCAACGGCTACCAGGTCGCCACCGGGTCAGGAGACAACACTGTCCGTATCTGGGACCTGCGTGCTCTGCGGACGCAGCACACTATCCCGGCCCACTCGAGCTCAGTCTCGGACCTGCGCTTCTTCCGTGCGAGCGGCGAGAACCCGTTCGTCCCTCTCGACGCACCAATCGACACTACTCCCCTTCCAGCCGCCAACGGATCGAACGGCACGACCAACGGCGACAAGATGGACGTTGACGACAAGACAGATGCCGAGCCAGACGCAGACACGCGTACGCCTACGCCAGCAGCACCGTCGGTCGACGTTCCTCGCTCGGGTCTCTTCCTCGTGACCGCGGGCTTTGACTGCAACGTGCGTGTCTGGAGTGCAGACGAGTGGGCGCGTGTTCGCAACCTGGCCACAGACGCAGGCAAGGTCATGAGTGCGGATGTGAGCAGCGATGGCAAGTTTATTGCGAGCGCGAGCTATTCTCGCAACTTCCATCTGTTTGGTGGCGACAACTCGCTGTAGGCTGGGTGTGACGTGTAGTGTGTAGGCGTGGGTAGCCAGGGCAGAGTGTTAGACTCAGAAGCATGCATACCATCGGCAGTTATCGTCTGAATTTTGATAGCATATAGCAGAGTGTTCGGGCGGTGCCGCGCGGGGCTCTAATGGACGGGGTTGACGTCACGTTGAGGAGGGCGTGACTGGATATCAAAACGACAGACAATTACTCGTCCTCTCCTCATCTCTGGTTCCTTCGTCACCTCCCCACCTCTCCACCGCCCACCTATCCCCCCACCTGGCTTCCTTGCATGATACCCCGCCCCGACTCTCGGCTGGACTGGTTCTTGCTGCCGCCGCGGTCACCGACGCCGAGTCCTCCGACTTCGCCACCTTCGTCGCCACAGCTTCTCCCTTTCAGTAGGGCGTCGTCAGAGTCACCTCCCAGGTCGCCTTCTCCACCTTCTTCCTCGCCGTTCTTCTTCCATCAACCCCCGTCACAGCCTCCAATGCCATCCCCATCCCGGTGCTATTACCCAGCGCCTATGCAAACCAATTCCGACGACTCGATCTCAAGTGATGGTTCGGACGACGACATGCTGAGCGTCTTTTCTGGCGACAGCCCGGAGGACTTTGCGCTCTCGCCGCCGCGTCGCCTTCCCGCCGCGTCACCCATCCTCTGTCCCACTACACGCGACAACATTGCTGGAACCTTGGAGACAGTCCTCTCCATGGACTGTGAGCCTCGTGAACTGGCCTACACCAGTGTCTCGACGCGTCCGCGTTCCTATGCGTTCTCCCACGTTTCCATTCCCTTGCGTACTTCCACTGGCCCCGACACGCCCACGCCAACAGCCTGTACCACGTCCCACCACCCACGCTCTCCATCTCCCCGTGGTCCTAGGGCTTATCTGAATGCCTGGGACCGCGACATGCCACCGCACATGGACAACGACTCGGACAGTGACAGCTCGGATGAGGACGACGACGTCGAAGACTCGCAATCGCTCGACTCTCAAGCCCGAGCCAAGGCACCCTCTCCTCCCCCCTATCCCTCGTTTATCTGGCCAAAGATCCAAACGCCCCAATATTGGACCACTGGGTCGTCCTCGAGTGTGGCAGAGCGAAAGCTTTGGTCGCCATCCCTCCCGTCTGCGCAGCCACAGCAGCCTGCCACGCCGGTGGTGCTGAGTGTCGATACTTTGCCCAACATCGGCATGAACTTTGCGGTCCCCGCTGCTGATTTGGCAAGGCGTTTGGCTATTACCAAGGCGTATCGCCGCCAGAGGGGCCAGCAAGTTTTGCGTCTGGTGGCCACCCGTCTCGTCCAGACCGGCCAATTCGCCACACTTGCGGGCCTTTTGAGCTTGTCCAGCTCGACCTATTCCGTCGTCTCGATGTTCCTGTACGGCGTAGTCCATATCACCAAGGAGAACGCTGGATCATTCTTCAACGCCCTTGTTGAACCCCGGACTGGCAACACGCGCGATCCACTGTCAGCCCCAAACCGTCGAGACCGTATGCGCCGCCACAATAACACGATAATTGTTTCGTCGCTTCCGTATTTCGCGCCGTCCATGGCCGCGTTTGTGGGCACCAAGGCAGCTCCACCGCCTCCTCTGCTGTCCGCAAACAGTCTTGCAATTAAATCGGGTGCTTGGACCGCGCTCGGGAACAGCACCTTGCTGTCGCAGGCAGTTGCGGGACTTGCGTCCCCGAAAAAAGTCTGCTTCGATATCGGTGCCAAGCGGGCCAAAAAGGACGACGGTAAACGCAAGGCACTTCGTCCTACGCAAGACACGACTGCAGCGTCGGTTCGTCTGGCAGCACTCTCAATTACCACTATTCTTCTGCCCTCGTGGTCGCAGCTCACCGAGGTCACGATCCATCGCGCCCAAGTTCTCCTCCTCAACGCCGGCCAATACGCCAACGGGCTGTTTGTAAAGGGTGTCCGGTACACATTGTTCTTTAGCGCAGACGACACCCCGTCGCCGGTCCCTTCCCCGGGCCACGGCCACACATCGACCCTCACCTCCTCCCTCCCCACCCGTATCCCCCGGTCGTCAAGCACCGCCGGCTGGCCGCTGTGGCAGGCCATGGTCGCGGCGCTCAAGCCCCACCTGGCCAATTTCGCCGGCACCGTCGTCATCCCCCACGACCAGCACGGCACCCTCTGGCCCCGCGGGCACGAGGACGCCCCGCTCTCGCATCTCCCCGGAGTGGCACGCACGCTCGTGGCAGGTCGTAACGGCGGCGCCAACATTCGTTTTATCGGCATCGAGCACCTGAGCAAAAAGTGCTGCGATATCTGCCAGGTGGCACACCGCAGCCACACTGGCAGTCCTTAGCCGCACAGAGGCGTCCTTCTTCTTGCGTTCTTGGTCTTGTTGGTTCTCGCAGACCTCCCGCGTCCCCACCATGTTTCTCCCACCTTGGCTACATAGCGCCCTGTATCATGTCCAGAGTTGCGAGAACTCTTCGTTCTAGCGTAGCCGAGTCAGTCTTGGATGTATTCGAGTGACCTGTTTTTTTTTTGCCGTTCCGCACAGTGCGCACCCGTCAACCTTTCATCCTTCGTGCCACTTTGCTGCCTGCCGCCCGCAAACGTGCCATCCGTGATCGTCAAGTACATGCATACACGGTGTGTACCGTCCTGCCTTCGAGGAGACAGACAGTCGTCAACCTTTGGGGGCGTAAAAAAAAAACACTTCAGATTCCTATAACCTCTCCCTCTCACCCACCAACCACCACCTCCCCCAGACCCGCCGCTGGCTACAGCTTGCGCCACGCAGTAGCGATGAACAGCACCCACACGCTGACGAGGAAACACAGGCAGATCCTGAAACTTGTCTTTCCGCGTGCGCGCTCTGCGTCTGTGCGCGCCAGGCCCGTCTGGGGTTCCTCGACCTCGCCCTTGGCGGCGGGGAGGCAATCGTCAAAGGACGACGCGGACCGGGCGTCGTCGTCGTTGCTGTCGTTCTCGTAGTCGTCGTCGGACAAGGACGAGCGCGCCGAGGCCGCCGCGCGGAGACCGAGACCACCGGCGCCGCCCTGCTCGGCGTCGGCGGCGAGCGGGAGGCGCTCGTACTCGTCTGCATGGTCGTGCAGGCCCGAGGGGCGGTGGGAGAGCGCGGTGCGCCGCGCCGACTCGAATTTCCACAGGCCGCCGGCCGAGAGGATCTGGAGGACGTTGACGACGGCGAAGATGACCAGCAGGCCGTGTGCGGCGTTGTCCTGCCCGCCGCGGTGGTCCTTTGCCCAGTCGAGCCAGAGGCCCGCGAGGGTCTGGGACGCGGTGGACGCGGCGGATTCCATGGCCTTGTGCATGCCCAGACCGAGCGGGACGAGGGCCACGGGCAGGATGCGCGCGACCATGACCACCAGCAGGAGCGGAGACGCGCCGTGGCCCAGCGCCCACGAGATGAGTCCCGGCCACGGTGTCTGGGTGAGCGACACGGGCAACGCGAGGTAGATGTATCCGAACAGGGTGAGGATACACGTGATGTGGAAGAGCTGGAACGTGGTGCGCGGCGTGTCCGAGCCGTGGCGGTCGGTAATGTATCCCGTGATCGGGTACAGGATGATGGCGCCGGCCAGGAGGACGCTTGCGTTGAACGACGCCTGGGACTCCGACAGGCTGAAGCGGACCTGGACAATGTTGGCGCTCAGGTGGAGGAAGGGCGACCAGATGGCGCCACAGAGAATGTTCATGACGATGAACACATAGTAGACGTCTCCCAGGCGCGATATGCCGTCCCACTTGACGATACGGCGCGGGGCCACACGCTCCGCCTCGTCCGTCTCGCCCCACCTAAATGTCAAGCGGAGGATGTTGGCGATGAACGAGGTGGCGCAGAGGACGAGGGCGACGAAGAATGGCATGCCGTCGCCTCCGGCCTCGGCGAGCGGGAGCGAGCACATGGCGGCGATAAAGGACGCAAACTTGCCGCTGACAAGACCGAGGGCGAGGGACAAGCCCAAGTGGCCGCCGGGGGAGAGCTTGGCGAGAAGCGTTTCTTGCACGACCATCAACGGTGTCATGCCCAGCCCAAAGAGGAAGAAACCGCCGGCCATGGTCACGAGGTTGCCGTGGGTCACGCCGAAATACACAATGATCTCGCCCAGAAGCACAGCGCCGGTAGTCACGACACTGGACCAGCCGGTTCCGAAGCGTGAGACGAGGATACCACCCACAAGCGGCGTCCATGTCGAGTTGAGGCTGCAGCGTTAGTATGGAAACGTCGAGGCCGAGGGGTCGGTCGGTCGGTCGGGGCGAGCACTTACTTGAGCGCCGAGATCAAGAGCGAGAACTGCGAGTTGCTCGAGCCCAGCTCGCGGTGCAGACGGCTCTTCAACGGGCCCATGAGATACATTGTGCTGTAGCATGTCAGCGTTGGTCTGCAGCAGGCACCGGAACCTCCGCCGGTGCTCTGGGAAACAACAGCTCGCACCCTGCTGCTCGCAGTGGAGCCAGCCTGCAGCGACGCAGGGAGCGACGGCGCAGAGGCAGACAAGGTGTGCCAGATACCCAGAGGAGTAGGCGACGCGCAGCCAGCAGAGCACACAGTACAGGGGGCAGCGGGGGGGGGCAGGGGCTACTCACAAGTGTGATCCCACACTCAACAGACAAACGGCAACGAGGGCCAGGGCGCGGCTCCGCGTGAGCTTGCCGCCGTCGTCGTGAAAGTCGGCGACACTCCTACTGCGCACAACACTGGCATTGGACAGCCTGCGTGACCGCTGCTCGGGCGAAAAGCTCAGCGTCGCGGCCATGCGCGGGTCGAGGCGGGTGCTGTTGAACCGGCTCGAGTTGGCCGACACGCCGCCGCCGCCGCCGTTGGCGGTGCGTGCAGGCGTCACGGGCTGTGAACCGAGGTAGGTGGGCGTCTTGGCCGAGGGGGAGGACGGGGGCTCGGTGGGTCGACCGCGGGACGGTGGTATCGAGATGCCGAGTGCGCCAGACGACATGAGTGGAGAGGTGGTGACATGGTGGTGGTGGTGGTTGGGAGGGGAGGCGCGGCGGATGGGGGTGCTGCACTCGTTTGGGAGGAGCTCGGATGTCTCTAGTGAGGCCGAGCGGGCGGACATGGTGCCATGCAGTGGGGTGTGCGAGGGAATGGAGTGGTTGAGAGGAATAAAAAAGAAAGAGAGCGATGGCAAACACAGAGAGTTGCGATGGAACGGCCGGTGGGTGGGTGAGAGAGGGGTGACACAATGGATTCTCGGTTGCGGCGGGTTACTCGCGCTCTCTCTCTTTCGGGGCTGCGCGGCAACGGCGGTGGCTGTGGGGGGGCGGGGGGGGGGGGGGGAAATCGCCCGAATCCGAAGCGCGCAGGAAGCACAGACGCTCAGTGCCTACTTCTTTTTTGTCTTGGCAGGCGCATGCATGCACAATCGGACGCACATAACTGGCCACCCACAGAGCCACCCGTATGCACATTGTCAGTTGCCAGAGCTTGTGCGATGCGTGATGGCCTCGCTGTGAGTGGCGCCTCCCCCTCCGGCCTGCACAGCGTTTGTTGACTCGGGATGTGATCGCCCACGGGCCACGGGGGACGCCGTTGCAATCTGATAAAAAACGGGCGGGCGAGATCGGCGCCTGGTTGGCTGACGCAAAACAAAAAAGTCCTGTCTCGCCCGCCCTGTCAAACACTTGGCAGCGACGTGGATGGGCCGTTTCCGTACTTGCGAGCTCTGAGGGGGGATTCTGGGAGCCCAGTCGTGTGCACTTGTTGTGCATGTCCATTGAGTTGACCGTCTCCGAGTCTCTGAGCGTTACTGCCAGGGCTGGAATGGCTCCAGGCTGTCTGCCAAGCTGTTGGCTGGCTTTGTTTCGCTCGGGTTGTTTTTCCTAAATGTGTGACACACATTCGCTTGATCGTTTGATCGCGAAAACCACCCCGCTTCGTCGTGAGAGTCTGCCGGATGGGCTGTTTTGGCACGAGATCACGCTCCACCCGTCCTAGAATTCCTAGGAGGCACGCTGAGGCTGAGTGCCAAGCAGTGTACTGTACGCAGTGTGTGGGCCAAATCACATGCCATGCATTGGTGTTTGGCGCACACAACAAGGCCAATTGATCGCTCAACCCATGTTTTGTAAATTGATCGGGAATATATTACGAGCCATATATAGTCGATGGTCTAAACAGTCGCCACGCCTGTTTGTGCCTCCCTCTGTGAGAGACACACCGCTTGGCCACCACTTGTTGTTGACAAGAGGGCTCTAGGCTTCCGTGTGCTGTCACCTTCACACGACGCGACAGATTCCCTCTTGGTCATTTGGAGATTGGTTTCATTGCAAGGTGGGTGTTTGTTGACGTTCATACTAGATGGGCTGCGGTGAACGTAAACACACAAGTGGCGGTGGCCACTACTGCGTGCTGCTGCTGCTGCGAGTGTAACGATGTGCACACCTGACATGCTGGCGGTATCCGGCAGGTAATTCTCGATGTACATGGCCCATGGGCTGGGGGCTGGATCTCGTACGGTGCGTATGAGATGGACGGTCTGGCATTGGCTAGGTTACTGTACTGCTGTCCAGATGTTGCAGGAACGCAAGCGAGCGCCACGTCCATGACTTCCATCCGGTTACTGTACAGGAACAGTACAATGCATGCATGTGACGTGAAACCGTCCTGGATCCCGCACTGAGCACAAAGAACCAACTGTGCAACTCTGCACTGGCGCACTGGCGCACTGGCCACTTCCAAACGCCCAGTTGACCAACAGGCGAGACGCCATCCGGCCACACCAGCACTGTGCACTGTGCATACGGCGCCTTGTGAAGGGGACCCGCCCGGGGGGTCGTGTTCGGGCAGGCAGCTTGCCGCTCTTGGCCGACCTGCTTCAGAGTTTCACGCACAGAACCAATCCCAAAGACGTTAGTGGTGAGCATGGAAGGACCGCGAGAGCCACCACGAGAAGCAATGGCCGTCCACGACGCCATGGTGGTGGGTGGCTTGAGCTTGTTTTCGGCACGATCCGACCACTTCCTCGCCGAACGCCGGACCCCGGTACCCCGGTACGCTGCCTGATGCGATGCACGCGATGGAAACGGCGAGCCAAAAGGTGGGGTCCACATGTCCTAGTGCCAAGCAGACTGTTTTTCATTCAATGGGTCGAGTGTGACAGGCCACCTGGCCACCTGGGCAGAATGAAATGCCACGGCCCTGGGGGTCAACACACTGGCACACTTCAGTCAAAAGTCAAAGTAAACCAACCTGTTGGCGGCTGTGTGGCACCTGGATCAACAAACACCGGGGGGGGACACCATAGACCACCGTACACCACCGCAAGCATGGCAGACAAGCCGGAACCGCGGCATGGTGTCAGGTCATACGATCATACGACTGAATTCAGACTTCACCATACCGCTCAGGACGCCAGGAGCGAGGATGGGGGGTTCGTCAGGATCGACACGCTCATATGCTGACCGGCTAAAACTCGACCCCTACAGTGGCGCAGCATACCCAAACCTCGCTCCTCACTCCTCCCTAACGGGTCGTCGTGGCGTTGCTTTCCGAGTGATGGCATGCACGCTGGTACGCTGGGCAGTGGCAGTGGGCACATTGCGTCCTGCCCATTCACTCCACTCGTCTCCTGCGCCCCTCGGCCTCCTACATCAACAAGGTGCCAACCTGCACACATCAACCCCGTCTCGCCTCACCGTGCCCGAGGCGACGGGTGCTGTGGCCGCACCTGACGCGGTGACCTGTGCTTTTGTCAACATCGGTGCCGATGATGCCGACGGTCATGGTCATGAACGAGGGAGGGGTCGGCGAGGACGAGGACAAGGACGGCGGGTCGGTCGCCGGTCACATCAGCATGTCATCGGCACCCGGGGTCTACGGGCCACGGGTCCACGGGTCCCGTATCCTCCCCGCATCCTCTCCGCTCCCATCGGCGCGGCGCGAGTACGGCCGTGGGTGTGCGCCGTATGGACGAGACGAGGCGAGACGAGACGCTGCGCATTGCGCATTGCGCAGTGCGCACCGGCGCGCTGCGGCCTGCGGCCTGCGGTGTGGGGCTGGCCCGCGTGCGCCGGCGTTGGGCACGAACGCACGGGGATGTGGCACCGGCATGTGCTCGGTTTCGTGCTCGGTACACACCACACGCACTGATGGCACTGACGGTGGGGTCTCAGGATTATCGGCGCACGCCAAATTACTGAAAAGTGACTGTGATCTCTGATCTGTGACAAGGTGACAGAAACCCAGCCAGCCACGTCTGGCGCTGGGCTCCAGACCAGGCAAGCGGTGGGGGTTCGATTCGACAAGGCAAAGAGCTTCAAGGCTTTGGAAATGAATGAGTGTGGTGGGGGTGGCATGGAGGGCTAGGGATTAATGCCACTGGACCCTCACTTTACCTACACCTTTCTCGGCTACGGGCCGACGGAGGGGGAGGGGGTTGGGTCGTCGCGCAGTTTACCGTGTCCGTGTCGGCATGTCTCTGTCAGGGCTCGCGAGAGGTGACCGTCTGTCGGCGAGTCACTCGACGGCCTGCCTTGCCTTTCACTAAAACGTCGACGGTTTGACTAGACTCGCTGTACGTCATCTACCGCCGTGTCCATTTTTGTTTTTGGTTTGGTTTGTTCCCTCCCCCCCGATGTTTCTAGTGCGGTCCGTTTCCTAGAGTGAGCTTCTAGCCTGAGATCCTCAGGATACACTCGCCCGGCCGCCATACACGCAATGTACAGTCGACAGCGCGACGGTCGTGAATCCACCACCCCCCTCGGTGTGCCACACACATCTACCGCAACGTCGGAACCGGCGTCTGTGCTCCCGCTCCTCCCTCTCCATCCCCCCCCCCCCACCCCCAAACCAACGTCCCCTGCCAATCCCTAGAACACATCATGTCAGCAACGTGAGAGAACGCGAGCAACGCAACGCGTTGCACGAGTTGGTGATGATCAGCGATGATCAGTGGGGGTGTAGGTTATTTGGCATCCATGCGAGCCCCCCCTCCGTACTCCGTTTCGTCCCGGCGCTGGCGCGCTGGGCGTTTTTTGGCTTTCTTCTGGCCGCCATACCGAATTCAAATCCAAACTCGCCTATCTCGTAGCAAGTCGCGGCCGGCGTGCGTACGCAGGTCCCCAGATTCCCTCCCCACTCCCCCCCCCCCCCCAGCTGGCAAGCGAGCCGCTCGTTTGCTGGCTGGCTCGCTGGTGCGCTCGCGCTGAGCTCAGCGCTCCAGACATGCCGCCGGGCTTGATCAGCGGGGCCGGTGGCCGGTGGGCTCGTCTCACGGCTCACGGCGTCCTTTGCCAGAGACATGCAGAAGCGGACAGGACGGTTCCGGCCGCCGGAACCGCCGGTGCAGCAGTCGACGTGGGCCGTGGATGCCACGCGCCACATTCACTGACAGCATGACAGAACTGTTTTGCGCCCGTGGCATTTTAGACCTCGGTATACTTCGGTCAATATCAGCGGATCAGCGGATAGCCCACCGTTTTTCGGTTGTGACGGTTCCTGGGATGCTGAGACCGTTCTGTCCATCGTCCATATCGCTGTATGTGGACAGTGGGCGTCTTGGCGGCTTTGCTTCGGCATTATAGTCGTGGATGGGATACGCGGATCAGAGAGGACGTATGGTTTTGGCCAGAGCGAGGAACAGGGTTGGACGAGAACAGCTTGGGACCCAAAAAGTCCTGGTGACTGGTGGCCCCCAAACGCCAAAGCAACAACATCAATCCGAGCCGTCGCGGTCACGGCGGGGGGGGGCGGCAGTGGCGCGTCTGTTGCTCTGCTCCGCGCCTGCTTTTCACAGACACACTACTGCCACCGCACAGGTCATCGGAGACCGCGACGGCTCGGATTGATGTTGTTGCTTTGGCGTTTGGGGCCACCAGTCACCAGGACTTTTTGGGTTCCATGATCCATGGCCGCTGCAGTGCTCAGCTGTGCACCGTTCCTGCCCCAGGTGGCAATTTCGAGACGCCACTTCCTAGTTGGCGAGTTATTTGGCGGCCTGCATGGCCTCGCCAACCTGGGGTGCAGCGGTGGGAGAAGCCCGCCCCGCCCCGCCTTTGCAAGGCTGTCTATTGCACCACTCCACATTGCACGTCTCTCGATAGCGCCGTGTTGCCCCTTGGCGCTTGGACAGGGGGCACCTGGGACATTGAAGGATTCACAACATGGGAGCGATATCGAGCCCACCGGGAATCCCGAGGCGATGTCAGGAGGTGAAGAGGCCCAGTCCAACGACACGCGTCCTTGTTGACAGGATCCGTCGTATCTACAATACGACCCAGTGTGCGCCGCCGGTTCCAGTGTCGCCTCCGACGGAAACCGGCGCGCGAGTCGTTGAAGCCCGACGGATCGGCGTCTGTATGTACCACCTTTTTGGTACCTTGGTACCTTGGGGCTCTTGTGGCAGTGCCAGGCTGTGCATGTGTGTTATGCGTGAGTTGCGTAACATGATGACGATGAGGATGATGATACGCCTGCCTGGTCCCAAAGATAGCCCCCAAGGGTGGCCGGCCGAGAGAGATGATGGACACCCGTGGGTCTGGAACACGACTCGTAGCCTAGCGCACAAATGGCTCCTCCCATGGCTCATCATGTCAGAATGCATCCGAGAAACGCGACAAGCACCCAGCTGACAAGAGCCGTCGGTGACAGAGGGGGGCTTACGTGTTGGCCCAGCAGCGTCCGAACCTTTCCGTCGCTGGCCGGCGGCGAACGAACCTCGGCCCCAGCGGCCAGTGGCCAGTGGGTGGGGTCGTCCCTTTTGCCGCATCCCTCTGCCCCCTTGCCCCCCGGCCCCCGACATTGGGCATGTGTGGCTTGGCATATGGGCCAACCTGAGCAACGGCAACCGCAGCCCGATAGGTGTCGCTCCGATGCCGCCTGCTGAGCGAGCGTAAGCGCCATGTGTCAGACCGCTACAGCGTACAGCGCGTACGGAGCACACGGAGAGAGGGGTAGAGAGACGGAGCTCGGGCACCCATGGAGATGCCGAGGCCAAAACAAATCACAACGGGAACGCACGGCAGAGCGAGGTGGTGGTGGGGTGTGGGGTGTGTCTGTTTTTGAACACACATACACGACGGATATCGTCTTCTCTCACTCTCTCGCTATCCTCACTCTTGCTCGTCATCTGCTGTGCCGATTGTTCTGTTCTGAGCTATTCTCGGTGTCGACCAGAGTCTCACTCTTTAAACGTTCTTTTCGGGCGTGTCAAACAGCACTGCCTAAGCGACCTCTCAAGCTCCCCCCCCGGCGTCCGCCGCGTCTCCGCCGCGTCTGCCGCCTTTCCGACTTTGACCACTGGACAACTGGACCACTGCTGTAGCTGCGTGCGTGCTTGCTTGCTTGCGTGCTTGCTTGCTTGCTTGCTTGCTGCTGCCGCTGTAGATCGGCGTAACAGAAGTTTTGTGATTTACAGACATTGCCAGGACACCCACGGCGACACCTAGCAGGACACAGGACACCTGTGCTCCTCTGTTACCTCTGTTCCACCACACACCCTCTTTTTTTTTTTTTTCTGTCCGTTGCTCGTTGGATCCTTTTGGCTCGGGGACTCGGCCACCACCCACGGCCACCTGCCTGCACACGCCAAAAAGAAACACATAGAGGCTTGGTTTGCCCTTATCCGCCGGCCGGGTGTACGTGTTTTTCCTCTCTTTGGCCGCCCCCCCTGTGGCCCTCTGGCTCCTCGCCCCCTTTTGCTCCGATCGCCCTTTTGCCTGCCTGGAGAGCGAGCCTGGCCCTCTCCCTGTGTGTGCCGTCTTGTCCTTTTTCTCGCCACCGGAATCCCAGTCGTCCCACCCAGAGCATTTCACAACCACCAGACACCCACCACCACCACCCACACAGCAGGCTCGTACGACCACAGTCCCATTTCAACCCCCCATCGCCCCACCGCCATCATCATCTCCACCCACACCCCACATCGTCATCATCCACCCACAACACCTGCATACGCACACTCTCTGCCGTCACCACCTGGGTAAGTACAATATCTGATGCTGCGACGCGTCATGCACACACCACCCACCCACGGCACGGCCAGATGGCCCCCATTGCATCATGACTTGACGGGCGCCGCCATGTCCATACGGGAGCAATTTTAATATGGGTGGCCCGGCCCATGCTCTCTGTCCCCCTCTCCCCGCGCGCGTTTACACACATACATGCCTCTGTTGCTTGCGCATTTGCACGGGAGAGACAAGGAGTGTATACGGGGGGTCTGCAGGTCATCGTCTCGGTTCGCTCGCTCGCTCGTCACATATCTCTCATCTCTCTCTCTGTCTCTTGTCTCCCCCTCTCCCTCTCCAGTCTGTATCTTCAATGCTCACACGCGTCCAGCACATCCACATCTCCAGTCCTTCTACTGCGCAGGCGTAGTTACGCCCCCCCCCCCCCCCCATCTCCCACACCACCACGGCGCACGCCAAAGACCAAACGTTCCCCTCTCCCTCCAATACGTCACTAGCCAAGTCGCATCGTCCGCCGCTCTGTGCCGAACGCCTCCGCGAGTCCCGCCACCTCACCACCACCCTTCTCGCTCCTAGCCTTGGCACCGTAGACTGGTCTCTACCTCGTCCCACCTCGTTTGGTGCTTGACGTGTACAGTGCACAAACAGCACATTCCTGACTGCGACGGGCTCTGCGTGCTCCCCTCCCCGTGTCAGGCTCAAGTCGCACGACCCCCTCCCTCCCTCCTCGTCTTCTTCCCAATCCCACATCGCGTATCGCACGATGGCGCCGGGCTTCTTCTCCAACATCCCCGTCCTCTCGGCAATCCCGAACCCCCTCAACCTCTTCAACCTCGACGACAGCACCCCCAACAACAACAGCAGTCTCGATGACAGGGATTCCCCCGAGCCTGGGCCGTCGAGGCCCAAGCCCATCCTCTCGCGTGACTCGAGCGACCCGTCGGCAGACTCTGACAGCGAGCAAGGCCACTCGGGAAGGCCCCGAGTGACACCTCGCAAGGTGTCTGCGCCCACATCGGTGGTGATCGACCCGGGCCTCGACTCGGACACGCCGCGCACTGGCACATCCCGTCGGCCTCGTGGGTTTAGTGTTGCATCGCGCATCTCGGCTGTCCCAGGCGACAGGGCCAAGCGCCGCATCAAGGTTGAGGTGAGCCGGAATTCAACGTTTCTCCAGAGAGAGAGAGACACCACCCGCTGACCACTTGGCCAACAGACGTTTATCCTGGTCAAGCCACCACCCACGTCGAGCAAGAACCCCCTCAACCTCCAGGTGCAGCTGGTCATGCCCGAGCGGAAACCACGCAACCGTGTCGCCTCTGACGCGGCCACGCGTTCGGGTGACATTTCGTCTGTTCCCAGCACCCCGCAGCGGGGGTCGTTTGAGAACCCGGAGGACGCCGTCGGCCAGCCCCCAGAGCACGAGCCTCTGCCTCCCGTGACGGAACTGAAACGCTCCAACTCGATCACCTCGACACACTCGAGCAGCAGCACCACGGCCAGCGCGTCGTCCAGCACCGCGGCAGGCAAGCGTATCGTGCCCCTGTACAACCTCGCCGTCCACAACGTTGTCCAGCCTTCGGTCGTGACCGACGCGGGAACAGACAGCAAGGTGGCAAAGGTGAGTCAAAACACGGGACTTCCGCAGGGGGCGCGTGGGAGGGGGGCAATTCTCATGAGCTCATATGACTAACATCCCACAGTTTGGCAAGCGCCAGCTCGACATCACGGGTGTCGGCATCCTCGAGCCAGCAGAGATCTGGTTCCCTTATGCGGGCCTCATGCCAGGCTCGCCACGGCCGTCCGTTGACGTCAACAATGGCCACCGCAACAATGGCCGGCCAGCGTCCATGATCTCCAACATGTCGTCCCTCACGCCTGCCACCTCGCGCGTCGACGAGTCGGTCCGGTCGTCCATGGAGAATGGCAAGGAGAGCTCGTTGACACAAGAGGATGGTGCCAAAAAGTTCTTTGGGAAGATCTTCCGCAAACGCGGCAGCGCCGAACCCTTGACGTCTCCCCGGGTCAACAACGACCGCCGCCAAAACAAGATGGTCCCGTCCAAGAGCTCCAACTTTCTCACCGTCGACAGCGCCGCCGGCTCGACTCTGACGGTCCCCTCGGCACCGTCGTCGCCGCAGATGCCCGCGTACTCGAACGAAACGGCGACCCCCATGACCCCGACGCTCTCCATGCAGGTCGGCGCACCCACGTTTGGTCTCGCGCCATCGGTCGTGGCCCGTCGTACCGGCGAGATGGTCCTGTACGGCTCGGGAGCAATCATTGGCCTCACGTCCGAGACAGCTCCTCCGTCCGAAGGCGAGGGCGAGGTCCTCCAGCTTGTCCGCTCAGGACGGCCTATCGGATTCACCTGGACGGTGCGCAAGTGGGCCAAGAAGAACACGGACGGGTGGGCTGCGCACCTCGTCGCGGCTGCTGCGGCGGGTCTCGACCTCGTTGCTGGCCAGCTTCCTGGTGACGGCTCTGACGAGGTTGTCTTTGAGTGGGTCAAGCTTCGCATGGCACCGTCGGCGTCCATGATCGTCAAGAACCACCCGGCAGGTGACGCCATCGAGGCACGTCGCCGTCGTCGTCGTCCTGCCCGCCCTGCCGGTGCTTCGGGGTCCGGATCGCCCGCGCCTTCGCCCTACGGCTCGCGTACGTCTCTCCCTCTGCGTCCGCGCAGGAAGACGGTCGACGCCGCCGGTGCCGACGGTGCTGCGGCCGCCCAGCCCGCGTCGCGTCGCGGCGTGTCGCCCGTCCCCCGCCGCGTGAGCGCCAGTTCGGACGGTGCCGAGCTCGCCGACGAGGCGTCTTCTGTGGCCGACTCGTCGTGCCCGCCTACATGCGACGTGGTGGTCGACGACGACGACGCGTACGACTCGGACCCCGAGGACAGCGAGACGCCATGGATATTCTCCGTCTGGGTGAAGCGCACCAACAAGCGCCAGCTGCTCGCGACGCTCACCCCGACCCCGCACCACCCAAAGGTCATTGGTGTGCTGCGCATCCCCCAGTCGCTCAAGAGCATCTCCCTCGCCGAGGTGCCCACGTCCGTCGCCAACGTCAACCAGAACAGCGTCGACATGGCCGCGCGCATCTGCCAAGAGGTCGCACTCACAGAGGAAAACCTCAAGGACGTCGTCAACGTCACGGCCATGTGGCTCGTCGCGCGCGAGGAGTTTGGCGGCTTGGGCCAGAAACGCAAGGGCGCAAAGTAGTAGGCCTATAGGCCTATAGGCCGCGCGCGGTTGGCTGCTGGCTGTTAGATTTTTCTCCCTCTCTCTCTCTCTCTCCTCTTTTGTTTATTATCATTCCGCCCCCCCCCCCCCCCCCCCCCCACCACCACCACAGTAGAGGAACGCTTCCACACGGTCCAGGTCGAATCTGTCTGTATCATAACCACTTTCCGTACACGCGCTCTAGGTCACCGAGGGTTTCCATTTGCATGTATACACCTTTTTTTTCCCATTCCATGGCACTGGTGCACAAAAGGGTTGGGAGAGATGCAAGGTGGCGAGGGGGACGGTGTTCAGCAGATCAGTGGATCAGCGCCAGTGGCTCGCGGCCGCCGCCCCAGTTGGCCGGCCAGTTGGTTCCGTTGTCAACAACGTCGCGCCGTCACCACCAACCACCACCACCGCCGTCCACCATCTTTCTCTCCGATCTCCTACTATTCCACCACCACCACCACCACCGTCCTGCACGCGTCTCATCCCGTCATCAATGGACGACTCACCTTTCCTCGCGCACCGCGCCGGCGCGCGGCTGCTCGACGACGACGCGACGCTCGAACTGGCCGATCTCAGCATCATGAGCGAGGACGACGACAGCCCCCTGATGCGCACGAGCGCGTTACCGGCGACAGCGACAATGGGGGCGACGGGAGCGGGCGCTGCTGCTGGGGGTGCACGATACTACCCCTCTGCTGCGTCGTCGTCGTCCTCTTCTGGACCAGCATATACCTCTGTCTCTGCCTCTGCCTCCGCCTCTGCCTCTGCCTCTGGATCCACGTCCACGACCACCACGGCCATGTCGTCGCGTACCCTCGGCGCAGACCTCAACGCCAACGCTGCCCTCGACCTTGACCTGGGCGTAGGCCGTAGACCCAAGCCCCGGTTCTCGCTGTTTGCGGCTGGCGCATCGCCCAATGTGCCCAGCACGTTGACGCGCGGGACGCGCGGCGCCGGCGGAGCCGCCCTCGGTCCTGCCGTCGACGAGGAGGAAGAAGAAGAACAAGAAGAGGAAGGCGAGGGGGAGCGCGACGGCGCGCACGCGAGCGAGACCGAGTCGGAGCAACAACACCAACAGCGTCGGCTCGGCCACGGGCGTCACCCCAGCACCGCGAGCGCGGCGAGCGCCGCCAGCGGGACCAGCGCGAGTGGCAGCGAGCACGGCGACGCCAGCAACCAGCCAGGCGCGCGCGACGAGGACACGGCAGACACGGCCGCCGCGTGCCAGGAGGCAAGGAACGAGCGCCTCAAGGCGAGCCTCACCGAGCTGAGGCGGTTCAACACCGTGTTTGACGGGTTCTACCGCGCGTTGGCGGACGCAAAGGGCCATAACGAGGTGAGTGGGTGTGGGCTCGTGGGCTCGTGTTTGCAGGCGATGGCGATGGATAGAGACAGAGTAGCGGGGGATGACATGACGGGGTTTGTTCACTGATCACTGACACACACACACAGCGGCTCGCCACGCGCGTCGCGCAGACACACGCCCTCCTCGACCACTACGTCGCGCTCCAGGGCCAGGCGCTGCATACCCAGCAACTCATCCTCAACCCAAAGTGGACCGGCGTGCACGATGTAAGTGGCCGTGTGCCGTTGCCGTGGCGATAGGCGGGGCGGGGGGATGTCTGGGCTTACTTGCTGTGAAAGACGCTGCGGTCTACGACAGCAACTCCCCCCCCCCCCCCCTCTCCCGTCTTGTATACTTTTTCTGCACACCACACCACTGACACTTTTCCTCCTTAGGACGAACGCGCCCTCGCCGAAGCGGAATCGGCGCGGATCGCAGCTGAAGAGGCGCGCGTCGCCGAACAGGCCGCCATGGCCGCGCGCGCCGAGGCCGAGCAGCGCGCCGCTGAACAACGGGCCGCCGCCGCCGAGGCGGCCAAGGCTACGCGCGGCGTGCGGGCGGGCGGCGGCGGTGTCGCGTCTGGCGTGCGGGGTGCGCGCGGACGCGTGGGGGGTATGGGCGGGGGTGGGGGGAGCGCGATTGGCAGGCCGGCAGGGACGGGGATTCCCTCGCGGCTTGCAAGGCCGACGGCGGCCGGTGCGGGTGCTGGCGCTGGTGCGGGCGCGCGGCCGACGAGCGCAGGTGGGAGGTATGGGCATGTCCAGAGTAGCGGATATGGCCCGCCCCGGTCTCGCGCTGGGTAAACCTCTCTGCCTCTCTGCTTCTCTGCTTCTCTGCTTCTCTTGGGTGCGCGTTATAGATAGACAGGATGGGCGAATGTAACATACAGGATCTTTTATATTAGACGAACACTGGCCACACTGGCCACAGACCACAGAGCCGCTGCTGGCTACACCTTTCTCTCTCGCTTCTACTGCTACTGCTGCACACACACGTCCCTCACCTCGCGTCCGAGCCTGCTGCCCTTGAACCTCTGCAACCCCTCGAGCAGCTCCCTCTCCTCGTCGGTGAGCTCGAGCTCGGGCTCGGGCTGCGTCTGTGCCACGCCAACGGGTGGTACACCAATGTTGACGCCGATGCCACCGACGGCGCGGCGTTTGGGCTCGGGCTCGGGCGCCAGCAGCGCCAGCTTGCGCTTGAGCAACGCCGTGAACGGGTGTGCGGGGTCGGACGGTGTGGGCTGCGCCGCGAGCGCGAACGGGAACATGTCAATGCTCCTTCCCGCCCGGCCCTTCTCCACGCCGTCCCGCCGCTCCAGGCCGCGGATGACGAAGCGGCCGTCCTCGTCAATGGCCGGCTCGGCCTTGGGGAACGTCATGCGCGCGAGGGTGATGAGCTCGACGGGGTTGAGCAGACGGTGTTCCCGCACACCGGTCCCGTCGGCGGCAGAATCCTCGTCGCGAGATTGCGCCTGGGTGTCGTCGTCGGCCGCGGGCGGCAGGAACGAGTTGATGTCGTCCATCTCGGCGTCGTCGCCTGCGCCGCCCATGTCGGCCTCAAACTCCTTGAGCTCGTCGGCGGTGGTCTCCTCCTCTTCGGCGTCTGGGAGGAGCGACGAGAAGCGCGCCGCGTACGCAGAGTACAGCTCGGTCTGGGAGACGGAGGGCGGCGCAGCTGGGTCGGACTGGTGCTGGAAGTGGTTCAGGAGCCTGCATGTTAGTTGGCTAGTGCTTGAAACCGCCGCCAACTTACCATGTCGAGCCCCTCAGCGGCTCCACCAGCGCATCCACCCCGCGGTCCCACTCGGCCTCGGCCGCCGCGCCGTCCTTGTCTCGCAGCCCACGGAGGACATAGTCACCTTCGTCGCGCGCCATCTCGCAGCCGGGGAACGTGGCGCATGCGAGCTGGATGAGCTCCTGGCCGCCCATGAGCGGGCTCTGGGCCGCGTACGGGTCGAAGCGCGTCTTGTACGCGTTGTACAAGGAGAGCTGGGAGACGGTCGCCGTGGACGGTCCAGCGCGGTAGGTCACTTGCAGCCTGCATGTTAGCTTGCTGAAGGGGGAGGCAGTCACCAGCAAACTCGTCCACTCACCATCCAGTCGCGCGTCCAGGCTCCTCCATGCCTTCGAGGTCGACGAGGCCGCGCAGCTTGTTTCTGCGCTGACGGAAATACTCGCGGATCTTGTTCCATGGCCGGCCCGTCCGCTCAGCAAGGATCTCGAGATCCTTCTTGCCCGGGTTTGGGTTCCGGGAATAGAACTCGCGCAGGACAAGCAGCTGCTGGGCATTCGACAGCGGCGAGTCGGGCGCTTGGCGGTGCGGCGCGCCAAACGTAAAACCACCACCGCGGGAGCGCGTGTATGTCGGAGGAGGCGGCGGGCCGTGGCCTGGCCCAGGGAGAGGGAGGTGGATGGTGGTCGATGCGGCCGTGTCCGTGACACCGATAGACGAGCCCACGGGCGCCGGCGAGGCCGCAACGCTCACACCGACGCTGTTCGGCGCCTGAGCATCGGTGTGCTCGCGGTCACGCAACGACGCCGACGCCGCTTCGACGTGGGCTTGGGCCTGTGCCAGAGCTTTGGCCTGTTCGTGTGCTTGTTCTTGCTCGGCGGCAGCTTCGGCACGTTCCGCAGCGCTGGCGGCCTCGGTGATGGCTGCAGCGACGGCGGCCTCGGCTGCGGCCTGGTTGGCCAGTTCGGATGACATGTCCATCTGCGCGACGCTGACAACGGGGGACGGGTAGCCGTCGTCGCCCTTGAGCATTGTTTTGGTTGTTGTTGGGAGAAGCGCGGGGTGGACCAAGCAAGTGGAGGGAGATGGAGGGATGTTTGGGAGTAAAGACGAAAGAACGCAACAGAGGAATTGGCGTGGGCGGTGAGATGACACTGATTAGAAGCAGCTTTTCTAATCCATTTAGAACACATGATCCTAATGCCTTGTGGCGACCGAGCGGCAAGACGACCGAGTCACGTGACCTCTCCCAAAAGTTGACGTCTTGCCCAGCCGTAAGGACTTCCTCTAACCAGCGACGACCATTGAGCAACCACCCATAAACAACCAGCACGCACCATGGCCACCCAGCTCCCGCCCCCCAAGAGGCAGAAGTCCAACTATTCCAAGTCCCTTCTGCCGCCAGTTGCTCCTGCTCCCGCAGAGCCCATTCCTTCCGTCGTCGTCCAGTTCAAGAATGCCGAGACCGGCGCCAACCTCGGTCCTGCCGTCAACCTCCCTGCAGACACTGGCCGCGATGCCCTCCAGATGCTCGTGAACAAGCTCAAGGGCGAGGTAAGTTACACTGCTGTGCACATGTAAAGTCACCCTAGTATGCTGACATTGCCCCTAGGATGAGGACCCCATGCCGTACGCGTTCCACCTCGTGCCCAAGGGCGAGGCCGTGTCTGGCCGCGTTGCGATCCACGACTCGATCCAGGCCGACGCTCTCCGTCCTGCTGCCTCGTCGTCGACTGCCCCTTCCTTTTCCCCCGAAGACGTCTTTGAGCTGTGGTGCGAGCCGCAGGCCGTCTTCCGTGTCCGCGGCGTCGGTCGCTGCTCCGCCACTCTGGCGGGCCACGCCTCGCCCATCCTCTGCTGTGCCCAGTCCCCGACGGGTCGTTATGCCGCCACGGGATCTGGTGACGCGACCGCACGTATCTGGGACATGGAGTCTGAGACCCCCAAGCACACCTTGACGGGCCACAGGGGCTGGGTTCTGTGTGTCGAGTGGGACGCACGCGAAAAGCTCCTGGCTACCGGTGGCCACGACGGCCAGATCCGTCTGTGGGACCCCAAGACGGGCCAGCAGGCTGGCCAGCAGCTTTTGGGCCACACCAAGTGGATCACGTCGCTGGCATTTGAGCCCCTCCACCTTGCCAAGAAGGGCCAGTCGCAGCGCCTGGCCTCGGCGTCCAAGGACGGCACCATCCGCGTGTGGAACACCCAGACCCGCAAGATTGAGTTTGTGCTCTCTGGCCACTCGGCCAGCATCAACGTTGTTCGTTGGGGAGGCGAGAATGTGATCTACACCGGAAGCTCGGACAGGACAGTCAAGGTCTGGAGCGGTGTTGACGTGAGTAGCAGCTGATCGTCCACGTTCACGGATTCAGCTGACACCTTCCAGGGCAAGCTCATCCGTACGCTCAACGAGCACGCCCACTGGGTCAACTCGATGACGCTCTCGACCGACTTTGTCCTCCGCACCGGTCCCTTTGACCACCACGGCAAGATGCCCGCCGACGACGAGGAGGCCAAGGCCCTCGCCCTCGCCCGCTACCGTGCCCACATTGCCAACCAGTCCGAGACCATGGTCACCGGCTCGGACGACCACACCTTGTTCCTGTGGCCCGACCAGGCCGCTTCCTCGTTCTCGTCGACTGCTACACCCAAGAAGCCCCTGGCCCGTTTGACAGGCCACCAGAAGCAGGTCAACCACGTCGCCTTCTCCCCCGACGGCCGTTTCGTCGCTTCGGCCGGCTTTGACAATGCCGTCAAGCTCTGGGACGGCAAGACCGGCAAGTTTGTGGCTTCCCTCCGTGGCCACGTCGCTGCCGTCTACCGTCTCGCTTGGAGTGCCGACTCGCGCCTGCTCGTCAGCGCGAGCAAGGACTCGACTTTGAAAGTGAGTCGCACAGGTGCACCTGCCAACTCCCCCTTTTACTAACCCCTCGCTCCCAGCTCTGGAACCTCAAGACGTTCAAGATCAAGACTGATCTCCCGGGCCACACCGACGAGGTGTACTGCGTCGACTTTGTGGCCGACAAGGTCGTCTCGGGTGGACGCGACAAGACCGTCAAGATGTGAGTTGGCAGTGGAGCGATGCGAGTTGCAAACTGACTTGTCCCAGCTGGCGCCACTAGATGTGTAAAAGGACCGTGTCTGTTGCATTCCCTGCACTACGTGTGTTTGGTTCTTGGGTTCTCTCCGTACAGGCCAGGCCGGTACAGGCTCAACCTGGCGCGTGGTGCGTGGCCCCCGCATAACAATTTCCGCGTGCGGTATCTTTCTCTGTCTGTGTCCGTGTTATCTTTCTGTCTTGTGGATCTGGGGAGATAGAGGCCTCTCCCCTTAGAGCATGCATGAACCGTGTGCATTGTGTGTGTCTGTGTGTAGCCGTGCATTGTTCGACTCGACTCGACTCCAAAGTGTTGGCTGGGTGGCACTTGCGAAGTGGGATCTCGCGCGCAAGGCACCGCCATCCATTCTAACGGGGAGGCTCAAACAAGGTAATTTCTGGATTTGTTGGAAGGGAGACGATCATCACTTTGACGTGAAGAGCCAGCACACTGATCCTTTCTCAACAACACAACTTTCACTGTACCATGATCGACCTCATCCACTGTACGTCCTGCAGCTCACAATCTTACACTCCGAGCTGTTGCTTCTGGCTCTACGTTTTGGCCAGCACTGACGTCTTCCCCACAGTCCAGACCGACAAGGGGGGCAACCCCGAGGTCGTGCGCGAGTCGCAGCGCAAGCGTGGCGCGCCCGTCGAGATTGTCGACGAGGTGATGGAGCTCTTCAACCAGCACAAGGCCGGTGCGTACGAACCCCACTGTTCGCTGTACCCATAGCTGACGTTGGTTCGTTCCTGCCCTCAACCTCCCTTCGCCGTCTTTTGTCAACCTCCCCCCACCCCCTGTTGTGTGCTTCTGGCGCGTCCGCATCCCACCTTCCGTCTTTGTCGCGCGCCACCGCAAAACCCGCCTCCCCCCCGCGCCTTCCCGGTGACCGTGTCTGATGGAATTGACTCGCATCATTGATGTCGGGAATTGTGCCGCGTCGTGTGTGTGTCTATCTCTCTCTCGCCTGCCACGCAATACACGGTGGCGCTGCCTCGTCCTCAACTTGACCATGTCCTCGACCACTACACGTCTACCCCTCTGCCCTGTACCCTTTCGCCTCCTCCCCCATCTATGCCATGACCTGCAGCCCAGTACGAGATGGAGAGCGAGCGCCGCGCCGTCAACGCTCTCCAGAAGGAGATTGGCACCATCAAGAAGGCCAAGGGTGACGCTACCGAGCTCCTCGCCAAGAAGGCCGAGCACGACAAGAAGATTGTCGAGCTCACTGCCTCTGCTGCCGCCCTCGCCAAGCAGCGTGACGCCAAGGCTGCTAGGATAGGCAACATTGTCGACCCCACTTGCCACGTTTCGCTTACCGAGGTGAGTAGTGCAGTGACGAGCGGGTGGGTAGCACTAGCTGTTCCAAACGGCCGCTAGCTATCGCCCCTCCTGCCGTTGCCCAAAGTTGTGTATGGTTGGCTGATGAGTCAGGACGACAACCCGGTCCTGCGTTTGTGGCACCCCGAGCCCAACCACAAGGGCAACTCGGAGGAGCTCACTGTCGAGGACAAGCAGACCGACATTCTTCCCCACCACGAGGTCCTCTACCGCCTCGAGGCCTTTGACACTGAGCGCGGTGCCAAGATCAACGGCCACCGTGGCTACTTCCTCACCAACGACGGTGTCGACCTCAACCAGGCGCTGATCAACTACGGTCTCGACTTCCTCCGCAAGCGCGAGTACAAGAAGATCCAGGCTCCCTTCATGATGCGCAAGGAGATCATGGCCGCCACTGCCCAGCTCGAGGAGTTTGACGAGGCTCTGTACAAGGTCTCGGCCAACGACGGCAACGAGGAGAACGACCGTTACCTCATTGCCACTTCGGAGCAGCCCATCTCGGGCATGCACTCTGACGAGAACATTGACCCCAAGTCGCTTCCTATCCGCTACGCCGGCTACTCGACCTGTTTCCGCAAGGAGGCCGGTTCGCACGGCCGCGATACCTGGGGTATTTTCCGTGTCCACCAGTTTGAAAAGGTTGAGCAGTTTATCGTCTGTGAGCCCGAAAAGTCGTCCGAGATGCTCCACTCGATGGTCGATGTCTCGCGCGCGTTTTACGAGTCGCTCGGTATCCCTTACCGCGTCGTCAACATTGTCTCTGGCGGCCTGAACAACGCCGCCTCGATCAAGTACGACCTCGAGGCCTGGTTCCCCTTCCAGGGCGAGTACAAGGAGCTCGTCTCGTGCTCCAACTGCACCGACTACCAGTCGCGCTCGCTCAACGTCCGCCTGGGCTACAAGAAGGCCGACGCCAAGACTGGCTTTGTCCACATGCTCAACGGTACGCTGTGTGCCACTGAGCGCGCCATGTGCTGCCTGGTCGAAAACTACCAGACCCCCGATGGTCTGCGTATCCCCGAGGTCCTCAGGCCTTACATGCAGGGCCGCGAGTTTATCCCCTTCACTGCCGAGCTGCCGACCAAGACGACCTCGAAGAAGGAGGCCGCCTCCAAGAAGAAGTAGAATGTAGAGGAGACGCATTACAACTTTTCTTTATTTTGGTAGACATCAGGCGCGATATGACCGGAGCGACGCGCGGGGTGAGCCTATGAACGTCGATGCATTCAGTGCGTTGGTGTGTATGGTGTGTGAGGTCGTTGGGTCATTTTGGTCCCGTGTGGGAGCACTGCGGCGGGCACTTGGTGACAAGCCCCCCCATCCCCCGTGCGCAGACACGGCCAGACGGGTTTGTCACTCTGATCCCTTGAATCCTATATGGTGCCGGGGGGCCGTGATGCCGATGGCGACTGCAAATCGTCCCCTCCCCTCGGCTCGGCCGACGACTTTAATCTCCTTGCTCTCTCATCTCTCATCACCACCACATAAAGTGTCTGTCTACACACAACACTACCACTACCACTCTGCTTAAAAGGGGCTTTCGCACTTAGCACTCCCCTCCCACCTTATTCTCGTCCCCCGCCGCTCGTTTCTTCCGCTACTGTACACTCTCCCTCGCCCCGCCCACCATGAACCCCCTCCGGCCCCTCCGCGCCGCCCTCGCCACCCCGCTCCGCGTCCAGCGCACGCGCGCCGCCCGCGCCCTCGTCGTCCCCAGGCGCTCCCTGGCCACTGCCACTGCCCCCGCGTCGGCCAGCGTCTCGGACAAGCACGTCGACGTTGAGGTTGACGAGGATGTCGGTGAGTTTGTGGTTTTCTATCTTTGGGACATGTCGGGCATAGTCGGCTGCAAAGTAAAAACACGGCATGTAGTCTCGCATGGTTACTGGCGTTTTTGGTGCGACCGACGCTAGCCACGCTCTGGCGTGGGACATGTGGACACACGTTGTTATACCTCTCTCTCTCGGCCCGCGACGACGATGCCTGCCCCCCTGCGCGCCCGTTGCTAACGTCGCCGCAGAGCTCCCCGTTGGCTTCAAGGTCTCGGCACCCAACCGCGGCGGCCAGACTGCCGGCCGCCCCATCTACCTCGACATGCAGGCCACTACGCCCATGGACCCGCGTGTCCTGGACGCCATGATGCCCCTGTTCACCGAGCAGTACGGCAACCCCCACTCGCGCACCCACGCATACGGCTGGGAGGCCGAGGACGCCGTCGAGAAGGCCCGCGAGCAGGTGGCGAGCCTCATCGGTGCCGGTGCCAAGGACATTGTGTTCACCTCGGGCGCGACCGAGAGCAACAACCTGATCATCAAGGGTGTGGCCAACTTTCACAAGTCGAAGAAGAGGCACATTATCACTACTCAGACTGTAAGTGGAGGACCGTGTCTCCTCGAGGATGCCCCGCTGACACATTTCCGCAGGAGCACAAGTGTGTCCTCGACTCGTGCCGTTTCCTCTCTACCCAGGGCTTTGAGGTGACCTACCTCCCTGTCGGCCCCACTGGTCTCGTCTCGCTTGACGAGCTCAAGGCCGCTCTCCGCCCCGACACGTCGCTCGTGTCGATCATGGCCGTCAACAACGAGATTGGTGTCATCCAGCCCCTGGGCGAGATTTCTGCCGTGATCAAGCAGTACGCAAAGGACCAGGGTGTCTCCAAGCCCATCTTCCACACCGACGCCGCCCAGGCCGTCGGCAAGATCCACATTGACGTCGACGCCATGGGCATTGACGCCATGTCCATCTCGGGCCACAAGATCTACGGGCCCAAGGGCGTCGGCGCCGCCTACGTCCGCCGTCGCCCCCGCGTGCGTCTCGAGCCCCTCATCCACGGCGGTGGCCAGGAGCGCGGTCTCCGCTCGGGCACCGTCGCTGCCCCCATCGTCGCCGGTCTCGGCGAGGCCGCGCGTATCGCCCAGGAGGAGATGGACGCCGACCACGCGCACATCAAGGCCCTCTCGGACCGCCTCATCAACGGCGTCAACGCGCAGGTCTCGCACGTCGTCCGCAACGGCGACGCAGACCACGGCTACCCGGGCTGCGTCAACCTCTCGTTCGCCTACGTCGAGGGCGAGTCCCTCCTCATGGCCCTCAAGGACGTCGCCCTCTCGTCGGGCTCGGCGTGCACCTCGGCATCGCTCGAGCCCTCGTACGTCCTCCGTGCCCTCGGCGCCACCGACGACATGGCCCACTCGTCCCTCCGTTTCGGTATCGGCCGCTTCACCACCGAGGCCGAGATCGACCTCGTCGTCAAGCGTATCGTGCAGGTCGTCACTCGTCTCCGTGAAATGTCGCCCCTCTGGGAGATGGTCCAGGACGGTAAGTCGCTTCGCAAAGAGCAAGAGAGTAGAAGCGAGGGGTAGGGAGATAAGGCGGAAGCAAATTTCGCCGAGGTTTCGATCTCAACTTCCGCCACTTCCACTACATTCTCCAACTCCTTTTCTCTCTCTGCAACCTCTATTCTGCTTGCGCTGACAGTCGAAAGGCATTGATATCTCAAAAATCGAGTGGGCGGCCCATTAGCTGCGTGCATGTCGTTGGAAGGTTTGTCATGGCGAAGGTTTTGGAGGTGTGAGAGAGAGAAGAACGGAGGTACGGAGATCTGAGGATTCCGGAGATAAAAGGTATCCGCCACGTAGCGCAACCTTGATATGTATGATGCGGCGGGATGCAGCGTCGATTCATGTAGATATTACAACAAGTGGCACACCGTGGAGCGATGCTGGGATGGGGGTGGGGGGAAGAGAGGGGGGAGGGATATGAGGTGGGGAGATGAGGTGAGTGGGACGGAGGTACGGAGGTACGGAGGATTGGAGCTACGGCTGTGGCGGGAAGACAGATATTCGCTCCACCTAGCTGGAGAACACGAAACTCAGTAGCTACCGGTCGAGATGTACCCCCGTGCCAGCCCCGACGAGCAATAGCAAGGAGGACAGGACTTGTGCGAGCGAGACAGCCTAGGAGATGGCTGCAGGGCCGAGGAGGCGCGTGTAGCAGCGGTGCGGGACCGGTCTAGACGCGTTCGACCTCGCGCTCGAGGGCGATCTCAATCTCGCGCACGACCGCCTCGCGGACCTGCATGTTGACGAGGCCTGTAGCGTTAGCGACAAGGACACGCGTGGGACGAGGCGGGTGGATAGAGAGGACAGTGGCTGTTGGTGACGGCGGCGGCGATAAATGGCATGGTTCACCAACGAGCAAAAGTCACTCCCCCGCGTCACTTCCGCAACGATTACTCACCGTTGGCGGCCGGGGTCACGTCCGCGACGAGCTTGGCGAGCGAGGGGGCGCCTTGCTTACGCGCCGTCTCTGAAGTGGTCGTCAGTGGGTCTGTTCATGTGTATGGGGAGAGGGGGTGGGACAGGTCATGGGCAGGGGCAGGCAGTGCCAGTATAGACAGAAAACGGGTCGTCTCGATTCTGTACCATCATAGCCAAGCCCTGGGATATGCCAGCTGGACGCGGTGACCAAAGCAACTGGCAGTGGACGGCTATGGAGAAGCACACGGACACGGAGATGGGCACGACAAGGACGTACCCTTTGCAAGGTCCTTGAGCTCGTCGTCAAAGCCCGACTCTTCGAGCTGCTGGCGGAGCAGGCGGGATATCCTGGGTTTGGGTGGGGTGGTCAGCACGAACGTGTCCAGTACATATCGGCAGCAGCGGTATCTCGTACATGGAGACACGGGATGTGCTCGACATGAAATCGGTGAAGAGCGGAGCCGCGGGCGAGGAGGGAGATGGAGAGGGTGGAGAGGGGGTTGGGGAGCGGTGAACCCCGTCCGCATGACCAGCTGAGTAAATGATAGCTAGCTGGCTCCCGTCTCTCCCCACCCCATCCCCAACCCGCCACCGCGATGGGTATCGTGCTACTAGACAACACACCCATCGCTCTCTTCACCGGCGCCTCGGCCAAGCACACTCTTGCGACCGGCACTTGAGTCTCGCGGTACTCACCTGTCCCAGTCGCCCGTCTCGAGCAGCCGCTTGCGGATGGTATCGAGGGTGCTTTCGTCCGCCATGGTCATGGTCTGTGTGCTGTCTACGTATGGCACGAGCGAGGGGGTGAGAGTAGGTGTAAAAGGCGGGGCAGCGTTACGCTTGATGGTGGTGTTGATTCGAAAGCAGACAATGGATTCATGTCGCGCCCCTGGCGCCGCCTTTGGATCCTTGGCGCGGTTTGCCGATCATGGCGACCGGGGGGCCCTCCACTGGGCCACTGGACGAATTCTGATGCCACATCCGGCTGTCCAACATCTCTCCTCCTCATGCACGCATCACTGCCAAAGTCTGCATCGTTCATTACACTCTATTTGAAACGACACCACACTATGGGATCATGGGAGATGCTTGCAGGCACGGAGACGGGGCGATGGGGTGGGTTAAAATGCCGATGACGTGGTAAAGAGAAAGAAAGAAAGAATCGTTCAACTAAGGACATGGGACAGATGGTTGTACACGTGTTTGGGGGGACTGGGGAACGGTGTCACTTGTCGACCTCGCTCCTCACATCTTTGTGAGCATGAGCGCGAGCACCACGTACACGAGTGTGAGGGGCGGTGTGAGGAGGGCATACGAGATCGAGATTGTTTTTGAGATGAGCCGCTCAAACGCGTCGCCGCTGGCCGCCTGGGTGATCTGGGCGAGCGTGAGGGCCGGCGGGGACGAGACGAGGAGGACTGCGCAGAGAATGAACACGGGGTCCTCTGCCGCGAGGAAGGGGTCGTACCGCGCAATAAGGGCGATGAGCGGGAGGAAGAGAATGGGCACAATGATCATGCGCGAGAGGCACGCAACGAGCACGGTGCGGCCCTCGCCCGGGTACTTGGGCTCGAGGTCGGAGCTCTTGAGCGAGCGGAACTTGCGGCCAAAGTAGTCGGTAATGGTCGTGGGCTTGGGCTCGTCCTCGGGCAGCTGGATGGAGGGAGGCGTGTAGAAGAAGGCACCGAGGACGACCAACGTGACGGGGATGGAGCACTGGCCCGCCGACTTGATAGCCGCCGTGAGCGGGCGAATCTCGGCGAGCTTGGCCTGGACGGGCGGGATCAGGGCAATGACAATGGACAAGAGGGCCGCCCAGGTCGGCACAGTCATGAACCCAAGGAAGGCATGCCAGCCGTGGGTGACAGAAACCTTGACTTTGCGCCACTTGGCCTGCCACCCGGTCCTCGGGGGCGACCTACGGCGGCGGAGCGACGGGAGGTCGTGGGCTCCCCACTCGTCGTCGGTGTCAATCTCAAACTCGCTCTCGCTGCTGTCCTCGTCCAGGTCCATGAGACGCGTGCGCGGCTGTTCGGGGAGCCCCCAGAACTCACGGCCCGAGTCGGCACGCGAGACGGGGCGGGGACGACGGCTGCCCGAGGGCAACGAGTTGTGGCGTGGCACAGAGTGGGAACGACCGCGGCTCTGCATCGTGTGCGCCGAACCGGCTGATCCAGAGAGCGGGAGAGAGGGAGAAGGCGACCGAATGTGACCCGGGGGTGAGATCAAGCCACTGTGGCGGCGCTGGGTACGCTCAGGCGAGATGAACGGGTCCTGGTGGACAAAGGCCTGCGGGGAGAGGATGGGCGGCGAGTCGAGGTGCTCAATGTAGTCGTCGTGACCGTTTCCGTGGCCATTGCCGTTTCCGTTGCCGTTAACAACACCAAGAGCAGCTGCCTGGGTGGCAGCCTCCGCAGCCTCGGCCTCATCAGCGTTGGCGAGCAGCTTGACGCCCCAAGACCATCGGAGCTGAGTGGTTAGTTACAGCCTGAATACAGGACACCACTTACAATCATGCCAAGTGTAGAGTACACGACCATGTAGGTGAGTGCACGACCGAGCATCTGGTCCTTGTTGTCGTCGTCGCCCCACTTGAGGCCCGGAACCTCCACAACGAGGGACTGTGGCGGGCGTCAGCATTGCAGAACCCAACGCGCCCGTGGGCAGCACCGTACTCACCTGGACCAGGGCAATAGGCAGCGAGTTGCTGTTCTGGAACATGGCCGCGCAGATTGCAAACGCACTCGAGACATGTCAGCCAGCCAGCCAGTAAGTCCCCCCGCAGGCGTCGCACACGGAGGTGCTATGTGCTATTCTCGTCCGCCATCTCGATCACACTCACGTCTGGGACTTTTTGAGCTTGAACACCTTGGAGAGGAACCATGCGACGGCAGCCGAGACGCCGGTGATCACGACAAAGCTGAGGGGGATGATCCACATCTCCTTGAGCTTGGCCGGGGTGAGGGAGAAGGCGACCTGGGAGAAACAGTGTCAGAAAACCCAAATAAAACTACGTCATTTTCAAGCACCGAGGAACGGCGGTGACGAGTGTGGGAGCATCAAACGTGCGTCCCACTGCGACGGGGCGCTGTTGGTAGGTGAGGGGGTGCTGAGCCCCGACGAGCAAAACCCCCACGCTCCGCTGTGCTGAGGAGCAAAGTGCCGCAAGTGGGTGCACCGAGTGGAGACGGCGGTCGGAAGCCATCGGGCGGCGGGTGGTGTTTGTTCCCAGCCGCCTCCACCTCCCACATCCCCCTTGGACTTCCTCGCCGCTGATCCGCGCTCGACTCACCTTTGAGCACAGGAGGGCCGGCGTGAACAGCGACACATTGATGACGTTGAGCTTGCGCTGTGTCGCCTTATCCGTCACGCCCGTCCAGGCGAGGACGTAGCCCGCGAGACATAGGATGAAGACTTCGCAGATCGACTGGCGGTGTCAGTGGCGATAACACGGGACGGTCTGGGGGTCATATGTCTTGAGCTGGGGACGCAGCGGTGGACGCAGCTCGTAGCGCTACAGCACACCCTGTGTCCCCACTTGCTTCTCGCCGGACGCACCTGGAATACAGTGATGAGTAGAGTTTTGACTGCGGGGTCGTCAGCGTGGGGTGTTCCGACACGGTCCCGACGCGCTCTGGCGCCAACATTTTTGGCAGGGCCCGCTGCCGCCGCCGCCGCCGCGCGCCGCCGAGAGCGCTGTACGTACCGGGGATGGCAGCCGCTACGCTGTCCATGCTTGGTGATCGCGTGCGGGGTGCGTGGGTGTGCTTTGTTGGGGGTGTTGTGTGGGGGAGAGGTGTTTGCGCGGTGGCGTGGGAGAGTGATGAGAGAGGGGAGAGGGAGAGGGGGGGAGGAACAAAAAAAAACACCCAGATAGGGCGAAGCGAGAGCCCCCGCGCGCAGACGACGACGACACACGTTTGTTGGTGGCCAAGATAGGGAATGGCGTAATCGTTACACCCACAGCGCTCAGGAACCACCCGGGGCGCGTCATCCCATATCCGACATGATCGTCCATACAGATGCGCCGCCAAGCCTTGCGTATCTCCTAGCCCTCCTAGCACCCCCCCTACCCACTACAAGTACACCTCCGTACACGTACACGTACACGTACACCCAGCTCTCAAGTATAATGTGTCTTGTTGCGCTCGTTGAGCACGCCCAGCGCCACATCCTCAATCTCCTCCGTCTCCTTGAAGAACACGAGCCGCACACTGGCAGGCACCGTGTCGTAGGCAGTCTGCACGCGCGTCTCCCAGTCCGCCGCGCGCTTGAGGAGCTTTTGCTCGGCAGCAGACAGCTCCTGCAACTCCGCGACCGTCTTGGCAATCTCCTCGGCCGTCTGCTCCTTGGGCGTACTGGGCGTGCCGGGCGTGCTCGGCGTGCTCGGCGTGGCCGCCCCGCTCGTCCTGGGCGAATCGGTGAAATCGTCCAGGTTGAACAAGGACGGGGTAGCAAAGCCCGACGCCGCGTCGCCGCCGCCGCCGGTGGTGTTGTTGTTCAGGCGGACGCCGTCGGCGCGCCCGGTGGTCACGTCACGGATGAAGATGGCGGCGACCTGTTCGGGGCGCTCGTGCGCAATGGCAGTGTACAGCTCGAGGTCTTGCTCGCCGCTGTCGCCAAAGAGGATAAACTTCGAGTCGTAAAACTCGTCCATGATCTCCAGCACGCTGGGCCGCTTGCGCTGGCCGGCAGGCTCGAACAGGGACGTCACGATGGAGCGGCCGCCGTACTGTCTCTGTCAGCTGCGTGGCCATTCCAGCACACGGCACACTGCACAAACTCACAAACTTGAGCTTGAGGCTGAAATAACCTGGGAAATGGTGTAGCTTGAGGAACTGGTCCACGATGGGGAACAGCTCAAACGGCGAGTTGGACTGGAGTGTGAGCTGGACGCGTCAAGACATACGCTGCTGCAACTCACAACAAAGTGCAGACCCGTCAGACCAGCGACCTGCAGGTCGTGGTACAGCTTGTTCATGCCGGGGACAAGGAGGTCCTCGAGTCGACGACAAAACACGTTTCGGAAAACTTCGCGGGGCCCGCCGAGAATGTCGCTGTGCTTGACCGTGTCGTCCAGATCGGAGATGACGCGGACACCGCCTGGGCGCGAGATCGACACGGTGCATGTACTGGTGACGGGCTTGCGGGGGGCAGAGGAAGCGTTGTTGAGTGGTGTGCCCGTAGGCGAGGCAGCGCTCGCACCACTGGACCCGCTGGCCATGCTGGCAGTGGTGGTGCGCCGGGGCGCGTACGCGGCGTATGGAAGTCCAGATGGCGACGAGGAGGAGGACGCCATCTGACGCGCCAGTCCGCCCTCTGGGTTGGGCCCAGGTGGTCCAGTCGGTGTCCCCGCCGGGCGCTGGCCATAGGGCACCTCTTCAGGCAGCAGCTCGGCGCGGACAGCAAGGCCCCACTCGGACGGCGCGTTGGCCGGGTCGTCGGCAAACGCGAGGGGCACGGCATTGGGGTGCGTGCAGAGCTGTTCCCAGTTGATGATAATCGTCTGGTTGAACTGGCCCTGGGCGTTGGTGGTAAACGTCGTGCGGAACAGGGGCTCCTGGTCGAATATGTCGTCGGTGGGCGTCGGAAGCTCTGCGCGGTGCTTGAGGGGCACGGGGTAGATGCTGACGGTGACACGACGAAAGGCAAGGACCGCGGACCAAAAGGGCGCCAGACGCTGGTCGAGATATTCATGAGCGAGGAGGAGGTTCTGAGGGTCATCAAAGAGATGGTCGGTGGCGCGGCGCTGAGGCTGAGGCCTGAGTCGAGGAGACAAGCGGGCACTCAGGCGCGGTGAGATGCGAGGCGACGACGATGAAGACGATGAAGATGCAGTAGTGGTGGTGGTGGTGGTCCTGCGTGGTGGGAGAGGGGGCGGTGCCGAGTCAAGCTTGAGGTCGTCTACAGGCAGATCGGGCAGGTCCTTGGGATCCTGCCTTGGCGACGCTGTTAACAGATGCATCATTGACGGGGGCGGAAGCGCTGGCAGCGCCGCGAGGCCTAAGGGGAAACGTCAGATCTTGTTTGTATGCGTCAATGGCTCTATGACTCACGCTTCGCAAGACTAAGAAGGGCGCGCTGTGTCCTCGAGATGCTGCTCACGTCGCGGACAAACGTGCAAAACCCGTTGACGGACAGGTGGAGGTCAAACGCTATACACATGGTCAGCGAGAGCTAACAAGCCTTGCGGCAGCTCTATGAGCCACTCACAATCAGCAACACCATCGTTACGAGGCCGCTTCACAGCCCACCCGGGCAGGACGTGGATGGTCTCCTCTCCCTTGATGGCTGCGCGCCGGCCGTCGCGCCAGTCGCGGGCCCAGTCTTCCCAAGCCTGCCGGCGCTCCGAGGAAGGCGCATTGGCAGCAGCGACAGCGGCAGCCTGGGTGGCGGCGGACGCGACGTAGGAACTGGCAGTTGAGAGTGCGGCGCGGGCCTTGGACGCGAACCCTGCGGTTGAACCAAGATACGACGAGAAGCCAGAGGACGAGGACGAGGTCACGGTCACGGAGGTTGAGACGACGGTCTGCTGGTAGGTCTGAATCACGGGCCGTGGGCGAGGAGGAACTTCTGGGGCCATACTGCGCTGGCCCGAGGTGAGTCGAGCGACGGGCTGCGGCGAACGCGAAGTCCTCGGTGCTACTTGTCGTGCCGGCGGTGGTCGATGTGGGATCCCGGCAGGCATTTCGGACATGAGGGCAAAAGGGGTTGTACTGGACGATAAGATGGCACGTTATATACTAGCGGGGAGTGCCAAGGTCGTGATTGAGAGCAAGGGTCGGTTGGATTGGTGGCCGATATTGTTGACGAACGTTCGCGATATGGCAGTGCCGCCTGCGAATGGCTCGTACCTCGTGTTGCCGAGAGTGGAGGTGCGTCATCGCATGGCAGGTCACGTGATCTGTGGGTTTTGTGGCCACCGTGAGAGATCTGTTGCGGCGGCGCAGGGTGGTGCTGGCTGGCCACACTTGTATACTGTGTACACTTGGACAACGCATCTTCCTTCTTCCTTGCACAAAGAGCATCGATTATCGACTGGCACTGGCACACTCGAGTTGGTCTAGACATTACCTACGGCGTACCTGATGTAGCTGTGACATGCCCGTCAGCAAGGTGGTTGCAGGTCGCTCACGAACACCACCTCTTCATCGCGCGCTCACCACTGTCCACCGCCTTCCTCGCCAGCCACATGCCACCTCATTCGCTACACTGCAGCAAGGACATATAAAGACACAGTCGTCTCATGGTAACGACGTTGGCCAACAGCCATGGGGTCGTCGTCGGTCATTGCATGCGCGAGCCAGTCGCGCCTGGACTACGCGACTCCGTGGTCTCGGACGCACGGAAACACCGTCCCCGGCCCCCCAACGAGCTTAAAGCTCACACTAGCGTCGAGCCTCACTACTGCTTCTCCTGGCAACGACTAAGACGTTGCAGACCGTCAGGATCCACGGCGTCACTGTCACCTCTGGGCGACGCCAAGATTGAGCCATGGTCTCGGCCGTCTCGGGCTGGAGGCTGAGAGGCTGGAGGCTATCTCGCACATGTCGTCGTTGCTCTCGCAAGTCGAGGCGAGGCGTCAAAGGGGCGTATGCTGACTGAGCACCGGCAATGTATGTATACCGTTAGTGGCCACAGGCCACAGGCGATAAGCGTTGGGTGGCCAAACGCCAAACGACACCGCCACCCCGCGGCCCCCAACAATATCCCCTTCCGCCGACCCAGGAAGCTGGGAGGTAACGCGTAGGGCAATGGTGATGGGCTGGCATGGGCTGGGCTGACCTCACGCCGCGTACCGCGTACCGCACGCCGACAATTCATGGGCCACAAAGGGTCTTGTGCGGTGGCCAGCGGACGCCATGTTCGTAGATTTTGTTATTGCGGTCCCTTATTCTGGTTACGCGGCAGTTACCGCTGCCTGTCGATCTCCTGTCCGGTGGACCAGTTGTCATGTTCGAAAGAGGACGGGGCCTGCTAGTGGGAGCCCTTGGCCAGAGGGCCAGTGTGTCCTGTACTAGTATTGGTGTACAGCTTGTAACTGACCGTTTGGAAACGCGAGTTCTCCTCGAGTGTCACCCTAGGGACATCGGTGTTCAAAATGTGTAACAGCAAAAGGGTGCAGGCCCATGTATGCCCCCCTCCAGTTCCGGCACCGCTCAGAACGTCGAGCAACAGCGTAACCGAAGCTGCCATGACTGCAAATCGCCGATCCTGACTTGGCCCACGACCATACCTGTGCTGCCACATGCAGTCCATGAGTCCCTTGTCAAGAAGCAAGCAGCTAGGAGCTGATCAGCTGATGCTTTGACGCGTTGTGCCACACAGTCCGCTCGCCGCGGGATTAACCCCGTCCACGCGCTTCGCGTAAGAGGCACCAAGATGAGGAGCACAGTAACGGCACAACGCGACCGACGGGTGCGCTGCGCGCTGCTTTGGTGAGGCCGGAGACGGGCCCGGTGTCCCGGAATGCAACAGGCATGCGTGACCTTTTGGGTAATGAGTGGTAGCCGTGCTTCTGGGGATGATCAGAGGAGGAGAGGATTCCTGCGAGAGCCGGGGATGCCCCAGCTCTTACTCGGGCCAAGGGCAGACGCGTGCGCGGATGGCCGGCTGTGCGGCTGTGGGCTGTGGGCTCCCGGTCTCTCTCTCTGTGATCTGCGACAAGAAGCAAAGACAAGGCATCTCCATGTCTCTCTCCTGCGGTCTGGGCTCGGCGCCCTGGTATTCTCCACCGGTTTCAAACGCAGCGTCCCTCCCCGTAGCGCCGTTCCCGCCAGTGCCCACGCGTCTCGCACTCTTACTTGCCTCCCTCCCTCCTCACTGATCACTGAGCACTCTCTTTCTGGGGGAGTGACGTGCCCGCCTGGCCGCCAAAAGCCAAAAGATGTGCCACAGGTGGTCACATCTTCTTCCTGCAGCCTGCAGAAAGAGGCAAAAAACGGACGCGCCCACATGCACACGGACACCAGGGAAAGGGACAAACCCGGCAGAGGCGGTCTTTGGGCGCGCGCGCACAGGGATCACCGGGGGCGCATACGGCCATGAGCCGAACGGGTGCTGCAGGCCACACAGGGAGAGAAGGGAGAAGGAACGGATCCTCCACACCCACGCTCGTGTGCCCTCTCTTCGTTGCGATGACGGGGCGAGGGGCGCACAGGCATGCCAGCCGTGCATCTCTCTGCTTTGTGTGGGTGAGTGTGTGTGGCGCAGAGGGCAGAGAGCAGGGGGCGTCTCTCGGTGCAGACAGCGGTGTGGCGGCTTGTGCGCGCTGGGGGGTGTGCTTCTGGCCGGGACATATATTTGATCCCGCCAAGGGCCCGCACCCTGAGACACTCCGGGACCCGCTCGCGCTGAGAGAAAACGCACGGGCCACCAGAGCGAGCAACGCGCGCGCGTGCCCAAAACGACACACAGAGGGGTTCCTTTGTTCGAGCGTTGGGAGCCGTTGTAGGTTTCAGACAGAGCCCCCACCCCCCGGTGCAAGCAGCCAGCCAGCCAGCCGACGACCCCCCCACCCCCCCGTCGCTGTCTCGAGTCTGGCGTCTCGTGTGTCCCCCCCGTTTTACCCCTCTCGCCTCTTCTTTATCCCCCCCTTGCCATCAACCCATCCACCCATCCATCCATCATCATCAGCAATCTCTTACACCACTTCCTCGTACCTCTTCTCCCACCTCGTCCTCCTCCATCCATCACTCCCACATCCTCCTCCCCCTCCCACCCATTCACCAACCCCTAGCCGCAAGCGAACACATACTCCCAAACCCAACCCGCCGCCGCCGACCCCCGGAAAACTCACTCAATTGCTCAATCAAACCGCCGCATCCCACCAACACCACCCCGCTCCGACCACCCCTCTCCGCGGTACAACTCTGCGACACGTCGCGCCATCATCCATCGCGCCGCTCCTGTCGCTCAATCGTCCCCTCCCTCCTGTGCTCGTCGCACATCTCTAACTCGTCTCGCCAAGACGCTCCTCAACCGGCATACATTGCCTAGTAGCCCACCCTGGAACCAAACACCTATTTCCCCACCGTCGCGGGTCGAGGTGCCATGCTCGGTGGACCCACAGAGGTTGAAGTCTACCATGCCCCATACAAAGAGTGCGTTTTCTTCTCTCTCTCTCTCTCTCTGCTACCTTGGGATGGGGCGGTCCGTGATGCTGCAGACTTGTGGAGCGCAAGCGCGACGAGTGACGTGTGTCGACCTCTCAACCTGCGCCCCCCCCCCCCCCCCCCCCCCCCCCCCCCCCCCCTCCCCTCCTCCTCAGATCTCGAGAGTGTGCGTAGCTGACACCGTAGCAGGGGACCAGGCATGGAAGAGTCCATCTTGTACCCACTCCCGCCGCCCCCTGACGTGCCCACACGTCCACTCACCGGCGACGAGGGTGCGCGTGTAGAGTTACTCTACCGTCTCCTCTTCGTAAGTACTGAGATTGACCATGTGTGAGAGGCGTTACTGACGATCTGTGCAGTTCCTCGCCACCGCACCTACCAAGTGGACGTCCCTTCCCACGAGCGTAAGTGTATGGATCTGCCATGTAAAGCCCAGATCGCTCCCCCGCTGACTCGCGTAGCCCCTCCCGGACCTCTCCAAGTTTAGACTCCCCAATGGCGAAGACGTCGCCTGTGTGCTCTGGAACGGCATCTACCACATCACCGGCACTGACATTGGTGAGCACCATTACCCCGAAAATCACGCCCCCTCCGCGCTCCGCCCCGGACTCGAACTGACGTACCATAGTGCGCGCCCTTCTCTTCCGTTTTGAGGCTTTCGGCCGTCCCGTCAAGCACACCAAGAAGTGGGAGGAAGGCGTCTTCTCGGATCTGCGTAACCTCAAGCCCGGTGTCGACGCCTGCCTCGAGGAGCCCAAGTAGGTTTTCCCTCCAACAATGTGGATGACATCTTGCTCACACCAACCCAGGTCTGCTTTCCTGGACTTCCTCTTCCGCAATGGCTGTATTAGGACTCAGAAGAAGGTGCGTAGTTGGACTGGCCCCCGTCAATATGACAACTGCTGACCACCCCAACAGCAAAAGGTAGTTACCACGATTCATGTCTATATGGGCAGCCCACTAACGTTCCCAGGTCTTTTATTGGTTCTCTGTGCCGCATGACCGTCTGTTCCTCGATGCCGTTGAACGCGACTTGAAGCGCGAAAAGGCGGGCCAGGAACCCACGTCGGTTGTCGTTGGCGAGCCGGCTCGCAGCTTCAGGTGAGTCTGCACGAATACACGATCAGTCCGTTGTTAACACTTGCAGGTATGACCCTCGCCGCGGCCTGTACGAGCAGTTTATGGGCAGTAACCGTGGCATGGAGGCCGCGATTCTGGTGAGTAACCCAGACCATCCCCTGACCCATACCAACGGATGTCTGACACTTCTTCCAAAGGATCAGGTCTTCCCCCTCCAGTCAAGCATTGCGTCTACCATACCCCCAGGTGTTGCCGATCTGTCGCGCCAGTCCAGCATGGACCCCAGCCTCGGGTATGACAGCCAGGGTATGGACCCCAGCGGCCAGTGGATCGGGCGTGTCAGTGCAATTGATCCTTCTGGACGTCCTGTTCCCGAGTTTTTTCAGCCGCCGGCAGACCAGTATAACGGTCCGGGAGGCCTGCCGCCGTTCGTGACCCACGAGGGTAGCTCTGCGTACAAGCGCAAGCGTGTCCGCTCGAAGCGTTCATCCCCGGACAAGTCTGTGGAACCCGGGCTCGATGACGAAGGCCGCGGGGAGAGGGACGACAGCGTTGTTTCCGACATTGACCGCAAGCGCAAGGTGCCCGGCTCGCGCTCGTCCACTGCCGCTCCTGAAGGAGGCAGCAGCTCAAACTCGGTGCCCGCCAAGGGTGCAACGGATGAGAAGCAGTTTGTCTGCGTCTTCGAGTTTTGCCGTCGTGCTTTCAAGCGTCTCGAGCACCTCAAGCGTCACATCCGTACCCACACCCAGGAGCGTCCCTTTGCGTGCAAGCTCTGCGCTCGCGCCTTTTCCCGCCAGGACAACCTCCTGCAGCACCTCCGTCTACACAGCAAGGTCGACGCCAACCCTCGCGGCCAGGACAACGACGACCGTCTGAGTGCCCCGCCCTACGTCGGCCGTCGCTGGCCCACGCAGTCGCCCGCCCCGGCCGAGGACATGATGGCGCACGTCGCTGCCGGCAACAACGGCGCCCAGTTCTCGATGCCAAGTTACAACAACAACAACATGGCCTACCGCTCCACCACTGTGCCACCCGACTGGCTCTCGACCATGCAACCTCCTCCTGCTTACGCCTGGGGCGGCGGCGGGAGCACTGCGTCGTCGAGCGTCGCCCCGCACCCATCATTCTCGCCGGCGCCCCCAACCCGCTTCCGCTCCGTCACCCCGCAGATGGCCGCGGCGACAAACTACTCGTACGGATCCATGCCGCCCCCGCCCGCCCCGGGCCTCATGCAGAGCATGAACCCCATGGCCACCGCGGCGCCAACCTCGTACCCGGTGTATCAGGACCCGCACGCCCAAGCACAAGAGTACGGCTTCGTGCCAGCGGCCTCGGGCTGGGTTGACCCCAACCTCGGCGCCATCGACGCCGTCGCCGGCGGTGGTGGTGCGGGCGGCACGGGCGGCGCGCCCGACGACGGGGTGCCCAGCGCCACCACACAGGACCGCTACGACCTGGGCCCCGGCGGCGCAGGCCACGACGTCGACTCGTCTGGCTGGCAGGCCCCGGCCCCGGCCCAGTGAGCGCAACGCTTTTGGTATCCGGGTCGTCCCCGCAAACGAGACAGAAAGACAAAAAAGTACGAGACGGCCGCTGTATCTACACTCCTCCTCTCCCCTGTATTCATCGATACCAACGCGCTCTGTGAAGCTCGACCGTCGTTTGGCGAGATACCCCCGCTCCCCTCCCTCCTCCCCTTTTCCCTCCTCCCTTCTCCCTCCCATGGCCTATGGACTCTGCATATTTCCCTCTCGCTTCTCCCCCTCTTACTCTTAGTAGCTCGTATTCTGTATATACCCCCCGCTAGCCGGTATGTTTCCTTTTGTGGATGCACACTACATGACACACGACACGGCTGGGCATTGGCTGTGGCGCGGGGGCACTGGCGTCCGAGGTTTGTGCTTCAGCTTCAGGTAACACATTGCATCGCTCATAACGAATAGAATAGGGGGGGTGGGGGGTTTTGAAAAAAAGACATGGAGGACGACGCCGGTTCGGGGGCGGGGGCCACAATGCATACACGAGGCCGTCACGCCGTCACGTCGTCACGTCGACATGTCGGTCGCCGGCTTAGTCGTCGCGGCGCTCGCGCTCGTCGACGTCAATGTCCTCGGGGGCAGGAGCCGGGGCGCGCTCCTCGGCGTCGGCGTCGCCGTTGCCGTTGCGGGGAGCGGGCGAACGCGAGCGCGAGCGCGAGCGGTCACGCGCGTCGTCGCGGCTGTCGCGGACAGGCGAGGGCGAGCGGCGGCGCTGGGGGGAGGGCGAGCGGCGGCGGGGGGAAGGCGAGCGCTCGCCATCGCGCTCACCGTCGCGCTCGCGCTCGGCGTCGCGGCCGCGGGGCTCGTAGTCGCGGTCACGGCGGGGCGAGGGCGAGCGGCGGCGCTGGGGAGAAGGCGAGCGGCGGCGGGGAGCCGGGCGGCGGAAGCTGGGAAGAGTTAGGTGCAGTCCACAAACACTAACTCACTCCTCGTGACGCCACGCAGCGCTGGGTGGGCGCTTGGCCCACTGCACGGTGATGCGGCGGCCGTCGATCGAGCGGCCGTGCATGTCGTAGTATGCGTCCTCGGCGTCGTCCTCGCGGCGGAACTCGACAAACGCAAAAGCTGTAAAAGAGCCAAACAAAAAAAGAGAATTCGCGTGAGCACAGTCTGTACAGATACCTGGGTTATGTGGCGAGGGTGGGGTGGGTCTTGGGCCAGCGGGCCAACGGGGGCGATCGCTTGATCGACACGACGTTCTGGAAGGAGGGCGCGGCAACGGGGGTGGGGTGGGTCTTCACATCTCACGGGATCGTAGCCTCTGCCTGGCATAACGGCTCGCTCGCTCGCTCGCTCGCTAGCGAGTCGCGCACGCAGTGTGCTCGTGCTCGGTCTCGTGCGTTGCGCTCGTCTTCAATCGGGTGCGTGCTTGGGGCCTGCGTCTTCGCTCTCGCGTTGGAACGCGCCTTGGCAGCTTTGGGGCGAACGTCGCCACTGTCCGATGTCTCGAGAGACGGCAAACGGAAGGAAAAAACTCGAATCCTCGAGTCGCACGGTTGAGAGACGGGGTCGTCTCATCGCACTACGAGCGAGAGGGGGTCATGAGGGTGGTACTTTGGGGGTGTGATGGAAACAGGGAAGGGGCATGGATGGGAGAGAGAGGAAGGAAGGGAGGGGAAGGAGACGTCTCGACGGCTTTCACACGACGGCAGCTGGGAGGAGAGGAGGGAACACTTACGGCTCGACGAGGCCGTCTTGAGGGCGGGAATGTCGCAGCGGACAAGGCGACCAAAGCGCTCAAACTCGTACGCGAGGTCGCGCGCACGGAGGTTGGGGTTGAAGCCGGTGACGTAGAGAACGCTGTGGAGAGGGTCAGCTACAGGAGGTTCGGTGGATTGTCGGGGGGTCGCGTGCCGCGCAGCAGGCGGCCGCTAGACATGACGCACGTCCTGTTCTGTGGAGAGTTAGTGTCCTGTGTACTGGTGTTTGCAATGGTCAGCTCACCATTTTGGAGGTGGATGGCAGGGATGAGAGTGGGACAAGTGGGAGAAGGCAATGGAAAAGCGTGGTCGGGAGGTTGACAGGGCATGAGGTGTGTGGTTCTCATGAGCGCCTCAAGTGGGGGTCATTTAAAGACTACCCAAGCCGCATGCGGCCCTGAGTGGGGAACCTGGGGAGATTCATGTTGCAAGACTGGTTCATCCTTCCTTTGCACGACCCATCCCAACGGCCGTACCATCAAGCACGATCTGCCAAAAACGCCTTCCACAACCAGCGTCAGAAGGGTGGTCACTACTCCCAAAAAGACGCTGCTTCACAACGCAGCATAGCGCACAGACTGGCCGGTTGAGTTGACGTCACTCACCAGGCGCCACTTGGTGGCAAACCCAGGCCATAGCGACCTTACCTGAGCTTGGCTGGCTTGTTGGGGCTGCCAAGCATACTGGACGATATCGCTAGTTGTTGTGCGAGTTGGGGAGCGCCTTTACGCCAAACCACGAATTGGATCATCAGTTATGGCGTAGAATGAAGGAGGCTTGACTGCGTGACACGCTACTTGTAAGCTGTAAAGTAGGCAATGTTTATGCAGTTGTACCAGAGGACGTCATCGGCAAGCTCAATTCAACTACAGCTTCAATACCCAATGTAAGCCACGGCTTGCTGCGGCGGTGGCGAAAAGGAAATTAAGCAGGTTTCCGATGGCGCATCGATCCGCATCGACACTTTGGATCTTTGGACCTGGTCCGGACGGGACGAGATCCCAGGCAATATAGAAGAGAGAGAGTTCAGCAAAAATTGCGGTGTGGGGAATCTAGTCTAGAAAGCATAAGACCCAGTGAGCCAGTGAAGCCCTCGCAATAGAACTCGACATATGAACTGACTGCGCTGTGGGGTAGGTTTTTGAAAGGGCCCCGTATAGGCGGCCGCCCGTCGCGGATGACGATCCTGCCACTTTTATTTTGTGCTGGGATCCTGGCCATCCTGGGTACCGGAGTGTGGCTCGCCAGCGTCGCGTCGTCCCGGCGGGTTTGCCGACACCATGAGAAAACTGCTGGTATTGCTGGGTCCACAATGGGTGCCTGTTCCCGAATTTCTCAGCACCCAGTTTCTTAAACGTCGTTGGCCCCAGGTCTGGTTGAAAGGTGTGATATGTGATGGCTGTTGTATATGCTGCAAGGGCATCGCTCTCTGCCTGTGTCTGTCCGTTGAGCACCATCTGCCAAAGGTGAAACACATGCAGCAGACCATATTAGGATAACGTGCAAAGTGCCCCCGTTAATCACATCAACAACCACCTTTTCCCCCAGCGCACACCCTGAGGAATCGAGGAATCAAGGTTGACTGACGCCAGTAAGGCCCATTGTGCGCTCGCTGGGACGCGCCTGGGGGAGAAAACAGTCACACACACACACACAGCACACGGCACTGCCTTTTTTTGTCCTGTCCTTGACACAACCGTCCCTCACGATGTATGCATTATACATGCATAGTCTCTTGGGTCCGTCTTCCTCTTCACTCTTTTCATTTCAATGTTCCATGCATGGCAGTTGCTGTGAAGACCCCGCCGCGGTTGCCGTGAATTGGCGTGGTGGAACGAGGTTTGCAGGTCAACCAGGTCCCGCGCGAGATGGCGCACCGCCCTACGGCGTGGCCATGGTTACACCTGGGCGGGGCGGCGGGTCCTCTCTCCCCCTTTCGCACTGAGACGCTGGGTTCCCCCTTGCTGCATCTCTGCACAACCTGTCTCGTCTCTTTCATCTCCCCTTCTCCAGCCACCCCACCCGTTCTCTTTTTCTACTCTTTCTCTCACTCCCCCTCCCCCCCTCTCTCTCCCCACCGTTCTAGGTCAACAAGAGGAGGCACTCCTCTGTCGCCGAATCGCTACTGCTAGGTCGCCAGCAAAACAGGCTCTTTCACTAGCGGGGACAAACACCACATCTTTGGGACCAAGGCCACGTCGCCTTACCCGCCATGTCTCTGTTTCCTCCTGGGCCGTCGGCAGCCTCCTCGAAGCGCATCAGCTCGCGCTTCGAGGGCATCACCGACCTTTGGTAAGCTTGCACGTTCGCTGCGTCCTGCCTTGCACGACGTGTGTTCCATGGGCACCGGCGCTGACAGTCCGTTCCAGCGCCCTCCCTTCCATCGCCGAGGACACTGTTCTCGCCACGCTTCGCGAGCGGTACAGCACTTCACAGCAGTACACCGCAGTTGGATCGTCTGGCCTCGTGTCTATCAACCCTCTGACCTACCTTCCCGCCAACGGTGACCAGACTCTCCAGGACTATGTGACCGAGTACTACCGTTCAACGGGCGACGACCAGGTTGGCGACCCTGCCAACATGCGTCTCGGCCCCCACATCTTTGGCCAAGCGCTCAGTGCATACTACAACATGCGTCGTACCGGCCAGGACCAGATCATGCTCATGACGTGAGTAGCATTTTACGCACACTGACAAAAAAGCTGTAGCCGCCGGCAGGGTTTCTCAGATGCTGACGCCGCAGTGGCGCAACGGGCTCTGGCAAGTCCGAGATGCGCCGTTTGGCCATCAAGGCAATGTCTGAAGTGGCTGTCGCTGCCTCGGGCAAGAAAGGCTCCAAGGTTGGACCTCAGATCGCAAATGCCCAGGTGAGTACCCTTGCTTCTGTACAGCACGGTCAGTTGTGTGTGTGTGTGCTAAACCCAAAATCAGTTCATCCTCGAATCGTTTGGCAACGCCCACACAATCTCCAATGACAACGCCTCCCGCTATGGCAACTACACCGAGCTCCAGTTCACCGACCGCGGCCGTCTCGAGGGTCTCAAGGTTATCGAGTACTACTTTGAGCGCTCGCGCGTGTCCCAGCCCCCCGCCAACGGTGAACGCAACTTCCACGTCTTCTACTACCTCGTGGAAGGTATCGACGGCGACGAGCGTCATCACCTCCGCCTTGGCCAGACCAGCGAGTACCGCTACCTCCAGAGCCGTGCCCGCAGGACGGGTGCCAGCGACCGTGAACGCTTCCAGCAGCTCAAGGCTGCCTTCCGCACCGTCGGTCTGAGCAACCGTCTCGTGGCCCAGGTGTGCCAGCTTCTCGCCGGCATTATCCACATCGGAAACCTCACGTTTATGGACGACCCCTCCATGCATGAAGGCGCCATGGTCACCAACGTCGATGTCCTCCACACCGTCGCCGAATTCCTTGGTGTCTCCAACGCCGCCCTCGCCGAGATCTTTGCGTTCAAGACCATCCTGGTCCGCAAGGAGATCTGCACCACCTTCCTTGACCCCGAGCAGGCCGAGGCTGTCCGTGACGAGCTCGCCCGCACTCTCTACTCCCTCCTCTTCTCTTGGCTCAACGAGCACCTCAACCAAAAGCTGTGCAAGGACTCGTTTGGTTCGTTTGTCGCCATCCTCGACCTCCCGGGCCAGCAGAACAATGCCGGCCCCTCGCTCGGCGTCAACTCGATTGACCAGTTCTGCTTCAACTTTGCCAACGAGAAGATGCACAACTGGATCATCCACCGTGTCCACGAGACCCCGCTCGCCGAGGCGGCTACCGACCAGATGGCCATGGAGCGCATCCCGTACTTTGACAACACCGAGTGCCTCAAGATGTTCAACGACCCCAAGCACGGTCTCATTGCCATTGCCGACGACCAGGCCAAGCGCAAGAAGACGGACCAGAACATGTTTGAGCAGATGGCCAAGCGCTACGCCGGCCACTCGTCGTTCCAGGCCGGTCACTTTGACCGCAGCGGTTCGGCCTCGTTCACCGTCAACCACTACGCTGGCCCCGTGGCTTACACCATTGACTCGTTTGTGGAGCGCAACGCCAACGAGACCAGTGCCGACATTCTGCGTTTGCTCCGCGGTACCGCTACCGGCACCAGCAACGTTCCTGACCACCAAGGTTCAAACAACCCCTTCGTTCGCAGCCTCTTCTCGTCGCGCTCCATCGCTACACAGGCTCACCCTCGCAACGACGACACGATTGTCGCCGCTCAGCAGCCCGTCAAGCCCATGCGTGCGCCCTCGACCCGTCGCAAGCGCGGTCCCAAGCTCACGGCCGTTGCCGAGGAGAAGGACGGCGAGGACGTGGATGCCGAGGTTGGAGGCGGCAACGACGAAGGTGCGGCGGGTACGCACCTCTCGTGCGTCGCCGGTCAGCACTGGCAGGCCCTTGACACCCTCTTCTCCACCTTTGACCAAGCTCAGCCTTGGTTCACCTTTTGTTTGCGCCCCAACGACTCGCAGCTTGCCGCGCAGATTGAGACTCGCTCGCTCAAGCAGCAGATCCGCAGCCTGGGTCTCACCGAGATTGCCCTTCGTCTGCGCACCGACTATGAGGTCCGCATGACTCACCAAGAGTTCTCGGATCGCTACCACGACGAGTTTGCCGAGCGTGCCATTGGCAACCAGGGTTCTCCCGGCGACCGTCTTCGTGACCTCAAGCGTGTCATGAAGCTCGACGACACTCACATGGGTGTCGGCGCGACGCGCGTGTTCCTGTCGCACGACGCATTCCACCGCTTTGAGGACCGTTTGCGTGAGGAGGAGGGTGAGCAGCGCCCTCCTCCCCACCAGGGCCGCGAGCGTTACGACATGTTCGCCCCCGGCCAGCGTGGTGCGGAGCCCGAGGGCGAGGTCGAGACCATGTTTGACTACCACGACCGCAACGATTCGACCGCTGCCCTGCCCCTTGTCGCCCACCAGCAGCCAGGCCCCCGTGCCGCCGACTCTGACTATGACGACGAGTCGCGCGGCTTCGCCCCCTCCCAGGCCAGCGGTCCCTTTGGCGACTCGGCTTCGCACATTGGCTCCGAAGCGTACGCGCCTTCGCGCAACATGTTCCGCGACGTGCAGAACACTCGTGGTGAAAAGGACGTTCTCGACGAGCTTCCAGACGATGGCGAGGTGGTTGAAGAATACAAGGAGTCGCCCGCCCGTCGCCGCTGGGTCTGGCTCTGCAAGTTCCTCACTTGGTTCTGTCCCGACTTCCTCCTCGACAAGCTCGGTGGTATGAAGCGTCAAGACATTCGCCAGGCATGGCGCGAAAAGCTCGCCATCAACATTATCATTTGGTTTATCTGTGGCTGTACCATCTTCGTCATTGCTGTTCTTGGTCTCCTTATTTGCCCTACCCAGCACGTCTACACCGAGTCCGAGCTCGAGTCCCACAACTATGACGATAACCCCAACAACGCCTTCACCTCCATCCGTGGCGAGGTCTTTGACCTCACGGCGTTCTGGACGGTTCACACCACCGTTGTCCCCATTATCCCCGAAAAGACCATCATGACCTACTCTGGTACCGACGCCACCCCCATCTTCCCCATCCAGGTCTCGGCTCTCTGCAGTGGTACCACTGGTGCTCTGAGCCCCTACATCACTGTCGACTCGAGCAACTCGACCGACGTCTACGCCAAGTACCACGACTTCCGCATCCAGACCGACGACTACCGCCCCGACTGGTACCAGGAGCAGATGATCACTCTGCGCTCGCGCTGGAAGAAGGGATACATGGGCTACACCAAGAAGGACCTGAAGAGCATGGCCAACAAGGGCCAGATTGTCGGCTACATTGACAACCTCGTCTACGACATGACCACATATGTCAACCAGGGCGGTGGTGGTCTCAGTGTTCCCGACGGCATTGATGCCGGCACGGTCGACACGAGCTTCATGTCCGAATCGGTTGTGTCCATGTTCACCTACAACTCGGGCAAGGACGTGACCAAGCTCTTTGAGAGCCTCAGCGGCGTCATTGGCGACGAGGTTCTCGGCTGGCAGAAGACCTGCCTGGAGAACATCTTCCTCATCGGCCAGCTCGACACGCGTGACTCGCCCCAGTGCCTGTTCTCGACCTACATCCTGCTCGCTCTCTCGTGTGTCATGGTCGCTGTCATTGGTTTCAAGTTTATTGCTGCCATTCACTTTGGTCACGCGCGCGCCCCCGAGAACCACGACAAGTTTGTCATTTGCCAGGTGCCCTGTTACACCGAAGGCGAAGATTCTCTGCGCCGCACCATCGACTCGCTTGCCAAGCTCCGCTACGACGACAAGCGCAAGCTTCTCTTTGTTATCTGTGACGGTAACATTAAGGGTTACGGTAACGAAAAGGCCACGCCCGCGATCGTGCTTGACATTCTCGGTGTCGACCCCAACCTCGACCCCGAGCCTCTGTCGTTCCTTTCGCTCGGCGAGGGTGCCAAGCAGCACAACATGGCCAAGATTTACGCAGGCTTGTACGAGTCTGGCGGCCACGTCGTCCCTTACATTGTCTGCGTCAAGGTCGGAAAGCCCACTGAGCGTCCCAAGCCTGGAAACCGTGGCAAGCGTGACTCGCAGATGCTTCTCATGCACTTCCTCAACAAGGTCCACTACAACGCGCCGATGAACCCCATGGAGCTCGAGATCTACCACCAGATCAAGAACGTTATTGGCGTCAACCCCAGCTTTTACGAGTACCTGTTCATGGTCGATGCCGATACCACTGTCGAAGAACTGTCTCTCAACCGTCTCGTTTCGGCGTGCATGCACGACAAGAAGATTATCGGTATTTGTGGTGAAACGTCCATCTCCAACGCCAAGCAGTCGATTGTCACAATGTCCCAGGTGTACGAGTACTTTATCTCTCACCACTTGTCCAAGGCATTCGAGAACCTGTTCGGCTCGATCACCTGTTTGCCCGGTTGTTTCACCATGTACCGCCTGCGCACACCCGACACCAAGAAGCCGCTCTTCATTGCCAACCAAATTGTCCACGACTACTCGGAGAACCGTGTCGACACGCTCCATCTCAAGAACCTTCTCCACCTTGGTGAAGATCGTTACCTGACGACCCTGGTTCTCAAGCATTTCCCCACGTACAAGACCAAGTTTGTTCGCGACGCAAAGGCCGAGACTGTGGCTCCCGACTCGAGCAAGGTTCTGTTCTCGCAGCGTCGTCGTTGGATCAACTCGACCGTGCACAACATGGCGGAACTCATCTTCCAGGAGAACCTGTGTGGTTTCTGCTGTTTCTCGATGCGTTTCATCGTCCTCATCGACCTTATTTCTACCATTGTCGCGCCAGTCACCGTCGCATACATCGGATACCTCATCTACATTATCGTCAAGGACGGCAGCTCGATCCCGACGCTTTCCATCATCATGCTGGCTGCCATTTACGGTCTGCAGGCGCTCGTGTTCATCTTCCGTATGCGCTGGGACATGATCGCTTGGATGCTCTGTGAGTTGATCTTATCGTGTTGGACATGCGCTAACTCTCTCTCCAGTCTACATCTTGGCCATTCCAGTCTTCTACTTCTACCTGCCCCTCTACTCCTTCTGGCGCATGGACGACTTCTCCTGGGGTTCCACGCGTCTCGTGGTCGGCGAAAAGGGCAAGAAGATGGTCATTCACGACGAGGGCAAGTTTGACCCCAAGTCGATCCCGCTCAAGAGCTGGAACGACTACGAGAACGAGCTCTGGGACCAAGAGTCCAACCACTCGTACGGCACCGGCCTCGAGCCCCTCAACAAGTCCGAGTACCTCGGCTCGCACGCCGGATCGATGTACGGCGGACGCGAGTCGGCGTATGGTGGTGGCCGCGAGAGCCTCTTCCAGGGCTCGCACTACAGCGGCTACAACACCAACAACAACAATGCCAACCGCGGCCTCTCGCCGTCGGGCTCGTACACCGATGTCCGCAACGCATCGCGCGCCGGCTCGGCGTACGACTACCCCGCCCCCCGCGGCACCTTCTACGGCGGCGGCGGTGACACTGGCTCGTCTGGCCACCTTGCCGACACCAACAGCCTTTACGCCACTAGCTTCTACGGCCAGCCGCCCGTCCAGCCCAACGCCAACAGCATGTACGGTATGCCCGTGCGCGGCGACACGACCGACGACCTGCTGGGCGACAACCTTTCGGATGCTCAGCTCGAGGCTAGCATCCGCCGCATCACCGACAGCGCCGACCTCGACACCCTCACCAAGAAGGGTGTCCGCAAGCAGCTCGAGACCGAGTACGGCATCAGCCTTGCGTCCAGGAAGGACACCATTAATCGTATCATCGAGTCGGTTTTGGCCGAGTAACGCACGCTCCTTTAGACGATGTACGAACGAACAATGAACACGGACACTTACGACGGCAACGCATGCTGCTCATAGGTATAATAGAATGGCATTCCAGGCATGCATTGCATCGTGACGAAATGTGGTTGTGTTGCAGCAGGTGTGGAGGTGCAGAGCATATCATGATCGGCGGGCGCGCGGGGGGCAAGAGCGGAAGTAAATTTTGGCCCGGTTTGCCACCGCCGCACGCCTACGGCTTCCCTGCATAATCTTGAAATTTCCAGTCCGCGATACACAACGTCTCAACGTCACCAGTCGTTCAGTCACCCGACCATCCATCATGAGCGAGCCGTCGACGTCGAAGAAGTCCAAGAAGGACAAGAGGCCAGCCGAGGCCGTCGAGGACCCCGAGGAGGTCCCCGTCAACAAGAACAAGCGCCACAGGAAGGAGAAGCGTGAGTACCTGGAAGCTTCGTGTCCAACCCGAGCTAACCAACCCACAGCATGGGACACCGACGACATTGACCAGTAAGTATAGCTAGCTACGGGATTTCCCTTCCAAATGTAGCTAACAGTGTCCAGCTGGAAGATTGACGCCATGCCCGCCCCGGACGCTGGCGCGCACACGCCCTTCCTCGAGGAGTCGTCGTTTGCCCTCCTGTTCCCCAAGTACCGCGAGCCGTACCTCCGCAGCGAGTGGGGGTCGATCACCAAGGCGCTCGACAATGTCGGTCTGGCGTGCGAGCTCGACCTGGTGCAGGGCCGCATGACTGTGCGAACAACCCGCAAGACCTGGGACCCGTATGTGGTGCTCAAGGGCCGTGACCTGCTCAAGCTCCTTGCCCGTGGTGTGCAGGCCCCACAGGCGCTCAAGATTCTCCAGGACGGCATCGCGTGCGATGTCATCAAGATTGGCGGCCTTGTGCGCAACAAGGAGCGTTTTGTCAAGCGTCGCCAGCGTATTGTGGGCCCCAACGGATCCACCCTCAAGGCCATCGAGCTCCTCACCGACTGCTACGTCCTTGTCCAGGGTAACACCGTCTCGGCCATGGGCTCGTACAAGGGCCTCAAGGAGGTGCGCCGTATCATCATCGACTGCATGAACAACATCCACCCCATCTACCGCATCAAGGAGCTCATGCTCCGTCGCGAGCTGGCAAAGGACCCCAAGCTCGCCAACGAGTCGTGGGACCGCTTCCTCCCTTCGTTCCAGAAGAAGCACCTCAAGACGTCCGAGAAGACGGCGCGCAAGAACGCCGCTCTGGCGTCCAAGGGTTCCAACGCCAACGACACTCCTCTCGGCGCTCCCGTTGCCGAGGCTGCTCCTGCCGCTCCCGCTGCTGCTGCCGCGTCGTCGGCCCAGCCCGAGGCCAAGAAGAAGAAGGTCTACACCCCCTTCCCTCCCGCCCCCCAGCCGTCCAAGCTCGACCTCCAGCTCCAGTCCGGAGAGTACTTCCTCAGGACAAGCCAGAAGGAGGCTGCCGTCAAGCACGAGCGCGAGGAGCGCCACGCCCAGGCCGCCGAGACGCGTCGTGCCAAGCGCGAGGAGATGTTCATCGCTCCCACCGAGACTGCCGCCCCGACCGTCGAGGAGCGCAGGAAGAGGCGCAAGGACGCCGACGCCTAGGCGTCTGGGTTGCGCTGCTGTCGAAAACAAACAAAAAGGCGTTGGTTGGTATGAATACCATCATACCAGTCAGTCACCCACTCGTGGCCTCCCGTACATATATATGGCTTGCTACATACACCACGCATCATTAGCATTATGGCCCGGCTATCGGGCGTGCTCGTTTTGCTGGCTCTCTCGTAGATGCATGTTGTAATACAACGACCTAGACAAAGTAGCTCGGTGCGGCTGCGCGACGCATGGCAGGGTTTCTCTGGTCGGTCTGGTTTTCGACCGCGGCGTCGTACACTTTGAACGTCGTCTTGCCCTCGTTGTCGACCTGCATGATGGACGCAGAGTTGCCGCAACGGTAACAATAGTTGGGAGCAGACCACACCGTCACCAGCTGGTCTCCAAACATGTGCTTGTAGCCTTCTTGCACAAGCTGGTGCGCGCGGGCTACCAGCTTGATGCCGTTGACGTGGTTGAACTCGCCCGTCACCTTGGAACCGAACAGCCAGCCTGCTCCACGCGGCGACACGGCCCATGTCTCGACATCGTCGGGGTCGGACCACATCAGGTCTGCAGAGTTAGTCGGGCGATCACAGCTCCATTCCTTGGCCGCTACTCACCACAAAATGGACCCTCATGCGGCACCTCCTGCGCACGCGATATTGTCCGCACCTGGTCTAGGGTGCGAATGTCTGGCGACAGTCCGCCGTGAACACAAAGGATGGATGAGTCGATGATCTAAGGCAAGGGTCAGCGGCAAGCACAGAGACAATAGAAGCGAAAGGAGCCTTGCCTCATTGTACTCACTGCTGCCAAATTCAAGTGGTCAAACACGTTACAACATGCGCGCCACACGCTCGGGTTGCCGTACTTCTGCATACACTCGTCGTAGAAGCCGTACACTTGTGTGATTTGTCGCGACTCGTGGTTTCCACGCAGGAGGGTGATACGGTCAGGATACCTGGAAAAGACGTCAGCACGAGCACGATTGAGGTGGGGTACGGCTGGCCGGACGCCCGAGGACGGAATGGACAAGAAAACGGGTTGGAACGGCAGCTCGCTGTCGTCTGAAAAGCGCCAGGCATCCGCCATGACAGCCGACAAGCCAGGGCCCCACGGCCACTCCACCTCGCTCCTCCCTCTCGACCTCGTCCTCCGCAGCGGCCACCGCGTCCGCGCAAAACACTGACCTGGCCTTGTATGCTAATAAGAGAGACAGTGTCTCGAGCGAGTAGTATCCTCGGTCAACAAAGTCGCCCTGTAATGTCAGCGCTGTCTCACTTGAAAAAGGGTTCGGAAAGTGGTGCGGACCGCGGTTGTTGGCCACACCCGTGGACGACTTCCTTTCGCCTTCAGATCAGGCCAGAGCGCCATCACTGGGCACGTCATATCCACGAGCTTTTAAAGTCACAAGCAAGCAAGACGTCTGCTCCACATCCAATACACCATACGCGCTTCAAAAGCTGACTCACCATGAAGATGTAGCTCGTATCGGGTGGGTCTCCTCCTTGCCTAAAGATCTCGAGAACGTCCCAGAACTGGCCGTGGATGTCACCGCAGACCGTCACTGGTGCTTGCACTAGGTGAACATTGCTCTCCTCGAGGAGCAGGTCGGCTACACGCGCGCAGAGCGCCTTCATCTGTCGTTCGGGAAGGTGCCTGCATTTCCGGATCTGGAGTGTGTCAGCGGCCTGTGGGGGACCAACTGGCGCCCGCGTCGTGCACGCGATGGCAGCAAGCACGTCCGCGACGGCGTGAGGGGTTCCATGGCCAGCATTGGGCGGCGACGACGGAGTAACAAGCCCCCCCTCACTTCATGAGGGCCCCGATACCGCCGGACGGCTCCGCGATTTGACCCTCCGCCGACCCTTTGCTTTGGGGCACTACTCACCTTCTCAATCCATGCGTCGGGGTCTGATTGAACGGCTGCCATGTTGAGCGCTGCGCGTTGCGCGCTGCTCTGTATGCCGAAGGGCGAAGCTCGAAGCGGGTGGGCGTGTGATGGGGGTTGCAAGTCGTCAGCGTTGCCGTAGATGGTTGTTGCATTGGGTCTCTCTGGCGGCAAACAGGCTGAAGGGGTTCAAGTGTCGAAACAGAAATGACGTGGGCATAAACTGGCGTTATCAGTCACGCGAGTGGGCTCCTCACTGACGGCATGCGTGGTAGGGGCAGTCATCGATGCAATGCTGCAGGCAACAGTTCACTGCGTTGAGGCGGGCACTGGTATGACGCGCTGTATGCATATAGGTACAAAAATGGCCGCATGCAAGGCCGCATCTGATGTCCACATGCCACCTTCCGGTGTGGTGGCGTCAATGCGTCAATGACGGCGGTGTTGCTACGGCCATGACATGTCGGTGAGGAATGCGCGTCTCGGGCAGTCGACAGCGACCACGTATGGTCTGGGAGTGTGTCTGTCGTATACCGCGCTCAATGGCCGTCACCCGGAAGCTTGACGAGCCGCTTCCACTCGGAGACGAGCCACCTCCTGGAGTTGTCTCGTGGGACCCTTGCATGGTCGTTACCTTCGAACAGACCAGCAGCCTGTGCAGCGGCGACAACGGTCGTTTCTGTCCTCGCACGGTCCTCGGCACGGGCGCGAGCCTCGCGGCGCTCATTGCTGAGCCGAGACATGGCAGGTGACCGGGCAATTGCGGCACGAGCGAGCGAGGTGATGCGTTGAGTCTTGAACGCGTTGTCCAGCGACCGCACGAGAGCGATCTCGGCAGCCCTTGCATCTTGCGGGATGGGCATGTAGATGTACGCCACGGTCACAAGGAACAAAACGACGGTGCGGATGGTGTAGAGCGTTGGCGCGAGCTATACTGTCAGCTTCAGGTCTTGCAGGGGCTTCCGAGCTCACATGGTCACAATCGCCGTCCAGACGAGCACGAACATCCCAGGTCCAGCGCACGCCAAAGTCTCCCGCAATGAGGGCGCCGAGGACCCAACCAACGACAGGGCGGAAGCGGTCCGCACGCTCGCGGGCACTTTGTCCAGCAACCCACTTCCAGCCCATGAGACCAATGACGACCGCCTCTACCACGTAGGGCGTAACGATGCTGGGCAGCGCAGCGAGCGCCATGTCGCCCTTGGACTTGCACCATGCGCAGCGCATGAAGACGTCGTGTCCCCAGCGTGCGTACTGGTAGCGTCCATCGAGGTTGCCGAGGCGGGTGAGCAAGAGGTCGAGGAGTGGGTACGAGTCTGGGTTGGCCTCAAAGTCGTAGAAGGGAACGCCGGCGGCACGCAGAACAATGGGGCGGAGAACGTCCGAGGGTGTACGGATCTTGAGGCCATGTGAGACGAACACGTCGTACGGGGGTAGAACGAGAGCCCAGAGAGTGTAGAGCGCGTGTGCAATGAGAATGGCCCAGACAGCACTCGTGAGCGGTGCACGGGGTTGGTTGCCGTTGCGGATGAGCCGTTGTGCGCGTGCCAGCAGACCGGGGCCAAAGACGATAACGCCAAAGCCCACAAGCTGTCGGTATGTACTCAGAAAGTGTATCAACCAGCCGAGCATGGTGAAGAAGAGTGGTCGAGAGATCGAGAGAGGAAACGAGACGTGGATGGTCGGAAATGAAAACAAACGACGCGACGTGACGGCAATCCATGATCCGTGCCTGGCGAGAGGGAGACCCCCCAAGCCAAGAGCCGTTTTGGTGGCAGTCGATCCTCATGGGATATTGGCTCTACAGCTCTACAGGTGTTTACAGTGGACCAGTGGATAGCTTGTCCTATGATATGAACGGAAACATGGCTCTTATCTTTCTGCTGCCCCTCGCGTACTTGAGTTGGATTTGAGATGCGCATGACGTGTCGTTGGCTGTTCCCAACACATACCCACAGTGGTCCGCAAACGTTGGACATGGATAGATTGTGTTACGACCTCAGATATTCCTAGCATACGAATCACGTAGCGGGCACACTGCCGTGTTGCGGAAGTCCAATAAGCTCTGGGCAGATCCGTTTTGCATTCCAGTGTCCTACAGCAACTTCCTTCCCCTACTTCATTCACTACACCTTTACATCGACGCAGGTGACGTCAAGCGTCGTCTCGTCCATGTTGAGACAGGTGGCCTGGTGGCTACCCTTGGGGGTGAGGACATTGATGTCCGTGGCAGTGATACCGTTGCACACGGTGCTGCTGGAGCACTCCAGGGTAGCCATGTACGGCTCATACTTCTTGCTGGTGGTACCGGTGAAGTTGCGGAACGTAATGTTCTCGATGGTGAGCGGCGATGGGAACTCGGTGCAGAGAGTGAGGTTCTTCTGCCCGTAGCACTGGGTGATCTGAAGTGTTGCGTTAGAACTCGCCTTCCCTCGCGTCCCCCAAATAAAGCTCACCTCAATCGCGTAGTCGACGTTCTCCGAGTAGATGTTCTGGTAAGTCACGTTGTTGACGCGGCCCGAACCACCACCGCCCTGGAGGTCGCCAGAGAGAGCACTGGGCGAGTTGGGCCAGACCTTGATGCGCGCGGCGTCGCTCGCGTTGTACATGTTGATGTCGGAGACGAGAATGTTCTCAACAATGTCTGTGAATGTTAGTGGCCATCTAGGTGAATGTATGGATAGACTAGTTTGACTCACCGAACTGTCCGACATACTGGCCCAACGAGCCCACGCTGATACCGTGCGAGCCGTTGCAGTGCAGGCCCTGGACAACCATGTCGGTACTGTTGGGCTTGAAGCTGACGCAGTCGTCGCCGTTGTTAATGACACTGTTTTGAATGACAATGTTGCTGGAGCGGTAGGTGTCCCAGCCGTCGGTGTTCTTGGCCACGTTCTTCGAGGCCGAGAAGCCGCTGATGTCGTTGTTGTCGAACAGGACGTTGGACGAGTTGGCCATGAAGTGGTAGTACATGGGGCTGTAGCGGAGGACAATGTTCGAGATGATGGAGTTGGTGAGACCGTCGTAGCCCATGAGGACAGGGCGCTTGATGTAGATATCCTTTGCGTACAGGTCATACCAAACCTGGCCGTTGCCGTCGATGGTGCCACCTGCTTGTCAGCCCCATGTGGCGTTGACTGCCACATTGTCACTTACCGCCATACATGAAGACGTCGTCACCTCCCATCTCTGCAAACAGTCAGCCAAGGAAGACGGTAGCGGCGTGAGGGACGTACTGAAGAAAGTGGTCACGTTCTGGAAGACAAAGTCGAAACCGTTGGCCTGCCAGTAGTCGGTGTCGTTGGTGAACTGGACTTGTTAGCTGGCTGCCGCAGACCTAGTCTTTACCCACTTGAATCTTGCCCTGGAGGTCTGCAACGGTCAGCTTTGACAGAATAGACTTGGGCCATGAACCCACCCAGGTCAATGTGCTTGAGGAAAGTCAGGTCCAAAGCCGTGCCAATTGTGTACGTGGTGTTGGCAGCGAAGATGACATGGCCACCAGAGTTGCACTTCTGGAGGGCCGACATGACGAGGGCCGAGTCGTCGCTGCCATCACCGTATGTCTGGACGGTGCACGTCTTGCCATTACGGTTAGGTGGGTTGGGGCTGGGCTTCTTGCATTGGTGGGGGTGAGCGTGAACGTTAGGGCGGTTGGACGCATGGCTGTTCGGCGTGTGCGGTGTCTTGTTGTTGCCCTTGCCGTTGTTGCCGGTGCCAGGGTTGGGAATGGCGGCGACAGCCCCCAGAAGGGCGAGTGCGGAGAGGAGTGAGGCCTTCATAGTTGTTGGTGTGGGGCCACTCTCATCCCCGCGACGCGTGTCTCTTATACTGCCCACACGAGGTCAACACCGACTGCGTGTTCCGCCTCGAATGAACACCGAACAGCCAGTCCGGATATGGAATCGGAAACACGCTGCGTTCCAAAACGCTGCGGCCCGCAGAATGACGATCGGACCGGACGGCCCGCAGTTAGCGGCAACGTTAATTTGAGCACTCGAGCCTTGGCACTGCGCCGCAGGAGGTGGTGTGCAGTCCATGTCATGCGCGGTTTATGGTGCACATGACTACGCGGGCCGGGGGACCCGCAAGAAGAGGCCCCGACGTTGACGCCGAATATGCGCCGCCGATACACACCACCACCGCCACAAAACCGTTGATTGGTCTCTTCTGTCCCGAAACAACGTTCTTAGAAGGGACCCTCGCGCTCAGTGTCGTCAGATGGAACCTGCACAGCGGCCCGGGGACCCGGGGGCAGACCTGGGGACTTTGCTGATGCCAAGAACGCTTGTAGAGGGAGGTTGCCGTGAAAGAGCAACGCCGGTCGTCACCGCCGCCACCTTGAGGACTGCCCGGGCGGCTGCCACTGGGCATTCCGACCCTGCCCGCAAAGAAAGCCCTCTCAGAGCAAGGTCTTACAGGAGGAAAGGAGTCAGCTCCTCTCAATCAACGCCATCGCCTGTGCATCTGTCTCAAAATGGATCCCAAACGTTCGCTCCTACTGGGCATTCAACAAAACATCGCCGGTCGCGTGGCCAAATGGTACGGCGTCTGACTACGACTTTGTCTTCGTTTATCAGGAGATCGCGGGTTCGATCCCCGTCGTGACCTTTTTGGACATCTAGAGAGCATCAGGACGATGCTGAGACGCTGTAGGATGTTGTTGGAAGGTTAGAAGACGATGTGGTGCGTTGGAAAGCTTTGCGGGGGCACTGTGGCACAATTTCTCCGCCATGTTTCCGGTTTGGCCGATGTGTATGTTACTCGTCAGGCTGCATCATCCCAAACTGTCTAGTATCTGTATCTATGCCGCCACCGCTGCCTGGAGGTGCTGGGGCACGTAGTGTACAGCTGTAGCCACGGTCTCTGCGCTCTCGAGCGCCGACTGCTTGGCCACTTCGGCGGACTGCATTCGGTTGCGTTCAAGAGCCTCCGCAATGAACCGGCTGCCAGTCTACCAAGTCAGCACTTGCTTCTCGGTAGGACCCTATAGGTGCTACTCAATGTACTCACGATAGGGGGGTATTTCTTCTCGGGACCCTGGATAACAATGTCCGACCTGGCCTGGTTGAAGAAGGCAATGGAGTAGCGCGGTCCACGAGGCTCGTCGCCCTCGGGCAGGCGGACGCGGTGGTAGGTCGACTTGAGGCGGTCATCGCTCCAGCGCATGAGCTGGTCGCCAATGTTGCACACGATCGAGTCCTGCCGAGCCGGGACAGGGAGCCAGGTAGCACCCATGCCAAAGTCGCCAACAACCTTGCGGCCGGGACACACCTCGAGGCCACCCTCGTTCTCCCGCTGGAACAGCATGGTGAGGACGTCAAAGTCCGCGTGCGCTCCTGCACGCCAGAAATTGGGACCGAAAGACTTGCCCTCGGTGGAGTGGTAATGCAGCAGGCGGAGGACCGACTGTGAGTCGCCTTCGCCAGCACGGTCGACGGTCCCGGTCGTGAAAGTGTCGCGAGGAAGGCCAAGCCCGTCTGCCAGGCACTCCATCACGCGGACTGAGACGCTGAAATTGTCAGCTCTGAAGGGGGACCATCGTCTGAGCTATTCACCCTTGCACCTGCGCCATGAAGACCTCAGCCCTCTTGCGGAAGTCTGGTACGTCCTCGTCCGCGGGCCACAAGCCCTCCATACGTGCAAACTGAAGCTGGAGCGACTCTTTCTGGTCCGCAGTACCAGTACTGGGGCGAACCTGGGTGTTCTTCTCCCAACCAGCATTCTTGCCGTTGAGTGGTGTCTTGCCCTTTGCTGCATCCGGGAGAGCAAAGAACGAGCGCGACAGCTCGAACGCAGCGTCGACGTCTTCCTGTGGGATGCCGTGGTTTACCAGGGTAAAGAATCCCACCTCAGTAGAAGCGTCTATGAGCTCGGCGATGATCTCGTCGCGGCGAGCGTCGAAATCGTGAAGCGAGATGGAAGGGACGGACATTGCTGCTGCGGCGGTGTGGTTAGGTGGGTGTCAATGATGCCGGTGTCGCGCTTCATATACTACTCGGTCACTACAATACTGGCGCCTCCTCCGGCATCCAAGTGCGAATGACGTTGTTCAACAGAATGTGGGCTCGGCGGAGAACCAAACGTCAACTGCGAGATAAGGCGAGATCGGACAAACCCTCTTCTGCCATTTGTGTTCCCTTCCTCGCCAAGAACGAAATGGTTACGCTCCGCCGAAGGTCCGCCGACGATTATTGCTGTCGGCGATGGACGAGGTGCTGCCATGTCCGAGCCAATCGGCCAGCAGGACTTGTGCGTGTAGATGAGATGAAGAGATGCTTGGAATTGCATCCACAAAGCCGCTACCCATTAGACCTCACCCCAAACGACCGGCCATGCTCGTCGCCACACTGGCAACGCTTGTTCTGTCTTGGGCCGCACCTGCCGCGGCATACAACGGTGCCATTCACCCCGAGTACCAAGAGGGACTGTCTATCAATGACGTCCCGGCTGCTCGCAGACTGCACTGGATGCGTGTTGCCAACGAGGCCATCTACGCCGACGGCCACCCTTGCCCACAGGCTCCGTTCGGAAGCGCCATTGTGAACACCACCTCGGACGAGCTAGTCTGCGTCACCAGCAACCGCGTTGGGACGACTGGCGACCCGACGATGCACGGCGAGATCTCGGCGATCCGCGCATGTACCGACGTCCTCGCAGATAGGGGCATGAGCCCAAGCGAGATCCTGGCTGCTTGGAAGGAGTTTTCCCTCTACACCAACGGCGAACCGTGAATCGATCTACATGCATCTGCAAACGAGCCGCGCTGACCGCGTAGCTGCCCCATGTGCGCGTCTGCAATTCGCTGGGCGGGCTTCAAAGAGGTCATTTACGGTACGAGCATTAGCACCATTGCCAAGAACGGTCGTAGCCAGATCTACATTGGCGCCAACGAGGTTTGGGAGAAGAGCTACTCAATGGGCCACGCAACGTTGATGCTCGGCAACATTCTGACAAACGAGACGGACCCCTTGTTCGCCCACCAGTTCAACGAGTCGGCTCCTTGCCGTACGTTCATGTTTGTAACTGTGCTAACATAACAGCGACCGGGTGCTCGCGCGAGCACGTTGCTGGGAAGCGCGTCTCAGTCTGTACGCCAGTGGACAACTGGGAGCAAGTGGTCAGGCGAGCAGGTAAGGGGCTCGCACTTGTGCACAGGGATGAGTGGCATGATGAGCTTTAGACTGTGTCCAAGTTCAGCTTGGTCCTTTAGATTATGGTGCAATGGATGTGAGGACATGTATTCAGATCGTCTGGACTTGGTTTGTGAGGGTGCGAGTCGTGTTGTGACTGGAGAGATGTGGGTTACATGGCCGGGAGCGGCTACATCCCCTGTAACTCCAGCTGGCCCTTGAACAGTACAATGCAGTTCCATCTCACAGACCTATCCTATGCGCTTATTGGATAGAAGCAAGCATGGACATCTCTGGAGGTTACCCGCGCGGCAACCTGTTAGCTACGCATGAGATGTCGGCGGAGTGTCGGAGGAGATGATACGAAGCCTTGGTTGTTGCTCGATGCTTGAACTGCCAGAGTGGGTTCGGTGCCGGCTATAACGGGCAGCTTTCGTACTGGGCATACTGTTCGGCTCGGCTGACGATGATTTTGACGATGATTTTGACTCCACACGCTCCACAGGGCCTGCAGATTCGGCAGAACGTGTCTGTACAGTGCGGCGCTATGGATACATCTCACAACCTGTCAGACCGACCAACTGTCTATGGCCAGTTGAACGCGCCAATGGTACCGTCGAACAGCTGGCTGATTTCCGGGACGCTATGCAGAGACGCAAGCAGCGCGTTGGTGTCGTCATTGGAAAACTCGAGTAATGTCGGGTACGTCGGTGGCGGGGGCCATTGGGTACTGGGTCCCGGCGCAACAGCGCCCTGCAGCTGCTGCGGAGACGCATTCACAACGGGGAACACGGCGCGCCGTGGTGTCGACGTGTCTGACCCAGACGTGCTCCCTTGGTCCACGGGGAGACGGAGCTTCTTCACCACCTGGCCCAAGTCGGTGCTTGCCTGCCGCTTGCCGGAACCCGAAGCGGCCTGCTCGGCCTCTTGGAGAAGATCATTGAGGACTTGAATGCCTCTTCGTGCAATACGGCTTGTCGGGGCAAGACGTTCCAACGACACCTTGCAGCTCATGACCGCCTGCAGGCGCTTGGCTGCCTCGGGCTGCTTGCCATTGAGTGCGATGAGGTCAATGGATAAGACGACAGCCGCCGCAAGGGCGTGGTATGGGATGGTCCACAGCGTCTGGCCCGACTCGGCAGCCAGATCACCCAGCTGGCGACCACGCTCAAACTCTGCGAGAATCCTCTCAGCGAGCTCGATACACACTTCGTGCGCACGGGCGCGTTCCTGCGTTGTACCGCCTCCTCGCGTCAGGAACGCGCGGTAGATGACCAGCGACTTGTGCCGGGACGAAATGTGCAGGTAGTGCCTCGTGATCGGCGCCCATGGCGGTTGGGCCACGCCGGGTGGTGGGTCGGGCTGTAGGGCCAGTGGCATGGATTGGAGCAGCTGCTGGATCTTGTTTACCGCGCCTTCTGCGGTTGCGAACGGTCTGGTGTGAGCGTTGTTCAGGTGCGGCTGCACGTACGTGTCCTTTTGTCGGTGGTTCAGTTCTTGGAAGAAGCGCTGGAGTACGGAGGCAACTTGGGCTGACATTCTCATCTTGCTGTCGGGTCAGCCTACCCTGGAAACGGTGAACCCACTATGCAACAGTGGCCGTCGAGTCAGGACGGGAGATGAAGAGGCCATCGGCGAGGTCCTGGTCATGGCAGTTGTTCGGCAGACCCGTATCAAAGTGTTCTGGATGGATGGCTGGGGTCAGCGGAGAACCAGGTGAATAGGCTTACACCACACGCCGCGGTACGGGATGATGAACCAGTCCTGAGTGGGTCAGCTTGGCAGTAAAGAAGGAGCTACCCACCTGTTGCGCCAGAGCCCACCAGAGGCGCTTGCCGACCTCGACGTCGATTACTTTGCGGACACGATCCGGTGTTGACCCAGACGGTGCGCGCTCAAGATGACGCGAAGGCTTTCCGAGACCGTGGAGGTTGAGAGCCTGCGCTGTCTTGATGCCGATGGCGAGGAGGGACGACAGCAGAGCCGAGTCGCACACGTTGTGTCCACAGGTAGACAGGATGGCGCACACCTGCACTGTCCACATGGTTGGCCTACTGAGGAACTGGCCAGCGTACAGCGCGTCCTCGGCTGCAGACATGAGCGCCGTGGGGAGCACGTATCGATCGCCTTCGGCCAGGCCGCATGCCTCGGCGTCGCGGTCTGTCATCTGGTGGATGGCGATGCCCTTGAGGACAAACAGCAGTGCGACCCATGTGGGGTCTACCAGGTCCCAGCTCACAGAGACGGCAGTGTAGAATGCCTCGAGCTCCTCCCACAGGCGCGGGAAGAAGACACAGACGTGCTGCCAGCCGCCTTGCTCTGCGAAACGCAGGATGGACTGCACGTTCTCGCGCGGGAGGAGCGCTTCCATCACGCTCTCGGGCATGGGGCGGTCGTACGGTTCGTGTTGGACGTGGTCTAGGTGGGAGAATCGCTGCACGACAGGCAAGGTCGAGCTCGCTGCGCGGGAGTTGGAGTGGTGCTGGACTCGCTCGCGCTCGGGGCCTTCGCGCCGGTCCACACCAAGTGCGAAAAACTCAAGAGTCGTTGCCGCATCTTCCGTCGCTATATCGGGCTCGCCTGACAGTGAGGGCCGTGATCCGACAGATGTTGCTCGTAAAGACCTCTCGTGCGCGGTAGCAGCAGCTGTACGTTCAAGTTCGGCGACGCGTTGTCGCAGTGATTCGAGCTCGGCATTGACGCTCTCACGGAGCGACTCGAGTTCGCTCGGCGCGACGCCGCCGACGGATGGTGAGGTGTCGGGGATGATAAACTGCGGTTCGAGTCGGCACAGGTGCGTCACGCCGCGCTTGATGCACAGGCTGCATGGGATGGTCTTGTCACAGCGCGCCTTGCGTCTAGATGTTAGCTTGGTATGACGTTGCCATGGCTCACCGAACACATTCCGTACAGCTGATGCGACGTTAGCTTTCCCGTCTATCCCATTCCCGGAAGCATGACCTACCTCTTTGACGCGCGCTGGCTAATCTTGATGGGATGCGGTCCGCCCTGTGGTGTCTGTGGCGAGGTCGCGTCTGTTGGGTCCCCATACATTGCTGCCATGGGGACGATTGTGACCTGGCAGCTGGGGTGTGGGGTTGTGGAGTGGGTGGTGCCGACGTCTCCACTCTGTCCCCGATTGATAGCGAGAACCGATTTCCCGTCGAGAGACAATAGAGACAATACACCCCGGATTTCAAATGGGTGCGGAAACACACAGCCCCCTCCGCCGATTAGCTCACCCCCCCCGCGCAACCAGTCAGCATGGCGTCGTCCTTCAGTGCCGTTTGGACCAAGTGTTGCAACAACAACGATAGCTGAGAAGAGAGGACAACACGGATACCTCCTCACGTACTCACAGCAACCTTGGCGCACAGTCACGGCGGAGTCGGAGTTGGACCGCAACATGACCGCAACATGGACCGCCAGCTCCGCCGACATCGGGCCCCACAGCAATCACCGTGTTGTGCCTCCAAGTCAGCATTGAACCGACTGCAACTGGCTTTCCTGCTCGCGTAGCTTCTGGTACTTGAGCTCACAGAAGTAGCCGGTCACCTTTATCCACATCGTCACGTCACCGTAGGCGGCCTTCACGTGCGATTCTGGGATCTAGCCTCACGTCCTGGGACAAGTGGCACGGCAGCACTGTCCCCCCCCCCCCGATGATTCCAGTCTGACTTCACCGGTTCCAGCCCCCCGGCCCATGTTCCGGTACACTCTCGGTCTCCAGCCCCTCTGATCCCTCTGATTCTGTATCCCTCAAAGCTGAAGGCATACGTGCGGTGACCGCCCGTCATTGAGGCGTCTTTTGAGCAGGCAGACACGCCAGCTTCCCTGGCTGACAAAACCCCTACCTGCCGAAATCCTACCGCATGCAGCAGAGTCTTGGCTTCGGCGTCCCTACGCCGCTACCCCGCACAGGCATAGGCCATGCACAGCGGCGTATGCAGCCTATATTCCTGATCAATGACGAACTCTGGCTGCTGCGTGAGAGGGGCCGCCTTGGCCATTCTCGAAAACCCAAGCGTGGTCCAAACAGGGCCGGCCATTTGGGTGCATCAGTGGATCAGTGGCAGAAAGTGGGGCACGGCCAGATCCAACAAGTTTGCGTGAAACGAACACATTCAAGGTGGCCCAAAAGAAAGAGAGAGTCCATATCGAAGAAAAAGATGTCTACCGGATCTACCGGAGTCTATGTATGCCCCACAGGAGAGCTTGTGAAATATGTTATTTGCTACGGGTTCCGAGGCGGCGCCACTAGCTAGCTGCGTGGCACGCACTCGTTGTCGACGAGGTTGTGGCCGCGCGAGCAGCCCTCGACAACACACTGGCCACCGCGGCAGGTGACGGCCGAAGCGCCGGGAAGCTCGGTGCAGTCCACGGCCTCTGGGGTGCCGGGGCATCCGCCGCAGGCCTCAATGTCGGACGAGGTGTCGAGGCACTCCCAGCCGGGGGCGCCGGTGGAGCACGGGTCGAGGCCCGGCGCGCACATGAACCAGCGACGACGACGTGTGATCTGAACGGATTCCGAGACGACGCCAGAGACACACTCGTAGCTCGTAGGGTCAAAGCACGAGTCACCGCAGCGGTCAAAGCCCGGGTTACACGAGACGGTGCACTGGCAGTCGACGAGGGTGTACCAATCGGGGTCGATGGGGTACTCGCAAATGGTGAGAAGGGTGGTCGAGCTCAAGTCTGAGCTGAGGATGGCAATAGTAAACTCATTGATGAGATAGGCGGCGCAGGCCGCGTTGTCGCCAGTAATGCCGTTGTCTGTACAGACCTGGAGGGCGACGGGGGTGTTGAGGTAGGTGCTGGCCACACCCGAGTCGAGTGCCGCGAGGACCTGCGCCTGCCACGCTGGCATCATGACCCCATTCTCAAAGCACCATCCGAGGCCGTTAGAAGTGTAGGGGTAGAAGAGGGCCTGTTGGATGTCAGTCGACGCGTCCAGTGTCACTGGGTCTTCCTCTGCCACTCACGTCCGAGGAGGAAGGAGCAGTCTGGCCGGCACATGTGCAGCCAGAGGCCGGGTCGGCACGAGCACGGAGCGGGTTGTAACCCCCGGCAGCGGCGACGATGGGGAGAGCAAGCAGAGCAGTGGCCGCAGCGAGCATGGTTAAAACGAGTGTGAAGAGGTGGGAGATGGCAAACTGGGGAATGGGAAACCTGGGAATGCGCGTGTGGAACGCTCGATACTCTTATGCCAGCAGTGCTTGCACCGACGCGCCCAACCAGGCCAACCAGGCCAAGCAAAGCCAACCAGTTTCAGCGCTCTCGAGGTGCGCCACAAAACCTGTGGTTCTTGTCCTTGCCAGTGGCCGCTGGCCACTGTCCCATCACCATACGCGTCGCCCTTTGGCTGTTGTCGCGTCGCTGGTCTACCCTTCCGCCAGCTAAGCCCTCTTTAATTGAGAGAGAAGGATCAGTGGCCGCCACGAGTGGACGAAAGCAAGCAAAAAGTGGGACAGTTACACGACGGGCTCAAAAGCGCCACAGAGGGAGCGCCACGCCCGAGACCCAACGCCGTCGACAATTAACCAAAGCGACGCCGCCGTGTGCGGCGCCCCCGAAAGACAGGGAGCGGAGCGATGGACAGGATAATGGCCTTCTCTGTACGTGCGCTGCTGCTGCTTGCTGCTTGCCAAGTGCAGCAGGGAGAGCACAACACGACCAAAACGCAAATGAGGATCACCCGGCAAAACGCCTCGTATCGCCATGAATTACAGGTGATCCTTTGTTTACCTTTCCTGTTTTTTGCGCTTTCTTCGCAGAGGGCACACCCAGACCCGCCAGACCCGCCAGAACGCGTGGGCCACAGCGGCCGGCGCCGCCGCAACTCTCTCACTCAACCCTGTTGGGGTCGCGACTTGCTTTTACTGTACCTGCGCACCGCGCGGCCGCGCGCTCGCAGCAAAGGTACTGCACATCACCGGGCCCCCTGCCCCAGAAGCGCGAGCAAAGTGCGCCAGAAGACAACTAAGGGTACGGCCCGGACAGAGAGCCTCGACAGGGCACACGTCCTCTTCAAATGGCACGGCCGCTGGCGTTCGACTTTGGGGTCCACCGGAGTTTCTCGTTTCTGGGGGCGAGTGGTGTAGGTAGATCCAGGCCAGAGCGTTTCTCTTGGCCGCTGCGATGCTCGTCGTCATGGGCGCGCGGGTGTTTAGGGCTCTCTCAATCTCTCACACAGTGCCAACAAGGCAGCAACGATGTGCACGTCTTGGACGCGGCTACGGTCCTACACGTCCGTGGAATGGGCGCGGGACTGTACTGTACTTTCTTTGTCCGTGACGCGTCGAGTCCGTCGCGAACGTGCCCTTTTGCCCTTGTGGGTCTTGTGGGTTCGCGACGCTCACGGCGCCACTGCCGGTGGCATCTCGGTGACGCAGAATTCAACGGCGAGATAATGGCCCCGCGGCGCCGACAGAGGTCCAGAGGTACAGGGGGGACCAATGTCGTTGCTCTCGATGCCTGCCGAGAGGTGCGGGACGTGCCAGGTGCCGGGTCGCTCACCTGGGCGCCGGCACGGCTGAGACATGCCACCATTCATGCTTCTCTCATGGCACCCAGAGACCTCTCACCTCGCACGACCTTGCGCTGTCCTTGAAATCGTCCGTACTCCCTGCACCCTGTGTGGCGGCTGGGAGCAACTTGAACGCCAGAGCGCACTCTGTTTACCTGGTTGTGTGACGCGTCCTGGAGAATCATAGTGCGTGCAGAGGTGCAGAGTGATGTCAAGCCGCAGTGCCGTCAAGTGAAGCTGAAGACCAGTCTACGTCGGTGCTGGTCACGGTCAAGCGAGTGAGCCAGTAGCCTGTAGAGAGTGTCGCCGAGGGCAAGTCATCAGATCAGGCTATCAGGGGACATCACAAGTTCCTGCCAAGGCGTGTCTGGAACCAGAGAACCACGCGTCGAGACGAGGAACAGCGCAACAGCTGCCGCTAAAAGCACGCGTTCCCAGTGACTCAGTCGGCGATCAGCCAGTCAATCAGTCAATGCGTAAGCCAGTCAATCAGTCAGTCGGTCAGTCGGCCTGTCGGCCTGTCGGTCAGTTCAGTCAGTTCAGTCAGTACGCGCGAGTGGCGGCCACACAAGGTGTCAGACAGACCAGTCGGGTGTTGCTGTTGTGCGCCGGCACCGACGCCGCCGACGCATTCACGTTCCTGCGATACCGAGGCCCACACAGTACAGTAAGCTATTGTAGCTCGTATGCGCCCGTGAGGCCGTGAGACGCGTTGTTGACGTTGACGTTGACGTTGACGTTTTGTCGTTGCTCTTGCTCTTGCCTCTTGCCTCTTGCTCTTGCTTGTTGCTTCGAGTCTTGGGATTCACCCACACCCACCCATCCACGCCCTAGAATCGTCGGTGGTTCCCCCCCTCCCTGATCAACCATTTTGGTGGGCCTGCACCTGCACACGCCTCTCGCGAACCTTGCTGTTTGCCGGGATCCCTGGGGGGGGGGGGGGTGGGGTGGGGGGGGGGGGGGGGGTAGATTCTCTGGCGGCCTGCCAGCTGGCCAGCTGCCGGGATCGACAACAGCACAGTGTCCCGTCTCTTGTCCGGCGGGCCGGCGACATAGGGTCTCGCGCTGACACGCTGACACGCTGACGCGCGGACGGAGACACTGGTACACTGGACACTGGACACTGGACACTGGACACTGGACACTGGACACTGGACACTGGACACTGGACACTGGACACTGGAATGGGTTGGTTGGAATCCAGGGTGTTGGAGAGGCAGCAACGCGTTGGGTGCAGTGAACGCAACTTGCCAAGCATAGCAAGCCTGTTGCCCAGTACAGCACGTACAGCACAGCACGGCATGGCGTGCAGCTTTGTAGCGTGCAGTGTGCAGTGTGCAGTGTGCAGTGTGCAAACCCGGCAGAGCGCGGGACGGCGTCGGGCCGACTGCCAGCCTCTGCCCGCGGCATCACGTCAGCCCATGTCAGTATCGTCCCTCTGCCCCTCTGCCCCGCTGCCCCTCTGCCCCTCTGCCCCTCTGCCCCTCTGCCCCTCTGCCCCTCTGCCCCTCTTGCCCATGCTCGGCAGCGGTAGAAGCAAAAAAATACACGAACAGTCATTGGCATTCGTTTCGTTACAGTTGAGTTTGTGCAGCACACACTGCTATCTACCTTGCTATTACCCGAGGAAAAGAAGAGTGAAGACAAAAAAAAGGGGGGGAAATCGAGGAGGTGGGAGAGGGCGAGGGCCAGGGGGGAGGCAAAAACACAAAACACAAAAGGCATACAGTATAGTGTCCTAGGAGGCTGGCCGCTGGCCACGGGGCGGGCCTAGTTGCTGCCTACTTGCGACCAAGGAGGCCGCGACCGGTGAACGGCGAGCTGCCCTTCAAGTTGACCAGGGGGCCTTGGCCGTTGGCGCGGGTCGTGGGCGAGGTGGGGGTCTCGGACGGGGCGAAGGAGAGAAGGGTGGTGTGAGGAGTGGCCTGAGTGGCATGGGAGTGGGAGGCTGGCGCGTGGCCGCTGGTGTGTGAGTGCGCGTGCGCGTGCGGGCGGGCCATGGAGGGTGCGCGGGAAGGTGCGCGCGACGAGCCGCTGGGCGGCGGCGGGCGGTGCGCAGCGGCCGCGGCGCGCTTGATGGTGTCGTTGGTGGCCGCCATGCTGAAGCTGCGGGACGCGTAGCACGCCGTCGCGAGCTTCCAGCCGGTCGTGTCCTCGGCGCACAGGTAGACAATGTGCTCGGACGCGTTTTCAAACGTCGCTGCGGCCTCGAGGCGCTTGAGCGCAATGACGTACTGGCGCGGGGCGGACGCGTACCCGCGAACGGGGACATAGGTGTCTGAGAACAAGGCGTTGATCTGCATCTCGTCCTTGCCCTTTTCGTTCTTGCTGAGGAAGATCTGGCCACCGCGCGCCTCGAGCCAGCGCTTGCTCCACTTGCCACGCTTGGTCTCGAGCTGCACCCAGCCGCCAACGAACGGCGCGGCGTCGGGGATGGACTGGGGAGGAGGTCAGCACGTGAGATCGATGGAGGCGGCTGTGGCTGGAGGCGGAGGCGTAGGCGTTGGCGGTCATGGCCGCCGCGACCCCGTAGCTTTAGATATAACACTCACCTTGGCCCAAGTAGCGCTCGCCATGTGGCTCTCGCGCACGACGAAGCAGTTGGCCTTTGCGCGCGGGTCCCATCCACGCATGACCTGCGCCATGTGCTCGTACTCGCGCAGCTGGCGCTCGAGGCCGAGCTCGGCATACTGCTCGAACACGACCCATCCGGTAGTGGGGCCGGTCACAATGTCCGCAATGTCGCGCTGCTCGCGGGCGCGCGCGAGCACGTCCCGGGCAGTGGTATCGTGGTGGACTTCAAAGGGGAGGAGCTTGCCCTCGCCTTCGGCGGACACGACAATGACGCGCACCGGCTGGCCGCGACGCGGGGCAGCGACGCTGGGGCTCGGGAGGGCCGGGACGTCGGGGACCGGCAGTGATGGCTGCTCGCGTTCGCGCTCGCGCGGGTTGGAGACGGCGCGGGGGCGACGGATGCTCCCAGTTCCAGCGCTCACACTGGTGGCGGGCGAGTGCGACGACATGGCGGAGACAAAGGTGTTGGTCGACGCTGCGGATGGCGCGCGAGAGGGGTGGTCCGAGTCGGGGCGCTCGCGAAGGTCACGAGAGTCGGACACGGCGCGTTGCTGCTGGTTGCGCGAGCTGGGACGGGATGACTGTTGCTGCTGCAGCTGCGAAGACGACGAGGTGTGGTTGCTGTGTGACGTTGAAGCGCCGGCAGTGGGAATGCGGCTCATGGGAGCCGAGGACGACAGGTCGTCAGGACGCGCGGGGCGGTTGGGACGTGGAGGACGCACGGCCTGTCCGGCCGCTGAGCGTGCACGGGACAGGTCAAGCGGGGCAGTGGTGGGGATGCGCTGTTGTTGTGACGAGGACGAGGACGAGGACGGCTGGTTGGACGACTTGGACGACACGGCCACGCGCTCGAGGCGACCGGCAAGCATGTCAGCCGGGACAGCACCCTCGCCGTTCCAGTCCCTGCGCTGGGCGGTGGAATGTGGGTCACGGATGGATGCCTGCCTGGAGGTGGGGGTACGCTGCTCGCGCGCAACAACGTCACGCTTGGTGCTGCGAAGGTCGCGCTCGCGCTCGGCCCTGCGCGCTTCCCTCCTGCGGACAGCTTCCGCGAGACGTTGCTGTTGAGCTGCGCCCGCAGCGGGGTGCAGGCGCGACAGCGGCATGTCATCCAGCTCCTCCTCGCCGTCGTCGCTCGATTCCGAGTCGACCTCGAGCCATGCACCGCCGTCGGTCGGCGCCAGTCGGCGGGGGCGTTCGCGGGACGAGTCGCGTGAGCTGCCTTGCGACCCCTCACGGCGTCGAGGCACGTCGCGCCAAGACGTGAAGTGTCCGCTGTTGGGGGCCTCGGGTGCGACTTGAGCGCGGCCAGACATGGTGCGCGTGGTGTGTGGCGAGTCAGAGGTGCTGTGGCTGGTCGCGTCGGTGGGCGCGACGGCGACGGCGACGCTGTGCTGCGATCCAAGGCTGCCGCGTGCGCGACCTGCCGAGGTGGTAGAGCCAAAGTCGAGGCCCTCGAGGACCGAGTTGAGGTCTGCGACGGAGACGGCGTCGGCGTAGTCGAGGCCCGAGTGGTATGTATAGTCGAGGGATGTGGCCGATGCGGAGACGGGGTCGTCAATGTTGAGGAATGCATTGACAACGGCCGACCAGCGAGTAGTGTCTGATGGATGGGTGGATGCGCTGCTGCGCGTCGGTGACGACAAGGGGTCAGGGTTTGCGATCACCAGCCGCCCAAAATCGTCTCCGGGCGGAACGGCCGATTCCACACTGCGGTTGGCCAAGGTCGCCACGTCTTCGTCGGTCGCTGCCGCGCTCTCCACAGGCCACATGCCCAGCTGCTGGTACAGGTCCTGGAACGACGGGCTGTCCACAGGTCCGACGGGGGTCTGCATGAGCGACGAGCTGCGTGTATGCTTTTGCTGCAGCATCGGCGACTCGAATTCGGCATACTGGGTCACGTGAGGCGGCGCGGACATTGGACCGGGCGTCACCAACTCTGCAGAGTGGCCGCATGTCGACGATGCAGGTGCCTCTGTCTCGATCGACAGCTCGGGCGCCTGGCGAATGTCGCGCGGTGGCGCAGACATGGGCATGCTGACTTCGGCGATGGGTGGCGAAGGGAGACCCGTGTGGAGGTGCTCTACGGTGTCGAGAGACAAGTCGCCGGCGAGAAACGACGTACGACGCGTCGTACCGACCGCCACCTCTGAAGCAGCGTGCCATGGCGGGAGGGCAACGGGTGGCTCGTCCTGTACGTATGCCGCCTGTTCCTCCTCCTTATCTCCGTCCTTGTCACTGCTGTCGTCACCACTGCTCGCCAGCTCAAATGTGTCGTAGAAGAGAGGATGCGGGGGCTCGAGCACGTCAGACGACGCAGACCCTGCGAGCACCATCTCGTCGATCGCGTAGGTGGTGGGTATAGCCAGGCCTGGAGACATTGCGCCGGGGCTCGTCGGCGTCTTGCGCCTGTCATTGTGTCCAAACAGCCCCACGAGCGAGTTTGGTCGGTTGGCCATGGCCATGCTCCGGCTCTTGCGGAGGCGAGGGATGATGCTGGCCTTGAGGTTGGTGAGGCTGGGGCTGCCACGAGGTCCATCCGGGAGGTACGTCTCCGGGATGGGTGGTGGGGAGAAGTCGGGCGGGAGGGGTGAGCGGCCACCACCACCACGGCTGGATGGCCGGCCCGGCATCTGCATGGCATAGTCGACGGCGCTGGCAAATGGGTCGTCCGCGTACGTCTCTTCGGCGAACGTGGAAGGACGTGGTGCCGATCGTGCAGTGAACGAGGGAAACCTGACGTCGAGCTGCTGACGAATGGGATCGTCGTGGGGGATGGCAGAGTTGGGACGCGATGGGTAATCGTAAGGGATACCAAGCGCTGACGATGTGGTCGTTGGCAGTGGAGCGGTGGGAAGTGGAGGACTGATTGGGTTTGGACTCGGAGAGCCGAGGTATGCCAAGGGACCGCTGAGCGGCACATGTTGGGTCGCCCCGCTCAATCCAACATGCTCCTTGGGCAGTGCGGGCACTGGTGGTGTGTCATTCTCGCTTCTCCTTGCAGAGTCACGGAGTGCCGACGCGCTCTTGGAGCGCCACAGGCGCTCGACACCGCGTTTCCACGCCGACTTTTCCTTCTTGTCGGCTGCTGCTGCAGTCCGCATGGATGGAAGCGCAGTCGTCGCTGTCGCAGTCGGCACTGCTGGCAAACCCTTGCCCATAAACCCTGCTGCGAGTGGCGAGGGGTATCCGGCTGGTGTTGCTCCGTTCGGAACTGGCGCCAATGGGGCGCGCAGATCGGCCTGTTCATGAGGTGGTTAGCATCTGCTTTCGTCAACTGGAAGAGGCTGGCTTACTGGGCTGGGCAAGTCACTCTTCTGGTCCTTGTTTCCCGCCTTGGACCTGAGTCGCGTACGGCTCTTCATAGGCTTAAGCTCTGGCGCCGGTGCCGCTGCCGGGGAACCGGGGAATGGCATGGGAGTAGGTCCGCGGGATGCTGGACCTGGGGACATTGCACGCAAGCCGGCCCCTGGGTTTGGCGACGGAGCAGGACGCGATGGAGTAAAGGTTGGACTTGGTGGGCCAAGGGCTTCAATGGGGAACGATGGAACTGGTGCTGGTGACCAGGTGGTTGAGGAGGAAATGTCCGGAGAGACAAAAGGCGACGGTGCTGCCGACCCGGCCTCGGAGGGCACGCTGGGTGGGAGTGGTAGTGTCGCTGTCGAGCTCAGTGCAGGAGCGGTCGGAGCTGGTGGGGAAGGAGTGAATGCCGTGTCTGAGACCTGGCTTGAGCTACGCGTATGTGTTGCGTGAGCCGGGCGAAGAATGGCTGGAATACCGACAGGTGACGCGCCGATCGAGGTGGCTGCGCCAAGCGCGCCAACACTTGCGGTCGGTGGAGCAGCACCACCAGATGCAGGTCCTCCGGCCTTGCGACCCCACGGCCACGGTGTTGCCTGTTCTGACGCGTTGGTGAGAGTGTTGGAACGTGACCTGCCGGTGACGCTCTTTGATGCCCTCAGAGACCTGCGGTCTCCGGACGCCGACGAGGTGGACGACAGCCTTTGGCGCCATGTCCGTCCCTCCTTTGGGCCGTTTGTGGCTGCATTTGTGATGCCTGCGCCCAATGCAACGCCCAGGCCAGCAGCTGCGGCAGCGCCGAGACTCCCACTTTCGCGTCCCGAGACTGAGCTGCCGGCGCCTTCTGCATCCCCGTCGCTGTCGTCGTCCCAAATTCCGTTCTGAGCGTACATGCCCGTGGTGGGGAGGCCAAAGTCGTCTACGGACGCGAACAGTTCTTCGGGCGAGTCGATGGAGGACGTTACTGATGTGACCTCTGTGATGGTGCCGAGAGGGGGGCCATGAATGGAAGCGTGCTTTGCGTGACCGTGTGTTGAGAAGGGCTGCTGCTGTGGCAGCGGGGGCGCGACGGCGGACATGGTGTGGGGGAGGGGGAGGGGGAGGGGGAGGGGGAGGGGGGAGGGGGGATAAGAGAGTGCGCCGGCGGTGGTGTGCTGTGTGCTGTGTGTGTGTGTGGGTGTGCACTGCCGGCCGCTGAGGTGGAGGTGGTGGTGAGTGAGTTGTTGTTGTTGTTGTGCAAGAGGAATGAGATGATGATGATGATGGTGTCTCCATTCGCCGCGGATATGGGGGTGATGGGTGACTGCCTGCACCAACACACAGAGGACGCGCCGCCCACCAGCAGCACCAGCAGCAAAACCGACACAAACATACAAAAACCCCGTAACTGACCAGCACCCCCCACGCGACAGGACCCTGAGAGGACACGGGGGGCGACCCTCGGGAGTTGTGCCGTCTGCCCTCGTCCGTCGAGACGCGCCTGTCTTTCCTCCCCCCTGCGTCCTTCCCCGTGGCGCGTCGCTTACAGTCTGCTGGCTGACAACCACGCTACTGGGCCAGTGTTACTGCTGCATACTCCTGCCCGCCTCCCCATACCCCACACCCCTCGTCTTGCTGTTACCCACCTGCCAAGTGTTGCAAGTGTGTGTTACCATAACCCAGACATGTTACCCAGGAGGGCCCATAGAGCCATAGGGGGAGGAAAAGCAGACGGGGGTCACGCCTCTGTTCGCTCACCCCTGCAATGCCCGGGGTACTGGGGTCATTTAGGGAGGGTTGCATTCCTGGTTTACAATTTATCCTAATTGCCGCAAAGTCCTCGCCCCCGTCTGCGGACGTGCACCCGGATCCACCGATCCACCGAGGGGGCCTGTGGAGATCTGGAGAGGCGTGCGTGCGTGCACCAAAAAAAAACGGGATGATGATGACGCGAGAGCGCGAGAGCCACAGGGTGAGCACTGGTGCACTGGCGCACTGGTCGTGTGCGGCCAAATGATCAAATGACCCGCCCAACGATCCAACGACATGCTCTTTTGGAACATCCATGAGTGTGGGCTTGGAACATCCAATGAGTGGCGGCACGCGTCGCAACATGCGGATACGGGGTGGGCGGAGCAAACAAAACAAACACGCGCACACAGAACACGAGCATGCACAAACAAACCCAGATCCGTTTTTGCCCACTACTGGCTCCACTCAAGTACGACCTACGATCCTGCTCTTCCCACCGCCTGTCCCAGGAATGGTGTACAGGCAGAGAGAGGTTCGCAGCGACACACGAGCCCCGCGCGAACGGAACATCGGCGGACAACGCCACTCGCTAGTGCGAGAGCATAACGCTTCATTTTTGCTCTTTCAATGACCAGTGATCCAGTGACGTGAAAAAAGGCTAGTGTTGTGGGGCCAATTGAGGGAAGGATGGGGGTAGAGGGCATAGAGAGGGAGGCAGTGCCAGTCAATTTGCTCAGAGCCCCACCCTCAGGAGCTGACCACTTGGCCACTGGCCACTGGGCCACTGGGCCGCTTGATCTCGTTGATGAGCTTTTGCACAGGAATCCCAGATTGCAGACAAAAAGACACACGATCACCAAATCCTAAAGGCACCCACCCACCCAACCAGATGAAAACTCCACAGCACCACAGCACCGGTGTACCTCTGGTGTTTGGTTCCTGTCCCCACCGGCCCAGCACCTGCCATCTGACATGACATGCATGCGTTCACACGACAAAGAGCAAGTCGACATGGGGCTCCCGGCCAGATGGCGGGCCGCGCGATGCATACGTACATACCTCGTTGTCGCCTCGAGTCCCGGCGGGCTGGTGTCATCCGTGTGTTGGTTGCAGTGGGTCAGTCATGCAGCCACCGTTGCAGCCTCCGGCTCAGACAACAACAGTGTTGGCGGTGTCGTCTTTGTCGTCATCTTCAAACGGCTCTCAAGTGTCCCTTGCTTTACTACAGCTATACGCGCAAACACGATGCTTACCATTGTCGGGGGTTTACTGCTTTGCATGCCGCTGCTGTCAGTCTGCTTCATAAAGTCGACGACTGCCGCCAGGGAAGGGAGAGAGAATACCACAGCCTCGCGGCGAGGGGCGCAGAGAAGGGCGGGGCCGGTGGGTCCGTGAAGGGGATGTCATGAGCGTACAGGAGAGTCTGACGCTTCGAGCGAGGAGGGTGACCAGTGCAAGCCAAGTGCGGTCCGGTGAGAATCGGATTCCCGCAAGGCGTGATCAGGATGTATCGGTTGCATTTGTAAGACGAAAAGTGCCATGGTGGTTTCGTAGCTCTGTCCACTGGCCACTGGTCACTGGCGCCACGCCCGCAGCACTCGTTCTCGGAGCTCCCGAAGGTACCCCGTGAGTGTCCTGCGCACATGTCCCGCACGTTTACAGAAACACGGCCGACACGGAGGCGCGACAGCACCTGTCTTGCTGCCTTGGCGCACGTTTCATTTGCGAGCCAAGCTCAAGCCAAGCTAACACTAATGGACGTGGTTGTTGAGCAAATCCCACTCTCCGCAACAGCAGGCTCTTTTACAGATGTCAGGCCCCATGCTCCGACGGCATGCATTACCAACTAGCCGCCGGTCAACTAGCGACCACGACCGTGCCGCGCTCGGAGCTCGGACAGTCGAGGCCGTTCGCCCAGCTCTCCAGCTCTCCAGCTTTCCTGTACACGTGGCACTCTCGGGTACTCGGAGTCTTGGCCCTGCCATATCCCCCACGACCAAGGAAGGGTTTTCTCTTGATCTCTTGGATCAAGCTCTGCCGATGGTTCTCAACGGCTTCATCGGGACCTGTGGTTGGTCCAAGGTTCCATGTACACCCGAGAGAGTGACCCAGACTTGCGGCCGACGACACACTATTGGGTTAACAGTCTCTTAATCTGATACGGCAACATCTCGCCACCCCCCTATCAGATACGTGTTGGTGGCACTTGGCTCACTACTTGGCGGCTCTTGGCTTGCGAACAATTGCCCGCAACGATGCTTTTTTGCCATGTTTGCCATGTTTGCCATGTTGCCATGTCCTTGGGGGGGCAATACCGGCCGCTCGCGGCGGCGGCGGTGGCGGCTCTACCTCCATGTGCTCTTTCACGGCCTTATAAAAGCAGCAGCGGCTGCGCATGAGGCATGGCACATTGCATTCCGCAACGCACCACCCCCGAGTCTCTGCTGCTGCGGATCATGAGCGCTCCCACCGAAAAGCAGGCCCAGGTCTACCTGGACGACGAAAATAAGCACCAGGAAAAGACCGCGGGCGACAATGTCGCCAAGCTCCACCTCAACGAGGAAGATGGCAGTCTCGGCGAGACGGGCGATGAAGACGCGCCCCCCGCGGTCGTCATTCCTTGGAAGTACCGTCTCGCCGCCATTGTTCTCATCATCCTCTTCGGTACCGGAAACACATACGCTGGGTTCGTCTTGGGTCCTCTCAAGACCCGTCTGGTCCGTGAATTGAAGATTTCAAGTAAGTTGTGGCTGGACTGTCACAGCGTCTGGAAAGGACCGTGGAGCTGACAGAGAAAGACGCCCAGTACAGTGTCATCTCGTCAGCCTCGTCTCTCATCAACACGCTGCTGCCGATCATTGGAGGCTCCATCATTGACCGCTACGGTGGCAGCCGGTACGGTCTTGTCTTTGTATTGTTCCACGCTAACGGAGACACAGCATCGCACTCGGCTCCGCTGTGCTGTGTGTCGCTGGTACTGTCCTCAGCGCTTGTGTAGGTACACAGACATGTACCACAATCTAACGGTACCAGTCCTCAATTGGCAACAAGTACACGCTCCTTGTTGGTGGCGAGATTATTCTCGGCTTTGGATCTGCTGGTGAGAGGGGGTTATGACACTCTTTCTTCCGCCGGCCAATCTAACACTCCATTCCCAGTCCAGGACATTTGCCAGTACAAGCTGTATCCGCATTGGTTTGCGGGCTCGCACATGGGCCTCATCTTTGGTGTCAATGTCGCGTGGAGTCGCATCATTCAGCTGGTGGCGCGCACCACGGCAGTGCCCATGGCCAACATTGGCCCAGGGAGGTACTGGGGGTGGGCGCTGTGGATCCCGTGCATCGCCACGGGCGCGTCGTCCATCTGCGTCTATGCGTACTACTTTTTCGAGAGCAAGATCCTTCCCGCCGCCTACCGCCCTCCCAAGCCCGCAGTGCGCAATGACAAGACACTCCTCCAGGACTGGGCCGACACCGTCAAGGGTATTGTCCTCTTGTGAGTACATACCTGCTACATTTACCTGCCTGGGGTCTGACAGCAGGCCAAAATTCTACTGGATCATGAACGTCACACAGATGCTTCAAGGTGGTGCGACGCGTGTGTGGCTCCGCAACGTTGCCGACATCCAGGTCAAGTCGCGCGGCACGTCCGAGGAGGCAGCGGGCTACAACGCCGCCCTGCAGACTGTAATCCCCATCATCCTCACCCCTGCCACCGGCCTCTTCTTTGACCGCATCGGCTGGCGCATGCTGTTTGGTGAGCACTGCATACATATATTGCAATCGGCCAAACTGACCCACAAGTGACCACAACCTCGCTCATCTGGCTTCTTGTCTGGGGTCTTGCAGGCTTTACAAAGGTCAACTTCCTCGCCCCTGTTCTCATCTCGTCGTTTGCCTACGTCACGAACCTCATCCCGTTCATGGCGACCGTTCCCATTCTGCTCCCCAACAACGAGCTGGTCGGCACGGCGTTTGGCGTGTGGCAGTCTTTCGTGGGTGGTCATTGTTAATATGTTTTTGCTGATGGCAGCAAAACGCGGGTACTCTGATCATGGACGTGGCCAGCGGTGCCATCCAGGACAATACCCCGGGGGCCCAGTACGACAAGGTGTTTATTGTCATCATGGTCTTCAAGGCATACGACGCGTTCCTGGGGCCGTTCTACGACTGGCTCGATGGCCGTTGGCTCGGCCACCAGCTCCGCATGCCCGAACGCAAGCGTCGCGACAAGCTCGTGCAACAGACCATCGCGGGACAGACGTACGAGGGCCACAAACGCGATCGCACCTGGACGACCATTGGATGCTCGGTCCTCTCGGCGATGGTAGTCACTGGATGGGCTGTGAGTCGCATTTCGTTTGTCGGAACCATGCTGATGCGGTAGCTCTACATTATTTACTCCATGCCCCGCTAGTACCTTGAAGACAAGGGCCAGACATGCAATGTGTCAGAAACGAAGCAAAGGAAGCAATTGCCTTCTGTTTTTTTTTTTTTTCTTTTTTTTTTCTTTCCCAAACACGAGACTCTGTACAAGAAGAACTCACTGTGTCGGGGACTTCTGAGCCTCATCCCGCGTTTGTGACATGGACGGTGCCGGTCGCGTCCTGGGCCGCGTCTGCATCTGCGATGGAGGCACACAATGTACGTGGTCCTCGTCCTGGGCGGCCACAGTAGCGTGGGTGGCAAGTGCACGGCCGGCCATGCGGTGGAGGCATGGTCTGTCCGGCTTGATGGCCCCAAAGTCACCTGCACACGTATAACGTACGGTACGCGGGACAAGACTGTCTCGCGCAGAGCTTGGTCTTGGCCTATTCGCTTGCACATGAGCTGCAACCGATCTGCACATTTGTTTTTATCACCGCTTACATAAAGGGTGAGTGAAGTCCGATCCTGGACCCGGGATTCGAACTCTGGCTTCGCACGGCTTACAAGGTTGCTGGGCCCGAGAGAGCAGTAATTGCGCAGTAAACTGGCTCATGACAGTACCAGTGAACCAACCAGGTTAACCTATCGGTGTTAACATTAGGATAGCGACTATTTGAACCGTTTCTATTGACTCGTGTGTCTATTAGACTAGTCCTGTCCATATGCGTGGTATGCAGACTTGTTCTCGTTACTCTATCCTCTATCGACCTTTCCAACCTACTACGCATCCGCTTGCAGCGTTTGGAGAGTACTACGAGTCTCCTCTTTACAATCTGCACATTATTCATGTCTGGAGGACACCACATACGTCACCAAAAGTTGCCCCCCCCCCCCCACCCCGTGTTTGCTTCTTCCCGTCCCGCCCCCTTCCAGCGTAAAGATCACAACATCTGCACACCTGCACAGCGACGCCCAAGGCGCCGACGCCAAGACGCATCCAGTCAGTTACAACCGGGGCGGCCTAATTCATTCCACAGTTTGGGTCTTGATTTCCACACGATCGCGCCGTTGTTGGGTTTGTTCCGATGACGAGGTCACACACCGTTCTTGATCGCCGCCTCGAGCTTGCGCATGAATCCGGGGTAGCGGTTCTGGCACGACTGGGGTGTTAGTGGCTCACTTGATCACTTGGCGAAGGTCCGCGATGAGAGCAGGAGACACAGGGGTGGTGCAGGTGTGTTTGTCCATCGCTAGCCGATGGACGCACCCGACAAGACGCCGAAGACAAGAATGGCTGTCATCAGCGGGCGTGGCGTCCTCGAGGCGCACCACTCAATGCGTGCCGCCGGCACATGCGCAACACAAAACGCCACGGCGTCGCGACATGCTTCGACTGCTCAGGCGCACAGGTAATTGAGAGGCTGGCGCCATGCAGTGATGCGGCAGCACGAGACCGACCGCCGCTGACCACATCCCGGTGCCAGACTCTGGCACTCTGGCGAGCTCTTCAAGAGACCACAAGACCCACTCCCGAGCCAGAACCACAAACCACACAGACAGCTGTCGAGGGACAGCACACACCACCAGATGAACAGGCAGGAACGGGAGCCAACCACCACCCCAAACTCACCTTTTCGTCCCGCCCACCGCCGACCTCACTGGAAGCACGTCCCCAGCCGCCCGGAGTGCGCGGGTGGAGCGCCTTGAAGAGCCTCCAGTCCTCGTCGCCGGTCCACGCGTGTCCCGTACCTCCACCTCCGCCTCCGCCGCTGCTGCGGGGACGCTTGGGAGAAGCGTTTGTGGTCCTGGATTTGGTCTTGGGCTTGGAGTTGGACTTGGGCTTGGGCTTGCCCGTGCCCCGCTTACGCTTCTTGCCCGCGCCATAGTCGTCGTCGTCGATATCGTCCTCGCCTGCAAAGTCGCCGTCGGCCGAGTCGTCGGGGTCCGGGTACGCCATGGGGTGGAGCGTATAGTCGTCCTCCTCCGAGCCCGAGCCGGAGGCGGTGGGCGCGAACTCGGAGCCGTGGTCCTGGTCCTGGTCGTCCAGGACGGGCTTGGTGTCGGTACCCACGAGCTCGGCGGCGCTGGGCTTGCGGTCAGACTTGGACTCGGACGAGGAGGGCTTGAGGCCGCGGTTCTTGGGAGTCTTGGAGGGCATGCTTTGGTTTTGGTGTTGGTTGGGGTGGTGGAGCGTGAGGTGGTTGTGGGAGAAGCCAGTTGTGAGAATCCGAAATCGGCAGGTGTTATCGCTTGTCATGGGAACGCAAGTGGACACTGTGCGCCCGCCTGGACACATGATGGATGATGTGAGAGTCGGGGCGCGAGGACAGATGGGACATTGCGCAAGTGATGTGAGCACTCATTTGGCATCACGCGATCGACAATGTGCGGACTGCCGTCGCTCCCTGGGAGAGCAGCTGCAACAGCAACGGCTGATCCCAGCGCCGCAAGCATTCCATCCAGGTACCCTTGATGGCTACAACACACACGGGTTCGTCCAACTCGGGCGAGTGACAGTTATATGTGCGAAGCAGCAGTCAAGTATCTTGGCCCCTCGCAGTACAGTACACGGAATCCTGATCTGATGTCTGAGGCATACGGAAAGAAACCGAAAGGGCGATGCTCATGAAAAGGTCCCTTTTTACCGCTATTTTCTGTTCATTTATGTTTTGGTGGTCTCCGCTGCACGAGGTCCATCCAGAAAGTGCTAAAGCGACATGCGCACCTTATCGTACATGGATCCAAAGGCGGCCATGCCCAGACGAACGGGGAGCCATAACATGGGGGCATGTGGCAGCGAGGATTCTAGTCAACGGACGGGGTACCCACTGCCACCCACAGTTGGCACTCCACTGAATTTCAATTACATTGCACGCCTGTACTGTCCGCACAGCTACTCTACCACATGCTACGGGGCTAGATGTTTTGACTTGTCTTGTCCGCCTCAAGCCTCAATCTGGGCGACGGTGGCCTCACGCTCCTCGACTGACTCGTCATCACGGCGGCCGGGGATGAGCCAGGGAATACAGCGCGGGAGGGGGCCCTTCTTGCCGTTCAGGCCCCACTTGACAAACGCCAGGACGTTGAGGTCGGCAGCCTGCGCGAGGTGGCCAGTAATGTCGACGGCCAGGTTCTTGATGCACTGGTCCTGGATGACAATGTTGGTCACGCCGGGCTCGTTGAGGGTACCGCTGGTGTACGGGAGCACAAACTCGTCGAGCTTGGACACGATGGTGGTGTATCCCGGGCCGGGGACCGAGACGCCCCCAGCATTGAGGTCGGTGATGAACTGCGACGGGTTGAGGAACTCGTCGCACGACGCGCAGATGGCGCGGACGGCGGGGCTGACACCGGGGATGGTGTGGACCAGCTTGTCGATGCCGTACAGCGTCGTGCCCTTGTAGTTTGCGCCAAAGCCGACAAACTGGTTGACGGTCTCGTTTCCACCCAGGAACTTCATGTAGTATCTAGAACAGGCGTTAAGAGAGGTCGGAGGGACACCACACGATATCACTCACGTGCTGACGGTCGTACCCATAGAGTGGCCGACGAGGTTGACCTTTGCCGCGCCAGTAGCGGCGCGCACTTTGTCGACATAGGCGGAAATTTCCGCGGCAGAGTCGCGCATTGAGCCAAAACCGAACCAAATCCGTCCGGCCGAGCCGTACTGAGGCGTGTAGACGCAGTAGCCATCAAGTGCAAGAGCAGGTGCGTGCAAGAACCAGTTGACACCAGCGGGGGCTCCAAGACCGTGCAGCATGATGACAGGGTACTTGCCCGGCCGGGGCTTGCAGTTGAAGTCGTTGATGCCCGTGGAGCCACGAGCGGCGATCTCGTTGTCCACAGGCGCCGCCTGCACGGCGAGAATGGCGGAGAGGAGCGCCACGGCCTTGGTAACGCTGAACAGCATACTTGCTAGTGACGTAGGGGCGGAAGAAGTCGTTGAGAAGAGGTTGTCAGATGGGGGAAGCTGGACCGTGGTCTCTCCGGATCGCCGGCAAGTATTTAACCTTTTCCGACAGGTGCCTAACATGGCATCGACTGCATGTTCGGCCTCTCCATGATCTGCCAAGTCCCGAGACCGAGGCCGAGGAGCACCATCCGCGTTCCCTGGCGCCGTCTCCCTGGACCATGTTGGCATAAGCGTTGGGCTGAATAGTGCGCTATCAAAGGCACCTGCCTTGCCTGGCTGCTATTGGAAGGCGGGCCTTGCACTTGCCCATGCGTGGATCACTTCAAGCTTCAACCCATGTCCATCTGACGTTTCCATGTGGCCTCCCATGGAACAAGAATGACTTGTGTAGGCTGGGTTCCTCAGCTTGTGTCCAGCGGTGGGCCGCGGAAGTGAAGGTATTCGGCATGTACATTGCGGGGATGCCCATGCGTGCCGACGCGGCACCGCACGTACCGCACACCTTAGCCCGTGTTGTTTCATCCGCCTCGCGACTAACCAACGTACCAGCGTGCGGATGTTCTTTCCTGAGCATAAGCGCACGCTAACGTGTTCACACGCGACACATAGCCACGTATGACCATGTCCCAAGTTCCGTGTACATCTGTTGCCGCTGGATTCTGAACAGTACCCGAGTGGCCGGCCCACAACTCTGCCAGTTGAGGAAGGCACGCACGTTATGAAGGAACGAGGGACACTCAAACGGGACAGTCATGCCGCGACACGGCCGGACGAGTGTCTGTAAACTTTGAGCGCCGATGACGACCTAGTGTTGATCCCCGGCGATCAAAAGATGGGAGCGTCGGGCCTGGGGATGCCCAACATATGGGTGCCGTAAGGGACTGTCTGCTCGTAGTCGCTAGTGGAAGACGTTCGTGGTCAAGGATCGTTCCTCGGCATCCGGCCAACGATGGCGGAGGATCCCGCCTGCCGCCTGGTAGATCGTCGTGGTTTATTCCGCTTATCGTGAAAGGATATCTGTAGTAAGGGATCTAGACGAATGCCAGTTTAGCATCGTGCTTTTCCTTCTGTGGATCTGTGGGGTCAGGCACCACTGCGTTGACTTGCTGTTCGGGCCAGAAAGGAAACAAGAAAACAGTCCAGTCGCGTTTCCATCCTCGCTAAGCCTGCAGGCTCCCAAGTTTAATACGGCACTAAGGCTAGTCACGGGGCCAACGACTCTGGCAGCACCTCCCATGGGTACAGCATGGGCTGGAACAACGCACACGATTTAGTCTTGACTTTGTCATTAATTCCACCAAGGTCAGATTGTTGGGGCGCTTACGGGAACGCCGGACACATTCCTCAAGCTTGCTATCCGCGGTGCATCTCGGCGACTTTCATGCCGGGCCAGTTCATGGTGTTTTGATGTTGCTTTCCAGAGCTGGACAGCTGATCTTTCACCTAGCATGACAAGCGGAGTACCTAGTTCTGGAAGCGACTGTGGAACAAATCCTTCGATTTATTATCACGCCTGTGGCAGGTGTGGCCTGTAGCAAAGGATTCCTGGGTTAGACCGTCTTGAAGCGCGCTTCTTCGATCCACCGCACAGTACGGCACATCGATCGTCGCTTCAGCATTAGACCGGGGCCACTGGATCGGACCCAATCTCGGCGTCGTCAGTCCGCGTTAGCGGATGGAGCTTTTATTCTCTCCATCCAACATGGGCATGACGACATTGGTTGCTGCCAAATGGTAACCATACCGGTACGGGTGGACCGGGTCTCTCCTTCGTTCCAAGGAGCTTGACTCTGCTGGGGGTCGTCTAGGACGACGTCTTACACTCCTCACCCTCCCATGTTCCATGACCACCAACGCTTGCACCAGGTGGGCTGTTGGGGTTGAAGCTGTGGGCGGGGGACTCGGCCAACGAGCTGTAGCGGTTCCTTACACCACGTTGAAACCAGGAGGTGGTAGTCATTGGTCTTTGCGAAGAGCTGGTGAGCAAAGGTGAGCATCCAGACTGGCGTTCTCGAAGCTGCTTGCTGTGCACGCCAGGTGCGAGGCAGCGATACGCTGTCATCAGCTGGCAATCCCCTGACCCCTGGGGCTTGCTGGTCTGCTTCAGACATCAGACAATCCACATTATACATCACAAAGAGAGTCAACAGCCGGGGTATCTTGGTGTAGTCGTTAAGGTCTAGAGTGGCCGAAGCTCACAGCTATCCGCAATCTGGAGTCGAGACTGGGACAAGGTCGACGCCGAGGAATGGCGACGGGAGGGCGTGCGCGTCACGCGTCTGGGTTACTCCATCATGGCCGACTGTTGAATCTGCATGCGGGCAAGCGCGTGCGAGAGGGCCATGGGGTCCACCATGTCAGGCGGGGCCTACACTGTTAGCATCTCATGTGCTAGCTTCCACTCATGTCTACGACCGCTAGCTTCCACTCGTAACTTACTTCATCGTTCGCCTCCGCGTCGAGCATGCGCTGGCGGATGGCACACCAGCCCTCCCATGTCAGATCGCTGATACTTGCGCGGCCTGAACAACGCTCGACTGCGCCGTAGCGCCAAATCTCGTATTCCTCGTTCTCAAAGTCCTGCATACCCAGTGTCAGCGCGCCTCATGCATTTACCACGTTGACCGGGGCTTGGGGCATGGGGCAGGATAAGGACGGAGAGCACCGGCCGGCGGCTTGTCTTTATCTCCCGACTCGAGAGCATTTCAGGCATCATATCAGGCACCCCTGCGTGTGTTTCGGGCTTGGGCCGACGACACCTGCGACACGTCCCGAAGTCCCAGACAATGGTATAGGCATTGACAAAACGGGTGGCGAGAACGCGAGAGAGATACGCACGACGAAGTAGGCCCAACGCTGGGTACCGTTCCACAGGCGCCATGGGTGGTTGGGCATTGCTTGGACTGAGCCATCAAGGATTCCTTTCAACGTGTCCACCGGTCGGCGGAGGAAGAACGTGCCCTCGTCGTGTTCCCTTTCGGTGTCAGTAGTGTCCGATGAAAGCGCTTGAACGCAAGCACAGATTGGTTGCTGTGGTGCTTCTTGAGGCCCACTGCACTCACCAGTGAACGCTTCTCAGACGTTTTGCCATTGTCTCGAGGTCATCGCCTGTCATGCCAGTGACGAACATCCACATGGTGAGCCCCGCGTCTGGCCACCACTCGGGGGCAATGTACGAGCCGTAGCGCACGCCGTTGATGATAAAGCCGATGACAGACATGTGGTCTGGGGGTTGGAGTGATGCTGAGGTGGCCATTGTGCGCGACCCGATGTACCCGCTGAGCGATAGATGATAGAGATAGAGACAGAATTGGACTCGCACGGTCCTTCCCAGCTTCACACACACACACACACGTTGGGGCGGGCGGTCCCCAACCTCGTCCCGCCGGCGCCACCTCCCTGGCGCGGGGGTCCATGGGGAACCCGCTCGCCATCACCACCCGCGTACCCGCTCACGAGTAACACCTCACAGCAATCTCTGTAGCTAGGCTGATGGCGATCCTCGCAACCATGGGGACAATATCATTGTGGGATAGCATAGATGACAATAGGGTCCAACTTTTCTTTACTCTAACGACGCTTCTGGTCCAGCAGACGCCAGAACTCAGTGACGACCTGACGGTCGGTGTGGCGCTTGGAGCGGTCGATCTGGCAGCGTTAGCACATGTAACAGGCCAACGAAAAGCTTACCCTCAGCTCTGTAACGTTCCAGTCCCGAATGGCCGGGTTTGACGGCTCGTTGTGCCACTGGAAGTAGAGGCCCTTAACTGGCGACGGTCAGCTGATATCACCTTGTGACTGAGGCAGCTCACCATGGCGGAACAGCTGCTTGGGCTCCGTCCACTTGTACGGCTTGAACTGCCACGCTTGGCCAGTGGTCACTACACCAACAACACGGTCCCTGTACGGGTTAGTTCGTCACGGTCGTTTTAAACTAACCAAGGGTCTTGACCAAACTTTTGCAACGCTTCGACGCTGTCGACGACGTAGTACTTGGTCGTCACCTCGCCTGCGTTGTTAGGTCTAACTCAGTTCTCTTACACCTACCGCTGGGACCACTCCTTGATCTCAACACGGGAATCATGTCCTCTGCACGCGTGTTGCCCTGCTGGGCCTCGTTCTGGCGCGCAACATCAGATGGCTCGAAGCTGGCGTGTCAGTTCAACTCTCTCACTGCAACTCACATTCCCTGCTCGAGGAACTTCTTAACGTTCCACATGGTGAGAAGAGACGTAGGGGAAGAAGAAATGATAATGATAGGGTGGCTTGACTTGGCCTTGCGGGCACCACGGGATGGGTCGGTCGGCGTCGCCTGCTGTTGGGGCTGAGCGCGGCCAGAGGACTCAAACGACTTTCGCAAGGCGCGGATCTTCTCGCTCATGACAGTCTGAACAAACGATTGGAAGTTCTGCGAGGTGAGCTGAATAGCGGTTGCCTAACACCTACGTTCACCTTGCCACCTCCGGAAACACGAAGGACGGTGTTGCGATCCCTAAGCTCCACCTCCTCTGCCCGCAGCTGCAGGAAAGGTCAGTAGTAGAACAATGGTCGGCAGTCGACAACAGTACCTACCCTCTTGCAGAACTCGCGGTCGGCAACGTCCACCTCGTACTTGCGCTTCGGCACCGGCGCCGTACGCGACGGTCCTGCCTCAGTTGACGCCTCAGCTGCTGCGGGGAGCGAGTCCGCCGAGGGCGCAGCGGCGGTGGGGACAGGCTTGGCCTCCTCTCCCTGTCCAAGCACGCGAGGACCACTGTCCGAGGCACCCTGGAGGAAGTCTACGACACCACGCCTGTCCGTGATCGAGACGTAACCAACACCAGCGGCCTGGCCCTTCACGAGGTAGTCACGGACACCAGTGTCGCGCTCTGTCCAGGCAAGCCACAGGTGGCCAACCGAGTAGAAGTCGTCGCGCGCATCCGTGCGAGAGTATCGAGTAGCCGCGTCCTTGGGAACGGTGACGGCCTCCTGCGGGGCGGGCTGGGGGAAGGACAGAACAGACGCGGACGCGAGCGAGTCGGCTGGCTCGCCCGCATCTGTCTGCAGGGTCGCAGGGAGATTTTGGGAGATGGATTGACGGAGGAGGTCGAGCGGGTCCATGGTGGCCATCTTGTAGATGCAATCGGGCTAGATGTCCAGGAAATGGGAGAGGATGTTGTTGGATGCAGGCAACACCAATGTTCTTTCAATGTCCGAGTGACGGCGCGGGAGGTTGATCGTTCAACACCAAAACATATTACGTAATAATTTTTGACCCAGACAGTCCAGTCACCTGGTGGAGGTTGACCACCCCTCGTTTCGGTGCGATCTGCTCCACATCACTTCTGTTTGTTTAGCCATTCTCTCCTCCTCGTTACCTGTACAGCTCTGACCGCCCTGTAACGTCTCGGCCGGCCGAGACGCGTCACGGTCGCTACCGACTACCTGTGAATAGTATACTACTCGCGCCCTCAACCGTGTCCCTTGTGTTCTCCTACTCCACACCAGGACCGTAATCCCCCCTCTCGACCTTCTTTCATCTCTCACCTGCCGGGCAGGACACAATGGACATTACTTTTGAGAGGTATTTCTCCACCCCCTTTTAATGCCTGACTCAAAAGCTTCTCCGAGTTGGTTTACAAACTCGGTCACCCTCCCAAGTCCAAGACCAAGTTTCGACCAGACGGAACCGGCGTACCCTACCCTCCCGAGAAGGTCTTCCTCTCTTGGATCAACCACCTTCCCCGTCCCCTTCCACCTCATACAGGGAAGCATCTCTTCCGTCTCCTGTTTCCTCACGATGGCTCAAGGCGTCGTTATGGTCTCAAGGAGACGCGCTTCGCTGCTGAGCTGGAAAATGCGCTCGGCCTTCACGGCCTGGGCAACTGGGACAGCGTTTCATGGAAAGGCGGGAATGGGGGAACGGGATGCCTAGGAAACGTGGTAGAGAGTGCCATGAAGAAAAGGGTGAGCTTGATCTTCCATGTGCTATGCTGAGCTCCCAGCTTCCTCAAGGAACCAAGTCGACCCTCACCTTGGGCGAGCTCGACCGCTTCCTGGACGAACTGGCTGCTCCATCGACCTTCTCCCAGCTCTCCCTCGAACCCATGCGCCCGTCGGCCCCACCGACAATCCTCCAACGCCTGTTTCGGGATTCGTCTCTGTCTCCACTGGCCCTGTCTGTCCTCGTCCAGATAATCCTTCGGGATCTCCGACCACTGCTTTACCCACTTCCCCCAATGCCCGTTCGTCACCCTACAGCTTTACTGAGGTGCAAGTCGACAGCTGCCCCCCAGCAGCTCAGCCTCCATGTAGCAATGTGGTGCTGGGATCCTGCCATGGCGCGTCTCTATCGTGACGGCAAGGGTAACGTCGACTGGTGCGCCGACATGGCCGAGTCCATCACCAAGTCACCTCACAGCCTCATACCCATGTCGTCTGGCCCTGTTGTTGGCATCAATGTTCAGGTGAGTCGGTGTCGTCTGCTGTTTTGCTAACCTCAGATTCCCAAATGTCAGAAGGGGAGGTCCGTCTCAGATGCGTTAAAGCCGTTCTTTGCCCAGCCAGGACCCGCTTCTTCCTCGGTCTTCGCCGAGGTCAAATATGATGGCTACCGGTGAGCATGCTCGCGTCTGCTTTGTGCTTACAACTCCAGAGCGCAGATACACGTCAATGTGGAGACCAACGGTCCAGTGATTACTGTGTTTAGCAAGTCTAAACGCAGAAGCACTGTTGAGAGAGGCAACGCGCACCCGTAGGTGGTTTTTGCATTTCTCTGGCTAACCCCCTAAGCCTCATTCTCGCCGCTCTTGGACTTCCATTTCGGCCCTCTCGCGCGCACAATTGCTTAATTGAGCGAGCGAGATCCGCATCTCCACCTTTACAAACGATGTCATCCAGCATCATTCTCGAGGCCGAGGTCATTCCCTTCAACGAAGGCGATCGCGAAGGTGGCCGCGGATCGGGCATCGAGGAGTTTTGGTGGCTAGACGCGGCTGGCGTAACATTGGATCCTGGACGGTAGGGTCACGTAGCGTTGGTGCAGTGGCTAACTCACCCAGACCCACCCCTCGGTCCCAGGACCGCCACCTCTGTCTCGCGTTCTTTGACATTCTCCACCTAGATGGCGAGAGCTTGATCGACCGTACTTATGAGTTCCGTCGCCGGCTCCTACGGAAAGTCGTAAGGCCTCTGCACGGTTTTGTGAGTACGACTTTGATGTGTACATCTGACAACAGTCCATGATTGCTCAAGCGACCGAGATACCCCTTCACGCAGGCAGGAGGAAGAGCGAAGAGGTACGCTGAGGATTGCGATGAGCTGACAAGGGCAACAGCTGCTCCGATCTGTTTTTCAACGCTGTACCCGCGCCCGAGAAGGTGGGCTTCTGTCGCCGTATTACTGCTTACATACAGAGGGGTTGGTTCTCAAGGGTGCAACCTCAGTGTATCTCGACACTAAACTCCCTTGGGTCAAGCTGAAAGTAGGTGTGGTAGTTAGAGAACGTCTAACCCGTCCAGAAGGACTATATCCCCAATCTCGGCGACTGTGTGGACCTTGCGGTGCTGGGAGCTGGCTGGGACATTGACAGAGCTCGAGAGCTTCGAGGTGAGCTAGCTCTGGTGTGGTTAGTAGCTCACACCACAGTCGATACCTCAGTCTTCACCACATTCTACCTAGGCGCTCTCACCAACCGAGATGAAGTTCACAGCCGCCACGCAGTGCCACGGTTCGAGATTCTCTTCCGCGTATCATACGGTATGAGCCGAGATCAACTGGAGGTGTACAACGAGAACCTAAGGCTTGGCCGATGGGCTAACAAGCCGTATGACAGAGACGATCCATACAAGAGGGTAAGAACGCTCGTCGCCTGTCGGGCGCTAACGTGCTCAGCGGCTCATTGGTCTCTCCTGGCACTACAGCATCCCAAAGTCCATGCCGCCACCTTCGGTCCTGTTCGAGCAGCCCGTGTGTGCAGAAGTGATGGGCGCTGGGTTTCAGCGCCTACCTTACGGGCAGGTTCGTTGACTGAGGCCTCTCCCCTGCTAACGATCACAGCAGCTGTATGAACTGCGATGGCCACGGTTGGTCAAGATCTTTGACATGTTCGAGCGCCCGTGGCCCCAAGGTGAGGACAGGTCTGGGATTGAACTGACGCCAAAGCTTTGACAGTTTCCGAACTGAGAGATGCGGCACACCGCTCCTTGGGGTACTCGATACCCTCTGTGGCTCCGCCGTCGTCACCTGAAGACGACTCTGTCCGCGCCATGTGGCGCTCGAAAAGCACAAACACAATCGACATTCCCGACTTGTCCCTCACACCTCCCCAAGCCCCTTCGACTCCGACGCGACACGCCTCCGCTCCTGGATACATTAAAATGTCACCACAAACACCTGTCAGTCGGCTGTTTCCTACCCATGGTCCCACATCGCCTCTTCAAGCCCACCGTCCTCTCCAAGCAGCGAAAATGCTCGCAAAGGCTGTCAGAAGTGGCGCACCCCGTTCACCGGTCTCGAGTCCAGCCAAACGACTCGAGAAGGAGACTCCGCTCCAGCCTCCAGCAAAAAGGCCACGACTCGATACTGCACTACCTACTCCCCCAGTTTCGTCTTCTCCGCGGCATGGCGACGAGGTGGGGACCTCTGGCCTACCCTCCCAACTGCGCCTCAAGCCTCTGTCCTTACGCTCCCGCATTCGCCTGGCGCGTAGGCAATCGAGCATGATTCCTTAGCATGTATTACTAGTGTCTCACTTTATAGCCTCACTATCCGCCTTATCCTATGCATACCCACATTCGTGTGAGCCAGACATGCCAGACAGTCTGGAAAAACGACATCCAGCATGGAAAGCGGAAGCAATTTGCCACTCAGAAACATCGAACTCCAGTGTTCCTGGAATGACAACTATCAAGCCTCAGCTCCTCTCTCCACCATCCACACAACCCACCATGCCCAAAGTATTCACCCGCGCCATCGTCTCGTCCTCGGACCAGGCGAGTGCCACCCAGTCTTCGCGCGCAGTCCTGCGCTCATACTACTGCCTGTGCGGAGACTTCCTCCTCGTGATCCAGGGCAAGCTCGACCGGCTCCCGCGGAGAAAGTGCGTCCACCCCACACCATCCACGCTCCGCTACGCATTGGACAAACCCACGAAGCTGACGCTGTTCTTCTCCTCTTACAGGACCGACGGGGCGTACATTATTCGCTCGCAGCCTGGGGCCAAGGCCCCCGCACGCAAGTTCAAGCTCAACGCGCAACCGGGTCAGCGGGTCACGGTCAAGCGCAAGGGGTCGGACAACTTGGAGATCCGGCAGCCGTTTGTGTGTTCGAGGTGCAAGACGCCTGGTGAGTGGGAGATCGGGGTTTAGTGCAGGGACGAGACTGTCGGTGGCTAGCAGTGACTGTGAGGCGAATTGATCGATGCCAGTCGCCGCCGCCAGTCCGGTCACTTGTGCCAGGAAGGAGAGTTCGAGGACCTTTGACTGACTTCCAGTCGCGTACCAGGTCCCACCGCCGCCAGCGGGCTCAGGACCGTTCGTTTACATCATCAAGGGGGCAATGACCGAGCTGTGAGTTGGCTGAAGGTCCAAACCAGCTGACGTCTCAGGCAAGGAAGGGTCCCGCCCGACGCGTTCGAGGGTGAAGCAGAGCTTGAGAAGGAGGCGGCGGCCGAGGAGAAGAAGAAGAACGCAGCAGCGGCTGCAGACAAGAAGTGAACCAACTAGAAGTAGACACGCACGCTTTTATGCATTGTTGTACAGTATGTCTGCTATGGCATGAGAACTGTGGACACCACGAGACCGAGGGTACCACTAATAACTGCAACTACACTCCTTACTGTGCCTCCTCGACCTTGACGGTCAGGGCCTCCATCCTGCGCATCATGCGCGCGAGCTCGTCACTGCGCTGGGAGAGGGCGGTCTCGAGTGGGCGGAGCTGCTTGGATCCATATGCCTGCGAAGGGTTGGCCTCTGCCTCTGCCTGGGCCTTTTCAGCCAGAGGCTTGACGACGGCCAGCTGCTCCTTGAGGACCTGGGCCTTGTGCGCCAGTCCCTGCGGGGCGCGACGTCCAGCACCGCCAGACACGCGGACGCGCAGGCGTTCCAGCTCGTCGAACCATTTCCGCTCCACGTCTCCAATCTGGGGACGGTACTCGGACAGCATGGCCGACAGGATGGCGTCAAGGCGGCGGGACAAGGTGACCTGATACGTGGCCATGGTGTGGGCGCGCTCTGCATTGGCGGATGCGCGAGTGCGGATTTGGTCGATACCGGACGAGGAGTCACTGAGCTCCTTGAGCTGACGGGTCATTTCGCGGATGTCCAGGTCGAGGCGGCGCTCGACGGCGCTCGAGGCGCTACGGACGGCCTCGGCGCGCTTGCGGACCTGGGATGCAGCCTCCGCAAGTGCGCGAAGGTGATCGGGGCCAATGGAAGTGATCTGCTTGCCAGAATCGGGGAGCTTGCGCACGGCAGAGCGAGCGTCAAGGGGCTGGGACAGCTCCTTGAGCAGGGGGGCAACGTCAAAGGCCTTTTGGAGGAGAGAGTCCGAGTCGGCATCAACAACAGGGGCTGGAGCGCTGGGAGGAGGCGCCTCGATGCCGACGTCCTTGACGCGGAAATCCATCTCGACGGCAGCAAGCTGACCAGTTGTGGCAAGAGCCAGGAGGCCGTAACCGAGGGTGATATTACAGAACGTGATGGCGCCAATAATGGGTTTTGATGGGACAGCTTCGACGAGGCATGCCACGTCGCTTGATGGGAGAGGGTCATCGCCAGCAGAGAAGAGCTTGGTGGCCCATGGCTCCACCGAGATGGCGTCAACGCCAAACGAGTGATGAACGTAAACCACATCGGGGTGGATGGTGTCCTGGACAAAGGTAGGCGCGTTGGCAGCAAACGCCTCGGCTTCGACACCGGGAGGAACCGAGGAGAGAACCGATTCAATGAGTGGGAGGGTCACCTCACCTGGCGATGGGTCGCGCGACGTCACCCAGCGCGGCTCAGGAGGCTCAACCTCAACGCCAAGGTCGACACGACCGCCCGACCAGGCAATGGCCAAGACATTGATGCGGTGGGTGCTCTCCGAGTCGGCACCGGCGCGAATCACAATCAGGTCGGTCGCCATCTGCTCGTCCACGTCGTCACCGTTACCGACCTCCTGGGGAGCAGGCGAATACAGGAGAGGGCCCTGGCGCATGAGAGGGCGGTGCACTCCTGGTGCGGGGTTGCCCGACGCAGTGAGGTGTGGAGGGTGTACGCGAACCATGCCAGGCGGTGGTGGTGTGCGGTTGGATGGTGGGGGGGGAGGAGCAGGAGTAGCATCCCGCAAGCCAAAACCACGACGTCCCTTGGATGGCGAGGGCGCTTCTTCAGCTTCGGTCTCGTCAGACGTTTTGGACGCCTGCGAAACAACAGCCTCGACCCACTGCGACTGCAGCGCCGCACGTCCGGAGAGTGCCGCACGCTCAGCGCTTCCTTCCTCGCCATCTTCGCCACTCTTCAGGCTGTCTGAACGCGCAGACACCCATGCCTGGAGCGACTGCAGGTACTCGACAGGCACCTCGGCGTGGAGGGGAAGGACTGGTCCCATGGTGTAAATGTCGCCGTTGGCCATGAGGGCGTACACCATCAGAGGGGCAAAGTCCATCGAGCCTTCCGAGAACGTGAACGAGGTGGCGTACTGCGACAGAGGATCGATGGCCGAGAACTTGGACACCGATTTGTCAGACAGGAAGTTGAACGTCTGCACAGGGTCTTGCGGGTGAACAACATCGTACTCGCTGGACGGTCAGCTGCTGGAAGGAGGTAGACTAAGGAACTCACAAGAGCTTGCCGTCGGCAGTGAGGACCCAGAGGGAGTTGCCGTCCTCGGCCCAGGGGTGCCAGCGGACCTTGGTTACCGCGATTGTCGATGATGGCGAGTGCTGGTACTCATCGACCGCAAAGGTACTGGCAGGTTAGCGACATCCACACTCTAGAGACCTACCGGCAGGGAATGTCGCCGCCGACAGTGCTCGCAAATCCGGCGCGAGGGAGCACGAGAACGACGATCTGGTGGTGGCCCACAACCGCAATCAGACGACCGGTGGGGTTGAGAACAAGCTGGTGGATCGGAAAGGTGAGGTGGGGCGACTTGAGAGTCTGTACAGAGTCAGCACGCTCTCACCGTGCGTCATCAACACGAGAAATAAACACGTACCTTGTATCCGCCAACGGCGCCATTGTGCACCTCCCAGCCTTCGCCCCCAAGGTTGGCCATGCGCACCTCGCGACCAAAGGCAACTAGCAGGTCCTTGTCACGAACGGCAATGCGCGCATTCTTGGGCGCAGGCAGACCGTCCTCGAGGTTGCCGCCCGAGGTCGAGTCGACGAGCTCCCAGCCGTCATCTGTCGAGCTCGACGCAGGGGGGACAAAGATGGCGTGGGAGCGGAGGGTGTCGAGGGAGAAGGGGAGTGTTGGTGACATCGCGCTGATAGTACGCGTTGTGACCGCGCTTGTCGTGCCGATGGAAAGTTGGTTGACAGAAGGGAGAGTGTGGTCGTAGGTTGGGATGGCGACAAGGTGAGTGGACCAAGTGCAGATCCGGACAATTTTGCTTCCGTTGTGGTCTCCCGCTCATCATGAGTGGCGAATGTATCTCTGCTGCGCACATGAAGGTACTTTGGGCCAGACTACAACGGCATGCATTTGCAGGCAGAATACAGCTTGTGTATAGATCAGACCTTTGCCTTGGGCTTCTCCTCCTCGTTGCCAAGAGCTCCCTCAGAGATGACGTTGCCCTCGAGCTTTTCACACACCTCCTGGCCGAGCTCCTTCACCCGCTCAATATCATGGCCGATGAGACTGACGTGGACGCCAGAGTAGAGGTACGGGTCTGGCGGGTTAGGACTTTCAGATATTGATCCACTCACAGGAGCCAACACGGATCCCCTCCTTCTTGACACGGGCTTGCAGCTCAGTGAGGTAGGGAGCAATCTTGGACTCTGGCTGGCTGTGGATGGGTCAGTTGTGATCGGAACACGGCACCCACGCGGTATAAATCAGGTGACGGAAGGGCTTGGCTGAGGAAGGAGGAAGAGGAAGGTAAGGTGTCAGGCCGAGGAGCAGCTGCTCAAATAGGCTTGGGATACCGGGGAAAATGCAGAGCTGGCGGGTTAGCTACGAGCGGTCAATGAGGAAACCAACCTTGCCCCCAAGGCGAACCACAGGCACCCAGCGGTCAGGAGCGACAAAGATGACCTCGCTGCGGGAACCACCTTGGCCATCACCAAAGTGACCTCCCTTGGCAAGAGGGAAGAGGGCCATACGCGCGCGGGCATCACGCTCCGCCTGGGTCGCCTTGGCGAGCTCCTCACGGCGCTTGGGGGTAGTCATAATCTCCATGCGGCGAAGCGTCTCGGGGTCATGCTCAAGCGGAAGGTTGAAAGCCTTGCCCAGGGATTCGTAGGTAATATCTGCAGGTGTTACTACTCCAGTATGCCCAATGACCTACCATCGTGAGTGGGGCCAATACCACCGGAAGTGACAACAAAGTCGTACTTGCTGGTCATGCGCCGGGCAGCCTCGATACTGCTGGTTAGCTAACAATGGTACGCAATTGCACTCACATCTCCTCCTCTTCGTCGGGAATAACCTCAATTCGCTTCCTTCAGGTCAGTGCTATCCAGTCCCATTATACCAACAACTCGATGCCAAGGTCAAAGCAGAACTGAGCGAAGAAGCTGATAGGCGTCAGTGCGGGTTGATGAAATGCAGTGGCCAACCCACTTGCTATTGCTGTCCTTGGTCTTTCCGTTGAGAACCTCGTCGCCAATAATAAGACAACCGGCTGTCCTGGGAATTGTCAGTGTCAAGAGTACCGCCACCAGAGCACGCACTTGATGTAGTTGCCTTCCCCAAGAGGGTTGGGGACCGATGCCAGGTCGGTCACTGGGCACTGGTCGGGCTGGGGTTGGAAGGACATTGCTGGCTTCTTTGGATAAGGGACGAGAGGGGTTGTATGAACAAATCTAGCCGCTGCGATGCACTGTCTAAACACAGCTGAGGATGTTGATGGCCTGAGCAGCATATGGAATGACACAAAGGGTCAGAGTGGGCGGCAGCCGCAGTGTGTGAGTCACCACTACAATCACGGGCCGATCGGAACGACCGCGATGACCAACAACCTCCACCTGCGGCCGTCATTAGAAATAATTACGTAATACATGTTGATTTGTGAACACCTTATCCAGCCCCCCAACTAAAGTTTACCATCCACAACACGGGTCCCGCACCCGTCCTTGGCCACCCCCCTTCAACACCCCGTGAGGACAACCCCGTCGACCTCGACATCGACCAGCAGACCCTCAACGGGCAACGGACCCACCAGGGCGCCTCAACGACATTGAGAGCTACCTGGTGATACCAAAACCATCGCACAGCGCCCAGATCGGGTTTTGGCCAACCATGACCGACAACCTCGATCTCCCCAATCCGGAGGTCCACCTCCCGGACGGCACCACACAACATGAAGACCATGAACCCACCGAGATGGACCTCAACGAGAGTTTGAGCCTCGCAGCTGCTCTCAGTGGGATGGCACCCCAGGAGGGCGATCATGATGATGATGTCAACAACCCTCTCGATCCGGACACGCTGGCCAACCTGGCCGCGTTGAGTCACATGCAGGAGGAAGACGGCATCAACGGTGACTCTACGGGACTTGGCGATGGCACCGGCCTGGAAGACGCGGCTGGTCTGGACAGCACTTCTGGTGTTGACGAAGCTGCGGCTGCTCTCGCCGACGCCTCTGCTCTGGCGGATGCCTCTGCACTGGCCGATGCTTCCGCCCTCGCTGATGCTTCTGCCCTCGCCGACGCATCCGCTCTCGCCGACGCTTCCGCCCTCGCCGACGCAACGAGTCTCGCCGACGCCAAGGCGCTCGAGGACGCTACAAGAGACCTCGCCGACCACGCAGCTGCCCTCGCTGACGAGGACGATCACGACTTCTCCAGCCTCCTACTCCCTACCATCTCCCAGAACGAGACCCTCACCCGCGAGCAAGTGCAGGAATTCGTCGACAACCTTGGATCCCACCACGATGATGTCGTGTCCTCACCTCCAACACCGCAAGACAGCGAAATGGAGCCACCCCAAGACGACGACGAGCCCGACACTGGCGCTGAAGATTCCGGTCATCAAACAGACGCCGATTACACTGGACCCAGGACGTACTACGAGAATGGCAAGCTCAAGCGCCGGCGAAACAGGACTGTGTTGAGTTGTACCGAGTGTCACCGCCGAAAGCAACACTGTGACCGCAACATTCCCTGCAGCCGGTGCATCAAGCGAGGCGTCCCCAGCATGTGCCGGATGGATACCCCACATGTGCCGCAGCGCAAGAGGAAAAAGTGAGTTGGGTCATTCAGCGCCGTGGGCTAACTCTGCAGGCCAAACGATGACATCCCCGTCAACTATGAGCTTGGTCTCCGTGTGCAGGCATTAGAGTCCCTCATACGCTCTGGTTCCAACATGGATCCCGAGGCAGCTCAGAACGCCGCCATGGACACTATCATGCACGCTACTCGTGCTGCCAACAACGGCCAGACAGAAGCCGCCAACGCCCTCGCAAGACTCACCAACGCCAGTACTGGTCTCGGTATTGCGGGTATGAGCCAAGAGTCGCAGAGCAGCCTCCTCTTGGACGTTCTCCAACAGCTCTCCGCCGCCAGTATGGGTCGCCAAACAGCCTATACCATCAGCAGCACCCATGACGCGCACATTTCGTCCGAGTCGCGTACCATGTGGTCAGCCATACCCATGGCCCCGACGGACAGCCAGGTGGCCATTGACAACGCCTTCAGGCAGGACACCTCGACGTCCAAGCTCAACCTCTCCCTCCCCGGCTTCCGCGAGAACAGTGGCAAAGTCTTCCTGCCACCGACGATGCGCCATGCCGAGAAGCGGCTACGTGAAGAGGGCTTGCTGGCCTACGGCACACCGCCTATCGAGGGCTATGCACCGTTCCTCGAGTCGGGCACTCGCTTTGCCTACGGTGAAGAGGGTGTGGCGTTCAGGAATAAGCGTATTGCGGCGATCCAGGTCATGGGTGTCACCGGTGGTCTCCGCCTCTCTGCCATGTTCCTGTCTCGCTTCCCCGCATCTGGCGCGCGAACAGTCTACCTCCCTGTCCCCACCCCAGAGGAGGACGTTGCCGCCCTGCGCGGGGCTGGTCTTGAGATCAAGTTTTACCGCTTCTTAAATCAGAAGACTGGTACTGTCGACTGGGAGGGGATGCGCGACGATCTCTCACAGGCACCACCACGCTCGGCTGTGCTGCTGCATGTCGGCGGATCGATGCCGACCGGTATCGACCTCACAACTGCCCAGTGGCGCTTGCTCACGACTCTGGCCCTCAACCGGCAACTCATCCCACTGGTCATCATAGCATTCCAGGGTTTGTCGACTGGCGATGCCGGTCGCGATGCCCAGCCACTACGCTTCATGGTCCACGAGGGGCTCCCAGTTGTGCTCATTCAGAGCTTTGATGCTGTGAGTTACGTGTCCAACAAACTCTGCTAACCTCAGATGATGGGCCTTTACGCAGACAGCCCCGCGATTGTTTCCGTTGCAGCGCAGAACACCGACGACCGCGACCGTATCAACTCGCAACTGCGCAGCATCGCGCGATCAATGTACTTTCACCCACCGCTGTGGGGTGCGCAGCTCGCCCACATGGTGTTGTCGGACGCAAAGCTGTATCCCTCGTGGCTCGCCGAGCTGCGTGCCATGGCCGATCGTCTGCGCAGTGTCCGCGAAAAGCTATTTGACATGATCACCAACAAGCTCAAGACTCCGGGCGACTGGTCTCACATCAAGCTCGCTACGGGCATGTACTGCACGCTTCTCCTCCCCTCGGGACAAGTCGAGGCCCTCACTTCCAAACGCCAAGTCCACCTGCTTCCCGAAGGATGCGTCGCGCTCGGCTGCCTCGATGCACCCAAGATCGAGGTCCTGTCCCGTGCGGTCGACTTTGTTGTCCGCGAAGGCATCCGCGAGGCCGAGGAACAGCAGGCCGAGGAGATGGCCATGCAGCTCGCCATCGCTGCTGCCAAGGAACAGGAGGCGCGCCAGGAAGCCGAGGCTCGCGCCGCTGCCGAGGAGGCCGCGGCCGCAGCTGCCCAGGCCGAGGACACGCTGCTCATGGAGGCATCTATCCAGAGTGCCATGGAGGCACAGCGGGTCGCCGAGGAAGAGGAGCGGCGGCGCGAGGACGAGGCGCTCTTGCTGGAAGAGCAGGTGCGCAAGGCTGCCGAGCGTGCCGAGATTGCGCGCCAGGCCGATCTCATTCTGGCGAGCATTGGATGAGCGTGGTTGGAGATCTTGTTTGGGTAGTCGTTTCGAACCGCATGAGCATTCACAGGGCGGGCAGGTGTAGTTTTAGAGAATTGTAGTATTCCTTTGTTGTTTCCATGCACAGTCTGCGCTATTGTTATATGAGAGGGGGGAGGGGGGAGGGGGGAGGGGGGAGGGGGGAGTGGGGAGGGGGAGCGAAGCAGGATTACGCCCATGACAACGAAAACGGCCTGCTGATCCCATCCAACCGTCCACATCATCAGCAACCTCCTCGCCATGTCTCTGCATGGAAATGCGCTCAGCGCACTTCATCATCTACCCTTCGCTCGCTGCATACCCACCTGTCAGCACGCACAGACCTCACGTCAAGGCCTTGTTATATCAGTCGGTAGATAGTTTGACTCTTACTACCCCACCCGGTTTCTGTTAAGATATCAAAATGTCATGGGTTCGAGCCCCATACGAGGCTTCCAGGTGGCCTAAGCAGTAGCTTGGAGCACCTCTTTTGGCTCTTGGATGCTTGGGCAACGTGGGGAGTGACAGGCGGGTGGAGAGTGTGGTGGTGAGTGATGGAGAAGGTGGTTCTAGATGGGGCCACCCCATCCCGCCACATGCACGGCCTTGCTCCAAGCGCGTGCTTCATTTTCTGTCGCCCCGCGTCTCCTGTGCTCGTTATGGGGGCTCCTCCACACTGCCTGCTAGGTATGTACACAGCTAGGTCAAAGCAAAGGGGGTAAACAATGATCTCGGTGCGAGTCCTGCGGCGGCGCATTCCTTGCCCCCAATGTGGATGTCTCCGAGCGCACTGATGGCCTACCCTCACTTCCCACAACCACTCTTGATAGCCGTTTCTCTACTCAAAGCTTCCATCCCACCATTGCCTATTCTTTGTGGAGTGAATGAAGGCCGAGGGTGTATGCTGTGAATTTCTGTGAATGTGAGATGGTCAGCCGTACGGATGCCGTCGCGTCGGTACATTTACATGTTTGTATGTCTCCACGTGCCATACTCTTTAACACCGTGCTGCATGGATCCCACAGAGTGACGTGGAGGACATTCCAACGGTCCAGCAGAGCAACAATGGGCACGAGGTTGGAGCGCAAATCCCGTGGGCACTGTCCCATCAGTTCTCGATGACTTGGCCTCCATTATTTGCTGTCCATCAACTGGATTTGCCTAGTGGTATCATCCCTCCGATACTGGTATTGACTAGTGGTCTAAGTCGTCTGCTTTAGGGAGACAGGGGGCCTCCCAGAGACACGACGCACGCGCGAGCCACCCACGAGCGTGCATGTCGACTGTCTGACGGGGTCTCTTCCTACAACGCAGAAGGTTGCCTCATAAGCTCCATCCTGAGTTCGAATCTCAGTGCCAGTAAAATCTCTCTTTTACAGCTCTGCACGGCACCCCCAGGGATGCAGGAAGCATGAAATGTGATGGTGGATAGATGGAGCGGTGGGAGGAGTCTGGAGGTGGTGTGTTTGGCGGGTGTGTGGAATGTGGCGGGGGCCGGAAGGAGGTGCCACTGGGCCACTGACAGCGAGCGTCTGTGCGTTCTCCGGTGACGCTGTCTCATTCCCGACTCCTTCCAGTACTAGACATCCTACACACCTACGGCCTGCGGTCGGGCCCCGAACACCTATCTTGCGTGTGAAGATGGACCGGGAACACCCAGCCGGTTTGGGGTCCTGCAGTTATCCTACCAGGTACAATCTCTGGTGCATTAGGCATGGCAGAGAGTGGGTGCGTTTCACCAAAGGAAGCCTGCCCCTGGCTGGAAAGTTGTATCTCTGTACCCGATCCCCTCCGTCCCAAGTGTCTATCGGTGTAGCCCACGCCGGACAGACGCCGTACAACACACTTGCACTGACTAAGGCCGCCGCGGCGCTTGGGTGTTGTGTTCCTTTGCCGCCGCCGGCGGGGTCCACAGGGCCTGTGTGGCGCTCCATGGCGTCCCAAAATGCCCACGGTGCAAAGCAAATGTGCTAGGCAAGAGGTCCAAGCTCTACCCATCCACTACCCGACTGCGCTCCCAAGAGCAGCTCATGGATTTATGGAGAGGCGTTTTTTGACCAAGCTCGTACTCCAGGAACAGGAACCGAGGACAGTGACCCGGGTTGTGGGATCTGACTTCTGCCTGAGCAAACAAAGTGGTTGTTCCATTCACGCATTCTCGATTTGTCCTCCATCCAGTACTAGCGTCCTCTTGAGCTTGGCCTTTATCCATACGCAAGGCGGCAATTCGTCTGCTGCAAGGCACACCAGAAGCGTGCAGCTCTTTCGGCCGACCAGTCCCGTATTGACAACTAGTGCTGACACAAATGGATTGCTCTCGGCCCATTCTGTATTTCACTTCGGCGTCCACGTCAACGTCAACGACATGCCGTATGGCGAATGAGACCAAAATCTTGCGGCCAGCACCTGAACTAGAGGACAAACACGTCCACATCCTACCCTTTCTGCCATGGGCGTCCACCCACCTCGGTCAACTGCGAGACCGTCCCAGCCAGCCGTCCCAGCCAGCCTCAGGACAATACCCATTTTGCCTTTTGGCCTGGCCTGACGGAGAACAAACACTGTCCTGCGCAGTGAATCCAGTGATCGGCCGGGGCCCTGGGGGAAGGACCTGGACCCGTCCAACATTCCGGACAACGGTCCGGGGCTGGCGGCTGGCGGTGGGGGTGGCCGTGCTCCATGCTTGCATGCTTCCTTTCGGCTTTTTCCCCCCAAGGGCCAAGAAATGAGGCTGGTACAGACTGAGATGCTTCTGTTGGAGCCAAAAAAAAAAGTTCACAGCTGGCCATAGCGCGAGTTTCGGACGGACGACGAGGTGTGGGGTCGTCGGAATGGCAGCTGTGATGCTTCCTGCAGTGATCCGATGGAGGAGACGGCGTACGACGTGTATGCTGCAACAGGTGAGACAGTTCAACGGAGGACAGTGTCCATTGTCCAGCCTCCTGTGTCCTGACACTGGCGTTGGGTTGACGTTGCCCGTGACCCAACACCCAATTGAGCCAAGAACATGCCACCACTGGAGATTGTCCGACACCATCCCCAAAGCAGCGTCTCTGGAATCCGACAAGTCCATTACATACACATACACAAGAGCCTTATGGTATACTGAGATTGTCCTGTTTGCTATGATCCGCACTGGTTATAATGTAAAGGCGGCGATCTTTTGATTTTGGGTCGTGATGGTGGTCGTTCCGTAGCACCATGTGGGTTGACGTTCCGATGGTTGATGTTTGGTGTTTGGTTTTTGGCCATGCCCGACCAGCCTAGGACCAGTACTGTCCGCAGTGCCGACAGTAGGTGATGCTGCCCTCGGTGTAGTATCCCACACAGGAGCCTGTGAACGTGTCAGCACGTTCTCAAAGACCACCTGTTCTAGCTGTACTCACGTCCTTTATTCCTGCCGGCATTGTCGCCCCAGCACGTGGGGGTGTTGGAGCATCGGGGTTCAGTTACAGACTCGGGAGTGGAGTGGTCGTGCATGTTGCGCGAGTGCGCTATGCGCGTGCCGCCGGTGGCAGGATGTTGGAGTGGGGAGAGGAGAGAGGAGGGGGATGGGGATGAGAGCTGCCCACCTATCGTCGATATTTATTTTGACAGGATGTGGTGGGTGTCGGCGGTGCGTCGGTGGATCGGTGGGTGCACTCCGCCGGGGGCTCTGCGCGCTCTGCACCAAAACGTAGCGTGGGAGGTGAGGACAGTGCCCAGTTCCTGGGGTTGACGCCTTCGGCTACGCCTGGGCTGGGCTTTGGCGTGTGGGCTGGCTCAGGCTCATGAGGGCTTGCCCGCGCGCTGGCACTGGTGTGGGCGGTCAGACGGTCAGACGACCCGACCATACATGCCGCGGCGGCTGGCCTGGCTGGCCTGGCTGGCTGGCTGGCGCAGGCGTCGCTTGGGCCCACCCATACCTCGCAGAAGCCCGAGAAGCCCACACATGCCCACACATCGCTTCCAGGGCCAGACAGGCGCCTGGCGATGGGAAAACAGGTCATGTCTTGAACCAGTCTGCCGTCTTGTTTCCGTTGTCCCATGTGGTCTATAGTCTCCTAAAGTCCGGAACACACTGTGTGGTCCCTTTGTTGCTGGTCTGTTGGGCGTTACATGCACCGACTGGGCACCAGTCCAGCTGCGAAGTATGGGACCATGGCGCCATTGTCTCGTGTGCGTCACTCCAAGGCTGTGTCCCTCCCTTCAAGCAGTGGAGCCCAGCGTCTCCACGTGTGCGGCGCAGCTGGATCGCAGTCGCTTTGGCAGAACGGATGACACATGGGAGCGAGACGAGTGGCCGCAAGCGGCTGGCAAGAGTGTGTGCTGGTGTCAGCCGAGGCAAGACCGACATGTTTTACACATGAATCTCGGGTGCCACGGTCACAGATTGCCGAAAAGCCCTCACCTCATCCACCTCCGCTCGATCCACCCTCCGGAACGTTTCTACCCATCTTCCAGCAACAAACCATGCTCCATGCATACCTGCAGCAAGCAGCAAAAGAGATCACAGGCCCTCGCCGGGATTTGAACCCAGGACCACTTCCATAGCTCGTGAGGTAAGGCTTAAAGACCAAGACTGGACCCTAAGAAAGTATGATAGCCACTACACCACGAGAGCTGTGTTTTGTTGATATTTATGTCGCTTCCGCCGAAACTATGAGCCAAGAGAATACGCAGCTCGAAAAAAGTTGACACGGAGATGACGTTTGAGAGCACACGAGCGGACTGATTACGTTGAGAGAGGCACAGGAGAGATTTCTTCCCCCGTGAGTGCCACAATCATTCAGCAGCATTGAAGGTCACGACAACGCCTGACCATGGTGCTGTGTCTACTGTCCAGCCAGTCATGCTTCATCTAAGACGAACGCGCAACCACCCGAGCTCATTCCGTTGTCTTTTATCGAAAGACAAACAGTGAGGCAGGGTGTGGCAGAAAAAAGTTGCTACCGCATCGGCCGCTTTTTGAAAATGCCATTACCTCGCGGCGTTCCTCGTCTATTAGCCTCTGCCGTCCAAGCCTGCGGGCTCGGGTGACGTAGCGAGCCATTTTAACATCTTTCGGCTCTCAGACTGCCCCACTCCTTCTACGCCTGTGCTCCCTCCTGCTCTGGTACTGATGCCCGTGGAATAGGTCGCTCGTCGAAACTACTCGGTTGCGTCGTCCTCTCTAGCCAGTCAAGTCTGCAACTCCACCCCGTCTCGCCGCTGCCACTGCCCGCGCTGCTCGCAAAGATACATGCGATCTCTATCGTACAACCCTGAGGCCGACGAAGCCTCAGCCAGCTCTCAATGAAAAGCTAGGTGTGACACGCTCTGTCCCGGACTCTCTCTAGTACTTGACGGTGGTCTCGAGCTTCTTGACCTCCTCCAGGCACTCCTCGAGGCCCTCCTTCCACTCGGCAGTCTCCTCAGCAGTGGCGACCTTGGCGTCCTTGCCACGCTTAATTGGTGCGGAGCTGGAGAGAGCGTTAGCAGAGTGACTAGAAACACGTCTGTGACTGGTCATGTGACCCCAAACAGAGACTCACCAGATGAGGACACACGAGGTCGCGCGCTTGGTGCCGGAAGCGGCGCCGAGCTCCTCTCTGTAGCAGTTAGCACAAGGAAACACAAAGGGGATGCGGCTGGAGGCTTGACCACGACACCTCGGTAGAGGGTCCTGGCCGGAGTCACACAGCTCGGAGACTCACTTGCTGGTCACCCAGACGTACTCGACGCCCTGGGTGTCCTCAGCGAGGACAGGGAGGTGGGAGATGACATCGATGGGGGTGATGTTGGCGGCAAGGACGAGGAGGCCCTTCTCGCCCTTCCTGAGGGACTTGACGACCTCCTTGACACCACGCTTGAGCTGGCGAGCCTTGGAGGCACGCTTGACGGTCTTGAGGACCTTCTTGCTCAGCTTCTTGCCAGCGAGGGGGACGGCAATGGGGGGTGATGGCGTCAAGGGGAACCTCGAACTCGGCCTTGGGGAGCAAAGTCAGCAAATGTAGTGAGGGGTCGTGGCGCGGCGGATCCAAGATCCCAGATCCGCACCGCCAACACTGCAATGGGATACACACCTTCTCGCCGTCCTCGGCAGCCAGGCTCTTGCGCTTCTCCTTCTTGGCCTTCTTGGCCTCGGCGTCGACGTCAAGGTCCGCGACCTCAGACTTGCGCTTCTTCTTCTTCTCCTCCTTGAGCTCGGCGTCCTTGGCCATGATGTCGGGTGGTGGTGGGGGTGGGGTGGGTGGTGATGGTGAGCTCTGCACGCTGCGATCGGCAAGTTCACTTCTCGAAAACGAAGAAATGGCAAGACAATGACGTGGGTAAAGCGAATTCAACCACACGTGGATACCACGTGAGTGATAACACCCCCAGGTTGATTAGGTAATTTACAATCAGGCTTAATCCCAGGGCCCCACACTTTTATATTGTGTGTCGCTAATCGCTTGCCGCTTGTGTGTGTGTATGTGCGTGTGTCGGCAAGGGCAGACTCGAGCTCGCGACGCGCGCTGACACGCTTCTCTCATAAACTCGTCTACATTCTTCACTTCTTCCCATCACCCAGCTCTATCTCTCTAGCAATCATGGTCGACGTCAACATCCAGACTACCATTGGGCCCTACACCCAGGAGCCCGTCTGCACCCGCCCCCTCCTTTCCACCGCCGAGCTCGACACTGTTATCACCCAGGCCGTCAAGGCCCAGAAGTCGTGGCGCAAGGTGTCGCTCGACGAGCGCATTGCCATTGCCGAGAAGTGGATCGTGAGTGGACACACGAGTGTTTATGGAAGCTTATGGCCAGGTCGAGTTTGAGGCCAGCGCCGACCTCATTGCGGAGGACCTCGCCATCCAGATGGGCCGGTGAGTCAGCACATGAACGACGCACCACATTTCCGTCCTGGCAGCTCGTGACTTACTCTCTCCAGTCCTATCCGCTACGGCAAGGGCGAGGTCAACGGTACTCTGTACCGCGCTCGCCACCTCGTCAAGATTGCCAAGGAGTGCCTCGCTCCCATCCCCCAGAGCGACACCGACGACGAGGCCAACAAGCGCACCATCATCAAGCAGCCGCTCGGTGTCGTCGCCGCCATCACTCCCTGGAACTACCCCCACCTCTGCACTGTCAACTCGGTTATTCCCGCCCTCCTCTCGGGTAACGCTGTCATCATCAAGCCTGCCCCGCAGACCCCCGTCCCCGCTGAGCGCGTTCTCCAGACCTTCCTCGCTGCCGGTCTTCCCGCCAACGTCCTCCAGGTCATCCACCTCTCGCAGGAGACGACCCTCAACGGCCTTTGTGCCGACCCCCGTGTCGACTTTGTCGCGTTCACCGGCTCGGTTGTTGGCGGCCACGCCGTCCAGGGAGCTGCGTCCAAGGGACAGGGCTTCAAGGGCGTCGGTCTCGAGCTCGGCGGCAAGGACCCAGCCTACGTCCGTGAGGATGCCGACCTCAAGTACACCGTCGGCAACCTCGTCGACGGCGCCTTCTTCAACTCTGGCCAGTCGTGCTGTGCCATTGAGCGCATCTACGTCCACTCGGCCGTGTACGACGAGTTTGTCAAGGAGTTTGCCGCCCTCACCCGCTCCGACTATGTCCTCGGCGACCCCACCAAGCAGGAGACCACCCTCGGCCCCGTCGTCTCGCTCGCGTCCGCGGCTCGTATCCGCAAGCAGGTCGCCGACGCCGTCAAGGCTGGCGCCCAGCTTGTCGTCTCCGAGTCCGACTTCCCCGGCGCCAAGGAGGGCACGACCCTCGTGGGCCCCCAGGTGCTCGTCAACGTCGACCACTCGATGGACGTCATGTCCGAGGAGTCGTTCGGCCCCGTCATTGGTATCATGAAGGTGGAGAACGACGACGAGGCCCTTGCGCTCATGAACGACTCGCCGTACGGTCTCACCGCCTCGGTGTGGACCAACCCCGAGGACCCGGCGTCCATCACCGTCTTTAACAACTTTGCCGAGGAGCTCGAGTGCGGTACCGTCTACCTCAACCGTGCCGACGCCCTCGACCCCGCTCTTCCCTGGGGCGGTGTCAAGAACTCGGGCCGCGGAATCTCCCTCTCGTCCCTCGGCTACGACCAGCTTACCCGCGCAAAGGCCATCATGCTGCGCGTCAAGACCGCTTAGACAGAGACGAGTGTGGTGTGGCGTGACTGGTGGGACGTTTTAGAGGACCGACGGACGGTCGGACACATTTATTAGCTTAAAATTACATAGGATGCAGTTATGAAGAGAAGCAAATTGCACAACAAATATAGTCTGGTCTAGACGTGAAGCCAGTTTTCGTAAAACTGGAGAGAGGCCTTGGGTGGTTCGTAAAGTTCGTCCTTGGCAGCCTCGGCGGCGATGGCTGCTGCTCGGAGAGCGGGGGGTACGCCCGGGTTGGGCTCGTCCACCTCTTGACCCGCCGCAATCTGTGATGCGCGCACGTACAGCTGCAGGTCGAGGGGCTCGGTCGTCGAGTCGGCAGCTAAGAGCTCGTCTTCCTGGTAGTGCATGTACCAGTCGTAGTCGCGGACGCGTTGGTCCAGGTCAGGCGGGTCCAGAAGGTGGGACACCAGGGTCGAGATGGCGTGTGGCGGTTCTGCCTCGCTGAGCTTGAGCGGGGGAGACTCCTCTTCGCGTTCACCACGAGAAGGGGAAGCGCTGCCTGCCCAGCGTCTCGAGGTGCGGCGGGGTTCAGGTGAGGAGGGCAAGTCTCCCCCAGAGATTGTCTCGAAGGGACTGAACAAGCCATTCTTGGTGCGGTGGCTAATGTCAGCTGCGGAGGTAACCACCTCAGCTCACCTGGTAAACTTCAATGTCGACGTCATTTCAAACGCGTAGATCTTCTCCATGTGAGTGAGAACAGACGGTTTGTAATAGTCGTCGAAGAGTGGAGTTGGCGGCGCCTCCTCGTCACCGAGCATGTTAAGACGCGGGGTGTCAAGATGGGCAGAGGTGAACCAGTGGCGATAGTTTGGTCGGGGGCTGCGTGGCTTGGCCGCAGAGGTGGGCTCAACACCAAGCTGCTGTCAGCCGATACCACTGTGACATAGCTTACGAAGAGGTTGATTGCTGCCTGCTTGTCGGCGTCGAGGATGGAATTGTTAAAGTACCTGCGAATGTTTTCTGAATCGTTAGCTTGGAGGTAAGGACCGACGAGCTCACGAGCCAGGTCTCTGGAGTGACTGGTCCACTGCGTCGCCTTTGTCGGCCGATAGGTGTCACGGTTGACAACAGCACTGCCGGTGTACTGGTATGCGAGGACTGTTGTCAGCTTGGGTAGGGTCAGGCAAGCTCACAGTCTCCGTGGTCGTGGTACATCTGGCGGGTCAGCATCCCTCAAACATGAACTACCCACCTCTGTCAACACCTCAACGGCATCGCATGCGAATGGCAGGTTGGGACTGCCAAGCAAACCCAGGGCATACAGCTGGTGACCAAACGCGCGCTTGGCGATGGCAAACTGCGCTGCATTGGTGCGGTCAAGGCAGTCAACACAGTTGACACGCAGGATACCACACTGGAGCAGAGGAAGCTCTCTGTGACCCTCAGAGCTGATGTCAGTTCAGGGAGTCGTGGCCACAACTCACGAATGCTCGTTTCTTGCAGCGCCACCGTGGAAAAAGTGAGTGTATTGGATACTCTCCTCGCAGACATCCTCAAGAATCCCCATGACGTCCTGGTGTCGACTGCAAGGTCAGCTCAGCTGTTTCGACGACTCACCTCTTGGCAGCCTGCGCCATGTCCCAAGCAATGTAGCGCATCTTCTTGCCTTCGGGCAAGAACTGGTTGAGGTATTCGACACACTCGCCGTACTCGGACAAGAGCTTGGACTCGCGTGGCACGGTTTCCTTGCTCTTGACCAAGTTGAGGATGAAAATTGGCGCACCGTAGCGGCCAAGAAGGTCGTCAAAGTGCTTGGCCGCCGGAGTGTAGAATGGGTCCTTGATTGTGACTGTGCGGCGTGAGTTCCAACCAAGAGGATGCACTCACTCTCAATGGGCGGCTTGGGGGTCATTTTATCGCTTGGTTGATGCCACATGACAGGAATACTTCCCCTCAACTGTACAAAGCTTGTGTAGCCGCCATAGTCGGCACCGGCGTCCGTGTTGACGGGGTAGCCAAATGGCGTGGCCAGGGGCTCGGAAACAATCTGCTCGGTTTCGACCTCGTTTGCCACATCACCATTCTCGTCCGCACCGCGAGTCAGGAAACGCACACCGGCGTGGTAACGCGATCGACGAGCAATGAGAGTGAGGTAGACGGTACGAGAGAAGACGTTGATTTCTGGCGGGTTAGCGGATTCACAGCTGTGATACCCACTTGTTTGGTCAAAGGAGCCGTGGATTATCGGCAGGACCCATTGACTGCGCTTCTTTGGGTCCTCGAGGTCAAACGCAGGACTTAAGAGGTGGTGGTTCCACATGAACCTGGTGTTCCAAGGTCGCTCGTCGGCGGGCACGGTGAGGTTGACTTGGAGAGTGTTGGTAATGTCATACGAGTATCTGAGGGGTGAGACTGCTTGCCACTCGCTTCACCCACGAGAAGTAGAAGTTCTTGGACAAGTCGACCTGGTCAAACATGCTCTGCAGCCTGCTAGTCAGTTTGGTATCCTCAAGAATCCTCAAACTGGCACGTACTTTGCTTCTTGAGTAGTGTTGGCAGCTTTAGGCGATATCGACAGGAGCTGGAGAGCGTCAGGAACATCCCCCAACGACCAAGGTTACAAACCTTTGTCTTGTCGCAGTGATACACTGAGTGTGTCAGACACGTTTCTATCGTCTCGAGAGCAGTCAGTTACTCACCATAGTGACCTCCTAGAAGACCAACGACAGACCTCTGTGTGATCATGACGAGGTACCATGATGTCGTGAAGCGCACAAAGCCGACGACGCCATAAAAGTCGAGCACTTTTGTCAAGCCACCCTGACTCTTGTTGCCGTCCTCGACCATGCGCAAGAGGAGCTCGAGCTGTGCGTCGTCATACTGCATAGCATCTTCGACGACGTTGAGCTCATCGGCATCGGTTCGGTCAATCTTGAGGACGCGGTGGGTGCTGCCTGCGGACGCTGTGATGTAGTATCGGCTGGGTCCGATGAGTATTTATGATGCGGGTGGCGTGTGGTGCAGCAACGATTCCTCCCGAGAGGCGCGAGCAACGTACACTTTTGTCTCATAGAGGGTGTATTGTGAGAGGCCTGAAGGGTCGTCGGTGTCGTCCATGGGCCTGCTCTGCATGGTGGACTGAGAGGTATATGGGATGGTGGTGATTGTTATTATGACGCAGCGTCACCCGGGGTGTGTGCTTGAGACATGTCCCGTGTGTGGGCTATCTGGGATCTGGGATCACGTGGTTGTATGTATTTGGAAGGGGGATTAGGCTAAATTTGCCCCCGTTAGCACAAGCGGCGACGAACGGGGTCCAGGGCGGGCACCGTACAGTAGCTGCTGCCTATCAGACGCCACCGTGCCATCTCTCGCTCTTGTCCTGCGTTCTCTCGCTAGTCTCCACCCAATTACAACAACACACTCGCTCACTCGCCACAACCACAGCAACGGGCAGCAAGAGATAGCTCTCCCCCATCTCCTAGGGGGACTCTCCGTGTGCCCCCCTCTCTCTCTCTTGCTCGCGCCATCTCTCAAAGCCTGCTGCTCAACGGCATCTGTCTCTCCGCGCCTGTCACAATCCCACATCTCTCCGAACGGGCCTGTCCATCGCCGTCCGCCCACCCCCGATAGGCATCGATCGCGCGCGGTAGTTGACCACCATGGTCAAGTCAAACCACGCCGCCCCCTTACAGATCAGGCTCACAGAGCCCGTCATCTTTCTTCGTGGGCCGTCAACGGGCACCGACTTTCGTGGTCGTCCACAACAGGCCCCTCGCGATGGCCAGTTGGCAATGGTTCGTGGTCTGCTGACCCTGCGCCTGCACAAGCCAACTCGCATCCGAAACATTTCGATCTCGCTGGAAGGAAGGAGTCGCACCGAATGGCCTGAAGGCAAGTTTCCGAGATAACTGCAGTGCGCCAAAGTGGCTACGACTAACTCGGAACCCACAGGCATTGGGCCCCGCCGCACAGATACATTCGAGGAGACGCCCATCATCTCGGAGACAACCACGTTCTTCTCGGCGGCAGATGGCATCGCGACCAAGTCGACCCGACGATCACACTCGCTCGGCCCTGGTGCCATCTCCCAGTACGACCTCGACGCCGACGACCAGGATGACTATGGGTTTGGCGACTCGCATGTGGAACCCGATCGAGGACGCCCTCCTCCACGCAGTGCCAGTGTGTTGCCATCGAACCCAGACGACTGGATGACATGGCACCGCGACGGCTACTCTCGTCCGCCCAGCCCGGAGAGGGGCGACCGGGGTGCGCCTTCTCGCCAAGACAGTGCCCTCTCCCTGTCCAATCTGCGAAACCTGGAGCGCGAACGTGGTCCATCGCCAGCGTACAGCCCGACATATACGCCTTTGCTGTCGGCCATCTCGGGATCCGGTCTGCCTCGCCCCTCTTCGCTTCGTGAGGTGACCTCGCTTGTCCCGCAGCGTGATCCCTTGTCTCCCATCGCATCAGCCAACGTCTCTTCTCGCGGCACTTCCGAGCGCGACGCCAGCACGGACACTGAAGCCCGAGTCCGGCACCCACATGGCTCCCACCTCGCAGAAACGGCTTTGGCAGAGGGCGTGGAATGGGATCCAGCCACGACCACACCTTCAGGAGGCCACCCCGAGGAGCCCATTGTTTTTGCGCCGGTGGAGGACCCTGGACCCCCACTGAACACCGCCATTCGATTCCAGAGTCCCCCCAGCTGCCGTCGGCAGAGCTGGAGGATGCACCAGAACGCGAACAAGCAACACAGTTGCCTCCTCACCCGTCTTCGCCTGATGCCGTCACCACGCCTACGCCCGGAGCGCCCCTGGCCCTGCACAATAGTCGCGCTGCCTCGCTTCGAACCATCGACTCGGCCGTGTCCTCCAACTCTGGGCGCAGCGCGCAGGGCGTCGTCTCCGAGTATCACCCTGTGTCGTCGGCCAGTCAGCCGGTCCCTACCGCCGTCTCAACACCCGCCAACGAGACACCGCCAGGTGGTTCGTCGCCGTACGGTCGCGGATCACCAGCTGCGTCTGGTCCTCCTTCCGTGGCCGACGGCGTCGAGGGGTCGTCCCACCGTCGGTCCAGCGGACTTCGGCCAGGCTCGAATCCCTCGGCGGGCCCAAGCCCTCGCACGTCTGGGGATATCCCAGAAGTGATACAGGGTCGCACTACACCCGGCTCGTCATCAGTAATTATCAACCATGGCGCCCCCCACAGCCCGAGCCCCGGCTCGTCCGAACCGCCATTCGCCAGCTCCAACGGCTCAATGACCGATGAGCGCGGACGCAAGCCCAACCACCATCACCACCACAAGTTTAGCATTGCAGCGGCACTGCGCGGCTTGAGCCAGGATGTCAAGGACCGCGTCCGGAGCCACAGCCGTCCCACCAGTCGCCCTGCCAGCCGAGCTAGCAGCCGCACTCGTGCAGAGACGCCGAGCAACGCTCCATACCATCAGGACAACAGCTCGGTGTCGATCCCAATGTCACAGTCGAGCTCCAGCACTGCTGCAACGACTGCCCACCGTGCCGCAGTGGACGACTTTCACACGTACGGCCGTGGTGGAGCAGGGCGTCGTAGCCGTTCTGTCGACAAGGCGGGATCATCTAGGAGCCCAGCTCCTTCGACGGTCGACGACCGCGGCCGCAGCAGGCACAGGATGAAGGCTCTCGCAGACGTCTTGGGCATGGCCGAGGATGGCAACGACCACGAAGAGGTGCACAACTGGAAGGAGTTCCGCAAGGGCGTGTACAACTATCCGATCTCGTTCTCGATCCCGACCGGCGCACCACCCAGCATTACCTGCGAGTTTGGCAGCGTCGTGTACAAGCTCAAGGCGACTGTCGTCCGTGCCGGTGCCCTCACAACCAACCTCACCGAGGACATGGATGTCACGATGATTGCCGGTCCTCAGGAAGATGACATGGAGGAGACGGACAATGTCATTGTCGAGCGCCAGTGGGAGGAGCAAATGCGCTACCAGATTGCGCTGAGCGGCAAAGCGTTCCCGATCGGTGGCACCATCCCAATGAGCATTCGCCTGATGCCATTGATGAAGTGCAAAATCTATCGCCTGACCGTTGCCTTGGAGGAGAAATCCGACTACTTCGCCGCAGGTCGCAAAGTGGCACGACACGAGACCCCGCGCCGGTTCATCCTGTTTGCGGCCAAGAACCCCGATCCGCACAACAAGAAAGAGCGTCCCGAGCCTCTGCTCCCCATCCTGTCCGAGTCCATGACCGCCGTCAAGGACTCTCCTCTGGCCGAACTGGCACGCAACGCCGCACTCAACAACCCGCGCGAGTTTGCCGAGTTTTCCAACCCCGAGGACGATGTCTACGCTTCCCTTCTCGACCCATTGGGTCCATGGCACCTGGAAAAGGACCTCCATGTGCCCGACTGTGTCACTCGCATCAAGTTTACCACCAAGCACGAACATACCAACATTGCAGTCGCGCATTGGCTCAAGGTGACGATCCGTGTTGAGCGTGGAGACGACGCTGCGGTCGACTCCAAGGGCCGCCGCAAGCAGTTTGACATTATCATTGAGACACCCATCAAGATTCTCGACTGCCGTGTCAACCCCCAGTACAACTCGTTGCCTTCGTACGAGCGCGTCGGCGTCGACCTGACGGCCCTGGGCAATGGCTGCTCGATCCATGCCAAGACCAACAACAATGGCAGCTCCAACGTTATCCCCAAGAATGTTCTCGTGGGAGCCACCCAGGCCGGCCATATTGTGCACGGCATCTTGGACAGCACGCTGCACCACCACAGCGGGCCAGAGCAGCATACTTCGTCGCCCTTGCTCTCCCCAGAGATGGCCCTGCCAGGCCACAGCAGCGCCCAAGCCCACGCCGAGCACGAGGACACTCTTCTGGAACGCAACATTGTGTACGACCGTCTCATGAGCGGCCAAGAGACCGAGACGGGCGAGGAGCCGCCGAGCTACGGCGAAGCAGTCGCGTCCGCCATCCGCTCGGCGCGCTCGGCGTCCCGTATCCCGCACGGCAGCCGGAGCACCAGCGCAGCGGCCAGCACATCGCAGAGCCGCAGCAATTCCCGCGCACCCAGTGTCCGGGCTAGTCCTTCTGGCAGCCGCAGCCGCAGCCGCGCGAGGATGTATATTGAGGACTGAGGTGTCGCGCATTTTACCCTTTCACGTCGAGCTACTGCCACAATTTCCACATAGATCTAGAGACCTCCTTCTTTTCTTTTACCACCCACGTCCCCATTCTATACTTGTTTCTTTCCTTATGTAATGTGTGATGTTGCAGCGAGCCAGAAGAGTGCAGCTTGGAGGCTGAACCGAACGGTTAGAGCCATTAATCATTGTTGTTGTGCCACGCGATTGTCACGTGATGTCCCTGAGCTCGGTCGCGTTAACGCGCTCACGGTGCAGCCACTTGGACACCCATGACGAGTGTTGATCTCTCCAACAACAACCTTTCAGTCACCCACCAACCCCCCTTTCATGCTTGCGGAACTCCTCCTCGTACTGGGAGGCCATCCCTCGGCGCTATTTACGTCCAAGGGCGTGGCCCCGGCGCTGGCGGAACATCTACACCCGGGCGAGGTGGCTGCGCTCGGGACGCTGTGCGAGCTTGCAAGACACTACGCCTACGTCCGGTCGTGGGCGGAGGAGACGCAGGCCGCTGCACGCGCAGCGGTGCTGGCGGGCACGAAACGTGGCCACGGCAGCTCCCATGGAAGCGGCAAGGGCAAAGGACGCGAAACCGATGCTCCGGGACAGTACGTCGCCGTGCTGGCCGGCGCCGTCCGTGGCGTGCTGCAGGAATACGACGAGCTCGTCGTCCGTACCGAGGCTGCTGTGCTCGCTCGTGATCCTGGCGTCGTCCAGCGCGAGCCCGCAGGCGGAGGCGCCGGGTACGTGCCCCTCTCGCTCCTCCTCGCCACCTTTGACCACTGGCAAGCACCCATGGCGGCGGTGGCGGCGCTCGTCTCGCGCGTGCAGGAGGAAGGATACCTGCCCGGCGAGCTCATGCAGCACCTCGCCGAATGTGCAGCTACGGGCCATCCGTTCCTCCGCCGCGTGTTTGGCACGCTCCTCGCAGCGCTGTGGGCCCTGTTCCTCCAGCACCTCGTCATCTTCCTCCTCGACGGCGTCGCTCCGGACGAGAGCACGCCCGCCGCTCCGGCCCTGGGCCTTGATGCCGGCGCCGACCCACCACACCGCGCTTACCGCCTCGACAATACACTCTTGCCCGCGTCGGTTGGCGCAAGTACTCGCGAGAGCATCCTCTATGTCGGGCGCGTGGCTGCCACGCTCAAACGCGAGGGCAAGGCGCTGCCGCGTTCGCTGGTCGACAAGGCGCGCCGCGACGTGCTCGCGTCCGATGTCGAGGGTCTGGACGCAGCGGTGCAGCGCTCCCGCGCCGAGGTTGGCGAGTGGCTCTGGACACATATCCTCACTGGACCACAGGTATCTGAAGCCATCGAGACATTGTGGGTACCCAATTCGCGGTCTGGACCGACTAACCACCCACCCAGTGCAAACTACTTTCTTACGCGCGATGCCGACTTTGCCCTCAGCGTTATCCGCGAAATCGATCGTTTGCGGAGGGACAAGCTCGTACTCGCCAACCCGCACAGCAGTTCATCTGTTATCCGGCCACACGACCTGGACCTGGCGCTGCTGCGCGCGTCCGTGGGGACGGACGCCGAGTCGGACCGTGGACTCGAGAGGCTGTCGTGGACAATGTCCGCGGGCCCACTCAAACCTCTTGCTCGCCCCGTCGCCGACGACGGGACCGTACGCGGTCTATTTGCGCCTGCACTCCTTGGTACACCCCTCGCGCTCACGGCTGCAGTCTCGTGGCCGCTCGACCTGTTCATGACCCCGCCCGCAGTGGCAGCCTACGGCGACATGCACGCGTATCTCTACGCTATAAGGGACACGCACATGCGCGTGCTCGACTGCTGGAGCGCGCTGAGTCGTGCCCAGAGAAAGCGTCGCGTCTACACGGGTGTCGATGAAGGGGGGACGGGCGAGGAACGGCTCGCGCGCAAGGCCCTCGCGCGCACAGCCTGGGGTACTGTCCGCGCCATGCTCTTCTTCCTCGACCAACTGCTGAGCCATTTCATGACGGACATTGTTGCCGTGCAGCATAAGCGTCTTCTCGAGCAACTCGCACGCGTAGCACCTGCCTCCACCCATGAACATGCACCCGGACACGGACACGGCCGCGCCTCGCGCGCCGGCACACCTGCACGCCCAACCTCGGCGCGCTCGACCACCCCGCCGCCCACGTCGTCGCGCAACGCGCCGCCCAACAACGCCGGTACAGGTGCTGGATACCTCGACTTTCTTACCTTGCGGCAGATGCACGCTCGCCACCTGGCGTTCCTCCGCGAGAGTCTGTTGATCGCCGAACGCGAGACGGCGGTCCTCGTGCACGACATCCTCGACACGTGCAAGCGGTTTGCGGGACTCGTGGAGCGGTGGGGCGGGGACGTGCTCCCCGAGCTGCTGGCCGAGGGTGAAGTGGGGGAGATGGTTGCAGAGCGGGCACGCGTGGTGGAGGAGATTAGCGATGTGAGTGGAGAAACCACGGATCAGCTATGATGTTGCACAGTGGAGCTGACATTTCCACAGAACCTACACGACCTCATTGGCGACTTTTTCCGCATGCTCCTTGAAAGCCAGTCGCCGGCAGTCAGCGCAGGCGACGCGTCCAACGGGACGCGTACGTCCGTGTCGCGTGCGTCTCTGTCGCGCGCACGCGTCACGCAAATCATGCAGGCGTCCCGCTCGCGCGTGGGTGCTGGTCAAGTGGAGCTTGACGGCGACGACCTGATGGCCCGGCACTTGGAGATGCTCCTGTTGAGGCTCGACTATAACGGCGTCCTGACGCAGTGGACCGAGGGCCGCGAGGAAAGGAACGTCCTTCCTCCCAGGGAGCTCCATTGACAGCCCGCGACACAACCCAGGTTAAAATGCATTAATATGTGTGATGTACACTTTGTTTTCTACTGCCATTCTACTGGAACGGCACGGGCGCCGGGTCGCCAAAGCTCTCGATGAGTGTGTTGCCGTTGACAATCGACGACGTGGCGACCATGTACTGGCGTCCTCCTAGCTTGGACATGAAGCGCAGTGCCGAAATCTCGGTGTAGGTGCACCCGCCAAGGAAGAAGACGAGCGTCGTGCCGTGGGCTTTGCCACCGCCGATATCGCTCGAGGCGCCCGGAAGAGCGGCGACGGCGTCGTCCATGCCCTTGAACCCCGTGATGGGCCGCTTGCCCTCCATGCGCACCACGTCGCCCTTTGCGTCGCCGGTGAGGGCGCTGCGCTGCGTTGCGGCCTGGACGAGACGGACGGAGAGCGGCGCGTAGCCCGAGTAGACGTACGAAATGTCGTTGGGGCTGGCGTCGTCGACGTCGTCGACGATCAGGCGGAAGGGCTTGCGCGCGCCGACAAAGGGCGCCGGCGAGGGGGCCTTGAGCAGCAGACCCAGGTCCTGGAGCGCCACGAGCAAGGGCAGGTGGTGGTACCCATACGTCTGGAGGAAATCGCGCTTGAACGCCTCCAGAGGCTTTGGCTTGATTCCGCCCGTGGTGAGGGACATGAGGACGGCAGAACGCAGGACGGCAGACATGGGTGCCTGCTGGCACAGGAGGTCCTCGATGAGGGCCAGCTGCGCGTTCGGGTCGTAGCCCGCCACGAGGTTTTGCTGCGCCTCGAGCGTCTTGTTAAACTCCTCGGTACGCGTGATGGGCATGAGCTTTTCCGTGAGGGCAGTATCTGTGAAGTCGTCAGCTTGAGCTCCACAGAGGATGCGGAAGCTGCACTCACGCAAGCGCAGACTCTGCTGCTCCGACTGCAGACCGCCGAGCTTGCCCACAAAGTCCTTCATCTGCGACACGCTCTTGAGGGCCTTGGCACCGCCAAAGTCGCCCTCGAGCCTTCGTGCAAGCTTGCTGAGGCGCGCGCCCACAACGGCAAAGTTGAGGTCGCGAATGTCGGCAAAGAGCTTGTCGCTCGAGGCGAGCTGGTGTTTCCTCTTCTTGGTCTGCGTGGACGCCGGGTCGAGCACCTGCGGGTCGACTTCAATGTGGGCATTCTTGATCCCGATAAACTCGTCCAGCATGCCCTCGTACGTCAGCTGCGTGCACATGGGCGTCACCCAGTCGACGGAGCGGTCGATGATGATCATGCTGTCAATGTGCTCGCTTGGGTCCACCTCTGGCCTGTTCTTTTGCACGAGGGCGGCCAGTTTCTGATGTCAGCTAATGCAACAAGTCGTAGGCTCACCTTGGCATGCTCGCCCTTGGCAATGACTCGAGGGATGCGGCCAAACGCGCGCTGGAGGGTGGTAAGGGCCAGACTGGCGTAGTAGATGGGCGTGTCATCTCCGCGCTGTTGTTAGCTAACGACACAGTAATGTAGCTCACGAGGTAGATATCCCTTGCGACGTCGTCGAGTTCGAGGGACAGCACGTCGTCCTCGATGGGGATAAGCTCGAGCTTGAACTGTACGTGCGTGAGCTCGGCTTCCCAACTCTTGCCTAGCTCTTACCTCTGCTAGAGTGACGTCTCCAGCCACGCCTTCATCCTCGAGCACGCGACGGCACAGCTCGGTCACGCGCGGCACGCAGAGGATGGTGTACTGCAGCCCGGGGGAGGAGCGGACCTGGTCGGCAATGACGAGCATGTGTGCGCGCTTGGGCCGACACAGCCACACGACGTTGCGGGTCTGCACGCTGAGCGGACCGGGTTCGAGCCAAAACATCTTGTCCACACCATGGTGCTACATGAGGTTGAAGAGAAGGGGAGGAATAGAACCAAAGTGTTGGGAAGAAGGCGGGGCACAAGGCGTCAGCAAGCTGCATCGACGTCATTATCGCGACCAGCGACCTACCTTCAAGCTGGCGACATCGATGACGAGTCCGAGCGGACCGGCGAGCGCGGGATCGAGCACGAGCGTCTTGGATCCTTGCACCTGGGGGTATTGTCAGTTGGTATGCATCGAGAGGAGCATGGCAACGCACCTCATTGAGAGCCTCGACAAGAGCCTGCTTGCCGAGTTCACGGAGGACACCGACGTCGGGCCCTATGCGCTCGGTAGCCTGAGGAGCAGCTGTGGTGTCTGATGCGGAGGAGGAGGGTGCCGGGAGGGGCAGACGTGATGGCCCTGCTGCTGCTGTCGTGGCCATTGTGGACGAGTGAGATGGGAGGAAGAGTGGATGAGAGATGGCATGGCCAAGAGCGTGCCCGTCGACGACCCCCCTGGCTGGGCTGGCTGGCTGCGGCTTGTGCGTCCCAGTGCGGGGCAATAGATTGACTGGCGTTGACGCCTTCCCTGGGACTCACACCCGGCTCCTGCGGCCTGCGGCCGCTGATTCTGTTTTCACCCATTCCTCATCGTCGACGTCTTGCACCCATCAGCCCCTCTTGCAGCGACACATTCATCATGGACGACCTCTCCACCGGGTCGGAGAGCGACTACTCCAACTCGTACGTCCGCAGCATCATCAAAGCCCCGCTCCCCTAATGCATATCGGGACGCTGACCCAGCGCTTACAGATGGATCTCGTGGTTCCTCTCGACCAAGGGCAATGTATGTGCCGACCCCCTTGGCCCCACAACGACGCTGTAGCTGACATTTGCGTGCAGGAGTACTTTGCCGAGGTTGACGAGGACTACATCCTCGACAGGTTCAACCTCACGGGCCTCAACGGCGAGGTCGTGCAGGAGTACCAGCGCGCCCTCGACTTGATTACCGACTCTCTTGGTGTGTACTCCCTCGCCGCTATCTCTTCTTCCCCTCTCCCCGGTATACTGACAGTGGCACAGACGACGAGGCCCTCGACGACGACACACGCGAGGCGGTCGAGACCAGTGCGCGGTTCCTGTACGGCCTCATCCACGCACGCTACATTGTCACTTCGCGCGGTCTGCAGAAGATGGTGCGTCCCATATCAGCGCAGTCTAGTCTCCCTTTACTCACACCCCACACAGCTCGACAAGTACCGCAAGGGCGACTTTGGCCGCTGCCCGCGTGTCTACTGCTACTCGCAGCCCTTGCTGCCCGTGGGCCTGACGGACATTCCGTACCAAAAGGCCGTCAAGCTCTACTGCCCCCGCTGCGAGGACATTTACTCGCCCAAATCCAACCGACATGGCTCGATTGACGGCGCCTACTTTGGCACCACGTTTCCACACATGCTGTTCATGGCGTACCCGCAGATGATCCCCTCAAAGGGCCAGCCGTCTGCCAGCGACCGCGAGACGCGGCGCGAGCCCGCCGGCGTCGGCGCGCTCAACACCGCCACGGCGGCGATCAAGGCGGAGCGATACGAGCCCAAGATCTTTGGGTTCCGCGCACACGAAGAGGCCGAGCTGGCGCGCTGGAGGCAGGCAAGGCGCGATGCCCAGATCGCCCGTCTCGAGGCGCTCGACAACCCCAACAACTTGTAAATTAATAGATACATGCCACCTATCTACGTCTCGTGTTCTCCATGTCAAAATCATATCCGTGTTTTCTCTTATGCGTGCGTCTCTCTACTCGTGATCGTTGCCGTCGTACTGTTCGTCCTCTTCATTCTCGTCCACGTGTGTCGTCCCTGCTGACCCATTGTCCTCCGGGTGCGGGTGGGACGCGAGGAACAGCTCGGCGTCGCTGTCACGGTCAAACGAGTCGAGGGCGAAATGCGGCGCCTCGCTCGCCATGCCGGGCGTGTCGTCGTCGTCTTCCGATGTCGTGGGCGATCCAAAGAAACGCGACAGCGACCGCGGCTGGCGGAAAAAACGAGCTGGAACGGATGTTACGGAACGTGTCTGTGATGGTGGCCGGGTAGGCCGTGCGCGGCAGACCAGCTGGGGGCTGCAGTGCGCCGCCGTTGACGGCACTGATGTCGTTCAATGGAACCTGCACGGCAATGGTGTCCTCGACACCAGTGGTCCGGTCCTCGGGACGGCTGTTGCTCCGCCGCAAACCCCGACGACGGCGCATGGCCATTTCAAGCCCAACCTCCTTCTTCTTCTTGGACCGCTGGGCAAAGCCCGTGTCGGCATCGCTCTCGATGGGCACAGGCGTGATGATGCGGGGCACCTCTGCCTCGTCCGTGTTCGGGCGGTCACGAGTGACTGCCAGACGACACTCGGCACGTCCGCGAAGAATCGCGCGCTCGATTTTGGTGCGGTTGTCAACCATGTGCAGGACTGGGAAGGCGGCCTTCTTGCCAATAGCAATCTTGCGAGCCATCTCGTCGCGGTCTGGGTCGTCGAGAATGTGGACAAAGTCCATCACTGTCGAGGTGGGCTTGATGGTAATGTCACCCTCAAACTTTTGGGTGAACACGCTCCCCCAGTCTGTCTGCAACAGGCGTGGCATGAGGTTCAGGTCGCGAATGATCTTGGCGTGTTTGGACAGGTCGTACCTGGTTGTCAGTTGGCTAATTCCGCGGTTCGTAACTCACTTGACGTATTTCTCAAGAGCGGAAAGAATGAAGCCACCGCGCCAGCCCTTGCCGTGGCGGTGAGCGACGGGGCGGCCAACAGCTCCACGAGCAGCGAAGAAGAAGAGGTGGACGTGGGGGTTGCACTGGGAGACGATCCTGATGAGCGTTAGCACAGCGTCCTCACCAATGAACGCACGAAAAGTTGACATTGTACTGCGTGTGCAGCGATCCGAGGGGAATGTCTTCGCGAATAGAACCGTCCTTGAACCGCGAGCCGCCCAGGTTGTGTGGCTTGAGGTTTCCGTCGCGGTCCTTGGCCATGAGGACGATGGGGTTCAAGATACCGGGCACAGCCGCAGAGGCGATAATGGCGGACCAGATGACGCAGTTGGGGGCCGTGAGGTGGTTGAGGAGGATGGTGGGCGAGTGGACATCGGAAGGAACAACAGAAATGTTAAGGGCGCGGCCGGTGAGCTCGTAGGCTTCCTTGAATGTGAGAGAGCCGCGAGTCATGAACATGGACTGAGAGTTAGCAACGACATCAGACGCCAAACTCACTTTTCTGGCCCAGAGGATGGCATCAAACCGGGCACCGGTCTCCCACCATCTCTTTCCCCACGTAGTAAACGGCTCCTCGCACGCTGTGATCTTGTCGGCCAGCTCGGGGCGAATGAGTTGCTTGAGCTCGTCGTTGGTGTGCGTGCATACCAGGGCCGCCACGAGACCACCAGCCGAGGTTCCGGTAATGACGCGAGGGAGCAGGTCTGCGTCCAAGAACGCACGCACAACACCCCACGAGTTGTACGCAAACGACGCGCCTCCGCTGAGGCAGAGTGCGCTGGATCCATAGTTGCGGTTAATGTCGCGGTAGAATGCACGCTTCTCCTCGAGGCTGACGTCCGTCGACGTCCGCACAAAGTCGAGGCAGGCCGCCACTTCGTGTACGTGCGCCTCAATGACTCTCTTTGTACCATAGTACGTCTCTGAATAGACTCTTGGAGACTCTGTTCCGGCAAAGTTGGGCCGAACGCAGATTGAAAGTGCCTCCATGAGCCCACGCGTGTCCTTGGCAGCACGGAGACGAGACAAGGTGGACCGGACACGGCGCACGAGTGGAGCGTCAAAGTATGATTCGCCCTCGTTGTCCGTCTTCCATTCGTCAAAGTCGAGATAGTCGTCCATCTCCTTGGCCGCGTCGACCCACTGCTCATACGTCTTGGCCGCGCGCAGCTTGCGACGGATCACACCCTTGTGACCCCGCCAGGCGATGCCCCATTCCAGCACGTTTACAATCTGGCGGATGAAGACGTACGTGCCAAACTCGAGGCAGATGACGAGGAAGATGAAGCCCTGGGAGAGAGTCAGTTTCAGTCTGTCACAACTGCAACCCACGAGTAACGGCCATCGAATAATGTGGTACGTCAACCCCAGACTCTGGTTACTCGAGTGTTGTCGGCGCCTAGACGTCAGTACAGAGACATGAAGACCGATGCTCAGCTCACTTCTTCACGCGCTGGTGGATCGGCTGGGACAGCGTCAGCGAGGACAATCCTCCCCCAAACGTATCGGGCTGGGCGCAACATGCCATGTCATGTCTGTCCGCCCGCACGCCGAAATGACACGTACAGCAAAGTCCGAGGTGGCACTGACGCCGTGGATGTTGGTCTTCCACTCTGGCGCATCGGCGGGGACTGAGGGTGGCGACTTTGGTGAGAGGGGGGACGCGTCGCCTTCCTGAGGAGCATGGTCGCTGAGCTCGAGTGCGCGTGCGAATGCGGCGACGTGACTGTGGTAGAAAAACGTGGGTTGTCAGCTCATGTGAATGTGGGGGTTTCAGATGGAGCAACGACGGGTGTGGGGGACGTACTCTTCGTTGACCAAGTCCTCGTTCCAGAGAGCCGGGTTGACGCCTGGCGGGACGTCGTCCAAGTGTGTTGTCATGGTTTTTGTGCGAGGTGGGTGTATGTTGTTCTACTAGAGCATGGCTAGAATGAGAGAAAGAGAGAGACAGACAGACAGAGTGGAATGAAGAGGACAATATATCCAAGAGCGTTGTTCCGGCTGTTGGGGGCAACCTGTCCTGCCCGGCGTCACCCGCCGCCGCTGTGGCCACCCAATTACCCCGCACATCCCCGGACACATCATCGCTTGGGAGCTCCTGGGCATGTCTGGTCGTTTCCCTTTGCATCCACGCTCCATCCATTCCACCACCACCACCCCCATCCCAACAACAATGGCCACCTCCCTCCTCCAACAGTTTCCATCCCTCGCATCCTACCCGCCCTCATTCCTCAAAGACCTCCTCTCCTCCCCAGACCTCACAGAGGCATTCCTCTTCTCCCTTCCAGAAGTACAGGAACTCGCAGCAGAGGTCGAGAGGCTCGGTCACGAGAATGACAACCTTGCTCGTGAGTACTGCCGCCTCTCGTATCCTTTCTGTTTGCATTGACAAGTAAACAGGCAACAACCTCGCCATGAGGGACGAGCTCATCGCTCTCCGCGACGCCACGGCCCAGTCGTACACGCACGCCGAGCAACTCAAGAAGCACTGGGCCGAGATTGAAAAGTCCCAGGCAAACCTCTACCAGGTGGGTCCATGCATGCGCAGCTGGAAGTCGGTACTAGGACTTGGCTGACAACATACCCAGCGCCAGCGCCCGTCGTTCCTGCACCTCCGCCTGCGGCACTCCCTTACGGCCCAGGATGACGCGAGCGAGAAGATTGCAACGACCTTTATCGAGGGCGGCAATGGCGGCAACGGCAGCGGCACGGCGTCCAGAGTGGACTCGCCGGCACCTGGTGCCGAGGAGAAGGTGAGTGGGGTCGTGTTCGAGGCCGAGAACACGCGGTTGTGCGTCTCCCAGGCTGGAGACGACATCGGCAGCCTGCGAAGCGCAGGACCTGCATCGATCTGCCCGCAATAATTGCCGGCCCAAGTCCTACCTATCCAGGTGGCGACCACAAACCGGGCATTCGGTCCAAGAGCTGCCTTAGCGACCTGTGTGACAGCTCAAAGCTGACCAATGTTCCAGGTCCGCGACCACGCTCTGGACGACTTCATCACCGAGTTCAAAGCGGCCCGCAAGACGTACCACAAGCGTGCCATCTGGGCCGAGCGGTGGTCTCGCGGCGAAGTGGCCTGGCGCGATGACTAGGGGGTATGGTTATCCATTGGTTGTATTATAGATGGATAGATAGACACTGTACACTCGCCAAGAACCGCTGCCTCAGGAAACCATGTCCAAGTGACTCTTGGCGGCAACTCGCCTCTGTGCTCTCAATGATGCTGCTGCGCACGTCCCTGCGGCCCAGTGTCAACGCCACCGCAGCCTGTTGGCTGTTGGCCTGTCGGTCGTCACCTCCATGCAATGTCCATGGCACATCAACTGTGACCACCACCTGCCTTGGAGAGACGGCGTGACTTTTATTGTGGTCTGGGAGGCGATGCGTATGGAAGATGCTGGCTGCTGGCTGAGTGGGTGGCACTGACGTAATCGACGTGACGGGGGGTCACCGCTGGGCCTTTATCACGTGACGCGATGGGGGGTTACCAAGGATGGCCGACTGGCCCGAGAGGAAGCATCCCTGCTTGCGTATATTCCTTGGCGACGTCGCGAATCGTCATATTGCCCACTTGCTCCATCTCTCTCTCTCTATCCCTCTCAAACAAAGCAAGACACCACCGTCTGCATCATGTCCTCGAATCCAGACTCCCGACCCCTCCCAGACGGCTGGGTAACCCAGTGAGTAGGGACGAGGGCCCGACCGCGCGATGGGCGGCGAATCCCCGCACGCCCCGGCACCACGCACGCCCAACATGGTGTATTGGCGCCTTCTTTTCAGGAGAAATGCTGACATGCACGCAGGATCAACCCCCAGTACAACACCTGGTTCTAGTAGGTTGCGCCAGATGCTCGCACGCACACGTCCCCGGCTGCCTAAACTAACACCCGCACAGCGTCAACACCAAGGCCCCAGGCGGCCCCGCAAGCCAGTGGACCCAGTGAGCAACCCCCCGGCGGCAATCTTTGCCACCCGAGTTCCAAAGTGTCGTGTTGACCACGCCACAGCCCTGCCGACGATCAGCCCCAGCAGCAGCAGTTCTCCTCCCCCTCTGGCCCCCCACCAGGCGAAAAGGCGACCTACAACCCGGGCCAGCAGGCTTCGGCGCCCGCGCCCGCCGCCGTCGCCGCGGCCCCCGAGAAGCGCGGCATGTTCTCCAAGCTCATGGGCGGCGGTAGCCGGCCCCAGCAGCAGCAGCAGCAGCAGTATGGCGGGTACCAGCAGCAGGGCGGCTACGGCGCACCCCCTCCGCCCATGTACGGCAACCAGTACGGGCAGCAGCAGTACCCCCAGCAGGGATACGGCGGCTACGGCGGCGGGTACCAGCAGCAACCCGTCTATGTCCAGCAGCAGCAACAGCGTCCCGGTCGTATGGGCGGCATGGGCGCCGGCGGTGGTGTGAGTATCGATTCTCTTTTGTGGCGGTCTCGAATCCAGTGCTGACAACGTGCGCAGGCCATGCTCGGTCTCGGCGGTGGTCTTCTCGGTGGCATGTGAGTGTACCCCCTCACACGTTCGGGCCTGTATCCCTGAAGCTGACCCACACCCCCCCAGGTTGATTGGCGACATGATTTCCGACAGCCAGCACGACTCATACATGGACGGCTACCAGGACGGCCAGATGAACGACATGGGCGGCGGTGGCGACTTTGGCGGCGGTGACTTTGGCGGTGGCGACTTCTAGACCGGAGAGAGCTGTAGAGCCCTCTGAGCAACCTTTCAACCTTTCGTTTTGTTTTACTCGTCTTTTCCCCCTTTTTTCTTGTGTGGCTGCTGTGTCGGCACGATGTATACATGGATGTGCCACGAGTATCTGATTAGCAGGTCTTGTTGACACGAGGGTCAATCCCGTTTGTCTCGGAACAAGGAGTCGGATGCTACTGTAGAATACTTTGCTGATCGTCGTACATGTTGCCTGTGGCTGCTATCTGCACCGCCTTCAGATGAGACGCCATGACCCATGACGTCACATAAAGGTCTCGTTTAAATCGTTGTCCAAATGGCGAGATCTGCGGGATCCAAACAACACCCACTACCCATATCCGTGCAGCCGAATGCGCAGCACACTGTCCAAAGATCCAAAGAACCCAGTTGGTGTCTAACGTTAGTTGGAGCACTCCCCTGTCGTCTATTGGAGAGCCCGTGAAGTTGTGCAGCCAGCGCGGCATAAGCGGGACGATCGCAACGGAGGTCCAGCCGAACGGGAATGAACGTGTGGGAAAGGGATGTGCTAGGTGCTAGAGCCAGAGGGCGTCCTCAGGCGATCAAGCGAGCCAAAGCAACTCCTCGGGGTCGACATGTGTAAAGTAGCGCTCATGTACGTTGGTCTGCATACTGCATTCTGGGCAATCAATCGAGGCGTGAAGAGGCACCTCGCAACCATGTCGTCACGTGATGTTGAGATCTCTATGGCATGTCCCCCCGGCATTGTCTCAGCACTTCCCCATTCACTCTTGTTCACTCTCGGGCATCTACACACACCAACCGCATAGCCAGCGACAATGGGCGGGCCACCGGGCGACTCCTCGGCCGTGGGCGGCTTGGAACGGGCGCTGTCCTCCCTCGACATGGCCAACTCGCCCCGCCCGCCAACCAAGACGTCACTTATCGACCTCCCGGACGACATCCTGTACCACATCGGCCTCTTCCTCGAACCCCCACCAGCGACGGTCGAACCACACTGGCACACGTTTTCTACGGGCCCATTGCCCTCGTTTGCGGACACACGCTCGTTCAGAGCGAGCTGCAGGAGCGTCGCGGCCGCCGTGGCCCCGCCACCCCTCGGGCTCGACTTCCCGCTCGACAGAGCCGCGCTCGCCAGCGCCGGGTACACGGGCCAGGGAGGTGAACGGGATCTCGACGCCATCGAGGCAGCGGCGGACAGTTTGAACATGCGAATGGGGTGGTGGGCCCATACTCCGCGCCATGTCTTGAGCCGACTCAAGTGGGTGCAGCAGCGGCCCCCGTTTCGACCCGATAGCCTGATTAACTGACGACGAAACCGCAGACGCATCCGCTTCCCGGAAAGCATGACCCTCATGCACACCGACTATATCTCGCCGCAGCTAGCGAGGCAGGCCATGCTGGATTTCACGTTGCTGCTCTCACGCGCGCCCGCCTTGGCCACGGTCGAGATTTTCCACAACCCATTCTGCGCGCACGACGCGTACGGCCGGGGCGAGTACCGGGAATGCAAGCTGCGGTCCGCCACTGCTGCGGCGCCGCTGCACCTGCCCAGCGTGCGCACGCTGGTGGTGGGCGTCAAATGCCGCGTGTGCGCCATCCACCTCGCGACCATGCTCTCGGCCGCGTGCCCCAACCTCACCTCGCTGCGGTGTGCGCTCATGCGCGGCGCGCCGCTGACCTACGGCGACGACATGGCCGCCGCACAATACTTGCCGGCCGGCACGCGCGTCCCCGCCGGCATGTGGGCGCCATACACCCTCCTCCCGCTCGCCGCCAGGTCGCTCACGGCGCTGACGTTGAAGGTCGACGAGGGCGGCGTGGTCCCGTTTGCCTTCCTCACCAACGTCCTCCGCTCCCTGGCGCCGTGCCAACGCCTGCAGGAGCTGTACGTCTCGCAATATGGCGGCAGCCGCAAGATCGAGGTGGTGCACCACGTCATGAGCCTGCAGCCCGGTGGTACCCACGATGACTGGCTGCTTAACACCGCCGAGCAGGTGGACCGTCTGTTCGACGTCCTCGCGGCGTTTCCCGAGTTGCAAGCACTCGACCTGTGCGTCGGCCCGCGAACCATCATGCCGTCTGTCCCGCATGCACCCCACGCCTCCAGTACCTTCGTCGAGAGGCTCGAGTGGCGCGAGGGCGCCATGCGTGCCGCGCGTGTCATGGCTGACCGCAGCACGGTCACGCGAGGGTGGTGGTGGGTCCAGGTCTCAGACCTCGATTACAGCCAGTTGGAACGGTACGAGCGGTGGGCGTGGTGGATCGGCCATGACGGCGAGGTGGAGATGGACGAGACGCCACAGCGCCTTCGGCCCATGGTGGTGCGCAATCAGGACGGACAAGGGACCGTTGTGGATATACCGTCAGAGGCATGGAACTGAAGAGAGGGAGGGAGAAGATGGGTGGCATATATGTGATGTACACGGTTGTTTTAGTCTGCGTCAACAACGATCACCTCGCGCTCGCTCGTAGCGCCCGACTTGTCGGCCTCGTTCGCACCGCTGGCCTCGGCCTCGTCGCCACCGGCCTCGTCGCTCTCGGGCTCTACAACCACGGGCTCGTCCTCTGCCATAGATCCACTGCCTTGCGCTCCCGCTCCAGACCCACTGCCTTCTGCTTCTGCCGTCGCTGTGGCCACCTCGGCTTCCCCTTCGGTCTCCCCCTCGGCGTCTCTCTCCCCCTCCCCCTCCCCCTCCGCTGCCTCCTCCGCGGCGGACTTCTTCTTCTTCCGCTGCGCATCGACGTCTGCCAGCTTGCGCTTCTTCTTCATGTTCTGTCGGATACTGTTGATCGTGTCCGCGTGGCTCTTCATCAGCAGGCGCGTCTGGCGCTTTTGCGCTGGCGTCATTGAAATGGGCACAATAATCTCGACCTAGAGATCGTGGGTCAGCTTATGCAGGTCAACGTTGAACCCACCTTCGGGGGCAGCTTGAGGACATCCGCCTTGATGCGCCGCAGGATGTACGGCTTGATCATGTCGTGCAGTTCCGTCAAGAGCGTCTCGTTGAGGTCCATGAACCGCTCCTCGAGGGCGTCGAGGTGCTTGAACTCGGCCTCGTCCAGGAAATTGAGCAGGTTGAACAGCTCGCGAATGTTGTTGTTGAGCGGTGTGCCCGTCAGGAGGATACGCTGGACCGAGTTGAGCTGCTTGAGGCGGTTGAAAATCAGGTTGGTGTCAGACTTGACTGCGAGTGTTAGTTGGCGGTCGGAATGCCACAACTCACGCCTCTGGCCCTCGTCGACGATCACCACCTCCCACTGAGGCACGCTGTTAAAGTACTTGAAGTCAGATCCAGTAATGGTATCGTACGTGGTCAAAATGACATGCCTTTGGGAAACCGTCAACAAAAGCTCCCAGAGTCGTTCGTTACTCACGCCTTGAGACCGTCTGCCTTGCCCTGCAGACCCGGGTGGTACATTTCATATTTGGAGACAACCTTGCGCGAAGCGGCCTCGCCGTAAAAGGGCACCACACGGACGTGCGGCACCCATTTTTCAAACTCGCGCACCCAGTTGGTAATGGTCGAGTTGGGCACAACGACGAGGTGGGGATAGATCTGGTACTGTTCCGAGCAGAGATATCCCAGGAAGGAACACACCTGGATCGTTTTTCCCAGACCCATGTCATCGGCCAGGATACAGCTCTGCCTCTGCCAGTGCTTGTACAGGAGCCACTGGAAGCCCTCGATCTGGAAGGGCATGAGCGTGCCGCCGACGATGCATGCGGGCTGTTCCTTTGGTGGACGGCCTTGACGCGCCGCCATGGCATCGCGTTCCCTGCGCTGCCCGGCGGAAAGGATGGGGACGACGACCTTGCGCGCGGCCAGGTATCGCGCGAGTGCGCGCTTGAACGCAGGGTACAGCGGCGACGTGAACGGGGGCGGTGTGTCCCAGCACGACTCGCTGTACTGCAAGTCGTCCCATTTGACGTAAATCCACGAGACGAGGTGGGCAATGTCGTCGACGTCCTCGGGCCCCAGCTTGCGGTTGGCCAACTGCTCCCACCTGTCAATGTCGGTCAACATTTCAAGAGGAGGAGTCTCGCCATCCTTCCAGGTTCGCTCGGGGGGCTCATCGTCCTCGTCCTCATCGTCGGAAGACTCGATGCGGTTGCGCGGGGCCTTCTTCTTTGGCTTCTTGGGAGGGATGAGGTAAACTTCAAGAACGCGGTCGACGGTCTGCTGTCAGTTTCATGCCAGCGACGTTTCAACTCACGCTCCACTGCACTGGCAGAAGTTGCTCGCCATTGACATCTGGGGGCGGTCCATGGCCCTCCCATTTGGTATCGAGCTCAGCTTGCGCGCGGTGCCGGGGTCCGTCGCCCTGCCCCTCGGCCGCTGCAATGTCCTCAATCGTGGGAGCGACCATGTCGTCGCCAGCAGCTGCCAAAGTCTCGTCGGTAACGAGATCAAGAACGGGGCCCTTGTCGATAAAGTGTCGCACCTTGTGCCCGGAAATGGCTAGAATCCAAGCATGTGGAACCCAGACGACATGACGGAACCCGCGTTGCTGCCACTTGACGAGGTACTCGCGTGGGAGGCGGTCGCGGTAGCGTGGAAGCTCGCCCTCGTCACGCTCGGGCTCAAGAGCGTCGGCAGGCAGTGGGCGCCACGCCACAACCTGGCAGGTCAGATATTGTTCATGTCAGAGCGTACATACCCTGTCCACATGCCACGGCCAGTCGCGGCAACAGTGGCAAAACCAATAGTAACCCTCGTTGTTCTGATACTCGTATGCCAGTTCAGGGAGCGTGAACTTTTTGCCTGGAGGAAAGGGCGATTTCACTGCACGTTAGTGATGGCTGCTGCCATTTCAGAGCCACTTACAGTGCTCATAGTGGACGGCCTGTTTGCAACGCGAGCAGCGGAAGAGCAGGCTCGAAGGTGCGCTCTTGATCAGGCCGACAGGCTCGAGGGGCGTAGCGGTGTCAGGGTTCTCGGTCGGGGCCGGAATCTTGTCGCGAGACTCGGCGGCATTGCTATCGTCATCGATCGCGATGGGCTCATCTTGAGTGCCGCTGACCTCATCCTCTGTGTCCTCCGCATTGTGCTTTCCAGGCAGGTGACGGTCTTTGCAGACAAAGCAGATAGGGTACACGGTACAGCGGGTACACCTGTAGCGCGCCGTTTCGTCAATCTCAATCGAGTAGCGCGGGGGTGCGCCCGGGTTCTTGGCTCTGAAGGCATTGAGGACGTCCTTTTGCTCGGAAGGTTTCAAGCAACGCCAGTGGGACGACACGGTACAGGTGTCGCACTGGAGACCGTTAGCGTAATGTCAACTTGGCGACCAACCTCAAGCCATCCTTGGAGATCCCGCGCCTCCTCGGACTCGGACACGAGGTCTTCGTCACGCTTGCGGACAGCCTTGCCCTTGTTCTTCTTCTTCAGCGCCTTGGCGAGCAAGGCTTCAGCAGGCCCGCGTTTGCATTTTTCGCATGTCTTGTTGTCAGCTGGCCCAGCAGGTCACCACGGCCCACCTCGCAGTGCTTGGACAGAATCGCGCGAGTGGGCTTGGGCTTGTCGCCCTTGCCACCCTTGCCGCTACGATGCCGTGCGGGGGATGAGTTGGGACTGTAGTCACTCTCCAGCTCATCCGGCATGTCCTCGTCGTCTAATTCAGACTCGCCCTCGCTCTCGGCAAAGGGGTCAAATGAAGCCGAGGACTCGACGGACTGGTGGCGCGGGGCTGCGCGAGTTTGAGGCGGCACTGGCGGGGCAACACGAGCAACCTTGCCAGCGGAGCGGGTCAAGACCATGTGGTCGTCTGATGCGGACTCGTCGTCCGGGTCGTCACGGGGTTGCTGAGGTGGGCGATGAAGGGTGTGGACGGGAGGAGTGATGCAGAAGTGGATGGATTCACATGTAGAGGTGGACTGTGTCAGCGCGAGCACACATGACACTGCGCCCCACTCACCTGTCGTGACGACCTGGTCTGTCGTGGTGTCACATCGCGGGCACGCTTGGCAGTGCGGGTGCTGCGCCGAACCACCTCGTCCTCCGAGGCGGAGTACTCTTTGCTCTCGGTGTCGCTCTGGCTCTTTCTGCCAACGTACTCTACAAAGTCCTCGCTGTCGTCGCCATACCCGCCAAGGTCGTTTTCGTCATCGTCATCTGAGGAAGCCACTCTCCACCGAGGCTTGGTTGGTGCCGCGGCCTTGGCAGCTTGTCGTTGTGGCCGGCTCGGTTGGGCTCGTGGGCTTGCGCTACGGCCACTGTCTTGCTCTTGCATCACTTTGGCACGGCTACTCGCGGTGATGCGTGCTACACCCTCGGCATGGTGGTACTGGACAAGAGTTGCGAGAGGGAGAAATGGAATGTCAACGTACGGCTCGCCCTTTTCCGGATCCCCTGTAGCGGTCTTGGCCACACGCGCCTGCCGGACTGAGCTGGGAGCAGCAGCAGGCGGCGACGCCATTTCGAAGGGGTCGAAGTCGGAGTCGTCGGTGCCGGGGAGAGTGATGACAGCACGGGATGGGCCAGCGGATGGTTGCGGCGTACGATCATGTGCCGCCGCCAAGGGGTCCAAGTCCGAGTCGTCAGTGTCGGGGACAGTGATGGCAGTACGGGATGTCCCGGCGGATCGAAGTTGTCTCTCCTCCACCTGGGAATGGTCGTCCCCTTGGTCCGCAAACCGCTTTGATGTACGGCGCGAGGTGGGCGTGGTGGTAGGCCTCGTGGGAGATGCCGGGCTATCCACCACGCGACGGGTGGATCGACGACGATCGCGTGCAGGAGTGAGGACCTGGAGGACCTCTTCCTCGTCCGACTCGTCGGTGTTGCCGTGTGCGGTTGATCGTCTGCGAGGTGGCATGGTGCCTGCACACCTGTTTTGGTGATCGGGGTGGAATATTGGTGTTGATAGGGGTTTGTATTATTGTTGACGTAGTGCAGGTCGCGTCCTGGGTGCAGTGGTAAATATACTCCCGCTCTCTCCCTCCCGCCGCCCTACCGCGGGGTTCTCGCGCCACAGGCCACAGTGCGGATTGTTGCCACTGGCGGCGGCTTCTGACGCGTCGTGTTGCCTGTCTCTCACTCTCCCATCAACAACACAACACACCCATCCACCATCCATCCACCCACAGCCAACACCATGCAGCGCATCACCCGCCCCACCCTCAACGCTCTCGTACGTACACAGCACACTCCCCCACAAACCGCATGCTCCGTCCCCGTCCATACATGACGCGTCCAACCAGCGCGTCTCACACCACACCATCATCCCCCGTCTTCCGCTCCGCTAACACGCGTCGTAGAAGGCCGCCCCCATCCAGTCGCGCGGCTTCGCCAAGGCCACTCTCATCGGCCGTCTCGGCGCTGTCCCCGAGGTCCGTGACTCGGCCAACGGCAAGAAATACGTTCGGTACGCGTGGATGGCCTCCGCCAAAGGTCGCTTCTGACTTGTTTACCCAGCTACACCATTGCCGTCAGCCGCCCCCCCAAGCGCGACGAGAACGGCGGTGAGTCCCTACCCCCGAGGATATTCAAGCGGTGACACTGTACTGACGCTGTACGAAGAGATCGTCAAGGGCCCCGACGGCTGTACGTGTTATTGATGTCGTATGGCCCCATGTTCCATGTGCTAACCACTTCATCAAGTCGCCGTCACTGACACCGACTGGTGAGCTCTTCTTACTCTGGACCGCAGCTGACACACAGGTTCAACATCTTCTGCTTCCGCCCCAGCTCGATCGAGAGCATGCCCCGCATCCCCACCGGAAGCCAGCTCGCCGTCGAGGCCGTCCTCGAGACCCGCCAGACCGCCGAGGGTGTCCGCGACATCCTCCTCCGGTGAGCCATAACTCTTATCGCATTGCAACTAACGTCCCAGCGATATTTCCCATAAAGTTGTGAACTTCAAGTCCAAGCCCCAGCAGTGAAGCGCAGAGCGAGTCGTTGCCGCGCGTGAAGAAGAACGGTTGGATGTGAATTATGCACCACTGTGCCACGGAGAGACGTGGTTGGTGATCGGAGGTGATTGGCGGTGATAATTGACCGGCCAAACCCCCTACTAACATTTGCGATGCTCACAGTCGCAACTGCAGTCCCTCTAGATGGTTTTGCGACAGGTGAGTTGTTTCGGTGGTCAGTCTCAATCTCCCCAGGTCCTTGCAGCGGTGGGTATATGAGACCAGTTGGCGGGTAGTCAACAACTGTCCACCGCCGATCGGCCGCCCTGAACACGCAGCGGGGCCATGTCTTTTCGCTCATCAGTTGGAGGAGAGAGAACTGGATAGAAGCCTAGACATGGGTATGTATGCAGAAGGCCGTAGCCATGGGTACATATGCAGTGACTTTACTAGGAGACTTGACCAGGATGTGGCACAGGGTCGTGTGGGTGGGAACGGGAGTGAGCCCGTGCGCCAGGTGGTGGAATGCTTCTGCCGCATGGAACTGGCGGCGAGAAGCGGTCGAGCGCTGGTGAATCGACAGCGCGCACAATACGGTCGATGGCGGATTTACGCTCTCTATGCTATCTCTTGATGTCGCGTTCATGTTGGTGCAATCGTCGCAGGTTGGCTACAGTGGTCCTCATTTCTCGAGGCTGGAGACTCCTCCTCCTCCTCCTCCCTCTCTAGTCGATCCACGCCGGCTCGTCCTCTGCACCGTCTCCATCGCTGTCGTCCAGATCCCGCCACCGACTCGGGCCCGGCCCACCCTCGAACCGCTTCATGAGCTCGCTCTGCATGGCGGCCACGTAGGCCGGGGAAAGGGCGATGAGCAGTGCGTCGAGCGACTCGAATGTCCGCTGGTCCTCCGGAATCGCGGCGTCGCGCGTCGGTGTTGTGGATTCGACCTGGAACGTATCAGCCCCGCGTCTAATTACGCAGCAGAGCATAGCATAGCGTTCATGGTGATGCATCTGGGCAGCATTAAACTCACAGTGTAACCCCTCTGGTCAAACCTCACCAGGACGACCCCCTCGCCGGCCAGCAGCACCAGCCTTGCGCGGCCCACAACCCCCTCCGTCCCGCCCGTACTCGCATGCTGGGCCCTGACGGCCTCCCTCTCCTGCTCGTTGCGCGGGTAGCTCTCGCCCGTGAGGATGGAGAACGAGGTGAGCCCAAAGGCGTGTGACTCGAGCGCCGCCGTCAGCTCGGGTAATGGGTCCAGCAGGATGTTGTCTGGGGGAGGCGAGGACATGCTGGCTGGGAGGAAGAGGAGGGAGAGGTGCGTGATGGGCAGGAATTTGGGCTGGGAAATGGTGTTGAAGGGGAGGAGAGGATGCGAATGCGAAGGTGGTGGTGGTGGCGAGCGCGATGTGGTTTATAGGGGTGGAGGTTGTCGGTATGACGCGGGTGACCCTAATGTTGACAACGGAATCAAATCCCAGCAATGCCACTACAACCCTTCCTTTTGCAACTCTCTTTGACCTCTTCTGCCCACAAGCGTATGTACAATGCATGAATTGAACGTGAGATGTGAGGATTTTGATCCAGCTTCACGGGCCATAGGCTCGGAACCTGTGAAGCCGCCTCGACTGTTGATGCGTGGCTACTTTACGATGCTTGTGGCGCCACGCCCCACATTCTGTTTCCGCAGTCATGACCATAGTCCTTCCACCTTCCTCGATCTCTCAATCTGGGAGTGCTGATATCAATAAAGCACTGCGTTCAGGAGGAGATCGCGCAACCTCTGTCAGAGTCCCGAACGAGCCCTGGACGTTCTGCAGACGTCTTCGACGGGGCATTATGTACATTGTCTTCCGTGCTACATTAACCTGAGTGCCTTTCTCTTGTGTGGTATGGGTGACTCCATGCCTGCTGTGTTAGTGTACACCCTGACTGGGTTCACTCACTTGGTATGTTACATTGTATGACTCTCTCTCTGTCCCTGTCCCTGTCTCTGTCTGTCTCTGTCTCTCCCTCTGTGTCTGTGTGTCTCTCGCATGTTTGTGGGTGCCTGCTTGTTTTAGTGCACACTTTGGCTGGAGTCACTCACTTGGTATGGTACATTTTATGAGTTCGCGCCTGCGTGTGCGCGCGGCACTCGCCTTGCTCTGCAGGAGTGAGCACGGAGTGATCAACTGATCACCTACTTCTTGATGTCTTCATCTACATTTGGCCACTGCTCTCGCCATTTTTTTCGCCCTCCTCGTCAGCCTTGGCGCACTGTCTGGCCTTGTACACCTGCTTGCGGAGATTCTTCGGGCTGCGACGTTCCTCGAGAACCTCGGACGACAGCTTTGCGTCGCACCTGGCCTTGGCGAGCTTGCGCTGCTTCTTACGCTGGATCGAGTCCGCCTAGCGGTTCGTTGGAGTCGACTCGCGCTTCTTGGCCAGCCTGGGCTGGCGCACGTCGTCCACCTCGTTCGCGCGCCTGATGTGATCATTTTTGCGCGCAGTCTCGAGTCGCTTGTCGTAGCGGACCGGGTCCTGCTTGATGCGCTCGTACGTAGCCTTGTCGCTTTCATGCGTGCGGGCAAGACGGTCGGCACGCTGCTCGTCGCTCTCGAGAGCCTTCTCGTTTGCTCGGAGAGTCTGACGTGTCTTACGGCGCTTTTCAACATCGACGTTCGTGTTCTCGAGGTCGATGCGACGCTGGGAGTTGTGGGCAGCGAGGTTGTCGGCCCTCTCCGATTCCGAGCAGAGAGGGATGTAGACATCGCCCTCCCATGCCTCGGGAGCTCTCAACTCACGGAAGGCAGTCTTGACACTGCAACCGTGGTCGACCTCGTGGTGTCGGCGGAGGAGATACTCGGATTGGAACCAGATGAATGGATCATCCGAGTCGTAATCCTCCGCGCTGCTGTCGACAGGGCAGCCAAGACGGCAGCGATGGCCGAGGCCCGTGTGGTGCTCGTGGATGTGGCTGTTGAAGTTCCACAGATACCAGAACGAGGCCATGGGGCAGTCTGGGCAAGCGTACTTGCAGCGGGCTTGGTGCTTGTTGCGCTGCTCCCAGTTGTCAAAGACCTGGTTGCAGTGCAATGTCTCGCATCCAAAAGCACGGCGTCGACGCAGCTTCTCGCGCCCGTTGGCTATGCGGAACGGGCTGGCCGTGATCCTCTTTACATCCCGATGTCCAACTCGGCGTTCACGCTCGTCGTCGCTGAGCTCGACCTCACGGGCCCTCTTGCTGTCCTTACGGAGCTGTTTGCGCACAGCACCGTCGGGGTCGACGCGGCGTTTGGCGTTGCGCTCCTCGCGCTCCTTGGGTGCGAGGTTGCGGCGGCGCCTGGCCTCGCCCTCGCGCTTCTTCTTGAGGCAGGCCTCACGCTTGTCGGTGGGCTCGTCGCTGCGGCGACGGCGATCGTTGATCCGCAGCTTCTCGCTCCTGTGGGCGAAGCGGACGGGGTTGGCCTTGATCCGCTGGTACACACCCACGTCCAGCTCGCGTGTGCGGCGACGGCGAGTGTCGCGGTCGTGGTCGCTCTCAAGATCGGACCGGTTCTTCTTGTACACGTTGTGCACGTTGCGGTCCTGGGAGAGCTGTTCCTCGCTCTTCGGCTTGACGTAGCCATTGTTTTCCGCCTTGTATTCGGCGAGGGCGGCGAGCCTGTCCGCGTGGGCAGGGAGGGGGATGAACAGAGTGTCGTTGTACTGCCCGGAAGCGTCGTACACCTCGCGAGCCGTGGCATACGTGGCGCCATGGTCGACCAGGTGGTGCTTCCTCATCGCCGCCTCGGTGGCGAACCAGAGGTACGAGTCGAGGGCGGTAGAGGTGTTCTTGACCTTGCAGCCGAGCCTGCAACAAAATGCAAGGCCTGTGACGTGCTCGTGCTTGTGGTTCTCGTATGTCCACGTGCTCCAAAAGCTAACGCCACATGCCTTGCAGGCGAACTTGCAACGAGACTCATGGGCGTTGCGGGCCTTGAAGTCTGCAAAGGTTGCCTGGCACGAGGGTGTGCGGCAGGCAAAGGCGCCGACGGTCGGGTACATTGGGGCACCACTGAAAGGCGACATGTCGGAGGAGAGCCTGAAGGTGTCAGCGCAGGCCCGGAGAACGGCGAGCGACGTGCAGCCCGCCTCTGTGCTTGACGGCGGCCCCTGCTCCTCATCACTCTATAGGCACTCACGGAGGATCCTTTGGGTGAAGGAAGGGGAGGGGGAGGTTGGGGTCGACGGCTGACGACGCCAGCTGGGAAGAGTAAGAGAGTAATAAGAGCGCTTGAGGGTTAGGTGGATGTCTTGGAGAGAGAGTGAAGATTCGAAAGACATGTGTGTGTGAGAGAAGATGGAGAGTCAAAAGAAGAGATGCTAGACAGCTAGATATAGGCGCAAGGCCACGGGCCACGGGCCACGGGCCACGGGGAAGGTGAGTCAGCTGGCCAGCCGGGGGCGCAAGGTCAGCTGAGGCAACGTGAAGGTGACGATCAGTCGGGGCGCATTCAAAACACCGTCAACCCGTCCTGCAAGGGCTGGGAGAACGGGTGCCGGGATGCTGAGGTTGACGCTCAGAACCGTCGTGCTATCCATTGCGATATAGGATGTGACGCCGTTCAACAGCCAGTGCACACTCTCGCAGAGCCTAGAGCAACAAGAGTGTGTTGAAAGGAAGGACGATGCGATCCCGGATCTGCCACGAGCGCCCAGGATTTGACTGTCGGTATGACGTGGGGGGGGGGGGGGCACCTTAATGCTGGCAGCGGAATCAAATTTCGACCACCTACTCGTTGTGTCACTATTCTCCGCCCACTAGCATACAATGCATGACTTTACTGCCTGAACCTCTGACCTAGCCAAACCAGAGTTGGCGGTTCGTTCTCTCTCTCTCTAGGGTGCCGCAACGTGGCGCTCGACGTGCGCACCGAGCGAGTCGGGAATGGCACGGCCAAAGTCGATGTCCTTGACGAGCTCGCCGCCGAACACCACGTCGCCGCTCTTCGCCTTGAACTCCGCGATACGCGCCTCAACTTCTGGGCGGTAGACCTTCATGAGCCCTTGGATCGGCCAAGCTGCCGCATCACCGAGCGCGCAGATGGTGTGGCCCTCGACCTGCTTGCTGAAGAGAAATCAGTACAACTCTTAAGGGAAGGTGGAGTGCTGATCGCCGATCCGCCACACGGCCACACTGGTAGGAAAATGCTTACGTAAGCTCAAGGAGCATGTCGATCTCGCGCTCCTGTGCGCGACCCTCGACAAGGCGGTCCATCATGTTCATCATCCAAGTGGTGCCCTCGCGACAAGGGGTGCACTGGCCACACGACTCGTGCTTGTAGAACTTGGCGAAACGGGCGATAGCCTTGATCATGTCGACCGAGTTGTCCATGACGATAATGGCACCGGTACCGAGGGCGGTTCCGTGGTCCTTGAGCGAGTCGTAGTCCATGAGGACCTTCGCCGAGACCTCGCGGTTGATGACGGGGACGGAGCAACCACCGGGAATGATACCCTTGAGGTTGTCCCAGCCGCCACGGATACCACCACAGTGCCTCTCGAGCATCTCCTTGAGGGGCATCGACATCTCCTCCTCGAAGACAGCGGGGTTGTTGACGTGGCCCGAAACGCAGAAGAGCTTGGTGCCCGAGTTGCGCTCACGACCAAACGAGGCGAACCACGAGCCACCACGGCGAGCAATGGTAGGGGCGACAGCGACAGTCTCGACGTTGGCGACAGTCGAGGGGCAGCCAAAGAGACCGACGTCGGCGGGGAAGGGAGGCTTGAGACGGGGCTTGCCCTGCTTGCCCTCAAGCGACTCGATGAGGGCAGTCTCCTCACCACAGATGTAGGCACCGGCACCGCGGTGGACGTAGACGTCAAAGTCGTAGCCGGAGCCACAGGCGTTCTTGCCGATGAGGCCCGCAGCGTACGCCTCGTCAATGGCCACCTGCATGCGGTGGGCCTCCTCGATGAACTCGCCACGGATGTAGATGTAGGCGGCAGTGGCGTTCATGGAGCGACCAGCGACAAGACAGCCCTCGACGAGCTTGTGGGGGTCACCGCGCATAATCTCGCGGTCCTTGCAGGTTCCGGGCTCACCCTCGTCGGCGTTGACGACAAGGTAGCGGGGGCGGGGGTCCTTCTCCCATCCAGGCTTGTTCATGAAGCTCCACTTGAGGCCCGAAGGGAAACCGGCACCACCACGGCCACGGAGGCCAGAGTCCTTGATGGTCTGAATGATCTTGGCATCGCCCTGGAGGAGGATGTCCTTTGTCCTGTGCCAGTCGCCCCTAGACAGTGCTCCCTTCAGCTCTGGGAACTGTCAGCGATACCGTACATGACGTTGGAAGACAAATTGGAATGTTGGAGGACAAAGTTGAACGAGGATTGGCGGTACGAGGGGCTAATGTTTGACACCGCCGATCGCTCTGCCTCGACGTCCATGAGGCGGCAGAGCAGGCCATGTAAGAGTGCCTGCTGAACGAGGCCCCAAATCATCTGGCAAGACAGCCAGAACGGTCTAGGTGTAGATTAGACAGCCGTCCAAGCCCCTCGGCGCTTTACACCATCCGGTCGCTCTCCCGCGTTCTCTCCAACACCAAGAGTCCTCCCTCTCTCCCTCTCGACATACTCCAATCATTCCTGGCGTGCACGTTGGTGAAGATCCTATCCTGGTCACGAAGACCTCCGTGAATGTGGACGGGTGTGTCGGTAACCGTGGCCAGCGTGCGGGCCTGCTGGCGAACGGCGGCACGAGCGACCGAGCGCGGGAGAGCGGCAGTCGACTTGAGCATTGTCGGCGGGGGAAGGTCAGAGAGTGGGGAGAGGGGTACGAGGGTCGACGCGAGTAGCCGTAAGTGATGGCCAGTCGGTTGTAAGGCTCTACGCCGAGGAATAGGTGTAGGTCGAGGTGTACGGTGGTCGACGGAGGCGACTTGTCCTGTGTCCTCCTGTGGTGGTGAGCCTCGACGAATGGGTGGAGACGCAATGGCAGCTCCGCGCGACCGGCTCGCCGGAGTTTGCGGGAGCAACGGCGTGTGGCACCACTGCCTAGCTCGCCCTGGATACTGGTTGGAACAGACAAACAACACGAACGTCATGCATGCATGACATCGCCTTTACTCTCTCAACGCTCTCACCTCAGACACTGGTGGATAGGCTTTCCTTGCAGAGAACAGGACGGTCAGGTAAGGGACAGGCTGGCAGGAGACATGCCAACCAGCCCGTCCCAGAAGCCAGAAACACAAGTACAAGGCAAGGGAAGTCTTGCCTTTGTGGTCACTCCTTTTCCAGTGTAACGTGACCAGTGCGTATGTCACAATTACAGAAGCTGATCATGAACGATAGACATCGGATCGCCTTCGCACTCATACACACCTGTTGATCATTCCTCGATCGCCTTCGCACGTATACACTTGCTGATCATTCCTCGTCACTAATCTTGATCGGTCGAGAAGACCGCGTATTTGACTCCAGGGCCCAGCAACGGCACAAAGCCAAGTGCAAGAGGCATTGCTCGCTGCATGGTTGCGGTGGACACACTTTCAAGTGAAATAATTGTACGACAATCAATCACATGCGCCAGCACACCACCGGCGTCCTCTCACCACCGCATTCAATGTTCTGCCTCTCTCCAACATAACCCCCGGCCGCGAGTACGTCAAGGACCTGGCCGCCAAGCCGGGTTGCAAGCCGCTTCCCTGGACATGGATCAGAAATGCTCTCTACACTCTGAATTCATCTCCATCCTGAGTATGGGCGACCACTGGGCAGCCTTGCAAAAGCTCAATGGACGCCTCTGGCAGCACATCGTACCTCCAGCTCGGTTGAGCAGAGCAGGTTCTGGTCGCCTGCAGACGTTCCACGTCCCTAATGTATGCGGTCGACCGTCTGCGGTGCGGGCACGGAGCGCGACCCCACTGGCCAGTTTATCCCCGTCTGCCCCGCCTGTCGTTCTTGGTGGTCCGAGAAGCGGCCAGAACTGGAGGAGAGTGGCGGCGAGGCCATTGCCGAGGGCGACGTGCACCGCATCGAGCACATGACGAACGATGTGCTCGACTGCAGCAGGGTGTGCCGCGGATACGGCTTTACCAACCCCGACCTGGACCCACTGTGCCACGCATGTTTCGTCGACACTTTCAAGGGTATTGTCTCCCTATGGAATTCCTCAAGTGGATCCCGAGGCCATATACCCGCAAGAGCATCGACATCGACATGCTGAACGCAACCGCAATGTCTTTTGACTGTGTCGTTGCCAGTAAGACACCGAGTACGTTGTGAGCGCCATCTTCGACACGGCCATTGGCATGTCCCACTCTCTCGACACCTAGTAAAGAATGTACATCCGATGACGGCTTGGGGCTTCGAGGGGGGTACCGTATGTGGTCCAGGAGGGAAACACAGAGTGTCCTTTCAGTGCCCACGAACCAAAGTACTACGTACATCACTGAATCATTGGATCACCCGCTACTCTGTGACCTACAAGTGCAGCTCTCAGTTCTCAGCTCCCAGACCCCGAAACCCACGTCGACCACATTTCTGTAACAGCTTGCGGCCGCAGCTTGAGCCAGGTCGAGTACGTTGATAGTTGTCCAGGGCGCGCGTGTGCTCATCCCACGGATCCACACTCGCCATATGCACATGATGCACCAGGAATGCATGAATTCGCATGAATGTTTGGCTCCGCGCGGAGTTCAGACAGGGGTCGACACAAACCCGGCCTCCTGGTTGGCTGAGCCATGTGAAACGCGTTAGGTGTCAAGTAACTGGTCATAGTGAAATGATACTCGGTTTTTCCCCAAAACACACAATCCGGTCGTAAACGCTATGCGGGACCAGCAAATGGCCGCATAGTGTGTTTCTCCCACCCCACAAAATCCATACACAAGCCTCGAAAAGCGGTCAACGCCATGCGGGACCAGCAATAGTGTGTTTCTCCGATCTCCTCGTCGTGACTTTATCGTAGATCTCAGGTCTGAGAACCATGACCCACACCATGCACTGCTTCTGACTTGGACGTTGGGGGACATGTACCATCACACTTTGCTTCTCTGAACACAAATGTCACATGACCACATGGTCTCTGGCCTCTGGCCTCTGGGACACTCTTCACAAGCTTCACAAAGGCCCGAAGGGCAGGCAGTTGCAAGAGACGCACAGGTGAGAGACTCGCCAACTGGGGCTAGCGGGCGCCAACGCGTGGTGATCAGTGCGGCAAAACACGCCCACCAGCCGCGCCTTCGTCTCTGTTGGCATGTGGGCGCTGGCACTTGCGCATTGGGCACTCTGGCGGTGACGACGACACTCTCAGAATGGTTATCGGCGGCTCGTTGCATGGCGTGGCCTGCTGTGGGCGGAATGCACGCAGCCAACCCAACCTGCGGGGGGGGCGGGTTATCTCTCTCGATCAACACGAGGAGAGATAGCGTCCTTTCTCCTTTTGGTTACTCAGGCCCCATTTCTGCCATTGTTCCCTCGCTCCCAAGCGCTCTCTTGCTGTCCGATAGCGTCAGTGACACCCAGACCACTCTGTGTGCGCAGCCATCAGCCGCAGCCGCCGAGTCGTGTGTGTGCAAGGTTAGACACAAGGGGGCCGGCGGCACCACCACAGGTCACGCGAGCAGCGACCGCCCCAAGATATAACCACCACCCCAGCGGCCATCGGCCAGCCATCACCCCCACCCACCCACGCACTAATTATCCAACGCTCTATCTAAACAACGCAACAACCGTCCATTCCATCACTCCCCGTCCCTATAACATCCCGTATGACTGCAAGTGCGTTACCCAGCCATACTCTGGGTGTTCCTCTGCCTGCATACCACTGACGCACTCCAGCCATGAGCTACCTCGACATCCTCGGCTCCCGCATGCTTGTCATGTTCTCGCCACCCATCACCAAGTCGTCGCCACCCATGCTCGAGCCCCCGTCGCCCCCGGGTTCCCCGACATCGTCTACGTCGTCCCTCCTGGCAATCTCCACTCCGCCCCCCGTGGCCGTGTCCCTCCTCTCCATCGTGTACGATGATGCTCACTGCGCGCACTTTCTCGCCAACCACGTCCTCACCAGCGCGGCCGTTCACCCGGAGACGTACGACGTCCACGACGCCGAGACCCGTCTGATGACCGCGGCCGCCGAGGTGCTCGTCTGGCAGGAGATTTCCCGTGCCAAGTCGTTTGCGCGTGACCTCGGCCTTCTGTTCACTCGCTCCGAGTGTGTCTGTGAAGAGGATCTCGTGGAACTCGCTGCCTCCCACGGTCTCGGTCTCGCCCCGGGAAACAAGCGTGTGCGTGCCAGCCGTGAGCATGAGGAGCCCAACCATTTCCATGCGGACCATGTCGACGCCACCGCCGGCCTCCTCGCGTGAAGTATGAGCGCGCGCGCGTGATCGCCACCGCCAAAGTCCCCCTAACAAGAGGCGTACACCCAGGCACTGGATGCCCCGAACTCCCAGCAACACCACCACCAAGTTACCCCGACTCTCCCAGCCCAGTGCATTTCGATACCACTTTTTCGCATCCGCATGGCGACGCCAAGTTCCCCCCCCCCCCCACCCCTCTCTACATCAACAAGCGTCTGAAGTACTCAAGATTCCTTTCCTCTCCACTCTCTCCTCAAAGGGCCAGCGCAATGTATCTGTGTATAATATTAGTTCAGGTCTACCCTCGTGTCCCCTCGTATGCAAAAAGCAGTTATCACACGTACCCAGCAATCATGGCCAGGCCGCCCAGGGGTGTGATAGGACCGAGCACCTTGGCGACCTGGTCGCGCCAGAGGACGAGGGCAAAGATGGATCCACTGAACACTGCGGTAAGGCGTCAGCTACAATTCACACCTGCCGGCCACGAGGCCAGCTAATGACAGCCTCCCGCTCTAGGCTCTCTTCATTATCCCCCTTCTCCCTGTACTCACCCGCCGTGCCACCGAAAATGAGGCCCGCCGCAGTCTTGTACCTGCGCATGCCGAGGGCAACGGACGGGTGCGCCGAGATGGCCATGAGCGCGAGACCGTTGTAGATCAGGTAGCTCGATCCCGTCATCCACGACGCGTGCGACTTGTCGGCCATGTCGGGGAACCGCGCGCGAAGGGCATGGGCGCCGAATGCGCCAAACGAGATGCCCGTGGCGGTGAGGGCAGCACCGGTGCGGAAGAGGGTCTGGGCGGACATGGTGGGTGTGGGTGGGTGGTTGTTGTAGGAGTGAAGGATGCGCAGACGCGAAGAGATCCGACACGAGGGAGCAGAACGTCAGAACGTCATTGTGGTCGCCCTCCACCGCGGAGGCTGGTGCCGAAGGCACACGCAGGCGGTCCAGGAGAGAGGCCGTGGGAGAGTGAATTGTAAAAGTGAGGCCGAGTTAGGCGTGTTGCAAATATGGGGAGCCTGGCGGAGGAAGGCGCGGGAGCTATTTGCCACCTAACTCACCTCCAACTCCAACAATGCTCATCAATCTAAACCATCGTCGCCCCACGTTCTTCATATATCCTTCCTCTCTGGTCCCCACAATGGCCGTCCCACTGAACGTGTACCCACACTTCAACGCAGAGGAGGCTGCATCTGCCGCTGCCGAGTTTGTCGCAAGTGAGCAAAGCTGACACACTCTTCGTTAGCTGACTGATCAGGCCTCGACAACCTCCCGGGTGAGGTGACCTTCCTCTTGCAGGAGATTCGCGAAAAGGACGAACGCATTAGCCGTGAGTTGCAGTGATATTGGTCTTTTTTAACTCTGCAGAACTTCTCAGCCGCATCAACCAGCGCCACTACGGGCTCACCAAGAGCGTCAAGAACCTCTCTACCGCGCAGCCCGCCACCCCTAACCCGCCGTTCACGCTGCCCATCCCGGCCAGCGCCGCCATCCCCACCGCCCACCTGACCACAAAGGACGCGCAGAACGTGGCCAAGATCCAGGCGGAGTGGGGCAAGATCGAGTCGCTGCAAGACGAAAAGATCAAGCTCGCCGAACGCCTGGAACGTATCGTCTCGCGCGGCCGCGAGCGCGGACGCGCAGAGTGGAAGCGCGTCGGCGGCATGGACATTGACGAGCTCGAGACGGACGTCAAGCTCGGCGACCTGGGCGGCGCCGACGTCCTCCTCCCGACTGTGGGCCTGGGCTCGGGATCGGACGCGCGCAAACGCCGGGCCAAGCCCGCCATCCCGCTCGCAGCGGCCATCAGCGCCGGGTCGTCAATGGGCGCCATCGGCTCGCCTGCGGGCAGCATGCCGCCGCCTCCCGCGCCGCGCGCCGGCTCGCAAGGACGCAGCGGGAGCGCAAGGGCGAGCGGCGGCGGCAGCTCGCGCGACAAGGGCGGCGACCGGGATCGCGACCGGGACCGCCATCACTCGGTCACCATGTCGGAGGCCGACGCGGACGGCGAGGTGGAGATGGTCGAGGCCGAGGCAGAGGCAGAGGCCGACGACGCGCTGTACTGCTTCTGCCAGCAGAAGAGCTATGGCGGTGAGTTTTTTCGTTGGCCCGTAGGAACGGACAGAAACTGACGTTGCGCAGAGATGATCGGATGCGACAACGACAGGTGTTCCTACGAATGGGTAAGTGTAGCGATTTGTGCGACTTTGAGGGTGTTGTGCCGAGCTGGCTGCGCGAGGCCATTACCAGCTGCGTGCACATGTACACCGTCTCACTCCACCGACCGCTGCTGACACGCCCAGTTCCACGTCAAGTGCGTCAACATCTCCGGCACGCTCCCCGAGACGTGGTACTGCCCCGACTGCGTCACCAAGCTCGGTCTCAGCTCGAGCGATGGCAAGGTCGCAAAGGACCGCAAGGGGAGGAAGAAGTAGGCCGCACGCAGAGTGTGTGGTCGCGAAGGATCCCGTGGGAGTTGTATCATTTTCGCATGTATTCTGCTGTACAGTATCCGCGACTGTTGCGTGTCAGTTATAGCTCTGTGAGACCACTGAATATTGTCTGTTGGACATCGCAACACGGTGCCGGCCGCTCTCTTCTCTCAGTCGCACTCCCCAGCTCTGCACCGCGCACGCAATCCTCAATAACCTATGCGATACATACAAGAAAGAAATCGTTACTATGTGGGAGAAACTGTGGTATGACACACACACCGTCATGAGACGTCGGTGGTGGTGGTGGTGGTGGTGGTTTGTTGTTTGTTGGGTTTACGTTAACTCATGCTCTCCTCTCCTCCCCTCCCCCCATCCTCAATCTCCCTTACTCCACCCTCTGCCTCTTCCTGCGCCGCGCCTCACTCGCCTCCTGCGCCCGCGCGACAATGTTCGCCTCGGCCAGCTTGCGCAGTCTGTCCAAGTTGGCCATGAGCTCGGTGACGCCCTCAATGTCCATGTTGGCGATGGCGGCCTCGTTGTTGGAGGCCTCCTGAACCATGGCGAGGACGCGCGCCTGCGTCGCTGTGCGGCGGTATGGCGAGGGGAGGAGGTGGTCGTGGTCCGGCTCTGCGGGCGCGGCGTCATGCTCGTCGGCGGCCGGGACGACTGCCGAGGCCTCGGACGACGCGCTCGTGGAGCGCGACGACCGGCGGAGGGCCGCGGTGCCGCGACGCACGGGCGTACGCGTCACGGTGGTGTCGCCTGGAGCATCGGAAAACATGCCGCTCTCGGACGCCTCGGCTGCGGCTGCGGCCTCGAGGACCTGGGCGGCGTGCGCGATGGACAGCTCCTCCTCGCGACGCTGCTCGGCGGCGCTCTGGGGCGAGAGGAGTAATTCGTCCTCTTCCTCCTCGGACTGGACAGAGCGGGTACGACGGCGGGTGCGCTTGCCGCGTGCCGTAGCAGTGCTGGGAGGCTCTTCGGCGGCGGCGGTGCGCTTGCGGCGAGAAACCGAACGGGTGGCGCGTCCAGACGCGGCGGCCGGGACGACAGGGGTGGCCAACTGCGTCGGGGACAGACCGTCCCGCGCAGGAGGGCTGGGCGAGGCGTTGCGCGAAACAGTGACTTCCTCCGGAATGCCCTCGTCGAACGCACTCTCACGACGGCGCTTGCGGCGCTGCTTGGTCGCGAGAGAGGCGGCGTCAGGTTCGGACGACGACGCAGGGACCGCAACATCCGCTTCGTGCTCGTGCTGCTGCTGGGCGTTGAAGAGGACACCCAGCGAGGGAACCTTGCGGAGCCAGCGGGATGCCGAAGAGAACAAGCTTGGGCGCTCGGCCTGGCTGGGCGTAGGCGTTGCCGTGGGCGTGTGGAATGGCTCGGCGTCGGCGTCGGCCTCGGGCGACTCAATGTCCGTCTCGGCAATGATCGTGTCGTCACCAGCAGCCACAACGGGAGTCGATGTGGGCACCAGCAAGGGCGATGACGGAGCGACTGGGGTAGCCGCCACATTGGCGTCCGACTTGGAACGGCGAGTCTTGCGACGGAGGCGGCGTGCTGCTGGGATCGCGGCAGGACCAAAGACATCGTCGGTGGCAGCGACAGCCTCCACCGGCGAGCTCGACTGGGGGATGAGCTCGCTCTTGCGGCGCTGACGAGTAGCCTTGGTGTTCTGCGAGACGTCGGCGTCGTAGTCGACCGAAGGAATAAGGGGTTCGGGCGCGGCAGGGACCTCGGCAGCCACGTTACGGCGACGGCGGGTACTGGGCGTGGGCGCGACCAAAGGCGGCGCGTCAATGATCTCAAGGTCGTCCGCCTCGGGGGCGTTGCGGCGGCGGCGACGGGTGTTGGGCGCCGAGACGACGGGAGGAGGCACCTCAATGGGCTCCTCAGGTTCTTCAACCTCGATGGGCTCAGGTTCGGCAACCTCCTCGATGCTGTCCTCGACAACGTCCTTGATCTCCTCCGACACCTCCTCCATGACCTCAAGGGGCTCGACTGGCTCGACAGGCTCAGGAGTAGCCTCAACGACCATCTCCGGCTCAGCCGCACGGAGGACGGGCTCCAGAGTCTCAGCGTATGGGTAGATGCTCTGCGACTCGGTGTCGAGGCTCTCGAGGCCCTCGGCGATAACAAGGCCAGGGACGGCGGTGAGGACGTCTTGGAGGAAGCCGGCCACGTCGTCGCTGTAATCGACCGCACCGAGAGGCTGGAACGCGCGGTGCCACATGTCGCGGAACGCCAGTGGGACGACGCGGCTCTGAGCGCGGGACAGGCGAGGAGCGTACATGTCAATGTACGCGTCCATGGCTTCGCTGGAGGCTTCGATGGCGCCGGCCTCGATGGCGCGGGTGAGCGCACCCAGGACAGCAATGTACAGGTTGTCAACGGCGTCACCGAGGTCGCCCGAGATGCGGCACTCGGCGTCACCCATCCAGGCGCGGAGAGAGGGGCGGAGCGGGTCGAGGACGTCGGCGACCGAGTCGGGCGGGAGAGCAGAGAAGAGGGTGGTGAGGCTGTCGATGAGCTTGGCGGCAGGAGCCACGTCAAGACTGTACGCGTCGCACAGGGCTTGGTCGACAAGGGCGAAGAAGTCGGAGGGGACATAGTTTTCGTTGATGGAAAAGTGCGAGGCGTGGTAGTGCTCGGTAGGGACCAGTGTGATCCAGCTGGTACCCGCAGCCAGGCAGTGGAGAGCAGTAGCGCTCGCACGCCTCTTGCGGGTCGCCTCGCTGTCCTCGTCGTCGTTGTCGACGCGGATAAAGTCGCCAAGGTGGGCCGAGAGAGTCTCCAGCACCCCCAAGTTGGATCCTGCGCGCCTGGCACGGAAACGGAGGACGGTGACCTTTAGCAGTGCGTCCCACGCCTCGAGGGCCTCGACAGGGGCAGCCGAGTACCAGACCGAAGCGGCGTCGCGTGAACGGAAGGGGCACGAGAGGAGCGAGACGAGGAGCGACCCAGTGTGGTTGGTTTGCGAGACTGTGTCCGATGGCTGGAGGTCGATGACATCTGCCCACTTGAGGGCCACGAGGCGCCACACGTCAAGGTGCATCTCCTCGGTGGCCTCAAAGATCCATGGCATGCCGTTGGTGACTTCGCCAAGGAGACGGGTGCCGACCTCGCGCGCCGAGCCGTCTGCGAGCAGAGTGCCAATGAGCGACTGGAAGAGAGAACGGACCTTGGGCTCCATGGGCGAGGTGAAGAGCTTGGAGCGCAGGACCTGGCCAAGGATACATCCGGCAGGCGTGGGGTTGCCGAATGCCTTGTCGATAAAGGCCGGCTGCACCTCGCCGGGGCGAACCTGGACGTCGATGCGGGTGGTGCTAAACACTCCCTCGCCGAGGACCTCGGTGGCAGTGTTGTATAGGTGAAGCGTGACACCGAGGCGGACCGCGTCCGAGTTGAGCGTCGACTTGCCGCTCGAATTGAGGAGGCACACGGGCACAAACGACGCGGGGTCGCGTGTAAAGATGTTGAGAATATGCTGGGTAATGAACTTGAGTGCAAAGGGGAAGAGCGGGTTGGGCGAGTCGGGGGTGTTGATGGCGGCGAGCGCGCGGAGAAGGTTGGCCCACACGCGCGAGAGGGTGGCTGGGAGGATAACCAGACCGTCGGCGTTGGTGACCCACTCCACTGCAGCGAGGTCGCTGATACCGCGGATACCGTCAAACGCATCCTGGAAGAGAGACAGGAGCTTGCCGAGACGCATGGAAACCCAGGCCTTGCCCCAGGCTGGAATCTCAGAGGCCTTGATCTGGTCGGCCTCGAACATGCGAATGACCTCTGGTGTGACCTTGTCGAGGCCCAACACTTCGCCACTCAGGTAACGCTTGAACAGCAGACGCTCGAGCGGGGGAACCGACAAGCCGGTGGCAGGGGCGGGAGCGGTGATGGCCTCCAGAATCTGCCAGCCCTGGTTTTTGAGAAGGTCGACGCCGTTGATGCTGAAGAACTGCTTGAGCAAGGGGTTGAGGATCAACTCGAAAGTCCTGTCGAGACGGGGCATGCTGCGCTCCTCGGGGCTCTGGTCGTTGACCATGCCGTCCGAGCTGGGCAACCCCGATACCCGCGACACCTCGCGCGCAGGGACGTCTTCGTGCGAGAGAGCGACGACAGTGTATGCGTACACCATGGCAGGCGCAGACATGCCGCAAGTGACCATCCAAGCGAGCCTTTTGTTCTTCTCGCCACGCTGCCAGCTCCAGCGCTGTTCGCCGTTAAACTCGGCATGAGCCACAAGGGAGCGGGTAAAGTTGATGGAGTCATTGGCCTGCTTGAGCGCGAGGTTGGCAGGGAGGAGAATGGCCTTGAGACGCGAGGCAACGTCCTGCTGGGACGACGCGGCGAACGCATTGTATGACCGCACAATGCGGGCGTCGTCCGTGACAGTGACTGAGCTGCCGGCCTGGAGGTAGGCATATATGGCATGCTGCCATGCGGCGGAAGCAAGGGTTGGGCGGACAGAGTTGGTGGAGGGTTGCAGCGAGCGGTCCATGATGTGGTCGATTTCTTGCACCTGCGACGATGTGTTGTATGCGTGGCCCATCAAGCTCACGAGCATAGCCCAGGTCGAGCATGCCCATGCGACTTCGTCTGCACTCCCAACAGTCTGTCGGAACATGTTCTGGAGAGGGCTCCACTCGGTCTTCTTGTCGCCGTTGCTGTCATAGACCAGCTTGCCAGCGACCTTGAGCGGCGCCTTGAGGAAATTGGAGACAAAGGTCTCGCTCTTGGCGACCATGGCACGCGTCTTGGTCCACTCGGACGTGTCGGCGCGATTCAAGTCGGCATTCTCAAGGAGACGAAGCTTGGACGAGACAAATGCCGCGGCCGCAGCCGATGCCGACCGACGGACGGTAGGGTTGTTGTGGGCCAAGCTGCGCAGACAGATGGGCAGCAGGCTCTGGTATGACGAGAAGAAGACATCGGGGTACGCGGCGAGCAGGTTGGCCATGGCATTGAATGCCTCCTTGCGAATAGGCGAGGGATCCTTGATGGCATTTTGGCCCAAGCCAACAGAGTTGAGGGCAAGCTCGACCGATGCGACCACCTTCTTCTCCATCGGGCGCACCCAGGCAGCAGGAAGGTTGAGCTGCGACAGCACAATCATGGCGAGGGTGTAGGTACGCTTTGGCGAAGGGGTAGGGAGGCTGGGCGAACGGAAGATGACGAGAACCTGGTCTAGGAGCGCGAGGAGGTCGGCCTCGGTGAAGCAAACAAACATGCGGGGCGAGTTGAGGATGCACGCGAGGAAGCGGAGGACTGAGCAGCCCACACCCGCCGCCTCGCGACGGTACATGACCTCGGCGGCAGTGTAGCCCTTCCTGGGCGACTTTACAGGCGATGGAGGGTACTGGGAAGGGCTCGAGGCAACCAGGCCACGGAAGGGAGACGACGACTGGTCAGTCTCGGTGTTTGGGACGCGGCCCATGAGACGGTGGAGATCGCGCTGCATGGCGCGGACAATGGCCGGGGCCTCGTCGAGGATGGGTCGATACACCTGGTCAAACGACGCGTGGGCTGACAGTGTCGCGGGTCCCATCTCGTACATTGATTCGCGGAGGCGAAGGGTCAACGATGTGTACGCTTCCTCGAGCGTCAACAGGTCGCCGGCACCTTCCAAGATGACGTCGACGAGCGATGTGGGATGCAAGCACTCGACCTCTTCCTCCTCCTCGGACCCGTCGCTGGCGTCGGACCCGGGAGCGTCACCCTCGCCAGTGTTCGAGTCGTCGGAGGGAGGCTCAATGTCGTCGGATGTTGGTTTGCCCATGACGCCGTCTTCGGCCCCATCGCACAGCTCTGCCAGGACCATGGTACCCCGTGTATTCCTCGGTTTGCTACCGGTGACGATGAGGCGTGCAGGCTCGCGGTTATTCCACGTGCCCTCGTTGACCGACTTTGCCAGTCGGATGGGATACGCCTTGGCCTTCAGGATACTACGCAGCGACGGGCTGGCGCAACGCAGGTCGTGGCAGGGCGAGTCGGAAGATGGGGCGTCGTTTGGGTTGGAGCTGCTAGATGAAGGAACGAGGGGGTCGTTGGAGTGGAAGAGTTTTGTGTGTGCCAGCTGGGGAGAGAATGAGACACGAACACGGATGCGACTGGAGCTTGCAACAGCGTTGGCGTGTGTGCTGGGGGGGAGCGACGACGATGCGCCAGACGACAACCGTGGGCCAGGGCCAGACGCGGCTGCGCGGGTGGGTCAGAAACTGTACTCATGGTGGCCAAGTTCAGACGCGCTACTCACCAATGACCTTTGACGCGCGGAGGGGGGCGATTGGTGTGCTCTGAGGTGTGTGCTGGGTGGTGTAGGCGTGCTTGGAGGACGACGCAATGGGAGTGGTAAAGAGGTTGGGTTGGGGTGTGTGAGAGGACGCTGCGCGCCGGGTGGTTGGAGACATGGGATGGGGGGACGAGGCGCGCTAGGTTTGGGCTATTGTTGAGGATGTGATGATATTGAGTGGACTCGGCCAACAGCGCGAGTATGCAGTGGATGGGGAGGGGGGGAGGGAGATGGAGTGTGTGTTTGTTTGACTGTATCGTTTCGTTTGCGCGTGAATGGGTGCGAGGGAGACGAGGGAGATGAGGGAGATGAGGGAAGAAGGGGTTTGCAGATGTTAACAGCAGGGTCACCAGCCAGTGCGCCAGCCAGTGCGCCAGTCATACGCGTTCACCCAGCAGCCCCCGTTCTCGCCGCAATGAGAGGAGGCTGAACGCGCGGTTGTCCTGAACGCGGCGCGCGCGCGCGCCCATGCACCAGGAAATCAAAAATACGTGGACATTGCATGTGGCGCCCCCCCCAGCTTCACCCTGGTAATGTCCAGCCATCAGCCTCGCGGTCCTGCACCCCACCAAGCATATTGAGGTGTTGTGGACAGTGAGAGGGGTACATGTGCATAATGTACACGGCCTGCGCGCTCTAGATGTCTACATCGGTGTCACCGTGAGGAGCACAAAGGTTTATCAAAGTGATGGCATTCTGGACGTTTGACACACGCTTTGTACATTACAAACCCGCGCGCCCCAGGCACACACGCCTTTTTCCCTGCAAAACGCAACGCGTTGGACATTTGCGCCTATTTGGCCAATTGGCCTCATTGATGCTCACAAGGCGCCCGCAGTCCCTCCCATGCCTACCATTTTGCCCCCGCTTCCAACGCCACCCACCCGCTCTGGCGGCCCTCTCCGGCCCAGCCCGTTCGGTTTATTCGGTTTGCCACCTACCCGGGAGAGCGAGGGACACTTGCTCATCTCTTTTCCAACACATTCTCCATTTCAACCCACTCGCCTCCGGGCTCCCCACCCCCCTTCCATCATGCCTAGCTCAAGAGATGTCGGCCGCGTCGTCATGGACGGTAAGCTAATGCCTCGTGACTTGCAGCTGACAGCCAGTGGCATTCTTCGCTGCGTCGCAGGTAGCGCTCTACTACGCGTTGCGGTACGTCTTGTCGTCGCTTGCCGACACACCCGGCGCAAGCAAGAAGAGCAAAGAGAAGGGCGAATCGCTCCTGTCGCAGACCGGACTGTCCAAGGAACAGCTGGCAGCCCTCGACCTCGACGAGTACGAGACGTCGATCGCTGGCGAGATTATCCCTCCCCAGGCGATTGACACCACTTTCGAGTCCATCGGTGGACTGGACGAGATCATCAACTCGCTCCGCGAGACCGTCATCTACCCGTTGACGTACCCCGAGCTCTTTGCTGCGGGCGGCTCGCTCCTCTCTGCGCCCCGCGGTGTGCTCCTGTACGGCCACCCAGGCTGTGGAAAGACGATGCTTGCCAAGGCGCTGGCCAAGGAGAGCGGCGCTACGTTCATCAACCTCCCTCTTTCCTCCCTCACCTCCAAGTGGTTTGGCGAGAGCAACAAGCTCGTCAACGGCCTGTTCTCGCTTGCGCGCAAAGTCCAGCCGTCCATCGTAAGTGTTGCCCGTGAAACCCAACCCGGATATGCGGGAATTCGGGTTTGGGCCCATGACTTTCCTCTGTCGTGCTGTCCGCTGACGCGGCCCAGATCTTCATTGATGAGATTGACTCGCTGTTCCGTGAGCGTTCGCAGGCCGACCATGAGGTCACTGGCATGCTCAAGGCCGAGTTTATGACCCTCTGGGACGGCCTGACCTCTGGCACCGACCGCATCCTGGTTCTCGGTGCCACGAACCGCCCCAACGACATTGACCCGGCAATCCTCCGCCGCATGCCCAAGCGCTTCGCCATCCGCCTCCCCAACTATGAGCAGCGTCTCAAGATCCTCTCCCTCATGCTCTCGCACACCAAGCTCGCCTCTGGATTCTCCATCGAGGAGCTGGCGCGCCGCACCGACGGCCTGTCGGGCTCGGACCTCAAGGAGACGTGCCGCAACGCCGCCATGGTCCCTGTCCGCGAGTTTATGCGCGAGAAAGGTCGTGCGGGCAAGGACGGCCTCGAGGCTGCGCGCCGCGAGGGGTTCCATGTCCGTCCTCTCGCCCTCGACGACTTCGCCATCCATGATTCGCACCAGTAAGTCACAAGTGATCGGGTTTTGTTCGTCCACTCACCTGCGCCACAGATACCACTATGTAGACCCGAGCAAGAAGCGCGCACCGCCAGGCGCTTACGTTGACCCCGTCGACTAGTGCGCGAGGTGACCGCGGCTTAGAGGAGGAGGTAGGTGGTTTTAATATCTACTGCCAATCACCCACTGGTCAAGACGGACGCAGAACACTTGTCCAGTATCTACCCCCGCGGCTCGCAGAGCCGAGCGCGGCCCGGGACTGGGCACCTAGACACCGTTGTTGCTATAGACTGCATAGGACACATGCATACCTACTCTGGCCACGGGGGCGCGCCCGTACATTCTCATATACTACTGGCCAATGGCCAATGGCCGTCTTCAGATGTACGCGTCATGATGGCGCTTGAGGTCGCCATGTTTGCGCGTTTGCGTGCGTCAGAGGGTGTGTGTCAGTGAGATCGACATGTTCCAACCAGCGTACACAGTACACATTCCAAGGACGCCGACGAGGCGACGATGGCGCCAGGCAGGCGCAGCATGATCGTCTCCGGGGCCCGCCACGACGTGAAAAACGCACGGCACGTGAAAATGAAAGTCATGTCACCAGCCCCAGGTCTAAGCCATCAGACTAGACTGCCTCCCCGACAAACCCCTCGACAACCCCTCGAGGCCCTCGAGGAGCAATGTTCCCAAGCCATGCGCGCCCGGATGTGTGCGCAACCGGCGGCCCGCGTACAGAGCTAGGAGCTACCACGGCGCGCCGCCATGTTCGTCTCGGCGAGAGAACCAAGAATAAACTTGTTGCCCGCCACCACGTCGCACTGGCGCAGCTGGCAGGACGCGAGTGAGTTGCCAGCGGGCTGTGGGCTGTGGGTTGTGGGTTGTGGCATGTGGCACCGCGACGAGAACTGGGACGGACCGGTGGGGGGACCACCCGCGTTGTGTGAAACAAGGTCTCACTCGACACAGCGAGCCGAGGACTGTCGTGGGCGGAGATGGGCGACGGCAATGCCTGTGGCCGATGAGCGGAGCGTGAAGCTGCGACGGGGCCGTGGGCTCGGACGCACCTGGACTATAGCTGGGTGACACTGGGCGCAAACGACCGACCCCAGCACGGCCAAGTCGTTGTCCATCGACTGGACACGGGTGCCACAGTCCAGCGTCCGGGGCATTGGCACCCACCCCACCATTGACACCCACCCACCCCCGCGCCCCCGCCCGTCAGTGCTGCCGGCTTGGCTACAAGAGTGATGCATGCTATGCTAGCTAAACCAATGCCTTTGGATCTCTGCCGTCTGGGCTCCGCCCCGCGCCCCTTCTTTCTCCTTTACTGCTTCCGTCTCTCTCCTTATCTCTCCTTCTCTCTAATGCTTCTGGCGCTCGGGCTCCTCCTCGACGGGCAGGGTCTCGAGCCAGCGCTCTGCGGCCTCGGACCCGCGGAACACCTCGTGCAGGACCTGGCGGACGTCGTCGACAAAGACAAACTCGATCCCGGCCTTGACCGACTCGGGCACGTTTTCATCAATGTCAGACTTGCACGCTGCTGGGACGACGAGTTTCTTGATTCCGGCGCGGTGCGCGGCGAGGATCTTCTCCTTGAGGCCGCCGACGGGGAGGACCTGGCCGTGCAGCGAGATCTCGCCGGTCATGGCCACGTCGGGGTTGACGCGGGTGCGCGTGAACAGGGACACAAAGGCAGTGAGGATGGCGGTGCCTGCCGAGGGGCCCTCTTTGCCGATACCGCCCTCGGGCATGTGCAGGTGGATGTCGCGGTCGTTGACGGTCAGGTCGGCCTCGGATTTGGTGATGCCCAGGAGGAAGGCGTTGGCTTTGACCCACGACAGGGCGATCTGCGCCGACTCGCGGATGACCTCGCCGAGCTTTCCCGTGAGCTGCAGGCCGCCCTTGCCGGGCATGCTGGTGACCTCGATGGGCATGACGGAGCCCGACCCGTTACCGAGGTATCCGAGACCCGTCGAGACACCGGCGGGCGGGGCCTTGGTGTACAGCCTGTCCTTGTGGTAGACGGGTGGGCCGACATAGTCCTTGAGGTTGTCGCGGGTGACGCGGACGTGGATGCCCTCGGGGATGGTGAGGGGCTCGCGCACGCGCGTGGTGACGTGCACGCGGTCGGGCTCCTTGCCGGCGTGGTCGCCGGGCAGACGCTCCGACTGGGGCTTGACGTCGGCCTCCTGTGTCTCGACGCTGCGGTCCTTGACTTCGGGCGCGGCCTCTTCCTCCTCGGCCTTGGGCTCGGGCAGCGCCGTCTCGCCCAGGTCGTTGACGATGCGGAACGCCGCCTTGCGGTAAATCTTGTCAATGTGCTTCTTGAGGTTACGCACACCCGACTCGCGGCAGTACCAGCGGATGAGCATCTCAATGGCCTCGGGCGAAATGTCAATGTCGACGTCCTTGAGGCCCGACGCCTCCTTGGCCTGCGGGGAGAGGTACTTTTCGGCAATGTTCATCTTCTCGGCCGAGACGTAGCCGTTGACCTCGAGCACCTCCATGCGGTCCAGGAGCGGGGCCGGGATGGTCTCGAGGACGTTGGCAGTGCACACAAACAGCACGCGCGACAGGTCGACGGGCACGTCCATGTAGTGGTCGAGGAACGACGTGTTCTGCTCGGGGTCGAGCATCTCGAGCAGCGCCGACGCCGGGTCGCCGTTGTGTCCGCGCCCAATCTTGTCGACCTCGTCAATAAGGATGAGCGGGTTTTCCGTCGCGACCTTTTTCAGCGCCTGGATCGGCTTGCCGGGCATGGCACCAATGTACGTCCTGCGGTGGCCCTTGATCTCTGCCACGTCCGTGAGGCCGCCGACCGAGAAACGGAAGAACTGGCGGCCCAGGGCACGCGCAATCGACTTGCCGATTGACGTCTTGCCCACACCGGGCGGGCCGGCGAGACAGATAATCTTGCCCTCGACGGTACCGCGGAGCTTGCCGACAGCGAGGAACTCGAGGATACGGTCCTTGACGTCCTTGAGGCCATAGTGGTCCTCGTCGAGCACCTGGGTGGCGTGCGCAATGTTGAAGTTTTCAGGCGAGTGCACGCCCCAGGGGATCTGGGTGAGCCAGTCGAGGTAGTTGCGGGTCACGTTGAACTCGCTGGCGGCAGGCTCGAGGTGGACGAGCTTGTTGAGCTCTTCGTCAAAGACCTTTTTCACGCCCTCGGGCATGGCGAGCTTTGCGGCCTTTTCCTTGAAGCGCTCGACGAGCTTGTCCTTGCCGTCGCTCTCCATGCCGAGCTCCTTCTTGATACCCTTGAGCTGCTCCATGAGGTAGTATTCGCGCTGGCGCTTCTGGATCTTGCTCTCGACGTCGCGCGAAATCTTGCTCTGGAGCTGCGCGTTGATGAGCTCCTTCTTGAGGATCAGCAGCGCCTTTTGCAGGCGGTCCTCGACGCTCAGCGACTCGAGCACAGCCTGCAGGTCGTGCACGTCGCCCGTCGACACGGCAGCCGCGAAATCGGCCAGCTTGTCGGGCTCGTCAAACACGTTGGCGGCAGAGTTGCTCATTGTAAACGACGCAATCTGCTCGCGGAAGATGGGCTGGAGCTGCGCAATCTCCTTAAAGACGGCCAGGATCTCGCCCATGATCGCGCGTACCACCTGCGAGTCCTTCTTGTGCGGCTCGAGCACGAGGTTGCTCACGTTGGTGAGCGAAATCTCGGGCAGGAGCGGGTGGAGGAAGCCGATCTGGGACTTGGGCGGCTGCTCGGCGTCCTCGGCGGCGGCGGCAGCGGCGTCGGCGTCAAGCTCGGCGGCCTCGCCTTCGGTAGCGGCGTCCGTCAGTGCGTCGCGCGTCTCCTCGACAGTCGGCACCTCGGCCTCAAAGCTGGCCACCTCAGCCTCTGCCTTGGTCTTGGCGTCGGCACCCTCGGCCGTCGTGGCGGCGTCAGTCGCGGTCGCGGTCGACGTCTCGCCCTCGGCGACGGCGTCGGCGGTGGGGGGAGGGGGAGCTGCGGGCGGCGCGACGAGCTCGTCAATGTGGATGCGGCGGTGCGGGTACAGGACGGCCGTGAGGGTCTCTGGGCGGGGCTCGACGTCCTCGGTGTCGGGCTGGCGGCTTGCGTCGGCCGACGAAAAGACGCTGGTAATCTGCGCAAACACGCCGACGGGGTGGACCTGGTCCATGGTGGTGATGACGTCGCTGTCGCTGTCCGAGTCCTTGAGCAGGAACGCGCCAATGTACGGCTGGCCGTGGGCGATGAGCTCGCGGACAGCCTTGATGACCGCCGGCGAGGTGATGGTCACGGCCTTGTAAAAGCCCGGAAACAAGGGACGGCGCGTGATAGGCAGCGCGAGGACCTGCGGGTACACGTCTGGGACCGAGGGCTTTGCAATCTCCTTGCCGTTGCCGCCCTTGCCGTCGCTGCTGGCGGCGCCGGGAGCGCCAGGCGCAGGCGGCACGCCAGCAGACGACGACGCAGCGCCGGGTCCGGAAGCCGACGACGTAGACTTCTTGTCCGACTTGGCAACGACCTCGGCCTTGCCGTCCTCGCCCTTCTTGCTGGCCTCCGCTGTCCGCTCCTTGGCCGGTTCTGCCGCGGTATCCTCTACCACCTCCTCAACGACCTCCTCGGCCTCCTCCACGGCGGCCCCTTCCTTGTCGTCGTCCTTGCCCTCGTCCTCGCCGTTCTTGGCCGAGTTGACCCACCGCTTGTCCTTGAGCAGACGCGCCGACGCGTGCAGCCCACGCGCGCCGGCGGGGACAGCAGCGACAGCCGCAGGCCGTGCGTGCCAGGAGAGGTACTCTGCGGCAGCGCGCGACGGCCCGGCAAACGGCTGTTGTTGTTGGTAGAAGCAGCGGAGAGCCGCGGTCGACGACGACGACGCCGCGCGCCGCGGGGCCGACGAGCGGGCGGCTGCGCGGAGGGGGAGCATTGCGCGAGTGCTTTGTAGTTTGTGTGGATGTGGGATGTGGTGGTGGTGATGCTGGTGCTGTCTAGGGGTGTGGTATAGAGATTGGGATCTATGCAAGTGCGAGAGACAAGTGAGAGATAGACAAAAGGGAAACAGCGCTTGCTCATCGCGCGTTGACCTCCACCGCCCGTGAGCATGACTCACGCGATTGAGACGAGGCAAAGGCTCCGCCCGGGGCTGCGGCGAGCCGAAGGTGGCCGAAACGGTGGCGAATGGCGAATTGCGACGCTCCATTGGATAACACTGGAAGGTGCCACCAAATGTCACCTACCACAACCATACACACGCTGCTGCACGGATCTTGGACAGAGTACTGCATCGCTTTAGACCCAAGTCTCGCCCGGCAGCTCATATGGAGCATGCGGGGAACACTACGAGACGGATATTCAAAAAAGAGTAAAAAAAAAAATTGTTCGAGAGAGATATATTAACGGGTTTGTGGTTTCTGGCTCACACACACCCGGTAGCAAAGTAACCAGAGGAGGGGACAGTTGAAATTTCGGCTATTCGGCCGAACAGGCGAACAAGAACATGTGGGTAATCGACAATGCTCGTTTCAACGTCCACCGTCAGACGCACGGCGCGACAGACGCGACAGCATCTCGCGTCCAATCTTGAAACGCTCAATGTCGTCGTTGTCGTCGTCGCTGTCGTGCTCCTCCTCCAGCTCGCCCGAAAACACAATCACGTCGCCCTCGGACTCTTCGTCAGAGTCGGCTTCGACGGCGGGCGTGCATGTAATGATCGGAAGCGAGGGCACGGACGAGACAGTCGACAGGACAGACTCGGTCGGCGACGTGGGGGGCTGCTCGTACTGGGCTGCCTTTGGGGGAGTGACGACAAGGGTCACTTCCTCAGAGTTCCAAGTACGGATGGGGGAGTAACGCTTGGACTGCGGGGTAGAAGGAAGCGAGCCCTGGCGGAGCGGCGCAGAACGCGGAGGCCTGTCGAGGGGGAAGGTCGAGTGACGCTTGTCCACGGGGAGAGGGGTGGGGTAAAAGTCGAGCAGGACATCACCGGCCAGAGGGGGCATCGACTTTGGGCGAGCAAGGTTGAGACGGCCGTTGGTACGCTCGCGGAGGAAGGGCGCGAGGCGCGACTCCTTGGCAGGAGAATCCGGAGTGGCAGGCCTGTGTGCGTGCATGGCAAACTCAAACGAGGAAAGCTCGTCGGTCGGCGTGCGGGGGCCCTCCGAGTCTTGCGAGTCCATCGAGTCGGAACGCGAGTTGCCGCGCACGGCAGTGACATCGGGCGAGCGGTTCATCTTGGCCTGGATCTGCGCAAGAGAAGGCATGCGCGCAATGGCCCTCCGGGAAGTGGGGGTCGCCTGCGAACGCAGGACCTGGGACGGGGAACGGTCCGACATGGTCCGCGAGTGCGAGGGAGTCCTGGGCGAGCTCGACGTGGACCTCGACGCAAAGTCGCACGCAGACATGCGAGGGCTACGGCCGTGGCCGAGTCCCGCCATCTGGGCAAAGGTGGCGTCAATGGTGTCGACGGGGGAAGGGTCGGCCGAGCGCGTGGTGAGGATGGTGACATCCTTGTAAGTGGGGGTCGAATCGTCAATCGCGGCAGCGAGGCCGAGACCGATGGGAGAAACAGAATGAGAATAGTCGTGGGTGTACGACTCGAATTCAGGCGATGCAGGGAACGTGGGGGCTGTGGAGGATGTGTGTGAGCAAAGTGATGGTGGTGGTGTGTGATCGGCGGCCGTATTGTGCCACCCACAGGTGTGTGTGTGGCTTGCGACGCGCCTTATCACATGCTTGGAACTCACTCTTCTTCTCGCGACGCTCTTTGGCGTGCTCGACGACCTCCCAGAGGGGACGGCCGCGGCCAGCAAAGCTAGCGACACGGCGCGTCTTGACCTTGGGCCAGGAGGCGACGTTGGCGTTGCCACCCCAGTGCGAGTCGAGCGCGGCGGCGTCCATGAGACAGTTCATCGACTGGCCAAACGAGGGAGAGTTTGGTCCCGACTTGAGCGCCGCTTCGGCGACAGAGTACGCGACCGGGAAGATTACGTCTGGCGTCGAGCGGTGCTGCAGGTGCTGGGGAGGGCCCCACGCGGTAGAAGAGGGCATGTAGAGGGCGGTCATGATTGGGTTGTTTGTGGTTGGGTTTGGGTTCAAGAGTTTCGTTCAGGGTGGGGGGGTTGCACGAAGATTGCAGTTGTTGGAGACCAGCTCGGTTTGATGGGGCGTTTGTTGGGCTGTGTGCCGTCAAGGCTAGGTTGCCAGAACCTGGGGAGGGAGAGAGAAGAGGTGTTGCAGACCGCTCCTTGGGAGTCGGTGTTGGAACAAGGAAGGGGGGTTGGTTGCTGAACTGGGGACTTTGTATGGGTTAGCCCCGGCGGTGGCAACGACGTGTGGTTGACAAGGATAAGGGGGTATTTGGACGCGCCAGGCAGAGGGGGAGGGAGGGAGGAGGGGGGGTATTGGGTGGTCGTGACGAGGACGTTGGTGCAGGAGACAGAGGTGGGGAAGAGGTTGGGGGGAAGGATGGGGGATGTAGGAAAGAGAGGACCCCGTCCTAACGGTTGGGAGAAGAAGAAAGAGGAGGATGACAACGAGGACGAAATGGGTTCACAAAGGGGATACTTTGTCGTCGCCCAAAACGCAGGGGCTGGGGGGGGGGGGGGGGCACCGACATTGACTGCTGCTGCTAAACTGTGGGTCATGGCGTCTTTGCATGCTTGCTGGGTGTGCTTTCGAGCACCCCCGAAACGCCCACGCCCGCAACGCCGCCATGCGCGCGCGCCAGAACCCACAGCAGCCAGGAGCAGTGGTAGCAGCCATATGCCATCCCTCCCACGCCCGTTGTGCCCAGCCACACATCCCACGCCGCAACAATGACAGACCGTGCGCACAACGGGGTGGGTGAGAGGCCATGGCTGGCATGGCTGGCTGGTGGCACAACCCCCCCCCCCTGCCCCTCGCTCTCCCCTGCCCGCTGCAACACCATAGGGTTCACAATGGACGGGCCCCGGTGGGAGACTGGGCGTGTATATCATGCGCCGCCATAATGGCAACACACTGACACTGGTATCGACTCTGCATGCACTGCGCACTGCACGGATGGTAGGTGGGGTGGGGGTTGTACAGCCCACGGCTCCCAGCAGCGTGTGCACGAGCCACACGCCCCCCAACCAGCACCCACCCACCCATTATCCTCTTGAGCGCGCTCTTCCTTCCCCTTGCCCCGCCCCTGCTTCTTTCTGCCACCACCACCACCACCCCATCATCCCTTACTTGTCTCTCACCACCGACCACGCCTGCCGATCGGGGGCGGACACTCACCGTGATATGGGGGCCACGCCTCTTGCTCAAAACGACCGGGGAGAGGGGAGGGGCGGTAGGTAAAGGCAAAGGCAAATGTTACTTGACCAAAAGACGGAATACGGGCCAAATGACGTCCCAGACGGATGGCAAACGGGAGAGGGTTTAACGGTTCACAGAGGAGAGAGAGGGTGGAGAAAACGGCAGGCGGGCCTGTCGGTTGGGGTGAGAGAGGAGTTGGGGGGGGGGGCGTAGTTGCGTGTGTGGGTGTGGGTGGGTGTCGCAGGATTCGTTCTTTGCAGAACGAGGGGCTTGCTTTGACGAGGCGAATTTGACGGGGTTGTGTGGTAACGAGTGTGAGTCGGAGAGCGAGAGCGCGTGTTGAGGGCGGTCGTGCACTGCGATGTGTTGAACGGGAGCGAGGTGGTGGGGGGGAGTGAGGAGGCGCCGTTGAACCAGCAAGCGGGCCAGATGGGGGATGACAGAGAGAAGAGAAAGGAGAACACAAAGGTGTTGCAAGACGTTGGTTGGGGTGGGTGTGCAGGACGGCGTCGCCTGGGGTGTGTCGCCGGGGTCGGTTTGGTTGCATTGGCTACTGGCTGGCTGCAGCTGGCTGGCTGGCTGCCTTCCCTCCCTCGTCCCCCTGCTGCGTGTGTGCGCGGTGTGCCGTAAGATACCCGCCTCCTCCTTATTCCCTCGTCGTATCTGTTCCGCTGTCCTGCTGCTTTTTGCTCACGACGGCACAACACGACGAGCCAAAGGGGGGTCCCTTACTCGCACCTTTTTCTCGCTCTTTCGTGTGTCCGTCCCTGTGCCGTAGTTTCCGACCCTCGTCCCTCTCCTGGCCCTTTTTGGTCGACGCGTTTTTCCATCCCGCACATGTGCCTTGTCGGCCACCCCACATCTCATTCTGCCTTAGCGTGTCGCCTAGCGCGTTGCTGCTGCTGTGGGTGGGGCCTGGGTGGTGTCCTGTTTCAGACGCGCGCACGCCGTGTGTCGATCCCTTTCCTATCTCTTGCGCCGGAATCCCTCTCCACCCCCCCCCCGCCAACGGCCGCCGACGCATCCTTTTTGTGACAGAACGTCTCCACACGCAAGAGCAAAATGACCAAACGCTTACGGCGAAACCCACATACTGCCTTCCCGCATGCACGGGGGGACGGTAGTTGTGCAAGTGCCTCTTGTCGCATGTTTGGCCCTCCCCTCCGCCCTTAGCTGGAACGCCGTTTGGCACACACCGAACGTACGCCATAATCCCCCCGAGACACGAGACGCGCACGCGCTGGTGGGCCCACGTCCGCTCAAGGGGGGGCTTTCTTCCATGGGTGTGCCAAACAGACGCCTCCTCCGCAGCCCTTCTCTCCCCTCTCCATGTTCATGTTGCGTGCACACCCATCTTTTTTCCCCCAGCTGGTTGTGCACACTGCACAGACATGGTGTCTCGGGCGCGCCGTCCATTTCCTTCAGGCAGTCAGGTTTGATCAGGTGCAGCGCGTATCCAACCCCTATACCCCTCCCCACTCCCTCGCTGGCAATGTCGCCGCGGGTGCCCAACAGCTCAATGGCTCAATAGGACCAATAACCCCATAGCTACAATAGCCCCCGGGCCCTACACGCCACCACCCAGAACGCAGGTCCGCAGGTCGGTGGATCGGTGCCCTCGTTGTGAACTGGGAGGCGCACGCGTTCGAGGCCAAGGGGATCGTGAATACCAGCAAACAAGCCAACATGCGCCCACAACTCAGGCCACTTCAGGCTTCTTTCACCTCTCGACTCGAGGTCGTGCAAGGACAGCCTCCTGGCAGAAGGGCACTAGGACACACAGAAAAGCCACGAGGTACTACTTACTGTACTTTTTGTGTCCAGCCAATGCCGGCCACCCCACTCATGGCCACTCATGCCACCTTGACTTTCAGGTTCAGGATCGTTTTGTTAGTTTTTCCGGCACCGTCAAATGCGCATAAAGAACACGCGATCTGTGTAGCGTGTGCGCAGTACATTCATTCAGTCGGTTGTGTGCAATGAACCCGCCCCCGCTTCTCTCAGATGCAACCCTGTGCATACATACACCTCTCCAGACGCGTCGTCGCGTGCGGGGGTGTGGGTAGGCGGTGTGTGCACGTCTGCGTCCTGAACAGAACGAACACGACCGCTGGCTGCTGGCCTGCTGGATTTGAGGCGGCGGGGCCGGTGTGCCATTGTCCCACAGACACATGGGGACAGGTTGCTTCCCTCGCTCAAAACCTGACAGCAGTGGCCGTGCTCCCCTTCCACCAAACGCCTCCTGGGTGCCGCCACGGAAGCCGAACAAACCAAATCACCCCGTGCGCGAGCAAGGACGCGAGGGAGGAGTCTATGTACGTATTGTAGTGTTGCTGGACAGACATGGGGAAACATGGCGAATGGGTGGGCCTGGAGACGGCCAAAACAGCCACATGCGGGCGTGCGACACGCAATGGTTTGGCGTGGGATGTGTGGCTGAGGGCGGCTGAGTGGCAGTTGTTTGGATACAACGTTTTGACGACAACTGCACGACTGCCCCGATGGACTGTATTGTTTTTTCACCGATTGGCGGTTGCAGGCAGGCCACTTGCGCGCGGCCGCGCACTCGGCGGTCTGTGGAATGGAATACACACGCACGAGGACACGACGACACGACGACACGAGATAGCGAGCAACTGCCGGACTGGCGTACGGGCGGCCGAGTTGGCGTTGTTCGCCACAGCCTTCCCATTGCTCTGGCACCCAAAACGCCAATCACTCCTGCCACTCGACAAAGTTTATGACACGGAACTGGTAGCGAGCATGCCAGCACCGCTTCCTCCTCGGTATTACCTTGGCATTGGCATGTCTGCGGATCTGCGTGCTGTGAGTTGGTTGCTCGTTTCGGCGACCGGTGATATAGAGTTGGGTCGCTGTTCCATTGCACCGACCGCGCGGAGGTGTGGCATGTGGCTAACGCAGCGCGAGAAGAAGGGACGCCAATGGTACACGCCAAACACAGACGTACAGTACAGCACTAGCCACTATAGCCAAGCGTAAAAGACGTCAACAGTGGGCCAGTGGGCTGTCTTGTCATCCTGCTGCCACAAAGACAGTAGAGCCGTAGAGCCAGCTGCCAACACGCGTCACTGCCGACCAAACCAAACACTATTAACCAGACCCCACTTCATCTCGACGTCAGGACACGCGAGTGGACCCTGCGGCGCGAACTGGGCACGACCCGATCCGTTCAGGATCCAGGAGAGCCAGGGATAAGAGCAAGATCGCAAGAGGAGCCCAGGAGCAATTTGCTTGGAAACCCTCCCATTCCGCAAACCAGGACCCAGTACGGACCCTGGCCATGGCCCTCGTAGCACAATTAACCCCCCACAGCAGCAGCTTCTGCCAGTGCGCCAGTGCTGCTGCTGCTGCTGCTGCCTGCCAGTCCCTTTTCGTCTTGCACATGTGCACTGCATTGGGCTTGGCGTGCAATACATAGGAATAGGAAGAGGGTGGAGCGAACGCGCGTCACCGAATATCCGGTCGGTCCCGTGTGTGGGGCAAGCAGCATAAGGAAACACACACACTCGTCGTCGGAAACGACCAGAAGGGGAAAGTTCGGTGCGAGTGGAGCGGACCACGGTGACGTACTGCCTCCTACGAGTTAGGTACAATGCCGGCCCGGGACGTCGACCGGAAGGACAGAAGCACCCACGCAGGTGTGTGCCGTTTGCAGAGGAGCGCGGGAAGGCCCAAAGGCGGCAGGTAACAGACCGCAGACAAGTAGCAGAAATTTAGAGGTCGACCGGGAGCCACAATGGTACAATGAACACTGCCTATACTGCAGAGTCGATCCTGACGTGCCCCCACTCCCCACTGCCATCGTTGGTCTCCTTGCTCAGACCTGAAAAAGTGGTCGTCTGACGGGGGCAACACCGACGCATCCTGCAGGACGGAACATGGGTGGCTGGGGGTTGTCGTTTCGTGGCACCCGTGGCACTCATGTTGGGACGATGGGATGCGTCTCTGTCATGTGCCTTTTTTGTGCTTTCCTTCCAACGGGCATGTTCCCGGTCCGAAACCCCGATCGCGGTCGCCATGACGAAGGACGCTGGTACGCTGATAGGGGGGGGGGGGGGGGATTGTGCGTGGCATCGACGTGTACTGTAGTTGCGATCCCACGGATGCACAGGAATGTTTGTTTGCCACGTTTTTTTGGATGAGAAAAACGTACACTCTACTACGTAAGGTTTCCAGCATCGCAACATGTCAGAGAGGATCAGATGTGTGGCCTGTAGTACAATCTGTGCTGCGCAAACCAATGTAGACGTCGATATGTCAATGCCACGGCACGTCGTCAAGCAACAACTCACAGGATCACAGGGAAATGCTACAGGACGACCGCCTGCCCGACAGACCCAGCAACATGGCAACAGAAGCGATCCGGACGCCACTGCGTGGTCGGCAGAACTCAGATATGCATCAGTTGACATTCAACACCACACATGCAAACATGGCGCCTGGCGACATGAACTGTTTGGCTGTTCCGAAACGAACCAGCGCCTGCGCAATAGCTGTACAGCATATACATAGCATACAGTGAGTGCCTCGATGATGGCTGGTCGTTTACATGAGTACATGAGTTACGAGACGGGGCCTGGGCCAGACACACGCAGGGGAGGGCACACACAGCACTGTGTCTGCGAGGCGGCGGTGGCTCTTAATGGGTGGCCTGGGTGGCCGTTGCCGTCAATTGTGTGCCACACCTTGCGCGGCGTCCACTCCATTAACGTTAGTCGAGCGCCAAGCAGTACGCCACCAGCGCCGCCGTCCGTCGCGACCATTGTTCAGGCATGCAGATCTGCAGGCTGGTGAGTGAGCAATTAGCAAATGGAGAATGCACGAGGCAAAGGATGCACGATGATGGTTGTGATGGCTGGGTGGAGGTAGGACACGGGATCAAATGGAGGCCAGAGGACGAAACACACAACGGCGTGCCTGGTCCACGTGGTCGGCCGGGCGAAACCACCAGGTCAATGACGTGGCATTTAATTGCGTCAGATGGTGCGGTCGTTTTGCGCGTTTTGCGTGGTTTGCGCGTTTTACGCCGTTTTGCTCATTTTGCGTGGTTTGTGCGGTTGGGCGCGTGTTCCGCGGCGCTTATCAAGCAACCACCCAGCCGGCCGATGACGCGCCAAGCCCTCCACCCAAGATTATCAAAGACTGGATTTCAGTTGCTCTTGTATATCTCACTCACGTCGGCGAGACACCTACATCTCTCGCCGTCCCATTCCATCTCACCTCTGCACTCACTCTCTCTCGCCACCATGAGCGCGCTCCCAACTCACCTCCCGACAGCGTCCCTGATGGTGGCCAACATGCACTGCCCGTCGTGTGTCGAGGCCATCACCGAGCTGCTCGCCAACATTCCCGCCGTGGTCAACTTGAGCGTGTCGCTCCTCCTCAACCGCGTCACGTTCTCAGTCGACACGAGCATCTCGTCTTCGTCCTCGTCCAACCCATCCAACTACGAGCGCATCGTGGACCAGGTCCATCAGGTCCTCACCACCGAAGGTGGCTTTGTCGTCACGGACGAGAACGCGCCAGTCGTCGCCACTCCCGAGCCCGTGTCCCCGAAGGCTGTGTCCAGGCCTCTCGCATGGCTGTCGCGTAGCAACCGCCGTGCGGTAAAGGAAAACAAGGTCGCTGACGAACGTCGCCGCCGCCACCTCGAGGGCTGTGAGGCGTGTCGTCTCGAAGCCGAGGCTGCAGAGAAGGGCCAAGGCGCGCCGCCGACGGTGCCCCAGGCCCAGCCCGCAGACCAGGTCTTGGTCACGACACTCAGCATCGAGGGCATGACATGTGCGTCGTGCACGAGCTCCATTAAAGCGGGACTAAAGTCTCATCCGGCTGTTCTGAACGCGGACGTCGCGCTGCTCAGCTCGAGCGCGACGGTGCGGCACCACGCGTCTCTCGCCCCCGCCGAGCTCGTCGAGATGATCGATGACACAGGCTTTGAGGCAGAGGTCATTGAGAGTCATCCCGAGGCCAAGGCCGTGGCCGTTGCCGACGACGAGCCTGCGCTCGACGGCGACGCACTCGTCCGCACCACACTCAGTATTGAGGGCATGACCTGCGCGTCTTGCAGTTCCGCCATCGACCGCGCCCTGCGCCAGCTGCCCGAGGTGACCGACACTGCCATTGACGTGCTGGGTAACAAGGGCATCATTACACACCGCGCATCACTCTCAGCGGCCGCGATCCATGAGATTATCGAGGACGTGGGCTACGACGCGGCAGTGGTCGCCACCGTCCCCGTCGAACCGCTCAAGCCCACCGGACCGTCCAAGGACGGCACCCGCTCTGTTACTGTTCGCGTGCAGGGCGTGTTCTGCAACAACTGCATCACCCAGCTCAACCACCACCTCGCCACTATGCCCGTCAAGTCGTTCACACCGCTCTCGTTCCACAACCCCGTCACGACGGTCACCTATGTCCCGCACCACCCGTTGACGATCCGCGATATCCTGAGTGGCCTGTCAAACGTCGCGCCAGAGTTTGACGCCGCGGTCGCCCGCACGCAGTCGCTGTCGGAGCGCTCACAGGAGATCCAGCGGCGTGAAGTCAAGCTTTTGGCAGCACACCTCGCTGTGGCGTTCATCTTTGCGATTCCGACGTTTATCATTGCGATCGTCTCGATGGTTCTGCTCCCCATGTCCAGCCCGTTCCGCCAGTTCTGGGACAAGCCCGTGTGGGGCGGTGCCAACCGCGGCACCGTTGTCTTGTGGGCGCTCGCCACGGTCGTTCAGTTTGGTGTTGGTAGGCTCTTCTACCAGCGCGCGTTGAACGCACTGTGGTCCCACCTCCGCTGGCTGCTCCCGCCGTTCCTCCGTCCTGCGTCCATGCGCAGGTCGTCTGCTGCTGCCTCTGGGCGCAAGTTTTCATGGCGCAGCCTGTTTTCGTTTGGATCCATGGACCTCCTCGTCTCGCTCTCCACCACTGTCAGCTACTTTGCCTCGATCGCCATGCTCGCCCTCGACGTCAAGGCCGGGCCCGACGTCATGACCATTGGGACATACTTTGACTCTGGCGTGTTCATCATCATGTTCATTCTCCTGGGCCGCACCCTCGAGGCGTATGCCAAGTCGCGCACCACCGACGCCGTCGCTCTGCTCGGGACCCTCCGTCCGCCAACCGCATGGCTCGTCGAGGAGGGCAAGGAGGACTCGGCAGTCGAAGAGCTCAAACACAGCCTGGAGCGCCACAGTACCAGCTCTGATGAGACGGCGAATGGCAAGGGCTCTATGGAAAAGACACGTTCAAGCGGCTCAGAGACACCTCCTGATTCCTCGTCGTCGCCTCTCGCGCGCGAGATCCCCGTCGACCACGTAGAGTACGGCGACGTCCTCCTCGTTCATCCCGGCGCCCTGCCCCCGGCGGACGGCGTCATCGTCTCTGGCCACACGACATTTGACGAATCCAGCCTCACCGGCGAGTCCCGCCCCGTATCCAAGAGTCCCGGCGACGACGTGTTCACGGGCACCACCAACCAGTCGGCCGCGGTCAGCGTTCGCGTCACGTCCTTGGCAGCCGACACGATGCTGGAACGCATCATCCGCGCCGTGTCGGACGCAAGTGGTCGCAAGGCCCCCATCGAGCGTGCTGCCGAACGCCTGACGGGTGTGTTTGTCCCTGTCGTCATCTACCTGTCCATCATCGTCCTGGCCGTCTGGCTCGGTGTGACGTTTGGCGGCATCATTGACCCGTCGCACTACCATGGCTCGGGCGGGCGTGCATTCTTCGCCCTCGAGTTTGCCATTTCGGTGCTCGTCGTCGCTTGTCCGTGCGGTATCGGCCTTGCCGTCCCCTGCGCCAACGCTGTGGGCAACGGTCTCGCAGCTGCGGCGGGTATCCTTGCGTCTGGCGGCGGCGAGGCGTTCACCGCCGCTACAAAGGTCACCACCATTGCGTTTGACAAGACGGGTACCCTCACTGTCGGCCGGTCGGTCGTTACCGACGAGTATTTCCCCTCGGAGCTGCCCGTCGACCGGAGCGTGATTGAGCGCGCGACGCGCGACGTCGAGGCACAGAGCACGCACCCGCTCGCGGTGGGTGTGGTCGAGCACCTCAAGCTCAAGGGCACCGACGCGCGCGTGAGCATCACCGAGAGCGCCGAGATTGCCGGCCGCGGACTGCGCGCCACGCTCAGTGTGGTCGACGCAGACGCCCTCGAGCTGCTGGTGGGCAACTCGGCCCTGCTGGCCGAGAATGGCGTCCACCTCTCCCCCGCCGAGCAAGAACGCGTGGAGCAGTGGACGAGCGACGCCAAGTCGGTCGTCCTCGTCGCTGCCCGCGTCCTGGCCGCCGCTCCCTCGTCGTCCACCGCTCCGTCCCTCCTTTTCTCCGCCACAGCCCCCTTCGCCCTCGCGGGCATGTACGCGCTCTCGGACCCTCCACGCGAGACCACCGCGGGCGTCCTCGCCACGCTGCGCAAGCAGGGATACCGCCTGGTCATGCTCTCGGGCGACAACGCCGGCACGGCGTCGGCCGTCGCGCGCATGGTGGGCATCGAGTCCGAGGACGTGTTCGCCGGCGTCGGGCCCGAGGGTAAAGCCGACGCGATCCGGACCATGCAGGCGCGCACGCACGCTGTGAAGAAGCGCGCGTGGCTGCCGTGGTCGGCCACAGTGGACCGCAACGACGTCGTCCTCTTCGTAGGCGACGGGCTCAACGACGCCGTCGCGCTCGCGGCGGCGGACGCGTCCGCGGCCATGGGCCACGGGTCGCAGGCCACGCTGGCCAGTGCCGATTTCGTCCTGCTCTCATCCGACCTGGCGGCCTTGCCGGTCCTACTGCGCCTCAGTAAGAAGGTGCGCACGCGCCAATGGCTCAACCTCCTCTGGGCGACGCTGTTCAACACCGTCTGCATGCCCATCGCCGCTGGCGTCCTCTTCCCCGCTGGCCTGCGCCTCAGTCCCGTGTGGAGCGCGGTGCTCATGGCCCTCAGCAGCGTCAGTGTCGTGCTGAGCAGCCTGGCACTCCGGTGGGGTCTGTAGATGTGCCACTGTCAATCCTAGCTGTATCCCTCGTCACTATGCAAACGTTGCAGCTTTCAAAAGCAGTGCTGGACTCATCACTAACCACACACTCCTCCCTCTGGGCTACAGTAAACCCGCGATACATGCAAAACGGTCTATGTTCCCAACTTTGCGTTCAGCCGGCGCAGCTCCTGCGGCGTAAACCGCAGAATGACACTCAGCACGCGCACGAGGTTGGGCCGCATCTCCTTGTGCTCGAGGAACTGCAGGATGACGTTGCGCAGGTACTCGAGGTTGACCTCTTCCTCGTTGGACGGCGCTGGCGAGGGGCTCGCGGCGGCGTCGGGAGCCGCGGGTGTCGGTGCTGGGGCAGGGGGTGGCGACGAGACGGACGCAGGCGACGCCGAGGGGGGCGCGGACGGGCTGGCGGGGTTTGTGGGGTTTGTGCCAGAGGCCCAGTAGCCCACGCCCGGGTTACGCTGGCGCTCCAGCAGCTGTGCCGACGACTGGACCTTGCGCAGTTCGTCACGGAGCGTCTTGTTGTTCTGCCGCAACTGGGCGTGCAGGGCCTTGCTCTCGTCGAGCTGGGTCTGGACGCCGGTCGTGGCGGCGTGCGCGGCAGCCAGCTCGTCGCGCGCGGCCTTTTCAGCCTCGAGGGCGACAGCGACGTCGGCGTGCGCCTCGTCCACGGCCGCACGGAGCTCGACCATCTGGCGCTCGAGGTCACGCCGCTCGGCGTCCTGCGCGTCGATGCGCGCATCACGCTCCCTCCTGGCGGCAGCAGACGTGGTCACCTCGGCCTCCTTGTCCGCAATGGTCTGTCGCAATGCCTCGAGCTCCTTGACGCGCTGACCGAGCTTGGAAGCCCAGTCCTCCTCGAGCTCGTTGCGCTCACGCTCCAACGCGCGAACACGGAACCGCAGCTCCGAGAGCTTGGTCTCGGCACGCGAATCGGCGTCAGCGAGCAGGCGCTGCACCTCGGCGGCAGAAGTGCCCGTCTCGCGGGGAGCGTGAGCGGCAGCGGCGTCGGGTGCAGGACTGCGGGGGGCGTCTTCCAGAAGAGCGATACGCTCTTCGGCCTCGCGCAGCTGGAACTCGAGCTCCTTGGTGCGGCCCTGCAGGCCCTCCATCTCGGACCGCGCCGCCTCGGACTCGGCCTGGCGAGCCTGGATCGTCTCAAACTGCGAGGCCTTGATACTCTGCAGCTCCTTGACGGTCGCCTCGAGTGCTGAGATCTTGGTACCCTTGTTCGAGAGCTCCTTGGCGTGAGTCGCCTGGTGGAGCGTTAGCGAGGAACAAAACGCTCAGCTGCGAGCCTCACCTTTGTGGTGATCATCTCCAACTCCCAAGCACCCTTCTTGGCCGCGAGCTCCTTCTCACTGCGCTCCTTGAGGCTGGCCAGCTCGCGCTCAAAGCCCTTGCGCAGGCTGTTGGCCTCGCGCTCGCGCTCAGCCTTGACTTTTTCCACCTCGTCCACCGCCTTGCTGCGCTCTGCGCGCTCGGCCGCACGGTCCTTTTCAATCTCCTCCTTTTCCTTTTCGACCTTGACGTTTTTGGCGCGCACAGTCTTGAGCAGAGAAATAGCCTTGGCGCGCTTCTCCTCTTCCTCTTTGGCGTGCGTCTGCGCCTTGGCCAGGTCGGCACGCAGCTGGTTCAAGGCCAGAAGGTCACCGGCCTTGGACGACAGGTTCGTCTCGGCCGTACTCAGCTGTTGTCGCAGCTTGCCAATGAGCTCGGTCTGCGAGTTGCCCTCCAGGCGGTGGGTATCGCGCAGCTCCTCGATACGGGAATCTTGCACTGTGATGTGAGCTGAGGACGGCTGCGCAGCTGGCAACTCACGATTCAACTTGCCCTGCAGCCGAGCAATCTCGCCAGTCATCATCTCCACCTTGCCAGAGACCATGCGGACCCAGCCGTCCAGCGCGTCCGCGTCGCTGATACCATCGAGCGGCGTCAGCTCCTTGATCACCTTGTTGGCCGCGGTTTGCTGCTGTAAAAGGTCGATAAAGCGCTTGGACAGGTCTGTCAGGTTAGCATGTGTACACTGTTTGCAGACTCACCCTCAAACCGGCGCTCCACATCTGGCAGACGCTTGTCGGGATCGTCCTCCTTGCTCGGCGACACGGGCACAGCCAGCTCGCCTTCCTCGGCCTTGGCTTCCACAGACACGGATGCGGGGGCGGGGGTCTCGGTTTCGGTATCGGCAGCCTTCGTCTCGACGACAGGCTCAGCGGCAGGATCAGCCGCGGTCTCAGCGGCGGTCTCGGCGACGGGCTCGGCGACGGGTTCGACGATGGGCTCGACGATGGGTTCGTCAGGCTTCTCGGCGATCTTGTCCTTGAGCGCCTGTACCGGGTCGACCGGCTTCTCAGCATCGACGACCTTCTTCTCGGCTTCTGCTTTCTTCTCGGTGTCTGCCGCAGCAGCGGCGGCAGCGGCGGCCTTCTTCTTCTTCTTCTTGTTCTTCTTCTTGGCGGCACCTGTCTTGGGCTGCTCCTCAGGCTCCTCCTCCGTCTCCTCGTGTGCAGGCGTCGGCGGACCGCTCACTTCGACCTCCTCCTTGTCGGCAGGGACGATGTGCGGGCTTGCGCCCAGAGGGTCGCCAGAAAGTGGCTCTGCTGGCGTGGCAGGGAGGGGCAAGGTTGCAGGATCGCTCGAGTCGACCGGTGGGGGAAGCGCTGCGTCGACGACTGCGGGGGACGCCTTCTCACTCGGCACAGCACTGGTAGCAACGCTGCCGAGCGAAAAGGGGGCCTGCAAGCGGGCAGCGGGTGATGTGGGGCGTGACGATGGCGACGTTGCTTCCTTAGCCTTTGTCGGGCTATCCTTTGTTGGCGACGCGAGGTCGGTCGCACTGGGTCGACCGCCTTCCATGCTGGCGCGGAGGTGGAGGGACTTGCGCAGGCCCGACAGCGCCGACTCTGCCAGATGTGTCGCGCTCGTCACTCTGCTCGGCGATGTGGACGCGTCCTTGGAGGCAGCAGCGGCGACATCCTTCTCTGAGGTCTTGTCCGAGGGAGGGACGCCGTTGGTGACGATCTTTGGCAGACCCGCTGCTGCCCCGCTGGCGGGTGCCGTGGCCGGCGACATTGGCCGGCTGCTGCCTGCCTGCGCACCCGGCGCGGGCGGTGTGCCGGACGCGGCGATGGCACGGGCCTGGAGGGACGTTCCCGTGGCCTCGAGCTGGTTGACTGCGGCTTTGAGCCTGTCTGACAGGCTCACGCCGGAGAACATGGTGAATGTGTGGGAGGTTGAGAGAGATGTGATGACGGAGGAAGGCGCGGGTTATGAATTCGGAGATGGGCCGAGCGTGTTTCCCTATCAGTCCATCCATCTCCCTCATCTCTCGTCGCATCAACAACAACCATGGGTGTCTGGCAGGCAGCCCTCGTCAAGATGGGCGTGGCTCAGCCGGGGCCCAAGATCACACAGCAGGACCGCGCTGTCTTAGAGTACGTTCTTGCTCCCCACTGCACGCTGCGTGCACGCTGCGGCCCCACAACACCTCCACCTCGTCACCAACCCGCCCGATGCTGACCCGTCCCCCAGCCTGAAGAACCAGCGCGACAAGCTCAAGCGGTACATGAAGCAGGTATGCATTTATGTTTCTGTTATGACAGTCTGCTGACCATGTTCAGATTCAAGTGGTGTTGGACCGCGAGCAGGAGATTGCCAAAGAGGCCCTCGCCAAGGGTGACAAGGTATAGACAGCGTTGGGGAAACGAGACTCTGAGCCCGGCTGACGTGTCCCAGCGTCGCGCACTCACCGCTCTCAGGCAGAAGAAGAATCAGGAGCAGATGCTGGTCCGGACAGACGGACAATTGCAGACACTGCAAGAGCTCGTGAGTTGCGAGAGGTGGGGCCGATGGGTAGTCGCTGCTGTCTCCTTCGCTACATGCGGCAGCAACCTTGCTTCATCGTCCCCCAACTGTCTTTGTACACACACCCGACACTGTGTCCACTAACACCCTCTCAGGTCCGCACCATCGAGTTCACCCAGATCCAAGCGGCAGTCGTGCACGGTCTCGAACAAGGTTCGGCCGTCCTCGCACAGCTGCAAAAGGAGATGTCACTCGACCGCGTCGAGCGTCTTATGGACTCGTCGCGTGAGGGTATCGAGTACCAGCGCGAGATCGATGAGGCTCTCATGTCCAACATGAGCCCCGAGGAAGAGGAAGAGGTGCAGGCCGAGCTGGCACGGTTGGAGGCCGAGGCGATGGTGAGTCCGGGTTGTAGGGGGCGACAGAGATGGCTGCTGTACCATTCAGTGTCGGCCTGCAGCCATTTTTGCCCTTGTGATAAGCTGCTTACCTCCCAGCCTGCTATCCCCAACGTGCCCGATACCCAGCCCGTGCACCTGCCCGACGCGCCAGTCCAGGAGCCCACCGAGGCACAGCCAGAAGCCGAGAATGCCCAAGGTAAGTTATGTTATATACGGCCTCTAACTCGACAGCGTCCAAGCCAGAACGTGTTGCTCTCGCCGCCTAGTTGTACAAGCATGACATGCATATTCTGGTCGTATCGATAGCAGCAGCCGTTGTTGATGTGGATGCCTTGGGGGGTTCAGTTACCCCCAATGTCCGTGCCTTCGCCACCCGCCTGAAAGTCAACCCGCGTTGTCGAACAGGACGCGCCTCACTTTCACGCCATCACCCACTGACACATTCTTCGACCACATCCTCCTGGCGACGACTACATCACCATGTCGAACCGCCACGAGCTCACCCACTTCTTCCCCTCCGCGACGCACCCCGCCATCCCCATCGCGACCGAGCTCCTCTCCACACTCCGCAACCTCACTGCACCCGGCACAGGCAATGCGCTGAAGTCCGGGGAACGCACTGCGCTCGTTGGCGTTGCTGCACTGTTGGCATGTGAACGGTGAGTCTGGGACAGCGGTGATGGTGTTCGCACTTCAGATGCCCCCACCAGCACCCGCAGTTTGCCTTCAACACTGCTGGGCTGAACTGATCCACAGCGTCCAAAGCAACGACCTGGTCGAGACGGCTGCCCAGCGTACGGCTTCCGTCTCCCCTGCCAACTTCAAGTCCGCACTCTCCACCTCACGCCGCCTCCTCGCCTCAACAGCCAACATTGCAGGCCCGTCGTCGACCCGTAAACGGCGCGCGGACGCACCGACCCAGACGGCCCCCGTCCCCAGTGTGCAGCTCCCGCCATTGCCCTTCTCCACGCCCAGGAAGAAGTACAAGTCTACGACCAACGTGGATATTTCCGCTCTCATGACTCCCTCGCACAAGCACAGTCCCCGGGACAGCAGCCCGTTACGCGAGAACTACACGCCGGGGAGCAGCCAGCCTACGCCCAGTAAACTGCGACCCATGGAGGAGGAGGACGAGGACGATGAGGTCGATGAAGGGCAAGACAATACCCCACGAAAGCGCAAGGGTGCCGTTGATGACGGCGACGATACCGAGCGCACACCCACCAAGTCTGTCCAGTCACGTCTGAATGCCGCCCGGCGCGCGCGCGAGGCGGACGGTGCAGCTGCTTTCCTCGCCCTCCGCCCCGGTACGACACCGAGTGCGGCTCTCGCAGGTGCTGGTGCTGGAGCCGGGGCAACTGGAAGCGGCGCGTCGCCCCACGGCGCGGACCTGCACCAGTCGGACCCTATGAACGTGTTCCGCGTACCGAGCCCGCAGCGCATGAGGCGCCTGCGGAAGCGCGCGGACTGGACGAGCAAGGAAAAGGTGTGGAGCAAGAAGTCTTCAGAAAGTGTGTGGGCCAAGCTCCACATTGACGTTGAGGGAGGCAGGGACCCCGTCGCGGCGAGCGTCGAGGACATCATCCTCGCTGCTTGGCCGTAGTTCCTCCGCATGAGGTTGAGGAAGCTACTATATGCATTGACTATTGTGTACACTGTCGGATAAACCCACCACCCCGAAGAACCTGTCCCCTCTCACCCACATGTTGAAATGCTACCTGCTACAGACACCCAGAGCGAGTTTGTGTGCGCGTTGATTAGAGAACTCTGGAGAGGATTCGGTAATCGGGCTTGCTGTCCTCGCCATTCTCGTCAACGTCCTCCCACCCATCCTCTTCGGCGATGAGGGTCGGGTCAATCTCGTCAGGCGTGTAGCCGACTTTGGCGTAGAATGCGAGGGCCGGTGCGTTGCCTGAACGTCCAGCGGGCAGGGGAATGGGAAGACGATGTGTCGGAGGTAGCCGCCGTGTCAACAACAGAGATGGACCCACGCGTCAGCGTCTTATTGCGGATCCGATCGCGACTCGAAAGCCTCAACAGCACTCACCAGCCAGACAGGTCAACATTGACTTCTTCATGCCCCTGCTCTTTCCAATGCCCTCGAGCTCGGTCATGAGGTGACGCCCCAGACCGGCTCCCCGAGCCGATGGGGAAAGCTGGAGCTCGTAACTGTCGAGTAGTGTCAGTCCTGCTTGTGGAGTGTATCATCGTGGCAGATGTGCAACCTGCAGTGTCCAGTGCTGCGGCATATACGGCGGGCGAAGAGGTGGGGGATGGGGCGAGGTTTTGGGGGCCTGCACAACCCTCGCTTGTGGGTGGCGCGCCGCGCTCTCCGGCCCGACTCGACCGCCATGGGTGGTCACTGGCGTAGGTCCCTGCGGTCGACCGCACTGCGCTCGTGACATGGTGCTGAGCTGGCACGGCAGTCACAAGCGGTCACGACCCATTGCCAAACATGTGCGGTGGGGCAAAGACGACGAGTAGCTTCAACTTCGGGGACGACCTGCTCGCCCGAAGTAGCCGCCACTGGGCGCTGCAGTTCCACTTCCTAATCGTTTCGCCGCCCACCCAGCAAATGGTTCCTGCGTCCGCGAGCTCGTTCCTACTCACCAGTAAACCACCTCGACGTCCCTAGTGCCCATCGTCTCCTCTGTGTCGAATCGAAAGCTCACAAAGCCCAACAGCTCTCCCTCTTCAACTTGCCCCTGTTCCCTCAGAGTTCCCGGCATGGCCGTCCTGGACAAGAGCAAGAACCGCGCGTCGGGGTCGAACATTTCCTCGCGCTTGGCTTGCTCCTCATGCTCCATCGAGGTTCCCTTAGCCAGGGGGCCAATGTTGGCGTCGAAGAGCGAGTACAAGGTGTCACGGGTGTGTGGAGGTAGAGATGCGGCAGTGAGGAGGGAGAGTGTCGCGTTTCCGGACGATGTTGCGATGGTGCGCGGCAGGTGGGGTGCGAGCGTGTCCATGCTCGCTGCGTTGGCGGAGCGGACGCGAGGGGTGGCCATGGTTGTGATCGTGGTGACGTGCTACTGTGTGGAGCGTGTAGATTATGGTGGATATGATGCGTATGAACGAGGCTGACAGGGCACAGTGCGATGGATGAGTAGCGAGCAGCAGAGAAGATACGCCGCAGGAACAACAAATGGACGCTGGGCGGCAACAACAACGATTGTGGCTTACGTAAGGTCTTTGGTCGAGGACGTCAGCATTGGGACGTGGACTGACGGCGTGCACGACGTGGCCAACGACGACGACGTGGAAGTGCATGGACAGCCAGGCAGCGAGGGTTGAATGTACAACACGTTCATTTGAACACGTACGTGTATCTTTTGGGTGGGTGGCGACTGGCCGTTGTTGACGAAGAAGCAAACGATCCCTGCGGAAAGCAAGGCGCGTGGAGTCAGGAGGCACAATCAACAATCACATGTCTTTCTTACCCCCGCCCACGACGACTGCTGTGACCCGTCTCCAGCTCTGCACTACTGCTAGCAGCTGACAGTGTATCGGGTACACACTATATTATGTACGTGCAGGTGTTCCCCAACCAGAGTCGCTTGCAGAACATCAACGCCGCCACCTGTCGCCGCTGTCGTCATCCTCTTATCCTCCGAATCGCGCTGGTGGAGGTTGGCCAGCACACCATGTGGGGTCCTATTCTGGCTGTGACTTTTGCTGACAGAGCAAGAGTCGGCATGCGCAGATCTCTGGAGGACGTGTCGAGTCGAAGATATCGGAAGGGCATGGGATGTACCGGATGTCGTGCTTGGGACACAGACTATCTGGACGAGTGCACAAATGGCGGATGAGCTGCGGTTCCCAGCCAAAACATAAACTGCGGTGACGACGACGCCGTCCCCATCTCCCACTCAACCTCATGGCCGTCCGCACCATCGCTCACCGTAGCACGACCCTGTTTGGCCTCTTTAGCACTCCACACGTCTTCCTACGCACCATGTCATCCACCGCCGCTCCTGCTGCTGCCCCACTACACCCTCTGCCGCCATTTACATCGGCCACGGCGCACACCAAAGTCAAGGCCGCGCAGGACAAGTGGAACACGTGCGACCCAGCCCTCGTTGCACCGGCATACACCGAGGACAGCGTGTGGCGCAACCGCGACGACTTCATCAAGGGTCGCGACGAGATTAAGCAGTTCTTGACGCGCAAATGGGCCAAGGAGAAGAACTATCGGTTGAGGAAGGAGCTGTTTGCGTTTACAGACAACAAGATGTACGTTACTCGGTCATCGTCCTCCTAACGCTCGTCAGCGCAGTCGAGTTCTGGTACGAGTACTCTGAGACCGAGGACCCGAGCTCGCAGTGGTACCGGACGTACGGTCTCGAGCACTGGGTGTTCGCCGAAGACGGCCGCATGAAGAGTCGCCAGGTGGGTACAGCTAGCCTAAATCAGCACGTGTAGCTGGATGACCCACGCTCCGTTGATTCTCCGAGCTGCACGTCGCTTTCGCGAGTGGCAGCTCTATCATAACCGTGTATGGATACTGACTGGTGCAGATGAGCGGCAATACCATCCCCATCGCCGCCACCGAGCGCTGGTTCAAGGACGGCGTCGACGTGAATGACGGCGATGTGCCGCCAGGCCACATCTCGCTCAAGGAGTGAACCCTCAAGGTGTACCTACCATAAGCTAGCCCCACCTCCACCTATAAAAGCTGTTTCCCAATGTCCTTATTCTGCAGCTAGCTATGATATGAATAACTTTCTCTCTGGACCACTTGGATCGCTTGATGTCTGTCACTCTGCGATTGCATCCACAGTGGTACAGTGGATAGGTCGTCCCCAGTTGTTTTCCCACTGCACTGCAACCTCCACTCTCCGATTCTATTCTGAACGCCGACTGCCGATTTCCGCATTTCGACGACGTCGCCGAGCTTGCTCTGTTTACAACCACTTCATCACCCACAAATGCCGCCAGAACGTGCCCAGGTCGTCCTGTTCCGCACCGCAACTCCAGACGACAGCTACACCCAGCTCTTCTCGCAACGCGGGTACGACGCGACCTCCATCCCGGCCTTGGGTGAGCGGTTGCTCGTGGACAATCTCAAGCACGTCGTGCGCACGGGTGCCGGCCCGTACGAGGCTGCGATAGTGACAAGCCGCCGCGCTGCCGACGCGTGGGTTTTGGCGGTACGAGAAGTGTTGGAGGAGGGCGAAGGGGCTGATGGTGTGGGAGAAGGAGATAGCTCGTGGGGTCAGTTGGACGAACCGTTGAAAGCGGGAGCTGCGAGCTGACATTGCAGAACCGTGGTCGGACCTGTCCGTCTACTGTCCTGGAACTGCTGTCCCAACGACTTTCGACACTGCATCTTTACCAGAAAGATACCGATTCACAGACGGCCCGACGGCCATCCACGCGGCGGGTCTCGCGCCGCTCCTCCTCGCTGCTCCTCCACGACCTCATCACACTGCGCCGTCCAGGTGCGGCACCGCCAACTCCGGTACCACAGCCCAGCATCGCCCATACCTGGTCCTTACAGGAGACAAGACCCTCCCGACACTCACCGACGCTCTAGCCGCTGCTGGGCGTGAAGTTGTCCAGGTGAAGAGCTACGAGACGCAGGCCGCTGCGGGGCTCGACCGAGAAGTCGAGGAAGTCGACAAAGCAACAAAATGGGTTTCGGTGTTCAGTCCCAGCTCTGCGGGGTATGTCTTGCCTCTACTCGAGGCGAGTGGGTGGGCGTTACGGAATGACGACGACGAGCTGGAAGAAGCGACCACAACGAGACGAGTCTGTGTCCGCGTTGCGGCCATTGGCGAGACGACGGCTGGTTTCCTACGACGAGAAGGATTCAGAGTGGATGCTGTGGCCAGCACGCCTGATGCGGAAGGGTTGGTAGCAGCCGTGTGTGCTGCCGATGAGGATTAGAGTGCAGGCGCGAGTGCGCTGCGATTAATGGACGTAGTAGAGTAGCAGTAGAACAGCAGTAGAACCAACATCAATTTGCATTGCATGATCTCCTTCGCAGACTTGGTTCCTCCTTGGAGCCGCGGCCGGTTCAAGGGCATCTGCCTGTCTGCTCTGTTCTTCTTTACACCTTCCATTCCCCATACGCGATCCTCCCGTCGACAATCGTGGCCATGACTTTGGTCTGGAGCATCTCGTCCTCATCCACAGTCATGAGGTCGTCGTCCCAGAGGACGGCGTCGAAACGCATGCCCCTTGTCAGGGAGCCGGTGTTGTTGGAGAAGGCGGCGTAGGCGGCTGCATGAGGAGTTAGCTTGCAAGTTTAAGAACGTCTAGCTAAATGGACATGCGGGGGAGAGGCGAGAACGCTTCACTAGCCAGGCGCCTTCATACTCACGATCAGCAGTGAATCCCCTCAACGCCTCGACGCGACTAAGCTTTTCCTCGGGGTACCACCCATTCTTGCCATGCGGTGATGTCCCGTCCTCTGCACGACGAGTGACAGCGGCGTAAAAGCCCTTGAGCGGGTGGGGCGACTCGACGGGGAAGTCTGATCCGAGGGCAATGCGGCCGCCATTGTTGATGTATGACCGCCACGCATATGCGCCCTTGATGCGCTCGGGGCCGAGGCGGTCTTCCGCATACCACATCTGGAGAGTTAGCTATCGGCTATGGGGACTTGGTCGCAGCTAGACAGAGCACCAGAAGTGGAAACAGCTACGGAATTTCCTCCACTCACATCACTGGTAGCGTGCGTTGGCTGGTAGCTGCCAATAATACCCATCTCAGCGGCGCGCTTAAGGTCCGGCAGGGTGAGGATCTGGGCGTGCTCGATACGCAACCTGCGCTCGCGACCGGCCGCCTTGTCCTTTCCGATTGCCGCTTCAAAGCCGTCGAGAACAACGTGGTTCGCACGGTCGCCAATGCAGTGGACGTTCTGACAGTCAGCACAGGGGCGCCCAGGTGTAACATCCCACAAGCCAAACTTACAACCTGCCACCCATCGTCATAGTATTTCTTGATCAGCGGCGCCCACTTTTCCTCTTCGGTGAGGAGGAAACCCTTCCATCCTGGTTGGTCGGAGTAGTCTTCGAGCAATGCGGCACCGCTGGATCCAAGGGCACCGTCGGAGACGAGCTTGACGCTCTGAAGGGTGAAGCGACCGTCTTGAAGGCCAGTCACACGCTCGACAGTGTCACCGCAGAATGTGGCACGGTCCACACACATGAGCATGGTGTAGAAGCGCATCTGGGTGTAAGCGTGGTCTGGAGGGAGGTGGCGGTAAGGCGGCGGCAACACCTTTTCAGCTGTAACGGCGAGTGCCTCAAAAACAGCCGTGATATAGCCCTAAGCTGCCCCTCTCACTCACAGAAAGCTTGCCATGGTTGGCCATCTTCTTGAAGAAGTCGAGATCCTTTGGGTTCTGCCCAGCGTCATGAACGCCTGTAAGACCCAGCGCGAGGGCATCACGCGTCATTATATTGAGTGCCATCTCCCGAATCTCGTCGGTAACTTCTGGGAGAACTGGGTTGATGTGCCAGCGCATAGCATTGTCAATGAAGACGCCTGTCGCCTCACCATTCTCGTCGCGGACGACTTTACCGCCTTCCTCGTCCTTGTCAGGCAGCTTGCCGATCTTGGCCAGAACGATTGGCGAGACCCATGCCGCGTGGACGTCGACGCGGTACAGGACAATTGGGCGGCCACGGAGGAGTGGGGAGGTGTCGAAATCAGCCTAAGAGCGCGTCAGCTGGCATTTCAATCGTGTAGCTCACTGCCGTGGGGAATTCCTTGACAGGCCACTTTGTCTCGTCCCAACCCATGCCCGTGATCCAGTCGTCAGGCCCACCACCGGGGTGAGCCTTGACGTAGTCTTCCAGAACAGAGATGACCTCGGCAACGCTCTTGGTGCCTACAAGAGGGAGTTGACGGGTATATCCATATTCGAGCGGGTGGGTGTGTGAATCGGTAAAGCCGGGAGTCACAGTGTGGCCTGGAGGAAGATAGACAATTGTAATGCCACCAGCTTTGCGGATGTGGTCCGGGGATCCCTCGACCGCGCCGACGTTTCCTTTACCCTTCTCTCCCCACACGCGACGGACGTGCGCAAGGCTGCCGGTGTCGACCACCTCTTTACCGCCAACAACGACACACTCCACCGCGCCGGACCCTCCGCCAACGTCTGCCGGGACAGTGTACACCTTCTTGCCGTCCTTGGAGCAGACAGCGTACCATTCCGGAAGAGGTTTACCGCCCTTCAGATTGTCAACAGTGTAGCTGTTCTTGCTTTTGAGAAAGCTCTGCCTCTGCCCATAGACAATCATGCACGCGAGGATGACGAGGGAGAGGGCGATATGGACACTACGTGTCGGTCGGGCTGGAGGACGAGCCGCGCGTTGATACCGCGACCCAGAGGCGGATGCTGGGCCATCGCATCCTGGCGGTGGGGCTGCTGCCTTGCGCTGGCGCACTGCAGACATGGTGATAATGGAGAACGAACGGGTGGGCTATAGCTCAAGCGCGGAAATCAAGATGAAGTCATCACGGGTTCGCCCGGTCGCACAACTTTCCCACGGTACACATGGTGGTCAATTTGATCCCGCCGCTGACTCCGGTCCAACAACCTTCCCCCTGCGGCCGCGTAGCCCAACACTAACCTTCCCTCGCTCTCCACATCTCTCTACACCCCATCCATCAGCAATGTCCGACTTTGACCACGACCTCTACGGCGACCTCGACCTCGAGGACCTCGACGCCACCCAGCTCGACGAGGAGCTTGTCGACCCCGACCTTGAGCCCAAGCAGGAACCCGCCTCGGCCGCAGGTGCGACTGAGTCCGCCGCGCCCGCTCCATCCTCGTCTTCGGCCCAGACCCACGCCCCACCAGCAGACAACTACTCCCACACCGCGTCCAACCACGTCGGCAGCTCCAGCGCTGGCGGTATGGGTATGGGTGGCGGTGCCGGAGGTGCTCCCGGTGGTGGTATGGGTGGACGCGGCGACTTTGGCCACGGCGGCATGGGCGGTGGATCGCGCGACTTTGGTCACGACGGAATGGGCGACAGGATCAAGCCCAGCGACATGCCGGACGAGGGGTTAGTGTTCTTTCCTTTGTTGTGTGTTGTTTCTTCTTGTCGTGTTTCGTGTATCCCGAGTTTTGTGGGAAACAAAGAGAGTAGCTGTTGTGACGGCCATTGGGGCCTTATTGGTAGTCGCATAGCGACAGTAGGTGATAGCCACCGTGTAGACGGGCGTGGGCCGCTAGGTAGGCAAAGGCCCCGCCCACCTGTAGAGATACTCAATACCTCGCTTGAAACTGTACACTGATACCCTATCTTCTACCTCTCGTTACACCTGTTTTCTGCATGTTACCACACACACCAATACGGATTCCCCCGGACACGCACACACGGCCCACCCTACCTCGTCATGATGCCTGACCTTCCTCGCACGTTCAACAATACAGCAAGATGTTCATTGGCGGCCTCAACTGGGAGACCACAGACGGTTAGTTTTGGAATAAGAGACAGAGAAGAGAACACTTTTACTGAGCTGCAAGACGGCCTGAGAAACTACTTTACCCAGTTTGGCGACATTGACCAGTGCACCATTATGCGCGACCCCACCGGCCGCTCGCGTGGCTTTGCGTTCCTTACCTTCAAGGAAGTCAAGTCGGTCCACCGCGTCCTCGAGCAGGACCACCAGCTCGACGGCAAGATGGTGAGTTAGGCATCTCATTTACACTCCTAACTCGTTCGCCAGATCGACCCCAAGCGTGCCATCCCTCGCGCCGAGCACGAGCGTACCGCCAAGGTCTTTGTCGGCGGGCTCGCGCCTAGTGTCACTTCCGAGTCGCTCAAGATCTTCCTCCAGCAGTTCGGCAAGGTCATGGACGCGACTGTCATGTTTGACCGTCTGAACGGCCGCTCGAAGGGTTTCGCTTTTGCGACGTTTGCCGACGAGTCGGGCGTCGACAATGCCATGGGCCACTCGGGCATCGAGCTCGAGGGACGCCAGGTGAGTTCCAAAAACGCACAGCGAGAGCTATACTAACTCTTCGTCAGATCGAGATCAAGAAGGCCCAGCCCCGCGGTGCCGGGACCCAGGTCAAGAGCTTCAACGCTCCCGGCGGCGCCCGTACCTCTGGCTTCAACCCCACGTCGCAAATGGGCTTTGGCATGTTCGACCCCTCGGCAATGGCCATGATGTACCAGAACATGCTCAAGGGATCTGGCGGCGGTGGCGGCGGCGGCAATGCTGCGGCCAGCGGAGGCATGGGTGTTGACCCCAACGCCATGGCCATGATGTACCAGAACATGATGAAGGGTGAGTCCAAACAACGCTAGTATTTTGCCGTCCGATAGCTGATCACCTACTTCAGGCATGGGCATGAACCAAGCTCCCGCCATCAACCCCAACATGGCCCGCGGCAATGCGATGGGCATGGGCGGCGGCATGATGGGCGGCGGCATGGGCATGGGTGGTATGGGTATGATGGGTGGTATGGGTGGTATGGGAGGCATGGGAGGTATGGGCATGGGCATGGGCGGCATGGGTATGGGCATGGGCGGCATGGGCAACATGGGTGGCATGGGTGGCATGGGCATGGCTGGCGGCGGCGGTATGGGCGGTCGCGGCGGTCGCCAGGTGCCCAACGCGCCTCGCGGCCCCGCGGCGATGCGCAACCCCGGCGGACCAAGCGGTATGGCCCAGCCCATGGCCCAGGACGGCTCTGGCAACGGCAACGGCGCAGCTGGTGGCTCGGGATCCGGACCCCAGCGTTACTCGACGCAGGGTCAGCAGCGCGCCAAGCCTTACTAGATGGCGTCCCCGACACCACCTGTCCCAGCCTCTTCACCGACGACGACAATTATCACTGTCTTTATGAGGTCCTGAGAACCCTTGTCCCACATGTGTCTCGTCTCGAAGTACTCCCAAGACATTCTCAATCCTGCAAGAAACAAAGGAAGCCAACCGACTTTCCCCCACCACTATCAAACCAAGACTTAAACAAACACCACCACACCATACTCGGGGCGGCGGCGAAACCCCAAGCGCGCATCTGTGTCCATGCCCATTATCCCGCATGACCAGTCTACTGCAGTTATTGTATGCACCAGTGACCTATACCCACGCGAAGCAGATTGTGATTAGGCACAGTTGCGAGTTCCATCGGATCAGCCAGCTAACGTAAGTTATTGCACTAATCGGGAATGTAAACAAACACTTCCCACCGCGCCATGGTAAGCATGAGCATGTAGCCTTTGGTGCACGCACGAAACCATGGTGCATTACTCTAGTGCAGTACAAGGTGATATAAGAAGAAGACGTAAAAGGAAAAAGAGGACACCCTCATAGACAAGTACAGATTACTGCTCCTCCGTTTCTCCTGATTCTCCCGTTTCGGGCCAGGGGAGTCTGGGACCTGGCCCGAGCCATCGGGTTCATGTCCCGTGTCCTCTACAAGCGGTGACCTGGAACAACGGCGAAGATGACGGTGAAGACTGCCGTGAGGAAGATGACGAGACACTCGATCCACAGGGCACGAAGGAGGAGGAGTTTGCGGACATAGGTCTCGCGAACCGTGATGAGTCGGAACGGTGTGGTTTCCGACTGGAAGAAGAGGGCGAACAATGGTGACAGCTGGTAGTATGCTGCAAGGAGGAAATTAAAGGCGAAGAAGAAAGGGAGGATGACCCAGAGACGCGTGAGGCGCGGCTTCCAGTCGAGGAAGATGAGGGTGAATGCGAGGACAAACGCGCCCCACAGAATCACCAGGCCGAGGATGAGGCGGACAAGGGCAGAGGTTTGAGTGAGGTTACCGAACGCCTTGGCGCGGAGGAAGCGCGGGAACGCGTCCTGCTCGAGCGCACGGAAGATGTACAGTTTTTGGGCATGGAACAGGTCCGGGATAAGGGGTGAAGTCTTGGTCTCGGTCGACACGGGAAAGTTGGTCAACCGCAACGCGGGAGGGAGGTAGATTTCGCGCTCGGCGCCGGGTAAGAGGTATCTCAGGTAGATGCGCTCGGCGCTCTCGACAAGTGCGTGCTTTTCAATGGCGCGGTCGCGGGCAAACACGGTCGGTGCGCGCTGGGCGCTCTTGCGGTTTGTGGACCAGCGCATACTGGCGCCGCTCGAGCTACGGTTGGCGTTCTGGCCAAACTCGGACCCAGCTAACGACGGCGCGCTGCCAAGGAAGGGAGAAGTGTGCTGCTGCTGGTGCTCTGGGTCGGTGCTGCGGTATGAGTCGTGTCGGTACGAGTCATGACGATAGGACGAGGGAGCGTGCTGGCTGCTTCCCGGGGCGACGAGCTCGGATGAGCGGCGCGCGGGAGGAACGCTCGAGGTTGTCTGGCTGTGGCGGGGGATGTGTTCGCCCGACCCTGTCAAGTCGAGCATGGGGGTCATGTACGATCCGTTCTGGCGCGCATACGCCGCAAAATCGGGCCAGTCCTCGTCAACACTTCGTCCTGAGCGTTTCAAATCTTTGAAATACGCCTTGCACAGGTTCTCATGTTGCTGAACGTCGAGCCAAAAATCGAGCGCATCCTCGGAACTCTCACGCTGGAGAAAGATCTGTGTAGAGGGTCCATGTCAGCAACAGGATTCTGTGGGAGTGGACAAGGACGCGATGCAAAACACGTCGAGGTGTGCGCGAGCGCGCCAGTGTGTGACCGCCGCAAGGGGAGGCGTAGTGATCGGGCCAGTGACGGTTTCTGCATCAAACCCGCTCAGGCCCTTTCCCCCGCGCAGCGACGTCGCACCGCTTCTTGACACGCACGTAGAAGCAGAAGAGGTCGAGTGGTGGACGTGTTCGCCTGTCGAGGACTTCTTGCAAGGTTGGCAGGCGCTTGAGGTTGAGGTATCGCGAGGTGGTGTTGCGCTTCCTGGTCGCAGGGGTCTGAGCGGCAGCCGCTCCCGCGACGTCCTTCTCGCTCATGTCCATTGTTCACGAGGTCGAAGCGGGGGGAGCGAACGGAGGGGATGGGGGAAAGGGAGGGTGTAATTGGCGCCTTGAGGGATGCGCAGGAGGCGAGTGGAGTACAGGAAGGACAGTGGATGGAGGATGAGGAAGAGGATGCGAGATGATTGTGGCTGTTGTAACAAGTCAGTCTGTGGTCTCGTCTGTTGCCCCTGTTGCCGTACCGCGCTGCTCGTTCTTGCCCTTCCTGGGTGGCGGGTGCAGGTGGCGGGGAGGGACGGTACGAGGACGGGAGTATTTCCACGTGCGGTAATGGGATAAAATCAGCGTAATTATATTCCCCTCCACGCGGGATTATGTAATTAGCGCCGACCCAGCCCAAATGGTGCGAGCGGACGACCCAGCCGCCCCCTCGCACCGATTCAGAAACACTATTTACTCTCTTCCCCCCCCCCGTTCTTCGAATCAACCAGTCCTTCCAACCCCATCCATCGCATCGCGCCTCGCAGCTCGTGCGATCCCCCCCTCTGCTTCTCACAGCGAGGGCACGACGCCGAACTACGAACACGAGGCCGACCGGCGCAGGGCTGTAGGCGCGCCCGCCGTCGGAGGACTGGATTAATACCACACCACCAGCTTCTTGATCGCGGCTCCGTCGCATCGAGTTTCGCTGTCTCCTTCTACTCGAAAGTCAGAGGGAAAAAGAAAACACTTCTTCGTTTGATCCCCTCCCGGGTTGATATCCTAGGACAGGAGAGCACCGCGTTGCTCGCGACCCTGTCACCATGTTCTTCCTTGTTGGTTCATCACCACTGGTAGACATTGAACGCTGACACGTCTCCTTTCCATCCATCCCCCTTCATTTTCTACTACCCACCCCCTTCTCTAACAACAGCGCCAACTCACGCACACGATCCTCCTCCACCCTTCCTACTTTGGCGCCCAGCTCGAAGACTACCTCCGCCAAAAGTTGTACGAGGATGTCGAGGGCACGTGCAGCGGAAAGTATGGGTGAGTCTTGTTTTGTTTCTCCATTGTTCCTTTTTGTCTGACAGTCTCCAGCTACATCATCTCCGTTGTGACGATCAACGACATTGGCGAGGGCAAGATCATGCCCGGTACAGGGCAGGCGCGCTTCAAGTGTTCCTACACTGCTATTGTCATGAAGCCCTTCAAGGGCGAGGTCGTCGACGGCAAGGTCGTCAATGTGAATAAGGTGAGCTTTTTTGTTCGGCGACGAACCCAGCTGACGAATCCAGATGGGCTTTTTCGCAATGGTCGGTCCCCTCCAGGTCTTTGTGTCGTCTCACGTGAGTGTCTTTCCAATCCTCCAAACCCACCCCATCCATCCACCCACTCTTGTGATGAAAAAAAAGCATAGGGACATCATGACCATTTTAAATGGAATGTTGAGTATGCCGGGAGATCTTGTAGTAATTGATCGTTTTTATCTGAAACCACCCCTCTATCCTTCACTTTCTATCGAAATGAGGAAGACCATGAGCTGACAAAAGCCCTACAGCTCGTGCACGCCGACATGAAGTTTGACCCGAACGCAAGCCCCCAGTGCTACCGGTCAAACGACGAGGTCATCCAGAGGGACACGTGTGTTCGCATGGAGATTGTCGGCTGCCGCATAGAGGCCAACGACATCTTCGCCATTGGAACCATCAAGAAAGACTTTATGGGCCAGATTCAAGATTAAGACAATCCACACTTTTAGACGACAAACCACCATCACTGTGTCAGGTTTTAGACTAGCACATTTGTATACCCCTTCATCGAGTACCACACCGACAACGTGTCGTGTCCATTGGGGTTTATTAGCAGAGCAGAAGAGAAGAAACATAAATAAAATGTCGAAAATGTATCGTGTTTGCAGATCCAAATGTCATGTGGGCCGTACGCGACTGTTACTGAACCTCCAGCGGCCGCGGGCTGTACCGTTGCGACAGAGTAGTGATCTCTCTGCAGCACCCGGACCCCTATGGGGGCCACCGCCAATGACATGTGTTGTCAAGCTGGTGCCCCCATGGCCGCATCCCCGGCTGTCATTGTCGTCCTGATGCTGCCAGGTAAAGAACAGCGCCGTATCTCCGTTGGGCGCTACAAACCCACTACCGCCACCGAGCCACTGGCCACTGGTCAGGTGCCTGCCGTCGACGCTCGGTGATGAATGGAGGCCGCAAGACAGCTGGCACAAGGCGTCTGGGCCCGATGAAGAGGTTGCCGGTGATTACCGTATGCGGGGCGTCTGCGCCACGATATGTATTGTTCGACGTCGGCTTTGTCTGTCTAGTGCCCACCTTTGATGCAATGCCTCAGTGGCGGGCTTGTACCTCGACGTGGGCCTCCGGGTGAACGTGGAGTTGGACAACGGCGAGCAAAGTCTTGGCGTGGCCATAATCGGTGCTCGTGTGCATGCGCAGTTGTGTGATTGTTTCCAGCCTTTGGTCGAGCACATTGACGATCTGGCGGCAGGGTCGAGCGTGGTGAATGAGGCTTTGGCTATCAGTTGAGCAGGGCATTCAGCACAGCACACACACACAACTGGGATGCCATAGCAATGCGTCCCAATGTATGCCTTGTTGAGGTGGCGGACATCGGTCGCAGTCAAAGGTAGTCTTTGAGGGACAATTCCTGATCAGCTGACCGCCAGTTAGCCACAACCGCCACCCCCGTCCACACAATAACGACCTGCGCTGTCCAACTTTATACCGCAAATCAGGTCGTCTGCCATGCCAGGAACCCGGTTGATCTGGATCACCTTTTGACCGTTTGACAAGGCGAGGCCGGCCAAGGCAGCAACAGGCATGTGGCCATGGGGACGATCCATGACGTCAGAATCGCCAGCTTCAATGGGCCCGGCTAGATCGTCATGTTGATGGACCAGGCGGAACGGAACGTCGTCAGTCATTCACACACGCCCAGAGGCCAGAACAATCTACCAGCGGCCAGCTACTGGGCGGGCCGTCATTTGGTCGGATGAGAGCCACCAGTATAAAAAGGCCTAGTCACCGCAACGCCTTCGCCTAGTCTCACTCTTCACCTCTCAACCCACTGTTCCCACCCAACACATCTAGCACCATGTCCAACAACCAGGCCAGTGAGTCTTTCTCGGGAGGATGCTGTTTGTCGCTCGGGATCAACAGACGCTGACCGCGACTCTGCAGTCACTGTCTCGTTCAAGTCCATGGAGTGGACCGAGAAGCCTGTCCAGGCGTTCCAGGACCTGAAGCACAACCACGCCTCTGCCAACATCACCTTTGGCGGCAAGGACATGAAGGGCAAGGGTCTGTCGTCATATGTTCTGTGAGTAGCCTCCCAGCCGGCCTCTCCTCTGTCACCCACGCTGACGGGCCGTACAGGACGTACAACGCCGACGGCGAGGGCTACAAGAACTCGTTCACCTACGACGGCCAGATCATCTTTGAAGGCACCATCTCGGGCAAGTCGGGCGCCATTGTCATCCGCGAGCGCGGTGCGGCCAAGAACGGCGTCATCAACGCCAACTGGGTCTTTGCCCCCGAGACTGGATCAGGCGAGCTGCAGGACCTCGCTGGTGAGGGCGAGTACACCATGAAGCTCGGTGGTGGGAACGCCGCCCCTGAAACCCAGGCAAACCTCGTCCTTTCGTGGCCTTGAAAGGGAGGTGTGGAAGAAGGGAGAAGGGAAGAGAAGTAAAGGCGCAGTGCTGCTATGACGGATGTACTGGTCAAAACTCGGAACTGGGAGCGAGCGTACTGGCACGGCTCGGTTACTAACAGGTGCTCACAAGGGTGACATGTCGCTCCCGTCGTTGCCAACACCCCGTGGGGCCGGTGGCGTACGACTGGAATAGTGGAGGTCATGTCACAGACTGGCAGGTCACCACTCGCTGATGACAGCACTCAGGAGCCCTTGCAAGGCGAGTTTCTTACACGCTGGGGAGACCCGACCTGGTCACACGACCCAACCTCCCCCCTCCGTGGGACATCGCCGTCATAGGGACCGCCCATCCTCCTCTACAGACGCCTCGCGTCCGTCAGCATTCTCAAACCCGTCCTCGATCCCACTCCCTTGTTCCCACCTTGACCCCGCTAACAGACACTCTCCCAGCACCCCCCGCACACACCAAAAACGAATACACAGTCCTCGGAAGAGGACCATCGACAATGACCTGATTCGAACAGATGCTCCCGAAGGAAATTGATTTCTAGTCAATCGCGTTAACCACTCCGCCACATTGCCCGCGATGCTTGTTCTCCTGATGCAGGGCTACGGATCCATGCAAGAATGGACGCTCTGCATGCATTGGATGGCGAGTAATGGACGGTTTTGTCGGAGGAACGGGGTGTCGGAAGGAGATGGTGAAGTAGGTGCCACACGGCGATCTGTGTGGGTTGGAATTTGGATCCGCGGGGGGATTGCCCCGACATTGCTCTCCCCAAGTGTACGTGGGTCGCGCCGTTCACCTGTACGCAGCGCAGCTGCGTACAGGTGAACGGCGTACTGGAGCTGCAGAGCATGAGCTGGAGGGTACCACACCACGGATCACGGATGGAGGGTGTCACAGTGCCATTGACACTTGCGGACATTTCTGCCCAGTGTGGCGGCAGACCAAAAACCAACTATGAGGCGGTCGAATTCCCATGTTAGGGCTATAATGCGTTTCTGCAGTGTCGCCGGTCGGAACTCACCGTCATACGCATCGGTTGAGCGCGGTTGACTCACCGCGAGCTATGAGTGAATGGCATTTGCTCACAAACACACCATCCATCGTTCATCCTCATCGTTCATCCTCACCATCCATCTCTCATTTTCCCACCCACTCTCACTCTCCCACCCACTCTCATTCCCCTCCCATTTCCCCCCGCACCATGCCACCCAGGCGCGATCCCCTACCACTGGGGTTCGATGTGAGCGTGACTACGCTGAACCATCACTGACTCTTCAGTTTGTCACAAACGGCGGTGATAGAGACTTGGACCACGCGGCCTACTTGTTCCAGCGGGCAACCAAGCTGCACAGGGATAAAAAGTACGAAGAGGCCGCCCGGGTGTTCAACCAAGTACGTTTACGGTGTTGATGCTGTGCTAATGTGCCAGTCCTACACCTATGGCCACTGGAAGTATGAGGTGATCCTCGCCCTCTGCAAGACCCTAATTCAACTCGCTCCCGCAAGCGTGTCGGCAGCGTACAGCAACATGCAGCACCTGTGCAAACTATATGAACACCGATGCGAGGTACGCAGACCGTCTCAAGCCTCGGTTCCCTATCGCTAACACGTTATAGCCCTGGACACTGCTGGCGAGGATCCTCCTGATGCTCGACAAGCCCGGTCTCGCCCTGCGTGCCCTCAACTCTGCCGAGATGCTTGTCAGCGATGTCAACAACGAGCATCAAATTGACAACGAGCACGAAATCATCGTTCTCCGTACGCTCGTCGACGCCACCGTTCCCCAGGCAAAAGGGTTCGTGAACCTTCCTGCGGACATTGTCATCGCCGTCGGCCGTGCGGGCTTGTCCTCGGACCCCGAATTTGTGGTCCGCATGGCAGGTGTTTGTTCCGCTTGGCGTCTGGTGGTCCAAACCGCGCCCGTCCTCTGGTCGCGTCTTAAACTCGGTCCCAGCCAATCCGTCCTCAAGCTTGGCAACTGGTTGGCCAAAAGTCAGGGAAATATCGTGTCCTTGCACCTAGTCGACTTCAAGTCATTCTCAGCGGCCCAAAAAAAGACGGTCGGGACAAGTCTGTCCGACACGATCAAGGGCCTGCGCTCTCTCGAGACCGATTTCGTTTCAGTGGCCTGGCATCACAAGTTCTGCAACCTGCAACACTTGGCTGGCAAGGGCCTTCGCCTAGAAACCTTGTTCCACCCGTCGAGTCGCAGCCTCAAGAAACTTGAAGCCTCGATTAACATTGACACCGCCGAAACGCGTCTCTGGGCTCCGTTCGTTTCCGACCTGGAGTTGTTCGACGGCTCATGTGTGGGTGACACTGCCAAGTTTCTGCAGCAAACCCCAAAACTCAACTGGCTTCGTCTGTCGAAGGGGACCATTGAACATGCAGTTACGCTGCCGGCGCTTCGGCATCTAGAGCTCGAACGTAAAGACCTGTTGGAGTTGATCAACGCTCCGAACCTGCACCATCTGAGTGCGGAGTACACCGACTTCATAAAGGCTCCCCGACTGCGCATTACGAAAGCCCAACTCGTATCGCTCACCCTGACAACGGTCCAATCTACGGCCCCATCCATTTTGGAACAGTTGCGTCCGCTGGAGGCCCTCATTCACCTCAATCTGGATTTCTACGACAACAAGCGTCCCTGCAAGAGGTCGACTGGTGACGGCCTGCTCGAAGGCCTCATGGTCAAGGATGGCACAGGCACTTTCATCCTCCCGAAACTTTTGACACTTTCTCTGGGCGGAATTGAGGTTAGCGACGATCTCCTGCTTGCCATGGTCACGATTCGCACCCAAAGCTCGGAAAGCGTCGCAAAACTCGTTTGGGTCGAGTACTTTCACTACGACTATGTCAAAAATGACCGGGTCAAGCCACCTCTGAAAAGCACTACTGTCACTGCGCTCAAGTTGCTGCTCCCCTATTTTGGACATGACATAACCGACATTCCCAATCCCGAGGACGCGGTCAGCATCCTCGCCGAAAGGGCAGCAGCCAAAGCATCAGCTGTGGCAGGCGAGGGGGGCGAGCAGATGGCAGGAGAAAGCAAACGCAAGGGTGGAGAAGACAACCTCGAACCTGGGGCGGACGCTAAGCGGGCCAAGGTGTGAGATGGAGGATGACCTGTAAATTATTAGCAGTATGTACGAAGAGGAGTTTTGGTCAACGTAATGCCATTTCCGCGAGGAAACATTGCCCCACTGCCACACCGTCCCCACAGGGATGCCTCGAACTGACGCGCTGATGCGAAATGACGACAGCTGATGCGGCGTCGGATGCGCAGGTGCACAGGGATCGCAAATTCGCCAGGTGACAGCGCTGGATCCGATGAGTCTGGCAGCTGATGCCTGCTTCGGATGCACACAGGCTGGAAAGCCACACACAGAACCCGTACACAGGTTCAGGCGGGTGGGCGTATGCACTGTGAATCCGATGCTTCACACGCACGCAGACGCACATACAGCAGGTCAGTAGGTCAAGCGAAAAGCAACCCCAGTCTCACTCTCACACTCTCACCCATCCCTTCTCATCATGCCACCACGCCGTCGTTATCTGGACCTGGTTGGATACGACCCAGGAGAAGAGAGGGAAGTCGAGACGGTTGACGAGGTGAGTACCCCAGCTGGATCACCTTTTTGTGGAGCTGAAGCCAGTCACAGCGCAAGCCCGCTGTTCACCCCAACTATTTGCAAGACAGCCGGAAAGCAAGGCTCCATTTTGTGCGTGGAGCCAGGCTCCACCGGGACGGGGAGTACATGAAAGCTGCCAAGGCCTTCAACGAGGTACGTTTAGTCAGTGCTGCAGATCGAATCCTGACTGAAAAAGGCTTATTCGTTTGGATATGCATCCCGCGAGGCGAAAATGGCTCTGTGCAAGTCACTGCTGCACCTCGAAGAAAGGAACGTCAAGGCAGCGAGGCGCCACATGACCAACGTATGCAAAGTCAATCCTGCAAGGCCCGAGGTATGTGCCAATCGACAAGTAGAATGTCACTAATTCGTTACAGTGCTGGTTACTTCTGGCGGAGCTCTACCTGGCCGAAGGCAGGCCCGGAACCGCTCGACGTACCCTCATCACCGCAGACCCCTTCTGTATCACCCCAGACATGAAGACCAAACATGCTCGCCTGGAAGCCTTGCTCCCGGCGGGCATGCACAGCCTTATCCAGACGGGCTGGGCCACTCTTCCAGTCGAGTTGCTTGTCAACATTGGCGAATTCGCCTTGGCGGCCAACCCCGACTATGTCATCACCATGGGACGTGTATGTTCGACGTGGCGCCGTGTGGCTTTCGGCTCTCCTATTCTCTGGTCGCGCCTCGACCTCACAGTGGACCATCCGGTGGCCAAAATGAAGAAGTGGCTCGAGTTCAGCAAGCAGTCAATCTTGGAACTCCGCGTTCCTTCGTTTGAGTACTACCGGCCCGTATTGTGGACCGAGGCGAAGCAGGCCAAATGGGAGGCCACGTGTGAGGCCATCACCACCGATCTTCTTCCTGTACTCGAGAACGTGCACAGTGTCTACATCAACAAGCTTCCGGGTCTCTGGCGAGGCATGTTCGGTCAGCTTCAACACTTTGAGCAACCCGGTGGCACAGGAGAGCCTCTGATCATTGCTTGGATCACGGGCGGCATAGATGAAAGTCACCCAACGCTGAGGTCCATCGTGGCCGACATCGACCTTTCTAGTTCTAAAGATCTTCCTCAAGGGTCTGCCCGTTTAGGCGCTCTTGAGACATTCCAAGGCGTAGTTTGGAGTGTCTGCGAGTTCCTCCGCGAGTGCTCCAAAGTCAAGGTACTCAAGATAGTGGATTGGAACGAGAAGGGAAACGAAGTTGGCAGTATCCACCTGCCCAATCTCCAAGTGTTGGGCTTTGAATATGACGCGAAGCTTATGGACTACATCGATTCTCCGAACCCGGCCTCCCTCCAATGGCATGACATGCATTGCAGCGTCGATACGGATGGCCCTTTCACCCGGATGGCAGCCCGTCAAGGTCTATCCAACCTGGTGTCTCTTTCGATGTGTGGTGCCCCATTGAATGCGGCGCTGGTCATCAAACACTTGCCCGACCTGGACAACCTCCAACACCTCCACATCGGAGGATGGCTTACCTATTTGGTCGCCGACCTGACCATCGACCCCGCCACGCTTCTCCTTCCCAACTTGAGGGCATTGTCAATACAGGGTATTGACATCGCCAGCGACCGTCTGCTGTCCATAGTTGAAAGCCGCACCACTCGCCGCCCACACGGGGTCGCCCAGCTGCTGTGGCTCGCCTTCAATCCCGGCTCCCATGCACTGCCATTCCAGACATTCCACCAGGAAACGGACTACCAGCTCAAGACTCTCCTTCAGTATTACGGGTGGGACAAGGACAATCTCCGTGACCCCCTGGCCGTGTTGAACGAGAACAACACCACGTTGCCAGCATCGGAACAAGTATCCTCCCTTGTCGAACTGCAGGATGCCGCAAAACATGACACCGAAAAGCCGGAGCGAAACGAACGTGAAGAGTGGCTGGTTGCCATGATCAGTAAACATGACTTGGACGTGGACGCCAGTGGGAGACGTGTCCTCCCTGATGGGTCGGGTCGGCTCGTGGTTGCCGCTGGAAAACTTCACCGGCTCTATGACCTGTCCGAGCAATGGTGCCATGAGAGATTCAATAAAAGTATGGGGGAGGAACTGAGCCTATGGGAGTCGGACTAGGGGTATTGATTTTCCTTCTCTCATGCCACAACATTCATGTGTCCACCCCCTCGTAGGAAGGAGGCTGCTTTGGACGGCATGTTGCAGTAACTGCGCTTCGCGATCGAGGGCCCCTGCAAGGGCCAGCGTGTTTCCTTGTCGTCATGCAAAGTATGTTGCGTGCTGTATGCACTTCACATGATCCGCCGCTGGGACCCATTGCATCTTAGCGCCTGGGCAGTGGGTAAATTCTTGGCAGTGTGTAAGGATGGATGAATTCTGGTCAACATGGTGTTACAAGTTCGATGAGGAATGCCACACCTCCCACAGGGATGTCTGAATCGTGGACAGCTGATGCTGCGTGGGATGCACATGACCTGGAGTAACCAGGTGATTACCGTGTCGGATCCGATAAATATGGCAGGTGATGTTGTTGCTTCAGATGCACACGGTGTTGGTGTGCGCAACACAGTGTCAAAGGCGTCATATCCCATTTAAGTTGGATTTTCTGTGATTATTTTCTCAACTTTGCATTCTTCTTCATTCCAACACACAGGGCGCGAGGTCACCAGGTCTTGCCAGCGCTGCACCCAAGAACGCAAGAAGTATGTCAGCTGATGGCCAATGTCAGCTAATGCTGCACCTGATGCACACAGGGCGCGAGCTTGCGAGGTCACCAGTTCATGGTGCGTGATGGATCCGATGCTTCTGCACACGTAGCCGAGCAAGTCAGGCGGCCGCTCTTTTTTTTTTAAAAAAAAAAACACGCACATATAGATACATACGCCCAACCCAACTCTTCCCCTCATCAGCTCTCACCGTCCATTCCCTCTCACCGTCCATTCCCTCTCGCCGTCCATTCCCTCTCACCATTCATTCCCTCTCACCGTCCATTCCCTCTCACCATTCATTCCCTCTCACCATTCATTCCCTCTCACCATGCCACGCCGTCCCACCAAGCCACTCCCCCGTCGCCACTTGCTCGAGACGGGATACACTGTGAGACCGCTCAGCCAAGCCGCCGTTCTGTACATTTCGCTGACGCTCTTCACAGTATACACCTCCCGTTGACGGGACGTCCATGCAAGACGTTAAGGAAGCAAAAATCCAGTTCGAGCGTGGAAGCGCACTTTACAAGGTTGGCGAGTATGAGGAAGCCGCCGACGCCTTCAACGAGGTGAGTATGTGCATCTTGTCCCCGCACGGACCCCGTCCTGACTCTGATGATAGGCCTTCGCATTCGGTTACGCACCACGCAAACCCAGACTCGCCCTGTGCAGGTCTCTCCTGCACCTCGACCAGGACAGCATCGAGGCGGCCAGAGAGCAAGTGACTCGGGTGTGCAAGCGAAACGACAAACTGCCAGAGGTATGTGCTGGTGTTGAGCCTTGAAATGGGCTAATTTGTGGCAGTTTTGGTTGCTGCTTGCGGAGCTGTATCTTGCGCAAGACGATGGCGCCGTCGCTTGGCGTTGTCTTGAAGCAGCAAACTCCTGCATTCATCAGGGGAGTATCAAGGCCGATTATTATCCCATTCGCAACGTGCAGGACGAGTATGCGCGGCTTCAGTCCCTACTCCCACCGCCGCCGCCTACGTCAACTTCCCCGTGGGCCGACCTTCCGGTTGAGCTCATTGTGGCCATCGGCACCTTTGCCATGGAGGCCGATCCCAAATGGAAGGACGTCGATCCCGAACACAAGGTAACAGGACCCACATACAAGGGCAAGGTTCCCAAGGAGCACGTTAAGCCCGACGTTGTCTTCAGCATGACAGGTGTTTGTACAACATGGCGCTGTGCAATTTTGGGAGCTCCCGTGCTCTGGTCAAGGCTCAAGCTGTCCAAGAAAAGGCCAGTTCTCAAACTGAAGATGTTCCTGGAACGCAGCAAGCAGTCGATCATTTTTCTCGGCCTTCCCTTATTCCGGACCTTGAGGACCAGCCAGTGGGAGGCCATTGCCGACCTCCTCGGTCCCGGGCTCGATAAAGTGTGCCACTTCGAGGCTACCTACGCGGAGAAGGTACTGCAGTGGACAACCCGCGGGTGCCGTGAGCTTCAAGTTGAAAATGAATATTTCAAGGTTGAAAACTACCATGGACGTGTTGAGGGTATCATTCAGGACTTCCTCGAAGAGGCCTCCGTCTATCGTAGCCAGTTGTGATTGAGGGTGGTGGGGGAACACGCAAGGGGAAAATACGTCTACTCCCTAGTCGCGTTCCTAACAGGCTTGTGGTTCAAGTATTGACTCGAATGAATAAAAGTTGCAACATGGAAGGGAGCATGGCAAGTAACTAGCTTTGTTGGAGGTCTTGCCCTATACGTACAACGACGCATCGTGCTCGCTCATGCCAAGGTCGGGAGTCTGGAACTGGATGTATTTGATTTGGAGAGGTAGCCACAAACAGTGTGGGATAAGCGAGGGTGCTGCTAAGAACAGCGCAGCCCTGTCTGTAGGTCGCGCCTGCTGCTAACGGCCAGCAGGTATTGTTCAGAGGCGAGCACACACACACCGGCGAGCACCAGCGATAACGAGCTGTGCCCCTTGTCGTCATGCGATGTATGCGGTGTGCTGTGTGCAGTGTACATGCACCGCCGCTGTGCGCCATGGCCTCTTTAGCGTGTCGACAGATGTGTGGTCATGCGTTCGAGACCCGACCTCGGTGCCGACATATGGATGCGCAAGCTCGGCTTGCCTGACCCACGCGGTTGCTGGCCGCTGGGCGTATATGCATGTAAGGACGTCTCCGCGATACCCCACTCTGCTTTGTGCTCGTCAACAAGAGTATCGGCCAGGGGCGGCAAATGAGACAGGAGCATACGTCAATCCTGCGCATCCACACAAGTTTGAACCTCGATGGGGAAGTGTGTATTTTCGATGGCTGATGGCGCTGTTGAAATGTCTGCCTCTACGGTTTTGTTATCTTTTGTCGGCCGGGGGAGTCGTGTCCCACCCAGCATTGCCTTTTTACGGGGGAAGCGATTAGATTAAAAGCTGTGGGTTGGGTGGACGTAGTCGACAGGTACACGCAGATGTTCTAGACGTCATCGCCTCCGGTTCCGCCGTGTATCTGCGCGCGTTGCAGGCTGCAGGAGCTGCAGGCCTGGGCCGGTTTCCCGATCCTGTGCGCACCTGTGCTGATCGATCAGCATGGACACGCGCCGCCGACGTCGCTGGAGACGACGCCAGCGGGGGCGACGGGGCCCGGTGGGGTAACGACGCGGGCAACGCGAGGTGCAGAACACGCCACGGTAGCCCAGGTGGGCCACCTGGGCCACCTGGGCGGGGCAGCGACACCCACGTCACGGTGTTTACGTGCTCTCGGCTGCCTGCTGCTTGGCATGTCTCCCGTTTTGGGTCATGTGGTGTGCCGGTTAAGGGGGGAAATAGATTTGTTTGGATCCAAATTGTACTGCAGGGTCGCCTTCTGGTTACTCATTCAATACAAACGCGCGCGGTCGGCCTCGTCCTGGGCCAGGCTCCATGGTGTCACAGGAAAGACGAGGAGCGCTATAAGGAGCTATACGAGGAGGCTTGTGGATTGTCAGGAAAAGAGAAAAAGAGAGGTTAATTGACACGATCTATGGAGCGCAAGCAAAGCGCAAGAGGAACAGGTTTGTCAGGTCTCTCTCCCTCTCTCGGCCTGTCGGGGCGGGTCGGACCACAACGCGTCCCAGTGCGCGGCCGCACGCGCGCTGGGTGTGATGTGGGTGACGTCGCCCTTCTGGCCGCCGCCGCCGCCGCCTTGGTCGCGCACGGGCGGGTTAATACCAGAGGAGAGCGGAGGCAATTTATATTTTTCACTCCATGGACTGTTGTTGCCCAGCGCTATAGCCGTATCAGCAGCTGAGCCGAGAGACAAGCAAGGCAAAGGAAGGCAAGGATGCAAGGAAGGCAAGGAAGGAAGGCAAAGAGCCATGCATACACACACGGGATGAGAGAGTGAGACCAAGACACACCACACACGTTTAATCCTCCCTTCCGGCCATACATCTCTCTCTCTCTCACCAACAGGCAGAGCATAACCATCTCCACTGCTGCTGCATACATTACCTGCAACACACCCCACCCACCCGTCGGCTACCCCCGGAGGCCGAGGCTCGGACACAGACATCTGGGTCCAGGTTTTTGCCAGAAACGGAGGCCTGCGTCGCAGCCCCGCCCCTTTGCGCGCTCTCCCTCCACCCTTGCGCCGCCGCCGCCGCCGCCCGCCGCCGGGCGCCTTTGCGTTTCTCTCTCTCCTCCCCCGCCCGCCCAGCGCCCTCGTCGCTGCCCTTCGGCCACTTTGTCATACACCGCACGCAACGCTTTCCAACCCATCTCCCGTCCCCAGTCTGGCCACTCTACACGCACACCACAACTATCCCTCGTCTTGTCCAAATCCCTGCAACCACCCACCCACCCCCCCTCCCCTAACCATCGACACAAACAACAAACATCCTCTGGTCCTGGGTACCACCTTGACATTGCCGCTCGCTCCACCCCTCCCGCCTAACACGCGTCGAGCCAGCTTGTAAATCCAGCTCCCCCCACCTCCTCCCCCTCTCCTCCCACCCACCGTCCCCGTCCTTGACACTGTCTTCGGCGTCGCAACCCCGCGTCACGCCCACCATTACCGGGGTACTAGAGCCCGCCTCACCGCCCATCATGCCCGCCTCGACGTCGGGGGCACCGCTCGTGCCTCGCCGTCGCCGGCGGGGGGCGACGACGATAAAGAAGAAGAAGGACGGCTGGTACACGCGCAACGTTTCCAACCCCACGTCCAAGTTCTTCTCTGGCCTGATACACAAGAAGAAGGCGCCACCAGAGGCGCGTTCCATCTTTATCAACGAGCCCATTCCTGCCGACTACTATGACAAGAAGGGCAAGCCGATCAAGTCCAAGATGTTTGCGTCAAACCAAAACCTCACGTCAAAATACACCGTCATCACCTTCCTCCCGCGCAACCTGTTTGAGCAGTTCAGGCGTGTGGCCAACATCTTCTTCCTCGCCATCGACATTCTCCAGTTCTTCCCCAAGTTTGCCACCGTCAGCCCCGGTCTCGTCATCCTGCCCCTCATCGTCATTCTCCTCGTTACCGCAGGAAAGGACGGCTTTGAAGATGTCAAGCGCCACCAGGCCGATCGCCAGGTCAACCACTCGGTGGTCCACACCCTCGGCGGCGACGGCTACGAGAACAAGAACCCCATGGCCCCCAAGGCCAAGACGTTCGTCAAGGGCATCCCCATGCCCAAGAGCAAGAAGAAAAAGGCAGCAGAGCTCGCAGCCAAGCAGCAGGAGGAGGAAGCCGCGCGCCGTCCTTCACTCGCTGTCGAGCACACCGACGGCCACGGCATTACTCGCATGCGCTCCCAGGTCTCGCACTGGGAGGACGACCCGGAAGCCGAAGACTCCACCAAGACTCTTGGCTGGCAGCGCACCATCTGGGAAGACCTCAAGGTCGGCGACTTTGTCAAGATTTACGACCACGAGCAGGTCCCCGCTGGTGAGTACACACACACGTGAAAGGAGTAGCGAGGTTAGAAGACCCACCCCTCGGCAAGCAAGCGTGCGTGGGCGGCCGGCCACGCCATGGGCGCCATGTTTACGTCGTCTCTTGTGCACCACACCGACGTCGACGACGCGGCACGAAACCCGCCTGCGCCGGCTACCCCCCCCCCCCCCCCTCCCCCTCACCGCTTCCTGAGCCTGTCCGCCACCTCCACTTCTCGTAAAACGTCCGTGCACCAAGCTAACAAACCTGCAGATGTTATCATTTGCGCAACTTCCGAGGAAGAGGATGTCGCCTACGTCGAGACCAAGAACCTCGATGGCGAGACCAACCTCAAGTCGCGTCACGGTGTTATGGGGCTGTCGCACCTCGACTCGGCGACAGCCTGCTCCCAGGTTCGCATGCGCCTCGACCTCGACATCCCCGAGGTGAACATGTACCGCCTGAACGGTGCTGCTATCCTCGCCGATGAGAACGGTGACGACGTCACATACGCAATCTCGCTCGACACCACGTTGCTCCGTGGATGTGTTCTGCGTAACACTGCTTGGGTCATTGGCATTGTTGTGTACACTGGTGACGACAGCAAGATTGTCCAGAACTCGGGCGGCACGCCCTCGAAGCGTTCCAAGGTCGAGCGCCAGATGAACCCCCAGGTTCTCTTCAACCTGGCTGTCCTCGGTGCCATCTCGCTGGTGTGTGGTATTGTCGACCACGTCCTCGAAGTCCAGTGGTACAGGGACAACTCGTACTGGACACTGTACGACGACAGGCCCGGCGACAATGTCAACATCAACGGTCTCATTACATTCCTGAACGCCCTGATCACGTTCCAGAACATTATCCCCATCTCGCTCTACATTTCGATCGAGTTTGTGCGTACTGTCCAGGCCCTCTTCATCTTCTGGGACCACGACCTCCAGTACTTTAAGAACGGACACAAGTTCCGCACCCTCGCGCGCTCCTGGAACCTTTCAGACGACCTCGGACAGATCGAGTACATCTTCTCGGATAAGACTGGTACCCTCACCCAGAACGTCATGGTGTTCCGCCAGTGCTCTGTTGGCGGCCACATCTACTACGGCGAGGACACTGAGGACGACATGCAAAAGGAGGCCGAGAAGAAGAGCACCGCCCTCAAGTTTGACTCGGACGACTCGGAGGACAGCGACGTCAACGACAAGCCCGCCACCCGCGAGCGCGAGATCCCCCTCTTCCGCGACGCTCAGATCCAGCGCGACCTTGCAGACGCCGACACGGAGCAGTCTCGTATCCTCCACGGTTTCTTTGCTGTTCTCGGTCTCTGCCACACTGTCGTTGTTGGCGAGCCCGAGCCTGGAGTCATCGAGTACAAGGCCCAGTCGCCCGACGAGGCCGCCCTCGTCCAGGCCGCTGCCGATGTCGGTTTTGTCTTCCGTGGTCGCGACCGCAACATTCTCAAGCTCCAGACTCCCTTCTCGTCCGAGCCCGACGAGTACGAGCTGCTCCACGTGCTCGAGTTTAGCTCGGCCCGTAAGCGCATGTCGGTTGTTGTGCGCAAGCTCGACCAAGACGGCCGCCTGTTCCTGCTCACCAAGGGTGCCGACAACATTATCTTTGACCGCCTGAGCAAGGACGACGAGTCCCAGGCCAAGCTTCGCGAGCAGACCGACAAGGACCTCCAGACGTTTGCCAGCGAGGGTCTTCGTACCCTGTGTCTCGCTTACCGTCTCCTCGACAATGCCGAGTACGAAGAGTGGGCGCAGGCCTACCACGATGCCGAGATTGCCATGGACGACCGCGAGGTCAAGATTGACCAGGTCTCCGCCCAGCTCGAGTGTAACCTCTCGCTCCTTGGTGCCACCGCCATCGAGGACAAGCTCCAGGACGGTGTGCCCGGCACCATTGCCGACCTCAAGCGCGCCGGCATCAAGGTCTGGGTCGCCACCGGCGACAAGCTCGAGACTGCTGTTGCCATTGGTTACACCACCAACCTCCTCACTCCGGATGCCAACCTCATCATCATCCGCGACGGCCACCACACGATTTACGAACAGTTGCGCGACTCGCTCGAGGGCTTCTTTGACGACAATTCATTGACACAAACCAACTCGCTTGCCCAACACGAGACCCGGCGTTCGACCCAGCTCCAGCGTGTCAACACTGGCGCGCATTCGCTCGTTGGCGACGACAATGGCACGCGCCCCGGCGGCTTTTCGCTGGTCATTGACGGCAGTGCGCTCACGCAGGCGTTTAACGACCCCGAGACGAGCGACCTGTTGCTCGAGCTGTCGGTCAAGTGCAACACGGTCATCTGCTGCCGTGTCTCGCCTCTCCAAAAGGCCCAGATTGTCCGTCTCATCAAGGACAACCTCGGTGCCATGTGTCTTGCTATCGGTGACGGTGCCAACGACGTATCCATGATCCAGGCTGCCGACGTCGGTGTCGGTATCTCGGGTGAGGAGGGTCTCCAGGCCGTCAACTCGTCCGACTTCGCCATTGGCCAGTTCCGCTTCCTCAAGCGTCTCCTGCTCGTCCACGGCCACTGGTCCTACTTCCGCAATGCGACCATGATCCTCAACTTCTTCTACAAGAACGTTGTTGGTTTCGGTATCCTGTTCTGGTTCCAGATCTACTGTGGATGGTCGACCACCTACGTCTACCCTTACATCTTCCTGCTGTTCTGGAACGTGTTCTGGACGCTGTGCCCCGTCATCGCCATGGGCCTCTTTGAGAGGAACATTGACGACGACATTCTCATGGCGCTCCCCGAACTGTACCGCTACAGCCGCGAGGGCAGGTACTACAACTGGAGCAAGTTCCTGTACTACCTCTTTGAGGGTGTCTACCAGACTGCCGTCGTCTTCTTCTTCCTCTGCTACACGTACGACACGACTACCGCCCGTGGTGACGGCTTTGACGTGTTCAAGGACGAAATGTCCAGCGTCATGGCCATTGTCGGTGTCTTTGTTGCCAACCTGTTCTCGGGTCTCAACATTGACTCGTGGAGCTGGTGGGTCGTCTTCGCCGTGTGGATCGGTCCCTTCCTCGTCTGGGTCTTCACTGCCATCTACACCATCATCCCGCCCACGCTCTACCAGACCAACATTTACGGCAACGACGTGTTCCTCTTCCGTGCCGCTGCGTGCTGGTTCGGCTGGGCGTTTACCCTGATTCTCGCCCTTCTCCCGCGCTACCTCATCAAGTATGGCAACCAGAACCTGTGGCCCAACGACATTGACCTTATGCGTCTTGTCCGCAAGTACCACCCGGATGTCGATGTCAACACCGACCCAATGCTCGGTGGCAAGCTCGACATTACCCAAAGGGGTCCCAACGAAAAGGGCGCAGAGTATGACCACAGCCGTCTCCTCACTCCGGAGAACGGCGACGACATTGCCCTGCACCAGTTCTCGTCGGCCGGCTCGCCCAACAACGACACCCCAACGGCCCTGCGTAGCAGCATCGACCGCGGACGCGCCAGCTTTGAGTCGACGCACCCGCGTCCCAGCTTCCAGTCTGGCCGCTTTGGCGTGCAGCCCTCGGCGCGCACGGGCTCGCAGGTGGACATGTCCACGGGTCTGCACCGCGAGGCGTCGCGCGGCTTCGACTTTACCATGGAGGAGCACGGTGTCGCCATCCAGCGCATGCAGTCGCGCCTGTCCGAGGTGTCCAAGGAGAACCGCAACAACCGGTACACGCTGCGCCGCCTGAACCGCAACAACCACAGCCACGACCAGGCCACGCCCATGTCCCCCGGCAACTCGCCGTTTGGCCGTCTGCGCACGCGCGCAAACAGCATCCTCAAGCCGCGCAACCGCTCCAGCACGACCAACACGCGCCACTCGGTCGTGTCGCACGGGTCCAGCCCCGAGGAGACGCTGCACTCGCCCACGCACCCGGACGGCGCTGGTGCTGGCGGCCGCGCATCGCCCGAGCGACCAACAAGCGACGGCTTTTCGCACGCGTTGTAAGAGAAAATCACACACAGATGGATTTACAAGGATTCCCGCCTATGTTTCCCATTATAGCTCGCGAGCAAACACCTCCACCGACACCACCTCCCCCCCCCCCCCCCCCCCCCATCCCCATCATTTTACCCCCCCGCCCCCGCTTTTAAACCTATTAGTTACTGCTGTTTTCAAGGTGCAGTGTGTTTTTCTGCCTGCTTGGGATTGCCATATAGAGTGCGTTAGCATGCATAGTTTCGATAACGTGTAAGCTGTGGCGAGTGGCGGATGGCGAGGAGGGCGAGAGCGCGGGACGCAGGGTGACATGGCGGCAGTGGGCGTTGTGAGCGTGGTGCGAATGGGCCACGTACGACGACGATGGCGACGACGACCAGGAGGAGGTATGTATTATTTCGAAATGGAATAAAGTGAGACAGACACCAGCAGCCACAAGAGTGTCGACGCTGAGACCATTCATTGCTCCACCTACCCAACAGCCAAGTGTGTTCTCTTGATCTCTTGGCAGGCGCGTCGGATCTCGCCGGGTGCGCGGTCGGTGGTGATTCACCAGCGCTCCAGTCAACCAGTCATGCCACTCACCACGCGCCAAAAGCGCCACACTATAGTCGGCAGACGCGTAAGATTTTGCGACACGGCCCGCCAATTCTCTGCGACCTGCTTTTTCTTTCACTGTTGAAATGATGCATCCCCAGTTTCTATGGGTAGGGTTTGTGTATGTGGTTTGTGTAGGGGGGGGGGGGGGGGTGCCGGGTTGTTTTTTGATGGGTTGGGGTATGGGGATCACAAGGAGTTTATGTTGGGGTGAGGGTATGCAAGGCGGCGGTTGAAGCCCGTACAACTGACTCTTTAAACACAGATGTTGTTTTTTTGCTAAAAGCAATGTCTTTATAACAGGGGTTGGTTGGTTTAGAGGACGTTGACCTTGGGGAAGGCGAGCTTGGGGCCGATCTGGCCACAGCACATCTGGCCGAGCTTGTGGCCGACCTCGATGGCCTCGTCGAGGGTCTTGCCCTGGGCGACGGCGCCGAGGAAGCCGCCGGCGAACATGTCGCCGGCGCCGTTGGTGTCAATGATCTTGTCGTCGGCGAGCTTGGGGACGGGGTAGACCTTGGGGTTGGCGTCCTCGGGCTTGAGGTTGGCGGCCGAGGTCGAGGGCGACGACGAGGCGACGAGGGTCGAGTCGGCGCCCTGGGTGATGACAACGACACGGGGGCGCGACGCGTTCGACTTGGGGAGGACGGCGAGGGTGGTGGCAATCTCGGCAAGGGTGGCCTGGCCGAGACCCGAGGCCTCGGCGTAGGCGGCGGCCTCGGACTCGTTGCCGATGAGAATGTCGACGTGGGGGAGGAGCTCCTCAAGCTGGACCTTGAAGAACTGGGCGATGAAGGGCGCCGAGAGGTTGAGGACGACAGTCTTGCCGGCGGCCGAGGCGGCCTTGGCGACCTCGAGGGCAGACTCGATGCCGTGGGTGAGGAAGAAGCCACCAATGTAGAAGTACTTGGCACCGTGGATGAGCGAGGCGACCTCGGCCTTGGCGAGGTGAGCGGGGTGGAACATCTCGGCGGCACGGAGGGTGGTCACGAGCGAACGGTCGTGGTTCGAGAGGATGACGGCGCAAGCACCAGTCTTGGCGGGGGCGGGCTGGACCTCGTAGGCCGAGACAACACCCTCAGTCTCGTTGACAGAGGCGAGGGTCTTGGCGAGCTCATCGTCACCAACCGAGCCGATGTAGGCAACCGACTGGGCGGGGAGAACGTACTGTGTGTTTATTAGCGTTTGGTCGTCATGGCACGATCGATCAAAGGGCCGGCAAGGTCCGAGGAACATGGCAGAAGGGCGACGATTGTGTTGGCTCTCAGACAACATCGTGTGCTCCAGAGCCAACAGTCCCTCGCTCCATTCCTAAGCCTGTCCACAACGACTCTTCCTCGTCGTACTCACCGAAGCAGCGCGGGCAGCGTTCTGGGCGGCACCGCCGGCAACGTAGGTGACCTCGGCGTTGGCGACAACGTCCTCGTAGCTGAATACCAGTCAGAACCTCTTCCCCTCTTTCCATTTTTCCTCTCTCTCTCCACTCACATGGGCATGTGCTTGTCCTCGGCGAGGATGGCGTCGTTCGACTTGAGCTCGTACTTCTCAAGGAACTGGGGGCCCTGGGCGGCCGACACCTGGATGTCGAGCTGGAACGTGTCAGAGAGCTGAGACAGGAAGCTTCCAGCGCGCCACAGCTCGGCTCGTTGAGAGCACGATGAGCAAGCTGCCAAAGATACTCACGAGGGGGTTGCCAATGCAGACGACGATGGGGGAAGCGGCCATTTTGGATGATATGGAGATGGGTTGGGTGGTGCTGGAAAGACGCACGTTGAACAATCCAGAAACATGGAGCCACCCCTGCCGCCGCGTGCACCGCGCCACCACCACGCAGAGACCATTTTATCTTTTGGGATTTAATTTACGTTTATCCAAAAGCACGTGCGTGTCGCGTGGCAGTTCTCGCCGATCGTTTCCGGCTCTGGGCGGGGCACAATCAGCTGGCGGTGTGTGTCATTGTCGGGCGTCACCGAATTCAAAGGCCGAAAGACGATGGAGTGTATCTCATCTCGCCTCGTGTTGTCCATACTCTCTCTCCACCATGGTGCTTATCTACTTTGTCCGTCATGGCCAGACAGAATAGTGAGTCAGGTCTCTGGCTCTGCGGAGTACCTCCTTTTCGTGCAGCGCAACGAGACAGACACTGACGCCGCCGTCAGCAACGCCAAAGGCATTATCCAGGGCCACATTGATACGTCACTGAACGATACCGGTCGAAACGAAGCCGCTCTCCTGGCTGAGCATATCAAGGACGTGCCCTTTGTAGAGGCATGGAGCTCGTCTCTGGCGAGGGCCAAGGAGGCAAGTGACCAAGCTCGCGTGACTCTCCACTGACACGCTGTCAGACGGCTCAGATTCTCGTGGACAAGCACCCGGGCCTCGTGGTGCAGACTGACCCGGGACTCAAGGAACGCGACCTCGGTGCGCTGTCCGGGCAGAGGTGGACACCGGGCACTGTGCTTCCCTCGGATGTGGAGGGCTCTGCTCCGTGAGTCCAGATGCGCCTCACCTCCTCACCGGTCGCCTTGGCATCTGACGTCGCAGCTTCCGCAGGCGCGTGGGCGAGTGGCTCCAGTCCTTTCTCGCTGCCCACGTCCCAGACCAGCCTGGCGCTCCCGACCCCTCCGCGACCATCCTGGTCGTCTCGCACGGCGCCTACCTCTCCGCCCTGCTGGGATCCCTCTTATCCCAGCCCATCTCGTTCGTGCCCGACCAAGGTGTCGATGCCAAGAAGCACTGTCTCAACACGTGCGTCATGCGCGTCCAGGCCGACTATGACGAGGTTGCGGGCATGTGGCGCGGGACGATTCTCAGCTGGGGCGAAGTGGACCACCTCGGCGACCAGGCAAAGGATATTGGCGTGGCGGACGACTTGAGGCAGAGCTTCCGCATGGCCACGGCCAAACTTTCGCAGTAGCAAAGTGTAGAAACGTAGAAAGAGGGGAGCAATAGATGTTGGACACGTGGGGTATGTCTCCTGTAAGGAAAACGTCACGGGTGTGTATGAGTTGCCGGCGGCAACATGATGGGTTGTATCTTGAGCTGAGAAATGTCGCGCTCGCCGTAACACATCGCTACCCATCGCCATCTGCGAGGTAGGAGGCGTTGCCTGTTCATCACCTTCGTTCCGTTAAAACGGAATATGTGTTCCGTTAAGACGGAGGGAATTGGGTGCCACATCCCCACCACCGGTTCCGATGTTCATTTGATAGCCTGGGGCTCCCCTGGGTGACAGACCGCATGGTGCCATGCCTGGCAGGGTGTCTAACACCATGTATGCCGCATGTCTGCCCCCAAGGTCGACGCGGACGTGCTGCGATTAACGGACTCGTGCACCCGGAAACTTCGGAATGTCACACAATCTGGTGGACACTAGGTGGGGAAGGTGGGCAACAGTGTGGGGACAGTGGAGACGATATTGCTGCATTCCGCGACCACCCTCTGCCATCACACTCTCTGCCCGGAGAACGGCAGTACTGCGGCCGCCGCTCACCGTACCCAGTATACCACCGTCCCACATTGTAGCGCAGCACTGCGGCTTCGGCCACCGGCTAGTTACCTGATCGCAATGACAAACACCACAGTTACCGCACTGCCCCACAATGCCCCGCGGGGAGTATATGAACATGAGCCCCACTCACTCTTGAGCCCCCACATCCCCCCCCTCTCCCCCCCGCGATCTCTACCCAGCACAATGACACACACCAAGACGGTCTCCGACCAGCTCCAGGAGCGGTTCCCCGACGTCAAGTGGACCAAGCTCACGCCGCCCGAGTCGCACCCTCACTGGAAGTATCCCGGCTTTGCGCCCAACACTGTCACCGTCCTGCCCGCGGGCCACAAGAAGGAGCCCAAGTACCGCGCCTTTGCCGTGCCGACCGTCTTTGAGCGCGACATTTGCGTGACGATGCGCGACGGTACCAAGCTGTACACGGACATTTTCCGTCCCGAGGGCGACGTCAAGGTGCCCGCGCTCATTGCGTGGTCGCCGTACAGCAAGGTCGGAGGCCCGCAGCAGTACGAGACCATGGGCCCGTTCAACTGCGGTGTCGACATGGCGACGATCAGTGGCTACCAGAAGTTTGAGGCGCCCGACCCGGCCGACTGGACCGAGCGCGGGTACGCCGTCATCAACATTGATGCCCGTGGATGTGCCTATTCCGAGGGCGACACGACGTGGTGGGGAGAGCAGGAGGCAGAGGACATCTACGACACGATCACCTGGCTTTCCGAGCAGCCCTGGTGTAACGGCTCTGTCGTCATGGCGTGGGTACAGCAGAGATGTCTAGTGCCGGGCAACAGTGAGCTGACAACACCTGCAGTGGTAACTCGTGGCTCAGCGTGTGCCAGCTCAACTTTGCCTCGCGGTTCACCCACCCGGCCCTCAAGGCCATTGCGCCATGGGAGGGACTGACGGACGTGTACAATGACATTATCATGCGCGGTGGCTTCCCATACATTTCCAGCTTTAACGATTTTATCATCACCGGCTTTGCAGGTGAGCACACTTTTGCCTCTGCTGTGGCCATCTAACGTTGGCTGACCCTTGAAGGATCTGGCAAGGTCGAAAACGTCCCCGGTGCGCGTGCCGGACGCCCACTGTACGACGAGTACTGGGAGTCCAAGAGGAGCCACGTGGAGAACATCGACACTCCCATGTACCAGACGGCGTCTTACTCGTGAGCTAGCTCTAACCAACATACCCTTCTGGAAACTCACAACCCTCTCCAGGTCGCAGCTGCACACCCGTGGCTCGTTTGAGGCATTCGAGAGGGCCAAGACCACCAAGAAGTGGATCCGCGTGCACCCGTACCAGGAGTGTGAGTTGGGCCTAGTGTGCGGCGAGCATCCAGCTGACAAAACCAGGGCACGACCAGTACCGTCTCGACATGAACGATGACCTCCAGAAGTTCTTCGACTTCTACGCCAAGGGCATCGACAACGGATGGGAGAAGGACACCCCGCGCGTCCGCCTCTCGCTCCTCGGGTTTGACGGCAGCGACGAGCCCAGTGTCGTGGAGCGTCCGCACGAGGCGTACCCCATCCCGGGCACCACCAGCGTCACGTACCACCTTGACGCGGCCACGCACACGCTCAGCGCCGAGGCTCCCAAGACTGTCTCGACGACCGAATACGAGGCGCACAGCACGACCGCCAGCTCGGACTTTACGCTCAAGTTTGACCGCCGCACCGAGCTCGCCGGCTACGGCAAGGCCAAGGTGTGGGTGAGCTGCGCGGACAAGGACGACATGGACGTTGTCGTGCAGCTGCGCAAGCTCGACCGCGACGGCAACCTGCTCATGCACATCAACTACCCGATCCCAATCCCCTACACCGAGTTCACCGAGCACTCGAACATCTCCACCACGCTTGGCCCACAGGCCATGCTGCGCGCGTCGCACGCCGTGTCGCGCGACGACTCGCTGTCGAGGCACGAGAACCAGGTCGTGTACAAGCACGACAAGAGGGAGCCCGTCCAGCCCGGCACCATTGTCCCGCTCGAGATGACGTTCTGGCCCATGGGCATGGTGTTTGGCGCCGGCGAGCAGCTCATGGTCCGCGTCAGCGGCCGCCACATGGCCCTGCCCGAGATCCTCTTCATGGCCAGCGACGAGCCCGAGGACGAGAACATTGGCAAGCACGTGCTGCACACCGGTGGCAAGTATGACTCGGTGGTTGTGCTCCCCGTGCTCCCGGAATACAAGTAGGCGGGGGGAGGGGTTGAAGTGACGGGAGTTGTTTGCTAGTTGGACAGAAAAAGCCAATATGGATGAAGTGAGAAGTGCCACATTTGCCCAGCGAGTCTCGAGTCCTACCGGACCGGAGAGTGTCGCCCGGCCATGGAGGTCCTGACGTCCGTGCATGGCAGCACAATACAGCTCGCGACAGTCGTCTTCCCCAAGGAAAGTGTGCATGCACAATAGACGAGGTGCGCGGAACGAAGATCGGGAACTCCTAAGTTACAGGATGTGCGACAGGATCTTGATCTTGTGCCCAGGCCCCTACCAAGACGCGAACAATGAACGCGACTCTTGTCTTGTCGCGACGTGACCACCGTGTGCAGCCCAGCCCGACTTGCACGGATTTCAGAGTACATACCACACAACGAGGCAACAATACGAACCTGCACAGCGAAACCTACGTAAGCAACGGTCACTGGCGGCAGCAAGCGTTGGGTGGCGACCGGTGTCTGGGTCATTATGTTGTTCTAGCCGCTCACCGATTTGAACAAAGCCAATGCAAACGATCGAAAGCCCACTCTCGCCCAAGCTAATTCGGATGACCAGTAAGGGCCATTGGCAAAGGCAAGTGGTCTGGATGTGGCAGGCTGTGAGACAGACCCATTAAGCGTCAGTCTCATGGTTGCGTTAGTGCTGTCTAAGTCCACTTGGGTGGCGGGAGCAAGTGGACTCGGTGGCACATGACTCCAACAGTGAGTGGCATGTGCCTTGAATGTCAGCCTGCACATGACGTCCAGTCTATGCCTGCGAGGCCTGCCATGCCTGCCAGCATCGGTGGTGAGTGCAGCCCACATTCTGTTACGCGCATCACCGTTCCCACAGCACTACAATGGGCCCACCCGCGTGCTTTGGACGGAGGCGACGGTATATAAGGCCCCTCCACGCTCCACCCCCCCCGCCCACCTGCCCTCTACACTGTGCACCAGAATAGCCCACCTCACTCACACTCCACACACTCGCCACTACCACACAACCGACTCCGCCACCACAAGCTACAGGCATGTCGTCCAACATCCCCAAGCACCTCCCCACCGACGTGCGTCTGCGTTATCGCATCCTCCCCCAGGTCTCGAGCGTGCGGCTGACGGCGTTTGTCTACAGGTGGACCCCTACAAGCTGTCCATGCAAGGTAACATCAAGCAGGCGTCGTCCATGGTCAACCGCATGGCACGTCGCGACCCAGCGCTGTACCCCCTCTCGTTTATCCTCGTCGGCATTGCCGGTGTGACGGGTTACTTTGCGTGAGTGACTAAGGACGTGTGGTGGTGGTGGGCCAAATACCGCGGACCCTGTTGGGTGGGAGCAGATGTGTGGACGCACGCTGCATGTGACTCTCCCGCCGCCGCCGCCGCCAACTCCACAACTGCGCGGGCCGCAGCAATGTCACCGTGCACACCCCAGGCTGAAGAGGCTGACGGCCGTCGTGCAGCATGAAGAAGGCGTTCGAGCCTGACGCGGAGCGTCGCTTCGTCGGCCGCGTCAACCCGTGGGAGAAGGAGGACCAGCACGACACGGCCCCCGGCACCGTGGCGGCGTTCAAGTACCGCTACAAGACGCGTGACGGCCACATGGAGGACGCCATGCCGACGATGAACGTCGATGTGCGCAAGGTGAGTGCGGGCGCGGTCTGTGTTGCAGGGGGGGATTCTGGACTGAGCTGACAGATGATGCGTCCACCTGTTCCGCACCGCCGCCGCCTACCACTTGACACCGATATCCCCATGGTCGTCACTCTCCGGTCTGACACCAACGACCGCCGCCGCGACGTTTCCTCCGTCTCATCGTCACCACGACGCCCCTGATTGCTATCCATCCATCCATCAACACGACTGCCCCATTTGCTATATACTCTACAGGTCAAGGACGACGCGCCGCACAAGTACCACACCTAGGTCCTTCCCAAAGGAAGCGAGAGCCGCGAGACGAAGACGAGCGCGGGGTCGCGTGATCGCGGCCTCTGGCACTGTGAGATTGCGCGGCCCGGCGTTGGGTATTTCCGGTTCATGGCCTCTCATCAAGCACAAGCACAAGCACAAGCACAAGCACAAGCAAAGTTGTTCCCCCGGTGGTAGTTTAGTAGTGATCTGAAGGAAGGAAGCTAGCTGCGAGAGACGATTGTCAGAAGAAACAACCAGAAGACAAAGGAAGAGTATGCAGAACAAATGTGTGACCCAACGATGTCGAGCTGGTGGCTGTACATGGCTGTAACTCACAGGGGGGTGCGAGAGAGAACACCACACCGTGCGACTAAGGCTAAGGGCTGGCACACGCCGCACGATGTTACACAATATCAAAGGCAAGGGGGGAAATGCGTGCACAGGACAGCGCACGCATTGCGCAGCAGCAGCACACATACCTCTTCCAAGTGGACACCCGCTCTGCTGTTTATGCATGTACCGTTGACTGTGTGCTGTGTGACATTGTGCCGTCTCTCATTGCGTGTAATGAATGTGCACAAATGAGAGAACGACGCTCCCCGCGACGGGCACATCCAACATGAATCTCCAGTCACCTCTAAACGGGCTGTGCCTGGGTGGGGGGGGGGGGGGGGGGGTTGGGTGTGGAACGGCGGCGGCGCGCGGGGGGAAGGGGAGGACACCCAGAACGACGCGCCTGGATTCCACCCAGCGTGTGTGTCGTCTGCTCCCGCGCGTGCTCACCCACCCCCCTGCTCCCCTCCACGCCCATCACACCCTCTTTCATGCACATCGTCCTCCCCTCCTCTCTTCATCACACCCGCACCTCACCTCTTCAGCATGGCATACCAACCAGGCCCTTCATACAGGCCACAGGGCCTCACAGACCCACACGCTCAAGCAATGGCAGGCGCACAGCAGGTCGGCCGCACCTCGCCCATGCCCCCCGTCCCCCACGTTGCTCAGTCCAACATTGGCCAGCCCGGCCAGGTCGGTCACCCCCAGATGGCACAGTACGGCCAGTTTGCCCAGCAGCAGCAGCAACAACAACATCAGCAACATCAGCAGATGTACATGGGCCCCGGCGAGAACGGCCACGCACCCGCAGCCGACAAGGGCCCCGACTACGTCTACTTTGAGCGCCGGCCCAACCAGTTTAGCGAGACCACTCGCGGCAAGGCCACGGCGGCCAAGATGAAGCTCGAGCTCTACTACAAGGAGGCGGTTGAAGGTGTGGTCGGTCGCAAGGAGCGGTACGTCTGTTCGCGGAGACAAGTACACACACACATGGCAGCTTGCTGACAGGCCATGGGCAGCCGCACGACCCTCGAGAAGCAGCTCCACACCGACCCGACGTTGCCGGACAGTCACAAGGCGCGCCAGCTGCTGGCACTCGGCCGCCGCGAGTCAAAGTACGTTTCTCTGGCCTAGTGAAGAGCAGAGCTGGGGTGTTCTTCCCCAGCGTCGGCCTTGGCTTTATGCCTGCGAGGTGCGAGGTTACTGACACGTCAGCTTCCTGCGCCTGCGTCGCACGCGTATCGGTCTCGAAGACTTCCGCACAGTCAAGGTTATCGGCAAGGGCGCGTTCGGCGAGGTTCGCCTTGTGCAAAAGGCGGACACTGGCAAGATTTACGCCATGAAGAGCTTGAGGAAGAATGAAATGTTCAAAAAGGACCAGCTGGCGCACGTCCGTGCCGAGCGTGATGTGCTGGCAGAGTCCAATTCGGCATGGGTCGTCCAGCTCTACTATTCGTTCCAGGACAACAACTACCTCTACCTTGTGATGGAGTTCCTCCCCGGCGGCGACCTCATGACCATGCTCATCAAATACGACACATTTTCAGAGGACGTGACCAAGTTCTACATGGCAGAGTGTATCTTGGCCATTGAGGCCGTCCACAACCTCGGCTTTATCCACCGCGACATCAAGCCCGACAACATTCTCATCGACCAGATGGGCCACGTCAAGCTCTCGGACTTTGGCCTGTCCACCGGCTTCCACAAGCAGCACGACTCGGCATACTACCAGAAGCTGCTGGGCGGCGGCGACGTCTCCAACCACCGCCATTCCGCAGCCGGCAACCAGTCGCGCAACTCGGTCATGGTCAACGCGATCAACCTCACCATGACCTCCAAACAGGACATTGCCACCTGGAAGGCCAACCGCAGGAAGCTCGCATACTCGACCGTCGGAACCCCAGACTACGTACGTGTTGAACACTATAATGTGGTGAGCTAACCGCTAGATTTCGCCAGAAATCTTCCTCCAGCAGGGCTACGGCAAGGAGTGCGACTGGTGGTCCCTCGGTGCTATCATGTTCGAGTGTCTTGTCGGTGAGTTGGAAAGTAACCCCAATCGCGACCTAGCTGACATGACCCCCAGGCTACCCTCCCTTCTGCTCGGAGAACGCACACGACGTGTACCGCAAGATCATCGACTGGAGGAACCACCTGTATTTCCCCGACGACGTGCACCTGTCGCGCGAGGCCGAGGACCTCGTGCGGCGGATGCTGTGCGAGGCCGACCGCCGTCTCACCGTCGAGCAGCTCAAGGTGCACCCCTTCTTCTACGGCGTCGACTGGGCCACCATCCGCAACATTGACGCACCGTTCGTGCCCCACCTCCGCTCCATCACCGACACGTCCTACTTCCCCACCGACGAGCTCGAGCAGGTCCCCGAGGTGCCCCAGGACGCCAACACGGGTCCCAACGCCACAAAGGACCTCGCGTTCTTGGGCTACACGTTCCGCCGGTACGAGATGCTCTAACCGCCGCCACCAGAGCGTCTCCCACTGCACACGTCCCACGCCTCATGACTGATTATTGGCTACCCTCTATTCCCTTTCCTTTTTTTGTATGCATGATGTGCCGCATAAACTGCAAAGCAACCGGGGGGGTTCTAAGACCGTCCAAACACGTCCTGTGTTGTCCCTTCGTCCTCTACCAAAGGACCTTGAGGCCCATCTCCCAGAAGTTGCGCTCCAGGCGGACACATTCCGTCCACACCTCGGTCAACCGCGCCAGCCTCTCGGGCGAGGGCGGGTCGGCAGCGACGCGCGCCTCGAGGTTGGCGATACCCCTCCTGACGGCGCCGAGGAACTCTTCGCCCGAGTAGTCCTCCACCCAGCGGGCATACGGGTTGCCCTCGAGCTTTGTCTCGCCCGTCGCGATGCGCGATTTCAGCCACAGGCCGACCTCGGCGTACCCGATCAGGCAGGACGCGACGGCGACGTACACGTCCAGCACGTCGCCCTGCGTGCCGACGTCGATGATGTAGCGCGCGTACGCGGCGCACGCGGCCGCCTCGGGCGTGGCGAGGAGCTTGGCTTTGGTGATGCCGAATTGCTCGCAGTACTGAAGAAAAAGTCAGTCGTGAAGGAATGCGTGCGGCACAACTCGACTCACAGCAACGTGCATGGTCGACTCGCGGGCAATGTGCAGCGCAATTTCGCTGAACGCCTTGATGTCCTCCATCGTGGTGGACTTGTACGCGCCGAGGGCGTGGGCACGCGCGTCTGCGTGGGGGAGTCAGTGATGTGTCGAAGATGTCACAGCAGCTGATTCCAGTCCCAGGAGGAGGTTTAGTTTAGCTGCACCATAGAACCCACAGTGGACAAGGTAGTGGTAATCCTGCGAGATGTAGTGCTCAAACGACTTGCGCGGGAGCGTGCCCTCGCCGAGCTGGACGACGAAGGGGTGGCGGATGTACTCGTCCCACAGCTCGGGGCACGAGCGGATGAGGTGCGAGACAAACGGGGTGGGGTTGTGCGCCGTTGGTCTGCCGTTAGCTTTAGTCGTGTGTGGCAGATCATCACGACAGCTGGCTTGATACCAAACTAGGCAGCTGCCAATGTATCCAAACATCTACTCACGGAGGAAGAGCACGGCGCGAAGTCAAGTGCGAGTGGTTGAGCGGGCCGTGGCCCCTGCCCATGGGGTGCGCAGTGGCGATGGCCGACTGGACGTACTCGATGGCACGGCGGACACCCGCTGGCGAGAGGTTCTTGTCACCCTCCTCGGCCTCGGCGCCAGCAGCCGTGTTCTCCATGGCATACTGGCTCGCCAGCGCCGCCGAGAGCGTGCACCCGGTGCCGTGCGTGCTCGAGCTGGAGACGTGCTTGCCGGCAAAGAGGCGGACACCGGCGGGCGACGCGAGAATGTCAACGACGACAGTAGGCGACGTGGCGGCCAGGTTGAGAGTTTGCCTAAAGTCATCAATAACGCGCACGCCTTCCTCGCCCGCCTCGTCCCATTGCACGTCCAGGCCCTCGGACGTGGCCAGCGCCGCGACCTGCGCGCGGGGCAGGGGCAGGTGGCCGCCCTTGAGCAGCACGGCGCGGTTGGTCAGGCCACGCACGGCCTCGGCGAGCTTGAGCATGTCCTGCACGCTCTGCACCTGCTCGCCGTACTGTGCCAGCGCCTGCGCCTCGGGAATGTTTGGGGTCACGAGGTCGACAAGAGGCAGGAGACGCGAGACGAGGGTCTGGGTGGCCGCGTCCGGGAGCAGGTGGTGGCCCGAGGTCGAGACCATGACGGGGTCGAGGACGAGGAAGGGGCGGGAGGGAAGGGCAGAGAGGTAGTCTGCAAGCGCGGCAATCGTCGACTCGCCAGCCAGCATGCCAAACTTGATCGCGAGGGGCTTCAGGTCATCGTCAAAGAGCGACTTGAGCTGGAGACGTCAGCTAGCCCATAACGCCCGACGAGAGGTAGCTGTCTGCTCAGAGAGATGTGTTCAAACAACAGGGCCACGTCCTCGCCTTTGACTCGTTCGCTGCCTACCTGCTCGACGACAAACTCTGGCGGGACAGTGTGGACCGCCTGCACACCCAAGGTGTTTTGGGCCGTCAAGGCAGTAATAACAGACGAGCCATAGCACCCGTGGGCGGCAATGGTCTTGAGATCGGCCTGGATGCCGGCACCACCGCCAGAATCGCTCCCTATTGAGTCAGCACTACTGAGTTGCTGGGGCGGAGGAGGCGGAAGGAAGGAGGCAACGGAAAGACGGAAGGTGGAAAGAACGTCATTGAGTTGGACGGCGGAAAGGAGTCGAGCCGGAGGAGCACCTACCTGCGATGGTGAGGACGTGCGGCTGGGGCACAGTGTCGAGTACGAGCGTCGCCATCGTTTTCAGTGTACAGTGTAGATGTGAAGAACAGAGAAGCAACGATCCTCACGATCTCTCGACTCGGACGGCCTTTGCATGCTGCCAAGGCCGCTCATGGGGGCTCGGAGGTCCGCATCACCTCACTAAATCATGAGCTAAAGTGCGGGGCCACGAAAACAATCTATGAGAGGGTCACGTGATCGTCCGCTGTCGGACATCCCAAATAGAGAAGCAAAATAAAATGAGCTGTCAAATACACTAATTGCCTTCTCGCTTATGGGACACACAATGGCTCTCTCATGGCCGCGCCCGCAAGCGGAGCGTCATGACGCGCAATGATGATACCCGTGTTGCCCATAAGTACGCGGCTGAAAGGGAGAGCACACTCCCACAGCCCACCACAAGTTCAACCATCCACACCCCCCGCGCTCCTTCCCTCCAGCAACCACATCCAAGCACATCCATCCACAATGTCCGCAAAGGAGAAAGAGGACCGTGAGTCATCCCTCTCTGTGCACCCAGTAGAGCTTGTCGGCTCGTTGCCGCAGCTGTCGAGGTGGGCAAGACGTTCGGGGGCCGTGGCGTCCCAGATTCGCACGTGTGAACGCGTCGCGTCGTCTGTCTCGAGTACTGCGCACAGTCAAAGAACGACCTCAAATGTGGACCGAGTGCTGACCTTGCGTGCAGCCGTGACCGTTGTGGACGACGACGACGATGAGGAGGACTTTGAGGACGACTTTGTGCGTACCCCCCTTGGCTCGGAGATGAACGAGGCACAATGGTCGCTGACTGCCAATTTCCCATTGTTGACGCCATTAACCGCGTCGTTGCACCCACCACCACCACCACCACCACCACCACCGCCAACATCCACCTCCCGTGCATCCATCCCCTCACACATGCTCCTCTGCTTCACACGCTGCCATGCATTCTCGCTCCCACACATCGTCCGCTGATCCGCTGCCCACTTCCCACGTTCTCCCTCGCACGCCCACCCCCCTCCCACCTTCCCGTCGGCCCATGTAGGACGAGGAAGACGAGTACGAGATCGAGGAGGAGGACGAGGAGGTGTACGAGGGCGAGGACGACGACGAGGACGATGACGACGACGACGACCCGAATGCCGCTGGCCGCGCCATGCTCCGGACTCTTGTTGAGGTGAGTTTTGGATGAGGACCCGATGGGTGATTGGGTGGGCAGAGGATGCTGGAGAGCACACAGCACACAGTAACGCTGTCCACATCGGGGGCGTAGTGGGGCTGGAGGGGGGGACTGGTCCAGCACATGGGGGCGCCTCGACGCCGCGTGTTGTTCTCGACCCATTCACCCTCTGCGGCCCATGACACGGTGGCGCTGGCGTGACGAACGATGCCCCGCCATTGGAATGTTGTATATCCTGACACTGGCAGGGCGGCGATGTTGTCGACTCTGACGAGGAGGCCGAGGACGACGATGCCGAGGACGACGATGACGCCGAGGGTGCCGACGACGCCGAGGACGACGAGCCCGAGGACGAGGCCCCCGTTACCGGCACGAAGCGCAAGGCCGACGACGCCGACGCAGAGGCCAACGAGGACGAGGACGAGCCGCCCAAGAAGAAGGTCGACGTCAACGGCGACGCCGAGGCGCCCGCTGCCGTCGAGGCCGCGGCCTGAACGCATCCCCCATTGTTCTTCAGCAGATCAGCAGGCCTCACCCTCTCTCCGCTCTCCCCACCCACAAACGATGCGCAACAAACGCACGAAAGCATACCGCACGGGCGCAGCCCCCCAAACAGCGGCCCACTGCCACCCCTGAGATCCCCTTTCCAAAAGTGTAGACGGACGATGAACGTGTAAAAATGTTGAAAACCAGATGCATATGCGATGTCTTGAGATGTGATATTTGTGGTGTGGATGTGTAAAATGCGATGTGTGGCACAAGGTGCTACTTGAATAGCCTCAGCTCGAGCCGGCCTCGAGGAGGGTTTCGACGAGATTAACAAGACCACGGGTGGCGGGGAGCAAGGTCCACTGTGGCGACTCCTTGTACAGCTGCATGACCTCGCGAATGGAGCGCGCGCGCTCCTCGGGCGGGGCAGAGAACTCGGGCGGTGCCGGTGGTCGCTGATGTCAGTTCGAACAAGTAAGACAGTGAACTCACTGCCAAGTTGTCGCGGATACACTCCCAGAATCCAGTCCACCCCCACCCAGCGTCTCGGGCAAGCAATCCCTCCACCTCCTCGGCAAACTCGGCCTCCCATGCCAGCGTCCCATCCGCAAGCCGTTGGTCGCCCAAACGTGTGCGGATGTCTACCTTGACGTCATCTATGCTGGCTGCGCATCGAGCTTGGGATGCACGCAGCGCGGCGTACACGCGCGGAAGTGTGGGAGAGGAGAAGAAGTTGTGGTTGATGGAAATACACTGGGCATGTCAGCTAACAAGGCAGGAATGAAGGTAGCTGGAATGGACAAACGGTACCCACAAAGTCAACGTTGACGACCTGGTGGTGCCAGCCCGAAGGCACAAACAGAACCTCGCCTTCCTCCTGAAGGATCTTGACGCCCTTGCTCGCGTTCGGGTGACCGCGGATGTCAAAGAGGAGGTTGCCGTGCCGGTCCACGAGGTCCTTTTCCACGCCCGGAGGAAAGAGCCACCAGACCTTTCGGCCGACAATGTTGGCACTCCAAGAGTATGATCCATAAACGTCCCGGTGGAGCGGTGTAAACGTTCCTGCAGGGCCGAGGTATACAAACCTGAAATCAGCAGTAGATGTGCACGTTGTTGGTGGCGAGCCCATGTCCCGCGAGTGCGAGCCAGAGCCGCCGGTATCGAACGGCGGGCTCAACCAGTCATCTGGTCTTATCAGCTATCATGGTCTTCGTCCTTTTTTTTTTCACCCCGTTCTCTGGCTCACCCCTAAAACACGGTGGGGGCGTGTACACCTCGCTCCCGGGCGAGCCGCGCGCCTCGAGCTCGGCCACGAGGTGCCAGTCTTTGACATAGAGCGCCACCCCCTCGTGTTTGTCCCAGGATGCAAGCACTTGCCCCAGCGGTACCTCGTCACGTTCAAACTCGGAAAACTCGCGCATGGATGTGTTGGCCACAGGGACAGTCTGGTCGGCATACGCGGACAGCGCGGCGAGGTTGGGCCTCGAGACCGTGCTGGAGGAGGAGGAGGAGGTGGTGGTGGTGGTGCTCGAGCTCGAGCCCGAGACGGCGTCGTTGAAACCTCGCACCAAGCTCGGACCAGGTCCGCCGCCGGCCCGTCCGGGATGGCTGGGGATGAAACGGGAACTGGGATGGCCGGCAGTGCCGGAGCTGTTGACCCAGATTCGCCTCGCAGGCCATGACGCTGTTGCTTTTTGTGACAACAGAAACGGGGTGTTGGAATGCACGTGCTTTGTCTTGATGCCTCTTGTCAGCTAGGAGCGCACATTAGGGGTGTGTGTGTGAGAAGGCGCGCGTACGAGGAAGGAAGATGGATCGAGGTCATCATACGTCGGAAACGGCCGGACGGGGACGTTGCACAAAAGAGATGCGTGGGGGCTTGAGCGGTCTCCCACTCCATCAACTGAGTCGTCGCCCATGCTGGAGGACGGGCGGTGTTTACTGTTGGTTTCCTGCCGGTGATGGTCTGGACAAAGGAGCCGAATGTCGGGGTTGGCGAACGAGACTGGTGCACCTCCACCCGTCGGATCTCGGGGTTGAGCGGGGTCAATTTGCGGAGGACAAGAAAAAAAAACGGACCTGCCCTCGTGATTAAGATTAAAACCCGGCTGCCTTGAATTTCTAATTGACCCTCCAGGTCCCCCCATTCCGACGCGTTTGCCTGAACCATGAAACTCGCCACAGGCGGCTCGGCCCGCCTGGGTGTGTGTTTGCCGTGTTTTGTTGGCAGATCTTGTGAGCGCCACAAGGGCGTGTGGCACAGGCGGAACGCACGCCCAGCAGAGACCCACCTCCGAACATGGCTGTAGGCCCGTCTACCACCCTGGGCATACGTTTGGACCTCGTCAACAGGTAAAAAGGGGAGTGAAAAGGTACGGGAGAGACGCGTATCCGGAAGCTCGAGCGTAAGCCGAATGACCATGAAGCCGAGAGGGGGGATCATGGGATCATGAGTCGAACCAAGGAATTCCAGAACCGCACTGACCCCCCATCGCCAACGTCTCTCCACATCTCCAACACTCCAACCACAAAAAACAAAAATGGTGGTTGTGAGGAACCGCAGCCCCGTGACATGCACATGCATAAGGTTCGCCATTCACCAACAGAGCCGCAGAGTGTCTCCATCGGTGACAACTACCAACACCGTTGTTGTGGGCAGCACGGGATCTTGTTTCGCTCCAGCCCTGTTTGTTGTGGGGGACGCCTTCAGATTACCCACACCCCGTACGTGAACCCGCTTAGAACAGGTGCGCGTGACGAGCCAGGGGCGTTGTTCTAGACGGCCCGCAAAATCGGTCCACCCGCCACAATCCTAGCGGCCACCACCTGGGCAGTCGGTGCGTGTGCTACCTCGTGGTGTGTGGCAGCGTTCCGGGGTCGGGGGTTCGGGGGTATAGAAGGAGCGCACAATAGTCCACGAATGTTCGGCCCGTATGGACGTGCATTGCGCATGGGTAGATCACAGTACGTAGGGAAGGCATCTCCTCGTGCGTCATGGCGGGAATGTGTGCTCGTGCCCTCGAAGAGCTGTGACACCAAATATCGGGGTATGCAAAGGTGAAATGGAAGGTACGCAAGGAAGACCGGCCCGTTCAACTTGCCTGCCCACTTGGTGCAGACGGGGCCGGCCAAACGGGCCGCAGCATATGTCCACCGGTCACCGGTTAACATGATGAAGCAAGGTGGTTGACAAGTGCTGCTTCATAATGAGCCACCTTCCCCTAGTATGTAAAAAAGGCGGACGGACCTCTTAACCGGGCCCCGTGATGGCATGTGTGTGGCATCTGTGGAGACACCACGGGGCCGTTCAGACGGTCCGCAAGAATAATCCACCGTTTAACTTTATTAAATGGTGCATGGCGTTTGGTATGTGGGCTGGTGGAGCCTCGGTGATCGGCTGTACCGGCGCCGCAAAAGAACGAATGCATGCGCCAAGACCTGTAGAATAGCAGAAGTGTAGCGGCCTGCGGGTGTTCGGAAGCTCGGCATATATTTCCAGGTGCACGCACGCATAACTTTAAGGTTATGGATCACAGCGTTAAGCCACGAGAAGACGCCACCCCCATCCGACGACCTGCTCGGCATCCTCCGTGCACGCCGCCGCCATGAGCGCCCGCATCACCCCCCCCAGGCGCCTCGACCCTTGGGTAGGTGCACGAAATGTCGGACCAAGAGTGACAGACCCCACCCCGTGTCAGGTGATATCTCAGATGCGGTGGATCGAGGCGGGGGTGCGAACCACCTAGAGACACCTTGGCGGGCCATTGTATCGGGCGGTATCATACAGCGGCACATACCCAATGAGAGGACTGTTTCAGAGCAGGCACCCGGACGTGGTCGCGTCCTGTGTGTGGCACAGTATGAGGTGAAGGGGCTGGGTTTAGGGGACCGACGCGCGCGTTTTTTTTGGTGACGGTGGGTCTGACCAGCACATATATAAGAGGGCAGAGTCATGGAGTAGTGTTAACCCCATCAGCCCGGTGCTCTTCTCTTCTCTGTCTCCAACTCTCTCGACTCCAACCTTTCACACACTCCCTCAACTCTACTACTACTACTACTCCGATCCTTCGCAATGATCCCCGCCTTCAAGCTCCTGCCCCTCGTGGCCCTCCTCGGCTCGACCATCACCCTTGCCCAGCAGGCGTGCACCTCGACCACTGAGACCCACCCCTCGCTTACCTGGCAGACTTGCACTTCGTCTGGCAGCTGCACCACCAACAACGGTGCCGTCACCGTCGACGCCAACTGGCGCTGGACCCACACTGTCTCGGGTTCGACCAACTGCTACACTGGCAACACCTGGAACTCGGCCTACTGCCCCGACGGCACCACCTGCGCTGCTCAGTGCTGTGTTGACGGTGCCGACTACTCGGGCACCTACGGTGTCACCTCGTCTTCCGACGCCCTCACCCTCAAGTTTGTCACCAACGGCCCTTACTCGACCAACATTGGTTCGCGTCTCTACCTCATGGCCTCGGAGACCCAGTACCAGATGTTCAACCTCCTCGGCAACGAGTTCACCTTCGACGTCGACGTTTCGAACCTCGGCTGTGGTCTCAACGGCGCCCTCTACTTCGTCGCCATGGACGCCGACGGAGGTCTGAGCAAGTACTCGGGCAACAAGGCCGGTGCCAAGTTCGGTACTGGTTACTGTGACGCTCAGTGCCCCCGCGACGTCAAGTTCATCAACGGTGTCGCCAACGTCGACGGCTGGACCCCCAGCACCAACGACGCCAACTCGGGTGTCGGAAACACCGGTACCTGCTGTGCCGAGATGGACATCTGGGAGGCCAACTCGCTCTCGACCGCCTACACCGCTCACCCCTGCACCAACAACGCCCAGCACTCGTGCTCTGGCGACAACTGCGGTGGCACTTACTCGTCTACTCGCTACGCCGGTGACTGTGACCCCGATGGATGCGACTACAACTCGTACCGCCAGGGCAACACCACCTTCTACGGCCCCGGCTCGGGCTTCGCTCTTGACACCACCAAGAAGCTCTCGGTCGTCACCCAGTTCATCACCGACTCGGCCGGCGCCCTTTCGGACATCAAGCGCTTCTACGTCCAGAACGGCGTCGTTGTCCCCAACTCGGAGACCAGCATGGCCGGCACCTCGGGTAACTCGATCACCAGCGACTACTGCACTGCCCAGAAGGTCACCACCGGTGACACTGACGTCTTCGCCGCCAAGGGCGGTCTCGCCCAGATGGGCAAGGCCCTCTCCACCGGCATGGTTCTTGTCCTCTCGCTCTGGGACGACCACGCGGCTGACATGCTCTGGCTCGACTCCACTTACCCCGTTGGCTCCACCGCCCCCGGTGCCGCTCGTGGCTCTTGCTCCAGCACCTCGGGTGTTCCCGCCACCCTCGAGTCGACCGTCCCCAACTCGTCGGTCGTCTTCTCCGGCATCAAGTTCGGCCCCATCGGCTCGACCTTCAACAGCGGCTCCACCTCGTCGTCGTCCGCCGCCTCGTCCACCAAGGCTTCGTCGACCGCCGCCTCGTCCACCAAGGCTTCGTCCTCGACTGCCGCCTCGTCGACTGTCGTGACCTCGACCAAGGCTTCGTCTAGCTCGGCTCCTGGTACGTCTACAACTGTTGAAGAGCTTGTGAGCTCGGCTGCAAGCGCCGTTGTCAGCTCTGCTACCGAGGTTGCCAGCTCGTCTGCTGCCAGCTCTGTTAGCGAGGTTGCCACCTCTGCCAGCTCTGCTGCTGTTTCAAGTGCCGTCGAGGAGCTGGACTCTTGCTCATCTTCTGCAGCGGCCACTTCGTCGTCCGCTTCGGGTTGCACCGTCACCAAGTGGGGCCAGTGCGGTGGCGCCAGCTACACCGGCTGCACCACCTGTGTCTCGGGCTCGACCTGCACCTACCAGAACGACTGGTACTCGCAGTGCCTCTAAGTCGCAAGGGCATCGAACCGGCTTGCACCAGCTGCACGCCTCTCGACCTGAGCTCTCTCTATTCTAACAATGCCTCGGCTGGGCCGACCCAAGGCAGTATTCATAGCGGCGCAGTTGCGAAGGAGTAAAATATGTTTTTCAATGGAATGAACTGGTGTTCTCCTCAACCGTTGGCTGCTGCTGCATTGATTACGCGGGTGGGTTGGGGGTTCTGGCGAAAGTGGCGCTGCCGCTGTTTTTCGGTCATTTATTCCCATTTTTCGCGACAATCATCAGATTGCGCACAATTGATCGTCCCTCTCGCCATTGACCCGACCTGAGTCTACGCACAGCATAGGGCGTTGTACTGCATCAAGAGGTCTTCCAGTTCGGTTCGCTTGATCCTCCTCGCCCCAGTGCTTCGGTCGTCATCACCATGGCAGTGTCGCCAAGACGGGACGGTGCGGTGCTTCACTGCCCGTGCCTTACCTTGGAATGAGCAATCCCCAGCATACAACGTCCGCCACGACAGTGTGTGTTGTTGCGACCCTTGACCGTTGGTAGGTACCCATCCCAGATTCCAGTATGCACCCGGGATTCCAGCACAAAATCTACTACAGAACAAGATGCGACGGCAGACGAGGTTCCCTGCAACGACCGCACCGCGGTCCACTGGTTGATGGAGACCGGTTGCCGGAGGCATTTCAGTGGACCGAGGCACTGGCATCGCTTTCGCGTTTCCGCCAACCTCGGGCGACTTGATGGGCTGTGGTGCGGTGTTTGGCCATGAGGACCATGCATTGGTGCTGACCCCAGTCTGCACTGCACGCGCGACAGACAGCTTGAGCGTTCACCGGTTGCAGAGTGTTTAAAGGTCCATAAGTGGGAGGGATTCTGTGGCAAGACAACCCACCACCCCACCCAATTTCTCACCATGCGCGTCCAAAGGAAGCCCGTGCCCATCATCTCGCCCATCTCGTCCCCCATTTACGCGTCGGCCCCGCCCCCGCCACTCTTCCAAGTACCGGATCTGTAAGTATCTCTCATAACCATGTTCTGACCTACGTCAGCCCGGACAACATCTCGACGGCAGCGGCATACCCCACGCGTCGCCCGCCCGCCAAGCCCGCTCCATGTGCACTCCGTGATTCGACTCCGGGATACACATTAAAGCGCCTTAACAAGAGCAGCCACGCTACCGACACGGACGAGTCGCGCAGTTGCTGTATCCAGTAAATGCAGAAGGAACGGCGGTCTTTTGGCACTACCACACTGAAACCTCCCAATACCCATGGACAGTCGCATCCCAACCAACCCCCCACGAGTCATGCATGCACATCTGGAGCCTGTTGGGGCCAAAAAGGAGTTGTACTGGACGAGTTAGGAATCGAACCAAAGACCTTGTCAAAGTAGATAGGAGGATGCTAATGACACGCTCTACCAACTGAGCTACACGCCCGTTACGTAAGCTGTGTTTCTTAGCAATTGTTCATCCATGTCGTTAGGTTTTGAGATCCATGCATCACAGAAGCGAACATGAGCGAGTATTCTTTGACATGGATGCGTCAGACTGGACAGAAACCTCGTGAAGCGATGGAGAATGAGGGATATGCCAAGGCGCTCATTTACGTGGGCGGCCTGGCCTACATGAGACCGATCGGCCCCACAGCCTTGGCAATGCCTTCTATGACCTACGATGGCGTCTCGGTGCATGTCGATCGAAAGAACAGCTGCTCTGGAACTGTTAACGTATGTGTGTGCCCATGTGCAAGTGCAGGTTCCACTGACTTGAACACCCTAGGTGGGGACGCAAGTCATTTGGGCTTATTTGTACGATTTCGGAGATCGGCCACAAGCAATCGGCAACCTATAACACTTGTCCTCCACACAACCTGCTTCCTGTGGCTTCTGTGCTTCCCCAGCTGACCATAGCATCCGGTATATCAGACCGGACGTTCCACTGGAACAGTCTCCTCCGTCGCTCGGCTTCCCAGCGAATGGCGTCATAGGCTTCCTGTCTTCCCAATTTTTATGCGTGGTCACCACGCTCCCAACGTCTTGAACTTCTGCCCATCATGTAATCGGACCAGCACTGCCAGAGAAGACGGTATTTACTAACCACACGACTGTCAGACTGCAGTGCCATGGCTGTTCATCGGTAGGTCGAAACAGGTACTGTACTTGGGGAGCCGCTCCTCGCCGGAGCGGAAGAATTGGAGCAGTGCCCACCCCGCGGAAACGGTGCACGGTTTGAAGCATTTTCTACCTCTGCCAAGCATCCCCGTCGTGTGCCCAAAGTGCAGGGACCAGGGGTGTTGATGTTTGGGGCGAGGGTCATCTGGTGTATATTAGGACAGACCAGACCATCACACTTTCATACCTCAGTCCCACTAAAAGTTCTCACAATGTCGGAGCAACGTAACGACGACAACGACCCCCCTCTCAAAGAGGAGTCCTCCAACTGGCGTCCGTCGATGAGCGGTTCCATACCTTACGACGAGTCCTATAACGACCCTCTCTACCTCATCCCGGAAATGCGAGTCTCCTTTCCTGGCTTTGCGTCGACGTCAAGCTGACCTCATCAGGCCAATGGACCACTCACAGTCCACAGGAGCTGCCAAACAACCTGATCGAGAATACTCGAGCACCTCCTTCTCCGACCGTGACCCTAACGCTCCAGGCGAGGAAGGATGGAATATCTGCTTGTGGCTCTGCGGTCCTTGCATGGTTTGAAGATTTATCGATGATTCTGACTGAGGACGGTGTGGCGAGGCCCCTCTTGTAGATCGATCTTATGGTGTGCATGAACTGCAGCGGAATCCAATCACACCATCGAGGAGTCTGAGATGCCTCTGGAAACATGTTGACGTGTTCCGTGTGTGTGGTTAGTTGCCCAGGAACCCGCTGGAAGCCGGGTACAGCTTCACACGACTGCGGTTGTGCAAGAATCGGATCTTGGACAGGGGTGTTGTGGACGCTCAACAACTCGACGGGACCGACATCGCTCCCGGGCCTCGATATCAATCCCGCTCGCGCCGCCCGACTGCGCAACGATCAGCCGAGGATGTTGTCATCGGGCCAACCGACAAGGCTTCAACATCCGCGGTCCGCGTTAAGCATAATCAGTCCTTTCCTTTTGGCCTGTGCACACGACAAGAACCGCGGAACATCCCTTTATCAACAGCCTTGATGCAGGACTCAGTATCTACCAGTACACCCACTAACTGGCACGGACTCAAACGCCCCTTCAGACGTGCTGGCCTCCACAGTCGCTCTATCACGAAGACGGGCGAAATGTCGAGAAATGGGATGTTTTGGAGATGCACTCGGCCGCCACACGCCACACGTCAGCCTCCAATACGAAAGGTATCGGAAGCCACCGCGAGATCGAATGTCAGCCAGGCCCAAGAAGCCGCGAAGCCGGATGTTGCCGACAAGAATCGCCACCCGCTGCCGTCATCACCTCCACCAGCTCGTACCAAGTGATTAAGGGGATTGGAGAACCCAACACGTCTCACACTTTTGCACTTGTGTTCGCTCTCTCTGCCGCCTGCACAGTTCCACACCGGATCGGGCGGAACGATGCCGCAGATCGGCGAGGTCGACGACGAGACCGCACCCCTCCTCGCAGGCCATCCACCAGAGTACCACTGCCTGGACCACGACGAGGACGTGGACGTCGATGGCGCCCCGCCTCCACCATATCAAGCGCGTGATCCAAAGTAGGGCACCCCGCTGTGTGGAAAGGGGGACAGGAGTGCTGACATGCTAGTCCAAGAGGGATACGCGCCGCCACGACCCCGACCACCACTGTAGCACCGCGCCGTACCCCGGCCATGTCAATACCGCTGCCTTCGCTGTACGAGCGGCGCGTCGCGCGCCGAAGGCGGAACCGCGAGGGCTTGGGTCTGGGCGCGGACCGTGCGGACCGAACCGACGGTGGTGGGGCCGCCGGCACCGCGCCTGTGTCTGCGTCACAGGCTGCTGCACGGAATGAGGACGATCGACACTGGCGGGCTGAACGTGCGCGTGCCGAGGAGCAGCGACGGGATGGCGAGGATGACCAGCCGTGTTCAACAGGGTGGTTCTGGTGGGCCGTCTGTTCCTTCATAGGATCATAGGTGATGTCATCGAGGGTTGTTGATGCCACTCCTGTGGACGTTGTGGTGACACGGCCAAACCACAAGAACAGGGTGGGAGCGAGGTGAGTCTGACAAAGCTGGCACACGACACTTCAACTGCACAATATACAACGAGCATCCATCTCACACATGGTCTATACTTCCGAGACTATCTTACGACAAGCCCGTCATCGTAGGCGAGAGGAGTGGAAGGTATAAATAGACTAAACGTGAAGCGAAGGCTAAAGGACGGGGTGTGCGCAGGACTGAAGATGTCAAACAAATAAGGTTGAGCCGTGCTGCAGGTGTGCGACACCCAGCCGCGTCTCTCGGTGTGGCACGTTTAGACCATGGCGGCGACAGCAGCCACGACGGCAACGGCACCCGCCGCGATGGGGGCACGCGAGCCGGCGCCGCTCTTCTTGGCCGTCGTGCTTGCCGCGGCAGCGGCAGATGTGCCACTGGCTGGGGACGAGGCCGAGCCGGAACCGGCGCCCATGGCAGAAGTCGAGACTCCAGCAGAAGAGGCGACGACTGGGGCGGCTGACGAGCCGCTCGCAGCGCCGGCGCTGGCAGACGATGCGGCCGAGGCGCCAGCAGTCGTCGATTTGGACTTGTGGCTCTTGGTCGTGGACGAGCTGCCGGCCGCAGCTCCCGAGGCAGTGCCCGTGGCCATATCAGTCTGGAAGCGGTCAGTGGTGTGTGGGAAAAGAACGGGTTGGGCGACAGTGGCACTGTGGCCGAAACATGGTACTCACGGCAGCAGCGCTGTCAGTGGCGGAGCTCTGGGCGAGGACCGAGGTGGCGAAAAGAGCGGCGAGGGCGAGCTGGAACTTCATGGCTGCAGGTATGGTGCGGGGTTCTTGAGGTTGAGAGGGAGAGTGGGTGCTGGGATTAAGACGCGAAGTGTGGGAGAAGACATGGTGTGACCTGTTGCCATATTTAACACTTTCGAGCCACACTCCAGGTGCGCGGCTGGTCGCGTCAAACAGCCACTCCCGACGCGCTCCACAGGTCCCATCCCAGGAAGAATGCACAACATGCGCCCCACGGGAGCCACCTGGGGTAGCCCACGATGGTTGCCTGTTTCCTCTGACCACTATGCAGGCCATGTGCTGCGCGCCTGGGGGTTTCTGCGTTGTCACATATGGCGCAGACGTCACACCGACGCGCCACACATAGAACACTCGCTTCGTCCCGTCCACTGACTGATCCACAGGTCTCCACTGATCCACTGATCTATTGGGCCCCAACTGGGCAACACGGCCAACCCCATTTATCGCGGATATTGAGGCTAGCGACACCGCCTTCGTCAAAGTGGATCAAGGTTGTTGTCGGGTTGTTACGCCGACGAACGGTCCGCTCTCACCGTGCGGGCAGCGGCATTGTGCGGTACGACTAGCTGCACAGCATTCGACTAAGTTGTGACGTTGCTGGAGGGCCCGTCCCACCGGCCAGGCCTGCTCAATCGATCAAGAACGGACAAAAAGTCTCTCGGTTGGTGGGCAACGGCCCTAGATCTCCGAGTTTCTAAGCTTGTATATTTCCGTAACTGGGAAAGGACTATATCGGGCGTCCACTTTGATGAAACGTGGTACACGTGAATCTACGAGCGCGATTATGTTCAGATTTCGGCCGTGTTTATGACCCCAGTCGTGCATCGAGCCAGTGATATCAGTGACAAGTCCACATTCGTTACCCGCGACCTTTACAAACAGTCGCTGCCAAGCGGTCCAAAATAGAGCCACAGCTTTTAGGTTCTGTGAACCAGATAAATGGCTGTTAATGGGCCAGAACAGGCCATTTGGCAACAGCCACCACAAGCGACAGCCTCGACGGGCTGGGTACACATCGTCACTCGGCCGTTTTCAGACACAGACTGAAAAGAAGAAAGCAAGGGCACGTTTGGAATGTGTTATGATACATCGCATGCTGTCTGTGCTGATGCGGAGGAGTGCTGTGTCGTGGTCGAAAGCGAAAGACAGGAATGGTGGTGCTGAGAGAAAGGAATGAGTGAAGTGGGTGAGGGAAGGAGAGTGGAAAAGCAGGCCGAAGGCAGCAAGCCTTTCGCCTAGGCAGCGTCGTCCACCTCGTCCTCCTCGCCGTCATCGCCCTCCTCTCCATCCTCTCCTTCACCTTCACCCTCTTCAGCCTCATCGTCATCATCCTCGTCCTCGTCTCCGTCGGCGGCCATGCTGACGTCGCCCTCGCCTTCGGCCTGGTCGACGGCGGACTTGCGCCTGCGTCCACGGCCGGGTCCGGGGGGCTTGGCCTTGGAGGCCTTGACGGCAGCGGCGTGCGAGCGGAAGGCTGGATGTGTCAGTTGCCACAACGCAAGGATCAACTGCAAGACAGAGACGAAGCGGTAAACGATGTGATGGCCAGCGAACTCACCAGCAAGCTCCTGCTCAAGAATGGGGACGAGGGCGTCCGCGGGTCCAAAGTCCATCTCGGTGATGGCCTTGATCACGTCGCCGGCAGTGATCTGCTTTCCGGCACGCGAGAGGGCCTGGTCGTGGGCCGCCGACGCTGCGGGATTAGCTGACCGCCGCACATACAGCTGTTGGGTGTTGAGGGAGAGGGAGTAGACACAGAGGAGCGATTGCAAGGTTAACGGGTAGACTGGTAACCTTGCTCGTCCTCAGCCGCACTCCCTCGGCAAGGCAGTTGGCTGGAGACGGAGCAGTGGACACATTGTCCCCAGCGATCCCAGCGACAGCTGTCACAAAAGGTGAGGGCGCCAGGAGCCTCTGCAAGTCTCAGGTGCAGCCAAGCTTGCCCGCCCTGGGCAAACCCAGACGGCAGCCAGGCCGCTACTATCGGCAGGTAACTCGGCATCCGGGTGGGGACGCTGTCGGCGCACAGGAGCAGTTGCACGGTCAAGCAAGCCCCACCGGCCACAGTGTTTCACTGTTGATATGCGCTGACGCAAAATAATGGCCGCGGAGAGTGTTGGGTGTGGGGAACAGACGTACTCAGGTAGTTGATGAAGAGGGTCGACGACCGCATGAGCGCGTGGACCACGTCCTGCTGCATCTTGACATTGTCGGGAATCTGCACGAGTTAGCAGGCGTTGACAAGTGTTTGCTGTCGTGTGGTGTGTTCTGCGAACATGGCAGCTCATGGCTAAGGGCAACGAGCTGCAACCACACGAATCACGCCATCCTACAAACCCACTGGGCAGCTCACGAGGGCCACCAGCGCATGTACTCACCGAACCCTTGGCAAGCTTGACGAGACTGGTCTTGGGCAGTTCCAAGTCGGAGATGCTCGTCGCGTACGCCTTTTGCTGCACGCCAGCCGGGGTGAGCGGTGCGTCTGGGGGCGGGGCGCGAGCCACCATGTGCGAGCCCTTGGGGGGCATGGTGCGTGGATGGATGGGTTAAAAAGGTGGAGTAGAGGTGGAGAGAAGAGAGATGGAGCAAGACGACAAAATGGGTGACGCGCGGTGGTGGTGGACGGAAACAACAACGCGTTTTGGCGCGTGTTGGGTGGCAATGTGGGCGGAGCCTGAATCGCCTGCGGTGCGTGCTGGGGCATTCTTGTTGACCTTTTTGTTGCCATCTCCTTCTGTATGAAGCAGCAGGATCGAGAGAGACGCAAGCACAGATGTCATGTACATCTTCCCGTCTTCCTCAGGAGCTCATGCATGCACCTCTCATTGCCACGCGCCACCCCCGGTCGTACAACTGCGCACGCCCAGGAGACCGTCCACGACGAGGTCGACCTCCCACTCTCGTCCTTGGCCAAATATAACAACACACAAGCACTCTATGCATCACAACATCCTCATCCCAGCAGAATCTCATAGAATATCCTGCAATGTCAGCTATGCCTGCCTCCAAAACGGCGGAAGTTAGCAGACTTACACAACGACGTTTGCGACGATGAGGGGCACTGAGGTAGGTGTCAGCTTGTCGGTCCATGTAGCTAAGCTGCAGCTGGGGCCATGAATCTCCCTGATGTCTCTGGCAGGTCGATGAAAGCAGCTGATGTGGGGGTAACCCCAGCTGCCTTTGCCACTTGACCAAGCCAAGGGGGCGGCCTCCACCTCACCCGTCGCGTCAACGATCCCTACTCACGTCGCATAAGTGTGCGGACGGCGCCAATGAGGTTGATGGCCTTGGTCTTCATGCTAACGCCCTCGCCTCCGCCGTACGCCGCGTCGTAAGAGGGGTCATTTCCGAACCCAGAGTTGGTAGCGGGGGTTCCGCGCGAGGACCAGCCGACTGGAGAGGCGAAGGTGAGAGGTCACGAGCCAGGGGTCAGGTGGTGGGCACGATGTGGGTCAAGGAGGGTAACAGGGAAGGAAATAAGTGGAGGTCGAGACGAAGGCCAGTTGTTTGGAAAGGGGGAAAGAACCGTCAGCTATAGCCAGAGGAGAAGAGACAAGGAGTGGGACGCACTTCGTGCGAGGAAACGGTCCTCGCTGAGGATTGCAATGGCGTTTGTGAAGAGGAGGGCGACGTAGAAGATGTGGCCGAGGTAGAACATTGCGGCTGGTCCGCAGCTGCGGCGACGTTTGGGAGCTGGTGGTTGTGAGAGATGTTTGTGAGCTGGAAGGAGCTGGGGCAAAAGTGGGTGCAACATTACACGTCCTGTGGTGGCCTGGCAGCTGGCACATCGTCACCGCGCGGGCGCGACCAGCAGTGGGCTATGGGGCCATGCGAATGGCACGTGACAATACTCCCGCCCCTTCACTAGCGGGAGTATTTTTTGGGTGGCCACCCTTCTCCCATAACTGGGTGGCGCAGCGGCCGCAGGCTGGCTGCTGCGTCGTGGATCGGGCAGCAGCCAGGAGAGGAGCACGAGAGCGGTCCCATGTCCATTCACTCTCTCTCACACCCCCATCGAAGACGCAAAGATCCGTCCATCTCTACTCGTATCCCCTGTCTCTCGTCCGCACACTCTCCCACACCGCCTAGACGCCAGACCACAAGGCGCACTCCCTTCCTGTGACCTATAATCCACCACCCCAGGTCCACACTCTCCACCGCACCGGCCCCCGCTTCCCCCGAGAGCCAAGCCTTCGCCTCCAACTAGACCACCACCACCCCCCGTCGCCTCCCCCTCTCCCCCTCTCATCATCACCATGGCGTCCGAGGACCCCTCTGTCAAGGCTGTTCAGGTCAAGCTCGTTCTCCTCGGTACGTCCTTGCCACTGTCGCCGTAACAGTTATCATGCTGACACCGCCTCCTTGGAATCATCTTTACGAACACGAATGCGTCTTGTGGCCCCCCCTCCCTTTCAAACCTTGCGCGCACCCTCAAACCGTCGTCTTCATTACCCCTCGCCCCGCCTCCATGCTACTTTGGTTCTCCCCACAGGCGAGGCTGCTGTCGGCAAGTCGTCGCTCGTCCTGCGTTTTGTCCAGAACGACTTCAACGAGAACACGTCACCCACCATTGGAGCGGCCTTCCTCACGCAGAGTGAGTATCACAAAGTGCTTCTGCGGCCTGTGGTGCGGACAGCCGTGCGGAAGGCGGCAGTGTATGAGATGAGCGTTTCATTCATTCATCTGCTCCTTTGCGTGCACTGGCTGGCTCCTTGGCTCTTCCTTGCCAGCTATGACGCAAGAGAGAGACTTGGAGTGGAGTGATGGTCTTGCTCCCGTCGACCGCACGAGCAAACAGCAACGCCGCACAGAACGAAGCACGGAGCACACCACAGCGAGGGTCAATAGCTGACAGTGTTTCCCCAGAGTGCCGCCTCGAGAACCGGGTTGTCAAGTTTGAGATCTGGGACACTGCCGGCCAAGAACGTTTCCACTCGCTTGCGCCAATGTACTACAGGAACGCGGCTGCCGCCGTTGTCGTGTATGACATTACAAAGGCTGCGAGCCTCGAAAAGGCCAAGGCATGGGTCAAGGAACTGCAGAGGCAGGCCAACCCCAACATTGTGATTGCGCTTGTGGGAAACAAGCTCGACCTCGTCGAGGGTGCCGATGGCGAGGAGGCTTCTACCCCCACCGAGGCTCCCGAGGCCGCAGACGAGGACGCACCCGCAGACGAGGACGAGGACGGAACCCCGCCCCCACCTGCAGCTGCGCCTGCGTCTGAGGGTCCCAGGCAGGTGTCCCACGCCGAGGCCAAGGCATACGCCGACGAGTGTGGCCTGCTCTTCTTCGAGGCGTCGGCCAAGGCCGGCACCAACGTGCAGGATGTGTTTACCGAGATTGGTGAGTGCAGGCTTAGCTCGTTCTTGTTGTTCATTCGAGCTCGTCGCGCTGACACTCTGCAGCCAAGACCATCCCTCTCGACACCATCACCCCCAAGCCCGCTGCCGGCGGTGCCCAGAACCGCCGCTCGGCAGCCAACGCTGCTGCGGGCGACGCCAGCGCCGTCAACCTCGGCGACGGTGCCGCGGCCAAGAAGGGTGGCTGCTGCTAAACCTGCAAAGGCGACTCGTTTTTACCCAAAGCTACCCACATCGAGCTTATCGTACCCGTCCGCCCGCCCGTCCGCCAGAGCCCGCCAGCCCGCTGCGCACCACCACCTTAAACCGTCGCCCCCAGTCCCTCTTTGATCTCTACACGACCGCCATCTGTGGGTGTGAGCGACCGCGGACTTGATATGCCGCGCGGTCCATGAACGCCGAACGTATAGTTTTTACCCCTACCTCCCCAATCCAAATCCCACCTTGCGCAGCTCGCGCGCGCAGCCTCGACCCTCTCCACCTTTTTTTTTCAATCCCCCCCCTCCCTATCTGTACAGTGTTCGCGCCACCCGTTTTTGATAGCCAGATATATGAAATGTTTCACGAGTGAGGAGGGAGGAGGGAGGTGGCAGTGGGGTTTACTGAAGATGGCCGGTGACTGCCATGGGATCACCCGATCGACTGTGACAAGAGTGCAGAGTGACGGTGACGACACGAGGAAGCAAGTGTCCCTGTCCACATGTCACTCGTCATAGGGATCATTAGGCGTGCGGCCCGACTGGCCCGCCTGCCACTTGCAAAACGCAGCACGCAGCGCAGACGCAAGTACGCAAGAGACCAAGAGGCCAGGCCCACCGGCAGCCGCAAGCGCGTCGGCCCAGGTCCCATCTTCCCAGCCTTCAGGTTTACGGATCAATGGATCAGAGGCCATGCCAGGACGAGGGCTGCGCCGCCGCGCCAGCGCGCCGGCGTGCCGGCCTGACTTGACTGCAAAGGGGTGTGCGGTTGGAGAGAGACCCGGAATTTGCGGCACCCACTGGCCACTGGCCACAGGCCACTACGCGCCACTGTTGCAGATCAATCGCGCTCCGAAACGACCCGGCGGGGGCGCGGGAACTCGGGACGTGAGTGTCGCCGCACACATGTCCATGGCTCCATGGCTCCACGACAGAGTACAGAATCCAGAGAGAAAAACGCGGGAGCGAGCAAGGGTTGCAAGGGAACACCTGTTCTCTGCCGTGCATATGCGCGCGCGATGCCTGTTGTATCGATGTCAGTGTCCGTGCTACGTGCTGCGAGGGAGATGGGCGCGTCGCGTCGGCCGGGCGATACGCCGCCATGCCGAATGGTGTTGCCACGGTACGGTGTGTTGGCCAAGACAGCGCCCGCGTGCCAGGTCAGTGGATCGTGGATCAGTGGCCGTGGCCAGTCGAGGGACACGCAAGAGCTTGAAGCTTGAGCCTGCCTGCTGCCTGCTGGCCAGCTGTGAGCCCCGGCAGAATGCCCATGTGCGTGCCAGTGGTGGCCTAGTGGCCAGCCAGCAACTCTGTGGATCAGAGGCCCAGTGGCCAGTGGCCAGTGGCGCGTTCGGCGCGCCGAGCGATCGCGTCCGAACAGCATGCGCGCCCAACCGCCCCCCAATGGCCCAAAAGAGCAAGCTTTCTCGGGCGGTGGTGGTGGCTTCTGCGAGGAGGAGGCCTTGGAAGGGTTTTTTGGAGGGAGCAGAGGCTTCGAGGCTTTCAAGGCTTAATTGACTCTTGGCGACCTTTAGGATCCTAAAGGAAGCAAAGGTCCGTTTTTCTGGCGTCTGATAACGAAAAAAACGCGACGACGCGTCGACTGCGGCGTGCAGGCGTCATGGCAGACGCGACTCAATGCATCGCGCAGCAGGCAGCTGAAATGGTGGCCATGGTGGTGTTTCTGTTTTCTGCCAAGCTGCCGGTTATGGCACTGTGCTTAGGCACTACGAGGTCAGCGAGGCAGAGAGCTCTCCGGCCCAAGGGAGGGAGATATGGACACGAAAGCAAGGGCGCGCGGCCGCCTGCATCTTCACGGTCACACAGTGTACCTCTTTCGGCTCTCTTGTCTCTCTCCCCGTCTCGTTCCCTCTCGCACTGCTGTACTGCGGGCTAGCACAGCTAGCTGGTTGTGAGGCGAGAGTGCTTGCAGGATCCATCTCGACTGCTGGCACTTTGGCAGCGAGCTAGCAGCAACATGAAGGCGCGTACGCGTGGCGCGTCTGGGCAAAGAGAATAAAACCCTGTGCCAGGAAAAAAAGAGCGAGAGTTGCAAACAGTCATTAGAGGATCATCCCATAGAGTGCTCTGTGACGCGCATGGCTGCATGGCTGAGGGACGAGAGAGCAATGGCGACTGAATAGGCTGCCAGGGGGATATGAGCTCTGCTAGTGCAGGTGCTGCACCCCCCACCCCCCCAGTATGCCAACGCCAGTGTTTTGTACGGGCAGAACGCTCTCGTCCCCCCTCTCTCCCTCTTGCTGTTCCGACCCTGGGCGGCGGCGGCGTGAATGGCATACCGCCAGGGTAACTCTCTCTCCCTCTCTCTTTCTACAATGCCAGCCCAGGTCTCACCACGAACAAGAAAGAAAGAGACGAAGAGAGCCTCGGGGGCGTTGCAGGCGAACAAGGTAACATGCCCCTCATTCGGTGCTTCCCGCCCACACACCCAGGCTCTCTGGTTCTCTGGGCGATCTACTGCCGTGTTTTTTTGGGTGTGCGCAAGTGACAGGTGCAAAAGCCCAAGTAAGGGCTCTTGTGAGCGCTGAGAGCATATCCCACACACGGTGTGGGGCTGGCATGCACCAGAGGGGGAAAACCCAGCAGGCCCAGCAGGCCCAGCAGCTGCAGCCAGCAGCGCCAGGTTCCGCCGGCCGCACGCCCGTACGCGTCTTTCCTCTCGCTGCCCCAAACCGCAACTGCTGCCGCTCTGGCCCAGCCCCCGCCCGGTCGCGCAGGGGGGGGGGGGAACGCACCACCACTCTATTCTCATCTACCCGTATTACCTTTTTATCCCGCGTCTTGCTCTCTCCGTCTCTCTCTCTTCTTCATACACTCTCTCTTACTCATTCGCAACCATGGCTGCTCCCGCTGCTACCGCTGTAAGTCTACCCCCCATCCCCCCGCTCGGCGCGACCTGCATACACCTCCACAAACCCAACTCCCCATCCTCCAAGCCTCCCAAACATTCCCCCCTCCTCCACAATCAGCCTTTATCAGCTCTGGCAGGCCCGCAGTCGATCCCTTTGCCTCACCCCCCACCCGCACAACAAACAGTTTACTGACACCCAACACAGGAGATCAAGGAGGTCGGCTACAGCCGCAACGGCTTCGACTCGCGCATCGACACCGACACTCTTCGTAGCCTCTACCTCGTGAGTCGTCCCTTGTTATTATTGGCCTACCCGCGCACCACTGGGCCCAAAAACACCCCAATCCGTCGTGACGTGGCACCAAGGCAAAACTAGCCCCGGCAATGCACCGTACCCATCGAGCTCGTCCTGCGCACACTCCCCACATCGGCATCGCCGACGAGGGCGGTCCTGTGTTGTGCGCGCGCGCGCAGTGTGCTGGCCGGTGGGGTGCGAGCGCGCTTTTGGCTGTGGTGGTGAAAAGGCACGCGTTGCTTTCCATGGTCCTCGCTCGCCCCTTCTTTCCCAGCCCCCGCTGGGCGTGTGTCCGTGTCCCTCGTGCAATAGGGGGTCCACTCACATGCCGTCCTCGCTGGGCGGACGGTGGCGTTTATGATATCAATGACGCCCACTGGTCATGTTTATATATATTGGACGGGGCCAGTGTTTTTGGGCGTGGTTGGCGTTTGTTGGGCTGGCTGCGGAGGAACGCGACATGGCGCTGACGCGAAATGTTTGCAGGCCCCTGCTTTCGTCAAGGAGGGTGACAAGGTCGACAACACTGTCCCTACCCCCCACAAGGACTACGGCACCGAGTCGACCTACGACAAGGAGTCGAACAAGATCCAGTACACCACTTTTGCCAAGTTCCCCCCCGTCCGTCTCCTCCCCAATGCCGAGCGCAAGCGCATCCTCGTCACTGGTGGTGCCGGTTTCGTCGGCTCGCACCTTGTCGACCGCCTGATGCTCCTCGGCCACGAGGTCACTGTCCTTGACAACTTCTTCACCGGTTCGCGTACCACCGTCTCGCACTGGGTCGGCCACCCCAACTTTGAGATGGCCCGCCACGACGTTGTCGAGCCCTTCATGATCGAGGTCGACCAGATCTACCACCTTGCGTGCCCCGCCTCGCCCCCCCACTACCAGTACAACGCTGTCAAGACCATCAAGACTTCGTTCATGGGTACCCTTAACATGCTCGGTCTTGCCAAGCGTACCAAGGCCCGTTTCCTCATCACCTCGACCTCGGAGGTCTACGGTGACCCCGAGGAGCACCCCCAGCGCGAGGACTACTGGGGCCACGTCAACTGCATTGGCCCCCGTGCGTGCTACGACGAGGGCAAGCGCGTCGCCGAGACCCTCACCTACGGCTACATGCGCCAGGACGGTGTCGACGTTCGTGTCGCCCGTATCTTCAACACTTTCGGCCCCCGCATGAACCCTTACGACGGCCGTGTTGTCTCCAACTTTATCATCCAGGCCCTCAAGGGCGAGGACATGACCGTGTACGGTGACGGCCAGCAGACCCGTTCGTTCCAGTACGTCCACGACCTCATTGACGGCCTCATCCTCCTCATGAACGGCGAGGAGACCCGTCCCGTCAACATTGGCTCGTCGCACGAGTTCACCATCATGGAGTTTGCCGAGGCCGTCCGTGACGTCGTCGAGGAGGTCCAGAAGGAGTACGGCCTCCCCGTCAAGCGCGTCGGCATTGTCCACAAGGACATGCCCACCGACGACCCCCAGCGTCGCCGTGCCGACACCACCCGCGCCAAGGAGCAGCTCGAGTGGCAGCCCCGCTGGGCCGTCCGCCAGGGTGTCAAGGAGATGGTCCTCTACTACAAGCAGGCCATGGACCTCGGCAAGATCTAAGCGGTAGCATTCGCTAAAAACACCCCCCATCCATCCCACACCTTTTTCGCGCCCTCTTTGTGTCCTTTTTTTGCTTTGTCGGCGTCGATTACAATAGCCAACCAACTCCCAACTGTATTCGACACGATCTCTTTTGTTCTTGTCGGGTCTATAGAACTGAGCGGGGCATTGGCCCCTGTTTATACCTTTACCTTTATGCCACGGACTTAGGTACTACATCAGAGCGACAGGGCAAAGTTGCTGATAGACACTGACTGGACTGATGTTGGAAGACGGAGCCTGCCCCCAAACTACACGCCACTGTGGTGAACGCAAGCGGGTGGTGACTACCGCGGTCCAGGTCTGCTCCGGGTATCCCCTCGGGGTGTACATTGGCGTCAAGGGCCGTCGTGCCAGAGAGGGAGGCACGTCGTGTCACCTGAACGAGGTCGAGGGAGCGCGGCGTCCACACTCGGGTACACTTTAGACACATGGGCACAGTGGTGTTTCTGCCGCCACAGATCTCACGCGCACGCCGAGCACGCCGCGCCTACCCCGTTCGCTCTGGATCTCGGGGTGGACCGCCACGCGCACCTGCCTGCTCTGCCGTCTGGGCCTCTGCGTGGAGCAACGAGCCCGGCCCGAACCACACGCCAGTGTGTGCAGAAGCACAGGCCAGGCCCTTCTGACGTGTGTGTGCTGGGTGGGTGGGTCGGTGGGGTACATGGGCGCCGAGCCGTGTGGGCCATGGGCATGGGCGGGCATGTGCGCCACGACCCACGCCAACGGGATATGCGTATGCCGGGTATCTCGTGCGTGTGGCGGCGGTGGATTGCCGGTGTGTGTCAAGAGATATATGCACGCGGAGCGTAGCGCTCGAGTGGTGTACAGCGTGTCCTGGGGCCAGGCAAGTCATGTAGGTGGTCGAGATGAGAGTGTAGAATCGCGTGTGCATGCGAGGCTGGAATGGAATGGCGGTAGACGATGAGAGAAGCAAAGTACCATTTTGCGCGCCTCGTTTGGATCTGGGATCTGAATCTCTGGCCTGAAGAAGCTTCTGACCGCAGCTACCTGCGGCCTGCGGTATATGAGCTGTGGGGCTCATGGGGCATGTCCGTGTCACGCTGGCGGTCGGTGGGTTCTCCGATCTCCGCCCCGCCAAGTGTGTGTCCTCGGCGTCGCTTGTTAGAAAGGACATCGAGGTTATGGGCTACAGGAGACTGAGGCTTACGACTCGCTGCGACTGACTCGCCTCATGGTCCGCAGGTATGTCTCACCCGGTCCTGTCTCCACACTGTCCCAAACTCTCCCCGGGGCCGGTTATTAACGCACATCGCACCCTGCCGTACACGCTCTTAATCGACTGCGAAGTGATCAGTGAGCAGACTCCTGCCGATCTCACAGCATGCCACACCCAAATCGAACATTCGCCCAGGTAGCGAACACATGTCCTGTCGGTATCTAACTCGCTTTCGCCGACTTTGTGTCCCTGGCAATATAACGATGACGTGTAAGGTATAAGGTATAAGCCTGGCTGTGGCGGCATGCCAGGATCACCGGAATCGGCACTGCCAAGAGGAGCCTTCACCATCTCACGAGGCAATGAGGGCGACATGACACAGAGTGGCAGGCTGGACGAGGGTACACGGGGGTCGGCATTTCGTTGCGCAGCGTCTGCTCATCAATGGCCCAATGGGCTGCCAGCCACCCGAGGTGGTGGACGGCACAGTTGCGGACGGGATCTCAGGCGATGCACTGCGAGCGCGTGAGAGAATGCATTGTGTCAGACGGCAGACGCGACGGGACGCGTGCAACAACGAGCTGAATGCCGAATGGGTGCGTCCTAGATGCGTGAGAGGGAATCGAGGGAAAAAGAAAATGTGGTCAGGATGACTCTGCCTTTTTCGGCTGGACAGGTCCGTTTTTTCAGCTTTCCTGGTCGCTAGAGCGAGGCGGTGCGCGGTGCCATGTTGCTGTGGCTGTCCGGGCGGTGCATCTAGTCAAAGACATGTGTGGCTCACCGGGGGGCCATGCATATGGGGTTGCTGCAGACTGGGTGCATGATGATGATGATGATGAGCCGTTGCGATGGAGTAGTGCGACCGACACGACCGACCGACTGCGCGGGGGCGGAATGGGCGTGTCGTCTTCTCTGCCTGGAGAGAGAGGGAGAGATCTGGCACGTCAGGGGAATTACCTCGACCACCCCCCACGCAACGCTGCTCGTCGTCGTCGCTTTGCTGTTGCTCCATATCCAGGACCTGTCTCTCATCTCCACCTCACCCCCACCTTCTACCCCGCTTTGGTCTTTCCCTTCTCTCTCATTCGCACCATCTCCATCTCCATCTCATCCACACACACCATGTCCTCGGCTCCCATAAGGCAGCCGCGCGGACCGCCCCCCGTGTCCGCCGCCAACGCCTTCCCTCCAGGCGGCCCGTCAGCCGGGCCCCCACCCCCAGACGCCGAGAGCCTTCTCCGCCGTAACAAGACGGTCGCGACGCCGCGCAGCGGCCCCCCACCACCCGTCTACCACACGGCGACAGACCGCGAAGCCCACCGTCGCTCGTTTGGCGGCGTCGCAGCTGGATCCAGCATCGGCATGGGATCCGGCGCGGCCGGATCGGTGGGAGGTGAACGGCGTCAACGTCGCCGGCGGCGGCGGCGGCGGTCCCACACCGGCCCCAGTTCCTGGTTCGGCCAGTGCACACGAGCAGCAGTCCTCTGGCGGCAGCAGCTTTGGTGGTGGTGTCCCGCCGTCGCGCTTCCGCTCTGGATCGTTCTCAGGCCTTGGCGGCGTGCCCAGCATCGTGCCCTCGGGCCACGCGGGCGTCGTCGGCGTCGTCGGCGGTGTCGGTGTCGGCGGAGTGGGTGTTGGCGGTGTCGGTGTCGGTGATGTCGGCGGTGTGGGCTCTGGCCTCGTCCGTCGACAGAGCGCACGAGACGCCTACGCTTCCCGCGTCGCCGCGCCTGCCGCCGAGGAGACCCTCATCGAGACCGAGGCCGCCGACGAGCACGACACGTCGGCCACAGAGCGCGGAACATGGGGCAAGGGGTTGGCACGCCAGAGCTCGCTTCCATCCCGCAGGTGTGAGTACATGTCAAAACTGCTGCTGAGAAACCACTGTGCTGGCCCGTGCAACACGCGCTGACTGCTCATGCGACATGTGCCCCTTGCCGACAATTCTCCAACCGCGCGTCACATCTCCAACTCTCGCACGCTCCCCTCTCCCTCTCCCTCCCCTCTCCCTCTCCCTCTCCTTTGCCTTTCCTTTCCGCACCACGTTTTGCGTGCAGCAGTGTTGAACAACGGCGGCGTCAACCCGGGTCTGTTTACACCAGCCATGGCCACCAGCGAGTCGGCACAGTCCAACCCTCCGGGCTCGATGAAGCCGCCTCCGCCTCCTCGTCCGCCCCGTCGCGTTTACCAGCCAAGCGAACAAGAGCCTGCGTCGCCGCCCCCTGGTACTCAGGCATCGCACTCTCGGAACAGCTCACACAACCCGTCACACTCTCTGTCATCTCTCAGCATGATCACGGGCGGTCTCGACCCCAACAACCCGGGCAACTCGCCCATCGCCACCACCCCAGGCAGCGCCGGCCATTCAGCTGGTTTCCCGACTCCCGGCCAACCTCAAAGTGCTGGTGTGTCACGCACCCAGAGTCTTCGCGCACACATGCAGTCCAACCCCCAGGTGGACTTTAGCACCCTCGGCCGCAGTGCGTCCATGCGCGCACCGGGCGAGCTCGCGTACTCGCGCAACATGCACACGAGCCCCGGCCCTCCCCACGCATTCAGTGCCGCCACCCCCCCACGTCCAGGCAAGGCCCACCCATCGCTGTATGCCTCGAGCGAAGACGGCCACGGCGACTACGAGCCTGTCAGTGACATCCGCCGTCACCAGAGCCTCACGTACGGGTCGTCGGCGCGCAACCGTGAGCGCCTGGAGCGTTCACAGGCGTTGCTCTCGCTCGACCAGCGCGAGGATTTGCGCCGGCGCCTCGCTGCATCGCCTTCCGGGTCGCAATCAGGTGCTGCGGGCGAAGGGCGCAGGCACTCGCGCCATTTGTCAATCGGCATGGACGATACCAACCCCATCGGCCGCACCGTGTGGACACCTGGCGCGCCTGCTCCCGGCGACGACGGATGGTCGTCGTCGGCGCAGCAGCTCCAGGCCCAGCAGCTCCAAGACGCTCTGGACGCACTTTCCCTCTCCGGCCGTGATGTCACGCACCAGCAGGCGCCAGCCGCGCACCCAGGCGAGGAGCCCTCGTGGGTCACCAACCTCGTCGGCATGCCTGGCCAGCCGTCACCGCAGCCGTCGGCACGCACCCTCGGCGCCGGCTGGGACGAACGCAGTGCCCCCTCACCGTACGGTGTGCCCCACTGGGGCACTCCCGGCGGCCAGCAGCAGCTCCACCCCAACCTCGGCGGCCTCATGCCGCACCAGCAGCACCAGCTGTACGCCCAGGCGCAGGCCCAGCTCAAGCTCGCGGCCGGTCTCGGCGGCGGTTCCCTTGGGCCCGTCCCCGTTCTTCCTCCTATGCAGCTGCAGCCCCCCTTCATGGGCCAGGGAGCCTTCATGGGCGGGCCTGGGTCGTACACTCCAAACTACCCCACTCCACCGACCACGGCAATGGGCGGCGGCGGTCCTGGCGGTCAGCACGTTGGCGGCCACGGTGGTGCGGCGGGTGGCCCTCCACTCTCGGCCCAGGACCTGGATGTCATCGAGCTGGCACGCAGCAAGGGCCTCAACCCAGCAGCCTTTGACTGCCGCCCGCCCGTTGCGCGCTTCTTTGTTATCAAGAGCTACACCGAGGACGATGTTCAAAAGTCGCTCAAGCACGAAATCTGGTCGTCGACCGTCCTGGGCAACAAGCGCCTCGACACGGCCTTCCGCGAGAGCCACGACCGCGGACCCATCTACCTCTTCTTCAGCGTCAACGGCAGTCGCCACTTTTGCGGTGTCGCCCAGATGCTCACGCCCGTCGACGAGACCCAGTCATCGACCGTCTGGGCCCAGGACAAGTGGAAGGGTATCTTCAAGGTGCGCTGGATCTTTGTGCGCGACGTCCCGACCGCTGCGCTCCGCCACATCCGCCTCACCAACACGCCCGAGCGCAAGCCCATTACAAACTCGCGCGACACGCAGGAACTGCCGTACGAGGCCGGCTGCGAGGTCCTCCAGATCTTCCTCGAGCACCAGCACAAGTCCAAGACATCGCTCCTCCAGGACTTTGCCTACTATGAGCGTCTGAGCGCCGTCCGCGGCGTGCCCGGCGGCCCCGGCGGTCCTGGCGGTCCTGGCGGTCCTGGAGGTCCTGGAGGTCCCGGCGGTCCCGGGAACCACGGGAGCCCACACCCACCCATGCCTGGTTCCGGACACATGACGCCGACGCCTCCGATGCACTACGGCGGCCCGCAGATCGCGCCGCCGCCGAGGGTCTGAGCGGGGGAGACTCTGTACAACGCCTAATAGTTCCCAAAAAAAACGAACACGTCAACGACGACCCGACGCGGTACGCGGATAGATTCAAAAGCATCGCTCCCAACCATTTATTCTGCCATCACACAGCGAGAGCCAGAGCGGGACTTGGCCTCGAGCGAACAATATACACATATCTCAACACTACGGTGCTATTCTTAGACGTAGCAAGAACGCACTTGGGCGCAAGGACGAGGGGGGAGAGTTCGAGAAGAACGAGGAGAGTGTTTGTCGGGAGGGAGGGAGGAGGTGGATCTCAGCGGCTGGATCCAAGTGAAAGCATGGGAGAAAGAGAGGAGGAGGAGACCGGCTAGGACGATGGAGACTGTGGTGATCGTGTACATTGCTATGCATAATGTCGTAGAGGATAGCAGCCGGCGTGTGGCATGCAGCAGAAGGAGACTTGTGAGATGGGAGTGGAGAGAGGCGTCTGTGGATCTGTGGACATTGTCACACAGCGGCAGCGGTGCCTGAATCGCGAATGTTGAAAGAAGGGACCAAAAGTTGACAACCTGGACTTTGTTCGGCCGGGGGTTTCTGTTGTTGTCTTCCTCCATCGCTACACCACCACACGACGCCGAGCACGATGAGCGACAACGGTTCAGACGACGAGGGAGGGTTTGGTCTCGGCGACCTGATGCCGGTGAGTGCGGTGTGGTGCGCGGGGCCGTGGGCACAGCCATGACAATGAGCTGGGAGACCAGGTCGAGGCAGGTATCACCCAGCGGCATGCCGCTATCTGTACCCAGCCCGCGTACCGCCTTTGGCGCATCGCGAGCGCTCACGCTGACATGAATTTTAGCGCTCGCCATCCCCCGAGCCTGCCCCCAACAGCTTTGCGACCTACGAGCTGCCCGAGGGCCGCGCGCTCGCCGACGGCAGGAAGGAGATTGAGGTCCGCCTGGTTGGCAGTCACCCGCTTTGGGGTCACCACCTGTGAGTCTGGGTCTGGCGCCTGGGTTGGTTGCGTTGGCGTTGCGAGAAAGTGCATGGGGCGAGGTAGCCCCCAATTACAGGCCTACCTCGTTCCTCCTGCCTTCCTCGGACAACACCGATCGCGCAACTGCAACTGGCACTACAGGACACACTGCTCACATTGTCGCGCTACAGCTGGAACACTGCCCGTGTCACCACCTCGTACCTCCTCAAGCACGCCGCGACGCTCGTAGAGGGCAAGCGCATCCTCGAGCTCGGCGCCGGCGGCGCCCTGCCGTCCATCGCGTGCTCGCTCGCGGGCGCGCGCACCGTCGTGGCCACAGACTACGCCGACGACGTGCTCATGGAGAACATTGCCTTCAACGCGACACACAACCTCGGCGAGGGATCCAGCGTGCTTGCCGTGGGCCACACGTGGGGCCACAGCGTCGCCGAGCTGCTCGACGCCGGCATCACCGACGAGGACAGGAAGGCTGCCGCTCCTGCTGCCGCCGCCGCCGACGACGAGCAGGGCCGGTATGACGTCGTGATCCTCTCCGACCTCATGTTCAACCACAGCCAGCACGGCGCGCTCGTCAAGACCCTCGAGGCGACGCTCAAGACCGCCGTGGGCGTCCCTACGCCCGACCCCCAGTCGCCCACTGCCGCCCCGCAGACGCCGTGCGCGCTCGTGTTCCTCACCCACCACCGGCCGTGGCTCGCCGACGCCGACATGGCGTTCATGCCCCGCCTGGCCAAGCGCGGCTGGGGCTACGAGCGCGTCGTGGAGGAGTGGACGGGGCCCATGTTTGAAAACGACCCGGGAGAGGAGAGGGTGAGGGGTACCGTGCATGGGTTTAGGGTGTGGCGGACTGGAGCGGCGTTTGAGGAGGACTCGGACGAGGACTAGAGAGAGCTGTGGGCATGCCTTTTTGTTATGTATAGACTTGGTTTTAGCCGCTGGTGGAGAGGACAAGGTGACAAGGTGGTACATTGTGGTTACGATAGGCGACTGGGGTTTGAAAAAGAACAAGTAGGCAAAGGGTCATGCCTGGTAGGTGAGGATCGCAAGTTGAGCTAATACACACTTACGACTGGGTGTGGTTTATGATCTTGTCTGACATGGTGGACTTGACGAGGGGAAGCTCGAGCTCGACACGACATGCCTGGGCTAGGTGAGAAGAAACCGAAACCTTCACCTACCCTGCTCGAGGCTTGACGTTCTCTGCTGCAAAGGTAAGCGGGAGTCGTAAGTTTGCTCACCTACTCTTACAAACGCCGACGCTGCATCTCCTTTCTCACACCAGTCCAGTCAGCAGCGAGCATCTTCTCGAGCGTGGCATGGCGCCTCGAGGTTTCGGGAGCAGGCAGCGGTGCTGGCGGGTTAGTCCGGCGGTTACACAGCCCTACCCACCGAGGTTCTCCTGCAGGACGGAGAGGTATCGTCTGCGGTTACCAGCTGTCGCCGCCGGAACAGGTTGGCGCTGGGCCCAGGAGAAGCCGAACGTAATGCCTGGTGGGAGGCGATCAGACCGGTGCCGTCTTGGATGTGAGCGTGAACGCGAGTGCGCTTGGGCGTGGGCGTGGGTGTTGGTGTTCGTGTGGACTCTCTGGCTCGGTCCGACGGTGGTGGTGCTGGGAGGTGGCGGGGCCGCTCGGCGTGGACGCTGGAGAGGACGGAGACGCGCCTCGTGGTGGCGACGGAGATGGGAGAGGTAGTTGATGCCGTCGCCCATCGCGGGCAGAGGGGTGGCAAACAGGCAAGAATGGAAAGGAGGGTGGGGTAACCTGTAGTGAACAGGGAGAGGGAGGTGCTTGGGAGCAACGCAGAGGCCAGAGGGTAGTGAGGACGGGCGGGGGGCAAGAATGGGGCAGTTCAAGGTGGATGGGCAAATGAGTTCAAGAAAGTCAAGAAGTGGGTGAGTGTGTGATGGTGAAATATGAGTCGAGGGAAGGCAAGGAAGAACCGACAAAAGCACACTGCATAAACTCGTGAGATGGGGGGCACACTGTCCACGTCTAGTCGGCGAGCTTCTTCGTGCGGCGGAAACCCCTGGTAGGACTGGAGCATGCAGCGTCAGCACACAAGCACAAGCACACACAGACACGATCTTGCTCTACATATCCGCAGCGCTGCTGCATCTCTGCACACGAGCCACTCACGTGTCAACACCGGAAGCCGAAGCGGCGGCGTCACCACCGCCGACGGAGAACGCCTCCTTGTGGTCGAGGACGTGACGGGCAGCGGCGTTGGCGGCATCCGCAGAGGCCTTGACCTGCTGCTCACGCGACACTGGGGCCATGCTGGTCTTGACCTTGATAGTGCCGTCCTCGTACGTCACGCCCTTGGAGCCGAGCGAGGCGGTAGCCTTGTCTGTCGAGGCGTTGACCTTGCGCGCGGCGAGGATGACGGCGTCTGGGAGTGCGTCAAAGGTGAGCAGAGTGCAAGGGAGAGGGAGAGGGAGAGGTGGATGGCAAGTGGATGTGAGAGGAGGACCGATGGGGATGGCAGTTGGCGTGAAAAAGTTGTGAGGCGGGGTGTCAGCTTGTCGTTCACATGTGCGTGTGAGAATGAATGCGCGGTACGTACAGACAATGGCGAGGAAGAGGACGAGGACGACGCCAGACGAAACAGCGCCGGTATCACTGTGCCATGCATGTCAGCGTTTGTCTCCCCTCGTCAATCTTGCTAGACGCATGGCGGCGACGACTCACGACATGGTGGCAAAGAGCGATGTTGTTGTGCAGGCACAAGTCAAAACGCTGCCTTTTGACAACAACACATGATCACACGCCGCCCAGCCGCCAGCCGCCCCCGGTGCCGCACGCAGCACGCAGCACACGCACCGGACACGCAATGTTGGCGCCCAATGCAGCGAAATTTGGTTCCGCCCAATAGACCCGAAACGAGAGAGAGCCAAAATGGCTGCGAGACGGCTCGTAGTTCACAGATTACAGACACGAGAGCGCACGACGGGCGCCAACGATTAAGCCACGCACGCACATGCACAGGAACACAAGAAACACATGGGCATTGAAGGGAGCTACAGACAAAAAAGATATACAAGATCAGGAAGGAGGGCGCCCGGTTATGACGATGTAACGACGACGATGTGCGATGCACCCCGCAAAAAAGATGAATGACGCGATAGACACAACTGGTACACACTGGCTGGGATCTCTGATCTCTGACCAACACCGCCCATTGTTTCTCTATACTATGCGCTCGTTCGGGCGGTCTCTTCCGCGCGACAAGATGCATCTGACATGAATCGTCCTCGATCACTAACGTACACACAACTAGACCCCGTTGACAAAGGGCACCTCGTGGAAGAGGAAGGACTGACGTCAGCACTGAAACTTGACACGTCGGTTTGCAGTGGCCACTGTGTGCCGCTCGCAGAGCGCAGAGCGACACGCCACAATGCAGCTGTCGCTGGGGTACTCACGACCGACTCGCCAAAGTGCGAACGACGGATGGTCTCAGCCAGCACAGGCGCCACGTCGACGACCTCGATCTTGTCGCACTTCTCGACGTTGGCTGACTGGGGGATGGTGTTGGTGACCACGAGCTTCTCGAGGCCACTCTCCTGGATGACCTTGAGTGCGGGGCCACCGAGGATACCGTGGGTGACAATGGCATACACCTTGGTGGCGCCGGCCTCGAGAAGGTTGCGGGCGGCCAGGCCGAGGGTGCCGCAAGTGTCGGCCATGTCGTCGACCAAGATGGCGACCTTGCCCTTGACGCTGCCGACGAGAACCATGCGCGACACCTCGTTGGCGCGCTTGCGCTCCTTGTGGAAGAGGGCAAACTCGACGTTGAGGCGGTCGGCGATCGAGGTCGCACGCTTGGCGCCACCGGCATCGGGCGACACAATCACGCAGTTCTGGACATCGATGTTGGTCTTGATGTAGTGGATCATCGAGGGCTCGGCATACAGGCTGAATGTTAGCTTTGAGGTGCGTTGCAGTGGACACAGCGAATGCAAACTCACTTGTCGACGGGAACGTCGAAGAAGCCCTGGATCTGCGAGGCGTGGAGGTCCATGGTCTGCGGGTGGTTAGAAAGGCCATCACAAAGGTTTTGTCTCGCAGGCCGTAGTCGTCGAGCTCTACGGCCGAGGGCTGACACATGCACGCGTACGCAGCAAAAAAGCCACGCCACCAGCCGATTGAATGCCAGCTCTAGCCTGAATAGAAGAGTGCCAAACACTCGTCACGGCAAAACCAAGCACCACGCTCTGACGAATAGAATAGATACTCACGATAACGTGGTCACAGCCGGCCTCGCGGAGCATGTTGGCGACAAGCTTGGCGGTGATGGGTGCACGCGACTTGTCCTTCTTGTCCTGGCGCGCATAGAAGAAGTGCGGGATGATGGCGGTGATCCTGCGAGCCGACGAGATGCGGCACGCGTGGATCATGATACACAGCTCCATGAGAGACGTGTTGATGGCGCCAGCGCCCTAAGAAACCGAGTCAGCGTCATGTGGCTGGCACACTGTTTTTTTTTTTCGTCGCTTCGAACACGACCTCTGGCATGGGGGGGCAGGCAGCAGACCACGGTGTGAATGGTAGGGGGGTGGGGGAGAAAAGCTTGAGCTTGGGGTGTGGAATGGTGGAGCGACGTGGGAGGTGACTCGCGTACCATCCTCTCCCACGACTCGATCCGCAGCCGCATGCAACGCCGACGACATCGGAGCAGCACCCATCGCAGATCACCGCCGTCGCCACCGCGTATCCCGGTCTACCGGACAATGCAGTGGCTGTGGGTGGTGGTGGTGGTGGTTAAACGGAAATTTCCAGCCAGCCCCGATCCGACCTCGCCGGCTACAACGGCTGCGGGCCCATTCCACACGCCCAGAATTGTTGGATTTGTAGATTTGTAGCAAGTCTGGATTGTGTGTGTCGATCGCAGTTGGTCGCGCGATGAGATCCGGCCCGGGCCCCACTGGCCCTGCCTTGCCTGTCCCGCCGCCACCTCTCCATGACCTCGATAGCGGGCAGCCACTCACAGTGTTGAGGATGTAGACATCGTAGTCGCGCACGCTCTCGACGATGGTGACCTTGGTCTCACCCGAGGGCGGCTGCTGCACGTTTGCGCGGGCGAGCGGGATGCCCAGGCGCTTGGCAATGAGCGCAGCGAGCTCGGGGTGCGAGTTGCCTGCGTATCAGCTATGCTGCTTGGCTGTGGGAGAGAATGGGCTAGGAGGGGAGCATGGGAGGGAGGAGGACGAGTGCGCTCGCTGTAGGTGCGGCCAAACGGGTCCACGGCGACCGACTCCGCTATCCGTAATGGCTCTCCCTCTCTCTCCCTCTCTCCCTCTCTCTCGTCCCAGCGGCGCGGTAGATGCTCACCCGCAAAGAGCTTGATGGAGGGGTACGCAGCGGTGGGCATGCCGGGCTGTTGGGCCGGAGCGACGGCTTTTGAAGACTGTATGGTGGCAGCGGCCGTTGCCGAAGGGGTGGGTGGGTGGGACGAAGACATGATTCAATATTGTCGCCCAGTGTTTCCAATATACGGCGGCTGGCTGGCGTGACTGGCTCTCGCTCGACTTTCAGGGAGGGAACGGGTGTGTGGGCAACTTGGGTCTCTCCCAATACTCCAAGATTGCGGAGGCGGACGACGAGTGAAGGCGCGCGGACGGAGGCTCTCAGGCCGAGTGGCGGGCGCTTTTACAACCGGGGGGAGGTGGCAGGGAGAGCGGTGGGCGGGGGGCGGTGGGTTGGGTGCCAACGGCGGTCGCACAGCGAGCGGAGCAGCAAGGTGCGGGTGGTGCAGCTGGGTATGAAGAGGTTGAGCAAGACGAGATGCGTGGTGAGGACGCAATGTATGCGCGCTGCTGGGCTGCTGGCGGCGAATCCTAGGCTCCGGCTGGCCGCTTGCATGGTGAGACCTCGTGTGGTCGCCCAAAAATCTGAGCGTCCCGACGTCACCGTCTGGCGGCGGTGGAAAAAGGGTTGGCCTCGATGGGTCCCCTCCCTAGCCGACTAATCCCGCATTCGCAGCGCGGGGGCGACCGACACACGTTCAAACGTGCATGAGTGGCACCGTGGCACCCAGTCACTGATCACTTGCTATACTTACATGCATGACTATGTACCAAAAGCTGGCCTCATCCAGCTCTCTACGGCATACCCCAACGTCCCTCTGAATATACATGTGAACACTACTGGCGCCATCCCTCCCGTCTACGGCAGGTAGACCCTGCTGTACCCTTCCACCTTGGTGCGACAGTTGGGGCACGCCTGCTCCTTGGACGTCAAACGCGCAGCAAGACTCTCGCGGCAATCGTTGCACATGAGCATGCAGCGGCAGGGCCAGAGGATAATGTCGCGAGTCTGGACCATGCACACCACACATGAGCGGCGGCGCTCCTCATCCCACTCGTTGTGAGGCTGGGTGGCAGTGCCGCCCACCAGTTCGTTACGGCGACGCAGAACCATGTCCTGGAACGCGTCACCAGTCCCATTGTGAGACGACATCATGGCCTGGTAGCGGCGGCGTGTCATTGGCGACGAAGTGGTAGTCGTCATGTGGGCGAGCAGGATGGGCTGGAGCGCGACAGGGTCCGTGTCGTCCAACTCGGCCTCGGGGTCGACTTGGGGAGTGACAAGGCGGTCGCGGGGCGATGGAGTTGTGCTGCCGTCGCGGCCACGCTCACGCTCGTCGAGCTCCTCAATTTCCAAATCATCCTCGTCATCAGAACCCGATGCGTGGCTCTCCCACTCGTACTCGTCGTCGTCGTCCTCGAGCACGACCTCGCCACGGAGCACCTGGTCATACGTGTAGTCGGCCGGGACCGAAGCGGCGCGGGTTTGTGTACCGCTACGAACTGGGAGCGCCCGGCGAGACATGCTACTTCCAGGACGGATGGCGCTCGACCACCCCATGGCGGCGATGGCTGTAGGCGTGAGGAAAGGTGGCTGGGCCTGCCTCCTGCGGTGAGGAGCAGCCCAGGCTGCGCGACGCCAGATCTGCCACTGGCGCGGGCCGTACCACCAACGAGCGTGATACGCGCGCCACACGTGCAGGTATGCCTTGCGACCGATCGGAGTCCCAAGTACTGTGGTCCAGAAGACGTCCGAGATGAGCGCCGTGACAGCCTTGCGGAAGTTGTGCAGTTCACGTGTGAATGGTGAATCGGCGTTGGGGTCGGTGAGCTCGGTGACCTGGATGTTGTCGATGCGGGTGTCGAGACCGCCAGAGGCAAGGTGCTGGGGCCGCATGAGTTGCTCGCAGCCCTGGACTGATAGCTGGACCCAGGGCTCAGACTGCTCTACGGGGGCGAGCTCGTTGCGGAGGCCAGAGTACGACGTCGCTTCGATGCACGCCGTGCCAAGCTTGAGGAGGGCCACACCGGCGTCGTCCTCTGTCGACGGAATCGCGCCTTCGTGAGGGAGGAGAGAGCTCCAGACCGGCGAGGGAATGTATCCGAGGGTGAAGAGGTGAGTGAACGCGCGGAGGATGATCGTGCAGATGATGATAATCGAGAGGAGGAGCGCAAGAAGGTGCGTGACGAATGTAAAGCTCGGGAAACGGAGCGGCGAGGTCATGAGCGTGAACACAAAGTGGATGAGGCCGAGCGCTCCGCAAGCACCTGTTGGGAGAAGCTGGTTGCGGCGCAGAGTCGGCGAGAGCTCGATCGCTTGCAGCCAGGTGAGCTCTGTCAAGCCCAGCCACAGGTGGAAGAGCGCGTGCACATCGGGGCGTCCATAGTGGGCAGCGGACGACGGTGTCTTGTGCGTGAGAGGTGACGAGTAGAGGTGAAGGAGGAAGGAGAAGCCAAAGAGGTTGAACCCAGCACCCACGTCGCGGCGGCGTCTGCTTGTCAGTTCATATCCCGGCGAGGTGGAACTCACGCCCTGTCGAGACCATTTGCGAGCGCTCCGCAAACGAGGCCGGCACAGACGCTGAGGAATGTGTTCCAGCACACAGCTCCCATCTCCTTGTTGTCAGCCCACACCCCGAGATGGTCAATGCCAGTGCCAAGCAGGTGAGCCGTCGGCTGGAGGTACCACCCCTGTGTGGCCTTGTCGAGGTAGGCAGTTGCGTCCAACGGCCACATTTCGCCCGTCTGGAGCGTGACGACCGAGAACAGGACCCAGGCGCGCACAAGTCCCAGCAAACCGGGCACACGCAGCCAGCGGGGCGTGTTGGGAGACACGAGCGTGCGTGCTACACGCAGCCTCCATGCGCCATACCATGTCGTCGGCGGGTGAGGGAGTGGTGGAGGTGGAGGACGTGGGCGTTGAACAATGTGGTGGATACGGTTGAGCAGGATCGCCTGTAGCAGCGTCAGCAGGTAGCCCGCGCACAGGTAGTAGAGATTGTGGGCTCAAAGGATCAAAGGAGGCAAGCTGCGACGGACGGGCGGCGCAATATGACGCTCAGATGGCCCCCTTGACACGCCGCTGCACTGCCAGCACTCACCATGACAACAAGCATCATGCCATAGCCGGACCCCACAAAGGAGAGCGGCCCAACAGTCCCAGTCGCGAGGGCACGGGACACGCCCGGGTCGAGACCACTGTCGAGCTCCTTGACACTGATACCGGTGGGTACCGGGGTGCCCGTTGCATTGGTGGTTGCGTTTGCCGCCGAGCCGGTCACGTTGTCGGGGGTGGGGAGGGAGAAGACGAGCGTGTGCAGGAGGTTGCTGAGACGGTCTCCCGTCGCAGCGCCCATGCGCGCGACGGTGTCGCGGAGAGGCATGGTCGCGCCGTCGGATGCCGGTGGAGGAGTGAGAGGTGGGTGTCTCGGTCGGAGGAGCCTTGGCACGAGGCAAGGCGAGGCAGGAGGCCGGTGAGCAGCGCCGAAGCGGTGACGGGCGAGACTACAGATGTGTTATTTTGTCGGGGGCAGGAAAGTGATAAATGATAGAAAGGTCGCGCACTGCGCGCGTTGGCGCTGGTGAGGAGGAGGAGAGCTGTGGGATGGCTAAAGGAGAGGAACCAAATGAGTCCACCTCTGTCGCCGTATTAACCGGTGAGCGGGTCGCAAATACCCCGAGACTGATTTATCGGGACACGGTTTTGCCATCATCAGACTCGCGGCCTCCCGGCTCCCTTCAACATCAACGCCTGCGTGGTTCTGCCACGCATCGGCTGGCCACGTAACATCATGCAAGGTGTGGTGGAGATGCATACATCGTACAACCAACGTGTTGACCAAAACAGCAAGCACGTCAGCAAGCCACGTCAACGACGTGTGCCCGCCTCTGCCACTCATTCTCCGGTGGCTCGGAAATACACACTACAGACTGGGAGCGTACAGGTAATACGCCTGATACTGCGTTCTCGACTTCGTTCGACGCCACTCAGGCATTTCGCTCATGCCGTCACTGATCACTGATCACTGATCACTGGCCACTGGACATGCATGAGCCGAAAGCGGTCAACTGTGCAACTCCCAGCACACCCGAAGGTTCGACGTCGCTGCGACCGTGCTGCTGAATTCCTCCTTGCATGGGTATGCTTTGTACTCCTGATACAACATACGTGTGTTTGTTCTGTGCCCTGTGGTGTTTGTGATGTTCGTCTTCTTCTCCATGGCCTTCTCCCGTGAAGTCCTTCTCTTGCGTCTCCAGTTGCTCTCCTTCTCTTGTGGTCTCCAGTCGCTCGCTGCTTACCGCCTCTCAGTGACTGTGCCGTACCCGTTCCCCTCCCACTCCTCCTCGAGCAAGCCGTCCTTCTTCGCCCACCGACCCCACCCCACGGCCCAGCCGAGCGCAACACCCATGCTGAGGACGAGTCCCAGGACAGCAGTGAGCCCAAACGCGACCCAGACGTCAAACCCCACACTCCCGTCTCGCCGCTTCCCCGAGTTGCTGCAGCCACGGTAGTAAGCCAGTCGCGTGCCGTAGGGCTTGACTTCGAACTGGTCTGGCGAGACGGCCCAGACACCTGTAACGTCAGCTCAGTGTACAAATCCTTGTGAGCTCACAGGACTCGATGGGGGCGACAGTCTCCATTGCGCAGGTCGAGTTCAGGAGGACGACGACAAAGCCGGTTCCAGGTCTTAGGATCAGCGCCAGTACGCCGGTACGCCAGTGGCGGCTCCACAGCCTTCCTCGACCCTTCCTCAATGCCTCAACCCTTTCCTCGAGCCACACTCACTCGCGGGGTACATGGGCTGGGAAGGAGACCTCTCCAGGCTGCACGAGCTGCGCCGATGCGTATCCAAACCTCCTCTGTTCGGGGAGCTGCAGATGGGAGTCGCTCGATGGAGGAGGGTGCATGAGCAGCACGTCCGCGATGGCCGGGCGTGACCGCGCCACCGCCTCTGTTGACAGTGGTCCCGACCAGTCAATCACCACCGCGCCGGGCAGGCCCTCGACCCAGTACCCGTACTGGTCGGCGGAGGGGTAGACGACGGTGTGTCTGCCGAGCGCGAGGAGCTCGTCGTGTGGACGGGCGAGGAGCGGGGCGATACGGTCCCTGATTGCGTCTATGGGCGCAGAAGTGGCGACCACACCGGATGCCAGAAGGACAGCACCTAGTGGCGAGAGAATGAACATGCTGTGTGTGTGTGTGTGTGAACGAGTGTGCCAGTGGCGAGTGGTGCAATGGAAGCAGCAGCAATCAAGAGGTCGCTGCTGATAGGGCCATGGCCGATGCATTCATTGTTGGAATGGCGGATAGGTGGGCAGCAGCAGCAGCAGCAGCTGACATCTCGGACTCGGATGACGCACATTGACCATTTACAGGAACCCGGTTGTGCCGTTGCGTGGGTCCGCAACATGCAAATGGGAACAAACGCCCAGCAATTCGACGATTCCCAGCATGCAGCAAACTCTCTTTCAGTCCCCATCAGATCTGAACCTGATGTCTGCCTCACGACGCGACACGCAACGCGACTGTTATCAGGCTGTACCTCAATGTGACATGACACTCCATCGTTGTCACTTCCTCGTTGTCCTCTATTATAACCTGCATATGCTAATGAAAGAAACCCCTCGGAATGTCCACTCCCCACTCAAATGTGCCCAATGTTCCTGCAGCCAGACAGCAGCAGCTGCGCGGCTGTATGTACTGTACTCTCCTCAGCTTGTCGTCCTCACGCCGCCATGGCGATCGCGACCAGCCCGAACAGCAGAGCCAGGACGACGCCGGACGAGCTCTGGCCTGTCGCGGAGCTGGCGACGTTTGCGCTCGGTGTCGCAGTGGCGTTGGTCGATGCGTTTGCTGCGCTGTAGGCAGGGGTTCCCTTGGCCTTGAACGCGAACAGTTCGGAAGCAGCCCAGATGCCTGTTTTTGCCCGTCAGCCACATTTCAGCCATGCAGCCAAGCATCCAGCAGCCGCGCCGGCCGCCCCCTCGCGCGCCGCCGCCGCCGCCGCCTCCCGCTTTCTCCATTCCGCACGGTCGCAGCATGGTCACAGCTGGAGCGCCTAGAAGCGAGTCGCGAGTCACAGGATCACAGTCACACTACTCACACTCTTGGACGGGGTTGTTGGTCTTGATCAGGCAGGTCGTGTTGGCCAGCCAGGCCTGGAAGTTGGGTCCGGTACCGCTGCGGGGACGCTGTCAGCAAAGTGCGGGGACGGGCGGGTAGGCGGTGGGCTTGGCTTGGCATCGGGCACTCACACTCCAGTAGGCGAGCCGCCAAAGCTGAACTCGTTGGTCGTTGCCGCCTGGAAGAATGTTCCACCGACAAGGAACTTGGGCACGCCGCCCACGGGACCCGAGATGGCAACGTAGGCAGTGGTGAGGTCGACGGGGACGCCCAGCTCGATAGTGTTGTAGCCGCCAAACACCCAGTACGAGTTGTTGTTGGGGAGGGAGAAGTTGTTGTTGCCCAACGCCAGGGTGTCGCTGTACGCGAGCTGCAAGAGGGGGGCAAGACGGGACAGGGACGAGTCGCTGCTGGACGTGGACACTGTCCCGCTCGCGGTGACCGTTCCGCTGGTAACGGTTGTGGTCGAGTTGGAGATGGTGGTGACTGCCGAGGTGGACGTGGTCTTGACCTTTGTCGACGTCGCCTTGGTCGAGGACTCCTTGGTGGTTGTCGCCGTGGTCGCGTTCTCGGATGTAGTAGTGTCGCGAACGATCACGCCTGCAAGGGCGACTGGGAGGGTGACCAGCAGAGAGAGCAGCATGGTGTGGGTGGATGAAGTTGAGTGTAAAAACAAAGCGAAGAATGTCTCACTCGGGGGCTACGACCACACGATATACATAAAGAGTGGCATGGGCCGTCCGCGCGGGGGGGTCCGGGACTGACCCGGCAGAGCATTTTGGTGGAATGCGTTCACCGTGCTCTGTGCTCTGGGCGTAGGGGCGTGTGCTGGCGTCGTCGTCGTTTTGTGGGTGTGTCAATCTTTTTCGCGCGCACTGGCCTCACTGGCGCTGACACTTTTGGTCCAGCCTCTACACTGCTTTGGGCCATGTCTCTTCAGGGGAGGATGCATATGGTGTGGGGTGTGGGTCGATGCGTCGTCCATATGTATACCCGGGCATCCCCCGTGCGCGCGCAGCAAGCGACGACGCCTACAATGGGCCCACCACCGCAGGGTACCACCGGGTAACACAGGGTTGCCGCCCCCGTCTCTCTCAGGAGATCTGGACACCCAGAGATCCAGACTGACGTCCATGGGCCATGGGACCCTCTTGGCATTCCGTCACTCGTTACCCATATACCCAAATGGCCAAATCCTGTTCTAGTCGCGTGCATGCCTGCAGAGCTGCAGAGCTGCGCGCCGGGCGGGAGTCACTTGGCATTCCAAATCCACAACATTGCCGCGCCACCCAATTCATAACAGAGTTAGGCCTGGGGCCGCCGCAGCGTAGGAACACACCCTGTGCTCGTCGACACCTACAATCGTTCATAACATCACAATACGGTCCTTATCACCCCTCATCTGCCGATCGTCGTCGTCGTTCCTGCGGCTACATGACCATGCCCAGCGCAAGGCCCATGGCAAGGACTACGCCCGCAGCAGCACTGGCCTGAGCAGTGGTGACAGCCCCACTGTCCTGCTTGAGCGGCGACGAGTTCATGGGCTTGTACTCAAACTGCTCGCTTACGGCGTACAGGCCTGTCTCGTCAGTCCGCAGTCTCTCTCTCTCTCTCTCTCTCTCCGCAACTCACATTTGTCAATGGCCAGCGTCGTGTTGATGACACACGTCGCATTCGAAAGCCACAGCTGGAAGCCCGGTCCAGAGTTGCTAGGGAAAAGGAAATTAGCCGCGTCCCGCCGTCCGGGATCCCGGGGACTCGGAACTCACTTGAGGACATTGGAGCCGTACGAAAACTTGCTGCTGGCCTTGGTGGCCACGGGGATGATTCCACCCGACGCGTTCAGCATCTGGTACTTGCCGTCCTGGAAGCCAGACATGGCAAGGAACATCTGGCCCTGTTGGTCCGTCGACAAGGTGTCCTTGAGCTCGAACCAGTTGACGTACGTCTCCACCCAGTACGTAGTGTTGGACGGGAAGGTGATGCTGTTCTGCGCCAGCTTGAGCGAGTCGTTGTACGAAGTGGCGAGGAGGGGCTCCATGCGGCTCAAGGCGTAGGAATACACCTCATAGGGTTCGAGTTGGACATTGTGGGGGACGGAAGTCGCAGCGGCCGCGGCACTGCTGGTGGCAACCGGGGCGGCGGCCACGAGGGGGAGGGCAAGGAAGAGAGACGACAGCAGCATTGGTGGTGGCAACAAGTGGAATGAAGTGGGGACAGATGAGGGGAAGAAGAGGGCATGGGCATGGGCACGGTCAAAATAAACAAACAATCCGACCTCGGTGCAGACTGTGGCCAACTATCTCCATGCGGTGTGGTGGCGACCGGTCACGGTAACATTGCCCGCTGCGCTCGTGCTCTGTTGGACGTTTTAACCAGTGCCAAGCAAGTGTGGCTGCTGATCTGCAGGGTGGCCGCACGGTGACACCGCGGGTACACAAAAGGAAGCAAGGGTCGATGTGTTGCTGCACAAGCATATCCATATCAAGAGCCATTGCGCAGCGTCCCGCAGCGTTTTAAGCATACTATAGGAACTGAACGGCACCATGCCGACCGAGTGTGACAAGTGCAACTGATCCACAGACATTCATGTTTGTAGAGCAAGTAGTCTCTATTGGAACAATGGATCCCACGAGAAGTGGCTGTCCGCCTCGACAACGTCTGTTGGGTAGACTAAACAGCCACGGCGAGCGCCAGCCCCTGGAGCAGTACAAGAGCGAAGACACACCGCGACACGCCACTGGACCTCATCTGCACTGATCCACTACACTACACACCCTGAGCGGGTTCGTGCCATTGGGCTTGATCTCAAACTCTTCGCTGGCACCAATGATACCTTTGGTTATCAGTTGTGCTTCTCTCTGGCAACTACAGGCTCTCGTAGGTTCACAAGAGGTGATATTGTCTGAAGTGGCGTACCCGCATTCTTTGCTGCTCTTCAAGATCCACTGTCGATTACCGGTCGTATCGTCATTCCTGTGCACCTGTCAATGACCTTGCGCGACCGCGCGGTCTGAACTGAACGAACGTGACCACATATCCAGCCATGGTGAAATTTGTGCCTCCCGGTGTAACACGACCACCTGCCCGAGAGGATTGCCGATGAGGAAGTTCGCAACCGTGTCGTTGGCGTGTATGGGACCCGTGAGGAACACGCAGCCCCAGGTGTCTGACACGTCGAATTCGTCGCGGAGTGCCGAGATGGCCGTGTTGAGTTCGATCGGGTTGCGTCTCATTTGGACCCAATACAACTGGTTGTTGGGCCACACAAACTGAAGTCTGCCTACCTCGAGCGATTCGTTGTATGGTAGGTTAAGAACTGCCTGCCGCCAGCGAGCCATGTAGTAGTACTATGAAGCTGATGTGGTGCTGGAAGCATTATTTGGTTGGGTGGTGGCGGTCGACGTAGTGGCCGGAGAAGTTGCATCTCCCCTTGAAGATGGCGCCGAGGTCTGGGCGACCACGAGTGGGAGAGCTAGGAAGAGTGACAGACGCACTGTTGGCTACAGCACCGTGGAAATACGGAGGATGCGTCTCGTCAAAGCACATATGCATGTGTTGAGAGCAGGGAAAGAGGTCCACTTGTCACATGTCGGCAGGTATTTCGTGCCTTGCGATGGCCACACCATTCGACCTTGACGACGAGATACCTCTGGTCTGCATGGAGGAGGCTAACACACGACAAATGACATGGAAACCGTATAGTAGTGTGGAGCAGTAAGGAGGCGGTGCACCATCAGCTAGGTGGGTCACACAGTGTGCGTGCATGCACTGCGAGCGACAGTTCAAGGATCCAAGCAGTCGGACGGTCCCAAGGACCGAGAGACGGCGATCATCCGATAAGCATTGCCCCCGATGCTGCGCACTGCACTGCAGTCAGCAGGTTGTGCCTGCCAAGTCATACTGGACTTATTGAACATGCAGTGACAGACGGGGGTGTCATGACCACTACACAACTATGCCCAAAGCAAGACCCCCGAGCGCCAGTGCAATAGCTGGCCACGTCACGCTTGTCCTCAACCCTGCCCCGACCTTCAAAAGCGGTTCAGTCCCGGCAACCTTGAAGTCGAACACCTCGCTGGTTGCAATGACGCCTTGGTCGACTGTGAGCGGGTGCTGCCACCAAGTATCGTTGACACATAGACTTACATGCAGTGACATTGTCAGGGGTGACAGTTGCGCACTCTCCGCTGCTGTTCATAAACCACAGTCGATTACCGCTTGAAGGCTCGTTACTGCACCATCAGCGCCGCGTTCTCACGAGATTCCAGTTGAAGACCGACTTGTTGCTCTCCCAGGCTCGGACATTGAGGGTGTCACCCAAGTCAGCAGTGACATCTACCCCGAAATTGAACATGCTCGCGTTTGTGGAACTGTTTACCAAACCAGACAACCACAGCCAACCCCATGGAGGAGACCTCTCATCGTGTGTCGGGTCGAGGCTAGACATCTTCTTGCTAAACTTGACGACGTTGGGCTCCAGCCGCACCCAATACGACTTGGTGCCGGGGAACGTGATGTTTGTCTTGCCCAGGGCCCGCGACTCGTTGTACGGAAGGTCAAGGAGGGTCCGCCAAGCGAACTTGAAAGACACGTCCTCGACGGGCTGGTATGATGACTGGGCGGCACTCGGCCCAGACGAGGTCATCGAGGCATTGTTCGATCCGTTGACGGTGCCGACAGTTGTCGAAGTGGCGCCGGAAGTTGTGGCGGCGCTGGCAGTCGCAGTGGAGGTGGCCTGGGCCACCACAAGTGGGAGAGCGAGTATCAACGGTAGGAACATGGTTTGTTTGAGGCTGTGAACTCTTTGCCATCTCGTTCGTTGAAGCATATATACAAGTAGCTGTGCAATTAGCGTTAAAAGCGGGGACTTTACGTCCTCAACAGGCACGATGTCTGGTGGTGCCTCGAGACCCAGCATTCTTGGCGTGCTGGAGCACTGATTTAGCGTGCAAGAGGTAGACTGTTGTGCAGGGCAGCAATTCGGCCAAGGGGAAGGTCGGGGTGGAGAGCGGTGAGGAAGAAGCAGTACAGCTCAGCCTGAGAGCGATCAGAGCTCAGCGGGTGGTGGAAAGGAGGGAATTCGATGACGTTGCTGCACGTGGCTCCTGGGGACTGGGCAACGTGTGCTGACAGTTCGCTTGGGTTAACAGCAAGGCCGCTACTTAGTGAGACATCCAGGACCACATCGGTACCCGTCACTTGAGAGCCTTAGAAGGAAGTGGCAAGAGCTGCTTGTTGTGGCGGAGATGCACATGAAGATGGCTCAGTAGTGGTGGTGGAACAACAATCGGGTCGGCCATGTCCGTTGTTGCCGATCGGCATCCGGCATTCAATTGCCGACAGCCGGCGCACACATCCATCGCAACCTCGCCCACTCTTGTCGTCGTTGACACTCTGGAGCCATTTGCTTCGTTCTCTAAGCTTTCGTTCTCTACCAACTTCACGAGTCATGGCGGAACGCACATCCATCGGCGCGCCGGGCAAGCGCGTTGTCCCAAACCCAAGTGCCAGTGTGATGCTGCTCGACCCAACAAACGAGCTGCTGCTCCTTCACCGTGTTCAGACATCTACGGCGTTCCCGTCCGCCCATGTCTTTCCCGGAGGAGGACTGAGCGAGCACCACGAGCAAGTACCAGCTGTTGACTCTCCCGCACGACACATCGATGGGCCCGCGTATCGCCTCGCAGCCATCCGAGAGACGTTTGAAGAAAGCGGCATCCTCCTGGCCCTGACGGCAACGGGCCAGCTGCTCAACCTTCCCGATGACGTGCGCGAGGAGGGCCGCAAGGCGATCCATGGTGACAAGGTTAGGTTCACCGAATGGGTGAAGAGTATGGGCGGTATTCCGGATGTGGGTGAGTAACAACTAGGATGGGCCTGTTGGGCTTACTGTAGACGGCTTGATACCCTTCACACGCTGGATAACCCCGACCACACTGGCCAAACGCTTTACCACCCAGATGTACGTCTACATGCTCCCCCTGTCCTCCAACTTGCGGAAGGAGAGCATTGTGCCGACCCATGACGGCGGACTGGAGCACACTGCCGCGACGTTCGCGCCGGTTCGATCATGGCTCGACCGTTCAGCCAGCGGTGAGATTATCCTGTTCTCGCCCCAGCTCTTCCTCGTCACCCTCCTCGGCCAGATCTTCACTGGCGGAACAGACTATGTCGCACAGCGACAGCGCCTGGTCGAGTTTCTCAACACGACGCCCACGGGACCCTCGGGCCACGCGACATCTTCCATCCCATGGAAGGACAAGGTTATTTCGCCAGCCCGCATGCCACATGTACGCGCCGACGGACGGTTCACGCTCCGCCTCGACCACCCAGGGCCCGAGCTGGCGCACACGGCGCGAGGTGGGGACTGGGACCGTGTGGCCATCATCCGCTCTACGAAGCGTGGGCCGACAGACAACGAGATTCGGTGGAGACGCGACGTGGTCGACAGTGATGGAAACCCAATGGAGATTAGAGGTGCCAAGTTGTAGAGTGTTCAGAAGCCAATCTCGAGTTGTGAACAGTATGGACCAGCTTGGGGATATCAGGGGTAGAGCTGTTCTGATGACATGGGGACTTTTGATACCCTACATATGTTCCCAGCATCCCTCGGGCCGCCGAGACGTTCTCACAGCCATGCTGACCGGATGTTCACCAACATGCCTAGCCGAGTTGCTTTCCAACCGACCCACAGCTTTGCCCGGTCGCCAGGTCCAAAGACCGGCCCGCAATGCGGTCGCCGTATTGCATTCACAGGGACAACCAAAACCACATGCAGAGCTCCGGGCATGGCATGGGGGGATGGAAGGAGAGGAGAGGACTAAAAGACGTCAGGATGGGAAGAGGATCTAGCTAGGCGGGCCGGCGGCGGAGATGCCGGACCGGGGCCTCAATGTGGCACACCGTTCGTTCCTGTTCGGCGACCTGCAACCGTCTATTGCGACCACTCGCAGCCGATGCAGCTGCACCATGAGGTGACAGCAGAGGTCTGCTGACTCACAAGACAGGAGAGATGGGGAGCAGGGTCGAACTTTGACATGCATATGCCCTTCTTTGCTCTCAGGTACACCGCCGGCGGGGTGGGACGCTCCCCCCGCCCGGCCCGGCCAATATCCATCCCTCTTCTCCAATGAAGGCGCTCTTGGCAGACGTGGGTGGTTGTGGTATCATGCACTCTGGGACCTAGTAGGCGCTGCATGCAGAGTACGAGTCCCCAAAACAGTACTTGAGCCCATGTGTGGGACACCTGCGGGGTGGCATGCTGCGGGGATCGGGGGAACCATGGGGCCGGCCGGCCCGCAATCCCCGCAGAAGAGAAGAATGCCGAGCCTTACGAGACTATATCAAGACATGGAAAGCTGGAAAGTGCGGCCCCCAGCAACACCCCAGTCATGCGTTTCCTCGCCCTCTTTGGTATCCTCTCCACACTCGTGGCTGCCTCGCCCACCCCAGTCCATGTGCCGCAGGCCAAGAAGACCTGTGTGGTGCCCTTCGCCAACGGTGGTGACGACACTCCGGCCGCTCAATGGGCCGCCGGCAACTGCTCGAGCAATGCAGTCATCGAGTTCGCCGAGGGCATTGACTAGTGAGTCATAACCACAATGGAGCGCTTTTCTGATCCCCAGCAACATCCTCACCCCTGTGGCACTCCAGAACCTCACCAATGTCGAGATCCGTGTGCGTGGCAACCTCCACTTGCCCACCAACATGACCGTCGTTAGGGACATTGTCAGCATCGACGCTGGCCTCATGTTGACCGGCATGAGGTGGTTCTCGTTCGGTGGCACCAACGTCAAGTATGTCGGAACCAACAATGTCACCGGCGGCTGGATCGAGGGCTATGGCCAGCAGTACTGGGACGCCAACCCCGTCAACGGCAGCGGCATTGACAACCGCCCCAAGCTCATCCTTTGGGAGCTGCAGGACTCGTCCATCCAGTACCTGAAGGTGCGCAAGCCTCCAGCATGGGTGTCCACGCTGTCGGGAAACAACATCAAGGTCAGCGACGTCTTCATTGACGCCTCCACCTACGACGGCGGTGGCTTCCCCTTCAACACGGACGGTTTTGACATTACCGCCACAAACGTCAACATCAACCACATGACCATCCTGAACGGCGACGACGCCATCGCCATCAACAATGGCGCTGAGAACGTTACTGTCCAGGACGTCTTCATGGGTGGCCCCGGCTGCCACGGTCTGTCCATTGGCTCCCTTGGCAAGAACAACTCCGAGTGGCAGTCGGTCAAGAACAGTGAGTGCTGGATCATGAGGCGGACAGTAAACTGACCCCGCAGTCCACTTCAAGGACGTCACCGCCGTCGGATCGGTTTACGGCGCCCGCTTCAAGTCGTACTCTGGTGGCCAGGGTCTCGTTGAGAACGTCACCTGGGAGAACTTCCACATTCAGAACGTCACCTACCCTATCTTTGTTACCCAGACCTACTACAAGTGAGTAACCAGTCACTGGAGGAACGTGCTTGTCCCAAGTGTCACCGAGAGTGAATACGCGTACTGACGCTTCACCAGCCAGGGCTCCACGCAGACCCAGAATGGTGTCAGTGTCTCCTCTGGCAACTCGTCGCAGGCCGTGAACATGAAGAACTTTACCTGGAAGAACTGGCGCGGATCCATCAACACCTACCAGCCTGGTGACGGTTCGTGCGCCTCCGTCCCATGCTGGTACGCCCTCGCCGGCGCAGACGGCACCCAGGCCGTCGCCATGACTTGTGCTACCGACTCGAGCTGCCAAAACTTCAAGATTGAGGACGTCGAGATTATCCCTCAGAGCTACGCTCAGCCCACGGTCATCTGCACGGGTGTCGGTGCCGACAGCAACCCCGACTTTGGTATTACTTGTGGCAACGGCACAGCGTTTATTCCACTCTAGGCGAATCAGGATGAAGTAGTGCACAAAGGGGGGCCATTAGGCAATAATTTAGTAGAGTAAAAGGGCATTGGGTAATGATGTAAAGCCAATGAAGTTTGAAAATCACAGGGAAAATCTCCAATAAGCACTGAAAATGCTTGGCACAGCCAATGCATTTGGGTTTCTGCGGCTCAACAGACCCCACCAACGACGCTCAGAAAGTGTCAATTCTGCCAAGAACCCACTGGAGGTGTTTGAACGCAGCACGAGGCTGGAACTGGGCAACCATGTGGCCAGCCTGCATGGTCTCGACAAACATGAGGCCACGTTCGTAGTGGTACGTGCCCATGCGTCCCTGCGCACCGTCCCACCCAACGAGCCCCGCAGCGGCAAAGTTGTCGACATACATGAGGTCCTCCATTTCAACCGTAAAAGTGGCGTTCGGCGCTGTTTGAAACCCAAGCTCGCCGCCCCATGTCATGTTCTGGATGGCAAGGAGCGTGCCGTTGCTGATGACCACAAAGTCTGAGTTGGGGGTGGTCAGTCCCGACTCCACTAAGTTCAGCTTACCAAAGGTGCCGGTGCCGACAAGGACACGGTTCGTTGCCTCAATCACACGCGGTAGCACGCTCTGAATCGGGTCGGCGCTGGTGTCACCCTTGTTCTCGGGACCACCAGATCCCACAAACACGGAGCGAGGAGCACATGCCTCCCAGGTGATGTTGGGAGCGTGGATAGCGGCTTTGACATCACTGCGGTCAAAGTATGGGGTTTGACCTGCCGTAGTCTGTCCAGTCGAGTGTGCCGTGCCGGTGGGGTTGTAGAGGAGTGGACACATGAGGTTGATTGCGTACGGGTTGAAGCACGGGTTGATGTTGAAGACGTTGGCAGATGCGTAATTCCATGGCGCACAGCTCTGCATGGCCGTAGAATTCCATACCAGTTCAAGCTGGTACCCTGGAGGCGGGAAAGTGAGATACGTGTCTGTGAAGTTCTGGTATCCACACCCCAAATGCATGCTTTCCATGGTGGCCATCTGCGTCTGGTTGAAGTTGAAGAGGTTGTTGTGGGACGCAATGAATGGATACGCCACGATCTGCTCTTGGGCGTACATGAAGGATCCGATGGTGGGCGAGTAGAGGAGAGAGCCTGGGGGTTCAGCAGCGACAAACGGCGGCACAACCCACCCTTCAAGTCGAAATACGCCGCATCATTGGCATCCAACATGGCCGAACCAATGTACGGAACATAGCGTCCGGCATACGACTCGCCCGCGAGGTAAATCTTGTAGTTTGAGATGCCAAAGGCGCGTTGCCAGTTCTTGAACCACCGCACAAAGTCGGCCGCAATCTCCTCCTGGGAGGTGGCTGTGATGGGACCTTGCGAGAAGCCTGTGCCGACCGGTTGGTCAACCCTGACTGGTCAGCTTGTGAGTGCACTCCAAATAAGAGCTTACCACAACATGTTGGTCAAGTTGGACCAGCCATAGGGGTTCTGTACGGGAGCGAAGGTGCCAGGCTGCCACGAGATGGGTCCGTTCTCTTGCATGAAGGCGGTAAGGCTGGAGCACCCGGGACCGCCATTGAGGTACACTACAACCTCATCGACCGCAGTGCTAGCGGGCTTGAACATGAAGAAGAGGCTTGAGTTGTTGGTGCTGTTGTCGGCGTCCATAGAGATACTGCCAGAGTAGAGCTCTCCAAACTCGAATGAAACCTCAGGAAGGGATGTGACGAGGTACTCTGGGGCGTCAGTATTTCAGATGAGAGCACCACTCACGCTCCGTCTGGTTCGTCAGGAAATTGTAACCCTCGGTGCTGGTGCGGGAGGCGGTCGTGTTCACCCCGTCAACGATCTTCATTCCTTTGGAGGATACAGCGCTGTCGAGACAGCCCTTGCGGTGACCACGTCCAGAACCATGGTGGGTGGCGGAGACGAAAGCAAGATTTAGAAGAAGAGCAAACTCCCACTTCATTGTGTTTACGATGTGGGGCACAAACCGCGAGGTATCCCCCCTAGCGGCTTTTGTACGACGCGGATTGCGAAGGGGCGCACTTCGACTTGTGCACAGGTGGATCGCGTCTGACACAGAGGTACACAAACGTACACAGAGAGCTCAGACACCTATGGAGCTTTGAAACGGCACCGTTGGTTGCGAAGCTAGAGTACCGCCAGGCTCGCTATCTGAGTTCGAGGACAATTGGAGACTGAGACCCGTTGCAGTGAGTGACCCCCTGCGCGCATCTCTACATGTCACCAAGATCTGACGGGCCGGCAGGGGAGTAAGACTCTTCGGCGAAACAGGACGACTGTGAAACCGGAGGGCTCGGGGCACCGTGGCACCACTGTCAGTCCCATATCCTCCTTCCTGCCACCGGGCCGTGGACCCTCAACAACTTCAACACCGCCAACATCAAAAGAGGCTTCCCCACAACGACCGAGGTGCAAAAGATGACCACTGACAGGATCGAACTGCCGACCTCCGCATGGACTGATATCTTCACGAGATATTAGTACGATGCTCTAACCAGCTGAGCTAAGCGGCCGATCACGTCGAGCCTCGGAAAGCATTGAACTCTACTGCAAACGGGGTGATCAGTCCCACAGGACCGCGGGAGATGTACATCCTGCACACATCCTCTCCTATGTATTTGAGATAGGAACGGCGTGGAGGAAACGAGTACGTGCCAGGTATCGTGTCATGGTACTTTTTGGGAACAAGCTGTGGTTGCGCGACCCCTTGGCGGCCCCTTTCGTGTTGCAGCGGGAGAGTGATTTCAATGGAAGTTCACGGCTATCCATGGCTCGCATTCAATCCACCTACATACACGAGGTGCTAGTTATTTACTGGTCGCAGTGTGGCAGGACGCACGCCGCTTGTTAAAAGTCATACCAGTCTGTCGGCCAGTCGCATCTGGGCGACAACCCCGTGACATCCTCAATGGCCGCATTGGCAACGTTACCGAAACCTCTGGGGACGTTGATGTCGACCTGCCAGCGACCGTCCGGAAGCTGCCAACATTGCCAGTTGTCATCGATCACATGGGTCCTCCCGCGGAATGCCCTCATGAAACACCGGCCCCACTCCTCTTCACAGACGTCCCTAAATGTGAAGGAGACGCGCATAAGACCGTTCTCTTTCCAGTGCCCGTTGCACCACACGCTGCCGGCAAGGGCTGGGGCGACGAACAGGGCGAGAGCCACGACTGTCGTGAGAGGGAAAAGCGAGAATTTCATCGTGCGATTCTGTTGTAGTTGGGTGCAGCTGTGCTTGCTATGCTTGCTGTGCTTGAAGGCGGAGGAAGATGGAGGGTGAATCGAAAGGTGCGGTTGGAAGGCGATTGCAACTCGGTTCGATGGCTCGTGTCCCCAAGGCGGTCGGTTGACTTTTATACCTTGTAGGCTGCCAAACCAGAATCCGATGAAGATGTGAACCGCCTCAAAAAGTAGGAGCTCCAGTTTTCACGGAAGGGGTTGCAGCAACGCAGTCTTGGCGCCACGGTCGCGATGGCAACAGTTTTCATGTGTTCGACCCGGGCCGGGGTAGCTCAATGCCTTAAACCTCACTCCGTTGGATCCAGAATATGCCCACAGTGCATAGCACATTTCCATGCCTTCTTCCCCATTGGTCAAAACACTTGACATTCCACTTTGGCTGCTATGGCATTCCATTTGACTACAGTAGTACTTCGGGAACTACATAACATGGCCAGTCATTTTTTACTTGCCGTCCCAGCATTGTGGCCACGATCCCGAGACTGTGTATATGGCGTAAGCAGCCGCGGAACCCAGGAGCCGGGTGGTCGAGAAGTCGACCTGCCACCGCCCATCGTCGCGCTTCCAGCACTGCCAGTTGTGGATGATCAGACCGTTGCTGCGCAAGCCGTCGAGGAAACACTGGCCCCATCGTTCTTCACAGTAGCCGGTAAACGTGAAGGAGTGGCGCATGAGGGCGCCATCACCCCAGGAGCCGTTACACTTCCACTCGCCGGCGGCGACGGGGGTGACGAGCGAGGTGAGAGTGAGGACCCACGCAAGCGGGAGGATGAGTGAGAACTTCATTGTGCGAAGTTGTTGTAGTTTGAGGTAGATTTGCTTGGGGTCGGAGGAAGCGTGCTTCATTTTATACCTTGTGTAGGTGGGCTAACCGAGATCCTAGGAACCACCCTCACAAACCAATTATCTAGCTTTCACCGAAAGGGCCACAGTGACAAGTGCCGCGACGCGGATGCTTGTCGCTTTGTCGCTCTGACAACGAGAGCCTCATACTTACGTTGTTGTCCGCGCATCCGACGACCTCGATTTTGCTCAGTGCCGCTATCTCACTCCGTTGGATTCGAAGATCACTTCCTCGTTGCTGGGCCACGCCAAGTAACCACAGGAGTGCACAAAAACGAAGTGCACTGCCAAACTTCGCCGTTAAGGCGCCTGCACATACCGTAAGACATGGTAACGAGGCGAGGGACTTGGCTACTTTAGGACCCTTGGCATCCTTTTCAGGGCCACTATGGCGCCAGCCCGCACCAGAAACGAGCACAGCCTTGTATACAACGACACTGACATGCATTGGCTACTTTGGAGGCCAGTGTGGCAGATGTGTTTACACGCCGTCCCAGCACCCCTTCCACTGACCAGTGACGTCCTGAATGGCTTTCCCGGCCTCGGTGCCCATGCCCTTCAAGGTGGAGAAATCGACCTGCCAGTTGCCATCGCCGAGCGGCCAGCATTGCCAGTTGTGAATGATCAACGCTCTGGAGCGGAGCTTGTCGAGGAAACACCGGCCCCATAGGTCCTCACAGTAGCCGTTGAACTTGAATGACATGCGGCGGAGGCCACCGTCCTTCCAGCTGTGGTTGCACTCCCAGTCGGAGGCTTCAACCGGGGCCACAAACGATGTGAGGGCGAGGAGGGACGCCAGAGAGACGAGCGAAAACTTCATTGTGATTTGATGTAGGGTTAACCGGCTGTGTTTGAAGTTGGAGGAAGTCGGAAGACGATTGATTGAACTCGGTTCGATGGGGAGGGAGCCAGGTTGAGCCTCTTTTATACCTTGCAATCCCGCTGGCTGAGGAGACTGCTCAGACGTCCCCGAACCCTCCCTTCCTCTCCCACCACCTCACTTGACTCTGCCGCCTGTCCGAATTTAACGGCAAGCTCTGATCTCGTGATCATCTGCAGAGCGACAACAGCGGACAGCAGCCCTGCGTTTTTGTGAATGCTGGGATATGTATATGGGCCTGTGCCAATGTGCTGCCACGGGCCGCCACTTTGCTGCCCGTACCTGTAAAGCTTGCCGTCCATAGACTTGCCATCCATGGAAAGCCTTGTTACGGACCTGATCTCACTCCGCTGGAACTATATTATTTCATGCCAAGCAGTTGTCCTTGTGCACATCCGCAGCCGTCGAACATGATTCTTGAAGCGGTGCCTCCGTCCCTCCACAACCGATTGTGCAACATAGGAACAGACCCGACATGGCTACACACACCGTTGACAAGCGGCACTTATAGAGTGCGCGCCTCTTCACCCCGGGATAGGCACTTACAGTACTCCACAAAACGTTATAGACAATGTCCGCCAGGGGTTGCGTTTTACAATACAGTGCTGTACGCCAACAAAATCAGGCAGGCTGCAATGTGGCAGTAGTGTCCAACCCCCGGAGGCATCACTTCTCGCGCTTCGTCCACCGTATCGTACAGTCCGTTACCGACTCCTCCGTTGGAAACACCATATCTCACTTACTTCTGAGTTGTACCTCCAATACCTACACCACAATTGCGTTAACGTGAAAACCAAAGCACCCAGGTCAGCGGGTTGCCTTGTTCTCCTGGCCATCAGAGCCATCAGATGACCCCGTCTCCGTCTCCACCAACATCAGGACCCCAATATGTGCCCTGCATCTTTCGGGGCAATCACGATATCCTCAGCCACGCAATGTCTCTCATCTCAGTCCAGATTTCAGGACAAAACTAGGTAACCACGCAAGAGGTGCTTGGGGCCGCAAGAGGTGCTTGGGGTACTCGACAACGTTGCCAATCTTGACCTTGTCGTTGTCCTGACCGGCCACGCGCTACTCCCTGCTCCTTGACGCGGACATAACCTTCGGGGAGCTCGGCGGGGGAAAGAAGGCGACGTAGTGAACCCCCTCGTTGTCGACAACGGGCAGAGGATATACCGTAAGGGCGTCGAGTCGTTCATAGCGCGCACACGTGCAACCATCCATGGTTTGGAGTGGCCGTCGGTACAGATGTGATATTTCCTTCACATTTTGGGGCGATTGTTGACGTATCAGTGGATGAGGAGGAGCCAAGGCGCAGCGAAGATCGTTGTCGGCCTAGCAAACGACCACCTGACACGACCCGACTGCCTCACTGCCACTCTCCATGTGTTTGAGTTTGAGCCTCGACGTACGCACCCACAACCGCGGAGATTGAACCGTTCCTCCTACAGTGTCAAACGTGGGCAGGCTGTCCCCAAGGAAAACGTTGAGGGGAGCCACGAAGACGTCAGACTGCAACCCGGTGGGCAAGAGAGGACCGCCACGGGACTGCTATTGCTATCGCGTGAGACACTGGGCCAACTCGGCCCCCAGTCCTAGCCATGTTTAGCATGCGCCGTGTAAGTGAACACCCCCACTCAGAACGCCTTGGTCAGTGTACCCTTCCCGGGTCAGTATCCCCTTCCCTCCCCCATATCATTACGGCAGCGTGCATGTGCTCGTTATCGTTTCTGCGTGGTGAAAGGATAGAAAGATGAGGTAGTGGTATAATGGAGGTCGGCGGTGAAAGTCGGGGTTGGAGCGGGGGCGAAGGGCAGGAAGGAAGGAAGACGAGCAAGGCATTGTCAATGTCCAACCCCCACCTCACTCCGTCTTAGCGGCGCGGGTAATCTCCGCGGCGCCCTCTGCCGGGCCGTTCCAGAAGCCAATGCCGGCCAAGGCGTCCGGGTACGACTTCTTCTCCTTGTCGCCGACGAGCTCGGCGTTGTGGACCTGCGCAAGGCTGCGCTCGACGTCGGCAGCGGTCCTGTCACCGCCGGGGTAGTTGCTCGAGTCGACGGCAATCTGCTCGGGCGAACCCATCCAGAGGACGCGCTCGGCGACGGCGGTGACGACGTAGTTGAGGACAAAGTAGCCGTGCGACGCCACGAGGGCGGCAAAGGCCACGGGAGCGATGAGCGGGAGGACCTGCTTGAAAGTGGGGGGAGCGTCAAAGCTAGTCGCGAGGTAGCCGGCCAAGGTGCCGATGTAGTTGTCGGCAATGTCGTGGCGGGGGCGGAAGAGCTGGATGAGAGTGGCAGATGTCCAGGCACCGACCCATGCGATGATGCCCATGGTGTCGAGCCAAGTGCCGATAGTCTCGACGCGCTCCCCAACCGGGCGCTGAACGTGCTTGCAGATCTTGAGGGCGTCGGAGCGAAGCTCAAAGTAGTTGTTGATGAGGGCGAAAACGGGGGCAAGAGGCCACACGAGACCCCAGACAACGACGTAGCCAAACTGAGTCACCATCTCCGCATAGTCGACAAAGATGTTGTAAGCCGGGAGCTCGAGCTCGCGCCCAACCTTGTCAAGGAAGCGCTTCTCGGCGTCGCCCTCAGTGGTGGCGGGCTTTTCATCATCCTGCTTGAAAGCGCCCTTGATGGTGGTCTTGCCCGCACGCCAGTCATTGACAAAGCGGAGAATGTAAGGAAGGCCAACCTCGAGGAAGGTGTTGACGACCTGGTTGGTGACAGTGTAGGCAAACACCTGGTTCTTGAGACGGCCGACGTTGATGCGGCTGCGGAGGGCGCTAAGCTGTGGGGGGGCCGAGGCAGCTGCAGCAGCGACGGCGCTGGCAGAGGCAGCGGCCGACGAGGAGGAAGCAGCGGCAGCCGCGGCGTGGCCAGCAGCAGAGTGGTCGGCTCCCTGGAAGCCCGAGAGGAGGTCCTGGATACGGTGCATGACGTAGGGGCCGAAGGGAAGGTAAACGTAGGCGGACAGGAAGAGACCAAGGTAGGCGACGATGCTGTTCATGGCAAACGTCTTGGCAGTGAGCGACTTGCGCTGCGACTGGGTGGTGGCATGGTCCTCCCAAGTCACGAAGCGGCGCGAGAAGCCGTTGAAGAGGGCCACGACCTGGGGCACGACAATCGAGAAGAGCGCGGTGGGGACGTAGGGCACAAACGACTTGCCCGGGCCGTGCCAGAGGTGGCCGACGAATGCCTCAAGCATGAAGATGCCCATCAGGATGCAGCCGAGAATGACACCGCAGCCAATGATGAGAGGAATAGAGCCCACGACCTTGACCTCGCGGATGAGACCAGTGCGGTGGCTCTCTGCACCGACGCGGGACATGTTGTGGCCTTGGACGTACTGTGGGCGGAGCGTGTCGATGGCCATGGACTCGGTTCCACGGGTTCCCCAGTCGACGGCAAGCTTGCGCTCACGGATACGCCAAGTGGCGATGAAGGAGCAAGCATAGAGGGAGAGGAGGAGCGCAAAGGCAGGTGGGTAGCTGTCGACCGGGAGGTAGATCCAGACTGCCAAACCAATGATTGACATGGGAATGAGGGACATTGTGTAAGTCGTGAGGAAGTTGAAGTAGAGCCTGAGTGCGGGAGGCTGGTCGCGACCGAGCATGTCCTCGTCGTCCTGGCTGAGACCGCGGAGGAGGCCAATCTTCCAGTCACCACCAACGGTCCAGCGCTCGACCCAGGCATTGTCGCGGGCGTCATCGTGCAGCGCCACGATCGACTTGACACGCTTCCACTGTCCCTCGGCCGGGGTGATACCCAGGCCGTGCTGGATCGTGGGGGCCGTGAGGAGCTGGTACAGGAGACGGAGACGCGTCGCCGGGCTCGTCATGGGCTCGACAGTCGAGTGCAGGCCATGTGCCAAATCGACAATACTGTAGCAGATCAGCTACGCAGTTTCTCTCAAAGGCTGCGGGGCGGGGAGGCATGACGCGTTTTTTGTCCCTCCTTTCTTCTACTCACCGCTCACGCTCAACGAGCTCGGCGACCTTTGCGTCGCTGGCGCCGACAAACACCCAGACATCCTCGCAACCTTTACCACCACGACCGGGACGCGATGCGATGCGGAGACCACCTTCGTTCTCGAGGGCTGAGACGAGGCGCTGGTACCCCTGCAAGGCGTCCTGCTGCGCAGCGGCGCGGTCGCCCTTTGCAGAGATGTCAAACGGAATGACAAGGTCGACTTGGAACGGGTTGCATCCACCCATGCCTTGCACTGGTCCCGAGCCAACAGAAGCGTGGTCTGGGAGAGACACGTCGTTGTCCGATGGGACTTGCGGAAGAGGGCGGGTTGGAGGACCAGTCGGCGAGCGGAAGGGAGGGCCTGGTCGGGTTGGCGAGCTCGGGGTGGTGGGTGTGACGGCCGAGCGCGACGAAGGGGGGCTCGCCTGTGTGGCTGAGGATGGCTGGGATGCCATGGTGAAGGAGAATGTGAGGCTGTTGAAGGATGGGGAGAGAGAAAGAAGACGGGGATGAAACGGGCGGGTGGGAAGAAGAGAGAATGGGAGGAAGCGAGGAGTGACGATCGCAGTTTCAGTTGCACGGCAATGACGTCGCTGGGCCCGTTTGGGCGGCACATTTGGCTGCGATCGGCAGGTGCGACCCAAAAAACCTAATTATAAGGCAATGATGTAATTGGGCCCTCTCAGTATAGCACCCGTCTACTGTTTCCACTTGTGCGCGTTCGACTCGCCCGGCAGGCGGCGCAAAAAGACCTGTCATTTACACACAATACCCGTGTAGCGGGGTGTTCAGCGCGCAGAACATCGGTTTGTGCCACTCATGAACTGCCAAGTAGCTGCAAACTGTCGAGTCCACGGGAGGCCATAGACCATAGACCATAGGGAACGGACGTGGGGCTCATATTTCCACCAGTCGCGAAATGCGCGCATTTGAGCGGGGGGAAAATCGCCACCGAGGGAGAGACTGCTTCACTGTGGGCACAACCCATCACTCGGTACTGCTTGCTACACGGCAGTGCCGTCCCAGTCATCCCTACACATGCTCTGCCCCACCCCAGTGTGTTCAGCAATAACATGTCATGAATTGTGTTTGTGTATGCGCGCGCGCGTCAAGGACGGCCTATGATCCACCCTTCCCCCCTCTTGTCTGCCTTCCTTCTGCCTTCTCTCATACCTGGCCTTACTTGGCCTCCCAGCTCACACCGCAGCCGCACGCGCCGCCGTCCTTAGCCTGAGGGTTGTCCTGCAGACGGAACGACGAGCCGATCAGCTCGGTGGCGTAGTGCAGCGTCGCGCCTGGATGTCAGCTACGCACGCTCCACACGACGAAGAGAAGCTCACCCTTGAGGAGGCCGAGGGACATGAGGTCCACAATCACGGGGATGGAAGCGACACTCTCGGTTGAGAAGACGCTGGTTGGTCAGCTACAGTAATGTGGCAGAATCAGACCACAGAGGTGCAAGGGCATGTGCGTCGAGACACCTCTTCCGTCTGCGTGCTCCCGATTCTCTCCTCTCCTCTCCCCCCACTCACTAGTCGTCCACACCCCGCTCCTCGGTCAGGTCCATGGTGTACTGGTATCCGTGGCAACCACCGCTGTCCACACCAACACGGAGGGCCAGGGGGCTTTCTGGTGGCTCGCGCGAAGCCAGAAGCGCGAGCTGTCGGATCGCCTCGGGCGTGATGACGAGCTTGGCGTCGTTGGGGGCGACGAGGGCCACGTCGTCGTCAAAGAATCCCTCGTCCTTGATCTTCTGCAGGTCTGGAGGGGTCACGAGGATCTTGGGCGACGACGGAATGGGAGGCAGGTTTGGTGTCGAGCCCGAGGACATGGCGGCGGCCGACGACGCCGCACGTGAAAACGAGGTGGACGGGGAGAGGTGCCATGAGGGAAGCTGGCGGGCGGCGGTACGTGGGATGACAGCGCCGCGGGCGACGGGATTGGCAGCGGCGCGTGCTGCGCGCACGAGTGGGGATAACCTAGACATGTCTGTGGATGTTGATGCAGAGATACAGAGTGCGTCGGGTGAGATCGACCTTGGTCAGCGGTCTCAGAGTGGAGGACGAGTTAGTACCGCCGGAGAAACAATGATGTGGATTTGAAATCAACAGAGAGTGGCAATGATATTCTGTAGATCTGCAGATTTCTGCCATGTCCAAGTGCTCTTGCATGTGGGCATGGTGGCTCACTGGCCACTGGCCGCTGGATCGCGCGAAAGTGACATGCTTTGTAGATGCGGTCCTCTCATCTCTACTCGTTCATTCACTGTAGTGACGAGTTGGGACGCTTGGGCATTTGGCTGTGTGTGTGGCAAACACGGACGTGGCTGCCAAGAGAATGCCGTTATTGGGCGCTGCTGCTGGAAGCAAGAGCAGCCCCCAATACACCCCGAGTCGTGTGCATAAACTAACGCCAACTGTGCACCACTGGCCACTGCAGATGCAAAGGGGGTGTGTGAGGTGAACGGCGTGGTACATACGTCAAGGGTGGGGTGGACACACTGTTTCGGTGTGTGACGCTGGGTGGGGCGGCCAGGGCGGGCCCAGTGGTGGTGGACATGATGACGCGTGCTGGGCCTGCCAGGTGGCCAGAGCTGGAATCGAAGTGACTGTGTGTCGCTGGGGGGTGCCAGCAACACACACATTTTGTACAGACTTCTCACTCCTCCAACCACCCGCATCCTCCCTCCATCATACACATACCCACACCTTCAACACACCCCCAGCGCATCCCGCCCGCTTCTCCACAAGCACATCCACGGTCTACTCACCCTCCGGCGGCCGTCGTCTCCCCCGTGACCAAACACCTCCATTCCACCAAGCGCCCGTCCTTTGGTCGTCTCCACAATGTCGTCTGAAAGTACACTCGCGCGTACCCACCCGGACCACCCGACGCTCACCCAGCTCGACACATCACCCAACTGTGAGTCTCCATCTATTGAATAGCGCAAACGAAAACGGTCCTGCGCTTCTGCGACGTTGTGCTTGCGCGCTTCAGCCCTGGGACACTTTCCGAGCGATCTTGATTCTTTTGTGCCCGCCAAGAAGCAGTCGCAGGCTTTATATTGCGAGCCCCCGTGTCCCCTCCCAAGCCAACCCTCCCCCATGTCGGTGCCAGTGCTCACCTTCACCAGCAGCTACGGCGTCGTCCCCTGTTCTTTCGTGAGTGTGTTGAGTGTATGCCGACGCAGGACCCGATGAGACGCGTTCAGGACGTCATGCGGCGCAGGGCACTGCGGTAAGGGTGGTGCCGTCCAACGCTCCCCCCGTTATCGAAGCTAGCGGTGCTGCTGTGTTCCGCGCCCACGTAGACCGCAACTCTCTCGACTTGGCTTCCAAGCACTCCCTCTCCCCCATTTCCACCGAGCCTGCACTGTGCCCCGCCGTTAAGAGCGTTTGTTTCGTGTGTCGTGCATTCGTGCATGGGCCCCGCGCATCAACCCCCCCTTCTCTCCCTGCATCTCCCTGCCTGACGCAGATTCCTGAATCAATCGTGCTGTCGTGACCGCGTGGTCGGCTCACACCACAACACCACAACCGTAGGCCGCCGGCGGCTGACAAGACACACAGTACAATCTCCAGTCCACCCCCTGTCGTCACTACACCGTCATCCATCTCGCCGCCCAACTCTCCCCCCGCCGCCGAGCCCCTGTCTTTTGCCATGAAGCGACCAGGCCAGCTCAGTGACTCGCCCAACGCAAGGAGCAAGAGCGTATCCGTGGCCGATGGACATGAAACCTTTGGCGTGAGTCGCAGACCGGTTGCTGGTACATGGTGTGTGGCCCAAGCTTACAAACCAGGTTCTGAACCGGCACCCGGCTCCCAAGCCCATCGCCACTGAGCAGACCCTCAACACGTCGTTCCGCGTCGGTGTGAGCGAGGACAGGAATAAGCGCTGCCGGCGGGTGATGGAGGACTCGCACGCCTTCATCTACGACTATGGTGGCGTGCGCGGCCAAGGCTACTTTGCCGTCTTTGAGTGAGTGGACTGCTGTAATAGTCGTCGGTTTCGCCAGCCGTGCTAACACTTGTCCCAGCGGTCACGCCGGCAAGCACGCGGCTGAATGGTGCGGCCAGAACTTTCACGAGTACCTCCTGGACGGCGTTGTCGAGCACCCGGACGAGTCTATGCCCGACGTCATGAACGAGGTGTACCTTGCCGTCGACAGGCGCCTGTCCCATGTGGCGTACAAGCACAAGACACACTCTGGATGCACGGCAGTCACTGCGTTCCTGCGCGTCGAGCACAACGTGGACGGCGGCGCATGCGGCTTCACCAACCCGGGGCTGTCGAGCCGCGGCCTCCTGGAGGGCCGTGGCGACGACGAGCTCGAGGCCATGACCAGCCACTATGGCTCGTCCCGCCGCTCGTCAATGGGCGCTGGCTCTGGCGGCGTGGTTGGTGGCGCAGCGACACCAACGGCCGAGGGTCTGAGGCGCAAGCTGTCTGGCCGGCGGATCCGCGACTTTGTGCGTGGCCTGACGGGCAGTGGACGAGAGCACGAGGAGGCGATCGAGGACGACGCAACGTCGAGCGACAGCGGGCGCATCGAGACCATTGAGCCAAAGAGTGAACACGGAATCCGCCGCATGCTGTACACTGCCAACGTCGGTGACGCGCGCGCAGTGATTTCGCGTGGTGGCAAGGCCGTCCGCCTCACGTACGACCACAAGGGCAGTGACGCACAAGAGGCCAAGCGTATCACCGACGCCGGCGGCTTTGTCATGAACAACCGCGTCAACGGCGTGCTCGCCGTCACGCGCTCGCTGGGCGATGCGTCCATGAAGGAGTTTGTCGTCGGCGCGCCATACACCACCGAGACGACGCTGGACGACGACGACGAGTTTTTGATCATTGCGTGCGACGGCGTGAGTAGCATATGGGCGACACCCTGCGGGTAACAGAACTGACAAATCGACAGCTCTGGGACGTGTGCGAAGACCAAGAGGCCGTCGACCTCATCCGTAACTTCCAGGACCCGCAAGAGGCCTCGAAGCGCCTCCTCGACCACGCGCTTAGCAACTATTCGACCGACAACCTCAGCATCATGGTCGTGCGCTTCTACACTGGAAAGTAATCCCTGCTATTTTTTGTTTTTGTTGGTGACCCTGCTGCCGCCGCTGTTTCTGCCTAAAACGTTAGAGAGCTAGGCCTACCCCCCATGTAGAGACGTGTATAGTATGGTCCGCGGAGCACTCTTCTGACATTGACATTGGGGGATCTCACTCGTTCCACTTGTCTTTACCTGTTGCCCTTGACGCACGAGTCGATAAAGTCCATCGCGGGCTCGACATTCTCCTTCCACCCGGCATCGTCAGGTGTCTGCGAGTCCCGTCAGCAGCCCCTCCCGCCGTGCTTCCACACTCACCTCAAAGGCAAAGTCGTACACATGGCCCGCACCCTCCTCCCAATGCTCCCCAGTAGCCACTCCCATCTCCTTGAGCTTGTCAGCCATGCGGCGGCTCTGGTCCGCGGGGATAATGTTGTCGCTTGTCCCGTGCATAAACCAAGTGGGCGGGAACGTGTCCTTGTAATGCAACACGTGGTGCGGCGACAGGTTCTCCATATGCAGCCTGTATCCTGCCTCGTCGTCCTTGTACTGGTCGCGCCGGCAGATGATATCGATCAAGTTGCGGTGCTTGGCGACGTACGTGTACAGGTCGACGCGGCGGAGGTGGTCGCGCGTGGGTGTGAAATCGGGCAGGCCGAGGTTATGCCGCGCCTCGTCGAGCGAGACGTGCGGCGGCATCTCCTCGGCCCACGGGTTCTGTACTTGGGCCAGGTGCGGGTGGGCCAGCCCGTCGGCCACGTACTGCGCGAGCTCGTCCTCGCTCGCGACGAGGTATGGCCAGTCGGCGGCGTCGCGCCCGGCCTCTTCGGAGCGGTAGTTGGCCACGTCTACGAGGCCGTACACGTTCAGAAAGGCCTTGGGCGGCGGCTGGACAATGTGCGCCGCCATTCCCGCCAGCGTCGCGCCCGACGACGCGCCGCCGACGGCCCAGCCGTCCGGGTCCGCGCCGACGAGGGACGGGAGGTTGGCGCGACACCAGTGCGCGGCCGCGACCGTGTCCCCGACCATGTCGGCCAGGCTCGCGTGCGGCTGCAGGCGGTATCCGACAGACGCGACCGCATACCCCCTGTCGCTGAACGCGCGCGACACCCACGCCGTCGGTGTCGTCCATTTACCGCAGGTGTAGCCTCCTGCCAACCCCGAGAGCATACCTGTCAGCCAATGCGTTGCGTCAGGTGCGCGCGCTGTTTGCGGCGCTTGCCCCGCTCACCGCCGTGTACCCATAGCAGCCACGGGACCCTGCCGCTCGGCGTCAAGTCGGCCGCAAGTGCACTCTTGCCTCGTGCCGGTGGCCATACGCGCAGAGGCAGGTTGACGCCGTGGGCTGTGGTGAAGATGTGGTCGGTGAAGCCCGGCGGACAGCGGGGGAGCGAGCGGGGCATCGCGCCGTCGTGTGGTTCGCTGAGAACGATGGCGGCTGGGTGGTGGTGGCGTGCGGTGCACAAAGGTGGAGAAGAAGTGAAGCGGTGCAACGTGGGGTCGAGGTTTAGCGCGACAGAGATGGCGATGGCGACAAGAGCAAGTGGACAGTGGTCAAGAGGTCATGAGGTCATTGTAGCCGGTGGCTTGAATGCCGGGTAACTTCGGCTACTAACCTCGCCTCTTCAGCACCATGTCCATCAAGGTCGTCGTTTCTTGGCAGAAGGCGACGGCTTTCTAGAGCGGGTTACAGACACAGCGATGTCAGAGGGCTTGGTAGCAATGGAGAGAGATCAACATAGGTGTAGATGCAATATATCATTTGAACGTCTATTATCGATGGCTTGTACGGACTCGTCTAGTCCTTAGAGAACCACCCAGCCTTGAGCGTGGCGAGAAACCGGGCAAATGCCTCTGCCAGCTCGGCAGGACGCTCTTGCACAACCTGGGCAAGCAGTTAGCACCGTGTCACTCACATCCTACCGCTTTTGGCCCGGGTCCATACTCACCAAGTGACTCGCCTCCATGATCCGTTCATTTCTCGCGCCGGGCGTGCGGAACACCATCTCATTGACCGTCTTCTCACCCGCAGTCCACATGTCCGCCTCGCCAGCCTGCACAAACCCGACCGGCATGTCCAGCTCGGCCAACTTGTCCCAGCCGCGCGGCAGGGCGTTGGGGTCCGAGAACGTCGCTGCCTCGGCCCACGTCGGCGTCGCGAGCGTGACGGCTCCCTCGGGCTCGGAGGGGTCGACGGGCACGAGCGAGTGCGAGACCCACAGGTCGAACACGGCGGGGTTCCACCGGCCAAACATCGGGTTGGACCTGTTGGCTGCCGCGGCCGCGGCGCGCGAGGGCCAGGTGTCGCGTCGTCGCAGGGCAGCATTGGTCAGCGGCCAGCCGAGCTGGAGGGTGTTGGTGTTGACAAAGATACACATTGGCTCGACGAGGAAGATGCCCGCAAACAAGTCTGGGCGAGCGTGCGCGGCCTGGACAACGCCGTTACCGCCATAGCTGTGTCCGACGCCGATGACTGGTGTTGGGCGAGTGGTGCGCGAGGGAGCCCACGACAGTCCCCACGGTGTCTCTGGAACCTGAGCCTCCTTCTCGGCCTGCTCAGCCTCCAGGACAGCGGGGAGGACGTGTTCCACGAAATTGATCACTTCCCGACCCGTGTCCGTCCACGAGTGCACGGCACCCAGGCGGCCAGCGTTGAGGTCGAGCGACGAGTGGTGGTGCGGGTCGTCGAGGAACCAGATATCGTCAATGACCACGGGCTTTGCGTCCTCGAGAGGTGTCCCGGTGCCGAACTGGACCCGCGCGGGCCCACAGGCCATGAGGTCGTGGAGCATTGGCTGCCAGTGCTGAACATGTCAGCTGACGAACCCGTCTCCAGCTTGGCCACTTTGCAAACTCACGTCCGCTGCCATACCACAGGCATTCCTCATCACGAGCGTCACCCCACCCTGCTCAGCACCAGCAGGTTTGTCCCGCTTCCACCGCTCAACAGCGACCCACAGCCCGGGCTCGCCGGAAGCCTGTGCCTCGTCGAGCGTCCAGTACTCGGCCCCATGCCTGAGCCGCACACACGCCTCCGCCTCGCCGTTCAACCGCGCCTTGCGCTGGTCTTTACTCTCGCCCACGACGGACGCCTCGGGGTGCTTCCGGAACGGGTGGCTGGAGCGCGACAAGTTCCCTGTCGCCCCGCGCAGTGTGCGGGGGTACGCGGCCGGCGACGCGTGGAGGGTGCGCGTGTAGCCTGGCGGCGGTGGTGGGAGGGGCAGCGAGTGCGGTGGACGAGGGGGAGCTTGGTTGTCCGGGTGGGGCAGGAGCGGGAGGACAGGTCGTGCCGGGACCATGGGTGCGTGCGGCGCGCGCGACGGTTTCTTCCATACTGGATAGTGGGCTGCGCGCTCGACGCTCCTGAGGGTGATTGAGCGTCGCATTGGGTGATGAAGGGAGTGAGTGAGTGGTGATGGAGGATGGTGGAGGATGGTGACAAACGAGCGCCGTCCGACTTCAAGAGGCCGAGGTTTGCGGGTATCTCCAGCCTCCAGCCGTGTCCGGCACGGAGTCTACCCGGGTTGTGGGGGGTACTTAAATCCAGTCGTCCTTTACTGCTGCTCCAAGTGCCGGCCCGATGACAACTGCTCCACATCGGCCGCGGATTGGAACGGGTGCTTGGCCCACACCACGTACGTCTGCATTCACCTCATGGGGTGGATACGCGGAGCTGGCGACGGAGTTGCAGTGGTAGTTCCAAAGCCGCGCGGCGGTTCAACCCGCTCTCAGCTGCGTGTAGTACCACAGGCGGATCGCATGAGCAACAAAAGACGCATAATGCTTGTGTTCCCTCGTAATACAATCAGGCAAATGCGCACCGCTACAGAATGTGACGCTGGGAACAGGGTATATGACGCCAAGCTAATAGAAAACACGGCTGCACCTGTGCTGCTGGGGGTCACCCTTGTCGGGGTACGAGGTCGCCTCATCCCGCGACAAGGGGTCCCCGGTCGGGGGAGGAAACTCTTCCATGGTAATTGAGCCGCTCTCGAACGCTGCTACCGTTTAGTGGATGAAAGAAGAGTTTGATTACTGATGGACTGACCTTGAACAAGTTCTGCGAGCCATGAGTCTGGGATAGGGTGAGTCTCGCCGTCGGCCTTTGTGACGGATACGCAGTCGAAGGGCTTGGGCTGGGTGGTCAGCTGTGAAAAAGAATGCGTTAACTGACGTTGATGGTGGGGGTTGGGGGGCGGCTAATCGCAGCGGGCAGAACCATGCCTCCTTCTTGACAATTAGGCTCGTCGGCGGCGAGGGGAAGCGGTTGACGGATCGGCGAGGCCTCACGAACCCACTGGCCCGTGACATTGCCACCAAAGAGCAGAGCCTCGAAGACGAAGTCATTCTCGTCGTGGTGCGGCTCAACGTACTCGAGGTTGGTGGTGATAGGCGGAGTGTTGTCCAGGATAGTTTTAGGCGGAACGAGCGGGGCGACGGCATGACGGCGCAGATGCAGGAGCAGGTGGGCGACAGCGATACCGGTGAACACAAGATGGCGAGCATAGTGGTGGGGGCTCAAGGCCCGGTTCTGCGTGGCTGCAGACAGGCGCTCAACCAGCTGCTGGTCAGCGTATAACTCGGGAGCCCCCGACTCACCCATGGATCAATGAAGATCGAGTTGTCGAGGAGCTGCTTGTGCTCTGAAGGTGTGTCACGGACCTGGCAGACATCGTAGCCGTACTGGGACCTGTCGAGCGAGCGTGTGACCCAGATATACATGGGCTCCGTTGACAAGACCTGGCCCATGGCGCGGATCACTTCGCCATCCGTCCGTCCTGCCAACACGTGTGAACCGGCCAGGCGGCCGGTGCTACAGTCAAGGATGGCGAGCGCGAAGCGGAACGCGACGTGGACGGCCGCTTTGTCTGCCTCGTTCGGACCCTCCCAGCGACGCAGCTTGCGACGGCAAAAGTCGTACTCGCCACCTAGAACCATGGGGTCGCGGGCATCACTCATGGCGCCAAGGGGGGGGGGAAGTCGGGGACGAATGGTTGAATGACGGATGTTGAGAGGGCAACAGGCTGCTGATGGACGCTTGCGGGTTGTTGTGAACTGGGTGGCGACTGTGAGATGACGTCAGCTGAGACCCGCCTAACTTTTTTTATTGTGGAATCCGGAGGTACGTTAGCAAACGTTTGACGAGCGGGCCTGCATTGGCACAACCGTTGGCCGGGGATCATAAGTACGACAGGCCGCCATATGAGATGCGAAGAACGCGTACTTGTCTCCCTGGCGGAAGAGCTCTCAACTTGGGAAGTGGTGTTGAAAAAGGGTAGGTCCACCGTAACTGTGTGTCACTGGCCACTCAAGCACTGTCGACCCGGGCGCCTACATTGTGCCTGTGCGGTCCTCATTTCAATTTCGGGTATACATAGCAACGGGGTTCTGGAAATATGTATGTACAACCATTGCCTGAGGGGTCGATGGACAGGAGATATAGGATATGGGATTCGGTCGTCACAGGGAGGTATATGCTTTCAAAGGTTGAACATAATCAACTTGGCTTGCCCTCGTCTCCGGCGACGTTCTGCGGCGCCGTCGATGCCGATGCCACCTGGTTGTCGGTGGGCAAAGTGCCAGTCGTGGGCGCACCAGCGGTAGGCTCCGCAATTGTGTGGAGCGTAGAGTCGGCGATGGGGACCTGAGGTGCGGCGGCAACGGTAGGTGACGACCCGCTTGTGGGCGAGACGGCCTTGGCCTTACCCTTACCCTTGGACGACTGCTGCGACGAGGCTGTCGAAGAGCGCGCACGGGCTGCGGCGGGAGGGACAGAGGGGCCGCTCACGGGCGAGCGGGACACAATACCCGCGTCCTCGGCAGCGCGGCTGATGGCGGCGGCCTGGAGGGCGAGACCTTCGTTGTCCTTGGTCACAACATCGTAGTGGCCCGGTCTGGGAATGTCAGCTTGGCACAAAGAGCTGAACCTCCAAATCTGAGACGTACCGGAACAGCAGCGTCAACGGCCTGTTCTCCTCAGTGGCACCCTCAAATGGCACCCAGTTGATCACGTCGTCACCAGCCTCGGAACGGTCGAGGTAAGCGACACGGAGGGGGACGTGGAGCGCGGCAGACAGAGCAGTGATCTGCGGCTGGTCCGCCTCCTTGCCGCAAGGGTCGACTTCGCGAGCACAGAACTCCTCGGGCTCAATGGGCTCGAATGTAGTGGGCGACAAGAGGAAGTTTGCAAAATCGTCGCGGTGGTTGCGGATGTACGCGCTAGTCATGAGACGCAGGGCCTGTAATGTCAGTGCCGTCGGGTTGCATTCGTAGGTCCAAAACCCCACTCACCACAACAATAGAGTTGCTCTTTTCGGTATCCTGCAGTGCCTGTGTTATTGAGAATGCAGTGGGCTCAGCGCCTGCTGGAGGGTCGATGAACGCGGCGATGCGTTCGAGGAGGGGGGCCAAGAACTCGTCGATCTGGTCGTCAGCGTCTCGGTCAAGAAGCGGCTCGCGATTGATTACTTGAGCCACCCGCCACACGACTCACCAATTCATTCTGGAACCCCGCGAAGCCCATCATAATCCTCGTACCGTCCACGTCATGGTATGCCTTGGCAGCAGCAGCACTTTGATCGGGCGCGTAGAGGATGCGCAAGAGGTACGCGATCGTGAAGGCTGTATCTGTCAGCCGCCGATTTTGCTCTTCCCAGCAGACTCACAGCGGTAGAAGCAGTCGCCATCAGGACGAGCGCGCCACACCTGGTCCCATCCATTGGCCTCGAGCCACTGGATTTTGCGGAGGACCTGTGGCTCGCCGGCGAGAAACTCCTGCCGGATCGTGTTCAGGTGGAACGGGCCAGAAAGTGGAGACTGTGTGATAGGTCAGCCTCTACACTCTCGGTGGGGCCTGTACGATCTCCGCCAAGCGACGCAGGTACACGCGTGCACATGCCGAAGCTACTGCCACGGCCGCCAAGCCACACACAGCCTTTCGGCCGCAAGGAGCCGCAGTCGTGAACGGTCTTCGGAGGCGATACAAGAAGCACGGGTCACCATCGCCATCAATGACGCGGCCTCGCTTGTATGCAAGGCGATGCGACGCGCCGTGTGGTATGCAACGTTCGCACACGTCGCATGCAGCTCCGCCGCACGCCGCGCAGAACATCGGGCCCAGGAAGGTACATGTGTTGTGTCTGGCGAGGTCCCGGGAACGGCCTTCCCCTTGCCAGATGGACATGACTGCTTGGAACAGCCAATATGGATGATGACGAGAGAACGGTACACGTTCCCGAAGGATCAGCATAGCCGATGCCAGCTGGCGGAAAGTGGCCCGGACTCTCCGCTCCATGGGCATTGAACGGCCATACCTCGAGTCTCGCTCTGTTCCACCGATACTGCAGCTCCACGAGACCAAAGCTCACTCACCTGCGTAAGAACCCCAGCTTCCAGACCCTCGGACAGGCGCACGATTTCGGCGTCGGTAAGCGTCCTCATGTCGGTGTGCTGGTCGATTGCGCGGGTGGGCACCTTGTTGTTACCCATGCGTGCGGCCTCGAACGCCGACTTTGCAAACTCGGACTGGGGCTTGCCGTTGGGACCAAGGCCACTGTTGTTGTCGGTGTTGCCACCACCCGAGCCGGTGCGGGCGCTGCGAGGTGTCGACCTGCCAGAGGAGGCCACGGCCTGGTTGGAGGGCGAGGGGGTGCTACTGCCCGAACCGCTGCGGGGCGTGGTTGCACTGTCGCCAGCCTTGGCCTTGTCCTTGTTCTTGAAGCCTAGGCGGCCGAAGAGCTTGTCCATTGTTGTAAAAGGATGGTGGTATGGGTGTTTGGTATCAGGGGTAGGTGGGTGCCAAGAAGGCAGCAGTGGACGGTGACGTAGTCTAAGTGTTGATGACCGAGCGGGGCGGGCCGGTTGTTGGAACTGAAGTGCCCAACAGCTCTTCTAACAGTTTGAGGTGGATGTGGGGTGTCTGTGGATGTAGGAGTGGGAATGTTGAGACAGATGGATGGAGTGAGAAGAGAACGAGCACAAGGTTAAAAGGAGCACCCACGAGGAAGCACACACAGACACAGCCCATGTGTGCGCGCGCACGGCCTGGTGGCGAACCGCGCGGCCGTCGGCGTCGCAGCTTCAAGGGGGGAGGGAGTGCGCGTCATCGAGATCAGTGTGTGGGGGTCTCTTATCGCCAATTAGGATTTACATTACGACACCCCAGGGTGAGCTCTCGTCATGATTCTAATGTCGTATTAGAAATCTCTCCCTAATGAGCCTTCCGCGTCAGCGCGACCTGAAACACGTCGGTATTGTTGGGCGCGCGTACCGCACAGAGCCCCATGTTGTCGTTTGCCTGGACTGGGGGACCTTTTGCTCCTCCACCCAACCCATTACCCATTTGCCCTCCGTCCACCCATGGCCACAACCCTCTTCACCCTCCCAGAGCACTTGCGCGATGCCATTTCCGCCCTAGTCGATGCCCACATCGTCCCCCTGGACTTGGAGTCGGACATGGAAGCAGCGTTGGCCGCAGCGGACGTGGTCGAGTTTGAGGAAGTGTTCGAGCTCAACCCGGAGACCAAAAACAAGCCTGCGGCTGAGACGACGTCAACAACAGCCACTGCGGAGGGAGACGATACCGCGATCGGTACCGAAAAACAGGCGCAGCCATCGGACAAGAGCAAAGAGAAGCAAGACACGCCAAGTGACAACAAAGGCATTGTTGTTCCCCTCGGCGACGAGCTACCGCCTGTCCCGACCCTTCGACCAGCGACAATCGACGGCGACCTCTTGGAACGTATATCCCGCTGGGTTGGTGGGGATGACGGGTCCAAGGCTGTTGAGAAGGCCGGTCTAGGTGAGCTGCTTGTTTGATTTATCACAGCTGACGTTCAGACGCTGCTCCATATGGTCCCATCGCGATCCTTGCAGGTTCCGAGGTGTACCTGCCTCCTCGCCAACGAGCACTGGCCAAGGCGGCCGAGGCGGAACAGGCCAAGAAAGAGGAGGTTTGTATCCCCCACTGCAGTGAACGTTGTCGTGCTGACCCACCAGCTCAACCCCTACCTCCCAGCCAGCATGTCCGTCACGCCGCCGTCGCTCGGCAGCGAATACCGCCAGCTCATGCGCCAGCTCTCCAACGTCCTCAACGTCCTGTTCAGCATCTTTGGGTGTGGCGGCGCAGCGTACGTCGCGGCCGTGACTGGCGGCGGGTGGGCGCGTGAACCGGCTATCCTGCTCGCGGTCATTGTGGGCTTTGTCGTTGGCATGGCCGACGTCGGGTTGATTTTCCTCTACAAGCGCCGCCTGACCATTGAACGCAGGGCTGCGGCGGAGAGGAGGGTCAAGGAGAACAAGGGCAGCGCGGCTATTGGCGAGGGCACGGTTCTCGAACTGGACGAGGACAAGGTTGCCGAGCTCGAGAGGGAGTTGGCCGAGGAAGGTCCGGTCGATATCGTCCCGGCGCCCAGTGGGTCAGGCCGCTCTATCCGTCTCCGCCGCCGCGCACTGTAGACATAGTACTCCAATTTATAGAAGATTAAACTCATATATATATAGAATGCATGGCATGGATATCGTATGCAGGGTATGCTCGTGCTCGTGCTCTTGCTGGTGCTGTGTGGTTTGTCCAGCGTCTATGACATCCATCGTATTGCGTGCCTTCCCTCGTCCCTCTGCCCTTCAAACAAGTCACCACGTACCCTCAGCCTTGCCATTCCCCTCATCCTCATCCATCGTAGGTGGGTCCGCGAACCCTGCTGCAGTAGCCACAGGCGGAGCGCCCAGCATAGGGCGAGGTGCGCCGCCAGCTGTGGGGTGGAGGGCACCCGGCCGCCACGGGGGACGTTGGTATACGCCCTTTGTTGTTGTCGTCACAGCCGACTCGGTACCGACTTGAGCGAGCACCGCCGCACTGGGGTCGGCAACCCCCTCGGTTCCACTTGTACCCTCTCCCAAACTGGAGTCACCCCGTTTTCGTGGCTTGTAGATGAGGACGATGACGAGGCCGACAATGATCAAGACGAGCAGGAGGATACACCGCCTCTTGCCTGAATTGCTCTGATATCGTTTGGCGACCACGAGTTCTTCGACGGCACCCTCGACTGCCTTGCTCGTTTCTTGGATGTTGTACTCGACCGAGTCGAGGATGGTTCCTTGCTCGACTACGAGTGAGCCGAGGTCGCGGAACAGGTCGGCGAGTTCAGAGATCGACGACGCGATCTGGGTGATTTCCCGAGTTCGTTCTTCAATGTCCAGTCCAATGTCCGTTTGAGATTGCAATTGGGTGCGCGACTGGGGAAGCATCAGCACCAGGGCAAGTAACACAGCCACACGCCGGGGTCGGCTCCACACTCACCGCCTCTTCGTCCTCTTCCAACGCGTCGTACGAGTCCGTCCCACTCAGCTTGATGGCGCCGCTGGCCGCCAACAGGTCCTTGTTCTTAATGGCGTGGCCCTGCAGCTCTGATACCAGGTCAGTACGTATTCAATGTATCGCGAATCTGGGTACCCACTTTGCATGTACACCTTTTGTTTCTTGCGGAACTGGGCCGATGCCTCTTGCACCTTTTGTGCCAGGCCGCGCTGCACGTTCTTGGCTGTAAGGACCTCTACGCGCGCAGCACCGCGGTCTGGCGTAATTGACGTGACGAGCGTCGAGCACCGTCGGAAATCCTAAATCATCATTAGCAAGAGGGAGATGATCCAGAAGGGGAACACAAAAGGGACACGCACCCTCGTGATATCAGCCGTCTGACGTTCAATCTCGCGCTCCTCGGCACTTCGATCTGTGAATCCGGGCATGACATGCTTGTTGCACAGCCTCTCAAGTGTTGCCACTGGTCGTCAGTCCTATGTCCAGCACCGAGGTCGTACCTTTGCCATTCATTCGCTCGAGAATGTCCTCCACCTCGTCGTTGATGTCCACCCTGTCTGGTCAGGACCTCGGTCGTTACAACACACATCACATCCACCCCTCACCGCCCTCACCACCTCGACATACCATTTTGGCGGCAGGCCATGTTCCATATCCACGCGGTGGGAGGGCGCGCGTCCGAGAAGACCACCACGTTCATCGTCGTCCACATCGACCGTGTCGCCATACTGCGCTACCGAACCGATACCGCCTCGGGCGCTGGGTCGTGAGAAGCTGCTGCTGTCGCGGACCGAAAGATAGAATAGTGTTCGAGAGCGAGTGACAGGCGCGTCGGCTGCTGCCTTTGACGAGGACGCGCTTGGCAGGTATGGACTTGCCATTGTTTGGGAAATGTGCGCGGGGGCTAGAAGATGTTGATATGTTGAGAACGCGAGAAGAGGAGACAGCGGGCCGTGACGTCGTCACCAACACCGAGGCTCTGGGCGCGCGCTGGGCAGAGTGGTGGACATTGGGCCGCGCAATGACCGCCGCGTCGCCACGTGTTCATTACAAAATTGTCCACCATTTTGTAATCAACGGTTTCCAAGGTTGTGGTAATAAATTATAGTCCCGTGTCTAATCCCCTTGCCCCCACCGTCTCCCCCGCGGTTTCCCGGCTATGACCGTCCCGCCCGGCCGGAGATGGACCGAAGACTCACAGATTGTAGCAGGCGACGACGAACCCACCACTTTTCTGTTCCTCAGTCGTCCCCATTTCTTTTCCTTTCTCTTTCCACACACACCCCGTGCAACTCTGCACTACACACCCCGTCACTAGAGAGGCTTTTCTTCCTCGGCTCTGCGCACGCACCCACCATGTCGCAGTTCCTGTCCGGCGGCGCCGTCGACTGCGGCCCCAGCAACGCCCTCAAGGATGTGTCATCGCTCGTCGAGCGCGACTATGGCGTCCAGCGTGTACGTCTCCCTCACACCACACCTCACCTCCCATGGATGTCCATGCTGACCATGACAGGACCGGTTTACCCCCCAAGCAGGATCAAGCTCATCGTCAAATGCAGTACGTGTCTTTTTGCTCGGTCCCATGAGTTCACGCGACCACTTGCGTCTTTTCGTCCGGCGCCACCGGGCTGTGGTGCGATACATGTACTGACTTTGCCTCGCAGTTCCGCACGCGTCCAGGCGTTCAGCAACAGCAGGCTCCTTCGCCGCAAGCCAGCGCGTTCGACGTCTCACAGCTCCGCACCCACCTTCCCCCTGCTCAAGTCGCCGGCCCCTACGTGCCGGTGGCGCACGCGGCACCGGCCCATGCTCCCGCCCAGCAGCCGTCGCACTGGGCCGACTCGTACTCCGCCAATGGTCTGGGAAAGGGCAAAGCTCGCGCCGACGCCCCCGTTGGTGTATGGGGAAGCGAGTTTGCTGCCCAGGACCAGCAGCAGCGTGCGGGCTCGCCCGCTCTGGCACCATGGCAGCGTGGTCCAACACACGCTGCTCCGTCCCCTGTGGCCGCGTACCAGCAGCAGCCCATGTTCCAGCAACCGACCTTCCAGCCCGCGTTTCAGCAGCAGCCCATGTACCATCCTCCTCCGAATGTCATCACGCCCAACCCGCAGTACTTCCGACAGCCACCGCCCACCCCCGCGTTGGAGCAAAAGGCGCAGGAGCAAGTGGTTCAGCAAGAACGTCCAGCCGAGGCACAGCAAAATGCGCAGGCACCACTGAGCGGTCCTGACGACGAGCTCGCACGCACTGCACGAGCACTCGTGGACCAGCTCGGACAAGAGGACCAGCTTCAGACAAACGAAAAGCTCAACAACAGCCAGTTTGTCCAGCTCCTGCGTGGCCTCGGCACGGGCTCTGTCGTTGTCCAGGAAGGAACGGGCGAGGTGGCCGAGGGCGAGGAGGTGGGCGACGGCGCCAAGTTTGTCGCTGCCTCGAGCGGGGGCGACTGGGCGTCGGCGTTCATTGGTTCTGAAGGTGGTGCGACGACTACCTTTGACCCCGTCACTGTGCCCATCACCCAGCCGATTACCTCCATCCCCACCGAAGCGCCTGTCAAGACCGGTTACATGACTCCCAACTATGAATCCCACCCGCCAACTCTCGAGATCGGCCAGGACGCGTGGTCGCAGCAGTTCCAGGCGGCCCTTACCATGTCCGACGGCGCAGAAAGGCTGCAAGCACGCCGCAAGAGCGTCCACTTTGACGAAGACCAGGTCATGCCTGGGATGCCGTACGATCTCGCCGAGGCCCAGCAGCACACCACTGCGATCCCTGGTGCGACCAGCATGTGGGAGGAAGGCATTAGCGGGCTCGCCGTCGACGAGGACCTCGATGACGACTTTGACACCGAGATGCTCCAGCACTTCAACGGCATGCCCCGCGTCGCCAGTGAGAGCGCATACGGCCCCGCCGCCCACGAGGGATGGGGCGTGCTCCAGGACGGATGGGAGGAGCAGGTCGGCGCCGTCCACGGCCCCACTGCTGAGCCGTACCTCTTCCACACGTCCAACCCGTACGCACTCGGTTCCCCAATCGTGCGTGAGCTATCACCCACGACGATGGGTGTGCTCGAACTGGAAGCTGCCGTCCAGCAGGACCCCCGTGACGCAGCCGCCTGGCTCGCTCTGGGCCTGAAGCAGCAGGAGAATGAACGTGAGGACGCCGCCATCCGCGCCCTCGCCAAGGCGACCCAGCTCGCACCGGACACTCGCGAAGCATACCTCGCCCTGGCCGTCAGCTACGTGAACGAGAACCAGCTTTCAAAGGCACACGCTTCGCTTGAAAAGTGGATCGAGCTTGGTCAGCCCGAGGCCCTCCTCTCCCAGACTCCCGGTGAGACTGCAGCCGAGCGCCAGGCACGCATCATTTCCCGCCTCATCGACATTGCCCGCCAGAACCCCCACGACCTCGACGTCGACGTCCAGGTGGCCCTGGGTGTGCTCTTCAACTCTAGCGAGGTGCGTGTAAGTTCGTTTTTCTAGAGGGGGGAGTAACCACGGCCGGTGCCCCGCAGGTGCGCCGGCCGTGGTCCACTCCACTGTCGGTGATCGCCGGGACAGGGCCGGTCGGTTGCCGCGGCGCCGGGGTGTGCCGGAATCGCCGAGTCATCCCCGGCTTTGGGTGTCGATCTCTTTTCTATCTGGACCAACCGTTGCATAGGGGGAACCTTCCGCTGACAAGGGTACAGGATTACGCCAAGGCCGAGGACTGCTTCAACGCCGCGCTCGAGGCCCGCCCCACCGACTGGGTGCTGTACAACCGTCTGGGCGCGACGCTCGCCAACTCGGGCCGCTCGCACGAAGCCATCAAGTACTACCACAAGGCGCTGGGCATGCACCCCAACTTTGTCCGCGCCCAGTTCAACTTGGGTATCTCGTACATCAACTTGGCGCAGTACCGCCTTGCCGCGCAGTGTATCCTCGACGCCATCCGCCTGCAGCACGCAGACGTTACGGAGGGGTACGGGGCCGGTACCAACGAAGGCGGGTCGTTTACAAAGGGCGTGACCAGCGATGCCCTCTGGACCACGCTCCGCATGGCCTGTCTCCACCTCCAGAGGCCCGACCTGGTCAACCTCGCCAACCAGCAGGACCTCAATGGTGAGCACAAGGCCATTCGTGAATGACGGAATAGGTCGGCTGACGGGCATTTGCAGGATTCCCCCTCGAGATCTAAAAGTCTTCATCCCAACGCACCCACCAGAGTGGCGCTGCGCAGGTAATTATATCGAGCCGTGTTGCGTCTCTATTTCTCCATAGCTGCAGTTGTATGCATTTACCGACACGCCCCCCGTTGACATCTTACGCCATGGCCCATACACAATGGAGGGTTACGAGTACAGACCGATCCAATTAAACGTTTACAACTACTGCAGACAGAGACTACTTGGCCTTGCCTTTCCCCTTCCAGAGGCGCTTCATCATCTGCTTGGACCCAGAACGCTCCAACTCGCCAGCGGAAGGGGGTACCAGCGTCTGCGCCGGCGCTGACTCTGGTTCCGATGCGGGCGTAGGAGTAGACCTCGAGCTGGACGAGCTCGGCGTCTGCGTCTTGGACGCTGTCGTTTCCGTCTCGGTCTCCCCTGCCGTCGTCGGCGTCGCCGTCGTCGTCGCGCCCGTGCCGGCCATGCTCATGGCCAGACTGTTGCTCATCCCGCCATCAAAACTACTCCGGCTCGCAGAGTCCAGACTGGAGCGGCTAGCCCAGCGCTCCGTGCCGGCCATGGCGAGGTCGACGGTGCTGGCCGCGGTGCTCCCCGAGGCGCTATGGGCCGCGCGGATGGTCGCGAAGCGGTTGTCAAGCGGCGGGGAGGGGAACGCCGAAAGTGACATTGCTACTGGTGAGTCGGTGGGCGGGGTGCCGCTGTTGACGATGAATGCTGGGGCTGGGGCCGGCCCGGTGTATGTGCCCGTTGGCGAGAGGAGGGTTTCGGGGCTGATTGTGGAGACGGGCGCGTGGGGGTTGGGTGACGCGAGCGGCGAGCTCTTGGCTGGCGTGTACCTGGCCTCCTCGGCTTTACTCAAACTCTCCTTGCTCCTCTTTGCCTCGTCTTTGCTGCTTCTCCGGCTATCGATGCTCTTGCGGAGATGGAGGCTGAAGTTGCTGGATCGGCGCCCGTCCTTGTCCTTTCCCTTGCCCTTATCCGGAGCAGTGAGATAGACACCTCTGCGCCTCTGCGCCCGTCCGTTCATGCGGTCGACCATTTCTCTCGAGAACGGCCACAGCTCCGCCTTGGTGGGCTCGGCGAGCAGCTCGTGCTCGATGGCACTTTTGCGCTTCTCCTCCAGTTTCATGCGTTCCTGGACCAGCGAGTGGGTCGACAGACGCGTCCACGTTTCGATAATATGGCGCCGTTCAGTCGGGCTGAGCGACTTGGCCGCTTCGTGACTCTGCCACTCGCGTGCATCGCAGAGCACCGAGGTGTTTTCGATAAAGCCCTCACGAGCCATTCGGGAGCGTGCACCGCGAGACATACCAGCTACTGGGTGGATAATAAGACCAAGAGTGGCGCCAGCTGGGCGCGCAGCGAGGTTGAGGGCTGCAAAGTGTCAGCCATACGCCCACGGAGCTGCCCAAAAACTCACATCCTCGGATGGCACCACTGATGAAGCCGCCGATACCGTTCTGCCTGAACCCCTGATAGGGCTCTGTCACGACACCAGTGATGCCATCATAGAGACCGTACCCAAGGCCCTTGACGCCCTCTGCCATGCCGCTCCGGAACGAGTCGACCTTGCCGCGCTTGCGGACCGGGGAGCCCATGATGCCGGGGATGTTCTCCAGACCCTCTTGGAATGCCGAGACGGCTGACAACGAGGCTCACAGTCAGTGCTAGGAGTGGGCAGAAAGCTTACCTTTTGGGACGCCCAGCAGTAGATTGCTGAATCCGCGGGTCTGACGTTAGCTTCGATGTTAAGATTAATTGAGCTCACCGGCGCATAAAGGAGCTGGCCGGCGCCGGACACGGCCTGTCCACCAACATTGACAATTGACTGGCCCAGCGCAGTGAACGGGTCGGTGTAGTGGCGCGTCGCCTCATACTCCATTGGACCTACGAGTTAGCCAGTCCGCGTGGAGTCAACTCACGGTGTGGAACAAAGTCGCGCCAGTTGAGCAGCTTCTCCTCGACAAGCACCGCGGCCACAGCACCGGACACGCGAAGAGCTTGGCGGTCATTCCACCAGATCGCGCTGCGCGTATCGTCCACCTGGCACCTGGGATTGTTAGCTATACCTCTCAACGGACGATATGATAGCTAACCTCATGTTTAGGAGTGGCAGGTGGCGATGGAAACTCGCTATACCTGCCGTTGTCGACTGCTCCGAGCGAATCTTGTATCCGAGCTCCTGCGCGGCCTCGCGCGTGCCCTTGGAGAAGCAAAACTGGATCGCTTCGGCGAGGTTTTCGGCGGTGAGGTCTGCGTGAGGGATTGGGGCCGGGCCCGCTCCCGCATGGGCAACAGCTTTTCCCCAGAACCTGGACGTTAGCTTTGGGGAGCATTCACCAAGCTCACCATTGGTCGCCAAAGAATGGCACGACGATTGTTGGGACGCCACACCTCAACCCAGCAGAGGTTGTTCCAGCACCTAAAGAGTTAAACCTGCCTTAGGGTACGATAACTCACCTCCATGGTGACACACAGCGGCAACACGTCCTTCGGCGAACAGCCAGTCATGGGGTATATCGCCTTTGCGTTAGATATGTCGCCTACATGACCCACCTTTCACGATGAACACGTCCTCCGGTAGCTTTAGGTCCGGTCCGCCTAGATCCGCCCAACCCGCACTGATGATAGCCCGGACCTTGGCCTTGGCAACGGCCGCGAGAATGGTATCTGATAATTAGCAGGTTGCGGTCGCTTCGAAGTCTCTTGCGACCTACTAGTCAACGCGTCGGGGTCCTTGACGACAATGGAACCGAAGCTGATGGGTCAGCACGTGGGTTAGGATTATCCACCCACCCAATGTAGACTGGCGGCTCTCCCATAGCTAGGAACTCGAGCAACGCGAGGTCGGGCTTGGCCACCTTCTTGGTTGGCATGGAATAGAACCCCACAACGTCTGCTGTCAGCTGAAGGCTCTTAGCGATGCCAGCTTACCGATATTGGACTTCCAATCGTGTGGCTTGGGAAGAAGATTCTCGCTCCAGGCGTACGTGACTGGAATCTTGAGACGTTCAAGAACACGCGGACCAGCCGTGAGCTTGAGGGGTTGCAACCCGAGGATGCCGAAACGGAACGTGTTGATGATATCGCCCAGTCCTTGCCACATCCTGGGGTCAGCTCTTGGTCGCAAAGGCGACGAAGCTCACAAAGCGTCCGCCACCACGTAACTCGAGTAGTGGTTCACCGACTCCTCTGACCTGTTGGTCTTGGCCGTGACCAGTGGATGAGGGAAGGCTGTCGTCGGTGTCCATGGCATAGCTGAGCGTTAGTCGACACCCGGGCCTGGTAACGCACTAAAGCTCATGACAAGCGGGATGCCTAGTGCCTCGGCGACATGAACATGCGCAAACGCCGGCGGGTTGCTGATGATTGCGTCGGCGCCGAATGGCTGCTTGGTACTCTCATTGGGAACAAAACAGGCTCGGTAGCAACCCATCAGCATGGTCTTGACCATTGCACGTTTCTGCTTGATATCGCCGTTCCATACCGCGGACAAGCCGGGGACGAGGCCCGGGTTGCGCACCATGTATGCCATGAGCTGGTGAGGGTCTCCGCCAATGGAGAAGAACTCCAGCAGTCCCGTGAGTGGGGTTCCCGAGGCGGAGGTCAGACCTGCGAGGTGGACACTGGCGTCGGCCACCAGCTTGGCAAAAGCCGGATGTGTAGCAATGCGCACGCGATGGCCATGGTTGATGATTAGCTGCAGCGCGAGGGCAAGGTAGGGTTGAATATCGCCTGCTGGGTCAGAAAGGTTCAGCCGACATAACCCACCCCTGGATCCAACGAGGAAGATGACAATGTTGAGCGGTGGACAGTCGTTGAAATTGACCGGATCGACGTCTTCCTCCGGCGGTGTCGGCGGCTCGTACGGCGCAGGCGAGGTATCAAGGTCGTCAACGTACACGTCCACCTTGCCGGAGCTGCTGATACCTGTAGACCAAGGTAGCTCAATCTCGGGAGGGTCGCCATAGTCGGACAAGAAAGGGTCGTAGGCTGTAATGTGAGCAGAGTTGTCAAGGGCGGGCAAGCGATCACTCACGCTCCTCTGTGTCGCCCTCACCCGCTTCCTTGGATGCAAAGCGCTTCCTCGCCTCGGCTCGCGCAGCGATAGAAGATAGTGAGGGGCCTGATGATGGTCCAGATGACGGCCCAGCTTGCTGAATGTACGGCGGTGGAGGGCGACTGTCATCGCCCAGCGTCCTCCGTCGCCCCTGCAGAATATCGGCCTTCAGATTGTCTGCCATCGGTGGGATGCGAGCGGAATCGAATCTAAGAGATCGAGCGAGCTTGCCAGAAGAGTGGAGTGGGAGGACGATACGTTTGTGATGCGTTTGTGTTGCAACTGTGTGCACAAGTGAAAGAGATCCACAGACTTGGCGTTCCGTCGGAGGGCCGGCGGGGACGGGAGCTCGCTTCGTGGTGTCTTCCTGAGCTAAGAGAACTGGGTGGGTCCGTGATGGATGAGGGAGGGATGGATGCTGTGCACGAGGTGACACGTCGTGCGATGGAGTCTTTTGGTGTACGCCAACAGGCCAACGATGGAGCAACAATGACGATTCAACGATGTCGTTGCTCCAACTTGGCTGCTGGCTGCTGGGCTGGGTGGAGACATCCGCGGTTATGACGCAATCATATCGTCCACCCGGATCCCATCGCGGCACCCTGGTGATGCCGTTGTGCCTTTGCCAGCAACAACTGCAGCCACGGTCCAACGTCCTCGAACAGCACAGCAAAATCGCAACAACGGGTCTGTCTACACAGCTTGGGCGCAATTGGGCGGCTGAGAGGGGTAAGCGAATTTGAGATCCCGGAATTGCTCTGTTATCGCCAGGTGGAACAACGGGCCGGTCTCGCCGGTTCAACTTGTGTCACACGATTGCAACATCTCTGCCAAGACATGGTTGCTTCTATTACAGTTTACAACTGAGCAGCCTATGTAGACTAATGGTACACTATAGATGGGCTTGATCACCGATGCTGTTTGCCGGAGACGCCAAACTGTTCAGCCCAACGCACAAACCATAGGGCCAATGCCGGCGCTTACATCCGCTAAGCGAAAAACGACACCTGCTCGCCCACGTCCGACTCGACGGGCCAGTGTGCAAACGTCCGGTCGAGAAACGCATCCCGGTCCATGGCAGCGATACAGGGGACACCATAGTACTCGATCTTGGAGAACGTCGACTCGGGGAGAGCGTCTGGGTCGAGGTCGTCGTCGTCGGTCGGGTCTGCACCTTCGGCAATGGCCTCGAGGAGCTCGTCACGCGCATGCAAGCCAAACACTCGACGCAGGTGCATGCGCACCAGAGCACCGTGCGATGCACAGCCCGTGTCGGGGTCGTCCCACCTGTTGGCCGAGCATGGGGAGCACGGCGTGCAGTGGATCCGAGAGATGGGGCCGAGAACAGGCGGGAAATCCGACCCGACACCGTGATACTCTACGCTTTCGGGTGCCCAGTCGATGAGGAGGACGGCGAGGACACGCGCGAGCAGAACGGGGTCGAACACGCCGGCACCGCTGCGCGAGTGGGGGTAGTCGATGCGGAGATGCTTAGGCCGGAGGTGAGCAACGAGGGTCTCGCCCACGAAGGCGCTGCCGGAACGGGGTCGTCCAAATGCCGCAAGACCCGAGTTGACGAGGTGCCGGAACACTGGCGCTGCGAGTGTCACCTCGTCGAGAACGGGGAAGAGCTGGTCGTGTGCCAACAGCGCTTCAGCTAATGCAAGGGCACCTGCCTGGTCGACCACGCTGAGCCGCCGTACATGCCCCAGCATCTCGGCCTTGCGGTTCGGCCTACTAACGTACGCAGCTGATCCGCCCGCCTCAGCGCTGCGAGACTCGAGGGCCGACGCCGACAGAAAGTCGATTCCGAGACCGACAAACAACCGCTCCCTGTTGGCTTTGGATACAGAGACGGAGGCGTACAGTGCGGGCGTGAGCCGTGCATTCCATGAATGAGACACAAGAGCTGCGCTGGCGAGTTCTGCTGGCGACAAGTCCTCGAGATACTGAAAGATCAGGATCTGGAGTTCTGGGGCGAGATCATGAAGACGGAAAGTGCCGGAAAGGCCGTGTGGATCGGGAGAGGAGAGGCGGGTGGGGGCACGTGAGTCGCGCGGTGTGGAGGGGCCCGAGCCCCTTGGAGAGTTGTATGGATGTGATCCATGGGCCATCGTGAGTCGAGAGATAAGTAGAAAGACGGTCGAATGAAAGAACCTGGAGGAGATCTCGATGATGATTCATGTCCGCGACCGGATGAACCGGCCGTTGGTGCCGTGGGGCGCCAGGCAAGACACGGCGTCGGACTCACGCGACCAAATTGTTGTGATCACTTCGTCCGTTTTGCCCACCATACTCAACAGGCTCTTACTCGATGGTAGCTGCAGTCGCAGACATCCCACCTCCATCTCTATCAGTTCCATCATTGCTGGCAAGACTGTCAACATTGCGGTCGCGGTTCTGTTACAGTGGCCCGGCAATGTATGGCGGCTATTGAGCGAGCCGACCGACACAGCGACAGTCCAAGCTCGTGTTGCCATTGCTGCGGTTAGGTTAGATATCGCTGGTCCTATATTGGCTCTCAAAGGCTTCGATACCTTCGTCGCGATAGACGCTCTGGCGGCCCGCTGACTCTTAAAGGTGGGCAGTGATCGCAGTGATGCAGAGACCGTCCCAGCTGACAAATCCGTAGGGCATGGTGCGCAGGCAGGTGTACGCCTTCTCTCGGTTACCGCCAGCGCACCGGCTTGCGTAGGCCTCGTGCAGCTGCGGGTGGTGGCCCAAGGGCAGCCGTTGCTGAGCAAACCAGCATCTGGCTGCAAGGTCTTCGCAACGCTACTGACTGGCAACATGTTCTACGTGTTGAGGTTCGTAGGCATTACGCACACGCCAGGTGCACAGGCACCATTGCCCACCACCCCAACAAGCGAGATCTAACGATAACGCCAATCGACGGCGTCGGTGTTCCTCGGCTGCTCGTCCAACGGTGCACTCCCACACCTGAAGGTCAATGTCCAAGGGTGAATCGAGGCACCACCTCTGAACACTCAAAGCAGAAGTCGAAACAAGCTCAAACGATGTGGCTTCCGACTGCGGTTCGATAGCAGCGGCAGCCGCCCTCCCTCGTTGACCAGTTGCCTTGCAATGCCCTTGGTTGGAGCCGGGACATTTACCGGGCGGCACACAACAGGATACCGGCATAACGGCTGTTTTAGCTTGTTCGGCCACGGCCGTCGTAACGATACGTTGATAGGAGTCCACCGCGGGCCTTGCAAAGAGGTCCAAGAGCGAATACGAAACTCGGCACACGACTGTCGTGAGGCCCAGACATGGTTAATGACGTATTTGCCTTGGTATGGTTATCTCGGGCAACGTGCCTCTACCAATGCCCGCGCCTTCTTCTAGCGAGGGTGGGCTGGGAAGCTAGTCACAACGGGGGGCGTTGCAGGAAAGCCGACTTGCACATGTGGGTCAGGTGGGTTACATGCGGGGCATGAGGGACCAGGTCCACTAGCTTGCCAATTTGCTTGTTGCGGACCCAAGAACACCTCCGATCGTCATATAACAGGATTGAGTCAGGTGTCACGGAGGGAGAATGAGAACCCCCCCCATCGAGCCAACAGCTCAGCTAGCTCACCATGCTCGCCTCAACCCTCCTCGCCCTTCTACCGCTGCTGGTTGCTCCGGTTGCCGCAGCCCCAACCCCGATCCCGGTTCACCACCTCCAGAAACGCTGGAATGAGTGCTGGGGTTACAACTCGGCCGGATGCCCCTACAGTGACGTTGGATCTCACGGCGCTGTTGCCACGGTAGGTCGGGGGTATCTCGAGTTGGAAGCTGATAGGCAGGAAGTTGGCACATGTTCGGCTTATGGTGTTCAAATCTTGCAGCAAGGTGGCAGTGCTGCTGACTGTGAGTTCCAGCGGCATTGGTCGGGTGGATGTGGCGGGGCTGACCGATAGCTATAATCGCCTCGGCGCTCTGTGTCGGTGTCATTAGTGCCTACCACTCTGGCATCGGAGGTGTAAGTGCCAATCCCGCTGTCTCTCTGCTGACGGACAGGGTGGCTTCATGGTCATTCGCTTCAAGAACGCCGACGGGTCGCACGGTTACGAGCAGATTGATTTCCGCGAGACCATGCCGGCGGCTGGAAACGAGACAATGTACTCTCAGCACGGTGCCAACGAGACGCAGTCCACTATCGGTGGCCTCGCTGTGGGTGTTCCCGGCGAAATGCGCGGTACGTTGTCTGAGTTATGCGTGCTGCCATGGACTGATTCTGTTCCAGCTTGGGAACTGCTACACAAGCGCCACGGCAAGCTTCCGTGGAAGGCTTTGTTTAAGCCTGCCATCGAGGTAGCTCGTGGCGGCTTCCCAGTCAACTATGATCTCGCTGGCTTCCTCACCGGGTACCCCATGATGCTCACCGACCCCCTGTGGTCAGAGGTGTACGCACCGAATGGCACGCTTGCCCAGGAAGGCGACATTATCTACAAGCACCGCTTGGCCAACACCCTTGAGCGTATCTCCAAAGAGGGCGCGGGTGTCTTCTACGACAAGCACTCTAGTATTGCAAAGAACACCATCAAGGCTATCAAGAACGCTACGCCTCCCGGAATCATGACCTTGGACGACTTGGCGGGTTACAAAGCCATTCTGCGCAACGCATCGTCCATTACGTACCGCGGTAAAAAGCTCTTTTCGACAACCGCACCTAGCTCCGGCGCTATTGTCCTGTCCAGCCTCAAGATCTTTGAAGGGTTCGACGGTTCGGCTTCCGACACGGACCCAACTATCAACCTCACCCTCCACCGACGTAAGTACAGTAGCCCCTTTCCTGTCTGACGGTATCCCCTCAGTCATCGAGGCAGACCAGCTTGCATATGGCCAGCGCACTACACTGGGCGACCCGGCCTTCACCGCCAATGTCAGCACACTCGAGGCATCGTACCTCACCGACGCCGTTGCCGCGGCGGCTCGGGCCAAGATTGTAGACAACTCGACCTTCCCCGTAACCTACTATGACCCGACCACGTATATTCCTTCTCCTCCCGAGGGCGGTACCAGTCACCTCGCCGTCGTTGGTCCAGACGGTGATGCAGTCAGCCTGACCACGACCGTCAACCTCATTTGGGGTTCCCGAGTTAGTGAGTACCATGTCAAGCTGTAGTGAGCTAGCTACAATTGCCGGCTGACATGCAGTGACCGAGGACGGGTTCGTTCTCAACGACGAGATGGACGACTTTAGCTCCCCCGGCCAGACCAACGCGTTTGGCTTTGCTGCCAACCCCATCAACTTTATTCAGCCTGGCAAGCGGCCCCAGTCCAGTATCGCTTCGAGCCTCGTCGAGGATGAGAACGGCGACCTCATCTTTGCCACTGGTTCGGCCGGCGGCAGCCGCATCATCACGGCCACGCTCCAGGAGCTGTACCACTTCCTCGACCAGGACCTCAACGCGACACAGTGCACCCGCCAGTGAGTAGAGTGGATGCCAATGACCGGTGACCGCGTGCTGATTTCCAAGTCCCCGCTGGCATGACCAGCTCTCGGGCAAAACCTACTTTGACTACGACGAGCCGTGGAGGCCCATCCCGCTCGCAGGTTTTGACAACGGCACAGTCGAGTACTTCCGCGCCATGGGTTACAATGTCACGTACCAGGAGCCGTACTCGACGTCTACAAGCCACGCGATTGGTCGGCTTGCAGGCGGTGACTGGCTGGCGGCCTCTGACCCGCGCAAGCCGGCCGGGCATGGTCAGGCCTTCTAAGCTGCCAGTATATCTGTTACAGGAGCTATGAAAAGAACAATGGTAGGACATGAAGAGTCGTTGTGCCCTTAAATGAATAATAAGTCTTTGTTGAGAGGGCATTACGAATGGGTGAATGTTGATGACACGATGCTGTCTGGACAGTAACGAGACCTGGCCTGAAACAGAAGGCCAACCTGGTAAGTATGTACATATGTACATGTATCACAGTATTCGCTACACCCTATGGCTGCTCTTCATGCATGCTCCTCCTCTCCCCCAGTGTGGCCAGCAGCCACGTTGCTCGTCGGAGCCGATGGCGGTTCCAGCTCACAGCCAGCCTTGCCCTCCGAGAGCAGACGTGGTCCGCTACGCGCGCCGATGCCGTATGCCTTGTCCATGTCGCCGTCGTAGAAGTAGCTGAACACGCTGATGGAGCGGTTCAGGTTCGATTCGCGGCGGGGGGCAAGGGCAAGACCGCGCTCGGTGAAGACCTGTTCTGTCCTCGACGTGACGAACATTCTCTTGGTAATGATGTAGAATGATTCGATCACGTCGAGGAGGAGCGTCTCCGCCGACGGGACACCGACGTCCGCGACCAAGCTGGCAAGGGTTGAGCGAGGGGTGATACAGTAGACGATATACACATGGTCGCTGTCGTCCTGCTCGGTTAGGCGATATCCTCAACGATGAACCTACCTTGTAGCCAATGCTGTAGTGTGGCACGTCGCTGCCTCGGCTCTTGGCCTTCTCGACCTCGTTCGCTCGGTATCGCGCGTAGTCGTGTTCCTTGACGATACGGCGGACCAGGTCCACCGAGAGCGTCCGTCGTAGTCGCCGTTGGGCGAGAGGTCGCTGTAGACGCCGGCGAGCTGCTCGTGGCGGGCATCGCGAGGAGCCTTGTCAGCGGCGTCCACTTGCTCGGCACTGTAGGAGCCTGTGGTCATAATGGCTTTCCACAGCGCCGACAAGCGAGCGAACGCGTTGTTTGTGATCACCTCCGCGAAGAAGTGATCATCGCGACGGCTGAACAGGGTCTTCATCTCCGCACCGATGGCGGGTGTGTCGAAGACAATGGCGCAAATGGAATTGATGCAGCTCTTGACGTACTCGTAGCCGAACCGAATGGGGGGCGTCGGCGGAGGGCGTCGGCGACGGAGCGGGGCATGGCCGCCAGAGTTGTGTCGGCGAGCAGCGTCTTCAGAGGACGCAGCAGCTTGACCTCGGACTGGTCAATACGCACGCGCGTCGAGTCGGAAGTGACGTCGACGATGATGCGGGGACGGGGCTTGGAGCCGTGTGAGGGCTGATGTGATTGGCATTGTCCAGGAGTTGGGTGATAGAGGGGCCCTGGGTGCGTTTGTCGTCTTCTGTCGGGAATCACGCAGTATGTCATTCATGGGATATGTCTTGCGTGTTTTTTAGTGGTCAGAGATGTGGGAGCCATTTTTGGGTGGACTGCTTGGTGGGAAAGGAGAAGATGGACTAAGGTGAACAACTTGGTCGTCTTAATATATAGGTGTTCAGGTGAGGTGACCCAGAAGTCAGCCGCGTCCGGACATTACGGCGTTATTTTTACCATTTATGTTAGGCCTACGCGCCTAGGTGAGAGGGTGCAGTCCCGGCGTTCCGGCGCCGGCTGATTGAAAAACAAATAGAATAAAAAGCCCCCAGTTTACCGAGCCCTCGCACCCACCAGAGTGCTCCTGTGCCAGCGATGTTCGCTGATGGTAGAACCAAAGTCGGGCCGCAACCGATGATTGTGCAGCTGACCTTGATTGTTCTTCGGCAGCACACGCACATGTTCAGGCGCAATGGTCCGCATTGCGGGCAGACAGCTCGGTTTCAGACCCCATTGAGCTATCGAGTTGACTTCGGCTGCGGTGTGCCGATGGCTTGCCGCAGAGGGGGACACCGAGACACCGGTGCGTCGGTGACCGGTGGACTAATCCCCGCCACTAGTGAACCAAACATGCAATTTTGTCTTCGGGAACAACCCTACAGATCTAGGATCATTCTACATATCTTCCCGTCGTTATCCTCGCCCCCATCCACCTCCACCACTGGCCCGGTAGGCGAGGCCGTCCGCATCGTGCAAATGGCCTGGCGCAAACCGCATTGGAAACTTCGGATCGGCACGCACATTCGGCAGTCGGCCCGAATGGGCCACCGATCACGGAGGGTTTTGGACCTTCCGCAGTACCGCCACCCTTTTACTCCTATGTTCCCCGGAGCGGAGCCCGCTTAACCTTGACTCGGGGTGGAAAGAGCCTCTATTGCTCCTTTGATTGCTCCATTGCTTACGACCCGCCGCCGTCACGTAGGGTAACACCACTTGCTTCCGCTGCCAACCGAGTCAAAGCCCCACCCCCCGCCTTTTCGGGAGCGTTGCCGAAACCGACCCGGCGATCTTGTCAGCTCCATCGAACGCCTCTTTCACTCCGGGGCATATAAGTGATCAAGTCCGGGGCAACATTGGGTCCCCTCGCCATCACCCCCGCTCTCCACAGCATCCAGTGTTACAAGGACCAGACATGGGTGGATTCAAGATCATCGAGGACCGCCCGACGCCCAAGTGCGTCTACAACGCGCGCGTCTATCTCCAGGCAACAGTCGTTGGTGAGTCGCCGTGCGAGCTCTTGGGGTTCAATTTTGCTCGCAACAGCGCTGACAAGACCTAGCATTTGGCGCTTTAACTTTCGGATATGATGGAGGTACGTTTACGCGGAAAGATCGCGTTTGGCAAGAGAACTCACAGGCAGCCTTCTTTGGAACGACGGTTGCGCGCACGAAGTTCAAGTCGGACTTTGGTATTACCGACTCGCAAGCCATTAGCAATTTGACGTCCGTCTATTTAGCAGTAAGTGGGGATGCTGAATAGTGTCATTATAAATTTTCTAATGGTTTTAGGGAGCCTTCTTTGGCGCGTTGGCTGCATGGCCTGGTGAGTTTCCTCGATCCTCAGTGACTGCAGGCGGCTGACGACTCCAGCCATGGAGCGCTTTGGTCGTCGTATGCCGCTTCAGATTGCCTCGATCGTGTTCGTCGTCGGCGCTATCCTCATGGTGGCCACCAGCCACAGCCTTGGCATGATGTACGCCGGCCGTGTCATCACGGGTCTCGGTGTGGGCACTCTGACAGCTGTCATCCCAACGTACATTTCGGAAATCGCCCCACCTGCGCTCCGTGGAACGCTGACAGGTACGTGGCACACATACCGGTCTCGACACTAACAGCCCAGGTCTCTTCGAAGTCTGCTACCAGGCCGGCTCGCTCGTTGGTTTCTGGATCAACTACGGCATCAACCACCACGTCGACGTTAACACTGCTCTGGCCTGGCGTATCCCCATGGCCGTGCAGCTCATTCCCGGCGGTCTCCTCGGCCTCGGCACGCTCATCCTCAGGGAGTCGCCCCCATGGCTCTTCCGCAAGGGCCGCGACGACGAAGCTCTCGAGGTTCTCTCGTACATCCGCAAGCTTCCCGCAGACGACAAGTACATCCAGGAGGAGGTCGGCATGATCCAGTCTCTCATGGCTGAGGAGGCACTCATCACGGGCGGCGAACACGGAATGATGGCATACCTCCGCGGAGCTTTCGGATTGCTCAAAACCAAGAACATTCGCCACCGCGTCGCTGTCGTCTTCTTCATGTTCCTCTTCCAGAACTGGAGCGGAGCAATTGTAATCAATTATTACTCTCCAAGCATCTTCAAGAGCGTTGGCATCGTCGACTACACCTTGTACACTGGAATCTACGGACTGGTGAAGGCCATCGGGTCGTTTATTTTCTTCCTGTTCGTGGTCGATCGTTCGGGGCGTCGTGTCCCCTGGCTGCTTTCCGCCACTGTGTGCGCCGGGTGCCTGCTCTACCTGGGAATCTACGTCAAGGTTGCCGCACCCGCCGCGGGCAAGACCATGTCGGCTTCGTCGCAGGCTGGTGGCAACGCGGCGATTTTCTTCATCATGCTCTACTCGCTCTTCTGGTCGTTTGGTGGCAACGGACTGCCCTGGATGTAAGTGGCGGCTGCCGTACCCATTGGAACACTGCTGACTTCCCAGTGTTTCGTCTGAGATGTTCCCCATCAGCCTGCGTTCCATCACTGGAGCGTTCGCCGCAATGTGCCAATGGTAGGTCCCATTTCTATGGTGATAGTAACTAACAATCCAGGCTCTTCTCCTTCTCGTCCACCATGGCCGCTACCCAGCTCCAGCTCAAGCTCAAATGGGGTCTGTTCGTCTTTTTCGCTGCCATCTGTCTCGTCACCGCCATCTTCACGTTCTTCTGGGTCCCCGACACCAAGGGTATCCCCATCGAGTGCATGGAGGCTCTCTTCTCCGGCCGCTCGCGCCACGCCCAGTTCCTGCAGAAGAAGGTGTTCCCGCCCAACGGTATCCCTCCCTTCCCTGGAAACCTCCATGCTCCCGTCACCCGCCAGAAGTCGGTCACCTCGCAGAAGGATGCCGACGGCATGTTTGAGCACTCTGAAGCTTAGAGTGTGGAGGCGTGGAGACGATGTTTATAGGACTTAATAGTATCTGGGATGTACAGCACAAGCTAATGGCGCTTGCGTGAAGCGAAACTCGTGCGTCTTGCCACGCGGGTTTCTGGAGCCGTGCCAACTCGCACCGCATACCTTCTGTGTCACCCGGGGTTGGCTTTCCCTGTTACTGGCCCCACAACGCCGATGGAAGGGCGATGGGTCACCAGACATTGCCTGACACCACTTGGAATTCCGGAGCTATCCGGCATCCACCACATGGAACCTCGGGATCTCGGATCGGCCCGATATTCAGGGTCCAAGATGTTTCGGGCATAGCCGGATCTCCGTTTTTTTTTGGGACGCGTCGGCGACTTCAACTAAACTTCACCCCCGCCGTTCAAAAACGATGCCTGTTGCTTTCCAAACTTCCCGAGGATGCATGGACATGCAGAGGGGCAAAAGAGATACACCGTAAGGGAGTCGAACCCCTGCCGCGTCGAGATTGCACGTGGCAACGACGCATGATACCGTTTCACCAACGGTGTTATATATTTATTAAAAATCGATGGTCGTGTCGAGCGCTCTCTCTCATCGCGCTCTGAAGCTAACCTGGTCTTTCCTGGACGCTCAGGTGTCTGCCTCGTGCTGGCGAGCTGGGCATCAATGTACATTACATAGCTGAAGAGTGCACAGAAAGATCCAGGAGGTTACTACACGATCCAAGTGGTGTTTACAGCGTGAAGTCCAGCTCCAGTGATGAGCTGTGTCTCGTATCTCTTTCTCCCACGCCTTGAGCCCACTCTTCGCCGTCCCAGTTGGTCCCCGAAGGCTTCCAGTCAGTCCCGACAGACGAGATCGTGCTCATGGTCGGCGATGCGGGAATGGTGTGGCAGAAGTCCGACCACTTTGGCTCTTGCCCAGGAGCAAACTCTGTGGGGACGCAGGGGCTTGCAGCAGTGTCGATGCCCAGTTCAATGGCGAGAACGTTGGGGCTCTCGGGGGGCGTGAGGGTCGGGAGGACGGGGACCTGGAGTAAGGAAAGCGTTGGAGACGTGGGCGACGGTGGCAGCTTGGCTACGATCCGGAGCAAGGGCCGGGGGGCAACAGCGGTCGCCGGCAGAGGATAGGTGCGAGAGAGCTGGTCGGTGACTCCACTCACAACCTCGGCCTGTTGCTGGTAACTGAGCTTGGAAGTGGCGAGAATGCTTGTGACGGTCTCAAAAATGTAGCCGTGGAGCACTTCCTGGTTGTGGGATTCGTTGTTATTGTCGTTGTCGGGACTGGAATTGGGGCTGGGCCACGGGGGCAGTGGCTCAGACGAGGGCGCTGGCAGTTCTGTGCGTGGGACGCAAGGACCTGTGGGCGTTGAGTAGAGGCCTGTGGTGTCGCTGATCGGTGTCAAGGGGTCTGCGGGGCGCTGGCGGCACTGAGCGCAAAAGCACGGAATCACTGGTGGGGGGAGCGCAGGTTGAGGCGAAGGGGTGGTCTTGAGCTCGCTCCAGTGTCAGTGAAGACCTGGGTATGCAAACTCACGTTTGGACCAGGATGGGTTCACTGTCCGGTGGGATAGACGTGAGAGTGCTCGTTGACGAGGCGCTACTGTAACTTTGGCTCTCGCTGTCTTGTTAGATAACGCACTAGCACTCTCGCAGAACTGCTCACTTCGGTGAGGAGCCTGCCGCGTAGCTACGGATGGTGGCTGGACGGAGGGTGGGAGCTGGGATGACTTGAGACGTGACCTCGACGTCGGCGGACAGGCGAGGCCTCTTGGCCCTCCTCTTGGACCTGTTGTTCGTGGGGGGAGGCGAGCCAGACATTGCGGAGTGAGTTGGGGAGTGGTTATGATGGATGGTCGAGTGGAGAGAAAGTTGCTTAAAGGTTGGAAAGAGGTGGTCAAAGAACGAGGGGGTGTCTTATAGTATATCAAGCACGACGCGTCGGCTTTGACCAGCAGACCAGGCGCAAAAAAAGAGTGCGGTGATCCATGTTGACATACCGTATCCCCCGTGTGTGACGACGGGCGCTGTACTGCACGCCCTAGTCGCGCGCCAGTCGTGCTGTACGCTCGAGGATCAGTGGAGGGGGGACTCGTGGGGGTGAATTGCGCCCTTTCTGAGCTTCGGAGCGGCGACTGCAAACTCCGCCACTCGCTCACCGGCCACCACGGGCCTCGGGGGGATGTAGTCGTGGCGGGGCGTAGGACGCTCGAGACACTTTTGAGCGGTCAGTACGGTCAGTGCAGTAGGTCGACGCGAGCAGTGCTTCTGACGACAGATTGGCGGTCACGCGGCCCCAGATGTGACACCACGACACCATGAGCTATTGCCACTTCTGAGGGGGCGCCCACAAGGAGGTGCTGCATAGGTATATAGGTAAACAAATGTAACAGTCACGCTGCAGGCATTGGCCGGTAAACAGCTCTTGGACCGTGTAGCCTACCGGCTCCGCACCAACAACTCTCCCCAATGCGAACATATACAGACGAGGGTCCGAGCCAGCATTGGCAGGGGCACGGAGGATGACCGTCTCGGTCTTGCCGTTGACCGTGTCAAACCGGATTGTGACTTCGTGAATGTCACTTCTGATGGGCGACTTGTCCGATCGGATGGTGAACACTCCCCAGGTCATACCGATCATGTCGTCCGTAGAGGTGTCGGGCCTCAAGGTGGACGAGATGCGGACCTGGCTCTCCATGGTCATGGTGACCCAGAACACCGGGTTGAGGCGCTGCTGGATACCGACGGAGGCGAAGTCAAGATGGAAGAAGGCAGCCACGATACTGCGGAGCTGAGCAATCGACACGTACCCAGGCGTGCGGGTATCGTGCCTGACATCGAGCTCGTGCAGTATGTAGTGGCTGACCTGGTCGACCACCTCTCGATCCATGGGGTTGCCCGTGTTCTGCTCCCAAACGGTCTTGAAGCTCTTACACGCTGTGATGACCGTGGAGAGCGCCACCGTCTCGACGATCATGCCCGTCATGACGTGTGCGAGGTACATCATGAACGTCACCAGGGTCTTGAATGGAGGCGACGGGGCGTCGGCGACCATTACTTCTTGAGCTGAGGAAGGGCCGGCGGAGTCGGAGGTGGCCGGCGGAAAACATGCAGCGAGCGCGCCTTGGTCTTTCACTTCATGAATGAAATTCATGAAATGACCGTAGACGCTGTCGCGGGAACGTGCAGCGCTAGTAGCACCTCCAGCACTGACGTCGCCGTTGTGCGAGTCATCGGGCACGGGCTCGGACGAAGAGGCCCGACTGGTTGGACCGGACATCTTGCGAAGATGAGGGGAGTAGTTGCGGGGCCGGGGACCTCGTGAAGGGGGATCAATGAGCCCGCCCTTGTGAAGGGGGAGCGATACGGTGATGTTCGGAGGACATATTGGAAGGGTGTAGTGGGTGAATGGGGAATGACTGTTGATCCCAAAGGCAGTCGCAAAGCAGTGATGCTGACGCAAAGCCTGTCGGAATGAAGAAGAATGCAGAGTGAAGATATAACTACGGGAAATTACAATTTAAATACTAGATGTGAGGGTGTATTTGATACCGTGTGTGGCACACCAACAAAGCCATGCCCTGCGCGGAGGAGCGGGTGGGGTGGAAGGCGGTCGCGTCAGCGATCAGCTTCTTCTCATCATTTGCAACACGCCCACGCCCACTCCTTCCGCCATCTTCAGATCTCTCGCTCGATCGCTCGCTACTTCCTCTTCTACATTGCCATCGCGATACTGCGCGGACTTTGTCGGACACGACGTTAGCTTGCCATCCACTGCCACCATTGCGTGGCTTCGACGGTCAATCCGCCACGGCGGGCGGATGGCCACCAGGTCCGTCACCGCCAACTCAAGCGCCGAAGCCCCATGGGATCTCCAGCGTGAGGTATATGTACGGCATGCATTATCATACGTGGACCGTAGGCTGACGCTTTTCTCAGGTCTTCGTCATGTTCAAGATATCATTCCAGCGGCAAACTACGAGCTCGCGGGCGAGCTTACTATCATCTTCAATGTCACTGAATACGCCGTCCACTTCATCAACTTGTTCCTCCTCCACCATGCAGCCTACACTTTAAACGACGAGACACAGACGTTCCCTTACCCCTCGCGTGCGACCCTCTCGGGCTGGCTTAGGTCACTTCAATACACGGCCGTGACGATCACGTCGTGCAGCGGCTTCCGCCACTTTGTCGAGATAATCACCAAGGCTGTCCAGGCGGTCGCGCCGACCTATTTGCAGTCTGTCCGACTGCAGTTCACCGTGAGCTTCTTCAAGGAAGTGATTGGGGCACGTCAAGCCGCCTCCCGCGGCCTTACAACGGCCGCCAAGTACAAGCTCTTCGTCGCCGACGTCGAGGGTCTGGTGGCGCTGCCTATGCGAGTGGAGGTCCTGAGCCTCACGTACACGGACGACCACAGAAGCAACAGCGAGGGAATTTTGCTCCCTTCCTTCAACGTATGGTCGCCAAATGGGGTCCGTATCTACGCCATCTCGAACACTGTGGCGTCCGGCATGCGCATTACATCCCTATCGCCAATGTCCGCACCCCAGTGTTCAGACTTCGTCCTGTCCCAATGTTCGCCAAAGAAGATGAATTCACGTTGACCCTCGAGTGGGACCGGCTTGAGGATTTCGCCATCGAGGAGCTCGACGACGTTAAGGCTAATTGCCGTGCCCCCCACGACGAGGGGCTCGTCGACGCTATCAACGAAGCTGCAAGCCAACCCCAGACCCTGCGCGAAATGGTCATCTTCAACAATGTCCATCACGACGCGCGTGTCGCAAGTTCCACTGGCCAGGCCGAAAATGTCTTCACGCGGAGCAACAACACTGTTCCCCACTCGTGCGCCAGTGTATACAGCGGCGTAAAGCACATATTCAACCCAGCCATCCTCACTGCCGACGAGCTGAGTGTTTGAAGCAAGATGTATATGTTGGCTTGTGTGTCCACGGCCCGCTGTAGATATGGTAGTTTTGTATGTATCTTGGCTTGTACTTTGACATTGCCTGCATGGCCATGCCGCAGCCATCACGCCACAGTTTGCTCGTCGGTGTGGGAAAACTGGGGGGGGGTGGCCCGATGATTCATACGGCAGTGAGACGGGGCCACCACACAAGGCGTGGGATGGTCTGGCCCTTTGTGTACATAACATGCAACTGTAGATAATGCAGAGAATGCTCGTAGTCGGTAGAGCATGAGCATGGGTAAAAGCAAGGATGGCTCTGTGGCGCGTGTAACTCTGTTTGTGCGCGTACAGACTGGGTCTAGGTATCCTTTTGGGACCACGTTGTACAAAATACAATTTCTATGTATGTAGCAATCACTGCCTCCCATACTTGGCCTTCAAATGCCAGCTCGACTGCCACCCGACCAGAGCCAGACACGTCATGAACGCCCAGATGAGGTTACCGCCGAGCGCATGCCTGTCGACAGACAGCGCGAACAGAGAGTTGGCAGCACTGGGACCCACAACGCGCGTGGCCGAGGAGAACATGGCTGCAAGGCCGTTCAAGGCACCGAGGGAGCGGCGGTTAGGCACCGCATCGTTGGTCATGATCAGGTTGCTCGCAAACGCCATGTTGGAGATGGCTCCAAGAGCAAGTACGACGGCGACACCCACCCAAACGGGAGCGGGCGCGCCGGCACGAGCAAGCACGTTGAGGAGCGGGAGGAGGAGGAATGTCGGTATGTAGAGCACGACGAGGATCCGGAACAGTCGCGTGTTGCCGACGGCTCGCACGAGGTGAGGAAAGGCGAACAGCTGCACTGCGATAGTGGCGACGCCGCGAATACTGAGCGCTGTGCCAATCTGTGCTTCGGAAAATCCAAGCCCTCCGTCGCGGACTGGCGTGAAGAAGAACAGTGGCAGGAGAGCCTGATAGGCGATTGATTCGAGGGACATAACAGTGAAGCTCCACATGAGGACGCGGATGTCTGCGTTTTGAAGAAGCTTGAAGGCCCCGTGACTCTCCTCCTCTTGTTCGTCTTCGTCCGTGCAGTCCTCAGCAGTCTTCTTTGGAGGCAGTGTCTCCTCCATCCAGACAGCGGCGATGATGCCGCTCACGATGGGAAAGCAGGCAGCGGCGACCGACGGAAGAAGGTACGGGTATGCTCGGAGAATAGGGTATGAGTCCCCCAGTGAGGGGAACGTACGTGCAATGTTGGACAGGTAGCCACCCATACACGACGCGAGAATGCTGCCGATCGCCAGGGATAGGGGGAAGAAGCTAAACGCGCGGGCCTGATTGGTCTCATCGGTGAGCTCGCCAATGACGCTTTTCAGAACCGCAACGTTGCCATTTGCAAGGCCGTTGATGGCCCTCGTGATTACGAGGGCTGTGAAGCTCCTGCTGGCACCGAACGCAATGGCCGACACAGCGCCGACAGCGCAGCCGATGAGGAGAACGGGCTTGCGTCCTATCCTGTCGCTGACCTTTCCCCAGTGAAACACGGTGAGGAGCTCGGTGAATGCAAAGACAGACTCGACCTGCATGTCAGCTAAGGAAGCGATAGCGAGCACTCACAATACCGGCGTAGAATCCAGCCTTCTTGGGGTCATCCACAGCCCCAATATCGAGGAGCATTTGGTTGATGAACGGAAAGCATACCATATATGCTATCGGCTCCGTCACGCGAAGGAACAGAACGATGAGCAGCTGTGCGATGGGCAATGGCGTGGGCGGGACGACACACTTGAGGAGTGGTGTCATTTCATCCACATCGCTCGAAACCTCGGTACGATCCTGCTCCGAGGAGGGCGCACTTGTCCCCACACGACCGCGTTGGGAGCTATGTTCGTTTCCGCCATTGCCGTTGGAGCCATAATGGCGGACGCTGCTCTCCAGTGCTGCGGCGGTCATGTCTGGTGGTGACTTGCTGAGAGAATGGATGGTGGGAACAGTGGGCATGCAGCTCTGTTGTGGAGATGTACCGGCCGGTGAAGTGTGTTGGCCCGGCACCGGACGACCGACCGACGAGGTACAACTGATTTACTCATCTCCGGCGCGGAATTTGGTCGTTTTCCGTGCATTAGTGTGGAGGCCGTGGAGGCCATACTCAGGTATACCGAGGATTCATGTTGTGAACCCCCCATGCATAGCTGTCGAGCTGCATTGGAGTCCGCGGATCGTAGGAACAATGTCTGTAAAAGGGAAAGGGTCCGGCGCCGGTCCGCCGGTCCGGCCAACTCCGATTCTTTGTCACCTCCACTTAGTCAGTCCACCTGCTGACCGTGGCTTTTGGTCAGCTTGGAGCGAACAGACTGATTGAGACGGGAGAGTAGTGGACCAGACCGTTGCCGCTATGGTTCAGGCCTTCAACGCGTACACTTTGAATACCTCTGCTGGCTTTTCCTGTTAAAGCAGGGTGACGTGACGCGACGCGAAAGCGGGACGTGAGGCACATGCCTCACGTCGCAACGGATGACGGCTGGCCGTCTGACCCCAGAGGCCATGGACTTCTCTGTGGCGACACCCTCGATCATGCCAATCAACCACGACACGCAACCGCATCTGATGGGACGCCGTCATTGCACTTGCTTGTTTCTGGTTCAGTGAGCCGAAAACGACGTTGCTTAGGATACAGCCGAACATGATACTGTCTGACATGACACACCCAGCGTGTCAAGCTCATGCGTGGCCCCCAGCCAGGCCATAACTCTCCGACGGCAAATCCAGCGCTCCCCCTCTGTCGTGCAGGTGCAAGGTTTATTCGTAGGTTCGTTCCCATCAAGCTCTGCAACATGCCGTATCTGGCTGCCGCTGCCCGGGGAATGCGGGTCTCACTGTCCCGTTCAATCGTAGCAGAAAGACAGGAAATTCGTGGCTTTGACGCTGTGGTGTAGACAAGAAGGGCTGGCGCCTGCTGCACTCCACCAAATGCCCTGGAAGGAACTGTGGCTGCACAGCTCTTTGTCATACGCCTGGGAACCTCTTGAGAGGTTGGTGAGATGGAAGATGTTAATATGGTAACGCGGTGGCTGAAGCCTGTGCAACAACATTGCCAGCGGCCGTCGGATGAGCCATGAACATTAACTGGCCAAACTGATGTTCGCCCGTTGTGTCGTATGTCATAACCAATCTCGGCGTGGGCACAGCTCATCCCCACTTGTACGGAAATCTCAACATTGCCATGGACAACGTGACGACCCACATTAACGCGCTGTGACCGAATCTGCGATCCTCAGCGCTTGGGTGGTCGTATAACATTGACATTGTTGCCAGAGGGGTGCCCAGGGCAATTTCAAGGGCCTTTCCAGGGGGGTGCGGGAGACACGCGTAAGCATTCCGTGTCACCGGCGCACAGGGGTACACTGGGCAGATGTCCTGTCCCAATGTCCATCGTTCAGCAGAAGGTGGCATGCTGTTCTGGTAGCTAGGAGACTCATTTGGGCCATCGTTCGGCCGGCCACCTGTTGCAATGATGTTGCCCGCCATATAAGTTTGAGATATTTTACAGTGGCTGCTGTATCCCCATCCTCCCCGCGGACCCTCCTCAACTCTCTCCCTTCCGACTCCCCTCGACGTCTTTCAATCCTTCGAAATGGCTCCTTATGCTCGCCTATTCACCGCCCTGGCACTTCTGTCCGTCATTCGTGCCGACCTAGACAACCCTGCGAAGGTCGACCCAATCATTGTTGGTCCCCCAACTGAACCCAATGCCACCACCACCCGAGAGTCCACCTCCGCCAGTACTCCCAGCCCGTCCGATGCTCCCACTCCTAGCACTACACCAACAGAGACAACTACCGACACAACAACTACCGAGACGACCAGCCCAGGGTCAAGCGCCACCAACAGCTCGAACACTGCTCCTACCCGTCTCAGCAACTGGGCCGTTAAGAAGACGTACCAAGGCAATGATTTCTACAACGGCTTCGAATTTGTGACATTCGATGACCCCACCAAGGGCCGCACCAAGTGAGTAGCCACATGCATCACCACTGTGTGGTTTATCCTAATAACCGTCAGCTACCTCGACCAGCAAACTGCCAAGAACCGTGGCCTGGCATGGGTGAACAACGGACAGTTTGGCATGGCTGTCGACTCGACAAACGTCGTCGACCCCAGTGCTCGTGGCCGCGACTCCGTCCGTATTCAGAGTCACGACTACTTTGCCGGCGACATGCTCGTCATTGCCGACATCGCCCACATGCCAGAAGGCTGCTCCACCTGGCCCGCCTTCTGGACCATTGGTACAGGCGAGTGGCCGTCTGGAGGGGAGATTGACATTATCGAGGGGAACAACGACCTCAGTACCAACCTTATCACTGTCCACACCGGCAATGACGCTCAATGCACGATGCCCTGGAAGTCGGGTGAAGTTAACCCAGACCTCTACACCGCCACTCCCAAGGCGAGCACCTGTGACGGCGCTGCTGGCTGCAACTTTGTTTCGACCGACTCTGCGTCGTTTGGACCAGGATTGAACGCGGCCGGCGGAGGGTATTACATCCTGCGACGCACCTCGGAGTACATTGCGGCCTGGTTCTATCCACGCACCGCGGAGGTCCCCGACATCGTCTCGAACCCCGGCGACACCTTTGACGAGACCCAGCTAGGCACCATGACCGCCTACTTCCCCAACACCAACTGCGACCTTGCCAACGACCTCACCGAGCAACAGCTCATCTTCAACATTGCCATGTGTGGCGGTTGGGCGGAGAGTGGGTGGGCTGCCTCGCCTTGCAAGAGCCAGTGGGGAGACTGCTCCGACTACGTCAACAACCACCCAGAGGGCTTCAAGGATGCCTATTGGCTCATCAACGGTGTCCGCGTCTACGGGACGAGCTGAGTAAAAGAACGCTATCATGGCCAACCTTTTGTTATAGAATTATACTTGAACATTTCTGTAGATAAATAACGCTTCTGCGTACTGTATCACGTACGAGAATGGACCATTGGACACTTCCTATCTGCTTCAGGTTGACCGAAAGGCGGAACAGGTTGATCGGCTGCCACTTTTCCGCGTTACGGCGGATGGGATCGATCGCGTTGGTTCACGACGACTCATACCCCAGCAGGCTATCTACCTCGGTAGGCAGGTAGTGGCCATCCTAGCGTGGCCTGGGATGTAAGGCTCACTAATCGGGCGCTCCGCATGCAGCAAGCTCCTTATCCGGCGTCGGCGTCTTCGGATGCGCGGAAATGACGCGGAACGGACCGCACCCCTCCGTTCCTCCGATGGAACTGGTTGATCCGGCACCCGGTGCTGAATTGGCACTTTCTGGGTCATCTGACAGGCTCTCCTGCACACAGTCTCTTCGCTTGGCACCAATGGGCATCTGAACCCTTTGAATGTTGCTACCTCCCCCTTCCTGCCGCGTACGTTAGCGGCCGCGCTGGGTTTATTGGCAGCTACGTAGCGGGGAGGAGGGAGGTGCCAGAGGCGTCGTTTGTCAAGGTGGCAAGGGCGTCGGTGGCGTAGGGTTGTGCCGGTCATGCGCTCGAGTCGTCCTGTACTCCACAGTCTGGAATGTGGGCAATCAATGCCATGCCGCAGCGGAAGTACGCAGTGGATTCCCCAATGGATCCTTTACGTCCCACTCGACGTCGGCCGCGACTAGCCAAATATAGCGGAAAGGGCGGTATGGCAGCGGAAACGCGGACGTCTAGCCGAGATAGATTCATCAAGTGGGCCCGAGATAACCAAGGGCACAGCACATCATGTGCTTCTCGCCGGTCAGCCACTGCTAGGATAGTCTCCATGTTGACAGCTCGTCGCAAGTAAAGGGTACGCGGTCAACAGCTATGCATCTGGGATTTCTACCATTTTCGGACATTTACAGATCCAGCCTCTTTGGGCTGTCCTCTAACCTCAACTCTTCACAGGGTCGTGCGACCGTCGGACCGGAAGGGAGGCACGAGACCTGCCTGGCGACCCGCATGTGTAATAGAGTGGTCGTGAACATCCACACATGAGAAGGCTGCGGTGTCAGCTAGAGAACACGCTTCGAGGCCAACTCACTCTCTGTCCAGGTGCTGTAAGGCTCAGGGGGGACCGGCTGGTACTGCGGCTGGTGGTTGACCGAGTACGGCTGGTTGTAGCTGACAGGGCGGTCAGGACCAGACATGCCCGGCATGGCTTCGCCCCTGCGTTGTTAGCTGAGAAACCCTCCCAGCAGGCGCAAACTCACTCTGTCGGCAGATATTCCGGGCGCTGAAGCGAAGACTCGACCCTAGGTCGTCAGCAACGGGGGATGGGGGGAGTTCGCAGGAGCACTCACCAGGACTTGTCATAGGGAGTACGGAAAGTGGTGAGCACGTGCAGGTGCCAGATCCTCCAACCACCGTCCTCGCGCACAAAGTCGACAGCGTAACGCCCCCAGCTCCAGTGAGGACGCATGGTGTCACCCATGGGGAAGGTCTCGTGGCCAGGCGAGATCCAGACACCCTTGGCAGTTTGGCGGTCGTCGGCAATCTCAATGATGCCAGTGGTGAGAGTGTGCTCAATCATGAGACCCTTGGTAGTAGGCGGGAACGGGTTTCCCTTGACTGTGTGAGTGTCAGTACTGAAGTAGTGCCATGTTACCCACCATAGTTCTGCTGCATTGCCTCGTGACCGGTCCACCCTCCCCAGTCCTCAGGCTCAAAGATGATGTCGGAGCGCTTTGACCAGAGCTGCTCGACCTCAATGTCGTGGCGGCCAGCAGAGTGAAGGTAAGCGCGGTGGGCCCTAGAGGTAAGCAAAGTGACCTGGTGACAGACCTACATAAGCTTGTCGATGGCACGCTCATCTTCGAGCCGGAGGATGCGGTTGACAAGTTGAGTGACAACGTCGTCGGTTGGGACACGGGTGGCTTTACCGTTAGTGGACTCGTTGGTGATAGTCATTGCTGTTGTTGGTACGTGGTTGGAAGACTGTGAACTTGTTGGAACGTGTCTGGACAGCTTAAGTATGGCCGGCCGGGCGCTGGGGTGCAGCAAAGCTCATCGATAGGACGGAGGAGATCCAACCGAACGGCCGAGCAGAACTAGCCACGAGGAGGGCTACAAAACATTTGGGGCACTCCACAGCATACGTCCGTACATGCATAGATGCCAAGGCGGAGCAGCGGACATGCTAACAGCTGACAACGACAGTGCTGTCCACGGCAAGAAACAGCGAGCACTGGCCCCGCCGGAGAAGTGCCACTGTCAAATTCCAGGGCCAAAGCGATGGCCCCGCAGTGGGGCTAATTTTGGCGCCGCGGGTCCCCCGCGCAGCACCGGGGTCCGGCAAACCACCCACCGCTCCGCACCTGCATACCTGGGTTCATGTGATAGCCCTCTCGCTTCCAGACCATACTCATGACTAGATACCCGTTCTTGGATCACTGACCTTGTCGGACATCAGAACTCCTTGCCTCCCAGCATTCATGCTGATGAGTTTGGGTGTCCGGAGGCCACCCTTGTGGGCGTGTTATAAACGAAAACGAGACCACGACGACGTCCCCTTCGTATCCCAACAACAACATCAACCGGTACTGCCCTTCAGGAACGACACTACAACCTTCAAGCCAGACATTGCAGTCACATTAGGCATGACTACTGAAGCTGTCTCTCCCACAGCCGACCTTGACGATATCAAGGCCGAGGTCGACCACCATGAGGACAGCAAGGGCGAGGACGGCCCGGACGTCCCCGACGACGACCCCAGGTGGCTCACAGCCTGGAAGCTCTGGCTTTCTCTTCTTGGCATGATGTTTGGTCAGTATTGGACCCACCATGGCCGCTGACTTGAGCAGCCCAGTTCATGACCTCCTTGGTCGGCAACATGTTGTCGCCGGCTTTCTCAATTAGTTTGTCTCGTACCCCATGAGTAACACTGACGTCAGTCGTCGGTAACTTCAACGCTGCCTCCAAGTTTGGGTGGGTAAGCAGCGCATTCTTTATGGCCCAGTGCCCTTGCATGCTCCTTTATGGGCAGATTTGTAGGTTCAGCTGTTATTTTACTCCTGCTCACTGACCGCAGTGTCCGCCTTTGATGGCAAAAATGTTCTTCTTTCTGCCATCGGTTTCTTCACTGTGGGTGCCCATGGTCCTGTGGCAAGACTAACAGTAGCTTGGCGCTGTTGTCTGTGGTTCCGCTCAGAACATCGATGCGGTCATTATTGGCCGTGCCATTGCTGGCATTGGCGCCGCTGGCAGTATGTCCTGGATCCCTTATCGCTGCTGACAACAAAGTCTGGGTCGGCGTGCTATCACTCATTGCTTCTGTTGTCCCCCTGACCCGCCGTCCTTTGATCATGGGTCTTTTTGGTTTTGCAAACCTCGTAGCCAACGGCTGTGGACCTGTTCTTGCCGGCTATTTTGCCGACTCGGTCACTTGGCGCCTGTGCTTTCTGTTCGCCCTGCCCCTCGCTGCCATTACTGTCACCACTATCTGGTTCCTAGGTAAGTTGTTTCGGTTTCGGTCTTCCACCTGTAAGGAAAGTTAACCACACAGTTCCAAAGCAGCAAATCCTTCGCCCTTTCGCCGACCATGCTGCAGAGCGCCTCGATAAGCGCTGGGGACAGTTTTCCAAGTCGGACCCTAAGCGCTCCTCGGTTGGGTACCGTCTCCTCGGTGTCGACTGGATCGGCTTCGTGCTCGTCAGCGGTGCTGTCATTTGCCTCCAGATAGCCATCCAGGACGGTGGGAGTGCCTACTCATGGACCTCGGGACACATCCTGGCTCTCATTATTGGTGGTTTTGGCGGCCTTCTCGTTGTTTTCATCGCCTGGCAATGGCATGAGGGAGAGGCGGCGCTGATGCCCCTCGTGCTCTTCCGTAACCGCACTCAATTCGGTGGTTGTCTCCTGTCCATGTCGACCCTCTACGCCAACCTCATCGGCGTCATCATGCTCCCATACTTCTTTGAAGTGGCTCTGGGATCAACTGCTCTCCAGGCGGGGTATCAGATTCTCCCTTAGTAAGTGCCACATTTCCGCTGGGCACTGACCCACCCAGCCTCCTGGTCACCATTGTCTTCTCGTTCGTCGCCGGTTGGGTCACCACCAAGACCGGCCACTACTACCAGTGGCTCATTATCGGTCCTTGCTTCATGATTGTCGCCGGTGCCGTATATTACACCATGCCCTCGGCGCCGACCACCGGACAACTGTACGGCTACCAGATCCTCTTCGCTGCTGGTGTTGGCTTCACTCAACAGCAAATCTACGTTTGTATCCAGGCCATATCCAAGCAGGAGGACATCCACCTCCGCATCGCTGCCGTCTCGTTCGCAGAGCTTTTCGGTGGTGCCATTGCACCGACTATCAGTACGACCATTCTGCGCAATAAACTGGCCGCAAACCTCGCCACGTACGCTCCCGTGAGTTAAAACGCATCTTGACCAGTTCTAACAATCAGGACGCCCCCGCGACCGTTACTTCAGACACGACTCTCATCGGCACGCTTTCAACTGAGCTGGCTCACGCAGTCCGCCTCGCCTACATCAAGTCTCTCCAGCCCATCTTTATCCAGCTTTGCGCCATGGGTGCGATCTCGATCATCGCAGCCGTCGTGCTTATTAAGCCTGTCAACCTCAAGAAGGTTAAGATGATGGGCTTTGCTGGCCACTAGGTCGATGGAATTGGAGTCTGTGTCCAGTGGGTGTGCGTCTGGTTAGTATGCGTCTAGTGGGGAGAGGTCCAATGTTGTTGTGGTAAGGGGAGTGTGCGCTGTAGTGGGGTGCTTGCACCCGTGACTGGATAGCGGAAGGAATGATGCAAAATGTGTTGAAAATCACGAAAAAGAAAATCGCGAAAATAGGATCATGAGCTTTCCTTACTGTGCTTGATAACAGTGTCCGTTATCCGTGTCCAGAGGGAGATCAGAGCTAGAGCTGCGTGCAAACGCCAGTCGGGAACGTCACGTCCGTCGGAGAAGGGCGGGAAAGACAAAGCCGCCATTCCCACTGAGACAATATAAGAGGTCGAGCGGACACCCCCTTCACTGCCCATCCCACCGTTTTTCTCCCAAGAACTCCACCGAGTCACTCTCCAACCATGATTGTCGGACTCGTCGAGGGCACCCAAGGACAGGCGGTACTCCTTCGGACAGCCATTGAAGCCGAATTCAAGGCCGCAGGTATCTCGACCCAACATATTCTCAGCCCAGCCACCGAGACCACGCTTGAGGGCATCGATGCGCTTCTCGTCTTCCCAAACACTGCCGACGACTGTGCCTCGTCCTACCAAGCTGAATGGGCCAGTGTGGGGAAGAGGGACGGGGTTCGACTCTTTGTGCCTTTGCGAGTTTTCTGCAGCGAACTAATCCTGCGATGTGCCCAGGCTGATGCGTCTCAGCGAGTACGGCAACCCCATGGGCTTTGAGAAGGGTGACCCGCCATTTCTGGCAGCCATTCAGCCTCTGCTGGAGCACTGCGATAGCATCGGTCTAGGCGTCTGCCGTATCCTCACTGGTCCAGCAATGGACGCCGTTCTCCCAGGGTGAGCATACAGCTGCATCGCCCCTTGCCCACGGCTCACCTCTCCATCCAGGATCCTCCGCATTGAGGATGGCCACGCGACGGTCGTTGGTAAAGGCGACACCCCAATCTCCTTCGTCCACTCTCAAGACGTGGGCAGGCTCGTAGCGGCTCACTTTTGGAACGCTAAAGAGGACCTCTCTATCCTTGCCGGTGCGGTAATTGCACCGACTGGTGACCCCACGACGTATAACGGCGCATTGGCACTGGTGGCCAAGATTACGAATGTCCCAATTGACATCACCCATCGGCCACTGAACGAGGTGCCGCTGCCTGACCAGTTTGACTTCAATTACTTCCTTGACTGGCTCATGACGGCTTGGGAGACCGGGCGTGCCCATCAGACCTGCAGTGACAATGCCGAGTCGGCAGTGACCGACTTTGAATATCGGACTGTTGAGGAGGCGCTGCGTGCGGCTCTTGACCAGGCACAGCTGTAGCATCAAAGTACATGCCACACCGGTTAGATACAGGAGAGAAAGTCCATCGAAATCGTATGTTACCACCTTCCATCGCTAGTGAATCGGCCTCGGCATGCGGTCTTGGTGGTACAGGGGGACAGTCGGTGTTGACGGGGCGAGAAGCGACAATCATTGCTGATCAAGGGATTCCCCAGACGTCGGCGGACGCACAGTCGCTCCACTTCGACAGCTGGGCCAATGTTGTCCGTCTGCACCACGGTGCGACTACCTATATATGTCGTCGAGGAGGCAGAGGGCCTGCTTGGATGGCCAAGTAGACAAGGTTGGGAGAGCATCAGGGAGATTGATGGCTGTTGGTGGGACCGTTGCCTCTCGGGATGGGCGAAGGTTGTTGTGGTGGGTGTTGTTTCTTCTGCGCCTGTTGTGCCGCCTGTGATGACAGCTGGACCGGTTTGGTCTCGGTAGTTGTCTTGGCGATACCGCTCACTGGCCTTGATGTCTCATGGCTTCAGAGGATGAAGTCACAGTACCGGCAGATCCATGTCCTGTCGTCGGGAGTCGTCCAGATACAGGGGCCTTGGGAACAAAAGTCAGTCATAACAACGGCGCCAGGCACAGTAAACTGCTCACTGCCGTAGTTGTAAAAGTCGTCGTTGCGGTCTCCGAGACACCAGTAGGGCTGGCGGTAGAGGCTGATAGTATGGGGGTTGAAGTTGAAGCGCATGGGTCTGTATGTTTGGTTGTTGCGTGGTGGAAGGAGAGGAAACTGGTCCTTGGTCCGTCTGTTTTTCAGTGCAGGGGAAGGGGGTCCAAGCGACACAGCCCCGTGGAACGTTGCTGATCTGTTGGCGACATGGCCTCGACTCGCGATCAGACCGTTTCTAGGCCTCGCCATCTACGCACTGACAGGTCTAGAGGTCGGCCACTGCAAGGAGCTGCATGCGGTCTGTGAGCGGTGAGACCCTCGGTGACAAAACAACTCGCTTCGGCTATCAATACCAATCCACACAGGCCCCCTCCTGGAATCCGTGGCCGACTCACGACTCGAGTTTTGAACCGCGTGTGTTCTCTAGCGCCCGTGTGACTGACTGTGTGCTGATTGCCTTTCTTGGACCGGGCTATTCGTGCATCATGTTGGAGCAATGTCTACTGTGGTTCTATGACTAGGTCGTCGTGACGTGGTTCGTGGTGTTGTCATAATCAATTGTCGCTGTCGTCCTCTTCGGGAATGGTTTGACAGTGGATACAGTAGCCGGCATCATCATCCACCTCGCATGGGTCTAACATGTGAGCGCTGAGTTACGGTAGAAGCTCACTCACCGCCTTCGTTGTACCCATCCTCGTCTCCTTCACAAATCGACATACCCTCCTCCCAGACCATCGGTGGCAAGTGTTGCAGAGTTGAGGTTGTCGCTCAGTTTGTGCAAGCGGGAGGTTTTGTAAGAGGGTAGGCTCTCATCCTGAGGACGCAGGCTCTCTTAAATCCTTGCCGAGCCCAGAGATTACGAGGGAACCTTCGGACTAACTGTGAGAAGAGCAGTGTCGTGTGCACCGGGTATAGGCTGTGTGTCAGTTGTCGCGCCCCCATTTTCTCGTTTCGCACCTTGGGCACTGAAGGCCTTGCGTTCCCATGATATCATGCTGTTTAGGCTGGTACCGATAGGCAGAGATCCAACGCTCTCGGAGCAGTCGGCCAAACACCTGCGGATCTGTTCGGCGGCCGGACGGAGAATGTCGTGCGCGAAAGTTGGTTAGGACGGACAGAGTGGATGACGCGACGGGCGTATGTAGCTGTCGCTCCCACCACCATAATGCTTCAACGCCTGCGGAGTACTAGTACAATCTCTATGAAGAATCATACATCAGTTCTCCTGTAACTTCATCCTAGCATGAAGCACGCTGATGATGGTCAGGTCGTCCTACATACCGGATTGGGAATGCCCATCATTCGTCCGCAGAATTCGGACCATTTCGCCTTCGCCACCGCCACACCCCGTACCACCATTAGCCATCTCCTTCTGGACTTTCTGTGGAGTGGCCTACCTTAAAGGCAGACACGTTTTGAAAGGACCCCCTCAAACTCCTCACTTGCTTTCCTCATCCGTTCGGCCACAGTTGTCCACAACAAGCAACATGGAGCCGTGCAAGGGTTGTAAATGGACCGGCCGCAACCAGGGTGGTGAGCTCAGTTTCTTCAGCTCTGCCTCGCTTCGTTGCAATTCTCATTGGTATGGCCTTGCTGACAGCAGAAAAGAGCAGTGCTATGCCTGGAAGTGCAACGGCCAGTGGGTCTGTAACTTCTGCCTCCGTCCACTTGAGGTCACTACCACCATCACCGCCGCTCCTACCCCTACGGCTTCCATCTGTTCTCCCTCCTCTAACAATCCCGAACCGTTCTCGGACATGATGGAGTGGGATGGCTACCACTGGGCTGCTGAGAATGTCGAGATCAGCCGCAAGAACTCCGAGGACTTGGCCACCGACTCGTCCGGCCAGTCCTACGACGGCCAGGGCTCTCAGTACAACAACACCTCCGAGGGCAAAACTTAACTTCTCTTCCCGTGTTGAATAGCCTCAGATACCGTCCAAAGAGTGCACCCATCACTGGAAACAGCAACTCTGATCGAATAAGAGTTAAAGCGCATCAAAGGAATGCTCGAATGAAATAAAATCTCTGCTATTTGCCCAACTACGTTGGTCTCCTTGAAATCGATTCCACCTGTACAGAGTGTTATAGAAGACGGTCGTGCAATGTTGAAGAAATTTCTCAATGTATTTCACAACTTTCATTGACGTGGCTTAAGCCAATAACCCAACACGTATCCCCTCGTGTGATTGGCAGAGCCACGGCGGACAATTCTTCTGTCAGGCTCTTTTCGTATATGCATCATCCCACACTTTTGCCTCCTGAGCTCCTGAGCCTCTTTGCAACCCACTGCACTGGAACCTGCATATACTCTCAAGGTCTGGACCTTGACGCATAATATCTCTACCTCGCTGATGGTTCCTTGTGTCAGGAAGTGGGAGAGCCCGTAGCAGATGCCTCGGTGCGAAACCCATTGAGGGTCGATCGCCGCCAGACCAAACGGCTACCTCGCTTACATTGAATGAGCCCCTTCAGAGGTCAGAAAGAGCCATTGAGCGTATTGATAGACATGAGCGGCACACATTGGCAGGACTCGGTCTCTTAGACCTACAGAACGGTCTCTTGTCGGCGGCGACAAGTCCGTGAACAAAAGGGGGGTTGTACATAGGAGAACTCCGCATCGCCCTGACATGGACTCATACGTCATCGATCAGATCACTTCATGACCAATGGTACAACCTCGACCACAGTCCCAATCCCACACCTCTCATGTCTACCTGAACGATACAGGATGTTACCGGTTCCAACTATGGACGTGGAGCGGTGTCGCCACAGTCGCGAACGCGCCAAGTCCCGTGCCTCCTCGGATCTCGGTCTTCGCCGATCGACTCGACGGTTATCGTTCCTTGTGATTCTCCACTCTCTTCCGAGTCAAACCGTCGCTTACTCTGTTGCTATATAACAGCTGAACCTCACCACAGATCTTTGCCCACCCCTAGCACATCAATCGACATGACTCTGGAAAGTGCATTGAAGGCGGCTCGCGAAGCCTATGCCGAGAGGAACCCCAATTCCAAGGCAGCGTACGACACCGCCGTTCAAGTGTTGCCCGGTGGAGGTACGAGAACCACCCTCGCATGTGAACCATTCCCCATCTACATCGCCAGTGGCAAGGGTGGTGAAATGACTGATGTGGACGGGCACGTGTATAAAGACTTGTAAGTGATGTTTACCTACATCGTGGCTGACGTGTCGCAGCCTGTCCGACTTCACCAGCGGCATCTATGGCAAAAGCCACCCAGCCCTGCAAGCAGCCATCAGCAAAGCGCTCACCACGGGTGTCCAGTTTGGTGGCCATACCACTTCCGAGGCCCGCTTTGCAGCTGGTCTTGTGGCCCGGTTCCCGTCCATGGAGCTGGTGCGATTCTGTAACTCTGGAACCGAGGCCAACCTCAATGCCATCGGCGCGGCACTCAAGCACACCAAGCGTAAAAAGGTCGTAGTTTTTGAAGGAGCCTACCATGGCTCGTTGTTGTGTCGCTTCAGCCAAAATGAACCAGAGGACGTGCCCGGTGTCCTCCGTGCTCCTTATGTGAGCGAGGTTAGCCTGAGTAACAACTGATGACAGCAATTTGTGGTTGCGCCGTACAACGACCTCAAAGGCGTCAAAGCCCTTCTTGACCCCATCACAACTGAGATCGGAGCCATCCTTGTTGAACCAATGCTGGGTGCTGGCGGAGCTGTAAGTCAACCATCGACTTCGGCCAGGTAACAACTGACAACGACAGGTCCCTGGAGACCCAGTGTTCCTGGAAGGATTGCGCGAGCTGGCCACTCGAATTGGAGCTGTCTTGATCTTCGACGAGGTTCAGACCTCGCGACTATCACCAGGTGGTCGCCAAGCCCTCCTGGGGATCACACCGGACATGACCACGGTGGGCAAGTACTTTGGTGGTGGGTTTGCGTTCGGCGCGTTTGGTGGTAAGAGGGAGATCATGGACATGTGAGTTCAACCCATCAGTGTACTCCTCTGACGTGCAGGTTCGATGTCCGCCGCCCAAACCCTGTCAGCCATGGTGGCACGTTCAACAACAGCGCTCTGACGATGGTGGCTGGCGCAACTGCACTGGAGCAGATCCTCACTCCGGAAGCTCTCTCCAACCTGAATGCCCTTGGTGACACCATGCGCGACATGCTCAACTCTGGGTTCCAGACGTCCGGCGCTCCATTCAAGGTGACTGGCCTGGGATCAGTCAACCAAATCCACTGCACCCTCGCCAACGAGCTTCGTAACTCGGCTCACGACCTCCTCTTCTTCGGCCTCTTGGAGCGGGGATATTGGACTGCACAGCGCGGGACCCTTGCTCTCAACTTCCAGAACACCAGCGAGGATGTGGAAGAGTTTGTCGCCGCTGTCGTCGACGCCGCGCAGGCCGTCACCGTGGCTGCCAATGGAAATTGATTACAAACATGTTGTAAATGGCGGCTTGTCTGGAAAGTCAATTAGAAAATGCATTTGATCTCCTGTCTCTTAAACGTGCCTCCCTGTTAATTTCCGAGTGTCAACAACCCTCACCCGCCACCCAACTTGTACATTGTTCTCTTTGACTTCTTGTTAACCGCAACATGCCAGCGCCGTCGCGCCCAGGCGCGCGCGACACCATGCGTAGTGCGATACCCCTCCCTAAATCTCGACTTGCCACCTCTTCCACCTCCCGAATCCCTGCGGTCACTCCCGCCCCTCTCCGAGCCGTCGATACCCCGTTCGGCAAGATCCAACCATTGTTTGACGGATTCGATCTCGCCGAAACGAGCGACTGGCTCGAAGAGAAGACTCCTACGGCCGGAAATGTGCTCGACATTACGCACCTCTCACCGACAGACCTTGCGAATGTGTTGCAGGAAACCGAAACTGTGTTGACCGGCCGGGGCGAGCGCGAGTCGACCTATGGTTCGACGTCTTCCTGGTCTCGTTCGACCAGTGTTGCAGCCCCAAGCAAGCGTCCTGCCAGTCCCATCCACAACCCTGCCAAGCGGCGGATGACCATTTATGCGACACCTCGGCAGAAGAGTGACGACCTGTATGCGCGTAGGATCACGGATTCGGCACGCCGACCAACCCCTTCACCCCATCTTCCGACTGTTCTCCCCTCAGCGACCCCGAGGTCGATCATGGACATGCCCCGGCCTGATCATCAGCGCCGGTCTATTACCCCGATCACCTTTGCGCGTGCTTCTCATTCTCCTCCTCTACTCCAACCCCAATATCCGACAGGCCACGCGCTGCCAAGGCAACCCACTCCTCACCCTGTCGAGACTGCAGCCGCCTCGACTCCTCTCGCGGTGACTCGCGCGGCGCCGACACCAGGCGAACCTTCAAATGTTAGCCGCACCATCTCGAAGGACAAAGGGAAGGCCAAGGCAATCCCCGCAATCGCGCGTCCTCGTCCTGGTACCCGTGTTGTAATCGGCCTCGGACCAGGCGGAAAGCTCCAGACCCGCGCTGAGCGTGCAGCAGCTAGTGGACGCTCTGCGACCCTCGCACCTCGTCCCGGAAAGGCTCATCATTCGACCCCCATGGAGCCTGGTTCCAGTACCGCTCGACCCGCACCGTATACCGTGGCTCGCCCACAACCGGTTGCTCGCTCCGTTTCGCACGTCAAACCCCAGTCTGCGTCTGCGATGCTCCCCTCCCAGAGCGGTCACCCACTGCAGGAGACTCGTGCATCGTCTCCTCAGCCGGCCCGTATGTCCCGCCATGTTGAACTGGCCAACCTCGATATTCCACCTATTCGTCGCTCTTCCGCGATCGAGGAACCCTCAAGACCAGCTACGCCTGCAGAGCCAGCGCTTGTGGCTGCTACCCCTAAGTCGGTCGTGATCTCCCCGCAGCGTGCCACGCTCCCTCACGTCTCCACGTCCCCAACTGGCACGCCGGCTGTTCCATCGACCCTTCCTCGCCGCTTCTTCCCATTCTCCTTTTCTTTTCCGACCCCTTCCGCAGCCACCCCAGGACCCAACCAGACCCTCCAGTACGCCTCGCCAGCATTGTCACAAACGACCGCCGACGGCCAGGCGGAGGACTGGAACGTGTCTGTGGGGTCTGTGGCTCGCTCGGTGACACCGCGCCAGGCAACACCGCCAGCACAGACCGTGCCAGCGACATTGGCAACTCCTGCAGCCACCACACAACCGGAACGCCGTGTGTCGGCCTCGGAACGGGTCCTGAGGTTCTTCGGCGACCTCTTGCGACCTTCGCCTTCGAGTGAGCAGGAAACGCACGAGTTCACCAAAGATGAGCTGGCAACTCCAATGGACGTGGATACCGGGCCGGAAGATTTTGAGCACATGCCTCAGATGTGCCAGGTCATCAACAACCCGGTCTCTGCCATGGCCGCCACTACCGAAGCAGCAATTCAGGTAGCTCGCGATGCGCCTGCTCGCAGAGCGCCTGCACCGAAACCGCGCGTGACATCTGGGAACTTTGCCCGTCCCACCGCTGCTGCCATCGCCCGAGCCGCCGCCTCAAAGCCGGCAACGCGTCCTAATACCGTGTCAGACCGCCCGGTCGCTCCACTCCGTCGCCCTCTGGCGTCGCAACCGCAGGCGCTCAACGTCCCTCGCCCGGCCATGGTCGACATCACGCCCGACACTAGGAAGCCTTTCTGTCCACCGACCAACTCCGCTTTCGCTTCGGCGGCCCTTGCACGCCTTCCAAAGCCGGGAGCTGGCCATACGTTAGGCTCCGCTCCCATCCGCGTTCGTGACGCCGAACGTGCGCGCGACCTCGCCATCAAGTGTGCCATGTTCGAACGCGCCGGCAAGACCGAAGCTCATGTCCCGGCACCCGTACCCCGTCGCCGCGCCGAGCCCGCCGCCCCGATCCGTGGGCAAACTCCGGGCAAGGCGTCACGCTTACGCGCACTTGAGCGTGCTGCCTATGACTCGGAGGTTGCGATCCGTGCAGCGGAGAAGACCGCCGAGGATGCCAAGCTTGCTCGGGTTCGCGCCCAGGTGGAGGCCGAGCTCGACCGCCAGGCTCGGCGCGAGACGGTCGTGAGGGCCCATCCTCTACCGTCAGTGTATAAGAGAAGGCGGCTTTAGAGTGTCGGCTAGGGCCACTCCACATTGTTTTTGTTTGCTTCACGTTCCCTGTTTGTTGTTTCTATGTGTTCCACCCGCTTGCACTAGTGTCCTTGTCACCGCCAGTGCCCACTTTGCCCATATCCTATGCATTGTTGCGCACCCCGTACTCGTACTCTCCGTACTCTCTTCCTTCCATCCATTACGAGGGCTATTGCTCGCGTCTTATGTCGCCATTAGGCCGCCTATGTCTCGCCATCTGAACGCTTAGTCTCCGCCTGACAAGGGTAAACAACCACCTTATCAACCGCAGCCAATCCTCGGCAATCTGCCGGCCCGACGCCCTGGCGGACGGTCCGTCCCCCGACTCGACGCGCCGGCCATTGGCACCACGCCGATTGACTCGGTGACGGTCTTGAGGCCTCGGATCTCTTAACTTCTCGTCCACATCTCATCGTTTCTACCTTTTCTCCATCTAGCACTCTCTGTCTCTTCATCGCGTCATGCCCTCGCTCTTCAACACCACCCGCCTCCAGGGCAAGACCGGTCAGTTCTGGACTCGCACTCGTGTCCGCTCTAACGTCGACGGCGTTCTCCGCGGCGCAACGCATGACTAACACCCTCTGCAGCCGTCGTCACTGGTGCCTCTGGCGGTATCGGCGCCGCCACTGCTATCCTGTTCGCCAAGGCGGGTGCCAACCTGGTCCTGCTCGCTCGCCGCCTCGAGGCCCTCGAGGAGGTCAAGGCGCAGTGTCTCGCCGCGGCCAAGGAGTTTGGCGTCGAGATCAGCGTCCTTGTCAAGACTCTGGACGTCACCGACCGCGCGGCTGTCGACGCTCTTGTCCCGGCTCTCAAGGCCGAGGGCGTCAAGAGCTTTGACGTGCTTGTGAACAATGCCGGCGGTGCCGTGGGTACCGAGCAGGCCGGCGACATCAAGCTCGAGGACATTGACTACATGGTCGACACCAACCGTGAGTTGGCAGATCGGGGAGATGGGAGGGGGTGTTGGCATGGTGCTAACGCGACGCAGTTGTCTCGCTTATCCAGGTCACCCAGGTGTTCCTCCCCGAGATGAAGGCCCAGGACAGCGGCGTGAGTGTCTTGGCGCTAGCTGTGCTAACAGACAGCACATTATCAACATTGGCTCCCTTGCCGGCCGCGAGTCGTACGTCGGCGGTACCATCTACTGTGCCGTCAAGCAGTAAGTCACGCGAAGCAACCCTCTGCTAATTGCTAACACGCCCACAGCGCCGTCAAGGCCTTCACCCGCTCGCTCATGAAGGAGGTCGTGGCCACTGGCATCCGCTGCACAGAGGTTGCCCCCGGCTTTGTCGAGACCAACTTTGCGCGCACCCGCTTCCGCGGCGACGAGGAGAAGGCTGCGGCTGTGTACAAGGGCTTTGACCCTCGTGAGTGGTCCCCCGCCGCTGGAATGGTTGCTGTGATAACTTGCTTGTGCTGACAACCTCCAGTTGTTGCTGAGGACATTGCCGAGGAGATTGTGTGGTGCGCTCTGCGTCCCCCTCACGTCCAGATCGCCGAGCTTTGTGGGTCCAGCTTTAGTTTGCGAGAGAGCGAAGCGTAGCTGACACCACAGACGTCCTCCCCACCGCCCAGGCGTCGGCCACCATCATTGCGCGCAAGCTCTAGGCACCCACGTAAGCGTAATATATCCAAAAAACAAGCATAGCCCCGGAGGGTCAGTAGCAGAGATATGTGATGCAGAGATGTGTCTAGTACAAGAATGGTGTGAAGTGTGCGGTGGGTGTGTGGTCTATCGAGTCTACTCTCTACTGGCGGTTCTTAAAGGCACGAAGCTGGGCCATGCGGGCGTCCGGCCTGCGCGCACCGGGGACAATCGCCTGCCTGGTGCTGACTTTACGCACGATGCCCTTGAGGGCATCGCCGTAGCGGACCTGTGAGAAGTTGGCCAGACCAAAGAGCGTGACGCGGCCGTGGTAACCTCCACGGGCCGTACGGCCTGCACGGTGGACAAAGTCGAGGACGTTACGAGGAGGGTCGACGAGGTAGATGGACGAGACGGCGGGGGAAAAGTCGAGACCACGCGAGAGCATCGAGGTTGTCACGAGGACACGGGGCTCAACGTTCTCGTCCTGGGCAGCCGCGGTTTCAGTCGCAGCGGGGCTCTCTGGGACGGCGGCACGCTCGGGCTTGTGCGAGACGAGGAAAGAACGGATGGGGCTCTTGCTCTTGGGACCCTTGAACTCGGACATGGCGTCCGAGGTCCACGCAATGGTGGGAATGTCCCTGGACAGGAGGGTCTTGACCATCTGCTCGGCCTTCTTGGCGGTACCGACGAAGACGACGGCCTTTGACTTGGAGTTGAGAAGACCAGCGCCCTCGCGGTCAGCAGCGAGCTTCTCGTCCATGGCGTCCTCGGCGAAACCGCGCTTGACCTCGGCGGCAACGTCGGTGAGAGCGGTACCGCGCTTGCTCCAGGGAACGAAGCGGGTCTCGAGGTTGGTGGGAAGCTGGTGGAGGCCGGGGGAGAGGTGCTTGGCGAACGGCTTCTGTGAGAGAAGGTCGTTGGTCTTGATCGACTCGAGGAGGGCGGGCGAGAGCGTGGCAGTCACGAGGAGGATGTTGCAGTTGGGCGCCTCGGCGCGGACACGCTCGATAATGGCACCAGTCTCCTCCTTGAAGGCATCACCGAGGAGAACATCAGTCTCGTCGAGGACCAGCCAGTCAAGACGGCTAAAGTCGAGGTGGGGAGGCTTGACCACCTCCTTCTTGGGGGGCCACGAGTTGTCCTCAACCTCCTCCTGCTCTCCCTCCTCATGCGCCTCGGTGGCAGCCTCCTTGCTGGCCTCCTTGCTGGCCTCCTTGCTGGCCTCCTTGCTAGCCTCCTTGCTAGCCTCCTTGTTGGCCTCCTCCTGGGGGAAGAGAAGGTTCTTGCAGGTGGTAGCGGTAGCGAAAAGCATGTCGATACGGCCGGCACGGCGGACCGACGTGTAGTTGCCGGTACTGGCACCGACGACAGAAAGCTTGGCGTGGTGGGTGAACGACTTGGCCATGGCAGCACTCTGACGAGTGAGTTCGTGGGTAGGCTGGAGGACAAGGGCGCGGGGCTGAACGTTGGCGCCCTTCGGGGCAGTGCTGGCGGAGTCGACATTGTCGGTAGCCTTGAGGTGCTGCATGACGGGAACGAGGTAGGCGTGCGTCTTGCCACTGCCCGTCTCGGCACCGAGGATGGCACGGTGAGGGCCCTTGGCAGGGTTGGGTTCCTTCATGAGGTCGCTCGACCAAGCGAGAGACTGGACAGGCGTAGTCTTTCCATTGACAAACTTCTGGCCGAGGGCCTCGAGGAGATCGGCGCGGATACCAAACTCTCCAAAGTCGCGACGCTTTGCGCGGTCCACGGTGGCCTGGTCCTTGGGGACAGGGAACTCGCGGGGACCGGCCTGCTGGCGGTCACGCGGGTGGATGGGCTTGTCCAAGATCAAGGGGCCGTCGCCGAAGGACTCAACAGGCGCAAGCGTCTGCTCGGTACGGCCAGGGGCCTCGAAGCGGTCTTCCTTCTGAAACCTGTCGCCACGGGACTCGAAGCGGTCGTTCTTTTGGAAACGCTCGCCACGGGACTCGAAGCGGTCGTTCTTTTGGAACTTGTCGCCACGAGACTCGAAGCGGTCGTTCTTCTGGTAACGGTCACCGCGGGCCTCGAAGCGGTCGTTCTTCTGGAAACGGTCACCGCGGTCCTCACGGTCGCCCCTGCTGAAACGGTCGTCCCTCTCAAAGCGTCCGCCGCGCTCCTCGCGGTCGCCACGCTCAAACCGCTGGTTTCGCTGGGCGTAACCGCCGCCACCGCCGCCGCCGTCGCGCCTGTCGAAACGCTGGCCGCGGGACTCGTAGGCGTTGCCGTTGCCGCGCTTCTCAAAGCTGCGCTGGCCGCTATGCTCGTACGACTCGACGGGCCTGTCGCTGTCGCGGTCGCGGTCGCGCCTGTCGAAACGGCCGGGCTGGCCACCACGCTCGCGGTCGCCGGGCTTGGACATGCCGAACCTTGGCCTTTGGTGCTTGCCGCCACCGAGGGGAGTGGCCGACGCCGTAAAGGCGCGGCCTAGAACCTGGGCCAGAGGGGGTACGACCCGTGCGACGGTTGAGGCGCGGGACAGCATTGTTTTGGTGGAGTTGTTGTTGTAGTCTGGTTAGTGGCCACAGTATTTGCAGAAGTTCGACAACTGGAAATGAACGCGGAGTAACGTTACACGTGTCTTTATATGAGATCGACCACGGTGCGGAGGAGTGATAACGACGCTTTCAACCCGCGCCCGCTCGCACCATTCGAGCTGGTTAAAGAGAGCAAGCGCGTCGCTGAAATTTCTTTCTCCCATCATCCCCTCCCCAACCACCGTCGCTCTACTACTGCAACCTGTAAGTGTCTGCTCTCCCCCTCCCCTCCCCCTCCACGATGGAAACACACACGCAAATCGTTATAAATGAAGAGCGAAGAACGGATTCTTCCCATTGGCACCTCTTGACCCAGGGTTTGTCGGACGACCACCAGTACGCTGGTGGCGACGACAGGCCGATGCTCTCACTGGACATCTGATACACACGATTGTTTCCATCGTTTCCAAGACACCCTCCACTATCACTTGCCTCGTGATGGACTGTACGCTGACGCGTTCTAGCTTTCGGGGACTGCTGTACGAGCGAGACTCGGGGGATCGGCGCTGTTGTACTTTTTAGTTTGGATGGACCACTGTTTGATTTTCTGCTTTCCACCGAACACATGGCTGTACAGCGAGATCTGCACTGCACAAACCACATTGTTTGTTGAGCTTCTAGAGGGTGCATCAGATACGATACCGTACGTACACCCAGGCTAGCTAGTGTTAATGCCGTTGAGGCGCAGACAAATGCTCGAAACTTGAAGTCTGCTCCTGAGTAAAAAAAAAAAAAAGATTTCAACAGAAACAGATTGCATGAAGGGTGCTATGTTCAGACAGTTGCGGGAGATACAGAGAATGGTTAGCTTGCGCACGCGGCACAGAACTGTCAGACACTTGGGGGCGAGTCGATGTAGACGGGGTCAGCTTTTCTTGGCATTCTTGCAGGCAACAATATCGTCAGTTAGGCAAACGGTCCCAGTCCCGCAGGTACAGGCCCAGTCTGCACATGTTCGGTGGACAGAATGTCACGCGGCAGCTTGGGAAGCTTGCTCTACTGTGGGGGGCAGAGGGAGCCCTCGCCGCCGACGTACCATTCAGATCCAGCCTCACAAGCCCTCGGATGAGAGACCGTTTGGTCCATCGACATGGGGAAAAGTCGATTCTCCGAGAATAAAACGTAGCGTCAGAGCCCTTTTGAGGAGGGCACTCACGACCACGCTGCAGATAGGGGGTAGTGCAGACTAGGGATGTCCCCGGGTCAGTCGGTTGTGAGTCGCTTGCCAGTCCGTCGGCAACAGCGATAAAATCCGACGCCACGAAAAGAAGAGTGTAGGCGAGAGGATAGGCCAATGAAGTGATATACATCCCACGCTTAACGGGAAACAATGCCGTCGAAACGCTGCTTGAACCACGAGACGGTCTGCTCGGGGCGGACCTTGTGGGGAGCACCGACACGGCCGACCTTCTGCTTGCGGCGGGCGACACGCATACCGGGGCGGCCCATGATGACGTAGAAGTCCATACCGAAGATACCGATTCCGGGGTCGTACTTGATACCGAGGTCGATGTGCTCGTCGATACCGAAGCCGAAGTTGCCGGTCTCCGAGAAGTTACGGCGGCGGAGCTCGTACTCCTTGACCTTGAGGGCGCGCTCAAGGACCTCCTCGGCCTTGGGGCCGCGGATGGTGACGTGGACAGCGATCTTCTCGTTACGACGGATCGAGAACGAACGGACGGTGTAGCGAGCCTTCGAGGTGACGGGGGTCTGACCAGTGAGCTGCTCGAGCACCTTGGCGGCACGAGTAAGACGGTCACCCGACTCTCCGACGGAGATGTCTGTATAGAGTCAGCTGAAAGTTCGCACCCCGGGGAACACAGCTAGCTGTACGCACTGATGACGAGCTTCTCAATGCGAAGCTCCTTCATGGGGTTGACGGGGGCGCTCTTAGCGTCGGCCTGAAAGGTCAGCATCCAAAACTTGTTGAAACGTCGAAATGGAGGTCGACCCGTTTTGTTGTCTCGCGCCGCTCTCTGCCCAGAAACTTCAAGAAGCGATAGCCGTGCGCTCCCAGCGCACTCTCTGGGCTGAGAACGCTCGGCACCGCTCCCATCGGCCCGTTCCCCATCCTTCCGTGCCGGCTCGCCGTCCCCTTTTCCCAACTTTCTCCATCTCGCTCCCTTCTCCCCTCCGGCAGAAATTCTCGAGCGCGCGCATAGACAACGAAACGGGGTCGGATCCTGTCTTCTCTGCGAGTACGAACCATTTTGTATCTGGGATGTTGTCAGCGAGCCGTTCACACTGCTCCAGAGGTCGTCCTCGCTGCCGGGGTACTCACATTTGCTTGACGGGTTGAGGAAGCAGCAATGTCGGTTTCGACCCACAAGCACCCATGCCCGGCCGCCCCCAGGCCAGGCGCAGGCCCAAACGAGGAACGGGAAATTTCGGCGTTATACGCGTGGCTAGGTGATCTGCGGCGCATTAGGGTTGAATTTGACAAGCAATTTGTAATCGCATTTGAATCGCTTAACTGCGTTATCGCCGATAACCTCGCGAGTCTTGAACACCAGCGTCAGGAGGCCGCCAGATGTGGCGGCATGGCACACCCTGTTTGTTGGCCGCAAAATCGCAATGCCAGCGCAACCAGGGTACAGGCTTACTAGGGAAGGCAGGGAAGGTCAGACATGCCGGTACAGCAAGGACGCCGCTGCCCATCGCCTGCCAAGACTCAGAACAGTGGCGCGCAGGGGCGGACGCGGGCCGTTGGTTGGTGGTGTTTTCGCTGTGGCTGCTGTTGGCTGTGGCCGCTGTCGTCTGGCGCTCAAAGCCTGGTCATCACCGAGTGGTGCAAGCTCATGCATGCAGTGCCTCCATGGGACTCCTAGAGGATAAGATACAAAGGCGGGTGTAACAGTGCGCCAAGTGGTAGAAGCACGCTCGTTGCACAGATGTGCCACGGTGGACAACGAGAAACACGTACACAGCGAAAACACCTGCACCTCTATTTTATACTGCGTTCTCGGCGTCGCCACCGTAGCAGTGTTGCCCGGGCAGCCAGCGGTCCCGGCCCCCCGCTTTCTGTACACGGCCGCTGCCCGTTAATGCATGCAGAGACCCAATAGTGCTTTACGGGTGAGTGCACATGCATGCGGTTGCATCGCAGGTCAGAGCCACACGGAAACCAGAATTGAGTTGAAACACTGCAGAAATAACCACGTCGAAACACGATTTAATTACTGTACCCATGGCTTGCTATCGTGGTCCCTCTACGTACTGTATTGTACATTTTCAAGCGGTCACATTAATGATACCTAAGACGTTGTCGCCGTGGCGCTCTGGCAGCTCTCGGCGCATCAAACAAACAACATCATCGCATGAACTAGCGGCACAGGAAAATGCTAAAACTATGGTGGGCCTCCCGTGGCAAAAACTGTCCTCTCTCTTCGGACTCGGGAACTGAACACGACTCTGTCTCTATCTAAGTGCCCATAATGGCGATGATCTGCACCAAGGTACCACCCGCGGGGTCGTGCGTGGTCTCGAGAACCTCACACGTGAGGCTGTGCTTGCCCTGGTTGAGGTCGGTGCGGACAGGCATAGAGTAGCCGACTGTGACGTATTGCCAGAAACCAATGAGCGTCACGGCCTTGTCCTTGTTGTCGTCGACCCAGCAGAGCATGTCTCCCATGTCCTTGTTGGAGCGCTTGTAGTAGATGGACAGGCCGCCGGCGTGCGACTCCAGGTCGCTGAAGGTGACCGTTGATCCGGGCTTGTCGGACCTGTGCCACAATGTCAGCCCGAGGCAAATACATTATCGCAGCGAGTCCCAAAGCACGACTTACTGCCAGTAGCTTTTGTCGTGGATGGTCACGTTGGTAAAGCCGTCTACGCTCGAAGGCCAAAGAAGGGGCTTTCCTTCGCGCTTGGCGTTGGCCGACAGGCAGAATGGCTCGACTTCGGGCTTGAGATCAGAGTCGATGCGCTGGAAAATGCCACGGGGTGGCACGGGCCATGGGTCAATGACCCGCTCCATCATGGATCCCTTCAGAGCATCCTCGGGCAGTGCGGCTCCATGCTTTTCAAGGTAGCACACCTGCTGGAGGATGAAGCGGTACACTGAATTGTCAGGAGACTGCTTCTCACGGAACGGTCGGTGGTGGGTGACTCACAGGAATCGGCCATGTATTGGTGGTTGAGCTGAGTCTGGTGACCAAAATCGGGAAGGAGGTAGTGCGTAGTAACCTGGTCTGGGTTCTGCATGAGGTAGCGGTAGAGGTACGGGCGGTGCGAAATGCGGGGAATGTCCTAAACAGTCAGGCTTGGGCCAAAGGGAGAGCTTGACTTACATAGTACTCGGCGACGATGGCGTGGCTGTCGGCGCCGTTGATGTAGTCCTGGGTCTTGATCCACAGCGAGAGCATCATGACCGCATTGTCCTCGCGCTGCCTAAGGATGTTGCGAACAAGCACCTCGCTGTTGTAGGTGACGGCGTTCTCACGCTGTTGCCTGGCCCGCAGGTCGGTCTCGGCTTGGACTGCGTTGCCATTACTGCCATGTCAGCGCCAACCGTTACTTGTTTCACCCACATGGAGAGATCGTTCACCGCTTCCTCGATGATGATCAGGTCGGCATCGTGGTCCACATGGAGGTGGTAGCAGTAGGCAAAGTAATCAGTTCCTGTGGCACTGCGGGGGGGTCAGCCAGGGCACAACAACAACCGTCGAGAAGGGTGGAGGAAGGCGGAAGGCGGGGGAGGACAACAGGCACTTACGGAACTCCGCCGTTCTGAACTGTAATATCGGCGTCTGGGAAGAACTCCTTCAAGTTCTTCTCCAGCAGACGTGACCAGGGCCAAGGGTCGTTCTCTGGCTTGAGGTTGCGTCCGTATGTGATGGAGCCACCAACCGCACCGATGACCTTGAAGAATGTTGTCAGCTCACCGTCGAGCAACCTTGCTCCGTTCAGGGCCCAGGGGGGGGAGGGGGGTGGGGGGAGTGGCCCAGCGAAAGGCATATATGCACTCACCACCTTCTCGCCGCGCTGGATCTTTTGAATCACGCGACGGACGCGCAGGGCGCTACCAGCATGGGCGACGCTCATGTCGAGACCAAGCGATCCCCAAAGCTCGTCCATACGGTCGATTTCGGAATCGGCGGAGCACTGTCTGGCCGCTGGGCTGCTGGCGGCGGCGGCGGTGGCGGTACCAAAGGTCAGTTCGTCTGCATCGTAGTACGAGTGGTCGGGGCATCCGCCGGCGATGTACTGGCGCACTGTGGTGAGGTGCTCTGGGCGTTGGTGTGCGAGTAAGAGGAGGCCAAAGGCAGCAAGGATGAGGCACCCAAGGGCGATGAAGCGCGAGTTGCGGGGGAAAGCGCGTCCGACCAGGTAGGCACTGCCGGTTGACGCGCCCATCGTGGAGAGTTGGCGTGACCGACAAGGGTGGCTGGAGGGAGGGTTAGGCGGTTGGGACGTGTGAGGTGTGCACCAGAGGACACGGGGTGGTGGTGGTGGTGGTGGTGGTGGCTTGGTATGTGTCAAGAGAGGCCGAGACAGAGAGTGAGTGTGCGTTGAGAAGATCAGAAGGAAGCGCAAAGAGTGTAGCAAAGAGGCTGGCACGCGTCCGGCATCTGAGCCATACATGGAAGCCCATGGGCGGGAGAGAGCCCAAAGGCACACGTAGAGGTCCCCACAGATCCACAGAGTGCCCAAGGAGGCCACAGGCCACAGTGCGCCCGAGAGCAACAAGGGCGTGCAAGAGGACAAACAGACTGTGCATGGGGGCTGCGGGATCGGCGTGGGGGGTGAGGGACCGCGGGGCAAGCTGGACGTCGAGACCGTCTGGCACCAGCACACACCGTATACCCACCGTGCACACGCACAAGTTGTTGCGTTTGCATGCCTCGCCACTTGGCATCTTGGGTTTCGCCACTAGTCGTGGGCCCTTACCGTGCTGCCATTCATCGCTCGCTCGCGATCGCGCGGGTCCAGATTGGGTACTGTACGCACAGGTCTTTGCCCTGCAGCTCCTGCAGCCAGCTCCTGCAGGCCTTTTGAATCCAGCGCCCGGCGTCTTTTTTGATTTCACCCCTTTGCAGGCCCCTTGGCTAAGGTTTTCCAATTGAGCCAAAGGTGCAAAAAACGCCCAAAAAAGGTTCCGAGCACACAAAGACTATTGAGTCGGATGGGACAGAGAGGTACGGAGGAGCCGATGGCTTTTGCGCGTTCTTACAGTATACATACTCTACTGCTGCGAGACACGCGCCCCCGCCTCTTTCTCTTATCTGCATCAGTGGCAGTGGGCAGCCTCCAGTTCTTCATTCGGTGGCGCACTCAAATATATCTCACAAGTCGCCGAGCCGCGCGCAATGTCCTTTATCAGACGTGACAGACCGAGTGGCAAACACACACTGACACTGAACGGGTGCACGTTCCATATCCGCAGCCGTTTAAACTTCCGTTCCCCACTAGGCACGAACACCGGTCCGGCTTTTCTAGGGCAGGGCTAGAGCCTCTAGGAACTGTTGCTTTGGCTGTCCACACCCTCAAAGCCCTCTCTCGCGTCCTCAGCGTCGTCGCGTTCTGTCCGTGTACAGTGTATACTGGATACGTGTGAGAGTGCATGCATACAGGATAAAAGCTTGAAGGGAAAGAGAGACTCTAATCTGGGGGCCCGAGAACACTATCCAACCCCCTCCTTCTAGCGCCTCTTGGCCGGGGCCTTGCCCTTGTTCTTGTGGCCCTTCTTGGCCAGGTTGACCTTGACGGGCTTTGCGCGCATGCCCTCGTGGTCGTCGAACGCCGAGCTGCGCTTCTTCTTGGACGCCGACGACTTGGACTTGGGTGCAGTCTTCTTGGGCGCGGCCTCGGTGATCTTGGTCGGGCGGCCGGCCTTTTTGGCGTTACGGATACCGGCGGCGATGCTCTTCGAGGCAGCTTGGTCGGCAGCGTCCTCGTCGGCGGCCATCTTGCGGCGCTTCTGTCGACGCGACATGCCGTCGTACTTGCCGTGCTTCTCCTTCTTGGCCGCCTTGGCCTCCTTCTCCGCAGCCCTCTTGGCCTCGCCAGTGTGCGCAAGCTTGCCAGCGTCTGATAGAAACCCATTAGCCAAAACTGTCTAGACTACCTCTTCAAAGTGCAAACCACTCACCCTTGGAAGACTGCTTCTCCTTCTCGCTCTGGAACCAAGTACGCGCAGGGCGGGAGAAGATTTCGGCCTCGTGCTCGATAATGTTCTGACCCTTGCGGGCCTCCATGTCGGCTTGGCGCATGGCCTTCTCCTCGCGCTCCTCCTTGAGAACCTCGGTGATCTCGTCCTTCATCTCGTCGAGCTTGGCGGTCATCGCCGTGACAGCTTCCGCGGGGATGATACGGTGACGGACCTGGTCAGCCGCCGCCTGCTTGATGACCGCCTTGAGCATCTTGCGGTCAACCTCGCCGACGAGGGTGATGGAGCGACCCTTGCGGCCGGCACGGGCAGTACGACCGACACGGTGGGTGTACTGCGCAAGCTGGCCGGGCATGTCATAGTTGATAACAGTCTCGACACCCTTAATGTCGAGACCACGCGAGGCGAGGTCGGTGGCGAGGAGGTAGTCGACGTGTCCGGCCTTGAAGTCGTTGAGCGCAATGAGACGCTGCTCCTGGGTGAGGTTACCGTGGAGCTCGGCAGCCTTCATGCCGCAGAGACCAAAGACGACGCGCATCTGGTGCGCGAGGGCCTTGGAGCGGAAGAAGATGATACACTTTTCGTGGACGGTACGCTTGCACAGCGAAATGAGGGAAGGCGAACGCTGCTCGTCGGCGCGGATACGGACAAACTCCTGCGTAAGGCCCGCAGCAGTGTGGCGCTTGGCATCGACGAACACACGGACGGGCTTGTCGAGCGAGAGCTTGACGAGCTCGTCAACCGAGTCGTCCATGGTGGCGGAGAAGAGCATGGTCTGGCGAGCGCGGGGGCACTGGCGGATAATCTCCTCGAGCTCATCGTTGAAACCGGCCTCAAGCATGCGGTCTGCCTCATCGATAACGAGAATGTCCAAGGCCGAGAGGGTGAAGCTCTGGGTGTTGGTCAGGTGGTCGATAAGACGACCGGGGGTGGCGATGAGAATGTCGGGAAGGGTGCGGAGGGCGTGGGCCTGGGCGTTCAGGCTGAGACCACCGACAAGGAGGGCAAAGCGGACGTCGAGGCCACCGCGCTCAGCAAGGGCCTTGCCAACCTGTTCGCACTGCACTGCCAGTTCACGGGTGGGACACAGGACAAGCACACGGCACGCCTGGCCACCACGGCCACGGTCGCGGTATGACAGACGCTCCAGGATGGGGATCATGAAGGCGGCAGTCTTACCCGAACCAGTGACGGCGGAACCGAGAATGTCACGGCCAAGGAGAGCGAGAGGGACCGCGCGCGACTGAATGGGAGTGGGAGCAGTGAAACCGAGCGAGGTGAGGGCACGGAGCATCGGGCGCGACAGGTTCATTGACGAGAACGAAGTTGGCAGGTCGGTCTGCTCGGCGGTGGGGTCGGCGGAGAAGAAGGCGTCCTTGCGAGCCTTCTCAGCAGCAGTGTCCTCCTCAGAGTCGGCGTCCGAGTCGTCATCGTCGTCCTCATCGTCGTCGTCCTCATCCATGTCGTCATCCTCGTCATCGTCCTCGTCGTCGTCCTCCTCGTCCGCATCGTCCTGAAGCTTGACCTCAACATCCATCTCGTCGGCTGCGAGGGAAGAGTCCTCATCTTCGTCCTCTTCCATGTCCTCGTCGTCGTCATCGTCGCCCGACTCCTCCTCCTCCGAGTCCTCATCGTCGTCGAGACCCTCGGCGCGTCTCCTCTTGCGCTCGCGGTACGCCTCGAGGGGCTTGCCCGTCCTGCGAGCAATGATGTCGTCCACAGTAAGGGGAGCCTCTCCCTTGTCGCCCTTGACCTCGTCGCCGCCCCAAAGGTCGAGAACACCGGGGCCGGCATTGCCTAGGTCGAACGCAAAGTCGGGATCCAGCTCGTCGGCGGGCGCAGCGGCAGGAGTGGAAGCTCCCGACGCGCGCTTGCTGGACTCGCCGCGCGGCTCGATGGGCGTAATCGGTCCCTCGTCGTCCGAGTCGATCGTGCCGATAAAGTCGAGCGCCATGGTTGTTGGTTGGGAGCTGTTGTTATGGTGTCTGTGGACTAGCTGAACGGGCTCGATGGAAATTCTGGCAACTGGACCGTTCTGAAATGGAGTTCCGGGGGCATGTCCGCCGCGGAATCAGATTCACGTGGATTTGACTCCGCTCGCGGCGCCCCAGCAGCCACGCGTGGAGCTCCTGTTGGATGTTGGATCCATCGACATTCAACCCACTTCATTTGATCATTTTGCGTAGCTGGTCGTGGTTTCCTAGAACTCAAATGCTAGACGCGTATGGTGCTGAAGTACTCGACTTTGACACGATTCCGTGGGCACGTCGTGGAAGACTGGGCCCTCGAGACCTTGTCAGCCAACCGGTCAAGCGATTGACGCCCTTGGCGCGAGGCGTGTCTCAGCTCTCAAACTTCTTACACGTTGGCTTCTCAGCCCCTGTTGCTTCAAGTTACATCCATAACCTGACACGCCAGGGGCACATGGGGGAGGATCGCGGCGACCTCGAAGCTCGAGGCATCGAGACCAACATTTATTTGGGTGACTCTGTTCCCCGCACGCCGCCGCGCCGCCGCAGTTTGTCGGTTGTGGCCGTTACCTCGTCAGGTGGCGTTTTTTATTTTATTTTTTTTATGCGAGGCGTTCTAAAACAACCCCCTCCCCCGCGCCGCAGCGAGGACTCGCGCAGGAGATGCAGGCGACGCAGGGGACAACGCCAAACCACCTGGGCCACTGACGACATGTTGTGTCTCGCTAGCGCTTCTCTCGCCGCCGGTGTTGCGGTGTGCGCCATGTCCGACGACACAGGGGAGGGGGTGTGGACAGCAAGGGGTTGGCCAGGAATCTCACTTGCATCGCCCGTTTCCAATGGCCCATGGCCCAAATGATCCAATGATCCAACGATCTGCACCCCCGCCCACACTGGCAAACCCCCCGAGGCCCCGAAAGTAGCGCGCAGGGTGTGGGTGTGGGTGGCTGCGTGCAGTGAGGGCTGTTGCGGTATGCGACGCAAACTAGTGTGGACGGACGCGGTACCCTCGGTCACCAGAAATATATACCCCACAGGGCCACACAAAAGCCTGGCCTCGGACATACCGAGCGCAGCCCACATCCTATCGAGACGGGTGTGCGTGGGCGATCACGACAGCTCTGGGCTCTGGGTCTTGATCAAGTACCCACTGCCCCACATCTGTCCCACCGTCTGCCATACATCACGCGAGCCTCGACCGACCGGAAGACAGAAACCACCTGTCCCGAACGCCCAAGAGGCTCCAACACGCCAGATATCGGGGACCTGGGTTGTCTTTCTGGTTCCTCGGTCACCCCACACCCCCTCCTGTCGAGATCTGGAAACCCCTTGCGAGTGTCAGGATCGTGAGCAACCCTCGTCGTCAATATCTGGCACGACCTCGACCCGTCTACTTTTTTGTCTTGTCTTGACCCCACCCCTCCCCCCATCCTTGTCGCCATCACAGAAACCTTCTGGCCCACTCTCATGCTCGGGACGCGTGTGACACACGTACCCACACACCACCACGTCACACACAACACGGCATGTCTCACCACCCGTGGTCATCAATGGCTGCTGCTACGACTGCCACTGTCGCCAATCCTCATTCATCAGTAGGATCAGTAGTGGACGCCAGGCATGACCCTTCCACCGCCGCTCCGGTGGGCCTGGATGCTGCGGGTGCGAGGGACGACACAAACGCGAACATGGAGAAAAGTCACCCTGAGGGCTCCGGCTCGTTGATCCCAACCGGCAGCAAGCGCGTCCGCACCGCTCAGCACGGTCGTCGAACCAGTGGACAGCTTGTCCTGCTTTCCGACCTGGCACAGTCACCCCCCGCGTCTTTTGTCGCTACAAGAACAACAGCAACCGCGTCCGGGGCGCAGGTGTCATCGCCATCATTGTCGTCGTCGCCGCTTGGATCACCTTCTTCCTCGAGCGATCAGGACAGTTCGTTGTTGAGGGCGGCCCGTGCTTCGAGCTCCACCACAACAGGCATTGCACGCACAACAAAACCTCCCAACCTCTCCCTCTTGCCGTCTTCTGTCACCGACCTCGACTTTGACTTCTTTGACTCTCCTGTCGTCCCACTCGAGCTCTCCCCTGTCCTTTCTATCTCTCGCCCATCGGCAGAGCATATCGCCATCCCACCAGCATACGACGTCGCCCTCGAGTCGCCTTTTGCTGAGGCTCCAGCCTCACCACCCATTCCCATCGAACGGTCGTCTCGCTCCTACAGCTTCACGTCGAGCTCTGCATACTCGAACGCGTTGACGTCGACCACCGTCTCCGACGCCCCGCCTGTACGACTCACCCCACTCGACCGCTCACTCAGCTCGGGCACATTCGGCTCCAGCAACCGTTCAAGGGCAGCCCACGTTGCTGTTGACAGTGGTCCTGACGACTCTCCTCGACTTCCTGGCGCGCACCTGAGCCGTCAAACATCTATTGCTTCCACGGCCTTAACCGTCGCATCAAGCGGCGTTTCTGCGACCCACTGGCGCCCCGAGACGGACGTTGCCATTATCCAACATCTCCTCGCGGCTCGACAGCGCAGCGACTCTGCGATCGTCCCTCCGTCCCCTACAGGAACCCTTGCTCCCTCGCCCTCTACGCTTGCCGCTTTCCCGGAACCCCCGACGCGTGAGCCTTCGCCGCCCGCACAAGCCTCGACCTCGCGAGGAGAGCCTGTACCTGCACCACACAAGCCACCGCCTAGCGCTGGAACGCCACTGATCTGTGGCGGAGTAGACGAGCAACCCGAGGACAGCGCAAGCATCGTCCGTCAAAACAGTCGAGTTGCAAGGGCCCAAGTCGCTGCAAGTGCTACCACCCCCTATCCATCGCGAGAGGACGACACTTTACGTTCAGCACACTGGACCAATCGCCACGTTGACATGTACCATCATCAGTCGGAGAGCAGCCGGGTACACCCCGCGCTGACGCTGGACGAGACGGAGCGGCTCGTCAAGAGGTAAGCAGACATCAATTGGTTGTTTTTGCACTAAGCTGATCCCTCTCAGGTTTTACGACGAGCCACTCAACCTGGGCCCTGACCCGTCACATATCGACAGCAGTGAGGCAGTGTATCGCACAATGTCCATCGAGTCTGGCGATTCTGGGTACGCCGAGTCCACCACCACGCTGGCAAACTTGCTGCCGTCGACGAGCTCTGCTGCTTCTGCTGCATCCCACAATGCCCCTTACAGCAGGCAGCAGCCTACGGTCCCCAACCAGGTCTACGGGTCGCTCATGGAGCGCTTGCCGGCTGCCATGGCCAGCAAGTCGGACTTGACGGCTGACCAAAAGGCCCAGCTGGTGAAGCGTACCCGCAAGCTCGAGCGTATGCTGGGCGAGCAGCTCACCGAGCCCACTATTGAGCGCTTTGTTGTCGAGCCCGTCACTGCCACCACAACCGTCACCACCAAGGTCGAGGAGGACGTGTGGCCCTCGTCCAACTCGTCCGCGCCCGAGTGGCTGCGCGAGGACTGTGTCCCGCAGCGTGTCGTGGACCACGGTCCGTCCGACCCCAAGTCGTCGCAACGCAAGGGAGGTCGCCTCGCGCGCGCGATCCGTGGCGAGGCCGCTATGCCTGTCACGGCCGGGTTGCGCGTCTACGTTGCTCGTGAGACCACTGTGGCCGAGACGCTCGTGCGTGGCGAGCAGCAGCTGGTTCGCGGCGAACAGCACCACCAGATCAACCTCATCGTCGCTCCTCCGTCGTCTCCCGGAGCCACCACCTCGACCGATGCCAGCTCGCCACCTTCATCTCCGACCCGGTCGGCCGAGGACGCGGCGCGCACTGCCCGTCGCCTCCAATTGGCAAAGCTGAAACGTTTGCTCGGCACACCCATCCCCTCGCACCTCGTTGACCCGCTGATGCGGAACAGCGAAGAGGACCTCGTGCCGTCGTGCACGCCGCCACTGCGCGAGACGTCGCAGACCAACCTCCAGGTACTGGGCGACAAGCTGCGAAGCCGCGCCCCCTTCCGCCGCAACCGCGAGGGCAAGGAGGTGGTTGTTGTGGACACGGTGTCGCAGCCTCCCCCAGACGAGCTCCTTGACCCGAATGGGCCCATGAGTGCCTCTGACCGCCAGCTGGCCCGCATGCGCGCCACGAGGCTCGAGAAGAAGTTTGGCATCACTCCCCCACCCGCGCTCTACCTTCCGATCCAACGGCCCCAGCCACTCGGTCCACAGCCGACGGGGTCTAGGGGGTCGCCTACGTTTGACGGCTACCGCAACTCGCTTCAGAGTCTCATCTACCTTGTCGAGCACGACCAGGACCGTCTGGCGTGTCTTGTCGATGAGCTTGAGTCTGCTAATGACGAGGAGGAGGAGGTGATGGCTAGCCTGGCGCCGCCGGCAAACTCACCGTACAGCCCCGCTTCGCCAGCTTCAGTCTACTCGACCAAGACACCCACCACGGTCCGCCGGCTGTCTGGTCGGACCTCCCCCGCCGCCAGCACAGCTACTGGGTCCTCGTTTGCGACCCGCTTTACACGCCGCATGTCTGCGCCTCCAGCCTCGGTATCCTTCTCGCCCTTTGCCGATGACCGGTCCCCGTCGAGTCCCAGGTCCTTTTTCGTCGCCCCGCGCGGCAACATGACTCCGCCACCCTCCATATCCGCTGCCACCTGCCCCTCACCGCACGCGTCCACGACATCGCTGGCTACCACCAACGCCTCCCCGTCGTTCCACCGTCGCCGGAACTCGTCCAAGCTGTCCAAGTTCTTCGGCGACGACTCGATCGACTTTGCCGCGCTCCAGGCAGCCTGCGCCGTACCACCCTCGGCGTCGACGCTGCCCATGCACTCTGTTTCCGAACGGGCCGCTTCGCCACTATCCGTCTCGCCGGCGTCCACCATGTCCACCATGTCCCGCAAGCTCCGCCCGTTCCCGCACGACGTCAGCCGCCCGACGACCCCGCCAGCGGCGCGCCGGAGGGACACGCTCGACGGCGTGTTGCTCGAAATGTGGCACGCGGTGCAGGGTGAGGTCAGCCGCGGCGCGTTGGGGGCCGCCGACGCCGCCAGGCTCGGCGACCTCATGGGCCTGCTGCGCCGTAAGAGGGAGCACACGAGCTGGGCAGAGCTGTAGCCTGCGCGCCCTACCTACATGAGTCCAGAACACAATCCTCAGTGCACGATTAAAGAGTACCCCGTCCATTGATCCCTTGCCTCGCACATCACCCGTAGAAACTTGATGCCCCCCTGCACGATCCTTTGATACCTGCAAACGCATACCCCCACCTGCGCCGTATTCGCAACCAACCTGTGTCATAATGCTATCTACCTTGTGTTTATGAAATGCCACGTTGCATCATACCACCTCTCTTGTGTGTGTGTCTCTCTCCCCCGCTCGCCCGCCCGCTCGCTACATGTAGCTCGTGTCAAACGTACTCGACCCCACCTCGCCATCGGTATATTCCGCGCCGCCAATGAACAAGTCTTCGAAATCGCGTGCGGTGCTCTGCGAAATGACGCCAAAGGCATCTTGCAGCAGCCCGCCGAGATAGTCGAGCTCGGCGATGACCTCCTGCATGGCCAGGGCGTAGGCGAAGAACAAGAGGTGGCGGCCGCCGCCGCGCACCGAGCGGCGCTTGACAACGTCCAAGTCGCGGATGGCGTCGACCAGGCGTTCGCGCGCGGCTTCCGCGGGGGGCAGGTATGGCGGCATGGGAATACGCAGGCGGAAGCCTGCCGAGAGGGTGTAGAACTGGGTGTGAGAGTCAGTGCATGTCGCTTTTCAGGGTGAGACATCCAGTAGCCCACGTTCCACGCACGTAGAGAATCACGTTGCCGGCCATCTCGCGCTGGTGCTGGTTGACGGGGAGCACGAATGCCTGGCGGATACTCTGGTCCCACTCGTGGCGTGTCGTCACGCATCGCATAGAGTGGAGACGGTCGAGCATGCGCTCACAGCTGAGCAGCACCTCGTTGTAGAATGCGAATGGGAACGGGCCCTTGAGACGCGGCTCGTTCTTCGAGTGCGCGAGCAAACCGCGAAGGGTGGCTAGTTGGCCTTGGAGGTGGAGCTCCATGGCCATAAACTGCCTCACACCGGGGACGAGGTGGTGACGCGCCGTTGGGGACAGCGAGGGTGGAAGGAGTGGAGTGTCCTCTGACGGGGACGCGGTGCCCTCAGCATGCTGCGGGGCGAGCTCCTCGACGCCGCGAGTGTACGTCGTCACGAGCTTGGAGTAGAGGTAGGACAGGTCAAGGCAGAAGCTAGTTTGTCAGCTTGGAACCGGTGTCAGAAAGCAGACTTACTCTCCCAGCCCCATACGCAGTTCACGGCGTGCAGTGTATGGCCACCAGTACCGGCTCACAAATCCGGCCCACACCACGCCAGCGGCAACGGACGTGCACCGTCTGATGGCAATAGTGACAGGCGCCAGGTCCTTGTCACTGTCACGGAGGTTGTACGCGTACAGGCAAGTGAGGTTCTGCAACGTCAGTCGTACTTTCTTCTTGTATCACCCACATAAGTCAACAGAATGAAGCGTCCGGCCTGGGCGTAGTCGGGCATCTGGGTGATAATGTAGAAGCACGGCATGGAAAAAAGGAAGCCAAAGATCGGGAGAACGACCGCGTTTTCGGGGAACAGCATGCAGGCAACCACGGCGACAGTACCTCCCAGTCTGGCGGGTTAGTACGTTACTCGCTCTCATAACCCACAGTGTCCCGACGATGCGGAAGAATGACCTGCGATGGTGTCAGCCCGAGAACAAGAGACAAGGCAAGCTGCTTACAGGAAATTAGTCTGTCCAAGTGTCGGGCTCATAGTGGCAAAGAATGCAATGAGGGCCCATTCGCCGCGATACTCCAAGAAGATCTGCCGTGTGCTCTCCAACACCGAAGGAGCGGCCAGGATGGCACCGGCGAGACCGGTCTTGAGAGCGTACCGCATATCAGGTTCACTGAGACGTGCTCCAAGCTCCCAGACCCAGTGGTAGATTTTCCCAATCCGCGAAAGCCCTTGCGGGGTTGGAGTGAGGAGCGTACCACGCTCGTCGCGCTGGGTGCGGGGGAACATTGGCGGTTGGAGCTTGGAGGGGTCAATGGGGACGAGTTGTTCTGCGAGTCAGTTGAACCGTCAGCCGGAGGTTGCAACTCACGGAGCTGCTTGTAAAGAAAGTTCTTCCTGCGATGGGTCCATGGCGCGAGGATGGCGCGCATCTGGTCCCACGCCGAGAGTTTAGGTGCCGTGGTGATCTGAGGTCGTCAGCAGCTGTCTCCTGTTCTGTCACTTGCGTCGTTGACCGTGTCGAGAAGAAACAGGAGCTCGCGAGCAAACTCTTCGAGAGTGAACAAGAAGCTGTGAGATTAGAGATTGCGAGGGTTTCCTAATCTCACAAGTACACAAGGAACACGACCTCGTTGGGACCCTCATCGTCTAAATCCTCAGAGTCGCTCGAGCTGCCACTGGCCGAGCCATGGCTCGAACCAGAGGCATAGATACCCTTCCGTCTCCTGGGGCCAGCATACACTCGCTTAATAGCACGGCTGCTTGACCGCGAGAAGTTTTGCACAGTAGCAGACACGGCCGCGTGAGTGGCGACGAGGTCCACACCGGCTGGGACCTTGGCCTGGTCACTGGTCAACACGTCCTCGATTCCGTCCAGGGCGTCGTCGCATGTTGCCACGAGGGTGTCGAGGTCGTCTCCGGTCAGACGCTGGAGCTGGAGGAAGAGGGCAACGCTGCGCTCGACGTCCTCTTCATCTTCGACAGTCACCGCTGGCAGTTCGTTGAGTTCCTCCACTACCGACTCGGCAAAGTGGCGCTTCTCAATCGCGCTATCGACATCCACGTCGAGCGAGATGCGTCCCTGGCGAGCGGCGCGTAAGAGGGCCTCTTGGACACGCGTCGAGCTTCGCATGGCTGCCAAATGCTGCGCGAGTCGTGCCATACTTCCCAACGCAGCCTCGTAGAGCTCAAGCTTGGCACCACGCATACGTGGGTCAACAAGACGCTCATGCTTGGCCTCCGCCAGGCTACCCTTGAGAGCCTTGAAAGCAGCACCATGAGACTTGACTGCGTCGGCGAGCGACATGCGGTTCTCCTTTACGACCGTGGTTTCTAGCAAAAAGGTCGATCCAAGGAGGTCGAGCAGGGTAGAGAATGAGTTGAGCGACTTGGACATTGACTCTTGCAGCTTGGACGTGCCCGAGACGGGGAAGATTGTAAAGCACACAATGTTGGTGATGAGGACGCCAATGAAGACGATAAAAAGCACCTCCTTGAGCTTGATCCAGCCACCTTCCTTGACGATGACTGTAAACAGCGTCACTGCAGCCATGGAGCAACCTGGGTGTCAGTGAACCGCCTGTGATTGCTTGTAACTCACCAGTGTTGAACGCTGGGTCACCAACCCACAGCTTGAGCCACGCAAGCGTAGCCATACCACCTCCAATGCAAGCGACACAGACGACCCAGTCTCCCATCTCGCTGATCCAGTCCCATTGACTCCCATTCGAGGGCGAGTACGAGTCAAACACTGCGATGATACCGAACGAGATGAAGGAAACCGCTGTGGAGAAGAGGGCAAGAATGACACAGTACCGGGTCGATAGGATCATGTTGCCCTTGGACTTGGCAGGATTGAACTGGAGAGTTGTCAGGACGGTTGCGGTATGTCAACGCACGTAGACAACAATAGTGGCGACCATGTGCGAACTGTATGCAGGGACGGCGTGCACACGACCGTGGACGTCTGTCTCTGTTTCATGGCTCAAGAGAGCCGAGAGACGGGGCACAAACGTAAACAGCGAGGCGATGAGGTACGCCAGCGAGCACTTGAGGATGGAAAGTGTATAGGGAGGGAGCTTGAAACGCGCAGGCGGATCTGTAGATGTCAGGCGGTGTGTCTGCAAGAGAGGTGTGCGGTGACTGGCGACACCTCCGTTATTGGGTCCTTACCTGGCTTCTTTTGTGGAGCGGTCGCCGGCATGGGTGTACTGGACACCAGTGGCGTCCCGTTCGACGCTGGAGTGAAGTGTGGAGGTGGTGGGATGGCTGTCCCCGCTGAAAAGCTCGAGTCCATCGTCTGGGCGACCGAGCCAAAGCTCGCAATGGGCTCACCCACGTTCCCAGGAGACGTGGAGAGGACTTCAGAGAAGCTCGCTTCAGATTCAGGCTGGTGGTGACCGGGGATATCTTGTGGATGCGACTGCTGGGACTGGAGCAGCATCACCGCAGGCGAGACCTGTCCCTCGACCTGGGTGGACAACCGCTGGCGGGTAGGCGTACTCGTGTTGTCAAAAGGGATCCTATCCCGGCCCCATGGACTTCTCATGCGCAGTCGCGGCCTCGATGAACCAACATCAGCGGGCGACGGCGGTACGACCAGGTCCGCAAGGGTCTCCCAGTTGGCAAGGTAGTCACGCTCTGGAGGAACAGGATTGTTGCTGGCCCCGTCCGAGGCGTTGAGGTTGGAGTAGGATGTGGTACGGCGATTCATCCTGGAGGTGGGGAAGGACGAGGCGATGCTTGGGGACGCAGAGTAGCGTGGTCTCCCCCTGCGGGTCGACGGGGAGGCAAAGGATGTGGACGCTGTTGCGCTGACCGAGTTGCCATCGCCGGCGGTACTGAACGTGCCATAGTGCCCACGGCCCTTGCCATGTCCATTGTTGGGCTTTCGAATAAACCCCTCGGCATCAACACTGGCGGCGAGAGAGCGACGTGCGCGAGTGGGTGTGCGAGAGCGGCTACGGCTCCGACCGCGAGGAAGGTCGGCTTCGCTGAAGGCCTCCTCGCTCAGGTCAGACGCGCTGGGCGGTGAGCGTGGTAGCGGTGGGGTGAGGGGTCGGCCCCTGTGGGGAGGCGGAATCTGTGACGCCATGCCTCATTGGGGTGATGCGATGATAATGAGAGGTGAGGAAGAATTGAAGATTGGGCGAGATACCAAACGTTTAACTGCCAAGAGGAGGCTTGTTGTTCTGTGTAGGGCGGACTGTGGAGGCCCACAGGCACGAACCAAGTTCGTCACATAAGGGGATTTGCGTAACACCACTGCTGTGCATACGGTTCATCGATAGGACACAAAATGTGTATGCAACCAGACGCACGGGCACATCATCTGCAGTCTAACGGTGTAAAGATAGGGAGTTGGGAAGGAGGCGGGGCTGAAGTGTAGGTGCGTAGACACATTGGATGGTGACGAATGCTCGCTCCACCTCGATGTTTGTTTCGGCCTTGAGTGGCGCTTTGCAGGATAACTCTTTCAAAAGCTCGCTCACATTATGAGAAGTGGGAAGGGACGCTGTAATGAGTGCAACTCAAGCACTCCTCCCGGCGTTGAGTTGTGTGGGAACACCACACCATCCAGTTGGTTGCTTTGCAGCTCATATCTGGCCATTCATTTTCATGGCTCCCAAAGACAAAACATCATCGGGCGTGTAGCTCAGTTGGTAGAGCGTGTCATTAGCATCTTCTACCCTACTTGACAAGGTCTTTGGTTCGATTCCTAACTCGTCCACTCTTTTTGGTGTTTGCTGGCCTGGTCTGGGCGGGAAGAAAGTGTAGGAGACGACCACGACAACGTCGTGGCAGATGGAGAGAGAGGCGGAGCACATCTCATAAAGTCAATGGGGGGTAAACCCCCTTCTTTCTACGGTCTGCGGTCGTATGTATGGTGCAGTTGGAGCTCTTTGGCCTCCCCCGTATCACCGTCTGTGAAGCAATGCACACATGCGCGCACACAACATGACGCAGTGGGCGGGAACGCACCCTACAGGCCAAAGAAACACACTACGTGCGGTGAGCGGCGCTGCGCCGCGCGTAGTGTGTTTTCCCCAGGTCCCGAAAACACACTACGTGCGGCGAGCGGCGCTTTGCGGCACGTAGTGTGTTTTCCCCAGGTCCCGAATTTTCTTAGTAATGTCATTAGTTAATCTCATGGACCATACAAAGAACCTCGGAAATCGGAGATCGTCGACTGCCCGAATTTCACCGGCCCGCTTAAACCACCTCCACACTAAAAGTCCGACATCTCACTTCCTCCATCTCCTACCCGCCTTCTTCCACACATCCGACCCACCATGGCCATTCGCGGCCTTACACACGCCGCCAGCCTCGCCAGCGCAGTCCACGCTGGGCCGTCGTGCCGCATGGCTGCTTTGAGGTCGAGGTCCGGCTGGGCCGGAACCTTTATCGCCTCCCAGAATGTCGTGTCTTCCATCCCCACCTTCGGCACCACGTCGCGTTCGTTCACGACCTCGCCGACTGCTACAAGTGGTCATTCACGATGGTCTAAAATCAGACATAAAAAGGGCGCCGTGGACAGTGCTCGCGGCGCGTTTTACAGCAGAGTGATGGCTGTAAGTGGGCAGCGAAGCAGAAGGATGTGAGGGAAGCGCTGACAACGACTCTTACCGACTTCCCGACTGATTAACGCTCCACCTTGGCCCAACAGGAAGTCCACACCGCCTTGCGCCCACCCAACTCGCCCGACCCGCTGCTGAACCCTCGTCTTGCAGCTGCACTTACCAAGGCTAAGGAGGCTGGTCTGCCAAAGGCCCTCGTGGAGTCGGCATTCGCTCGCGCCAAGAAGCTCGCGGACGGCACAGGCAAGGCGGTCACTTTCGAGGCCACAGGTGCTGGCGGTAAGGTGGCAATGATCATGTGAGTACGCAGGAGAGCACCGGCCTTGAGGCGGCATGAGAGTTGGTCTGGTTCAGTGCTGGTAGTCCATCTACTAACCCTGCAGCGAGTGCGTAACCGAGAACCCCGCGCGTACCAACAGCAAAGTGAAGGAGGCGCTGTCCAAGAGCGGGTAAGTTGAGTGTCCTGGCCAATCACGCTCGCTGACGTAGTACCCAGCTCAAAGGCATCCAACGTTGGGTTCCTCTTCGAGCGCAAGGGACGTATCTGGCTCGAGCCCATCGAGGGCAACGAGGCGGCTACCTTTGACTCTCTCTTTGATGTCGCGGCTGAGGGCGGCGCGGAGGATGTGCGGGAGGTGGAGGCAGACGATGAGGGAATGGTGTGGGAGGTGAGTTGGTTGGGGGGTGTACTGGTCCCAGACTGGCGTTGCCTCTCCTGCTCCAGCGTGTATGCCTTTTGCTGACTCTCAGGTCATCACTGCGCCGAACGACCTCGGCTCGCTGACCTCACTCCTCACGTCTGCCCCTCACGACGCGGCCTACTCCCTCCGCTCGAGTGAACTGGCGTACGTCGCTACCGACCCCGTCGTTGTAGGCGAGGAAGGTGGCGTGGACGAGGACCAGGCTCAGAACATTGGCAAGACAATTGACGCACTCGAGGAGGAGCCTGATGTTGTCAAGGTGTGGACCAACATGGAATAAGAGGCTTTAGAAAGGCATGCATATACATATCCCCTTCATGTTGGACGATTGCACACATGACCATTGTTCATCTCATGATGGCAGACGCGCACATCAACGTGCACCTGTGGCGCCGCTTGGATGACGTTCACTGTTGTATGGAACTCAAAGGCGCACATGCACAATGGCTACAGCTAGACTATATACACCTCTCGTCTACCCAACACAGCTAAAGTACTTTGACATCCACTACCACATCCCTTCAGTCCTTCTGCTTCTTCGAGGGACCAGGCTTGGTCGTGTCAGCGCCCTTGCGCTTCTCCTGGTAGGCCTGGTCCTCGGCACGCTTCTTGGCGCGGTGCTCTTCCAAAGGTGAGATGTTGACACTGCCCGCGAAATCCTTGCGGAAGTCGGGGTGCGTCCGCCTGGCGTTGAGCGTCTGGATCTCTGCGTCAGTGCTGTATGACGTGTTTATATGCAGTGTAGAGTGTAGTGTCTCTCATGGGTCACGATGGCGAGGATACGCGGTCCATATGTGTGCACACGTAACCCACACGCCCGAGTCTCTTCCATACACATCAACACCGTGGCCCATCCCCCAAGCTGCAATAACAACACCACATCCACCGCCACTTCCTGATTAAACAACTCTGACATCAATTATTCCAAGAACTACGTATGTACCTCCGTCATTCCACGTCGTATATGGGGACCGTTCCCGTTCTCAGGCCTGAGGCCGAGTTCGTTGCGGGGATATAAAAGCCTACCGCATCTCTGAGTCTGAATCGCAAGGGGTGCCCTTCAACATATATAAATGTTGGCATCGTAAACAATATGGGCAAAATTTCGGAGGGACGGGGAGCACGTTGCTGATATGGGGGTCACTTTGGCGGGCAAGGCTTGCGCTTTGCCCTGTACTTGACCCCAAAGGAGGTTTTCGCTTTCTTGAGTCGGTGTGATAGGTCGTTCTGCTTGTGGTCAGCAAAAGTTATGGATCTACTGTTGCTTGGTGAGCAGAGACAAGACTGGGCAACGTCAACAATGTTCACACGACGATCACGGTCATACACATCTGAGACTCGGAACCTCCAGGTGCCGATCCGCGCCCAACAGCTGATCAATCCACATGCATAGCGGACTGTGTGCTGTGGCACCACTTCCGTTTCTTGAGCGCGTTGTTCAGTCTGATATCAGTGCGAATGGGTACAATGTCACTGGGTTCATCGCATTCCCCGTGGGGTCGTTGCCCAGCCTCTAGCGCTGTAGTCAGTGGCGGCCGAGAGAGCGTTTCGGCCAAGGCCGACACGTCGTAGCCGGTGGCATTTTGTATCCGTCGCATGTGACGGCTATGACTCTCCCGAACGTTCATTTCCACCATCGTTACTCAATCTCTCTTCACTCGTTATCCACTTACTCGCTCTTTCTGCAAGGTCATCGACTACGCCATCGTATACGCCGCATAAGTAGGCTGCAGCGCACACACAGACCACAAGTATACACCGATCACGGGCTTCAACACCCCAAAACCCGTTCAAAATGCCCCCACTCGTCTCCATCTCCGAGACCCTCCTCCTCAACACTGTTGGGCGAATGCGCGGTCTTGAGGCCTTCCGTTCTGGGCATTTATGGACTCCAAGCGGTGCCAGAGGTACATTTGGTGGTCAAGTTGTGGGTCTTGCAATGCTCGCTGCCACCCGGACAGTCGAGGATAAGGACCTACACGCGCAGCATGTGAGTTGGGATGTTGCGAGGCATGCTGACCTGCCAGTGTTTCTTCCTTCTCCCGTGAGCGAAAATCTTTACGAGATTATCTCTAACATATAGAGCCAACTCGCAGGTCCCCATTACGTTCACCGTTGAACGTCTGCGCGATGGTGAGTGACCTCGGTGGCACCGGAGCTGACCATTGCAGGCAAGAGCTACGCGACTCGGTGACTTTCAACATTCATTGGAATGCGAGCTAACAACTAGCCTTGTGCACGCGCTGCAAGACTCCAAGACCGTCTTCATCCTCATGGCTTCGTTCACTTCCCCTCCTCGCAAGATCCCCGGCGTCGGCGAACCAGCCAACGGCAACGACAGTGTGTCGTACAACCAGGAGGACGACCCGCCCATCACCCATTCGCTCAAGTTTGACAAGCTCGAGGTCCCGTCTCCCCGAGGGAGCGAGCTTCCCAAGCCGTCATACGACACTCGGCCCTTCACGCCGACTTACCAGAAGCCTTTCCCCGAGGATATTACGCCGTGGGGCCAGGCGACAATTGAGGAGGAAACTTGGAGCAAGTTCCTCGACGCAGTCAAGGACCGCGGATTCGATCTCGGCAAGAAGGTCCGCGCTGTTCAGAACTACATCGATGTGGGTGTCACATCCCAGAAACGTTGGTCTCCAGCTGACAATGGCAGGAACGCAAGCAGTCCCCCGTCACTATCGCCATTGCCCGCCAGCAGGCTGGCAAGTGGGGCACTAGCCGTGCGATCTGGCTGAAGCCTCGTTTTGAGCCCGGAGAGCAGCTGGACGACAACTCGTTTAGGGTGAGTCGACTTGGAACCGCGCAAGGATGTTAGGGGGGCATCAGCAATGCTCCTCTTTATCGTGGCGTTCTCGGACCTGCGGCTACGCCCGCTCTCCAAAATGTTGCATGGCAGTAGCCGAAGACATCGGACATCTCAGGCAGGGAGTGTGTAGGGCAAGATAGGAGTGAGACCGTGCTTGGCGCTGACCCACAGGCCCTGATTGGATTCATGACCGACTTCCAGTTCATTGGTACCGGTGGCCGCGCCGTCGGTCTGGGTGGCACGTCCAAGCCTCGCCTGGGAATGATGGCAAGTTTGCTACACTGTTGCCTCAACTGACGGCCAGGCCTCGCTGGACCACACTACACACTACTACCCCTTCCCCGAGGACATGGACAAGAGCGCACCGCTCCTGCACGTCATGGAGGCTGTGTCAGTTGATGTGGGCGCTGGACGTGGTCTTGTCCGCGGTCTCGTGTACACTGAAAAGGGTGTGCTCATTGCCATGACGAGCCAGGAAGGTGTGATCCGCGCCGACTTTGGCGAGGGGATCCGGCCCAGGCGCGAGTCTGATCGCCAAGGAGCCGCCAAGCTGTAGTAGGAGATGCCGCAACCAAAAACCAAAACACAAACTGTACATGTATGAATCAAAGGTCTTCTGATCTTGTGACTGCAACTGTGGACCATGCATGCATGCATGGGGAAAGGAGCATATGCTGATACTTGGCCTCGCGATCCAGCGATCCTCGCTGTCACCCCCGCATCCCAACCCCGCAAAACGAAAAAGGCCGCGCCGTGTGCCACATTGTCAATAAATACTCCCGCCCCCGCTCCGCGACCAAAGCCAGATGAGAGACGCTTCCTTCCACATCCATCAGCACCAACAGCCATCCCGCAAACGTTCTACGCAGCGTTTTACACGCCTAGCACACCCCCAAGCACAGTGCCGGACACCCCTAGGCATACTAGACCCGTCCAGACCGACCCATGCACCCGCCGCCCACGCCTATCGAACCCCGTTTGCAAGCGCCCACCCCCGCCCAAGCACGCGACTAGTCTCAGTTGCGTCTCGGTCCGCCGGCTTCCCCACGCGCCGCCGAAGCCAAATCGAAGTTCCTCTTCAGTCGGCACCACCAACTCCGCCGACACCGCTCGCTGCTCACACCAAGCACCGCGAGCACACTTAGGCCCCTTCCCCACTGGCCGCGACCCCCCCGTTTGGCCACTGCCCACCGCCCACGGCGGCTACATTCCCAGCGCCGAGCCTTTCCGCTCTCCGCGTCGGCCTCCACCCACCCATCCCAGTCTGGCAACACCAAGTCTCATTGGTTTGCCTGACCACCACCACACCACACCATGCTGTGGAAGTTTAGCTTTGCGTCGGGCTCGACGCTCGACACCCTCCTATCCCGCGAGACGCCGCCAACGGTCGAGGAGCTGTTGGACGAGCAGGACATTCTCGCCGAGTGCAAAGCGCAAAACAACAAGTGGGTCCATACATCCCCCCCTTTTCATCATGCTGACACTGCCGCAGGCTTGTGACATACCTGAGCCGCGAGGAGAGCGTCAAGAGCCTCCTGTCGTGGATTACCTCTGGCCTCGACGAGCTCGATGCCCAGGCAGTGACGGCCGAGGAGGAGGCGTATGCCCGCGCACTTGTCAGCCCCGACGCGTACCCTCCATACGGCGCCAGCGCCGCACCGACACCACCCCCCGAGAAGGTCGACGACGATGTCGAGGTCCCCGGACTGGGTATCGGTCTCGGCGAGGGCCTTGGTGGACCCGAAGAGTCCGCGTCTTGCGATGCGCAGCGGCAACGGTGAGTCAGCGATAGAACGACCAACACCACCCGGCAACCGGACCGGCGCGAGAAGAATCCATGACGCTGATAAGCAACCAGGTACCCCCAAGTGGCGACTGAGATCCTCACGTCAGAGCTGTGGACGATTCCCGAGACGGTCATGAACCACAAGGAGACGCTGCTGCGACCGTTCTGGGACACTGTGCTGCCCCCCGTGGATCCCAAGCGGGAGCACTCAACTCACGTCCGCACCGAGAGGGAACGCGCGTTGCTCCAGTTCTGGACGGACGCCGACGAGGAGCGCGAGCGCAAGTCCGAGGTGATCCGTGGCATGTGGATGCGTGTCAACGCAAGTCTGCTGCAGAAGCGCACGACCGAGATGGTCCGTTTTATCCAGGCCATGCCCAACGTTATCGAGCGCATGATGGCAAAAATCGAGTCTCCCGCAGTGCAGGACATGCTGGCGCGCATTATCCAGACTGAGGAATCCGTGTCCGACGTCATGAGCTGGCTCGAGTCGCAGCAGCTCATCCCGCGCCTCCTCGCGCTCCTCTCGCCTGACTACCCTCCTTCGACCCACGCGATTGCCGCCGACCTCCTCAAGGGGATCATTTCAGTCTCGGCGCCAAACTCGAGCTTCAACCCCCAGGGTGGCAATGCCATGGACCAGCAGGCTGGCGGCGGCTCGGGCCACAAGGACAACCGTCTCGTGCGCCAGCTGACCAACCGCCGGAGCATCACCACGCTCGTCGGTTACATGCTCGACGCGGCCAAGCTCACCGACCGCGACTGGAAGGGAATTTCAACGGAGGGAGCCGGTACCCACCGCTCGGACCCATTCGTCATCCACCCTCTGCCATCAGTAGCCAGTGCCACCTCGTCGCTGTGCTATGTGTGCAACGTGATTGTCGAGGTGATTCGCCGCAACAACTCGGACCTCGCCGAGCCCTATCTGTTCAACACGATGCGCAACCGTCTCATGGCTATTCAGAGCGATACCATGCGCGGTGTTGATGTCGCACCCGACGAGGACGTACCAGATTCCGATGGCGAGGCGAGCAGGAAAAAGATGGAGGAGGTCCTGCCCGAGCTCACCGACAGGCTCGCTATTGTCCACCTGGGTAACCTCGTTGCTGCCATCTCGGAGCGCTTTGGCGAGCTCAACAAGCTCCTCACCGAGCCGCGCAGCCAGGACCGGGTGTGTTCGGCGCTCACACCCGCGCCCCTCACCATGGAGCGTTTCCGCGTCATTGAGCTGTATGCCGAGCTCCTCCACTCGTCAAACATGGCAACCTTGAACCGCGTTCCCGGCACTGGACCCGAGTACAGCGATAGCGGGGCCCTGGCTGGCGGTCTTGACGGTCTTGACAGGCTGGGACAGGCGCTGCAGGCCGGAGAGGCCGGTGAGGAGTCTCCAGACAAGGACTTGCCCGAGATCCAGGTCGCGGACGCACGCCAGCTCCCCGTGTCGTCGGGTAGCACAGACTACTCGCTCGAGAGCGACGATGTGCCACTGTCAGACGACGAGGACACGCCATCCCCGACGTCTCCTCAGGCACAGCCTGTCACGGCTATGGCTACCACCTCGACACCGGCGCTCGAGGTCACTGTGCCCCCTCCTCCTTCCCTCGAGGACGCCGAGCGCCTGCGTGACGTCATGTGCATCGAGAGCGGTGAGCCTACCGCGCCCAGCGACACTACCAGCCACGTTGCCGTGGCGGCCACCACTGCCGCGCCGTCAGTCGCCGACGACGACATCGAGACTGCCGCCAAGCCTGCCTCGTCGGACGAGGCTCTCTCCACCGGCGAGTGCCTCAAGCAGCAGCTGATCAAATTCTCTGTCCTGCCTACACTCCTCGACCTGTTCTTTGAGCATGCCAACAACAACTTCCTTCACCACCTCGTGTACGACATTCTGCAGCAGATCCTCAACGGCAACCTGGGTCGCGGATACAACCGCGAGCTCATCATCGACCTGTTCTCAAAGGCCGAGCTCGTCGACCGGGTCCTCGCTGCCCAAAAGCTCAACGACACCTTTGTTGCTTCAGTCCCGCGCAAGCCTCGTCTCTCGTACATGGGTCACATTAGCCTGATAGCCGAGGAGCTTGTCAAGTTCTTTACCCGCTGTCCCGCCGACCTCAAGGAGCTCATCAAGGGCTCGTACCCCGAGGAGTCTTGGGCAGCGTTTGTCAACGGATCCCTGAGTGAGACTCGTGCGCGTGACTCGCAGCCGCTCGCTGGCGGTAAGCCACTCCCTGGTCTCGGCAGCGGCATGACGTCTACGAGCGAGAGGAGCGACTCGGAGAGTGACGACGACGACGACTCGCCTGCCGCTACCATTGGCGAGCCTCTCAGCCGCACGACGGCCAAGCAGGCGGACAGCTACCGCGACGCGGACAATGACGACGATGCTGGAATGGAGCAGTTCTGGCGTCCCAGCAACGTTCGTTCGGGAGCCATGGACTCGTCGGATGACGATGACGACGATGCCGACTGGCTCCGCCCCGCGGCTTCGCGCGAGAGGACCGGCGAGGAGGACGACTTTGGCGCGTTCCAGTCCACGGCGTCCAGGGGCGACGACTTTGACGACGACGACGCATGGGGTGCGTTCACCTCGGTTAGCACCGGCGACTCGGGCGAGAACCCCTTCGGTGACGCCTTTGCGCCCTCATCCTCGTCTGTCACAGTGGACTCGTTCCGTTCCGCTGAACCCCTCACCCCGCGTGACTGGGCCGAGGCGTTTGACCGCGAGTTTGAGTCGTCCGAGCCCCAGCCTTGGGCCGAGGACGCCGAGGAGCTGCCCGCCATTGTCGTCCCCGAAGGCGACGACAGCGACCAGGCCGATGTGGTCGGCACACCGACGAGCTCGTGGTCCTTCCCCGGCGACGAGAGCGATGACCTGGGTGAGGACCTGCCACCGACCAGCGCAGACATGGATGCCGTGGCCACGCGCGCCGCGGCTCTGACCCTGGAGTCTACTACTGCCACCACAACGACCACTGCAACTGCGACTGCCGCATCGTCCGCCGCTTCTGGACGGAGGCGCGCCAACTCTATCTCGCAGCGGGGTCTTAGCCCCGCTTCGCCAGCCCTGACGCCCGACGAGGAACGCGACGAGATTCTCGCGCATGCCTCGTCTGCCGCTCACCCACTTGGTCTCGGCGTGTCGGCCGACACGCACATCTCGCATGGGATGCTGGAACGCACGATGCCCGACGGCGAGGTCGTGCGCGTCCCCGAGGACGACGTGGCGCGGGGTATCGATGAGGCGATGGTACGCCGCGTCGACGAGGATGGCGTCACGCCCGCGCAGGCTGCCGCCGAGGTGGAGAGCCTGGGGGCAGGGAGCGAGCCCGAGGTCGTCGAGGCGTCCGAGGCGTCCGACGTCGTCGAGACTCTGACTGCGACTGTGACAACAGCGACCACGGTGGAAGTAGGAAAGGCGAGTGACGATGTGGCGGCGGAGATCAAGGCTGCCACCGAGTAGTAGCATAGAGAAGCGAGAGAAGAAGACGACGACGACGAGAGCGTTGGTGATTTCTTTCATCTACCCCCCCCTTGGCTCTTGAGGATACCCGCATTTTTACAGTATCAGAGTATCACTGCATTCAGCATGTACGAGCGCATTGCATCTGTGCGATTCTGGAGATTGGGCATCGTGGCTGCTACCTGCCTCTGCCACAGGCAGCAGGCAGGCTGAGGCGTCGCTGCGACGGGGCAGAACGTGGTCGAACCGAGGAGACCGCGGACGCCGCCTCTAGTGTATGTGACATGTCACTCGCTATCAGCCAGCAGTGAAACGTCGCGCAGTGGCCCTTAGGCAGACAAGCACACCGCACACCTGCCATTCCATGGTGTACGTGCTAGCACGTACAAGCCCCATCCGCCACCCAAGCCAGGAAGCCAGCGCAGCAAGGTAAGGTAAGGTAAGGTAACTTGCTCGTGTTCGTGTTCGCTGCCGCCGTGGGTGCCGCCGGGGTACAGCCTCCTGGCGCAGTGGTGCGTGGGCTGCTAGGTTGGCTGGCTATGGCGCCGCCGACCGCCGGCCCAGCCGGTCACGCCGGACGCCCATACAAAACCCCTCGCCAATGGCGACAAGCACATATCGCATCCTATGGTGTTTTGCAGCGATGCAGTCAACGGAGGCAGGAGACCATGTTTTGCCCACTGCACGCGAGAGCAGGGATGCAGAGGGACGCCGAACACTCCATGCCCAGGGAACAGGGTGAGCGTAGGGTCGGCAAGGTCTCTTGGGTCGTGCCGAAGGATCCGAATGTTACGAGCCGAGACCCTTCGTGTGGCCGGCCGTACTGGTCCCGTTCCCTTGTGCCTCCGTGTCCGAGACATTTGTTGCTGGGGCTCAATTACGACTATACGACGCTTTTGGCGGGTGTTTGTGCTGTTTCTTGTCTTGGGCGACTCGTGTTTCTGGGTCCGCTGTGTACGTGTGCGAGCGCGTGTGTTGGATAGTTGGCGTACTCTTTCCCAGATCTTGGATCTCGGACAGGATACTGGCCGATTCTATGGGGTGGGTTGTGTATGTTCTTGTGTCATGGGGATTGAGACATGGCTTGGGAGATATCGTAGAGGTGGATAGTTGGGCATGGGGCTGGTGCTGCACAACGACTACGGGGCCATATCGGTGCTGTATTGAGAACGTGAAAGTGTATATGTGGTGGTGGTGGTGGTGGGGGTCTGCGAGAAGCACATAATGCGAGTGTGTTTTCCTGCGGTTTGGCGGTTTTGTCGATTTCGGTGCGTTTTTGATAATCACCACCACCACACCACACACAGGTTGTGTGGGTCTCGTAAACATCACAGGGTTGAGTTTGACAGGTCAGATATGAGACAACGTGTGGGCCCATTACAACCAGGTCGCAACCCAGTATTCTGGACACACAAGTGTTGCGATCTAATTGACACAACGCCCAGTGGTACGCAGCGAACAATCGCTGACTGAGACGCTGGGAACGGCCGGTCGACGTACCCATCGACAAACACCGGGCCCCACCGGGTGTACAAATGGACGTGGCGTTCCCTGTGTCCTGCCGTCTCTATCTCTGGGGCCTCTGGGGGCTTCTAGCGAAGAGTTGTGGTGGTATTGTCTCCCATATGTACTGACGCTGCGGCGGAAGGACATACTTTGACACTCGATAAGCTGACCCGTGCGCGCTGGTCACCTAATCTCACTGGCCACTGGGCGCCTTTGCATTTCTGCCACTGTATCTGCGTTATGGCCTGGCGTCGGCGCCATGGCGAGGCCACCACCGCCATCTCACCATCCTCCGAGATCCCCTTGTTCTGCTCCGAGCAGCGTTCTTGGGCACGGTCCCAGCCCCGGCTAGGCGACATCAGCAATCTCTGATCAGGACCAGATCATGCGGGGAGCTGGAGAGGATGTCACCCCATCGCCTCTGTAGGCGCTCTTAGCGAGCAATTGTGTAGGATTTGGTAACCTCGCCGGCTCGATCCACAGGATGTACCTTCCACAGCCGGATCTCGCAGCACAGGAACAGTACCGAGTCCGTAGATTTGGAACGTCTGATGATTCCTGCCAGTTCCCGCAGATTCACAATGTTTGTGCTGAAAAAAGTCTGGGCCTGCGAGGCCAGTCCTCGAGTTCCATCAGGTGGTGACAGAGATAGGGATCGAGGGACCGTGCAGCGCACAGGGAGGAGCGCAGGCGATATCAGGCGATGGGGATGAGGGTGGCAGATTTAGGGTCCAGGCTCTGTGGTCTGTGGATCTCTGTGCCACTTCTAGCTCAGGTCGAAGGAAGCAGCGCTCTTGGGGAAGATGCAAAAAGGGAACTCATCTTCGTATGTGACCACACCAACATCTTGTTTGTGCTCCACGGTGGTACGGTGGTCCAGATTGTGACACCCAGAATCCTAGAATTCTCGCTCCCATCACATGGGATATGGGGAGACACAAACATATCTGACCGATCTGCGGATGCACGGATGTGTGGGTCCTCAATCCTGCAGTGGCGACGTCGTAACCCTCTGTACCTCTGGAGCGGCCGGGAGACGTGGTACAGGCGTGTTCGGGGGTTCATACATGCCTCGCGCTACGCCACGCCATGTCTCTGCCCCTCGCGCCATTGTGGCTCATGGCAACGAGCCATCTGCCAGGTAGGTGCCTCGCCGTTGTCCGTCTCATGTACCTTGTGTTCCCCCGGTACATCCGGAACTGCACAGACAGCTGGCACTGACGAGCAAGACCCCGTTTATACAGAAAGTAGCAAGTGGCCGTGGCTCACGTAAACAAGTCGGAGGTTGCCGCACATGCGCCTCGCAGGACTCCTCTGCGCGGGCCAGACTTGTTGTGGAGCCGCATGGGCCTCCTTTGCCGACGATGAGCGCAGCTGCACGCCTGCGTGGATGCGAAGAAGAGCACGGATAGTGTGTCCCTTGCACTGGCAGGGACTCGGTGGACGCTGCAGGGGCATGATAGCACCGCCGGGAACGCAGCCAAGAGATCACAAAGAGACAGACCCGGAAACAATCTTTTTGGTGCCGGACGTTTGGCCGGCATGCCGCACTGTCAATTGCTCATGCACGCTGCCAATTTGTCCCTCAAAGCATCGTTTGGCCAAAGACCCTGACGTGTTGTGGCCGTTACGGCCGTTGTGGAGTGCTCTGGCGCTCTGGACTGAGACCTCGCATCCATCGCTGTGTCGTAGATCCTTCGCAACAGCGGCTGGAATAGAGGACCCACAGGATCGGAACCGAGAGTGTCAAGCCTAGGTTTTCATTTCGGATCCTCTTTTTGGGTTTTGCAGCGTCCCGTGTATGACACTGATTGTAACCTATTGGCCTTGACACCCGCAAGCTGTGGCGGAGACGCGAGCTGGGTGCACTGCACGGTGTACGCACATGCCTTTGCAGTGCGCAGTGGCCTACGGGCGTGCGTACGGTCACAACCTTCTGCCCCTCAGGACAGCTGTGGGTGGGGGTGGTGGCACTGTCTGACTCCACGACGCATTCGCCGGGGGAGGGGGGTCGTGCTGCGGTATGCAGAGCCATCTGCAGTCTGGCCATGGGCCATGGGCGTAACACCCCCATGGCCCATGGCCCATGCAGGCCGCAGGATGGTCGTCCGCCTCGACCGCCTCTCTCTCTGTGGTTCTGACAATCACGCACTCTGTACTCTGTATCGCCAAACCGGTGCAGGAAACAGTGCCGTGGCGTCGGAACTCGGCGGGCAGGGAGAACCAGAGTTGCTGTTTGGGGGGGCCAGAGAGGGTCAGAACAAACGAGGTGCCGCCAGAAGGCCAGCTGGCCCCTTGTTTGGTGGTGCATGCATGGCAGCCGAGGAGGCTGCCTGTTGCGCTGTTGCGCTGGGAGCGAGAGCGTCGAGGGGACAATGGAATCCAACAGAGCAAGCGAGAGAGAACGCACAGGGTGTGGCGTCGAGCGGCCATCCGCCACCCCGCGGAAGAGCAACAGCTTAGCCGCCCCCCGCGGACGAGCGGGGGGGACTGGATGTTATGGTGGCGCCTTGTTTCTCGCACAACCCAAAAGGCCAAAAACGTCGTCGCCAGTCTCACAGCAGTGGTGTGTCAGTCGTCAGTGCGTGTTCGCACTACCCACGTTGTCCTCTGCATGTGCTTGTGGCATTCCTGCAGCTGGAAACCAGAGGTGGGCCCTGCCGCCTGGGACGCTTTGGCCCGGCGTGGGATTCCGTGCCGATACTGATCGCCGCCACAGAGAGGCCCTCCGAGGCGCAGGCAGGGAAACCTACGACCTCACCATCTGCGTTTGCTTGTTCGCGTCTCTCCTGCGCTGCCCATGTCCTGCCCAGCTGTCTCTCTGTTTGGCGACTGTCCTGTCCTGTGGATCGTCCTCCACGCCTGTGTTTCCCACGACCACCAGGCGGGCGTTGCTAACCCACTGATGGGCCGTGCGAGGGTGCCGAGTGGTTCCTACGCCCTTGTGCCCCACTCTCCCACTGGCCACTGGTCGTCTCTGATCAAACCTATCTCCGTCTTTCTCATCGCCTCCATTTTACGTTCTATCTCTCACTCTCTCTCTCTCTCTCTTCAACCCTCTTCCTCCTCTTCACGGTCCCCTCCACCACCGTTCCCTTCCCTCCGCACCAACTACTCGCCTTATCCTCATCCCCAAAGACACCAAATATGAAGCTTTCTCTCCTCCTCGTTCTTGCTCCCTTTGCGCTCGGTGCCCTCGTCGAAGAGCGCGGCGGCGGCGGCGGCGGCGGTGGTGGTGGTGGTGCTACTTGCTCCACTGCTACTGTCTGGAAGACGAACACGGTGTAAGTTGTGACATCGCCACACTCGCTGACCACGACAGTACTTCGACCAAGAACTTGCCCCCCTACACCACCACGGTGTCCAAGCCCTCGTCGTGTGTTTACCGGACCACCACTCTTGTGAACGCCCCCACTACCATTCCCGTTCTTGTCTACACTGTAAGTACTGGGTGCTGGTGTTGCGTCCGCCGACCCACGCCGATCGTTTTTTTGGAGGCATGTGCCTCGCGGAGCACGAACCATTCCATCCATTGATCGGCGCGCCCGGCTCCGCAACAAACCACCGCTACGCACACATGCTGATGGCAACAGACGACGACTCTCAAGCCTATCACTGTCACCATCACCCCTTCCGTGATCAAGACGGTCACCAAGACCACGTCCACTGTCACTGCTGCGTGCACCCCTACCCACAAGTACAAGAAGCGCCAGGAGGTTCCCGAGGAGATGACCAACGCCGAGCGTCTTCGCCGTCACCTGCCCCTCAAGGCTCCCGCTGTCAAGCGTGGTGGTTCGCCCCCCACCAACCCTTCGTGCACTCCCAAGACCGTCACTTCCACCGCCATCGTCACCAACACCAACGAGGCCTGCTCGACGTCGACCGCTACGTCGTACTACTGCACCAAGACCTCGGTCTACACTTGTGAGCATATTGAGAAGCATCTCTCCTCCCTTTCCGATGCTGACCTTTCCAGCCATCTGCTACACCACTGTCAAGTCGACCTCGACTGCAGTGAGCACCAAGCCCGCCCAGACCGTCACCAGCACCGCTGCGTGCGCCCCGACGACCACCACGACGACCGTTTACGCTCCTCCTTGCACCGTCACCCCCGCGTGCAAGTAAACGTCGGCTGCGCGGTCTCAGAAGCTCTGAACAATATGAACAATCCATCTAGGCTCGTATCTTTCGTCGCCACTATCCCCCCTCGCTGCTTGTGAATAGATTTGCGTGCCGACACCTTTTTTCTTCTTTTTTTTTTCTCTTTAATTTGGGCACAAACCCTCCACACACGCGTTCCATAGCTTGGCCCACGCTCACTCCCGTCCCGCGGGTGTGCCACTCTGCCACCCGCGTCGGGGGTCCAGGACTCTTTTTTTTTCACCAGTGCCGTATGCACGCCGCGCTGCCCGTTGTATACAAGATAGAGGCGCGCCCCGACGTTCCGCGGCCAGATAGATGAATATATCCATGCAATGTGTACACTTGCACACACAACGCACACACGGCGCTGCCGAGGATAAATCCAGTTCCGGCTGGGAACCAACGGCCAGTGAGTTCTTTCACACGCCAAGCGTACGAACAAAAGGACCCCGTGTCAGGTAGCAGAACCAACTCTCCGTTACTGGGACTGTGCTCATGTGTGGCGCCGGGGATACGGAACACAGGTGGAACCGCCGGCTGTACCGAAGACAGCCGGCTGCGACACACTGTCTACGTAGACACGACCCATGTCTGGGTACGGTCAAAAAGATAGAGAAACATGTCCCACAAGGGCAGACACGTAGTCGTAGTCCTCGTTCTTGATCCCCCCGTCTCAGCTGGAAGGTGACGAGGCATTCCGCGATTGCGACATCTCGTCTGCCGCGCTGTCCTCTCCAGACCCAGACCTGACTCAGACCTCGCGCTCAGAACTTTGAGACCGCATGCCCCCAGAAGGATACCAGAGCCTAACACGTGGCGACGAGCGTGGAATGGGTAGTCATGGAGTTGTCGTGGCAGGCTCGGTGGTTGTGGCGGGATCGGCGGCCGTGGCGGGATTGACCGTGGAGCGGCTTCTACTTCTTCTTCTTGAGTTTCTGTTGTTCAGTAAAGCAGAGGCGCATGGCAGAGAGCGTACTAACAGCAGAAGGAGACCGGAAGGGGAACATATGGCCTTGTTCGAGCGGCCAAAGACGGGAGTCGGCTCAAGTGTCATGTCGCTTGTTCAAGATATCAGAAATCGCTATGGCTTAGTGGGAAAGCGCCAGGCTCATATGTTTGTGATTACCTGGAGATCCCTCGATCGAAACGAGGTGGCGATAAAGTTGTTCTTTTTGCGCTCGTGTGTTCCAAGGACGGGAAAGTGCATCGTCTCCAATGGAAAAACGTTTCTTGACCAGTCGGAAACGCAGATCTTCGGCGGAATGTAAGTGATCCCTCCACATATAAATACTTCCGCTATTGCTCCGATTAGCCAACATTCTAATCGACTTGCGCCCACCCTTGACTTTGAGCCTAATGGCAATGTATTTTGTGTCTATTTCTTTTGATTTTCCAATTCTCCATCGTCTCTCGCTCAATGGCATGCATGAGAGCGACCCAGTATCAATACGCAGCAAGGCTTTGACGCTGGCCCAACCGTTGCGGAGCCTTGGCACATCTGGACCGCGCCTTGGACCCGCACAGTCCCCGCCCAGGGCATTACCGTACACAGTTCTTCCTCGATTCCCATCGTGTCAGCGCCATCATCGCCACCGCTGCACCGCTGCCCCCAACCCTCGCATGTTCTCGCTCCGCTTCGATTGGGCGACTAACTGGCACGCAGGTACAGTGTGCATGCATACCTGAACTGCATACCTGACCAGAAGCCTAATGGAGTGTGAGACTCGGGCTTTTTTTTTGCGCGCGCCACTGGCGTACCGTGCGCCACGTTCACTGCACCGTTCGTTACACGCTGGGAAACGGGGGTTGCCACCTTGGCGCCCAACCGTTTGCACCACCCACTGCCGAGAACAGTCATCGATGAATTGGTTGGAGCTGTTCCGGCGTCCTTGCCGTGGCTTGGCATCTAGGTGGCGACGTTGGGCTCGACGACGCAACATTCCACCTCTTTCCACTGATATTCAACCTCTCATGCCGGCTCGCGATTAGAGCTGTGCGCCCGTCTCATGTCGACGCAAGTCTCTCGGGCCGCTTTGCACGGAAAGTGCAAGACACGCGCCGCCCCATATCGTCAACCACCAGGCGCCATGGCGGCCAAAATTATCCTGCAACTCCGCCCTCCGCCACTTGCGTCAGTATCGAGATGTGTACCACACAGGCGGCATAATCCCATCTCTGGGGTTGGATGTTTGAACAAGCAGGTCTTGGCCGTCTCGACCAGACAGGCCAGATTGACGACTCCTCCTTCACCCACGTAATATCGCATGTCTGTACGCTCTCCGACACTCAGCCTCCACAAACGAACGCACCCCTGCTGCGAGCTTGTGTCGGGTGTGAGTACCCGTGTGGGGCATGTAGGGAGACCATGGAGATTTGCCCCATGTGGGTGTGAGAACACGTTCCAAATGTCGGTGGAAATGTCATCTTCCACGGCGTGCCTTCGCGCTGGCGCGCTGGGCGGTGGCTTAAGCCAACGCCATCATCGATATGGACCAGCCACGAAGATCGTCGGGTATACAGTACTGTCCCACCGGCTTTTTTGGGCGTTGGGCCTCGTTTGCCTGTACTCGTACACTACATATCGCTCCCATTCCTCTGACCCTGGGGGCCGAGAAATGGAGACTGGGGGCTCCAAACTGCCAATTGAGTAATGTACGTGTGCGTACATACCTTTGTGCGGAGATTGCAAGCCCAAGCGCTGACGGAGGAATGTGGCAGCGCGGGGGAAACGACCCACTTGGGCGGACTGGGTTCATCTGCGCACCGTTATCACACTCGCTATCGTCCACCACGCAGCTGGTGTCTCCTATGTGGTGTTCCCTCGCGTTCAAGTCGGCACCCGGAGCGGCGATAGTCGCGTCCCCAACCGGTCCCCAACACAGCGGTCGTCGTATCGGGCATAATCGGTTCACTGACTTGGCAGGCGTCATGGGTTGCTATCATACACCAGCCCCACCGCTCATTGCACTTGAAATGGCCGTCCCCCCTAAGGGGGTTGCTAGTGCACTGCCAGGGACCTGTCTGGAGGCAAAGTCAGCGTTCACACACCCACGCAGGTCCAGTGGTGACGCAGGGAGCAGATACATAGCAAGAAACGTCAGCGCGGTCGAAACACGTTTTACCGGCCCTGTTCAACTCCCTCCCTGGTTTAGAGTGCCTGCTCATATGTCTGAACGCAGACGAGACATGGTTGACCTCTGGTGACTGAGGCTGCACGTACGACGTTCATACTCACACATACTGTGTTTTGCTCACTGGTGATTCCCCGCCGTTAAGGGATGAACACCAGATACCACACGGCGCTGGCGGTCTCCGTACATGATCCCGGCCAAAGGAGGGACGACGATGTGACTGGGAACAGAGCTCGACGCGCAAGGACACGGGCGGATTCATGGAGTACACGCTGACAATGTGCCTCCAACCTCCAGCCCATGTCCAGCCCCTCTTTCGATTGTTTTCTCAAAACCCAACTCGCTGGAAATAACGGCAGTTATATTCTCCCATCTCCCTCACCACCAACCTTTCATTCAAGACGTTCGTCGCTTGTTCCCAGAACCACAACTCGCAACTAGGGAGCGGCCACCTTATGTCATTGAATATCACGTTCCCGGTTCCCGAAAATCCCACATGTTTAACACGCTAGCGGCCGCTCCTCTGACCCGATTATCGCAGATCCCGTGCGCAACTGACACGGGAGTACCTACCTTTTCCGACTTCATTGTCGTGCTGTTCGGTTCACTAGGAGGCAAAGGAGATGGACGACGGACCTGTCCCGCCACAGGACGTTGCCCACGGGGTCCTGATGACAAGGCACCGACGCGTCCCGAGACTGTGCAGTGTGGCCCCGGATGGGAGTAAATAACCCACGTCCAAAGGATCCCAGTATGGCGAAGGACATGCGAGATACACACAGAGGTGGAGAGGAGGGCGACTGCTAAACGAGTATCGCTAAGGGGGGCGGGTGCACGCCAACATTGACGGATATCACTCATGGGACTGTGCCTGCAAATATCACGAGCCATGGTCGGAATGTGCATGTGTCTCCATCGAGGGCCCCCACATGACGGGGAGTGTGCTGGCATTGGGGTTGGAAATGGGCCGTCATGAACTGCCCACGGTGTGGAAGCCTCTCATCGCCGAATGAGGGAGGTATGGCGATGTGGCGGAGGCCATGTCGCTCTGGGTTTCGCAACCAAGCACGAGGCCACGAGGGTCAAGTCGTTCATTGCTATGCGATGCGACGCGTCGACGCGACCGAGCCAATCTCTTCAATCACGCTGACATGGCGTGAGAGCAACGCGGCGTGACATGTACATACGCATACGCGCGTGCCGGGGTAAGCATGGCACGCGCTGGTTCTGGCAGTCGTCAGGAATTTTGGCGGACGTGACGGACTCACCCGCCCAAGTGACGGACTGGTGATACGCACTCGATGTATGCACCTCTTGGCACCTATCTGTGCCGATCTGTGCCCTTTATGCGGGAGAACCCATTGCCCCCGAATATGAGTGGAGTCCCGAGAGTCACGTCACCACTGCAGATATCCTGGTCAGGCTGCAACAGCCAGACCGAGGGCAGCCGTCGATAGGAGTGGTAGAAGAGAATCTTGTGCAGCGCCTAGCTGGTGGAACGCCAGCTATCCATCGAGTATAGAAGACGAAATGCGTCCCCAGGTTGCGGGTCTACGGCCGGAGAGTCACATTGACAAAAGCCAGCGGTGGTCCAACCACGAGGATGAAAACGCGGCTGTGAAAGTGGCAGGAATCGCGGGTTCCAGGCGTTACGTCTTCTGTGTAGGGGATACCCCAAACCTCAATTACGGCTTCAGTACGTGTGCCCATTGCGACGCGTTGAGGTCACAGAACGCGTCCAAGTTGTCCCCCAAATACATACAATGAGGCAGGACTGGACAAGAAACAACGCAGGTACTGTAGAGTACACTGCACGATTCCGAGAGTCGGACCTGGTCCACGCCGGCCGATACACGGAGCAGAGACAAATGCTTTGCATGCTATTCGCCGTTCGCCCACAATTGGGTTGCAGCCGACATGCCGCATCTGTGAGAGAACAGCCTTGGGCCGCTGTCACTCGGCATGTACAGGCGTCGAGTGGCAGCGACGCTAAGCATACATCCCTGTAGTGTGACACGCCTCAACCTTTCAGGTTAAACACAGTTGCCGCCCCTTAACACAGGCCCCAGCGGACTGTAAATGAAGCAGACCATCATGGGGCACCATTGAGGACGGATAGTGCAATGTACATAAGCAGGTGTGAACGGCCTTGGACGGTGTTCCGCAGGCACAAGGCGATCATCCTCCGACGCACGAAGCTCGTCTGCGGGTGGATGTTACCTTGGACAGGTGACTCATGACTCACGGCTCCTGCTGTGAAGACCCGCTTCGACCCGGCCTTCACAGCTCGCTGTGTACCATATTGTGCTTTTCTCTGCTGCTGCTAGTCTTCCCGTTTCGTTCGCTTGCTCGCCATCGCCATTCTGTTTGAGTCGCCATTGCATCCAGGATGCTTATTATATACATTGCGCCGGCTGCCCGCGAAGTACGTACGTACCAACTTCCACTTCCGGGCTTTCTAGCTTCCAGCGTTCCACGTTCCAGTAAGGTATCTTGCGTGGCTCTCAAACTCGAGGTCTCCGAGGTCGATTACGGCATTCCACATCAACCCTAGGTCGCGGCCAAGTCCGCTGGGCCGCTGGTCGCTGGTCATGGGTCGCAGCTCGACAGCAAAGTTTTTGCGCGTAAGACCGTCCGTCCAGTCTGCACCCTTGGACTAACGCTCTGGAGTAACTGACCACTTCTGTGGGATTAGTCCGGCTGTCTCTTGAACGTCCTGTTTCCCGTTTCAGGCTGCGTCAGGCGGTCAGGCTACCGACGGCCTCCCTTGCAACCCTGTGTGGGAGCCACTGGCTGTCGCCACTAGCCACGCCCCCATTGATCATTTCGCTAAAGCCACTGGCCACTGGATAACATCAACGGTCGTAGAGCCACACGGGCGCCCACGGGACTGTCATTGACATCCCGGGACGTCCGTGACGTAGGTGGTTCTCCTCACCACATCGGCGACTCGCAAAGCAGTCTGGGTGGCGGATGGATCTTCATCGGGAAGCCTTTACTGCCTTGCCAGTGGCTGTTCTGTTTCTTCTTGGAGCCTCGGTCAACGGGGTATGCTACCAGCCTTGGCAATCATTGAATCCCTAAGTAAACCTGAGTGAGACTGCAAGACACCACAGGCCACAAGTGGACTCGGCATGACATGTTCGGGGGCGATCGGTGCAGGGTTCGGTCGGTCAGAGGCGCCCGGTATTTGATCGTTTGGCGACCCATCCGTTTAAACTCGTTTAAAGAACGCTGTACAGTACGACGACGATGCTTGTAAGCAGGTGACTGAAACTCTCACCAAAACGGAGTACTGTGCCTGTCAATGTCCCATGCATTGGCCTTAGGCAAGGTTGTACTTGTGGAGCCAGTTGGCGAGAGTTGCGGGGACTGGGCCTCTCGGAGGAATTATGGATGGACATGACCCGGGTCCCTTTCGGCATCTCGCCCGTGCCTTGTTCGTCCACGCGGAGCCGGTCGCAGCATTCCTCGGTCTTCCCTGGGGTATACCCACCTACCACAGCGTATGGTGTTGCGTAAGTATACCTGTCGCCCTTTGGGCGGTTGCTTAATAGACGCAGAGACGCAGGGGGACCTTCAGAACGCACTACTGCAAGCGTGTGCGCCGCCAGGTAACCTCGGTGGACAGGTTGCGCAGGTGGCTGATTCCCGCGGCCAACCTTGATACGGGAGCGGGACGCGTCCCGCCCGCAACCTACCCGCCCGCTCCATTCCCCACAGCCGTACTCTGGCCGACCATTTCCTGCCCTCTTGGGCACCCTCACGTCGCAGCAAGGCATGCTGGGGGTCGATCCCTGGACGCCAGCCGCGACGGCCGCGGGCCACGGAGACGCCATACCGGCCCCCCTTCGCAGTCATTCAGCGCTCGTGCCGTGTGGTTCCCGCTGAAAAAGTTGCGTAAAACCTGAATGATCGCTTCAACATGGAACCAGAGCCAGCCCTCTCCCTCCGACGCGCTGGAAGACCTGCACAACAGAGAGTGGACTCTCTGTGTTGGCCACAATTATGCGCACATTGCATGTTCCTTGGACGTCCCGCCCCCGATCCTCGTGTACCCCTCAAGTCGACCGTGTCCCTACAAGTCGACCGAACGAGTGGGTGTAACGCAATGGAGAGCGAGAGTGAACGCCCGAGAGCGGCAGGGCACGGACAGCCCGCAACAGCTTGCTTACAATTCCTGGCGCCTGGCACGCAGCATTAACCTGAGCCAACGACCGCTGCCGAGAGACAGTATATCTTACTGGAGGGGGGTTGCGGCGCACAGGCATTCTTCCCCTGCTATCTGTCGTCTGTGGCTCTCTCGTTAAAGGCACCGACCAACCCTCACACTTTCCTTTCCACATCCCCATCTCGTACTCCCTCGCGACCACAACGTACCCCTCCTCGCACAGCTAGCGCAGACCTGCCAAGACTGGTCTCGCCCGCCCTCTCGCATCAAGAGACCATAAGGAAAAGCACACAGAACGGGAGCCACCATGACAACCCCACTCGATCTCTCTCTTTACTCCATCTCTAGTGAATACTACTCTCTCAACTCGCCAGACCCAGCGAGCACCGTTGCTACTGCTTCTTGTTCGTCGCCAGTTACGGCCACGCCTGTCCCTTCCTCCTCCTCTTCCTCTTCGACCTCGTTGTCCGCAGACCCCCCTCGCCGCCGCGTGAACTCGTATACGCCTGGGTATCTTGCCCCTTGGTCACCGCCCAAGCACCTCACCCGATCTTCTCCTCCTCCCTCCCCCCCTCGCTCACCTGCCCGGTCACCTGCTCGTTCTCCGGCGACACCGCACTCGTCTCACGTGTTGTCGACTCCGGACCCCGCCAACGCTGTCCAAGCCGCCCGCCAGAGCGTACAGTTTGCTCCCAACGGCCCCGTCAACTGGTCTCGACCCATCCCCACCGCCACTACCACCACCACGAACATCAACACCACGATGCACCGTGCTCGTGTGTCCTTCTCTGGCCCGGTCCCTTGGTCCTCTTCACCAGCCACCTCCTTGTTGTCACCATCACCCGTTTCAGAGGAAGGGCCGTCAACGCCACCCCTCGGCCACCTGCCACCCGGTGCCGCAGCACCGATGAGCCCCACAGCCACCGCCAACGGCTGGGCCGTCGTGTCACAGTGCCAGGGTCTGGGCATGGTTGGCCTTGCCGACTACGAGTCAAAGTGCAAGGGTCTGGGCATGGTTGGCCTTGCTGAATATGATTCAGAGTCCCAGATTGAGCGGCCCGACCTCACCAGCGAGCCGTCATCTCGGTCCAGCTCTGACTCGGAGGGCAGCCTTGCCGGCGAGAGCATGCACACTGCCTCGTCGTCGTCGACCCCGTCAACCCCTACGCGCCTGCAGTTTGTGTCCGACTCGTTTGAGGGTCTCTGGAACCCCGCCACCCTTGAGGAGCTCAGGTCGCTCAAGGCCGCCGCCGCCGAGCTGGACAAGGAGTCCCAGCGTCTCCGTCGGATGCGCGGACGTGAGCCTGCAGTCTCCCCGCGTCTCATGCCTCGCAAAAAGGTCCCCATCGTCCGCGACGTTGACCTGTCGGCCAAGCCCAAGACCCGTCGCCCAGCCGTCCGCCACTCGCTCATTACCTCGCCTCATGATAGGTCGTACGCTCTGTTCGCTGAGCCCCTCTCCGCGTCCCCTCTTGGCAGCTCGCCTCCCTCTAGCCACCCCTTCCGCCCGTCGCCGTCTGCGGCGGCCACCCGCCGTCCATTCTACGCACAGGGCAAGGCCTCGATGAGTGTCATTGAGTTTTCACCTCGCAAGGAGCAGCCTTCCTCTGGATTCACAGCGTTTGGTGCGAGCAGGCGCCATCTTTCGGGTACCATTCCGACGCTGGCGTCTCTCCGCGCCGGGCGCGAGCGCGAGCGCGAGCGCTCGTCCTCCATCTCCCCACCCATGGCGTCGACCACCAACCTCGTTTCCGTGGCTGCGGTCCCCAGCGCTCCCGTGTGTGCTCCGGCTCCGGTCCCAGCTCCAGCCCCCGTTCCCGTGTGTGCCCCGGCCCCCGTGGCCGTCGACCCGCCCGTCGTCCCTGCTGCCAGCCAGCTGAACCTTGCTCTCCCTCCCCCTCCCCCTCCTCCCCAGCCCCAGTCCCAGCCCCCAGCCCAGCCCGAGCGCACACTCAGCCTCAAGGCGTCCACCAACTTCCTCAACCGACACAAGAAGCTGTCCAGGTTTCTCGGCAAGGCCCAGGTGGCCTAACAAGGGCTGAACGGACCCCCCCCCCCCCCTCTCTCGTCAAAGATCGTTAATCGTTAATCGGGAATCGCGAATAGAAACACATCTCATCTCATCTCCGTTCCCTCTCTGGGCGCGCTGCGCGCGCGGACGGACCAACACAAGGACACTCTCTACTATTTTCTCTTCGTGGACAGGATCGACACATCCTGATATTTTGCTTGTTGTGACAGTATGCATGGATAGAACTCTTAATGCTGCGCCGGGCACTGGGCGCGCTTTGGGCTTCCAGTGGCCAGTGGCGGGCGGGCGGGCGCGCACTGACGCTCACGTTGTCTGGCCTTCTGACACTTGACACCTGTCCCATTGGTGGCACACCCCATCCATCTCCACCCCAGATCCCTCGACGTCGGCGCTCGCTCCAACAGGTAAAACCCAGCGAGGCCAGCAACCACCCTTTCATGACCCTTACACGATGAAGTTTCGCACGTAGTTACGCACCGCGACGTGATCGGGCACATGCTGGATCCTACGCGCTCGCGCTCGCCAAACCAAACGCACTCTGTCGTCGTTGTCGTCACATTCGCTCCCGAAAGTCACTCTGGAAGCAGATTGCTTGAGGCCCGAGAGGAGGAGGGGGGACAGGAACTGGCACGCCGCCACAAGGAACATTGTTCGAGAGGCTCACGTTGCCGGCCGGTGACAGCGCGCCGCCACGCCGATTACCGATTTCCGCAACGTCAGTGCGCGAATGTGTGCCACGAGCACGAGCACGCACATGAACATGGGCCGCTACGGCCCGCCGCCGCCATGTGCACGCCGTCCGCCGTCCGCCGCATCGCCATCTCCATCTGCAGCCGAAACCAAAGGGCGGGGGTCGTCGCTGTTGTGGGTCGCTCGCCCCCGCCACTCGCGCCCGGCCCGCCACGAGCGGATTACCATGCTTCGCCTCATTTACGTACACCCCCGTCCGCTATTGTCATGTTCGCGTGTTCCGGCACGACGACAGCCGTGGGGAGGGGGCCGGATTTCCGTCCCAGTTCACGGCCCAGAGCGCCGAGGCACATGGGGGCCGGTGGTCGTAGGGGCCCACAAGGCCACAAGGCCCAACGCTGGAACCGCCCCCGACGGCCGTCGTCAAGGCGGGGTTGGGAGTCGGAGGGGGAAGGGGGAAGGGCAAGGGGAGGGTTAATGTACTGTTTCGTTGAGGGCGATGGTGAAGCATAAGGGTGTGATGTGATACTGCCTGCCCCGTGCCACTGTGCTTTGTGGTGCACAGAGGTACAGAGGTGTGCTCCTGTGTCACATGTGCGTTCCGGAGCCGGCGTGGCTAATGGCCTAATGGCTAATGGACTTGTCGTTGGACACAGTTGGGCCTGCAATCGCCATATGTGCGACATGAGAGTGATGCTCCCAGTCCCCCATGGCTTCAGTTTCTGCGTCATGAGGCCTGGTCAGCGTATCGTATCCCGAACAACAACGTAAAGGCGGAGTACAAGCGTGTGGCGCGGCTGGGTATGGAGGAGGCCGAGATGCCCAAGGGACGCTGTATGCCGCGCGCCGCTGGCGTGCTGGCGACTGCTGGCCATGGTCGCGCCGTAAAGATCGGGTAATTGGTCGTAGGGCAGCGGGGAATGGTGTTTCGTGCGCCTGCAGGCTTTGCACGCTTTGCAGGACCGGACCAACTTGGCCGTGTTCCCTGTCGACGCGCACAGGCCGCAATCTTTTCGGCACGTGAGGGTTTGGCACAGGTCCAGGCCATTAGGGGGTCGGTATGCATGTAAGCCGAGTCCATGACGCAGCGCACTGTTCCAGTGGAGGTGCGTTGGCATGGACTGCATAGGCTGTGTGGCGTCCTGGTGCCAGTGAGCCGCGTGCACTGGCATGTGAGGACCATGGCGGTGGCAGGGGTGGCATGCGAGTGGAATACAGTGGCAGTGCGGACCGGGATCGACAGCCGGTTGTGAGTTTGGGCCACCGGGCGTAGTAGACGGTTCTGGATACTCTGAAGCCACGCCCTGCCACCTGTATCTTGAGCAGGACGCCTATCGTGCGGTTGGTCAGGTCCCGGGTTACAGACGAGAGCCGTATCGCCACCTACAGGTTATGGTGAACCACACCCGCCGCGTGCTCCCGTAGGAAACCACCTGGTGGCTGTCTTTGAAACGGCGCCATCAAACCTCACGTTTGCCGCGACGAGACACGGCTGATAAGGCCAGAGATCTCAAAGTTTGCCGAGGAACATTGTGGTCGTGGCGTTTCACTCGGATCTCTCGAGAGCCGGTGCCACACAGGATCTCGATCGAGGCACAGACACGAAGCGCCTCTTCCCCAAGCTCTACCGTGCGTGGTAACAAGGGGCGTGCTGCGTGTTCGCGTACTGTATTGTATCACCTTGAGGCGCGTCGTTGTTTCAGGCAAGGTAGGATGGATCGTCGCGCCCGGTCAAGTACGGAGTAGGCGGAAAATTGGTGGAAAATGGGGTGAAAATGCTGAAAATACGGCTGACACGCCACCGCCATATGGTGACTGGACCTCCTCCTCCCATGTATCTCGCCACAAGCACTTCCACCGCCTCCTCTCCTCTTGACATTGCTCTGGATCTGGGTCCCCGTCGGTAATCCCTGCACTTGTACTGTCCAAGGCAAGTGGCCACCGTATCGGGCAATGCCTGCCTGGCGTGCTTGGCTGAGCGTGCCTGCGGACCGGGGGCATTGCTCGCAAGCAGGCCGCAGGTGTGCCAGTGTGCCGGTGTCGGAATCTGCGGCGGGGGTGTACGGCATCACGTCTGGGGCGTCTTGTTTTCGTAAATGAATGACCAGAACGATAGCGTATACACGAGTCTCGGCGTGGGCGTGAGTGTGGGAGATCCGCGCCAGCGAGTGGCTCCAATGTCAGCGTCAGTGCTGTGCGCCACCAGCCGGAGGATGACCACTAGCCGCTGTGTACAGTACGTTCCACCAGGAGCAGTCAACATTGCCATTACGCTCACCATGTCAACCACCGTGAGCGGTGGAGGCGATGGTGGCCGAGATTGAGCCTGTGCCACGGTTGCGTTTACGCTGCCCACCTCAATCACCGTGTCCGGTGGGAGTTGGCGTCAGGTGGCCGAGATACGCAGTTGGCTATGCGTCATCGTCCCCCGTATGTACTCTGTGCGTAGTGCCCAGTAAGTAAGTACATACCTAGCTAGGCCTATCTAGTCCGTTTCAATTCCAGCATGCCGGAACGCACACAGCATGCAGAGCCCGGAGCTAAGTGGCTGCCGCCACGACTCATTCCCCGCCGGCGTGCCGTCACTGGACGATACCGGCGAGTGGTCTGTGGACCTGTAATCAGACTGAAGACGCCCGCTCGCGGCGAAGTCGTCATCATCAAGGACAGGTACCTCATTACACGCGGCAAGTGGACACGACTCGAGGTAGAACGAATACATATATGCATAGGGGAGTGTCCGGTTGGCATCTAGCCTACAAGTAACCTTTACAGCCTGGCTTCAATGTAAGTGAGCGCAGGTAATGGGTAGAAAGGGGGGGGTAGAAAGTAATAAAAGCAGAAAGAAGAACGGTGGGAGTGGGGCGCGGTGTCCGTTGTGTAACTTTGACACACACATATTAACCACTTTTCGAGAGAGGGAGAGGGAGAGGGGGGTTGGTTGGTTGGTTTCACACTGTCGTATTGCTGAACCTAGTACGCAATGCCGACCTCTTGCGAGTACGCTTCCTCCCTGCGGACGACGTAGGGGCCCGAGAAGGGCGTGACGTTCATGATGGCGGCGTTGAGGACGTCGTCGTCGCTAATGTCGCTGGCCATGGACATGCTGCTCACGCTCGAGTGGGAGACGTGGTGCATCGAGTCGCGCGGGGACGCGGCCGTCGTGGCCGTGCTGGCGGAAATGGCGCTGTCGACCGAACGACGGAACAGACGCGGTGTGCCGTAGAGTGCCACGCGGTGCGGGTGGGCGGCGGCGGCGCTCATGCGGTGGATCTGGCGCGTGTTGGGCGACGCGGGAGTCTTGAACACGGGCGAGGCGAGGTTCTCGGCCTCGCCGCGCGAGCCAGTGGCGGGCGAGTCAAAGTAAGGAAAAGATGCGAGGTCGACCTGGTCCAGACCGAGACCGAGACCGGGGTTCTCGGGCGCCAGGTCTGCCGACATGCCCTTGGGCGTGGTCTGGGTCATGTACTGGCTAAAGTTGAGCGAAAAGGGCCCCGAAGTCGACGACGACAGCGTGTGGAGCATGTGGGCCATGGCCTCCTCGGCGTCGGGGGACGCGGTGCCAATGTGGGACATGTGCGTGAGCGACTCGGGGTCGTGGCTCATGTTGGAGGGCACCGAGTCGTGCGACACAAGCGACGGGAGCGAGCCGTACGACATGAACTCGGGTGATGGAGGCAGGGGCTCGCATGGGGCCGCGCATACGGGGCGGCCACAAGCAGGGAGGGAGCGGGGAACGCTGGCTGGAGTGCAAGGCTCGCTTGAGCCTTCCGATTGAGGCGGCGTCATGGGCTCGGTCACTTGAGGGACTGGGACGCGGCGCACGCGAGGAGGAGTAGTGGGAACAGTGCTGTCGACGGCGGCACGAGCGGCGGCAAGACGCTGGGAGGCCGCAGCCGCAGTCTGGGTCAGCTCCTCGCCAAGAGGAGGAAGATCGCAGGCGAGGGCCGCGAGCTCGGCCAACGAGTGCGAGATGGAGCGGCCGTCGTCGTGAGCCTCGTACAACGACTTGCCCTTGTCGGTGCCAGTGAGCTTGCGCGCTGGCGACTTGGCCGGCTTGGGAGGAGGCATGGGTGTGGCAAGGGTCTTGGCCTTGGCGGCGGCAGCTTGGCGCTCGCGGGCCAGGAGAGCAAGAGCGATCGCGTTGTACTCGCTGTCCTCCTCGTGGGCGTCGGCGGTACGGTCATCGCTGTCGTCCGTCTCGTTGTCAGACGAGTCCGACTCGAGGTCGTCAAGCTGCATAACGTTCAACTGGATGGGCGAGCCAGGACCGAGGGCCACATCGTCGAGGTGGGGGCTGGTTTTGCCCCACTCCTCGAACAGAACACGCGCGACGGGCTTGCGCTCTTCGTCCTCGACAGCAGGTGCCGAGGGGGGACGCTCAACGACATCCTGAGGGGTAGCCGGGATGAGGTTGAGCATGGGCAGGGGCGAACCGTCCTCTGTGAGCTTGCGGCGCGGGGTCGTGTTTGCGCGCCTGGGCGGGGTCGATGTTCCAGCATCCGAGCGCGTACGACGAGGAGTGGGCGTGCGGAACGGGGTGGGACAAACACCACCTGGGGTGCTGGCCAACGAGGGCGAGGCAAGGTCGTTTCCAGCAGGCGAGTCCCAACGGTTGAGATCGGGCGTGGAGGGCGCCGAATCGTTGACGTCTGGGGACTGTGGCACGGTGGCCAGTGGCGATGCACCGCCAAACGCCTGGCGGCCGAGTGTGGCAGGCGACAGAGGGGGGGCAGAGGGGATCGCGAACGCAGCACCGAGGGGTGTAAGGGGAGCCATGGGCGACACGGGGCTGTGGCCCGCCGACATGGGTGAGATGGGACCCGGGGACATGCACATGGAGCCGTTTGAAGGGGAGGGCGGCTGGAATGTCGGCGAAATCGAAATGGAGGCACGCGTCCTGCTGCCACTGGGTGCGGCGGGGCGCGAGCTGCGACGGCGCGTGGAACCATTGTTCGACAGGACAGAAGATGGACGCAGGGGGTTGGAAGGAGCTGCTCCACGAGGATACGAACCGCTGGCCGACGAGCCTGGACGAGACGAACGCATCGACTGGCGCGAGTTGGGACGACCCGAGGCAGAGGTTGGGCTGTGGCCGCCACTCGAGGCAGTGGCAGACAAACCCGTGGCGGAGCCAGGGGGCGAAACCCGGTAGTTTGACGAGCGGGTGCTGCGCTGGCTGTACGAGCTCACGCGGTGCGCCGAGTAGGTGCTGCTACGAGCTGCCGGGGGAGCTGACGAGACCGAGGTGGCCATGCCGGGACCGAAAGTGGGGGTCTGAGCGGTGTAGTTGAACAGACTAGTGGTGGGCGACAATCCGCCCTCTGGCCACCTAGTGCCAGTTGGCGCCGAACTGAGGCGCAGCATTGGTGGGCGGTTCGCCTTCGGGGGCGTTGGGAGCGCGTAGGTTGGAGGGGACGTAGCTGCTGGACGGAACGCCGATGGTGGCGAGCTGTGGTCGCGCGACGAACTGGTCGGCGACGTGCCAAGCTGGCGCTCGCTACCCTGGGGGCTGTAGCCAGCACTGTAGCTGGGCAAACGAGCGGAGCTGGCGGGACGCGGCGAGGGCGACGCCTCCATACCGTCGCGGCGACGGAGGATGGGCTTTGGAGGGCCGGTAAGACGGTGGCTGCTCTTTTCTGGGGCAGGCGAAGGCTCGCGCTTGCGCCAGAAGCGCAGGCTGGGTGTGGCTGGGGTGGTGGGGGAAGTGGACAAGGACGAGACTGGGGAGAAGGCGACGGAGGGGGAAAGGTTTGCAGAGGGCGAGTCGGCGCTCATCGCGGACGACGGAGACGAGTAGCTGGGTGGCGCGGTGGGGACTGGAGGCGGCGGCGTCGCGTTTGAGGCATCGCTCTGCTTGCGCAGACGGCCGCGACTGGCCTTGTGTGTGAGGGTCTTGACGAGGCTTGCCATGGTTGGATTGGGGTGAGAGAGAGCGAGAGGGCCGGCTAGAGACGAGCTAGACCGACAGAAAAGGATATGGGCAAGCTTGAGACAGAGATGATGCACGCGTCCACTGTGGCTTTGAGGAGAGTGCTAGTCGCAGAGAGACGAGGATCCCAATGGAAGTGCTGGTCTGTGTTGCACCCGGGATGGTGGAAGGGGCGTGACGCGTGACGATTCCGGTGCGGGTAGTTCCAATATCGCTGGTGACAGACGTCCGTCGGGGCTTGGTAACACGAGACAAGGGGGAGACAAGTGGGGAGGGGTAGAGGGAGAGTACAAGATACTCTGTGTGTGGTGGATGGATGACGGACAGGACAAGTGAGGATGTGTGTAGTTGAGAGAGGAGTGGATGAGAGTTGGTTGTGGGACCCGACTGTCTTTGTGAGAGCCAAAACGCGCTTCCGCCCGCACACACCGTTTGTGTGTCTTTCTGGTTGTGTCTCTCTCTCCATTCTCTTTCGTCTGCCCCGAAAGCAAGTCGCGTCTCTCTGCCTGCCTGCTGGCCTGCTGCATTCAACGCCACACTGTATATGGTGCCCATTTGGTCAGGAACTACAGTACTCGCTGCCCATTGAAAGCGGACGTGCGCCATCCCTCAACTATCCCATCGCTTCTCTCCCCGCCCGCCCATCACAAGGGCCCTTGTCGCTCTTGTCGCTTGCAGGAAATGGGCACCCACCTGTGCTACCAACACAAGCTTTGGGGGGCGACGACGCGTCTCAGGACCCCATGTGCCTTCTTTTCAATGGAGTGGCGCAGGTGCTGCACGGCAACAGCCACCACCACCATCCATTTTGGCCCACGCACGCACGCAGCACACCCACCGCACGCAGCATCCGCATGTGTCTCAGGACGTATGGCCACCAGGAAAAGTAAAAGATCCAAAAGAGGGCCGAGGGAGCAAAGAATAATGTGTGTGGACAGCCCAGCAAAGCGCCTGACAGGGTATCCGCTCTCTCACCTCACACGATCTCACACACTCTGTACGGAGGCGTGGTTCACAGCGTACCGCGTCGTCAGCTTGCAGCCTGCCTTGTCTTGCCGGGCCTTTGTCCCCACAGTCTCCGTGCCCTGGTTGTAGCCGTTATGGACTGCGAACGTGAGAAACGCAGACTGCGCCAGGAGGATCCAAAAAGGAGGGAAAAAAAAGGACCGGACCGGGGCCTGGGAGAGCACCGGCACCGGCACAGGCTCTGAACGCCTCTGCCGTAGCTCTCCGTGCGCTCCGTAGTGCAATACCACGCGCGACAGTAGCGACGACGAGGTCTCGCAGTACCGTACGTAGTCGCCAAAACTTCCACTTCCAACCAAGTTGCGGTGGGCAGCAAGAGTATGTACCTTTGTCGCAGTTCCCGGTACGAGAACAGATGAGACACGGGGCACAGACGCGTTCGCTGCCGTTGTCTCTGGATCTCTATGGTGGTGTCTGACGCGTCTTGCTTCACCTAGAGACCCCAGCGACCGCGACCCCCCGCCGTCTTTAGCGGACGGTGTGCAGAGTCGTTGGCACGCTCTCAATAGACCAGCGCGTCGTTTGGTAACGACGCCAGCGACCTAGACGACATCGAGCAGCGCGTCTGCTGTGACCAGCATCTCGCGCGAGTGGCTGTATGAAATGTGACTGGCGATGGGCACACTATTGCACGCCGTACGCTTTTGCCACACAGGCCATCAGGTTACTACGAGACACCACAGCGTACACCAGACGCCACCACCCGCATACAGAAATGCATGCAAAGGGTTTTCTGGACGGACGCGTCTTCTCGCCCCACCCCAGTTGACCCTTTTGCATGCGTCATGCCTGGCCGGCCCTTTACGTACCCACCCTAGAGGTCCTAGGCCAGACCAGAAGACGCGTGTGCTCCCCGATCCTGTTTGCCATCTCCTCCCCCCATACAACACTTGTTCGGGTCATCCCTCGTGTGCGCGTTCTTCTTGGCCGCGCTCTCCGGGTCTCCTGCATCTCCTGAGATCTGGCTCCTGGAACCGGCCTGGATCCGCCAACCTTCCCGGTCCTTACGCTTTGGCTCCGAACTTTTGCCTTTCGAGGTCTCTCCTGTCGTCGGCTGCTCGGGGTAGGACGGTACGTCATTGCCTTACACCACCCGGGTTGTGCGGGGTATCTGCTACACACGCGTTCAGTGTCGTGTGGTCTGTGGTCCCGGACGTGTGCTCGCTGCTTTACTCGGACGGCTCTCGGGGGCACCCAGTTACAGTTTGACAGCACCCGAGATAACCCAGCCATGGCCGCGGATCGGGGATACCACCAGAGTACTGTACGTGTCCAGAGCAGACCCCATTGGGGCCATGTGCAGTACGGCCCCAAGTCGTTTGTGGTTAACAGAACGGATTAACCCCGATTCAATGGGTGACTAGCATGACTAGAATGCAACAAGCGCAAGGCGGGCTTCGGAGACCGAAACGTATCTCCGTAACGCATCGCGAGATCGCGATTGTATATGTAACGGTGGAGCGACGCTCTAGCAGCAGGTCTTTCTCTAGCCCGGGCGGCCTCGTGGAGCGGGCCTACCCTAGTGACAGGACGCGTTTGCACGATTGATTTCTTTTCAGGAGGGGTAAAAAATATCCATCCCCACTTGCAACTTGGTCCATCCTTGCCCTTTTGACCTCGACCATGTCATCGCACACAACCCCTTTTTCTAGCCTGAGGCCTGTGGTGGCGCAGATCTACAGGCCTACAGGCGGACCCACTTTTTTCTCGTCGTCTCGACGCCTCTTTGATCTGTGATCTGTGAGCCTTTGACTGCCCCCAACCTGGCCAGCCCAACGCCATTGCCACGCCATGGCGTGCACGCGTCTTCTGAATTATATTGTCTGTGGCGCCCGCGACGAAAATTGCTGGTACAACGAGGCTGGAAACCACCACCACCACCATGTCGGACGCGTCTGTCCTCGGCTTCGGCGTTCCATGTCAGCGTGTCGGCCACGTTGAAAGAGATGTTTACATACTTACATGTTAACATGTTTGCATGTTTGCAGTTTGTAAACCTTGTGTTGATGTATAACCCACTTTTTCGACGTCACCTCGTTTGTGCCACCTCCGCAGCAGGCTCAGGTGCACCGAGGCTTGAAGGGCTGCAGCTCCGTACTGTAGGGCTCTGTTAGTCACCCGCGCGCAAGCGCTTTGCGTCTGTGGTTAGAGTTATCCAGCATGCGAAAAACTCAAAAAAAAGTGACCGACCACATCGAGCGTGTCCATCCGCTACTACTGCCGCCGGCGCTACCCACCTTGCGGTCAGCTGCACAGCGCGCACAGCGCACACCTTGCATATAGCGGTCTAGCTTGTCTAGTGCTGTCCTTTGTCTGATCGTCTGACATGAGGGGCATGGAGGAGTAATCGACACCAACACGTCAGCCACCACCACTCCACCGACACCACCGGCAGACTAGGCAGCTAGGAACCAAGTACCAAGTCAGACCACACGTCACCACTGAACCAAAGCAGTGCTTACTCCTGGCAAAACCCCATGTACCCCGCAAGAGGTCTGTGCACGTTCCTATATATCGCGATCACTTGCCACTTTCTACCCTTGTTCCCTGTGCTGTTTTCACAAAGCTCCACAGATCCACAGAACGTTTTGACCATGTGTTTGGCTCAGGACCCAGTTCTCTAACCATGGCAGCATTGGTACTAACCTACCGTCTTCCCTCGTGCGCAGTCTGTCCTGGCCAGCGCTGTCGGATGCTGTGGTATATGGTATATCGCGTCCCGGCGAGGTGCACGTCGGTGGGTCGTCCATCGCTGCAACGCGTCCGTGGCCACCATGCAGCCGGTCGTCTCCTTGACGGTCGTCTGTTCGGCGGAGCGAGCGGCTGTGTGGAGGGTGGGTGTTTGGTTCAGTGACGCAGCGGGCATAGTCTCCTCAACGCATGTGGGCGTGCGATGTGCTGTGGTCGAGGTCCACACCATGTAGTGAAGCCGGTCGGGCGTCTCCTTGATCCTTGACACATGACAGTGCGACGTCCAGCCCCAGGTCTCGCTGACACTCCGAAGCCGCTACGGCCACTACGAAGCCGGTCGTCTCCTTGAGAAAATGGCCTCGTGACGGCATGTGCATGTGTGACCCTCCTTGGCATGAAGCCGGTAGTCTCCTTGACGGATGTGACCTCCACGGCAGGAGGTCACTTTGCCACATTTTGGTGGTCTCGTCGATGCAATGTCCACATCCACATCCTTGATCCTTGAGCCACGCCGGCCATATAAGCCGTGCTGAAATGAAAGCACACCATGTCAGTGGTCTCCTTGACACACACACGCTCCGGCACGATTCCTGAACCAAGCCAATATCTAACATGACGGGGCTATTAAAGACGTCGTTTGTCCCGTCGTTTGTCGTTGTCGTCTCAACTGTGCTTTGTAGAGTGTTCACAGTCCAGGCCCCCATGGCCCACCGCCCCCCCTCCCCCCCCCCCCCCGCTAGTCACACCCCATCTAACTCGCCCTCTCACGTATGCGCAACGCACACGCCTCGTCGCCGACAACCCGCTACACCTACACCTTGTCCTTTTTCCTCGGCTTCTGCCTGCCCTCGCGCTTGGCGACGGCACGCGCCAGCTTGAGGCCGCAGGCATTACACAGGTCCTTGACGCCGTTCTCGCCCTTGCGCCACTCGGGGCTCTCGCGCGTGCCGCATCCGCGACACTTTTCGACGTCGCCGGGCGGACGGACGAGCGGGCGCGTCGAGCCGCCGCCGCCTCCTCCGCCTACGCCGACGACTACGCCTACACCTCCCCCGCCGCCAGCGCCGGGGACACCGGGAACACCACCAGGAGCGCCGCGCGGTGGTGTGGGCGTGTTCTCGCTGCTTGCGAGGCGCGCGTGGAAGGGCTGCTGCGCCTGGTCGTAGCCCGCGTACCCCGAGTGAGGGCGGTAGGCGTCCTGCGGGTAGTGGGGCTGGGCGTACTCGTAGTCGCTTCCAGGACCACCGGTGCCGCGCTGCGGCCACTCGCCCCCGCGGCCTTGGACGCCGCCGCCGGGACCGCCGGGTACGACTGGGGATGTTGGCCACGGCTCGCTCGATGCTGATGGTGGCGCCGCCGACGTGGGCTGCTGCTGCGTCGTCACGGCCGTGCTGTTTATTGTTGGCAAGTCGTACACCTTGGTCGTCTGGAAGCACGCAAAGATGACCCCGCCGTAGGGGATGAACACGCTCGTGACGTGGCGGTACACTCCCTCGGTGCGGATCGAGTGCTCGGCGCCAAACCGTGTGGTGCAGTTGGTGCGCACCTCGCCAGGCTTGGCGGCCAGCTGGCTTGGGTCCATGTCCACATGGCGCATCAGGTCGGCATACTCGTCTGCATCGTACAGACCGTCAAACATGCCGGTCGAGTTTGGTGGGCGAGGCGGAGGCCATGTGAGCAGCAGCTGCTGTGGGTATTGAGAAGCAGAGGACGAGTAGAGCTGGAAGATGCGTGTTGGAGGGTGGCGCGTGCGGGGAGGGAGGGTGAGGGCCGCAGAGATGGAGCTCTGCACTGCTTGAGTGTGCTGACTGTTAGCTCAGCTGTAGGTTGCTTGTAGCTCACCTCTGGCAACATGGTCTCCGAGCCGCAGTAGTTGGACCATCCTTCTTGTCGCCGACCTGGGTCATTGTTCGCCACAGAGTCCTTGTCCTTGATTGCGTGGAAGAAGGCGAGAAGCAGACCATCGGCAGCCTGGGAATGTTAGCGATCTGAAGTAGTGACGAGTCGCGCGTTGCAACGCGCATGGGACAGCCCCTTCCCACACACACACACACACACACACACCACACACACACACACACACACACACACACACACACAAACACACACAAGTGCGAGAAGGAGGCAGCATGGTGACGGCGTTGTCACCCAATGATTCTTCAGATCACCCATCCCCCACCTCCATTGTCACTTACCCAGTTCAGCACCAGGTCGATGATCACATAATCGTCGTCCTCGCACACGGCAAGCAAGTCCTCATTTGGCACGGGGTTGTCCTGCGGTGGACAGCCGAGGAGGGCCTTGATTCGCGACACACGCGCAAACCGCAACCTGCTGGGTCAGCTCATGTCCGAGGTAGGTAGCATGCAGCGGAGGGTGTGGGAGTTGCAGCAGCGGCCGCGTTGGGTAGCGGCGCCAAGCGTGCACCTGGCGACACGGTGGTCCGATCGCGTGGACGAGCGCTGTGCTTGGCACACAGCTTCGCACACACCCGGCGATCCCACAAGCGCGTCTCCGTCTTGACACACGGGCACACGGAGGGCTTGTGTTCGTGCGATCGCCGGCGCTGGCCGTCCTTATGGACGTGGGTCCACCTCCCCCTTGACATTTCACAAAACAAGATGACTCACCTCGTCACACTTCCTTGCAAGTCGTCGCTCTGAATCGCATTGTACAGGTCGCCACGGGCCTCTGCACGTTGTCAGCTCGAGCACGATGGCGGTGGTGGGGTTGGACGAGTGCACAAGAGGGTTCGCTTGCGGGACGACTAGTGCAGGACCAAACTGGTGACAGCAGCAAGCCGTATCGGACAACTGTGTCCACCGTCGCAGCAGCCCCGAGTAGGACAGTGCACCGAGCTCGAGCAAGTTGGTTGCACTATTCCTTGATAGGTGTCGACGTCCACCTTGCGCGAACCTCCTCTTGGCGTGCTTCGCGATCGCAAAGCGCAAAGCGCCAGACCGATCCCCGCGATCGCCGGCCATGTCCTTCACGTCCCCCCGTTCGCGCCCACGGCACACCACCGAACCACTCCCAGGCGTACTCACGCTCGCGTTCTACCGGGTGGATAAACTGCATGACGTCGCGGTTGACCATCTGTGCTCCCTGCCGTGCGAGGTGTGCGCTGAGGACGGGGTCGAGGGAGACAAACTGGAGTTCGAGCGACTGGTGGGCCGGGGCCGCGGCCGCTTGCGACGACGACGACGAGCTGGGGTGCGTACCCGGTGCGCTCGTGTACTGCGGCGCGAGGAGGGCCCAGTAGCACCGCACCGCACCTTGGCGCTGCTGCATGGTTGGAACGGGAGGCGCGCAAGGGATGGGGTGAAGCGAGGATGGAGGATGGGGCGGGTGGAGTGCAGGGGGGAGGGGAGGAGGAGGGGGGAGGGGGTGGGGGTAAAGGTGAGGTGGACGCGATCGACGGGTGGATGTGGATGAGAAATGAGTCGAGCCCGATGAAGGGATGCAGGTAGCGCAGAAGGGTGCAGGTGAGGTCGACGGTGTGGATGGGATGTGGTCAAATTCCACACGCGGACCACGACAGAGATAGATGAGATGAGCAAGAGTACGCAGGCGTCGGATGGGGGCGGCGGTAGCGTCAACGGCAACAAGGGTGGAAAAAGCACAATGTGTGTCAGCTGTCACCTGCTAATCATCTTTGGCGCCATGCCATGGCGGCCCGTGGCCAGGTGAGGGGGTGTTCGACCCGTCTCATGTCCCTTGTGGCTCATGGTGCATGCACAACTTACCCAGGCGGGGAACGGTGCGTGCGATGCCGGAGGCGCCGACGCCATTGCTTGGTGTGGGTTTTGTGGCCTGTGGAATGGAAAGCTAGAGCGCCGAGTCGGGGTCGTATGTGGTCGATTGGGTTGTGCGTCCTTTTTTTTTGGTGTGGCTCAAGCTTCTAGATGGATGTTTCCAGTCTTGCGGGAACACACAGAGGACAGCGGGGGTTGGCAACCGAACAAACGCGCCGAGGTGTGTCGCGTGCGTGCACGATGGTGGTTGTGCTGGGTGGTAGGAATGGGAGGAATGAGCGGTGGAGAGAAGAGAGTTGGGTGGTCGATCACACCCCCGATCGATCGAGCAAAGGGTGTCACCGGGAGGCAAAAGCCCTAGAACACCGTCGTCACCGCCCAAATATACAATTTGAGATTGCACAAAAAACGGCGGCAGCAGGGCCGACGGGCGACGCGGGCCGGTACAGAAGGTGGATGAGTAGGGCCCAGGTGTGGTTGGTAACCAAGCCGATGAACACGGGCGATGGCGACAAGAAGAATGGTGGTTTGACGAAGAGTGCAAGAATGGGAGAGACAACGGAGAATGGAACCATGAGGAATTGCCTGGACATGAGCGGTGACCGCCGGCCGATAGCTCGAGGGGGCCAAAGACACACGGGAGAGATATTCTTACACACCAAAAGCCGCATCTGCGACAACGCGCGGCAGCAGGAGCGCAGGACGCCGGTGGCCGGTGGGCGGTGGGCACCATGCCATGCCCATGCATTGTCGCCCCGAAACGCACAGATGCACCTCGGAGATCCGAGAGCTAACAAGAAAACGACCCCACACGCGGGAGGCACCAACCATGCCGCGGTCAAGCCACTGTCCGCGTCCTCGTGCAGCAGCATGTTCTGCATGTTTCCTATCTACATCTTGCGCAGTGCGGCATATACACGGCGCACAATCTCGACGGCGTCCACTCCAGCGGTGGAGCACGCTTCGGCCGCGGTGGCGTCGTCCAAAGCGCCGGGTCCGCCGGATCCGCCGCCATCCATGCCCTCGCCTCCACCTTGCGCTCGGACACCACCACCAACAGTCACAGTAATGGCGACATGCGGCTGCGCATCTATGGGCTTGATGTCCACGGTCGCTGCCGTGTCGTTGAGCGGGAACGTGACGCGCAGGCTACGCTGGAACAGTGTCGCTGTGAGCGGGATCGCTGTCGGTGCTGCGTGCCATTGTCAGCTATCTGTCTGCTGCCAGGCGGGGCAGCAATGGCGCATTGCAAGCATAAGCGCGGAGCACGTATGCACACGAGATGGGACGGCCCGAGGAATCGGAAAGTCGTCAATGTCGCAGGTGTAGTGGGCTCGGCAGGCACCGGCACCGAGGTCGGCAGTCCCGCACAGCCAGCGCCAACATAACGCCGGTGCCACCGTGTCCACCAGGTCGCCTTGCGAGCGCCTTATTCCCGCCGCGTTCCCGTCTTGTGGTCCCAAGACAACCCACAGAACCAGAACGAACCCGCACATGCCTTTTGTCGGCGGGCGCGATTACTCTCGATCGCACCGTCGCAGTTTGACGGTGGAGGAGGTGGCGGGGCAGAACATATAGACAAAGTCACAACACAAACAGAGTCACTCACCAGCGTCCAAGTCTGCCAAGTCGTCGTTTGCGCCGTCCATGTCGTCGTCGTTGTCGTTGGTCGCAGAGACGATTGTAGGTGGGGAAAAGGCACCCATGAACAGCACGTCCAGGACCAGCTGCGCACGCAGCGCATGCACGAGACGGCCCATTTCAGACCACGATGCGGGCAGGCCCACGCGGCCAACTACATAGCCTTCTGGGCCGGGCACGCCGAGGACCCAGTGCTGAGCGACGTCTCCAGCCTCGCTGGCCGAGGCGGGGTGCACAAACTCGGCGCCGAGCGGGAAGAGCGGCGGCACGGGTGCTGCGCCGTCGGTCTCGAGAGCGATTTGGTGCTGAAATGTTAGCTTCCGATAAGGGACAAACTCAGCTACACTTACCAACAGGCCCTCGACCTTGATGCTGGGCGACCAGGCGCTGGCCTCACCCTCCTCGGGACCTGGGACGAGCCACGTACGGCGCACGACGAGCCCGCCACCGCCACTCGGCCTGCGCGCGTCGTCGACATACTCGACCACCCAGCGACCACGACACATGGGGGACACGGTCGCCGCCGCGGTGGTGGTGCCATTCGCGTCGGCGCCGCCAGGGTTGCTGTCGACCTGCATGGCATCCTTGTCCGCGCCCGCCGCGGGATCCACAGCGTCGACCGCCATGGCATTCTCGTCGGCGTCGTCGGTCTCGGCGTACATTGGCGGCGGGACGTGCTCGTCTCTCCGAGCTGGACGCAGGCGGAACGCAGGGTTACGCACACTGGGGGCAGCATCGAGCAGACGGAACGAGGGGAACATGCACGCCGACGGGTCCGGGTATACACTCCACCCGTCCTCTTCGCCTGCACACACGCGCTGGACGCCCGCGGCCAGCCCCTCGAGGTCGGCGAAGAGGTCGGCGTCGTCCCCGCTCGCGGCCTCTGCGAGCTCATCGAGCGCCTTGAGTTCCGCCAGGACCGTCTCGAGTGCGCGTGAGCTGCGTTCCAGCTGAACCGAGCGTTCGGCATTGCTGGCCCGGTTCCAGACTTCGAGGTGTGTCTCAAGCGCAGAGCGGAGCACGCGCCCCACCCAGTCCGACTTGCCGGCCTCGCCGGCGGGCGTGACGTGGTTGGCCGTAAGCTTGGCCAGGCGCACTTTACCCCTCTCGTTGAGCGCCTTGGCCGCGGTGAGGCCCACGCCGAGGCTGGACAGAGCCGCTGCCTGGGCTGCCACCTGGCCATTGGGAGCGATGGGCGTAGCCGCCGCTGTCGGGGGTTCTGTGGCGTCATCTGCGTCGTCGCCTGCGTCCGCCTCGAGGTCGACGTCGACGACAAACCGGGATCCAGCCAGAGTGAGGGAGGTGCGCAGCAGACCGAATTGGCTGTCCTCTGCAAAGACCTGGAGACCCAGGCGCTTCCCGAGGGCCGAGAGGAGGTCCGAGGGGGGCAGGGCACACAGGTGGCCGAGCGGGCGTGCCGCAGGGGGTAGCGTCGACAGAGTTGTGCCAAGCGGGAGGAGGGCCGACTCGTGTGTGATGCTAGGGAACAAGCGTCAGCACAAAACGTCTCTAAAGGTGCCATAGAACTTACACTTCACGCATAGCCCTCGCGAGCCTCACGCGCTCCTTCTCACCCCGCCCAAGCATGCTCTTCGCCCCGTCCACCGCCTCACGCACGCTCTTGAGGGCCGCCAAGTCGTCTTCACCACCACCACCTCCTCCTCCGCTACCAGCCTTGTCCGTACTTCCACTTCCCGTACTCGTACTGGTACTCGCACTCGCGAAGCCGCTCGCGCGCCCCTTCTTGAGACCCGGCCCAGGCGCGTACGGATGCAAGTACGGCATCGTCGGGCTGGGGTGCGCCGCGACGTGCGCGCGCAGCAGCGCGTGCAGTGTGGTCAGGACGGTCGATCCCGCCGCGGCAGCAGCAGCGGCGGCAGCCGTGGGCGGTGCGGGCCCTCTCGAGGTCGATGCGCCGGCGCCAGCACCACCAGAGGCTGAGGCCTGGGCGGCCGGGGTGGGTCCTGTTGCGGCTGGGACGGCGGTGGTTGCGTTGGCGGGGGTGGACGCCTGGGGCGTGCCGAGGCCCGGGGTGGCCATGCCGAGACTTGGGGAGATGGCGGTCTGTAGGCTGCCGCTTCCGCTTGCCTCTGCGGCCATTGTTGACTGCTGGACAGGGAGAGTTGGTGGGGGAAAGGATCAGTTGTTGATAGAGGTGTTGGATAGAGGTGCTCTTGTTCACTGTTCCTTCATGACGGATCGTCGATGTTTTGCTTCCGTTCGGTGGAGGTCCGGCTTGATCAACAACGGGTTACTGCTGCCGGTTTCCTTCACTGGCTTTCTTCATGAGGCCACCTTCATCTCTCTCTCTATAGACCACCAAATATATTCAGCCGCCAACACACTAACGCTACATCAAGAGGGGGCAAGATATAATGGCCACATCACCCAGCCTGTCGCGCGTCCCTACACTCCTCTTCTCCTCGCTCAGGCCATGTCGTTGCCAAGGTTGCGCTTCTTGGCCTGTTCCTCCCACTCGTCATCGCCGACCGCCTCAATACTGCGTTTCCTGTTAAACGCCAATGGGTCCTGGACAAAGACCGTCGACGTCGTTCCGCCCATGGCGGCGGTGATGGCCCCGAGGTTGGCCGAGTTGGCGCCGGCGATGATCGGCGTCGTGGTGGTGGGCATGCCGTTGAGCAAACCGTTCTGGTCGGGAATCGTGCCCGTAGCCAGGAATTGCTGGACATTGTCAGTATACCCCTGTAACTACTAGTCAACGCGACTCACCTGCAGAACGAGCTGGTACGTGTCGTCGCTCCAGCCGCTGCCTGCCAAGGGGTTGGAGAGGCCGTCCACGTCGCCGCCGTTCATCTCCCACTGCTGAGCGCTGGTCATGAGGGCGTCCTGGATACCCTGGTCCGACTGAGGCGGCAGGCCCGTGAAACGCGGCACTTCGTTGCTCATCTGGATAGCCTTGAGATGGATCAGGTGCTTGTCCAGGATGAGGAAGAGACCCTGGCGGGTGAACGGCTTGGCGAGCACGTCGTTCATACCCGACTGCAAGTACGAGGTGATATCGTCTGGTTGTCAGCTTCGATAAAAAACGTCCCAAGCTCACCTGTCTGGACGCTCGATGTCATTGAAATAATAGGCGTCAAGATGTCAAACTGGCGAATCAAACTGGTAGCCTTGCGACCATCCATGCTGGGGCCAAAGAAGATGTCCATGAGGACGAGGTCGTATTTGGTCTCGTTCATCTTTTCGATACCTTGCTGGGCGTTTTCGGCTGTTTCGACGATACAACCAAACCTTTGCAAAAACTTGGAGCTCAGCTGGCGGTAGACAATGTCGTCTTCAACGACGAGGATACGCGGCGCCTGCGTCCAAGACACCTTGCCCATGGTGCTTTCCTTGGCGGCAGAGCGCGGGGTAAGGGCACCGTTGGAGGCCAGGCTACTGCTCGAGCTCGCCTCGGCGTTGGCAGAAGCCGCAGCCGCGGCAGCTGCAGAGGCGATCGTGGCAGGCTCAGGAGGAGGGCCAACGGGGGCAGCCGCCTGACCACCACCTCCGCCGGCCTTGAGAGGCTCATGCTCATCAACAGGCACGACCGAGGCCATTTGCGGTTGCTGGGGCGGGATGGGCGTCGAATCAACCACGAAACGAAGAGACGTCGCGCGGGCCGAACCGTTTGCCTCTGGGACCCAGCCACTCTGCCGGCTCGCGCTGCCAAAACCCTGGTCGGTGCTGTAGACGGGCTGCTGCTGGTGCTGAGAAGAGATCTCAATGACGTCGTCGGCAGACTTTGGATGGTCGCGACGGACGGCGGCGCCGACCGCAGCTCGTGACGAAGGGCTGTGTTCATCCGTGGATGAACGAAGCGAATCTTGACGAGGCGAGGCTGCGAGTGGGGCCTGTCCCGGGTGGACAGGACCGCCGACGGGCGCGGTAGACCCACCGTAATGGGAGGCCTGGAACGGCGGGAGGGCGCCGTAGCCCACGGGGCGCGAGTGGTATTGCTGCTGTTGCTGGTGGTGGTATCCGGATGGGGGAACGCCGCCAACAAACCCGGTGGGCGGCGTGGGATTGAGCACCTGGTTGGCATACTCGTACAGGCGCAGGCAGCGATCGCTCGTGGGTGATCCTGAAGTGGGGTATATCAGCGATGTGTACGAAAATAGAAAAGTGGTGGTAGCTCACCCTTGTCGACAGAAACGACGTGGCCCACGACCTCGCGCAAGAGGCTCATTACGTTTTGCTCGCGGGAGCGAGACTCGGTGAGCTCGCTCTGGGTCTTGTAGAGCAAATCCTCGAGGGCGCTGAGGCGGTTGTCATGGTCCAGCACGCGAGCCTGGTCATCTGGATTGAGTCCACCGCTGCGTGCCCCAATAGCAGGTGACGCCTCGCGATCCTCGGCCGTGCCCTTCTTGGGAACGACGGCCTTGCGCTTCTCTGTCAGCGAATCATCCATCCAAAGGTTCTTCCGCCTTACCTTGATACTGTCGAGGTCGGCCTTGCCACCAGCCTGGAAGCTGGGGTGCTGGAACTCCCAGACGTTTTCCTTTATCTGGCCAGTCTCCTCGTCCACGTGTTTGATCTGGGACGTTAGCTGGGAGGACAGGCAAAACCCCAAGCTCACTTTTGAGAATCCATACTTGTTCAGCTGGCGCACAAACGAGGAAAAGTTGGAATGCCTAAACGTCTGCGGACTATGGGACTCGTCAGCCTGGCAAGGAACGTGGTCAACTCACAGGACCTTTGTCGTAAACTCATTCATGTCCCAGACGACAAAGGACGTGCCGCCGCGACCCCATCCAACGCTGCCGCGCGACTCGCCCTTGGAGCGGGGCGCGCCAGCAGGCTTGCCGCGGCCAAACTGCGCGCTCTCATCCTCGAGCATCTTGTAGAGCTTCTTGATAAACTCGCTGGGACCAGGCTGCTGGCCACCGCCGCCGCCGCCACCACCACCACCACCACCTTGCCCGCCCGCTGCCGACTCCTTTTGGCCGCCGTCATAGTCGTCCTGGGTCTTTTTGTGGCCCCACGATCCCGACGCCGAGCGTGCGGCCGCTTCGGCCTGTGCGTGGGCAGCTTGCGCCTGCGCTTGAGCCTGCGCCTGAGCCTGAGCCTGCGCATGATGCGCGGCAGCAGCAGCAGCAGCAGCGGCATGGCCCCCATGTCCCGGGTGGCCTTGGCCTGGGTGGACGGCTCCCGGGTGCGCGCCCGGGTGGCCGCCTGGTGCGCGCGGCTGCATGTACAGCGACGGGTGCGAGTCACGGCTCGATCCTGCCACGGCATTGTAGCTGTCCTGTGGAGCAAAGTGGGAGTGCTGCGGCAACGGGGCTCGGTAGCCGTACTGGTCGACCGAGTAGCCTTGGATGGGTGGTTGGGCCGGCGGCGGCGCGTTGCCCGAGTGATACATGGGTTGGAGGCCGTACCCTCCTTGGGAGGGTGGTTGGCGCGACATGGAGTTGCGAGAGTGGAGCTGGGGGGCAGGCCGCTATGGAGAGGGGGCGTGCTCAGATGTGGATGTAGGTGTGGATGGGGATGGGGAGGGAGACGATGGATGTTTGGGAAGCGGAGCCGGCGCCGATATTGGTCCGAGGGCAAGGACGCGACGGAGGGAAGGCGGCGAGGGAAGAATGCGATTTGAGCGGGGGAGTGATGAGCTGTGCTGGTGGGGGTGTGTGATCCAGCGTTTGTGTTATGTGTTGTGATTTTCGGTCGTGCCAGAGATACGGAGCGATGGAAGGGAGAGATGGAGAGAGAGAGAGAGAGAGGACACGAGATGCATCAAGAGAGGGTTTCAAGCAGCAGCCCTCTGCCGCCCAGGCAGCTGTAGCCAGCTGCAGCCTGCAGGAGCAGCCCACATGCTCCGCACCCTTTTGGCCGTTCCCTCGCGCCGCCGCCGTCGCCGCTCAGGGCGGGGCATGTGGGCCATCCCACATCGCTTTCTTTAATCCACCCCCCTCTCTCTCCGATTGTCCGTGTCCCATTCCTCCTATTCCTCCTCCTCCTCTCTCTCAGCTCTCTCTCCCCGAACTCCGAACACCTACACCATGGCTCCACCTGTCCTCGTTCTCACCGGCGCGTCGCGCGGCATCGGCCTCGCCATCGCACGCACGTTGCTCACTGTCCACGGTGCCCGCGTCGCGACCCTCCAGCGCACCATCACCCCAGAACTCGAAGCCCTCAAGCAGCAGTTCCCCGACTCGCTCCTCACCCTCAAGGGTGACGTTGCCGTCCCACAAGACAATGCTGCTGTCGTAGACGCTGCCGTCAAGCAGTGGGGCACGCTCAACGGCCTCGTTCTCAATGCAGGCTCCCTCGAGCCAATGGGTACGTCTTTTCCTCCATGCCTGCCCTCTCTCCTCTCTCCTCCGTGTCCTTTTTTGTTGTGAGATTGTGAGATCGCCTTTGCTTTTTCCTTGCTTTCCTCATTCCACGCGCCCCCACGGCCCATCGTCGGTGGCTCTAGTGGAATGATGCCCTTATGCTGTGCCTCGGTGTCACACCATTTTGGGTCGGCCTTTCATTTCATTCCCCTCTCCCCCTTTCGCGGCCTCCATTTTGGGCCGGGCAAGTGTCAAACCATTGCGTCAGTGTTGGTTCGCAAACCCTGGCCCATTGCTTTACCCCGGCGCTTCCGGCAAACCGTCTGTCTCTCGCTCTCTCTCTCTCTCTCTCTATCTTTGTCGGTGTGCTGTGTCCTCCCCACAACACAAAACCCTAGCTGCGAGAGCGCCACCGCACAAGGAGATTTAGACTGCGTTGGCGCCGGAGGCGGTAAGCGCAAGCCAGATTGTGGTCACCCCCCCTCCCACCCTGCTGCAGAGGACCAGAAACAGCCATATCCCAAAGCAACATGCCCCCGTTTGCCATTTGGGTCCAACACACAGTGTCGTGTTTTGGGCGTTAGCCACCCACACACGCCCGGCCGCCTCCCCCGTCTGGGGTTCTTGGCAATCTCGCTCCACCTCGCCACCTCTGTGCCCACCTGGTGCACCTGACCACAAATGTACCATGCTTCCTCCCTCCCTCTCCCCTGCCCTCTCCCCCGCCTCCCCCCCGCTGACGCATCCCTTCTCAGGCAAGCTCGCCGACGTGCCCCTCACCTCGCTCGTCCCGTCGCTCGAGACCAACCTCCTGGCCGCCATCTACCTCCTCCAGCCTGCGCTCCCGCACCTGCGCGCCAGCGCGGCTCCCGGTGCTCCCTCGCGCGTCATCTTTGTGTCCTCGGGCGCGAGCACGGGCGCGTACCAGGCCTGGGGGATGTACTCGCTGGCCAAGGCCGGCCTCAACTCGCTCGCGCGCACGTTTGCCGTCGAGGAAAAGGACGCCGGCGTCGCCTTCCTCTCCGTCCGTCCCGGTGTCGTGGATGTGAGCAGCTGCTGTGTTACGTGTGAATTGAGTGCCACAGCTGACAACCGCAGACTGAAGTACGTTTGACCGCTGGCTAGCTCAACTGGCACACCGCCCCCTCGGCGTAGTACTGACCACGGCTGCCTCCAGATGCAGCGCGAGATCCGCACCGTCGGCCCCGCGGTCATGAAGCCCAACGACATGGCCAAGTTCAACCAGCTGCACGAGGGCGGCCAGCTCCTCCCGCCCGACGCCTGTGGCAGCGTCATTGCAGGCTGTGCCGTCGGCATCGACCTGGCTATCAGTGGTGAGTATGTCGACTGGGCCGACGAGAGGTTCGCCCAGTGGAGGAAGCAGTAGGACCCATTGGGTCCGGGAGCGGAGTAGACGCCGATACAGCTTTTTTTTTCAGTAACATGTGCATGCATGGGATGGGACAGCAGGTGCTGTGATGCACGTATAGAGAGCATGCGGCGGGATGCTGCGAGCGATGTGATGCATGTGAGAATGCAGGTAGACGGCGAGTGGTGGGACGCTGCCATGGTCCTGGCTGCACCATCGCACCACCGCACCATCGGCTGTGATCGTCAATCTTATCCATATCTCTCGTGTGGTTTCTTCCCCGCCACACCCTATTCCCCTTCCCGCTCCACTATCGCTATCGCTATCGGATACCCCACACGCTCCAGAATCAGATCAGATACGCGGCGCGCAATGCGCTCCTCGCGTCTGCGTCGTGCTGGGCGGCGGCGCGGCGCGGCGGCGGCCGGAAACGAAAAGGGGGGGGGGGGGGGGGGGGGGGGGGGTGAGTGGCCAGTGGTGGTCTGGACTCTGGCCGGGGGAGTGAAAAACGAGTCCAGGCCTTGGCCCGCCGCGGGCGAGGCCTTCACCCACCAAAAAAAAAAAGTGGCGCACGAGCGTACGAGCGTGTACCGCACGCACGCACACGGTACACGCTGTCACGCCCAGCTCTGCACGCTGCGGCGGGTGTGACGGGACTGCGTGTTCGCCAGTCGTGTTCGGTGATCTGCAGAGATCTCGGCGGCCAGGTGGGATGTGATTGTAAGGGTATGGCCGGCCGGCCGGTGGATATCTCGGGCACCACTTTTGGCCATTGGCACCATGGCACTGAGCCACTTGGCTGGTGGCCTTGGTACGCACGCTATGTACTTGTCCAGAGACCAATGTTCGATGTCCCCGTGATGCTGTGAGCCATACAGCGGCATACAGCTAAAGTCATGACCGATGGATCCAAACACGTCTCGTCTACGGTGTATACAACAAATCAACACGATCATCTACCTCTGGCCTCTAGCTCTACCTCCTGCTGTCGCTCTTCCGCTTCTTCCGATGTCCACCAGCACCCCCACCCCCACCACCCGCGGCGGCCTTGGCAGAGTCGGGCCTGCAGCTGTCGCACAGCCAGTCGCCGACTGGCGCGGCCTTGAGACCCAGGCATGTGAGGTGGAACCATTCGTACGGACAGTCTTCGTTCTGGAAACGTTGGTTAGCTGGGCTCTTCGTTGATGTTACCTCCGCAACCACGTACATCACACCCGACCATCTGCGGTGTCAGCTAAGCGTCCTGTACAGAGTGTGGAGTTGGCAACAACTTACCTCTCCGTACGACACGTTGTTGCAGTAGCAGTACCGCGGCTCGTTCCTGCCACCGCTGTCAGCTTTTGATCTCATACTCAAAAGCTCACGGGTCCACCTCAATGCCCACGGGCACTCCAGTCTCCACGACCGGCGCCGCCTCCTCTACGGGCACGACAGGCGCCTTGCGTTTCTTGTCCTTGCGCCGACCGGGCTGGGGCGCCTCGGGCGCGGGCTGAGCAGGCTGGGCACCGGTCACGAGTCCCAGGCCGAGGAGGCTGGTCTCCTGCGCCGACAGGGCCGAGTCGAGCGCGCGGATATGCCGGTCAATCTGGCGGAACCATGTCAGCTCAGCTACACTCCTTACAAGCTAGCTCACAGTGTTGTACGCGCCCACGGCAATGGCGACTTTTTCCTCCCGGTTGCGCACGAGCTCGTTGACGAGCCGGGCAATGTCGTGTAGCGGGAAATGGCCCGGTCGCGTCGCGGGCAGCGCAGACTTGGACCCCGTCCGCTCCCTCTCCCTCTCCCTCTCCCCGCCCTTGCCTCCGTCGTCTGCGAGCGCCACCACGTCCTCGACAGCGTGGACCTCGGCGGCGTCCGTGTCCTGCCGGGACCGTGTGGCCGCTGGCGTCGGGGTGTCGAGCTGAATAGGGTCTGGAGACGGACCGTCCACTTGGGTTTGAGCCTCCAAGTCGGGCGAGCCTGGCGCGTCTGCCTCACCGTCGACTGGGACTGGAGGTTGTCCATCCGCGTCCACTTCTCCTTCGGCGTCGGCCTCTCCTTCTGCGTCGGCTTCCCCATCTGCGTCGGCCTCGCCCTCGGCATCGACGTCCATCTCCTCCGGGTCTGGCTTGGCTTCGAGCTCCTCTGACCCCGCCTCAGGAGTCACAGACGGCTTTTGCTCGGTCAGAACAACGGCCTCATCGGGCTGCACGAGGGGCGCGGCGTCCTTGGGCTCCTCGTCGATCGCACGACCGGCGTCCTCCTCGGCTGGCGCCGCATAGACAACGACAGCCGCGACGTCGAGGGTGTCGTTGCCGGGCTCAGGCTCGGGCTCGGGCTCGCCGTTTGTGCAAGGTAAAACCGGGGGCGGGGTCCGCTCGGCTGGTGGCTCTGCGGGCGGATTCACAGGCTCGACAGCACCAGTCTCAGCTGGCTCGTCGTCTTTTGCTGGTGTCTCTCGCAGCGCATCCTCTGTCGCCGCTTCTGGCGCCTTTGCTGGCCCCTCAGCGGGCGCCTCGGACTTGCGGTGCTGGACGAGCTTGATACGGTGCGCGACATACTCGCGAATCTTGGCCTGGAGCTGCACCTGCTGCGCTACAAGCCAGTGGCCCGTGGTCAGCTCAGGCTCGTCGCGGACAACCCCTCCCCCCCCCGCAGCCAGACTTCTCGCTCACCTATACTCTCATGGTCGAGCTCGCGCAACAGACGCGAGTTGCGGTGCAGCTCGAGCGGCAGCTGCTCCACCATCTCATAGTGGTCGGCTGCAAACTCGGCCCACATCTCAGCGACCTTGTCCGCGTCCATCTCCTCTGCGGCCGCAATGCCGGTGACGGGGTCGTCGCTGTCGTTGTTTTTGTTATTGTCATTGTTGTTGTTGTTGTTGTTATTGTCGTCGTTGTCGGGCAGGAGCTTGCGGTCCTCGGGGTCCTCGCTGGACATGACGACGCGCAACGCGCGCCGCGAGTCGTTTCGCCTCACAGGCGCGGGTGAGTGCCGGCGTCCCATGTGAGCCGGGGAGTGTGAGGGTGGGTGGATAGGATGGAGATGTGCGGAGGGGAAGACAGGGGAGGTATGATGAACGAGTCTTATTTGGTCATCACAGCGACGACGTTCAGAATGGAGATTGGGCGTGTATCTCCGCTTGCGGTGTCTAAAATATTACGTAATACAAAAACGTGGTGGTCGTTTTTGCTTCTAGTGTTCCTAGGATCCTAGGATCCTGTATGGCGTGTGGGTGTGCCCCTTTTGCTTGGTGTCTCGTGACAGGACAATATAAAGGGTTGCAACAGGGTGGGGGGGGGGGCAAGCATTCTGTGGTTTGTGTGCACCTCGCTCTCTCTCTCTCTGATCTCTGTGCTGGCGCTGCTGGTGACTACTGTAGACGTATGCCAAGAAGCAGACAAAAACAAAACATGCCGTCGCTCTCTAACGGGTGACCGCTTGACTCGGGTATTCCCCCCGCGCGCGCGCCCGCGCCACAGCTCCCCACGCGCTCTGCCCGGTGCTTCGTGTTTTGTGTGTGCCGTCAATTCGGTGTCTCCGCCCACCCGCCCGGCGCGCCAGGGCAGGCTAAACAGCCATGAATTGCCCACACAAACCCCCCTTGCTGCCGGCCCTTGTGCCGGGTGCCGTACGGTGCCGTCCTCCCCCGCTCTGCCGCGCGTGTGCCCCGTGCGGTACCTCGGAAGCTCGGAATGGGTGTGTTGACGCGTCCTCTCTCTCTGTCGTTTTGGTGTCGTCTGCGTGGTCTGCATGGTCTGCCCCCCCCCCCCCCCCCCCGCCTACAGACGCGTTTTAGTCTGGACCGGAAACGCTCCTAACCACACGCTCTCCTGGCGCGCTCCTGGGCAGGCAAGGCCCCACGACTCCATTCACACCCAAACACACACACACACACACACCGTGCACACAACACCACACACACTAGCTCGAGGGAGAGCTGTCGGCTAGACCCGCCACGCTCAAGCCGTTGCCCAGCGTGGTCAGCGTACAGAGAAGATGATGCACGAGGAAACAAGCGTAAAAAGAGCATTCCAAGCCTCCCCCGGTTTGGGCAAGTCGGTGCATCAAACGTCCTCCTCGATCCCGCCCACCACCCCGCATTTTGATCCCGCAGTCCACTGCACCCCCCCGTGCTCTCTCCCCTCGACGCCTCCCAACCCCTTGCTCATCCACTCTTCATCACACCTTCTTCTTATCCTCTCTCTCCCTCACACATACACACCAACACTCACATCCATCCCCCCCCTCCACCGTCCCCCCTCCTCCCCTCTCGCGCGTCACCGGCCGGCACCGGTGCCCATTCCTTTACTTCCCCCGACACTCCTTTTCTCGACAACACACTTTGCCGCTCGGTCGCGGCCACACAGACCCTTCACCCAACAAGAAACCCCCAAACCTCCTCTTGCGGCTGGACCCACCCAAACCCCCCTCGTCTTGCCACCAACAAACCTCCTCTCTCTATCTTCTCCTTCTTCTTTCTGCTCGACTCCGAATTACTTTGCTCATAAAGCTTCTCCCCCCCCCCCCCAAACTTGCCTCCCTTTTAATTTGCTATCAACCGTTTTAAATCCTCCAACATCATGCGTCTCTCTCAAGCCCTTTTTGCCCTCCCCCTTGTGGCGGCCAGCCCTCTCATGTACCGCGTCGGCGACGCCCGCCAAATCTCCATCTCCAACCCCTTGACCAGTATTCTCAACGACTTGACTGGTGGTGCCGTGAGTTGGAGAGCCCCTCGCCCGCGCGCGCACGCGCTCGCGCCGGAAGGGAAAACACACACGCGCGCTCAGACACTGACTTGTCTCGCAGGACAGCTCTACCTCGGCTGCGGCAGTTGTGACGTCGGCTGCCGTCGTCACTACTTCAAAGGACGCGGTGGTGACTACTTCGGCTGCTGGTATCACAACGTCCGCTGGATCCAGTGCCGCAGTGGTCCCGGGCTCGTCGTCGTCGGCCGTTGTGGCCGCCAGCAGCGGCTCCACTTCTGCGGCGGCTGTGTCGAGCGACAAGCCCACCACGAGCGCTGCTGCCGTGACCAGCGCAGCGCCCACATCTGAGACTTCCATGACCGAGACGGCCATCGAGTCGATTACGTCCGAGGCATCAAGCACGTCTGCTTCATCGGCCCCGTCCATTGTCCAGGTGGTGACCCAGGGCGGCGTGACTGTTACCGAGTACGCAAACGCCACAAGCACTGCCGACCAGACCAGCGCCAAGGCCGAAGACACTGGTCTCGCCAAGGGTGCGATCATTGGTATCGCTGTTGGTGTCGCTGCCGCCGTCATTGCGGGCATTGCCCTGCTCGTCTTTTTGCTCCGTCGCAAGCGTTCCAACGACGACGAGGCGATTCGCTGGCCCGAGCTCAACCGCCATGGCGACAGCGACGTCCACCACGCTCTCCCGGCCCACAACGTCGCGGGCGGCTCGCGCATGTCGCTCGGCGACGACCTCGACGGACCCGAGTACATTACCGTCATGGAAGGCGGCGACACTGCGCTCCACGGCTCCAACTTTGGCTCGTCGCCCATGCTCAACGACTACGACGAGAAGACGGGCCAGCTGTACGACCCGGCCGCGCAGCAGCAGCAGCAGTCACAGCAGCACGGCGGACAGTACGCATACTCGGACCACGAAGACTACAACTCGTACCCGCCCGTCCAGCCGCAGCCGTCCCCCATCCACGGCGCGCCCTACGACTGGGAGTCGCACGACGGCCACTACCAGCCCGACAACGGCTACTCTGGCATGACCCGCCAAGAGTCGCCGCCCATGGCTGGCGTCGGCGCAGGTCCCGGCGGCATCGCCCCAGGCATGACTTTCCCGCAGGCCACCCGTTACTAGAAGACGCAACCCCCGCCGGTCGGGAGGACCCTGTCTTTGTAAAGTGTTTGTTTGTGTAGTAGCAGCGCAGATGAACATTTTTTGTTTATCATAACGAGGCAGGCGAGACAGGTGTCCGCCAGGACGCCGACGCCGACGCCGTGGAGGTGTGTGTGTGCGAGTGTGTGTGTGCAAGTCACTGTGTTGCCGTCAGTTGTTCATGCTGTGTGGTCCGCTCTGTACGGACGTTGGTTGACTGCGCCTCGCCGGAAAGTACGAACACGGACAGAAAACAGTGGTGCATCGCCTCAACCCGACAGCGCGCGCCACGCGTTTTGACGGCAGGGGTGAAGAAGGTTCACCTTGCATAGGCACAGGTGATGAGCAACCGAAGAACCGAAAGGCACAAGAGAGAGCGTGTGCCACTTGTTAATCGTACATGACGTGTAATTTACGTTATCAATTCCCACTGAATGAGTGACAGGCGGGATCAAATGACTCTCATCATGATCAATGTCGCCTGTCGCAGCCAACAACAAGCTCTACGACCCTGCTGCATCCAACAACTCACCAACACCACGGCCACCACGACGCATATCGAAAATGGCGCCAAAGAGGAAAACACGCAAGTCTGCCGCTTCCGCCGCCGAGGAGGAGGCTGCTGCTGCTGCTCCACCACTCCCCGACGAGGCTGCTCCCTCGCCTTCTTCCTTGGACGAGCGGCCTCCTCTCCCGGACGCCGACGTCCCCGAGGCCGCGCCTGCCGACCAACCCCCTCTTCCGGCTGAGAACCCCCCGCTGCCGGACGAGCAGCCGCCTCTGCCCACTGAACAGCCTCCGCTTCCGGACGAGCCATTACCGGTGGAGAAGGATGACCAGGAGGAAGACGACGACGATGATGATGACGAGGGAGAGGGAGAGGACGGGGAGACGAAGGACAAGGGAAAGGGCAAGAGCGACGCCGACGCCGGAACATGGCAAGCCGTGTGGGCGCCAGAGTCGAATGGTGAGTGTGCTCTCACACCGGACCTGCTAACCCATTCAGCGTACTACTTCTGGAACACCGAGTCGGGCGAGGTGACATGGACCAACCCGCTCGCCCCCGATGCCGAGAACGCGAGCGCCGCCGCAACCGCACCCCCACTGCCCGCCGAGCCCGCCCCGCCGCTCCCGTCCGCCTCCGCCTCCACCTCGGCACGACCACCCTCCGCCGCCGCCAACGGCCTGCCCGAGATCGACCCGGGCCTCGCGTTCCTCATGGCCCCCGAACAGCGCGGGTCCGACCCGGCCGCCGTCGCCATGGCCGCCCGCAGGGGCCAGTACGCCGCCGACACCGGGTACAGCTTCCACCACTTGGAAGAGTACAACCGCGCCAAGCGCTTTGGCGAGCACTACTTTGATGTGGAAGGGTACGAGAAGCAGCGCGCGGCCGAGGCGCTCAAGCGCAAGGCCGACGAGGAGGCCGGCGTCGGTACCAGCCGCAAGGTCACGAAGAAGGATATGGTGCGTGTGGTTGTGTTGGGGGCTGGGCTGGGCTGGGATGGGTTGTGGGTGCCGCAGTGCCGTTGCTGATACTTTGCCAGGAGCGGTTCCGCGCCAAAAAGGCCGAATACAAGCACCGCAGGAATGCGTGGCTGTACGACTGAGCCGCGAGGGCGTGCGGGCGGGTGCCACAGCGGCTGGCAGTGTGTAAAGGTAGAGAGAGAGAGTCCTAGAGACCCAAACGTGCATACAGAGGCAAGGGATATCATGAAGCAAGGCAACTCCCCCAGAAGGCGAGAAATAAACAGAACTGAACTATTGAAATTGCACGCGGCTGATCTACTGACCGTGTCGCGATGGATGGAGCCGCAGACCTGCTGGGGCCGGCCTTACGCGGACGCTACAAAGTAGTTGAAGTTGTAGTCGGCCGGCGACAGGTTGTAACTGAACGACCCCGCCGAGTCGTAGCTCTTGACCGTGGCGCCCGCGCGAACAATCTTGGCGGTAATCGAGCCGGCCGCGCTCGCGATGGCAAGCTTGCTCAGACCGGCTGGCAAGTTCCAAGTGGCCGTGTTGGCGCCCGACGAAATAGTCACCGTGGCGTCCGACGCGAGCGTGACCACGACATACAGCTGGTCGTCGGTCGCCGCATAGTTGTTTGGGCGGGCATTGGTCGGGCTGGTCGGCGTCGCGTCCTTGGGGTGCGGGCGCGACCAGAGCCACAGCGCGTCCGTGTTGGCCGGGTAGGCGCCCGTCTTCCACGCCGTGGCATAGTATTTGAGCAAGGACAGCCAGGCCGTGTGCGGGAACCCGTTGGTCCACCCCGTCGAGTTTGGCTGGTCGACCGCTGGCGCGAGCGAGCCCATGTAGTGCGACTCGCCGAAATCGTTCCAGCTGACCATCTCGACGAGGTCAAACTGCGTGCGCATCGAGAGGATCGACTCGAAGCGGGTCGCCAGCAGCCAGTTGTCCGACCGGTAGATCCAGTTCTTGTTGCTGAAGGAAAAATAAAATAAAATGTCAGAACGGGCCACGCCTACATAACTGTTGCAACTTACTAGGAGCTCGGGCCATAGTACGTGAAGAAGCACGGCGACAGCGCGGCCATGTATCCCTTGCCGCCCAGCGCGGACATGTAGGTCGTGTCCGAGCTCGTGTCGAGGTTTCCCGACCCCATGGGCCAGCCCGAGTTCCAGTTGAGCTCTGCGTCAAACCACGTCGCGCTTGCAAACGTCGAAACGGGCGAAAACTGCGCTGGGATAAAGTGTTGACGCCACTGCCGGCGATGTAGTTTCTGAACAGGAGCCAGCCGTCCTGCACCGACCCTTGGCCAAAGTAGCAGTTCTCGCCTGCAAACGTCGACACGAGCGTCTTGCCGGCGTACGTCGCCTGCGCAGGGCTGGACGCGTGCTGGACCACCAACTGCGCCAGCGCCTGCGCGTCCGCCGCACCCGCACACGGCATCGAGGTCATGTCAAACGACAAGAACAGCTTGAACCCCCCCTTCCCGGCCGCAACGCTGTATGCGTCGCCGATACGGGCCGGCTCCCACGCGTCCCGGCCCATGTTGAGCGCGAACCCGTCCACGCCGCCCGTCTGCGCGAGGGACATTTCGGCGTCCCAGTCGGCCCCGGTGTACGTGTACGTGTTTCCGACCATCATGTGTGCGTAAAAGACCTTGGTGCTTGACGAGGAGGGAATCGCGGGGGTGCCCAGCACGGCCACGGCGGGGGCGTTTGAGGCGATGGGGTTGGACGACGTGCCCGGAATGGTCGGCTCTGGGGCAGCTGAAGTTGTGGCCGTGCTCGTGCTTGTCGTCTCTGAAGCGCTTGTGCTAGTCGAGGTTGTCGCGGTCGTCGTCGTCGTCGTCGTGCCCGACCCACCAGCAGTGTACACGTTCATCGCCGGGCTGCCGCCGCAGCTCGCCCTGCGGTCGCCAATACACGTGCTCGTGCAGCCCGACGACGTGACTGTGGGCATGGTGTTGGAGCAGAAGCACTGGCTAGAGTACTCGAGGCCGGCGTACACGTAGCCACCGGCCGTGCAGTACCGCAGGCACATGGCCACGGTGAGGGTGCTGGACTCGAAATGGCTCGAGCCCATGACGCGGTCCGGCGTGTCGGCAAAGCAGCCGAGCGAGACAGCGCTGAGCGTCGGGGCTCGATACACTGTGCATGTTAGTCCAATTCACGGTGCTAGCCAGGCAGGATGTCTGCCTGGAGGGTGAACGACGGAACGACGCCGTGAGAGTGGCTCGGGGTGCCTGGTGAAATGGCAAATGTCTGGCACTACCCATTCGCCACCTGAAACATTCGCCACCTGGCACGAAACACAACCCCCAACACTGTCCGGTCAACACTCACAGCTTATCGTCCAGCTTCCACCACACATGGACCCCGTGTCGCCAGAGCACGGAACGTTGCACGCGTTTGATTGAGTAAGAAAGGTGGTGAACGAGTTACCGCACCAGCACTCGCTGCCATCTGGATTCACCGTCAGTGGATGGGGTCTTTGCTCTCCCCCATGTGGCTGTCCCAAGTATCGCCGCCACCACGGCCACCAACGCGCCAACGACGAGAAATATAGACGTCCCCCGTGTTCCAAGTGTACTCACATTCCACTCCTGCCAACATGAATTCATTGAGTGCACAGAGGTTGGTGCAGTAGTCGGGTGTGTTGAGGGGGCCAGAGTAGACTGGGGCAGGGAGCAGGCGGGGCGAGCCGTCTGTAAAGCATCCGATGTACGTCGCCGAGACGCCGCGTTCGGCCATGTTGGAGAGAGCCATGGTATTCCAGTCCTGGGTGGGGTGGGCGTACACTGACACTGACGCGGCCAGCGCGACGAACGTGACGAGCAAGGCAGCCGCGGTCACCATTGTCCAGAAAGGAAAAGAAAAGTGTCGAGGCTTGTGGTGTGGATGGAGTTTGACAAAGAGAGGAACAGAGAGGGAGGGAGAGAAGACGTGTGTGTTTGCGTTGTCTTCCTCTTGGCCTCTTATGCATCCGCACTGTCCTTTTTCTCGTCCGTCGAGCTGTGGGTCGACGATGAACTGACCCAAAGAAGGGGGGCAGGTTTGATCATGCCTGTCAAGGCGCAAAGCCGGCTCGCGGCTATAATGGCCTAATGGCCTAATGGGGGAGACACAGACTGCGCGTGGGGTCTGCTGATCTGCTAGGTGCTACCTCTGCAGCTTGCAGCCCACTGCCCGCTGACCATCAATTGGGTCTCACCCGTGATATGTTAGGCTGCGACGACGAGGCTTGGAGCTGAACTGAACACCCTTGCTCTAATCCTCTGATTCTTGAATAGCGGGCGCGGGTGTTCAGTTTTTGGTTGTCAACGCACTCCGTGTTCGGCAGGCACTCGGCAACGACGTCTCTTTGGGTCTTGAGAGCCCCGCGGCTCGCTGAACATCCCTTCCGAATGCGTATACAGAATGGCTGACGACATGCCCATTAGATGTGTGATTAACTAACGCGTTGTCTGGACTTCTGTGTCTCGGCGTTGCACAACCGTTCAGCAGCGTCTAACTTGAACTAGGCAGAGTTCCTTCATTCCTTCACCGGCCACCGGCCGTCGCTTTTGGGGTCTACTTTGGTGTCTACTCTTTCTCAGGCTGGCACAATGGCCCTATACATGTACCCTACATGCATGCAGAGCACCAGCAGTGGCCAGTGGATCAGTGGATCAGTAGTGTCAAGTGGGAGGCCTAGTGGCGGAGGTAGACGAAGGGTGGCACGAACTGCCGCCTTCTTCGCGGCCCTTCTGAGGTTTCCATCGCCCCACACCCTCCAGGTATCTAGAGACCAGAATGTATACGAGGGTGTTTGCCATGTACTCTGTGAGATCTGTGGAGCCAGGCCATGCACTGCATGCACTGACAGCTTCACCATGTGGTTACAGACATGGCCACAATGATGAGCGTCGACATTGGGCACTGACGTCACACGAGTCGGCGGTCTCCGCTGCGACCAGTGCGCCGCCGAGGGCTCCTCAAACAGAGCCTGGACGGACCTTTTGTGCAATGCAACATTCATCACCTCTCGACCAAGTCATGAAATCAAGAGATCGCGTTTGGTGGTGAGCGCGTGGCGCGTCCCCCTGTTGGAGGCCACCACAATGGTCGCACGATGAGCGACTGTGCGCCCCGGTGGCCCCACCCATGGTGCCCCCCTTTGTTCGCGCCTTCCCTCCACGTCTCGTCTTCCTTCCTCCATCGTCACGTCTTTACACTCACACGCTCTTGACGCGCCCCCCTTACACACATCTCTACAGCTGACATACACCATCTCTCCTAACCACACACATACATACACACCCACATCCAAATCCACATCCGCGCTCACTACTCCTTACCCTACCCCCCTTCTGAACCCTCCGTTGTATCAGTTTCATCACCTACTCAGTCCCCAAACCTCCGCTTGTCTCGGCTGGCCATCAAGGCCTCCACACTCCCATCAAGCCACCATGGATCCTACAGACCCAGCCCTCCTCGATGTGGACTGGGAGAACCAGTTTGGTACTCTCCAGCTTGAATCGGGTCCTCTTGATCCCATCGTAGCCAGTCTGATGGGCCTCAACATCGGCAGCCAGCGTCGCAAGCGGGACTCGCGCTCCCCAGAATCGCTCGTGGGCAGGATCCGTCTCAACTCGAACGCTGCCAACGGCAGCCACCATGACACCGAGGGATCGGGATACCGGCCCCGCCGCCGCCGCTCGTCGTCACCCGACTCGCCTCCCACACGCCGCTCGAGCTCGAGCTCGAGCTCGAATCAAGGCGAACCCGTTCCTCCTGGTCCCACGATTGGCCAATTTGGGACCACTATGGACACGAGGCGGTGGCAGTTTTGGCCGCATGCCATGGCGATGGGATCGCTGACCGGCAGGGAACTGACCTCGGTGAGCTTTGATCCCGACAAGAAGACAGGTAGGGCGCTGACACAGTATCCTTTGTAGATGTTCAGCGCACCTTGCCTCTATGGTCTAGACCCCACTCGCCCAGGTAACGGCCGCTCCCTTCTCGCTTTTGACTTTAAGCGCGAGTTGCTGGTCATTCGCACCGAGTTTGAAGTCGAGCAGAAGCTCGTCAAAGACCTCCCGCCAGTGTTCAGGCCTGTCAACGCCGAGCTTCCCTTCAGTGACATTTCCCGCCATGGCATCCACTTTGTCGAGGAGGCGCGCCAGGGTGGCAGGACCACCCTCGTTGTCACCGTCGCCTTTCGCCGTCCGCCGCGCTTCTTCACACCGTTTGAAAAGGATGTGGCGAGGTTCAACGAGCATGCAATGGCGCGGGGCAGGGCGGTATACCGTCGTCGCGCCACTGCAATGGACTTTGCGGTTTCCGAGACTGTAAGTCGAAATTGTCCATGTTACAGCTAGCTAACCAGACACAGAAAGAGAAGGACGCTGGCACTTTGCGGGCTATTCCAGATGGAAGCGTTGCTAATGTGAGTTGGCTGTAGGACATAACCTAACTCACCAACCAGCCAATCTTCTGCAACGCGTACCGGTGGACCTTTCACCTCAACGATGCCGAGGTCGGCCGTTTCAAGGCCTGTGCCAACAAGCTGCGCATGATGGACGACGAGAACCCAGACGCAGCTCTCGTTTCCACCGAGAAGCGGGAAAAGGCTCGCGAGGTGCCTCGTGTCATGCAGGATTGGTACACTCCCGACCTTTCAGAGCACGACTTTGAGACCCGCGCCCTCATCGAAGGCCTCATTGGCAACGGCATCCTCCGCCCCGGCGACGTCGTCGCGCTCATGAAGGCGTTGAAGATGCATGCGCCAGCCCCCATGTTCCGCCACCGTCTTCTTGAGAGCCTGTTCACCGAGGAGAGGATCCGTGACCCGGCGAGGCTCATCCCTTGTGAGTGGCATCCGTCCAGGGGCTACGCACTGACGCCAGTCCGCGCCAACAACATGCGCTTGGGTAACATGCGCATGCTGGACCACGTTGTGCGTATCCGCACTGTTCAAGTAACGCCCACTCGCATCCTGGTGGGACCTCCGCAAGAGGAGACCAGCAACTCTGTGACCCGCCGGTACCATGACAAGCTCGACGCCATCATCCGAGTTCAGTTTGTGGACGAGGGCGACCGCTTACATGTTAGTTTGCGGATGACGGTCGTCGCTAACTGACAACAGATCCTCGACTACACCAAGCATGCCGATAAGATGCTGCCCCAGGTGGGCCTCATGGCGCGCATCCGCCGAACTCTGCAGTATGGTATCATGATTGCTGGGGAGCGGTACTATCCTGTCGCCTCGTCATCGTCTCAGCAGAAGTGAGCTAGCGGATGCCTTGCCACCTTAGCTGACAATAGGGACCACTCAATTTGGTTCATCAACCACCGTGTCATTGACCGTGTCGCGCTGTCCAAGTGGATGGGAACGCCCAAGGAGAAGGTCGTGGCAAAGTACTCGGCGCGCATGGGTCTTGTGGGTAGGATATCCACTATCAGTTGCTGACCCACCAGCCGTTCAGCGGAAGTCGCGCTGTCGACATCAAGATCTCCCTGGGTAGGATTCCCGACATTGAACGGGACAAGGAGTGCTTCACAGACGGCTGCTCCATGGCCGGGACGCAAGTCATGGCCCAGTCCGCCCAGGCGCTCGGTATCACCTGCGGCCTCGATGCCAACCCCTCTGCGATTCAGTTCCGTCTCGGGTGGGTGTTTGCGTCTAGTTACTGCTGACCACCCCTCAGTGGCGCCAAGGGTGTTCTCTCCTGCTGGCCAGAGCTGGTGTCCGAGTACCAGCTCCTCCTCCGCCCGTCGCAGGAGAAGTTTGACAGCAAATTGAAAGACCTCAACGTCATTAGGGTGGGTCTGATGAAAGGCAACACCATGCTGATCCAGCAGGTCGCTCGCTACCAAGTGGCGTTCCTCAACCGCCAGTTTATCATGATCATGTCTGCCAACGGCGTTCCCGACTCTTTATTCCGTGAAATCTTTACAGCTGCAGTCATCAACATCAAGGGAATGCCAGGTCGTGTGCGGAAGGGAATCCTCACCGCCGAGGACCAGAAGTACATGCAAATGTACACTGATGTGAGTGGAACGTTTCAGTTGTGAGCAAAGTCTTCCAGCTAACCTCTGCCACCAGTTCCCACTTCCCACAATCATTCAGAACGGCTACCACACCAACCCCATGGTGCTGGACATGTGCCGCCTCGTCGAATGTCGAGCGCTCCAGGACCTGAAGTGGCGAGCTCGCGTCAAGCTCCCCGGCGGCGTCTACCTCATCGGCGAGCTTATAAATTAGTATGAAAGCTGACAAACAGGCATCTCTGACGAGTCTGGCACTCTGAAAGAGAACGAGATCTTCTGTCAGTACCAAGAAACCGACACCCACGACCCCAAGGTGATCACTGGCGAGGTGCTGGTCTGCCGCGCACCGGCCTTGCACCCTGGCGACGTCCGTCGTGCCCAAGCCGTTGACCTACCTCATCTGCGCCACCTCAAGAACGTGGTCGTGTTCAACACCGCTGGCAAGCGCGCGTTCCCAAACATGTGAGCTCTCGCGACTGCTTTGGAGCTGACGTCAGGCTTGGCGGTGGTGACCTCGACGGCGATGGTGAGTCAAGTTTGAAAGCCGCCTCCATGGCTTAAACTGACAAACAGACTACACGATTATTTGGGACCAGCGCTTCGTCCAGCCGCTCAAGGTCTACGAGGCGATGGACTACTCGGCGCCGAAACCACTCACTGTCGAGCGAGTCACCCAGAGTGACCTCAATGAGGTGAGCTGAGAGGACTGACCAGGACAGCTGATAGCAGAACTTTGTCCAGTACATTCTCGTGAGTACAGAGACCGCGAAACACCTCTAACTGTCCAGAACGACGTCCTCGGGCAAGTAGACAATGCGCATCTAGGCCAGTCGGACCTGTGTACCCCCTTCAACAAGATCCCACTCCTTCTGTCCGAGGTTCACAGTGTGAGTAGCTAATCGTAGTGCACTTAGCTGACCTGCAGGCCGCGTAAGCTACAATACAAGTGGGAAATGCTGACCAGGGCCAGCGTGGACTTTGCGAAGAGTGGGTATGCGTGTGCATTTAGCAGCTAACCCAGTAGCCGGTCTCGCAGTTACACTCGACCCAAGCTGGATTCCTGAGAAGTGGCCTGACTTTATGGGCAAGGTGAGGTTCTGTTCCTGAGATTGAAGTTGACCTTTCAGCCAGACAACAAGACCTTTCAGCCAGACAACAAGACCTACGACAGCCAGAAGATCCTTGGCCAGCTGTTCCGTCTCGTATGCTTCAGATTTTGCGAAATGATTGATGCCAATCTGACACCGCAGGTCGACCCAGCACCAGTATACGTCCCCGCCGACATCCGCAAGTTGGGATTCCCATTCGAGCCCCACATGCGCGACATTGCGCTCCACCCGGAGCTTCTTCAACTCCTCCTCAAGTACAAGATGACTTACGAGAACATGATGACCTACACCATGCGGCGGTTCAAGGTCGAGGAGGTGGAGCTTGTGACTGGTATCGCGACCCAGACGAAGCAGCGCAAGCGGTCCCGGGAGCTGAACCACCTCCACGTAAGTACGAGGGGCGTGAGCACTGTTATTGACATGCCCAAGGAACCCCTGCGCGACTCGTTCAACAACCACGTCAAGACCATCCGCGAAGAGGTCGAGGCTGAAGTCGCAGCTGCCAACTTTCCGTTCGCAGCCACGCCCGAGGTGATCGCTGCGCACGCATATGCGTTGACGTACGGCCAGAAAGAGGTCGAGGCGTGGGAGAAGCACCTCATGATGGGTGCATGGGGCGGTATGAACCATGGCGACATGGAGACGCTGCGGCCGAGGTAAGCTGTTGGGCGTTTCGCACACACAAGCTGACAGCCAGGCCGATGATGAGTTTTGCGTGGGTGTGGCAGGACGCGCTTGTCCAAGTGGCCCAGCTGATGGGTATGGGCCCGTGAGATGGGACAGAGAGCAGTGTAATCGAGTAATCCAAGTTTTATCTTCTGTATCACGAGCGCAATGTACAGTACCCCCCAAGCGTGGCCCTCGCCGGCGCTCACCATCTCTCCCGCGCTGCTCGCGTGCCACCCTGTGGCCGACGGAAGCAAAATGTTGATGGCCTCAGTCCCTCCACCTTCTTTTGGTGGTCCAACTGGTGGATTTGAAGATTTCACAACATCCACCGAAACCACCATGACGGCACCAGAGGTCAAGCTCCTGACTCTCCTCAACGTCAGCGCTATCAAGCGCCCACGTACTCTCGACCAGCCGGGCGGCTTCCGCTCTCCGTCGGCGTCGCGGGCACAGAGCACGAGCGGCGACGGCGACGACTCCATGCCCGTCAAGCGTCGGCGCAGCGTTGTCTGGGGCGGCGAGATTGGTCCCAGCGGAACCACGTACGGCAAGGGCAAGGGCAAGGGCAAGGCAGACAAGAGCGACAAGAGCAAGGTCTCTGCCGTCGCTGTCGATGAGGAGAGCGGAGAGGACGACTCGGCAGATGAAGCTGGCGAGGAGCGCGATGGCGATGACAGTGAGGACGAGGAGACCACCGAGGACACTTTCAACACCCACTTTGGTGCCGAGCCCCGCGGCCTCGAGCAGGCCGTCAAGACCGACGAGTGGACCACGTCCAGGAGGACCCTCAAGGGACTGGGACGGATTGTGGAGCAGGTGCCAGCTGGCCTCGAAGTGTCTGACGGCAAGGCTCGCGTGAGTTAGCAGTCCTGTTCTAGTGCTAACTCTGCCAGCTCGTCCCCGCTATTGCTACCGCTGTGAAGGAGCGCGCGGCTACTGCCCCCCTCGTCCCGACCTTTGTCTCCCAGCTGGGATCCTACGCCGACCTGTACGCACACTCGCTCGACGGCCAGGCCGATGGCCGCGAGACTGCGGCCTTTGCTCCTACCGCTACCCGTGAGGCCCTGCGCGCCGCTACCGCCGCCCACGCTGTCAACCACGTCCTCAAGACGCGCAGGCGTATTGTGCGCAACAATGAGCGTCTCGCACACGCCGCCGACGCAGGCAACGACATCGAGTCGCCCCGCGACCAGTCGTTCACCCGTCCCAAGGTCCTCTTCCTCCTCCCCACGCGTGCCAGCGCCCTCCACTGGCTGCGCGAGCACGTCTTCCCGCTTGCCGGCGCCGGAACGCAGATTGAGAACCGCCGTCCATTCGAGGCGTCGTTTGGTCTTCCTCAGGACGAGGTCGACCCGCTTGAGAAGAACGAGAACGGCCTCCCTATCGACCACCTCGAGAACTTCCGCGGCAACACGGACGACAACTTCCGCTTTGGTGTCAAGATCACCCGCAAGGCGTGGCGTGTCGTCATGCCGCCCGTAAACGAGGCCAAGCTCATGGACTGTGACTTCCTCGTTGCCTCGCCCCTGGCTATCAAGATGGCTGCCGACAAGGAGGACTCGACCGACGTGCTTGCGTCGATCGAGATCTTTGTCGTGGACGGCATGGACGTCATGGAGATGCAGAACTGGGACCACGTCCAGGTAAGTTGATCCTGGTTCGCTCTCTCTAGACTCAACTGACCCTCTCCCCAGTACGTCATCTCGCACATGAACGAGATCCCCAAGTCGCCCCACGGCTGTGACTTTTCGCGCGTCAAGCCATGGTACCTCGAGGGCAACGCTGCGCACCTGCGCCAGACGCTCCTGTTCTCGCGGTACGACATGCCCGAGTCGCGTGCCATCGCCCGCGGATGTAAGAACATGGCCGGCAAGCGCCGCATCGACGCTGCGGCCAGCGGCTCCCTCCCTGGTGTGCTCGAAAAGGTCCGCCCGGGCGTCAGGCAGGTGTTTGAGCGTATCGACGTCGACGTGCCCAAGGGCAAGGGCGGCATGTCTGGTGAGGCCGCTGCCGAAGAGGCCGATGCGCGCCTTGAGTGGTTTACGAAAAAGACCATTCCCCAGCTCCTCCGTTCGGCCGTGAGCAGGCAACAGACCCTCGTCGTCGTGCCGTCCTATTTCGACTTTGTCCGCGTGACAAACTACCTGCGTAAATCCGACTCGGTGTCGTATGCCGCCATCTCCGAGTACTCTAGCAACAGCGAGATCTCGCGCGCCCGTACCTTGTTCTTCAAGGGCAAAAAGGCCTTCCTCATCGTCACCGAGCGCTTCCACTTTTACCGCAGGTACCGTCTGCGTGGTGCCAAGACGGTCGTCTTCTACCAGCTGCCCTCGCACGCGAGCTTCTACGCCGAGCTGCTCGCCACGCCCTTTATCCCCAACCGCGAGGCCGAGGCTGCGGGCTTTGACGAGGCGGTCGACCCGTCTGAGATTAGCAGCCGTGTGCTCCTGAGCCGCTTTGATGTGCTGCGCCTCGAGCGTGTCGTCGGCGTCAACGACGCGCGGAGAATGCTTGGCAGCGCCGAGGCGAGGTTTGAGTTTATCTAGAGACAGTGTCTTGAGCCCTCCATCCATGTACTTTTCTTCCTGTCGCTGCTGCTGCTGCTGCTCCTCCTCCTGCCACGTCCCTGGCTCGTTGGACTAAAACTATGCACCGTGACATTCCAGGCTACATGACAAGAACATGATGACAACAGCCCTCTGGTCTTCGCTCACTCTCACTCTCGCTCTCTCTCGCTCTTGCTCCGTCTCTCCTCCCTTCTACCTGTCCTTCTCCTCCCCGCTCTCTCTCTCTCTCTCTCCTTCTCCGTCTCTCCTACCTCCCCATACCCGCGTTCATGGCCGAGTTCATCGCAGCAGTCGAGCTCGGTCCGCGGCCATGGCCACTGCTGCTCGTCTTGAGAAAGTCGGGCAGGCGCGGAGTGACGCTGCGTGGGGTCGGCGCGGACGACAGCGTGGGGGCTGGAGGAGGCGCAGTTGTTGGCGGGAGAGGTGGGGGGATAGCAGTGGTGCTCTGGCTCGGCGCCGGAGCTGGGGCAGCCGGCCTGATGCGGGCACGAGGCACGGGGAACGATGGCGGTGCGGCTCCGCGAGGACGAGGAGCGGGCTCGTCGTGTGTCACGGTGACGGCTGGGACGATGGTGCCAAGCTCGAGCATTCCCTGCACGCGATTTGTGGGCGCGCGAGGAGTCGTGCCAACGGTTCCGTCACCCATGTCGACGTCGCCGTCATCGGCAGTGTTGTTGTTGTCGCGACGAGCCTCACGACGCCCACCACCACCACCACCGCCGCCTCCCCCGCCGCCACCGCTCGCTGTACCGCCGCCAGCCGCTGTTGCACCGTCCGCTGACGGCTCAGGCTCGGACCTGATACTGCACCTGAGAAAAAAAGTCAGCTACCATCGCGCGGAGGTCTTGAGCCAGCTGACACTCACCAGAACCTGTGGCCCTCGCTCCACGCCTTGCTCTGGCAGTCCTTGCTGCAGTACTTTGCCTTCCTGCACCGACGGCACTTTGCGAATTCGCGGGGCTCAACCTCCCAGCGCCCACAAGACATGTACGCGCACTGACGAATACCGCCCTGGCTGTCGTCCTTGCGGCACGCGTTGCGCATAATCACGCCGGCCCAGTACTGGATCTCGCCCGGGATGCGGTACATGAGCGGGTCGGAGGGCGAGGGGCGGAAGGTGAAGCGCTCGACAAGAGAGAAGATGTTGGGTGTCTCCGAGTAGGCCGGGCGTTGTGGGAGGGGCACGTCCGAGTCGTCTGCACCGAGCTCGAATGTGCGGTGCATGGGACGCCGCGGGTGGTGGAAGGTGGCACGGACATGTGGATACTTTGACAAGTAGGCGAGGAGCTGGAGGGCCAGGAGAATGTTGTCCTCGGAGTAGTTTGTTCCCTCGGGGTTGAGGAGCATTGACACGCCAACATACGAGGCCAGGTCCTGGAATCCACGGGGCGCACCGTTGGCAATGATGATCTGCGCTGGTGGGACTTGGGGAACCTGGACCGCGAGGTCGGTGTTGACAGGCGCAAGAGGGACCTCGGCCGTCGTCACACGCGGCGTCGCACCGGGCTGACCGGGGGGAGCACCAGCCTCCATGTCGAAGCGTGCCTGTTCAGCTGCAAGCACCTCGGGATCGGGCTCCTCGGATCCTTGGATTCCTGCAATGCCGTCGACGATGGCAGGCTGAGGGCCGTTCTCGGGCTGGTTTGGAACAGCAGCCGCGGCCTCCATGGCAGCGTTGGCGGCAGCAGCAGCAATTCCAGCCGTGATGGTCGCCTGCGCCAAGTCGGTCTCGGGGGCACCGTCGCTCGCCTCGCTCTCATCGTGGCGACGAGTGTCGCGCGGCTGGAGGAGCAGAGGTCGTCCCACAACAGTGCCGCGACGCCCACGGGTTCCCTCCACATGCTCGGCGGCATGGACGTGTACGGGTGTACCCATCGGGCTCGACTGAGTGCTTTGTGGGTCGGGCGCAGTAGCCAGTTGTGGGAGACGGGCAGCCAGCCCCGATCGAGGCCTTCCGGATGCCATGGCGGCGTTTGCGTTTGTCAACGCCAGGCTGAGATCGGAGCGAGCACGGGGGATAGCTGGTGGCTCATCTCCAGAAGGGGAACCGTTTGCGCTCGAGACGCTAGCGCTCGCCTGCACCGAAGCCTCATCGGGACTCCGACGTGGGATCTGCAGTGGGAGAAGGGGGAGGCGCGCGCGGGGAGTGGTGGTAACCTGGCTAGGTCCTGCTCCGTTATGCGCCGTTTCCTCGCTCTCTCCCATGTACTCGACGTCCATGCTCGCGTCTGCCGTGTCCGTGTCGCCTGCAGTGTCCGTCTCGCCGCCCTCGGTCTCGGCATCGGCCATGTCCACATCCGTGTCCACTGAGCTGCCTGGTTGGGGCTGCGGTCGAGTAGGCTGTGGTGGGACGACATCGTTGGTGCGCGATGGGTTGCGGTTACCGTTGCCAACCAGAAGCGAAGTGACAAGCTGGCCCAAGCCGCGCGTCGGTTGCTGGGCGGCGAGGGCCGCTCCCGTTCCTGCGTGTCCTCCTTCTGTTGTTGGTACAGCTGGAGCAGGCGCATCAGTCAGGCCAGCGCCTGGAACGGGGATGGGAGCGACGGTGGAGGTAGTGGTGGCGGTTGTGGCAGTGATGGTGGGAAGTGCGGGGGAGTAGGAAACGGCGGCGGGCTGTGGTGGCTGGGCTGGCGCCTGGGTCTGGGCGGCGTCGCGTGAATGGTGATGATTCTGGTGGCGTGATGCTCCCTGTCTCCTATGACGAGCCACTCCTGGGAGTGGTATACCAGATGCCAAAGCGTCGACAGCCGCCTGGGATCCCAACGAGGACGAGAACACTGCGATGCCATTCTTCTTGAGCCAAGACTCGAGGATCTGGGCCACAATGTCCAATGCGCCAGCTTGGACGACTCGAGTACGGATGATCTCGTTTCCGCGCACCCCAATGTTGACCACACACTGGAACGCCAGAGAGTGACGGAGCGAAATGGCGCGGTCAACGTTGATGGTGCGCGCAGTGCATGGACCGTTCAGACCCCAGAGGTCTGGCATCGTCGGCTCACGCGGGAGGCAAGAGTCGCGGAGTATATCGAGCATGCGCTCCAGCCCTCCGTCCATTGTGAGCACCTCGCGTATCCGCGGCGATGTCGAGGTGAGGTACGTCAGCTGGCATAGATTGTTGAGGAGCGCCAGTGTTGAGTTTGTGTCTAGTGCTACAAGGCGAAGAGTCAGCAAGGAGGGGTCGCCACGTACACCCAACACCACCACCACCCTCGCCGTGGTGATTCCCCTGGCACATCCGCACTCGACCTCGGACCCGCCAAAGGACGCCGCGCACGCAGCCAAACAATCGGGCGGGAACACATCACATACCTCGTCGGTCATACAGCATCTGGCTGATGCTTATGACTGCCCGGTTGGACGGGGGAAACGTATAGTTTGACTCGCGCATGCTGGGCAGGCGGACGGGTGGCAAGCACCGTTGGTCAGCACACCGGCGATGATGTCGCGTGGGCCGCCTCCGGCCAAAGCAAAGGACGGGGGGAGCCGCAGATGGATAGGTAAACGGGGTAGGCGGGTGGACAAGGTGGTAAGGGACGTATGTGTTGCCTGTGGGGGTAGTGTTGGACGATGGGAGAGGCTGCGAGACGAGGGAGTAGGGAGGATGATGGGCTGTGGATGGGAGAGGTGGTTGGTGTGAGGAACGGCGAGAGAGCGGGGCGTGGCCGCCCACACAGCCAGACAGCCCGCACGCTCCCCGGCGCCGTCACAACGGGAGCAAACTCAACCACTTGTCCTCCTCCTCTGGGGGCTCTGGCAGGTTATAGACGGACGACCATGCACCTATGCACTGGGTAGTCACTTTGGCTGCTCTGCAATGCTGCTACTGTCTACATGCATATCTCAATCCCCCCTACGATCTCTCTCTCTGTCTAGGCCCACAACTTGATAAGACCATCCCACGATGCGGTGATCACCTTGGACTGTGTTTTGGTGTCAGCGATACAGTGGGTCCAGCCATTTACGTCACCGCTGCGTCGGTGCCCCCCTTTTCATTTGGGCCCAAAATTGGTTTAGGCCATTTAGACCAGCCAACTTGCTCAACCCTGTTCACTCACATGTTCGTTTGGCAGCCAGCAGTGGTCAATCACCACCTGCTGGTGCGCGTGCAGCCGCTTCATAATCTTGCCAGTCTTCCAGTCCCAGAACACGACGTCGCCACCACCGGTACCAGACGAAATGTACTTGCCGTCGGGCGAAAAGTTGATTGCGCACGCATAACCAGCCACCGTGTGGCCTGCGAAACGCTTCTTCTTGTTTTGCCTGAAATTGCCGTCTGCCGAGTACACCAGAATCTGGTTGTCGAGAGACTGGGCAGCGACATACTTGCCGCTCGGGTGCTTGGCGACCGAGGGCATCGAGTGCATGTACGGCTCGGCAATGTATTTGATGACCACGGGAATGTCATAGTCCCATCCGCGAATGGTCTTGTCGTCCGAGGTCGTCAGGAAACGGCGGTTGTTGTCCACAAAGGTAATGGTGTTGACGGGACCCAGGTGCTGGTCGTACGTTTGGATAATCTCATGCGCACGCAGGTCGTACTGGATAATCTTCTTGTCCTGCATACCAGCCATGAAGATGTGCTGCTTGTCGCTATCCGGGTGGAACTTGACAACATTGGCCATCTTGCCGTTCGAGAACGCCTGGATACACTTGCCCGTCTCCGTGTCCCACAGCTTGACGGTACGGTCGTATGACGCAGAGAGGAACTTGGAGCCCTTGTTGTTGAAGTTGACATCCTTGACAGCCTGCGAGTGGCCCATGAACGTACGCAGACAGTTGCCCTCGTTGTACACGTCCCAGAGCTTGATCTTGGTGTCCATACTTCCACTGAGAAGCAGGTGGCCACTCCTGGGGAACAGGCGGATAGCCGACACGCCCTTGTTGTGGCCAGTCCAGGTGTGGATGCACTTGCCGTCGGGCACGTACGTGTTGGGTGGCGCAGCGCCGTCCGAGGGGTTGAGCTTGACGTCCGTGTCGGTGGGAATGTGCATATATGTCCTGCCGGCATAGTCGGTGAGCTCCTTGCCGTGGAAGATGCTCTTCTCTTCGGCAGCAACCTCCATCTTGGCCTTGGCAGCGGCAGAGGCCTCCTCGCGGCGCCTCTTCTCCTCGCGCCACTCCTCGGCGTCCTCCTCCACCTCTTCCTGAACGGCTCGCGAGCCCTCGTACTCGGCCCAGGGACCCTTGTACGCGCCCTCGCCGTCCACAATTGACAGGTCACCCTTGGACTCGCGCTTGCGCTTCTCTGCCTTCCTCTGCGCTTTTGTTGACCGCACAGTGTCGATCAACTGGTAGCCATTGGCCGCCGCCGCGTCCGCCGAGCCCACAATGCCGCCACCGTTGAGAGATGGGTCGTACGCATAGCCGTGAATGTTGAACGTCTTGTGTTGCCTTGAAAACTCGTAGCTGTCCATCACTTGCTCCTCGACATGGCCTTTCCGGTCAGTCCGTGTTTCAGCGGCGACCGAATCTGTACCCACCTGCCAACGAGTTCATGCCCTTGTTCTTTTGCTGGTTGAACGGGTCCATAGGTCCCTGCTCAGGGCGCGTCATGTCTTCGTACGTGACGTTGACATTGATGACCTGTGGAGTGGAAGGTCAGCTCGGTTGGACGCAGTCTGGTCCGCTGTCAACAAACCTTGTCGGTTGACCGTGTAATGATCGCGTTAGAAATGACGTTGGGGTCCTCTTTCAACACATCGGGAGCAGCCGACACGTCGACCTTGGTGTCGACCTTGGCGACTTTGGTAGGTCCCGCAGAGGCGAGACCAAACGCGTCCGTCTTGGCCTGCTGCTCGAGCTGCTCGTCGTCCTCGTCGTCGTCTTGGATATCGGCCGCATTGTTGGCGGGATGGGACTGGATCTTGGATGGTCCCGGTGCGGACTCGTCGTCTGAGGACTCGTAGCCTGCGAGGAGCATGGTGGAAGAGGTTGGGGGATGGAGTGGATGGCAACAGACGGAGATTGTTAGAACAGGAGAAGTTGGAATACGGTGGCGGCAAGCGCGGCCAATTTGCTTCCGTCGTGTGTTTTGTGGTTACTGTATGCGATGGGGAGCTGGACCGTGAAGGGTACGGCAGACAGCAGGAAGAGATCACGGAAGTCTGCAACAGAACGTTTTGTCGTGATCTCTTGATCTCTAGCGATGCCTACTTCCTTTTGACAAGGACCGTTGTGCTGCATGCTCTGTGTGGCTTATGGAGGACGACAAGGCAATGCCTGGTCAATGCCTGCCAAACGAGGAGCACCGTGGGAGAGCATGGTTGACGAGCGTCGGGGGGGTGATTGTGTTGTTTATTGCATCCGACTGCAGAGCTCCATAATAGAGATCTACAGAGTACCTAGTTGAAGCTTTGGGACGTTGGGACATTGCGTTTGGCGTGGAGCAGGACAACCGGCCGACCCGGGCGATGGATGCACGCGCGGACTGCTGCGATCGTTGACCGTTTGAGTGAGACGGAGAAGGCCGTTGCTCACTGCCATGCCGAACTCCGCGCTCCATTCTACCCGGTCGTTTTGAGCTTCTTGTTGGGGACAAAGAGCACACACATGCAGAGCTAGGTCACGAGGAGGACGGCGATGCATAAGCATGAGGATATGCAGGAGGGAAAAGCACAGGAAAGCAAAGCACCAGCCGCCGGGCGTTACGGCCGTGTCCTGTTGTGGGTCGACGATCGTCCCGGCGCTCTCGGTTAGAACGTGAGCCGGTTTGTGTGCGGTGCGCAGACCCCACCCAAACGTGCAGAATGCAACATTATCCCGCTCATGCAACCCCACTTGTTCTCTTGTCTTCTCACATCTATCCACTCACCCACAAACTACGTGTACAATGGTCCTCGTTACAGAGCTCACCCGCATGCTTGGCATCAAGGTAGGTGACCCGCGGCACTTCAGCCATCGAGTAACCTCCTCCAAGCTTCTGTGCTGACGTTCAATCTACAGCACCCCATCGTCCAGGTAACTATCAAACTCGCCCGCGCGATCTAGCTTCCTCCAATCTCGAGACGCTAGACTCTGTACTGACATCCTCAGGGCGGTATGCAATGGGTCGGCGTGCCGGCTCTCGCCGCTGCTGTCGCTGCCGCCGGTGGTCTCGGCATCCTCACCGCCCTCACCCAGCCTTCCCCCGACGCTCTCCGTGTGGCCATCAAGGAGACCCACAAGCTCATGAACGGTCGCCCCGGTCGCTTCGTGAGTTGGGCGACGCCTATACTGTAGACCAACTGACACCCCCAGGGCGTCAACATCACTCTCCTCCCCTCGATCACCCCTCCCGACTATGCCGGCTATGTCAAGGCCGCCATGGATGAGGGCATCGATGTGTTTGAGACTGCAGGCAACAACCGTGAGTTATCTGGGTAACTGACTACCTTGCCGCAAGCTGATGAATCCAGCTGGCCCCATCATTAAGCTCATCCAGACTTACAAGGCTCCCGGGCAGGCCACCGTTCCCAAGCGCTACATCATTCACAAGTGTACCGCTGTCCGCCACGCGCTTTCCGCCCAGAAGATGGGTGTTGACTGCCTGAGCATCGACGGCTTTGAGTGTGAGTACAGAGTTCTAGGAGTGTGCTTGACCTGTTGGAAGAGGAAGGTTGCCAGTACGGTGGACATTGCAACTCTGCCAGCTACGACGTGCCTGGCCACACGCAGCAGCTGACATTCCAGGCGCTGGCCACCCCGGTGAGGACGACATCGGTGGCCTTGTCCTGCTCGCCCGCGCCGCTGAGGAGCTTGGCATCCCCTTCATCTCGTCGGGTGGTATCGCCAACGGCCGCGGTCTTGCGGCCTCGCTCGCCCTTGGCGCACAGGGTGTTAACATGGGCACCCGCTTCATGGCCACTGTCGAGTCTCCCATCCACGAGAACATCAAGGAGAAGATTGTCGCCTCCAACGAAAAGGACACTGTCCACATCTTCCGGTACGTATTGGGGTAACGACGAACCGGGTAGTTGCGGGCCGGTTACCGAGGCGGTGACAAGTAGACGCCACCAGCTGGAGGCCCACATGCCCGGGCGGCACGAAACACCCGGCCGCTTAGACAGTTGAACTGACACATTGAACAGTACGCTCAAGAACACTGCCCGCGTGTTTAAGAACAAGGTCTCCACCGAGGTGGTCGCCCTCGAGAAGCGCCCTTATGGTGCCAAGTTTGAGGACCTCCGCGACCTCGTGTCTGGTGCTCGTGGCAAGGTTGTCTACGAGAACGGTGACCCGGACTATGGAATCTGGTCGTACGTTGCATGGCCTGACATACAGGTGCGAGAGAAAGGGGCTGACAAGGGCACAGGGCTGGTATTGCCGTTGGACTCATCCACGTAAGTTGCGCAAAGGGACCCAGGGCTGTCTGGGAAGATTGATAACGAGGATTGCTGCTGACGCTTGGACAGGACATTCCCACCTGCGAGGTTCTGTGTGACCGCATGGTCAAGGAGGCCGAGGACGTCATCAACAGGCTCGACACCAAGATTGCCAAGGCCAAGCTGTAGAGAGGGAGATGCCATGAAGGATGGTTGTAGATGTGTAGAAAGGATGCCAATTCGCGGTGCCACATGCCACTCCGTTTTGGTGCCAACTTTTTGCTTCCCCACCCTGCCCCGCTTTATTCCGTGGCAACCCATGGTCTGTCCGTCGGTGTGCGCTTGGACCCGCACGCACACTCACCCCCAAATGGTCCGCTCGCTCTGGCTGTCCCTCTCCACGTACTCTCTCTTTCTCTTTCTCTTCCACATATCCCTCTCTATCTCTCCATCTCTCTTACCCATACTCCCACTCTTCCTGCCTGCACTTGGCCCATATCGCACTCGAGCAGGGCGCCCAGCCCCACCCAGCTACTTTTTTCCTCCGACGAACCCCGCCGCCGTCGCCGCCGCGCCATGAGCTCACCTCACGGCGCAGGCGGCATGTCCCCAACCGCAATGGCCACCCGCTTCGCACCGTCCGGCCACCGCCACCGCGACGATGACGGCGACGACCACTATGGCGCTGATGTGCTCCCCCCTCACCTCGCTGCTCTGGACGATGACGACCTCAACACCCAGGGCGGCAAGAAGCGCAAAGTGCCCGTCCCATTGATCCCTGGGTCAGTGGACGACGCCGATACCGGCCGCGACGGTGCGGACCGTAACCCCCCACGCTCTGCGCGCGAGGACACGGACACGCCAGGCATATCGCCGTACTCTGTCTGTCGAGTTGTTCGAACTCCCGCTTCTCGACTGGCAGCTCAGAGGCGTGCGCTCTTCCACAAACGCAAGGCAGGGCTCGTTGCGCTCTATCTGGACGCCCAGGGCGCTGTCGATTCGTCCGCCGCACAACTCGCTGCCCTCCGCAGCCGAAGCAGCGGCGGTGCACCGGGCGCTGCTCCAACCACTGCAAGCGGTACGTCGACGTCTACTGCAAGCTCGAGCCGACCCTCGCTCCCGGACGTGAGCACATTTGAGCGCCTCCTCCCCGCCCTAGAGGACGTGGGCGTTTGGGCCCCCGATGCCCCTGGCTGGCGCGAGGGCGACGACGCAGCCCAGCCCGTTCCCCGGCGGTCGTTGGAACGCTGGCGTACTGGTTTTGCAACCCGCAAGCGTGTCCGCATGGAGCGCGTCCCCGTCGTCCGTGGCGGGTGGGCACCAGAGGGTAGCTTTGAACTCGAGGTGCCGACCGAAGGTGAGTTGCACGCACGATGTCTCTGTCTCCCACGCCCCTCCCTTTCCTTTCCTCCCGAGGACGTACGATTCACAAGCGTCACTGTCATGGCTATGCGTGTGTCTGTCCCACAGGCATGGTTCTGGCGCACCGCCGGGCGCCTGATCTGACGCCTGACACCGATCCGAATACCCCGAGACCTTGACCCCACGCTCAAGCATGCTGACGCCCGATCCCAGCCTCTGTCCGAGCCAGAGCCCGCGCGCGTGAGCGTGTTGCCCTCGCCCGACTTGCAGAGCAGCTCCGCGCGCTGGTCCTCGCAGCCAACAAGCTCCCGACAGCGCAGGACGCCAGCCCAGCGGGTACACCGCCGCCGACGCTTTCGGCCGCCGACTTGCCTCCAGCGCCACCCGTCCCGGTTGCTACCAAGAAGAGCAAGAAGAAGAAGAAGAAGCGTACCACCCTTGCCAACGAAGGCAACCCGCACCATGTTGACAAGTGTGAGTCCGCTGAACAACGACCACAGGTTGGCTTTGGCTGACATGTTTTCCAGACCGCCCGTCACGCCCCGTCCCCGTCGCAGACCCGTACGAGCCGTGGCCGCACCACGCGTCGCTCCTCTTCCCGCCCCCCATGCGTGTCCTCGCTGCTCGCCCCGGAGGCAAAGACGTTCGCCCTGGTGAAGACGAGTATATCTGCTTTTCGTGCCAATACGCGCTCAGCTACGGTCCCGAGGCACTGCGCAAGCACGCCATCAAGCAGCGTAAAGCCGAGCTGAAGCGGGTTGAAAAGCTCCGCGCGAGGGCATTCGGCAACACGCACGGCAACCGGCCGCGGGCCCGTCCCCATTCCCACTCTGGGGACGGGAGTGGGTCCGAGGACGATGACGAGGAGTATGACGACGACGACGACGGGTGTGGAGACGACGACGACGGTGCAGGGAGGTGTACGTGTGGCAGGGCGCTGCGCAAGCCTCACATCGAAGACGAGGCAGAGCCCCCGGACAAGCCACCTTAGCGCATACCCACCCTGGGTTTGAAAACCCAAGGCGTGCAGGTGTGCGCTTGAGCGTCTGCCAAGCAGGGCAGGCGTAGAGTATGGCGGTGGAGGAGCGGGGAGTGCGATACAGTGTCACAACGGTGACGGAAGGCGAATTGAGCAGTAGGCGTTCTTTCTCGGTCGGTTTTTTTGGCAACGGAGCTTTTGCTGCTGTGCCAGAGTGTAACAAGGAGTCGTGTAATATAGATAATCACCCACACCCACAACAACAAACAACAACACACCCAACAACAACAAGTGTCATTCTTTTCGTGCTGTGTATAGCAATAAGAGATCAGTAGCACCGTTCTTTCTCCTTTTCTGCATATTTTTATCATGTACACTGAGCGTGCAGGCCAAAACGACACGGTTTGCACTGCCGTTGGGCGTAGATCAATTTGATAAACGACTCGGCCGAATGTGGCGGCGAGGCCGTCACGATCAGGTAAATCTTGGAAAATACCAAAAACTGACCTGTCTAATTACCCAACACCATGCCACTACTGTTGAACGGAACGCCGTGAGGAATACTTTATCACACCCTCCGTCGCCGTTCCACCCCGCCGTGGGTACGGGGGAGCGCAGCGGGACAGGTAGGATGTGGAAAAGTAAATCCTGGGTCTTGAGGTGTGGGTGTGGCGAGATCGAGGTTAGGCGGTGGTGTAGCTCGAGGTTAGACGGCGGTGTAGCTCGAGGTTAGACGGCGGTGTAGTTCGAGGTTAGACGGCGGTGTAGTTCGGACGGCGGTGTGCGGTGGGGTGGTCGAAGTCGGGAAGAGCGGAAGTCGTAGGCGAGGGAGTCGGAGTGGCTGGTATTGTAGGCTGCGTGCGTGTTGACATGTAGGCTGTGTGGTTGTCGTCGAGTTTGGCAGGCGTGGCGGAACTGGTCGTAGAAAGGCCAAAAAGAAAACTGTGGCTGTGTTCCCCAAACTGTCAGCATTCACGAGGAACTCACCCCGTTTGTCTGTTTATCGGCTATGCCGTGCCCGCCTGAGGAGGGTGATGAGGTAGTGCAAGTGACATGAGAAAGCGGAGGTAATGGACGGGTGGTAATGGAGTTGAGGGGCGGGCGACCTGCATGCTGTCGTTGACTTATTTAAGGGGAACTGGTACGGGGAGACCCAGTTGCCCACCTACCTCATCCTTTGGCTTCTCGTCCACCACCTGCAAGTCCACCCGCAACCATGGCGGGCACCCGAGCTGTTTCCAAGGCTGGCGAGGGGGAACTCTTGTAGCCCCAAAGCCTACTGCCCACGGCCAAACGCCAGGCCATTGTCGACCATGTCCAGCGCGACGAGTCGCAGGACTCTAACCCGGTCATCTACTACAACTCGTCCGACGAGATGCGCATGTTCAAGCCTGCCAAGACTAGGATTCTCGTCATTAAGGCTGTCGGCATTACCGGCATCAACCTCCACCGCGCCAACACCCTCCACATCTTCGGCCTGCCATGGCTCTACATGGACATTCAACAGTTGATCGGCCGCATCAACCGTTATGGCCAGCGCCGCCAGGTCAGGGTGTACCTGTATTACCACACCGGCACCGTTGAGGAGGACATTGTGAACGGCATTCAGAACAAGGCCGCCACCGAAGAGTCGCTGTTTTACACCCACATGGCCGACGAAGACGAAGCCGCCCAGCAGACTCTGATCACCCAAGTCGAAGACACTGTCGCCAAGCGTGACAGCCGCGCCTCCCAGTCCCAGGTCGGCCGACTCGTCGAAAAACAACGTGTCATATGTCAGGCTTGGGCAGAAGAACGACGACGCAAAAGGTGCCGGGTTGGTGGAGGGGTTGTTCTTGGCGTCCATGAGGAGCCCGCTGATGGTGACTGCGTAGACGACCTCGCGACGCTCCACTTCGGGGAACGGGTAACGGTTGCGGCCTGCCATGACACGGTTGGCCTGGGCGACATCAAACTTGCGCTTGGTCGTGCGAATGTTCGGCCTGTGGCTCATGTCCGCCAAGTGATAGTAACCCTGGTCGAGAAGCTTTTTAGCCTCTGCACAGTGGTTGCCGACGATGGTGCCGTTAGACACGAGAATGTGGGTGCGAGACGATTCATCGAGCAAGGGACGACCGTTGGCGGCACGGCGGTTGTCGCCGATCCAGAGGTGGTCACGGCGGGACGAGGTCGACAGTTCTTCAAGCTCGGCACTGCAAGGTCAGCGGATGGACATATCTGCGACACGCAGGAACCAAGGCCGCTTCTGCTAAGCCTGCACCTCCGCCTCCCTCGCTCACCATTCCCGGTCTGAGCCCGTATCTCCGCCCCATCGAGTGATGTTCTTCACGAGTGGGGAATGGCCTGGGCTTCGACACGGACAACGTCCGACGCTTGGCCGGCGCTTGGCCAGGATAGCGGGAAGGCCAAGTGCCCAGAGTGGAACACGGCGGGCCGTGAGGGCGTCCTTGCCGATCAACGCGTACATTGCGGGGTCGGCCTTAGTCAGGTGGAGGCAGACGACAGCTGTCCATGGCCAGCACCTCGTCGAGCTGGGCGGCGCTGGGAAGCTTGCCGGCTAGAGCCGGGTCAACACCTGCCACCCAGTCACTCAGCAGTTGCCCAGAGGGTTGCCGGGGAGCGCGCTGAATACGTCCAAGGCGAGGGAGCTCACTAGCCAGACCCACCGTGCTGCCTTGTGGGCGCAAGCCAACCCGTGGGTGTACGTGGTGGCGACAGCGGTACGCCCGTCTTCAACCTCCCTACCATCCTGGCGGCCAACTCCACAGAGACTTCGGGCACCTAATGGCGTCTTGTTTGCGTCTTGTTTGGGCGTTGTGGATGATATTATGTGAAGAAAAATAACCGCACGCCCAGGATACTCGTTTTTTATACCGAAGCGACCAACAGGTGATTGCTTCTCCCCATGCCATGAGACACCATCAGGTAGGACACCCATCAGTCGTAACACATTCCGTGTCGAGCCATCAGACACGTTGGACTCAGAATCAAACGGACAGGCTGCATGATTATCACCGCACAGTTTGAAACGAGCACGAAGGTTGCGTGTGTGTGTGCCACATCCACGACCAACTCTCGGGGTATGTGTGCCACATAGATTCTTGTTCCCACAGCTGGGAGGTAGTGGCTGATGGCTTCTTGTTTCCACACCGGTCTTGTGTCTCTTGCCCTGTTTCTCATCAGCCCTCCAGATCTGTCTTACCTGCTAAAGCCTCAATCTGACCTGATCTTGTCGCTCGCTGAAACACTGCAACATGGCAACAAGCACCAATCCCACCGCCAAGAACACCCGCGTTCTCGCTTGATCCGAAGATCCGAACAGAGACCCCGACGTGTCACCCCCGCTCGCTTATGCCGGGCAGAAGAAGCGGCGACGGTGATCCAAGCGCTCAATGCTGTACAGTACTGTTCCATTCTCGACAGACCCACCCTTCCCCAAGAACCCCGACGCAGGGGTGGACTTTCGGAGCCGTGCGGTTCGCTTGTCGGCTTGTCTGTGCTATGGCTTACAGGAATTACAGGACAAAGAACAGGGCGGATAAAAAAGGATCAACCACAGTAGTGTGGTTGGTGTTTCGGCCCGCCATGCGCATGTTCTTATTCCTTATTCCGTGTACCTGTGCATCCCCATGCTCTCTCGTCCGTCCAGTCGCACAGGGGAAGGGCTCTGGCGCTCTGGCGCGCTCCCCAACCTCTGCCGACCCCCTGTGTAGCCGCTGAAAATGGCCTAGGTAAACAGCCGCGAGAGCTCAACACCGCGAACGGGCCATTGACGAAACGCCACGCCGGTGTTCCCTTGCTCCCTAGGCTACGCTGGCGGGTCCTGTGATTCCTGGAGGCCGACGTTTTTGTACGTTCTGTCGGATAAGCCAGAGCAAAACGGTCGTGCGCGAAACGCCGCATGGGATCTCGAGAGAGCGTGAGGGTGAAAGCGTGAGCGTGAGCTCTGGACACAAGACGTACGACGTAGACGACTTGTACACCGGCCCACACGCCTCCCCCTTGCCCTGGCCCGTAGTTCTTGTGGCAGTGCGCGCACATACGCGCGCGGCTACGGTGCCGAGAAATACTGTCCCCCATGTTCGTGCACGAGCCCATGGTTTGTACCAAGTGTAACCCGTACTGCCGATCGTCGCTCGGGTTACGTGTACGAGCTACGAACACTGCTAGAGAAACCGATACCTGCAGGTTTGCAAGTCTACAGACCCTCAGGTTCTTAATGAAGTGACGGTGGAGACGTAGTCTTCTCCGTGACACCCGAGTGCTCCACGTTCTCGGTGTACATATGTGTACGCCGCCCGGCCGAGACTCGGCCTTCAACCTCCGGCGCTGGTAAGCAGCCCAGCCTCCAGCGACGACTGCGGACATACGGCATGCAGAAAGACACTTGACAATAGAGAACAGAGAGGCAATGGAATGGGGTGGGCACGTCGCGGCCATGGGCAGCGGAGTTGCCAGTGGCCACATCGGCTACCTCGAGGCCACATCGAGGCCACGTCGGGACCACGTCGAGACTAGAAGGGAGAACATCAGGTTCTGCGCGGTCAAAGAAGGAGAAGGAGCCAGCTGCGTAAACAAGGAGCCCAGGCGCAGTGGATTAATCTATTCGAGGACTAGGCGCCGCCGACGATGGTAACCAGGAGAGAGAGAGAGAGCGCCAGGAGTGTCAGGAGGCGTAAAGACGATACGCCCGTACGCCACGCTCAATGTGAGTTCAAGTCGACGCGCGGCGCGTCCTGGATTCACATTTCAGCACGACCACACGACCACAAGACCACATGCCTTGCGTATCACGCACTGGGCGATCCGCGCAGCGTGGATCAGGAAACGAGAACGCGTAGCTCTTAGTAGTGGACCGACGCTGCGCTGCCACTTTCCTGGGCAGTAGTACAGCAACTACTAGCTCACCCATGTCTCAAAGGCTTGGCATTGCTTAGCTTAGAACAAGCTCCACGCCCCCATCCTTACTCGGGTCAGGCGGCGGCGGCTGGGGGGGTGGGGGGGGGGGGGGGGGGAAGGGGATTGCGGTTAGTACCGGGTCAGTCGCACCTCGTGGTGACAACGGACCAGATGCGAGAGCCAGGCCCCGCCACACTTGTCCAACTTTCTTTTTGTTCACGGCCTCCTGGAACGGATCTTGCGCGCGTACGCGCTTACGCGTGTGCGGCGACCACCACCACCGACGACAGCGCGTACAGCGCGTACAGGGCGCCACGAGACCCCCGGGGTTCTTCCTTTTTGTCCTTTTTAGCAATACCCTTAGGCCTTCTTGGGCAATGCATAGGCGCCCGGCGTGACAATTATGCCCATCAACCGAACGCCAACGCCGCTCCGGGTATGATCTCCGGCGAGCTATCCGTGGCGGCTGGGTCCGCCGTCAGTCGCTGTTAATACCTGTTATACCTGTTAAATGGCCTGCTCCCTGCCCGCTGTGCCCCTGCCCCTATACCCCTGCCCCCACCGCCGCCGCCGCCGCCGCGGCCTGCGAGCAAGCTCTGTGATGTGCGTGCAGGACAGGATCAGCCATATGGGTCGTTTCTCTCGCTCTCTCCTGATCCATCTTGCCCACAGCACTGGCTGCGCAGTGTGGCGTCGCACGCAGAGGGGGAAGGGATGGCAAAAGGTTGAAGGGATCCAGGACGGCCAGGACGAATGTGGCGGTCTAGGTTGGGCGGCGTAGGTCGCGGCGGCGCCAGGAGAAACGACTCGTGTCGTTTCGTTTAATTGGTTTCATGAGGTGAAGTGAGGTATGGCAGAGTGCAAGGAGGAGTATGGCATGTGGCCAGGTGGCAAACAGAGTACCCGGGCTGCGCGCGATCTGATAATGCCAGTCTTGCCGATGTGGGGATGAACTGCAACGCGTCGGCATCCCAGGTCCCGAGGAGTAATGTTCGCGAAGCGGATAGCCGTCAGTGGACGCACGGACAACCGGTATACGTCAAGACATCACGGTCGTATCGATAAGTGGGAATAATCTGCATTGCATAGGTCTGATCCATACCTCTACACACTGACACTGCTCTACCCCTCCCCGTGTTACTCACGCTGGGCTGGAGGGGCATCCTGCGTGTCGCTACCTTGGTGCACTACCTTTTTGTTCTCTCCACGCTGCTTTTTTAGAGGGTTGAGATGCTACGTGGGGGGGGCGAATTTAAAGGTTGGCCGCAACGTTGGTCACGGGCCACTGGTAAGTGCCAGCGTCGTCGCGCTTGTAGCCGTAGCGCTCCGAGAAGGCCGCCGAGTCGGCAGGGCCGCGCGCACCGTACGGGTAGGGCTCGGGCTTGGGCTTGTCGTTGTCGATCCAGTGGAGGATCGGGGTGAAGATCTTCCAGGCAACGTCGAGCTCGTCGTCACGAACAAAGTTGGAAGCGTCGCCCTTGAAGGCGTCGAGGATGAGGGCCTCGTACGCCTGGGGGATCTCGACGTCCGAGAAGCGGTTCTTGTAGGTCATGTCGAGCTCGGTGGGGACGGCCTTGGTGACGAGACCGGGAAGCTTGTTGTTGAGCTTCATGTAGACGGCCTCGTCGGGCTGGATGCGGAGGACAAGCTCGTCACGAGCAATGTCGGTGAAGATACCCGAGGTGACATCCTTGAACTGCACACGGATCTCGACCTTGCCCTCGTTGACGGCTATTTGTGTCTTGTCAGCTGTCTGAAATGGGGATCATGGCTCGGTGAATTGCTAAAACTTACCCTTGCCGGCCTTCATGATGAAAGGCACGCCCTCCCAGCGGGGGTTGTTGATGAAGAGGGTGAGAGCAGCGAAGGTGGGGCAGTTCGAGCCCTTGGGCACAGTGTCGTCGTCGAGGTAGCCGGGGTGGCCGTTGGCGGCAACGTACTGGCCAAGAAGGACGTCCTCCTTCTTAATGGGGGGAATGCAGCGGAGAACCTTGACCTTCTCGTCACGGATGTCCTCGGCAGCGAACGAGACGGGACGCTCCATGCAGAGAACCGACAGGGTCTGGAGAAGGTCTCACAAAAGTCAGCATTTGCGGGGCCATGATATGAGGTGCGGACAGGCCCTTATCTCATCTTAACTCACGGTTCTGGCAGACGTCGCGGATGATTCCAAACTCGTCAAAGTAACCGCCACGGCCCTCAGTGCCAAAGGGCTCCTTGAAGGTGATCTGAACGTTCGAGACCGAGTTCTTGTTCAGAGTCTGGTCGAGAACGACGTTGCCGAAACGGAGAACGAGGAGGTTCTTGACCATCTCCTTGCCGAGGTAGTGGTCGATACGGTAGGTCTCGTTCTCGGCCCACTCGGCCTTGAGGGCCGACATCATCTCACGGCACGACTCGAGGTCCTTGCCGAACGGCTTCTCGACAATGATGCGGTTACCGCCCTCGGTCGAGTAGTTGTTCTTACGGAGACCGGCGGCCACAACCGTGAAGACGGAAGGGGGGAGGGCCATGTAGAACAAGCGGTTGCGCCTGGTGCCACCGGGGCGCTTGGTCTCAATCTCGACCAAGCGCTTCTCGAGGGCCTGGTAGCCAGAGTCCTCGTCGTAAGGGCCGTGGACATACGAGAGGATGCTCTGGAACTTCTCAATCTCCTTCTTAAACTCGTCCTCGCTGAAGCCCTTGGGAGCCTTGATGTACTGAATAGCACGCTGCTTAAACTCCTCGTCGGTCATCTTGGTACGAGCATAGCCGACAATGTGGATGTCATCCGGGAGGTGGCCCTGGCGGTAGAGAGTGAAGAGGGCGGGGAGGGTCTTCTTCTTGGCGAGGTCACCGCTAGCACCGAGAACGGTCATGACAGTCTCGCCAACAAAGGCCTCACCCAGGGCCTCCATCGAGGGGATAGATCCACGCTTGGAACGCGACATGGTAGCTGTATCTTGGGCTGTCAGCTGGCCGTGACGCGGATGGGCGAAGAACATGGCCGAGGGTGGGCCGTCAAGTCCGCTCAAGAGCGGGGGTTGGGGAAGGTGGTGGTGTTGGGTGGAGACAAGCGAGTGGAGGTTGAAAATGTGATGGGGGAGAACAGAACTCACCTGATATCAGGGAAGGCGTGTGGGGTGTTGAGCGGTGGTTGGACGGTGTGGGTCGTGGTGGTGGTGGTCGCGGTGAGAGAGGGTATGCACAGTGGATGTTATGCACAGAGGAGGAGCGAGTGGATGGTAGTGAAGAGGAAGGGAGGGATGGGCCAAGTGGGGGATGTGTGCGCCGTGTGGGTGCGATGACGGTATGGGGGGGAGAGGGCCGGTTGCGGACGGGTGGGAAGTTGCACAAAGCGGGCAGCCGGATTAACGGGGCGGGGGGGGGGAATGGACAGTTGAATGAGGGCGGGTCGGCCGACGACGTCAGCTATAACAGAACTAGATATTCGGAGCGCTCGACAGGGTCGTTGCGATGGCGTGCGGCAATGGCTCTCGGGGCTCCTGGCACCGCGATGCTGGACCACTTACAAAGCAGAGACGGGGATGACTAAATGGGAACAGACGTGGAGAGATTGACGACGACGACAACGACGACGACGGCTATCAACGCGTGTGGAATATGGGCGGAGGCTTTTGTGGGAGGATGGATGTGTGTGTCGACAAGACAAGGTAGCGTCTGCCAACGGTCGAATGTTCGAGTGGAACCAGAAGAGTGGTAATTAATGTGTCGTTTGGTGCACGCACACACACAGAGAGACAGCCGCCCGCGTGGGCTCTCTGGTTGCCCTTGCTGGCATGCTTGGTGCTGGCCTCTCTGGGTTGTCGTGGTGCACAGGCGGCGGCTGTTCTGTGGGGCAAGACAGACCCGCACAGAGCGGACATGACACCCCCGACCCGCTTGTCGGCAGTCTGCGTCGCCAGCCAACCAGTGCTCGCAACCCATCGTCAACAGCCGCCGGTCACCAGCACCGGCGCGTGTCCGGCGACGCGGGCCGAGCGGGCCAGCTACTGGGTATGTGTACATATGGCCCAGAACACCCACAGCCATGCACAGCCAGCGTACCGGGAGGCCAGGAGGCCAGGAGACTGCCGAGGTCGGGCCCTCTCGACACGAGAACCCCCCCACCTTGGCACCACCGGTCCGTCTGGTCCGTCGCGCCCCCCGAGGATGTTCCATTCGGATCTCAACCCGGCGCACGCAATCAGTGCGATACAATGACGTGTAGTTTATGGTACATGCAAGAACCTCCCGAGGTGCCACGTGTCTCAAGTCACGTGATACAATCAGGTTTTGTGGTTTGAATCCGCCTGAATGACGCGGCGGATATCAGGTTCTCATGTCCGTCTCATCTCCGAGAGAGGTTGCGTCGCAATATTTGCCTCCGCGCTTCATTTCGATCCATTATTGTGGATTTTCCTTTTTTGTTTTTATTCCTAGACGCCTAGATCTCCACGACTCACCCTCTCACTCGTAGCATTCCGCAATATCCGCGTGGACCCCTTCGGCCCCTTCCCTCTCGGCCCTCTTGAGGCGGCTTGAAACGCCGTACTCTCCTGGCCAGGCATTGCGGTGGTTTTTTTTTTATTACCTGGCTCTTTCCACGTTTTTGCCTGAATCGACCCACTCGTTCAAACAAGGTAAGGTTTGCCCGCCAGAACCCCAGTAGCCCTGGGGCAGTGGCCGTGGCGTTCAGGTGTCGGACCGGTCGACGCATGCCGTCTGAAGCGCCCTTGAGCGCCAGCATCGGCATCCAGCTCAACTGGTCGTTGACACGCCCTGCACGCATGCGCGCTGGCACTCTCTGCTCGTGCAACGTGGGACACACCGTCCTTGTCAGAAGAAACCTTTTCCTCCCCGGGAACATGTGTTCCATCCGGCACGACGAGTCTCCTGCCCCATCTTGTGGTAACAGATATGCCTGTTTGCTTGAAAAGGCCCGAGGCGACAGGCCCCGAACATGTTCTGTTCCCTTTACTCTACGCTGCTGTGCTCTCATGGCGCCTTGTCCGAAAGACCGGAGATGCACAAAGGCCGAGCGTGTCGGAGGTGCGTCGGGTAGGCTAGGTGTTACCGGGTCACTGCTCCGGGAGACCCAAGACGCTTCCGGTGCCGAAACGACGACCTTTTACACACCTTGTGGGTTGCCTGTGGCATGGACTGACATGAGGTGAGTGGCCATGGGTGGCCACACACCGGCAAAAGTTGGCCCTCGGATCCTCGGATGAGCCGTTCTGGCACGAGGTGTGTTATATCCTGAGACAGCTGCCTTTCGAGGCACACTTCTGATACCGCGGAGCTAACTTGTGTGGCCACAACGCCGCGCCCTGCCGCCGACGTCGCCTGAAGAGCAAGTACCGGTCACCTCGGACCAACGTTAGCGTCCCAGCGGCCAGCGATCCCAGCGACTGAAGGCCGCCCAAAAAATAAAGAAAAAAACGGCCGCACCCAGACAATGTGTGGTCAAGGCCGCCGGTCGGCCCACAGGCCACACACCTGCCTGGCTCGCTGCCTGTTGGCGGCATGGCGGCGACGCGGCACCCTTAGACCCTCACGGCAGTGGTGCCGACCTTTCCGACTGGAAGACCCAAGGGACCCGATGCACAGCGCCATGGGTCCGTGAGGGCTCTGCTGGAACGCCTCATGGTCGTCACGGTGGCGCACAAAGTGCTCGCCTGGCCACTGCGCATGCGTGCGCCAGAGTTCTGCCAGTACCACCACTGACACTTTACCTGGCAAGAAACCTGGCGTACGGCCAAAGGAGGAGCCCCCGGCGTGTGCTGTTGTGTAACTGTGCTGACCCCAACGCCAGTTTCACCGCATGCCCCGCCCCTTGTTGCCCTCATGCCCTCTCGTCCCCTTGCCCTCGCATGCATTCTTGCCCTCACCAACACGGCCTCGCCGCCGCGAGCACTCTGGCCAGAGACCGATACAACGCCCACCCAAAGACCAACTTGGTCAATCTCTTGCCTTTCTGTCTCTGCCTTCATCGCTCACCACACTCATTTCGCCGTCTTCACGCAACACCCCCTCCCTCACCTACGGGCCTTCAACTCGATCCTCTTTACTGCCTCTGGTCGATCTGCGCGAGGATATATCGGACCGATGGCATCCTGGTCCTTTGAGTGCCCGGTCGAATTTCACCTCTCGTCCAGTCGGGCAGTGGGACCATCCTTCCCGACCCCTCGAACAAAGTCCCGCCCCCGTGTTCCGTCTTCGAATGTACGTTGTTCTGATGCCATTCGAGCAGGTCGTTCCTGTCCTCACAATGCTCCCCGCAATTACGCAAAGAGTGCATGTGCTGACTTTTCGGTAGACCTATGGCAAGGTCATCCCAGCTGCGCAGCAGCTCGCTTCCCCCATGTCCTCGCCGCCAGCTTCGCCGGTCTTTCCGCCGCCGCTGACATCGGACATGGGCGAAAGCAGCCGCTCTCCACGCCCGCGCGAGATCCACCCTCTGCAAATGTCCTCCTTGTCTTTGGCATCGCCCGAGCAGGCTCTGAGACGTGCGTACAGAACGCATGCAGGAGACGTCGGGCAATAAACCACCACCTCCTGCATTGCATACATACATGCAGTGTGCCACTTGTAATGTACTGACCCCGCGTGCCCAGATTCTCGGTCACATGGAAGGCTTACCCAGCACTGGAGGACCCCGACCAGCTCACCCGGCGCCGAACGCAACCTGCCCAACCGCTGGTTGCAGGGCCGCGTCCACATTGCTTTGCATGGCTCTGGCGGCTGTGACGGCGGTGAGCTGACCATCTACCGTCAAGGTGTTGTGAGTGTCCGAGGCCCAATCGTCACATTGGCTAATGTCAGCGCCGACCATTGTTCGTGTACCCCATCGCCCCCCTTGACGATGACAATGGATGGGCCATCTCGGATATTCAGCACCTGCACGCGTCGGTCGCTGCACGGGCTCACGCGGTTGCGCTGCGCGTGGTCGCGCCCAGATCGTCGCCGCCGCCCCCACCAGAGGAAGCCCAGTCGCCATCGACTCAGGCCGCACCCATGCGCATCGCCATCCCCCGCGAGCTGTCCGAGTCGTCGGCCACCACTGCCACAACGGACGTGTCGTCCAACCTCGCCACGTCGCCTCCCATGACGTTTTTGAACTCGCCCTCGTCCATGTTTAACAGTGGCGGCGGTAAGAAGCGTAACCCCAACGAGAGTCGTTTCAGCTTTGGAAGCTTCCTCCCAAACAGGTCGCGGAGCAAGACTGTCTCGTCGCCCAAGCAGAGCCCCGACCTCAGCGGCTCCGAGTGGACGTCGTCGTCGTCGGCGTCCCACCATGGCCACGGCCACCAGTACACCAGCCCCAGCCTGCACGGCCCGCAGGACGACTCGGACATTGAGACCATTGCGTACCTCTCGTTCATGTCTGCGCACGACCGCGACGAGTGGTTTGGCATCCTGCGCGCACTGGCAAAGGTACCGCTGGAAGAAGGACGCGAGGCCCGAACGCACCGTCGTCTCAAGGTCAGCGTCCTGGACCTTAACGAGATCCACCCGGCGCACAACAGCAGCACCACACTGCACCCGGCTGCACGTAGGTTGGACGCCGACGACTTGGAGGACATGGCGTCTGGTGGCAGCATCAGCTCGGAGGGGCACTATTCGCGCGCCAACAGCTCAAAGTACACGCCAAGGATAACGCGCACGGACGACGACAGCCACACTAAGCGCGGTAGCGTCAAGTCTGGCTGGTCGTGGCGTGAAACCATCCGCGCCGAACTGTAAGTAGCTGTTTCTTCATGTGGCACACGACAGAAGGAAAGAGAAGGAAGAAAACTGACCCGCCGCCACTAGTATTATCGATGGCACCCTCTTTGCGCGTACCGGATGGGTCAAGGCTGCCGCCCACGGCAGCACACCCTTCTGGGGTGAAACTTTCAGCTTTATGGAGCTGCCCCCCTTCAACACATGCTGTAAGTCACGAGTTTCGGGCGACATGAGGCTCGAGAATGCGCCCCATCTGACAGCCTACCTCAGACATCCATCTTTTAAAGCACAGGGGCGAGAACAAGCTGCCGGTCGTGTTTGCTGTTGTCGACCTGTCGCTCGTCTCGTCGTTCAGGACGCCCGACGACGAGCGATACCCTATCCGAGCAATTGGCGGTGGCCTTATTGGTGAACTCCGCCTCACGGTCCAGTACCAGGAAGTGGACGTCATCAACCAGACCGAGTACGACCAGCTTGTGAGTTTTGTTTTTGCTTTGTTTGATATTTTTTTTTCGGATGTCCACTGACACCATTCTCAGCAGGTGTCTCACTCTTACGAAGGCTCAAAGTTCCTCTACGTGATGAGCGGACGCGGAGTCATGGAGGGTACCATCGAGTACCTCGTCCGCATTGGGCTGTGCGAGGGTGTCCTCATGTCGCGTACCATCGACACTTGCACCCACGAAGCCACTTCCGGTAAGTCTGGAGTGTCCTATCACATGAACTGTTTTTTTGCTAACATTATTCAGCCGGCAGTACACTGTTCCGCAGCACGACGCCCATCTCCAAGACCCTCGAGGTCATCATGCGTCTCATGTGTGGCGAGTTCTTGCAGGCGGCCATCGGCCCCACAATCAGACGCGTGCTCCGCGAGAAGGTCGAGCCCAACTTGTTCTTTACGTATGCGGACGCACTTGACCCGCCCGTCAACTACCGCGCCGTCAACCAGATGCGCGAGATTGTCAGCGAGTGCTGGCACAACATGTACAACAGCCGCCACTTGTTCCCTGAGTGAGTTGTCACCACTGGGTCCGTGTGCTAACTCCCACCCAGCTTTGTGCGCCACATTCTGAAGCACCTCTTCTCCAAGGTCAAGGAACACCACACCGATGAGGGCAACGATCTCTTGCGATACAAGGCCGTGTCGTCGTTCGTCTTTGTGAGTTGCACCATAGGCACACGACGCCGAAAAAAATTTACTAACTCGTGTTCCAGCTCCGTCTGATCGGTCCTGCGTTGATGAGCCCCCACTTGTTTAACCTGACCGATAGTGAGGGTCCGGGCAAGCTGCGTAGCTCACCTTCGGGCCTCCTGTCTGGGCCTACTCAGCGTACTTTGACGCTTATTGCCAAAGTCTTGCACACGCTGGCCTTCTTCTCGGACAAGGAGTTGTTGCGCCATCCCGATATTGTTCTCTTTAGGAACTTTATCGTGGATAACACCGACGCCATGATGGACTTTATCATTTCGCTGGCTGTAAGTTTTACACCACCATGACTGTGCGAGGGCTGACTCTTCTTCTTCAGTCCCCCGTCAAGCCCCACTCGAACACGCCCCTCACCCTTACGCCTGTCGACCGCTTCCTCGCGGAACGCAAGCTGCGTGTGCCAGAATTCCAGGCCCAGGCGGTTCCCTACATGACCGAGGCGGGACCCATCGACCTCAGTGCCGACTGGGCCATCTGTCTCGAGACATGGTATGAGAAGCGCCAGCACCCGGGTGTCAAGCTGCATGTCGCCAAGACCTCCACCACGGACATCCAGCACCTCATTGCCAGGTACGACGGCCACCTCGACCGGATCCACGGCCTCGCGTACCCCGCCGAATCCGGGTCCTTGTCCACCAACACCTGTACCGAGTCTGCTGCTCCCCTCACACCGAGTGCTTCGCGTCCTTCGCTCAACTACTCCGTGTCGACGAAGAGCTCGGAAGAGTCGCACTCCGTTGCCAGCCAGCAGCCCCGTCGGTTCGGTTTCCCCGCTACACGCGAATACAAGTCGACGTCGCCGCACGACATCCTCGTGTCCCCCAACGAGTCGTACAGCGAGTCGGTCCCCGAGGTCCCCGAGACGGACGAGAGCACGACCGAGTCGCCCGACATGAACGGCAACTGCCCCGAGACGCCGGCCGAGTCGCCCGACATGAGTCTTATCTCCACCCCGCCGTCGGGCACGCTCAAGCTGCCCCGTCCCGGTGTGGACAGGCGCCACAGCACGCCCACGCCCACCACCACGGCCGGTATCGTCGAGTCGGTGATCGACCCGGACCGCATGAACATTCCGCTCATGAACTACACTATGAACAACGCGAGCGCCAGTGCGCTCGACTCGCCCTACAGCCAAGGAGGACAGCAAGGACAGGACCTGTCGCCCAACTACCAGCGCTCGATCCGGCGCAAGCGCCGGCCCACGCTGCCCAACTTGCTCTTGAACAGGCAGCCTACGGACCCCCAGGCCCCGCCAGTGCCCCCCCTGCCTTGGGCCGAGGTTAGGCGCGAGTAAGAGCCTTTGCCATTTTTTTTTTCTTGTTTCTTGGAGATTCGTTTTATTATACCCCACCCTGCTCCTCGACCACTATACCCATATACACACACTACCCGACACGACGACCACCCCGGGCTCACGACTATAAACCCGCTTTTGCCTAATACCATACCACACCTATTACTACCCTACTACATGGGACAGATACAGATACAGTACATACACACACTTGCGGGGATCCCATCCCACTGCCCCCGCATCAATCCTTTTATTTAAAGAGATGCAAAAAATACTTTTTTAAAAAGACAGACACTGGTGCAGAGCTCTTAATGTTCCCCACACAACCATTGCCCCCGCACAGCCCGCACAACCTGCCTGCCTTTGCCACATAACCGTACAGTAGGAACAGTCTCGCTCGCCCCGTGCCACCGGCTCGTTTTGCTCTGAAATCTAAATCTATCTCTCCTGTGCATGCCCGTGTTATACATACAAGTTGCTATATAAAATGAATGCCCACCAACACACGCGTTGTGTGTGTTTATGCCATTGCCCTGTTGACGTTGCTGTATCCGACACCGACGCACGAGACAAACACCTCGCCGGTTCCCGGTGCGCGGACCGAGTCGGGCGCGGCGCTGTCCTCGTCGCCCTCGGCCGCCTTGTCGTTGTGGCGGGGTGCCGGGGTGACCTTGAATTTGACACCGAAAAAGGCCATGAGGTCGCGCAGGAACTGGACAGTGTGCGCCGTGAGGTCGCCCATGAGACACTTGCCGACATCCTCTTTGCCCAGGACCATGAGGAGGAGGACGAGCCACTGGTGCTTGGCGTCGACGCAGCCGCCGTGGCAGACCTCCTCGAGCAGGAGGCGGGCCGCGTGCGTGGCAATGTCCTCGGGGGTCTGGGCGACGCCATTGTCCACGCCCGGAACGGTGCTCAGGCTCTCTGCCGAGTGGAGCACGTCGGTCGTCGACTGCGCCACGAGGGTGATGCCGTAGCCGGGCGACTTGCCCGAGTCCTCGCCCTTGTACACGTCCGTGTAGAGGTAAATGTCGGGAATGTAGCGGTTCAGCACGCCACGGGCGGCCTCGACCATGCGGTTGGCGAACTGGGGCGAGACACGGGTCGAGTATGCAATGCCGCGGATCTTGCGCACGCGGCCGCGGTCCACATAGTTGAGCGTCTTGAGCGACCGCACGATCGGGCACTTGAACACGACCGTGCCGCCGCCGCCGGGCGCCGAGCCGCGCTTCTTGATCTGCAGCTCGAGCCCGTCGCTCACGCCAAACAGGTGCAGGTGCGGCAAGGTGACGGTACGCACGGCGTCGGCGCTCAGGTCACGGCCCTCCTCACCGGTAATGCCGTTGAGGGTGACTGTCAAGGGCTTTTTGCAAAACGGCGCGAGCGGGACAATGACCTCGAGGTAGTAGCCGACTGACCGGCCCAGGTGGCAGTTGTGCGTCACGTTGCCGCCGGGCAGCAATCCCGGGTGGAAGATGAACGAGGTACCTGTCTGTCAGAACATGGTAAAAAGCCACAGAGGATTGAGATGAAAGAGGCTCTGTTGCCAGCCAACAACAAGACAAATACACACCAGTGAGGTTGATGTCAATGGTACTGCCGTTGGTAATCTTCTCGACGAGACGGAGCAAGTTGATCTCATACTCGCGCAGACCGACGTGGACGTCGTCAGAACGAATACCGTCGACGCGGATGGAGCGACCCGAGAGGATGGCGAGGACCAGACGCTGGCGGAGGTGCTTGTGGGTGCTAAACCGCAAGATGTCGCCCTTTGTCCTCGATGGACCAGCGGGAGCGGGCATGGTGTCAAGGCAAGCGGGGATCGGGGGAGCGGGGAGCGAGGGAGGGGAGCTGTGGCTAGCGGCGTGCTCGAGCGTAAGGTGTGTAAAGAGTGCGCGCGTGTGTGCTGTCTCGAGTGCGGACGCGGCCCGGGTGTGTTGTTGGATGAGGTTGATGCTCTGCTCGCTGTTGGAAGTCCTGCTCTGGTTGCCAGTGAGAGCGACAGAGCTGAAAGCAGGTCTGGTCCGAAATTAAGCTTCCGCTAGTCACGTGATATACTCGGTGCACCCCACGCGATGGGCACGTGGAAGCGTCGGGCGGGGTTGAGACCGGCTGTGACGTCAGAGTGCGATCCGCGCTAATCCGGGACCCGGCGTGCACTCGGCCTCCGGTCTCGCCGTACGGGGGGGTGTTGCCTCGTTTGCGTTTGCGTAGCGTGGGGCTTTTTTGACTGAATGGTCAATGTCTTTTCCGCTCTCGGCGCGTGGGTCACCGGCCACCGGCCCAGCGGGCATATCGGACTGGCGGGCCTCTGGGTGGCAGAGAGATAAAGGGGGGCCTCTGATGACCGCCGGGGGCCGGGGCTCAATGTTCGATCGTCATTTTCAATATTCCTTCGCTAGGAGATCTAGAGAGCTTGGAGCCGCCGCCCGTGTGAGAGAGAGAGCCCCCGTAAGCGTCGTCGCATTCGGCTGCCTGACACAACCACCCACACAGACACACACCAGTTCGTCAGCATCTCCACGTCCTCACAAACATCCTCACACCGGGACAGAACAAGTTCAGAGATCAGAGACGCATCCCCCAGCGTCACCACTGCCGTGTTCTGTGGCCCCCCTCTCCCCCACACACTTTATACAAAAGTCGCCGGGCGGGCCCTGCCATTTTATTCAATCATTTTACCCTGCCCCCCACTACGTCTACCACCCTCTCTTGTCACCCACACCACATAAACATCTCGGCGCCCGTGTCTGTACCCAGCTGTCAAACATCCTTCGTCCCGAACACCTAAGTCATGGGATCTGCAGAGGACACGTCGCCTGCTAGTTTGCCACTGCAGACAGGCTCAAACATGGCGCCCGATAACGCACCCCCCTCGGGGCCCTCCGCTTCCGACCTCGCTCCATCAGCACAGTCACCATCACCTGCTGTCACTACCAGAGCGTCCACCGCGGGCAACGAAACTGTCCCAGCAACTGCCTCTTCGTCGTCTTGTCGCCTCCCATCACTTGCTTCCCTGTCTGCTGTATCGCGTCGCCCACCATCCCTCAAAGACCTGAAGGCGGCCCTTCCAAACCTCATGCTCAAGCCTCGTACAGCAACTACCAACAGCACAGATACCGATCCCGAACCTGCAGACTTGTTTTCCGCAGACGAGCCACAGGTCCAGGTTCGTGGTCCCCAACCTTCCTGCCAGCTCTTCAACATGTTCAAGGCCCTCGCGGCTGGCGCTGGCACGCTGGGAGGGACTGCGCTCGACAACCTGGACGAGCTCGACACCGACTCTGACGACGACGAGACCGCCCCCGCGCCCCGGTCCGTCACACCCCGCGCTGACCAAGCGCGAGCGACCGACAAGGATGATAACATATCCGTCTCCGAGGTCTCGTCCGCTCCCACTCCCCACGGGACCCACACTCCTGAGGACTACAGCGTTCAAGACGCTGCGCTCGCGGAGGGTGGAGGCAACGGAGAGGACACCGATGCCGTCAAGCGTTGGCTTCAAGACACGATTGACCGCAACGAGCAGATCGGCAACCGTTTTGCTGCCGCGTCCATGTCCAACTTTTCGCCATTCGGAGAGCTGGAGATGCTTGAGAACTCTCAGCCACTGCCCGGTGCCCGTCGCCGCAAGTCGAGTATCCACCACCTCCTGACAAACTTGCCCGTGACCGAGGAGCCCGAGAATGCCGACAGCAGCTCATCCGATGATGAGTGGTACCTTGCCGATGAACACCGTCCCGTGTCCGATGACACGTCCGGTACCTCCTCCATTGCCCCCGTTGACGAGAGGCCTGCCCTCGAGCGTCTCCGCAGTGTAACCGCCGACGCCGACCTCAAACGCTTCCGCCATGACGACATTCCAGAGGACCAGAAGCTCTCCGTCATTGTCAACGAGTTTGGTGACATGGCCTCCAAGATGATAAACCGAGACGGTACCGAAGCTACCCCGGAGCGCATCCTGGCCGAGTCTCAGGGCTCCTTCTTCAAGGGTGTGATGATGATCGGCAACCTGCACCTCACCAACTACCGCCTCACCTTCCATGCCCTTTTGCCACCTGACGATGCGTTCACTGCTCCTCGAGTTATGCCCGACCAGACCGAGGCGCAGGCGGAGGCGCGTAGCGCTCGCCCGGACATTATCCAGTCTGGTCCGGTCACCTTGCACCGCCGCAGCGGTCCCGTGAAGAGCAGGAAGCGCGTGTGGATGGAGCTCTCGCCTGACATGCTCACGACCTACCCGTCAGCCGACGAGGCTGGCCGTGTCAGACCCCTGTTCTCAATCTTACGTGAGTGTTCCTTATGGTGCTTGGTGGCGTATCGGCACGCGTCACTAGATCACTAGGCGTCGTGTGTGTGTGTGTGTGTGCCTGTGTGTGTTGTGTAACAGTCCATTTGCTAACGAATTCCGCAGTCTCGACGGCACTTCGCTTGGCTCCATACGATGTCACCCACCCTCGCGACTTCTACCTCACGTACGATACCATCGAAGGCGAGCGTACCACGCACTTTAGCATCGACAATGAACAGAGTGCCATGGTCTGGCGCCGCCAGTTCGAAGGTGCCCTCTTCCGCTACGCACGCGACCGCTTCCGCGCGGCCCACCAGCGCGATAACGTCAAGGCAGGCTTTGAAGACGCACCCACGATAGGCAGTTCAGAATGGACCTTGCTCCGCTGCTGCGTTCCCCTCGACACTGCTACCCTCAAGGGTGTTGGAGATTACCATTCGTTTGCCACTCTTATCAACCTCGACGTGTCCCTCGACCACACCACTCATGTCACTTGGCACCCGGAGGAACTGGCCGACAGCAGCTTTACCGCCTACGGCAAATACAGCGACGCGGGACGCATGCTCGAGGACAAGAGCGGCAAGGAGCGTTCGCCAAGCGGCAGCAGCACCCCTCGCCGCAGCCTGTCTCTTCGTCAGGCCCTACCTTCCTTCAGGCGCCGTGAGCGTGAATCTTCACCCCGTCGATCGCCACTTGTACCCCACTCTGGTCCGCCTTCCATCAACACTGACGGAGCAGACAGCGCCTCAATGGAGAGGTCGTCGTCGGAAGACCTACCGTCCCCCCAGCGTTCGACCACGTGGGTGGACAGCTCCCTCCCTCCCCGCCTCTCGGGGCTCATCGGGCACAAGCGCAACACATCCGTTCCTGGCACCCCAGAGGAGAGGAGCCTCAACGGCGTGGACGTGGCCAACTCTTTCGAGTTCCTCGTCGCAGTCCTCAACGAGCAGGCTTGGTTTGCCACTGCTCTCGAAGGAGCGATGGTTGAAGCCCATAAGAGAGTTTACAAACCCGACGAGACCCACGTCAAGATGACCCTCGACGTTGGCGGTTATGACTGTCTTGTCATGGATGATGATGGGGAAGGCCAACCCGGTGACGACTCCAGTTCCTCGGAACCCGAGCACGTCTATGACGATGACGACGAGTCGAGCCTCAACAAACCCCGTGCCGTCTCGGAGACGCGCAAGGCCGAAAAGGCCCACCAGGCCGCCCGTGTCTTTGGCCTTCGCGAGGACGAAGGTATCTGGCTCAAGCGGTGCTACGTCTCCCACGGCCTCGTCCCTGCCCGTGGACACCTTATTGTCAACCCCCGCTTCATTTGCTTCTGGCGCCGCGCCACAGTGGGCTCGGATGTCAAGTACCGCTGGAACACCCAAGACGTCAAGCGTGCCGAAAAGGCTCCTCCCATCCGTATCGGTTGGCACGGCATGGTGCTCAAGATCCACGGCCACCATGACCAACGCTTCGAGTTTTGGCTGGCCAAGGGCCGCGACGAGACCATTGAGCGTATCAACGAGCTGCTTGTCCGCGTCGATGGCCGTGCCGATGGCGCGCCCACTGTCAGGCAGGGCACGGCAGACAGCCTCGCCACTGCTGCTACCACGTCGACGGTGGCGACCACAGACAGTACGGCCATTGCCGGTGACAGTGCCAGCATGTCTGAGACCACTGGATCGAGCACTCCGCCCTCGAGTGTGTCCGTGACTAGCGCGGAGCAGACGTGGAAAACCGCCAAGAATCTGGCCAACCCGACCATCACAGTCAACCCCGCGGTTCTCAAGGCCGGCACTGGAAGCGCACTCAAGCAGGCCGCCGAAGTGCTTGCCCCACCCGCTGACATGCTTGTGTACCCCAAGGCCCTCAGTGAGGACGCTATTGCGTACATGCCATTTGTCGCCAACCGGCCGTGGACCTCGCACTCTTTCAATATCCGCTTAACATCGCGTCGCTTCGCGATGCTCACTATTGGAAGCCGTGGAGACGTCCAGCCTTACATTGCACTCTCGCTGCGTCTCATGGAGGATGGCCACAAGTGTGTCATCATCACCCACGGAGAGTTCAAGGAGTGGATCGAGGGCTATGGTATCGAGCACCGCGAAGCCGGTGGTGACCCCACCGCGCTCATGAAGCTCAGTACCGAGCACCGCATGTTCTCACCGGCCTTCTTCAAGGACGCGCTGGGGACGTTCCGCCAGTGGCTCGACGACCTTCTGCTCGAGGCGTGGAAGGCGTCGCAGGACGCAGACGTCCTCATCGAGTCCCCCTCGGCCATGGCAGGCATCCACATTGCCGAAGCGCTCAAGATCCCCTACTTCCGCGCCTTCACCATGCCCTGGACCCGCACCGCGGCGTACCCGCAGGCCTTTATGGTGCCCGCATTCGACATGGGCCCCTCGTTCAACTACTCGACCTATGTGCTCTTTGACAACATCATGTGGCGCGCAAGTGCTGGCCAGATCAACCGCTGGCGCAAAAAGTACCTCGGCCTCGGAGCCACCGACCAGACCAGTCTGTCCGTCTCCAAGGTTCCCTTCCTGTACAACTTTTCGCCCGCGGTCGTCCCCAAGCCCCTCGACTGGTACGACGACATCACCATCACCGGATACTGGAACCTCGAGAACAGTGACATGGAGTGGACGCCGCCCGACTCGCTCGTCGCGTTCATGGAGCAAGCCAAGTTGGACGGCAAGCCGCTCGTGTACATTGGTTTCGGATCCATCGTTGTGCCCGACCCCAAGGCCATGACCAAGAGCATCATTAAAGGTGTTCAGAAGGGTAAGTGTAGCTGGGAGTTCTGTTGGTGAATTCAAGCTAACTCTTCAGCCGACGTCCGCGCCATCATTGCCAAGGGCTGGAGTGCACGCGACTCCAAGCCTGGAGAGGAAGACGTAGAGCTCCCTCCCGGAACATGCTACGGCGTCGACAAGGTGCCCCACGGCTGGCTCTTCCCCAAGATCAACGCGGCGCTCCACCACGGCGGCGCCGGAACGACGGGCGCGAGCCTGCGCGCTGGCCTCCCCACGCTCATCAAGCCATGGTTTGGCGACCAGAACTTCTGGGCCATCCGCGTCACAAAGCTCGAAGTGGGCATGAAGGTCGCCAGCCTGCGCAGCGACGACATTGCCGACGCGCTGCGCAAGGCCACCCAGTCGACCGTCATGATCGAGAAGGCGGCGCGTATCGGCGAGCGCATCCGCTCCGAGACGGGCGTCAACGCCGCCGTCAGTGCCATCCACGCCAACCTCATCCGCGCGGCGCAGAACCGCCAGGCGCTCAAGCGCGAGGACGCGCACCGCAGGCGTAGAGTCAGCCAGGAGGACGAGCAGGATTCAGAGGACGCCGCGGCGACGCCCAAGAAGGCCGACAGGGCCGTGACGCAGGGCAGTAGTACCTCTTCGTTCAGCTTGCCGCCCTTGCCCAAGGTGACTCTCCCGACGCTCGGATGTAAGTGAGCGGACGTGGGGGAAGAGGGAACGCTGTGAGACGAAGAAGGATCAGGAAGAGGCTGTGTCGATAGATGATTGTACAGTACATCTACAGCTACCGCAAAGTAATACACTAGATCCGGGGTGGACCTTGGATTGGATTGTAGACATGTCACCACTTGTGTTTAGCTGTGTTCGCTGCGACTGCTACAAATGGTGCAACGGGTGGTGCTGGTGGGAACGTTGCTCAAAAGATCTAATCTGGGGAAACACGCCGCAAGTGGCGCGGTTGATGCATACCCTACTCTTCTCCAACGGAGCACGGATGTACAGTGCATACGTACCGCCTCACGTCCGGGCTACACACGCTCTCCTCAGGAACAGATGGACGCGATCAAGGTCCCGACCATCGCGGCGAGGCTCGTCACGTCGAGAGCGCACGCGCCTGTCGTCTTCACGTTCACGGGGAGCGTCACGCTCACGCTTCTTGTCGTCGCGTTCGTCGGTCGATGCGGGGCGGTCACGAGTCGAGGATGCTGGAGCGTCGCTGGCACGCGGCGCAGGCTCGCGACGGTCTCCGCGTCTGTCACGGTCGTCGACCGGGCGTTCACGTTCTATCAAGAGACGTTGGCGGGTCAAAGTCGATCCGACCCGTCCACGGACCTCGGCTTCCACAAACACATGAGGCAGTGTCTTTTATCTAACAATATATCCAACCCACAAACGCAGCCGACCGTTCTCCTCCTGTGCGACCCGCTTCCTTCATTCCTATAACCACTCGTCATCAATCTGATATAGCTACGGCCATCGTCCCTCTCTGATCTCCACTGTTCGTTACTTCATCAGAAGCCATAATAGTGCGTGAAGCGAAAGTTGCGCCAATACCGCCTCCACCTAGCTGGCGTATCCAAGAACCGCCTGAACTTGCCCTGCTTGCGTGTCCGCGGCGGCTCCCACTGCAGCGGCGCATTGACAATGTCTTCTCTGTACGCGCGGAACAGGGGCAGACGGCCGTCCCCGAGCGCCAGCGCTCCTGTGGCGCATATCCCAATGATGACGGGATCCTCACCGTCGCAGTCGGGCGGGAAATCGACACGTCCCGCGGGCGGGTACCGCTCCCACAGTTGGCCGCGGCCCAGGTGGCCGCGCGTGTTGTGGCCCCAGGTGTATACCTCCCCGTGGGTGGAGAGCGCGACAAAGTGGTCGTTGTCAAAGGCAAAGTCGGCAATGGCAACGTCGGGGCGCGCAGTCAGCCAGGCGGCATGTTCGGGGATGGGGCTGAAGCCCGCGAAGATGAAGTGGCCGACTAGGGGCCAGCCGCCGCGTCGCTGGACGGCAAAGTACTCGTAACGCGCCTGGACTTTGGTGTTGAGCGGCGACGAGAAACTGGGCAGCTACGTGTGTCAGCTATGGTACTGTCGGTGGACTGGGCCAGCTCACGAAATGCCACACTCTGTCCCTCTCCTGGTGTTCCTGGAGAAACTCGACTCTTCGACACCATACCTCGCCATTGGCTCGGAGGACCAGGACAAAGTTGGCTCCCAGCGCCACGTCCACAATCTTCTGGCGTCCAAGAATGCGCAGGATCGTCTCTTCGTCGCTGTCGTCGGTGACCGTTTCCTCGACCTGGCCGGCCTTGTCCAGCACCTGTGCCCACCACTCCTCCCACTCGTTCCGTGACTGGCCGGTGTTGTGCTCGTGGGACATCCAGAGGGACCACTTGGCTCTTGGAATGAGACCTGGAAGCACAGACGTCCGTTCTGGACTGTCGGTCCGCCACAGAATCAGCTCTCCAGCCTTGGTAAGGACCACCGCGTGCATATCCCCGATGGCCACCTTCTCCACCGTCGACGTAGAGGGGATCAAGACCGGCACGCGCGGTTCCCACCAGGTGTCTTGAATGCCACTGCCGGGATGGACAGGCAAGAGGGGCTTGCAGGTAGTCAGCGACCGGGTCAACTGCGCGCCAGATGTGTACTGACCGAACTAAACCGCTGCCACACATTCCCGTCCGTGTCCAAGACGATGATACTGAAAACCCCGAGGCTCACAGATCGAACGGCGGGGAACTCGATACGCCTTGGAAGACGCGAGCTGGCGATACCCCAGAATCGAATTGTGCCGTCCGCGTTGTGGGTGATGCATCGGTTGTTGTATGACTGGATGCTCTGTATGTTTTCGGGCCTCACGAACCGATCGGTGATTCTTGCGGGGCGAAGGAGTGCAGCCTCGTTCCCGAATGCGCGAAACTCGGTGTTTCGCGGGATGGGGAAACGGGTGTCGTAGTCGCCCCAGGTGTATACCTGGGGATACAGGAGGCCAAGGTAGATGTGGCGGTAGGTGAGCGGGGTGGTACGGCGAGCTGGCTGGGGCCTGCGGAGGGTGTCGCCGTCCGTGTCTTCCTGCATCGCACCCTTGCTCTTGTCCGCAGTCGACTGGCTTGCCATGTCCACGCTATCGAGTCCGCGCGAGACGCTGGTACTCGTTCCCATACCCCAGCCGCGTAACAACTCTGCCGCATGGGGCATGTCCACGAGCAAACGTGCGCGCCAGAACGGCTCGTCCAACTGTTGTATCAGCTCAATTCACCACGTCTGTTTTGAGCTCACCGCCACATGGTGGAAGTACGTGCACGTCCAGCCAAACAGGACAACCTCGTCAGGCGTGAGGAAGTAGAACAAGCTGTGTGTGAAAACCTCCAGAGGAAAGTCGGTGATGTTGCGTGGAACGTAGACCGGAGGCCGGGGGGCATGGTATCGGTTTCGAAGGCTGTGCGTAAACGTAGCGAGATGGACAGCTGGGACCTTTATGTGGAGGTTTGGCATCGACGAGCGCCTTAGGAAGGTGAGGGCCCTGCCCATGGGCTGCTTTGGCATCTTGGTCGGCAGCGGGCTGGGACTCAGCTTGGCCGCAGGTGGTGGCGAGGCCCGAGGAGTGTGGTATTCGGACGAACCGGCGTGGGAGGTCGTTTCTGCTGGTGACGAGGGGTGCGGTATCGTCCCTGGAGTCACTTCGACCAGCGAAGGGGGTGGTGGTGTGACCATAACACTCACGGATCCTGAAGGCGACATTGCGAGGCGAGAGACTGTGCAGATGAAAGTGCTTGTCGCCATAAGCACCATCACCGTTACAGTGCAAAAGAGTGGCCATAGTTCACAATTCCACCACAAGCGTCATCGAGCACACAATCCGCGGTACCAGGGGCACGAGTGATGGCCGCGCTTCCTTGAGGTGACTTTGAGCTTCCTTTTGCCTCCTGTTTCCGATGCGTGATGTGATGTGGTGTGTGCTGTCTGTGCGTGAGAATGAGAAGTGGACTTCTTTCCGTTCCTCTTGTCCTCGTCAACAATGGCTTCTGGCGGTATGTTTGGAGCACCTGGTGTATCAGCTGACCGGCTGTTGAGGAAGTAAATCAAAGCACATCGATTATGAATCTATTGTAATCCCACGAATATATGAATTAGAAAATGACCTCCTTCGATTACAAAGTGTACAAAAACTCCAAAGTGGCCGAAGACGCACTCCCCCAGAGAAACACAATACTTTTCGCCCGGTGGTCTGTGTGGAGGTCTTTTGTGTTTTTTCGTCAAGCCCGGTCGAAAAACTCACCCGCCTGAGAAACACAACACACTTTTCGCCCGGTGGTCTCTGTGGATCTGTGGAGGTCTGTTGTGTTTTGCACACGGAAGACGGCGGACGGATCGAAGTGGAGAACGCATTACTCTGCGAAACCTGCCTTTGGAACTGTGGTAGTGTGTTTCTGGGGCAAGCGGCCAATCGTCCGTCAATGGTAGCCGACACAGATGGATGCACTCGGGCTGGATTTGCACTGCCAGCGTTGAGTAATGAGTTGGGCAGAGCCTCATGACAACTGCGTAGCTTTCACCAGTCACGTCCTGTCTGCACCTCCCGCCTGTCCATACGCCAGCGATCCTGTGAGGGCAGCTCATCTCATCTCGCTCACAGCGTCCACTCAGCCTGCTGCAGCACGACTCTATACCCATCTCGATCCGCATATGTCCGCCCCTTGTCGTCCCAATAAGGGTTGAAAGACGACACGCGCACAAAGCCATGTTCTTCGGCGCGCTGACACGTCTCGGCCCATTCCTTCTCGTCCGGATAGTAGAATACAGTCAAGTCCTCGTCCGTAGGTGCTGGTGTGACGACGTGCGTGCGGCAGATGGTGAATTCAAAGTGATATGGGGACCCGGGATGGCCGAGCATGACGCCGTCAAAGCCGGCGTGGTCCTTGAACGAGCATTGCTCCGTCAGGGCGAATGCGCCGCACCACATGGCCGACGAGAGGGCCGGGTCCCTCACTGGCCGGGCGATACGTAGCTTGGGCGGCATGGGGAAGGGAAGACTGGATATGATGAGGAGATGTGTAGACTATACATGCGTTGCTGTTATTGTTCACGTTCACGACTCGAAGCTCCCCATTGCCAGGGCCCCTGGCGCCAGCACGTGATGCGGCCGAAGTGGGCCAAGTGGCGGTGACGACGCTTCGCGAAGAGGTAGCTCTTAAGCTCTCTCGATCTCTCGCCTAGAGCCACCTCTCCACCGCACTGGGGACAAGCTGTGCCAGGCCGTAGCGGCCACGCGTTGAGAACGTGAGAACATTTTGGCACCCGGAAGCGATTTTGTGGCGGGGGGGCCAGATGCTGTGCTCAAGGACTTTATGCATCTCTTCAGCCTCAGGATCGCCAGAAGCGTCGTCTATATCGGGATCACCTGTCCAGACCATAACATCGGCGTTCAACGACGCGCACATGTCCAGTCTCGGCAACCCAAGATCTTATCCAGAAAAATGCATTAACTTAAACGTCCAGCTATAAGATGTCCATTATATTTACGTGGACATGTGAAATAAAGAAGTCTTCTCTGTGTCGTTTCCTCTTGGGTCATGTTGCCCTACGCCTCGATATCGTCGGTGAGCTCGACGCCGCGCTTGACGCGGAAGAGCGCGTAGCCCTTGATGCCGAGGACGACGACGATCCAGCAGAAGACAAAGCACGTAAGTGCAATAGTGAGGTTGAGGAAGGCCATCATGTCGTCAAAGCCCGAGCGCATGGCCGCAAAGGCCACCTCCTCGTCCGAGAGCATAAAGACGATACCGCCGGCAGCCCAGCCAAACGAAGTAAGAACCTCGGTGGGCGGGCGCGACGGCATTGTCGACTCGACGGGCGGGCGGAGCCACAGGAAGGTGTAGGTGAGGAAACGGAATGTACTACCACCGGCGAGAAGGAGGCCCCACAGCGAGTGGATCTCGACCTGGAACTTGTAGTCCTGGTGGTGGGCGGCCATGGCAAGACCTGTGATGCCGATGACGAGGGCCGGGAGGGGGTTGAAGCTGAACGAGTACGAGACGGGCTGGCGAACGCGGCTGTCCCGGCGGCCAGTGTACAGAACGGCCGAGAGGGCGCGGCGCACACGCTTCGACTCGAGGAGCATGCCGGACAGGCCGGCAAACCAGAACATGACCGCAATGGAAATGTGCTGCACCTGCTTGACGGTGTATGGGTCGCCGTGCTTGGAGCCAAACCTCTCCATCCAGGTGTTGGAGATGCCGTACAAAAAGATGACGGCACACTCGACCATCTCAGCAGAGATGGCGTCCGAGTCCGACGGCTTGAGGTTCCAAGCCCATCCCAGGTCGGCGTAGGCGCCGAGGTAGCGAGCGAAAGTAAGGACACCGTAGCCAAAGAAGATGGACCCCTTGATAGTGTGCGCGGCACATGTGTTGATAAAGCCAGCCCGGCACATGCCGACATAGATGGGGATACCGGTGCAGACAGCCACATAGGCGACAACGACCTGCGTCCGGCGCACCCAGGTGAGGATGATCTGGCCCAGTCGCGCCACCGAGATGCGCTCGTTAAGCTTCTGAGGGGCGGCCTCGGGAACGGAGATCCAGCGTGGCGCCTCGTTGTCACAGTGGTCGTCGAACGCGCCCGCCTGTGAACGCTTGCCCTTGCGGTCGGCACCCATCTCGAGCTCAAAGCCATGGGCCGAGGAGCCCGACGAGGTGGGTGTGTCCCGGAGGGTACCGTCCGAGCCGGTGGAGTGGCGAGACGCCGAGTGGCGGTGCGAGTGCGGCGACACGCGGCCAGAGCTGGTGGGCGAGTCGTCCTCGTCGTCCTCGTCATCGCCGAGCGCAAAGACGGAACGGCGGTTGTGCTCCTCCTCGAGGCCGACCATTTCGTAGCGGCTAGCCTCGATAAACTTGTCCTCGCGAGTGGCGTGGAGCGCATCGGTGAAAAACACGCGCCAGTCGCGGTTTCCAGAACGGTGGTACGTGACGGCGGAAGCGATCACGCCCAACGAGTCGAGGGCTGCAAGGGCGATGGAGGTGAGGACGAGGATGTTGCCAATGACGCCGTGCTTGGCACCTTCGTACCTGCAAGCTAGTCAGCGCTGATTATGGACGTCGCAAGTATGGGCTGCGTATGCGGAATGTGCGTGCCACTGTGTGGTGTGCCTGCGCAGCAACGCGCTTTGCTCTTTGCTGAGGCCACATGCAGCGAGCGAGCGCATGCAGCCTTCTAGCACCCGAGCTAGCGTGTCACACTCTGTGAATGTGCGTGGCGCGCGGCCGCCGCTGCGCGCTGCCGAGCAATATGCGCTCGGAGTGATGGAACGGCCGTGGCACCCGAGACGGTGGTGGTGGACGGCGCCACTCCGCCACGATCTGCGGACGAGTGGTGCCGAGCGAGCATCCCGCACCCCCCCAAGGCACAATCTGCTTCTGGTATACCCGTTCGGCAACTTCCGCACTTTTGTGCCACGGACAATGCCGCGCGAGCATACGCAATCATCACAACACGCACACACCCAACAAGCCAACAAGCCCGCCTTCCTGAAGGAGGGAGGGGGCATGTGCCCTCACGCCCTCGGTCTTCGGCACACAACGACACGGAACATCGACCTCGTGTTCCTCCTGGCTACTCATGCTACTCACATGTCTGGCATCGCTGCCTTGTAGGCGACACCCGCGAGCCAGCCGACAATGGCCACAGCGAGGAACACGCCATTGGCGAGATAGTGACTGGGGTGGCCAGCAGCACGAAGGGCGAGGGCTGGCTGCGTCAGCATTGTTGTACATCGATGATGTGATCGGATCCGAAGTGCCGGAGTCAAGTTGTGGACGCGGGGGGTAGAGGTAGGTCGCGGCATGTGCTCCAACTCTGGCGGTATGACAGCTCCAGACGTGCAGACACGCACAGATCGCACACAGGCGCTACCAGACACAGGTGGGGCATACCGGCTGCTGCGCAAGCAACAACTCATCCCGACCTTTCTCGTTGCCACTTACAGACTGGAAGAGCTCCAAAGTACGCCAGGACCATGGACAAGACGTGCAGGAGCATCAGGCGTGGGTGTGAAGCAACGGTTTCTGCGTCCCAGCCCTTGGTGAGGTCCTCTCCAAAGATTGCCGAGTCGTTGGTGAGGCGGAAGTCGGCGTCCAGGTAGGTTGGGGGGAACGTGTGCCAGCGGTGAACATCGGCGTCGTCGAGGTACTCCTTGATTGGAGCATGCGAGTTGTGGTGATGGGCGTCATGGCCATGTGGTGGTGCGGGAATCGACGAAGACGAGGCATGTGCGATTGCAGAAGAGGCAGCAGAGGAATACGACTCGAAAACGGTGGCAGTGGCGGCCACTTCGTGCTCATCGCCGTGAGCCATGTCCATCATCTCGTCCTCGTCGTCGCCGTGGCGGCCCGCGAGCTGGGCCGCTGCTGGCAGTGCCAGCAACGGAAGGAGGTAGGCAGCACGCATGGGAGTTGCTTGCCCAAAGGTGGGGGAGGGGCGCTGTGGTTGTTGTTGTTATTGGTGCGGGGTGTGCCGCGGGGGATGAGGGTGTGGAAGCGTGGCTGGAGTAGGGAAAGCACCAGTTGAGGCTGATAAGAGAAGAGAGAAAGGCGAAGAGACGAGTCAGATCAATCCTTATGCTGATTTGGACGCCCTCTACTCTGACTCTCCTTCTGACGTCTACTTGCAGGCGCCCACGTCTCCTCTTACTCATATGACACGGGCGGCGAAAGATGGGTTTCTTGGCCCGATTGCCGCCACTGACCGCGGACGCCCTCCACCCAAATTCTCCCCTTCGTCTTCCGTCCTCCACAACATGTCCCCCCCGCCAGTCCTCGCTCCCTCTGTCCCTTTGCAATCCCTGCACGTCAACCAGCCCCTGACTCACCTTGGGTGAGCAACCTCGGCCGCCGAACGCGGCCCGTGGGAACCAACGGCCGCACTCAAGAGGGGGCCTCTGTGCCATGTCGGTCGGTGTCTCTCGCCAGGAGGCTTCCCCCCCTCCCGCTCCGCTGGCCGGTTGCCTGCCTGCCAGAGTAGAACACACACTTGGTTCCGAGACTGCTTGACAAGGTGAAGGGGCCAGCCCAAGGTCCGGAACCCAAGGCGACACAGTTAGTGGTACAGTAGTGGACATGTGGAGGGGGGGGTGACGTCGCCACTGATGGAACGCGTCGCCACTCGGCGCATCCTTCTTCGTTCTTCTCCGACGACACAAAGTACACAAAGGTCACCTGCCACCTGCCAAGATCCGTCCGCCCCGCAGTGCCCACAATGACCTCGCGATCCTACCTTTACAGACATCGATGCCACTGGGCCCCCCTCCAAGCGCTCATCGAGACCAGCCCGCTGGCCGCTGGTCGCTGGGCAGTGTGCGAAACAGGTCGCATTGGATTTGCAGCTCAGAATCCGAAATTTCAAAACTTCCGTCTCTGCCCGATCCACCCTACCATCAACTGACGTCACAATTGGCAGATTAGCGCGTGGCTCACGCCCGTACGCCGGCATCGTCGCTTCCTCGCTACACTCGGCCGCAGAGTGCGGCGAGGGTCGCGGACTGATTAGCAAAGCCAGACTACGTAGGTGGTGACAGAGGCCACGGATCGAGGCTGCTCGGGCGCGGCACACGGCGCACGGCAGCAGAGCCTGGACATCTGGCACGGAGGTTCTTAAGACCGGCCAGACCCCGTGCTGCTGCCGCGGTCGCCGCTGGCGCTGCTGGCGCTGCAGGTGCGGCGCGAGAAGCAAAAGTAGAGGACGAGGGGACGTGCGCGGGGCGGGGCATGTGGCCAACACGCAGAAGCGCAGAGGTACGGAGGAGGCGGAAGCCACAGCACCATCGGAAGTCCGCGTCTCCAGCGGCAAACGCTTGTTCAGACATGGCACTCATTTGCGAACCACAGGGGAGAGGGGGCGAGTGGAGGAGCGTGCGGTGACCGAGACAGTGGAGACGATCGGTCAGCATGCGGTATCCGCTCAGTCCCCCAGAAGCCAGAAGGCAGCAATCTCGCAGGCTGCAAGGGGCCAGAGGGTCCGTCGGTCGTGTGCTGTTGTTATGCGTGGGCGACTAGTGGTCAGTAGGTGAAAAGAAATGACTCAAGACAATCGCGCAAAGGTAGGCGCCTATCCCCTCCCTGCTATACATCCCTCACGTCCACCCCTGTACCCGTCCGACCTGACATCGCATGAGCAGTGATGCATGTTTTTCATTCTTTGATTTGCGTTTTGCGTATGAGTTGTGACTGTGTACTAGGGGGCACTGTCGTCCCAAAGATATTTTAAACTTTTGTTCTCTAAGTTGCTTTTTGATCGGCTATCCGCGAAGGAAATATTAAGGGCGGCTCCGCTAATCGCGCCGCGTTTATGCGAGGTGTGTTGGATGGATTTCCGATGGTCCAGAAAGCCGGGCGTCCTGTCCACCCCCAAGATGCATGCTGCGGATGGAGGGCTTGGGTGGTGGTACGGAGACGGTTATTGTGCATCCCTGCCGACGCCGCTGGGTGACGTTGACATCGGCGAGAACCGCACCAAGCAGCACCCCGTTTATGGGACCTCGCCGGCGTCCTCGATGACTTCGCGGGTGACCTCGTCGTCGTTCAACGGCTGCTGGGGCTGGTTGGGGTCGGGGCGCGCTGTGATGACCAGCGCATCGTCCTTGAGATTGATCTCTACAATCTCGCCGTCCTTGACGGTACCCTCGAGCATGCGGAGGGCGAGCGGGTTGGCCACCTGGTCGCGGATCACGCGCTGGACAGCACGCGCACCGTACCTGTCGCTCCAGCCCTTCTTGGCCAGCCACTCGCGGGCCGGCTCGCTGACGTCGAGCGTGATACGGCGGCCCGACAGGCGGCCCTGCACCTCCTTTAGGCGAAGGTTGACAATGTCCGTGATGATGTGTGGCGGGAGCTTGTTGAACACGACCAACTCGTCGAGACGGTTGATAAGCTCGGGCTTGAAGAAGCGGCCGACGTCCTTGAGGACGGCCGCACGGGCACTTTCGCTGACGGTTCCGTCCTCATTGTTCGCTCCGGGCTCATACAGCGCCTCAGAGCCGAGGTTGGACGTAAGCGCCACAATGGTGTTCTTGAAGTTGACCTGGCGACCCTGGCCGTCGGTGAGGACACCCTCGTCGAGGATCTGGAGAAGAATGTTGGCCACATCAGGGTGGGCCTTTTCAATCTCGTCAAACACCACGACCGAGTATGGGCGGCGGCGAACAGCCTCGGTGAGCTGTCCTCCCTCCTCGTAACCGACAAAGCCAGGGGTGGCGCCAATGAGACGCGACACCGTGTGCTTGTCGTGGAACTCGGACATGTTGAGCTGGATGAGGGCACGCTTCTCGTCGGCAAACAGGAACTCGGCGACAGCCTTGGTGAGCTCCGACTTGCCGACACCGGTGGGACCGAGGAAGAGGAAGGACGCCAGAGGGCGCGACGGCGACTGGAGGCCTGCACGCGAGAGGCGGATGGCGTTGGCGACGCGACGGATGACGTCGTCCTGGCCGACAACACGGTTCCTGAGTGAGTCCTCCATGTGGATGAGACGCTCGCGCTCGCCCTTGAGCAGCGACGACACGGGGATACCCGTGGCCTTGCCGACAACGACAGCAATGTCCTCGGACGTGACCTTGTCGCGAACAACAAGGTCGGGATGCTCCGCGGCCTCGGCGTCAAGCTCCGCCTCGGCCTTGGGGAGGCGTTTCTGCAGGGCCGGGATGGTCGAGTAGCGGAGGCGAGAGGCCTTTTCAAAGTCACCTTGGCGCTGGGCATTCTCGAGATCAATGCCGGCGCTTTCGAGCTGCATCTTAATGTCCTTGATCTCGTCGACGCGGCTACGCTCCCGCTTCCACGTCTCAGTCATGCGCTTTTGCTCGTCCTTTTTGTCGATAAGCTCAACGTCCACCTTGTCGCGGCGGCCGACCGAGAAGGCGTCGGTCTCCTTCTTGAGCGACTCGCGTTCGATTTCAAGAGTCATGATCTCGCGGTCAAGGGCCTCGAGGGCGGGAGGACGGCTCTCCTGCGCAAGCTTGAGGGACGAGCAGGCCTCGTCGACGAGGTCGATGGCCTTGTCGGGAAGGTACCGGTCCGAGATGTAACGGTTCGAGTAGACGGCCGCAGTCACGAGGGCAGAGTCGGCAATCTGCACACCAAAGTGGGCCTCAAAGCGAGACTTGAGGCCGCGGAGGATGGAGACGGTGGCGTCGACGCTGGGCTCGTTGACAATGACCGGCTGGAAACGGCGCTGGAGTGCCGGGTCCTTTTCGATGGTCTTACGGTACTCGTCAAGCGTCGAGGCACCCACCAGCTGGAGACCGCGGGCGAGTGCGGGCTTGATCATGTTTCCAGCATCGAGCGACCCTTCAGCCTTGCCCAGGTTCAAGAGGGTGTGGATTTCGTCAATGAAACAGATAATTTCGTCGGCCTGCTCGTCAATGTCCTTGAGAAGAGCCTTGAAGCGGCTCTCAAACTCTCCGCGGACACCAGTGCCCGCCATGAGCATGCCCAGGTCGATTTGAAGGAGCTTCTTCCCTTCCAACGATTCGGGAACCTCATTGTTTACAATACGCTGTGCCAGTCCTTCGAGAATGGCCGTTTTGCCGACACCAGCGTTACCGAGGATGACGGGGTTGTTTTTCGTTCGCCTGCCGAGAATCTAGTCACGTTAGCAAAAGTGCTCAAACTCTGTTCTTCTGTTTCGGGGCACACTCACTTGAATCATTCGCCTAATCTCGTCGTCGCGGCCAATGACAGGGTCGAGCTTGCCTTCCTTCGCCATCTCCGTGAGGTCGATTGAGAACTGCTTCAGAGTATCGCCTTTCTGCGGTCCTTGCTGTTGAGGCTGCTGAGGGAAGCCACGGTGGGGGAAGCCTCCTGGAGGGAATCCACCACCTCCTCCTGGCGGGCCCTGTGCATAGAAACGAACGGCTCCAAGAGTAGCGGGAGCGACGGTGGTGCGTGGTGGACGGATGAGCCGGGAGGTAGAGGGTGATGAGAGGTAGCGAGATGCGCTAGCTGCGGCGCGCGCCGAATGTATAACGCGCAGCGATGTTCCAATGTGTCTGCTTGCGAGGGACATGGTGAAGTGGATGGTCGAGAGGTGGGGCCGTCTCCCGTCGACCAGCAAGAGGGTTATAGATGTGAGAACGGATTCAAGGTACGTTATGGTAGTCGACACCCGAACATGCTAGATGCACCGCGGCTGCAAGGTGGAGGAGACAAAATCACGTGATGGGGCCCCGGATTATGACAGCATTTGCACGTGGGCTATAGCCGTTGGTAGGCCGGGGTGGGGCCCGGCAGAGTACGACCCAATCAGCCATGCATTGCTGGTGCTGTCGACGCGTCTCCACCAAAGTGCAGTGCATGGCCATAGCAGAGTAGACGGTAGCACAGACGCGATGTTGTGAGATGAAACAGTCGGCACGACACGCACGAAACCTGTCGCTGATGGCCGATGGATGAGGACAATGGCCCACCAGCGTCCGCGGTACTGGTCAGGACAATGGGGGGGATCGCCGCTGACGTCAAGGAACAATGTTTTTTTTCTTTGTTTTGTTTTTGTTCGTTCCACTTTGTCACCGCGTCCGCAAATCTCTCCTTGTCGGCAACCCCCACCCATCCTCACCTGTCTGCCGTCCCCCCCTTGTCGCGTCCCCAGAGGTACACACCCCCGAGCAGCAGGCTACGACTCCAGAACACCGAGCGCTGGTCAAAAAAGCGATCGATCTGGGTGATGGGAACGCCATTATTGGGGCACCGCGGCCTGGCCCGACCAGAGTGACACACTTACGCCGACGGGCCATCTTAACAATAGGCAAACGGCACAACAAGACATGGCATCTTCTGGAGCGCAGGACTTTCTCCCTGCAGTGCAACCGTGCCCGGGGCATGTTCTTTACATATCATAACGCTCGTGAACAATCTTTCGGCAACTTCTTCTTTTCTCACCCTCATTGGGCTTCTGGCCGCAGTAACATCCTGACGACCACCACCCACACACGACCTAGACCTCCTCATCGGTACGCCATCTCCTACACCCCAACGACACATGACTTCTCTCCTCAAACGCAAGCGTTCCGACTGTGACTATATCGATGCCAGCGCATACCCGCACATTATCGACTCCATCTTTTCCTTTGCGACTCCCTCGGTCCTCATTTCCCTCCGAACGGCATCTCGCTCGTTCCAATACCTGGCCGACACACTTCTTTTCCAGCATGTCGTCCTAGACCTCGTCCCGGCCACAAATCCGACCTCGCATCGCAGTCATGGACACTCGGTCCCGCTTGCCGAGCTCGTCCCGCCGTTTGCTCATTTGGTCCTGCTCACGCCATGTGGACACCGCCTACCCGGTGGTGACTGGGGAGACCGGTGTGTCGCACCTGCTGAGCGGGCCCGTTGGGCTCGGCTACTTGCCCACACGTGGATTGTTGATTACCGCACCGCGCCGGAACTCGCCGTTGTGGAAACGTACCCGCAGCTGGCTTCCGCACTCGCCAACGTCGACATTGTCCGCCGAAAAGTCTACACATCCCGCGTCGTCTACGCTCCGACAGTAGTAGAGTACGCCGATTTCACTCGTGATAACCCGTCTTTCCCGACTCCACGCGTCCATTTCGCCAGCCTACCGCACGGGCTCGCACGTTGGGTCCTCAATGTTCGGGTCGACCCGGCTAATCCGCCCGTCGAGGGCCGTATCACCATGCAAGGACCAAAGAACTCTGCCGGCGTGCCATATGGTACTGACGTCGTCGCCATCTTCAGCCAGACGCCCACATCACCTGCAGAAGTCCGACCATTGGCACCAGGTGCGCCAGCATGGGGGGTCCTTGCTCCCATCCTCGATTTGATGGTGCACCAGGCCCCGGTTGCGACACGGGGATACACGATTGTCGGCGTGACCCAGCTGCCACGCGCACTCCTTGGTATGCGTGCAGACATGACCGACGCAGAACTCGAAGACGAGGTCATTGAGTACATCCTTGCCCGGGACGACATTGACCTCTTCGAGGACGAGCGTCTGGCCATTCGGGACCTCGTTCGCTTCCTCACTCGCGAAGAGTATGCCAAGCTCTACGGCCCCGACTGGGATGTCATCTCCGAGTGGCCAGAGGACGACCTCAAGGCCAACACACTGGTCCATGCCTTCGTCCCAGAGGTACTTCAGGCAGAGGATCAGAGTCTGCGGTAGGTGTGGTGACACACCGACATTTTCCCTACCAAGGGTCCAACACATAGACAATGCAGGGCAAGATGCATATAGATGCGTGGTTCAGGCTTGGAAGGCCATGACTGGGGCTCGGTCGACTGAGGGGCTTTGAGTGGTTATCGGTGGCCCTCGATACGACACTGCGTCAGGCTCTCAACCAAGCATAGCTTCAGAGCGTACGGAAGGGATGGAGCAATCCGCTCAAGTCCTCCGTCCGTAGTCCCCCCAAACATGGCTAGCACATCCAGATGGAAAGTTAGCAGGCTTATCCGCCAATTCGTCAATTATCAGTCCCAGACCGCCAAGTAAGTCCTCGCACATGCCATGCATTACCATTTTTAGTTTTAGGCCTTCTTCTCCTTCTCCTCCAGAGGGAGCTCGAGCTCGCCGTCCTCGCTGAACCGCGTCGTGGGCGTGTTCTTGCCCATGTGCTTGGTATGCGAGCCAAACGCAACCATCTTCTTGTGAGAGTTGTAAAAGTTGACGCGCGTGTACGCAAGAGTACGACCAAGCTGCACCACCTCGCCCACGCCGTGCAGGTCATCGCCGACCTTTCCGGCCGGGCGCACAAACTCGCACGAAATGTTGACGGAGGCGCCAGTCGGGGGGACGATGCCCTTCGACTGCAGCGCCAGCGAAGTCACCGTGTCAGTCAGCTGTGGGTTGTCAGTTCCTCCGGTGACAACGCTACTCAGCGAGGGCGATTCTCAGGTGCTGTATACTCACCGAGAGGAGGACACCACCGTGGACAGTCTGGGATTAGCAAGAACCTTATCGTAGGCTTACGTTGTGGTTGTTGATGTGCTCCGTCCCAATCTTCAGCGTCGTGTGCACGTAGCCAGGACGAGCTTCGTTGACGACAAGCTAAACGGGTCAGTGCTTCCTCTCAGGACCTAGTTCAAGAAACCACCTACGCGCTTCAAGACGTTGCCGTCGTGGCCTGTGGGTCAGCGACTGCACTTCACATGGTGGCTCCCCGAGAGTGTGGCCAACAGATGCCCGCCAAGCTTGGCCGGGACCTTTGTTGTCGATCCCAACACCTCGGAACGCTCCACCCCAAGGACACCAGCTAGGTCGGCAACTAACCGGCTTTCGCAACGGTCTTCGCCCAGGTCTGACAGTCAGCAACGTTCGTAGCGATGGCCTACCTGGCGGACAAAGTTGAGACAGGCCATTGTGTGTGAGAGATGCAGAGACGAACAACAACAGCGGAAACGGCTCGTTGTGCATTGGACGGCCGCGTCTCGGCATCTCAGCTCCGAACGCCGGGAACCTTGGGGCCGTTGCCGAGTATTTGGTTCCGACAAAACGGTCACGTGACTACATATAGTATTGCGCATTGCGTTGCCATCATGCAAAGTGGCACTGGGCACCGGCATGCTCTTCAGCCGTAAGCACTCAAGCAAGAGAGGTTGCACAGTTGCAGGCCGTGCTAATCATTCATTAGGTTTCATTAGGTGGCTGATACCTTTATGGAGATGCTCCTTGGTTCGGTGGAGGCCTGTGAAACTTCAACCTCATCTTGTTATTCAGTTCAGTGAGAGGCGCCTCGCCTCCCACGTTGTATGACCGTTGTTCTTGACACTGGACCTCAGCTTCCTTTGAGTAGTATAAACAAGTACAGATTCACGAACACAAGCCTCGTCGAGGTACATCTTAGTGGTATGCCTCTGACACGTCCACACAAACGCTATCGACCCCTGACCCAACCGACCCGCACCCACCCTCCGCCCGTCGTCAACCGCCTCCTGTCGACGCCGCTCTTTCATGAAGCTAAACGATGCCGTTCAGGAGCGTCTGCAAGCAGCCCCGCCGATCAATCCGTGCAGATCCTTGTTTACGTAACGGCCGCTTAGCTCAGCTGGTTAGAGCATCGTACTAATACCCAGTTTTGGTTACTAGTCCATGCGGAGGTCGGCAGTTCGATCCTGTCAGTGGTCATTTTTGGCCCTCTTGCGCATCCGGAGGCATCTCTTTTGCATGTCAAGTGTTTACTGGAGTGCGGAGAAGAGTTTAGAAGAAGTTTGGAAGAGTTTGGAAGAGTGGAAGAGTTTGGAAGAACAGCGGTGTCGGGACAGAATGTTCTTGCGGATGGTGGCACAGTGGCCCGCCTCACTTGCGCTGTTAAGACTAGACCGATGGTCCGGCTTCTGGTCCGCTGCGCGACACAACGAACGCCCCTCTCTGGCTCTCTGTGATGATGTGATGTCGAGCTCTAGAACATGTCCTGTCAAAAACCACCAGCCGTGCCGAAGAAGCGGGTTGCCAGGGAGATACGCGACTGTACTCAACTCTCCAGCGCTTCCAGAATCCCCAAACTAATGAATTCACCGCAGACTCAAGCCCGTGGCTTGTACCTGTTTGGAACAGTGGGAGCCACGAGGACGAACAGAAGTACAGGAAGCAAGGCGGGTCGTGTCAATTGCCACCCTCTGCATCCGCAGTCGGCGACCAGCAGGCCTTCATCACCGCAAGCTCGCCGCTGGCTCGCCGCAGTCGCCAAGCACCTGTGTCAACCGGCATTTGGCGGTATGATATCTGGGACATTGTGACAGCCAGAAGACCCAAGATTGCAGCACAGCCGTCTATCACACTCAGCTCGCGGGCCGCTGGTACCGACACCCAGTCCCACAGTAGTGTTTGCACAGACCTGGGTATTGGTTCAGCCGGATGCAAACCGCATCTGGCGCCAAGAGTTTTCGACCCGGAAAAATGGATCGATGGCCGGCGGCCGCAGGTGTGCATGTGGGCACACTACATGAGTTCGGTGGGCAAACGTGCTGCTGCGGCGACCAAATGTGTGGGGCTTGTGGGACATTGTTACACCGCACAGGGCTATTGTTAGACCGAGAGCGATAACCTGAACCAAAATTGAAATGAAAGTGGCGGCAATATTCTTGTTGGATGATGTCGTTGCATACGTCTGCTATCCATTGCATACCTACAACTCTGCGCTACTGATAACCATAGCCGTCTACCAAAATCACACCCTCCCATGCTGTGCACTCTTTCTTCTCTCAAGAAGCCCTTTCTCCTGTACCTTGATGCAATCCACAACCGCTATTATCCCCCTCAGAATCAATGCTATCGCAGACAGCTTAGTAGCGCCAGCGGAAAGCAGGGTGCTTCCAGTCGAGGTCCTCGATCTCCTTGGTGGTCATTCCATCGAGAACGGCGTCGACATCAATCTTCTCGCGACGCTTGTTGTCCCACTTCAGGTAGAAGAAGAGGCCGACAGCAGTGAGACCCATGGTGGCCGAGGTGGCGAGGTTGAGACCGTTGCCAATGTGGTAGTTGGGAGCGTCAAAGGGGAGGAACGACCTGAGATGTCAGCAAAATCGTCGCAGAAACACTCCGTGCCCAAGCTAGACCAGGTTTATGTCGAGAAAAAAGGCGCTGGGGCCAAGGTCGAGGTGGGATTGATAGGCAATGTGCCACTCCCAATAACGCCTTCCTTGGCAAGTCCGATTCCTTCATTCTCGACTCAACCCTCTCAGATACTCACCAAGTAGCGATGAGTCCGCCAATGTTGCCTCCCATAACTGTAGTTCCAATAGCAGAGGCACGGGCAGTGTCCGAAACTGTGTTCGCGGCCGACTGTGCGTTACACAGAGCTCCAAACGAGAAAGCGCCGGCTCTGTGGGCCACGTTAGCTTTTGGTGGATGGAACAGACATGTCGAGCGGCTCACCCAATGAGGAAGGTAGCTCCGTAGCGCACCATGGCCTTGTCGGTAGCGAGGAACATGATGTAGCCCGTAGACATGAGCGGGGCCAGAATGAAGAACCACAGAAGCATCTTGCGGATACGCGTGGCGGTGTAGTTGACCGCGAGAACAAGGACGGCACCGACCAGGTAGGGAGGAACAGTCATGAGCTGCTTGTGAACAGTGGTGGACGTCGGGTAAATGGTGGCGATGATAGTTGGCAGGAAGAAGGCAAGACCCTGAACGGTGACATTGTTGAGCATAAACATGAACGAGGTGGTGAGAGTGTTGGGCGAGATGATGCCGCGCAGGACCTTGGTAGTGTCCATCTTGTCGAGAACCACAGTGGTGCCAACATTCTCAGTCTTCACGCGAGCAATCACCATGTCCTTCTCCTCCTCTGTGAGCCAGCGAGCAGTAGCAGGCCTGTCGGTGATGGTGAAGTACGTGATAACGCCGAGTCCCATGGTAATGATACCCTCGACAAAGAAGAGCTGTTGCCAGGAGTGGATCTTGCCGATACCATCGATCTGAAGAATGCCTAAGAAAAGTCAGCGCCAGGATACAGGGAAGCAGGATACAGCGGAAGGAAGGAGCTTTTGGAGGCCTTTTTCCCATTTTTTTTCTTTTGTGTGGGGAGTGTCTGAACTCCGCCTCCTTCCATTCCATCATGAAGCACAAGACAGGAAAAACACCAACCGTATGCCAAGAGACCGCCAAATGCTCCAGCTAGAGGGGCCGTGACGATGAAGAGAGCGAATCGGAAGGCGAATTCCGACTTGCGGTACCAACGGGAGAGGTAGTAGGCGACACCCGGGAGCATTCCAGCCTCAGCCACGCCGAGGAGGAAACGCACGGCGGCGCAGTTCGAGAAGTTGGTCGTGAACGCCGTCAGGAACGAGAAGAGCTGCGAGAGATTAGTTTCTGGGACCCAGTCGAAAGACGTGAGAACTCACGCCGAAAAGGACAGCAATCATGGGGAGGAAACGGCCGGGACCCATGTACTTGCACAGCAAGTTGGCAGGAATCTCCAGGGTGACGTATGAGATGTAAAACACCGTGATGAGGATGTTGTACTGGTATCCCACCAGCCCAAGGGCCTTCTCGAGGCCCGCAATCTTGGCATTGCCGATGTTGGCACGCTGTGAGATGCGTCAGTGGGCGGGGAGAGCGGAGAGGACGGAAATCGACGTACGTCAATGAAACAGAAAAGGTAAAGAAGAGAAACCGAGGGGATGACGTGCCAGTCAATCTTGCGCACAAGCTTGGCCTCTGCCACAGGGTCGAACTGGACGAGTGAGTGACCTGAGGGTGGTTAGCAACGTGGTCACTCGGGTCCGACGGTGTGTGGCGTGCGGCGTGCGGCGGGGGTCACATGCCACACGTGCCACCTGCCATCACCTTAACACCTTGGCACTTTTGCATTTGGCCCACCGCACATGATGTATGCGGTGACCGGGTAGCCCACTCGCACTGTGCTACTACTCACCATGGGTGTCGGTGGCGGCATGACCACGCTCAGCGGCAGCATGGGCGTTCTCGTAGTGAATTTCAGACGCCGAGTCTGGCGCCTTCTCGTTGTGTTCAAAGTGGTGCTTGTCGAGATCGGACATCTTTGCTGATTTACCCGCAAATGTCAAGCGTCGAGCTGTGTAGTTGCCTGTTTGGTGTCTGATATGAAGGACCAACCGCGGGATGTGGAGAGAAGATAGAGGGGACATGCGGTCTTTATATCTAGTCGCATGTGCTGGGTTTGCATACCCGGGGCCGTCGTTTGGCTGTGATGAATGGACGTCGAGCAACACCCTAACCGCGCGGGGACGTGCGGGGAAATGTTACTCCCTCCCCACCGGCAGTCCGGGCCCCATGGGCACAGTGAGCAGGGAGAGAGGGTATGGTGATCTGATCCGGGGTAACCTCTCCCACTCCGGATGAACGAGGACCGAGCGACAGCTCGGTGAGAAGCCGTTGTTGTGTGGTTGGTTAGCACGACGAGGTCGCCGCCCAACGGAATGCGCCATGATTGAACACCGACTGCGCACCCACAAGCGGCCCGGATATGGCTTGGCATGCCGGCATGGAACCAAAAGTAGACCTGTGGCCTGTGGCCTGTGGCCTGTGGCCTGTGGCCTGTGGCAACAAAGGTCTGGAAGTACATAACCGGCCCGGGCATAACTGCCCACATTGGCCCATTGGTATCGTTCCAGGCCTGACAGGGGGACTCACACCTTCCGCTTTTTGCCCCACGGCACAACCGTCGACCACGGACGTACCAAAGCCGAAGCGACGTCACAGTGGGGAGGGCACTCTCTCTTGACATGCGTGCCAGAGCGAGTCTACAATGCATGCACGTTGTTCCTCCTTGGCAGGTCCTGCCAGCCATCAGTTCTCCGCTGACATGAGCGTCAGCAGTCCCAGCCTTACCGTGCGAGGAGTGCGTACGACGGATCGTGTTGGCTCCGCACCGCGTCGGTTTAACCGCTATCGGCGCTGACAGCCAGCTCAGCCTCGGCTTTAAATCCAGAAACACCCAGTTGTGCAACTGTGTGCCTTTTGCAAAGGTGGCACTGGCCGTCTTCATCCACAGGACATCTCCGCAGACGCCTGCCTCTTATATTACTATGTATGTCTTCCCTTCTTTGCTTACGCAGTCACGCAGTGAATGCCTGTGCCAACGGTCTTGCCGCCGACCTTGCCACACTTGGCCGTCGAGCCGCCACGGTTGTTCTTGTCGCCGCCCGTGCCAGTGCCGGCTGTCACGCCGTTGCCCGAAGTGAGGTCCGCGTACACAATGCCACGTCCCGCAGTGCCCATGAACACACGGCCGTACACGCGGGGGTCACCAGCAATGGAGGTCGGGCCACCATAGTTGTGGTTGTCGTCGTTGACACGGACCCACGAGCTGCCGCCATCGTCGCTGCGGTACAGGCCCTCTGTGTCGGTGGAGGACGTGTGGCCCCAGATAAAGAGGGTAGTCGTGCCGTTGGTCTTGGCAGGGGCACCGGTGCTCAGCAAGTATGGGCGAAGGCCCTTGCCCGAGTTGGGAAGCGCAGCCCACGTAGCACCAAAGTCCTTCGAGTGCCAGATGCCGAGACCAAGGATCGGAAGCCAGATCTCACCGGCGACGGCGTGGTTGACGGTCGGGAGAGCACCATTGGTGTTGTTCGAGGGCAGACCGGTTCCGCGAGTGGCGTAGGTGGCACCACCGTCTGTCGAAATGTAGAAGACGCCGGCATCGAACGCGTAAAAGGTGGCAGCCTGGACGCGGTCGGCAGTGACGTTGGCAGTCTGGACCGTGAGGCCGGTGGGCGCGTTCCAGGTGTTGCCATAGTCGGGGGATGCCCACGGGCCGGCCTGCTCAGCAAGAAGAGTCGACCAGACAATGTAGCGGCCAGACGCGTCGACGGAGATCACGCTTCCGGTGGTGTGGGAGGCGTTCATGCCAGGGGCGCAGGTGGGGAAGACATTCCAGGCATCACCGCCGTCAGTCGAGTAGCCGCCGCGAGCGCATCCATAGTCGTAGTCGGTACCTGACGAACCAGCACGGGCAAGCACGTTGGGGTACTGGCCAGCAAAGTCAATGGTGTCGAGGTTGGAGAACTGCGGGGCAGGGAACATGTGCTGCGGCTTGGTGAGATCGTCGTGGCGCATGCCGCTGATGTCACCCAAGCCACTGAGGAGATGTCCGGGGCCACCAGTCGGGCTCTTGATGATCAAAGCGTAGTTCTCCTCAATACCCTCGGTGTTGATGTACCAGCTGGGCGACCAGTCGACCTCTGCGCGCGAGAGCGAGTCGGTAGCCCAGATGGTGGCACCAGTGCCGTACATGAGGTGGTCGGGGTCGGTGGGGTCGATCAGCAAGGCGCTCATCCACCAACCAAACTTGGTGGTTCCGACCACCTTGTTGGGCGCACCGTAGCCTCCCCACTGGGGGCCGTTGTTGAAGTCGAGCCAGGGGACGGGTGTTCCATCCTTGAACTTGGCAGAGTTGATGGGGTGGCCCCAGTTGCCGTCGCTTCCAGAGGGCGACGAGAGCTGGGTGACGTCCTTCCAGGTGGCACCAGCATCGGTGGAAAGATAGAGGCTGTCGAGGGCAGGTCCGGGGTCACGGTCAAGGGTCATAACAACCAGGCGGTTGGGGTTAGTCGCGTCCACACTAACACCACAGAAGCCACCGGCAGGGAAGGTCTGGTTGTCGTAGGGAGCAGGCGAGCTGTTGCCGTTGCGACCAGGAGTAATGTTGTCCCAGGAGCCGCCGGTAATGTTGAGGCGCCACACCTCGCCGAACGAGACACCCCAGGGGCCAGGGTAGTCGGCGTAGGTGACGTACAAGAAGTCGGTGGTGAGCGCCACCTTCATGGGCTGAGGGCCAGCACTGGACGGAGTCTTGTCCGGGAAGGCGTTGGCAGTCTCGTTGGTCCAGGTGGTGGGCTGGCCCGCAATGGCAGCCCATGACGCACCGGCATCCTTGGACACAAACAGACCACCTGGCGCAGAGGCGCTGGCGTAAATGGTGCCGTTGTTGACAGGGTCAAAGACGACCTGGACAAAGCCAATGCCGTTGGCAAAGGCGTCAGGGATTGACGTCACATTGGTCCAGGTCGCGGCGCGATCGGAACTCTTCCAGAGACCCTCGGTACGAGTGCCCATCCAGAGCTCATTTGTGTTGAACGGGTTGACGGCGAGACGCTCGCCGTTGTTGCGTCCCATGTCATTGGCGCCCATAGGGAACGGCGACTCGTAGATGGTGAATGTCGCTCCCTGGTCGTCCGAGACGTAGAATCCAGCCCACTCGTCCGTCTGGTAGCGGCCCTGCGCAAGGTAGAGACGGTTCGGGTTGTGCGGGTCGAGCGCGATCGACTCGGTACCGAGAAGGTTTGCGTCGCGAGCCGTGATGAAGTCGTTGAGGGCGATCCACTTGCTGGCACCATTGTCCCAACGGTACGCACCACCAATGTCGGTACGGACATAGCGGAGGTTGGCCTGGGTAGGGTGGGCTACAATGCCGGTGATGTAGCCACCTCCACTGATGGCGACCGAGTTGAACTCGTATCCCTTGTTGTTGCCAGCGCGGACGCCGAGCGCGCCAAGCAGCGCAACAAGAGCGGTGATGAGCATTCTCTGAAGTAGATCAGCATTGCTCCCCATCGTCAGACCCACCTCGAAGTTGCTCAAGAGTTCAAGTTTGTTAAAGTCCGGGTCCCCAGATGTCCACACGTAGTCCAACTATATCTTCCATCTACGGCTGTGATCGGGTGGACGGGGGCCGCGAGATCGCGAGATCGCGATGGCGGTGTATTTGCGGGAAGATGAGAAGAGAATGGAGGTCCACATGGGGACTGCGTGTACTCGTATGTAGTTGCTTGGCCCGCTCTGTAGTAGCGCTAAACGTCCTGCAAGATCTCTAAAGACCGACTGCGGTCGGCGAGATGTCGACCCGATTTAGCCAACCAGAGCGCCATAGGGCATGCGTTATTCGGCGTGGAAGCAGTCGCGTCCATCACATGGAACGGCCGCCCTTCGAGAACAAGGTTTCAGAACACCTGTGCAATGTGACCGGGCCGTACAAACGATCCTGGCGCCGGTCTTGATACCGATGTTGATGTCCGCACCAGGCGCCGCTTCTAAGGCACATGGAGTATATACGGGGCCCGCCAGGGGCCCGTCAACGATGTCCGGGGCAATGGCGGGTGGACTGGGCGGTTCAGCATGGACCAGGAGCGAGATGATGAGCATGCGAGTGAGAGCGGGCTGAAAGAAACAAAGAAACGAGGGGCGACGCGGGGAGTTGCGGGGCGACGGAATGGAATCAACAGAAAATGCGCCGAAACGAGTCGGCGTGGGTGTGGCTCCGGTTTTGGCGACGACGAGTTGATCGTCCCAATTCCCTTCAGCTTTCTAAACGGGGCCCGGACGCTCATTGACAGGTAGGTACAGCACAGCACTTACAGTAAGTATAGTACCTTGGCGGTTAATGGCAAGACCAGGGATCCTGAGGAAATCGCCGTGTGCGGTTCCACAGGTTCGTATGTGGGGACTGAAAATGCTTGAAAATGATTATCGCGTCGGTGGATCTGCGGATCTGTTGCACAGTCTAAGTACTGTACCTCCGGCCTCCTAACAAATACCGCGTGGAACCCCTAGTTCTATGTACTATGGGGAAGACATAGCGAGCTCCCCGTCTGACGTCATGGTAACGTCGACGTTACATCCACCTGGCGCAAAATCCACGGCACCTCGCTGTCGTATTGGGACGAACCAGTCGTGTCACACGCTAACAGGAGCTAGAGCAATGTCACAATCTCAAGCTCGAGTTCCACGGTGTCCAACTTAACCTTCTATAAGGCGGCGTACGTGTCTAATACCAAAACTGCATGTTCCTGTGCTATACAAGCTCCAAATTTTACTGCCTACAACACCGAGATCCCCCCGCTGTTATCACGCTTAAAGGCCGAGGGCGGTACGGCGCGAGACACTCTTGGGGTCAAAGTATGGGCGCTCACCGAGAGACACCGAACGGGTGCCCTCACGGTTGCTGCCGTCAATGTCCTGAGTAGCCGCGTGGAAGGTTGAGCGGTTGTCCCAGATAGCGAGCGAGTCCTTCTCCCAGCGGAAGCGGACCTGGAGGTCGTGGTTGGCGCTGATGTGGGCGTAGAGGAACTTCAGAAGGGCATCGCTCTCGGGCTGAGTGAGCTCGATGATCCTCTGGGTGAATCCACGGTTGACGAACAGTCCCTTCCAGCCGGTCACGGGGTTGGTGCGGATGACGGGGTGGATGGCCTCGAGGTCCTGGCCAACGTTCTCGGGCGAGCCACGGTTCTCGCGCATCTTGGCACCGATGGCGTCGGCAAGCTTGATGAAGCCGACACCCTTGTGGAGAGCCGTAAGACCCTCCAGGAACTGCTGGTAGGCAGGCGAGAGACGGTCGTAGGCCTCGTAGGCCGAGGCCCAGAGAGTGTCACCACCAACGGCGGGGAGGTCGCGGATGACGAGGCTCGCGTAGTCGGAAGGAATGTTCTCAAAGGTGATGTCCGAGTGCCACTGGTCGGCACCGACGCGGCGGTCGAGGATGCCAAAGTCCTTGCGCTCAAACTTCTTGCCAAAGACAAACTTGTTGGAGATGATCGAGATCTCGTCCTTCTCGCCCTGGTCCTCAACGGTGCAGGGGTGGATGTGGAGGGTAGAGGACTCGGGCTTGCCACCGGCGCGGCCGAGAGCGTCAACCAAGGTCATCTGCTCCTCGGGGGTGATCTTGGCGTCACGGAAAAAGACAACACCGCGCTCCGAGACGAGGCGGCCGAGGGCGGCGAGCTTGGCAGGCGACGCGAGAACGTCACGGATGTCGAGGAGGGGCTTGCCGTCGTTGGTGGAGCTGCGGAACTCGGTACCGACCGAAGGCGTCGAGTCGAAGTGGGCGAAGGCGGTGAGGTCCACAGGAGCCTCAGTCTCCGACACAGTGACGTTGGCGAGCGACGACTTGAGTGCGTCGACGGGGTTGGTGGCGGTAGCCTCGGCAATAGCAACGGGAGCCATGTTGATGCACTTGGTGGTGTGGAGGAAAAAGTAGTAGTGGAGAGGGAGGGGCCTTGACTTGTTGTTGTTGAACGCTCATTAAACTGCAGTCTGCCTATATACTCCAGGCTATGACCGATCCATCGCTCACCTCCGACACTGTCATCGACGGCCACCACGAATACAACCTTCCAAGACCCATCACGTCGTCGAAAACGCGGTCACGTCGTCGCTGCCATCGGTTTCAAAGACAAATAAACAGCATGGTATATTACGCAGCTGCCTACGTGTTCTGGCCTGCAAACTGATTATGTCGCTCATGTCCGACGGCGTTTGGCTGCCTCGACCAATGCATCTCTCCAAGACCCATCACGTCGTCGCCGTCATCTGGTTCCACGACAAATGCAGCGGCCGGCCGCTCTGCGTGCCCTGACCCCACACGCCCCAAGACGATCATGTTCATTGACTTTTACGGGGTTCTGGGCAACAAAAGACACACCAATAATGGTTGCACAAATGGTGTTGTTGCCATCGTGTATGGCGTATTGAGACTATGCCGTGACGTACCGAGCACGCCAATGACTCGGTTATGACGGCCGGTGGTGTGCTCATCGGCAACGATGGCGACACACCACCGCAGGGATCCAGGGACGAACCCTTATCTGTCCACCAAAAATGTTGGGCAAAATTGGCCGAAGCAGGGGAATGCAACGGGATTCCGGCCTTCCGGCCAGTCATGAGGCCCCGTTTTTACAACTGGCAGCGCATGGCAGCACAGCCAAGCGCTGGTATGCACACGGACGTTGGCGTGCTCAGGTCTTCGCAATCACAGGCCTGCCCGGCCTGGGCAACCGAGACTTCAAAGGACTCTGTGCCAAGTCATAACGACAGAGGTGCTCATGCAAACCGGGCTGGTCGGATCGTCAAAGCTGGTTTGCGGCCACGTCCGCCTGTGGCACATATATTACACCCTCCAAAGTTGTCTGCCACTCTCTCCATTCCCAAAAAACCACTCTCGGCTCTCACCACCACACCTCTGCCTCAGTCAAAGGCACAAGAGGCTCGCCCAGAATAGACACGACTTAGACATCTATACCGCTAGACGTTTTCGACCACCATGTCCGTCCCTGCCCTTGTGGACACCAAAGGCGTCACCGTTGCCGACAACCTCTCCCTCCGCTCCCAAACCACCGACGAGGAAAAGCTGTTCGAAGGCCAGGAGATTGCCATTAGCAGCTCGGCCAATTCATCCGAGGAAGTTCTTGCCAAGTGAGTAAATCGGCTATCATATGTACACCCTGCAAAGTCCTAACCTTCTCAGGTTCAATGAACCCCCAGACAGCTACGAGTCCAAGCACCGCTGGGACCCAAAGGCCACTTGGACTCCCCAGGAGGAGACCAAGCTCCGTCGCAAGCTTGACTTGCGTGTCGCTTTCGTGGCGTGCGTGTGCTTTGCAGCCCTTCAGCTGGATCGCGGAAACATTGGAAACGCACTCTCGGACAACATGCTGGTTGACCTCCACATGACAACCGCCAATTACAACTTGGGTCAGACAATCTTCTACCTCTGTTTCCTCGCCGCCGAGCTTCCATCGCAAATGAGTGGGTAGCACTTGGTCATTGGAAACCTTGGTGCCTTGCTCACACGTTCACAGTCTCCAAGAAGCTTGGCTCGGATGTCTGGATTCCTATCCAGATGATGTCGTGGTCGGCTGTTGCTATCGGCCAGGTTGGTCTCACCGGCAAGAACTCTTTCTACGTCACTCGTGCCCTTCTGGGTCTCATTGAGGGTGGCTTTGTCGCCGACACTGTCCTCTACCTCTCGTACTACTACACCGCCAACGAGCTCACCATCCGTCTGTCGTTCTTCTGGGTCACCATGACCACCACCCAAATCGTTGGATCGTTCCTCGCCGCCGGTATCCTTGAACTCCGTCACAAGACCCACCTTGCGGGTTGGCGCTGGCTGTTTGCTATTGAAGGCACCATTACTTTCCTCATTGGAGTCTTTGCCTTCTTCTACCTGCCTCCCGGCCCTACCCAGACCCACCAGTCCCTCTGGGGCCGTATCACCGGAAAGGGTTGGCTTACCGAGCGTGAGGAGATCATCGTCGTCAACAAGGTCCTCCGCGACGACCACACCAAGTCGCAGATGCACAATCGCCAGGGTCTCGACTTGGGCGACTTTTGGCGTTCGCTCACCGATTTTGACCTGTGGCCTCTCTACCTCCTCGGTCTCATCACCTACATTGCGCCTTCTACTGTCAACGCATACTTTACCCTTAACATGAAGGGTTTCGGCTTCACGACCTTCCAGACCAACATGCTCACCATCCCGAGCCAGGTCATCTTCATCGTTTTCAACCTCAGCCTGTCGTTCCTCTCCAAGAAGCTCAAGGAGCGTACCCTTGTTGCGTCTCTTACGCCTTGGTACCTCCTTATCCTCTTCATTGCCCTGGTGTCCATCCCCGACAACACTAGCCGCTGGGGCAAGTGGGCCCTGTTGTCGCTCATTGTCGGCTACCCCTACCCCCACCCCATCTTGGTCTCGATGAACTCGATGAACTCCGGATCAGTGCGCACCCGCACCGTCGCCTCCTCGCTGTACAACATGTTCGTCCAGGCTTCCTCGCTCGTGGCCTCGAACGTGTACCAGCCCTCGGACGCGCCTTACTACCACAAGGGCAACCGCGTTCTTCTCGGTATCATTGCTGCCAACATTGTCCTCTTCTGGTTCGCCAAGGCCTGGTACATCCTCCGCAACAAGCAGCGTGACAAGGTGTGGGACTCTATGACTACTGCGGAGAAGGAGCACTACCTTTCCACCACCAAGGACCTCGGAAACAAGAGGCTCGACTTCCGCTTCCTCCACTAGACCACCTAGGCCTGAGGAAGTTTGTAATTTGGCTGTAATATGTAGATTGATATGATACGAACTGGGATTCTACTGGAAGGGAAGCACGGGTGGAACTGGATTGCTTACGCAAGACTAATAGGTATAGTAGGTGGACCTGAAGCTTGTCAATGCTGGATTGCGTCACACTCGTATGACACATTTCGCCACAGTGTCGTTGGCCCAGGCTCAAAAATCATGAGAGTATTGCTTCGGTAATCGGGTCACAGTGTGTTCGTGACTCGCCTGCACCTGTCTGGCCTGTCCCCCAAGGGGGTTTCATCACAAGTGCAGGGGGGTTACAGGCGACTAGCTAGCCGCTGGCCGCTGGCCAAGTTATCAGTGAGAGGACGCTTGCGCACGGGCGATCAGTAGGCAAGCCAAGACGGCGCCACGAAGCACAAACCCACTCTCTGGCGGAAGAGATCTGCACGGACCCAAATAGCTCACAGCGCCCCCAGTCGCGCGTCAGTTCCCAGTGTTCGTCAACACAACTTTCAGCAACTCACTGTCACTCTCCTATCCTTCCAAGCATCAACTTCTACAGCTATTCAACTCAGCACAGTACACAACTCAGACCATCTATCGACGTCGTTACCAAGACAGGCCGTGGCAGGTCCCGCGAGCCGACGCGGTTGTCGCACGCAATGTCGACAACCGCCCCCCTGGACTGCCTGTATTTCCCTCATATCCTCGACGCCATCATCGAGTACGCCAAGTTTCCGTCCCTTCTGGTCTTGGCGGCGACCTCAAAGGCCTTGAAGGCCCGCATCGGCCCCAGGATCGCAGGTGTACAACTGCGCAGCGATTACATTGTGGTTACTCGGCACGAAGGCCCCGAGTACCTCGATGGCCGCCCAGTCCCCCCGCACAAGTGGGACTCGATTGATGCCACTGCCGTTGACTTTCCTGGCCCTCAGGATTTCGCTCCAGTTCAAGTCGGCGAAACGTGCGTTTGCAAGCTTGGCCACCTTCGAATTAAAGCAAGGGTATCGCGGCAGTCGGTGCCAGTTTGCCGGCATTGCATCGAGGTAGACGCCGACAAGGCGGTCGTCTTCTTCGACCTCCGAAAGAGCTGGATTGGAAACCCCTTGGTCGTCGAGCCGGGCTGCATTGTTCGGGGCCCTACCAGCCTCGTCTACACCATCCTTATCAACCCAGGCCCTCCTCACTCCGGCACCCGGCTCATCCCCCTGTCCACCTTCCCTCCCTCTGTGCGCGACGTTCTGATCCGCGTGTTGGCAACGAAAGGTTCCAAGGCGCTCCCCTTACCGGCCAGCAAGAACATGTCCGACACGTCAGCTCCATTGCACGACCTCCTCCTCATGATCGTCAACCTCATCCACAAGCAATCTTACAACCAGTCGAATTCCCACTACCCAGAGTGCAAGCTCGTCGGTGTCGGAGAATGGGACTATCGCTGGCTGCAACCAAGCCGTACAACTCCGCCCGCATCCTTTCCTGACTATATCAAGGACATTATCGAAAAGTTGGGTGTTGCCACCTACCCCAACTGGAAGATGTGGACCCGAGACCACCAGCGGTTCAAGTTTTACCCAACCTTCTCAAGCAACTACGACTCCACGCCCTTTCAGAGCAACAGGGATCCGTGGGAGAATGTGGAAACCGTGTGGGACTGGTAAAACGTGGTGAGTTTGTCTCTTCGTCGGATACCTGTTCCAAGCTGACACCTCCATCAGTGCATCTAGAAAGTAGAGAGAACGACGAAGCGCGAGGGGGGGGGGGGGGATCAAAGCCAATCAGTTGAGTCATGAGTCAATGTGAATGAAGAAACTGGGCTTTCCCTGCGAGTGGACGGAAAATGGCAGGAAGCAAGTAGTTTGGCACCTTGGTTGATTATACATAGGTGGCATGAGATTCGATTCACGGATCACGATCATGGACAAGGCCTTGGGTGTGGTGGTGAATGTGGTGATCAGTGATCAGTGAACCGTCTGACGTGGGGCACGAATGACGCAAGCACACACGGAGGGTTCGCAGGGGCGCAGGTTGAGTCACCTTGCGTCACAGCTGGTCTTCTTCTCTGTTCCACCCATTCCTCTTCTCACCACTTCACCATCACTTTCGATACCAGTCCTCACATCCGAGAGTGGACGACAGTAGGTAAACGCCACCCACAAGCATACATGTCTGACATGCTATTCAGAACTTGCTATTCAGACGCCTCCACGGACCAGCTGCTTGTCGATGTGACCACCACCACCATGCCCCCCACACTCGACGCCAGGTTCTTCCCCCACATCCTGGACTCGATTATCCATTACTCCAAACTTGGATCCTTCGTTCTCGGTGCCACCTCAAAGTCGATGAAGGCTCGCATCGACCCCATTGTCAAAGATATCGAGCGCTGTCCACACCACGTGGTAGTCACTTCCGATGGCCCAGAGTACGCCGACGGTCGACCAGTACCAGTCCGCAAATGGGGCTCACTTCAAATCAAGACTGTCGACTTTCCCGCATCGCCGCGGTCCAGTGTCCATCGTCAAGCCATGACGTGTCTATGCCACCTGGGATCGCTCTTCATCTGGGCCGACAGAGCTCGGCAATCGGTTCCCGTGTGTCGCTCCTGCGTCAAGGTCATTGCCCCCCGCGCTGTCATATTCTTCGATATCCGAGAGGTTCCAGCCAACAACCCCGTGATCCTTGAACCTAAGTGCATAGCGGACCAGTGCCCCTCCATCGCCTACACCATCCTGCGTGGGGTAACCGAGCCAGCACCAGGCTCACGGCTCATTCCCATCCAACCTTGGCCGACAAGTACTGCAGCGACCATTCTTGTCGCACCATCTCCAAACACTTCCGCTGCAGGCACTGGTGCCGACTCGGTTGTCGGGGAAACGGCCAAAACATCCATCGTTCTTGAAGCCCAAGGCCGGCCGTTGCTTTATGATATTCTCAATCTGGCCGTCCTTAAACGGTCATATGAAAACAGAATTTCATGGCTGCCGGCTGCGTGGATCTTCGTCGATGTCGAGCACTTCAACCCACTTTGGTTGCCGGCCCAGCCTTCCCCACCCAACAACAGCGCCAACATGCAACGCCGAATTGCTGATATTGTCCGCCGTCGGGCCTTGGCGACCCTGGGCTGGGACCATACAGACTGGAGGGACTATGCGCAAACCAAACTCTTCTTTTACGATACTTGCCCTGTGGGGTGGTTTGACGATTGCTTAAACTGGTGGTGATGGAGCGTATGCATCAACGTCGATGTAATACTCTGTGCTAAAAATAGCTTACGTAATGGGCGTGTAGCTCAGTTGGTAGAGCGTGTCATTTGCATCTACTCTGCGACTTGACAAGGCCTTTGGTTCGATTCCTAACTCGTCCACATTACTCTTTTGCCCCTCTGCAGCACTCTCTGGTGTTTGGCATGCATGCTAAGAACCACGGGGGTCACATCCAGACTGGTTTTGATGGTGTGTGATGGTGGAAAGGGTGAATTGTCCGAGGTTCATCACTGCGGCTGTTGTTGTGCGAGTTTTCATGACTGAAACGGTGCTCCAAACCTTCGAGCGTCTCCACCTGGCCACCTCATCAAACGGTCTGGGTTGTAAACTCCAGAGGCCCCTGACGTTGTGAGGTGGAAACATTGGACCTTGAAACTGATGGTATTCTCGAGTGGCGCACCTCTGTGGCGGCCTGTATACTTCGTTCCCTCGACGCGCGCCGATCACTGCCTCTTCAGTTCAAAGCATCTGCCCACAGGCGCGTGTATGGATCCACTCTCTAGCCACCAGACAGCCGTACACACAAGTTGGTTAACGGTACGCCTCCTGGGAGGGAGCTAACATCCACAGATGACGGTGAATCCAGACGACAGCGAGCACAAGGCAGCTGAGCTTCGGCCAAAGCTGGTGACCACCCTCGATTACTCCAGCTACCCACACCTGTTCGAGGCTATCATCGTGTTCTCCCCTATTGCAAGTCTCCTGGTACTGAAGAACACATGCACACATGTGCGTGAACTCGCCTTTGCGCGTTTGGCCCGGCTTCGGTCTCACATCATCTTCTCGCCGCAATCCAGGACCTATCGGGACGGCACACCTCTGCCCAAATCGGAGATTCGATGGCCTACTGAGCCAGAGGTCCTTGACATTACCGCCCCTGGGGGGTGGAACGAAAAAGTATGCTTCTGCAAGATCAACGGGTTGCAGCGCGCATACCCCATGGCCCTCCATCCACAGCGTGTGAGACAGGCAGCAGTCGCCTGCCAAGATTGCTTCAACATGAGCGTTGCGCGTCCGGTGCTTTTCGTCGACCTGCGGCGACCGCTCAGACACCCGCGCGACATCACACCCAAGACTGTCAGTGAGCTGCCACGAACCATAGTGTATACCATCACCATCACCGACCCGCCCGTGACCAACTTTTGCTTCAGCCCCATGGGGTTCCCCAGCCGGATCACCACCAGCATTATCTTCCGTGTCGTCGTTGACAACACTTGCCCCCCACCGCAGCTGCCTGCCAACACAGTCGTCACCCCTGCCCTCCGCGGTGTGGTGGCCATCATGGCCGAGATGATCCGGTACAACATCACCATCAACAGCGGAAAGCCGGCCAGTACATTCACCCTTGTCGGGGTGGAAGACTGGGACCCCCGGTGGTACGATGCCTGTGCCGTGGCAGGCTGGTCAGAGACGGTCACCGTCACCGAGCGACGGGAGCATTTCTTGGAGACAGTCCTGGCTGTGCGGAAAGCCAAGGGGCGAAAAGAGACGCTTGGGGAAGAAGCGCTGCGCGCCGAACTCGTCAAGCTCGTCCAGTTTGTCAGTGTAGATGAATACCGGGCCGATATCGGCGAGGAAATGTGGGCACTCGAGACAGCCATCTAGAATGGCAGAAGGGTGGTTGATTGTCCCGGTCTCAGTCGGATATCGTCTCCGAAGACTGGGGCCAAGTGGCTCCCCCGCCACTCGAGGCGATAGGGGTGAAGCCAGGCGCCACTGGGGCGAGGGCATGTGGGTCATTTATGCAACGCAATGAAGCGGTGGCCTTGGATTAGCCGGCGGCGGCAGCGGCCAATCTCATGCACGTCTTGCTATACCCTCGGTCTGCAGATGCTGTGCACCGAGACGTCACCTGCAATGTCATGTCATATGGACGATTATCAACACTTTGCAACCAGATCCTACCCTGTCTTGGACGAGTCCCGAGTCTCGACGCCGCTGAACCCGGCCTCGCCAGCCCTGTCGACCGCGGCGACCGGACCACCACGCTGGCCCTTCCAGAACCCCATCTCGCCCATGCTGTCAAAGTGGAGGATGATCGAGGGGAAGAGGATGAGCCACTCGGGAAGGACCAAGAAGACGTCGAGACCCGCCTGGGTCATGACGAAGCCATCAGTTTTGACGGCCGAGTATATGCGGTAGATGCACTCGAGCACGAGAGCCGCGCCAAAGACGACAAGCAGGACCGTAATTGGGAAGCGGCGGATGCGGGAGTGGTGCGGCGTCTGCAGGGAGATGACGATGGGGAGGACCATGACCCCAACGCAGAAGACGAGGAAGAGGGAGCCAGAGGCGATGCGCAGGTCTTTAGATACCTGGAACTGCTTCATGTCCGGCGGATTCTTCGTGAGTGACGTGAGCATTAGCACAGCGCCAACGATGCCGAGCATAGTCAGGATGACTACGATCGCGTGGCAGATCTTCATGAAGTTGCGGCGGCGGGCATCGCGGTCGCGGCCACGGATTGCATAGTGCCTGGACGAGTCAGAGCGAGCGGCGGGGCGGGAGCACACGGGAGCACGCACCAGTCAATGTTGAGGAAAAACACCGCCTCCACAAGGAGGAGGAAGCCGCCGACCATGACGATGCCGGACGCCATGAGGACGCCGAGGAAGTGTTTGCTGGTGGGTTTTGTTTGTGACATGACCGCTCTGAGAATGAAGGTGACGACGCGGACTGGGTGTTAGTGGTTGTTCATGGTGGTGCTTATGCTGGGGTGTTTGGTGGCGCGGCGGACGGACGGTGACGGAGCTGGAGACTGGTGACTGAGGCGAGCCGACGTGGGGACGAGGACGAGTCGCGACGACCATGGCCACCGTCGTCGTCGGTCAAGCTGAGAACGGCGTCTCGCCAGATCCACTGTGAACGCATCTCATTCACTGGATCACTGGCGCAACAACCTTTCACACGTCCCCCCCGCTCACCACCTCCCCCTCGCCCACCATCGAACCCTCTGCCATCCCGTCTCCCAACCACTCTCCTCCCTCACCACTGAACACTCACAAACAGCGAAAATCGTGAAGCAGATGTATGCGACTTTATGAGTGACACCGCGCACTGTGCGGAGGATGAGCGCGGCCCCCATGAGGGCGTACACGACCGTGAACGCGATGCTCTGCGACAGGCTCACGCCCTTGCTCATCGCCGCGAATGGGCTGTTGGCGCCTGTGAGGCCGGACATGGTGGAGGAACGCAAGGGCGGGGCAGTGAAGTAGCAGTGTAGCACAGCTTGCGGCTGAGAGTGGTTGTGCAAGACAGCAGTGGTTCAGTGAGTCAGAGACGGGTTGTCGCCGCCCGCGTCGATGGGGGGTGTGCATCTCGTTTAAGTGTCCGAGGTGGAGCCCGAGGGGCGGAACAAACAATGCGGAACCACACAACAGGGACGTCGGCAGCTCGGCAGCCTGTGGGAGAAAAGTCGGCATGTGGGGAAAAGTACCCGATATCCCGATGCCATTTCTGTCTCAACTGTGCCACCTCTGTCCACGCTGTACGCCATGGTGAATGATGCAGTTGCAGTGATTTGTGTAGCTTGCTCAAGATACACTCCTGTCACTGCTTACTGCATACAATAGTAGGGAGAGGTCATACCAGTCAGACTCACTACCAATCGCCACATTCCCAACACCAAGGCAATCTGATCACGGACAGAGTCCGAGGCGCTGGGATACAATACGGGGCACACGGGTCGCTCAGTCAAACAGCGGGACTCTGTCGGTCGCTAGATGCTGCACTGGCGCCGCTGCTGTCAAATATCATGTCTGTTGGGATTTGATGCCGTTTTAGCGCCCGAGACCGATGGTCTTAAGCTGGCAATTGTCTTTCAGAAGAGGATGGGGATGCATAGGCGTCTACAGAGCTGCTTATATGCACACAGAAGGGAGGCCCGAGCACTACAGAGAAGCACGAGGACAATGAAGAAGCAGAAAGAGCAGCATTGGTGCAGTACCCTCGTTCTCCGGTCAGCTCGGTGCCACACTGCAGTGGCGCAAGTGGTTACGTAATCTCAACACATGTCATGCATCGCCGCAGATTCGCACAATCACTCCAAAAACACTTTCGAGTCCGGGCGTGTAGCTCAGTTGGTAGAGCGTGTCATTAGCATCTTCTACCCTACTTGACAAGGTCTTTGGTTCGATTCCTAACTCGTCCACTTTTTGGCCTTCTTGAGACCACAGGGCACCTGCAGGAGGTGTACGAACGCATGGACGATGAGGGGACGTTCTATGGTAGTGGTGGCAGTCCCAAATGATCGGCGGAAGAGTGCCACAATCAAGGCACCTCCACCTGGGGAATCAAAACGGGGCACCCGCAATTGCCACCGCCGCTCCGACTTTCTAGATCCTTGCTCCCACTTCTCACTCCTACGACTTCTGGGGCTCACGCTTCGCACAAGACGGCTGGCTCACTTTGCTCGCCATGAGCCTGTCCACAGCAAACCCAGCGGTCGTGTTGGACCCAACGGCATATCCACACGTGTTCGATACGATTCTGGAGTTCTCTGGCGTTCGTACCCTCCTCGCCCTGCGCTGCACGTCTCGCCATGTCAAGAGCCTCGTCGACCCCATTCTCCAGCGTGAGCGCAAGCACATCGTCATTCTCGCCTCTAGTATTGTTTACCGAGACGGGACTATGGCCCGTGGACTCTCTGGAGCACAGCTGCGCGTCGTGGACTTTCGCGGACCACAGTCGACCCGGTACCCCACCCTCGAGGCCGACCAGGAACTCTGGGGTCGGCAAGCTCGGCTTCCCCGCACGACGTGTACCTGCGGTCGTCACTGGATTGTCTACTCCGCTGACACTGTCCGACAGGACATGGTGCCAGTGTGTTCCAAGTGCGCGGACGTTGCTGGCGATCGTTTGGTAGTGTTTGCCGACCTCAGCTGGGGGTGTACTCCGACTCCCCACTTATATGCTGCCCACGACCAGAAAACCATGGTCTACACCCTCCTCGTGGACATGACCATGCACCCTAATGACGTCCCACCCTTCAAATACCCTTGGAAGTATAATGGAAGAGAAATCTCAATGGTGAGGCTGCCCAAGACAGTCAACAACGTCGTCTACCACATCGTGCACCACACTCCGCCAGGACCCACACGCGCCATCTACATGGACTCTGGGGTCATTCCCTACCGAGACCCCCGTATCGGTTGGCTCCTCGACAACACCGCCCATTTCATCGCCAAGCACATCCATCTTCGGCCCGCCAAAGTCGAGTTTACCTTTGTCGACGTCGAAAAGTGGAACACAGCGTGGATTACGGTTCCGAGCGACAGTGAATCCAGCGGCTGGGACATGCGACAACGAATTGTACACGCAATCGCCCACGCAGGCATCACAAACCACGAATGGTCCCACGAGACCGCAATCCACCGCGTGAATGCCTCGGTCTTTTTCCTCAGCACAGCGGCATACATCGCAAGAGAGGGTCTGGAGCAGTATGTGTTGGAGACCGGATGGAACGTGAGTTGACCATGAGGTCCGGTTGGGCCAAGCACATGTACTGACATGTGCAGTATGAGCAGCCAGAGGAGATTCCCAAAGAACCAGAGCAGCCCATCAAGTTGGTCGTGGGATAAGCGCCACTCGTCCGCCATTCGTCTCGCGCATATCCCGAGAGCGCCACTACAACGGGTCTTTTCTAAGCCCATACCATGTAATCAGCCCTCTCATCACGTCGCCACATGTCTCTCCCTCACACTATCGCGTACCCTGTCAACGCATGCATCCTTTAGCCTGCCCAGGAGGATCACTGGGCTGAAATTCCGCGCGGAAGGCCCGCAAAACAGCAACATTCGGGCGTGTAGCTCAGTTGGTAGAGCGTGTCATTAGCATCTACTACTTGACAAGGTCTTTGGTTCGATTCCTAACTCGTCCATTTTTGGCCCCCTGGAGCAGGCGCATGCATGCCGGAGGCTCCGGGAAGTAGCGGAAGAGATGGTGGAAGTTTGGAGGAGCTTGTACGGCTGTGGGACGGACGCGGAGGCTTGGAAGTGCTCAATGGATTGTTGACCGCGTTGGTTGTGGCGGTGGACGGTGGCTGTGGCACGGTGGAAGGCTTGCTTCTCCAGTCTACTCGAGTCTGCTCGCCGCTCGAAGCTGTACACGCTGCATTGCGAGATGGCGGATCCCTATTCCTGAACTCTTCCTATATGTTTATGTCTTTAAGCTGTGTAACTCTGTATATCTGTGTTGTATGCGTTTTAAATCGGACCAAAAATCACCACGAGATGACGAAAAACTCTGCTCCTATTGCTCCTCCGGCTTAGGCCTGGGCGAGGGTGGGAGAGGCGCCACTGGGGCTGTGTACACTGTCTGCGAACACCTGTTCGCTGACGTCGATCTCCGGCGGGGTCTTGCGGCGCGCGAAGACGTGAAAGTGCGAGAATCCCGGGACTGACTGGAGGCGCTGAATGTGTCAGCTGGACGTCAATCCTGGCACAGTTGAACTCACTGGGGGGTTGACAAACCACACCGTCTCCCAACCGCGCTCATCCCAGAGGCCCCTGACCATACGGCCCACCTCGACACCGCCCTTGGCCTCGTACTCGACCCCGGCCCAGCGGCGCAACTCGTGGCCGCCGTACTGCACATCAACGGCGTACCAGCCACCACGGCCGGCCTTGGAGGGACCAGCGCGGCCCGCGCCAGCCGCCATCGCGCCGGCTTCCTTGGCCTTGCCGACGTTGGCTGGAGGGAACGCGCCAGTTGTTGCTCCTGACGAGGGTGGGGTGGGGAGCGACGAGGTGGCGTCTACCTCTGCCTCCTCGAGACTGTCGGGGAGAACAGGGACGACGCCAGTAAACCCTCCCAGACCCTCCTCTTCGATCCTTGCCCAAGCTTGCGAGTCGTAGTTTACCAGGACGGGGTGGGCAATGGGCACCTGTGAGTCAGAGTCTGTGGCAGATGGTTCGAGAAGGGCGATCGGTATCTTCCCGTAGTGTCCTGCAACTCACCCTCGACCACACGCAGTAGTGCTTCACACCATAGGGCACGCAGTACGGCCAGTCGTTGGGGAGAACGGCAAACTTCTCCGGGTCGAGCCCCTTTGGATCCCAACGGAGGAACACATCATAGGCCGGGTCGTCATCGTCGTCATCGGCCTCGGCGGCATTGGTGCTGCTGGCACTGTCAATGCTATCGTCCCCATCAACGACAACCTGGGAGGTTCGTTTGCTCTTGTTACTGGCACGGGCCAGTGCCTTGTTGACGCGGGGCAGTACGCTCTCGAGGGAGACGTATGCCACCGACGCCGGGGTGCTGGCACCCGAACCACCCGGCGTAGTCGCGGCTGTGGCAAGGTGCGAGGCCTGTCCCGGAGTGCCGGTGCCCGGTGTGTGGGTGTTCAGCGACAGAGCCTTGGCAGCGACAGCGGCCGAGCCTGACCGGAATTCACCCGAGTTGTTGGCCTTGTGTCGCTTCGAGTCCGGGTTAGTCGCGGGGGTGAGGTCAATCTCGGGGTGGTCCATGGCCGTGCGCTGGTCGTATGTCGGCTCGAGAGGCTTGTCGCGCCCTACATTGCCCCACGGCAGTCGTGCGTTGATGAGGTAGGACTCTGGGAGACGGCTCGTCAGAGACCTTTCCACACAGGTAGCACGTGCGGTACGAACAAGCATGCCAAGCACAGCAAGTGACTCACCAGATGAGCCCCAAGTCTCCTTCTGCATCCCGATCCACTCCTCATATCGAGCTTGCATCTCCTTGTTGCGCGAGAGGTACTGGAGCTCGCCAGTTTCTGAGCAGAAAGTAAGCTTAGTTGCTAGGCGTTGGGCAGGCAGACAGAAACACGTTGGACTCACGGATAATCTCTTTGAGCTCCCCCCATGTGAACAGGCGCGGTTGAGCATCGAGCTCGGCGTCAGTCGGGGTGCCCGTGACGTAGCCCGGAAGGTGGTGGACCTTGGGCCCTGGGTAGCGACAGTCGTTATTCCAGACGACCTCGGACATGGCGGCCGATTGACAGGCAGTAAAAGGACGACGCAGGAGACGATGACAATTGTCTGTGACGTGGTGTGTGAAGTTGTATCAGGAACGAGATGCCGAACTGATAACTGGTACGTGCGGGATGGGAATCGAGAACGATCGAGTACCGGGGAGCGAAGACGAGGGCGATGGTGGACGTTGAGCAGGAGGAATCAGAGAACGGGGCGGCAATAGCAAGTGTGCAAACTGTGACTGGCTCTAGCCGTTTTGTGTGGGTGTGGGGTGTCTGGCCGACAATTGCGGCGCTGTTCACCAGATCACCCACCCATGCTCATGACGACCGACCGGCAACCGTGTGTCTCTCGGCAAGCACGGCGGATTGAGTGGAGCCGTCGATCGGCATTTCCGCCGGCTATGGGCGGAGGCGGGAGGGCATTACAACAGAAGTGCTAATGTATTCATTAATGTACTAATAAAAAGACAAGACCACATTTGTAATTAATTAACAGAAATAACCGGAACCAAATCTTCTCTGGATGGTGCTGGCACTCCACGCGCCTATACCGCTGTGTCACGTGTCTGCACGCGCCTGCCGTTTCGGTCTGTCGCCCGCGCACACGTTTGCCGCCCGGATCCGAAGTGTCCCATCCCAAAGACTCGGAACTAAGTGGGCGCAAGACAATCTCTCGAGTCTGTCGCTCGACTCTTGAACATCTTCCTCGTCTATCCCTCATCCAGAATCCCTCAAACACCCTCCTTATATTCAGCAAGAAGCCAGCAAGAGAGAACACATATCAACTACACCACCCTCCTCTCCCTCTCTTCTTCTCTACCCTTTGAGCCTGGGCCCACCCCACCCGACATCCCTCGCCACTCCAACCTCTACCCGGCGTCCGCTTGCTCAGCGCCTGTCACCATGGCAGAGAGCACCACGGTGTCAGCGGCTCAGCCCAATATACCGCAACCCGGTGATGGAGCCTATCTGGCTTCTCGCATTCCTCAACCCGGCGACGGCGCGTATCTCGCAGCCCAGTCGCAGCGCAACTCTGGCGGTCCCTCTCGCCCCCGCGGCCAACCTGGCCGCTCGAATGGTCCCCGCAAGCGCAACGGTAACGGTCCTCGCAACGGGAACGGTACCGTTAATGGTAACAACGCCGATGTTGCCAACGGCGCCTCGGACGCCGCAGCACAGCTCGCCACCCTCTCCATTGAAGAGGTGACCCCGGCCAACCGCCGGAGCGGCAGCAGTGCCCGTAATGGCCGCCGGCTCCCTACGGCTGGCCTTGGTGACTCGTTCGTGCCCATTTCCGAGTCAGATGGCACGGACAAGAAGTCCAACAACCGCCGCGCGGCCAACAACCAGCGGCGTCGCGCTCGCGCCGCCCAAGGCGCGGCTGAGAACGATGAGGAGGCACGCGCCCTCGGTTTGGGCCGCGTCGACCTCGATGTCTCTCCCATGCCCAGCGGTGTCTCGACACCGCTCAATCCAGGTGCAGCACACTTTACTCCCAACGGGTCCGCCGTTCCCAGTCCGTCTGCGTCGAGCGGAGGCGAGGGTAATGAGGCGACCCCACCTGCTAGCGAGTCTGGCTATGGCAAGAAGGGTCGTAATGCCCGCGAGCCCCAGCCTCGTCGTGAACAGCGGGCGAAGAAGGAGGCGCCACCCAAGCCGGTGTCGAGCCGCCGTGCGGCATTTGAGCGTGGTTCCAAGCTCACGACGGCGGACGACAAGCCTGCTGCCAATGCTCATCACGACCGCCATGACCACGACCACCAGCACAACTCCAACCAGCCTGACGACCTCAACTCGCGTCTCACCCGTGGGCTCCGTGGCAAGCCGTTCATCGAGTGTCCAATCTGTTTTGCCCCGATTTACGCCCAGCAGCAGACCTGGTCGTGTCTCCCTCCTCACTCTGGACCAGTGTTCCCCGCTGGTATGCCTGAGAATGAGCGTGTGGCGTTCACGTCATCGCACTACACGGCGTGCTACACTCCTTTCCACATTCAGTGTATCCGTGACTGGTCGTCGCGCAGTCTCAAGGACGAGACCGAGCGCCTGCGTACCATCGAGTCGGCCGACGAGCCCTATTGGCGCTGCCCTGGATGCCAGAAGCGAAGGACCAGCAAGGTCAGCGAGTACCGGTGCTTCTGTGGACGGCAATCAAAGCCCGCGACCAACTCTACTGCCCCGCACTCGTGTAACGACGCCTGCGCGAGGATGCGACCCAACTGCGACCATCCCTGCCCACTCAACTGCCACCCGGGCCCATGCCCGCCATGCCAGGTTGCCTTGGTCGTTCGCTGCCCGTCGCACGGCACTCCCTTGACCGTCAAGTGCGCCACCGCTAGCACCAACGATGCCGCTCTCACTCCCGTCTGTGACGAGCCGTGTCCTGGTAAGCGTGCTTGCGGCAAGCACGACTGCGATCGCCTTTGTCACTTTGGCCCGTGTGCCCCTTGCGAAGAGGTCGAGACGGTTCGCTGCTATTGCGGCGACGAGGAGAAGGCCGTTCCTTGCGGATGGCAACAACATGCCAAGAAGCAGTGCGCGACTGCTGACGAGCAGTGGATTGGACGGTTTGCCTGCGAGCGCATCTGCAGCAAGCCGTACGAATGCGGTGTCCACCACTGCAAGGACAAGTGCCACCCCCACAGCGTTTCGCCTCTCGCATGCCCGACTTCGCCAAGTGTTATCAGCACTTGCCCATGCGGTGCGACGCCGCTCAAGAACCTCCCTGGTTATCCCCGTGTCGACTGTCTCGCTCCGATCCCGACCTGCGGCTCGCCGTGTCCTAAAACTCGCCCTTGTGGCCACCCGTGCCCTCTCAAGTGTCACGACGGCTCGTGCCCCCCTTGTCACCAGCACATCACCCGTCCATGCCGCTGCGGCGAGAGCACCCTTCTTCTCGAATGCGACGAGGTGCGCGAGCGCAGCGAGCGTGGCGAGTCCGAGTTCCTCTGTGAGCGCGTGTGCAAGGCACTCCGCAACTGTGGTCGTCACGAGTGTGGACGCGTCTGCTGCCCACTCTCATACAAGGCCAAGCGTAAGGGACGTCGTGGTGTTGTCGACCTCGACTTTGGCACCGACGACCTTCACGTCTGCAGCCTTACTTGCGGCAAGCTCCTCAGCTGTGGCCTCCACACCTGTCCTCGCCCCGACCACAAGGGCGCATGCGGCCGCTGCCTGCAAGCCTCGTACGAGGAGCTCATTTGCAACTGCGGCAACACCGTGGTCTATCCACCCGTGGCGTGTGGAGCGACCGTCCACTGTCTGTTCCCATGCGCGCGTCCCGACCCGCCATGTGGCCATCCCAAGACGGCGCACAACTGCCACGAGTCGCCCGAGTGCCCCGCATGCCCCTTCCTCACCACCAAGCCATGTGCATGTGGCAAGGACCCGGCAGTCAAGAACGTCCGCTGCTCGCAGTCTCAGGACCGTGTGAGCTGTGGAACCGTGTGCGGCAAGCTTCTCGGCTGCGGATACCACCGCTGCGAGAAGACGTGCCACCCCGGCGGCTGTGAGCCCTGTGCCCAGACATGCAACAAACCCAAGCGTATCTGCAAGCACGCGTGCACTGCCGTCTGCCACGCGCCAGCCAAGTGTCCCGAGGGCGAGGCGTGTGCCACCATGGTCACTCAGCAGTGTGCGTGCGGCCACCTCCAGAGCCGCACGTCATGTGGCGCATCATTCACCAACCCCTCGTCGCGTGAGACCGTTCAACTCAAGTGCAACTCAGAGTGCATGGTGCGCCAGCGTAACGCTCGTCTTGCCGACGCGCTCGGCATCAAGTCTCCCATCGACCGCACGCTCACCGAGTGGTCACCGGACCTCAAGGCCTTTGCGCGCCAGAACCACAGCTTTGTCCTCACCGTCGAACAGACGTTCAAGGACTTCATCCTCGGCGCACGCACTACCTTGATTCTGCCTCACATGCCGCCCGCCAAGCGCACCTTTGTGATTGGCATGGCGGACGTGTACCACCTTGGCCGCGAGCTCATTGACGCCGAGCCCAACCGCTCCGTCCAGATCCGCCGTCGCATCGACACGCGTCTTCCCAACCCGCTTCTTTCGGCGGCTGCACCCGCACCCGTTGCCACGCGTCTTGGCGGTCTCGCCAACCTTCGTGCCAATGCCTCGTCGCCTTCGACACCTCCTGTCGCGAGCAGCTGGAGCGCTGGTCGTCCTGCTGCTGGTTCGTCCACCACCGCTGCTACTGTGGCAACCCCACCGACGAGCTTGCCGACTAGCCGTGTGCCCTCCCCCGGTATCGGTGCGCCGTCTGCGTCGGCTCCCGCGCCGACTCCTGTTCCAACCGCGCCGGTCGCAGCCCCGCTGGCGCCCGTGGTACCCACCCCCGTGCGCGCGACGGTCATGCCGCACACCAACATTCCCGTCCCTGTCGTCAACGTGTACAGTCTGTCTGTCGGTGACGATGACGATTGGGACCACAGCGGTGACGAGGCTTAGGCTAGACCCAGCCCCACTGCCGTTGTTTAGACCGAGAAAGACAACTGCCCAACAAACACATCTCTTCCTCACGCAACGCGCTGAGATTTCCCAAAGTAGTATATAGACTGCATACAAACCATGGCCTCACACCGGCCCCATGATGAAAACCAGATAAAACCCCCCAATGATGTTCCGAATGCAAAGTGAGGTTGCATGCGGATAGTATATGGTACAGAGAGAGAGAGAGAGAAGCAGTAGCGTATGTGTGATGCGGTAGTGAGGAACAAGAGAAGGAGTGCGCGAAGAAGTGTCTAGTCGTCGTAACCACCTCCGCCGTCCTCTGCGAAAACGTCAGTGATGTGATCCCGACACCACCGTCTCCCGTCTGTCATGGACTCACCTTCTCCGCCCTCGCCAGCCGAATCGTCGTCTCCTTCGCCGTTGTCAAAGTAATTATGGTCATAGTCCTGGTGGTCCTCATCTCCCTCATCGTCAAAGTCAAAGTCCTCCTCTTCCTCCTCCTCATCCTCCTCCTCTTCCCCAGCGGCAGCGTCATCGCCGCCGTCTTCGAGGATACGTCGCCTCTTGCGGGCCTTTTCGCGTGCGCGCGCCGCCGCGTCGCCCGACGAGCTCGCGCCCGTAGTGTCAAAGTACTCGCTCCAGAGCTGTGGAGGGAAGAGGGACTCGCGGAGGTGGAGCGCCGGAGCGTCAATCGTCGTGGTGCCGTTCGCGCCTGGGGTGGTGGTGGTGGCTGCCTTGCGGCGGTAGCGGTCCGAGTACGACTCGATTTCTGTGCGCTTCGTCAGTCTCAGTCCAAGAAACAAAACAGCCAGAGGCCAGACCGGTCCGCTGGGCGGTGGGTTCAAGGATAGAGTGCCCATAGAACCCACGCCCTCGTGCGGCCGTTTGCCCGAGAGGTTGACTCACCAATGCCAACCACCTTGCGCTCGCTGGCCAGTCGCCAGGGTGCGCCGCCGCGCTGTCCGTTGACGAGGGGTCCGTCCATGAGACCGCGCATGAGCTCGACGCTGTGCTTGATGACGTTCTCTTCCAAGGGCGTAGGACCCGGGAGCTCGGCGGCCTTATCCAAGGGCTGGCGCGTTAGAGGTGATCCTTCGTGTCCGTGGAGTGGATGGGAGGGACAGCGAGTAAGAGGGACGCTGAGCCATTCAAGACTGCGTCCTCACTTCCATACCACTCTGTCCACTGCAAGACAACCACCGGGCATCGCACAACTCACGGGATACAGCATTCCACTGCCCTTGACGGGCTTGCTAAAGCTCTCATACAGCGTGCGCGCGTCCTCCTTGTTCATACCGGCGAAAGCGGCATTGAACGAATCACGCGCTGCGTTACCGCCTCCGCGGCCACCGCGTCCGCCGCCGCGTCCACCACGGCTCATGTTGTCGTTTGAGGGAGGTTAGGAAGGTCGAGAGAGGTCCAGGTGGAGGTGCAAGGAAGGCGTGTTTGTCGAACAAGCACGCGCGGGGAGAGGAGAGTAGGTGTAGGTACGCGCCAGAGACCTGGTAAAAGGTCTGTAGTCGTAGCTGCGCGTGGATGGGGTGTGGAGAGACGAAGGGAGTGTCGCTTGTGTTGTGCTCGTTGTCTGTCTCGTCTGTGATGGCCCTCTCTCTCTCTCGCCACAGCAAAACCACACACACCCAATGCCGGGCGTCACCCAAGAATTTTGCTTCCGTCGCTCAGTCCGCCAGGTGCGGCCTCCACCGGCCACCGATCCACCGAGCTGATCGCGCTGACAATCATCTCTGGCTGCCAACAATTTGATCCCGTCCAAGGCTGCTGCGCTGGCTGGATCGGTCAAGGGCGATAATGTTGTCGACACGTCGCGTCACGTTTCCGTCCATCTCTATACCCCTCAACCGACCATGCTCCGGGCACTCCACTGGGCCCTCGCCCTCCTCTTTCTGCTATCGGGAGCCCTCGCTGGCTCCCTCTACTCCATCCTCGGAGGTACGTTCCCAACTGTCCCCGCCCAGTCGACGCTTTGGCATTTTGCGTGGTTTGCCGCCACTTTGCCACGTCGACCCGACACACCAGCGATGAGCTGCACGACCGGTTTGAAACTGACAACAAACCCGCAGTGGCAAAGGATGCTAGCGAGTCGGATATCAAGCGTGCATACCGCGTAGGTCATGTCAGCATGGATATGGTGGCTGACATGATAGCGCTTGTCTAAAAAGTACCACCCAGACATTAACCCGGACGAGAGCGCACACGAGAAGTTTATTGAGGTTGCCAAGGGTGGGTGGCGACGAGACGCAACGGAATGCTGACGTGTAGCATATGAGGTCTTGTCAGACAGCGAGGTGCGTTGCCCATACTCTTGGCCTACATCCAACACCCTCCTGGGCCATGCTGACATATCCAGACTCGCCAGATCTACGACCGCGGCGGCGAGGAGGGCCTGAAGCGTCACGAGGAGCGCAAGGCCGGCGGCGGCGACCCGTTTGCCCAGTTCTTCGGTGGTGGTAGGCAAGAGCCTCCCCGTGGCCCCAGCGTCGTCACCAACCTCGAGGTCCACCTTGCCGACATGTACACTGGCCGCACTGTCGAGTTTAACATTCCCCGTCGTGTCATTTGCTCTCACTGCAACGGATCCGGAGCGCACTCGCCTGCCCATATCAAGCAGTGCGGTACATGCCAGGGCCAGGGCGTTGTCATCCAGAAGCACCAGGTGTTCCCCGGCATGTTCACCAACGTCCAGATGACGTGAGTTGCGATAAGAGAGCTTTGGCGACCATAGCTTGAGCTCTTACTAACACGTCCCCAGTTGTCCCCACTGCAACGGCCAGGGCCAGTCCATCACCCGTCAATGCGGCAAATGCGAGGGCCACCGCGTGGTGCAGACCCAGAACACTCTGGCCATCAACATCCCTGGCGGTGCTCCTGAGGGCTTTGAGGAGGTGTTCCACGGCGAGGCAGACGAGAGCCCCGACTATGATGCCGGCGACGTCATTGTGCGCGTGCGCTCAAGGCGTGAATCGAGCAAGGAGTGGACTCGCAAGGAGGCTGGTCTCGTTGGACGGGTGACGCTTAGTGTGGCTGAGGTGAGTACTCGCAGGCTGTGGCAGAGGTTCCCGGCACCTCCCTTCAAGCGGCGAGGGATCCTTATCTCTCGCATGACCGTGCACTATAATGAGGCGATGGGACACTGACTCGCAGGCACTTCTTGGATTCGAGCGCAACCTGACGACCCTTGACGGTCGTGTTATCCCACTGGCACGAGGCGGAACCACACAGCCCGGCGAGGTTGAGGTCATTGAGGGCGAGGGAGTGAGTTGTCAGAACACCACAGACACCGGATAGTTGCTGACTTGCACGCAGATGCCCTCGTACCACGACATCCCTCAAGGCGACATGTACATCGAGTACAGCGTCGTCATGCCTACAGTTGTTACTGACGCGACTAGGAGGAGTGAGTGATGACCCTTACATGCGTCCCGAGGCCCCATACTGACACCCTTCGCAGAGCTGTTGGACGTGTTTAGCGGTAGTGGGCTCGTCCGTGACGAGCTGTGAGAGTAGTGAGGATAGACATGACATGCATTGTTAGCATTGACACTACGGATTGTGTGCAGAGGGGAAGCTTGTGTGGAGGAGGATCGTTGTCCGGGGCAAAGCACAAGAGCATCGCAATGTGTCAGTAACCTCTCACAGGGGGCCAACCTCACGGCTGGTCAAGGTCAGAGCCGCGGCACAGAAAAAAAACATGATACATCCATCTACACCCCAACCTCGCCGCCCAAGCGCTCAGAAACCATACTTTTGTGTCGAGGCCCGCATGTTCTTCTTGTTCTCTGCAATCCTCGCCTCGAGCTCCTCGCGCTGCGAGAACGCCGTCGACAGCAGACTTGTGAGCTGGTGACGCTCCGCCGCAAGACCGCGCGTCTGGCCCTCGGGCCCCTTGTACACAAAGTCGTCGCCGGGCAGCCTCGGCTTGACCGTCTTGGCGCGGCGGTCCTGCTCGGCCCGGGCGGCCGCGACGTCGGCGCCGACGTTGATGTCCAGGACGTTTGCGCGCCCGTCGTCCAGTGCGCGCCAGTCGCGGCCGACGCGGCCGGCCTTGCGCTCCTCGGCCTCGGCCAGCTCGTCGTTGCCGCTCGGCGCGAAAAAGGACGCGTAGTACTCGGGCTCGTACGCCGCCCACCCGCCAGACGGCGTCTGGTAGTATCCCGGGTACGGGTCGGACGCTGTTGGGGGCGGAGGGACAAAGTCGGCCACGGCGGGTGCGGCCGAGACGCTCGGCGGCTTGGGAGTGGTCGTCGATGACGGGGAAGGGCGGGCGGGGGCGGCCTCGGCGAGACCGAAGAGATCGAGCTCGGCGGTGGCGTCCTTCTTCTTAGCGGCGGCACGCGCGAGAGAGGCGGGCATCATGAGGGAAGGTCCGTCGTCGTCGTCGTCATCGTCTGCTGCGCTCGGAGCAGCAACGGGGGCACGCGCAGGCACAGCTGGCCTCGCCATCGACCTGTTCACGGCCAGCGACGCACCCTTGTCCACGGGTCGCTGGGGCAGCTTGCGTTTCGGCGCTGGGAGCATGCCGAGGAGGGACGAGCTGGGCCGTTAGCGTGGCACACGGCACCATATTGATCCCACTTACCTCCCTGCGCCAGTGAGTTTGGGTTTTTTGACAGGCTTCTCGTCCTCGGCATCACTGTCGCCACCGACCACGCCATTGCCCGCCTTGCCCTTTCCCTTCCCCTTGCCACTCGCGTCCTCGTCGTCGTCGCCAGATGCCTTGGGAAGGTCGAGGGTAATCTTCACAGGTCCCTTACGCTTCGGCTTGACGGCTGCCTTGGGAGCAGCGGGGGCAGGGGTGGCGACGGGGGTGGGGCGCGACGGGCCCGAGTCCGAGTCCGAGTCCGAGTCTGAGCCGTAGTTGGCGAGAAGCATGGTCGCCTGGAATCCTCTGTTTATGGCGGTGCAAGAGCCTCTGGTTATGTTTTGGTGAGGTGGCTAGGCGTTTTTGTCGGTTTGGTCGATGCTGAGAAACGAGGAGGAAAGATGGTGGATGTTGTTGTCGAGTGAAAGTCGAGGCTAGTCGAGGATCTCAATGTGTGAGTGGAGGGTGTGGAGTGCGGCGCAAAAGTGAATTGCTCTGCTTGGAATCGATCCGCGTACGAAACTCTGTAACGGGTAGGGTGATCCTAACGGACGCCGATCCCCTTCGTCGCAGTCATGGGCCCACATGCAACTCCGTTCCAAATATCGAGAGATCTTCGCGTTCAGGTGCTTCTCCTTTCACTAGACATATTATACATGTAGCCATAGTGTCCGCCACTTCGTCTATACACAAAAAGACACTAGTTCACAGTGTGGGAGCGCGGCCATCCTTCCGAGGCCATCCTTCCGAGGCAGTCCACTCCTTGAGGCGGGGTGTCATGTCGTCATGCCGCCCGCCTGGTGGACTCCGTTGGAGTGTTTATATGGATAATAATTAAACGACTCGTTTTTAAAATTGTTTATTGTTCGTTGTCGAGAGTGCGATAGGTCGGTCTAATAGTCGGCCAGCTCGGCGAGGCAGATGAGGACGATCTGGGCTTCGGGCTTGCCAAGGTCACACTGGGAGCAGCAGTCAGCACAAGGGGATTTTTATGGTGTGGAGGGGGCATGGGGAAGGATGCGTACCGAGTCCCAATCCGCGTCCCATGCCTCTGCCCGTTGCTGACTCACTGCTCCGCCGCGACGACGACGCCAGTGCTGTGAATAGGTCCGGAAGAGCTCCTTGTCCTCTGCGGGGCTGAGGGGTAGCGTGTCAGCTGGCTGTGTCTGTCTTGTGCCTTTTGGCTTGGGAGCTCCATTTGGGTGCTTTGAGATAAGAGGGCATGACGGAGCGCATGCGGTATGTGGTCACCACCACCACCATGGCACCATGCATCTGTGGCTTTGGCGCGCCGCGGCGCAGACGATTCCCTTTGGGTCGATGGCGTGGGTGTGGTGTGTATACCTGGTGTGTATACCAGTGCCAGCGCCGGAATGTGGCGCGCCTGCCGGGAGCAGATGCGAGGAAGCAGAAAACGGGAAACACTTACAGTGCAGTTGGGAGCACAAAGGACGAGCGCTTGGTAGCGACCATGAGGGACTGGACCCACTTGAGCCAGACCTTGAGTGCCGCAGAACCGTGGACGGCAGCACAAGGTTCGAGCATGCTGCAACGAAAAGAGTGTCAGCGCGATGCAGACGGCGACGAAGAAAGCCATGACGGTGATGGAGAGATGGATCTGTGGCGTGTGTGTTGTGGCGCACCCAGTTGTGTCTGTGGCGCACCACCTTCTTCGCCGGCGGCAGTTTAGAGCCATCGTCCAGAGCTCAAGAGTGGTTGGGCGGAATGCAGTGATGGAAGGCTCACCTGTCAAGGAGCTGCAGGCAGCGGGGGACATTGATCATGTTGTACGCTTGTGCGGCCGTCATCTTCTCGGGCAGGTAGTACTGGAGCTCGTCCTCCAGCTGGTCGTACATGTGGGTCATGGACTGGAGCATGTCGGACGGTGTGTGGCCCATGGGGTAAGGCCAGTACGAGTACTCATCCGACGCCGGGGTGAACGACAGTACCGGCTTGTACTCGACCGTGTCGAGGCCACCCAGTCCAAGACCCAGGGGGTCTGCGACGGGGGCTGGGGTGTGGTACTCGAGCTTGGGGTAGTCGTACGTGTACGACAGGTCGTACACTGGGGTCGGGGTCGTGATGGGCAGCTTGCGGTGGTGCGGGGGCTCTGGCGTGAATGCCAGCTCCTCCGGATAGTAATTGGGGTCCTCTGGAGTCTGAGGAGTCGGGGCAAAGTGGACTGTCGGGGAGACCGATGGGGACGCAGACGGGGTCAAGGCCGGAGTGGCAAAGGGGGTACACAAGGACGACATGGCGAACAAAAGGAAGGCTGATGGAAACTACTGTAGAGGAGGATGTTTTGTTCGAGTGATGGGACTCAGGAGTGATGTGTTGACACTGGTGATGGGAGAGGAGAGGAGGAGAGGAACAATGGCTTGGGCTCAATGTAGGAGCCGACGGGGAGGGGGGGTTGCTCAATGTAGGAGCGAGGAGGGGAGGAAGTGGGTAGTCCGTTGGAGGGTGAAGAATGTGTGTTCGGCACTGATGGCTCAGTCTTATGTTGTTCTTCCACCCACTGTGCGCGTACGCGCGTACTGTACATTGCCTCATACCTCGCGTCTCTCGTGGGCTATGGAGATGTCTAGCCTGGGGCTGTCGGCGGGCTTGCGGCAATGGGAGGCGGCGCCACAACCACTCTGTCACGGATACTTGAAAACATGACCGTCTCAGGTCTCTCAGGCCTCTCTCTGGTTTCCCTGCTGCGGTCAGCCAAACATCGCCAACATGGCTCGGGTGGTATTTCGTCAACTTGCCCGCCTCGCGAGCAATACTCTATACTCGAGGGGCAGCTCCCTTCTGGGTTGGTGCCTTCCATGTAACAGTTCTTGAAACGAGACACACTCCTTCTACAGAAGATCCAACCCCCCCATAGGTACCAGAGGCGTCCGAAACAAAACATGGACCCAATTCAGTAGAGGCAAGTAAGGAGAGGTGGGTGAGAAGGGTCCGGGAGCTGGGAAAGAGATTACTTCGTAACGGGTGGGGAAGAGCTGGAGAGGCCTCTCAGACAAACGGGGAAGCAGGGGTTTATGGGAGGGGGTGGCTTCCGGCGCTGGCTGCTGTTTGGAGGCTCTGAAAGAGAAGCAAACATGTCACGAGTAGACTTGGACACGGGAGGAGAAAGAGGAGGAGGAAGCATACACATGGCGGGGGCCGTGGCGGCGCCGGGGAGGCAGGGAACCGCACGGTGGAGTGGACGTAAATGACGCCAGCTTGGCCGCGTCAGGCAGTGGGAATGGAATGGAGGGAGTAGACGAGAGAGAGAGAGAGAGCCTACTTTCCGAGAGCGTCGTGGTGGCCATGGCTCAGTAAAGGGTGCTTGGGCTCTGTGTCAGTGCACTGCACGAGGCAGTAGGACAGGAGGGCGAGGAGAGAACTCGAGCCTGGGGGAATGCCCGCGCAGCCTGCCGTGGTGCTTTGGATCTCAACCACATGGGTGTCTTGGGGGAGAAGCGGAGGACGAGCGACAAGTGCCAGAGTGCCACAGATACGAGACTTGTGTGTGTGCATTGCGGGAATAGGCACCGCTGTGGCGTCCGTATTGGTCTCGGCTGGGTTTTGTGTGCTTCGGCTGGCGCGCACACATTTCGTTTGTTCACAGATCACAGAGATCTGTCATCTGCATCCGGGTCATCTAAACTGTTTGTCCTGTTGCATAATGGTTGACCAAACATGGCAACAAATGCTGTAAATAGGTCAGGTATGGGGAGGTATGGGGAGGTATGGAGGGGTATTGTGGCGGCCACCAGAACCGGCAACAACGAAGGGTGTGATGGAGACCACCAATTGCGTGCACCACCGCGCCTGCACGGGCTCATGCTTGGGATCTCATTTGCCACCTCTGCTGTGATCGAACGTCAGTGCTCATTTGGCATACGGGCTGTGGATCTGAAAATCGTCTTGGGAGCAGTTGATAATGCGGAACGTAGACGCTGGTGGACAATAGGATCCATTCCTGGGTCAGTACCGTGGTTTGAGGAACCAGGCCCGGCCGTGTGTGTGTGTGTGTGTGTGTGGGTGGGTGAGGCTTGGCGACGACAACGTCATATGCTTGCTGCAAGGCAGGATGCAGATGCGGCCGCGCGTACTGGAGCTTCTGTGCGGTGGTTATGGCCATTGGCCATGGCGCCAACGTGTCCCACCCACCCACTTTCGGCATGGCCACATGCCTGTATTCGCGCCACATGCCCTCAGATGGCCATGTGTCCGCAACTGCGAACCGCTCGCGGCCGTGCACAGGTACAGATACACACGCGTGGCGTAGGGGCAGCGCTGAGACCGAGCAAGGGGCAGAAAGCAGAAAGAGGACGTATCAGAGCTTATTCTACGTCCCCCCCAGGTGTGTCAGTGTTTCTTGTTTCTCCACGGCGTGTGCTCCACAGACTGCAGCCTGCGTGTCCCAAAGATCCAATCTACTCCTGACGTCTCAAAAAAGTGCACAATAGTTTCAATACATGTTATGTCCGCGTCGCTGTGTTTTAGGTGATGGCTGTGTTGCGTCAGCGTGGCAGTTCGACAAACCCATGGGGGGGAGATTCCTCGACAAGTCGACATGTCCCCATCCCCCACTTCTGTTCCCTCCAAACTCACTGTACTTGGGACCACCGCCGCCCTCGGGAACGGTCCAGGTGATGTCCTGAGTGGGCACCTTGATGGAGCAGGTCTTGCAGTGAATGCAGTTCTGCGAGTTGATGACAAACTTCTTGCCAACGGCGTCGACCTCGGCACCCTCGGCGTCCTGGTACTCGTACACGGAGGCGGGGCAGACACGGCCAAGGAGACCGGCGTACTCTGCAAGGGGTTGTCAGCGGGATTCTTCTGAGCATGATGGTCTTTGTGAGTACTCACTAGTGACGTTCTCGGCAGTGTGGCGGGCCTTGGCCTCGGGGTCGGTGGGGAGGCGGAGGTGGACGGGCTGGTTCTCGGCGTGGTTGGTACCAGTGCGCGAGACCGAGGTGAGAATGTCAAACGAGAGCTTGCCGTCGGGCTTGGGGTACTCGATCTCGTTGAACTGGGCAGCGGGCTTGGTGGCCTGGAAGTCCTCCTCGGGGTGGTGGAAGGTGAAGGGGACGCGGCCCTTGAGAAGGAGCGAGTCGACACCCGAGTAGGCCATACCGCCCCACATGCCGAGGGGGTTGTGGAACGATGGGCGGAGGTTACGGACCTCCTTGAGCTCCTTGTACACCCACGAGTCCTCCATCGCCTTCTCGTAGCCCGACATGTCGACGGGCTTGTCCTCCTCAGCAGCACCGCTGGTCAGCTGCTCGTAGGCAGCCTCAGCGGCGAGCATACCCGACTTCATGGCGTTGTGGGTACCCTTGATCTTGGGCACGTTCAGGAAACCAGCCGAGCAGCCGATGAGGGCACCACCGGGGAAGTAGAGCTTGGGGATCGACTGGAGACCACCCTCGTTGAGGGCACGCGCACCGTAGGCGATGCACTCACCGCCCTCGAGGACCTTGGCGAAGAGAGGGTGGTGCTTCATGCGCTGGAACTCGCGGTAGGGCGAAAGGTAAGGGTTGGGGTAGTCGAGACCAATGACAAGACCAAGAGTGACCATGTTGTCCTCCATGTGGTAGAGGAACGAACCGCCGTAGGTCTTGTAGTCGAGGGGCCAGCCCATGGTGTGAACAATCTCTCCCGGGCGGTACACCTCGTCCTTGACCTTCCAGACCTCCTTGATACCGAGACCGTAGGTCTGGGGGTCCTTGCCCTCACGGAGGTTGAACTTGTTCTGGAGAACCTTGGAGAGCGAGCCGTGGGCACCCTCGGCAATGAGAGTGACCTTGGCGTGGAACTCCATACCGGGCTCGTACGAGTCCTTGGGCTGCAGGTTCTTGTCCAGACCAACATCGCCAGTGGTCACACCCTTGATACCGGTGCCGTCCTCGGTGTAGATGGGGGTGGCTCCTGCGAAACCGGGGTAGACCTCAACACCGAGCGCCTCGGCCTGCTCGGCCAGCCAGGCAGTCACACGCGACAGCGAGACAATGTAGTTGCCCTTGTTGTTCATCTGAGGCGGGTGGGGCATGGGGATGGCCATCGAGCCAGTAAGGAACTTCATCGAGTCGTGCAGCGCCGGCTGGTTGAGCGGCGCACCGAGCTCCTTCCAGTCCGGGATGAGCTCGTCGAGTGCGCGAGGCTCAAGGACCGCGCCAGAGAGAATGTGGTTACCTGTTATTGACGTCAGCCGCTGCAACCTAGAGCTGGGCGGGGTGGTGGGTTGGGCCTTTTTCCTCGTGTCCGGCTCATGCCATGCAGGTGCCGGCCGATCTACTCACCAGGCTCCGAGCCCTTCTCGAGGACAATAACACGCAGCGAGTCGTCCTTGTCGAGCTGCTTGAGACGGATGGCAGCCGAGAGACCTGCTGGTCCAGCACCGACAATGCAGACATCCACCTCATCGGTCGCGCGCTCGACCTCGTCGGGGTTGAAGGGCTCCTCAGCCTCGGACGCAAAAGTGCGAATACGTGCTGAGCGGAGCGGCAGTGTCACGACGGCAGCAACGGCGCGGGGACGGCGGGCGGCAGCGAGGGCCGAGCGGGAGGTGCCAATCCAGCGTGTTGGGCCCATCATCATGGACATGGTGGTGTGTGTTGTGTTGTGTGTTGTGGGAGAGAGAAAGGGAGTGGAGAGAGATGCAAAAGCGACAAAGTGTGAGTGTGGGTCCGAGTCGCAGAGCCAGAGAGGTAATGGCAGTGGCGTTGCAGGGAACGAGCGTGGCATTCCGGACGCGTTCATTGGCGCAGCGGACTAGCCGAGCCGAGGGGTCACACCGTGGGCCGAATACCGGTCCCCCGCAGATGCCGGCCGCAGCAACGACAACGACAGCAGTCGTGAAAACCGGGTATGAACAGTGAGCACTCTCGGTAATACCAGATAGGCGGGGGGGGGGGGGGGGGGGGGGGGGGGGGGGGGGGGGGGGGGGGGGCAGTCGTTGTGTCACCGGCGTCCGCATCGTCATGGAGCACACATACGCTTGGCACACAACGGCGTGCCAGTGTACCAGTGTACCAGTGTGGTGGTCATTTGTTGAGAACGCAGAACAGCAGAACACAGTTGTTCTCGCCCGCCAGTGCGGTCAGGGAGAGATGGACCCCAATGCATCGCAATCTTTTCATTTTCATGCTCTACTCAAACATTCGGATCGCAAGCACCATACACTGGTGATGCCATCGCCATCTCTCGGTCGGTTCGGAATCCCGTGGAAGCGCGCACATCCCGCCGACGCCTGATCCCGAGGTTCCGTGGTCCCAACCTTGCGCTGGACCGTGCTCCCCTGGGCGCCGTGCAGGGTTGAAGAGCGTGGGGTTAAGGGGGCAGCAGGATGCACATGTCCATCAGAGGATCAGAGGACTTGACGGCTGAGGCTTGCCCATTGTCATTCTTGGTCGGCAGTCTTAGGCCAGTTAGTGTTCCTTGAGATAGGCGAGATAGTAAAGTCCCGTCGAAGGTGGAGGGTATGGGGTGGCCTGCTCCCAATTGTCCTCCCCCTCCTCCCCCCTCTCCTCTATGGGCTGAGTGGCCCCTGGCCGGCGGTTCACGCGTCATTGTACAAGAGTACACGAGTGGGCGTCTGGATGACAACGATAGTCCATGTACTGCTCGCATGTTGCGGGGCTGCTGTTTGTGTCAGGGCCGCCGAATGGCTGGGCGCGAGATCCAAGCGATCGCCTTGACTGCAGACTTGGGATGCCGGGCGAGTATACAGTGACAGTGGGTAGCACGATCAAGCGAGCAAGTACAGTACCATGCTGTACAGCTCACTTGGCAAACTGCAAGTAGTGCACAGGTCTCTCAGACGCCACATCAGTTAACTGCCACCTACGGCTGGGCATACCCGGTGACAACTCGAGCGCCTGTGCGAAGCGACGTCGGCCGTGATTTGGGTACACTCGTCAACACCGGTTAGGTGGCATGGGCCCCACTAGGGACATCAGAGAACAGATCACTGGGGTTAGAGCGGACTGAGATAACAACGCTGCGATGCAGTGGGGGGGACGAGGCATGGATGAATGTCGGAGTGCTTCGGGAATGCGGAGGGCGCCACCATTGACGATGCTGAGGAACGCCGGGTAGGGGAGATAGCCAACCCGCCCGGGAACCCGTGGGGTCGCGCTCACTAATAGCTGTACAGCTGAATTGTAAGAGTAGGATGGGAGTAGGAAATAACTGGGAGCTTGAAATGTGAAAGAGGAAGATGAGGAGGTTAAGGAAGATGGAGACGACGAGGAAGATGGGGAAGACGAGGAAGGTGGGGAAGATGGAAAGGACATGGCCGCGGGTGGCGCTCTGACACCTCAGCGGCCCAAAGCGAAGCGATTCCAACCTTGTTCACACCTGGTCGTGCACACTGCGATCGGCCCCATCCCAATATCTCAATGCAAGGTTGCGGCATCTTGATCTCCTGTGAATGAACAGGTCTCGGCCAAGTCAGGCAGCTGCAGTCTGTGCCAGATACCCGAGATGGCAGTTTACGTAATCTTTATGTAGGCCGCTCCTCTGCACGCCTAAATTCCCGGGCGCCTGTTCCTTCTTGCTCTAGGCGCGCGTAACCCACCTCACACGTCATGAGCGGTTCAGTGCTTAATGTCCAGCTGGCAAGCAGCAACAAGTTGGCATCAGGCTGGCTCAACTTACACACAACCGTCCAGACCGTCTCACGTCGACTGTCACCATGAAGCTCGTGCCGACTCTATTCTCCCTCCTGGCGGTCCTCGGGGCCGCCTCGGCAGGAGACGTCCGTGGAGTCGACCCAGCAGGTGCGTGTCTTGCCTCCCAACTGGAGCCCCTGCCTTCATCAAGACGGCACACGGCCAAGCTGCTCAGCTGACTTTGCAGTGGCTGCGCGCTATGTCCCTTCTGCCGAGGGAACATTTGCTTGCCTCGACGGCTCGAGCGTCATCCCCTTTAGCGCCGTCAACGACGACTACTGCGACTGCGCGGACGGCTCAGACGAGCCCGGCACGTCTGCCTGTGAGGGCCGCTCAGCCGCGTACTTCTTCTGCTGGAACCGCGGCCATATCCCTGGCAAGGTCCTGGCCAGCCGCGTCAACGACGGTATCTGCGACCCCGAGTGCTGCGACGGCTCGGACGAGTGGGCGTCGGGTGCTTGCCCCGACCGCTGTGCCGAGATCTCAAAGGTGCACAGGGAGAAGGTGGATGCGGAGCAGAAGACACGTCGTACCGTGAGTTGTCATTGTGATGCAGCTGCGACGGGAGCTCTGAGCTGACCACTGGTTGACAGGGTGCCAAAATCCGCTCGACGTACGTCAGCTTTGCCCAGAAGGAGAAGACACGTCTGGAGGAGGAGCTCGCTGCCAAGCGGGCAGAGGTTGCCGACAAGGAGCTCGAGGTCGAGGAGGCCAAGGGTGGGTTACGTGACCTGAGTCCATGCTAACCCGCAAGCCGCTCTTGACAGGGCCGAGTCACAGAGCCGTGACGCTATTGAGCGTAAAAAGCAGTCGCGTGAGTCAAACACCAACCCCCAACAGCCTCTGTGCTGACCCTCAGCTCTGTACCAGTCGGTCGAGAAGCACCGTGACGTCGTGAAGCGCCTGAAGACCGACGTCGAGCTGCTCAAGGACGACCTCAAGACTGTCCTGGACCTTCTCGAGGAGCTGTCAAAGGGCTACAACCCTAACGGCCAGGACATGGCCGTCAAGCACGCCGTAATCAACTACAAGGAGCTCATCGGCCGTGTGGAGGTGCCGGAGACACCAAAGGAGGGCGTGGAGGGCGAGGAAGCCAATGCCGAGGCTCAGGTCGAGGGTGGCGAGCCCGAGGCGGCTGCAGCCAAGCTTAACCACATCCGCAACCCGGACGGCGAGATCCCCAACTGGCAAGTTGACGATGTCCTCCGCCAAGACCTTGAGGGCTTGCTCGTTTCGAACGACGGTGACGACGACGACGACGAGGATGGGCTCCTCTACCGCCTCGAGGAGTACATTCCCGACTCGATGTTTGAGTACTACGACACCGCGCGTGAAGCCATCGTGTCCTGGCTTACCGACTTTGGTGTCATCAAGCGGAAACAAGTTGCTGCGGACGGACCTCGTGAGTTCAAAAAGACAGTGCTAGAACTGACGCCCAGACGTCGCTACCGCTCGCGACAAGCACAGGGCCGCCGAGCGCTCCTTGACCGACACCAGGTCTCGCATCCGTGACATTGAAACCACTTTGGACCAGATCTCGACCCAGAAGCATTACGGTCCGCAGGGCGAATGGAAGAAGCTCGACGGCACCTGCATCGACACGGTGGCCGGTGACTACACGTACGAGCTGTGCTTCTTTGGCGGCGCAAGGCAAAAGAGCAACAAGGACTCGTCGTCCAACTCGCTCGGCAGCTTTGCCGGCTGGAACACTGAGGGTGAGCGCGGCTCGTACGGCTACTACACCAAGCAGCGGTACCGTAACGGTGCCAAGTGCTGGAACGGCCCTGAGCGCGCCGTCAACGTCGAGCTGTCGTGCGGCACCACCAACGCCATTCTGTCCGTCACCGAGCCTGAAAAGTGCGAGTACAAGTTCAAGGTCACGACCCCTGCGCTGTGCTGGCCTCTTGAGGGCGACAAGCCTGCTCCCAAGGCCCAGGCCGCACAGGCCCAGGACGCCGTCAAGGACGAGCTGTAGTGTTGCGGGAGAAGGCAAATGTAGAACTAGAGGATGCATCATTTGACATCACAGTGGTACAATGGGCTATCCCACGCTCAGAGGTGTGGAGGGGAGTTTCTAGGAGTGTGCGTAATTGCTAACTGGTCTCAAGCTGAGGATAGGAAGTCAAGCCCAAGGAGGTTTGCCGTTTATATGTCTTGTGGCCTTGTGGTTTGTTCTGAAAAGAACGACACAAGGTTGAGCTGACCTTGGCATGTGCTGCGGATCCAAGATTTTACCAGACCGTCCGTTGGACTACCTTTGAGTACGATTGCAGCACTGCTGGCACATGCGATTTGGTGGCGAACCACCGTCGTTATTGTTGGTCTGTGAGGCTGGTGTGAAAACACACTAGGAGCCAAAACGGCGTGGACCTGAACCCCACACCTTCTCATAGTGCGTTATCCGTGCCACCACTGTACCCATTGCCTCCTTCCTCCGTCTCCACGTCTCACCGGCAATGCACACCAAGTATCGCGAATGTTCACATCTAAAGTATCATGCATCCAGAGTGGTACTCCAAGCCTACGAAGAAGCGGCCAGGCCCGTCCAGTGATGCACGAGATTACTTGGTGGGCTTTTTACCGCCCTTCTTGTGGTGAGCCGGCGCTTCGTCGCCGCCCTGCACGTTACACGGGGGCGGGATGGGCGAGTTGCGGTCAATAGGAGGGAGGATGGCCTTTCCGATCTTGAAGTACTTTTCGTTCTTGTCAAAGAAGGTCTGCCAGCTGGTGATGCCCTACGCGGTGTGTCAGTGCATGCCGGTGTTGGCTCAGGCAGAGATCAGGTCGGGTGTGGCTAGTTCTTCCCTCCTTCCCCACGCTGTACCTACCTTGAGCTCCTGTTCGGACAGGCCGCGCAGGTCGTGAGTGAGGTGAGTCTGGAAGCAGCCCGTAATGAAAGCGCGCGACGCGTCGCGGCCAGCCCTGGAACGTCAGCAAACGCACAAGAATGAAAATTGGACAGCCCGGCTGGGACATCTCCAAGAAAGCTGCCAGCCACTTACATCATGTTGTACGCGCCACCCTTGCCGTACATGCGGGGGTTGGCCGAAACGTCATAAATCTCGCCGCCGATAGACAGGTAGATGGGGAGCTTGGGGTCCGTGCCGTCGTAACGGGACAGCTGGACGGCGGTGAACTTCTGGAGCTCTGGGGCGAAAGGGTTGGCAGGATGGGTCCAGACCTTGCGGACGTGGTAGCGCACGGTGGGGCCCATCTCAAAGTCCCATGTTCCAGTGAAGAAGTGGGAGAGGAGCGGGATGAAGATGGCGAGGAGGAAGAGCTTGGGCAGGATCGAGGACGATGACTGGGCCTGGGGCTTTGTCGTCTTGGGCTGGGCGGCTTTAGCGCGCTGGCGCTCTTCGCGCTCAAGACGGGCCTTTTGGCCAGCGAGAATGGCACTGTTGGCGGGCTTGTTACTTACGCGCTTGCCGTTGCTGGAGAGTCAGCTAGGTGGCATAGGGGTGGAGCACAAGCTGGCCAGCAGGACGCCACGCTCAACTGCAGTGAGTAGCTGTACTCACACGTCGACCACCGTGTCGTGGATCTCGCCAGGGGCAGAGCCAGGGCGCGTACGCTCACGGGCTAAATGTCAGCTAGGAAGGGGTCCCGTCCAGGCAGCTGCTCACCTCCCGGAAAGTTGTCAGCATCAGTGTTGGAGTAGACGTCGGTCATGGTGGGTATGGGAAGTGGAGAACAACAACAAACGTCGTGTCTCGTCTCCAGCTCGTATTTAAAGTGTCCTAGCGCTGTGCGGTGATTGGGCTGCTCAGTCGCGTTGTTCAGGATCTCTTCCCGCCGATTAAGCAAGTTTGGTGTGTATGGTGCCAGAGATCCAGAGAGCGTGTCGTGTCGTGTCTAGGACGTTTTGCGGGAGAGATGGTGAAACGCGCAATGCCGTTAACATTACTCGGCCCCCCTCCACATCGGTGCCCAGGGCGATTTGAGTTGGACCATTTAGGAGCGTTGTAATGCAAAAGCTACCGGGTGCTAATGCGGGGGTATATAGATACGAGCGGAGGCAAATTCCCCACCCACGCCGCGCGTCATGGGTCGAACGACGTGTGTCGGCAACGGCCGCGACGGACACCGGCATCGCTGGGTCATGCACAAGGGATCGTTCTATCCTCGGCCTCTCGCCCGCAGTCCATCCCTACAACGTCCTGCTCCGCGTGTGATCGCTTAGCTCTATATCAGGACAGCGTCGACAACACTGCCAGCACAGCCAACACCGCATCGAGGTAGACGACCTTTCAACTGCGTGTTGCTTTACCCGGCTGCCTGTGCCCACCACTTATTGCGGACATTCCACGCCAATAATCGATCTCACTTTCGACCACTTTCTCTCTCTCTCTTAGCCGTCCGCACCACTAGCACAATGGCAATCGACATGGACGTCGAGATCGACAACCTCACGGTTATCCTGCTCATGGTCCTTGCGGTCCTTGCGCTCTACCACCGCTTCTTTGGCTACGCGCCCGACGTACCTCCTCTCCTCCTCGGTCGCCAGGCGGAGCTCAGCCCCGTCCGCCAGCCCGGCGAGACTGCCGTGTACCGCTCGTGGGCCACTGGACATGGCACTCCTGTAAGCTCGATGCTCACATGCTCCCGACTGACAATGTAGCTCCAGGTCAGGCCATCTGGTGCGGTGAAGACTGTCGGTGACACCTTGAATGTAAGCTGCACTTGTCCGAGTGTCATCTGACGCCAGGTTCCTCCTCCCAGGCCACTCAACAAACCCGTTCCTCCCATCACGCAGAGGTATATTCTTGACACTCCGGTGGGTTAGCAGTTTCTCACTTGCGCTAACCCGCCAGCTCACGAACGAGGCTCTCACTGAGATCGTCCGTCTCGTCCCTCTTGGTCTCAAGGCGCTCTTCTCCGAGCAGATGGGAACCGTCGACTCGCCCAAGTCGATCGTGACCCTTCTCCCTCCTTCGCCTTCCACCTCGCTTCCTCTCCTGCTTCTTTCTCTCGCCTCGCAAAAGTCCAACCCTCTCGTCGTCCTGCCTTCGCGCTCCCTTCTTCCGGCTGCCCTCGAGTCCAAGGATCACCCGGCTCCTGGTCTCCTCGTGCTGCACGAGAGCGCCTTGACAGACGCTGTTGACCTCGACTTCCAGGACCTCAATGGCGCCGGTATCCTCCTTGTCGGGGACCCCAACCGCCGCCGTGCAGGCCCCGTTGCGGACGCTATCAGGCATGGTGTCAACGTCAAGTGGTGGGAGGAGATTTGGGATGCCGCCGAGGGTGTCGACGCGCCCGAGACTGAGAAGAAGGACGACACGGCTACTAGTGGGTATTTCTGCTTTGTATACGCACTGACCCAGCAGCCTACTCGGACATTCACAGCTACTTTTACGAGCTCCCGGCCAGCGGCGCCAGCAGTTCGCAGGTTGTCCAGGTGACACACATGGTGGGTTTCAAATGTGGTCAGTCTAACCCAGCAGAACATGACCTCTGGCATTGCCGGCCTGCTGTCTGCCTTCCCCGCCGACAAGCGTCCCACCGCTGCGGACGTCGTGGGCAGCACTGTCCGCATTGACTCTCCTTTCGGCATGACTATTGCCGTCGCCAGTGTCTGGACTGGTGAGTCATTGGTGACTTGTGGATGAAGCTGACATCAGGTGCCGGTTTCCGTCTCATTGGACCCGCCGCCGGCCGCTTTGACGCTGCCTGTGACCCTGCCGATGAGCTCGCAGCTCTTGCTGCTGAAGGCGGCGACCAGCCTCTCCCTTCTGTTCTCTTCCTGTGGGTCCGCGGCGTTGTTTGCCTGCTAACCCACCAGCTCTGCTGCTCACCACTATGCTCTCGTCACGCGTCTGCACGATGGCTTCCTTGCGCACCCGTTCGCGTCCATGGCTGCCCGCCACCGCCTCCGTTCGCTCCAGCAGGGCCACGTTGAGCGCGGCGGTATCATGGAGAAGCTGGTTTGGAACAACATTCGCAAGGACGCCATCGGCGGTATCGCCGGCGACGCGCTGCGTGCCGTTATTGTCGTTGGAGGTGGGTTCCAGCAGTTGCGACCTAAGCTAACCCATTAGACGCGCCTTCCCCCCAGACCGTGGCGCTCTCGCACGCGCTCCTCTCTCTCCCTCTCACACGTCTGCACTCGACCTTCCTCTCCGCGGGCCCCGTCTTCGTTTCGCACTTTTACGACCTCCAGGGCCCCTTGCCGGACATTTTCTCCAAGTCGTTTGACCCCTCGAACTCGCACTCTGGCCCGCCTGCGTCCAACATTGAGGTCGTGCTCCGCGGTCCCGAGACGGAGCCCGTCCAGGACGACGAGGGCAAGCCGTACCAGGGCCGCGTGTGGGTGCGTGGACCTGGCGTCCTTGAGCCTGTTGGCGTGACGCTCGTGGAGGGTTGGGTGGACACGGGCGATAACGCCGCCGTTGGCACAAACGGCACGTTTGTGATCGAGTCTCTGACAATGAAGTCGTAGACATATCCATGCAGCGTGGTTCAGAAGCTCAGAAGCAGTCGCGGGACCGAATACATGTACAGATATTATTGACAAGGCGGTACTATTGAACAACACAGGGCGGGTACAACGTACGGAGAAGGATAGACATGTTAACGCGGCTGGCGGATGTTGATGCGGTCGTCTGCTTCCAAGCAGCGGACCATGACTTCCTCTTCCCACTTTACTGGAATGGCTTTCTCGCCCTGGATGTTAGCTGTCTGGACGCATTCAATCAGATAACTCACCGGATCCATGGTCAGGCGGTTCCACACTCCAGCAGCGATCCGCGCATGGGCTGCTTCGGAGGGATGGAAGCAGTCGGCCGGGCTCAGCGCAGTGATGGGATAATGCTCGAGGTCGAATGCCGAACCCGGTTGCCTGGACGGTGAGCTTCAAAATCACGCCCAAGATTTAGCGAGCTCACCAAACAGCCGCAAACGTGGAGTCGTCCTCTGCCTCCCACTCGCGAATAAGCTCGAGCACCGCCGTGTCGTAAGCCTCGGCGAGATTGTCCATTCGCCAACGGGTGAAGTCGCCCACAAGGCCGGGGATGAGGGCACAGCTGCACTCGACAGAGATATGCGGGAATGGGAGAGGGCCCTGGCTGTGATGACGTTAGCTGGACGGCGATATCACGGTAGCTCACCAGTATGGGTCCGTGAGGGTGAGCTTGTAGATGGCCGAGACACGCAGGACTCCCACTGAGCGCTGTCAGTGCCGGCGCTGGCAGCTCGGATAGGGCTTACTGATGTTAACGATGAGTTTGGGTACGTGATTTCGAACGAGCTGGACTGCATCCCGGATTCCTTGGACAAACTCTTCTGGACTACCTGGCCCAAAGGGCAGAGTGGCTGGCGTCAGCTGACTCCTGGAGTTGGGAGAGCTTACAAGACAAGCAGAACGCGCACTGAGGGTGAGCATGCGCAAATACAACGATAACCCACGATATCATTTGCCCCAATGCCAATGTTGAGAAACGCCCAGCCGTCCTGCTTCTCCGTCTCCTCGTATGTCGGCAGCAAGTAGTCTGTCATGGGTCAGTCGCGGAGCAGGAAATTTAACCCACCTCTTGCTTGCCCCACAAGTGCGGCTGCAACACTACCCGAGATTGCCGCATTGAGCCTGTCGTCATCGCTGTGTGGGGTACACACCCTCGACATGCCCGGAAGCCCACACGAGACCGGTGGGTGGTGACCGGTCGCCGCACCTGTGACGTTGGGGTTGTAGTGGGCGAGGATGTTCGGCAATGTGATGGCACCGGCGTCTCCACCGGCAGCGTACGACACGCCGCGGAACTCTTCGGCGTCGGGGGTGACTGTCGCTGAAGGAGTCAGTAACGCATCACGGCACTCAAAACTCACCAAACACGGCTTGTCCATCGGCTTCTCTCCTCCAACTACTGGGGATCTCGCCGCCGCTTCCGATCGCCCAGCCGCCGGACTTGGCGAGGAAGGCCGCAGTAATGGAATCTCCCATGGCCATGACTACAGTGATATCGTCTGGCCTCCTGCGCGGGTCAGCAGCCATTCCCCGGGCGAGTAACCCACACATCGTCGGCGGAGGATGGCACAGCATTGCGGCGCTGTAACGGTGGACATTCGTGCAAACGGGAAAAGGGGACAAACGTTCCCGGTAGGCCTGGTGGTGGGCTTGGTGGAATAGATGGTGCAGCGTGTGCACCTTGGAGTACGAGGGTAAGTAGGAGTGGCCAGCGCATGGCGACGTGTGGTGTTGAGAGTGAGAGTTGAACAATGAGAGGACGTGTGGAGTGTTGTTTCATTCCTCGGAAATGGAAAGTGGCGAAAACATGGAGACCCCGGATCGTCGGATAAACCCGATTCAACTATACGTTTGGTCTCCATGCTCCTTCAGCTCCTGGCGACAGGCCACTTGCATTTGCGAGGCAACGGAGAACTGGGGAACCATGTTAAGTACCCGGAGAAGCCTTGGAGTGGCTCCACTTGGGGCGAGGGATACTCTCGGCCCCACCACGATATTGGCTGTGGGCCAGCCGAGGTACGCCGCGGCCGACAGATCCACACCTGCGGCACAGCCACAACCGACCGCTTGGCCGGTCCGAGGTCGCTCAAGGCCGCAATGGGTGTGCACGACCTGGAGGGAGAAGGAACTATAAAAATAGCAGCAGAAGCAGGGTTTGAGTGTGAAGCAGAACACGAAGAAGGGCACAAAGTGGGGACTGCCATGCATCTTACACCTCGCCGGCGCGCTTCTTGAGCACGTCGTAGATGTGGTCGGTCATGACACCCTTGGTGAGCTTGTCATAGTCGTACACAACCATGGTCCTGTGCACGTCAGTCATCCACCTTTTGAGGAATATTGTTATAGTTGAGCAGGAAATCCCAACTACAGGTCCCGATGGGACGATTGTGTGCGCTCCACTACCAAGGCATGGAGCTACTCACGCATCAGAGGTGAGCGCCAGCTTGTTGGCTTTGACGGCCCAGATTGCTGAAGACATGTGGAACGTCGCGCGCTTCTGGTCAATGTTGGTAATCTTGGCAGCCATAAGGACCTGATAGTGTCAGCTTGGCCCCACGGTGAAGGAAGGTGGACGGCTTACCGTGTCCGGGTAGGTCACTGGGTACCTGTACCGCACTGAGATGTCCTTGAGGATCCAGCCCGTTCGCCTGCCGTTCTGTGGACCGTTAGCACTGTCGTCATGAACGGCAAGGCCGCTATTGGCAGGAAGCTCCCGACGCGGAAGTCCGACTCAGCGACCCAGTGACTGCCGTCGGTGGGTTGGAAGTGGTTCATTGTCCCCGGTAGTGTCGGTGTCCCCCACATGTGGGGTCCAGCTGACAAGATGATAATTAAGGCAGCTGACTGTGGACTTACCATAAAGTCGTCGGTGAGCTCGGGACCCATGTCCTCCTTCAATGTCTGGCACCAACGCATGCGCTGCGATTCCAGGTACCTGACGTAGCTCACGTTGTTGACGTGGGCAAACATGTCTTGCTCGCCCCACGCAACTGGCCACTCGAGACGACCCTTGGGATCAAACCCGTTGGAGTCAAACCACTCGTGAATGGCTGCACGCGTGCGGTTCAACTTTGGGTCGAGGTGCGGGGCCATGTCGACACTGTCGCCATCGGGGTTTACAACAGGAGGCGTCCACCCGGCCGCCTCAAGCTCCTGCCCTGGGAGAGCGCGCGCAACGGTGTGATCATCAGGCGAGGCGGGGCCGACCTCCCCGGGAGCGAGGTAGAAGGGTGAAGATGGGTCCGAGAACTTGCCAAGGAGGTCCTGGGCGAGTGTGAGACATGGTTTGCGGGGGTCAGCCTGCTCACCTTGAGTTTGGGGTCGCGGACGACCGCGGATGTCGAGAGGGCACGCAGAGATGGGACGGCGCGTGTTTGGCGCAATGAACGAAGGGCGAGCATGGCGAGTATTGTTGTTCAGAGATGAGTGCACTGTCAGGATGCGACAGTCACCGCTGCAAACAGCCTCCACTCGCGTATCCCCAGCCAACCGGCGCGGAGTTCACCGTCGGAATTCGGATCAAATGTCACATTGCCGAAACCGATGCTGAGGGCCCACGCACTCAGCCTTTGGTGGAAGAGCTTTTGTTTAAGTTGTGTGTCAGCTGTAAGAGGGTGAGGAGCCCAGTTGCACTATGCATTTGGTGTAGGATTCGTTTGGACAACCAGACACACAGTGTTCATGAACATGGTTCCGACTGACAAAACATCATCGGGCGTGTAGCTCAGTTGGTAGAGCGTGTCATTAGCATCTTCTACCCTACTTGACAAGGTCTTTGGTTCGATTCCTAACTCGTCCACTCTTTTTGGGCGCTCTGCATGCATTGCAAGCGTTGTTTTTGATCGAAAGGCAAACCTTGGAGCAGGCAGAATGAAGAGATGGACTTGGACAGCCACGAGTTGAAAATCTCTCCGCTCGGTGATCCTCTTTCTCTGCCTCACGTCAGCCCGCCCGATGCATGATTCAGCAACGCGCAGCAGAAGAGGCTTCTTACTCCCCAGATTCTACTAGAACAGTGCATGTCGCGCGTGGAACTGTGTCTTGAAGCGAGTCCAAGTGGAGGAAATGCAGCGCATTGTCGGTGCGGAGGTGGAGGAGATTTGGGCGATCTCGTTAAGCGAAGCGCGCCGCCAGGGCCGATGACGCCGCTGGCCTCCACAATCTCGCTTGTCATTTCTCACTCCACCCCCATTCATTGTGTTAGGCCCACGCGCATCCACGGCCGACGACGAACGTTTGCTAAGCATGCGCCGCTGCAATGCGCGCCGAGATGGCAGGTTGCATGTATAAAAGGACTCACCGTGCCGGCTGAAAAGAATCCCACATCACAACAACCGACTTCCACTCCACAACTCTCAAGCTTTAACCGCCCAACACCACCACCACCTTAGTACAAACCAACAATGTCTCCTACCAAGCGCGCTCTTATCGCCATCACCTCGGCCCACGTTGACATGTACGGAGAGGGCAAGGAGACTGGCCTGTTCGTCACTGAGGCTCTGCACCCCTTCAACGTCCTCCGCGAAGCTGGTTTCGAGGTCGACCTCGCTAGCGAGACCGGCACTTACGTCCCCGACTGGCTCTCCACCACCGAGGACTGGCTGCCGGCCGAGGACCGCAAGGTGTTCGAGGACCACACCTCCGAGTTCCGTTCCAAGCTTGACAACTTGCACAAGGCCTCGGATCTCAAGGCGTCTGACTACGGCCTCTTCTTCGCCTCGGCCGGCCACGCCAGCTTGATCGACTACCCCACCGCCAAGTCCCTCCAGGCCATTGCCAGCGAGGTTTACACCAACGGCGGTGTTGTCAGCGCTGTGTGCCACGGCGGTGCCATCTTCCTCGGCATCAACGACAAGAACGGCCGCCCCATCATTGAGGGCAAGACCGTTACTGGCTTCACCAACCTCGGTGAAGAGCAGCTGGGTCACGTCGAGACTATCAAGAACTGGCACGTCCCCACCATTGAGGCGAGCGCCGCCCAGCTCGGTGCCAACTACGTCGCTCCCCCTGGCCCTTGGGACTCGTTCACCCAGACCGACGGCCGTGTCGTCACCGGCGCCAACCCCGCAAGTGCCGAGGCTACCGCCAAGGCCGCCCTCGCCGTCTTCAACACCCTCTAATAGAGTCCATCTAGTACAGTAGTTTATGTTCATAATCTGGCTTCGACACCACAATAGAGTCTCATTACGCACAGGCGCCTATGCTATGTTACAGTCTTTGTCCTCCCACCTGTTAAGATGCACAGTTCCCTTTCGCGTTTACTGACCTCGGTGTCGGACCTAGAATGATATCGGGACCGGCGAGGCCTCCTCGCCACCTTCACCACGCTCTTGTAGTTCAGCACACCGACTACGTTCCACAATATGGCTTCGTCACAATAGAGTCTCATTACGTGCTATGCACAACACATGTGTCTATGCTATGATACAGTCTTTGTCCTTCTCTCCACTACGACGCCCAGACTCTCGTTTACCGACCAGCTCGGCATATCGCACCTAGGAAGATCAGGATTGGTGGCGGATGCAAGGACGCTTGCTGAATCTCACCTCCTCAGCCTTGCTTAGGAGGCCCTTGTCGTGTCGAGCCTTGAGGGCCTGGATTTGCGACTGGGTCTCCGCGTTTGCTCGCCTGGGGAAAGATGGGGTTGGTATACTTGCCTCTCGACTCTCATGCTCGCTCGCCGCTCTCGCCTTCGTTCAACCAACGCACTTTTCCTGCTTGGTCTTGACAAAGGGAACCTTGACGTCTTGACCAGCACGCTTCATCGCCGCAGCCGCGGCTGCTGCACGGGCCTCGAGTTGTGGAGATGCTGCCTGGACAGCCGCGATAGGGTTGGGCTTGTGCGCGGGGGCCGAGGACGATGGGAGCTTGCCCGTTGTGGTGGGCTTCGCTGTGGGCTTGGCGACGGAGGGAAGGGATTGGAGAAGGCGCGAGCCAGCGGTCTTGGCGTTGCCGCTGGGGCGGGACTGCGGCTGCGGCGTACTGGTGCCGGAGGTGTTGGGTGTGACTCCGCACGAGTGGGATGACGCCGTTCGGTGTGATGGGCAGAAGCTGCGCCTGCAGGCCTCGCAGTTCATGGGGACGACCAGCACCTTGTTGCAGCCTCGACGGAAGCACACCTCGCCCTTCTCCTTTCGACGCTTGAGCTCAGCCTTCTTGCGCGCTTCACCGCCTTCCATGCCGGTACACGTTCCCGACAAAATGTGACGCTCGACGGCTTCGTTGGGATCCAGCTTGCCGCCAGGAGGGTACGAGACGACCTCGTTGCAGAGGGGGCAGCTTGGGGCGATGCGGTCGACCATGGACGCCGGAAGTGGAGCTTTACATTGGTGCTGGCTGGGGAGGAAGTGGGGCTGGCAAAACGAGAGCTTGCACGCGGGGCTGGTCATTGTCAGCATGGTCCTTGGTTGGTTGGTTCCTATATTCCTCTACTCACCAGCTGAAGGGCAGAAAGTCGTTCAAATTGCATGACGCCTGGTGACATGTCGTACCGAGGAACATCAGCTCTTCGCGGTTGGAGGGGGTAGACGAGCCGCTCATGGTGGTGAGTGCGAACGTGGGGGGTATTGAATGCTGTGATATGAGCAGAAGAGACCTCTCAAGATGCTGCTGGGGGTCAGAATAAATCGACGGCGGGACCCAGAGGGTGTGCGCAAGCGTGATGTTGACGGTGAGGTTCGAGAAGGAACGATGATCATGACGACGCGTGTTTTGCCACCGAACGCCGCAGGGCTTAGCAAGCCGGTAATCTCGTTTGTATATGTTACGTAATCACATATTTACAATGCGCGGCCGGTCCCTCGTATTGGTTTTACACACAACCACACTCTCTCTGCGTACGCGACCACCAACCATGGTCGGCTTGATATCCTGCCACTCGCGTTCCAGTTCCCACCGTCACCACTACGCATCATACGAGTAGCCAGATCCCGCCTCCTCCTCCTCTTCTTCCTCCTGCTCTTCCTCCTCCCATTCGTCTTCTCCATCCTTGTCCTCGTCCGAGAAAGCGATCCACGCGGCCGCTGGGTCGTGCATGCGGAGCTTGCTCTTGTATCCTTGAACTATCTGGTTGAGGTGGTGCGACTGGCGAAGGAGGTATTCACCTGACACATTTAGCAATGACGCTCGGTACATTTTTCACCTCTCACTCACTCCTGTCGTCGTCGGCCGCCTTGGCCAGCAAGGAGCGCCTGAGCAATTCCACACGCATCGTCTCAGCCTTGTTGATCGTCTCCAAGAGGGCTTCAGTGCGGACCGCCTTCGTCATCTTGTTCTTGGCCACCTCGAATGCTCGCTCGTAAATGTGATTGACGTTCCCTTGATGCTTCTCGAGCTCCTTGGTCATGTCGGGACCGTCCGAGGTCCTGCTCAATTTGGCTGACGACGTCTTGGAGCGCTTCATGTTAGCTGAAAACAAACCTGACGCGACACGTACTGAATCGCCGTCCGAGGTCAACGAGCTGTCATCGGTATCGTCATCCTCGGCATAGTCGAGCGGGTTGGCCTTGGTAGGCTCCTTGGGCACAGGAGTGATCTTGATGGTCGGGCCCTTGGAAGCTGGACTGACCGCCGGTACGCTGTCCCGGCGCTTGAGAGCTGCCATCTGCTTGGCCTTGGCCATAACCTTGGCTGCCGTGGCCTTGGCAATGGGGTTCTTGACGACGGACCAACCTTTGGGACCGGTATCCTGGACCTCTGTGGCTGCCATCTGGCGAGGCGGCTTGCGGATTGAGTGGCCAGCGTTGATGCTACGAGTGCAGATCCTACAGTCGCACTCTTCATCAGTGACCAACCTTCGTCAAGACACACTCACGCGAGCCGGAGCGTCGGCAGGCACAATAGCTGGTGGGGTGCCCAAACCCTCGGTCGCGTGCGTACTGACTCGGGTGATCGCTTGGCTGCCGGCCTTGACGAAACCGTTGAGGGTGAGCCTGACCTTGGTAGGTGCGGACATGTCGAAAAAGTCGCGACGAGAAGGGGGAGGAGAGGGAGTGTAGTGACGACTGCGAGCTGGGCCGGCGGGGGAGACGGAGCGCTGCTCAGGCTGGCTGGACCAGAAGCGGGGAAGAGGGCCGTCCTTTTCCTTCTCCTTCTGGCGCTTGTTGGAGATGGAGCTCGAGGTGGGCGCCTCGATCAGCTTGCGCTTGTGCAAGGCATGGGAAGGCGTAGCCTGCGCGTGTCAGCGACTGTTACAGGCAGTATGTGTAGGTGATGTTGTGCCCACGAGGTCGACCCAAGTATACTTCTTGCGTGAGGGCTCAACGGCCGGGGGTGCCTCGGGTGGCGGTTGAGAGTCACCCATGTCGGGTGACATGTGTCTGGGGCGAGGAAGCTGCGTGAGACGAGTGGTTTTGAGAGATGGATGGATGGAGAGAGACGAAGGAATGTAATGGGGAGAGAATGTGTTCTGATGAGAGTTGTGTGTGTCGTTGTTTGTGCACACACAGAAAACACCGTCACCTCGATCACCCTCCACTCCGCCCCGCCAGTCATCCGGCCGAGAACACCATTTCCAGTCAAAAATGCTTCACTCTGTGTCTGTCTCCAGCCGTGCAACTGTTCCGTTTACCAGTCATGCCAGTTCCATCAAGCAGAGATTTCAGGTGTATGGAGTTTGGCCTTGGCCGATGTCTTCGTGGTGGTTGGAGTGGTGGCGACTGGGAGCGCAGTGACCTTGCCGCTGTCCGTGGCAGTGGCCCCGGTGGATTCGCTGGTGGTTTTCGTACCCGACCCGTCGCTGTGAAGCACCTTTCCATTTTCTACTCCCTTCGCAAGAATGGCAATATGTGCGTCGTGGCTACGGCCGGCGGACGGTGGGGGCAGGTTCTGATTGTCAGCCGAGGTTGCACAAGGGTAGACGCACCCATTTGTTCCACGCGCCCTTGCGTTGAAGTGACATTGATGGTATGGTTGGGCCGCGGGTTTGGGGTAGGTACTCTCTTGCCTGATCTCTGGATGGAGAGCAGAGTACAGGGCAGATAACAGAGACTGGAGGAACTTTGAGGACAGCTCAGAGGTAGTTTGTGTACATGGGCGCAGCAGACGTGTGGTGGCAGGTGCGCTTGCTGACATGAAACGCGCCATCACATCATCAAGACCGTTCATTCTGACGCTCATTCTCTCCGTCTCATTCCTCGGTGTATTCTCCGCGTCGCACAGCCATGCGTCACTTACTCGACCATTCGGCAGCTTCCAAGTGGCAGCAACAATCCATATGATAAACAAACAAAAATGAAGGCAAAATACAGACTAGGCCTCCTTCTTGTCCTCCTCAACATCCTCTTCGTCGTCATCCTCTTCCAGCATGCCGACCTCCCACTCGCCACCGACATCCCAACGGGATCCAGGAGCAGCGGCCGAGAGGTACTTGACGAAACGCATGACTCCTGGGTCACGGAGGACGAGGAGGAGCTTGTTCCAGCCAACAGGAAGGGTGAGAAGGGGCTCACCGTCGTCGCCGCCTTCCGAGTCGGTGTCAAAGTCGCCGTCGGAGAACTGGTCAGGGTCAAACTCAAGCTCGACGCCGCCCATCGAAATGGACACATCCTTGGCCTTTTCGGCAGCAGAGGTCTTGGACGCCGAAGCCTCAGGCTCGGCCTCCTTGGCCTCGTCGACCTTGGCCTCTGCCTCCTCCTTGGGAACATCGTCTTCACCCGCCTCCTCATTGGCCTTGGCGGCACGCTTGGCCAGCTCGGACTGGTAGGTCTCGGGGTCCTCGTTCTCATCAGGGGCAGCGAGGTAGCACTCCCAACCGCCGTGCTCGAAGAGAGCCTCCTCCTCGTCGGAACCAGACTGGACGTCACCCCACCACGTCAGGCCGAGGTAGGCGTCAAGGCGAACCTCACCGGCGCGGTCCTCGCCGGCAGCAAGGGTGTAGTCGAGACCGCGACGAAAGCGGCGGGCCTCGGAACGGTGGCCCGTGGGGGCGAGCGACGAGACAACCGAGAGCCATGCGCGGAACGCCTCGGAGGGGAGGAGCTTGTCCATCACGGTCTGGAGCGCCGGGGTCGACTGCGAGGGACCGGTAAGCGAGACGTAGCGGTGCTTCGAGCTGGGACCCTGGAGCTCCCAACCGTCACCCTCGCCACATCCCTGGGCGGGGATGAGCTTTGATTCGCCATAGTCGCGCTTGTCGGCAGCCTCGGTCTCGCCCTTGATCTTGTCCGCCAGCTCGGGATGGAGGAAGTTGTGGAGGACAATCTGGGACTCGGGGACGAACTGGCCGGCAAGCTTCTCAAGAGTCTGGGTGGTGAGGTAGGAAGGGGCGATGAAGGGGGACAGGAACTTGACGTGAGCCGAGCTGAGGCCGGCGGGAGGGTCGGCAGTGTAGGGAACGATGGGGAGAGTGGGTGCGGAGGTGATCTGGGCGAGCGACGAGAGGGTAGCCTGGCGAGTCTTCTCGTCGTTGTACGCGCCAAAGCCCTCCTCACCCTCGATAGGGCGGTGGAACCAGCCACTGACGCCCAGACGCTTCCTGTTGTCGCCGACGATCACCTCCTCGACCGAGTGGTAGCTGCGACCAGGCTGGACCTGGAAGAAGATGATCTGGCCCCACTTGACAGGGATGCTCTTGACGGCCTTGGGTCCAGGCAGACCGCGCTCCTCGCCGTTCTCGACGGGGAAGAGTTCGAGGGAGCCACCCCACTTGGGGTCCCAGCCCTTGGAGAACTTGCCGTTATCGGCGACCTTGGTCAAGTCAGACTCGGGAGCATCGAGGGGCGAGTTGGGGAGATAGAGAATGTAGGAGATGACGCGCGTCGAGATCGAGTCGTCGTGGAGGAGGAGGTGGGAACTGTAATGTCAGCTATGGTTGTGGAGAAAAAAGCTCACCCCTGCGTGTAGAGGCCAACCGAGCAATCGGTCTTCTTGCCGGACAGAGGACCACAGCCGGTGACGTCGCGGACAAAGTCACGGAACTCCTGCGAGTAGAGAGACTCCTTGAGACGGGTGACGTCGGGGAGAGCTGCAAGGGACTCCTCGGGGAGGTGCTCGGGGTCAAGCGATGTCAGGTCAGGGGTTTGCTGAATCTGTGTTCAAAAGTCAGCGCAGCTCAAGAGACTAGAGATAGTCGTGACATTGAGCGCACCTTGTAAATGTCCGTCTCCTTAGGCTCCCATCCCCAGCCGGGGATGCTGCCCTCCTCTCCACGAACACCATAGGTGGTGGTCTCCTGGACGACCGCCTCGAGCTGGATAGAGTCAGTAAAAGCTCTCCCCCGTAGTCGACCCAACTTACCAGCTCGTCACTCAGAAGTCCCGGTACAACAATGTGCTTGTACGGGGTCTCCGCGTTGTAGCTCTCGTGGAGAGCAGCGCGCTCAGCACCAGCAGGCAGCTGGATAGACGACGTAGCGTCTGGCTTGACCTTCTTGGAAGCGCGCACGGGGCTAGGGGAGCGTGGGCGGACTGCACTAGGCATGTTGGTTGACAAAGTGTTGAACAAAGACAATGGCTCAGTTGCGGACGAAGACGGGAAATCAAAATATCGGCCGTCAAAAGTGGAGGTGGCCTGCACGTGACGATTAGGGTAATTTTATTAGACACGGAATCAAACAGAGCCTAATCGAGCTCTCAGTCATTTGAGAGGTTTCATGTTGATCGACCTCTACGTCCTCCACATTCAAACAACATCCATCATGGCCGAGGGCTCGCCAACTGGTGGGCCAGCAAAACGCGCCTCGCGCTTCAGCGACGAGGAAGAGGCGGGTCCGTCTACAGGAATCGCCATCAAGAGGCGACAGGTGCGCGCCAAGAAGCTGCGGCGACAAGGCGACTCGGCCGCCGCCGCCGACGACGACGAACCTCTCAACGCAGCTGCCGGACCATCTTCTCCGGGCAAGGCCAAGTCGCCACCTGCCCCAGTACGACAGCGCACCCCCTCCCCTCCTCGTCCGCCAACACCGCCGCATCTCCGTTCGTACCCGCGCTCGGGGTTTGCGCCATCACGCGCAGTACACCCGGGACTCGCTCCTTGCCGCTCCGTTTACAATTACACGCGACTGAACCACATCGAAGAAGGAACGTATGGTGTCGTGTTTCGTGCAAAGTGTAACGACACGGGCGAGATTTATGCCCTCAAAAAGCTCAAGCTCGACGAGGAGCGGCATGGGTTTCCGATCACGAGTTTGCGCGAGATCATGGCGCTCATGACGGCTGGCGACCACGAGAATGTTGTCGGCATCCGCGAGATTGTTGTTGGAGATACATTGACACAGTGGGTTTTTGCTATAACGCCCATGATGCACAGCCGGCTAACATGCAGAATCTTCATTGTGATGCCGTTCATCGAGCACGACCTCAAGACCCTGCTTGCCGACATGCCACACGCTTTCCTCCAGTCCGAGGTCAAGACCATCATGAAACAGCTGCTGTCAGCCGTCGACCACTGTCACAAGAACTGGATCCTGCACCGCGACCTCAAAACGTCCAACTTGCTTATGAACAACCGTGGGCAGATTAAAGTGGCCGACTTTGGTCTCGCACGCAAGTTTGGCGACCCCCTCGGACCCATGACCCAGCTCGTCGTGACGCTGTGGTACCGAGCGCCCGAGCTCCTCCTGGGTCAAAAGGAGTACAACACCGCCGTCGACATGTGGTCTGTTGGCTGTATCTTTGCCGAGTTGATCCAGCGCGACCCGCTCTTCCCTGGTCGCGGCGAGATTGACCAGCTGAACAAGATCTTTACGCTCCTCGGCAAACCCAATGACGATACCTGGCCCGGATTCTCAAAGCTGCCCAACGCGCGCAGCATCAACCCCGTTGGGCCGACGTTCTCGGCGCTGAGACAAAAGTTCAAGCATCTCACCTCGGAGGGTCACTACCTCATGTCCGCGCTCCTGTGCTACGACCCGGAACGCCGTGTCAGCGCCGAAGAGGCGGGCAAGCACCAGTATTTCCTCGAACAGCCGCTGCCCAAGCACCCCGACCTGTTCCCCTCCTTCCCATCCGTGGCATCGGGCGAGCGCCGACACAAGCTCCTCGCCAGCCCGCCTGCACCCGTTCACGCCGACGCGTCGGCCGACGTCGACGACAAGCTCGACCTCGAGTCGTTTGTGTAGCCTGTACAGTAAATCTTAGATGCATACAACGTGTAACAGTGACGAGTGCTATGAGTGTTTGGTGTTTATATGAATGCAGTGTCGAGCCCCTCGGAAAAGTCGACAAGGGCGATACGTGCGTCCAGCCCCGACGAGACTACACGCACGCGGTCGCCCGTAATAGCGAATACACGGCCAGAATGGAAGCCTTCAAAGTTGGCAATGAGCTTGCCGTCGCGCCTGTTCCACATTTTAATGGTAGAATCGTAGCTCGCGCTGAGGGTGACCGTCTCGCCAATGTGGAGGCTGCGCACCAAGTCGGTGTGGCCCCTGTTCAGGCATCGGAGGCAGCCTGCAGTCGACGAGGCGCGTGTCGACGGCATGGGACACTGGCATTCGGCGACATAGTCCACGCCAGGCTGGATGATGAAGCGCGGCCGCGTTTCGTCATCCATGTCGCTGTCGAGGTCCAGGTCGAGCATGTCGCGGAAGGTCAGGTTGTCAATGGGTGTGTTGCTGGGGACCTGGACAATGTAAAAAGTCTTGATGGACATGTCCGACGAGCCAGTCACAACGGTGCCGCGCAGGACTGAGCCCGGGATCTCTTGTACCCAGCCGGATGTGGTGCTGTCGCTGGGCTCCAGGCTCATACACGAGATACCACGCCCATGGGCGTCGACCGTGGCGAGCAGCTTGCCGTCCTTAATACTCCAGATACGCAGGGAGCGGTCGCCCGATGCCGAGACGATAAAGTCCTTGGTGAGTGCGACAGCATTGATAGCACCTCGGTGGCCTCCATCCGAGAGCGGCTGCTCAATGATGAGCAGTTGCTTGAGCGTTCGAATGTCAAAGAGCCGGATGGTGCGGTCCTTGGAGCAGCTGACAATGTGCTCGTCGTCGCCGCGCACAAACAGGACCGAGTCGGTGTGTGCCTCAATCACCTTTTCAGGTGTACCGTCGCCATGTTCAATGTCCCACAGGCAGATGCGGCCGTCACTTGCGCCAGAGATGGCCACCAGGCGCTTGGCAGGGCCACTTGTGGGGCTGCCCGGCGACCGCAAGGGTGACCAACCCCGCGGTGTGCTGGGCGGTGTGACTGGAATCTCGGCCACAAAGTGGCACAAGATAGAACCGGTATGACCGCCAGAGAACACTTTCACCACGCGCGGTGACGGCACGCCAATTTGCCACAGACGCAGTGTCTTGTCCCTGGATCCCGATAGAAGCCAGTCCCGACCACTGACGACGGTAGGCGATATCTCGATCGACTCATTGTTCCTGCCCACATGGACGCCGAGACCTGGCCACGAAGACGACACAGGTGTGCCCAAGATATCTGGGGGCGAGTCGGGCCAAGGGGCTCGCATGCTGTGACACAGCTCGTCCGTGTCGGTGACAGCGAGCGTCACCTTCATGTGATGCTGGAAGAGGTGGAGCGAGTAGATGCTCTCGACATGGCCGGGGAGACCGCCAGCCAAAGTTGATGAGCCCGACGTCAGGATCGTGACGCGAGGATTCCAGATACCGCGCCGTGAACTGGACGATGCCTCGAGAGCCATGGGACGAGTCTGCGTCATTCGTCTCGCGAGGATGCGCCGTGTGAGGTAGAGGTGCTTGTAGTTGACCTTGGGCAGGACAGTGGGGAGGTGGAGGTGGGAAAGCACTGGTGGGTCCAGCGAAGAGTCAATGGTCGGTGCGGGCGCCGGGGAAGACACTGCAGATCGCTGGTATGTTGGAAGGCCGCCGAGGGGACGCTCCCACACAACTCGCCGCAGACCAGCACGCGGCGGTGTCATGGGGGCCGACCCCGGTGTCATTTGCCTAGGTTGGCGGAGCATGAAAGGCATGTCGTCGTCGGACGTGTATTCAAAGCTCTCGTCTGAAGGAGCCCGTGGAGGTTTGGCCCCCGAATGCAAGAGCTGGCGGTGCAATGTGAGGTCATGCCAAGTCGTGTGTGCAGGCATGATGGGTGGCTCGTGTGTTCGACACAGCATATGCCAGATAGCTATACGTCAGCTAAAAGTAGAGGGAATTGGCTCACCTTGATCGTCACACAGACGCGACCAGTAACGGCTGACGCTCTTGCACCGGAGCAAGTCGTCCGGGTCCAGGTGCTTCAGAATGCGAATGGATATCTCTGGGGGTAGAAACTGCCGTCAGTTGGGTGGCTTGGTGGTGGCAACAACTCACGCCGACGATATCCTTCTGCATCATTTGAGACAAGCGCGCATGTAGTGTAATGATCTCTGAGGAGTGAGCCACAGTTGGTTCGCGCGCTGCTCACCATCGCGGGGAAGCGACCACAGGAGTGCGGACGCCAGTTCTGATTGTCAGCTTGCTGCAGACAACGAAGCAACCTACCTCTCCTGTCGGACAGTGGGAGTGCCAGGAGCTCATGTTGACGGTCCTGTACCGACATGGCGTCGGAAGCCATGGCCGATGCGCTGAGGGGGGATGGATTGGAGCGATGCTGGCAACAGAATATATCTCAATCGACGACGACGACTTGCGCACCCCGTACACCCAGTCTTGCCACTCGTGCCTGGCTTACTGGACATGACGTCCCAGACTTGACTCACATGCCACTCCCGCGTTCGGCCTTGCCCGTCCAGAATTGCCGAAACGCCGCTCGCCCTCCTGCAGCGCGCCCCCCATTTGGACCGGTGGCTCGGGGCGGGGGGTGTGTCGTTGACCACACCCTTCATAACCCGCACCCACATCCATCTCTTTCTTCTCCCAACCATCCCAAGAGCCATCCTCCAAGACACCTGTCGCGGTACTGGGGCCGCATCAGCTAGGTACGTATCCACAGTCTCCAATTCCCCTCCCCGTTCCCCCTCTCCTCCATCTCCTGCGCGTGTGATTATTATAAAGAATCGCTACTCGAGATCAGCCTACGGGCAAAGACGACTAAATTCTATAGTGAGTACCTCGCATCGCGAGCTGTGTGCAGTGCCGGGCTGGATGCTGACCACTACCTTTCCCCCTCGCTCCTCTCGAACGCGTCTTGTTTTCCTTTTACAGCCCAAATTGTGAGTATAGCGACGGAAGACGTGGCCATCACGGCCCGTCAGTGACAACAAGGAACACACCACTGACCGCTTCCCAGTATGATGCGCACTCCCTTCCTTGCCATCCATTGAAACCAACGACTGTGAACGTCGTGCTGACGGTTTTTGAGCTCTTTAGCTCCATCGAGTGCCCAAGCGGCCAGCGTGGTTGTGAGTACTTCTCGGCCGCTATTGGCTCCTTTCCCTGTCGGTGGAGGGTCCCTTCTTCTCGCACCCATCCCTCGCACCTCCCTCTCTCCTGATTATACCTATAAATTTTGACAAGCATATGTAGGATCCTCTTCGGAGGGACTGACTACATCCAATGCGTATGACTCCCACTCTCCTCCACTCCACTGTCGAACACAATGGGAACTCGAGGCTGACAAAAACCTAGCCGCACCACCGCATGACGCGCCATCAACAATAAACACGTTCCTAGTTGTAACGTGAGTGTCTTTCTCCATTCCCCCCACCATCACACATCCCCACTCTTCCTCGAAATGATTATCCACTGTGAACAATATCTGCAAACGCCTCCGGGCGGTGACGACAAAAACCATCAACGCTTATAAACCTCTGATCACACTTCTATCCCCACACTTTTCTCTCCAGTTCACGAGAGACCATGTTGCTGACAAGAGTAACAGACAGCCATTTGGCTTAGAACCTCGTTAATATGCCTCCCCACCCTAGCCACACTGGCACTCGCTATGGGCACGCCGGGTCGTCCCGCCACAGCCGGCCCGTGAAGCAGTCTGAACTCGAGCAGCTGCCATCCATGGATACTCCCGCATGGTACGACCCCCCTTCCCCTGCGTCATCGTCGTCGACTGTCGACTTCCAGGAGCCCGACGGCAACCTTGTGAGCAACTCGGGCCACAAGCTGGAGAACGAGGCTCGCTGGGTCCGCAAGGGCAAGATGTGCGCCTGGGGCCCATCCTACGAGGAGGGCATGCGCCGTCAGCGCTCTCGCAAGCGCCTGCAGGTCTGCCTGGAGCAGCTCCTTCCCGAGGCGGCTGCCGAGGTGGGCGCTGCTCCTCCCCAGAACATTGTCGAGGCCGAGGACCGCCGTCGCGAACGCAAGAGGAGGCGAAGTGAAGAAAAGGAGTTTCGCCTGCCGCACCTTCCTAGTCCATCGCCCCCGCTCGCGACCGTCGATCTTGCTCCCATGCTCGCTCTTCCGCGCAGCTACCTCGACATTGTCACCAGCCCCGCCATGCGCTACTCACTCGGTGACGACGCGATGGAGCGTGGTCTGCAAAAGACTGGTGCCGACCTCTTGGAAGGCGAAAAGGGCCTCATGCAGGCTCTCGGCCGTCTCCGTGAAGTTATTCGCGTTCGCGAACGCGACGTTCCCGAGGGTACCTCTGGCGTCAGGGACAACGGTCTTGTTGTCTCCAAGCCCAACGGCACCACGGCTGCAAATGTCACCAATGGTGAACCTGTCCCCAACGGCGAGGCTCCCCCAACTGCCAACGGCCACACCAATGGCGAGGTTGCCGCCGGCGAAGTCGAACCCTCAGCGGACGACGCCCCCACCGAGATGATCCCCCCTCTGCCCCACCTGCACGAGACGGACAATCTTTGGCGCGTCTCCCAGGAGCTTCTTCAGTCCCAACCGCCTCCTTCCATCGAGTTTACCGTCACCCCCGAGGGTGCCGCGGGACCGTCGACAGCACCCCACCCAAAGCTCACGCCCGTCCACCGCCTCTTTACGTGCCCGACTGGCATCACCTTCAACGCGATCCCCAGCCCCTTGCACCCGGGTTTCCAGCAGCTCAACCCTGGCCATGCCCTGTACCCAAACCATGTCAAGTACAACCTTGACGTCGACACCCAGCAAAAGGCCGTCGACGACGCCCTCGAGCGCATCATGGAGCTCCTTGCCGACTGCAACGAGTACAAGGAACGCCTGGAGGAGGCCCGCGAGCGTGTCGGCGACGTTGCCCGTGCCCGCAAGATGGTCTGGAAGGCGATTAAGCGTCGCGCAGGCCACGAGCTGGACCGTGGAGCTTTCTGAAGCGAGAATGAGAGAAGCGTAGAAATTGTAGAAAGAAGTGTGTCTCTTTAGTTGTTCCCCCCCTCAAGACTTTTGTGTTGAATGTATTTACGCGAGAAGCGCAAGCACACCTTTTTGGCCCTCGGCGGCTGGTTGCATCGAGTTGTTGGAACGGGGCGCTGTGCAAAATGGGAGCGTGGGTGTGGTGGGAGAACGTGGTGGGCGGCGCACATGACTGCAGGCAGGGGCTTGTAACCTCCCGCCGTCGCAGATCCAAGCTTCTCATATCCACGACGCGGTGGGCCAGTAAACAATGATCGAGGAATGCGGGTAACGGTTGATCGAAGAAACAGGCGCGACTGACTTTACGCCCCCGGGCCACATTGACCACACGACACCAACCTAGCCGAATGAAGAGGACAGAGACAGAGAACGCACCAGTGGCCAGTGGCCAGTGGCACTCACGAGCAACCGAGTATGGCGGTCCTTGGCGACAGAATGGTTTAGACCAGGACCGGAATGCTGTATACATGCACGCACGGTGACGTTGTCCGTACGGAACATCCAACCTCTCCTACCAAAGGTCCACCGGCCCCTTGCTTTTTGCGTCCCAGTGGCGGGGCGGGGCGGGGCGGGGCGAAGTGAACCGAAGCGAAGCCAAGCTGTGCAGTAGCGAGGTCCCTCGCCTCGTAAACAACCCGTAACGAACATGTCGTGTTGTCATGACAATGAAGACATGACGAGCTATGGAGAGGCGGGGGACGAAGGGGTACGCTCGTCCACCACGTCAGAGACCACAGCCCACAGACTCGAGATTCTAGACTTGTGGCAGGTACCTAGTCGGTTGCTGCAAGGTGGCACGCCCGATTTCTGGTCGTTGGTGACATGCATGCGCCCAACGTGCAAAAGGGCCAAGGGAGGGAGAAGGGGGAACGGCGGGCGGGGTTAAAACAAAGCAAGCCGTCCAACGGCGCACGAGGGCAACCGACGACGTCACGTCGTGAGGTGACGAAGAGGTGACGAACGCTGGAACGCTCCACGCTCCCATGGGAACGAAGGATATACCGACGAAACGGGGCTGCTGTGCCGTGTTCTGTGTCGTGCTGCGCGACTGTGCGACTGCGAGATTGGTGGTGGGGATTGGCGGTGGGATCCGGGGGTGATCGTGGTGTGTGGTGGTGTGGTGGTGTGCCTGTACCGGCCGAACGCGAGCGCAGCCGGGAACATGGCCGGCATGGCCGGGGCATATGGCATGCGTGCGTGTGGTGTGTGGCATGTGTTGGCCACCCATGCATGCCTTGTTGCGTACTGTAGCGTGCTGCAGCTGCGCGAAAACCCAAAATGCAAAGAGGGGCGATACTCTGCCGGAATCCGCCCGGCGACTGACAGGTGAGGTCGCACGCATACGCAGTTGTGTGCCACGCTGCGGTATGAGGGGTATTAAGGTATTGTTGTTGTTGTTGTTGTTGCCCCGTCGTCGGTCGTCGTCGTCGTCGTCGACAGGTCGGTTCCTCGCACACCGCTGCTTCGCAAACCACGCATGTCCCGGCCATGTTCTTGTGCCTGCCACGTAATGGCTGTGAACCACGCCCAACGACCGACGACGAGAACGTTGCTCTATGCCAGGAGTGCGAATGCATGGGACAGCGATACGTGACACAAAAGAGATGGGGGTGTGTGTATGAGACTATAGGGGTAAAACATGTTGCGTGGGCTCTAACTACAGGTTTAAAACTAGAAACAGATGGAGTGAGATGGGGTGTTGTGGTGGGTGGGTGGGTGAAAGGTACAACTAGGATCACATGACCAGATGCAATGTGTCGAATGGGTTGGGGAAAATGGCGAGGGCAAGGGGATGAGGACCGTGCCGTGCAAATGAGGAAGACAGGTAGACGAGGTCACCAGATGGAACAGCAGATGGCCGTCGCTGTGAAGACCACCCGCGGTTGGGCCGAGGTGTCGTTGTGTCCGTCGTGGTGTGTGAAAAAACGAGGTACAAGAAGGCAAGTATCGTACACTAGTGTGTTGCCAGATGTGCCAGGGCAATGCAACGTTCGATGTGTTGTGTGTTTGTTGATACGTTGCGGGTTGTTGGGGTTGCGGAATGAGGAGAGGTGGGTGGTAGGGAACGGGGATGAACAAGCGCGCAAGTCACAAACGCCACGGCGCGGTAGGGTTGTCCGCGGACACGGTCTGAGCGCGCGGCTCACAAGCCCGCGGCGCCGCCACCGCCATGGCCGATTTCCTGCTGGGAGCACCGAACAACCCCACCACCAAGTAGGCGATAGAGGTTGCACAGTTGACGCCCGAGCTGACGGTTCGGATCGAATGCGCGATGCTGGCCTTGACTGGACCACTGCCTTGCTGGACAACAAAAGCCTCGACCAAGAAATCCAGACTTGGCAAACTTGACCCGCGGCAGCGCCCACAATGTTGGTCTGGATTGTCGCGTCCCGATCGGTAAGGCGTTCAGGACATGACCTCTGAGCGCCGCCTCGTTCGCTGCTGTTCGGGTTCCGTTGGCGGAGTCGGCGTCCACAGAGACTCCTCCCAAGGCGGCATGCCGCAGCCTCCGTCAACCGGGCTGAGACAGTAACGACTGTTGAGCGCGCTCATTTGCGCCGCCCCACATATCGTGGCGGACTGAATTGGGATATGAGGGACGCGTACACGCGCTCACGCGTCCGTGCTCTGATGGCAGACATTACCGACGTACGCCGAGAGCAGCTAGAGCAGACCTATGCCCTGGCAGTCGGGCGACTGCGCTGGACGGCGAGGCCGGCGGCGAGGATCATGGACTCGCTGGTGGTGCGGGCGAGGTTTGGTGTCTCGTAGTAGGTGTCGTACGGGGGTGGAGTAGGGGTGTTGGCGACGCTGCTGCTGTTGCCGTTGCTCGTGTCGTAAGGCTTTGGGCGGCGGAGCAAGCGGCGAGGCTGCGGTGATGGAGTGACAACCGTGAGGGGCCGGATCGAACCGGCGAGCAGTGAACTGCGACGCTCGCTGGTGTTGTATTCGCTCCGGACGCTGCGTTGGGAACGTTCGCTGCCGCCGCGCTCGAGGGCGAGGTCGCGGTAGTCGACAGACCGCGGGCGGCCATAGAGCGATACGTAGTCGGACGAGCGGCCGGCCTCGAACGATGCTTCGGACCACACAGATATGCCCGAGTTGGGCGTTTCAGCACCGTCCACAAACGAGTCGCGGTTGCTAAAGCTGCTTGTCATGCTCCATCTTCGTGGGGGAGAGCGAGGCGATGCGAGCTCGACCTCATACGCTTCACTCAGATCAAACACGTGCTCGACGAGTGGCGGGGCAGAGGCGGTGGGTGGGATGGCCGAAACTGTGGGGAGAGGTGGTACTGGTGGGGTAGTGGTCGACGACTGGGCAGCGTCTTGGTGCTCGGCGAACGAGAGGAGGAGACGGGCACGGGTGTCAAAGGGGTCCTCGTCGTAGCCATAGTCTGGGTCGGTGGCAGCCTCTTCTGGGAGGACTGCCGCCTGGCCGGCAAGGGCGACTGCCTCAAAGCGCGCGGAAAGTGCGCGGCGCAGTGCGTCGCTGTACTTTTGGATGCTGGCCATGGGCGAGGGGAGTGCTGAGTGCGACGAGACTGCGCGGGGCCGAGCCGGGTGGTGAGGGGTGATGGGGAGCGTGGGGGACTCGGTCGGGGAGGGTGTGGTGTCTGGGGTGGAGAGCGGCATGGGCATGTGGGTGTGTGTTGTTGATGGCCTCCTGCGGCTGGGCCCCGGGGTTGGTGGGCGACGCATGGTGGTGGGGTGGGGGGGGGGGGATGTGTTATTGGAGGGTGTTGGGGTGCATCCAGGATGGTACTGGGTGTATATATGAGACTGAGAGTGTGTGTGAGAGTGTGTGAGAGAGCAGAGGAACAAGAAGAGGTCAAACGAGGTGTGTGTCTGTGTATGTGTTGGGGGGGGGGGGAAGGAAGGAAGGGAGGAAGGACACGGAGAGGGTGCATGCGGAGAGCTGCAGAGGTACAGAGAGGACGATGACGCTGACGCTGCGACAGCTCTGGGACACACACTTTCACCTCTCCTCTGCTGCCTGCAGCTGCATGCATGCGGTCGCCGCCCGCCCGCCCGCCGAGCGCGCAAAAAAAGTGCACACGCGCAAAGCTTAACACGCCGTCGTCGTCTCTCTCCGTCTGCCCTGTCTCACCCTGGCGGCCACCGGATTTCGTACCCACTTTTGGTCTCGTTCCCTGGCACCCACGTACCCACACGCGCGCTAGCACATGCAGACGCCACGACCGAAGAGAAAAAAAAAAAGCCAGAAATGGTCCCCCTGTTTGTGCTCTCTTCTTTGGCTCTTGCGCGGCACAATCAAAACCGCGCGCGCGTTTTAGCCTCGAGATAGGGACGGCCGCGCACTTGGATTACTCCAGCTCAAATCCGGGAACTGCCTCAGAGCAGCTGCTGCCGACCACGACCAAGTCGATCGTCCCCCTTCCCCCCCCCCCCCCCCCTCCCCCCACTGTACCGCTATCTGCCGTGTCCTGCAGGACGGTGCCAGAAAAAGGACAGTCGAGGTGCCAGTCTGACGATGGCAAGGAGGGAAACAGAATCAGAATCAGAACCAACCGAGCGGCTGGCCCTGTGTAGTACGCCTTGGCAGCCCGCGCGACTGGCTTGCGAGCATGCTCCTAGAGGTGTGTGGCTCTCTGCTCACTTGTTCTTGTCTCGTTGTGGGACGCAGAGGTTGGCCCAGAGATGTGGCAGGCACCTGGCGTCTACGGATGCGCCACCTTGACGGCCGTACTCTCTCTCTCTCGGGTGGTGGTGACTGGCCGTGGACATGCGCCGCCATATATCTCAGGAGAGACGTGCACGCCAGAAAGACGACCACGCAGCACAGCACGTCCAGTGCGCACAGCCATGAGCGCATGCCTGCAAGGGTCCCTGCGTCTGTCCCTGTGTACCAGACGAGACATACCACCGCTAGCGCTGTCGGTAGCGGAATCACAGGATCACAGGATCACAGGACGGACAAACTGGACACGGCCGTCCCACCGGCCACCTTGACGCTCGACGCTCGACGCTCGCTCGACGCGCACTGGCAATGGGCCCTGCACTCTGCGACGGCCCAAAGAGTCCTGCATCGACAATGATCGTCCAGACGAACATGGCTCCATCTAAACCTGGATTCCCATCGCGCCATCCCCCTGCTGCGGCACACGTTGCCCATTCCCAGCCACCTATGCCCGCATGCATGCGCGCGCGCACACACACACGCACGCACGCACGCACGCACGCATGCAGACATGATTATGCTCCACTTCATTGCGGATAAAATTGCACACGCAGTCGGATAGTCGGCCGGCACAGCGCGTGGTCTGCCGCTTGTGGCCTTGTGGCCAAGGTGGCCAAGGGGCCAAGGGTTCATCACGGGTTCCTCCCGCCGTTTGGTTTGAGCTTGTCGGATCAGGTAGACTCCTTTGATCCGTGTATTTTTGTTTTTGTTTTTTCTCTTCACGGTGACCTCTGTGCTCGCCGATCGAGGGTGCTGTTTGCAAAAGCGGGCCTCTGGCTTCTGGCCTGGTAAGGTGCGCTGCAAAGGCCAGAGGAGGACGACTACGGAGTGCCTCTGCCGAGCTCAAAGCCGAACCAGCCACACCCACCACTCACGCAGATCATGAGACTGAAACAGAACACCGATACCGCGCTTGCGGCTGACGAGTGCTCGCCATTGAATCTTGTCTTACATGAGTGATTGATTCTGTTGAATTGCGGTTGAACGGATCGTCCGGAACAAGAGAGTGGCAGCTGATACAGGCCTGCGTTGATCCGCCCCAGTCACCCAAAGTCAATCAGTTCCCTCTTTCATTTGGCGTGAACCGCACACAAAGCTCTAGAATCGTAAACCCTTTGTCGCTCGGAACGGAAACGATAACACAATACCAGCCGCCAGACCACCTGGCCGCCCCTCCGGTATGCGAGGTCCTGGGAAATGCATGTTTTGAGGGCCCACGGCCACTGATCACTGACTGTCGCTTCGGCGCGAGATCCACATGCAATCTCACGCTTCGAGAGAGTGTAAGAAAAAGCACATGGACACAGAAGGACCGTTTGTACACCCCCCGACAGCCGACAGACCCGTCCCACAAAACCGGTCTTCCCGGCAAGGCGTCGACGCCCTCCCGGCCAGTCGGCCATTCAGATGAGATGGCCAGCACCCACCGGACGGGACCGCCGGACCTTGCGGTCGGAATTCTGGGTCGGAGCAGCATTTGACAGACATTGCATTCAGTGGACGCCCACTCGTGGTATGCCGAGGGAAGCGGGGGGAGCGCGGGAGCGGTGTACTGTAGACGTACGTGGACGAGGCGGACTGCTCGAATCCTCCGGTGCCACCCCAAAAGGAATCAAAGGAACACAAAAGGGACAAAAATGGCCATGTTCAACACGGTCTGAAACCCCCACAGCTGCCACTCACTGCCACTTCAATCCGACCACGCAGAGGCCCCGTTTTTGCCACATCTGCGTCGGCGGGGCCTGGGCCCCGCCAACATGAGTCGTAAAGAAGACGCCTGAACAACGGCGACTGGGGGCGTAAGTACATACGCATGCATCACATCACAGCTGACTGGGCGGTGACGGGAACATGGCATCGAAATCTGGGGATGTGGGCAATCTGGGGGCAGGTGACATGACCCCAACGACCGTCAGTTGGGACATGGTCGTAGCAATAGGTACGGCACTGGCGTCCACTTGTGGAGGAGGGGAGGGGCCTGTGGAGCGAGTCAGGTGTTCATGACTCGATGCTGCCCAGTGTACCAGTGTTCCATGTGCCCACATTGTCTTCCCGCGCTTTCCTGGTTGTCAGCTGGGCGCGCCACTTGGCGCGGGAGTCGGGGAGCACCAGCTTCTGGAGCACAGAGCATCCGACGACGTCGCCACACGTCTGTGGTGTGCTTGTTCCGACTGTCCCGCAGCGCATCGTCATGAGTGAGCACGACGTCCACCACGGCATTGCTCCAGTGTGCCAGGGTGCATCCGCCTAGTGGGCCAGTGGCCACAACAAGCAACACGCGATGGGCGAAAGTGCAGCGGGGACGTTTTCTTCCACAAAAGCTTAAATCGCCCGTCTTGGCGGTAGCGTTGCCGGCAACACGCGTGGGACGCGCCGCGACGAACACGCACGACTTCTTTGGACGGGGACACTAGTAGTGGCAAAATAACATGCGTAAATATCTCCTGCTGTGCGCTCCGCTGTGGCAACTCGTTGCTATGCATACATCCATCTCTCTATCGGAGTATGTGTGTCCTCGTCGTACGCTTGCGGGGCGCCTTATGGAGCCACAGACACTGCAATGTAGGCGTTTACCCTAGAGCGAGCCCTCCAGTAGAGCCCAGCCAAGTGGCCAAGTGGCCAGTGGCGTCCTTGAACAATGGTTCCAACCTGTCACAAAGGCCAGAGCGATACGCACTTGGTGTACGACAACGACGGTGGCGGCGTACAGTACATGCGTGCCAAGCCCAGCCCGACGCCGCGAGATCTCGGCGCCCCGCGTCCCCCCCGGGGCTGGCGCGGCCGCTCACACAGATCTGGGGGAGAGGATCGGACGCGAGCGGGCAGGCGAGTTGTGCATGAGGTGGTGGCGGTCATGTGATCCACAGCCGCCGATAATGTTGTTTCTGACAACTTGCTACTTTGGTGCATTATCCCGGGCACGCACCCATTGGGCCATTGAACTGGCTATCTTGGCAGACACATTGAACGCATCCTGCCATCCCATTGTATTGTATTTGTCCTGGGGGTTTTCGTTTTGTGGAAGGCTGGCAGTGCCACTTGTAGACCCCCGTTCAACGCTCGCAGATCCTCGTTTCTCAAGCTGCCCCACCCTACATGTTCCATTTTTGTTATTCCCCGTTGGTTCTAGTCTCCTATTATCTGTACCTCTGTACCTCTGTACCCCCTGTCTCCGTTTGTTGTCTCCTCCCCACACTAGAAGGTGGAGCGGGGGTTGGAGCACGACGCAGGGACGCCGTTTGCACCAGGCGTGTCACCTGCTCCTTCCGAGAGTTAGTACCCCCTCCCACAACGGGAACCGGAGGCAACTCTACGCCACGACACCGACCCTTTTCCTCCGTGTTTGTCCCTTGCCTTTGCCACAAGCGCTTGCGCTTGCACCTACAATTGCAGCGCCACACCGCCGACACACCGCCCTGTGGGCACAAAATGTTCCAACCAGCTCGCTCTCCTGATTCCTGCCAGCGCACGTCGTGCTGCAGCTTGCTGCCTGCCTGTCTGCCTGACGTTTCGTCGAGCCTTGAAGGGCCCAAAAGGCCGAGGAGAAACCTCGGTATTCCGCGCTCCACAGACGCTGGCTGCAGGGGCCGCAGGCCGCAGACGGCCTTGAGTGGCTTGCGCTTGTGCCCAAGAAGGGGGTGGGGGGGTGGGTTGCAGGTTTCCAGCGACTCTGCGACTCCCCAATGGCCCAGTTGGTGGCGTTAGGCCGGCCGTCGGCGTCGGCATTGCACGGTAAAGGCGGCATGGCATGGAATGGAGACCTCCGCCGGCTGAGGTGGAGTATCTGTGAGTGGGGGGAGGGGGTACAGCGCTGGAACACCTCTTGGGTCACTGGAACCTTACTCGACCGTCGCAGCCCGCAAGGGCAGGGAGACGGCACACTCTGGAGGGGTAGCTGTTATTCATGTGCCACTGAGACACTGACATTTGGGTGTGCATGTATCCGTTCGCTTGGGGACATGGAACAGTGAGAATGGGAACAGGAACACGGAACACGAGGACATGCCACGGACATGCGCTGTGCTCCGTCGCACATGTCCGCGCTCTGGCATCGTGTTTTGCCCGATCAGCTGTTGTCGTGGGGGCGGCGGTCATCAAAAGGGTGTGTAATGGGGGACATGACACTGGTCCACACTAGCGGTGTAAGAGGCCGACCAAATCCCGATTCCATAGCCACACACCCTTTTCAGGTCGAGCCGGAGACGACAGGCTGTCCCGGGCTGCAAAGTTCAATCACAGCCCGAGGGGGGGTCGGCGTACGCCGCTAGTTGCGCAGGATGTGAAGTGGCACTCAGGCGTCCCCGGGAGGCAGGAGAGACGGGATTTGGACATGGCATGGAGAGTGACAGGGAAGGCGCCAACATTAACATCACAGACACCAGAAACAGGCGATCGACATCAAAGTCAGGACGGAAAGACGATCAGTAAAGACGATCAGCAAAAGGGGGCCGGCCTTTGTGAGTGTGCTTGGCCACGACCGGTCACCGCCGCCATCGGCGGCGTACACCGCAACGTCCCGTCCGCCAGTGTTGACTCGGCGTCAGCGTGACGGGCTGGAATGGAGGGCTTGCTGGCTGGCTGCTGGCTGGCTGATCTGTGGCGCTCAGTGATCAGTCTGATCAGTGGGAATGGGAGGGAAAACAGCGGCATGGCGGGCTTGGTCGCTCGTGGCGGCTGGAGTGTGGCTCCTGTGGCTCTTGCGGCGAGTGGCCCTGTGTGTGTTCTTGTGCTGGTGCACATAGATGGCTGGGAAGGCTTGGAGCTGTTGGGCTAAGACGGGTAGTGGCGGCTTAAACCATTCAGGACGGTGGAGGTAGTGTGGTGGTTGAGTGTAGGTGACTCACTTGGAGAGAACCGACATACATGTGCAGTGGCGTTTGTCCGAGATCCAACACTGCAGTGACCCGCCGGGCCAGCGCGCGCAGTAAGCCAGATACCCACACCTCAGCGTCGCAGGGCTGGGTGATCGTCGGGAGCGACGGGGACGCCCACCTGGCGAGTGTGTGGGATGGCGCCAGAGAACGCAGTATCATGTCAGCCCGCATACGGTCGTAGCCCCTGTACGTATTTTGGAGACGGGGGAGAACGCAGTATCAAGTCCGCGCGCCTACGGTCGTAGCCCTCTATGTGTTTTCGGCAAGTTGGAGAAACGCATAAGGGGGCTACTATGTAGACTACGTCTGTCCATACTGCGTTCTCGGTGACTGCGCTCAATCGCTTTCTTGAATCCCCGCCAACGACCAAACGACATGGAGACATGCCCTACATGCCCTACATGATGTTGCTACGCCGTCGCGAGCGCCGCCCATGTCCAAATGCCTCACACACGTTACTCTCAAACGCGGTTGCAGCACATCTGGGCGGCGGCGGCGATGCACGCATGCACGCGTCGTAACAACTTTACATCCCATATGCACACTGCTTCTTTCTCATGCTATATCTTCGTGATTTGTCTAATTTGGGAAACAACGTCCCTTCCGACCGCGCCACACCTACGTCTACGTCTACGTCTACGTATCTATCACCACAACATGCCGTCCAGCATGACGGTCACTGGACGCACGGGGCTGGCGGGGCTGTGCACGGCTGCGCCAGAGGCTGCGGACGTGTCGAGCGGCCCCAGCGGGCTGTTCTGGGGCGACGGCGACGGGCTCTTGCGCACGGGCTCGAGCAACGGTCCGGCACCGCCGGCGGGTGTGTCGTCGTCCGAGTCGTCGAGGAGCGAGCGCGAGGCGCTCGTGTGGCTCGTGGTCGACGTACCCGAGCCCATGCGCGCCATGGGGTTCGAGTTGGGGTTGGGTCCGGGGGTGAGTGACGGACGCTGGAGCCGGATCGAGTTGCGCTTGGACGGCGAGGCTGGCGCGGGCGCCGTAGCAGGGAGGGAAGTGTCGGCGGGGGGAGGACTGGTGATTGCGTTGCTGGACAACGGGTGGCTAGTGCTGTTCCTCCTGCCGCCCAGCGCGCTGAGCGACACTGCTGGCAGCATGGTGCGGAAACCAGAGCTGAAGAGTTAGTCAATGTCCAGGTCAAAGTCACGCTGTAACTCACACATCAGGCGTGCGTCTCTCCTCCTCGGTTTCCTCCGGCACGGCACCGCCGGCCGCCGCGCCGACAGTCTTGAGCAGCTGGCCCCAGAACCGCTTGCCCTCTTGGATTGTCTCGTCGGCGTCCGCAGTGATCGCGCTCCAGATATTCGACAGCGCACCGTCGCCGTCCGGGCCCGCCTGTGCCGGCAATGGCTCGTCGTCGGGCACGGTCGGCAGCGACGAGCTGCTGCTTCCGCTACCGCTTGTGCGCGCAGCGCGCACAGCACCGAGGCTGCGGCCGCCAAGGGCGCCGAGCGCAGACGCTCCCGCCGTCGTCGACGACAGCGCGTACGCAGCGGCCTTTTCGCCAAGGCTCGCTGCCGACTGCGCTGCCGAGTGAGCGGCCTGCACGGCCGACGGTGGCGACTGTACCGGCGGCTGCGGGGCGTGCTGCTGGCCCTGCGCGACCGCGTCTGCTCGCGCAATGGACGTCCACCGTGACCGCAGTGCCGCGAGTGCTGTTTCTTGCGAGTTCAGTTCTAAAGCACAGCGTCAGCGTCACGAGCTACACGATAAAAAAGCAAAGAGAGGCCCCAGCAGCGCAACTCCCGACATATGTGCCAACTCGGACCCGCTTGGGCCCTCGTCCGGCATGTCTGGCCAGGCAGGCGTGTGGAGGCCCCCCGTAGCCAGCTTTGGAAACGCACCCTGCCGCAGCTCGTTGACACGACGCTCGCGCATTGCAATTGTCCGTAAAAGGTCAGCATGTCTGGGGTCGTCAGCGCAGTTCCATACGGATCAGTGGCATGCAGCAGCCAGTGCCCGAGCTGCCACCCATGCTCCAGGGGTCTCGACTGAATGTGACAGCCACAACTCACTTCTCGGCGAGCGTGAGCGCCTCTGGCGCAGCTGGAGGAGACGGGGCCACGCCGTTGCCGCCGTTGCGCACGCCGACCTCTTCAGACATTCGACGCTCGGTGCGGTCAAAGCGGCGCATGTTGGGACTGCCCAGCGCATAGATGTTCGGTACGGTGCTGGGAGAGTAGCTGATCGAGCTTGGACGAGACCGCCTGGGTGTCGGGCTGGCGGCCGCCGGCGGCGCGCGGATGGTAGGCGCCGCGCCCGGTGTCGTGGCCAACACTGCTGGCGAGCATGTCGCTGTCGACGTGGGCGTGGGCGAGCCAGGAGCGGAGGGAGGGGAAGGGGTGGACGAAGATGAGGGAGATGACGGCCGCCGGCTAGACATTGCTGGAGGAGGCGTGGCATAGTCGCGTGAGCCGGCCGTGCTGGACCCGCTCTCGGCCCTTCGGCGCGGCGTCGACGTGCGCGGCACTAGACTCAAGCGCTTGAGCTTGGACGGCGTGGGCGACGACTCGGGCGGCGTCGCGCTCAGCCCCGGTGTCGATACATGACTTGGCGGGGTTGACCGCGTAGCGCCGTTGCCAGTCAGGTTGGCCAGCGCCTGGGCGTGGGCGTTGTTGGCGGCCGATGCCTGCGCGCTGGGAGAGCTGTGCGAGCCCGGCGCCAGCGCCAGACCTGTTCCGGCGTACATACTCATCGGGCGACGGCGCGCGACTGGGGCGTGGAGGTCGGACATTGTGGGTGGTGGGTTGGGAGGTTGCAAACGACAAACGACAACGCGCAGATCGCAGCCAACGCGACGGACCCGGCGACCACGCCCGGTTAAGGACTGGCTAAGGAAAGTGTAAAGTGGCGTCGCACGCGACAAGTGGCGGCCGGGGGGGTTCTGGCCAGCTGGCCCTTTGTGCAGTGGCATGCCGCGTCAGCCATTCAATGCGGCACCGTGATCCTGGGCAATATGAGAGATGGGGATGCAATGTAAATGTACATTTCTAAACTGCTAAGGACGGTGTCGGCTTCTACTGCTGCTGCTGCTGTTGCTGCTGCTGTTGCCGCACCCACCTTCCGCGCAACCACACCAGGCCCAGGATGACACCGGTGAGGGCGAGAATCATTAGACTTCCAATCAGGTCGTCGTCCAGGTCATCAAGGTCGGCACCCTGCCAGCCAGCTCCCGAGTAGTCTTCATACTCGCCATCACCGGCGTCCTCGAGGACCGGCGCGACAAACAGGGCCTTTAAGCCTTCCCACAATCCAGGTCCATCGGGCCCATCTTCGAACAGCGCCAGACCCGGGATGGCACCGCCTGAACGCACGTCGACCCACCAACTGGGGAATGTCAGCACTCAAGTGTTCAACAGTAGCAGCCAGTGGTGAAACTCACCTCCTCAGGTAAAGCTTGGTCAGGCTCAGGAGCCATGGAAGGTAGGCGTCGGCGCTGTGCTCGAGTGACAAATCGTAATGACGCTTTGCCAGGTGCCAACTCTGTGGGACGCCCTGGCCATTCTCGTACATGTAGCCGAGGTTCCAGTACGCCATGGATGACTGCTTGTCGGCAGCGGTCTGGTAGTATTGGAGGGCAAGAGGGTAGCCACTGCCTTCTGTCTCGTTGACGTCGGGCACGGGCGCGTCGCCGCGGTAGTAGTAATCTCCCACCATGACCATGGCATCGGCGTTGCCCTGCGCCGCACTGCGCGTCCAGAGCGCAAGCACCGTGTCCTCTGGCATGGACCCAAGCGTTAGCCCACGGTCGAGAAGGAAGGCGACGTTGTTCTGGCCGGCCTCGTAGCCCATCTCGGCAGCGATCCACCAGCCGAGCATGGCCTTGTCCTCCTCGCCTCGTGCCCACGCGCGGTCGGCTTCGCCGAGGTAGTCGTCGTCCCACGCGCCGAGCTCGGACACGAGCTTGTAGTATCCCACACTGACACCGCAGGCGCCTGCGTCGCCCGCAGCTCCGGGGAGGCGAGCGGCCGTCGCGTGGATCGAGGCCAGGAGGTGGAATGCCTCAAACGGCGAGCCGTTGCGCAACGCGGCCTCGAGGAAGGGTACGGCCTGGAGCGGCTTGCCCCCCTCGATGAGCACGCGGCCAATGTTGACCTGAGCCTCGTGCAGCTCGGCACTGGCAGCCGACTCAAAGTACTTGAGGGCCCGGTCGCGGTTGGGGGGTACACCGAGACCATCGCGGTAAATGATGCCGAGACCATTGTACGCCTCGGGGTCGCCGTAGTCGGCGGCACGCTCAAACCACAGACGTGCCCGACGGAAATCTTGCGGCATTCCTTCGCCGCGCAGAGCCATGCGACCAATATATGACGCGGCCACTCGTGCGTACGAGGCAATCTTCTCCTCGTCTTGCTTGGACATCTTCCTGCGCGGGACCACATTACCGTTGGCGTCAAACTCGGACGGCCACAGCTTGCGCGCCACGTAGAAAAAGTACTTGCGCGCCTTCTCAAAGCTCTGTGGGATCTCGCCGACGGCCTCGGCGCCGGCCGAGAGCGTGTGGCCGTGCGTGTGGATCGAGCCGAGGTAGAAGAACCTGCCGAGGCGGTTGGTCGCCTTGGGTGAGTCGCGCTCAGAGTGGTACTGGTAATACTCGAGCACCTCGGCCTCGCTCTCGCCCGCCGCGGCGGCCATGATGGCCTGCACGGCCGGGCGGGCGGCGTTGGCACCTGTCGACGCCCACGACGCGCGCGGGCCAAAGATGCCGCCAAACCGGTCCGAGAGGCGTGTCCGCGTCAGAAGCAGCGTCATGCCGCCAGGTGGGCCGCCACGGAACGTGTCGTATGCGTTCTTGGCCGCCGACTCGTAAAAGTCGAGCGCAGTGTGACAGTCCTCCTTGACGCCGATGCCGGCCCAGTACCGGTACCCGAGGGCCATTTGCGCCGGCTTGTAGCCCTGCAGCGCCGCAAACGTGTAGTAGAGCGTCGCCTTGCCCTGGTCGCGGGCTGCGCCGCCGAGGCCCGAGGCATAGAAGAAGCCGACCATGAACTGGGCGTGGGGGTCGGACGATCGTGTGAGGAACTGTAGGTACATGGTAAACGCCGTGGTCAGGTCCTGGTTGACGCCCTTTGGTGGGAACATGAGCACCTCGGCGTGTAGGGCGAGCGCATCGTTGCATCCCGCCGCCTTGGCTTCGTCCAGCAGCTCGAGCATGCGGTCGGCCCGCTCCTTGGTGGCGCGGGACACGCGTGTCTTCCATTCTGGTGCGGGAATCTTGCTGACGAGGTTGAGCGGGTTGAGAGCAGAGATGACGCGCGGAAGGAGGCGAACGGCATTGGACAGCGGTCCCTGCGTACCGTCAGCAGGTGTTAAAAAACCATGAACAACACCTACATCATGGCCCCAGCCAAGCTGGTCGCCGAGCGACTGGCTCGGAGCAAACCCGCCGAGACTCTTGGGCAGGTGCGCGTTGACCCGGGGCTGGAGTGCCTGGAGGATTTCGCGAGCTTCCACTAGCGGTGCGCACACTGTATCCAAAGTCAGCGTGGAGCCTTGGCAAGAAAGAAACTTGCCGTCAAGGACCTGTCCACCGTCCTGGTCCACATAGTCGTCGGTGTAGTCCGAAGGGGGCGCTTGGTCTGTTGGTTGGCCCTCGGCATCGTCGACGTCCAGCGGCACTTGCGCCGCCGAGTCGGCGAGCACGAGGGCACAGAAAAGGAGCGCTGCGAGGAGGTAGACTAGTCTGCCCAGCCTCATTCTGTCATTGCCGTCTCGGGTCGAAAGGGAAGTTGTGTTGTCACAACAAGGGCCGTCATCGCTCTCGCATGTCGTCGTCGTCAGAGCCGCGCGTGGGTGGCCATGGAACGTCAGCGCTTGACGTGGCGGGATCTCAGGATCTGGCCACGTGAGGGTCGCGTGCAGGTATCCCACGAACGAGTCAAAAAACAAATTACGTAACACACACCAATGTGCTTTACGTAAGGATATATGGAACAACACTCCCACGCCCGCCATCGGCTGAGCAATCGACGGATTCCAATATTTCCGAATATCCTGCGGTTTTGACAGCGTTCCAGTTTTTCCGGTGTCGGGTTCTTCCGATGGCCGATAACAATAGACCGACGGCATTGTGCGAGGCCAAAGGATGGTGTGGATGGCAATGTGGCAATGTCGGTGCACAGTCTTTGGGTGCTTGGGTCGAGATGTGTTCGTTGCATGGCCGCAGAATCCGCAGCCAAGCTACAAGCTCGACGTACTACGGCGACAATCGAGAGCTGATGTCAGCTGAGAAATCCTTCAAAAAATCACGATAATTCCAGCCCAACGACAGCTCAACCACTCGGCGTCACCACTCAGCGGCCCTTTTGTGTGCTCCTTTTGCTCTACCACAAACCGCCGCTGCTGGTGAATTCTCGCATGTAGCGAGTTTGGAGTCTCAGCCATGCAGCCATGATCGGACCACACAGCCCCCAAAGCTTGGCTGGTTGGCTGGCTCTCGGGTGCAAACTCTGTGCAGTGCCAATGACATTGACAGAGTCACCTCGAGAACCACATCGTCCCCTTCACTACGTAGACACAGGCACGCGCCACAACCACCACCGCCGTCCACTAGGCCACTAGCGCGTTGTGCACGAGGCTCGGGCCAGCCCCGGGCCAGTCCACTTTCCGACTGCTGGTACAGTACTGGTGCACTGGTATACGGGTGGGACGGTGGACGTCTAAGATCCAAAAGCGTGGAGGAGGGGGTCGCAAAAAGTCCGAACGTGCATCTGGCAATCTGGCAATCTAGCAATCTTGAATCTGGCATCTCCATCTTCCATCTAGATAGCATCTGGCATCTTGCATCTGGCATCTGTGTGTCGCCCGTCCTGCTCGCCCTGCGACCAGGCCAGTGTGCAAGCTTGCAAGCTTGTCGGTTAGTACGTCGGTTAGTCGCCCGACTCCCACGCCTCCCCTTGTCCCTTTAGACACGAGCCAGATGCGTTTGACAGGTGAGAGGGTTTCGGCCTGTGCGGACGCAGACGCGGGGGGGGGGGGGGGGGGGGTACACACAGACCCAGACACGCCCGCGCAGTCGGTTGCAGAGTTCCACATACGGCGAGTGGACACGGAACAATCTGCGAGTGAGACACGCAAGCTATGAGGTGTTCATGGGATTCAAAAGGCGCCGTGCAGTCACCAGCAATGGCGCCTTGAGCGCCACCTTGATCGTATGTGCCAGCTGCCTGGTGCTGTCTCTTTTGTGCACGCGGAACAAATATCCCACCGCCAGAGTCAGACCAGAGTCAGCCCAGAGTCAGCCACCGCGGTTTCTCCTTTGTTGCGCGCGCGCGCCTGTGCATTCCCCCCCTCTTCCCCTCGCGCCACTCCGAAATGCCCCGCCCAGAGGCCAGAGGTTGTGGCCAGAGGCCGTCCAAGAGATCGAACAAGAGAGAAACGCCATTGCCGCAGTTACGCCGCCGCCAGGAGCAGCCAGGATATACGCGGCAACTCCATGGTTTTTTTGTCTTCCCTGAACACGCGATGAGATCTACAGAGCGTCGTTGCCCCGCGTGCCGCAGCCATGCCGAACATTGAACTATTCGTCCTCCAGGGAGGATTGGCAAGCGACACCACCCATCATTTGTAGAGGTGGTCCATTCATTTGTAGACGACCGACCGATCATTTGTAGAAACCGGTCCATGTCGTCAACAGGGTCACACCACCACAGCACGACTCACGGGGCGAGAGCCCACATCGCCCACATCGTCCACAGGCCACAGGTTCACAGCAGAGCACAGCCCAGAGCGCAGGAGCGCAGAAGCGAGCACAGGACATGCCCCCCCGGTGACGCGCGCGGTTTGGAATGGTTAGTGGCCCACCACGGTGCCAAGCCCATCCATTGCTGGCCGGCCGGTGCCGTGCACAGAAAGCTCTATTGTTCTCTGTCCGCCGGGGTGCACCGCGCCCCGTCCGGTGGGGGACACAGAGGGCCCAGAAAGCGTGCGGGCGCGTGTCTGTTGGGACAAGGGGTGTGTGGGATTCCAGTTCGGGGGCGAGGCGGACAATGGTCGTCACCGGCGAGTCACCATGCCGGCGCTGGAGACTACCCATGGCCATGGCCATGCCGGCACACACCCATGTACGTGCTGCTTCACACCCGCCTCTCTATGCATGCGTCACAAGCTCTGCAGTGTCGATACAAGCTTTACAGTGCAGCGACAAGCTTTCCAATGGGCTCATTGGCATTGATCGGCACGAACGCCGCCACATCGAGTCGCAGAGACAGCATCCGACGTGAAAGAAACCCACCTTGCGTCAGTGCTTTCTTACGGCATTTTTGGCCGCGTTACGATCGCTACCTCGACGAGAACATTGGGAAACGCAAGGGGAGAGAGAAAGAAAATGCTGCAAAGGATGGTGTACCCAGAAAACCAAAGGGCTAGCATTACAACCTCATACACGAGTGGGGTGGTGATAACTTCTTCTCGTTCTTGTCTTGTCTACTTTCTGTGCTGCTGCTATGAATGGGTCTAATTAGAGGATCCTCTCTCGCGCTATAGGCGGATCTCGAAGCTCTGCACAGGCGAGTTCCACGTGCGCGTGGTGCCGGCGCTGCTGCTGGCCGAGTGTGGACGGTCCGCGATGTCGCGCGCGTCCTGGGAGACACGAGGTTTGGCGTCGTAGTGGATGGTGTTGTCGGCTGGGATGTGGTTCCAGCTGTTCCACGCCGCGTCGGTAGTCATGGAACCCGACGTCGAGGTCTGGTTGAGACGCGGGAGGGGCAGCGAGACGAGCTGGTCAATGCGCATACGGCCGCCCGTGGGCGACGGGAGGCGGGGCTGTCCCGGCGTCGCAGTGATGCCGGTCGAGTGGGTGGGGTGCGGGTGCTCGTACTCTTCGTAGCGGCGGCGCTTGCGCGAGGCCTGCTCGTCCTCCCAGCGACGGAGGTCGGTGCGGGATGGAGGCGAGAATGACGACGCAGCAGTGGCCAAGGTGGCGAGTGGGTCGGCAGACATGCGGCTCGAGGTCTCGGGGGCGGTGTGGACGACGCCGGCGTTGCCAGCCCACATGCGACGGAGAGACTCGACGTGGTCACGCTGGCCGTTGGCCGAGAGGGCGCTCTCGAGGTCACGCACCCATGCAGAGAGCGACGCCTCGTGCGCTTCAAGCTGGGCAATGCGGTCTTCGAGCTCGTGGTGGTCGCTGCGGAGGGTTGTCACCGTCGACTCGAGGTCGGCCATCTGGTTGGCACGACGGACTGTGGCGGTCAGCAAGCCATGCTTGTGGTAGTGGACAACCATGGTCCCAAGAGACAAGCATCGGGTGTGGGGCAGGGGATGGTCTACCAGACGCTGCCAAAGCTTCTATGACTCACGTCGGAGGTTGCGCTGCTTGATGCGGTTCTTCTCGCGCCTGATCTCGAGGGCACTCCTGGCCGCCGGGTCGCTCTCGTCTTCCGAACACGAGTGTTGGCGGCTCATGGGGTGCGAGTTCTGGGTGCGGGGCGAGAGCGATGCAGAAGAGGAAGGGGAAGGGAGGTGGTGTGCGGGCATTGTGTGGTGTTGATCAGATACCCAGGTCGAGACTGGGGAGTGGTCGATGACAAAGGGGGGTTTGGGTTGCTGGGTGGCGGTGTGGAGGTCGTTCGGGAACAGTCCGGTGGCGACCGCTGTGTTGTTGTTTGGTTTGTTATAGGGAGTGGGGGTGGGTGGGGGGGCTGTTGAGAGACTGTGTGGGCTGCTATACTTGTATACGATGAGAGGAGGAGGGTGAGCGATTGTTCGCGCGTTTTGCGTGTGGGATCGGGGTTGTGTGCCAGAGCAAGGAGCGTCACTGTTCTCTCTTTCGCAAGTGGTTTCTCTCCCACTCGCTCTCCATCAGACGACGCATGGAACGCGTGCACAGTGTGTGTCTGTAATACCCCCGCAACCTGGTGATTTGTATTTATTTTCGTGCCGCCCCGCCGCCGCCGCCGCCGGACGAACCCCGCCCCGCCCTGGGCCCTCCTCCTGGGCACTCCTGGGCCCTCCCAACGGCACACGAGCCAAAGCAGCAGCATCCAAGGCAGCCCAGTGCGCGCGCAAGGGGCTTTTTTTTTGCTCTCTTTTCTTGAATGGGCCCTTTTGCCTGGCGTTTAAACCGTCGCATGTCCCGTATTGTTCTCCGGTTCTCCTCTTCCCAACAGCGGGTGTATTGCGTTTTGGGTCGCCCAAGCCACCACCTCACAGCCTGTGCAGCCAGGTACATGCACACCCTCTCCCCCGGGGCCAGACGCTTTTGGGCAAAAGACAATAGAGAGGCCACACACTTCCACAGACACAGACACAGAGACACACACAGAAACCACAGACACATCTTGGGGGACAAAAAGCGGCACCAGCTCCGGTCGTCCCCGCGCCCACGCCCAGGTCCCCCCAGGGCGGCCGACAGGCGGCAACTTGGCGGCCGGCGGGCCATGTTGCATCTCTATAGCATCTCTGGATCTCTGTACCTCTGTGTACTCTGTCGCGAAATGTCACCACCGCGGTATGCATCTGGCCCCCATCTGGCATCTGGGCCGCCTGTGGCTCATTCCTTGGCCTTTTTGGGCTCTATTTGTGCGTACATCATAGTCCCCAGTGGCACAACCCAATCTGCCACACACCACCCGTTCATTTTTCAAAGCACCCCATAGACACCTGCCTCCTGGACAAGAGCCTCTTGTCCAAGCGTGACTGCCCTCTTCGGCATAGCCTCCAACTTTACTGCTTATTCGGACGTTGAACACGTCAGTCTCGAGTCCTCGTTTCGCTTGCCCGTGATCCCGTGCGAGGGTTCGGGTTCGGTTTGGTTTAGGTCTGGGTGCTCTCTCTTGACAATAGAACCAAAATGCAAAACTCTCCCCCAGGCACCCGCAGACTTCCTGCATAAGCTCCGTCCTGTAGGTAATCTCTGCGTGCGCAAAGAAAAGAAAAACAAGAGTACGCGCGCGCTGAGAGCTTGTCGGGTCTCGTAGGTGGTCAGTTCCCAACGCCGCGTCAGGGCCGGCAGCTCGCCAACGGCCGCCTAAAGGTTGGTGTGTCCAGGTCCTCTTCGGTCCGTGGCCAGGTTCCTGTCTCCTCTCGATTGGAATATTGGAAGTTGCTACAGAGCTTGTGCTGTAGGTGCTTCACAGTGTCGCCCAGAGAATGGTGACGAGGAATGTCCCGGCGGTACCAGAGTCAGTCATTCGTGGCCTGTCACTTGTGGTCTCAGACACACAATGCTACAGGCCTGGCAGGCCATGGGCCGAGGCAGGTTTCGGACCCGCTTCAGTGTCCAGCAGTCTGCATGTGAGCGCCCATTGTTTCACGGACAAGGTTTGAGCTCCACCCCTGTCCCAGCTGGCACAGATGGGATTCATGCGTGTTCTGGGCAGTTTCGGCATCACACTGTCTGTCGCGATGTGCCCCGGTGCCCTGCACACATGGTGTGGGTGACAAGCGGGCGGGGGGGTGTGTCGCCTTGGCTGACGCCAACAGTACCAACCCGGCATGCCCCCGGCACACTGCGCTTCTGGCCTCTCATCTCCTCTCTCTCCCTGGCTGGCCGGACCCAATCGGGGCGCCACGGTATGCGGGCGACAGGGGGGGGGATAAGCGTACGGACAGTCCACACATCCAGAACAATAGGACACAAAAGGCTCGTCGCTGACTGCAGTGACAGAGCGTGGAGACGGGGTGGCTTGCGAGGCGCAGAAATCGAAACCCACGCGTCATCTCACGACGCCAGACCGCTGCATTCTTCACACTTGGCGCTGTCGCGAGTTATCGCGAGTGATCCCGCCAACATCTGTGAAGCGAAGTGCCGCACGCGTCCGCCCCTTCCCCCCACGACAGCCTCGATGGTCACCGCACGGGCAGGCTCCTGCCTATGCACAACCCCTCGCCGCCGAGTCATTGCGGCCCTGCGTCAGTGACGGTGGACGGCGGCTTCGCGGTGACTTGCCACGCTCCGCTTCCGCCCGATCGCGGACCAGCGGTCAGAGGTCAGAGGCCAGACGCCACACGAGATTGTGTGGGCTTTTCATGGCTGCGCGCACACGCACATCCTGCAGGAATGGATCTTGCGGGCGCGGGCGCGTCAAAGCCGGCGGCCGCGATAGTGGCCTTGGTACACGACGAGTGTGTATGCGGACAAACGGGCATTCGCTGTGCGCCCGTACACATCCGTGGCAGAGATGTGGACAGAGGCGAAGGGTTGGTTGGGGGTGTGGAAGATCGGCCGCTGCCGGCGGCAGCGGACTAGTCTGACAATGTTCATCCGCCGATATGCCGTCAGCCTTGGCAGTCGTGCCACTTTGCTCACGGGACACCCTGGAACGTCCGTATGAGAACCGGGATGCACACCGCCAAAGGGAGACAAGTAGCTAGCGACATGACATACATGACATGCCCTGCAAGCGACGTAGTGCCGGTCCTGGTCCTGGTCGTCGAGCCGGCGTTCAAGTCCTGCTGCACACTAACCCCCGGCGCGTGGCCCACAACCCAAACTACAGACGCAACGCGACAGCTAACCGCGGTCAGAAAATAGTCGGGCCATCTCGCAGCTGTCCTAGACGCACGAGCACCGTGCTATTCCTACCCTCGTGCAGGGTGGCCAGCTACAGGGGTGGACCGAGGTGGGACTACCCCTCGGTAAATTCCCATCGCGACACGAACGAAAAAAAAGCCTATTGTTCTTGCATGGTTGGCAGGCACACACACCCCCTACTGTCCGCGATCACTACTGTAGCCCCCAATTCCATGGCCTCTCTTGTAACCGGGATGTCCCCGCAGGTACTCGTTAGCTCCGGCAGCGGCAGCAGTGGGCGAGGTGGTGACTCTGTGCAGAACGGAATGATGCGGATCTACTATCACGACCCCGACACCCCCGGCGGAAACATTCCAGGGATTTTTCTTCCTTTTTTTGCGTTATACCACACCCCTCGCGCCACACCCATACCCATACCCACACGTACACCGTCCTAGCTGGATCCACGCCCATACCATGTCGGATCGATCGGAATCGGCGGAACGGTACGGTACGGTACGGCCTGCCTACCATCGCGGCTGGTCACTGGAGGTACACTGGTGCCGGTCTGGCTGTTGTCGTGGGCATGTGGCTACTCGGAAACAAAAGAGACGACCACGACACTCAAACCGTTCGCAGCAAACCTTGTGAAACCCGCTTCCGGAGTGGCGGGGAACTGGTCTTGTCGCCGCGGGGTGGTTGCGGCCGCGGCATATCGACGCACCTATGGAGGAGGTTTTGATTTTTGTGGGTGTTTTATTTTCGAATATGCGTTTCCGAGGGGCATGTTGGGTGCTGGTGCTTCCCCACAGGGTAGCGTTTGTGTCCACAGTGTGTCCAACCGACACCGAGAAGCAGACTTCTCGCAAGGGAAGGAAACACAGGGATGAGCACTCACGCTCACTGACCTCCCCTTTTCGCGAACTCTACCCTGTGCACACACTCCCTTTGCCACTGCTTCTCTGTGGCACTACTACTGATCCGAGAGGTCGACACATTTGCATTCCTTATGCGGTGCCTATGGACTACCAATATTAGTCTGCGCTACCTCGCTTACGGATGTCAATCTCGATTAGGTGTGCGACATGACGTTGAACTCGTCGTCCACAGCCGTAAACACGTTTCGGTGGCCGGTAGTGTTCGTCTCCTGGCGATTGAGCTGGGTGACCACTGGCTCGGGGGCGCTTTGCGTGTTGATGACCTCGGGGTCGTCGCAGTTGGTCGGGAGCTGGCCGAGGACGTTGACGATGAGGATAAACCACGTAATAGCCACAGAGATGCCCATCATGGCCGTCGAGCTGAGGCGGTGTGCCGACAGCGGGAAGAGCATAAGTGCGAGCGCACCGCCCACGGCAATGGTAAAGCGAACGGCCTGCAAGTCAGTACTGCCACTCTTGTAAAGGATATTGGTGTTCGTCCTTCTCCGCCAGCTGTCCTGTCCCGGTCCCCAGAGCAACGTCAACAGTCACTTGCCCTTGCCCACCCTGCGCTTCATGTACAGCCTCCAGTCATGGAGACTCCGTGACGTCTCATGTTGCAACCGAACAGGCCTTGGAGTGTGCGAAGTGCGACGTCCCCGAACAAGGTCGGGGACAGTTGGAGCCTCCCGTTCGGGTGACTCGCCACGTACCTCCCTCCCCCATCGAGCTGGCTATTGTTGCCTGTCCCCCACCGAGACGTCCGTACGTCCGATCGCTTCGTGCCCTAGACTCCAAAAGACAAAAGGACAATAGTCATGGAGCGACGCAACAGCAGGGTGACCGTCACTGGGGCCACGACCTCAGGGCAGGGTGGTAACTACGCCGTCGACTCCCGAGTGCTCCGGTGACATCCGTGCAGGATGGATAGGTCGCCGCAGGAGCGGGGTGTGGGGAAGGAGTACGTGCGGTGAGTCCAAGCAGTGGGTATTGTAAAACAAACCCAACTCGGTCCCCACGCCGTTGGGTGTGGTGCAGGCATTTGCAACAGGGGAGGCAAAGACTCGAGACATCGTCAGACTCACCCTTGGGACACGCTCCGCCCTCCACGGGTGCATGTGTTTGTGAAGAACGTCGATAATGGCCATGAACAGAACAGAAAAGCCAAGGCCACAGCCCCAGTACCTATGACAACGTTAGCACACACCGCAATGCCGTGCTCGGTCTCTTTAGCGCAAACTCACCACTTGACGCCCGCTTCGACCTCATCGTGCTTGACCATCTCGCCCGACGCAGAGGACGCCAGTACGAGGGACGCGCAAAGTGGCCAGTGAAGGCTGACGGTCAGTGGCCACACGACTACTCGGCGTTCGTAACTCACAAAGACCACATCATACCAGTGAACCAGCTGCGACGAACAGCGTGCTCGTACGGGTACGGGCCCTCGACGGGGGTCATGTAACTGTTGCCAGTCAGCTGCTTGTTCTCTGTCATCAACACTCACAGGTAGTTGAGGGCCCAGGCCACCAAGAGACCGAGCGCGGCCTTTCCAAACATTGGGCTTGCGCCAAACTCGCCCTTGGTCGCCGTGTACAGGAGGTTCATGCTGTGTGCGTGTGAGAATCGACGTTCAACCCCAGGGCCATGCTGTAGACTTACACAAGCTCGCCAAGCTGGATTGTTGTCAGCACAGACACATAACATCCCCACCACCACGCGGTCCACACTTACCACAATGACGACAAACGCGCCAGACCGCTCGATGCTGTGTTCAATGTTGATGGCTGGGATCCTAAAGCCGTCCTTGAACTGAACCATTGCCAACATGCTGGTCGGGTTGGACCTGTCCTCGGGACGCATTTCGCCCGCTTGGATGCGGCGCTCCTCCTCACGACGAGTCCTCCAACGAAGGTAGCGACCTCCGATGTACATGAAGACGGCGTCGATGCGGCAGAGGTCGACGCAGATGCCCACGGTTGCAATGATAATTTGCGCGCGGCGCGAGGTGACCCAGATGAGAGGCTAGCCTTGTCAGTTTGGGTGCGGTCCAAGCCGTGGTAACTTACGAGATACACAAACATGGGGAGGAAAACGGCACAGCCACCGAGGAACTGCGAGGTGCGGAACTTGGGCAGCTTCCAAGCGTAGAACCAGAGCACAAGGGCTCGAGACAGCTTGATGATGAGCCAAAATGCCACGGCGGCGCGAACGGCAGTGTGATCGTGTACCACTCCTTCCTCTCCTTCCTCGGACGGGTGGAGCTCGATGGCCGAGGCGTTTGCAGAGTAGCCCATGCTGCAGATCATGCCAGCGAGAACCCAGACACGGTGGACAAGCTTGGCAAAACAGTCAGTCCCCAGTGGTCAAAAGTTTCTCACGACGACCACTTACATCGTCAGTGCCCGACTGGTTCGAGTATCGCCTCGCCTCCTCCCAGATACTCCACGAGGGGTAAAAGGTGAGGATGAAGCGCGCGACAGCGATACCTCCCGGCTCCTCTGGACGGTCAGTCGATGTCTGCTAGCAGCCCTTTAACGCACCAATAGCAGACTCGGCAAGCTGGTGGATAATGCCAACAAACAAAAGGTCGAAGAAGAGTTCAAAGCGCGGAACCTCGCGTGCCGAGGGCTCGCGGTAAAGTTTGCCGCCTTGGATCCACTGAAAGATGTCAGCAAAAGGTGAAGCGCGCGCAGAGGTTATGAGTCGGGTGGCAACAGGTGACTCACCTGGCGGATGACGGGCTTGCCGATAAGTTCACGAATACGCCGGGCGGGGGGACGCTCTCCAAATTCATCGTGGAAGACCATGTTGGAATGCGGGCCGAAACGCTGCACATGCTCCATGTTGGAAGAGGCATGGTGCTGCAGCTTGGGTGGGTGCGGTGGAACAACACCCTCGGTGGACGACGAAGCGGAGCCGCTCATGGTGGGCTGATTGATGTGTGTTATCGCCGGTGAACTGGTGAACACCTGGGTGGAGGTGGGACTGCTGGGGGGGACCTTGCTTGGGCCTTTTTCAGGCTTGCTGGGGGAGCTCAATGAGAGGGCTTTATATGCGACTGACCCCGGTGGACGCAAAGAGGTGAGTGGAGAGGTAGTGAGAGCAGGTTGTGAAGGATGACTGATTGCTGGGAGACGGGGAGATTCAGGTGTCCACTTTGCCAAGAAGTTGTTTTCGGTTAGAAAATGACGGCACGGACGGCAGCCAAGGCGCCAAACCGGCCAAAACAAGGACAATTGAAAACTGCACAGGGAGACAGATTGTCAGCCTTCCCGTCACGCGTCGGGCCCTTTTCGCACCAGCGTCGGTTGGTGAGGCAGACCAGCAACATGGCTTGAGGGAAGCAAAGTGGCCAGTGGACGCTGCTCAGGCCTGGACCTGAGTGCTTGCCAGCATGGTTATGTGATGCACGGCGGAATGCAAGACGAGCGTCCAGCCCAGACGGCCAGACGGGGCCTGGCAGGTGCGGTTGTCCGGTTGTTACTTACGGAGAGTTAATCCGCAGTATCTGATAGTAGGGGCTTCATAAATGACGTGTGAATGTTTGGTAAAAGTGACTACCCGCGGGACCGAAATTGATTAGGAATATGTGCCCACTCGGAGCCGGCCGAATACAGACTGTGTGGGGTGTGATCCCGTGGGAGATTAAGAATAACCTCGGGCCGAGTGGAGGCCGTGTGGAGGGGGGGTTGCAGCGGGCGTTCTGGACTGTTCCAACCCTTTTATGACGGGGCAGCCGCTCCATGTCCTGAGCGTTGCACGCGTTGACGCCATCGCCGCGCGAATGACACACCACCACCACCACCGTCTGGCCCCAGCTGCCACCCTATATCTGTCGCGCGTGTTCAGGCCATCACCATCTTTCTCCATTCGTTACATCCACACCAAAACATCCACCACAATGCCTGCTTCTGTCGAGTTTGACCCCAAGAACATGCTTGTAAGTAGCTTCAGCAGCAGCCACAGCAGACATCGTGGGAACACTTGTTTGGAACTGACCATTGATAACAGTACCGCAACCTCGGCGAGACCGGTCTCGTGTGTATTCTTCTGAACGTGATGCAGAGCTGACCGCAAGCGTGTCCCCGTCTTCTCGTACGGCGGCTGGTTGACGTGAGTGAGAGCGAGCGAGAGGCGCTTGCTGGAGAGGACAGCTGTCATCGCTGTGAACCCAACAGTCGACGTTTCCATCCACATTTCACCGCTAACAGACAGCGTCGGCGCTACCCAGAAGGGCGACGTCGTCAAGGAGCTCATGCAGCAGGCCTTTGACCTCGGTATCAACATGTTTGACGTGAGTCGATTCTATGGGGCTGTCGCTGTCGGACCCGTTGCTTGTCAGCGGAATGCTGGGGGAGTTCGGTCCGAGAGTCGGTTGGCTGTTGCTCTAGTGCTCTACCGCAACACACATGGTGTGGCCTCCACCACCACCTCCACCGACCTCCACCGCGCTCTTTCCATGCGGCGCCAGATGTTCTGTCGGCTCCGCCCGCTGACTCTGTATCGCAGAACGCCGAGGGCTACGCCGCTGGCCAGTCTGAGCTTGAGATGGGTCGTGTCATCAGGGAACTTGGCTGGGACCGCCGCGACATTATCATCTCGACCAAGATCTTCTTTGGCACCAACCGCAAGGAGGTCCACAACACCCGTGGTCTGTCGCGCAAGCACATCATCGAGGGTGCCCACGCCTCGCTCGAGCGCCTCGGCCTCGACTATGTGGACATCATCTTTGCTCACCGCCCGGACATCACCACCCCCATGGAGGAGGTTGTCCGCGCCTTCAACTGGCTCATTGACAGTGAGCACAAAGTCTCCTTGTGGCTGTGGCTGACCCTCAGACAACAAGGCCTTCTACTGGGGTACCTCGGAGTGGTCTGCTGCCCAGATCATCCAGGCCAAGGAGATTGCTCGCCGTCTCAACCTCGTTGGTCCCGCCGTCGAGCAGCCCCACTACTCGATGCTCCACCGTGAGCGCTTCGAGGTCGAGTACGGACAGCTCTTTGCCAAGGAGGGTCTTGGAAGCACCATCTGGTCGCCCCTTGACTCTGGTATCCTGACCGGCAAGTACAACGACGGTGTTCCCGAGGGCTCGCGCTTTGCCACCAACTCCGAGTTCTTCAACGACACCGTCAAGAAGCTCCAGTCCGAGGAGGGCCAGGCCAAGATTGCCAAGGTCAAGGAGCTCACCAAGCTCGCCGAGTCGATCGGTGCCACCATGACCAACCTCGCGCTTGCCTGGACCCTGCTCAACAAGAACGTCTCCACCTGCATCCTCGGCGCCACCAAGCCCGAGCAGCTGGTCGAGAACGTCAAGGCCCTCGACGTCTACAAGACTCTTCTTGACAAGCCCGAGGTCGTTGCCCAGATCACTAAGATTCTCGACAACAAGCCCACCCCTGCCCAGGCCTACGGCCGTCTCACTGCCGAGGGCAACCTCTCGTAAACCTAGAATCCGCAATGTCGCGCGGTACGTAGGTAGATGATGCAGGAATATTAGGCAGAGGATGGTGTAGAGAGACATGGTGGCAAGGGATACATGTGCTGCTGAACTTGGCTTCTGACGCGGCTGCTGGCTACTCCTCTTCACGGACGGCACATGCGGGGGATTCTGTTGACTGGAGTCAGTTGGATCGGCAACCTTTGCGCAACTTACATGAACATCGCCGACCTCAACCGCCCTTGCTCGCGTTCTTCTTCTGCTTGCCCTTGGTGGACGCCATCGTGTGTTGACTAGTCTTGCGCGTCTCGGCTTGGAGCAACCCCGCTGCACGTTAGCACTACACCGGAGAGACAAGAAACACCCACCATCCAACCTGAGCTTCTGCAGCATGGCAGCAGGCGGCACCGCGTCACCCGCCACTGGCTCGCGCGTCTCGAGCTGAGCGGGTTTGCACGTACGGGCACCAGGCAAGGGAGTCCAGTCGTGGCGGTGAGCAGACGAGGGCTCCAGGCCGCGAGGAGGTGGACGCGACGCGCCACCCAAGTCTGGGCATACAGTTAGCTTCTCCCCCAGGCTCAACACCATTCGTTGACGGCACTTACGGCGACGGTTGAAGGCGGTGAAGGGCTTGTACTTCTTTTGGCGCATGGGCACGCACGGGTCGAGGTATGTGATCCTGCCCATCTTGTCCCCCTCACCAAGTGGGAAGCGTGGGTCGTGCTGGCTTTGCTGGTCGTGCGCTGGGTGGGCGGCCGGTGGCGACCGGTGGCCGGGCCGCTTGCGCCTGTTTGGTGGCAGCGCCGCACCGGCAATGTTGAGGGTGGTGACTCCGTGGCCGTGAGGTAGAGGCAGCCAGGAGGCGTCGTTTTCGTCTTGGAAGGGCATTTGATGGATGAGGAGGATGGAAGGATGTGTGAAAGAGATGGGGACCGAGTGGGATGTTTATCAAGGATGGTCACACTAGGTCGATCCAGCAGGAGGTTGACTCAACCACCCACCAGATCACCACCACACACACACACATCCGCGCCACAGCGGCCTCAAACTAACGACCCCCATTTTCCACTATAGAACATGAATGCATGGTGACATGATAGTACCGGCTAGCAGCACGGCAACAAACGTGTGGGCTTGAACTAGTGACAAGAGTATACGTGAGAGAATGCGACAAGGGCGAGCGTGTTGGGTTCAGACGAGGCTTTCCGACCTGGGATGATCCTCGGCGTTGTTGGGGTGTGGACGGAGATTACACTTTGACAGCGGAAGGCGTCACCGGCGTCTGTGGGGCAGGTTCCGGAGTGCGTGGGGCAAGTTCAGTAATGGTAGGCATCTCGGCGACGCGTGGTGTTTCTGGCGGTGTCACTGGCCGAGGAGTCTGGAGGGAGCGCCGACGCTGAGCGTCTGAAGAGGGTCAGCACTAGCTTTTGGGCGGGATCCCAACTCACCCTTCTCGGCGGTAGACTGTGGCGACTGAAGAGAACGGCGACGTTTGGCAATGTCTGGAAGATGTCAGCTCGCCTCGCTAATAACGTGCCCGAGCTCACCCTTGTCGGCTGCCTCAATCCACGAAAAGCGACGGTTGACAGGCTCGGGAGATGACTGCTTGTCAGCTATGGCTCCTGACGCCAACAACTCACATCCGAGTCATGTCCCCCAAACTCCTCGCTGACAGGCTCTCCCGCCAACCTGGCCATGCGCGCGACCTCGGCCTGGGTGATTTTGAGCTTCTCCTCCAGTGCCGCACGGCCCGCCACCTCGGTAGCTAGCCGAGTTTCGAGACGTGCCCGTGCCGCTGCCTCTTCTGCGTGCTGTGCTTTGAGACGGCGAACCTCGCTGCGGGTATCCTCGAGCTTCTCCGACGTGGATGTGCAGAGTGCGACGATGGACTTGAACAAGCGTTTCAGCTCGGCGACTGCGGCCCCAGAGTCAGCCTTCGTAGTACACCATTGCCGTCGCCCTGGACAACGACCACGTACCTTCTTCGTGCTGCCTCTCCTGAGACTCCAATACCTCGGCCACTGGAACGGGGGTCAGCGAACGCGCACTCTCCTCCTCAGACAAGCGCAACTCACGCTGGGCACCCTGCTTGGCCGCTTGAGCAGCTTGCCTGTCGATGATAGCAGACAGAACGTCGACTACGGGTGGTCAGCGCACGGTCCTCCCGGCTCTCTCGGTGCTCGCACCGCAGTCGCCATCGCACGGCTGGGGTGGGCTCTCTCAACTCACGCTTCTGGCCACCAGTGTCAAGCCGCACGTCACTCAGGTCGAGGTGGGCAGCAAAGTTGCGCACCTCGGCCTCGAGACGGGCGAGACGCTGGGCGAGGTCAAAGTCGAGTGTATTTGCTTGTGCGGCCTGGAGAGCGGACATGAAGGTCGGGACCGGGATCGGCACGCCGTCGCCGAGCTGCTGCGCCCTGACCTCGCCCATGGTTGAAGAGATGTCGTTGCGCAGCATTGGCCCTGTGGATAGCGTTAGTGTTGGTGAGGAGCAAAGACGACGACCATCGACTTACGCGTGCCGCCGTGTAGTGGGAGGAGATCAACAGACAAGTCGTTGACACGCGACTGAAGCCAAGGGTCCCGGGGGTCGCGCATGGGTGGAGGAGGTTCGTGCGGCCGGGGCTCCGAAACGCGGCGGGGCTTGACGGGTTCGCCCTGTAACGACGACGCACCATGGTTCGGGACGGGGATGGATGCAAGAGGAGGACGAGAAAGCTGAGAGTCGGTTGCAGCAGCGCTGTCGTTGTACATGGTGTGTTGGGAGGTAGGAAGGAGTCGAAATGCGTGCGTGTGTGTGTGATGGTGACACGGGTATAGGCGGTGGAGGTTGCCCAAGTGCCACATTCGGTAAACGGTGTGGGCCGTCGAACGACCAGGGCGCGGCCTGTGACTGCTCGGTGGTGGATGTGGTGGGAGTGGTGGATGTGGTGGGAGATTGTACCTGTTGCATGTGCATGCAGGCTGCCATGCTGTAGTACGGGATGGCCCACTATCTGTTCAAGCTAGGTCTCTACTGTCGCCGGACAGGTAGATATCCCAGCGATTACGTAAACGCACGTGACTCAAAATGGCCCGTTAAAGTGATCGGTGAACCGCCTGCGTGGTTCGTCCGCAGGCACACTGCACGCACGCACATAAACTCCCCTCGTGGGTCGCGTGTGTATGTATCTGTACATGCAGTGTGTATTGATTATCCATATGCATGGCGAGTCCTTGGGGAGTCTGTCTCGTTTCTGCGGGTTGCTGTATGCGACGGTGTGCAGACTGCCGAACAGAGGGCACCAAAATGCTCCGGCTGGCCCGCAGGCAGTTCGGAAACACAACTGGTATCACTGTCTGCTGGGTCCCCCGAAGGGCGTCAACTGACCTTGACAAGCCTTTCCTCGTAACTCTTCTGACCTTTGCCAGGTGGTGACGGTTCAAAACGTAGGCTGGTTCCCCGAACAAGCCGCGGTGGGATTATGAGGTATTTTCCCACATTTAAATGCAATTTTCGATCATTGGCATGTTCCTTTGTCTGAAAGGGGGGCCTACTACTACAGGGCCTACTACTACAACCCCGATGTATCTGCGCAAGGTCTCCCACGTTCACTTTGTTGTCTCTTGAAGAGATCAAGCTCACCTTCACCTTCCCCTTCCTTAACCATTCGCAGTTACCCGGAGAGGATTGTTTTCACAGCAGTCAAGCCACGCACCACCCCACCGGCTTGATCAATGCATATTGGTACGATGGTACATGTTTCTTGACGTAAATCCCATCCTTGAATGGGTGCTTATACTGCACAAGGTATGCATGAGGAACAATACCGTGTCCAAGATGGGTCGTGGGTGGGATAACGGTGGGTGCCTTGATGTGGTTGAGTTACCTATTATCGCCACGGACCCAAACGACGAGTGTATGCGTTTTTCCTAAAAGTCCAGTCACCCCCCCCCCCCCCCCTCGGTCTTCCCTCAAGCATTCATGCACCTGGGAATTTACAGCTATGAAATCAGTACCGTTGGGTAGCTACAGCATGCATGATTTAGGAAATCTTCTTTTTTCGGTGTGTTTAGTTGCGTTTTTGTGGGTTTTTGTTGTGGACGTGTTCTGGTGAGCGTACGGTGGAGGGCGGGCTGGTGTACCGTCGAGACGTACCCCCCCACTCCGTCTGAAAACACTCCGCACGTCTCTTCTACCAACCTCATATCCCTCACCAACCAACCCACCCATCCCCAACCAGTCTCTCTCCGCACTTGGACCTCGCCCCGCATGGGCAAGTCAACGAAGAGCGCGGACAAGAGACCCACCCAGCAGCTCACGCTGGGTGGCTTCTTCCAGCCCAACCCCCCCGTACGTCGCTGCTCGGTAGACTCTCGCTGACATCCTTGCAGCCTCCTTCCATCGCCACCCCATCAGCTTCCCCATCCCCTCCTCCTGCCTCTCACCCTCCTCCCCGCCTCCCCCCTACCACATCGCGCGCGGCTGCGGCCGCTGCCAGGAACTCCTCGGCGGCGTCCTACAGGGCGCAACAACACACGGTGAGTCTTGATTGTGTCAGATACACAAGTGTTCCAGACAGCTGCTGATATCCTAGGCGGCGTCAAACGCCAACCCCAACCCGGCGACGCTGTCGTAGTCGTCCACTGCGGTCCGCGGACCCGACAGTGCGGCGGCGCCGGCGGTGGCGACCTTGCCGGGAACTGAGGTGAGTAACCCGCGCACCCTATCACCCCGCACACCATTCTCCCCATCCACATCCCACCGTGTACGACGTCGATGCATCCCTGCCGACCCTCTACCGCGGGTAATCGGCACAGGCGACGAGGGCGAGTTGTCGCTGTCGCCAAGTACAATGGTGACCCCGTGGCTGTCACCAACAAATGCCAGCCAGAACGCGTCCTGGGACGTATTGTGCTTCCTGTGTGTGGTGCCTGCGCGTTCCGATTAGCTCACATGTTCCGATGCCAATCACACCGCATCACCACTTGCGTGCAGATTGCTAACGCTCACAGAACAACCCCATCTCGTTCCTTTGCGATGACGAGGACGACGACTCGGCCCCGGGCGTAAGTGTAGCACCGTTGTTGCCGGCTGACGGATTTCCAGGCCGTAGCCCCCAGGGGCAAGGGCAAGAGGACCTGGGCCCCCCGCCACGTTCCTGTGGAGGACATGTGCCAGGACTCGGTCTGTGTAACGTGCAGCGCACGCCATTGGTGCGACGGTCTTTGGCTCGCCGGCTCCTGGAGCGTCACGGCGACGACAACCATCAAGCGCGATACTGTTCGCCTGGGTCTCTTCTTGTCGAGCAGCCACAGCGACCTCGACGACGACGACTATGAGTTGCCCGAGGTCCCTCACGCATGGACTGAACGAGACTGTGAAGCCGTCATACGTCATCCTCTGTTGGCCATGGTGGCCAGGATGAGGCGCCCCTCTGCCGTGGATATGTTCGCTGGACTGCAAAAGGTCCTGTCGGGCATTTTCTCTGCAGAAGACAACATCTGGCCTGGCTTCGTTCTTGCCGTCAAGGGCTTCGTGGCCGACGACACCAGTCGGCTGAGCTACAAGGTGCAGGTGTTCCAGCACCTACGTGATACGGTGCCGGCCATGGGTGAATCGCTCGACAATACCCATCAATTCGGCCTTCGGATCCCCATCCCGGTGCACCGCCCGGAAGGCTGCATGGTCATCCCCCTCTGGCTCAACCTCGCCAAGGGCGGTGGCCACTGGCTCACGGTCTGCTGTGGCCTGCTGGCACTGACGATGCGCGCGGCCGGCGCCTCAGACGGGCAGATCGATGTCGTCGGCGCCCTGATCCAGAAGGTGCGTCCCGTGGACGCCGCGTACCGCCGCGCGTCCACAGCCAAGGTCAACGGTTTTGATGGCGACCGCGTCGGCATGGTCGAGCTCAGCGAGCAGCTCGAGCAGGCGTTTTCACCCGAGTCCAACGACGGGCGAACCGCGGACATCGATTTTGTCAAGGTACACGTGGTCCCGGACGCCTCGATCGCCCTCAAGAACCTGCGCAAGCGCGGCATAGTCCGCACGGAGGTTCTTGAGAAATGGCGCAAGATCATGCGGGAGAAGGCGAGCGATCTGGTGCGTCTCGTTCACGAGTTCGAAGACAGCCAGGGGAACCACCCACTCCGTTACAACGAGCAGGGGTTCCCGACTCTCTTTTGGGAAGAGTCGTCCACCACGGAGGACATCGTGGACCTGGCAATTGTCATTTTCATACAATGCCTCGTTTACGAACTCGACAAGGACGGCCGGCCAACGACCACGGTGTACACGATCATCTTGTTTATCGTCTACCACCTGGTGCGGTTCGGGAACCGTGACGAGGCTACCGGCTCTTGTTCGACGCCACGGTAGGCGTGCACTCCGCCACTGCCCCAACTTTCGTGGCCCACGACGACCACGCCCGAGCGGTCAACACTGGGTGGAGCTCGCCATACCCGACCTCCGTGTCCCAGTTTGACCCTGGGCAAGTGAGCGGCCGAGTGCAGCTGAGGCTGCTAAACTTCGCCATCAAGTCTTGGCGCCGGTCGGCACTGCAGTCTTGCATCTCGGCGGCACTGCCCATGCTGGAAGCGCTTCTAAACCGCATCCAAGCTCACGGGCAGCTCGAAGAGTTTACTGTTCCTCTCGTCGCCCAGCTGCCTAAACTGGGTATGGCGAAAATCGTTCCACCACTCTCGAGCTCGGTCTCCTCGACGACGAGCACGACCTTCGCCACCTCGGCGCTCTGACTGTCACAAGGCCACGGATGGAGGACCTCGTAGCCGAGGCCACAGAGGGCTCCTCCTACGACTTCGGCGCCCACGCCGCCCGGTTTACGGGGTCAGAGGCCCAGGCAACCGCTATCGCCGCCAACCTCAACGAGGCCATCGGGATCCTGAGCGGGGCGATGGACCGCATGCGGGAGCCAGACGTCCTCCAGGCTATTATGGCATTGTCGATGGCCAACCTCGATCGCGTTTCGACTAAAGCCCACGAAAGTGCGGCTCAAGCGGTCCGCCGGGCGTCAGATCAAGTCAAAACGAATTTTGGTGAACTTACGGGCACCCTACTTCTTGGCCAGTTCTTTCTTGAAGAGTTCGACTTCTTGGTCGGCTTGACCCCAAAGGGGAACGTGCCATTGGCGCATGGAATACCGAGGCAGCTCACTTTTGTTCTTGGCCTTGGAGGCCTTGTTGGACTTGCGCTTCTGTTGCCCGTCGCTTCCGAAGACGAGGGACCTGAGACTTTGCTGTCAATGGACTGCCCCTCTCGTGTACTCTTGACAATACCTGAGCACGCCACTGATGAGCTGAGCGTGCTTTGAGCTTCAGGGCCGCATTGTCCTTGAGGAAGGTTGGGATCATTGCCTGGGCCCCGGCGAGCTCCTTGGCTCGAGCAGCAGCGGCCTTGACGACTTCGGGATCCGGGTGTTCGGCCAACCATGCTACGAATTTGTCAACAACACCAATGTAAGCAATAGACGTACCGAGCTGCGCCTCGCGCTTCTTTTGGTCTTTGACCCTACGCTCAGCGTTCTTCTCCTCAATGTCGCTCTGGGTCATCTGCGACCTGCGACGCTTGTAGTAGCTCTCGGAGCCTGCAACACACGCTGCGAGGATGGCGCTTGTGACAGGTCCCGTTTGAGCGTTGCGCGTCGCGGTCACGTCGGTACCGGTGATGCGCTTGGCAACCTTGGTGCGGAAAGGCTGAACGGTGGGACAATTTTTGTTGCACGGCTCGTACAAGGACGCCTCCTCGTCCCATAAACGGCCCTGCTTACAGCAGAAAACGTGGAGGTACATATAGCCACCGGAGGGTGACTGCCTCGAAAAGGAGAAAACCCAGTCGACAGCCGAGGCCCTTGTCTGTGGCGGAGTGCTTGGCTACACCATACGCGAGCAGGACGCCGATATCCATCTGCCACGAGATGACGTCCTGGTGGGACACCAGCTCAATGAAGCGGTCTCCGCTGTCTGTCAGCCCGACTTCCATATTGTGCACCCATGGGATGAGGTCCATAAGGAGGTTGACCCAGTGCTGCCGCTTGCGCTCCACCACACCGCCTGCACCTGTGGCGGAACCGCCATACAGGATGAGCGCGGGACCGTCGGCGGTCTCGATTAGGGCCCACTTGGCGTAGCACGCAAAAACCGTGCCAGGGAATTCGGACGTGCAGGGCAGCAAGTCCAGCGTGTCGAGCGTTGGGGGTTTATCTGCGGCGAGGACCTTCATGCCCTCCTTGGTCATGACTTTTGTAAATCTGGTGAACCAAGTATCGCCATCGTTATACGACAGGGCTGCGTCAAATGACACCGCCTTGCCTTATTGCGTGACCAGGTCCGACCACACGGACAGGAAGCGGGTCTTCAGGGTGCACAGCACGGCCGGAGGGATCGTAGGAGTGGCCATGTTGTCGATTAGCGGCAAGTTGGCCACGATGGGTGGGGAGGCAATCACAGCCGGAATGTGGTAGGTGGTGTGCCAGAGGTTGATAAGGTCATCGCTTCCGTTGATAAGGGAGGCGACGGCCTCGGGCTTAAGAGTCAGTGACGCATACACAGTTTGGTCTCACGGAGAGCCTGTGGGTCGATCCTGTCGATCCTTCGTGGTCATTACTCTGCTTCGGTAATGCCTTCACATAGTTAGTCACTCTCAACGAGTACTCGCAGAGGCTCGCAGAACTCACGACCTTTGCGACCTTGGAAGAGGACCTTGGAAGAGGGGCTGATGAGAGGCGCAGCAGCCTGAACCGTCAGCACGGAGCATGATGGAGGAGTAATGAGAGCCTACCTTGCCCTTGCCCTTCCCCTCGTACGCCGGTTTCTGTAACCGTGTCAGCCGCCAACAGTCTGCAAGCACCAACAACCAACAACCCCCACACAATCTTGCTGCTCATAGGGGTGAGCCTGGATGCACTTACCTCCTGCTCAGTCTCGGACCAGTGGTCCGGCGATTGGGCCGCGGCCGCATCCGCGAAGTCGGCGAGGTCGTCATTCTCGACTTGCTCCTGCGACCCATATCAGCGACAGCAACGAAGAGTTTTGTTGTTTTGCACTCACAAAGTTGTCGGCAAGCTTTGTCTGCCAATTCTCCTGTAGCCCTCTGTCAGTGCCATTCGCGACGCCGAGCCAACGCTCTAGGCAGAAATGGGCTCACACTCAATGTCGAGCGTGAGGAGGACGCGGTGGCGTTCTGGCAAAAGCCTTGTCAGCGTTGTATCCTCAACTATCTCAACTACGACCGTAAACGGCCACTCTCACGGACGGACTCACGGGCGGTGTTGACACACTCTACGTAATCTGCTTGCCCTGCAAGCAAGTCAGCTAATCCATCTTCAATGTCGAGTGCCGCCACTCGCAACGGGCCGCCACCACCTTCCTCCGAAACGTTGATGGTGATGCCAACACTTGAGAGATGGAGATGTGGAGAGTGTGTTTATGTGAGGGAAAGACGCAACGTGCCTTGTTTATTCCGAGATCGAGTGTAGAGTAACAAAGAGAGAGAAACAACACGGAAATTCCAATTTAAGTAGTGTCGCGTGAGGGGGCGCCGGCGCCGACCAACTCACCTTCAGGTCACCTTGCGCCCCCCAAAACCCACACACACCTCTTCTTCTTGCCACCCACATCCCATCGTCCATGTACGACGACAATACGTTCCTCCCAAATTCCACCGCAGGTACACATCGGGATCAACAAAGGTTAGTCATCGTTGTCGCCGTGCTTCATGGTGACAGCGGCGCTCACCAGTCCGTGAACACGCGTCCCGGGACGTTGCGCATCAGGTCCGTCGTGTGTGGTGCTTGCCCTCCCATGACCATCTCAACCCCTCACTACATACTTTTGTGCAGATTGCTAACCCTGAAGAGTATGCGTGGGACCACACGCTCGACGACACAGGGATAATTGACGCTTGGGTGAGTCAAATCATGATTGCAGGTATGACGTCTAAGCTCAAACGAAACAGCTTGTCAACAATCTGCGTCTGGAGGAAGACGGCGCCGCTGTGGAGAGCGTCCAGGTTGATGGTGAGGGCCATTCTGAGTTCCTGCTGTTCGTTCTTTTCGTCAGCTGAAATGGCAAAAGTGGGTATCGTTGATCTAGTTCGTGTTCTGACAAGTTAGACGCTCAGCCAGGCGCACCGGTGACCGGTACCTACCAAGGCCCCTGATTCGACGGGCCCAGGTTCAAGCGCGCCTTCCGTCGAGTGTATCAGGGACTTCACCAACAGTACCTAAAACGCTTCTGGAGGTCTGAGCTGGTCAAGACGGACAGAGCAGAGAGCCTTTGGAGACAGCGCCTCTGCGGCGGCCTGCACCCGACTGCGGAGGCCCTATTCTGCTCCGCCACGCCGCCCGCCTTTCACCAGCTGCTTGCTCTGCCCGACGTCGAGGGCGACCCGCGCTGGGGAATCTACCTCATCATTCTCGTGCCCCGGCCACATATGAAAGATCAGCGGGTCATGATCTATGTGGGCTCCGCCCGACGCAACAGTCTGTTCGCAGACGACGGCGGTGTCACCGAAGGACTTACAGCCCGAAGCGACGAGCACTTGCCTAACTTTGTGCAAGGCAAAGGTTAAGGCCTGGTCACTCCCTAACATTGACTGACGGTTCAGTGGGGCCAAGTTGTACAAGATCACCATGGCGGACAAATCCACCGCCCCGGAGGTACGTGTCGTCATTCCCATCACTGCCCAAACACTCTGCATTTGTCAACCGAAACCATCACCAAACCCTGTCTGCGTAACAATCGTGGGCGCGATGACGACCCGCCCGCTGGAGAGGGACACCACAGCTTTCGCCGGCAGTGCCCCTCTCTTTTGGGGAAAGCCGTAGCGTCTCTTCTTGCAGGACACTCTGCTGTGAGGCTCACGTCTACACGGGGTTGTGACCCGGGTCGGTGGATGGTTGACCTCTCCACGGATATGCAGGTGCAACACAACAAGTGCTGACCGATCCAGACGCGTCGCTCCTTTAGGGCTATCAAGGGCAAAGTGAGTGTCTCCTGCCCAGCAGCAGCTATCCCTTCATGGGTAAAGCCCGTCGGAACCTAGCTGACAAATGTAGGCTGGATCCTCGAGTAGCAGGAGCAGAAGCAACAACAACAACATCACCACTGTACGTTCACCATGTCTTGAGCAGATTAGTTAACAGCTTGCAGTCCGTTGCCGCCAACTTTGCGGGATCCTCTGTCACTGGCCCAACGTCCGTTCTGACGTCGCCATCCATATGTTTGTTCGAACCGACACGAATGTAACTGACAGTGTACAGCCCCTCACGGCGAATGACTGGTCCGTCTGGGACACACCCAACGATTGCACTCTCATTGCGACCCGGTTCACCAAATGCTACAATGCACTTCTGGCGGGCACTCCAGCCCTTTTGGGAGACCGAGGCCACACCGGAGTCACGCGGCAGGTGGCTGTCGCGATTCGGGTCAATGCTAAACCCCGAGTCCTCCAAGCTCCTTTGCATGGCCACGACCCCCAAGGCTCACGACTTTCTTGCCCTTCCCGACGCCAGACAAGACAACCACATGGGCGTCTACGCCGTCGTCCTCGTCCCCAATGAAGGCAGTGACAAGCCCCTCACCGTGTACGTCGGTTCTGGCTCGAAGCCTGTCATCATCGGCGTGACCACAGGCAAGCCTACACGTCTGGGCGTCAGGCTTCGCGCATTGACGACCATTGGAGTGCCATGTTTATTTCATTGTCCACGCACGCTGTCCGACCGCGCGCAATACACTAATGGCGCAGGACCATGAACTTCTACCAGTTCTGGAGCCCATACAAGGACGACTACAGGGACCACTACAAGAGCCTGTCTGCCGTGACCAGGAGCGAAGAGCCCGCCTTCCTCAAAAGCCTGTCGTCGGGACTACTCCTGGCCCTGGATCCAATGGTGGTATTTACCGAGGCTTTCTGGACACAGGCCCTGGACAGTCGCTCTCTCGCCACCGGATTCAACACTCTGTGGCAAGCCGTCCCGTGGCACCCGCTCAACACGCAGCCGGCCCTCGCCCAGTTAATCCGTGGCCAATTCGGACACATGGACACTGGCCAGCGACAGGCTGGTGTGCGCAAGGCCCAAGCCCGCAAGCGTCTGCAACCCGACAGCGACCGTCCTGTTAAGGGTCCAAGTACGCGTAAAACTGCTAACGAGCGCCGCAAGGCCGAGCGCGCGTCGCATACCGGCAAGCAGCGGCAGAGACGCCTGGCTGATGACCGGGAATACAAGGCCGACTATGCCGCACGCCGACGTCTCGCCGAGCAACGAAACCCGCCCCTGGAGTCCGCTCGTCTCGCTAATCAAACCGCGGTGGGAGCGTAACATTACGAGAAGAACAAAGAGCAACCGGAGCAAGCCCGTACGTGTGTGTGTGTGACTCCTGCTGATTGCCAGGCCTCGCGCAGCTCGACGACCTCCGCTCCCGTCGTCTCGCAGAACTGCGCGCCGTGCGTCTCAACGGCTGAGTACTCTTGGCCCTCGAGACTCTTGAGTGTGCCAGTGGCAGGAGCGATGGAGGGAGCGCCCGGGGTCAGTACGTACACGAAGTTGAGTGCAGCTGCCACTGGGGTCAAGGAGTGTAGACAGACGAGAAGGGAATGGGGAGACGGCCATGAAGGTGCTGCATCCTGCATATGGTCTGACAACTGTATCTACAGGGATCTCTAGTGAATGCACTATGTACAGTCTCGCCCAGGAATACGCCAGACGGTCTAACAATGATTTGTCCCAAGATACTAGGCCCGTCACGTAACTTCTCTCGAGTTTGGGTCCTGGTGGTGGTGATGGGAAGGCAATTTCCATGGCGTGAGTGAGGCTCGAGGCTCTCCTTGTGGTGGTGGATATTATGACGCACTTCGCCCGTGGTGAGGCCAGATGACAGTGGTCAAACAACGCGTCTGGGGAGCGCTGACGACGGCAACAGGAGCGATACATGTGGGTTCTCGTGTCTGTTGCCGGAAACCGTTGCGCAGGCAGTACTCGGTCTCCATCTGCGGTTATCAGGATGCGCGCTTCGCAACCCATCTAAGCTGCATATGGGTGCCACAACACATCACCATCACTGGCCCAGCTGCACGGATAGCGAGCGATGAAGGGGACGTATGTACATTGTCAACCCGAGGAAGTGACATTTACAAAATGTTACAACACCATATATTTCCTTCCACCCTATAGAAGTCAGCAAACACACACACGGTATCATAGAAAAAGACAGCAAACTTCCTTTGCTAACCTTGTTGCCCTTGTGAGCGGCCTTGCCGTTGCCCTTCTACTTGGTCTTCTTGCCTTGAGACTGTCAGCACGGCGGTTAACAGGGACAAAGGGTACAAACCCTGTTGAACTGTCAGCGTCGCTCGTAGGATGATCAACCCTGTGAACTCACGTCGACGACCTTGTTCTTCCTACTGGTACGCAGCGCCTCCGTTTTTGAAGCCAACATCTTTAACTCCCTTTCAAGAGCCTGGATCACTGTCATTTAGCTTAATAATTAACGGTGAAACTCACATGACTTGGGCTTGTTGGCCCTCTTGGCCCGCGATAGGCGCATTCGGGCGGCCTGCGATGCGTCCCAGGCTTTCCTCTCTTCTTTGCCCATCTTCGCCTTGTCGTTGTGACGCCAGGTGCCCTTGCGGGCCGTCTCTTTGGCCTTTCGAGCGGCCTGCTCACCTGCTGGAAGCTTGGCGGCGTGAGTCAATTTGGACCCGTAAGTTCGCTGGCTGTGAGCGGTACGCTCAGCGTCGGTCCAGCGCAGGTTTCTGCGCGCGCGATATGAACGCGACGACTGGCTGAGCAGAGTGGGGCCGCGTGGTTGACACCGACCCAGGGGACCTTGCGCCAGAGGGTGTTGGTGACTGGGGCAGAGTCCCAGCAGTCCAGCCGCGTGGCACCACACGGCCTCTGCAAAGAGGGACATGGCGACGAAGGCGACCAACTCTGTAGTAGTGCGGCTCTTCATGGCCACGCCGTCAGTGCCCGCGATGGTGAACAGTCCCTTGCAGTAGATGTTGTACTCCCTAGGACACTGGCCATGCAGGAGCACAGACTCGCACCTGCCACTGTTAGCTCAGGAACTCTGTGCGCAAACATATGACATACCTCGCCTGGCTGAAATGGCTTCGCTAGCGACCGCTCAGACCACCCCGCTTCACGATGCCGCCCGTCTTGTTAAAGACGTTCGTGCCCGCGGCCCTGCCGACGTACGGGCGGACCTTTTCATTGGGGTTCTGGCAGCTGGCGGTAGGTACGAGGACAATGAGGTAGGCGCCCCACCTCGTGCACCTGTTGGTAGGATCTGCTGGAGGGTGGGCGCGGTTGCGCCCTGGGTCCTCCACCCTTTCCGGGGGCGCTAGGCCTCGAGACCGTTGAAAGCAGCGTCGAACGCCTCCTTGAAGGCAGGAGACTCGGGGAGGACAGGGAGCTCATCGACCAGCCTGTCCGCCGAGATCAACAGGATCAAACAGTAGCTTTGACGTCACTGGTCCCATACTCACCGAGGCCTCGTCGGCCTGGTTTTACTGTCAGTATTGTTCTATCAACGTTCACCAGGAAGCACACTCACAATGTCGGGGTGGTAGTTGTAGGCCAGGGGTTCGTGGCAGCACGACGTGTTGCATATCGATACTATAATGGCAGATGCAGCGTAGTTGCGATGATAGAGTGCGCCTGGCCATCCCAACCGCAACGCTGGCGATTCATCTGCGATCAGGGACGTCGCCCTGTGTACAGCTGACACCCATCGGCATACACTCGGGTGTTTCTTTCTTGTACCATTTGGAGAACTTTGCTACATGGGTTCGGAACCCAGGCGATGGCATTGGGCTGCTGGATCCATCCGCCATCCAAGTGGCTGTCAGCATATACCCGCTGCAGGGTCTGTCAGCCGTCTCTTATCACATTTGAAATCCGGGTACACCAGCCCAGCAAAATGTTGGTCGGCAGCACGAGTCAAGATGGCGCGAGCGCCGAACGTGCGACAGGTTGTCCCATTGAACGGATGCTAGTTTGCATGCCTGAGGACTCCGTTGGACGGCACCCATCCCTCTCGCAATTCCTCGGCATTCGCCAAACTGAGGCGAGTGTCGCGCACATGGCGTGGAGTGTTGCGTGATGTAGATCACGCTGGATCGCTGGAAACACGGCCCTCTGCACTCGCCCTGCATAGCACTGCGTGGCTTGATGCTCAGCGCTCGCATTCTTGGTATCCTCCCTCTCCTTGTGGTTATTGCATGTTGCGAATGCTTGGGACGTTAGTCTGAGGGCCAGCGACAGAGTCATGAGGGCTGTCTGATTCATATACATGCCTACTTGTAGATCCGAGCCACGAGCTAATCGCCTGATGTACATAGTGTCCCTTGTATCATTACTTCTTGTAGAAGTAGCCGGCGAAGAGGTTGTTGGCGTGCTGTTGGTACTTGCGGCGGTCGACAAGGGCCTGACCGCTACACGGTGAGCCTTCGAGCACATACCCTTGTCGTACCACTTGTCATACATGGTCGTGACAGGACCAAAGTCACACCTCGCACCGTCTTCCACCAGCCCCATGCCGATACGGCGAATCCGGACAATAATTGCAGGCTGCTCCTCGGCGGCTGAGACAGTTAGGTCGAGCAGGGAAAAGACTGCCATGCCATCACCGCTACCTACCCTCGAGCCCACCGCCACCCTTCACAACCTTCATGTAGTTGTTCATTTTTTGAATGAGGAGGCCTTGATCTTGCTCGCCGACATCTCGTTGGTGTTGATGATCTCAGCACCTGCTCCACGTTAGCGGGGCCCTTCAGTTTAGTTCAGGCCACTCACCATTCGCGTCGTGCTCGATGTATGGCTCGCCATACTCGGATTCGGCCTCGGATTCGGCCTCGGTATCCGAATGGGCGTCGTTCTGGTACTGAGACATGACGCTGAGTTTCGCCTCAAACTCCGCCACGACGAACGGGAGGGCGGCACGGCGGCGAGCAGCAAGGTCGCAGTCGGTTCCACCCTGGTCGACTTTGGCCTGCAAACACTGCAGAGCAAACAGAAGGTCTTCGGCACGGGTACCTCCAATACGAGAGCGGCCTTGATGGAATCGGCCGAGGAGCTGGAGGAGATACTCTACTACGTTAGCCAAACCAACGAATAGGATGGGGAGGCGGGCACGGGAGAGGTGATCAAGTGTGTGTGGGAGCGTGTTCGTGGGGGAGTTGACAAGCAAACAGCAGTTTGGGTCCGCGCTGCGGCCACCGCTCCGCACAGGCGGGGAAGACGTTTGATGTCAGCAACTCACCGAGGAGGCGGCCGATGGGCCGGTTGTGCGGACCTGTGGGCCATCAGTCTCTGTCAACATCAAGGGCTATCAAACCGCGGTACTCACAGTCTTCTTGGCCAGGGGAACACGCTTACGCTTCTATGCAGTGTCAGCTTTGTACACCAGTCCAACCCAACCAGTGCAACTAACCTTTGGCACAGTTGGGGAGATCGTCTCCATCTCGTCGCCGTCCGATTCCACGCGGATGGGCTGTACCCAGGCAGTCAGCACGAGCGAGCATTTGGAGGAGGACCGGCCACTGACGTTCATGTGCGGGCCCAAGGCACCGCTGTGAGTCGAAATGTCCTTCTTTGTAGGCGACATTGGTTGCGAGTGTCGATGATGAATATGTTTGCTCTGGAGAGCGATGGAGAGGAAACAAGAAAGATGCGATGCGCCCCGCACCTATATCGCCACCCACTGGCCTACTTTGTCCAGCTTTTGCGGCAGTTGTAGTACAAGTGGTTCGAAAAAAAGGCAACCACGGTATTTACAAGCACATTCGTATCTATCCATGTTGGTTTGAGGGCAGAATTCGTTGATTTCGAGAGGGAATGCATGAGCTTGCGCGTCGCTATGGGTGTCCCGGCGTGTGGGGGGAGATCGATCGTCGTGACACACAGACCTCCACACAGCCAAACACACTGGCTTCCTCTATGTCCCTGTTCATCAACAGGACGTAGAGCAATAAAAACAGTACCGTTCGGTAGCCACAGCATGCGTTGTTTGGGAAATGTGGTTTTTTGGTTGTATTTTGTTGGTGTTTTATGAATTTTACACAGGCAAGCGTTTCTTCGGAGTACTGGGCTGCTGCCTGCTTGGGTGTGTACCCGCACTGGTCGTCGCGGGATCGCATGGGGTTCATTCACTTTGGTGTTACATATTCACCTCTCCCAATCCATCATCATCACGGTGTCCCCATTATGGGTCGCAACACCGTCAAGATCTCCAAGACCCGCGAAGCTGGGCAAACAACGTTAAGCTTCGCCCCAGCTCCTTCCGTACGTCGTCCTCATGATCATCTTGTTGGATGCGTGCATCTGACAAAGCACACACAGGCTCCATCACCAGCGGCTCCTTCCGTCCTCCCCCCTCCATCTCAACTCATTCCCTCTTCTCTCCCCCTCCCCCTTTCCCCCCCTCTCTCGCCTGCCCCAGTCACCGCCTCGATGGCATCCAGCGGCTCGGTCAGTCGCAGGTCCCTGCGTGTAAGTCTCACGCCCACGGATCGCTCGGTCACATCGGCGGGTGGCAAAAACGGGCTTAGTTGCACCCATTGTCGAGACGGCATGTTGACACCTCAGTTGGCCATCACCACCACCAAAGCGGGCTCGCGGTCGTCGGTCAAGACGGTCGGCGCGACTGGGGCAACTGTGGACGAAACCAAAGTGAGCATGCCGCGACAGTGTCTACCTCCCCCACTGTCCAACACGAACAATCCCCTACACATTCCATCCAAGTACTATTGGGAGCTCCCATCGCCAGTATCGGGGTGGTTAGAAGGTGTAGTGGTCCACGACATTGGAGACAGCTGTGACAGGGTATGCGCGTGTTGGTGCGTGCCACACACGGCATCAAATTCACCCTTATATCTAGTATTTAACTTGTAATTTCCGTCCTGTTCTTCACTGTGTATTCTTCTTCATTCCGACAGCGCGCTTGTTTGGTGTTTACCTCACTCCAATAATACAAGCGTACGATCCACCTGAGACAATGATCTCCCATGCATTTCCGGTGTTAGCGGTCAACTGACATCCACCAGGGCATGTCCGTCGCCGTTTCGGACGAAGAGGATGACAAGCCTGTGTGTGGCGTTCTTTGTGTCCCACCTGACTGATCCCACAGGTCTCGGGCCTCAGCAACATGCACGCCCAGTCCTTCGTGAGTATCCGCAGTGATGTCTCGTTTGTGCGATGACGCCGGTGGGTCCCCAGCCGCATCACGGACCATCCCACGGCCCCACGGTACAACATATGTTTGGTTGTTCGTTTCTTCTATCCCATGACCCTTAAAGAGAGAAGCCTTTAACCAAGTCATAGCCCCTCGCGCCCAAGGACTGGGCAGTCATCGACACGCTTCCTTCTGGTCTGGACTCGGCAACATTTCGCCGTGCGTTCAGACGCGTCTTTCGTGACGTCCTGGGCCAAAACCAACGGAGGTTTTGGAAGGACGAGGCGACACCCGAGTCGGAGCCACAATGGCGTCACCGGCTCGGTAGCGGCATTAACCACAGCGTGTTCAAGATCCTTACCAGGGCATCGCCGCCGACGGCGGAGGAGCTCATCGTTTGGCCCGATGCCGAGCGGGACCCCAAGTGGGGTGTGTACGTCTTCCTCCTCGTGCCCCTCCCCCACATCGCCGACCAGCGCTTGGTCATTTACATCGGTTCCTCGAGCGCTTTCTCTGTGTTCAGCAGCAATGAAGAAATCGCCAAGGCTGGAGGTCTCAGCCATCGTAACGGCGGGCACATGGACCTGCTCAAAGCGGCGAGGAGGCGGATCGCGGCAGGCGAGACAATCGCCAACACGCCAGAGTGAGTCGGGCCAGGTGTTGAAAGTGTTTGTAGACTAATGCCTTGCAGACGGTGTCTCATCTACACCCTCTTTGGTCAGAGCCCCGACGATTACGACCTGTACCACAAATCCCTTTACACCATCAAGGGCACTGACAAGTCGACGATGTCGTCGCGCTCACCCGGTGAACTGCTCGCGATGCAGGCGACATGTCTGTTCGTCGAGGACCTCTTTGCCCAGGCTTTCAACAGCTGGATGTCTGCGCCCGTCACCAACTCCCTGTGGCAGAAGGCACCGTGAATCCCGGCCAACAAGAGGTCGCCACTGGTGTCACCGCTGAAGATGGCTGGTGCGATGTCCGAGGCGGAGCGAAAGGAGCGCAGGAAGGTCACCAACGCAAACTCGCAAAAAAAGAACAAGCATCTGCGCGCCAAGAAGAAGGCCATCCGCAAGGCCGGCATCTCTGACGCGCAAAAGGCACTGGAGGCAGCCGAGCAAACAGCTCGGTCTGCTCTCGGCCGGGCTCGCAGAGGCTCCGCCGCACCCGAAGGTGAGACCAATTGTCGTTGCACGTGTCTTAGCCTGACATTCCGCAGTGGTGGCGCGCCGCCGGGCCGAGCTCGACGCCTGCCTCGTTTGAATGACTACCAGGCTGCCAACCGCAGACTACCAGTGAGTCGTGCATGGCCTCCGCCACTCCCACCTGTCACTAACAGTAGCAATGACGCTCGCCATGACGCTCGCCTTAGGTCCTCGACCGAGCAGCCGTAGGCTTCCAACCGTCCTTCTCAAAAACAGCAACACGGTTTCCCCCCTGTACATAGTCATACCCATCTCAGCTCGATCAACCTTCTGGTTTTCGCACTTCTTCGCGTTTTTCCCGTCCGTCGTCAATCTCCGTCAGAATGTCTCCCAGCTCCAAGCGTGCTGTTGGGGCCGGAGGTCGTGGCAATAGTCGGCACCTTCTGTGCAAACACATCACAAATGCATACTATCATGCCAGGAGACGAGGGTCTTGTGTATTTGTGTGACCAGTTAGAAGAGGCCGCCGGAGGGGAGTGTAGCACAGCAGCGCGCTCGCTCGTCCCTCACACACCGATATTCCAGCACACTCAGCACTTCGTACTCGTCAAGGACAGATGTTGCTGCAGTCGTCACTATCCTGGGAGTGGGGAATTGGTGAGGTAGCGTGCCCTGGCCATGGGTGAGGTTGAGCTCAGACACAACCATCGCCGTGTCAAAAACGCTGTCGGCCAGGACCGATGCAGACCGAGATCGAGCTGCCACGAATAATACAACGGCGGTAGAAGTGGTCGCTCTTAGCATTGGAAGCAGCTGTCCAGCCCACAAGTCGGGGTTGCGGTCTTGTCTCGACCTCCTGACAGATGGGGGCGTGTGTGCTGAAGACTTCGTTGTTATGAAAAACGAGAGGCCAGGTGTCAGAGATCAACGTCGAGGCCGTCGATCTCAACCAGATTACATAAACGGGCGCACATGCACATGCACACAGGACTCGTGGACACGTCGTCACCTTTTGCAGCCTGTAACCCAACATCAAACATTCATCCTCTCCAAGCATCATGCCCTCAAACAACAAGAACGAGCAGAAGACGCCCGGCCGCAAGGGCAAAGGTCCTGCTGGCCCCTCCAAGGTAACCCCACTCAAACCCACAGCATTGACAATGGTGGTGGCTAGATAGCTGACACCGACAGCAGTCCTTCTCCGCCAACGACACCGTTACCGTCGCGGACAAAGACCGCGCCGCGCAGATTGAAGAAATGAAGCAAAACATCCAGAGCCGCAAGTACGCAATCAAGGAGCTCAAGTGGGACAATGCCAAAGACGCGGCCAAAATTGCCAAGCTTGAGCAGCTCGAGATCTAAGAGCGGCAGCGCGAGCTCGAGGCGGCCGTTCTCGACTCCGACTAAGGGCCTGCATGCAGTGTGCGCGAGGTGAGCACTCGTCTCCAACGCATCGTCCAGTTCCATCTTCTGGGTCCAGAAGACGGAACTGAATGGGCAATGAGCAGCCGCATTCAAAGACATGGGTGTAGGAGCTGACATCCCAAGTGGACGGACGGAAAACCAGCCTGCGGTGTAGTGTACGGCCCAGTCGCGCCACTCGATGCATTCTTCATGAGCCGGGTTCTGTGATCATGAGCTTGCCAAACATAGTGTCTGTTCCCTGCTTCTTCTGCATGCTTGGCCCCCTCTGGCCAGAGGCCTCTGGCCTGGTTCCCGTAGTCTCCCTGGATCGCCCTCAATTCCTTTGCTTTCCCGCAAACCAACCAGCAGGATTACGGCGGCAGCCTCGAGCCACCATGGGCGACTGTTGCCGACTGGTCGACATGGGCAGGAGTGATGACTGAGTTGGCGGTTACTTCTGCATTGTATCAGTGTACCAGCGTACCAGTGTGCATGGTCCCGGGCTCGGTGTGCCATACAGGCCATGGGCCATGGGCTGGATTGAGTTGTGTGGCGAGTTTGGGTAGAATGGTCGTGAGTGGGACGGAACTATAAAGGTCCCATGTGATGGGATCGTCGTATGGCCGTAGGTGTAGATCGCTAGAGCTGAAATCTATGACCTCTAATATCCAGTCTCGCTGATCGCTGATCGCTGAGGAGGACTCTGCATTGTAAAGCATATTTCAATTTTGGTTGCCTCTCTATTGGCCAAATAGTGCAATATGCTTCATTAATGCAATGTCCGAGACCCTAGGCCCGTACCTTGTGCTTGGATGGCCTACAGAACAATGGCGACTGGACAGGAGTACAGGACACTGCGCACTGCAGACAGACATCGCGAGGCAGCTCTGATGTCATGCCACACCGCGGAACCAGATGAAGCTGGGTGGAACGGAACTTTAAACTACAACGGTGATCTGCTGACGTAAGCTTGAACGCCACACCCTTTCCACCTGCCACCCTCGTACTGACCTGCCAGAAACCAACGGTGCACCTCGTACCGACCTGCCTAAAACTAACTGCTCTCTATATACGAGGCTCCAGTCGACCTGACCATCTGGCTACATTGAGCGGTCAGAAGCCAAACATGTACCACTACTCTGCCCAATTGCTGTCGCAGTAAATATCACCAACACATATTGCATCGGCACTACGAAGGAACCAGGGAGAAGCAAGTTTACTTCTTGCCGGCCTTGACGGCGGCCTTGGTGACCTTGCCGCCCTTGCCGTCGGACTTCTCGACCGACTTGATGACCTGTGGGAGTCAGCAATGCTCTCAGAAGGGTGCACAAAATCAAAAGAACTTACGCCAACGGCGACACTGTGAAAAAATGTCAGTAAACGAACCACACAGAAAAACGATGCAGTTACTTACGTCTGCCTCATGTCACGGACGGCGAAGCGACCAAGAGGAGGGTACTCGGCGTACGACTCGACACAGAGGGGCTTCTGCGAGACGAGCTTGACAATGGCGGCGTCGCCAGACTTGACAACTGAGAAAGAGTTAGAGACGTTTGCTTTCCGATGAATGGTTACGACCTACACTTGGGCGAAGCCTCCATGGTCTTGCCGGTACGGCGGTCGATCTTCTCGATGAGCTCCTCGAACTTGCACGCAATGTGGGCAGTGTGGCAGTCAAGGACGGGGGTGTAACCAGCGCCGATCTGGCCGGGGTGGTTGAGGACGATGACCTGGGCGTTGAACGAAGCGGCCTCCTTGGGGGGGTCGTTCTTGGTGTCACCGCAGACGTTGCCGCGACGGATGTCCTTGATGGACACGTTCTTGACGTTGAAGCCAACGTTGTCTCCGGGGAGACCCTCGGGGATCTGCTCGTGGTGCATCTCGACGGACTTGACCTCAGTGGTGACGTTGGCGGGGGCGAAGGTGACGACCATGCCGGCCTTGATGACACCGGTCTCGACACGGCCGACGGGCACAGTGCCAATACCACCGATCTTGTAAACGTCCTGGAGGGGAAGACGGAGGGGGCGGTCGGTGGGGCGGGTAGGGGGGTCGATGGCGTCGATGGCCTCGAGGAGGGTCTTGCCCTTCGAGACACCGGCCTTGGTCTCCTTCTGCCATCCCTTGTACCAGGGCATGTTGGTGGTCTCGTCGATCATGTTGTCGCCGTGCCAGCCCGAGATGGGGACGAAGGGAACCGACTTGGGGTTGTAGCCGACCTTCTTGATGAAGCCAGTGGTCTCCTTGACAATCTCGTTGAAGCGGTCCTCCGACCACTTGCAGGTGTCCATCTTGTTGCACGCAACGATGAGCTGGCGCACACCGAGGGTGAAGGCAAGAAGGGCGTGCTCGCGGGTCTGGCCGTCCTTGGAGATACCAGCCTCGAACTCGCCGATACCGGTGGCGATGATAAGGATGGCGCAGTCGGCCTGCGAGGTACCGGTGATCATGTTCTTGATGAAGTCACGGTGACCGGGGGCGTCGATGACGGTGACCTGGTACTTGGGGGTCTCGAACTTCCAAAGAGCAATGTCGATGGTGATACCACGCTCACGCTCGGCCTTGAGCTTGTCAAGAACCCATGCGTACTTGAACGAGGACCTGGGTGGCGTTAGCGCGGGATCAAATATTGGACGGAATCAAATATCGGGCGGGATCAAAAGCGGGATCAAGTTTTCGGCGGAAGCAATTTGGAAAATTACCTCCACCCGGCCCACTCCTCTCCGACTCCAATCTCATCGACCATGACACTCACTTGCCGAGCTCAGCAGCCTCCTTCTCGAACTTCTCGATGGTACGCTTGTCGATACCACCGCACTTGTAGATAAGGTGACCGGTGGTGGTGGACTTATTTTACGTAAGCAATGCACTGTGGTTGGGCAGACGAGCAAGTGAAACTGTGGATGCCCCCGGGGGTCGAAAATCTTCGACCCAGGTGTGATCCACTCTCTCAATGCTTGCGTCTCTGCCTCTATCGGACGTGCTGAACTAACCTTGCCGGAGTCGACGTGGCCGATGACCACGACGTTAACGTGAAGCTTGTCCTTGCCCATTTTTACTGTTTTGGCTGTAATCTTGTCAGTATGACGACTCTTGGCCCTTGATGGGACGGAAAGGGGTCACCACACGCGCTCCAACCCGCGGCTCATCGGACCATGTCACGTTGGCCAATGTGCCGGACCAAGCACTCAAAGAATACTGGTCAAGCACTGGAGCTGCTTGTGCCATCATGATCAGACGAGTAGCAAAGCTGCAGCAGTAGCTTTGCCACCGCCTGATTGTCGCAGCAGGTTGATATCCAGATGGTCGCGCCAATCACGCGGGTGTACACAGGCGTTTACTGCCCAACGGTAGGGCTTGAGAGGCGAGGTAGGGGGGAGAGGAGACTCACTTGTTTAGGAGATGAGGAAAGAGTGAGAGATTGCAACGATGGGCGAAGAAAAAGGTGTTGCGCTGGCGCCCTCCTCGCCCTGCCTCGCTCCATCAAGGCCATTTGGGTCCATAACAGCGCGGCCTTTACATCTGTGGCACTCTGTTCTGTTCCCTTAACCGGACCCAACGGGCGGATCTGGCTGGCTTGCCACCCAAATTCCACATCCCTATAGGCCCAATGCTCCGTTCCCAGCCCCTGCGTCTCGCGCCCACATCAGTGCGCGCTCAGGTCGTCATCGGCCCAACCGGCCCACGCCCCCATATGGGTGCGAGTACATTGGCGATCGCGGTGGAATATTGCAGACGCGCGCTGCTGGTTGGCGAGTGGCTGCCCCGCCATTCCAATTGTACTGAGAATCCCATACGGGACTGAGGGGGCTCATTGACGCCTCGCTGTCTTTGGCCCGTCACAGTCGCACCCACCACACAGGTACACCGAGGCTGCCGCTTCTGGACCTGGATAGGCAATTTGTAGTGCAGGGGAGGAGAAAAATTTGGAGCATTGTGGACGGAGATGCATGGACATTGATCGGCGGTGCATACCTGCAGGCAGAGCTGTGTTGTGTGTGTGCGCCGGCCTGATGGAAAATACGGGAAATTCACCACAAACCGTACGTGTGCATGAAGGCATGCTGTAGGACCTCCTTGACGTCGTGCATGCACTTGGCTACGACTTTGCTTGGAACAGTGATGCGGTTGAAGCAGACGAAAGGCCGGCATCGTCGGTATCGGCACGTGGTGCGCCAGGGTTGCAGCTTTGCAGTGCTGCAGGCGGACGCACATTTTCTCGGGCGCCTTTACCAACATTGCCGTTTCTGTCGTCCATGCCCTGCCCAAAGGGTCAAATTGCCGCCCAAGCAGCCTCCCCTCATTCCCCATGAGTGCACAACCGTGCAGAGCCGCCGCAATGAAACTTTTCGGTATCGCACCCCGCATCGCGTTCAGTCTGCCTGCGCGTGAGTCCGAGGACCCCCCGCGGACTGCAGGTGCAGCGACAGCAGCTGCCAACCTTAGCCAGAGGTCAAGCACACCACAGCGATAACCGCGATGACATTGTCCAACACCCTCCATTGCGACCCGAACCAAAAAGATACCACCCTCTACCCGCCGCTGGACGGCCTTGTCGCGACATTGAACTGCGCTCGCTTCTGTCGTCCAAGACGTTACTACATCGTCCACCCGCTGACAGCTACACTGACGCTGCCAGCATGCCCACTGCTGACCTAGGAGTGCTCAAATCAGTCGCGTCGCGCACTGCCAAAGTTGTCGCCTAGACAATCCGGACATGGCGCCGAAGCTCTGGAGGTCGATCGTGACGTTTGAGTCGTCTCGTCTCGTTGGTGCTGAGCTCTATACCTCGGTCCACACCTGTCAGCTCTATGCTCATATGTTATGTGGCCGGCCCAGCCCACCTCCCGCTCTCCCGCGCCGTTGGATCGATGTCGTCACTCTCCCAACACCTCGCCCTCTCGCCCATCTACTCTCCATCTTTCGGCAACGCTGCTCAGCGTCCTGGTTCAATCAAGATGATGGCTTCCTTTCGTCCCCCCGCCGCCGAGCAATTACAGTACTCGCAAAACCAAGATATCATATGCGATGGCCCAGTGCGGGCACTACGCCTCCTCGCTGCTGCTGCTGCTGCTGCGGCCCGCTCGACTGTGGCATGTTGAAGACCTCGTTTAAACCAGGACGGACAGCTGTGTTTGTCGGGCTCTTCCGCGGTAGGCGTCGATGCCTGGTGTTTGTGTACGCGCGCAGTTGGCATAGCGGCGACGGCCGCAGGGTATCCAACCAGTCGCCGCCCAGGCTCTCAGGCTCGGCGTATACACAGACCCCGATGTCGGCACCCGTGACTTGCACTTATGAATGGCGTTTTGTGAAAGAACCTATGGGGTAGTGGCGCCAGCCCTCAGACAACGAGGACATTAGATATGTATTAACACGTCTCTTCCTCCCTGCCCTTGGAGCTAATGAAGAACATGCCTGTACTTACATGCTGACTCGAAGCCAGCTTGTGCTTTGCGGAGGAAAACACAGCGCCAAGCCGACATTCACTTGGACAATTCAGAATAATGAATACGCTTTACTTCGACATGGTTCATTCGTTTACACATACAGTACATATGCAGCAGCCCTCACGACGAGCGATAATACTACAGTCATGAAGTCACACTCTGCCCTCGTCTTTCAGACCCATCAGAAGCGAGAGGCATCATTTGCGTGTCTGTGCGAGGGTTCTAGCCATCACGCCCGTTTTGTTCAGTGCCAGAAATGAGAACATGCCACACCCCCCGGGCTTGCCTTCACTGCCCACTCACTCGACATGGCACTTGAGAACCATCAGTACTGTGGGAGGCACCACCTCTCGACATTACTGCCTCCGCATGTTCCCTTTCATGGAGTGCAGACTGGGCGTCAACTTGGTCCTGCCCCCATATATACGAGGCAAGAATGGCCCAGCAAGTTTCATTATCCTGATCGGTTCAGTCTTGTGCATCCATCATCCTCCATCTTCACTCTCTGTTGACACGAACCTCCCCCAGTTCTGCCAGGCGTGCCCGTTAATAGTAACTCCCTTGTCCGCGAACACTGCCTCTGGGCTGGTACGAATGCATGGGTATTGGTGATGTTACAAGTATGACTAAAAGTGCACGAGTTGTGTCGACCCTTGCTTAAACAAGTAGAACAGAGTTGATGCAGCCGTCGAGCTCTGTAAGATGTGTCAGTGAAAGGTCTTACGTCTGCCTAGACTCCCCCGCGCCGGTGCGCTTAATGCTGTACTCACCTGGGTTGTTGGTGATCTGGGCATACTCTTAGAGACTGTCAGCACCCTGGCCTATCTCTTATCTATCCGTGAATACTCACTCGACCAGACGACCTTTCCGCCTGTGGTGACGAGACCGAGTTCGGAGACGTTGACCTCGACGATGGTACCCTTGGTAAGCACACCAAGCGAGGTATACAGGGGCGACTGGGGGTTCTTCTTCACACCGAGGATGGGGAGCTGGAAGGTGGTCTTGAGCTCGGCTGCGAGGGGTGTCAGTCCCTACTACTACGTCACAGCTCTCAGTTCACTTACGGTGAGTGACGTTGGCCTTGGTCATACGCAGAGCCATAGGACGGATGAAGCGCTCGAGCTTGACAGGCTTGCGAGTGAAGCCCTCGCCGACGAACGTGGCCTTGTTGACCATACGCTTCCAGCTCTTGCCCTTGTGCTTTCCGGTCTTGATGACCTTGAACATCTCCTCCTCGGCAATACCGCGGACCTTGGGCAGGGGGACCGAGTACTTGGCGGCGCGGTCCTTTCTCCTGTCCTTGATGGCCGACGAGAGCGCCTTGGCATCCTACACAAAACGTTAGCACGCGACCCGGGGCATGCAAAATATGCGAGGTGCTCACCTTCTGACCCTCGCGGTCGAGCAGGTAGGTGGGGAGAGCTCCCTCCTTGACGGCACCGTCGTCCTTCTGCTTGACGTTGCGCTCGTCGTGCGCCTTGAGCTTCTTCTTCATCTGCACCTTCTCGGCGTGACGCTTCGCGTGGTGCAGCTTGGCCTTGTGGCCGACCATCTTCTGCGTCACCTGCGACGACTTGTGGACCTCACGCGCCTCACGCTTGCGCCTGCACCGTCAGCTCTGTAGACTCCGTGCTTTCCACATGGCCATCCCCAACGCACTTCTTCTCCTCGTAGTCCATACGGCGACCGTGACGCCTACGGTGCTCATCCATGTAATCGTTCTGGGATCATTATCAGTACTGTGCCCCGCACGTGTGAGACTTGACGACGAACCTGAGGCTGCGATGGGTGTCAGCGAGAGCACTTTCCGGGGTTACATGTGCCGAGCTTACCATGTTGGGCTATCTGTGGACGTGTGTAAGGGGTGTAGAGGGGGTCCACGGGTGTGGATGGCCTTGTTATGCGGGACAAGGACAAGGATGGGTGTCAACAGGAGGTGGATGGCGAACAAGCGGTGGCGGCAAACCTCCCGCCCAGCCAGCCCGCCAGAAATCTCAAAATTTCTGGTTCCGAGTGTCACCACCCAGATACTCGTGTGAGTTCTGTTGACAAGTGCCGTTCAATCTTTGCTGCTGCAACCACCCCTTCTCCTATCCATCCCCCGCAACGCATACTTTTAATCATGGGTCTGGCAGAGCGCAAGGTTAAGCGTGCGTATACATTGCACAGCTACAGGGCTCACACACCACAGAGCGTATCGGGTACGACCCCCGCAACCTGTCATGGTCCAACGACACGGACCGCTTCTCCTTCAAGCACATGACAGCGCTTGGATGGAAGGAGAACGAGGGCATCGGCAAGAACAGGGACGGTATGGCCTCTCACATTGCTGTCGCACGCAAGGCCGACAACACTGGTATCGGCATGACCCGTGTTCTCAAGGAGGGCGGCGAGCTGAGCGCCGGTGCCGGTCAGGCCGGTGCTGGCCTCGAAGAGGTCCTCAAGCGTCTTGCTGCCAAGGCCAGCGCATCCCCCTCCCCATCCGTCGAGGGTTCGCCTGCCCCCTCTCCGGCTCCTTCTGCCAGTCCCGCTCCTTCGGCGCTGAGGAACAAGATGGCGTAAGTTGGGCCAATTTGACTTTGCTGCAACTATTGCTGACGACCAGTTCGCGTCAACGTCATCTTGCCTCGAAGCGCATGGCCTCCCAGTCGCCCGCCGCGCTCGCAGAGATTCTCGGCGTCCCCGTCTCTTCCCTCCCCAGCTCCCCCGCGGCCTCCAAGCCCGCCTCCGCCTCGGCTACCCCCCGCGAGACTACCCCTGCCGCATCCACCCCAGCGTCGGAGGAGTCGACTCCTGCTCCCGAGGACGACAAGGAGCGCAACTCGCAGGAAACCATCTCCACTTCTACCATGTCGGTCTCAGACTACTTCCGCATGAAGCTGCGCGAGAAGATGCTCGCCCGTCAGGCCGCTAGGAGTGGTGACGCCTCGCCCGCGCCCGAGCTCGCAGAGGGATCTCTTGCTGCCTTCAAGGAGGAGACCAAGCACGTTATCGGCGGTGTCGCGTTCGAGGGGAGCAGGATGCAGTTTGAGGAGACCACCACCACCATTACCATCACCGACCTCGGTGGCGATGACAGCGCCGAGCCCGCGACTCCCGCGCCTACACCGGCTGTCGAGGAGGAGAAGAAGAGCAAAAAGTCCAAGTCGTCGTCCAAGTCTGAGACTCCTGAGGCTGGACCCAGCACCCCCGCTGTCGACGAAAAGGCGGCCAAGAAGGCCCGCAAGGAGGCCAAGCGTGCGGCCAAGGAGGCCTCCGCCTCGGGTATCGCCACCCCTGAGACCCCCGCTACTGCCAGCGGAGTGTCGACCCCGCTGTCCGACAAGGAGGAGAAGAAGAGGCGGAAGGAGGAGAAGAAGGCCAAAAAGGCCGAGAAGGAGGCACGCAAGGACAAGAAGCGCAAGCGCAGCGGCAGCGACAGCGAGGACGACAGTGAGACGGTGGAGAAGCGCAAGTCAAAGTCCAAGTAGGCTTGTCGCGTGTACATAGATTATTTTGCATAGTGTCATAGTTTTACATGGGATTTTTGTGTCATGACAATGTGGACATGTGTGCTGTCGTTGTTGTGCGAGGGGCAAGGACCTCTGGAGCTGACTTTCAGGGTGACTGGCGAGAGCGTATGGTACGCGGCGTCGCAAGGAACGTGATCTGCCGCCATTGCCGGATGGCTTGTAATCGCCTTTCTGTTGCCTTGACGACTGCAGAAGGATTGCAATGTCCGTTGGTGACCCTCTGTAATTGTGACGCTGTTTTGAAAGGCTGGAGATACCATACATGCGTGCGTGAAAGTGGTTGAGGAGTGTGCGGTGGCAATTATAATTGAAATAAAGGATGGGTACGCAGAGTTGCGACAATCGTACTGTCTTCAAAGCAGTCTGTGCAATGGACTCAATAGAAATCTTAGCTGTGACGACCCCAGCACCACATGACATGGTCATACGAGACACAGGGCTTCCGGATCTAGGAAACCAGCACACGTCTTAGCCACTTGTTACCGGTCAATGTCTTGATACTTTCGACCCACGAGTAGAGTCGCAAGACCCCGGCCCCCACACAGTTCCTTCAAATACCAGTGAGCACATACCTGCATTCCCGGGCTTCTGCTTAACTGGACAATGACTCAATGCCCGCAAAATCAGGCATCGTCAACGCTGCTAACAATGTTGGACATATACGAAAGCAACAGTTTTTTTGTGCACTTTTAATTAAAGTGACTGTTCATCTCAATCATTTGGCTCTCCACTCCATCCTCTCACACTGTAAGCTCTGACGTGGCTCATACAAGTTACAGGAAAGGGGAAGACGAGGCTGCACCACACACAGCTATGGCCCCACACACAGCTACACTGCCACACCGCTGGACCTCAGTACCGTCACCTGCAAGCAGGGATCCGCTTTCGTGGCGGCACTGACCAACCACTCGCGGCCGGACGCAGTGGGAGAGAGATTGGGTGGGCCATAGAGGTTGCCGGGGATCGGGTCTGCGATGCACCACTGGAATCGGAAGATCCTCCAGCTGGGACAGCCTCAGCGGTGCCGCTGTGTGCGTTGGCCGGACAATGTAACTGCAGTCGGGCTGAAGAAGAGGGCGTCTCGCTCTCGCAAATCGAAGGAGCTGACCTAGAAACCGAATCACGTCCAACTGTAGCACCTGGCGTCCCAGCCATAAGAGTACCGCATCCGACCCCAGTGGTTGAGATTTCACCACCAGCTGTCCTGTAGATTCTCACGTTAGACACGTACTTGCCGTCCAATTGGGGCATATCTGTACAGTACCTCAATAACAATATTTGTACGGGCGAGGCCATCTCAGCATACCAGGGTAGATCGTAATCGAGTGCGGGAGTGCAAGACGTTTGTTCTGAAGTGGGTGATGCTGTCGAAAATGTAACTGCCAGCCTGCCACAGGCCACAGGCCACGGATCCACGGCTCCACGGAAAGAATCAACAGAGGTGTGCCACATGAACGATGACGTCATCCGCCAAAATCTGTTCCCGCTACCGCAGCCATGTGGGTTTCGCGTGGCCGGCTCAAGATTTCGGATGAGAAGTTGTGCTCTGGGTGGCCACAACGCGGTTAAGTGACCACAGATACACCTTCAACCACCACCACCAACAGCAATGCCCAAGGCCAAGTCTACGGCCACTCAAAAGCCCGCAAAGGCGGCGTCTGGAAAGACCAAGGCCGCACGCTCGACCGCCGGCACATCCAAGTCGGCGCCCAAACTGTACTCGACCTTTGCCGCTCTCCCCCTCGACCTCCCATCGCCTGTGCCCATCGCGTCCTCTTCGCGCTCGGCTTCGGCTGCGTCGACCGCGACCCACTACCTCTTTGTGCGCCCGCACAACCCCAAGGCGGGTGCCGCTACCGAGGACGAGCTCCGCACGGTGGGCCGCACGTTGTTCGTCGCCAACGTCCCTGCCGACGCTGCTGAGCGCGACTTGCGTACCGTGTTCGGACGGTGGGGTGTTGTCGAGAGCGTGACCATCACAGCAGAGGGACAGGGCGGAAATGTCCTTGAGCAGGCCGTGCGTGGCATTGAGGAGAGCGACGACGAGGACAGCGACGACGACGATGAGGACGAGGACGAGGACGAGGTCAAGGAGGGAGAGGACGACAAGGCTGAGCCGACCTTTGTTGGCAAGGCCGAGCCCAAGCTCCCCCGCTCCCAGCGCAAGAGGAGGAAACCCAACACTCTCCCGCCCTCGGTTCCCGATGTCACCCCTCTGCCGGACCTGTGCCCACGGTCGTCGGCCTTTGGCTCCAGTGGCGGTCGCAGCGCTCGCGTCGTGTTCGTCGACGCCGTCTCAATCTCCCGCGTCATGGCCCACAACAGCACCGAGCACATTTCGCTCGCTGCGTACGGCTCCGAGGAGCCTACCGGTCTTGCCTTCTTTGAGGCACAGTATGCCGCCCTCCGCCCTCCCCTCGCCATCGTAAAGGCGCACGCCGACACGAGCTTGGCGCGTTACGATCACCTCCACTCGCTCCTCCTCGCATCCCGCGCCAAGGCTCACGGCGCCGGTGCGCTTGTCGACGAGGATGGCTTTACCGTTGTCGTCCGTGGCGGTCGCTACGGTCGTACTGCTGGCCGTGGCGGTGACCCCAGCGGCGCCGGTGTGGCCGTTGCCAGCCGCTCGGCGGCCAACGACGCTGCTGCCAAGAAGAAGGGCAACGGTGCCGGCCCGCTCACCGACTTTTACCAGTTCCAGAAGGTCGACCGCAAGCGCAAGGGTGAGCTCTTCTTTCGTGGACACCAGCTGACAATGCAGAACTGGCCGACATGCGCGCGCGCTTCGACGAGGACAAGAAGAAGGTCGAGGCACTCAAGGAGAGCCGCCGTTTCAAGCCCTACTAGACAATGTTGTTACGTTACTCGGGTTCTTTGTGATTTTTTTGGAGCAGTACACAGCGGCGCACGGCCATGCATCAATGCGACTATTATGCAAGTTGTTTCGCGCCCTCTACCCGGCTTTCCCCTTCTACATTCCTGTACCCCTCCCTCCCAATTGTCCACTCAGCTCTACTCCTCCTTCTTGAACTTGAGCTCGGCCTTTTCGCTCTTGCCCTCCGCTTTGAGCTGGAGGACCTTGGCGCCGTCCCGCGCGCGGTGGGACGCCTGCTCAATGGCACGCTCGACGTCCACCACCTCGGCAGGACGCAGGTCAAACGCCTTCTTGAGGTCGGGTACCTCGGCAGTTGTAATCATCATGCCCGGGTAAAAGTCGGCGCCATCGCCACCTTCCTTGATAATCTTGCCGTCCTTGACGTCGGCACGGTGGTGAGCGTAAATGTTGTCGAGGGTCGAGCTCTCCTTTTCGGTGATCATGCCGGCCTTGAGCACTGCCTCAAGGTAAGTCGCGCCGCGCCATGCCTTGTAGTGCGACCATGCGCGCCACAGGACATAGAAGAGGGGAAAGTTGGGGATAACGGGGATAATGGCGAATGGCCAGGTGATGGGTGAGCTGTAATGGTTAGCAAAGGTCAAGAAAAGGTACAGTGCGCGCTGCGGTTTGCCCAAGCAGCAGATGGAGGATCGCGCGCTAGTAACCGATCCAGATGAGGGACCACAGGGACCGTAACCACCGCCGGTCCGGCCCCTCAGTGGCAGAGACGCCGAAGGTTTTGTGACCGACGGGCTTGTCGCAGGCGTCCAGAACCGGGGACCACTCACAAGACCAAGAAACGGATCATCATCTTGCGGTGGTGAGGGATGCGATGAATGAGTGCGCGGTGGAGCTTGGGCAGCAGTGGGGGGACACCGAGGCCAGCTGGGCGGAGGAGCGAGATCTGAAGAAACGGTTAGCTACTACCGGACGTTGTCGTTGGGACATGGGAGAGGCTTTCCAGCCAGCAGGCGAGGCGAATCACAGCTGGAACTCTCTCCGTTGTATCCTGTTCCAACTCACCTCAATGCGCTCCTGCTCCTCTCCCTTCTTTGCAATCTTGACTCCCTGGTCCTCGTGGATGGACTTGAGGGCCCACTCCTCATACTCGATACGGTCCATGAGCTTCTCGCCGCGCTCAAACACTTTACGCTGCCACGTTCCCTTGTCCTTTTCGCCAAACCCAAGCCAGAGGTCTGACGCCTTGGTCAGAGCGCGCGTCACTATTGACGCCTGGCCGTCGGCAGTCGCGCGGTCGGGCTGCTGGACCTGGTACAGGACAAGCGGCGCATTGGTGGTTGTCGAGTCTGCAGACGACGCGTCGGCGCTCTCAATAGCAGTGGAAGCGGCAGTCTGGTCAAGCGAGGACGAAGCGGTGCTCGTGGACGAAGACGAAGAGCTAGCCGACGACGAGGACGCGCCAGCCGACGCGACAGCGCTGGTTGCTGGAGCTTGCTGTCCAGCTGCGGCTGCGCGAGGCGCGACACGCAGCGGGCCATGCGGGATGCGCACGAGCGGGAGCGCGATGATGCGGAATGGCCGCGAGAGTTTCGTAGACATGGGCGCGCGAGGGGAGTGTTGGAGTTGTAGAGAAGAGGTCGAACGCGAAAGCTGTTCATGACCTTTTTGCAAGGCCGCGCGCCGCGCCGGCAACGGTTGGCAGCTGTCAGGATTCGAATTCTGCACCCACGTGGAATCCCGCACACTTTGCACTACGCGCTCCCTCACTCGATCGATGACGATGGCGATGACATGGCAGCCCGCTCCATCTCCCTCCTATATGCAGCGGGAAACAGTACCGGACGGTTCCTCTCTGAGAGCTTTTACGCATTTGTTTACGCTTTGCTACCCTCCCTTTTCGTTACACCATGGCAGAGCAGGCTCATCCCAACCTACACCCCAATCCACCGCCCTCCAACGCCAACGCACCCCATGGGCCTGCCTCGACTCAGCCTGGCGCCCACTCGGGCCCTCCCCATGGTGGTGCTGCCACCCACCACGGCCGCATGGACGTCGCCAAGACCAACATGGCATACCTCGCGCTGGGCTCCAAAGCTGGCTCCAAGCCCAACAGTGTGGCGACGAGGGGTCTACTCACGACAACGAGGTTGGTGTTCGCCTCTTCCCTATCCTCATGTCGCTGCCCGCACGGGCCATGGCGCTGTCGTCAGCCAGCGGCGCACGTCGGAGATGACCCTGCTCCTCGCTCTTGGCACAACCAAGTTAGCACGCCTGCCACTTACTGACACCTCTTCTAGGTATATCCTGCGCTACGTGATCCACCGCCTCATGCGCGTAGCCAAGTATGCCGCGATCGGCGCTGCTGTAGCGTTTGTCGGCACAGGCGTCCTGGGCGCAGTTGGTTCAGGTGTGGCATGGTTCATGGCACCAGGTATCGGGATGGGAATGGGAGTGGGAATGGTCTGGGCTTGTGTCAAGGTGCGTTTGTGTTGCGTCTGCGCGTGTGGGAAGACATAGTGCCGAGGGGGGCGGGAAGTACAGTACAGTACGACGGGTAGTCACCGCCACCCATCTCCTTTACATCTTACCCCAGCTCTGTGGCATGGGGCTTCTGCCACCTCTCTGTCAACCCGTCTTCCTTGCCCAGAGGTACAACTGTACGGTTTGGAGCTAACAGCCCTCCAGTTCACCTGGCGCCACCGTCCCGAACGCTTCCGTGGCGGCTGGTGGTCGGAGATGGAACGCCGCGCACAAGAAGGCCGCGACCCGGGCACAGACGAGAAGGCCGACGCCGAGATTTCAGAGGCTGCCCAGCGCGAGGAGAACAGGCGGGTGCGGCAGGACGTGTGGATGCGCGTGTAGCGCAGCGGTGTTCAGCATGCCTTGGTTGCGGACATGAGCAACTCAAACGAGTCATCAGTTGTAGCAGTCCTCCGTTAGCCGTATGTCATTCACCCTTGCCCCAAAAGGCCAGATCAAGCAGACGACACACCTGCGTCCAGACAGCATGAACAAGCCCCATGGCCATGAGACAGGACATGGCTCACGATAGCACCGATCCCTGTTGCTGAAAGACACCCCACTGCTCATCGCCACCTCCGCCTCAGCTGCGTCCCATGCCCTCATGCTCCGTGCTCCGTGCTCCATGCTCCGTGCTCCATGCTCTGTGCTCATGCTCATGTTTGTGCCGTCTAAGCCCACACCCGTGCATCACGGCTGCATGCTGCGATGAAGAATACAAGGCTACCGTCCTCAACCCCAGAAAAAAATCAGGGGAGAAGTTTAGTGGCCGGCCTGGCGACGCTGCTCCTGGATGATGTTGGAGAGCTCCTCGACCTTGCGCTTCGAGCGGAGGAGGGTGCCGAGCTGGAGAAGAGTGTCAATTATACTGTTCAACTTTTGCGATGGAGGAGGAGAGACATGGTATCGGAGAAGACGGGCGGGTGATACGTTGGTTCCGGTACACCCGCCAATCCCTGTCCATGTACACATTGCCTCTCCTCCACGGCAAGGACACTTACACGCTTCTTGGTGAGCTTCTTGGCCTTCTTGTCCTTCGAGTTACGGAGGAGCTCCATCACGCGCTTCTCGTAGGGCGAGAAGCCGGCAACCTCGCGGATGATCGACTTGACGAAGGTCTTCTTCTCACTGAAGCAAGTGGTCAGTCAAATGTTCGTCTGCAGACGAACGGCCAGGCACAGAGGCAGAGCAGAGTAGAGCAGAGGACATGTGCAGGACGGCACACAGAGCGACCAGAGAGGCGGACAGGAGGCATGCAAGACCACTTGGGTATTGCAACACGGCGCACAAGCCCGCCGCTCAAATTCGCTTTGCCTGTCCCGCTGCGCTCCCTGGTCCCCTTCCAGCTCCCTCTCTCGAGCTCCATTCTCTGCCTCTGCCTCTTGCCCGCACGTTCCGTTTTGTGCGGGACTCACGTCTTGATACCCTTCTTGTGCGAGGGCTTCACAGTCTTGGGGATGACGGTGGTGGGGTAACCCTTGTTGAGGCCGGTACGGAGGTTGGTGCGAGCCATTTTGGTCTGTAGCGGTTTGCGACGAGGTTCGAGCAAAAGGTAATAGAGAGAGAGTATGCGAGAGGAAGGGGGAGGGAGCCAAGTCGCGAAAAATCGGTGTCGAACGCGAGTTTGGAACGGTTCAGACCACACACAAATTTGGTGGTTTCGGTTTCAACGCAACGGGTGCAATGTTCCACAGCGAGCGATGGGAGCAAGAATGGCGATAATTTGGCAAGGAGATGTCGAGAATCGATGGGGGGGAGCACGGTCAGCACTTCGTCCTCTACGTGGTCGACGGGGTACGCACACTGTTTGACGGATGGAAGGACTCGTACAGCGGTGCGCAAAGATGTGTCCAACATCGGCGGGCTGGCCAGCGACCGACCGCACGACCCAGCGCACCTCCCACCCCCAGCGGCAGCAACGGTCGACGCCCCAGTCGAAACTCCGCCGGGGTTTTGGACGACGCAAATTGACTGGCACCCCGTGGCGGAAATGCAAACCTTCCCACGGTGCCACCAGGCACCCAACTCGGCGGTCGCTCGCACCACCCGCCGCGTCTGGTGGCTATAAAGATGAGCGCGCTGGGCCATCTTCTCTTCTTCTTCAATTCGCGTCCCGACTAAACCAAGTGTATTCCTTCTCAAATCTCCGTGGAATCATACAAATGGCCGTCGGGCGAGAACATAAGCGCTTTATAATCTTCTGTGGCAGATCGCCCCCCTCGCCTGCCTAGGCTTGGGTTGCGTGTCACCGGTGGTTCGCTTGGCGCGTACATTTCTCCCCCATCTGTATCCCCTTCTCCATGCACATTGTTTTCTGTCTCTACCTTTTTGGCTCTGCTACGCTGTTTCCAGGACGCGAAGAAGGCTGAGCGCGACGACGCTTGAGGGTGTGAGCTCACCCAGCTGGAGGTGCGGCGGGATTAAATAGCTAGGGACTGCAAAATGCCATAGAGAGTACGGCGCGACCGTCACGGACGCCGCGTTGTGTGTTTCTCGGCCATCGCAAATACACACTACAAACGTCAAGAACGTTTCTGTGCGTCGCACTGTGCGTTCTCGTGCCCCGTGCCATCTCATCCCGACGACACCAACGAGATCAACTGTACACGCATGCACAGCCAATACGAGTGCATACCATTGGCAACTGGGCAACTGACGGCATGCATGACGGTAAACTAAGCATGTATAACTCACTAAGTTTGCCGTCAGCTATGCTGACGGCCGTACTCACGGGGTAGACTCGAGCCACACGCTCACCCACTCCCGCCAAGATTCCCGTGACACGCAAGACGGGATCCGTGCCGCCTGACGCCTCATACCCTTGTTGGGACGCGCGGTGCATCTGCGTTCGCTGGAGGCCTATCACGGTCCTGCCTTACACGCCTCGCCACATAGTAGCAAGCAAACAATCCATGAAATGAAGGGTAGTGTCTAAGGTACATGGTATCTGTGGCTCTCACAGTGGTATTCGTTGGAAGCCCGGACGATCTCTCTCTCTCTCTCTCTAGTACACGAAGCTGGCAGCGAGTGTGATGAGGGTGGCGGCAGCAATAGCAATGACGCCCGTGCGAGGAGGCGCGACGGTGGAGACGGCAGCCGACTTGGAGCCGGCGAGGTCAGACTGGCCGAGACCGCCCACGATTGTAATGTTGCGGAAGTAGGTGAATTGGTCGGTAGGCGAGGCCCAGGTCTCGTCGTCACCGCCGAAAAAGGTCGAAAAGTAAAGGCCGCCAACCGACGCGATGGAGGCGGCGGAACGGATCTCGAGGTTGGTCAACTGCCAAGCCTGGACACCGTTGTACCACAACGAGATGATACCGTTGTTGGTGCCGACCTTGTTGAGCTCGACGTAGAGCCAGACGGTCTGCCACTTGCCAGTAGCAAACGAGATGGAGCCACGGCCAATGGAGGTTCCATAGTCCGAGTTACAGGTGATGTACTGCTGCGAGCAGAAGTTCTTGGGGCCCGTGGGCAGGTAGGCATACACTGTTCCGTGGTCAGCACAGTTTCCGATGTCTGTCTCTTGACACCACACTCACCTTCGCCAAGAGAGCCGCTGCGCCACATGAGGCGTGTTGAGAAGCACTTGGTGCCGTCCGCCTGGTGACCGCCAGAGCAGCCGGTAGGGTCCGGTCCACCACGCAGACCGGGGAGCTTGCCGCCAAGGTTGAATCCGAAGCCCGAGGGGAAGAAGACATCGTAAGAGAGCAGCATGCGCTCATACTGGCCGTTCGAGGTCACGTTCAATGGCGAGGTGCTCGACGACGAGGCGTTGATAGGCTGAGCGTAGAACTGGGTTCCGCCTGTCTGGTTCGAGTACGAGCCGGCGGGATACTCCACACGGAGAACAGCCGAGTCGTCGGTGACAGCCGAGCTTGCGGCAGCGGCAACGCTACTGGTGGCCGAAGCTGATGTTGAAGTCGAGTTCTTCTTGGACCTCCCTTCTAATGCTGGGCCCGAGGTAGCCGCGTAACGAGCTGCGGGCGTCGGTTCGTCATCTCTCCTGCGCCTCGCAGACGAGTTTGAGGATGTAGCCGGGTCAGGAGCAAAGGAGCTGAATGGCGTCAGTCACAGAGGTCGTCGACGTAAGCAACTCACATGTACTTGGTTCCCCAGGCGATGTGGTCGCCGTTCAGGTCCCAGTTGGAGATGATGTAGTTGGCAGCGTCACTACCAGACAAGTCCTGTGTGGGGAACTTGAACGTGTGCGAGTCCGTCAGGCCGAACTGAGTGATGATGTCTGAAAGCTGAGCCGCGGCGGATACTGCGGGAAGCATGAGTACCGCCAAGGCGGCCATGCGCTGGGACCGCATGGTGGTGTCGGGTAGAGGGAAGGGGAAGGACGTTGGGAGTGGACTGAGGCGCGTCGGGGTAACGGAAACAAGCGTGCGCGCGGCGACTGGTCGAGGAAGAAGTTATTGAGAAGTCGATGGCAGGCACAAGCGACGACGAGAGTTGGGGGGCGCGGGCGGCGAGCGGTGTCTGGCGCGTGGTGCACTCTGAGAGGGGTAGGGTAACAGGGATGCCGAGCCGTTGCTGGGTGATGATGATGAAAAGTCTAGTAGCGGAGTGTGGGAGGAGGACAAAGCAACTTGCTGTTGTTAACAAGCGAGAGAGACGGACGTGATGTGATGAGAGGAACGACGAATGTCCCGAGAGGTCCGTGTGTAGTCGGAGCGCGTACGGAGCCGAGAGCTGTGAGATGTAGTCGCGGTGTGTGGGCCGATGGAGAAGGAGACGCGGCGGCCGGTGAAGGACGCCACACCTACGCGGGAGAGAGAGGGTCACAACGAGAGAGGAGAGCTGTCAGGGAGTGACAGGTGATGGGGCTGCACAGGCCGTTTGGTGGCGACGTGAAGCTGCGAGGGTTGCAGAGGCGATGAACGTCAAAGACGTGGGGGAGAGACGATGGAGAGACGACGGAGAGACGATGATGTGTGTGAAGGGAGAGCAGTGGCAAGAGGGGGGCGATGCGAAGAAGCAGAACAAGGTGTGTTCGAGAATAGCAAGTGTGGTTTCGGCGGCGGTGCAGGTGCCCAAAATCGACGACGAGGGCAAAAAGGGACAGCGAGCCCGTAGGGGGTGACGCGTTTTGACGCTACCTGTTTTTAGAGCCCAGGTCACCCCCCCCCCGGGCTCTCTGCTCCTCCCGCCATGCAAGACATATGATGCATGGCCTTAGACTCAAATGGGCAGGGACACTGCACGATGACACGGCCCACACCGGGCACTGGGCCAGAGAACAACAACCTTGGGCCTCGGGCCCATGTGCTGCGCACCGCAGCGTGCATCATATAGATCACAGATCTCCAGAGCCACACAGTCCAGCAGACGGCGCCGGAGACTTGTTTGCTTTTGTGTTCGCCCCCTGCGCCTCTGCCTCTCTGCCGCGTCCCGCTACCCGCGAGCGTTGGGCTGTGGGCTGTGGGCTGTGGGCTGTGGGCTGTGGGCTGTGGGCTGTGGGCTGTGGGCTGTGGGCTGTGGGCTCTGTGGGCTGTGGGCACTGGGCTGTGGGCACTGGGCTCTGGGTACACGACGAGAGTGCGACCGAGCGACCGCGGAACGGAGAGATTGCAGACGCGTGCCCGTAGTGGCCACTGGCCACTGGGCGCGTCGCTGATCGCTGATCACCGAGTCAATACATGGTGGCTATGGTGGCTGACTTTGTGCCGCGTGTTGCCATTGCTTTGTTCAGCAATTCACGTTATTCTACCGCGGCCCCCCCTGTGGGTTTCGCGGACGGACTCGAGGACCGCAAGGACGCGCGTGCTTTCCGGAGAGGACGGAGAGAGGCAGACACGTTGTAGAGCGCAGAGATGGCCGAGATGGCCTATTCTGGGTACATGAGAGGACCAAATGTGGAGTAATAACAGTTACCGATCGCGCAGTATTCGCCACTGCACCGACGGGCCGGCGCGTCTGGCGGTCATCCAGGATAGCTCTCTTGGCCTCTTGGCCCCACTCTCCGCATGCACGAGGGGGGGAGGGCATATGAGGTTGCGTATGACGACAAGTGCCGAGGCACCACCTGTACTGCGACGAGAGAGAAGGGGGAGTCGTTTTGCCTGGCCAGAGCGTACCAGCTGTGTGCCTGAACCCCATCCACCGCAGTCAGACCAGTTCAACCCCATCTTTGCGGGCCACCCCGGCACGTGAATCAACACACTCTTGCTTAACACACACACCACACCCTCCATCCAGCGCATCACAGTTCACAAAGCTCACGTCCTCAAGCTACGGTTTAAGGCAGTCCCGCCCCAGAGCTTCCTGAGGTGCCCGTTGGCCGCCGCCGTCCCGACAAGCGAGCTCGCAGACCTGGCTGCTCGAATCTTGAAAGTGGAGGCCAAGTGGAGGATCATCACTTCTTGATTGCCCAACACACCCCCATCGCCTGCCCCACAATGTCTTCTCCCGGCGGCGGCAGCGACTCGTCGGGACTCACCCCTCCTCCCGACGACTCGCCAGCGTCAGCACCCACTCCCAAATCTCGCACACCCACCCCGACGAGGGACATGGACATTGACATGGACGCACCTGCGCCGCCCCGGCTCGTCCCCGCACCTGTCGAGTCTGCACCAGAACCCGTCGCCTCTGCGCCCAAAGTGAAGCTCAAGATCAAGCTGAACGCCCACGCCCCACCGCCAGCGGAGAAGAAGGACCAGGGCGGCAAGCGAAGGCGTGGTGCTGCGGCTGCGCATGACGAGCCCCATGACGCCGTTGCCAGCCATGAGCACGAGCACGAGCAGGACCATGGCGAGGCCGAGGGGTCGACCAAGAAGAGGCGCGCGCCTAGGAGGTCCAGGGGGGACGCCAACGCCAACGCCGATGCCGAGTCCGCCCCCGCTCCTGTGCACGCCGAGAGCAGCACCACCGCCAGCGTAGAGAAGAAGCCTGCCCGCGGTCGCAAGGCTGCTCCCAAGCGCAAGGCGGTCGTAAGCAGCCCCGAGCCGGACTACAAGCCCGAGAGTGGTGACGCCGAGTCACCGTCCAGCCAGACATTGCCGGTCTCGTCGCAACGGTCCGACAAGGGCAAGACGCCCGCCCAGTCTCATGAGGACAAGGACGGCAAGGGGCCCAAGACGACGACACCGGGCACGGGTGCGCGTGTGCCCAAGGTCCCCAAACGGCCAGCCGGCGCGGCCGGCGCACCCCCCCACCGCGCCTCACCAGCCGGCACACCTTCTCGCGCCGCTCCCGCCGCGGCAGTGGGCCCGCGCCCGTCTCTGCTAGCATCAACACTCTCCAAGCTGTCCGTCAAGACGGACAAGAAGCCGGCGTCCGCCGCAGCCGCCGGTACAGGCTCGTCCGCCAACGAACCCGATCTCCACCGCGAGCGACCGCGCGCAGGCGCCTGGGCAGACGAGTTTGTCCTCACCCCAGAGCAAGACGCGCAGTATGCCGCCGCGAGCATCCAGAGGTCGTATGCGTCCGCCGAGCGGGTCAAGATGGTCACGCCCGCAATGAGGATCCAGGAGCCCAAGGACGCGTACAAGGCTGATTTCCTCGTGAGTGGAGAGACAGACGAAGGAGAGCGACTGGGCGGACGTCATCGCACGCGCCGAGCTGTACCAGAGCTGCTTGTATGGTGAGACACACCCAGCTGACCAACGCTAGGCCCATGGACAAGACCGCGCAATCCCCGTCAATGCCTGCATGGGTATCCTGACAACAGGCATGCCGACTCGGATGGTCGCAAGCGTCCTCGCCGGACAGGCGCGTTACTAGGTCCAGGAGAACCGTAGCGTACAGTCACCTTCAGCAGCAGGCCCATGTATCAATGACGACAATGCTCATCATAATTTGCATACACATGTTTTGGCGACATCTTTAATGAAAACGCGCCGGAAAGGGAGGGGGGGGGGGGCATGATGGGAAACAGTGAACAGGGAGAAGCATGGTGTGGGTGTCTCTGCGAGCGAGCCGAGAGACTCGTTGGGATCGTGTACGGAAAACGGGAGAATGGGATACACAGTGGGGGAAAAGGCGCTCTTGAATCATTCGGTCTTGTCTTGGGGTGTTGCTTTAAGCAACTCTTGGTGGAGCCGTTTACCAGCCGCCGTTGGTGTCGCCCTCGTCCTGATGTCAGCGGTGAAGGGGACACAATTGACTCACGGGGTGCACGTCGGCAGGAGGGGCACGAGGAGGCTCGTCCTCGAAAGAGTTGTCGTACGAACTGGACTCCCGGCGAGCATGGCCATGAGACGAACTGTGGCCGCCGTCGCCTTGACCGTAGCCTCCGTCACGCTGGTTGTCGCCACCATAGCCATCGTTCTGGCGCTGATTGCCATAGCCTCCACCCGAGTTCGAGTAGCCGCCACCCTGGTCGTTCTGGGCACGCGAGTTCCAGGACTCACGCTGAGGAGGGCCACGCGAGTTGTAGTCATCCTGAGGAGCGCCGCTGGGAACCTGGCGAGCACGGTCGGGGTGGACAAAGCCCATGCGGTCAGGGTGGACGGGAGGGCCGCCACGGCTGGGGGTTGGAGGGGGCTGAGGGGCGGACTGAGGGGCTGAGTTGTTAGTGGGCTCCTTGGTCAGATTGGGCTCACCAGAATTGTAGCCGCCGTTCTGCGCACCGCTGTTGCTGTTGTCTGTACTGTTAGCAATGACCTTATAGTTCGAGGACTCACTGTTACCGTTCCAGCCTCCATCGCCATGCGAGGGCTCGTTCGTGGCCGTGTTGCTTTCGCGGGAAGGGTTGGCGTCATTACCCCAGCCATCGTCACCAGACGAGGTGTTGTTGTTGTTGTTCGAGCTGGCGCCTTCGTTGCCCCAGCCGGAGGACGTGTTGTTGTTGCCCCACGACCCGCCGCCACCGCCGCCAGAGGACGCGTTGTTGTTACCCCACGATCCACCGCCGCCGCCACCACCAGAGGACGCGTTGTTGTTACCCCACGATCCTCCGCCGCCGCCGCCACCTCCGCCGCCTGGACATTCACGGCTCATATGACCTTGCTCGCCACAGTTGTGGCAGGTACCACGGAACGGACCGGTGGAAGCCTCGGGGCAGTCGCGGCTCATGTGGCCCTGCTTACCGCAGTTGTGACACGTGCCATGGAACGGGCCAAGGTTGAGACCGGCAGGCTCGGGGCAGTCGCTCTTCTGCCTTTGTCAGCTTTGTCAGTTGGGGGAGTTACTCACCATGTGGCCAGGCTGTCCACAGTTGAAGCACTCACCGCCTCCACCACCGCCGGTACGAGGCTCGGGGCACTCGCTCCTCTGCTAGGTTAGCTTTCACAGTGTGTGCAAGTGGGATATCCGTACCATGTGTCCCTCTTGTCCACAGTTGAAGCAGCCGCTTCCACCGCCACCTCCACCTCCGGAACGAGGCTCGGTGCAGTCGCGAGACTGTGGACGTAAGCGCGTGTCATTAGAATGCACTCACAATGTGGCCCTCCTGTCCACAGTTGAAGCAACCGCCTCCACCGCCACCTCCGGAACGAGGTTCGGTGCACTCGCGAGACTGTTTGACGTGAGCGTGTGCAATTCAAGTACACTTACAATGTGACCGCCCTTGCCACAGTTGTAGCAGGTGGTTCCATCGGGGCACTCGCGGCTCTGAGGAGTCAGAGTGTAGCTTAAGAGCAAGTAACAAAGAAGGAGGAGCGGCGCCAGCCAAGTGGATGTAGAAGAACGGGATGGGATATGACGAGACAACGTACCATGTGACCTTCCTTGCCGCACTTGAAGCACCCGTTGCCACCGGAGAGGTTGGCGCCGCGGTCACCCAAGCCGCGCTGGTGAGGAGGAGCGTCGTAGCCGCCACCACCAGACTGATGTCAGCTTTTGGAAGAATACGAAGTGAACTCACGTTGCCCCAGGCAGAGTCATCATTGTTGTTGTTGTTCGATGAGGCAGACTGACCCCAGCCACCGGGCTCGTCGTTGTTGTTGCTGGACGCACCCTGGCCCCAGCCGGAGTTGTTGGAAGTGGCGTTGTCGTTAGAGCCCCAGCCGCCACGTCCACCTTGGTCACCGCCACCTGACTGACGGTTTCCCCAGCCGCTGTCTTGCTGGGGGCCGCGGCTTCCATAGCCGTTGTCTTGCTGCGAGGGGCGGTTTCCGTAACCACTGTCACGTGAAGCGCCATATCCATTGTCGCGAGCACCATAGCCATTGTCGCGAGAACCATAGCCGCTGTCGCGAGGGGCACCGTAGCTGCTCTGGCGGCCAAAGCCGTCACCTTGGGGGCGCTGGGGCATACCAAAGTCGGAAACCCTGCGGCTGCCGTTGCCGGCGAAACCCATCTCCAAGCGCATCTGCATACGCTCTTCGAAGAGCTTCGCGAGCTCGTCCATGGCGGGCTTGGCCCTTTCGGTACCTTCCCTACCCAGGTCAGCTCGACGTCAATGACCGTTGGACTCACTTGTGCGGCTCAAAGTCGACATAGGCCCGGCTGGAGGTAATCCCGTTGGCATTGGCGTTCTTGTCCGATTCAGCAGCCGGAAGTGGTGCCGGTGGAACCGTGGAGTCTTTGGGGTGTTCCATGATGGGAGTATTGTCGCCTGGCGAATTGTCGTCGTCACTGCGACGACCCTCGGAAATGGCGTCGTGAAGGAGGGACATGTGGACGATGGGGGCAGGTGACGGGGTGTCTTCAGGCCAGCCTTCTTCGACGTTGAGAGGTGGGTCGATAGGGGAAGGAGCGGGATAGACGCGGTGGCGGCTACCTTCGGGACCGATGCGCTCTTCGAGAGGGGGAAGGGGCTCGGGCGGGTTCTTGGGAATGAGAAAAAGGACGGGGCGCACCACAAACTCACCTGCAGTGCAACCTCCCTGAGGCCGTAACCGGAGGAGAATGTAGGCTTGGGTTTCTTGGGCTTGAAGGGGGTGTAAGACCTGCGAGTTAATATAGCTGGGGAAAGTTTGTCAGCAAGAGTGATGGGTCGTCTGGGTCCACGTGAAAACTCACCTCACCGAGTCGAAACCACCAAGTTGTTAGCAGTCCAGAGGCCAGAGGGGGTGAAGGTGAATATGCACAGTGTGTGTGGAAGGTGAATAGCACCAAGCGGTGAAGAATCAAGATGGTGATGGGAAATTATGCACATTGCGGTGGGTGTATACACAAGGAAGCACATGTGGCAGGAGTGAAGGCGAGGTAGAACCGGATCCATAGCTTACTCTTCGGTCTTGCCCTGGTCCCAAGGGGGGGAGGCAGCGAGCTTGCGGGCACGGGCGTCCTCGCGGTACTCGTCGTTCTCGTTCATTGCCCGCCGCTGCGCGGCTTTCTTGAGTTGATGAGCGGCGGTCTCAGAGGTCTCGGCCTCGACAATGGTCGGGACCGGCGGCGGTGGCTTGGCAAGCGTTAGTCAACGTGAATGACGGCCCAAGGACAGACTCACGTGCGAGCGTGGCTTTGCCTCAACGTCGACGTAAAGACCGTCGAAGCTACGTCTGTTAGCATGGCTGCGTGTGGGTGATCGCCAGTGAGTCCCCAGGCGATCTGATCGTCCCGCAACCTGCCGAAAGGAGTACTCACCTTGTGGGTAGCTATCGGAGGGGCGGGCTGTGCGCGTTTCTGGAGCCAGTCAGTTGGCCTTTTCTCACGGACTGTGTAATACAGATAGGTCTTGTACGACGAGGAAGGTGTGTCTCTTGTATTCACGAGGAGGGAGGGAAGGGAGGACGGAGGCTCTGTCGGGAGGGAACAAGCTCACGACGCTGGCGACGGACAGCAGCGCGCACGGTGTCACTTACTAGGTTCAGACGTGTGGGGGCTTGAGCTTTGCTTGGAGGGAGGGGAGGGGTTCACGAGGAGGGGTTAGGACGACCTGTCTTCCTTGGTGTCTGTAAGCGGACTGCGGCCGTGTGCTTGAGTGTGCTTGAGCAGGGAGACCATACACACCTAGGGGGAGAGACAAGGGACCTGTCTGGGGGGGGGGGGGGATGTCGGAGGAGGATGTGTGAGAGTGAGTGGGAGGGGTGGGATGAGTGCGATGGTGAATATGAAGGGGTGAGAAGATGAGAGAGAGAGAGAAGGGAGAAGAGAACGAGAGAAGGTGATATGGGAAGGGAAGGCAGCGGAGGGGCCTTGGGGGGGCTGGGAGGGGGGGAAGGAAGGATCAACCGCGGTTGCCGACGCCCGGGGTGATGGCGATCTCTGTGACAGTCCAGTCACTTCCTGCCGATCAGTTGGGGGGGCGCACACATACGCGTACAACACGCATGTTAAACGCGCATACTCGTTTTCACCAAACCTTTCAGCAACAACAACAATTCCCCTCTGGCAACCGTGTCGTCATCCTCTCAGCACCACCTGGCCCCGCATCGGCGCGTTCGGACGTCGGGACCTTCCGGCGTTATAATGGGCCGGCGGCAATGGACACCTGGGTGGTCGAACAGCCAACCAGAGGCGAGAGCGTGCTGTGAGCGCAGGGGTTGGAGGGGCATGACCCCACAACCTGCGGCTCGGACGCGGGAGCGACGATTGGGACAGCAGCGTCCGGGCCGGCAACTCCCACTCGCTGGCCGCCAGCCTCCCCCCCACTGGGCCACTGCCCTGCGCTTCTTCTCATCTTGACATCTCTTCTTCCACTTTCTTTCTCCACTTGTCTCTCAAAACACACATACAGGTATGTCACACCTCCCTTCTCATCTCGCTCCCCGCCCATCTCACCGCTGACAGTCGTTTCCTCTCTCCTCTGCACACGTACTCACTGCGCACTGCCTGCTCCCGTCGTCATCATGCCCCTTGGGATCCCACGCCCCTCCCGATCATCGTTTGTCGTTATCCCCGTTGTGGTCGCACTGGTGGCCTACTTTGTCATTTCCAAACCTCCATTCACCTCTGTCGCTCGTCGTTTCACCTCTACTTCCGTCTCTACAGGCAAAATGTCTCTCTCCAACAAGCTCTCCATCTCGGACGTCGACCTCAAGGACAAGCGTGTCCTCATCCGTGTCGACTTCAACGTCCCCCAGGACAAGACCACTGGCGAGATCACCAACCCCGCCCGTATCGTCGCTGCTCTCCCCACCATCAAGTACGCCATTGACAATGGTATGTGTCTATCGGTTGCTATGGTGGAACGGAACCGTACAGCTAACTTTGCTATCAGGCGCCAAGTCGGTGATCCTCATGTCGCACCTCGGCCGCCCCGACGGCCAGCCGAACGCCAAGTTCTCGCTCAAGCCCGTTGCTACCAAGCTCTCGGAGCTCCTTGCCCGTGACGTCAAGTTCCTCTCGGACTGCGTCGGTGACGACATCACCGCCGCCGTCAACGCCGGTTCGAACGGCCAGGTGTTCCTCCTTGAGAACCTCCGCTTCCACGTTGAGGAGGAGGGCAAGGGTGTCAAGGACGGCCAGAAGGTCAAGGCCGACCCCAAGGACGTCGAGCAGTTCCGCAAGGGCCTCACTGCCCTCGGTGACGTCTACGTCAATGACGCGTGAGTCTTGAGAGCTTTGGCGGACGTTTTGTTCTGTTTCGGGCGCGCCACTGACGTATAGTTTCGGCACTGCTCACCGTGCCCACTCGTCCATGGTCGGTGTCGACCTCCCCGTTCGCGCTGCCGGCTTCCTCATGACCAAGGAGCTCGAGTACTTCGCCAAGGCCCTTGAGCACCCCGAGCGCCCCTTCCTTGCCATCCTCGGCGGTGCCAAGGTCAAGGACAAGCTCCAGCTCATCGAGTCCATGCTTGACAAGGTCAACAAGCTCATCATCTGCGGTGGCATGGCCTTCACCTTCAAGAAGACTCTTGAGGGCGTCAGCATCGGTGACTCGCTGTTTGACGAGGACGGCGCCAAGGTCGTCGGCGAGCTCGTTGAGAAGGCCAAGGCCAAGAACGTCGAGCTCATCCTCCCCGTCGACTACCGTACCGCCGACAAGTTCTCGAACGACGCCACCTCGACTGTCGTCACCGACGCCCAGGGCATCCCCGCCGGCCTCATGGGTCTTGACTGCGGCCCCAAGTCGGAGGAGCTCTTCACCAAGGCTGTTCTCGACTCGAAGACCATCCTCTGGAACGGCCCCGCCGGTGTCTTCGAGTTCGCCAACTTCTCCAACGGCTCGACCGCCCTCCTTAACGCCTGCATCCAGTCGGCCGCCTCTGGTGCTACCGTGATTGTCGGTGGTGGTGACACCGCCACCCTCGTTGCCCAGGCCGGCAAGGAGGACAAGCTCTCGCACGTCTCGACCGGTGGTGGTGCCTCGCTCGAGCTCCTCGAGGGCAAGACTCTCCCCGGTGTTGCCGCTCTCTCGGAGAAGAAGTAAGATTGTTGCATCGTAGAGAAGTAGTTTTTATCCCCACCTAAATTGGTCAATGCACAAGTTGCAGATTAGGCCAAGAACGTTGCAGTGGTGTGAACGAATGGTCGGAGGACCCGCAGTGTGTGGGATCTTGGGATTTGGCTGGAAGCGGAACCAAATCCTTGCAACTTGTCAACAAAGGTCAAGGCGCGTTCCGCTTCCCTTAGCTCTCTCTCTGTACATCCCACCATGCCTTCACTGAGCGACACGCTCGACAAGCTCGCACACGAATCGGAGCAGATCTCGCGATATGCCTCAGAGAACGACCGTCCACCGGGCCCATTCACCGCAGCGTTCCTCTACCTGCCGACACGCGACAACCCAAACCCCAACATCCTCTCCCTCATCCGCGACTCTGACGAGTCTGAGCGGCGACCATTTCGCGATGTCAACGAGGAGGAGTACTTGAACGTGGGACCATCGGCACCTGGACCGCGCAAGAGCATGGCTGTTGGCGCGCAAGCAAATGGTCGAGGCCATCTCCTTACTCCGTTGCGTGACCTCCAAAGGAAACGCAACACCGCTGGCGAGCTCGAGGCGACGCTCGCCGCCGCGGAGAAGGTGGCCGAGTCGCTTGCCGATAGCTCTTGGCGCATGTCGCGGGCCCAAGATCGCGTGCAGACTCTCCTCGAGCAACATAGGAGGCAAGTGGCTCGCATCGCCGAGGTGGAACGACTCATTGCCGAGGTGCAGGCGCCGACTCCTGTCGCTGAACAACCACCATCACCGACACCGGCCAAGAAGGAGCTCCCTCCCCGGCCCGTGTTGAGCATCGATGACGCCATCAAGGCCGAGGAGGAGGCGCTCAAGGTTCTTGAGGGATCGATTGCACCGCTCCGGCGTGCAGCAGCCTTGCGCGCATCAGCTCAGCGGTCGCCAAAGGCATCACCGGGCAAGTCGCCGTTCCGCGGCCCTCGCTCTCCTCAAGCGCAGACAACGCCGCGCGCCGCACCTCGCACACCTGCTGCCATGCCTGTCATTACTAACTCTCTCGTGCAGGGCACTCCACGCGACCACCATGGCAGCCGGTTCTCCCCGCTTCACCTCCTCGGCACGCCGGGTGCCCCCTTGCCGCCTGGAAGCGCATTGCGCAACACCGGCGAGCCGAGGTCCATCTTTGGCCCACCACGCAAGACAATTACTCCATCGCGTCACATCGACATCACCCTTCTTACTCCAGCCCCAATCCCTCCCCCGACCTTCTCGCTTGCGCTGCCGTCGCCAGAACCAGCGCCAGCTTACATTCCCGATCCCACACCGGTCAAGGCCGTGCCAGAGCCTGAACCCGAGCCGACTCCTGCGCGTCCCCGGCAAGAAGTGAAGCCTTCAACGCCGGGTCCAGCACCGACGTCCGGCCCCCGTATGGTTGAAGGCGTCGAGGTGGACCTCGAGTGTGTCGGCAAGGCTGTCGTGAGTCATCGATCGCACACCTGTGGGGCTAACTTTCAGGACAAGATCTGGGACACACTCCCCGATCTCATGGAGATGGACGCAGGCGGTGGATCTGTTCAACGTTCTCCGGATTCCACAGTGTGAGTCTTTCAACGCTTGCCCTCCTTCTGACCTGCTAGAAAGCAATTGTTCAACCTCTCGCGCGCCGACCCGCACCGCCCAGGTTCGCCCTCGGATGCCACCACGGCAGTCACCCACGAGGCCATCCTCCTAGCACACGTCGCACTGCTCCTCCTCCGAAGTGCGCGTTCTGGCAATGGAGAGCCCGACATGGTCGTCCCGATCCCAGAGATCAAGGCCAACCTCGAGGCCGTGGCACGCGCCCGGGACTGGGACGGACCGGCGGATCACGCCAGCAGGACGTTTTACGTGTGCGTGGGACGCAAGTTTGTGCGTCTCGACCGGAGGGGAGGAGGCGGTGGCCGTATGCGCTTTTTGGTTTAGACAGAGGTACAGAGGGTACATGCATCGTGTTTAATCTGGGTATGTGTGTCCGTATGGCTGGCTTGCAGGCGAAACCATTTAAAGTTCCGTTCCACCCGTAGGGATGTCAACAATCATGATGCGTCACCACTCTCCCGTCAACATCCATCTCCTCTCCTACACCCGCCATCCCCATCTATTGGCAGGGCCCCGGGTGGCTTCTCGCATCCACTACTCTCTAGACCGCTGCCAGCATGCCAACGCCACAGAGCAAGCTGGCTCTCCTCATTAATTGCGTCAAACTTCCACCTGAACCATTCAACACGTCAGATTCCACTGGGTCCTACACCGTTTCCAATTCCCAGATCAACCTACACCTCCTCCATCGCCAGTATGTCCTTCGCCATAGTCCATATTTGATCACCCGTCCGAGCTACACCCTGTTCAGCCTTGCCGACGGCATCCTCCCAGCCAACCCAGCTCCACTCGCTACATTTTTCACCACTGTCAGCGACCAAAGTCGTCGAGATGCGTTGGCAGGAACAATGTCAGGAGAACTAGGAGAAACCATATTGTTCCAGCAGGCCCTCCTGCCTCCTCTTAATCGCTATCTGAGTCTTCTTCTCGACGGGTCGGGACATGATTTGTGGTGGCAAATGGTCGGGAGTCGGCCCTCCGGAAAGCCGCACGTGCACCTCTTGGGCCGCAACCTAGCTGAGGGTGGATCGGACGGTGCCCACTATCCACGCCTGGTTCAACCAAAGGTCCTTGCGATATACGAACTCACAACAGACAAGGTACTCAGTGACGACCTCCTTATCAGCATCCCGCAGAAGATTGCCGATGGAGTCATTACCGTTGTCAACGGTCTTATTGTTGGCAGTGACAGGCCGCACGCCCCCACGACATCACAGGACAAAGAAATCAAGATTCTGAACCAGGTGGGTATCACGGCCATGAAGTGTCATTGACGACAGGTCTTTGTCCAAGTGCACGCATGCCGTGTCAAGTGGGCGTTCTTAGGGAACTACAACTACCTTTTACCTATTTACCTCGAAGACGATGTCGGCCAAGGTTCGACATACGTTTTTGGCACTCCCATCCACATGGCAGCCAACTCTTCTGAAGACAGTCTGGTGCCTCCATTTTTGGCTTCCTCCTTGGCATCAGCCTAGCTGTCGCTTGCGCCAACGGACTCGGCCCTCGACCAAGTTTCGGTGGTGGTCCAGCGCTTTCGTGCACGGCAGAGCACCCTTTTTCGCACTCTCCGCAGAACTCCACCTACACCCTGTCGGGCGGTGCGATTAGCTCACCTTCACTTCACCTTTCGGCAACACACATCGCCCCCTCAACACTCAGACAGCGGCCCCAAACGCCTCACCACTCACCGAGTGCCACTGTTCAGACAACTCCCAAGGATATCAGCGTCGATCGTCTCCTTACACCCCCGCTTGTCGAAAGCAAGATCCCAGTCCAGTTGCGCGTACCCCAACGAACCGGACAGTCCACGCTAGTACCCGTTACCGTGACACGCGACCCCCCGACGCACGATGCGTCTCTCCCAAACACACTCAGCATTCTCGAGGAGATCGGAAAAGGTGCCCTCAGCAAGGTATACCATGCCAGGCTGCGAGTTTCTGGCACAGACACCGACTGTATTGCCAAAGTTGTCGATGTGTCCAGTTTCCCTGTTGAGGCTCACCACGGACACACTCAGGAAGGGGCTCGTGAGGCTTTCCTTCATGAAATCGACATCCTCCAGCATTTGGCGCCCATCCAAGGTGACGTCGTACCAATCCTGTACGGCTGGGGCGAAGTGGGCAGTGTTCTGTACACCCTGCTCGAGAATGTTGGCAGTCCCGTGCCCCGCGAGAACAGATCTATTCTAAAGTGAGTCGAGAACAAAACTGACCGTGTATTGCCACGCTGACAGCACTGCAGAGATCGTGTGTTTGACCTGTATGGGAACCTTCAGAGAGCTGGTGTCCTTCACGGAGATGTTGAGTGGCGCCACATTTTCAGTCGGCCCGACGGCTCGCTGGCCTTGATTGATTTCGACCAAGCCTACAAACGCTCCGTTGAGACGGATACAGAGTGGGCCAACGTCTGCGTGCTCAGCGAAGTGCATGAACATCTGTTCCCAGATAGCTGGGAGCGTTACATGGCAGCATCTACCGCCCACCGAGGTAGCGGTCCGCAACTCTCCGGATGACACCTCATGGCTCTCCTCGACCATCGACCACATTCTCTGCTTTTGGTCCACCTTCATCAACACCTGCTGCGACCTCATTCAAGACCTTAGATGCAAACGAATCACGCTGCCCCTGTATCTCCTTCATTGCAACTGTGGATGTACGTACCGGTTAAAATACCTTTTCACGAGCTAACAACTGCAAGGCAGCGTCCATGGGAATACCCAGCTTCCCAACCGACCCATATGTACAACAATCCGAGTCACCGTGTAGCTCTTCTTACGCTAGATTTTGCGCTTCCTGCACGCTTGCTTGCACATTGTGCTTCAGCTACAGCGGTACTGGCCGTACTTAGTAGAGGATACTCTGAACCGGCCACGTGGCATTGAGCCTCCAGTGATCCAGTGGATCCGGTGACGGCGAAATACTCCCGCGCTGTGCCTGACGTCGCCTCGCGTCGCGGAAGTCGAGACGAGATGATTGTTGTTGTTGCAGCTTGTGCATCTGTCACGTCCTTTCCGAAATCCAACAATGTCTTTCTACGGCGGAGACGACGGAGACGGCAGCGCACGATGGGGTTCATCCTCACGCGGTGGAAGCGCGGGCCCAAGCAACATCACTGGCATCACGGCCGGCACCGGCTCGCGTCCCTTTCTCTCGCGACTGGAAGACTCGATGGCCGGCTCGCCTCCTCCCAACAACTACGACGGAGGGGGAGGCTATGGAGGAGGAGGCAGGCATTTTGACGAGGAGGGAGTGTTCTCTGCTGAGGCGCTGTCTCCTGGCCCCGAGGAAGGCGAGCTCGACGACCTCCGTCGACTGGGTCGCGTGTGGGTGCGCGAGCGCGGCACACCTGACATCCTCGCATGGGAGGGCGACCTCATCGATTCGCTGTTGGACAAGCTTGAACAGCAGGTAGGTAAAGATTGCCCGATACTTGAACTGACGGTGGCAGCAAAAGATGCTGGCGACACTGCGCGCCGACCCAGCCACCTCGGAGGAGGAGCATTTCCGTCTCGTCCTCGTCCAGACTGAAATGGAACGCGCCAAGTACCTCGTTAGGTCGTACGTGCGAACAAGATTGCACAAGGTGGGTCTCTTTAGCAATAGTGTGGTTTCACCACTAACGGCTTAGATTGAGAAGTATTCCCAACACATTGGCAACTCTCCAGAACTACAGGCCCACCTGTCCGGTGCTGAGCTCCAACACGCGCGGCGCTACGCCGACCTTGTCGCCTCTCACTTCCAGCACTCGGTACTCGACTCTCTGCCGGAATGGATGCGCCGAACAGACGAAATGACTAATGACGGCGTGTCCATGGGTGAGTGGCAGACAATCGCATTCAGCTGACAATATAGTCTCGACACCAAACGTCGACACGCCCGTGCTGGTGTACTGTCGCAAGGACTGCGGGGAGATCACGGTTGGGCGGTGAGTTGGCCTCTCCGAGGTTGCGAACTGACAAACAGTGGAGAGCTACCCGTGCAGCTCAATGAGGGCACGACGCATTTGGTGCGGTACCACCTTGTTAAGCGCTGGATCGAGCTCGGGTGGGCCGAAGTCCTGTAGCATGCCCCCACTTCACAGACACAGTAGCATTGCACGCGCAAGCGCAGTCATACAGTAGCCATTATTACGCGATTGTACATACACGCCAGAGATCGTCCGGCAAGGATGGTGAAAACAGGATCTATTGCAAGTGTTACAACAGAACGGTGTGGCGCTTAGCGTTTCGTGAGCATTGGACGGCGCGGTTTGGGGTCTTCGGCAACCACCTCCTCCTGGTGCCTCCCCATAATCTCTTCAATCTTGTGCAGCAAGTCGTCTAGGCGATAGGGCTTGACAACCACGTCCGTAAAGTCGACCATGGCTTCGTCAATCTGTACCTGCCTCGCATTACCGGCTAGCAAATCAGCTCAGTTCAACTCAATTGCCTGATCTGTAGTCAGTCGGGGCTCACTAAGGGCGATGATGTTGGAATGGTAAAGCTTGCCCTGTGTCTCGGCAGCACGTATTCTGCGTGCCGATGCGTACCCGTCCATGACGGGCATCTCGAGGTCCATGAGCACACAGTCGTACGGCGCGGTGGGCAAGAGTTCTTCTGCGGGGGGCTCTTCTTCGCCACGAGACCACTTGTCCGCGGTGTCGTGCAGAGGGCTATGCGGCACCCTGGGGTCCACGGTCATAGCTCTCCGAACCATCGTCACCGCCTCCAGGCCATTGCATGCAGCTAGAAGATCAGCTTTGCTGGGAGTTTGCGCACTCACATTCGACTTCAAAGCCCACATGTTTGAGCTGACGGAGAAGGACGGTACGGTTGATGATGTTGTCCTCGACAACAAGGACGCGTGGTTTGAGCGTGAGCAGGTTCCTGGGGGTTTCATGCGTGACTCTGTTCTCCTCCTTGGTCGTATTCCATGACGGGTGGGTGCGGATGAAGAAGTGGAACTGCGAGCCCTTCCCGTGTTCGCTAACCACCTCGATTCGACCACCCATGAGCTCGGTGAGCTGGCGGCAGACAAATAGGCCCAGACCCGACCCGCCGAAGAGCGTGTGTGTCTTGGCCGACGCCTGTGAAAAGCGCTGGAATAGGGTCGCAAGCTCGGTGTCAGTCATGCCTGGGCCCGTGTCCGAGACGGAGACAAAAACGTAGATCTCGGTCTGCTCGGTCACTTCCAGAGGCGATACTGGCATGGCAAGGGGCTTAGTGCAGGTGCCATCCTCGGGAGGTTGAAGGCCGATGTCAAGGCGAAGTTCGATGCGGCGAGTTTTGCTCGCTGCCGTGAAGCGTATCGCATTCGAGAGGAGATTGGTAAGGATCTGTCCCAGTCGTACCGGGTCTGTCATGATGTTCGTGATGCCCAAGCTCTCAAACGACTCCGAAATGTGGAGAGAGAGGGAGATACGCTTCATCCTCGCTTCGTTCTGGAAGACTGCAATGATCTTTTGCGCCTCATTGCGGACATCGATCTGGACATCGAACATCTGCAACATGTCGAGCTGGATTTTGCCGAGGGAGAGCACGTCGTTGCTAATTCGCTCTTGCGTGAGACCACACTGGTAGATGCTGTCGAGGGCTTCGAGATCCTCGGCAATCGTGGCGAGGAGCTGGCCGGTGGGTTCGAATGGCCGGCTGTCCTCCATTGCCTGCTTCAGCTGCTCCTGCAGGACGAGCAGGTTGGACCGCACAAGCGAAGAACAGTACTTTAGTCAGCCACATGCTCATTTCCGGTCGACTTATCTGCATCAAGCTGCTGATCGGGTTGCGAATCTCATGCGAAGTAACGTCGATAAGCAGTTCCTGCTGGGCCTTCGCTTCTTCGGCCTCTGCGCGCCTCTGCTCCGCGTCGACTATACGCTGCCGCTGCATCTCTTCGTTGAGTTTGCGCTCTGTAATGTCCACCGAGCAGCCAACAAAGCCACGTTTCTGTATGTTAGTTGCAGGTAGCGGTGTCAGGCCTCACAGGAATTCCCGCATCGCCCTTTTCGCTGTCCAGTCTAATGACCTTGACCGACATCCAGCGGTCGTTGGACCATTGCCACTCAGCCTCGACAGTGGATTCGCCAGATGGAATGTAGGCCTCCCAGATCGCACGGACTCGCGCCTGGTGGTCTTCCCGGATGTAGTCGCCCCAGTTGGTGACTGGCAAGTTGGCGGGGTATCCTGACATCTCATACCACGCCGCATTGGCGTATGACACGTAGCCGTCATATGTGCAGCGGAAGATACCAACCGGTGACAGATCGGTGAGCAGCCGAAGTTCCGAGGCGCGCTCGTCAAACAGGTCCTCAAGAGCGCGGCGTTTCTTTCCAAGTTGCAACTGCATGTGTACGCGCGCAATGAGTTCGCGAGCGTTGAACGGCTTGGAAAGATAGTCGTCGGCACCAAAGGCGCCTTCGGGCCGCGTGTCGTCGCTTGCTGTGAGCATGATGAATGGGACGACTTGTTGTTCTCTTGTACCCGAGCGTAGGGCACTCAGTAGAGCGAAGCCACTCATCTACAATTGTCAGCCTTGACAGCTTGTGGTACTCACTCTCCGCATCATGACGTCGGCAATGATGAGGTCGGGCTTTGTCTCGTCAAACATGTGCAGAGCGCTATGCCCATCCTTGGCCTCGACAACCTTGCAGAATGGCTCGAACAGTGAGCGGAGGTAACGGCGCGTATCTGGCAAGTCATCCACCACCATAATCACGTCCTCCTGTTTGAACCATAGCGTGCTGGGATCGATGCCACGGTACTTTGCCAATGTCTCCGTAGCTGTCGGCGCGGATGACTCTGAGGTGCCTTCGGCCGTGCTCTCCCATTCGGAATGCCACTCCGTGTACTCTTCCATCGACGGTCCCTGTGGATGTGGCGATACGTCGCCACGGGACGTGTCAATGGCATCAGCCGGCAGGTGCGATCTGCCAAGTGGAATACGGACACGGAATGTCGAGCCGTCTGGACTGTCAGCTTTTAGTTCTGATGAACATCAAAACTTACGGGATCCATCTGCAGACTCGTCTGTAGTCTTGCTCTCAATCTCAAGTGTGCCGTCGTGCATCTCAATGAGTTTCTTTGTGAACGTCAAAGCGATACCGGTGCCATCGTGGACCTGGGTCTGGCCACGGTAAAACTGGTGGCCAACAAGTCCAAGATCGCACGCTGAAATGTCAGCAGCCATTCTGCTATTGGCACAAGACCTACAAGGGATGCCGACACCGGTGTCTGCAACCGTCAAAACAGCATCTGTAGGAGAGTAGGCCAGAGAAACGTGAACAGAGCTGCTGGGTTAGAACAACACAATGGAGAACCCACCCTTCAGCCGTATACGTTATCGCGTTGCCAATAAGGTTGAACAAGATCTTCTCCCATCGCTCACGGTCGACATAGACGTCGTGGAGCTTGATATCACAGGTGACAATGAATTCGAGCTTGGCTGCCTCGGCACCTTTGCGGAAGAGACCCTGTTGTCGTGAGTATTCCTCCAAACGTGACCATTCGACTCACAGCCACATCTCGAGTGACAATGCCGAGATTTATCTGGCTGAACGTGCCCTTCAAACGGCCTGCTTCCAAGTTGCTCACATCCATGAGGATGTTGACGAGGCGCGTGAGACGGCGGCTATCACATAGTTAGCGCGCCCGCGAAACCGCAAGGTAACTCACACGTTGCCTCTGGCCATAATCAGAGAATCGCGTTTGGGGCCGGAGGGAGTATCCATGAGCACGTCATCCAGCGGACCCGCAATCAAGGAGAGCGGTGTGATGAGCTCGTGCGATACGTTCGAGAAGAGCGTGCTCTTTGCCCGATCGAGCTTGCCGAGTTCCTCGATGTGATCCTTGTCGTCTTGGATGGACTGCATAGCGCTCAGGTGGATTGACATCTGGAACCTAAGAAGGTGGATGAATGCCTCGTAGTCTTCGTCAAAGTCCAGTCGGCAACTGAGTCCGAGAATAAGGATGGCGGTAGGGAAGTCCTTGTCCCGGTTTGAGTTGATGGGAATAACAACGGCCGAGGAGGCAAGTTCGTCCCAGACGCGCACCGGGTAGCCTTGGATGAGCGAGATGCAGTCCTCAACGATGACACAACGTCCAGATATGAGGGCGTCGAGGAATGGCCACTGGTCCGACTTGCCCTCGGCAAGGAGAGTGGGGGTCTCGGCGCAAGTCGCAGACCTAGAAGGTGTAGAGTCTCCGGTGCTGTGCTGGAGGGTTGGATCGCTGAATGTCTGCGCAAGCATCGCATTGGTCTGATCGCGACTTGATGGTAACAACAAGTCGACCATCTGCGGTGCCGATGGGTGATTATCCGGGATACCCACTCCACCTGCGTACCGGAGCTGAACATGGGATTGAGGTTCATCGCTACTGTGAGTCGAGGCTGAGGACCGTCGGTGGACAAGGTAACCAGGATCAACTGTTTGGTTAGAAGTCGTGCAACCCTGGCCAACTCACCAGTTCGATGGATGTCATACAGCAAGGCAAATGGTGCATCCTTGGGATGGTCTTGCAAAGTCTCCAAGATGCTGTCATGGAACTCGGCCACAGTTCGTCCAGAACCTGACATCAGTACAAATGTCCTCAAGTATTCGAACGACTCACCTGTTCGCTCGCTCAGGACCTTGACCAGAGTCGTTCGGCGTTCACTGATGACATGCTTGGTCACATCCATCTGGCCGTGGAAGAGGCCGCCCTGCGACCCATCGTCATCGCGAACGGGCATCCAGAGGTGGTGTCGATATGATTCACGGAGAACGCCCGATAACTTTTGTTGGGCTAACTGGAAGACTTTGACGGGTGTGAGTGAGTGCGGCCCTAGCCATTACGTTTGCAGGTCCAACCCACCATCATGCCTGAATACCGGGGTGCCTTTGACAACAACATCGGTCAGTGGGCCAAGAGAGGTCCATATATCTGAGGAAAGTCAGCGAATGATCTGGACTTGCATTCTTACCCATCCATGCAGACGTTCCAGAAATACCAAATCCTTGAGGATGGTTGAGCGCCACGGTCTGAATTGATTAGCCTGGTGACTGGCTTTCTGGATGTGCCCTACATCTGCAAAGCGCTGGTTGTACATCATGGTGAACTCTGGACCCCACCATAGGACACCATTCAGAGGATAAGCAACGAGGGATGCAGCTGCAGGAGGGTCAGTAACTGCGAGTGGCCCACGGAGTTGAGCTTGGTTAGTCACCTTGACTCTTGAGGGAATTAGTCCACTGCTCTCTTGACCCCAATGGCGTTTGTGACCAGTCAATGTAGTCGACGAGAGCGTTGACAGCTAATGGTCTCCCATCTGGCGCCTTCGCCGTTGGTGTCGGCTGCGAGTGCTGTACAGTTCCGTCGCGATTGAAGACGAGCGCCTGTGCGTCACCCCACTTGACTGCCTCGAATGTCCCGACTGCCTGGCTGAGCTCCATATGTGGGCTGACTGGTACCAGAAGGGAAACAGGGCCATCGGGGTGCTTGTTGTCGAGAACCATTTTTCGCATCGGCCTCCGTGGTGTGTCTGGAGCCGGTGTGGCTGTCAGTTTAGGGCTGAGTTGACCACTGTGTGGCGTGGGTGGCGTCATGGTGGGGGTGTCTCTGCGTGCACGCAGTGCACTGTCGTCCCGTGGTATAGCAGTAATGACGGCAAAAGTATGTGTGGTCACTATTGCTCTGCCATTGTCATGGTGAAGATGAATTGGCATGGACGACTTGGTCAGTTCAAACGTCCCTTTTGTCGGGCCAAAACGGAACTGCAGCGTGATGGTCGGGGGTAGTGGACGGTCGCTGTTTCCATGCCGGCCTGTGGGCGATGTGATGTCGTGAGACTTGTCGGTCAACTTGATGCCCAGACCTTTTAGCCTTTCTGGCTCCACAGGCCTGGACGAGTGGGCGTATACGCCTTCCGGATCTGGATCGTTTGTATACGCGTTGACAATCCAAGCCCCAAGACGTTGCAGGCTCTCCAGTGAAAGACACTCGCTCAGGATCTGGTTGCGACCAAGCCTTCGCCAGCTGCGGTTGGACCACACTGGGCTGAAGGGGTTGTCGGGCAGGGATGTCATTGTCCATGGTAGATGAGCCGCATCCGTGACAGAGAGCTGTTTGTCACTGGGCGGTACGGCACAGGTGAGGACGAACGCGGGGTATGGGTACGACTGAAAAGTCAGCCCCCATCGGCTCTCAACAACAACCGACCCGTGTCGCCCACTCACCTCGAGGTACTCGCGCGGTAACGAGTTGAGCTCAATGTTCGAGCGCCGAAGGAATTCGGTTGCAGGCTGTCTACTACCGCGGCTCGATCCTGTCTGAGGTGCGTCCAGGCCGGCGGGTGTCTCAGTCGGTGGCTGTCCCTTGGTCTCCGAGCCGTCCTGATCCTGATCGTCCAAGGGCCGCAGGGCTGTGTGGGGCGACACAGACGACATGTCAACAGGACTAGACGGATGTCTCGACACAAGAGCTAATGCCAGGAGGGTTGATAATCGCCAAAGTGCTTGATGGACAGGGCGAGTTGACGGATGTGAGACAGTGCGCACGAGATACAAATGCCAATTGCTGGCCAGTGTGATCCAGTGAGTGAATGCTCGGCGCGGATGACGGGGCTGGAGCCCACGGGTCATCAGTCGCGACCAGAGAGGTGGAGGATCATGGGCCGGCCGGCAGATTGCCATCTGTTCCTAGTTTCTCCTTCCGCGTTCTCGGACATGTGTTGTTGCTTTGAGCTGACGGTCGGTATGTGAACTGTGAACCAACGTCTGGCCCTAGGCGCTCGACGCTCGACGCTCGACGCTCGACGCTCGACGCTCGCCAAAAGCTCTCTGGTGGCCGTCAGCGGCGACGGTTGACTGATGGCAGCGGGTCTGGGGCCTCCAAATGACGTAGCCAGGAAGTCGGTACATCCACGGACAAGAGTCAGCCATGTCGACCAACGGCAAGCAAACAGGCGGCAACAACGTGCCGCATACGACGTTCACAAGTAGACGACGTGGAACTCGAGGTTCTGTGATCTGTGAGCGATGTTGAGGGGACTGTGGAATGTCAGTTTCCTTGATGGTAGTCAGATCGCCAGTCGGGGTCATACGGGGTGGAGAGAGGGGCGGGGGCCTCGCACGATCCAGTCACCTTTTTAGCATCTGCCAGTCACTCATCAACAACCACCTCCCCACCGTCGTCTGCTACAGCCATGCCTCCAACATCGCATGGAACCCACTACCACGCATACCTCCCTCCTTCAGTCCTCACACCGCTCGACGAATGCAAGCTACCCTCCGCAAAGGCCATCAAGCTCTACCCAGTTCCAATCCCAGTCTCCACTCCACAGCGCCCTGTACCCAAGCCGGCCAAGCCCACGTCCAATCGCGCACCTCTCACCGCGCCTGTACCATCCACACCCATCGTCAACCCTCCAACGTCACTTCCAAACTCTGAAGCGGGGCCTTCTCGTTCGAGCGGACGTGCGCGTGCCGTCCCACAGCCCAGCGTAACTTTGAGCCAAACTGAGAACCGGCGTCGATCAAAGCGTTTACGCACTGATGGTGAGCTAAATCTCATTCACTAGTTCTGACCCGACAGCTTCAGTTCTCGGCACGCTTTCGCACTACAACCAAACAGAGAGCTTCCTTTCGTCACTTGACGAGTCTGGATCACTCGTTGGGTCCGTCGGTGACGTCTCGTTTGCCAACATTCCTCGTTGGAAGCTCCCTCTAGCCAAGCTTACATCCCTGTCCACCGTCCTCATAGATGGTGGGCAGGTCACCGACGGCAAGCGTCCTCGCGACTGGAGCAAACGCTATACCGTACTCTGCTGCGTCATGACCGTCGATCCTCCCAAGCACATTCCGAGCAAGACGGCAGGCAAGCCCGACACCTGGATAGCCACCTGGCGGGTTTCTGCACCGGGAGGTGGAGGTCGCGTGGAGAGTCTATCCGACCCAGTCAGCTGCGACGTCAAGCTGTGGAGCTCTTGCGCACGTGACTGGGGAGATTCAGTACGCAAGGGCGATGTGGTTGTGCTTGAAGGTGAGATCCTAAACGCGTGGGCTCGATCTAACACTGCCAGATGTCGAGTTTCAACCTGCGTCGCAAACCACAGGCAGAACCGAATGTCTCAGCATCTCGCCCTTCCGTGGCCATTCTCCTCCGCAACCAAAGATCGTGTATCGCACTATGCCACGTTACGAGGCGGCTCTAGGGGACTATGTGTACCGTGAGGGCAGGCGGGGGGCAGAAGCTCCAGGCCAGCGCGGCGTTATGAGCGCCGAAGACCGCTTCCTTCGTCCCGACCTTCGTCTCGCTAGAAGCGACCCAGGTATCCGTCGTGTGGCGGAGCTTGCGCAGTGGTGCGCAGAGTGGGTGGGTGGTGCCGGTCCTCCTATGTAGCTATTGTGCCAAGGTTGTTTTGTGTCCAGCATGCATGTGTGTATTATGCGTTCTGGCGCACCCCTTCTTGCTGGGGCGGCTTCCCTCTGTGCACCGGCGCTATATACTGTCTTCCTCGCAACAATCTTCCCTTCCTCTCACTTTCACTCTCTCTCTCTCTTCTCTTCTCGTCTCTTCCTTTCTCAAACCCTACCCCCCCCCCCCCTCTCTCCACTCCCAATCTCTCCAGTCTGAAATCCACTCCCAGCCCTTCCTTGTGTATCGTACGCCCTCTTGAACCCATCAGCTCGGCTTCATTATCCGCCGCCCAGCCTGCACACATGTTGCCATTGTACGTTAACGGAGCGTTCCTTCCCTTGCTCACCTTGAGCATCTCTTCTCGCGAGACGTGTTCTTGCAACCGTCGTAACGGCGGATGCCGTTGGTTCAAGTGCGGCCAGCCTGGTCCACAGGAGCATTTATACAAGGTGGGATTCAGCTGACCGCTTTGGAAACTTGGCTGACCAGACCTTTCCCAGTACGAAGTGTTTTACGCCACCAGCGGCAACTTGATCAATGACGCCGACCGCCTTCGTGACATCCGCAACCTCGTCGCCCATGTCCTCGGCTACACTGATGCTCCGCCACACCACTTGTGAGTCACTTCTTCCTCTCGTTGGTGCTGTGCTTGGCTGCGCATAACCTGGCCTTCCTTGCCTTCCTTACCTTCCCTCAACGTATGCTGACCCACAGTGGCAACTGTGGCCGACTTTGGACTGTGGCGGCTCTCCAGTACCGCCTGCGTGACGGCGCCATGTCTGGATCCATGGTGGGTGCTCTAGGAATGAGCCACGGACTGACCTTAGGCTCTCCTCCTCATTCCTCGCCCCGTCCCCTTGGCCCTCGTCACCACGATCCAGAAGATGACCAAGAGCGAAAAGTGCTACACCCCTCGTACCCACCTGTTCGACCCCAACCCCTTCCCAGGTCTCGGTGTGGGCCGCCGTGGTATCGAGCACAAGACGACTCTCACTCCTGTGGCTGCTGCAGTCTGGGGCACTCACGCCTCGTGGCTTGCCCGCGCCAGCATGGGCATGCACGTCGACTGGGACGAGTGGCGTCTGGGATTCATTGCCGGGTGAGTGACGGAGGCGTCTAGTCATATATCTGACGTGCAAGTACCCCGTCCCAGCTTCTTGGTCTCGGCGACGTTCGCGCAGTCAAGAAGAGCGCCTCGTCTGGAGTCATCGACCTTGTCAACACCACCGAGCGCCGTAACTGGGTCGTTGTCAACTCATCGGCTGCCGACAGCGAGGAGACCTCGTCCTCGTCTGGATACTCCAGCCCACCTCCCGCTACCCCTCCCAAACAGCTCCTCCACGCTCGTCCCCAGAGCCTTGCCGCGTTGTCCAAGTGTGACTATGACGTCTCGACTGTTCTCTTCTCGCGCCCGACTCGTCCTACCTCTCCCCAGGTTGCCGCTGTGCCCACCCACCGCATGTCGTACTGCGGCGTGCCCGACAAGGACCAGATCAAGAGGCCGCTCCCCATCCCCAACATTATCATGTTGAACAATGTGAACGTGAGTGTGACTTGCCCTAAACGTGCTCACGCAGCAGGAGTCGAGCTACTACCTCGCCAATGAGACGATGGAGAGCGAGTCCGAGTCTGTTCGCTTCCACTCGCGCTTCCGTCCTCGCTCGGTCGCCGTTTGACCGCTGAAAGTCTTGTCAGAGTTGCTGTTAAGCTTGATCCTGTAGTCTGAGGTTCTGAACAATGGTCGTCGTGGAAACGTTGCTTGAGCGCGTAATGAATGCCTGTTGGCTGTTTGACGGAGCGTCATCATTTCAATTGCCCAGGAACCAGATGGCCAGAGATCCAGAGATGAGACACGAGCTTGTCGTCGTCGATCTCTCGGGCCCACCACATGCCAAGAGCGGGAGCAAATGCCATTCTTTCCCCCGCCTCGCTTTCGTCGCTGTCCCTGCCGCGCCACCTTTGTACCAACAACACTGACCACTATTGGGCCTCGTCCATTTCATCCATCTCGCCATTTTCCCCCTACCCAGCGTCTTGCACTCTCCGCATCCACGCGCATATCATAGCTGTACCTGTACATAGTCGCCTCCCACCTCTTCCAGTGTCCTTGCTCGCCCCCATCTCCCAAGAGGGTCTGTTGTCGGTGTCCTCTCGCCCTTGACACCCGAGGAAGCCGCTTTCGGCCATATATCCTTAATTCCCCCCTCCGCCCCCGCTCCCCCGTTCCCCCGTTCCAGCCCACAGGCGAGGCACCTGCCACCGCAATCTCCTTTCAATATAAACCAAACCCTCCATCTCCAACAACAACAACAACAACAACAAACAAATCACACGTCCTCCAGCCACCACGCGATGTCACGCGCCAAAGTCGTCAACGGCCGGCTCTCCGCGGATACTGAGCAGGGTGAGGATAACATGTAACGCGTACGGGCTGTGCGTTTGCACAGTCCGATTCGCGTCACGCGGCGGCGTGCGCGGCAACCCCGTCGCGCTACGTAAAACTAAAAAAACAAATAAAACTGACACTTGTGCTTCGTTTGCAGCCATGACGCAGGCTTGGCACCAGTTGGTGGACACGATCCGGCTCCTCCCACGGACGGATGAGGATCAGAGGACCGTGATCCAGGAGAAGGCCACGCTGGACTCTGCGCTTGACCACATCTCAGTGCTCATCGACCTGAGACGGAACGGCAACGCCTCGACCGCGGCGACTGGCACGCCACGCGTGAGCCCGGCCCCCGGCACCGACGGCGTTCTCACCCCTCCGTCCAACGGGGGTCTGAAGCGCAAGCGCCGCCCAAGCGGTGGTATCTCTGCCAGCCCCGCCCCCGTCGCTATCCCTCCGGCGCCGCACACCGGGGGCTCCGAGTCGGCCCTGTCGAGTGTCGCCTCGCCTCTCGCGAGCGGACGGTCTGGCACACCCCTGCGCGAAGCTGCAGCGGCCAAGCGCCGTGCCAACGCGCCCCCCGGTGACACGTCCGACCAGCTGCCCCTCCGTGCCGGGCGCAAAGTGGCCGCGAGGCAGAAGCAGCAAGGCGTCAAGGGACGCGAGGACGAGGGCGAGGAGTGGATCCTGGCCAAGGTGGTCAAGATGGTGGGCGGAGACAAGATGCGGTACGAGGTCCAGGACGCCGACGACGGGACACGCTGGGTCACGACGCTCAAGAACATCATCCTCCTGCCCGACCCCGAAGCCGCACCCCACATCTCCTCCCACCCGTCCAACCTCGAGGACTTTGCCCGTGGCACCCAGGTGCTCGCGCTGTACCCGGACACGACGTCCTTTTACCGCGCGACCGTCGTCAGCGCACCGATTCCCGGCACGGGTATGGGCCGCGGCGTGCGCGGTGGCAATGGCCGCCCGGACCCAGGCGCCAAGGCCGGCCAGTACCGACTCGCGTTCGTCGACGACGGTGACAACGTCCATGATGTCAACAAGACTCTGGTCGTGCTCGTAAGTATGCCAGTCGCCAGCAGGAAGAAAATCGCCAATTGACCAATCGCCCAACATCAGCATCCACAGGGCGGTAGTGCTTGGTGAGAGGGGGGGTGGAGGTGAGAGAGCGAGAGCGCGGAGTTGTCGAGTGGGAGAGCATATTTCACGGGAACTAGGATTGCAGGAGAGAGCGTGGGGAGAGGCGTCGATCTCGGAACACGCACTGAGAGAGTGTTTGTCGGCTGTACTTTCCGTTGTAATGCTCGCATGGAGACCGTGTGCTTGGGACAACAGTGACGAACAGTCGTGGCTTGAGTCAGGTGACAGACGTTTTGTTCGCACAATCCGCGGACAGCAAAACTCCTCATCCTCATGTTTCCGGGTGACGCAGCTGTGTAAAGGGGCCACCTGCCCATGTCAGATAAACACAGATACATTGACGCATATGCATTGCCCGCGTATACTCGATTTCCAAACGACTACGAAGACGAACGGACTTGAACACAGGCCTGACCTATTTTAACCCCGCTTGTTGTCGTCCACTGACCGATTTCGCTCCCCTCGCCTGCCTACCTGCCTACATCCAGCTCGGACGCCTGTCACACTGGAGCTCTGGCCGCCGTCCCAGCCTGTAATTTTCCACATCCACACCCTGGGCACGCAGGCGCAGCACCGTCCGCATGTCCATGTACGGGCGTGTGCGGAGGTGAAAGCGGTGGTACCACTCGGGCTTGGGCTCCCCCTGGAAGCGGACGACGTCGACGGGCATGCCCTCGGTCGGGTACCGGATTAGCAGGGCGTGGAGGGGCACGAGGGCAAACAAGGATATGAAGAGGGTGAACAAGAGGACCGACCAGCGGGGCGGCTGTGTGGATGTGGACATGGGCATGGATGTGGACGACAGGCTGGAGTGTGAGTCTGCGCCGGGTCCCAGTACCGGGCGTGGCATCAGGGCTGAGCCGGTCGAGAGGAGCACGACACGCACCCGGGACGGGATGCCTGCGTCCCACCCAGTCAAGCGGAGGACGTGGACAAGGAGCGTCTTGACGAACACCTGGTACGCGAAGATGTTGTTGACAATAGTCGTGGTGCGGAGCGTGTGCAAGAGGATCCGGCTGGCTCTGTACCACTGCGTGAGCCGACAGATCGGCCGCACGGCACATGCGGCACAAAGACCCGTTCACTCACTTTTGGGAATGCGGCGCCAGGTCACGTACACGCATGTACTGGTACCAGTGCCAGCATGAGAGGATGAGTATGACGTCCCATGAGGTCACGCGGAGGAAGCGTTCGTCCAGCGCGTCGAGCCGGACGGCCACCGTTACTGCCGCGACTGTGGCCCACAGGCGGCTGGTGAACAGGGATGAAGTGTTGGCCAAGAGTTCAGCGAAGGCGTACGCCGCCGAGTCGACCACATGCCCACACGCGCACTCTCCATGAGCAGGGTTGTGCAGACTGTTGGTGATGGGGAAGGTGAACTGAGGCTAGGCATGTTAGCGGAGATCTGGGGATTGAGGAAAAAGGTATTCACGGCCAGGAGCATTTTCGAGGACTGGGTGCCGAGTCGCGCCTTTAGGTGGGTGGCGAGGATGCACAGTGAGGCGGTTGGGCGGCCACTGTTTCTTCACAGACAAGAGGGTTATAACTGTTACTGCTCTCGCACCACTTCATGTCATCAGTGTGCAGCGTATGGCTGTCGGGTCGGACGATCTGTCTATGCCGAACTCGGGACCTGGCTCGCAACCGTTCTCGCGCGAGGACTTCACATAGCTGACGCCTCCTCCACTCGTGGGAACAAGATATGGGAATGCAGGAGGAGGGGTATGTCCTTTCTTTGTCCACCTGTGCACGATGCAGTCCTTCAGTGCAACGTGTTCACCGTCGACGTGGATGCGGTTGCTGGTAAAGGAACGCCATTGCTAAAATGCTCCGGCGCGCCGTTCTCCACAGATCATGGCTGGCTTCTGCGCCTCAACCGCACAGGACCAAAACGAGACCTCGTCTTCGTGGGACACAGAGGTACAGAGGAACAGAGGTACAGATAATACATAAGGGCCGTATATTTTAGCAGTGCGAATTCGCAAGGTATGTCGGACAGAGTGCGAAAGGCCGCGACGCGACTGACTTTGGCGCCCGCGAACTGCCACCATCCACCAACCTAGTGTCCTGTCCACCTGCATTCCAATCCACCATGTCTGTCATCGCCCTTAGGTGAAGCGATGCAGGTGTACAGCACGCCACTGGGATGGAAAAAGGACTCATCCCTCGCTTTTAGGTCTAGTCTACTTGAAGTCCCATGACGTCTCCTGGTGTGCACCACACGGCACTGCCATTCCAATCCGGGCTTTGGGCACCGGCTCTTCTTCCTCAAACAACACACCTTCCACACCGCCCTTACACTCGAAGTGAACCAAAAGGACGACCTTCAAGTAAGGCTGACCCCCTCCTCTCTCCACCTCTCTCAACTGGGCTCGGACCACCTCCCATGTCGCCAGCCAAGGACCTCCTCGTCCACTTGGGCTGGGAAACTGTCTTGTGGGTTCGTTCTTGTCAGGAATCTCTGACCCAGTACAGCGAGGACGTCGTCCTCTACCTCTGCTTTACCTCCCAGTTCTCAGCCTTTGTCATCGTCCTCACCGGCATTGGGCCCTCCGCGAGGTTAGTTGTGGAGCGAGCATGCTGTTCACAACTGACTCACAGACCGCTCGAACGGACCATCGGCCTCGCGACAATCCTCACCTCGTTTGCGGCGCTGGCCCTCCTGGTCGAGACGGGTGTGTACTTATCCGCCGACACCGATACCCTCATCGCCATCTTGCTGTTCCTCCTCGCCATCCTTGCGCTCATCCTCGTGGCCCTGAACGGCATGTACAGTGTTGTTAATCGGTGCGTCCTGGGGTTTCCCGGATCAGCTAGAGAGACGCACGTTGACCGAGCTGACGTTGGCAGCAGTTCCGGTGACATCAACCTTGTGTAGCATTTGCCGTGCTGTGTCGATCCATACCTGATGCCCTGCACATCCATTATAATAAATGACCATGCATTGAAACGCATGAACCCCCCCATGAACCCCATGAACTCATGAATGTCCACCATCTATCTCTCCTCCTGCACGCCAAAGTCGGCCACGAGCGCCGCGCCCAGAGCAGCAGCCATCTCCGGCGCCAGTGTAATGTCTCCGCCGTGCTCGTCCGCGTCCTCATCGCCCCCTACGGCCTCGTCTGCGGCCTCGTCGCCGTCGTCATCCGATTCCTCATCCGAGTCGCCGTACGCTCCCAGGCCCACCAGGCCGTGTCCGTCCAGAGCGGCGGTGGCGGCGGTGGTGGCCGTGGCCGTGTCCGTCCGCGCCTTCTTGCTGGGTCCATGCTCGTCCGTGTCCGCGCTCACAGCCTTGACGTCCTCGCCCGCGTCACCCGCGTCCTCAGCTTCCGCCACTGCGGCCACCGCGTCCGCGTCTGCGTCCGCCTTGCGCTTGTTGTCGGCCGGCGCGTGCCGCTGCACCACAACCACCTCACCGGCAGCCACGGCCGCGTCCCACTCTGCCCGCGCGTACAGGTGGACAGTGGGGAACTCGACCCACGCCGTGCCCGTGAGCGCCTTTTCAAGCGGCGTCGTGCCGTCCAGAGGCGGGAAGAAGCGCCGCGCACCGGGTACCAGTGCAGGAGCACCTGCGAGATCCGGCGCCGAGGCGTTACGCACGTCGCGCGGGTGTCGTCGGGGCATGTGGTACGGCAGGGCAAAGACGATATCGGCATCGCTGAGGGAGTCGGGGAGGAGCGAGGCGAGGGACACGCTCTTCTCGGCCGGGAGGACGGGGCAGCGCGGGTGCGAGAGGAGGGGCGCGTCGCCGAGCGTCGGTTGCACGACGAGCTGGACCGTGAGGAAGAGTGCGCGCGTCCTAGAACAGGTGTGTCAGTATGAGCGAGCTCGAGTGGATTGGCCCAGGAGCTCACTTGGGGTTCCAGCTCGACTGGTTGGTCTTGCGCCGCTGCATGCCGTCCGGAAGCACGTCGACCTCGGCACCAATCTCCGCAATGGCCCACTTGAGTCCGTCGAGCTTACTCTTCCTGGCCGGTGGGCGCTGGCTGCCTCCTCCGCGCCCGCCGCGCGCCGCTCCGCCCCGTCCGCCGCGGCTCGCACCTGCGCCGCCGCTGCCGGAGACCACCACACCCTCGCCCGCCGCCTCGTCGGCCGTGATCCCCTCGCCAAACTGCGCCACTTGCCGGCGCGTGCCCTCGAGCCAGGCATAGTCGCCGTCCCATGTCCCCTGCGTGATCTTGTTGAGGGGCACAAACGCCGCGGGGTCGCGCACGCCGCTGCAGCCGGTGCTGGCCTTGTGGGCCTTGCTGCATGGCAGCGAGCAGGTGCGTGCAGAGCAGCGCGGGCAGGTGTACTTGGCCTCGTTGGTGCACTGGCCACATGTGGTTGTTGAGCTGGTGGACGGAGCGGTGGATGCCAGAGAGGAGGTTGGAGTTGCGGCCGCGGGAGGCCGCGAGGGACCGGCCTCGGCTGTAGGCAGGGATCCAGGCTTGGCAGGAAGACCTAGCGAGATGGGGTCGGGCAAGGGCATGGCAGTTGGAGTGGTGTTGGTGGTTACCAGACGATATGGTTGCCAGGTTATTATGGTGGAATTCTGAAAGTGGACACCGAAGATCTCAGCCCCGGGTCACGTGCGAGTGGCAACCTCCACTCTTTGCCACCCAGTTGAACAAACTTGGCCAAGTCGACCAAAACACCACTCTCCTAGCTAGTAGCCCGCTGACAACACGGCCGCAACCTTCCAGTGTAGAGCATGTGTGACATCTTTTGATTGTACATTTTTTCTGCTTTGCTTTATGGCCGAGGAGAAGCATCTAAGTTCAACCAACGACTTCCAGTCACTAATCTCTCTTCCTCTCTGCCTCTGTTCTCGTCTCTCTCTCGTCTCTCTCTAGTATACACGTCGTTCCGCAAGCGACTTTCGTCGGCGGTCGTCACGTCCAGTATCTGTCGCCTCCGTATTCGCACGCAGAAATTGAGCGGGGTGGGGTGGGTTTGGTAAAACTTTATGATGGGGCTGGAGTGCTGAAAACTATTCGGGTTTTTTGGGGGTGTGGAGGGGGGGTTCGTCTGCGCGGGGAGGGGCAATCATGAGGCGTCCGTGGCCTGCCGCCTTGGTTGACGAGAGTGTGGTATGCAAATGCGAGGGAATAAAACTTGAAGGGTGAAGTGTTTTGAAGTGGTGCGCTACCGGTAATAGACAATGGGAGCGGGAAAAGGGGGGGTGCAAATGCGGACGAGGGGAGGCGACGACTACGAGCGCTGGGCCTGCGCCTGCGGTGTAGGCGGATTGTTCGCGAGGCGAGCAGCGGCGTGAGGCGGCAGCTTGAGCTGCAACTGTGCTGGGGTCAAGCCCGGGCTTCCGCCAAAGGCAGGTTGTCCAGCACCGTTGGCGGCCACGCCCGGGGTGGTGATCTGGACGGGCACGGGGGCGCCAGCGACAGCGGCCTGGGCCTGCTGGGCGGCGGCGAGCTTGGCCATGCTGATGAGGCGCTGGCGGTTGCGAGCATCGATGAAGGCCTGGATGTTGTTGCCGAAACCGTTCTGCTGCGCCAGGAGCGCGAGCTCGCGGCGCTGCTCTGCAGTCTGCGCCTCAAGGCTGACCTCGGCCTGCTGGTTCTGAGCCTGCTGGGCCAGAATGTGTGCGCGGGCGGCGGCCATGCGCTGCTGCTGGATCTGAGGGTCCAGAGCGCCGTTGGGCGTGGGGACACCAGGGATGCCGCCGGGTCCGGGCACGAACGGCTTGCCGTTTGCGAGCATGACACCAGCATTGACAGGCGAACCCTGGGCAGCGGCGGCGGCGAGAGCAAGTTGCTGCTGTTGCTGCTGCTGAGCCGCTTGTTGCGCTGCCTGTTGCTGCTGGAGGGTGACCTGCGGCGAAGGCGTCGAGCGCGGCTGCTCGGCGGACGACGAGGGACGCTTGACTACCTGCGGGCGACCGTTCTGCGGAACAGAGTTGGGTGGCAACATCTGCTGCGTGCCGTTCGGGGTACCGTGAGCGGCGCCATTGGTAGCCGCCTGCTGGGCCGCTTGCTGCTGCTGTTGCTGGGCCTGAGCCTGAGCTTGGGCCTGAGCCTGGGCTTGCGCCTGAGCCTGAGCCTGGGCTTGAGCCTGAGCCTGAGCCTGCTGTTGCTGCTGCTGGGTCAAAGCCTGAACCTGAGCCTGGGCTTGAGCCTGCGCGGCGAAGGCGGCCTGCTGCTGCTGCTGTTGTTGCTGCTGCTGCAGACGCGCCTGCTCCATTGCCTGCTGCTGCTGAGCGAGCAGCTGGAAACGCTGGAGCTGTTCCATCTGCTGCTGCTGGAGCATCTGCTGTTGGTACTGGACGAGCTGCGGGTTGGTCGGGGCAGGCTTGATAAACTTGGGCGGCGGCGGCAACTCGATGGGCGACTCAATGTCCGCGAGGGCCTGAGCAATGGGCGTGAGGTCGGGACGGAGCTTGATGAGGTCGTCGTCCTGGAGAAGGGTGATGCGGTGGCGAATGTACTTGGAGTCATAGTCGTCGAGGACGACACGGTCGTCGTCGCCCGAGAGACCCATGCCAATGCCGAGCGCACCGCCACGCGACGCGTCGTAACGCATCTTCTCGCTGGTACGTTGGCGCTTGGCCTCGTGCACATCCAGGTCGTCGTCACTCTTCATGTCCTCGTCGTCGTCAATCGAGCGAGGGCGACGGCGGGAAGGGTGAGAGCCGACCGTGTCCGGGAAGAGCCAGCCCTTGAGCTTGTCGGGCGATGTGGGCATGGCACCGCGGCCCGAGGCATATGCCGGGAGACGGCGGTCGAGGACCATACGGCCACCACGGCCCTTGCGCAGACGGAACGCCATGGGGTGGACGAGGCGGCGGTCGTCGTCGTCGTCATCGTCCGAGTCTTCTGAACGGTGGTGGGGGTCGAGAATGCCAATCTGACGATAGGCGTGGGCGGCGTGGGAGGAAGGAAGGGGTTGGTACGAGGCATCCGTGTAGTCGTCCCAGTGGGCATCTGCCGCCTTTCGGCGAGCGAGCTCCTCGTCGAGCTTGGAGTGCAGAGCCTGCAGGCGCTCGCGGATCGACTCTGGAGCCATCGACTTGCCCGGGTTGGCGAGACGGTCGACGGTACGGGAAGCCTCCATGGCGCGGTCGCGACGGTCGCGGTCCTCCTTTTCCTTGTCCAGCACCTTGCGGTTGCGGTGGGGGAGGTTGTTGTTGATGGCGGAAAGAGGGTGGCCGTGGAGAGCCATCTGGCCGTTGATGGCGGCGACGGCAGCCGCGGCTGCTGCCGAACCATTCTGGCGGCCTGTGATGATCTCTTCCTCGTCCCGAGAGATACCGAGAGAGGGCCAGCGTCGCTTTGTTTCGAACAGCTTCCACTTGGCCTCCCATACGTCCTTCTCTGCTGCGTACAGAGCCTTCTTCTCGGTCTCTCGCTTGAGGACAAGTTGAGAAAGCTCATAGGCGCGGCGGAGTTCGTACTGGAGCTTTTGGAACTGCTCGACGGAAAAGTTGTCGGTGCGGCGAGTCTTGCGCGCAGCACGCACGTCACGACGACGGAAACAGACGTAGGGGTCGCCATCGTTGGTCTCGTCGTAGTTGAGCATGGGCTGGACAGACTTGCCCTGGCGACGCTCTCGTCGGCCCTTCCAGTGCGGATACACGGAGCGGGCCATGCGAGCCAAGGCGCGAGCCTCGGGGAGGCCCTTGGGGACCTCGTTGGAAGGGTAGAATGATGAAGCGAGTGGGGATGAAAAGAGGGGTTCGCATTGGGAAAAGGTGGGCATGAGGGAGAGGTTTGTGTGGAGCATGGGGACGGTGTCTTCGGCGTGCTTTTCCAGCACACCCATGATGTACTCGAACGTGTCCTCGGAGATGAAGAGCTGGGTCGGGGCGTCGCCGCCCTTTTCCTTTTCCTTCCCCTTGGCCGCCCGACGCTCACCACGGGCTTGGACGGGCGAAGTGGGTTGCGAGACCGCGCCGCCACTTCCGCCTTCGGCCTTGCCGTTGAAGGTGGTGAGGAAGGTCATGTCCTCGTCGTCCATGCAGTAGCCGAGGCCACCCGCTCCACACGAGCTCTCCTCAACGGTGTCGGAGAAACGAATGTAGTTGACCGGCTCGGCCCACTTGTGGGTTTGGTAGAGCTTGGCATAGTTGGTGGTGTCCATGAGACCAGTGGCATCCGGTGTTGGAATGTGGTAGTTGAGTACCGCATTTGTGGTGCCCTGTGTAGGTGCTTGCTCGGGTTTGGTCGAGCTTGCACGAGACTGGCTGGGACTGGACGGTTTGGTCGCATCGCGGGAGTGCAATAAGGATGCAGACGAGAGTGCGGCTTGCAGGTGGTGCTCCTGTAGAGAGAAAATGCGGTCAGCAAACACAACAAATGGGTGGTTTCGCCACACTGGGGAAATTGCCAAAAGCGGCAGAGGGAACGGGGCCAGGTGAAAAGTGAAGGGGGGGGGGGACGTGGAAAGGGAAAACGGGGGGAGCGGGCGTTGGGTGGCGACAGGCGCTGGCTGGGGTGCACGGGGCGCGCTTCACCCAGCCATATGCATGGCCATGGCCTGCCATGCATGCCCCGCAAGATGGGTGGCCGACAGCAGTGACCCGCAGCGTGTGATGCAGATGCAGACGACGGAGCTCCCCCATCGCCGCTCCGTGTGGAGACGGCGACCAAACAACGAGGGGTGTGGAGCGCTTTGTCAGGTCGGGTGACCATAGCGCCCCTTCCCTTTTTCGCCGGAGGGTTTGGACGGTTCCCACGCCGGGGGGTCGTTGATGGGACGTCCATCGACGACGAACGCGCATGCATACGGTGTCGCCGCCATAGTGAAAGATGTAGAGCGCATGCAACTCACCAAGAGCTCGCCGGTCTCGACTCCCTTTGCGCCGACGTGTTGGTGTTTGGTCGCCGCTTCGGAAGCAGACTCCGCGTTCCACACAATCGTCTCGGCCGCGCTTTGGTCGACCTTGTCCGATCCCCTGTAGACGAGGAGTTTGGTTTTCTGCGTCACGCGCGCAGCCCTCCTAGAGGAGGTAGCGAGACGCGACATCGCGGGTTGAGGAGGCCGACAATGAAGCGGCCCTCGGCGTCGTTTGGAGCCTCGACAGCGACGGCGATGGCTCCGGGGTGATGTGGGGTGGGGGGGGTGGGTGGGTGCCAGCAGCGAAGCGGCGTGGTAGGGCGAGAAGCTTCCCACCAGCGAGGCGGTGCGGTGTGCGTTGGCAAATCTTCACGGGTGAAAGACCAATCGGCACAACTCGCGTACGCTTTGTGCGGCCGGGTGGGCTGGGTGGGAAGGGGGGGCCTGTGCCCGCGCGTACGCTGGGCGGGGGGGTTTGGGTGTGTGCCGCCCGGGCCCTTTCGGCCGCCCCGCCCCACCCACGGCCACACGACTCATCAGCGTGGGCCCGCCACCCAATACAAAAGCTATTTCTCCGCGGCGTTATCCTAATGTGGCACTCTGTGGCCCATACAACTCCCGCCCACAGGGCCCGGGAGTGGCAATGACGTTGTTCTATGAGGGGACACGGCGCAGCGACACTGCAACAACACAACCACACAATGTCAGATCACCAATGCAATGCAGCTGTGGCGTTAGTCGTTTGGTCTCTCTCGCGGTCATACACCCTCTTCTCCCCCTTCACCCTCTCCTGCCTCCCTCCGTCATCCACGCACAATGAAGTCTATGAAACGGACAAAAAAAGTCAAAACTGGGACCATAATCAGCACCCACAAACACCTCATGAAACTCAGTACTCACCGCCACAATCCCAGCAACTACTACCACTTGGAGCGCTTCTTCCATCCCTTGCCGCGGCCGTTGGCCATGCGCTTGTCCTGGAGGTCCTCAAACTTGCGCTTGGCATACGTGCCAACCTCGCCGTCCTGGATGAGACCAGACACAATCTCGCCAGCGCGGTACTTGCGCTCCTTGCGCACAGTCGTGTCCTGGAGGTGGCGGGGAGCGTCGACCATGGTGCCGATCTGCAAGAAAGAAGGAAAGCTGTCAGAAAACATACAATACCCCGTGGCGTGCGTGCACCCAAAACTCACAGCAAAGTGCTCGGGAACCTTGCCTGCGCGGTTGCCACCCTTCATGAAGCGCTTGGGGTCGAGCGTGTTGGCCAGCGCCAGCGCCTGGTAGTCGCGCTTCATCTGCGCGAGGTCGTCGGCACGAGCCGAGGGGATAGTCGCCCAGAGTTCCGAGGCAGTGGCCTTCTTTGGCTGCTGCAAAAGGGCGTCAGTGTTTGTGTCCACCCTCTCTCTCTCTCTCTCTCCCGACGTCACTCCAGGCCGATGAATGGTGCACTCACAGACAGCTTCTCGCGCTTGCTCAGGGTACGCTGGTATGCTCCCCGGTCGAGCTCGGGCGCAATGTCGGCGCCGCGCAGCTTGGACGGGCCCGCCTCCCCAGATCCAGAACGCGCAGTGCCGTCCTCGGCGAACGAGAGCACTTGAGGAGGCAGCTGGGGGACCGAGAGGTCTGGGATGGGGCTGGAAAGAATTTTTCAGCACTCAAGCATGCGAACACGGTAACGAGCAACGCATGCATGCACCATTGGTGCAAAGCATGATAGCTGGCATGTACTCACGCGTCCTTTGCATCCTCGGTTTCAAACTTGAACTCGCCGTCGGCGTCCTCGCCCAGCGCAGTGTGGCCGTGGGTGGTGGTGGCAGAGCCCGACTTTGGCTTGGCGCCCTTTGCGGATTTGGCGGCGGTGACTTTGGCCGCAGCCAGCATGCGCTCGAGCTCGTCCTCGTCGTCGCTGTCGCTGTCACTGTCACTGTCACTGTCACTGTCGTCGCTGTCGTCCTCCGAGTCCGAGTCGTCCGAGTCGCTCTCACTTGCAGAGCTCTCGGAGCCGGAACCCTCCCCAACAGAACCCGCCGAAGCTTCTCCCTCGCCACCGGCGCGGGCCGAGCGGGCTCCGGCACCGCTGGTGCTTGCACTGGGCGTGCCCGTAGCTGCTGCCGCCGTGGCCAAAACACCAGACATGGTAGCGCGAGTGGGCGTGCTCGACGGGTCGGCACTGGCGTCGCGGGCACGCGTCAAGGCGGCATGTCGCCTCGCACGCGGGCTGAGCAGCTCACTGGGGCCGGCGTCCTCGTCCTCGCTCAAAAGATCTTGCGCCTCGGCGATGGCCAGCTCGTCTGCCGAGATGTGGTGCGTCACGGGAGTGGATGTTGAGCTTGACGCTACTGTGCGGCGGGGGGTAGGCATGGTGGGGGGAGTGGGCAAGCTGGGGAGCTAGACGAAGCGCAGAACGTGCGTGTGCGGAGGGGATGACGACGGGGGTGGGGGGTGGGCCAGGAGCCGTACTGTGCTTGGGGAGCTGTGAGGGAGCTGGGCGTAGTCTATGATGGTTCCAGATAGACTGATAACTAGGTGTCCAGGATGTTGGGGACGATGGTGACTGTGTGGGGGGTGGAGTGGGTGGTGTGGAAGAGCTGCACACCAGTGTCGGGGATGGGAGGATTGTGTGTGTGCCGTGTGCTCTCTCCGCCAGGTGCTCTCATTAGAGTGTCGCTGTATTTTTGGTCAGGCCCCGAATCCAGGGTGTCAGCAACACGGAGATGGCAGCGCTCATCTCCGTGTTTCCCACATGGTTTCGTATCGTTTATTGATTTCGTAAGTCTCGATCCCATCTTCTCCTCGCCACATCTCGAACTACAATGCCGCACGCCGACTCGAGCCTCGTCCCAGAGGACATCAAGACGTCAGTACAGCGCCCACCACCCTTCATCTCTTGACACGCTCTCACCAGACCACCGCGCTGACCCTTGACCCACAGCAAGCCCGAGTTCTACGCCCACATCCACGAGCAGCTCGAGGCCCTCCTCGACGGCCACAGGTGGTGGGTGTCCAACCTCGCCCAGGTCTCGTCGCTCCTGTATCACTCGTATGCCGGCAGCGCGCTGTACGGCCTCTTGTCCGAGGAGACCACTACCCCAGTCGTCAACTGGTGCGGCTTCTACCTGCGTCCCGACGGCGCAGGCCCCCTCGTGCTCGGGCCATACCACGGCCGCCCGGCGTGCGTCACCATCCAGGCCGTCAAGGGCAAGGGCGTGTGCGCCGATGCGTTTGTCACGGACACGGGCGTCGTTGTGACCGACGTGGACGCGTACCCGGGCCACATTGGTGAGTGGCCAGTGACCGCAGCTACCCAGTAGATCGGAAGTTAGCTGACTTGGCCGCAGCCTGTGATGGCGACACAAAGTCTGAGATTGTCCTTCCTCTCCGCCTCAACACGCCCGAGGGCCCCAAGACTGTCGGCGTGTTGGATCTCGACTCGACCAAGTTCTCGTCCTTTGACGAGCACGACCTGGCGGGTCTCGAGCGCGTCGTCGAGATCCTCGCAGCCGCATCCGACTACCCCTAAAGGGGTCCCAGGCATCGGTGCTAGGGACACCAACATTGGAGATGGTCTAGTACCCCTTTCAGAAGAACACAGGGGTTTCGCCATCTTCGCCATACTTGATACCCATCATCTCATACCCCAGGTGGCGGGCGGTGGCACATTAGTGGCGTGCGTGCGCACCGCCGCCGCCGCGGTGGCTGTCACACCACACAGGCCGTAATGTCCACGGATCAATGGCATGGTACATCAAAGTCGGAGAAGCCTAGAGGTAGTAGTCGGAGAAGCCTAGAGGTAGTAGTAATGTACAAAAAATGCAGGGTATCCACAGACTTAAACGCCGACGCGCTCGCGACCAACTGTGCTCTTCTGGGAGGCATCACGTGAGACGCGCCAGTAGTATTGCAGGACGTCGTGGGCGGCGAGACGCTGGAGGAAGCCCTCGTCGTGGGTGATGACAATGAGCTGGAAGTTGGTCTGGCGACGGCGCTCGCGAATGATCCTGACTAGGTTAGCGCTTGGTCTGGGGGGAATCAATGCTCAATGCTCACTCAGCAAGCGACTCGGCGAGGGCATTGATGTTCTCCTGGTCGAGGTTGGTGGTGGGCTCGTCGAGGGCCAGAACACCACAGCCTTGACCAAAGCTCTCGGCGAGGCCAAGACGAATGATAATCGACGCGAGCACCTTTTGGCCGGCCGAACAACGGCCACGCATGTCGAGCTCGACATCGTTCTTGACCATGACGACGCGGTAGTTGTACGATTTGCGCGCCGCCGTGCTCTGCTCGTCGTGGGCAGACACAATGCGAATGTTGTCAATGTCTGAGCGGGGGTCAGTTGGTGCGCCATGGGTGAATAACCCACCAGTTCCCTGATACGTCTTGTTCCAAAGGTGGCCAATGGTGTTGTTAATCTCGTCCATTTTGATAGAGTGGTACTTGAGAATGGCGCTGGTAGTGTCAGCTTCCTATGCAGTTCTGCTAGCTGGAACGCACTTGTCAAGGGCCTTGCCGTACTTCTCCAGGTCTGCGTTGGCCACTTTGCTCATCTGGGCAACGTCAGCGTCATGGCACCCGCGGATCCACTCACCCTTGTCTTGACGAGCTGGTCACGGTACTCCTTGTCGATCGTCTTGTACTCGGTGTTCAAGGTGCCCTGGAGCTTCTTCCGGTTCTCGGTCATCTGGAGGAGAACACCGCTGGCCAGCTGCCACCGGTTACGGGTTTCGTTCTCCCTCTCCATACCCGCCTTGTACCTTGTGTTGAAATCACGGCGGTTGGCAGCAGCAGCGTTAACATCAATGTTGGCCAACTTGGCCTTGACCTCGTCGATAGCACTTCCTTCCGTCCGATAGTCGAGGTTGAGCTTGATGTTGGAACGGGTGTTGTTGGCGCTCGCAATATCCTTTTCGAGAGACTTGATCTTGCCCTCAATCACGGCACGGCCCTCCTTGGTGGCAGCCATTTCACGGCGCACATCCTCCAAGTGGGCTTCGTTCTCACGCATCTTGCGGTCATTGCCCTCAGTCACGTACTGAGTGCACTGACGGTGCCATCCGTCAACCTCACCAACGCTCTTCTGGTACGTGGTGACTTGAATGTCCGCATCGTTGATGCTGACGTCCAAGTCGGCGTCGTAGCGCTCCATGGCGTCCTTTTGCTCGTTCCAGGGAGCGTTCACGCTATTCGCCTTGGCTTCCAACTCCCTCAGCTCGCCCTGCATGACGGTAAGCTGCTCCTGCTTTTCCTTGAGAGCAGCTTCCTCCATGCGACGGCGCTCCTGGACACTGCGGAGCTCCCCGAGGCGCACAGTCTTGCGGCTAATGTCGTTGGTCAAGGTGTTGAGCGTCTGGGTCTTGAGGTCCTTCTCAGACGAGATTTCGCGGAGCTCGCGCTGGAGGTTCTTGCTGAAAACGTCAACGAGCGGCTCGTCACTCTCCAACTTACATCTCGGTGGAGATACCGTCGGCTTCACGTTGCACTTCCTCAACAGTCTTGAGAGAGCCAGAAGACTTGAGATCACGCTCGAGACGCTGAATGTCGATCTTGAGGTCCTTGATCTCGTTGACGGTGCGGCTAACAATGAGAGCCGCGCTCTTCAGAGTCTGCAGGTCGCGAGCGGCAAGTTTGGCAGTTTGAACAGCCTGGCGCGAGTTCTCCACCTCGGTCTGCACCTGTTCCAGCTTGGCGGAGTCGCGAGCAATGTCCTTCTCGAGCGAAGGGATCTCAGTTTCCTTGTACTTTTGAACAGTCTCGACGGCGGGCTGAGCGCGACGAAGGTCCTCAAGGGCTTGCTCCCACTGTTCGAGCTCGCCCTTCAGCTCCTCATCATTACCAGCAGAGCAGCGCTCAATGCGGGTGCTGATCTACAGGGCGTCAGTTGTGACTTCGTGTATACGAGCAACTCACGTAGACGTCAAAGGCGCTCTTCTCGTTGGCATGGATGGCACGGTCACAGCCAACACACTTCTTCTTGGACTGGCCAACTTCCTGGATCTTGCGGTAGAATTGGAGCATGCTCTCCTTGTTGTTCATCTCGCTGGGGACTGTCAGTATAACCGCCAGGAGGGTCGCCTTACTCGGTGCGGATCTTGATTTCGGAAAGGCATTCGTCCATGCCCTCGTCGACAGTGGGCTTGTCGGTAATCTCAAGGGCATCGGCAATTTGACGCTGGAGGCCTGGCACCACGTCAGAGTTGCATTTCACACACAAGGCATTGACTCACGAGCCAGCTCTTCGGTCTTGGACCTGAGGTTTTGTTTGGCAATGTTAACCGATGTCTGGAGCTGAGAAAGGGTGTGGTTGCTGGCCGAGGCAGCCGACTCGGCATCCTGAAGCTCGCGTTCCTTGCGGCTGTGAGGTCAGACATGTGTTGGCTTGAAGAACCCACCCAACAGCTGTGGTGACAGTCTGTTCCATTGTCTCGGTGTTGATTTCCGAACCAACAAGGTCCTTGAAGCGACTGGCGTGACTCTGCACTCTGCACATGTTAGCCTTCCTGTTCTAGCCATACCAATCTCACGAAGCATTCATCTGAGCCGTCTTGGAGTCGAGCTCAGAGCGCTTGATGGAGAGCTGGGCGCGCGAGTCGGCCTGGCGGTTAAGCAGCGACAGTTCAGAATTGACCTTCTCCCTGTCGGCATCCTTTTGACGAATGGTGAGGTTGTGCTCGCGAATCTGGTCGTCATAGCGAGCCTGTTGGATTTCCTCGTCGATACGCTCCCGACGGCCCTCGGAGACGGCAATGTCGTTTTCAAGCACGCTGATATCGGCATCGACAGAACTGACCGAATCAAACTTGGTCTCAAGTTGGCGGATCTGTGCGCTAAGCTGGCTCTGGGAACGTCAGTATGTCTGGCTTCCTTGAGAGACTCACGATCTGGGCAGATTTGGTCTGCTTGTTGGCGATAGCTTCGGTCCTGAAAGAGGCGAGGCGGTCGAGCTCCGTTTGGAGCTCATTCTTCTTCCTGGCTCCCTCGGTTTTGATGCGACGCAGGTCCGTGGTGGCCGTGCGAACGAGGTCCTGGAGCTTCTCCATAAAGTCGTTGATCTGGTTCTCTTCCAGTGGGCTGTAGTCGTAGCCAGGAATATTGTGTGTCCTGGAATACTCCCGCACGGCAGCTTCGCGTTTGCCGATGTTCTGTTCGTACGCCTAAATGTCAGCAGTGAAAGCGCTCTCGTTCACGAACCCGGCGGTTGCTTTGCAGGCCACCCTGCGTGCTAACAAGGTTGCGTTCACGGCGGTGCAGGTCGTCAATCGCCTCGTCCTCCTTCTTGCGATACCGGTCCTGTTGGTCGCGCTTGTCCTGAATCGTCTTGAGGTGGCTGTCAAAGTTACTGTACATGTTGTTGAGCTCGTCGGTCGGCTCTGGAATGTCAGCAGGGTCAATTACCGAACGCCACTCACCGTCCAGTTCCGTAAGATTCTCCAACATCCTCTTGCGGTTCTTCTCGAACATCTCCATCTGGCTCTTGAGGGTCTCAACGCGCTCGAAGATGGCGGTGAAGCCATGGGCCTGGTTGGCAGTCTCTTGGTTCTGCTCTTGGAGGCGCTCAAACTGGGCCTTGAGCTCTTCCATCTCAGTTTGTTTCGACTCTTCCTTCCTGATCATTTCATCCAAGTCCTTGCGCATCTGTAACAGTCAGCGAGATTCATTTCGGATGCACTAGACAACCCACGCGCTCAGCCTTCTCCTTGTCTTGCTTGTAGAACTTGAGACGCTCATCGTCGACCTTGAGCTCGGCGGCACGCTCCTTGCGAAGGACCTTGATGTTGTCGAGCGCCTTGGTATACCTGATGAATTAGTGGGGCGCACCGAGTGTACACCCACTTGGTAGCTTCGAAGATGTCGTCAAACTTCTTCTTCAATGTTCCAGGTTCAGAAAAGGGCCAGTTGGATTCCTCCTGGTGACAAAAGATGACGTTCTCAAGGATGGACTTGGAAACGCCGAGAAGTAGAGGGACCTCCTCGTCCATCTCGGCGCACTTGGTGGAGATGGTGTTGCGCTTGCCGTCGGCCTCGTCAGACTTGGCCAAAATACCCTCGAGGGTCTTCATGGACAGGGGACCGCCCTTCTTCTTGGATACCGACACTTGAAGATTGCGAGTCGCAGTCATCCTTTGGCGGTTGACATTCCAGAAGCGAAGACGGACCTGGGCCTTGACTTCCTTTTCGTTGGCAATCTGGAAGCAGCGCGTCAGAAGAGATACGGTGCCGAGGGGTACAAGACTCACCTTGGGGTCATGCACAAAAGCACCACCCCTGGTGTTCGGTGGCAAGTCGCCCGTGGTGGCATACTTCAAGCACTCGATGATTGTCTGTCCACATTGAGCTTAAAACACACTTCTGGCCGACGGTGGTGTCAACTTACAGTCTTGCCGCTACCATTGTGGCCAACAATGACCGTGAGGGGCGAGTAGAACTGGATGACCTGGACGTGCTTGTCGTCAAAGGAACGGATACCGCGTACGGCCAGCTTGTCGAGGGATGCCCTGAACAAATAGTCAGAAGAGCTACGCGTCACAAACTTGATAGGAACGGCACACTCACATGGCTGGTGGTGTGCAGAGGACGCGAAGTGGAGGTGGTCCAGCCGCGAGGCGTGGGTGTCACTGGCACGGGAGTGCTCGGTGTGTTGAGCGGACTCGGTGTCTTTTGGGAGGTCTCGGCAGCTGTTCGAGGCCAATGAAGACGCGTGTGCTGTGAGACCAAAGGTCAAAGGAGTGTTGGGCGATGTTGAGGACGATGATGAGCGCGGGTGACGGTGTCGTGAGTACCCCCAGTCCACTCATCCGCCAAGGGCGCGCGCGACGACCCGCTTATTTGGTTCCGTCGCCATCCATGACGTCTTGGACCTGGGCGACAACGACAGCGACCTTTCGGCCCACCTACTTCACTCTTTCAGTCACCTATAGAGTCTGTCAACATGGTAGGCGGGGGCTCAACACGCTTCCTATCCCTCCCAGAAGAACTGTTAGTTGGAGTTGTCTCTGTCCAGCTGCTAACTGGACCACAGTATCACGCGCATTCTCGCCGAACTACCCGTCCGCGACCTGCTGTCCGTCTCAGCCACGAGCCGCCAGTTGAACAGCTACGCGTACGCGCCAGTTTTATGGGTAAAACTCTTCCACTCCACACCTGGGTTTGACCTCACAAAGGACGCGCTTGCCCGCGTTGTCGCTACAGACCAGGCCCCGGGCTCTTGGGGGGGTCAGGACGGTCGCGAGTGGGAATGGAGGTCGGCGGCTCCATCGTCGTCGTCCTTCTGGAGCCTCCAGGCGCTCCTCACCTACGTGCGCGATCTCGTATGGCCTTCAGCTGTGAATACCGCGGATAAGGCTCTATCTCAGCCTCAACAGCCCGATGATAGAGACTCCACGGACCCCGAACCTCGTCCAGTGCCCAGTAACCGACCATCGCCCATTCCAGTCCACTATCCGACTCTGTACCACTCCCGATGCCTCATCGAGGACGAGATGCGAGCTCGTGGCCCCCACGCTGCGTCCGACCCCAGTGGTTCCCTCTTGGACGACGGAACAGCGGTGGACAAGGCGCTCGACTCGGATTTCCGCGTTCACCCCAACCATGTCTGGGCCATCGAGGAACACAGTGCCAAGGTCTATGCCGTGGCTGTGCATGACCAGTGGGTCATTTCGGGGTCGCGCGACAAGACAATCAAGATCTGGCGTCTTCCAGACCTTCCCATTGACAACAAGGTTCTTGAGTGGGGCCCTGACGTTGCCCACACTGTCAAGGAGGCGCACGACGGCAGCATTCTGTCACTCAAGTTTGAGGTGGAGGATGAAGTTGCGGGACGCGACACGGGGGTCATCGTCACGGGATCGAGCGACCATACTGCCAAGGTGTGGGAGGTTGACTGGGGCAAGGGACGCGCAAAGCCAGGCGACGACTGGGAAGGAGTGGCGGTGACGCTCAAAGCGACGCTTACCGGCCATACCGACCGTGTCTCCAGCGTCGCGCTCACGAGCCAGTACATTGTCACATGCTCGCACGACCAGACTGTTCGAAGTAGGTTGTTGTTTTTGTCTGAGCCGTTTCTGACAGTTCTAGTTTACGAACGAGCCTCCGTGTACGACAACAGGACAGTCACACTCCTCCACCGACTGTCCCCCGAGCGAGGCTCGCTCGTCGCCATTGCTGTCAACCCAGACCCCACTGTTCACCAGGCCGTTGTCTCCGGTTCACTTGGTTGGGTAACCATCGACCTCGCCAGCGGAAACGAGCTTGCCCGCGTCAGCTGTGAGCCTGCTGGATCCGTCACGTGGTCGCCAGATGGCAAGTACATTGCGTGCGGCGGCAAAGAAGGCGAGGTGGCACTGTACACGCCAGCGGGCGAGCTCGTGCGGCAGTTTGAACAAAACAACTCGTCGATGGTCCGCAGTGTCCGTGTCGAACCTGACAGTGGGACATTGCTCAGCGCCGGCCACGACTGTCGTATTTATTTCTGGAAGCTCGACGCCAACAACGCGTATCGGTGCTACGACTTTCCAGGCCAACCCATTTTCCAAATCGACAAGAGTGGCATGAACCTCGTGGCCGCGGCAGGCAACAGCGTCCTTTTCATCACCTATGGCGTGTGGATGCCCTACCTGGGGTTGTACGCATAGCGACACAAAACAATGCATTGGTGTTTATTTGCTTCTAGGACAGTCTCTACACATGAGTTGTGTGCATCATGCCAAAAGTGATATAAAAAGTGGTTTCTACTCGTCGATCTCCTCCTCCTCCTCAGCGTTGTGAGTGACCTCGTAACGCTTGCCGCGGATACCCCAGATACCCCAGTTGGTCTTAACACCAACACGAGTGTCCCACTCGGCAATCTCCCACTTGCGCGAGGCGAAGGGGTTAACACCGGGAGTGAGAATAAGCTCAAACTCGTCCGAGACACCCTCGATGGGAGGGATGGCCTGCGTTGGGAGGTTGACCGATGAAGGGTACTCGCTGGGAGCGTCGGGGCTAGTGATGGGTGGCTGGGTACCGAACAGAGCCGAGACGTCGCGTGAGAGGTCGGTGGGCGAGAAGGCGGTGAAGAAGAGACCACACTTTGTGGTGAGGATCTGCTCAAGAGCCTTGCGCCACGAGGTCTGGGCCTGGACAAGTGGTGGGCCGCTGGCGGGCTTGGACGGGTCCACGAGCGACTGGTCCGGGAAGCCGAGTCCGGGCGAGAAGGCAAAGAAGACGTCCTGGTAAGGGTCAAAGGGACCAAACTGCTCGTGGACGTTCTCGTACGCCGACTGGATCGAGACCAGCTTGAGCTGGGGGGTGACCATGACCTTGCAGGCTGGGGCACCGTACTCGGACTCGGGCTGCATCTTGGCCTCGCCGCGCTTGGGACCGTCAACGATGGGGACACCGGCCTCGGGGCCGATAAAGTAAATGTTGAACTGGGTGTTGGGGAAGAGGTGGGTAAGCTGCAACCAGAGAGCCGCAGGGAGGGTGGACTCGGCACGGGCGCCAAGCAAGAAGATGCGGAAGGGAGGCATGGGGCGAATGTCGGCGGCGGTCACAATGGTGGTACCGGGGGGAGGGTGGAGAACGGAGTGCATGGCAGCCATCGATCGCCTTCCCTCGGTAGTGATACGGCCGTTGGAAGCGTTGAAAGGTCCATTCTGGTGGATTACGCTAAGCACACTGATAGGGTAGGTCATGGCTTTGGACACCTGACGGATGGCGCGCGGCGAGTTGATCGACGAGAAACCACGAGTAAAGAAGAACGAGTCCCATGACACCATGGAGACAGCCTGCTCATAGGGCTGGTTACCTGCGGAGGGTGGTTAGCATTCTTGTCAATGCAGAGGCCGTGTATGCAAGCAAAGCAAACCCACCAGGCATGTTCTCGAACTCGGTGATACGACGACCGCTGCGGATGTCATGCTCGTCCTCGTTAACCTCGCGGAGACGGGGGCACGACTCGGAGTGCTCCTGCTTTCCCTCCTGCCAGCGCTCCTTGCTGGCATGCGTGGGGAAACCACAGTCGGGGCACTCATACTTGACCGCCACGGTCTCGTGGTGCTTCTCATAAGAAACGGGGCAAACGGCGTAGGTGCGGATACGCTGTCCCTTTTCACGGAGAGCTGGGAAGGGCGACTTGGACAGAAGGTGGAAAAGATCGTCCTGGGAGAGAATAGGCTCAGGCTCGGCCACCTTGTCAAACTTGGAGCTGGCCTTCTTCTTCTTGCCGAACAAGGAGAAGAACGGACGAGCGCCGGAAGGAGCCGCGGCCACCATCGGGAAGCGCGACGAGGACGCGAGGGGCACGACTGCTGGGCGGACTGCAAGCGTCCTTGGCGAGCTGCGCAGCAGCATGCGTCCGGAAGCCTGACGCATGTTTTCTCGAGAATGGGTAGTGAGTGGGGTTGGTTGGTAGAACAAGACGTGCAACGTATGCTTTGCTAGACAAACGTCTTGACCCGAACTGGATTGTCTGGCTTTGTGGGCAGCCACCGTGGGATACTTTGAATTTGCCACCGCCCGCCGCCGGCCGGCCGGGTGGCTCGATGGTCCTGTTTTTGTGCAAAGAGCAACAAGTCGACAAACAACCAGCAGCGCAACCCTTCACACACCCTTCACACCTCTCCTTCCGTTCGCCTTTCTTTACAGCTCGGGCACTGCGATGGCCGTGTCGGGTGCAGACGTTCAAGCTTTTGATCTTGCGTCTCCCTTCAGCACCCCGCGCGCACAGCGTCACACCGCCCAGGCCGCCGATATCGTCTCGCCCCCTTGTACGACCCCACGGAGACTGCGCATGCCGCTTGGCCCCTCGTTACTCAACTCGTCTCCGGCCACCATCGTACCGGGTGACTTTACAGGAAGCATGAGCCTTACGCCGGAAGCAAAGAAGCCAGCCCAGCCTGCGGTCAGCTTGAATGACCTGCCTGTCGAGGTGAGTAGTTCAGGTTGTCGCCGGCCTGCCACTAAGGCTTGTTTTGTTTGTGCACCCAAGCTGACCCAGCCACCTTTTCTTTAGCTCGTCCAGCAAATCCACAAACTTGCAGACAACCCTGCATTGCCTATGACAACGCGGTACATGCGTAGCTCCCTCACACATGCGTCCCCGACGTATATCGCTGCATACATGCTCCACCAGTACCGTCGAGTGGAGCCTTACAACGTCCTCACGTTCGCCTTGCGTCGACGGATTGTGGACATTGCCGTTGCCGAGGAGATGATTCGTATCTGGGACTATCGCCGTGGATATGTTCCTACCGAGCTGCGGAGCCGTCGGCGGGCCGGAGCTCGTGCAAGGCCAGCAACTGCAAGGGACAAGGCGGGGCATGGCGAGTGTGACGGGGCCAACGACGGCGATGACAACAACGAACCCGAACCTGAACCCTGCACCCCACTCAAGCCCAAGGTAACCAGGCCTGCACTGTCCGTCTCCGAGCTGCCCAAGCGTCTCTTCCGTCCCAAGCCCGGTCCCGGAGAGCCCACAATCTCACCCCTCGTGCACTGGCTGTTCAACCGCTTCGAGCCGCCTCTGGCCAGCCACAAAAACTATGCCCTCAACCGCGCCGCCCTCAACCAAAACTACGACATGGTCGAGCTGCTGCTGCGCAAAGGTGCCGACCCAAACTTGCGTATGCACTTTCCGCTCCGTGCCGCGATTGAGAAGAAGGACCTCCGGCTTGTCAAGCTGCTCGTGGAGCCGTTTGCAGAGTCGTCCGACAGCCCCGCAAAGGGGTCCGGCAAAAAGCGCAAGCTGACCGACCGGATTCGCATCACTCCAGGGCTGGTCAAGGATGCGCTCAAGAACGGTACCCCGGAGATTGTCGACTACTTTGTCCACGAGAAAGGTAGGTGCAGATGGACGGACTGCCACCGCACGGATTACATCTGACAGACTCGGCAGGTGCGATGCCGCCCTTGGACCAGATTATGGCTCTCGGCAACTAAACAAATGAACGAGGGCTCGGGAACGAAACGCATCATTGCCCACGCGCAACGCCACAACCCAACGCACCGCACAACGCAGACTCCACCATACACACACCACAACAAACACCACAATGCACGGTACACCCCTCACCTCAGAGGGCCATGCCACCCCAATAGACACCGTACAGCACTCGCATATGTAATCATTAATGCACCACCACTGCACTGCCTCCCTCCTCTTGTGCTGCTGCTAACAACGGCCGTGTGTTCTCCTGCAAGAAATGTATGATGCAGAATATATATACACCTGGGCCCGGTTCCGTCCGCAAGCACTCGACAACATGCTACACTTATGGATGTTATGCAAACCCTCCGCAAACCCTCCGCGCCACAATCTCCATGGAGGGGGCATTCTACTCCTCTTCCTCCTCTTCCTCCTCGATGACCGGCGCCTGGTTGCGCGCAGGCGGCAGGCCACCGCGGCGGGCCCGCGACGACCCCGACCCCGAGCCAGACCCCGAGCCAGACCCAGACCCGGATCCAGATCCAGACCCAGACCCCGATCCAGAACCTGACCCAGATCCCGATCCAGCGCCGCCCGAGGAAGACGCATCTGCCTTGTTGGAAGACGAACCGTTCTTGCTATTCTCGTCCTTGCCGTTCCGGGAGAACCCGCTCGCGATACCCAGCCCGGCGGACATGACGCCGCGTTTCGGCGCCGTCGAGTTGAACCGCGATGCCGGGTGCTGCGCTGCGCCGCGGCCGCCGCTGCCGTTGCCCAGGGACGACGAGCCGTACGTCGCGCCCTTGGCCTGCCCCAGTCCGCCGGCAAACGAGCCGTCGTCGTCCTCGCTCTCCCACTCGTCGTTGGACTTCTTCTGGAACACGTCGCGCAGCGGCGCCTTGCGTCCGGGACCAGGAAGACCGCGGGCAAGTGGAGACCGGGTGCGGGCTTGCGCGCTCAGAGCCATGCTTTGCAGGTGCCCGAGAGCAGTGCGCTCGTCAAACCTCCGCAGGGAAGTCGTAGAGTCGCCCTCGCGGCCCGTGTCGTAGTCGCTGTCAAACTCGGCACGCGTGAGGTCGAATGAACTGGCGCGGGACGACGGGTTGGACCGAATGCTAGACGCGACAGACGAGGGACGCAGCGCCTTGGCCTCGTGCAGGACCTTGATGTGGCGGACGCGCGTAGATGAAGATCCCGATGCTGCGCGGCGGTGATAGTCGTGCAACGGCGAAGGGGGTGCAGTGCGGAACCTGTCCTGCGACAGGCTCGGGGAACGGATGGACGACCGCCGAGAGCCGCCACGCTGGAGCGACAACGACGAGCCCGGGCGCGAGACATGTTCCCTGTCCGAGGTCGGGGTCATGCTACCTCCGCTCCGTTGGCTCCGTACGCTGCGGCCACTGAGACGGCGGTTGATACCGTGCAGCCCCACGTCGTGGATGTTGATCGTATAGTCGCCAATCGTGTTGGACATGGATGAACGGCGAGAGTTGACGCTGCTCGACCGGTGCGAGTACATTGCACGACCGTCCATAGACGTACGGCGCGACAGTGGGACTGGTGGCATGCTGGTGCTGGTACGGCTCATGCCGGTACCGCGAACGTTCATGCCGCGCGTAGGAATGACAGGCGCGGGCTTGGGCTGCATCATCATTTCGCGCTTCCGCCGCCGCTTGTCCTCATAGAACAGGTGTCGGAACGTCGTCCAGATGCTGTCCTTCTTGGCGCTCTTCGCTGCACGGCTGTCCAACGTCGCGTCTGCGCTTTGCGTGGTGCCAGGAACGTCGATCGCCGGGGCCGGACTGGCGGAGAAACCAGCACCATTGCGTGTGGGCGACCCCTCGGCCGAACGCTGTTGTTGTTGCTGCTGCTGCTGCGGTTGCGAAGGGCCAGCAGCGATGGTCGCGAGTAACGTCGAGTCGCTCTCGCTCCTGGACATCATCATCTTGGCCGGTGCCTTGGACCCCTTGGTGGGCGACTCGCCGCGCTTGGGTAGCTCGGGGGGCTCAGATGCTGAGCGCTCGTCTGGTCGCTCCCAATTCTTCACACCACCGACGAGAACCGACGTGGCGCGCTGAAGCATGTTCATCGAGGGAGAGCGACCCTTGCGCTGGTTGTCCTTGCTGGGCGAGTAATCAACATTCAGCGGGGTCCTAGGTCCACGAGGCGACACGGGAGGTGAACGACCGTCCTGCTGTGGAACCCGAGGAGCTTGCAAGGTACTCGTCGACGTGTCCGGATAGTCTGGGTCCGGGGTTTTGGGACGAGACGTTCCAGGAGAGGTGCGCGAGTCGGCTGCAGACACAGTGACGGCTGGACCGCTGCCAGACGGCTCGTTGGACACAGGGGCAGGTTGACCGCCGTTGTGGTTCTCCTCCTCGCGACGTTCCTTGGCGCGGCGCTGGGCGCGTTCCTTTCGTCTCGCAGCGGAAGCCTTTCGGGCCTGCACCACGTCGTCCGTCTCACCACGCTCCATCTGCTTGAGTCGCAGGATCCACCACATGGCACTGCTGCTGTCGCAGGCATTGTTCATGACCGAGTGAATGAGCTGGCCAGTGTCAAAGCCAACATCCGAAAGGCGGTTGAGGAGTACCTTCTCTGATGCAGTCGAGAACAGGGGCGGACGTTCGGCGTTGAGCAGCGCAAGGTAGTCCTCGGGAAGGTGAACCTGCCACTGGCTGGAAACACTGTTGTGCGACGTCCTGCGCTCAAGAGGCAACTGCGACGTTAGAGACCGCCTCTTGGTTCGCACCGGCGTGCGAGAGCTCTCGGCAACGGGAAGAGGAAGGGTGTGCTCGTCAATGACAGTCAAGCTTTGGGAGCTCAGCCGCTTGTCCGGGCGGCTTGTAGACCCAGACCCGCTTCCCTCGCTGTCGTCCTCTTTGGTGCTGCTCAGAGTGAACCGCTTGCTGATCCGCTGCCGTAATGAGGCCGGCTCGGCAGTAAATTCGCGGATTGTAGATTCGCTCGTGTTCAGGTGGGCAAGCTCCAGAGCGCGCTCCGTCTCACTGAACATGTCGCCACTGTGTATCCGCTTGATATCGTGCTCGTCGTCGTTTTCATTCTCGGCCGTGGTGGGAGAAGTGTCGCCACTGGATGGCTTGCGCAAGCTCGGGTCGGTGAAATCAAATGATGTCTCGGAAGGTTCCGATTCTGGATCTGGCGACGCGATCGGGTCCAGCGGCGGGGGTTGGCGTTTGGCAGCGCTCGACGAGCTACGGGGCGAAAATGGGAACGACGTGGCCGATGAGGAAGTGAGGAGTTGGGACTTTGGCTCTGCAAACGACTGGCCAGGTAATGGGGATGGGGGAACGGACCGTGGGTCATCGGTGGTGGTCGCGCCTTGGATGCTGTCGTACAATGTTTTTCTAAACCAAGGGTGAGTGAGAATCTCCTCCATGGTCAAGCGGTCGGCCGGCTCATGTCGCAACATGCCACGAATCAAAGACTTGGCCTCTGGTTGTCAGCTACTGCCTTTCGGAGACTCCAAACTCACCGTCGCTGAGCCACTCTGGCTCTTCGTACTCTCCCTTGATAATGAGATCCTTCATGACACGCTCGTCGTCATCGTCAAATGGGAGTCCGCCGCAGAGGAGCGTGTAGAGGATGATGCCCAATGACCAAATATCTGTTTCGACGCCCTGGTACTTTTTGCACGCCAGCATCTCGGGACTGGCATATCCTGTGAAGAGTTAGCACTCCCTCGGGACACCTCCGCCAACTCACCTGTTGTACCGCAGAACGTTTCCATCCTGCCATGTCATGTCAGCATGTTGTTGTTGTTGTTTTTCGCTTCCTAGCACCCACAGTCGGCCCTTTTGGTACTCTCGGGCAAAGCCCAGGTCTCCGAGCTTGACCCTCAGCTCGCCGTCGAGGAGGACATTCTCCAGCTTCAGGTCTCGATGAACAACGCCTTGCTTGTGGAGCCAGCCCACTGCAGTGCACAGCTCGCCAAAGAGTCGCCTGGCCTCGCCGTCGAGCATACGCCCGTGCTCGACCAAGTAGTCAAACAGCTCGCCACCGGAACACAGCTCTGAGACGAGCCAGATGTGTGTCTCGGTCGCGATAATCTCGTGGAGGTGGACAATGTGTGGGTGGTGCAGACGGCGGTGGTGGTGTATCTCGCGCGTAAGCTGTGGTGTGGCCGACTTTGGAATCTTCTTTATTGCGCATCGTGTGCCAGAGGTGCGATGAGACGCGATATGAACAGAGCCGAATGTTCCTGTGGTTTTCATTAGCCCCACAGCTCGTCCCGCGATGACGATGGCTTCATCATCATCAACATGGGGGGGGCCCGTCGCACCCACCTTCACCAATGACCTTGCCGAGTGTGTACCCGCCAACGACCTTGATCTGGTCACTAGCAAGCTCGCGCGCTAGTTGCTGGTACGCTGTGGCGAGCTGTACGGTCTTTGTCAGCTGCTGCTTCTCGCTCACAACGAGGAGGGTGGGCGGTAGTGTGCGGCGCGACGCGCGCTGCCCCACCCCACCCTGCGCCGCCTTTCCGACCATGGACTGCTGCGTACCTGCGCTTGCTTTGTGTTGGCCAGGTTGTTCGAGTACGAGTGGTTCTGACGCGACGCGAGCGCCGGTCGTGCAGCGGAGGCCATTGCTGCGTGCGAGGTGGTGATGCCCCGCGCACGCGCACTCAGCGGCGGGCGCAGAGGCGGGCTGGTGCAGGCCTAGGCGCGGCGGGGGGGGCGTGTAGAGGTGGTGCGGGAGGGAGAGCAGTGGCCTCTAGTGGGCTCTGGGGCTGCTCTTTTGACAAAGGGTGGCCGGTGGGATAAGGGTGTTGGAGACTGTTGTTGACAGCAAAGTGTCGACGGCGAGTTGGCGATGGAAGGTTGGGTTGGGGGGGGGGGAGGTGTGATCGGCCGTAGAGAGCACGGGCGATGGGTGGTTTGTGTCGGGCAGCGGGAGTCGTAGGTGGTTTGCCTAGGTGGGGGAGAGGGGGGCAATCTATTCTGTGCTTGGCAACAGTCGCAGCTGACCGACTGAGCGTCCGTCCGTCGTTGTGAACGAGGAGGGTGTGTGTTGGGTTGTGCGCGTGTGCAAAGGCCTGGAGAGATATCGAGAGCGATGGTTGTAAGAAACGTGATGCAAACGAAGGACTGTGCTCAACCCACAAAGGCGCGCGCGCGCACAAGGGCAGATGCGCAGATGGCGATGCGCATGGCCCCCCTTCTCCTCTCCCTGCACGGGCCAAAGGGCCACAAAGGGCCAAAACGCACAGGGCCCACCGATATGACGCGCGCACCAGGGGGTATGAGAGACCGGCGGGGGAGGGGGGGGGAATCCATTAGACGTCGTAGAACAATCTCTAATCCGAATGGCCCAGGCCGCGCACAGATTTATTAATACACATTGGAATTGCTATTGAAAAAAGGCCCGACATCACACACACAGCATTGTGTCGATGCAGTGGGACGGGCGTGGCGTGCGTGGACGGCGAGGCACCGCATGCACACCACGTCCTGGCCGTCATATGCTCGAATGCTTGCTGCTCCATACCGCCACAGCCTGTAGAGCACCGAACACCCACATACATACATCTACTGGTGTCGACGCTGATGATACTCAAAGCTGCAAGCACAGTCGCGGTCTCGACGGTGGCTCCTCTCGCCATGTTCCCCCACTGTAGTCAATCAATGCATGGGTAATCAATTTTGTGAAGGGTGGTCATCTACTCCTAAGCATTAATCTTGGTGTCCTCAGCCTCAACCTCAACCTGAGCCTCAACCTCGGCCTCAACCACGGCCTCAGCCTCGGCGGCCTTGCTGTGCTTGGTCTTGCGGGCAAAGTCGCGGTTGATCTGCTGCTCAGTGTTCTGGAGACGGAGGCGGCGGCCCTCCTGGCCCGCAATCGAGAGAGCGCCGGCAATGAGCTCGGTGGTACGGATGCTCTCGACGTTTGCGGGAACGGCGTAGGTGACGATACGCGGGTCCGTGTCCGAGTCGATGACGCCGACGGTGGGGACGTTGAACGACGAGCACTCGCGGATGGCACCGAGGTTCTCGCCAGGGTTGAGGAAGACGACGACGTCGGGGACGTGGTAGCCCTTCTCCACAGGGGTGGTGCCAAAGCTGTAATGCGTGTCAGTCAAGAAAAGATAGCTTTGGTTGTATGGTCGTGGTGGCGGCACACAGAGAGAGATACGCACTAGGACTCGGAGTTGGTAATGGTACCGGGGAGCCACGAGTCGGTGATGAAGCCGTTGTCGCCCAGACGCTCGCGGACCTTGGACAGCGCCTTCTTGTGTGCGGGGCGGGTACCAACGAAGAGAACAACACCGTCGGCCTTGACCACATCACGGATAAGGGCCGCAGCGCGACGGAGAAGGGGGAGAGTCTGCTCCAGGTCGATGACGCTCAATCCCGAGCGAGTACCATACACGTAAGGGGTGTAAGGGGGAGCAAGGAGCGACTTGGAGTGGCCAAGAGCGGCGCCAGAGGCCATCAGAGTCGAGAGAGTCGCCTCCTTGGGCGAGGGCGCAGCCTGGTTCTGCTCGCCGGGCAGGTAGAGAGGAAGGGTCGAGTCTGATAGTCCATTAGCACCGACTCGGAGCAACACACACAACACCGCAGTTGTCTCGTCTCGTCACGTCGTCGCGGTCGCGCACTCACAAACACCGGCCTTCCGCCTCCTCCATTCACGAACCTCGCCAAGGTTACGCTTCCATGAGTCCTGGGTACTCTCGCCCTCCCTAACCGAGTAATACGACGACGAGCTCTCGGCCTCTGCCGAGGCATCGCGGCAGCAGGTCGAGGTCGAAAGCGCGCGGGTAGCCGAAGCAGCTGGTCCCCACTGTCAGCGTTTCCTTTTCAATACGGCCAAAGCATGTCCACTCACCCGTCCTCGAGCGGACGGACTGCAGAGCCCGGAGAGAAGTGGTCGCTGCGTTCTTCATGGCCGTGAGGTGGTGGAAAACGAGTAGATGACAGTTGACTTTCGAGTTTTCGGCGGAAAACGCAGAGGCACAGGGCAACGGAAGCAAAATTGGAGCCCAGCACCGCCAGGCGCCAGATAGCATGGGTGGGTCGTGTGTCACGGATGGCAGTCAACTGAACCAAAGCCAGGAGGATTGAATGCATGTAGGTTTCTACTGGTACAGGATGGGGGGGAGGAGAGTCATGCGGTCTGTTTATGATCATTTGAGTGGCACGGGGCCGGGAGAGATGGGAGAGGGAGGGCTGACAGAGGTGGCGCCCATAGACAAGGCAGGCATTCACTCGGGAGACTAGGAGGTGTCGCTTGGGTTGTGTGTGGATTAAGCCACAACAAAGGCTTACCACTCGAACTCGCTGTGCATGTCAGCTCATACGCTTGATACAGAGACCACCGTGCAACAGCAGTAGCCATTCTCCGCGATCCAGTAACTGCGCCTCGCCACTGCGCGACAAAACGACTCACCCCTGGCACTTGGTGAACAGGTAGTCCTTTCCATTAATGTGGATCATGCCGTCCTTGAAGACAGTCTTCCACTTGTTCTTGACACGCGCGACCTTGTCATACACACAGAACACAATGTCGACCTCGCCTTCACCGTCCTCGCCGTCGTCGTCATTGCCCAGCTCGTCGTCGCTGTCGTCAAGGTCCGAGTCGATGACTTCGTCGCCGGGAAGGAGGCCAGCAGCATTCGGCTCAGGACGCGACGCGGCGCTGTACTCGGCAATAGGAGGGGAGGGCTTGTCGTTTGACTGGATAGGGTCAGTAGCTGATCACGCCATGTTCCGCAAGACGCACCGAACCACCACGGAGGCGCAGCACATCGTCAGGCTCGCTCTTGACCTGGACGTCGCCGAGGCCAGGGGTGCCTGCCGGCTGGGGCATGAGGACGTTTGGCGCGCCAGTTGCGAGCGAGCCGTTGGCAGGGGGTGCACTGGTGGAAGCGGCGGGGGCCTCGCGCTGGTGGCTCGCTGGCGGGTCCTCGGCACCCGGCGCGCGCGCAAACTCGGCAACACGGGTCTCTAGCAGCTTGGACTCCCATTTCTGGTTTGGGTCAGTGGACCTGCACATATCCAACCAGCCACAAGCGCGCTCACGCTCTGGAGCATGGGCAGGAGGTCATCGTCCATGCCGTACTCTTCGAAGTCGACCGCGACACTGGCAATGACATCGTCGATGATTGCGCGGTAGATCTGGGGCTGTGGAATGGAACCATGACAAATGCAGGAGGGAAGGCGAGTGGCAAGCGAGACAATGGCACAAGAGCGTCGACAGCGCGGAGGGGTAGCGTTAGCACTGGCAGAGATGTTTGGGAGAATGCAGCAGACTGTTCAGCTTGCAGATACACACGACAATCTTGTTCGACCTTTAGACCACAGTCAGCAAACATGTCCATCGTGTTCCAGAGAGATTGCGCCTGCCCTGTGGGGCACATACATCTTTTTAACGCGACGCGTACGCGCCGAGAGGGTGCTTGGGATACGTCGCTGTCGGCCGTTGCCACTGCTTTGCTCGCGGCGTTGCAGGAAGAGGGGTTTGAATGGAGACGGAAGGGTGGGGGTGGTGCAATCCTTCCGGTTGTGGGGGGTGGATGAATGCAACAACGCAATCGATGTCAGCGTATTTAAAGGGCCGCGAGGGTGTGAGGGGCAACGCCCACAGCGTTTTTATCCGCGACCCCCATTTAAGATTTTGCACAGGAGGCGGCGTGCATTTCTGATTCCGCCCCTCTCCACCGCCGGCTGCAGGCTGCAGAAGTTGAATTTCAGCTGCTCCATCGCCATCGATCCTTCAGCAACAACACAGCCGCCGTCATGAGGAAGCAGCTCGACCCCCGTATCCCGGCTCTCATCGCCAATGGGGTCAAGACCAACCACCGTTCCTTCTTCGTCATGGTCGGCGACCGTGGACGCGACCAGGTGAGCCGATGGCACGTCCGGGTCCAGCTAACAAGTCCAGGTCGTCAACCTCCACTTCCTCCTCTCGCAGGCCCGTGTCTCTTCCCGTCCCAATGTCCTCTGGTGCTACAAGAAGGAGCTTGGCTTTACCACTCACCGCAAGAAGCGTGAGGCCAAGATCAAGCGTGACATTAAGCGTGGCATTCGCGAGGCCAACGAGCAGGACCCCTTTGAGCTCTTCATTGCCGTGACCGACATCCGCTACGCGTGAGCAACACACACGCACTCGCACCTGAGAGTTGTCCTGACACTGTGCAGCTACTACAAGGACTCGCCCAAGATTCTTGGTCAGACCTTTGGCATGGTTGTGCTCCAGGACTACGAGGCCATCACGCCCAACCTCCTCGCCCGTACCATTGAGACTGTCGAGGGTGGCGGTATTGTGGTGCTTCTCCTCAAGACCATGTCGAGCTTGAAGCAGCTGTACACCATGTCCATGGTGAGTTGTCTGCATCCTTGATGTGTAACTAACTCTTGTTTCCAGGACGTCCACAACCGCTACCGCACCGACGCCCACCAGTTCGTTCAGCCCCGCTTCAACGAACGTTTCATTCTCTCGCTCGGCTCAAACAACGACTGCCTCGTCCTCGACGACGAGCTCAACGTTCTTCCCCTCAGCAAGGGCAAGGATATTGGCCTGATCAAGGATGGAGAGGACGACCGCGGAAGGAAGAGGAAGGCGGAGGAGCTCAAGGAGATGAAGGAGAGCCTCGACACTGTGGAGATTGTGGGACCCTTGGCAAAGCTCGCCAAGACGGTGGACCAGGTGGGTTAACGCCCATCCGTTCTTTTGCTAACCCGTACAGGCCAAGGCTTTGCTCACTTTTGTGGAGGCCATCTCGGAGAAGACTTTGTCGTCGACTGTCACCCTCACCGCCGGCCGTGGTCGCGGAAAGTCGGCCGCTCTTGGTCTCGCTATCGGTGCCGCTCTTGCACATGACTACTCGAACATCTTTGTTACCTCGCCCGACCCCGAAAACTTGAAAACTCTGTTCGAGTTTGTGTTCAAGGCCCTTGACGCTCTTGGTTACGAGGAGCACGTCGACTATGACGTCGTGCAGTCCACCAACCCCGAGTTTAAGAAGGCGATTGTCCGTGTCAACATTTTCCGCGGCCACCGCCAGACTATCCAGTACATTTCGCCAGAGGACGCTCACGTTCTTGGCCAGGCCGAGCTTGTCATCATTGACGAGGCTGCCGCCATTCCCCTTCCCCTCGTCAAGAAGCTCATGGGCCCGTACCTCGTCTTCATGGCCTCGACCATCAACGGTTATGAGGGCACTGGTCGTTCGCTGTCGCTCAAGCTCATCCAGCAGCTGCGTGAGCAGACTCGCCCCACCGTCACCAAGGCCGAGCCCGCGTCCGCTTCGGCTGGTCCCTCAAAGGCTGGCTCTGGCGGCCGTGGTGGCTCGGGCCACGCCCGTTCGCTGCGCGAGATCAAGCTCGAGGAGCCTATCCGTTACTCGCCCGGTGACCAGGTGGAGAAGTGGCTCAACCACTTGCTCTGCCTGGACGCCACGGTCGTGTCCAAGGCCGCCCAGGGCTGCCCTCACCCTTCGCAGTGCGAGTTGTACTACGTCAACCGTGACACTCTCTTCTCGTACCACGCCGCATCTGAGGTCTTCCTTCAGCGCATGATGGCGCTGTACGTCGCGAGTCACTACAAGAACTCGCCCAACGACCTCCAGATGCTCTCGGACGCTCCTGCTCACCACCTGTTTGTGCTGCTGCCTCCTCTGAAGGAGGACGACACGTCGCTCCCGGATCCCCTTGTCGTCATTCAGGTCGCCCTCGAGGGTAACATTTCGCGCGACGCTATCATGAAGGAGCTCTCGCACTCCGGTACCCGCAGTGCCGGCGACATGATCCCCTGGGTCATTGCCCAGCAGTTCCAGGACAACGACTTTGCCCAGCTCTCTGGTGCTCGTGTTGTTCGTATCGCCACCCACCCAGACTATGCCCGTATGGGCTACGGTGCTCGTGCTCTTGAGGCCCTCAACTCGTTCTACTCGGGCGAGCTCACCGACCTGGACGCCGTCATGGAGGACCCCTCGGCTGCGTACACTGACAAGATTGCGTCTAACGCCACCCTTGCGGACGACACTATTGCCGTTCGCGATGTCGCCCGCATGCCTCCTCTCCTCCAGCGTCTCTCTGAGCGCAAGCCCGAGAACCTCGACTACCTTGGTGTCTCGTTTGGCCTCACCCCCGAGCTCCTCCGCTTCTGGAAGAAGGCCGGCTACTCGCCCCTCTACGCCTCGCAGAAGGAGAACGAGCTCACTGGCGAGCACACGTTTGTCTTCCTCCGTTCGTTGCTTAGCAACGTTGCCCAGTCCGAGGGTTGGCTCTCGGCCTTTTCGCAGGACTTCCGTCACCGTTACATGAGCCTCCTCTCGTACGACGCGTTCAAGAAGTTCCCCGCCCAGGTCGCCCTGAGCGTCATTGACGCTGCCGGCCGCAAGGCCGAGGAGGCCAAGCTGGTCACTGCCGACGAGCTCAACTCGCTCATCTCGCCCTTTGACATGAAGCGTCTCGAGTCGTACGCCGACAGCATGGTCGACTACCACGTCGTCCTCGACCTTGTCCCCACCCTTGCCGAACTCTACTTCGCCAAGCGTCTCGGCGGCGAGTTTGGCCTCAGCGCCGCTCAGCAGGCCATCCTCCTCGCCCTGGGCCTGCAGCGCAAGCCCATCGAGGCCCTCGAGACCGAGCTCGGTGCCCCTTCCCACCAGGTCCTTGCCCTCTTTGGCAAGCTCGTCCGCCGCGCCACCAAGCACCTCCAGGACATCCAGAAGGAGGCTATTGGCGCCGACCTGCCCGCCGAGGCGCCCATTGTCGCCCTCAAGCCCGCGGCTACCACCGTGGCAGAGGACATTGCCGAGGCCGCCACGGAAGAGAAGGGCCGTAACCGCCTCGCACAGCGCGAGCTCCTCGACTCGCTGGACATGGCCGAGTTTGCCATTGACGCCGGTGCCGACTTCACCTCGGCTGAGAAGCAGGTCCAGGCCATTGCCAAGGCTACACCCGAGCAGCGTTCGCGCCTCTCGACCACTGTCAGCGTCAAGGGCAGCGCCACGGCTGACGCTGCCGCTGCTGCTCCGGAGAAGAAGGAGAAGCGCAAGGAGAATGGCGGCGGCGGCGGTGCCGCCAACAAGCGGAAAAAGGCCAAGCGCGATTAAGCAACAAAACTCTGCGCCTCTGTGCTCTGTGGTCGCGAGCCACGCCAGCCGGGGGCCAGTAGAGACATATCGTGGGCTAGCATATACAAGTAGACTCTACATTTTCCTTATTCCTTCCTGTATGCATGGCGCGTTGGTGCGCGCGTTTCTAAGCCAACACGGAGAGCTGTGAGGCGTTCCGTAGCGAGCATGTCTGCCCAAATGATTGTTTTGGCCGAAAGCCCGGCATCGGCTGCCGGGCGCGAGCGCAGCGCCGACCTGTTCAGTGCTGCGGCCGCTTTGGCAAGTTTGGGACTGGGGTTGGTGCCGTGTGAGGCGTGCCACTCCTCGATGAGGTGCAGGCCTCGCGCGAGAGACGGAGCGGGCTCCGTGAGGAGGTTTGGGTGTGTGGCGGACACGAAAAGGATAATGTCGAGGAGCATGGAGAGGACGACGGCGCGGAGGGGGACGTTGACGCATGTCGGTGCCAAGGAGAGTCCGAGGAGGCGGTCCCATTCGGGCCAGATGCGGCGGAAATACGAGAGGAGCGCATCGTGGGCATGCGCGGCGGCCGTGGGCGGCATTCCGGCCTCTTTCGGGGTCAGACCGTACGGCGTGGGTTCGTACATGGCCAAAATGGCGAGACGCATCACGATAAACGCCGCAGATGACAAGTGTGCGCCGTCATTACTGGGGTCATGGACGGCAAGAAGGTCGGCAGAGGCAAAGAGGGCGAGACTGGTCGACCGCGCGAAGACCGGGTACAACGTCACCAGGTTGTGGCGTGATGGACCCATACGCACATCCAGTGACGCATAGAGAATGTGCGACGCCGTTTCGAGCTGGTTCACAGCCGCTCCTTTAGGGAGAGTCAAAAGGACGCGACCCAAGGTACCCTTGGACTCCATCTCGGCCCGAACAACAACCTCTGCTGCACTGTTGAGCAGGCCCATGGTGACCTCGGGGTTACCGTGGACAGAGGTAATGGTCGGGTGCGTTCGGAAGAGGACAGATGCGCAACCTGGCGAAGCCTCCACCAGAACATTAAGACGAGCTTCCTGGACGTTTGAATCGGTGTTGCGAGCCAAGAACGCCAAGAGGCTGTTCAAAGTCGTTGGTGTTACGGGCGCACCGTTGGTTGCCTCGCCACAAGCCTCGAAGATTACAGACTCGATGGTGTTTGGGGTTTGATGTTGACGGGCAATCCGGACAGACAACGGGACGAGCGCAGTGATCTGGTCAAGATTGACAGAGAAGCGAGAAAGTGCAAAGTGGAGAAAGGTCGAGATCTGGTGGAAAAGCGGAACCGCTGTTGACGACGGACACAGCTTGAGCATGGCGCGACTCGTCTGAAGCACGGGGTTCGGGTCAAAGTCGGCCGGCGAGTACGACTCGCTCGCTTGCTTGGCCAGCTTGGTCAGGAAAGATCCAAATTCTGATGGGTTAGCACCTGCAAAAAAGCTTCGCACCCACCGATAGAGCTCTCCTCTGACAGCTCATGTTCCAGAGTCTTGGTAAGGTTGCTGAGCGATTTCATAACAAGACCAATCTTTTGTCTTCCCCAACGCAAAAGTTCGTGGCTGAAAGTCAGCTACAGATGCGAGAAGAGTTCGCAACTCACAGATCAAGGATCACTTGGTCGAGCCACACATTGCGCGCCTTGCCCTTTGCGACGTCGTCACGGTTGGCAATTTGCATTGCACGACCAATGGCGTCGGGGGCACGCTGCGAGTCGTTCTGCTCGCCGTCCATGTAGAGGACCTGGAGGAAGAGACCGGCCTTGCCAAACTCGGACATGGACTCTTGCAGGAACACACGGCCAGTGTCGACAACAGCGGGATCACCATCTGGCGACGTGCTCTCCTCCATGATAATGTCGGCGATGGACACGAAGAGTCGCGGTAGCACACGTGTGAAGCGGTCTTTGCCCATGTGAGACTGGGCAATCTGGAGGATTTGGAGGGCCAGAACACGGTTCTCGGCGCACTTTTCGTCGGCAGCGTACTGCGCCAAAACCTGGAGAGTGGATAAGGCGGCCAGCTCGAGAGGTTCCACGTGGTGCTTGAAGAAGACGACCATTAAAATGTCGAGAATGTGGCGCTGGATGACAAAGTTGTGCTTGAGCAAGACATTGGCGTAGTTGATGACCACGGGAACGAACAAGCTTCCAACCAGAGTCGAGCGTTGGCCCTGCACTGGAATGCTACTCTCAGACCTTTCCTTTTCCCTGTTTCCGCCTTCCTTGATGACCACTCGCGCGGTCGAGTCAAGCATGGTTTTGAGTGCTGGGAGGAGAATGTCCGTGATAGTGTTGCTCGGGTCTGGCCAGGGCAAAGTGGCAGCGGCAGAGACGTGCCGCTGGAACCGTTGCAATATCATCCAGTCACAGTCCACACCAGCAGCGAGCATGTTGAGACCCAATGCGAGAATCGACGCGCGATTTGCCCGTGCGTCTGACAGCGCATCCAGGGCCTGTTGGGAGTCGACATTGACCAACTGCTCAATGCTGGTGACTTGTTCTGTGACAAGCTCCTCGAGAATGTGCCATCCGATAATGGGCCAGGTTGGCACATATGATCGGAGCCTCATCAGCCTGGCCAAGAACTTGAGGCGCTGCTCGTCACTGCACGAGACAATGTACTCCTCAAAGCAAAGGGACATGGCGCGTAGTTGAGTGGGGAGAAGAGCGTTCCAAATAACCATGGTCTCCGGGGTTGGGTCACTGGGTTGCAGTGCACTCCTGAAAAGTAGCATGATAAGGTGGACCGCCGAACGACGCCATCCATTGACCTCGTAGGTGACACGGTTGTCGGCCAGTTCGAGGGCGAATGTCAAGAGACGCTCACGAGTGATAGCCGGCTCAACATCAATGCTGGCCGTGACGAGGTTCTTTATCGGGATGGGGTTGATGGTCATCAACTTGAGGAAGACGCGAGCGCGACTCTGGCGGTGCACGGTTCGAGAGTACAATGGCCAGATGACCGCATATAGGACATCGCCCATGTCATTCTTGTGGAGGAACCCGTCGGGATTTTCGGCACCTGGAGAGCGGACAAAGAGGATCCACAAAAAGTCGAGCACCATTTCGGCTGGGAACTGTGGGTTTTGCAAGATTCCAGCAGCCGCTCGGACAGCATCGGCGCTGAGAGGTAGGAGAATAATCTTGGCGAGTGTAGCCGACTGTTTCCTCCTCGACTGCGGCGGGAGCGTCTTGACAATGTCGCCACCAGAGTGCAAGCTGGTCATGGCCACGTAGTCTGAAACTGCTCCATATGCCTTGAGGATCCCAAGCATACTCGTGCGGATAACCTGAATAAACTCCTGTGACGGTGGTTCCTGTCGACGTCCCACGATCTTGGCGAGAGCCTCAAATGTCCTGTTGGACAAGGACGCGAGTTCGTCTCCATCGACAGGGGCCACATTGGTGTCTATGGCAACAACCAGGTCAAATAGAACCTCGTCTTGCGCACCGCCTGCCAACGCTGTATCGACAGTGCTCTTGATGATAGACCAGGGGACGTCCACACCCGAGGTCGCCAAAACGCGGAGCCAGCGGGAAACACGGTGCCAGCCCGCTGGTCCATCCGCATTGGTTAACAATGCGAGCTCCCAGAGATCCATAGATTCCGAATCTCCGTTGGTGTTTGCGTAACGCAACAGGCGGGGTAGCGACTTGTAGGCCGTGTCCTGAGACGTCAGCAATGGCTGCGACTTGCAGCATTGAACTCACATTGTGTGCAATTCCTCCCAGGTCTTCGAGCCATGCCGTGAGAAGATCCAGCGACGCCTCGAACATGACCTCAGCATCAACAAACGAAGTGATGCGTTCCAGGGCAATTCCAGCCATCTGGGAGGCAGCACCCTCGCCCTTTGCTAGTTCGACAACTTCGTAGCGGTTGTCGATCATCTTGCTCCGCTCGTACGCCAAGCTGGCGTACGCGTCTGGGTCCTGTCGGTACAGAGCCTCGAGCCAAGGACGAGCGTAGCGCTGCCGCAACCGTCTTCTGTCCTCCTTGTAGGACGCGACAGCTGTGGTGCCCTTTGCTGCCGAGCTGGGGGTGTGGCGCACGCCGGGGGGTCGCTTGCTCTTGCTCGCAAAGTTCTTGACAATAAAGTGCAGCACATCGTCCTCGACCATGATCCAGGACATGACGGCAGCGCCCAATCTCTCCATCGCGTAAGGTGAACACATGGAACTGGGCCATGCGCGGTTGAACAGCAGCGACAAGGCCTGCTCGTTGGCGGTAAGGTCAATGTCGTCGAGTAGCTGTTCGATGACGAGCACGAGAAGCTCCACTGCTGGCGACGAGTCCATTAATAATGGCAGGGCAAATCCGACGTTGAGATCCGTATTGTGGATATCGGCACATCCAACAACAAGACAGTGGGATACCGAACACAGCCCAAAGTGTTTCATTTGTTCAATGAGAATAGAGGCCGCAAGATCGTCACGGACACTGAGGTCGGAGGCCAGCACCTGGCGGATTGTTTCCATTGTGAGCTCTTCGTATGCTTGACTTGGAGGGTCAGCAGGAACAAACGAATCGGAAGGGTTTGGGCTCGGCGGGGCCGAATGAACGGTCAAGAGTCTTGGTGGAGACGGAGGAGCAGGAGGTCGCTCGAATGCAGGGTCGGGAGGAGCTCTCAAAAGCGCAGAACAGAACTGCAAGTAGCGCGGGCGCCACAAAAGGTGCCAGTTATCGAGAGGCTCATTGGCAACCTGGGCATAGTCGACCAAGGCCGGCGAGAAAGGGTGGTCCTTCTCGAGGACTTTTTCGTACTCGAGCAGCAATTCCGACATGCCGGCGAGGTCAATCTCTCCAGTGTCGTCTGCAAGGCGCAGTGTACCTGCACTGACACCGTTGATGCAAATCTCACGCTGATTCCAGAGGTTGGCGTAGAGCAGAGCGATTTCGTCAAATGACATGTCGGCCAGCTCCTCTGGGTCGCGATATAGCCTGCCCTTGGCCTTTTGGAACGACTTGAGCGCCTCTGCGGACGTTGTTGTGAAGGGATCGCGGCGTCTTTCACTGCCTTCCTTGACCGTTCGGTTGACAAAGGTATCACGGCCTGGACGACAAGTCGAAGCATTCGTCTCACTCATGGTATGAGCGCACTTGGGGTGGAAGAAACGTTGACATGGTCCCATACAGGCGTAAGCCTGTGATGTTGCTCCCCAAAGCGGCTCACGGCACTCGGCGCACAATGTCAGGGTGAACAAATTGACGAGCTTGAGAATGTGAAGGCCAGCCTTGCGCTGGGTTGCGTCGGTTGATCGTCCTCGAGGGTCAAGAACCTTTTCGTCAAGGCGGGGGACAGCAAGTGAGAACCGGACATGCACTTTCTCTACTGTGGCCGCTTCGCCAGGCCCAGACTTTAGGACAACGTTGTCATACTCGAAGACTTCGTCACCAAGAAGACGCAGGCAGGAGAGATGCTTCACGCCGTTACAGAGCGTACACCGCACGCTGAATCCAGCGCAGGGTTGTTGGCAGCTGATACAGTAGTCGGTCGACGAGTCGGCCTGCCATGGGATGTAATAGTGGTTTTCGGTGTCATCCTCAGCCAGAGTACGCTCCAGACCTGATTCCCACTTGGCAAGGTGTGCCTGATACGTTGCTAGGGCCGGACGGCGAGCAATGACATTGTGTCCAACTGCCTGGGGGAAGAATGTGGCCAAAAAGTCCATGCCTCGGCGTCGTGTTGAAGGAGGGCCATGGGCAACAATCTCGAGCAGATCCTGACCAGCATCAGGTTTGGCCGTGAGGATGAGAGATGTTAGGCGATGGACACCGTGGATAGTCATGAGGTTGGCGGTTGTCAGGTCGATTGTTGACGTGAGAGCAACCAGCAAGCGCGGAACAAGAGCTGCAATGCGCAGTGCGGGCTCAGTGATCATGCCAGCTGTGGAATGTGTCGAGAGAATGCCGGATATCTTGTGACGGGATGGAAAGGTAGCTGAAACGGGCGAGAAACGCATCCAACCTGGGTGCTGCTTTTCTGGTGTTGACTTGACATCACCGGGAGCCACAGAAAAGGCAAATGTAGGAATCGCAGGCGATATAGGATCTGAAGTTGCGGGCGATATTGGTGACGAAAATGGGTCTCGCATTAATTAGCTCGTTGGCCTGGTGTAGAGACTTACCATTCCACTCAACCGATTCTGATTCTTGATATCCATCTCCCCGTTCTGCCGCGAGTCGTCTAAGCAGCTCGGACAATCTGCCTTCTAGCCACTTGCATATACGCTCACGCATGACGTCTCCCATTGTGTAAAGCGCGAGAATGCCAGCGTCCATCATTTCGAGCTTGACCTTCAGGTCGCCTTTGTGATACAGCAACGCCGCAACATCCAGGCACATGGAGTGAAGAGCGTAGGGAGGTCGAAGTGGACCAAAGCGATGAATAAGGTAGATGCAGTCGGTGGTGATAAGGGAGCAAACCAGTTCACTGAGTCGGTTGAGAAGTGTTGGTCCAGAGACGGTGGGACCCAAAGTGATGTCTTCATCTTTGGTGAGGCCCTTTCCCATCGGACCAGCGACGGTGGACAGCCTTCCCATTCTCTTCTTCTTGGACGACGCTCTTGCTGCTTCTGCCGCTTCAATCTGCGATGCGCCAAAGAGGTCCAGGCCCTGCCTCTCAGCGAGGTTGAGCAGGTCACGCATCTGTTCCAACATGTCGTATGTTGCGTCCGTATCCCAATCGTCCTCGTTCAGGATAAGGTCTTCATCAAGAGGTTCACCGTTCAACCCATTAACTGAAGGGCCAGGATTGCCAACTCGAGTCGCAGCCACAACCGCCTCGCCCAGCTGTGCGACACGGCGCTTGGCCTTGGCGCGAGTGCCGGTGGCGAGCCTGGCGGCAATCACAGCGCGGTCGAGGATGTCTGGGCCGCGTCGTCGATTCTCTAGGCGTTCGAGGAGATGTGCAAGAAGTTTTTGGGTCTCGTACAGCCCACGGTTGTTGGTAAGTGCCGCAGCTTGAAACCTGCGCCCAGAAAGTGTCGCCCGTCGCAGCAGCTTGGGTTTGGGGGTAGTCTCAACTGATTCCCCATACCCGTGGCTTGCAGAGGTCGATGCCGATGTGGCCGATATATTTCGATCAATGGCATGGAATCCCGGGACAGTGATGGAGACGTGGTTATTGTGGGGGGAAGGAGGACGAGAGTCGTGAGGATTAGGGAGTAGTGTTTCGATTTGTGGGAGCTGGCGAGGTGTTGGGCGGGCTCCTGGCCGGACACCCAGGGCGGTACGGGCGTCGACATTCGCCTTGCTGTCCATTTTTGAGGACTACAAGAGAATGTCAGCCGTGTTGCCGTTTGTGTGGTGGGATGGGTAGTGGGATGATGTTTTGGGTGAAGGTGACGTTTTGCTGTGCATGCACGCGCTGGTCACTTGCATCACTTGGCAGACAGGATCCACCTCCACCGGGCCAGGCCGAACGCGCAGTGAGTGATGATAGTGGGAAATACACATCATTTCAAGCCCGCTCGGCCCTCTGCGGTGACGTGAGGGCCCGCATCATGGACGACCGACGACAGCAATCTCGTGCATACCTTGTCTGTACATATACCAAACCATCTCTACACCATGGCAGGGCCATCTCGCGGCCCAGACACACTCTCAGCTCCTCAGTGGCGACAGTTTACATTCTTTGAGGCCGAGAGCGTAAAGGATTCCGAGGACCTCGCGTCATCACCGCGTTCTCTCCGAGACCTCCCACCGCCTATCGTTGTGACACCGACTTCGCCTGGGTCGCCGCTCGCCCCGTCCGTCATCGTCTCATCCGGAAACAGCATCACCATCCTCGACCGGCACTTGGCCTCTGAGCGTATCTTTACAGCATGGGAAGGCTCTGGCCGTTCAACAGCGCTGGTGGAAGCCGCTGGCCTGCTGTTAGCCATTGGTGAGGACGAGGGAACCAGGCAACCCGTCCTCAAAGTCTGGGACTTGACTCGCGAGGAGAAGAAGAAGGCGGGAGGTGGACCAGTTCTCATGCGCAACGTCCGCATCCAACATTCGTCGGGACGACCCCATCCTGTAGGTACAATACGTCACACCGCGCGTTGCTGACAGTGCTGCAGGTGTCCGCAGTGGCATTGACCACCAACCTCTCCCACATGGCAATCGGCTTGGGTGACGGCACGGTCCTCCTCTACCGCCATCTCTTACAATCCCTCACCACTTCACCAACGGCTCTTACCTCCCTTCCAAAAGCCCGTGTGATCCTGGAGGCCAATGAGCGTGCACCCGAAGCCATTACCGGCCTAGGCTTCCGCGAAGGGCCTGTTGCTGCCGACAAGACGGCGACGACAGCCACTGCCCTGTTCATTGTCACCACCAACCGTGTCCTCTCGGCCCCAGTCTCGGCCAAGGGTGGAGAAGCCCGTGTGCTCGATGACACTGGGTCGGGTCTTGGATGTGCCACGATGGACTGGGACCGCAAGGAGCTGATCGTCGCTCGCGACGAAGCCATTTACCTCTACTCGCCAGATGGCCGTGGTGCGTGCTACGCGTACGAGGGACCAAAGTTGTTTGTCTCGGTGTTCAAACACAATCTCGTCATCGTATCGCCGCCCATCCACCCCGCGGGTGCGTCGGCTGCTCGCCGCCAGGCCCGCGCCGGTGAACCGTCAGACATGGCCAAGATGACGGTGTTCGACCTGCAAAACAAGTTTGTCGCCTACACGTCCGTGTTCCGCAACGGTATCAAGGCACTCTTTGGCCAGTGGGGTGGTATCTATGTGTTTGAAGGCAATGGCGACCTCTCGAGGTTGGAAGAGCACGCCACCTCTGCCAAGCTAGAAGTCTTGTACAAGCGCAACCTCTACAACCTCGCCCTCGACCTTGCCCGCTCTCAAGGTGTTGCAGACGCAGGCATTGCCGACATTCATCGCCTTTATGGTGACTATCTCTATGGCAAGGGTGACTTTGATGGCGCCATGAGCCAGTTTGTGCGGACTTTGGGTTTCGTGCAGCCAAGTTACGTGATCCGCAAGGTTGGTTGACTCCGCAGCTTCAAGGTCGCTAACCAGCAGTTCCTCGACGCACAGCGCATCAACAACCTCACGACCTACTTGCAAGAGCTGCATGAACAAGGTCTTGCTAACCCTGACCACACGACGCTGTTGCTAAACTGCTACACCAAGACGTCGGATCGCGCACGCCTCGACTCGTTTATCAAGACAGAGGCGCGACGCTCCGAGTCGAGTGGTATTGATGCCCTTCCCTTTGACCTCGAAACCGCCATTCGCGTCTGTCGGCAAGCTGGCTTCTTTGAGCACGCCACATACCTTGCCAGAAAGTACGGCAAGCATGAGGAGTATCTCCGCATCCAGATTGAGGACGCCGAAGAGTACAAGGACGCTCTCAAGTACCTGCGCTCGCTTGGACACGAGGCGTGTGAAGAGAACCTTGTCCGCTACGGCCGCAGTCTCTTGCAACATGAACCCCAGGCGACCACCGACCTGCTCATCGACCTTTGCAGCGGAAACTTGGGGAGGAAGTCGCTTGAGCATGACCACATGCACCCATCAGATGGCAGGACGAATGGGTCTGGACCGGCCATGCTGTCATATCTGGGTGTGAATCGCTTATTTGGCAGCGAGGGCCTGACATCACCGTCGCCCCAGGCCAACGGCACATCGACGACTCCTGCTGGCGTTAGTGGTGCGGAGACGCCCGTTCTCGACTCGCCACTCGAGGATGAACCCTCGTACATTCCTCCTTCGCCTCGCCAGTTCTTTGCCCACTTCGTCGACCACCAGAACCTGTTCATCCACTTTCTCGAGGACGTCGCCTTTGCCCTGTGGGGCCAAAAGATTGACTCTGCACCAGTTCAACGCAACCAGCCGGTGGCACTGCGCGATGTCAGTGCTACAGTCGCTCCCGACCCGGCCCTGGCGGACCAGCGCGCAGTGTGGAACACCCTCCTCGAGCTGTATCTCGCGTCCACCAGTGCGGATGATGACGACACCGCGACAGTGGCCCGTGGCAAGGCCCTTGCCCTTCTGGCTTCTGGCGACTCGATCCCTTACGACCCCATGCACGCTCTCGTGCTCTGCTCCATGGCTGACTTCACCGATGGTCTTGTGGGCCTGTGGGAGAGCATGGGCATGTACGAGGACGTTCTCCGCCACTGGATGGCACAAGACGAGACAGATGATGCGTCAGCTACCCTCACACGGCCATCGGACGAGGTCCTCCGCTACCTCGACCTGTACGGCCCGACCAACAGGAGCCTCTACCCGCTCGTTTTGCGCTACCTCACGTCGTCGAGTGCGATTCTCAAGCACCAGCAGGAAGCCCTCCCGCGCATCCTTCAGACGATCGACGAGGAGCGTATCATGCCTCCACTAAGCGTCGTGCAGCTCCTGAGTCGCAATGGCGTAGCTTCCGTGGGCACCGTGAAGGACTGGCTTCGCTCCAAGGTCGAGGAGACGCAGCAAGAGATCGAGGCGGACAAGACGCTCGTCCAGTCGTACCGCAGCGAGACGGCCACAAAGGAGAAGCAGATTGCCGAGCTCACCAACACGCGCCAGCCCGAGGTGTTCCAGGTCACACAGTGCGCCGCATGTGGTGGCCAGCTCGACCTCCCGGCCGTCCATTTCATGTGCAAGCACAGCTACCACCAGCGCTGTCTTTCAGACTCGGACCCCGAGTGTATCCTGTGTTCGCAGCAGCACGCCATGGTGCGCGAAATTCGCCGGAACCAGACTCGTCTGGCAGACCGCCACGACCTCTTCCTCGGCGAAGTGCACGATGCCGACGACGGGTTCGCTGTCGTCGCGGGCGCGTTCGGTCGCGGTTTGTTCCAGAAGGACGTTCCGACCGCTTAAGATAGGATATGTACATAGCATTTTGCATGAATAGGGCACGTCTAGTAATGGCTAGCTGGACCGGTTAGACTCTGGTTAAAGGATGACGCAACCCACCAAGTTCGCGATACCGCTCCTTGCGGTCCTCGTCGATGACCTCGAGCCGCTCCAGGATCGTCTTTGCCTCGGCGCGATGCTTGGTGACATCAGTTTCTGATGCTGATGCCAGACGAGCCGAGAGGAGGTGGTAATGGGCGAGAGCATTCATGCACCCTGATGAATCGTTAGCTGCATAAATGACCCAGTTGACGTACACTTTGAATCGGGCTCCTCCTTGTGCAGCTCTTGAATGGACTCGAGCTCGCGCGCAAGGACCTGTGGGGAAGGATCTACAGTCAGCCAGGCGCTTTCAGCTATTATTCACTGTGGCCAATGAGCCATCGGTGGTACAACCATCCAGACTGGTCTCCGGGATCGGTCCAGAGGGCCTGCGTTACGAGTTCAAACTCTGTCGGGTCAGCAAGGGCGCAGCAAGCGCCACCCACCTTGGTCCTTTTCGTCTGCCACCTCTTCTGGGGTAATTTCGGCCCAGCTCTTGCCAAGCAGCTTTGTCCGGTAATGCCATGCTGAAAAGTTGGAAAAGTTGGATTCAATCTTCTTGGACGTGTACTTGAGTTCGTCGGCGGGTGAGCGTGCAGGGGAGAAGGACGCAGGCAACGACTCGACGACATAACGACGGTATGACCACGCGTGGACTGCACTGTCAGCTGCGCGTCAAACAATATTTAGCTCACAGTTCCGTGCATCAGCGTCGAGGAGTTTCTCAACAATCATAAACTCGGTCTTCCAGAACTCGTTTCGCCATCCCTTGCTCTCGCCAGGACCAAGGGGTACGTTCTCGAGACACCACATACGGTGTGTCCAGATCCAGTACACCTTTGGGTGTACCCGGAGGTACGCCATTGTCATGCGAAGTTCACCTGTAAGCAGACCAACAATTTCTTCAGGGGTACTGGGTCGTTAGCGTTGCGACGAGGACAAGGTTAAAAGAACGCACGACTCGGGGAAGAGGCCACGCGTGAGGATGTTGCGACGGTAGTTCCAGATAGTATAGAACTCTGGGTTCAAGTCGAGCAGCTGGTTCGTCTTGCCGAGAGCTTCCACAGTGTATTCCTTTGCACGTTTCTAAGCCTGTCAGTTGGATTTATTTGGAGATTGCCGACTCACGCTGGCAAGGACATCGTCTTGCAACGCAACGTAAGCCTGAATCTTGCTCTGCTCCTTGATGCGTTTGGCCTCGGCAGCCTCGGGGGAGACGCGGGTACGCTTGACTCCGTGCTATGTTGGTAAGCACTTGCCACAGATTACACTACACCTACCATGTTCGGTGCCGGTGGGGTGAGTTGAAGAAGAAGAGGAAAGAGGGGTGACTTCAAGACAACACACAACCGCGCCAGCAGACGACCTCCACATCTCGGTGGCAATCATTACGTAAGCTATTTATTGACAGGAACATTGGACATTTGCCGCCCAACGGCCATCTCATTGTCGTCCTTTCTCCAACAACACGACATCATGGCCGAGTGAGTAGCTATGCTGAGGGCTGGGATAATCATCACTGACACCTGCAGATACTGGATCTCGAAAAAGCAGTACTGGTGCAAGTACTGTAACATCTTCGTCCGCGATGACGCGCCAGTGAGTTGGGGCAGACCTGGTCAACGCTAACTCCTTCCAGTCCAAGGCTCTCCATGAGGGCGGCGGCAAGCACCAGGGCAACAAGGAGCGCTTCATTCGTGACATTTACAAAACAGGTGTCCGCGATAAGCGTGCCAAAGAGGAGGAGGCGCGGACAATCGCTCAAATTGAAGCTGTAGGTGGCGCGCTCCCGGATGAGACATGCTCGCTAACTTGCAGGCCGCCAAAACATCGCACGCATCCAAGGATGGTGGCGAGTATGCCGGACGCCCTGTGGCTTCTCGACCCGCCGCTGCTGGTTCATCGTCACGGCCACCGCGCCCCAAGCCCGCTGGCGACAAGTGGGCCAACTATAGCTCTGCGGCGTCTCTCGGCTTTGACGATGAGGAGACCAAGTTGAGCAGCTTCGAGATTGAGCAGATGGTGCGAGGACGAGGGACGAACGTTGGCGAGTGGGAAGAAGTCAAGGAAGCGGCGCCTGCAATGACGTATACCGAGGACGGAGTGCCGGCTCTCGACCTCAAGCGCAAGGCCGAGGAAGAGGAGGACCACAATAACTTCAAGTTTCAGCACCGTGACAAGCGACCAGCCCACGACGTGTATGACGATGACGACTGGGATCCCAAGGCAGCGTTGGGTTCAATCAAGCTCAAGACCAAGGAGAAGAAGCTTGGAGAGGCTGCCCCGGAGTCTGAGCCTGCGGTGAAGAAGGAGGAGGCGACGGAGAAGGCTGGATTCAGCAAAGTCGGTTGGAGTGGCAAGCTGGACATGACTGAGGGCGACCCCGTCAAGGAGGAGCCCAAAGATGAGGGCGATGCTAAGCCAGCATTGGACGATGTGGCCGAGCCCACAGCCGAGTCCAAGGTCGTCGAGCCTGCGACCGAAATCAAGACCGAGGCCGCCGCTCCAGAAACCGTGGCCGCTGCTCCTGAACCTGCCCCGTCGTCTGGAGCTAGTATGTTCAAGAAGCGCCGCCCTCCTCCTTCAAGTCGTAAAAAGTAGACAACAACATCCCCAGCATTTCCGTGATAGTGAGAGTGTACATGCATGCCACAGATATGTGAAGAAACTCGTCTGCCGCTCTAGAACTTGCGCGACTTGGCGGTAAGCGAGATACCAGTCTTCTCTCCCGAGTACGAGCCGGAAAGAGTCGCTTGGCCACCCTTGAAGACGGCACGCTGCGAGCCGACCTTCTGCTTGGCCTTCTCGTAGGCAAGCTTTTTCTTGACACGAGGGTTGCGGCCAGTCTTGGAACGGCGAGGGGTGAGACCACGGTTCTTCTCGATGGCACGGGTAAGGGCACGGGGGCCCTCGCTGGTCTCGTCCTCGAAGGAAGCGCTGGACAAGTCAGTTTTGGAATAATCACTGCAGCCTTTCAACTTACAACTTCTCCTCGCGGTACGCCTCGTGGGCAAGCTGCTTGGCCTCGTCCTTTGCAGTCTTGCGGCGCTTGACAAGGTCGTAGTATCCGTCGTCGCCCTCGGGCTCGTCGTCCTCGGCCTCGTCGCGAACCTCGCGAGCACGCTTGCGGTCGCTCTCCGTCCAGTCTGAGCCGTCGAGGTCCTCGCCACCGTTGCCCTTGGGGCCGTTCTTGCGCAGAGCGGCGTCGCGGGCGGCCTGGCGGTCGCGGTAGGGAATGTCGTCGTCTCCACCGAGGCGCTTGTCGCGGGCAGCACTGCGACGTGCCGACGTGGCGGCAATCTTGGAGGTGTGGAAGCGCAGCGAGCGCTTCTTGGTCTCCTTGTCCGCAGCGTCGGCGTCGTCGAGCGAAGTGGCGTCTCCCATGGTCTCCTCGTCGTCGCCGTAGGCGCGGGCCTTTGACTTCTTCTTCTTGGATGACACAAACTCGGGTTCGGCCATCGGTGTAAACGCGACGGTCGAGGCTCCCTCCTCCGTGGACTTGGAGTCCTTCTTCCTCGACCGCTTCTCCCTCTTCGTCGACTTGGGCTTGGACACAGGCACCATGTCTGCGTCGTCGGCATCGGCGTCGGCCAAAAGGTCGTCGAGCTCGCCGTCCTCCATACCAGCAGTGTGCCACAGGTTCTGGGCATCCTGCTCCCAGTCAAACTCGTCCTCGTCATCTTCATCCTCGTCCTCGTCATCATCCTCGTCCGAGAACTCGTCGTCCTCTGGCACCATGCCGACACCCTCGTTGGTGCGTGCCAGCAACTCGCGCTTGGCGGCGATCATCTCGGCGTAGCCGTCCTCCTCGTCCTCATCGTCATCGCCCTCGTCGGGACGGATGAAGAGTTCGGGTCCGGCATCCGAAATAGAACCAGCGGCAAAGTCGAGGTCCTCGAGCGCCGCAACACCTTCCTTGAGCTGGAGCAGACGCTGGAGGATGGGGTGGGTCGACATGTCCGGACGCTCGTCGGCAGGCAAGGCACAGAGGTGGATGTAGAAGGCCAGAGTAGTGGCGTACGTAAGAAGAGTCTCTGAAACACGTTAGCTTGCATCATACAGTGTTAACTTACGGTAGTGAAGCCAACCAAGACCCTTGTGGAGAGACTCCTCGCCCTCACGTTCCGCAGCCATCTTCTTGATGCCACGGGCAGTCTTCTTGAGCTTGTAGACAACGAGAGAGAAGTCGCGAGTAAGAGCGAGCTTGAGGGGCTCGTAGACCTGGAGGTGGCGGAGGAGGGCAATGGGGTCGTCGGTCTTGGGGGCGGGGACGTGGACGGGCGCCGCGTCCTCGGTTTCAACAACAGGGGCGGCGGTGTGCTCGACCTCGACGTCGTCGAGACCCCAGTCGTCACCGTCCAGAGCCTCGCGAGCGCGACGCTGAAGTCTCCGCACCTCCTTCTCTTCGAGCTCGCGCTCCTCCTCGCGCGTCTCGTCGTAGACACCCTCCTTCTCCTTCTCACGGCGAGCCGAGGGACGCGAGTAGTACTGGCGACCCCAGCCCTCCTCGTCCTCATCCTCGGAGCCGGATTCCGAGTCGTCCTCCGACGAAGCGTCGCTGTCGATCTCCTCCTTGCCGAAACGTCCCTTGGTGGACAGGTCAGGCTTGACCTTCTGCTTGCGCTCCTTGCGCTGGGCAGCTGCGCCGAACGACTCCTCCTCGTCCTCGTCATACTCCTCCTCCATCTCCTCATCGTCGTCGCCTCGCCTGCGCTTGGGGTCAAGGCTCAAAACCTCCTCTCCCTGCTCGCCGTTGATGTCGTCGTCGCCATCGTCGTTCTGGGGGTTGAACGAGATCTGGTCGCGCTTGAACATGACTGAACGTTAGCTAGAGGTCTTAGAGCCCAATTCAACTCACAGTCGTCCACGCCACCCTCCTCGAGCGTGTCCTCGTAGCGCTCAATCTTGTCGATGGTCGCACCTGGCGCTCCGCGCTTCTTGGCGCCGCCGCCTTTTGATCCTTTGCGTCCCATGTTGTTGACGATGGCGATATGTGTCGGGAGATGGCACTTGAGACCTGCTCAACTTTTGGAAACCCAGCGGACTCAAATCTGGACGGCCCGTTACGTCAACGGGACCAAATGACCTCCACTTGCGTTTGCCACTCATCTTTCGCCACTCTCTCTGTCTGCCCGTCTCTTGCCATGAGGAGGCTACAAGCAACAAATACAGCACGAGAACAGTTTAGGATCTTGTAGCTAAGTGACACACACCACGGATCCGCGCAGACACGTTCGTGAGAGCTGCCTTGCTTTGACCGTGGTACCGTGGTCTGTTGCATCGTCTGCTCACATCGCGACTTTATACTCCCGCTCTGATCCATTTTGATTCCGAAGCCTATTGGGTGGCAAGGCTGTGATGACCACCACAATCTCGACGAACTCGTTCAGCGTTTACTCCATCACCTTCCACCCATGCTCGTCCACATCCGTCTCCCCGCCCCACTCGGCGTGCGCATCCTCGATGTGGCCGCCTCGACCCCAGCTTCGTCGCTGGCCGAAGAGTGGGGACCCGAAGCGTACATCCGCACGCGCGCCGGCCTCGTCTCGCCCGACACTCCCATCTCGGACCTCGCCCACGCGTCCAACCCCGACTTCCCCGTCGACCTCGAGGTGTGTGCGCGCATTCTCGGCGGCAAGGGTGGTTTCGGTGCCAACCTCCGCGCGGCCGGTGGACGCATGAATGCTAGCAAGAGCACAAACTTTGACTCGTGCCGTGACCTCAACGGCAGGCGACTGGGCACCATCAAGGAGGCGCAGAAGTGAGTTCTTTCAGTTATGTATGCCACCTCATTCTAAACTGTTTCCCAGGCAATCAGACCTTATTGAGAGCTTGCCAGAGCTCCAGGCCAAGGCTGCGGCCGAGTCCAAGGCCAAGCTCGAGGCACTGGAGCGCAAGCTCGGCGTGTCGTCGGACGAGATTGGCGCCAAGAATGGCGACGGCAGCAAGCGCCTGGCGGAGGTCGATGTCGAGGAGCTCGCGCGCAAGAAGCACAAGTTTGACGACAACAAGTTTATTGAGGAGAGCCGTGAGATCAAGGAGAATGTCCGCAGCGCCGTCGGTGCCGCCCTTCTCAAGAAGAGGAAGAAGAAGGCTGCCGAGGCCGCGAAGGACTCGACCACGGCCAAGCCCAAGGCTGCTGCGACTGCCAAGAAGACCGAGACCAAGGCCGCCATGCCCCCGCCCAAGGTGGCCACTGTTGCGTAGACGTGGATGAAGATATTGTTTGTATACATGATGTACTAGGTTTACTACAGAATGGAAGGATCCTCCATCGGCTTCCTCCGCCCTACAGGCTATCCGCCGCTTACGGCTTGGGTGCGCGACTGCGAAGAGTCCTAGTTGGCGCAGGGGGAGGAGCAGCGGCAGCAGCTGCGCGACCACGCCTTGTCTTCGGAACCTCTTCCCAGTCGGTATCTTCTGCTTCACTCTCCTCCTCATCACTGTCCGCCTTGCGTTTGCCTCGTCCTTTGGCCCGACCCTTCGTAACCTTTCCTTTGGAGCCGTTGCTTGTAGGTGCAGCCGGAACTCTGGGTGTAACAGGGACTCTGAGAATAATCCTGGTAGGGGTGGCCGCACCACTGCTGGGGGGAGGAGGAGGTTTGGCAGCCGCATTGACACCACGCTTGGGCCGACCAGACCTTGTTGTCTCCATGGGTGGTGTGGGCTCCTTGGGCGTTGGCACCTGCGGCTCTGGTTCAGGCTCGGATTCAGGCGCAGCTTCAGGCTCAACGTCCATGGCCTCGACGTCAGGCTTGGTGTCCTCCTGGATCGGACTGGGTAGACGTTCGTGAACGAGCGTGTGCCAGTTGGCTGTGCTCTCCTTGTGAGCACCAGCAATGATGGACGCAGCAGAGCGCGACGGTTGGCCTCCGTCCGCATCGGCCATCGGGTTACGGTGCTCCCCGTGCAACTAATGGAGTTAGCATTGTCCGTCACCAATACTTCAGCTCACGTCTTCCCCGGTGCCATACTCGGCGCGGAGGCGAAGGCGAACGCGGAGGCCGTTGACGAGCTGGACCCAGCGCTTGAGTGCCCGATCCTCCCTACGAGCCTTCTCCCTCTCCTCAGCGGCAGCCGCAGACTCCCAGTAGGCCTCGAGTACTGTTTCCCTTTTCTCGATGGCCACCACAATGCCGGTGATGACTGGGATAGCCCGTTGCTTTTTGAACTCGAATGAAGTCTGTACCGGTGAGTCACTGGCGAGGGGAGAAGACCAGACATACCACTGCCTCAGCATAGCTAACCCCCAACTGCTTTGCAACTTTTGCAATGCTCTTGTCTGAATCCGTCAGCTTGAATCTCATGGGGGGTAAGAGCTGCAATACGCACACTCCAAATGCACAGCTCCTTCTGGCAGCATTGACGGAACGTAGAGGTCAATGTTTCCAAAGGCATTCTGCGGAATGATACCCTGTAACGTCAGCAACTCGCATGTTTGTTTGCTGAACCCACATCCTTGATCGGCGGAGGCTTGTAGAGCTCAGTCTGGTACTCGGCATAGAGACCCTGCAGAATTGGCTCCTGCCCTTCTTGTACTGCGAGCTCTTGCGCACGACGCTTTTCAAGGGTGACAACCCGTTGCTTGACCCATTTGAGGGGCTCCTGGCGAGGCCTGATCTGTCGTCCAGATCGCATCCAATTTTCGGCCGTCTTGGTCTGCAGCACGTTGCTGCGGCGATACACCGATTCCCCCTTAAACTTGCCGACCTCACGTTTCGGTAAAATGACTTCTTCACGCTTGAGATGCCGCTCAAGGACGTAGCTAGCACAGTCAGTAACCGGTGATTGGACATGGACTTACAGAGGGTGGTCCTTGAAACCGTTCATGTGTAAGGGCATGCCCTCAGATTTCTGGCTCTCGTTGAACTCGGCATCTTCCTTGTCGTCACGGTTCTGTCATGGATTAGTGTACGGGGAGCGCTGCCCACCCACCAGTCGGAGCGGCCGTTGGAGAAAGCCAGTAACTGCAGTCCACCAGTCGGGTTCTCCTGGCTTGGCCTGAGGCGCACGCAGTTTGCAGGTTCTTGCGCCAAAGTTCTTGGCGTACCGGAGTGTCACATCTCGTGCATAGCCATCTGGAGGTGGGTCAGCCAAGTACAGGTGTCATTGTGGCTCACCTTCCTCGAACGCCACCACATACACCATTCGCACGGGTCCATTGTCGCTGGACGGTTCGTAAGGACCCTTCTTGCGGATGACGCCAGTAAGAGGATCGACAGGAATCCATCTCTGATCGGAGCGGCTGAACACCTCGGCCCAAAACACAGGAGGCTGATTTGACATGTCTGGTGACGTCAGCAGGAGTAACAAGGGCGTACCCACCTTCCTTCTTCTTGCGTTTGGGCTTGGCTGCCAAAGTCTGTGGAGGTGGCTTTTGTTTGCGGAGGCGGTACAGGTCGGCCGGGTCCTTCAGTTTTGGGTTACCTGCACCGCGTGTGTTGTTTTTCCTCGTCCTCTGCGCCTTGTCCTCGACACCAGGTATGGGGACCTCCTCCATCTCGTCTTCCTCGCTTGCGCCATCTGGGCCCATACCCTGTCGGCTGGCCATGGAACGCCCTCCATTCCCAGCGCCCACTTTCGACTTCTTCACCACGACCTTTTCGGCACGCCATGGGATGGTTTGCAAGCTGACGACGAGTCGAGCGCCGAGTCCACAGGCCCGTGCCAAAGCGACGAAGAGGAGGGCCGAGACGTCACGTGAACCTTCCTGCTGGAGAGCCTTCTTCATGACGCTGTTGACGGATCGCAGGCGGTCGTTTCCAAACTCCTCTGTGAGCTCGGCGAGCAAAGGATCCAATTCGTCCTTGGCCTTGCCTTTGCCTTTGCCCTTCTTGTCTTGCTTTGGACGCGCAAATACGCCACCGATAAAGTCAGACGAGTCGAGCCGAGGAAGGCGGTCGATAACTTCTTGTGTCTCGTCCCATGTACGAGTGCGAAGGCCAAGAGAAGGGTCGGAAATGTCAAAGAAGGACTGTGACCACCAGGATGCAAGACTCTGCAGAGCGTCGAGGAAAAGACGTGACCGCTGCGCACGATCGGGAAAGCGTTTGGGCGGAATAACAAAGCTCGCCTGAAGGGGATGAGGCAGGAGAGAGAGGAGACGGGCCTGTACGTATCAGACTTGCACATGAACATTGCACGCACCTGGAGGAGAAGATTTGAAGCCCAGCGATTGCGGATTCGGGTAGATGCCAACAGGCAAATGGCGTGCATCTTGTGAACCTCGAGGCGAATCGCGCGGTCCTTGGACGTCAAAGGCTTTCTGCATTGTCAGTTCAGATGGGTCATTCGTAACTCACTTGCGCATGGCCAGAGCAATCCGCTTAGCCTTTTCTTCCGGTGTCTCACCACCGATCTCGAGTCGGATGACTTGAGACTCTTCATCATCATCTTCTTCGTCCTCATCTAGGTAGCCGATGCCGTCCTCCACCGTTTCCAGAGACTCGCCGTTGGCCATGCCATCAAAGTGGGTCGAGCCCGGCGTGGCAGGCATGGAGGATGATCCTGCGCCAGCAGGGATGGCGACCTCTTCAAACTCATCCTCCTCCTCGTCTGAGCTCGAGTGGACGGAGATTGGTGACGGCGAGTCACCGACTTGGATTGCCGTGGCTAAAGGATGTTAGAAGATGCCGAGACGGGGGCCCAAAATGGCAGCATGCATGGTGCATCGCAAGCAACGTACCCTTGTCCTTGCCGCGCGCGAGGGCAAGCGCCTGTTTCGCTGATAGGCGAATCGACGATGACCCTGCGGCATCCATTGTGGGCCGCGTTGTTGTTGTGACGATGTGTTCAACAGAGGGAGTTGGGGGGGTTGAGTGGCAACTACTGTATACGAGTCAGGTTCGTCGGTGTGCCCGCCATGACAAAAGTCCAGTCAACCGCAAACAAGGTCCGGCCCTGGGTACAAATGACCCTGCACTAATGGTACTAATGTAGATCACGTGTTATTAGTACTGGCATTACCATTTGATGCGGAGAACGGCGGGATGTCCGCTTTTGCCGCCAGCGCTTTGCAATGGACGCCCCCCGGTTCATTCGGTGGCCGCCTGCCATCAGTCTTCCTTTTCCTCTGTCTTTCGCATGACACTTCCGAGCCTCATCAAGAGGTTGCCTGGGTCGCTCATTCACAAGACCCCATTCACCAGATCTCTCGTTCAACCATCCCCTTCTTCCCGCCGTCTTCTTTCGTCGATCCGCCGACTTCCCGCCTCCCCTTCCACCTCCCTCTGCTCCCAGCCCCGTCTGGCAGCTTCCACCACGGCTTCCATCCGCCCTCACTTCCTCACCTCTCGTCGCCTCTTCGCAACAGAAGCCAACATGGTCGCTCCTTCATCAACGGGCCAGGACTATGGCAACTTTAAGCAGCTCCAGTCGTTTGACCTCGACTACGCTCCTGTCAAGCTGTCCAAGTGGCGAAGCGAAAAGACTGGCCTCACCGTGACCCTTGGTAGCCACGCCTGTGAGTTGGATGCTTATTTTGTTACGTTGAACGACGCTGACGGCTCAAGCCCCTGTTGTGAGTCGGACGTGTATGGAGTGGAGAGATGGGGGAGTGGTGATGCTGACTGGTTGAGACCAACGGATTCTTTGTGGTTGCTTCTGAGAGTGAGTGGACCTGCCCTTTTCCATACATTGCCAGGCCGCTGACAATGTAGTCTTTGACGACACCGGACGTCCTCACACCCTTGAGCAGTGAGTGTTGTGCGTATGGTCTGAACTCACGCCGCCAGCCTCGTCTTCCTTGGCTCCAAGGAGTACCCGTACAAGGGTGTGCTTGACCAACTTGCCAACCGCGCAGGCTCCAACGGAACGAACGCGTGGACTGCGAACGACCGTGAGTGACGCTCCCCAGTCTACGTGCTGACGTTGTAAGACACTGCCTACACCATCTCGACTGCCGGCAGCAAGGGCTTCCTCGAGATGCTGCCCGTGTATGTGGACCACATTCTGCACCCTACCATGGCCGACTGTGGCTTCGTCACCGAGGTCCACCACGTCAATGGCGAGGGAGAGGACGCTGGTGTCGTCTACAGTGAGATGCAGGCGAGGGAGAACCAGGCCTGGGACCGCATGTCGTTGAAGTGAGTGGCCAGCGTCGATATGATTACTAACGGTTAGGTTGCAGCGTGAGCTCTACCCTGAGACCTCTGCGTACCGCAGCGAGACTGGTGGTTTGTTGAAGATGCTGCGTGTCCTCACCGCCGAGCAGAGTGCGTATTCACCGTCGTGTTGTTTACCATGAGGCTGACTTTTGCAGTTCGCCAGTACCACGGCAAGTACTATGTGCCTCACAACGTGAGTCACCTTTTTTAATAACAATCCGGTCGTCACCTGACATCCCTTCCAGCTCTGCCTCCACATGGACGGTGCCGTCGACGTCGCTGAGCTCTTCAACGTGCTCAACACCAAGGTGGAGCCCCTTATTCTTGCCAGCCAGAAGGAGAACGCCCCCGTCGATGGCGAGTACGTTCCCCCTAACGGCTGGAAGCGCCCCTTTGTCGAGTCGACCACCTCCATCCCCCGCACCATCACCGAGTCACAGTCGCACGTGGTCGAGTTTATGGAGGAGGACGAGTCCATGGGCGAGTTTATGATCACCTTCTTGGGCCCCGCCCCCAACGCCTTCCTCGACAACATTGCGCTGGACATTCTCTGTGCCTACCTCACCGAGTCGGCTACCTCGCCCCTCCAGAAGGAGTTTGTCGAGATTGCCGAGCCCCTGGCGACGTACGTCGGTGTCTACAGCGAGGGTCGCGTCAACCGCGCCGAGTGGACCATTATTGGTGACGGTGTACCCAAGAAGCACCTCATCGAGATGCCCGAACTCGTCAAGGCCAAGCTGAAGAAGATTGTGGCCACCGAGGGTGTTGACATGGAGCGCATGAGCCGCGTTCTTCGCCGTGAGCGCCGCCAGACCCTCAACAAGGTTGAGAGCAACATCCCGAGCGCCCTGTGTGACGCCGTTGTTCAGGGTGAGTGACAGAAGACGCAAGTGTACGCTGACAACCAGACTTCCTTTACTGCGACAAGGACGGCCAGGAGCTGCCCGAATCGTTCAAGGATCTCGAGGCCTTTGGCGTGCTTGAGAAGTGGACTGCTGGTCAGTGGGCTGAGCTCCTTGACAAGTGGTTCGCCTCTGCTCCTTCCATCACTGTCGTCGGCAAGCCCTCGGCCAAGCTGTCGGCCGAGATTGAGAAGGTTGAGAAGGAGCGTGTTGCCAAGCAGAAGGAGGAGTATGGCCCGGACGGCCTCAAGAAGCTTGCTGAGGAGCTCGAGAAGGCCAAGGAGGAGAGTGACCTGCCCATCCCCGAGGAGGTGCTCACCAGCTTCCCGGTCACCAACGTGAGTTCTGAGTTGTTCGTCGTTGAACTTGCAGCTAACGTCAGCCTGCCGACCTTACTTGGATCCCTGTTGAGACGGCCATCAACAAGGCTCCCGGCGACAACGTCCAGTGCGACAACGGCGAGGTCCAGCGCCGTATTGACGCCGATGGTGCCGTTTTGCCTTACCAGGCGCACTTTGCCCACATCCAATCGAACTTTGTTCGCATCAATGTTCTTCTGGACGCCGCCAAGCTTCCCAAGCACCTGCTTCCCTACCTGTCGATCTTCAAGTGGTCGCTCTTCAACCTTGGCGTTCGCCGCGCTGACGGCACTGTCCTCGACCACGAGGAGGTTGTCAACACCCTCAACGAGTGGGTTAGCGTTATCTGTACGAGTCACTAACCCCCCCAGTTTCACTGTTGGCACTGACGCCGACTTTGGCTACCGCGGCGGCTTTGTTGAGACTGTCAACATCACCATCAAGGCCGAGACCGCGCAGTACGCCGATGCGGCTGCCTGGCTCCGTGACGTTATCACCGGGTCCATCTTCGCCAAGGACCGCCTCGAGGTCATCATTGCCAAGGAGCTCCAAAACCTTCCCATCCGGAAGCGTAGCGGTGCGGCTGTCGCCCACGCTGTTCTTGACAACATGGCGTTTGACTCTGAGACGTCGCCTTCGCAGCACAGCGGTCTCCTGGAGCTGCTCGAGTTCCTGCCCAAGGTCTCGGAGGAGCTCAAGGAGACGCCCGAGAAGGTGATCCAGGCCCTCGAGGACCTGCGCAGGCACCTTGTGGACCCGTCTGTTCTCCGTGTCGGCGTGTCGGGTAACATCCTCGAGCTTGCCGAGCCCCGCTCGACGCTCGCCAAGTCGTTCATCCCCATCACGGACGCTGTCGCGCGTGAGCCCCAGTCCATCGCGGCGCAGTACCTCACACCGCTGGGCCAGAACCCGACCAAGAAGATGGAGCTCGTCTCCATGGCGGCCATCGAGGGCTCGTACTCTGAGCACTACGCCAAGGGCCCCCAGGGATGGGACCACCCGGAGCTTCCGGCCATGCGCCTCGCCACCAAGGTGCTCAACACCATGGAGTCGTACCTGTGGAAGTCGATCCGCGGCGCGGGCCTGGCGTACGGCGCCAACGTCGACGCCGACATCGAGTCGGGTCTCGTCCGCTTCTCGATCTACCGCTCCCCCAACGCGCTCATCGCGTACAAGGAGGCGGCCAAGGTCATCCGCTCGCTCGCGGACGGCACGCTCGAGCTCGACCAGAACATTGTCGACGGCGCATGCGCGTCCCTCGCGTACTCGTACGCCACGCGCTCCGAGACCGTCGGCGCCGCCGCGGGCGCCGTGTACCTCGACGAGGTGCTCAAGGGCGTCGGCAAGGACTATTCGCAGGAAGTGCTCAAGAAGCTGCCCGTGAGTCGATAACACTTTAGCTCATAACATATCGTTTTGTTCCCAAGCTGACACTTTTCCAGACGGTCACCCTCGACGAGATCCGCGCCTTCATTGCAAAGTACTTTGTGCCCCTGTTTGACCCCGAGACGTCCATTGGCGCCGTGACCGTCAACGCGGGCAAGGCGGACGAGGTGGAGGCTGGCTTTAGGGAGGTGGGCTTTGAGATCACCCGCCGCGAGCTGCCGTCCGCCGGCGCCGAGGACAGCGAGAGCGGGTCCGAGAGCGGGTCCGAGAGCGGCAGCGAGCGCGGCGAGCCCATGGAGGACGTGCGTAGCCCCTAGACAATCTATGCATAACATCTAGGCTAGAGCGGGTGGTGGGGTGGTGGGCAGATGCGTTCCCGGACAGGTGGATGGGTGTATCAATCAGTAGGAGGAATACTAATACACTCACTGCCCTGCTTCCGCAATCTTGGCAATATACGTTGTTGCATCGACTGGCCATGTCATGCGGCCACTACTGACTGGTATTACGTACGTGTTTTTCTCAAAAGGCATCAAAGTCTCGGTGTGTATGGGGGAGAGCGTGTATTAAAAAGGTGGGGGGGACGGTGTAGGAGCGCGAGAGTATGATAGATAAAAAAAGGGGATGGTGGTGTGGTGTTGGTGAACAAACACCACACACAGAGGTTCCGTCAATCACACAAAACGACACGCCTAGCAATCGACGGGCTCGCGGTCGTCCCAGGCCTCGTCGGGGGGGCTGCGGTCGACGGTGACTTGGCCCTTCTCGTTCATGTGGGCAAACTCGGTGGACGACTCGACGCCCATGTCGTTGATGCGCGCCGACTCGTGGCGGCCGATAAGGGTGGGGTCGTCTGCGATCCAGACGCAGGGCTGCTTCTTCCACATGGCCGGGTGGTCAAACTCGCGGTCGAGGCCCTCCTCGCTGGCATTGTCGACGGGGCCGGCCGACGAGACCTTTTCGGCCTCGGCGTTGAGCTGGGTCTGGCTGGTGGTCATGAAACCGGCCTGGCGGACACCAAAGAGCAGGGTCTGGCGCTTGAACAGGATGTGGTCAAAGTAGGCCTGCATGCAGGCGGTGACGACACCGACGACGACGATGATGGCACCGCAGGCGAGACCCACGGTGGTGCGCTTGCCGTCCGAGCCGGTGGTGAGGAAGAAGAGACCGGCAACGCAGACCTGCTCGGTGTAGAGAGCGACGAAGACGGTACGCAGGGCCTTGATGTAGTACAGACCACCAGTCTCCATGGCCTGGTCCTGGTCGGCAGCCCAGACAAGAAGGTACTTGTAGGCAAAGTAGAAGAGGACAAAGCCGACGATACCGACGACGGTGATGAGGGGCTGGATGACCGAGTAGACAATACAGATAAGGAGGAGCAGGCAGACGGGGGGCCAGGTGGTGGACCAACCGAACGAGTCCATCTTGTACTTTTGGGCATAGGCCTTGCGCGGGGTACCACCCGCGAGGAAGCCGCGGAGCTGGTACATGACGTAGGGGACGATACGGGCGAGCGACTTGGCAGCGCTGGCCCAGGTCTGCACCAGGATGTAGGTCAGGAAGAAGATCGAAGCGCCGGGAAGCTTGCTGGCAAGCAGAGTGGGGACGCTGCTGAGGGTGCTGCCGAGGTTACCAAGGGCGGCAATCAAACCCGAAGAAAGGGTCATGATGATGAAACCTTGGATGAACTGGAAGAGCCAGAAACGGGTGAACAGCTTGAGCTCGACGTCGCTCTTGCGGATCTCGCCCTGGAGCTTGATCCAGATACGCAGGATGACGGGAAGAACCATGAAGAGAAGCGTGAGGAGGATGGTGGGGAGCAGGGCCTTGACAATACCAAAGGGAATCTCAGGGATCTTCTGGAGCCAGGTGAACCCCTTCTGTTCCTTGATGGCATCGAGGTTGGAGATGGAACCGATAAAGGCAGTAATAATACCCCAAACGATAATGAGACCGACAGTGAGGGCCCACGAGCCGATGGTGCGGGCCTTGCGCTGCCAGGGGTTCATCGAAGTGTTGGACCAGATAATGTCATCAGCGACGACCTCAATCTTGGTGTCCATCATGCGGAGCGACTTGTTGGACGACTTGGCCAAGCGAGCAAAGTTGTGGGCTTCCTCCTGCGTGGCGAACCGGGCAAAGGCAACGTTGCCGTACTCGTAGTCGTCGGGGTTGGCACGGAGCTTGGTGAGCTCCTCGTTCTGCTCGCGAATGTACTCGGGCGAAGTCTCGAGGTTCATCTTCTTGCCAAAGAGGCCGAGGAAACCCTGCTTCCACTTGGGGACCTTCTTGGCGGGGACGTAACGTTCAATGATGGCGTCGGAACCGCTGGACGACTCGCGGTCCCAGGTGCCGAGCTGCTCGGGGGTCTTGCCCTTGCGCTCGTTCTTGAGAGCCAGCTTGAGAAGCTTGCCGACACCACCCTCGAGGCGGTAAACCTCCTTGTCGCGGTTCTCCCAGACCTTCTCAACGGGCTTGACCTTGCGGGCGAGCCAGACGTGGGTGACACCCCCAGCGTTGGCGCCGGCAGCGACAGTGCCGACGTCGCTGTGACGAGGGACAGAGCCGGACGCAGCCAATCCACCGGCAATCTCCTTGATACCGGCCTCGGAGAACATGTCCTTGGGGACGTTGACCAGGGCGACGGTACGCGACTTGACAGAGCCACGCTCAGAGCGGAGCCAGTTGAGGCGGATTTCCATGTAGTGGTGGTACTCGCGCCACAGAAGGTAAAGGGTGAGGACTGGTTCACGTCAGCGTCACATAAGGGGGAACGAGAGAGGTAAGCCATCACGTACGCATGAGGATGAAGGAAACGAAAAAGTGGGCCAGGTGACGGTTGGGCTGAGACGCGGGCACAGCACCAAAGGTGAGAATGTTCAGCTCAGTCGTACCGTCGGCCTGGGGCGAGACGGCACTAAGAGATGTGTCAACAACAAAAGTTACCCACAACTACTTTGCAAACTCACGAGGCAGGAACACAGACGGCGAGGGTCAGGACCATGTAAGGAAGCATCATGTAGAGACCAAAGATCTTGACGAAGCGGACGAAGAAGTAGGCATCAGGACCGTTGAGGCGAAGGATCTCAGTGTCGTCGAGGGTGAAGACTTGATGGAACCAAGAGTGTGGCGCGCCCGGGAGGGGCTGCTCACGCTTGCCATCCTCGGCGAGGATGTTGCGGGGCTGGTAAACGCGAACGAGGGACTTGCGGTTGTGGAAGACGAGCCAGAAGATGGCGCACACACCGACGGTGATAGCGGCCGTGACCAGGGCGGTCACAAACGTCGCCGTGGTGGACGTGGTCACGTCGCTCGAGTCTGAGCGAGCCTCGAGCATGGTTCAATACTCTTCTGCCAGAGACGCGGGGTGTGGCAAAAGGGAAAAGAGTCGGGTTGTAGGGGGGTTGGCTAGCTGCACGAGTGCGCAACCGTGTGGCTGCTGAGGATGGTGTCAGTGCCGATGGCCAGTGGCAAAATGAGGATATGAGAGAGGGAGGTGTGAAGATTGCGGTGGGAGGGATAACGAGTTGGGGGTGGAGCGACCCAGCGTCCCAGCGTCTCGGGGCGGCACACGAAGCAAACGGTCAAAGGTTTACGCCTCGGTCTGGCTCTGTCTGCGGCGGCGGCGGCTGGCTCTCAAGGAGGCGCGGGGGCGTGTATGGTGGCGTCTACGCTGCGCGGTGACTCGCCCGCCGCCATGTATCCGGCGTGCGTCGGCGGGACGCGGAAATGTAAAGGGCGCGTTACTGCGAGTTGCAAGAGCGCGTCGCTTGGAGGGGGAGTGTGTGTGTGTGGGTATGGATGCGGGGGCGCTGGGGCATGCATCCATAGAGTGGTTGAGAGGCGGGCGGGGGGGGACTTACTGTGGGTGCTGGAGGGATGCTCCTGTGGTGGTGGGGAGCGATGGAGTGGTGGTGACGAGAGAAAGAGAGCGGTTGCAAAGAGATTATCGTGGGAGAAGGGGGGGGGAATTGTTTTTGATGCACTCACCCAACACACACACTCACACATGCAACACACGGCTCTCTCGCTCGCCAGCTGCCCTCCCTCCTCTCTGTGTGTCTCTCCTGATCTCCTGATCTCTCCTCTTCTCTCCTGGGCTGCATGCCTGTGCACAGTCGGTGGGTGCTGGGCGATCGACGTCAAATTGGCCCGAAACCACCCTCCCACAGAGAGAGCTGGCGCACAGGAGAGAGCGCTGCACTCTGTGTTCTCTCTCTCGCTCTCTCTCTCTCCAGTTTGGCCGCGCTTGTTGTTGCCCTGTATACCATCTCGCCCTCTCCGATGCATGCCTCGCACGTCACGCGCTGCCACCCCTCCGAGAGAGCAAAAGCTAAAAGAGCGCGGCTGCGAGGGATTAAAGTAACGCAACAACATCCAGGGCCATGGCATCCAACACCACACCTCTCGCCATCCACCCTTGTGATCCTATGACGACGCGGTACGGGCGGACGCCGCCAGAGTAGCGAGAGATGATATCACCGGTCGACGTGCCTCGCTGTTTCTCTGGCCCCTCTGACTTTCTCTCCCAAACTACGCCGCAGCCCAGCCATGTCCCACGTCCCACACCCCTGTTTCTCTCTCTCTCTCTCTCTCTGTCTTATGACGTGGTGGACGGGAAAAAAAGGTATCATGTGTCTCTCCCATGCCTCCCAAAAACTCTCATGCATGCGCGCTTTATCAACGACTTGACAACGCATAAAAAAACAAGCCGCTCGCTCGCCCTTGAAACGGCTGGGGGCCGCGGGCATCGACTGCGCTGACGCTGCGCGCGCGCCCGCGCCAGGAAAAAAAAGCCACGACACGCCATGGCCCTCAACACCCGGCCCACACCTGTTCATCAGTCCACTCGTCGTTGCCGCTTTGGGCATCGGTTAGCGTCACAGGGAGCCATTCCTGGAGCAGTTCCTTGTGCGCAGGTGTGGAGGTGGTGCACTTGTGTGGATGCAAAAAAAGAAGAAGAAAAAATGGACTGCCAGCCCTGACCGTTTCCGCTCTCCTCTCTCTAGTTTCTAGGTCTCTATATCGGGATGGCAGACACGCTAGCGAGCACGGGCCCACCGGCGAACACCTCAAACAGGCTCCAAGAGAGCGAGAGGTGTGTCCAGGGAGCAGGGAACGGCCGGGAGACGAGAGCCCAAACACATGTGTGGAGCCGAGACTTTCTGCTGATGGTATTTTGAATTGCCGTGTTTTTTTGATTGTGTGGTGTTTATTGCGCATCCCTTAGCTCGCAGCCACCCCCGGAAGCAGAGTCTGGCACACGCTGGCACGCTGGCTAGTCTGTAGGCTAAGGCGTATATGGCTGGTAAAAAAAAAAGGTCTCAATAGGCTCCGCTGCCGCGCCGAGTCAAAGGGCTCAAAGGTTGGGCAATCTGACGTTCACATTACACACTATCAGCGCCTTGGTTTGACCGCCGGGATCTCACTTTGGATCGGTCGGGGAGTTGGAGAGACATTGGCGTCATTGCTCTCCGTGGCGGTGGACACCGTAACAAGTCCCCTGCTGTCAGCGCTGGGAGGAGGAGGCACCAGAGGAGGGGGGAGGGCAAGGATGCAACACGACCACATCTAAGTTGAGGGGCCTGGAGAGGCAGTCTCAGAACATAAAGAGTCAAAGCAGGCAATGCAAAGGATCAGAGCATATCAGCCTCTCTCTTGCTTGTCCTCCCACCCCAGACCCGATGGGATGGAGACGTCCGGTTTTCGAAACACACATGCTGTCACGTACAAGCGACCCCTGTATCTCTGTTGTATTTCTGGTACGCGACAGACGCGACATCCCGGGCATGCTCAACGGACAGGTCGCGGTGTACGTACGCTGGAAAACACTCTGGGAACAGGGGGTGTCTCTGGTGGCAAAAGTCAAATGTCTTGGGAGAGTGCCAGTGCCCCGTACCCACGGTGGCCACAGTACCACGGCCCTGACGATCATGGCGCCGTACGCCGTGCGTGTCACACGTCCGACGTTGATCAGGTCGGAAACGTTGTGCATCACACGGATGGGACATGTGCACACACACAGCGCACGGCCGGCGCGACGAGCGCCGCACCGTCCGGCCCCAGAATGCACAGATGGGTGCCTCTCAGTCCACCGACAAAAGTGTATTCAGGTGCGTCCACAATGGCGGGACAAGTGACAGCTCGGAACCGACGGTAGGACGTGCGTTTGTATATGCAACGGCCAGCGGTCTTCATAACCGGCTCAGATGGCAGGTAGGGAATGAATACTATTGAGTGTGAGAGCAACAAGATCCCCGGTCCAGTTCGCTCTCCCACGCGCTGTCTCGGGTCCAGACCACAGACCACGACGCACAGTCTGGCCCACGCGATGAGACAAACAACTACGCAGACATGCATGGCCCACGAGCCGATGGTTCTCAGCGGTTTTGCGTGTGTGTTTTCTGAGTGGCAGTGACAGCAGCAGTGAGTCACCAGTGTTATGATTCGTGGCAACCCGCCTGACGGACACCGCCAAGACGGTGGACACAGGGGTGGCTGTGAGAGCGACACGCGTGCGAGTCACGCTTTGGGGTCTTGGGTTCCGGTGGTGTTGCCTGGACATGCACCGCATTCACGATAATGCACGGTGGCAGGGGAGACAAGGCAGGAGTAGACTGTGGTACTCTGATGAGATGAGCGATCCAAGTGGCAAACGAGTGGCGACAACCTGCGAGTGCCGGTGGAGGTGGCCGTTGGAGGTGGCCCATATGCCCCGTGTGCGTGCGAGTATCGGCAGTCTACCTACGGCTGCATGCTGCACTTTCCGGAGCGTGGCTGGCCTAGGTGTTAGTAGACCTCAGCAGCGTGCAAAGGCGGCATGAGGAAGGGGCGATCAACTGCCACTGCCGATCCCCCGTCAAAAACACACTAGGTTGTGAACAATCCAGCCGATTGGGATCTCTATGTGGTTCTCCGCTCCTCACGCTGGGGCGCTGGATCTCTGCCGAGAAGGCCGACATTGACCTCGATATACAGCACTCCTTATACTTTGTCGGCAATCCCAGTGGCCAATGGGCCCATAAAACTGTCACATATGACCTGGGCGTGATGATACATAGTACATAGCAGAGGTCATATGCGGGTAATTAATTATCTGCATTTTATCACGCCACTGCAGCCGCCCGTTTCGCTTCCTGGTCTGCCCTAGCTGCCCCCTTGTCCTTGAACTTCTATTCGTGTACAGTATGCGCCTAATCGGGTGCTGTTCTGCTACTGTGACATGTGCGATTGGCAAGTGGAAACGTTGATAAATGGGGCGGACACTTCTCGATACTGATAAGTCACTATCAGTGTTTTATTGCCATGCCCAGGTTGCCTGATCGCTCGGCACATGGCCAGGACTTACAGGATGCGTCACGTAGCAGAAGACGCACTTTTGCAGTTTTATGTGACATGACTTGCATGACTTCGTTTGATAAACGGAGGCGGTGATCCGTCATCCATTGGAAACTACCAAAGTAAACAAATAGTTTCGTGTCGCGCCGTCGACATCCTTCACACTATCAAAGCCGAGGCGCCGCCGCTTGGCAAGGAGATGACCAATCGACCAATTGGCCTCAAGAGATACGGCTTACGGGAACCGTGGCCTGTAACACTCAAGCTACGTCTGGAGATAGATGAGACCAGCTGTCACCGGACCACCGGCTTTATCAAACATGTCCAGTTTCAAATCCAGCGCCCAAATCTGTCTCTCCCCAGCCGTCGTCGCCTACAGCTCATACCTACAGCTCATACCTACATGCATTCGAGAGCGTCTGCAGACCAACACTTCATGCGGTCAACCCCCCATGCCCCCCCCCCATGCATACTATGGTTGGCCGATGGCCGAGCACTAGCGGCCACACCTTTGTCAGAACACCAGTGCAACCTGAACACAGCTCGGCTACGTCGGCTGACTGCTGCTGCTTTGCCACCCAGCTCATCGCCCGCCACGACGGGGAACTCGTCAGTATAGCGCAACGTCGACACCGACAAGTGCCAAGACGGTGGCAGTGCATGTCGTCACAGGATCATAGACATGTTCTGAGCGCAGATCAGCGATCAGCGATCAGCGCGACGATAACCGACGATGGGCACGGGACTGATGTTTGAAAGGCGTGCTTGCGGTTGGTCGATGCTTTGGCTGTTGTTATCATGAAACCCACATTACCACGAATGCATCCGACGCTGCTATCTAGAGGGGCCCAAGGCGTCCAAGCTGCTATCGCAGACGCCTGCAGATATGGAAGCGAAGTTGCGATCGATGTTGTGGCCGCCCTCCACTGTGGAGGCCACTTTGAGGCCGGTGGCTGCACATTTTCCGTCCCTGGCAGAGCGGCAGGACAGGCAAAGTGACTACTCGCCCCCGCAGTAGATGCGCGCTGGGTGCCGCTGACGCGCATCGGCGTGCCGAGTTGCTACGGTGGATGGGTGGAGCCAACCGTCCCCGCCAGGCCCGTCCACCCGCGGCGACGCGATCCCAATCTGTGGCCCAACCCCACTGCCGAGCGACCCGATGTAGCGGGCCAAAGAGTGTGTGCAAAACGATGCAAAGACGTGTGCAGAGTCTCGGTCGGCTGCGGGGTACGACGGGTTTGGCGTCGCCCAATACGAGATCTTCCCCTGCGCAAACCGCACCTCCTTGTTATCGACCACTGTCCTCCCTGCCAAGGAATCGCACGCCACCCTACAACCTCGGCCAACGTCAACCCGGTACTACTGCGGCCGACGCCAAGCAACTTTGACGCTACTCTCTCTTCTCTTCTCTTCTCATCTATTACATTTTGTTCAACAGTTCTCGCCGCCGCCCGGTGCAACCCACCTCCACACCCCTTTCTTGCATTAGCAAACGCAAATCGGTTTGCTCCGACCCGCGCTCCGACGTCCGCAGGTTCGCTTGTCAGGTGTGCTAAACGGCGGTCTTGGCAACGAGCGCGAGCTTCCACTCTGCGACTCATTTTATCGTTTCCCTTCAACCCCCCCCTATACAGGCTGTCTGCTGCTCCGCGCGGAATGAACCACTGCGTTGCCCCAGTCCCCTCGCACACACCTATCACCTAAGGATCCCACCGCGCGCGCGCGTCCGAAACAACCTCCCAACCGCCGCCCCTCTCTTCACTCCACTCACCCTCCTCCCCTCCTCCCCCCTCCTCCCCCCCGCCACAACAAACGTGACCTCTGGCAACAATGGGCTTCCACCCGTTCGAGGTCAACGCGCCTCACCTGGTGTACACGATCCTGGGCGGCTTCACAGTCATCTTTGGCATGCTGTCGCTCATCATCAAGGAAAAGTTGTATATCGGTGAAGCGCCCATTGCAACCATCCTCGGTATCATTATCGGGCCGTACGCGCTCAACTTTTTCGACCCGTACGCGTGGGGAGGAGGCAGGCAGAGCGTCACCGACGAGATTACCCTCGAGGTCACCCGTGTGGTCATTGCCATTGGCGTGTTTGCTGTCGGCGTCGAATTGCCAAAGGTAAGTGCTGCTCGTCGGGCGCTGGGACATGGTGTCAAGGCCGACGCATGCGCCGTTGCCCGCCCCTGGCTTCGAGAACTGCGCCGAGCCAAGAGAAATGTGAACTCGTGACGCTGACAAGCCCTAGGCGTACATGAAGCGCCACTGGCGTTCGCTCTTCTTCCTCCTCGGGCCTTGCATGGTGTACGGCTGGCTCGTGTCTGCGCTCTTGATCTGGGGCATGATTCCCGGTCTGACCTACCTCTCTTGCCTGGTTATCGCCGCATGTGTCACCCCGACCGACCCCATTCTCGCACAGGCCGTCGTCGGTGGCAAGTTTGCCGACCGCCATGTCCCCACCCACATTCGTCACTTGCTATCAGCCGAGTCGGGAAGCAACGACGGCGCCGCCTTCCCCTTTCTCTACATTGCGCTCTACCTCACTCTGGACAGCAGCCCCGGGCACGCCGTCGGAGAATGGTTCTACATGACCTGGGTCTACGAGGTGCTCCTGGGCATCATCCTCGGCGGCCTCCTCGGCTTCACGGCCCGCAAGGTCATGCAGTTCTCCGAGAGGAAGAAGCTCATTGACCGTCAATCGTTCGTCGCCCAGTACGTCTCTCTGGCCCTTCTTTCGATCGGTATCTGCACGCTTCTTGGAAGCGACGACCTGCTGGCCGCGTTTGCGTGCGGCTGTGCGTTCGCATGGGACGGTTACTTTAACAAGGCCACCGAGGACGCCGTGTTCTCCAACGTCATCGACCTGCTGTTCAACTGCGCCGCGTTCATCTACATTGGCGCCATTATCCCCTTTACGTCGTTTGCCAACGCCGAGTTCCACCTCTCGGTCTGGCGTCTCATCGTCCTTGCCATCCTCATCCTCATTGTCCGTCGCATGCCTGTCATTCTCGCCCTCTACAAGTTTATCCCCGACATCAAGACCTTCCGCGAGGCCGCCTTCGTCGGCTGGTTCGGCCCCATGGGCGTCGGCGCCATCTTCATCTCGACCCTGGCCCGCACCAACATTCCCGAGCCCGAGAATGATGGCGACACCAGCCAGGTCGACCTCTTGCAGGAGACCATTGGCCCCATTGTCGCCATGCTCGTCCTGGCGTCGGTCCTCACCCATGGTCTCTCAATCCCCTTCTTCGTCTCTGGCCGTCGTGTCCACAGCATCACCAACACGTGGTCGCGCAACCCGTCCATGGACACGCGTATCGGCAACGAGCCCGCGTGGACTACGCACACTCGCCGTCTCGACAATGGCCAGCAGATTGTTATCAACCGCGATGACGAGGAGGGCGACATTGGTGTCATCCAGCGCCCCCGCCTGGACATGAACCGCGAAAAGTCGATTGCCATTGATGAAGGCAGCCGCGCAAGCAGTGGCAGTGACGTCAGTGGCAGCGGCAGTGCTGGCGACTCGAGCACCCGCAACGACAACGGCGTCGCCTACAAGGACATGGCGGTTGCAGGCGCTGCTGGCACCCTCCGTGCCAGGAAAGCCAAGGAAGAGCTCCACATCGACAACGGGCGCCGCACACCGCCCATCGCCGAGTTCCAGGAGGGCAACGACCTCGTCATTGAGCGCCGCAAGGCCGACGATGAAGTCGAGGTCGAGGTCAAGAAGGAGTACTTCAAGGACCACAAGGACGCGGACAAGAACTTTATCGAGATGACGGACCGTGCAGGCTCCCCATCCAGGCCGACGTTCGTCCTGCCCGAGGGCGACGAGCCCCGCCGGCGGCCGGGAACACCAGACTCTGGCCACTCGACCAACTTCTCAGACCACTCGACCAACGCAGGCTCAGACGACGAGGACGCCGGCGACGGCTACGTCCGCCCCCGGCCGTACCAGAATGTGCGTGAGCCCTCTCCACCACCCGAGAGCGTGCGCCGTGGCTCCACCGTGTCGTCCATCAGCCAGGCCCCGGCCATCCACTCGTATATTCCCGCGTCGCGCATCAAGAAGGAGGAGAAGGGCAGCAGCTGGCGCCGCTTCCTGCGCGTCGGCACCACGTCGAGCAACACCTCGAGCCACTCGGCCGCCGAGGAGGGCCGGGGACACAGCCCCAGCCCCAGCCGCTACGGCCAAGGCCACGAGCACGCGCACCATGACGAGGGTTTCCTCAGCGTGCCCGCGCGGCGAGCGGCCGCGCTCGGCGTGCCCCGCATCCAGACGCTCGAGCCCGACGACGACCACGACCACACAAACCACAACGACCGCTCGCTCCAGCTCACGCGCACCTTGTCGCGCGCCATCAGCTTTGCGCCAGACCTCGCACAGAGCTCCGAGACGGCGCCCACAATGTCCAACTATGGCAACGCCAACCCGACGTTCAAGCGCACCCCGAGCCTCGGCATGTACCGTACCTCGTCGGTACGCAGCATTGACGAGGAGGACGTGCCGGCGTTCAAGTAAACCCGGAAATCGGATAGACATACCTCGAGGGGGAAGGAGGGGAAAGGGGGGGGGGAGTGATTTTGTTTCCATTTTTTGCTTCATTTCATTCGTCATCATTATGCATCGATAGCACACTGCAGTGGTGGAAGATCCGTGACCCGTGGACACCGTGGGGGCACGGGATGAGGAGCGGGGGTTGTTGCACGCGAGACTCACACCCTTGGATCCGCCGACAAGACCGGTCGGTTCAGCACGCGATGAACGACGGAACGTCTCGGGTTCCCAGCCGAACGTAATGTCGTTTCTGTGACGGAGAGTGGGCAGTGGGTGTCATGTATGCCGTAAGAAGGGCGCATGTATCAGGAGCGTCAGAGCATGGCCATGTGTGGGACAGAGGAATCAGCGGAAGCGCCGCGGGGCAAGCGGTGGAGACGGAGACGGAGTTGCCGCCCAGAGTCGACGAAACAAGAAACTCGCGTACAGAGCACGCAGAATGCGGGCGGCAGGACACCCAGGACACCCAGGACGTGCGGGCCACATGGGGCCAGGCATCGCAAGGGCCCAGACTTTTAACGCATCCAGAGATGAGACAGGGCCTGTGGGCCTGTGAGCCCCGGAAACCTGTGGGACTGGGGGGACACAGAGAGGACGCACGCGGAACGAGTAAGAGATCAAGAGATACGCGTAGACACACTACATGTCGGCACCGGCTCCCCTCATAGTGTGTTTCTGGTGGGGGCGAGAACACACCTACTGCCCTTGTTCCGCACTTCTGGGTCAGCAAGGTGGTTTCTGAGAGTCGTGTGTATGGAGATGTGGTCCGTGAGGTGATTCGTGCGTGATTGATTCGTGCGTGATTGATTGAGTTAGGACATTGGGGAAACACAACGGTCACCAGAGCTACACCACAGCACAGCACCTTGCGCCATATTTTGTCGACGTGGAGTCGCTGGATGCTCGACGTCAAAACGAGATGCATTCATGAAGAGGAGGTGAATGTAGAGGTACCTGTCGTAGTGTTTTGTATTGACTGCCTGTAACCACACCTCTCACAGCAGGAGGGATATTACAGTAGCGGTGCTGGCGGACATGTGCCACTCGCCTCTGGTTGGCTCGACAATCAGGCCTGTTCAAGATCCGCCCTCTCCTCTCATTCAGTTCATCATTTTAACGAGGTGTAGCTGGAATTCAAGTCAGACGTGGTGTGTACCGGTTCATCCCACGACCTCTTGCTACATACGTCAAGGTCGAGACTCTTGTCCGGTTTGAGGGACGCGTTCGTTCCAACCGGCAGCCGAATCACCTTGATGTCACGTAACATTGTGCCATCTCCGCCGCTTCCCCTGTTTATTTCCCATTGCTACATCTGTTTGCTTTCTGCCCTTGGCCCCTTGGCTATTCTCAGCATCACTTGAAGCATCATAGTCCACTCATACAGAGGTTCACCCCATGTCCTGAAGTCCAGCTGATCCCAAGCCCATCTACAAGCCACAGTCGACGCGCGGGTGCCAACGACCGAACCCCGCTTCCACCCACACGCCAAAGATGGTGCCTGTTCGTCCCCTCTTCCCCCCTTGGCCCTTCTGAAGACCGCCGCATGCCGTGAAGGGCACTTGCGTAGGCCGGTCCCAGGTTACTGGGCGACTCCCCATCACCCGTCGAGTGAGAATGCAGATCACAGAGTGGGGCCGGGGACTGAATTGCCTGCAACCAACCCATTCTGAATCTGGGCATTGTCTACCGTGGCAGACGTTGGCCGTCTCTGTGCTGCTCACTGACCACTACCTCTTGATTTCTTGGTCACCATCAGCACTTACCGATGCGCCCGTGGCGTCACGCTTAGCAAGTGGGGGACGTGCCTGCGGTCTCTGGATCTCTGGATCGCCGGGTTTCCCAGAAATCGAATCAATTTCGTCACATTTGTAGAGGGTCTGCCACCTATGCACAATTCCAGTGTCCCGACCGGCGTCTGAGGCGTCTCACGTACAGACTACAGGGAGGTGAATAACCGTTTACGAATACAGCACAGCCGTGCGTGACGTGAAACGTGTACGAAGGTGGCATGGGCAGAGTATAGGACACAGTGTATGTGAAAGAGGGAAACAAATAAACAAACATGTTATCGTCAGCGAGAAAAGCGAACGACACAATGAACATCAAGTCTGACTTCTCTGTGTTCACACTACCAGTTCGACACAATACTCTGGAATAGGCCAGGCAAGGGATGAAACTCCATTTGGCTGTAGGAATGGCTCTAGAACATGCTTAAGATGCGCCACAGACGCCGAGTTAAGATCCGTTATTACGTGAATCGTGTAACCAGTAACTGGAAACACCGAGTGGCACCGTGTCCACAAGCACTATTCGGAATCGACGGAGCAGGCACTCTGCTGCAAAGGCCAGTCATGCCAGTCAGTTGTACAGTAAGTGCGGTCGCCGCTTACCGAGCTCAACGGCAATGACCACTGGTATAAATATAAAGCGCCTCACAGTTGCGCCGCTTCTTGCGCCGCTTGTTCTGCCGCTCGTCGCAACGCCACCGCCTTTGCTACACAAGCACCCCCAAAGAGGCACCCGTTGGTCAGCCGCTCACGTAGAGCCCAGACTGTGACGTCGGTAGTGAGCCGCTGATCTTGAACACAGTGTTGCCGGGGTCCAAGTGGACCACACATACTGTGTGAACAGAATACTTATGCTCAACCAGGGCGAGGGCCTATCCCACCCTCCGCAGAGTTTGTTACACTTCGTTCGTCCACCCCCCACCCGCACTCTGTCAAGCCCTAGCACACGGCGTGACATACGGCAGTCACGTCGCCACTACGATGCACATCCGCACTTGCTCGTTGCTCACGATCTATTGAGTTTCGGCTACGGCCGACAAAGGCTGGCGGAGCCGGGGTACCCGGGTAATACTCGGGATGACGTGTGTTGAGCGCTGTGGGGGCCCTGGGCTAAGCCGTTCGCAGGGATCGCAGGCCAACATATTAAACTTACAGGACGCGTCCAGTGCGCCGCAACGCCGCTCCAACGAGATCCAAAAAGCCAACAGCTCCAGCCCGCACATGGACCGTTAACCCACAGGCAACAGGCTTTCATATACCTAGGTCCGCCCAGCCGCGCAACATCTGACATCTTGCCGTCCCCCCAACCCCCACAACCATCAACAAAATGATACCCATTCCGCGCCTCAAGCCCGACGGGGCTGCGATTTTGAACACTGCGCTCGCCGCAACGGGTGTGCCGGGGACGCTCGCCGTTGCCAACGCCGAGGGCATCCTCTTCAGCGGCACCACTGGGCCGTTCGACCCCCTCAAGCCCGACAGTCGTGCGCTGAAGGAAGACGACCTCATGTGGTTTGCCAGCACGACCAAGCTCCTCACCTCCATCTGTGAGTACCCCTCTCCTCAGTTGCCGTGGGGACCTGCCTTTTTTCTTCTGTGGGCTGACGCACACCCTCCTCCCAGGCTACCTCCAGCTAGTGGACAGGGGGTTGCTCACGCTTGACACGGACATGCGCACCAAGTTTGCACCTCTGGACGAGGCGGCGTCCAAGATTATCGTCGGGTTCGAAAAGGACGACACCCCAATCTACAAGCCCAACACCGAGCCTGTGACCCTCCTCAGCTTCCTCAACCTGACCTGCGGGTTTGGAATGGAGTATGGGCCTACAGTGATGAGGCACAAGAAGCGTGCGGCCAAGGGCAGGGGGTTTGTCAACTCGTGCAAGGTGGTAAGTGATACAGCAGGGCAACGACCACCGTATCTGCCGCTGACTTGTGCCAGGAAAACCTCATCCACACGCCCCTCTGTTTCGAGCCTGGTACAAGTTTCCAGTATGGCAACTCGTTCGACTGGCTGGGCCTCATGCTACCCCATTTGACGGGGACTAGCTCGGAGGACTACCTCCAGGACAACATTCTGAAGCCTCTGGGCCTCAAGGCCACGACCTTTTTCCCCTTTGGTCCGGACTGGGATGACAGACTCATGCCGCTGCGCTGGAGGCGCTCAGACGGAGTCTTCCAGGCCATTGACCGTAAGAGCCCAGCAGCAATGCTCATGCTGCCGCGAAAGTAAGTCTGCAGCACAAGTGGACACACTTTGGCTGACATTGGAAGAAGGGAGGAGATCGAGTACGTTGTCGGGGGCGGCGCTGCGTATTCCACCAGCCACGACTACGCAGTCATCCTCCAACACCTTTTGGCCCACTACGTCGCCATTCACAATGGCGCACCCCGCCCGGCCAACCCAATTCTGTCGGACAAGTCTGTCGAGTCGCTGTTCAACCCCACCCTCCCTGAGTCGGCCATTGAGGATGTGGCAGAGTGTGTCACCCACGTCCTCGGCGAGGCCATTGCTCCCGGCGAGGCCGACTGGACCACGGCCACGGCAATCTACACGCCCCACGACGGCCGCCGGCGTCCATGCCTGGGTATGCCTGGCCGCCATGCTGGCAGCATCGGGTGGGGCGGGGCTGCTGGAACACTGTATTGGATTGATTTGAAGGCGGGAATTGCTGTGAGTCACCCGCAGGCACGGAGAGGGGGGATATGGGCCCAGCCGGGGATCCGGGGATATGGACCCCCCAGCCACCGCGATACGAAAGCAAGGTGGACCACCAAATACTGACGGGCTGCACAGGTGGCAATGTCGACGCAGGTGCTGCCAGGGACGGGACTTGCAACTGTCGCATTCAAGGACACTCTGGAGGCGGCTGTCTATGTTGCATTGGAAGGAGGTGGGCGATTGCAAGCACATTATTGAACTACACACATGTATTATACTGGACACAAATGGGTGACTTTGGGCATAGGGTGGTCGAGGTACGTACCATATCTGCTACCTCGACAGCGATGTCTTGCGGGCCACTGGTACCAGTATCCACGGTGTCGGCGATCGTGTCTCCCTGCCAACTGAACTCGTAGCCGAGCTGGTTCGCGCTGCTGCATGCTTGTGGTCGAGTGAGATGGAAGGATGATGCGTAGGGGATCGGACGAGACCGTTGGTGCCCCCGAGAGTGGTGCCTGGGTGGTGTATGAACGCGCGCGCCACCCAGCGCCAGCCCGTGTGCTTGCCCGAACCACCCGATCGAGAACGCACACCACGCGCAATCATCGTCTGCCCCATATCTCTCAATCGTCCATCCATCCAGTTCTTGTTCATCACATATACCACACATCCAGCAGCCTCGCATCATGTCGTCCACCACGGGGGTATCCACCCTCATCGCTGGCATGTTCCTCACAGGTTGCGCCAACAGTCTCTTGTAAGCATCGCCACCCGCACACGCGGAGACCGGCCCCCGTCGCGCGTCCCCCCGTCCCCGTGTGCTCAAGCTCACCACCGACAGGACCAAGTACCAGGACAAGCTCTGCGTCGAGAACTGCGATGGCAGCGGCCCCCGCATCGACTTTGAGCAGCCCGTCTACCAGACACTCAAGTGCGTATCTCCCCATCCCCACGAAAGCTTCGGCATGTCCCGAAACGGGAGCACTGCAAGGCTGCCCCCCTCGCGCCGCCGCCGTTACCGCCACCGCCCCGGTAGTCGGACTGCCCCACGCAGCGAGACCATGGGCCACCTCATGAGTCTATCAGATGAGGCTGGTCCACGGCAGATTGGCCATTGGGGGCGCATCCATCGCCAAGAACGGAGGTGGTGGCGCCAATGTACAGTTGAGCACACCTCAGCTGACATCATACAGCATGTTCATTGGCGAGTTCCTCTGTGTCCTCCCGCTGCTGTGGAACTACCTCAACGCGCCGACAAAGGGCCGCCCGTCGTACCTCTCTCGCCTGCTCGCTCGCGAGGGCGAGGAGGGATACAGCCCTGTGCCAGCCGAGGCCGACGACGACGACGATGCCAGCGTGTCGAGCACCGAGACCCAGGTTGGACAGACGCGCATGCGTGGATTTGCCGCGTTCTGGCTGTGGTTCCCGGCGTTCTTTGACAGTGAGTCTCGTTCAACGTCGTGGGCGCTATTGGACTAGCTGGCGGCGTGTTGTGATCCTCCTGCCGGGTCGATCCGCACTGCCTTATCATACGCCCAGACGTCCAAGGCAGTCGTGGTCGTGTGAGCTGTGTGGCGTGTGGAATGCTGCTTTTTGCCTCTTCCATCTGGATATCCCGAAACCCGGCTGACAACCGCAGTCTGCGGCACGACTCTTATGAACGTTGGCCTCATTCTCACTCCTGTCTCGATCTACCAGATGTCGCGTGGTGCGCTGGTGTTGTGGGTCGGTCTCCTGTCTGTCCTCTTCCTCCGCCGCCACCTGTTTGCATACCAGTGGGCATCTCTCGTTGTCGTGACGCTTGGTGTCTGTCTCGTTGGTCTGGCTGGCACGCTCGTCAAGAAGGCTACCATCGGCGATGGCGATGAGCCTGCCGACCTCGTCACCCGCCTTGTCTACGTCGCCACCTCGACGCGCGCCGAGGACGACCCCGCCAAGGTCGCACTCGGTGTGGCCCTCATCCTCTTCGCCCAGATCTTTACTGCTAGCCAGTACGTCATCGAGGAGAAGATCATGTCCCACTACACCATCGAGCCCCTTGCTGCCGTCACCCTCGAGGGCATGTTTGGCGGTCTTACGACTCTGATCGGCATGCCCATCCTGCACCTGCTCTTCGCCAACAAGTCGCCCTACTTTGACGTCCCGCGCGGCTGGCACCAGATTGTCAACAACCCGGCCGTCATGTGGGCCTCGTTCGCCATTGCCCTCTCGATTGGCGCGTTCAACTTCTTCGGTCTCTCTGTCACCTCGCGTGTGAGCGCCACCACCCGCTCGACCATCGACACGTGCCGTACCCTCGGTATCTGGATCGTGTCGCTGCTCATCGGATGGGAGACGCTCGTGTGGCCATACTCCCTCCTCCAGATCACCGGCTTTGGCATGCTCGTCTACGGCACGTTTGTGTACAACGGTCTCCTGCAGCCCATCTTCTTCACTGTCCCCCCCGCGATCCAGCTCCCAGAGGACGAGGACCCCGAGATCCCCATCATGCCCGAGCACACTTGAGCCACCCGTGTCTCGCTATATATATATATCAAATCTCTCAATAGCAGTAGAATTCGCATGGAACAATATGTATGGACGTGGATTGTGCCTGTGTACAAATGGTAGATATATGGCAGATGGCAGATGGCAGTTGGCAGTTGGCAGTTGGCAGTTGGCAGTTGGCAGTTGGCAGATGGCTCGTGTGTGCAGATAGAAACATGCCCCGTTCTCATTCCCTGCGCTCGCTTCATCACATGACCTTTCCCTCGCATGTCCGGACCGGAGCATCTTCACACATCCTGTGGACTCGAGTGGATGAGTGCGTCGGCCGGCAGGGCGGCGATACCATCCGACTGGGTGGGCGTCACGGGGGTGTAGGGCATGGTCGGACCCACGGGGCCCGACGGGCCGGGGGTCGAGGGTGCGGGCGGCGTGGGCATGGGCATCGTCATGGTCGCCGACGCCGTGGGCATGCTCGTAGGAGTCGCGGGGGTCGGCAGTGTAGTAGTAGCAGGCAGGGGCAGGGGCGGGAGCGTGGGGACCACCATGGTCGCTGGCACAGGCGCAGACGTCGAAGTGGAGTTCCCGGGGGCGGTGCCGGTGCCGGTGCTGGGGCTGGTGCTCATCCTCGCGCTGGCGCTGGCGCCCGGGGCGTGAACCTGGGCCTGCACCGCCGAGTCAACGAAGGGACCAAGCTTGGCAGCAAGCAGGCTCAGTTCGGCGTTGCTCAGCTGCGTAAAGTCGATGCTGGCGTACGCCGCAATCTCAGCGGGAGTGAGCGCGAGCAAGGTCTCGGTCTGCGGCTGCGGCAGGGTCTGCGTCGGCCCGGCGGCGGCGGCGGCGGCGGTTGCAGGAAGGTTGTTGCAGTTGTCAGAGGTCATGATGGGGTTGCTCGCACTGCCGGATCTCGAGGCAATTGCGTTCGAGTTCGGGGTGGCAAGACCGATACGGTCGTTGCCCGTATGGCGAGCCCACAGAGGAGGCACCTGGTATGTCGCGTGCGGCGCCTGGTTGGCGGGAAGGTTGGGGACGTAGTATGAGGGAGTAGAGACAGTGGACGGGCCAGCTGCATGCGACTGGCGGGCATTCGCCATGCGAGTCTGGGTGTAGTTTGAGTAGCTCGAGCTTGAAGGCTGGGTCGAGTACGTCGGGATTGGAGGCGGGGGCATGATAGCCCTAGACCTGCAGGTTATGGGTTTGGCCGCGCGGTTTTTCGTTTCACTAGGGGTATAATATGCACAAGGTACGGCCAGACGGGGGACCTACGCAGCCATGGCATACTGGCGCTCAAGACTCTGTCAATGCGCGATAGCGACAATGCACAGACGAGCAGCGCGGACAGCCACGGCGACAAGTTTGTCCAGCCGATATTTCATGGCGAGGTGGAGCGAGTGGGTGGGTGGTGGGTGGAGGTGCGTCGTTCGTGGGTGGTGGGGTAGTCATATCGGAGGTCGTTGGATATATGTGTTCGTTGTTGATGTTGTAAGAGGTTTATTTCATAGACTGTCTAGTCAGTGGTCCCCCCAATATCACCCCGGACGGACCTGTTGGAAAGTGACTGAACTCGTCGAGAAGAGACGGTCGACGTCAGAGTTATCGACCTTCTTCTTGTTCTGGGTACCGGGAGGCTTGAGGTAGTTGTCGAAGCCCTGTAGTGTGAAGCAGAGGAGGTGGTGTGCGTGAGAATGCAGTGCAAATACAGCGCGCGTACGGTCAAAGGAATGGAGCAGACACCGGCCACGACAAGGAGGGTGGTATAACCGCGTCAGTCACTGCTCGTTCATGCAGGCGAGGCAACACGAGCGCACCTTGACAATGTTACCGCCAGAAGCCGCCGTCTCGTCGAGATAGCTGCCCTCAAAGGCCCAGATCGACGCTTCGAGGTTGGCCTACAGCGTCAGTGACGGCGGGACACACGCCCGCTCATGGTCATGCGTACCAAGGTGGAGTCAATGGTGCGCTTGCGGCGCTGTGCGTTCTCGAGCTCTGCAAGCGCAGCCGCCTGGGCCTGCTTGGCGTCTGCGGGTGGGCCTGACTGGGACATGGGGTTTGGTGTTAGTTGGCACAATGGGCGACGACCAGAACGATGTGTGGAGTGGAAAGTAAATGCAACGGAGCAATCCCAGAACGTCACCGGCGATCACCACCGCCCTGCGTGAGTGCCACATGCACGGAGAAAAGCCAAAAAACCGCCACCCAGGTGCAACAAAATGTTTGGTATGCAACAGAAGAAATCAATCGATGGTGACAAGCATGACGACAACGACAGTCTGAGGCATATGATCCATCATACACGACACCCTAGTGCCCTCCCGAGCATGCAAAAAGCAATCTATGCCTCAATAGCGGCAACGGTCTGGCCAGTCTTGGCCGAGACGTCGAGGTCCTTGGCGCGGGTGACCTCGGACTGGGGGGTCGAGAGGATGATCTCGATGTGGCAGGGGTGGCCCTGGTAGGGGTTGCTGGGCATAGTCAGTACGAGTTTACACAACACTCCGCGGAGATCGCGCTGCAGAGCAGCACGGTCGGGGATGCTCACATGCGACCGTGGGCGCGGAAAGTGCGGCGGCGGGTCTTGGGGGCCTGGTTGACGACGATGTTCTTGATGAAGAGCTCCTCGACGGCAAGGTCCTTGGCGTCGGCGTTCGACTCAGCGTTCTTGAGGAGGCGGAGGATGTACTGAACCGACTTGACGGGCCAGCGACCCTTGGTGGTCTTGAACTGCTTGGCCTGGCCAGTGCGGCCCATCGAGCCGTCGAAGCGGCGGAAGGGAATGCACTGCTTGTGCTCCTGGACGTCCGAGAGGTAGGCGTAGGCCTTCGAGAGCTTCATGCCTGTGAACGGGTTAGACGGCGTCCCCATCGTTTCCACCTCCAACACGACCCCCAGGACCAGAGGGAACCACGCAACAATTCCGCCCTCCCAAATCTCCAAATTCGGGTCCCTCTCCCTCCAGTCCTGGCCTTGCCGTGCATTCTCTCGATCTACGCACCCGAGACGGCGGCGGCAACCTCGCGAGTGTTCTTGAAGTGCGAGCGGACGTACTCGCCGCGAGCCTTGGCGACTGCAAATGTCAGACCACTTGTCTCTTTCCTCCTGGACCAGATCTTCAAATCTGTCCAGCACTCTCGCGCGACATACACTTCTCGGGGTTCGAGTTAACGAGGTGGGCGGAGGCGTAGCGGACCTGCGCATTTCGTCAGCAATTGTTCGGCGTGCACGGCACGACGCCGTCGCCGTGTCCGCTGTGCTTGTACGCACCATTTTTTTGGGTGTTTGACGGTTACCTGCTTGAAGATGGCGACGACCGAAGAGCAGCACACTCCCGCCCACCGTACGCGGACGCCTCGCCAGCAGCCAACATGCGGTTTCCGGGCAAACGCCGCGCGTCGGCGTTTGAGCAGCGAAAAAGTGGCACTCCAGTTTTGCTTCCGTTCGATGTGATCAATTTTGATTCCGTCCAACGTCACCCCCGGTGGAGGGCGATCGCGATGGTTACAAAGTCGTTTGTGCATCACCTTGCGGAGATCCAACTTGCATGAACCAGCAGAGTGCCAGAACACACACAGTCCAAACAGAACACAGTCCAGAGTAAACATGACACTCACACTCCCTTGATCACTTACCCCCATTACTATCATGGTCATCGAACCGTCCTCCTCACTGACCACCGCCCACATGGTAGGGTCCCCTTCCGCACAAAGCGCGCCTCGACAGTTGTACAACCGGCTGCTGCTCTAAACAGCGTCCAGATATGTCTGTTAAGCAAGGTGGTGCTTGCACAGCGGTGCAGCGGATAGACGAGGATCCACTATGTTCCTTTGGACCTGGTCCTGTGATCGAGTTCCAGGCCACGCTGATTCCAGTGGCCGTCCTCATGTCGGGTCACACCTTGCCCGTGTTCCCGTTCTCCCCAGCCCCTCTTCTGCGCCTCTCTTCTGGGCTGCTCTCTTGGGCTTGTACACGCGTAGCGTATCGTCCCGGCATCCATGTGCTGGTTGTGTGCCTGGCCTTGATCTTTGTTGCCAAAGTCAACGGCAGGCGTGGGCTTGGCTGCACTGTTCCCAGTTACCAGCATGCCAGCACTGTCAGATAACTGTTTGTGGAGGTGCATGTGGGGGGGGGGTGGCTAGCGGTGTCTGAGCGGGACCTGAGGGCGCTGTTCGCTTAGGGTTGAGAACAAAGTACGCCTGCAGGAGCGTCCACTGGATAGCCCCGTTGGGTCCAGGGGCCGCTGGTTGGGAGTGTGGACGCGTAACACGGGAAGGTTATCATCCTCACGCACTCCAGTCCTCGGGGCTCTGTTCTCTCTGCATGTCATCTTTCATTGTTTTGCAGTATACAAAACGATGCTCCAGTCGCGTCTCGGTACAGGAGGACGCCAGGCCGTGATGGATCTCGTAAACACCCCCAGGACTGACCTTGGTCCCTCCGCAGCAACACCTTGCGACGCGCCCAGTAGTGCGGCAGGGCTGCGACTGCTCTTCGGTGTATGCTCTTCGCCTATGGCATTTGCCGAATCCCTCCTCACAAACAGGCGCGCGACCGCGGTCCTGCCGTGGCCATAACAAAAAGCGCGTATCGGTCTGGCTGCGGCCTTTACCGCGGTGTGTGCCACAGGGCGGAAGTAGACTGCGTGTTATTATGGCGTCAGCACCGGATTTCCTATGATCCTATGGCGGCTACCACAAGGTGGGCACCATTTACTGTGTTGTTAGCTTGACATGTCATGTGACCAAGACAGAGGGCAGCTGGAGAGAGACCGATCGGGTGCGGCCAAGGTCTTGGCACTACAAACCATATGCCTCGCCACAGCCCGGACCAGCCCCACCACATGCAACGGGTAAACGGAATGGCTCAACGGGTCCACATGGATCCACATGGGTCCATTTCTTGGTGCCCCGGCCATGCGTCGAGGCTTGAACGCCGTCCCCGGTTGTTCCGGTCCTGCCAAGAGACGGGGACGCTCAGCTAGTAATGGTTAACCGTCTTCCGCCCACATCGGCCGGATCTGCCATTGGCTCTGGATGTCGGGACTGGTGGCCGTTCACGCCCTGCACGAGGACGTTCGGCAGTCTACGCAACTGTGTTCCGACCTGTTCCAACGGGTCAAGGTGGCGCCGCCGCGGGAAGAACATGTGTTTGCCTCGAAAACCGAGCGCTCGGTAAATTTGGTTTTAGTAAAACATGCTGAGCCCAACACGTATGTAAATAAACACACGTAGTAAGTGTTCTCCTGCGCCGTCTGACGGTGAGGAGTGTTTCGGCGATGGTGGAGCAAGCTCCGAGCGTCTGGCCGATGCTGGTGCCGGAACGCCGGCTGTGATAAGCGTGTCCACAGTGGGCATGCGGAACAGGTGAGACCGTGGCTTGGCGCCAGTCAAAGCACAATGTTGCGCGATATGGCGCTCAACCAGGCACTGTCCATCGATAAGGCGCATTAGGGAAGGAAGGCGCGGAAATTGAATGTGGCACCCACCTGGTTGAAGTCTTGGCTAAGTGTCTTGGCTGTCGTCAGGTGGTGTCAGGTGGCCACGTCACAGGAGAAACATCAGAGGGGGTGTGCCAGAGACAAGCGGGCTTGGCATGGCCCACATCGCTAAGACGAGGTCAGCGTCTACTGGCCAGACGCTTGCTTTGAAGCTGGTGGCGTGGTCCGCTTGTGAGCCCCAACTCAGGGTGGGAGTGGCAGATGGGCAAGAGGGTGCCACCGATGTGATACAGAGTGTGCACAGGCAGATAGCATTGTACGGGGGGTCCCATGTATAACTACCATGATACCCGTAGGCGGAGCCACCCCTATCCCCTCCACACCTGTGTACCAGCTCAGAGGTGGAATTTATATAACAACCGCTGCAAAGCGACAACCGCAACAACAACAACACCAACATGTCGTCGTCGTCCGACATAGAGAAGGACGTTGGCAAGACCCACGACAACGGAAACGTTGACGTCGGAGCCGCGTACCCGGATGAGGGGTTCTATGACCCCAGCAAGGAGAGCGCTCTCACGCGCGCGGGTCTCAACTTTGAGAGTTTCAAGCGTGCTCCCGGCACTACTCGGTGAGTGGCTGCCGCAACGCGCTCGATGGGCGAGTACTGACACACACACACAGTGGTCTTGTCGCTCACGGTGACATCCCACCCGAGTTCCAGCAATATGACAACCCTCTCCTCCAGCAGAAGATGAAGCCCAGGCATCTGCAGATGATTGCCGTCGGTGGTTCCATCGGAACTGGTCTCTTCGTGCGTCCGTCGTGTCCTCTGCGCCACCAGTCACCGTGGTCGTATGCTGACGCCACACACAGGTTGGTTCGGGTTCTGCTCTCGCTAAGGGCGGCCCCGCTGGTATTCTTTTGGCATGGATCATCATGGGTGTGATGCTTATCAACGTGAGTTGAGTGTGGCACCTGGGTCAAGGATCGACCCCTCCGTTGGAACATCCGCTGACAACATCAACAGGTCACCCAAGCTCTCGGCGAGATGGCCATTGTGTTCCCCGTCTCTGGTGGTTTCTACACGCTTGCGAGCCGCATGTTGGGTGAGTTTGTGCAATGACATGGGCGAGTGCAAATGCTATGGAGAGCAGTGCAGTGCCTGGGGAGACGAGGGCGTTGGGCTGCAGGTGCCACTTTGTGGCGGCCCGCCCCGCCGATCACGTGTGGCGTAACCTTCCACCCAGGACATCATTCTGACGCAACCAGATCCCTCGTTCGCTTTCGCTATGGGTTGGAACTGTAAGCATTGTTTCTGCGGACGTTCATGACTTGTCCATGAGCGTACCGTCATGTCGCAGCAACGGCTGACCATGTAGATGTCTTCCAGTGGGCCGTTGTCCTCCCTCTCGAAATTACTGTCGCTGGTAGCACCGTTCAATACTGGACGGATGCCGTCCCGCTCGGTGTCTGGATCACCATCTTCTGGGCCATTATCGTCTTCTTCACCATTCTCGGCACTCTTGGATATGCCGAGGAAGAATTCTGGTCGTCGTGCCTCAAGCTTGGAGTGGTCATCATTTTCCTGATTATCGGCATTGTCTGCGTCTGCGGCGGTGGCCCCGCGGGAGGTGACTTTGACCACTACATCGGTGGCGCCTTGTGGCAAAACCCCGGTGCATTTGCCAACGGCTTCAAGGGTGTCTGTGCCGTGTTCGTCACTGCTGCCTTTTCGTTTGCTGGTACCGAGCTCGTCGGCCTTGCTGCCACCGAGACCCCCAACCCCCGCAAGACCATGCCCTCGGCCGTCAAGAACACCTTCTGGCGTATCACCCTTATCGTGAGTAAATGCTCGGTCCATGCCACATTTGCTGACTGGTACAGTACGTCTCGTCGCTCGTTATCATCGGCCTTCTCGTTCCCTACAACGACGACCGCCTCTTCAACGGTTCCGGCGCCGATGTCTCCCCCTTCGTTATCGTCATGGACAAGGCCCACATCAAGGGCATGAACCACCTGATCAACGTCACCATTTGTATCTCGGTGCTCTCCATCGGTCTGTCGTGTGTCTACGCCGGCTCGCGTACTCTCACTGCCCTCGCCGAGACTGGCTACGCGCCCAAGATCTTCGCTTTTGTTGACAAGGCCGGTCGCCCCCTCTGGTCGCTCGTCTTCATCCTCGCCTTTGCCCCCCTCGCCTACATCAACCTCGCCGACGTCGGCTCGGCCGTCTTTGACTGGCTCGTCGCCCTCTCGGGTCTCAGCACACTCTTCACCTGGCTCGCCATCTGTGTCACCCACATCCGTTTCCGTCGCGCCTGGAAGGTCCAGGGCCACAGCGTCGAGGAGCTCCCCTTCAAGGCCATGGGTGGTATCTGGGGCTCGGTCATCGGTGCTAGCCTGATCGTCATTGTCCTCATTGCCCAGTTCTACATTGTGAGTGTTGCGCTACATGGCCAACAGAAGAAATCTCTTGCTGACCGTCTCCCAAGGCTGTGTGGCCCATTGGCGGCAACGCTTCTCCCGGCGAGGCTGCTCAGTCCTTCTTCCTGGCATACCTTGCCGCTCCCATCATGCTTGGATTCTGGATCATCGGCTATATCTGGAAGCGCGGTGTTCCCCGCCGTGCCTCCGAGATCGACCTCGACACTGGCCGCAAGAGCTGGCTCACCGTCGAGGACATGCGCGCCTACCGCGCCGAGCGTGCCGCCGCCCCGATGTACATCCGCATCTACCGTATGCTCTTCTCCAACTAGGTGTCCGGTCCTTCACTGTCTGCTGAAAAGGGGAGGGCAACGCCTATTTTATACATAGTGATATTTTAAAAGTTGTTTACCTGATGAAAGTTGTCTTCTCTCTCGCACCATTGCGGCGATGCTTGCGACCAGCAGTCAAGTCAGCAAGAGGTACATGTGTTAAGACGCGGTTGTAGTTAAATGAGGCCAAAAATGACCGTGTGAAGGCTGACAGCCGAGGTGGAATGCCTGGGTTGGTGCCTGCCACAGCAGACGACGTGTGTTCATGGGCCACAACAACATGGATCACAAGCCAGCAGTCACGACACTCTGCCAGGCATTCGTCATCGACCACTGCACGAAGGAGCAGGCGCAACGCATCCCGTTGGCAGTGGCACTTGACAACAGATGACGCACCCACTCTTCGGGTCGCCACAACCCCGTCGCGTTTGACCCCGCCCGCGCCCACGACCTTGGTCGCCGTGTGAGCTACACCCGCCCTCCACTCTTCGTATGTACTCTCCACTACTGCCCGCCCTTCTAGAACTTAGAACCGGTGCGTCTGGACACGTCGTGTGGTTAATTAAGGGCGACCCGACTGGTGTATGCACCACAGGCGGCGGGTCCCACCGCGGATATCTAGGCGTTGCCCGTGTCTCAACATGAAGCGAGCAAGCGGCCGACCGCTTAACAAGTATGTACAGTACTGCTCCTTCCCGCATTGGGAGATATCCACTCGAACCAGCCTCTACTGCCAGCTGTTGACGACACCCCACGGCCCAGGCTGCCCTGCACCACTTGTTCGGCACAGTGGTAACCCCAATATGGTCGGTTGGGTGGTCCAGGGAACGGGGGGTTTCCATTAGCTTGGCCATCTAGCTTGCGAGTCGTTGGGCGAGTGGGGGAGGACGTCATGGCGTATATGGGGTTTGGTCTAGTGGGCGAACTGGGACGAGGGAGTGGCAGAACTCTGCTGCTGGCTATAGGAGGTTGGTTGTGGCGCCGTGGCGCAAGGTGGTCTGCGATGCAGATCCCAGACATGGACGGGATCGGCAGAACAGTCTCGGATTATGCTGTGACTAACCATGGCGTCTGAATGGATGTGTGCACTTGCACAGCTGCGCTTCCATTGCGGTGTGTGCCACCCGTCACATGCCAGGATAGAGACTCCTTCGCTCCGAGTGGCCGTCCAGCTAATACTGCGCGCCACGCGCAAGATATTCCAAGCAGCAAGACCGGGCCAAACCACGGCCGAGAACAACGAACGGTGCTCTGCATCATTACAACCCACAAACACTCTTCAGACAAAAAAAAAAAGATCCAAGCCCAAGGCCTCCCTCCCTCCGATCGTATACTACTTCCTCTTGTGCTCCATCTCGCTCTTGACCTGGTTGATCGTGTCCTCGAGCTCCACATCGTCCGCCGCATCGACAATGTCGTCCTCCTGCTTGCTAGTCGCCGTTTTTTCAATGTTGGCAGACGCAAGGGAGACACGGGGCGAGTGGCGCAGGTCCTCGGGGTTGGTGCGCCGCAGGGGGCGGTTCATGCGGCGACGGGCGACCATGACGGGCACGGACGACTTCTGGACGAGGTAGTGCGAGGTCGAACCCAGAAGGATACTGTAGAGTTAGCAAGCCCTAGAAATTATAACTCACCCCTTGAGTTGGCCGAGACCGCGCGAGCCGACGATCACAAGCGTCGGCTCGAGGAAGTCGATCAGGTCGAGAAGCATGTGCCTCGCGTTTTTGGCGTGGAGAGCCTGGCACGTAACGGTAATGTTCAGGCGCGTGCGCGAGAGGAGGCCAGTCACTTGGCGGGAGAGGAGGACAGCGGTGGTCTGGCGCTCCTTTTGCACCTTGAGCTTGAGCGACTGGTCTTTGGACGACCACTTTTTCGGGTCGACCTTGCTCTCATCTTCCATGACGGAGATGAGGAAGATTTCGTCACCGTCACGCGCGACGGTGCCGACCGCCCACTCGACGGCGTATCGCGACTCTTCGGACAAGTCGGACAGCACGACGTAGCGACGCATGCGCTTGCCGCTCTTGTCGAGAGCTCCATCGGGGTCGCCCTGGTTGATGGTAACGGTGCATCGGTCACGGGCGTAGGCCGGGCGCGAGGTGACCATCTCGAGGCCAGACTTGACCGACTTGCGGCGCTTGGGACCGGGAGCCGAGGGGGCCTGGAAGATGGGCTCCTGGGGGACGACAACGTTGGGGCCCTCGCCGAGCACGTCCTGCTCAATCTCCTCGCCATAGACGTCAAAGTTCTGGCGGGTAGCCGGGTCGACACTCTCAGGGTCCTTGGTCGTCTCGTCGTCGCAGCTCGGTGCGTCATAGACGGCATTGGCCTCGGTGTTCTGGTTGGTCTCGTCGTCAAAAAAGTCGTCGACGTCAAACCCGTCGGGCTCGTCGGTGTGCTCATCCGTGTGTTCCAATTCCGAGTCGTTGTCATGTTCCTGGTCGGCCTCGGACTGCTCGTCTCCACTCTCGTCGGGAGACTCGTAAGCGGATGCCTGGGGGCGGAAACGGCCACGCTGGCCGCCAACCGACTCGCCGTCGCTCTCGGCTCCCACATCCGTCACCGAGTCCTTGCGCAGGGCCTGGATATCGGGACTCTTGTCGCGTGCGCGACGCTCCTCACGCGACTTGCGGGCACGGAAGAAGGGCGAGGGGGAACGAGAGCGGCTGGGGACCTTGGTCGCGGCTGCCAGTCCGCCAACAGGGCGCGAGGACAGCACCGTCGGCTTGGGCGCGGGGAGAGTCGTCACGGGAGCGTCAATGGGAGTAGGAGGGATGACGGTAGGAGGGGTTATGGTGGGGCCAGCGACTGCAGCGGCGCGGAATCCGAGAGCAGCCAGAGCGCCGGCTGTGGGCTTGTTGAGGTCCGACTTGGGTGCCGGCGTGGCAACCTTGACCGTTGGCTTGGCCACGGGCGGCGCGGGGGGAACGGGTGTACTTGTGCGGCTAGCACTCGGGGTGGTGCCAGTGCTGCGGCTGAGAGCGTTCATGATGAGGTCGGCAGACTGTTGTGTGTACCAATCGGGATCGCGGAATGACGAAGAGGAGGAAGAAGAGGGAACCTGTGTCAGTGGGGACGTTGCTGATGGGGAGGAAAGGGGGCTGGGGGAAGTCGGACTTGAGACGACTGTTGATGATGGGTCGCTGGTTGCGCGCGATATGGTCTCTCCGTCTGAATAGCCGAGAGAGACTCTGGGAGTGGGGATGCTGCCTTCACTGGTGCGGCGAGGAGGGCGGAGAGAGCTAAAGCTGGCGTCTATCGACCGTCTGAAGCGGCCAGACATGGGCCAGCGTCCGATGGACGACGACTCGCCTCCTCCGCCCCGTGGCGCGCCGTTAAGGGCGCCGCTCTCCTTGAGCTCGCTCAACTCGCCCTCGGGCACGGGGTCCAGTATGGGGCTCTTGACTAGGGTACTGTCGCTCACCTGGAAGAAGGGATTGGGGTCAGCTTGGCACTGCGCACGCCGAAACAGATGACGACAGTACTCACCTCATCCTTGCCTGCCCTTCCAGAGAACACTTTCAGTTTGGGCATTAGGTCGGTCAAGGAGGGAGGCGATGATAGGGAGCGTTGGAGAGGCGCCATGACGGACGCAGGTACGCAAGGGGCAGAGGCACAGGATGGATGAGGATAGTTGCGTTTTTTTTTGTGGACAGTGATGTTGATGATGGTGGCGACAACAATACAGAAGTAGAGAAGGACGTGTCAGCGTGTGTGCCGGTTTCTGAAAGCCAAACACGTTCATGGGCACGATACTTTTGGCGGTGGCGGGGCCTGCGGGGGCTGGCGGAGCAGTCACTTTCGCGCACAAAGGTGGGAAAGCAACTGACTCGCACCAACAAGCGCACATGCCGCGTGGACCGGAGTAACGGGGGATGGGGAGGCGTTGGTCTAGGCCGGTCTCGTCGCCATTCAACATGTGTGTGCCCCCCTCCGGTCCGCCCACGCGCAATCTGTGTGCAGTAACTCACCGTAATCGGCTGCGGCCTGCACATCGTTGTTGCATTTCTGGCAGGTGCGCGTCAGCTGGTGTTCGGGGACGCCTCACTCTCTGCCTCTGCACCGCGCGCTGGGTGGATGACGCAGGTTCAGTGCGGCGCGTTGGGAGGGATCGAGACGGGTTCCCTTCCGGTCGAGGTGGCCCGTGCAGCGAAACCACACCGAGACACAGTGCACGCTGAGCACAGCCGGCATCGCGCGGGCTCGGGGCGATCCACGCACCGTGAGCGCAAACTTGGCGGACCGTTCGTTGATGCCGAGCGCCTTGAGCTTGTCCACCAGGTCGACGGGGGGAGCGGATGGAGCCATGGTAGATGTGTGGGTGAGGTGGAAAGAGGAAGAGGCAACGACGAGATGCCGTGATATACCAGATGCAGCTTGTTGGTGTGATACGCGCGCGGCGGCAACGGGCAGAGCCAACGACGACGGCGGCGGGTGTGTGGGTGTGCCGCCCCGAGAGAGCCCTGACGCCAGAGCCTGGCTTGGCCTCCACTCTGTGGTCTCGATCCTGGGTGGCAATTCGCAGCAACGACATGTCATGGCTGCTGCCAGTCTCAAATATGTGTCAGGCTCTGTATCTCTGTGTCTCTGTCTCTGTCTCTCTCGCTCTCGCGTGGCGGGTAACATAAAATGCATAGTCGTGTGTGTCGTAGTGCCATGTATAATAATGCGGAGGGGATATAGATATACAAATAAAAAATAAGGCGCTGCCCAAGAGCAGCGGGACTCAGGATGCAGGAGTGTCCTTGTTTGTTTCCAGCTTGTCCCACTCGGTAAGCAACAGCGCACCGACACCTGGCGAGAATGTTAGGTTTTCTCACTCCGCCGCAGCAACAACGGGTCAACTTACCAGGTTCAATCTCGGTACCATCACGCGACACCTTGACCTCGCGGTCGCCGTTCCATGGGTTGCGGAGGTGCCGTGTCCGGGAAAAGCTCAGAGGGTCTGTCTTGACCCACTGCAGTCTGAACGACGGAGCAAGCGACTCGCTCTCGTCGGGGACAGAGTTGAGGACTTCCGACGGACGGCGAGGCGCCGTGTCCTTGCGTCCAACAATGGGAATCTGGAGCGACGACGAGTGCTCAACGGCAGCGAGAAGGAGGTTGCGGGATTCGCGACGGTCGCCGCGCAGGAGGTTGGGGTCCAGCGTGTTCGTGCTTGCACGCCTCATGAGATCGTCCACTAGTTCGGGTGATTCGGAACGGAACAGGTCTTGCTCATCATCGGGGTCCGAAATGTGGAGGCCACCCATACCGTGGTCTCCCTCTGGGAGGTCGCCTGCCGAATGGCCGCGGAACGGGCTCGGCACCGGGTGCCATGGCGTCAAGCGGTAGGGATCCGTGGCCGAACGCAGCTGTTCACCCCGCTCTGTACCGTCTTCCTCCTCGCGGATCGGCGCGGGAGCAGGAGTCGACCCAGGATGGGTGCGACGGCTCGGGCCCCTTGCGGCGTCCCCATGGCTACGGGGGCTAGTGAGACCCATCGAGTTCTGGCGGGCGGCATTGATCGAGGCCTGCCTTGCCGGGCTGGTGGTTGTCATCTGGCGCTCGGGAACCTTGGGGTTGCGAACGCTGGGCGAACTCATCTTGGCATAGCCAAAGAATTCACCCGACCGGTTGGCGCCAAAGATGAGAATGACCTCTTGCGAGGTCCTAAAGGCCTGGTCAAGGATGGGCTGGTTGTGCCTCTGGGTCTTCCATTGACCAGACTGCACACTCTCCTCGAGGTCGGTAATGGACAGACTCTTAAGAATAAAGTAACGTTTGGGGAAGTGGTGTGCCAAAAAGCTCGAGTTTGTGCTTGCCATGCTCGCCGAGCTCTTGTGCGCCGACGAGCCGTTGCTGTGGTCACCCTCGGGCAACTCGAGCGTGGAAGTCCTTGGTGAAATGGTCGAGTCTTTGCGCTCCGCCTTGTGCTGGTCGACCCACGTCCGGTGCATGCCGACTCCGCGCTGAGCGCCCACACCAGCACGGAGGTCGTCGTCTTTGTGGCGGATACGGCATACCATACGCGGGCACCTGGCGTCCCATGGGCGGAGCGAGAGGCCGTTGAAGTATGGTACCGCCTTGTCGAGGTCTGCTTGCGAGGAAAAGTTGACAAACGCGCACGACGACCGCGAGATTAAGAAAATAGACGACGGGCCATGCCAGGTCTCGCCATTCTCGCCAGCACCGGTGGGAACCGTCGAGTTGAAGAACCGCCACAGCTCCTCATGGGAAACATTGCTCGGGCTGGGACGTTAGACACATGTCCACACGAACATACACACAGCACACACTACGACGTAGCGATGCGGGGGGGTACTCACACATTTCCGACCCACATCACCCACTCGCTGCGGCGAGCTGGTGGCTGCGGGTGATACTCCTTGCGCTCTCGGTCGGGGATGGGACGCTGCGAGCCCGCTGCAGGTGACGACTTTGCTTCTTCGCCAGAGGGACCACTCCACGATCGCCGCTGAGGATCGCGCGCGGTTGACGCAGTAGATGGGTTGGGCGTTACATTGGGCGCGTTGGTCCACGCCACGCCGCCCGCATGAGGCTGCTGTGGTGGTGGGACAAAGCCTGGGCGTACTTGCCTCTGCGTGGGAGCTGAGCCCGACCATGGTTCTGGAACTGGCGAGCCCATGCTCTCGACGCGGTCCATCTGCGGGCTGGCAGCCGGAAAGGGGCTGAAGAACTGGAAGGGCGACGAGATGACGGGCGACGACCATGTCGATCCCGGTGCGTGGGTAAGGTAGACCGAAGGGATTGAGTGGCGGTGACCAAGCTCGTCGGTGAGCTGGGGCTGTCCACCATGCTGAGGAGGTCCCGCGATACCGCTAAACGACCCATAGTATTGTGGTTGTCCGATTGGAGAGCCCGTCCATGCTGCCTGAGGCACGGGTGGCGTTGTCGGATGGAATGGTGGAACACCTGCTTGAGGAGTGTAGGCGTTGACAGGAGACGTGCGAGTCGAGATTGTCGGGTAGACGGGGTGGGTCGGGTCGACAGAGTAATCAGCGGCCGCAGCCATCGAGGGGTCGTAGTACATGTGCGGTGGGGCATAGACGGGCCTCATCGCCCCGTACTGCTGCTCGTTGTAGCGCATTTGCTCTGGTGGGATCCCATGAGGGGGCATGTAGTGGGAGGCATCCGTCGGGCCGTAGGAAGCGTGGAGAGCGTGACCACCGTGTGCACCGTGAGGCGGAGGGTGTGGTCCAGGCTGCATCGACTGAGCAGCAGCCGCCTGGGCAGCCGCGTGGTGCTGTTGTCCTAGACGCTCGTCATGTTGAGACATGACAACGGTGGCGATTTTTGTGGGAAGTTGATGGAAGGAAGAAGGATCGTTTGCGCGCCCACCAGAAGGAGTAGCAGGCGTCGTCGGTTTTGCGGGCGGCATGTCGTTTGCTTAAAAGTTAGGTTTAGCCATCTACATGGTGGGGGGTGGGGTGGGTGCGGAGGGACGGAGACACCCTGTGCACAGTAAACTTACCAGCGTCATTGTGAACTGCCAGCTGTCCACTTTCCGGCGTGTTGTTGTCCGGCTTGCCATTGTCGTCGCTTGATCGACCGACAATCCCAGAATCAGATGCACGACGTTGTGCCCCTGACCCAGGCGGCGAGCCCTCGTTGTCTCGAGGGGCAGATGTCATTGTCCGAGGAAGAGGTTCCAGTTGTGGGGATATGGGTGGTCGCTGCTTTGGCCGGGACAATGACCAATGCAGGCGCCAGGGTGCCGGGGAGGGGGGATTGGAGGGTGTCTGTAGGGTGGATGGGAGACGGGAGGTGCAGACAAGGCGGCTGTTATGCGTTGGGGCGTGATGGGGTATATGTGGGAGACAATGTTGTTGGTTGATGGGTGTTGGTTGGGATAATGTCGAGAAGCAACAAAACGAGGCGCGCGGACCGTCAAGCTGCCGAGATCCGATTAGGAGAATCTTTTGGACACGGACGAGGGAGAGACGGGGGAGGCAAGCTGGCGTTTGGCGGGTGTATACGCACAGCCGTGGCGTTTGTTTTGGGCTGTACTCTGTGCTGTTTCTGCAAAGACACCGATGTAAAAGACAGAGAGAGAGAGAGAGACAGACGGCGATGTGTTGTCGCGCGGCGTTGTCCCACAAAAGATGCGGTTCCAGGACGGTTGCAAAACGGAGGGGGGAGGGTGTGGGTGTGGAAGCGAGTTGGCTTGAGAGACAGACCATATGCTTGTGTCGCGAGAGAGGGCGGCTGAGAGGTCTGTTTTGGGTTCTAGGCCGGGGAACGCCGTGTACAGCCTCTAGCGTCGCAGATGGGGGCGCCTCCAGTTCTGCAGAGTGTGCGTGCGCAACGACGGCGCGCGCAGGTGTGTGGGCGGGACGGGCTCTAGCTCTCTCTCCCCCTGACCTGACGAGCGTTCTGTCGGGACCCAGATGTCCCACCAGGGACTCGTCTTTTTAGCCTGGTGAGCGCGCGAGCGGGCGACAGCCCCCACGCTGACGACCACGCAATGCCGCAACTGACGTAAACTGTCTGACCCAGCCCGTTGCCTCCCCTCAAGCGTCGCAAAGGCCAAAACGGACACCGACGGTACAGCGGTACACAGCGGGTCAAACCTCATCTGATCTCATCTCCACTCACTCACTTCGCTCACTTCTCTCTCTCCCCTCTCCAAATCGAATGAACACTTCAAGGGCCAGGTCCCGTTCATCTGTTCATAAGGCGGAGGTACAAGTGACCCACCCGGGCCACCGACAGGGTGGAAGATTACCATATGTCATGTCGGAATGACTCCCCAAGATCCCAGGGCTGGAACAGGCAAACAACAGAGCGGAGCATGTGCGTCCCGCGTCCAGCCCTGCAGCCCGTCGGTTTCGCTTTGCGATCGGATACCAAACGCACATGCCACCGTGCCACCGTGCTCTCGGGGCTTCGGGGAGGCATGGGCATGACGGAACGAGGGATTGTAACTGTGCTCATTCTCCGGTGCATGCTCAGATGCCCAGCCTCTCGGCGGAAGAGTACGTAAAACGGCACACCTGGCCAACAGGTGAGAGGGGAGAAGAAGAGGCATGATGACGCCAACCGCGATGCGAGGCTGCGAGATTCGTCCTAATTCCTTAATTCCTTATGCAACGCCCTCTCTCGTGGCCAAAATGGCCGTACATAAAAATATACTTACGTAATACTACCCCCCCTTCCCACTTTATAAACACCTGATAATCTGATAAAGCCATTCCATCCCACGTGCCGATCGCGTGCGGAGCATCATCTTCTGGATTAACGGGAGCCTCCCTGTTTACCTCTTGTGCACAATACCTTCCTCTCCCATCCTCCCCATTCCCTCATCCTCTCAAAACAATGGACGTCGACGTCCAAGAGACGACCGCGGCACCAGCCACAGACAACCAGCTGCTTGTCAACGAGCTCGGAAGCGTCTTGGAGAGCGTCGCAGCCAGCCCAAACAATGTCCGTCTGCTTCGCCACCAGGTCGACCTCATGATCGATGTCGGCATGGTCGACGAGGCAGCCGATGCGGCCGACACGGTATGCGACATTGCCTTCTTGGGAGAGAGTGCGTGTGTTCCGTTGTCCGGTGGCCAATTGACGGGATCCCGCTGACGTTACCAGAGCTCTGGCTCAAGCTCCTGGACGCAAAAGTCGCCAACTTGATTCAACCAGTTGGGTTGGAATCGTTTGCCGACGTCCTCGAGTTGTTTACCAAGGCGGAGCAGGAGTATCTCTGTAAGTTGTTGCACTCGTGAATTTCAACTGACATACCAGCTGCTGCTGTCCTTGCGCAACATGCCCGGTTCCTTCTCCGCGTTGTCGACGGTCTCCCGGAGGACGACTCCAACCTCGCGGCCGATCTCGAGGTGACCGAGTTCCTTTCCCCCGAGACTGTGAGAGAAATGCTCAACAGCATCGCCACACGTGCCAATGGCCTCTTGGACCAGAGCCAAGCGTTGTGGCAGCTGTGGATGGACTGGGAACTCCGTCTACTGGCAGCTGCCGACGGCGAGGAGAAGTGGGTCTCACTCAACTCTGTGACGAGTCACAACACTGACAGTGGCAGGAAGGAGCAGATGGCTCGTATCCACGAAATGTACCTCGAGCGCCTGGCTGTCCCCCAGGCTACCCTGGACGCGACCTCGAGCGCCTACTCGACCTTCCTTTCGGACCACTGCCCGGAGGAATACGAGGCGCGCATGATCCAAATCACCGAAGTGTCACAGCCGGCAAAGACCAAGTGGGCGACTGAGAGGAGGCACGGCAAGATGCGTGCGGACTTTGAGGAGCAGCTGGTGAGTTTGTGGCCAATACAAACACAAACTGACGCGCTAGGCATACAACCCCGATATGGGACACCAGGCGACAACCCTTCTCGCATACATTGACTGGGAGACCGACCCTCACGCTCGCAAGCCCAGGAGCAAGAACGCCCCTCGTACCGATGTCACTCTCACCCGTGCCGTCTTTGAGCGTGCGGCCCTCGTGTACGGCAATGCTGCTGCTACTGCCGAGGAGGCTTCCTTCATCGAGGAGGCTGCCGCAGGCGAGGGCAACGGGCACATGATGGAGACGTATGCGGCATACAAGATTGCCGAGGCCCTCGTGTGGGGTCGGTACGTGGACTGGCTGAAAGAGACTATCAGCCAGGAAGAGGACCAGGACCCGGTTGTCGAGCTTGCTCGTCGCTCAACACGCGCGTGTCCGATGAGCGGAGAGATGTGGTCTCGCATGCTGCATGTCTTGGTGAGTTGTTCACTGTCTCAGCCCAGCTGACAATCCAGGAAGCAGGTGCCGACGTTCTCGGTATCGAGGCTACGGTCGAGAAGGCTCAGAACTTGATTCTGGGAAACTCCCCCGCCGTGTCATCGCTCGTGGATGTGCTCTACACCCACGCATCTGTTCTCCACAGGAGGTACCGCGAGCTCGAGTCGTCGCTGGACCACCCGGTCTTCCTGAATCTTACTGCGGCTCTGCAGTTGGTGTCTGAAAACTTCAAGACGGGTGACCCCTCGTTGCGGCTGGAAAAGTTGTTCATTTCATGGGCCGAGGCTGTCGCAGCCGACTTGATACCTGGCGTCATCGCCGTCCTGGACGCGCCAGTCAAGTCTCGTGTGACCTCGTACCAGATGGCGATTCTGCGTGCCGACGTCCAGGCTCGCCATGGCGACGTAGAGTCGGCCCGTGCAGTGTACACCAGTACTATCACGCGTGCCGACCTCGACTGGCCAGAGGCAGTCTACGAGGCGTATCTCATGTTCGAGAATGTCTACGGCACGCTCGCGGACGTGTACACCGCCGAACAGCGTATACACCACGAGCAGCAAAAGGTCAACAGGCGACGTGAGAGGGCGGCGCAGGAGCAGGCTGCCCAGCAGGCCGCCGCCGCGGAGCAGTACCAGGCTGCTGTGGCTGCCCAGATGGCAGCCGCCGCCCCCGCGGTCGAGCCCGCGGCTGAGGTCATGGATGTGGAGAGCAATGCTCCACCTGCAACCGAGGCACCAGTCGTTACGGCCGCTGCGCCAGCTGCCACGACAAACGAGGAGCCAACAGACCGGGACGCCCACATGAAGAGGTTCGTGGCAAGATCCATTGTCGGGTGACGAGCGCTGACGTTGGACCCAGAGACCGTGAGAACACTACAATCCTGGTCACGGGCTTGAAACGAGGCATCGAGTCGGAGCGGGTCACGACATTCTTTGAAACGGTGAGTTCACGAAAAAAGGTTGTCCTGGTAGTTATCTAATATTGCTCGCAAGTGTGGCCCAGTGCGTGAGACTACGGTGCTTCCCGGCGATGAGACGGACGCGGCCATGGTGGAGTTCCGCAACGCGGACGCCATTCCTGCGGCCCTCGACAAGAACCAGAAGAAGATGGACGGCGGTAGCGCCATTCACGTGGCAATGCTGTGGCGCGCCACCCTCTACGTCACCAACTTCCCCAAGGCCATGGACGATGCGTCGCTGCGCAAGCTCTTTGAACAGGTGAGTTGCACAATTCCATGCAGATTACAACTAACCCATCAGTACGGCAAGATTCTCCAGACGCGCTGGCCGAGTCGCAAGTATGCCGATTCGCGCCGCTTCTGCTACATCACCATGGAGTCTCCTGCGGCTGCTCAAAACGCGCTCATCCTGCACAACTTCAAGGTGGACGGCTCGGCGTTCCCCATGCAGGTGCTCGTTTCGGACCCGTCTGCCAAGAAGAAGCGCAGCGACGCGTCCAACTCGACCCTGTTCGTCGGTGGCCTGAACGCAAAGACGACAGAAGCGGACGTGAAGCGCCTCTTCTCCGAGTACGGTTCCATTGCAAACATCAAGCTCGGATGGGACAATGCCAAGCGTATCTGCAAGGGATTTGCCTTTGTCGACATGGCGACGTTGGACGAGGCCAAGGCCGCGCTTGCCGCCAACGGCAAGCCATACCACGGCAAGGGCCTCAAGGTGGAGCTGAGCGACCCCAACTATGCCAACAAGAAGCACGAGGGCGGCGCACAGGGCAAGGGTACCGCCGCGGCGCGTGCCGCCATGGAACGCCGGGCGAGGCAGGTGTGTCTCTTCGACCTGCCTACGGGAACGCAGGAAGGTCTGCTGCAGCAGGCGCTCGAGAAGCTTGTGCCCGTCAAGCGTCTCGAGATCTTTGAGCACAAGAAGGAGGCCGTTGTCGAGCTCGAGTCCCAGAACGACGCCGGTCTCCTGCTCATGCGCACCGAGCCGTTCATCTTCAACGGCGCCACGATCCGCATCGTGGACCAGAACGCCGCTGTCGAGCACAAGTCCAAGGAGCAGCACAAGCGTCCGGCCGGCGCGGCTAGCGGCAGCGGCACAGCCGTTGCCGCTGAAGGCAGCAGCAGGCATGGCCCTCCCCTCATCCCACAGTCGTCGCTCGCGTTCGCCCCGCGCGCACGCAAGGCTGCCAAACCCCTCGGCAAGGCGTACGTGACTCCCAAAGCCGCCAAGGCGAGCGCTGCTGCTGCGCCGGCGCCGGCGGCCGGGTCGGGCCAGGACGCGTTCCGCGCGTTCATGACGGCCACGAACGAGCAGCGAAAGGACAAGCTCGAGGCCAAGGTCGCCGGTGTCGCTGGTGTCGCTGGCACGAAGCATGCGTTGGAGCCCGAGGAGGACGGCAGTGGTGCGCCTGGGGAGGGCGGCGAGGAGAGGGAGGGAAGCGAGCCGAAGCGTGCCAAGAAGGATTAGAACGAGTAGTTAGTATCAACACACACACCAATGCAGCATTCCCACATTTCGTCGCGCTCTGCTACTCAACAGTTACACGTCAATGTACATGCATGCCGGGCTGGGGAAACAGTCTACAATGGTTCTAACCGTCCGAGGGGTTCTAACCGTCCATCTCCTCTTCTCTGCTCCTCCTCTTGTGCAAACGTTCAACGTCCTTTCCTTCAGTCCCTCCTCCTCTCACCCTCTTCCAAAGAGTCTACGCCACCAGCGCTTGAACCTAAACCAACCGCCACCACCCCATCCACCACCCCGCTCGTCCGTACCGACCCACATGCGTCCCGTTCCGGCACGCAGGACGCCCGCGTCGTCCTCGGCCTCGACGCGCGGGATGGTGGCCGTCACGCCGTCGACGGTGACAGGCATCCACGTGTCGCTGCCCAGCTCGAGGTCCTTTGCCCGGGCGCGGCGGAGGGGGAACCGCTGGTCCGTCTTGGAGACGTAGCGCGGGAACAAGGTCATGAGGTTTTCGGCCTCCTCGTCGTTGATGTGTGTGGGGAACGTCCAGAGGCGGAAGCGGGCCTTGTTCAGGTCGGCCTCTTCCTCGGCCTCGTCGTCGTCTTCCGTCGTGGCGATGGAGATGGGCGACGTCGGCGCGAGGGTGGGCGTCGAGTGCATGGTGGGGGTTACGGGACCGTGCAAGTTGGGCGAGCAAGGGGGCAGGAGCGGTGATGCGGCGCCTCCGTCCTCTGGTGGCCAGCGGCGTTCGGTAGCGTACTGGGGGGCCTGGGTCGATGGCCGACGGCGTGAAGGCGGGGGAGGAGGGGCGGGGCCGCGGCCAGATGACTTGCGCGGCTGCACCACAGGCAAGGGAGCACGGTCTGTGAATGGGTCTGAACCAGAGCGCATGCGCTGGTCCTGCGTGGCGGTAGCGGGATCCTCTGGATAGTGTGAGACACGGCGAAGACGCGGTCCAGCGGTGAGTGGCTGGTCTGTGAATCCCAACACGCCCTTCATGATCGTGACGGCCTCGTGCATAAACTCGGGACCACTGGAGTACGAGTCAGCGCGCTGTGTGGTTGTAGGAAACATATTATCAACAAGACTTACCCAGACTCGAGGAAGACGGCGTCGTCAACTTCCCACACGACGCAGCGTGGTCCCGCACCGCCGCGAGGAGGCGGTCCGCGACTCTGGACACGGAGCACACTCCAAAGCCCACGAAAGAAGGGCTCAAGGGCGCCGGCACTGCCTCCCCATGTGCGGATAAACAGTCCCAGGCGGTCGGCGCGTTCAGTCTGGGCGCGGCGGCCAGCCAGCTCGGAACGGGCAGGAAGAGACAGGCCCGAGTTGGGGGCTGTGGCCGCCATGAGGGCGTGGAAGGACGAAATGCGCACACGGAGGTGGTGCAGATGAGCTTGGGCACGCAGGCTCGACTGGACACGCGTGTATGCTGCCCGGTGAGCCGGCGGGAGCGCTGCGAGCGTGCGCGAAATGTAGTTGGCGCTGTCCTCTGGTGGTGCGGCGGTGAAATAGAAGACACGACAGTGGTGAGCGAATAGCTCAAGCTCGGCGGGAGGCGGGCTGTGGACAGTCTCGCCCCGGCGAGTGAAGGTGCTTCCTTCACGGCCGCTCATGACAGACGGCGAACCTGTTGCGCCGCGAGAAGGAAGCGGGGGCGGTGTCCGGCCCGGTGCGGGTGATACCATGGGTCGTGGCCTCATAGCAGCGCTGTCTGCCGACGTGCGACGTCCGGGTGGTGGCCGCGCAGGTGTCCGTGGGGTTGGGCGAGGCTGTGGACGAGTTGTCAGCATGAGCAGTGATGGACAACACAACAAAGGTCCTCGATGACCGGAGAGAACCGTGCGTTGCTCAGCGCACCCTCCGAGGAGGCCGAGGTGGTGTCGAGAGACCACTTACAGGTTGAGGCTGGCGTCCTGGGCGCGTGGCCTGTGGTGAATACGGCCGGTGCTCGGCGGTGAGCATCGACATGGCGATGGGAGGCTCGGTGGGGGGCAGTGCTGTGCAAGTGAAAGTGGAGGAAATGGCCCGACGAGGGTGGTAACAAGGTCAAGGTCGCCAGCAAAGCAGTCGACGACGGACGGATAGCACGTTGCAGTTGTGGCTTGCGAACTGGCTTGCTATGGGCGGCGCTCGGCGCTGAGCGTGATAAGGAGGCGGCGGCGGCGGCGCGGGAAAGGTGTCGAAGAGCAAAGCCGCGTGATGTGGGAGGTGCGGCGTCAATGAGACCTCAGATAAACATGACCAGGGGCGTGGCCGTGGCTGGTTGACGGGGTGTACCCAGTTCTGGCCGACGGGCACGGGCTACGAGGGGTTGAGGAGGGGGTTGGGTGTGGCGAGAAAAGGGAGAGAGAGAGAGGGCGGAGCAAGTGTGTTGTAATGAGATGAGATGCACAAGTGTGTGTATGTGTTGTTGAGAGTGTGGGCGGTACACGGGGAGGAGAGAGCGGAAGCGAGAAGGATTGGGGTAAACGAGGGTTGTTGTATGGTCGTGTGCAGAAGATGACGGGGGGTGGTGGGAAATGTGCCGGTCGACAAGGGCGATATGATGCTGACGGTAGTGATGGCTGTGCGTGTGGGGGTGGTGTGTGTGTGTGTGTAAGAATGTGTGGCCTGTGGGAGAGAAATGCGAGTACAACTCGTGTGCGTGAGTGTTGAGTGTGTCGATCTCGCTGTGCTGTTTGATGTGCACAAATGCCTTGCATGCCTTGGCGGAGCACCCCGGAAACGGGTCTCTGTCTCCCTTTGCTGGAACTGCACCCAGGTGGGACGCGTCGTCGCTCGCTTGCACGCACACGCTCAAGAGCCCTGTTTGCCCGTTTCTCTCCCCGTTCAACCGGCCCCTAACACCCCCCCGTTTGGGCACCAAACCAGTCGACGCGCACCTGCTGCTTTCGGGACGGCCGGGACGGGGGGAGGCAAATACCAGTGAGCCATGTCTCGCAGTCGTCAACCCCATGCATAGGGCCGTCAACCCCATTCCCAGGCAGGGCGGCGTCGCGGCGTCCGGGGGTCTGCAACAACACACGCTCTGCTGTGCCGTCTCGGAGCTCGGAGGACTGCGCATCACCACCAGGTTGCCCTACAGGGGCGAACAGCATTTAACACCACACGCGCACGATCGTCATCGACAACGTCATAGCCATCGCGCTCACAGCAAGTGGACCGTTGCGGTGCCCCCTTTCTCCACGGACTCATTGTTCCATAAATCTTCTTCTCCACAGCACAAAACACGGCCACCTGCATGGGCGACACTTCAGAAGCACTCTGCATTCACGCACGCTTCCTACACTGTTCTGAACACGCTTCACTTCTCTTCGTCTTGGCACCTGTCTTCGGGATTTCCGTTGTGAGGTTGCTGCTTCTGCTGCTTGTACACTACTACTGGGCCTGACGCTGTACCATCTGGCAGCCTCGCACACGACGATTCGACTTGACCCAAGCTGCGAGCTGCCGAACGGACGGGGGCAGGGAAGCTTACTGCTGCCTGTGCAGAGTCAGCCACCGGGGTTTCCGACGAGTTCCCATCATCGTCTTTGGTTCCTGGTCCTGTTGGCCTGTTGCGGAGAATGCAGCAACGCAACAGGATGAAATGCCCGGGAGTACACTACTTACTCATCCTTCCAGACGACACGGCCGTTGAGGTAGGTCACTGAAAAGGGAGGGACGTTAGCAAGGACATGCCCAAACTTTAGCGTCTTGTCACTTACTGTAGCCGAGCCACGCGCAGTAGGGGGCAAGGAACCAGGTGGTCGAGATGGGGCTGAAGTTGAGCTCGTGCATCTTGGCCTAGAAGTGGGATGTGAGCGAGCCGTAGTGCACAGCAAGGAGGTGCCACTACTCACAGTCATGGTGACAGCAGTACCCGTGAGGAGGGCCATGTCAACGAAGGCAGCCTTGTGCATGCGCTCTGTGGCAATTGTCAGCTCTATGGCACTCGTGTCAGGTATTCGGAGCAAACGTACCGCCTACATAGAGCGGCGTCCAGAGGAGGCTGCCGGCAAGCTGGGCATAGTAGAGCACGAGCGCGTTGGACGCGTCCTCACTGATAAAACAATGTTAGCCGCTGTGATCGACCATCTTTTGCTTCCCCGTTGGTTGCATGTAGCTCTGTCGCCCGCCACCCCGCGGCACCACCACCCGCCACACAACCCTCGTCCCCGATCGCCGTGCCAGGGTGGCGCATGCACCGTTGGATCACTGTGGTGGGATCCGAGACCCGCGACGCGACCAGCAGGCGGGCTGCAAAAAGCACACTCACGTCGATTGCGGGGTAACCGCCGCGTCGAACGCGCACACGCAGAGGTGGGACGCGTAGCCGACGAGGCCGTACATGGCCGTCCAGATCTGCAGACAGCCGCGTCAGAGGACAATACCATGGCCCTCTCCGGGATGCGTTGTACTCACGGGGCCAAAGGCCGGGTGCGGCGGGCATGTGGCCGATGCCTATGATTGTCAGCAAAGCCAGGTGCCCCTCCCCAGTGGCGACAGATAGTACATACCGCCTGGCCGGTACGCTTGGCACGGAGTTCGGCCGAGACGTAGCCGCTCGCAACACCAAGTGCGATGGGCAAGCCGACTGAATGGGGTTGCAGAAGGTGGTGGCGGAGTGGGGTGTGGCCAGTGAGAGAACGGGTGGTGGTCAGCGAACTGGCAGTGCTCCCCTGACGTGATTTGTACGTGCTCGACCGCGCCTGGGGTGGCGCGACGCGTGCCAGCGTGCCAGCGACGTGTCAAAAACCACTTACCTGCGACAGCGGGGTTGCGGAGGAGCTGGAAGGCGATCTCTGGGAGGGGGGACATGGTTGTAACTGGGTGTGTGTGTGGAAACTGTGACTGGATGAGGATGGGAGAACAAGCGTGTGGCATTTATAACGGGCCCGCTGTGGTTGGCAGAGGCCCCCCAACCAGAGAGAGAGATCCAGAGACCCACCCAGAAGGCCCAGAAACCGCCCCACCCCCGTCTCTCCCCCTCTGCGGAGCCACTGTGAAAGCACCCAACAGATGGTTGTGCGGGGGATCAGGTGGTCATCAACTAGGTCATCGTCGTCTGGCGGGAAGAGTCACCGGGTGACGTCACATGCATCACACACGGCGCGGACCAAGGCTCTCTCCCTAGGGTTGGCCCCATGTGCCGGCCACGCGAATGCCACGTGATGAATATTACGTAACACCAAAAGTTCGCGATCTTTGCCACTCACCTCCTCCAATATTGAACCAGATACTGCACTACGACTATACTTACACATCAACAGCACACGCGCGCACCATGTCCACCCAAGACATTGCGCCTGAAAACACAGCCGCTGAGGCTACCGATCTGCCAGAGACCAGGGCCGATGGCAAGGCGTACATCGACGACGACGGCGCTCCTTGCGACGACGACAAGGATGCCGAGGTGGACGACGGATCGAGCGTCGAAATGGAGTCGTCCGACGACGAGCGGCTGAACGTGAACGGCGGATGGCCCGAGGACCCCAACGACTTTGACCGGGTGGCGTACGAGGAGTTGGACGAGGACGCGCAGCTCGACTGGGGTGTCGAGGACGAGGACTGGGAGCTCGCAGACGGCGGTACGTTTCTTTCATGGCCCGTCTTCCTCTGTCGCCGTTTGCTGACGGCAAAACTCTAGACTTTACAAAGCAGTACAACCGTGTGCGCCAGGCGTACGGCGCTGCCGACACTCCTGCTGGCCCATCGCGCTCCAACGCCGGACCGGCCGTTTCCCGCCCCTTGCCTGCGCGCAACGCCAATGCCGCTCGCGCACACCGCTCGGCTCCGGCGTCGGCGGGTACGACAGGCAAGAACATTGTCAACCCAGCTGTCATGCTTGGTGGTGTGGCTGCCAACCCCAAGAGTGCCTTTGACCGTGCCAATCAAAAGGACAAGGCCGACCGCGCAACCCACGAGCAGGTTCTGGACGCCCGTACGCGTCTCGTCCTGTCTGCGCTCGTCAACAGGGGATACTTTGGTGTCATTGACGGTGTTGTCAGCACCGGAAAGGAGGTGAGTGACTTGTTGGCTGCCACTCGCGGGTGAAAAGTGCAGAGCCATGCCTTGTCGTACAACACGCACTGACACCACCAGGCCAATGTCTACCTCGCCTACAAGGGCGAGAACCCCCCGGCCGTGCCATCGCCGTACCCGGACACCATCGCCGTCAAGATTTACCGTACTTCGATTCTCAACTTCCGCGCGCGCCAAAACTACATTGTCGGCGAGCACCGGTTCAAGGGCGGCTACTCGGCGGCCAAGAACCCGCGCAAGATGGTCCGTCTGTGGGCCGAGAAGGAGCTGCGTAACCTGCGCCGTTTGGTGCAGGGCGGTGTGCGCGCCCCCATTGTCATTGAGCAGAGGGAGAATGTGCTCGTGATGGAGTTCCTTGGTATCGGTGGAACGTAAGTTGCAGGGACTTGACTTTACCTCAACTGGCCACTAACTTTTGTTTCAGCGCCTCGCCTCGTCTCAAGGACGCCGACATTTCAAAGTCCAAGCTGCCGCGACTGTATGGTGAGGCCCTCGTCTCCATGCGCAGGATGTACAACCAGTGCAAGCTCGTGCACGCCGACTTGTCCGAGTACAACATTCTCTACCACGCCAACCACCTGTACATTATCGACGTGTCGCAGTCGGTCGAGCACGACCACCCTTCGGCATTCGACTTTCTCCGTTCCGACATTCGCAACATTGAAGACTACTTTGTCAAGCGCTCCTCGGGCGAGGTGCGCACCCTGGGCCTGCGCCGCGCGTGGAAGTTTATCGTCGACGAGAGCGTCGGCCTCACCCGTGAAGAGGAGGAGGGTGACGAAGGCGAGGCAAAGCTGCTGGACGTGCTCCGCGCGTGGCTGGACGAGCCCGAGCCCGAGCTGGTCATGGGCGCCGAGGTTCTCGCCGGCGGCGCTTCCGAGGGCGGGTCCTCGACAACAGCAGTCACTACCGACGGCGCCGCTTCCGCATCGACGACTCTTTCCGCGGGCGAAGCACAGGCCGCCGCCGCCGCCCAGGCCAAGGCCAAGAGCGACGTCGACGACGCCGTCTTCTTCTCGTCGTATATCCCCCGCTCGCTGGGCGAGGTGTACGACCCGGAGCGCGACGTCGCCCTCCTGCGCGCCGGACACGGCGACAAGCTCATTTACGCCGGCATCGCCGGTCTGAGCCTCGGCGGCGACAAGCCTGCCGCTGCCGCTGCTGCTGTCGAGGAGGTCGCGGTTGAGGAGCCTGTGGCCAAGGACGAGGTCATCGAGGCAGCCGAGGTGCCGTCCGCCTCCCCCGCCGTCGACGCCACCGCGGCCGACAAACCAGCCGCTGCCGCCGTGGTCGAGGACCAGGACAAGCCCAAGATCAAGAAGAAGGGTGTCCACTTTGAGGACGACTTGCCCGAGTCTGAGGAGGACGACGACCAGGCTGAGGACGACGAAGTGCACGGCCGCAAGTCGCGCGGATTCCGCAATGAGGACAAGGAGGCCAACAAGGTGAGTGTCGTTGTCTCGTGTCCCTGGCAGCGTGTGGCAAAAGGGAGACGAGACGACACGACACGGGAAACGCTGTGCTGACTGCAACCCCCCTCCCCTCTCCCCCTTTACAGGAACGCAAAAAGGCACTCAAGGAGGAGGCGCGCGAGAAGCGCAAGAACAAGATGCCCAAGTCTGAGAAGGCTCGTCTGATCAAGAAGTCGAGCGGAAGGAGTTAGTCGGGTTGGGAAGGTGGGATGAGCATGGGACAAGGACGTGGGGAGGGATCTAGAGGGGATTAGAGTTTTTATCAGATATGCATCTCGGGCCACACGCTGTCCATCCACTCATATGTGATCTCGAGCTCGTGGTAGCGTGTCACTGATAAACAAGGCCAGGTGTGCTCGTGCCGCGCTTTGGGAGATTAGTGGCAGGTGGCCCCTGGTACATGGTAAAACCGCCACGGCGTTCAAACACACCTGAACCGAGCATACTCCCCCTCGTCACAAACCTCACGTCCGATACAGAAACAATCAATCATAAGTGCATATGTCTAGTTAAGCGAGGCGCGAACACTACTCAGAGCGCTTGGCTCCGGGGCGCAGGCGAAGATGGTCGCGAGGGCGCTGGGGTGTTGATACCGTCGCCGTTGGACCCGAATCCGACGTGGAAGCGCAAGCGGTGGAGCTGGAGAGGACGTCAGTGCCTGCAAGATGAACGGGGAGGGAATGAGGAGGGGTGGGGAAAGGGCAAGTGGAGACAGTGGACATGGGCGACGGAGACGACCGTACGACGACGTCTTTCCTTCGGCGTTTTCCATGTTCGTGGCAAGAACGCTCCGAACATGGCTTCCGACGCCCCGCAAAGGAGGTGTGAGTCACGCCACCAGTACTGGGGGTGCTCCGGGAATGCCACTGCCAAGCCCCGCCGGAGGAAGAGAAGCAATTTGGGACCGAGGCGCGTGCCTGCCCGCGGCCAAGAGTGACTTGTGTTTGAAAGACGTGTGTCGTGTGTCTACTCACAATGGGCAGCTTGGGGAAAAGGACAAAGACGAGGGCTGAGAAGTTGAGAGCAAAGAGGGTGTAGTTGTATCGCGTGTAGTGGGTCGAGATGAGGAAGCTGCGGAGAGTGGTTAGCGACTGCTGCGGACAACGAGTGTGAAACGGAGCCCAATCCGATGCACTCCATTGCTGCGGCAACCCAGTGCCCCTCCCAGTGCCGTGCCGGGATGCTCTGCGCTCGCACATCCCCGCCTGCTCTGCCCACCCGTCTGCCGCCTCACACGGCGGCCCAATAACCCGATTGTCCGAGCTATCAACCACAGCAGACCATGGCACGAGCCTCTGACGGGTGCGAGGTGGCGGGGCTCGCTGCGGAGGATGGGGTTGGAGCTCGAGCGCAGAGGGATAAAGGCAATGAAGTAACACTGAGAATGCGGAGGCGGCGGCGGCGCTTTCGGCTCGGTAGCGGGTTGGAGCGGGAACAACACTTACAGGCAGATGGGGACACTCGTAAGCCACTTCTTGGAAGGAGTGTACTGCGCTCCGGCATCGATCTGCTCCCACAGAGTGAGGTCGTCGTAAGCGCCGCCGGTGGACACACTGTCATGTCAGCAGGTCATTCGTGGACGGTTCGGCATTTCTTTTGCAGGCGCTGAAGGCTTTCGTTTCTGCGAGACATCCCGACATGGTTACTCACGAGGTCTCGAACGGCACGCCAGTGACCTGGTGGAACATGATAAACGAGAGCTGGACGGGGTGGTCAGCAACTGTTTGCACGAGCACTAGGCAGTCCGACTTACAACCATGTAGCCAATGTTAACAATGGTCCATGAGATGTCGGCCTGCATTCCGGGGATGGAGTCGATCAGAAGCTTGGCACCCATGATGAGAACGGGGTGGATCACCCATGCGCCTGGTAAAGAGTCAGCTACAACGAACAGTAATCGAAGTCTAAACCCTTCGTTGAGGCCTGCTCCGCCGCCGGTGGTGCTTCCATGACAGCATTGAGAGCACTTGTCGGCGGACAATGGCGGGGAGGGGGGCACGTGCCGCACCACAACTCTACTTACCGGGGGCATTCACCCAAGCGGCGTTGAAGTTTGCGCCAACGCCGAGACGGTCGTTGATGTTATCGGGCTCGTCGCCACCAACCTCGGTGACAGTCACGAGCGACCCCGAACGGTTACGGCCCTTGGTCTGTCCGCTCAGACCAGAGCCGGACGCGCGGCCGTACGAACCGTAAGCCGTGTTGGCAGACAGGGTGCGGTGGAACGAGGAGCGTGGCGAGGTCTGGCCTGCAGTGCCGAAGCGGAACACGTCGGGGTCAACGCCATCACGGAGGGGCTGAGAGACGGAGCGCGCGCGCGCGCCCGGCGAGGTAGGCGCCGTCAGCGACGGCATGGGGCGGGGTGGGGCGAGAAGGAAGGACAGGGTGGGAGTGGCAAAGCGGGGAGCCCGGGGGTGTTTGGTGAGCGATTGGATGCTCGCGGTGGAGATGGAGTTGTGCAGGGGTCTCTCGATGTAAGAGAGTGCTGAGGGGACGAGAAAAGGGTGGGTGGAGGAGGGTGGTGGAGGATGGTGGTGATGAGGAAAGAGCAAGTTGAAGATAGTCTTCGAGCGCAGGTGAGCGGGCGGCGACTGTAGGCCGTGTCCGTTCAACCGCTGTCGCGTCGGCAGGGTGGCGAGAGGCACCACAGCCAATCTGAAATATCCCACCCCCGCAGCAAAGAAAACGCACACACGTCATTTATTGGGGCCGCTTATCAACTCGCCACAATGGTGGTTCGATCTGCAACCCAGAGCATCGCCTCGCCATGTGCACACCCTGCATATGGTCTACGTGGTACCCGTGGTACAGACAGCCATCTCCTTTCTCTCTGCCAGATATCTCTAACCCCTCGCTCTCTCTCAATCTACCACGGGGTCGGGCGACCGTTCAGGGGCTTGCCATGGTTTTTCCGCAGCTTGTCAAGCTCCTTGGCCTTGAAAGGACGTTAGTCATGTCTCTGACGATGGCCAGAGGCGGCCAGGTTACTCACCTTGCGCTGGCTGACAGACGTTGACTGAATACCGCCATACTTGTCGTCCTTGATCTTACTCAGCCGGATTGGGCGGTTTCCAACATACTTGCCTTGTCGACGTCAGTTATGTCTCCGCACACACAACACTGCGTCTGTAAAACGTACCGTCCATCTCCTTCCACGCGCGGAGGAAGTCTTCGGGGTCCGTGAACGCAATGAAGCCGTATTTGGCCTGACGTAAGCGTCCAATTGTACAGCCTGTGCAATGTTGACTCACCTTCTGGCTCAGGTGGTCCCTCACAACTTTGCACTTGCAGTACGTCTTGTACTTGCCAAACGCCTCGTCGAGAGTGCGCTCCGAGACGTCGTTGGACACATCACCCACAAAGAGGCGGTACCACTCTAGAGGTTGGGTCAGCCTGTGCCAAAAGTGGTCGTCGTCACCCACTTGGGTCCCATTCCAGTAGTGTTGGGTCCTCCCAGGTCTTGCCGGCAGCCTTGCGAATGACCGTCTCACGAGCAGGCGGCTTGGGAGGCGCCGACTTTTGCTTGCCGGTCGACTTGGACATCTTGTCCCTGTCGCCACCTCCAGGGACGTAGACAGCTGTCTGCTTGAGCAGAAGCTCAGCATCGAGGAGTGCGGGCTTTTTGCGCGACGACCCAGAGCCAGAGCCAGAACCTGAAGCCATGGTCACAGCCGAGGTCGACACTGCAGGCTGGATCTTGTAGCCATTCTCGTCGTATCCCGGTGTCGCGTAGTGGCCTGATGCCGAGGGCTGGAATGAGCTCGAGGTGTCCTCTACAGCCTGATTTCCTGTGCTACCGCTCGTCATGGCCGCGATCTGATCAGGCGTGTATCCCTGCTGCGCATAGTACTGTAGTAAGTCAGTTAGAGGGAAGGTGCGACGGTGGCGACAAGGACGTACCGCGGCCCACTGTGTGTGTGTCAGTCATGAAACCCTGTACAAGCGTTCCCCAATAGTTGAAAAACTTACTGCAGCTGCATGTTCCTCTGGCGTGTAACCTTGCTCGGCCATGGTTGGTTGATGGAGGCGTGGGTGACTGGTAGGTGTTGGTTGAATTGTTGTGATGAGTGTGATCAACTTGTGCTCCTGCCTGTCCAGCCAGGCACGTCCGCGTCCATCCGTATTTGCTCCCGTTTTCGGACCATTGAAGATGTCTCTCTCTGCATTTTCCTTTTTGGCGGCCATACACCTCTGCCTATAAACTACTCCTCACTCACCCGCCATGTCGTGCAGCCGCTCCACTGCGCAGCCCCTACTGCGTCTGGCGCGCGCGCAGGTTGCTCCATCGCGCTCCATTGCCACTTCCGCCTCGGCAAGCGCCCTGTTCGTTGCTCCCAACACCGCCAGGAGGAAAGGAAATGCAGCTCAAGGTCTCCCTCGTCGTGAGTTGCATGCAGACAAGTGTTGCTGCTGTTGGCCCAGACAGGCAGCAGCGTCGCGTCATGGGGTGGTGACATGCATGCTAATGGACAGTTACCACCACGCCCGCCAAGCCAACACAGAGTTTGACACAGCTCATTCAGACGCTCGCACTTCTCAAAGCCGAGGGCAAGAAGCCGACCGCCGTTGCGTACAATGCGCTCATGCGCGCGGCCGCCGACTATGCCAACCGCCGCGGCAACAACCTCGAAGCGGGCGACAAGAGCAAGACTATTGGCTTTGAGATTGCGATGGCCGCATACCGTGACGCCGAGGCGGGCGGTATCGACCTCGGCACTGAGGCCGTTGACAACCTCTTCCGCGTGAGTCTGGGACCTTTTGTTGACCCGGGTGTCGTCATTCGCTGACCTCGGTTCTAGTTTTCTCACCTTCACCCTGACGTTACTCCTTCGCTCCTCCTCGACCTGATGGAGAGGAAGCAGTCGACCCCTACGGCGTACAACACGCTGGCAGGTGAAGCCGTCAGGCGGGGCCACGTTGACGGCTCTGTCCACATCGTCCTTGAGATGATGGAGCAGGGTATTGCCCCCGAAAGGGCTGTCCTGCAGAACACTGTCCGCATGGCGTGCCAATGGGGCATGTCCCGTCTCGCCTGGCAGCTTGTGCAGCGCTTTGAGCAGATGCCGGGGGCATCCAGGGTGGACGTGGCGACTTGGGTGATGATCCTCCAGGCCAGTGCCGACCAGCACTTTGTCACTGGTGTCGAAGCGGCTTGGGAGCGTGTTGTCATCAACAAATCGTTTACCCCCGACGAGGGTCTTGTCCTGAACATTCTTAGCGTCGCTGGTCGCTGGGGTCGCACACACCTCGCCACCCAGGCGCTTGAGATCCTCCCCGAGATTGGTGTCGAGGCGCGCGAGCACCACCTCACTCCTCTTATCCAGGCGTTCTGTCGCGAGGGCCGTGTCCCTGACGCCATGAAGACTGTTGGCCAGATGCGTGCTGCCGGCATTATTCCGTCCATGTCGACTGTCGAGCCCATTGTCAATGTGCTCAAGACCGCCGAGCTGGTGGACCAGGCCTTCTACGCCCTCGAGGACATCCACAAGGCTGGCGAGGCTGTCGATGTTGTCGCGTTCAACGCCGTCATCACCGCCTCGGCCAGGCAGGGAGACCTGCAGCGTGCCCGCGCCACCCAGATGGCCGCCGGCGAGCTGGGCGTCACCGCCAACGTTGACACTTTCAACACCATCCTCAACGTCTGTGTGCGCACCCGCCACCGCGAGCTGGGCGACACGATCCTCTCCGACATGTCCGCTGCCGAGGTGCCACCCAACGCCCAGACGTTCGAGACCCTCATCCGCCTCTGCCTCACCCAGCGCACTTACGAGGACGCCTTCTACTACCTGGAGAAGATGAAGAGCGAGCGCTTCAAGCCCTCGGCCGACATCTACTCTGCTGTCGGTGCCAAGTGTGCCTCCAACGAGGACGCCCGCTGGCGTCTTGTCGGCGAGGAGATGACATCCCTCAACTACAAGGTTCCCGATTTTACAAAGTATAAGGACCGCTCTAGCAGGCCGCAGCACCGCGGTCAGGGCAATGACCGCAGGCGCAACGACGGTGGCCGAGACCGCCCCAGCCGTGACGCTGGTGGCGAGAAGGTTGCCGAGTAGAGTAGACATTTGAATTAACCGCTCTCTGGATCTGGATGTATTGCATTGCATAGGAGCGCGCGTGGTTGGTCGTAGCTTTCAAGGCCTGGACGGTGTTATACTATGTGCTCGTCATACCTGTCCCGACCGTCCCAGGTCATAAGCAGGAGCCCTGACCGGCTCGATGAACGCCCGGCGAAAGTGTATAGAGGGAGGGACACGAAGTGAAACACACATGGATATGTTGAGCCAACATTGCATTACGTAAGCAGTCTAATAATGTCCTGGCTGGCCGGCCAAGTGACGCACGCATGTTCGGGCCGTTCGAGCTCGACACAAAAGCGCTCGTCGTCGTCGTTCTTCCCTCCTCCCTCCAACAACAACATCGCCACCTACCATGCAGTGAGTACGCCAAGATATTGTGTATCTCTTCAAGGTGCCAGTCGTGGCCCACTCACCTCTGGTCCCCCGAGGCCACCTTTCACCTCTATCACCGGCCGTTTTTCTCCCCCTTTGTGAAACATGTTGTTCTGATACCTCTCTCCTTCTTTCTCTCTCTAGGTCCCTTTCCGAAGAATGCACGCCGCTCAAGCAACGCTACGACTCGTGCTTCAACCTCTGGTTTGAGGGATACCTCCAGCCGGCGCTGGACGCCGCGTCGCTCGCGCAGCGCGGTGCGCTGCCGCACGTCTCGTCGCTCGACGCCATGCCGGACCCCGCACCGCCGACGCCGCCGCCCCCACCCCCTGCCTCGGCCTCGGCATCAACACCACCCGCCCAGTCGTCGTCGTCGTCGTCGTCGTCTGCGCGCCGCCACTCGCTGATCACGTCGTGGGCCAACGCGTCCGTCTTCCGCCGCCGTCCGGCGCCAGCGGCACACGCCGCGGGCCACGTGGTTGCCGCAGACGACATGGTGTCGGCGACGCATGTGCATGTCGACGAGGGCGAGCTGGAGCCCCTGGACACGACGGACATGACACCCAGCCAGGCCAAGGCGGCAGAGTACGAGCGGCAGTGCGGCAAGGTGTGGAAGGAGTACCAGGCGTGCTTGAAAGTGAGTCTCAGGAGGCGAGGAGGATGGGGAGTGACTCGGGCCCCGGGTGTGGGATGAGACGAGTCGCGAGCAAGGGTGTGGCGAGCAGGTGGTCGTGGTTTCGTCTTGGCCGTTACCTGCAGCCCGTAAACCCTCTCTGTCAAGATTCACGGGACCTGGCTGCAAGTCTCTCCTGCGCCATTGCCAGTCCCCCCGCGACGTCAACTATCCATCCACAACGTTCGGCCAGCTGACCCACCGTCCAGAAAGCAATCTCTGCCAACCCCAACCTCACCACGCTGCTGGAACAGGCCCGCGACGACCACCCACTGCACACGATGGACGGACTGGAGGGCACCGCGTGGGACCCAGCAAACAAGGGCAGCACCGACTAGGCGAAGACGGCAAGAGGCCGAGAGAGAGAGTGAACGAGAGAGCGAGAGTGGGAGTGAGAGTGCGGCGCGAGCGAGGTTCTTGGAGGGGTCTTGGGACTCGCCGCCTCGTCTTGCACAGGCTGCCGGAGGGATTCCGCAGGAGGCGGCCAGGGATCTTGACCTCAACGTCACGCAGGCAGCACAGAGACCAGACAGAGATTTTATACAACACCACAACCAACCAACCATTCCAGAACGAAGAAAATCACAATGCATAGATATCGGGAGGGGGTGTTCCGCCCATATTTTTCAAGATGGTTGGGGTGCAAGAAAGAGGTATCCGTTGTGTGTCAAGGAGACGTCGGGGATGGGGGTTGGGGGGAGGATGAGGTGTGGGTTGGGTTGGCGGGGGTCTCTCGAGGCCCCCACGCCGGGTTTTGTATTTGTATGTCGTGTTATTGGCACACACATATCAACACGCCACACCTGTTAAAAGGCGGGCATGAGATGGCGCGGGTGCTAGCCAATTCACTGGCGCTGCTCCTTGACCATGTCCTGGTACGTGCGCAGACGGAGGAGGTTGCGCTGGAGCATGGCAATGGTCATGACGCCGACCGAGGGGACATAGATGGACGCCTGTGCATGGTTAGCGGGCTGCTATTTTGCGCTCTTTTTTATTTCGATCGTGGCGGCGCACGCATCCGCGGCATGTTCCACATGGCGCGGTGGCGGTGACAATGTGTGGCTCTCACAACACGCCAACACGCCAAGGCTGACACGCGTTTACCGGTGCCGCGCGGCAGACATGCGTATACTCCTTGGGGTGACTATTTTAACACTCACGCGCTCGCGAACGTCGCTCTCAAAGTTCTTCTCGCCGGCAACGTTGACACAGATGGCGCCGTCCTTGAGCCAGCGGGTGGGGATCTTGTACTTGTCGTTGGGGACAGCCGAGATGACAACGTCCGAGACCTTGAGGGCCTCCTCGAGGGTGGTGTCCACGGGAGTGACTACGTGGTGGCGGTGGAACTGGTTGGTCTCGGCAGTCGAAGGGCGCTTGGAAAACTCGACAATGGCTGCAATGGTGCGTCAGTAAAATGTGACCAGCAGTGGGTCTTGTATTGTGTAACGCACAGTCAATGTCAGCCGAGATGACGCGAGCGCCGTCGTTGGCGAGGAGGGCAGCCAGGGGACGACCGACGACCTCGGAGCGGTTGATGACCGTGATCACCTTTCTGTGGTGCGTCAGCGGCTGCAGTGTGGCGCCACACCCTCGGTACAAGAGTCCCTCGAATCGCAAGACCCGAGAAACGCAGTGGAGAGTGGCGTTGGCGTAAAAAAAATGTTGACAGTGTCAACAGAAGACGTCACTCACCCACGGGCACGGTCACCGTACTGGAGAAGGGGGTTGTAGACACCAATGTGCTCAAGGACCTTGACGATGGCAAGAGGGGTGCAAGGGAGGACCGACTTGACAGTGCCAGCAGGGGGCTGCTCAGACTGCTTGGCCTTAGGGTCAATCGACTGCGGCAGGTGCGACGCAGGGACAGGACGAAGGGTGACAGGCGAGATGAATCGGACGCTGAGAGACGTCAGCTATATGTCTAGTGCTTGCTTTCCCACTCGAAGGAAGAAAAAAAAAGACGCACTTGTGGTAGAGGTTGAAAAGGAACTGGTGGTTGAGGCCCTCAACGTCCTTGACGGGCGAGACAACCGACTGCAGGTACTGGTCCTGATATTGTCAGATCCAGAGACGTTTGCACCCGAGGCTGTGTCAGACAACTTACTTGACGGTCACCGTAGATAGGGTAGTAGACCTAGACTGGTTAGTGGATCGAGTCGACGCGGCACGGATATCCGTGGACGCACCATGATGCCGTCGACATTGTCGTCCTCGTTAGCCTAGTTGGGGTTAGCATAAGCACAGTAACAAGCCAAGCATGTATGCAGACGTACCTCCATGACGGCCTCCTCGACGCCGATGCTGACACCCTCGCCGTCCATGCCCTCGCGAGCATCGCCAACAAGACGGAGCTCAAAGTTGATACCAATCTGCTCGCAGGCACGCTTGGTAAACTAAGGAATGTTTAGTGACCGCTATTTTCAAACTTTTTTTGGGAGGCAAATAGGACGGGCGCCAATCGGTGACACGGTTTTCTGTCGCTGGAAAGACAAACAAAAACAGCATATCAACCGTTGTAGCGTTTGCAACTCACGTCGGCGTAGCTCCTTGCGTCCTCCTTCTTGGTGGCGAGGATGCCGACGAGGTGAGGGGGGCGAGCCTGGAAGCGGGGCTCTGCGATAGTGGCAAGGAGCTCGGCCTTGAAGGGGACGTGAACCTTGGAAGCCGTGACGAGGACGCCCTGGGGGGCGGCGGACTGGGCGACAGCAGCCATGTTGCGCGAAAAGCACTGGGGGATGCGGGAGAAACGGTTCAGCTTGACGGGTGCTGTCGACGAGGTTGTCGGCAATGTTGGGGAAACGCGAACTGGAAGGATGCGATGGGATGGGTCGTGGGTGGGTGGACAGGAGTTATCCTGGAGGAGACAAGGGTCCATCGAGCACACCGAGATCCTTCACGGCGTCCCGGGGACGTTTTGGTATTACGTAAAAGAAGAAAGGAAGAGACTGTGAGCGGAGATGTGGAACAGTGTCCGTGTAATAAAATTGCAGTTTACGTAATGTATCGGCAGGATCCGGATTTACGACCTCACGGCGGTTGTCCGTGTCTTTCCGTGAGCCAAGAGACAGACGACAGAGCTGGGACGCCCACGGCCCCCACGGGCGGCCCAATTCTGTGATCTTTGTGTGTTGCCCCTGAATGGCAGCGTGGCGGGCCTCTGCCTTGTGTTGTGGCTGCATGCGGCGGCGGCGGCGGCGGCGCGGTGTGGGCGGTGTGGGTGTGCGTCGGTGCCGTGCCTGGCTGGCTGGCTGTGTGGTGGAGGGAGATCTTGGCTTTGGACGTCAATTCTCCCCGATCCGCCGGCCGCGCCCTCCTTTTTGGTCAGCGCCGGCCATTGCTGCTGGTTGCTGGTTGCTGCTGCTGCTGCCGCTTGCTGCTGCCGCTTGCTGCTGGTACTGCCGCTGCTATCAGCTGGTGTCTCACTCTCGCTCACACACAACACACACAACACAACACACACACTCTCTCCACCTCTTCGATTCTCCCCCTTGTCTCTCTCTCTCTCTCTCTCTCTCTCTCTCTCTCTCTCTCTCTCTCTCTCTCGTTGTCACTCTCTCCCTCAACCACTTCCCACAATCACGCACGCACGCACGTCACACTCTCCACACCTTATCCCCCCCGGCCGCAATCACTGCAACCGTGAGTCCACCCCGCTGTCCTCCTTCTTCCCTCTCTCACCTCCAAACCTACAATCAAAAGCCCAACCCCCCACTCGCCGTATACACACCAAGCTGACATCGACTCCCAAGCTCACCCACAAACACAACATAAGACAGTCGCCCAACGCACCTAGCCCTCTTTCCACTCAGCACAACTGCAGCTGCTGTGGTAGCCCCGCAAATAGCAAAGTAACTGCCGTCACCACCCACACTCCCGTTCGCTGCTCTACCCGACTCCCACCTCGCCATGTCATCACTCGCTGGCGCCGACGGGGCGTGGGCGTTCATCGTCTCGCCTCCACTGCCGACTCCTCTCAACTACGTCAGTCATTGTCCTCCTGCCCGCATAGCCTCTTTTTGCTAACCGGGTTCCCAGATCCCCTTCATCTTCCGTGTGATGGCCATCATGCTCGCCGCGCCCTTCGCCCTCGGTGTTGCTCTGGACCTCATTGCCTACGGTAAGTTCTTAAGCGGGTAGACCGAAGCGCATCGGGAGGGGCGCGTATGTGCTCACATTCACTCGCAGCGATTGCACGTACACTGCACATCTCGGCCTCGAACCTGCGCGTGCCACGCTCGCCGCCCCATGCGCCTGTGGAGCTGCTGCAGCAGACCGACAGCGCAGAGTCCGAGTCTGACAACGACTCTGACTCGCCTGTTGCCCATGGCCTCGTCTCTCGCCAGATGTCGCCCACACACATGCGTCCTGCCAAGCAGCCCAGCTCTGCTGCAATCTCCCGCCCGCTCCAGGTCTTGGCCGTCGGAACAATTCTTGTCGCCGTATTCCTCCAGTGGTTCACCAAGTCGAGCAACGTCCACACAGCTCTCCGCCTCGCCGAGGACGGCCCATACGAACGCCCCGCCGCCCTCGTCCTTACCGCGCACCCCGACGACGAGGTCATGTTCTTTGCACCCACGATTCTCAACCTGGCGTCGACTGGCTGGGACATCATGGCCGTCTGTGTGTCGGATGGTAAGTGCCTTGTCCCTCCACCCCGGGGCGGCGTGAGAGTCGCCGAGACCGGACACCCGCAGTTTATCAGGTCGCTGACCCTTACCCGCAGGCGACGCAGACAGCCTTGGCGCTGTGCGTTCAGAGGAGCTCTACAACAGCTATGCTCGCCTCGGGGTCTCCAGGGACAATGTGACCATTATCCGTCATGCGTGAGTACCGCTCTTGTTGGGTCGATGCCACAACCCGCGCACAGCAGCCGGTTGCTTTGCATTCGTCATTTCCCGAATTCAAAGCCGAGCCCAGCTGACAGGACGCCAGCGACTTGCAGGACGGCATGTCCAACACGTGGGACCCGCGCTTGATCGCAAACATCGTCGCCCCTTACATCGCACGCCACCACATTTCGCACGTAAGTCTGTTGCTACCGGCAGAGCCGTCCGCTCCGTCCATACTTTCTCTGGGTGGAGTCGTGCTTCGCAAAGGAGTGCGTGCTTGCGATCAATTTGCTGACCAGAGCAGCTGATCACGTTTGATAACCGCGGCATCAGCGGCCACCCCAACCACATTGCACTGTCCGACGTGCACGCGTACCTCTCCGACACTGTCGAGACGGACGCGGACGGCACCACGACCAAAGTCACTCCTCCTCCCCGTCTCTTGCAGCTGCAGACCCCGCCGCTCGCCGTCAAGTTTACCGGTCCGCTGGGGGCCGTGGCGTGCGCGCTCCGTGACCTGCGCAACCGCGGCGCTCACCCAGACACCAAGGGCCTCACCCAGCCCGAGCTGGCCACATTCGTGGCGTCTCCCGCCCAGTATGCGCGTGCTATCCGCGCCATGCTCGCTCACGGCAGCCAGCTCGTGTGGTTCCGTTGGCTGTACATTTCCTTTTCCCACTTGATGTGGGCCAACCAGTTGATAGAAGTCGTGTAAGTTTCAAGCTTGGGTCGGTCCTTTCCCGCAAACCCAAGCTTGCAACTGCACGCCAAACCCTCCCTCCGCGGCCGAGCAAGAGGTCTTGTCCCCGCCAAGAACCCCCAACCTCGTGAGAAAGAAGCTCCCCCCACACTAGTATAGGGGGGGGCCACTGTTGTTTTTTAGGATTTTCCGATTTTGCATATAGAGAGCGTGGTAGAACCAGTGTGTCATGAGTAGCCAGGTGCGTAGCCGTAACACCGTAAGCCTTAAGCCTTAAAAGGACCGGATGAGATTTTGTTTCCAAGACGCCCAAGACGCTCTCGCAGTACCTCGTGTGTTGTTCCTCCGTGCGACGATGTCATGGAGGCACAGTCCAAGGAAGCTCGAAGCAATGAGGAGCGCGTGGGGGAGACGGCGCGGGGACACCAGGCCACTAGGGGGTGCGCCGGTCGTCCGGCCCAGAGTCCTATGGCCTTTGTCCACGCACAGAGGTCCACCGGGGTGTGGGAACTGCACTACACACCCATGGGAGGAATGACAGGAAAAGGGTCCCTTATCAGTGCGGCGCGTTCAGGACATTTGTCTCTTGTTTTTTTTTGCGTTTTAGGGAACGGGACCACGGGAAAGAGGGGCCAGAGGTCAGAGGGGGCCGTCCAACACACACACAAGAGGTCTAGAGTCTGTACCTGGCGGCGCCACGCTCCGGCGGGGCGCGGCGGGGTCTCGATGTTACCCACACGGACAAGCCGGCGGCGCTGCGATTTCCTGTCTGCGTGAGAGCGTAGTGGACGGGGGGGCTACGGGACGCGGGTGATGGGGGTCCGCCATCCACCATGAGCGTTCTCTTGGTATCCCTCTGGCCTTGGCCTTTGGTCTCTAGCAAACGTCGGCCGACGCGCCGACGGCTGCCCGCCGGCTGTTTAGATGCTCGTAGCGCAACGGCAAATGTGAGACATGACAGCACACATGCATCTGTTGGGAGAGAGGAATGAAAAACAATAGTGGCAGGTTTACATGGGGGGGCATGGGCAGTGGCGTGGGTGTCAACATGGGAGTGGGAAACGGGTCGTCGATATGGGCCGTCGTTGGATCGTTGGGCCTTGGAGATCGAACTTATCGGGTCATTTGGGATCTGGGTGGTCGCTTTGGTGGTTGCGTGATTTCGTTTTTGTGTGTACTCTCGCGCGCGAGTTACAACTCTGATTACAGTTCTGGAACGTGTGTCGGACATGGGACCCATGCCGCGGCTTGGAAAGGCCCTCAAACCCTGGCTGGGTCGTCGTCGTCTTGGGTTTGGCTCGGCGGCGGCGGCGGCAGCAGCGGCGTCACGGGCTCTTTGGGACCTTTTGGCACTCACTCCGGCGGCTCAGCGACAACCGCCTGCGCCGGGTACGGCGCAGCCGGGTCGTTCTGTACCGCGAGCCGTTCCTGTTCAGTAGACTGCCAAAAGGCTGGCAGGACATCTGTTGTTTTCGATTGTGTCAACAATGCAAAAAATAGCGACTTGCGTTCACACGACATGACAGCACGCCGGCAAACAAACTCACAGTCCTTGAGCTTGAGAATCCACCAGCTCTGACCCTCGATCGAGCTGCCAATCTCGGCCCAACGCGCGCGGAAGCCCATCCCAATGATCCAGGTTGGGTCTGCCATGTCGAGCCCCGCAGGGTCAATCCAGAAATCAATGTCGCCCGTGTCTTCCATCGTTGCCTCCTCCTTTTCAAAGATCGCGGGGTGCTCCTCCACCACCTCGTCCTCCTCTTCTTCACCGTCACCCTCACGGGCACGGCGCCCAGGTTCACGCCACCGCTCCTCGTCAGTCCACGGAGCAGGGACTGTGCGCAGGCGGTAATACGTCTTGGTGAATGCCGGGCCGCTAGAGGACGTGTCGGGTGGGAGAAGAGCTACGACCTTGCGGCGCGAGAAGGGAAGGTAGTTGACCTGGCGCAGCGACTCGACGGGGACGGGATCGAACATGGGCTGGAGTACCTCGATAGCTAGGTCCGTTAGAACGAAGCACATGGGGATGAAACGAACCTTGAGTGGCAGTGAGGGACGCCATGCCGGGACTCGAAAGGTCAACTGGAAAAAGTCAGCACTGCTCACAGGTGGTTGCCACCTACGGTCAGGAGCACTCCAACCGCCATCGCTCTCATCGTCGTCGACAACTTGCTCCTTCTCCGCCTCGGCAGCGATAACAGAGGCGACAACCTGGCGGTTACCGTACGTGCCACCAAGAAGGACCCAAGCAGCGTGGTTGAGTCCGTCAGGCTGGTCAATCTTGTCCTCGATCTGCTTGGACTGGACAAGGGCGAGAGACGCGGCCTTGGCCATGAGCGAGGCACGGCGGATGGCGGGCGCGAGGTAGGCGTCAGAGAGGACCTCGTAGTGCTCAAGGTAAGCTAGGAAAGCCGCAAAGATCTCTGAGGGGAAAAGTCAGCGCCATACACCCTCGTTAACTCACCTGTAAGCTTCTTCGCGCTCTCAATGTCCCTAAGTCGTCAGCAAAAGTGCCACGCAAGGTCCACACGCCCACTGCACTCCTGAAGACTCACCAAACGGCTTCGGCCTCGCGACGGGCCATGGCAAGGAAGCCACGCGTGGCCTGCTCGGGGCTGCGAAGAAGGGCGCAAGACTCGCCGATAGTGTCGAGGTTCATCAATCCACGCTGCTCATAGCTTGCACCACGGCGCGCAGCATGGGTGTAGTGGTACTTTTGGGCGTAGGAACCACTTCCCGGCCAGTGGAGACCAGAGAACTCGGTCTTGAGGCCGAAGCCGTAGCGAATCTATCCCATCAGCGGCGCCCCCATCAATGACGAGTTGATGGCCTACCATGACGAAGAGCTGCTTCCAGCGTTTGTTGCCAAACGCATCGAAGCGCGAGTCGAGGAAGCCTAGAGTGGCATCCATCACTGCCGTCAGTAAAGCTCATCAGGGGAGAACGTACGTCGGTTGAAAGGAGGACGAGAACTGATTGATGGTCAGTTACCACAGCTACCAGGCGTCAAAACCCCAACTCACATGTCGCAGTCCACGTTAAGAGTACCCTCAGGCTCATTCCAGTTGGGGTCACTTCCAATCTTGAACGCGTCTACGACATTGACGCGCCAACGGAGGCGCTGGCGCTCGTTGTAGCGGTTCGACCTGTCGCGCTTGGCGGCAGCAACGGCCTCAGGAGTGCGGTCAATGCTGAGGTCGATGAGTTGCTGGCCGTACGCATCGGTACCGGTCATTGCGGCTTCGTCGGTCCATCCATCGAGGCCACGGCGGAGGTCGTCGTCGGTATAGTCGCCGGGAGGGAGGGAAGGCATCATGATGGGCTCTTGCTTGAAGTCTTCAAAGGACTCGACCATGGCGGCGGTTTGGTCCTTTGCGGGGAAGGGCGGGTAGGCGAGGAAGTGGTGGTCGGGGACACGGTGCTCGTCGTCTGTGGGAGCGACGGGGTTCGTCATTGTGTGAGTGATGGGGTACAATGAAGGAAGAGGCTGGGGGTATGAGAGAAGACGACAGACACGACGAGGCCTCATGAACACACATCACTCAACCTCCACAAGCGCGCGGCATTGGGGTCTCCACACACCTCGGATCCAACCGTGGGAAAGTACACTATGTCACTTGCGACGGGTGTGATTTCTTTTGGTATTTGCTTCCGTCATTACGACCATTTGCTTCCGTGGGTTGCACCTGATCGGAAGCCAAAACGCAAACAAGAGCTGTGGGCAATCAAACAACAGTGGTCTCTCCTCATCTCTCTCCTCTCTTGTGTACAACCCCCATCACAGTAACACATCCTCCTCCTCGGCAGCATGTCAAGGAGACAGAACAACGGGTCCCTCGACCCCAGCGGCCTTGGCATCGGCAACATGCCCCGCAACGCGTCGCCCGTGCCGCCCTATGACCCTCCCATGTCCCCAAGTTACCACTCGCAAGCCTCTTATGGATCCCACGCACACCTCCTCCCTCACCCACCTTCGTCGTCTCCTGCGCCACCTCCCCGCTTCTCTCCATCTCCTCTGTATGCTCCCATCCCGGGCTCGGACGTTGGCTCGATGGCACCCTCTGTGACTGGCAGCTACATGTCGCCCGCGTCAACACAGCCTCGCCTTCCCTATTTTGAAGCTGCGCTCGCCCGCGCTCGTGGTGAGACACCTCCGATTCTTCCACCCATCCAGTCCACCACTCCCCTGCAGTTCGCTCCTTCGCGGACTCCCCAGCCACTGCCTCCTCGTCAGTCGTTCCAGCCTGCACCTGCCTATCTCCCACCTCCCGACCCAAACCACCCCGACCTTTCCGTTGGGTTTACCCAATCGTCTACTGTCCGCTATGCGACCAACCGAGGGCGGGAACCGTCGCGTTCTCCTTCTCCCGGTTTTGATGACAGCGTGGCTTACGAGCGCACAACCGATGTTGAAAAAGCCCTACTTGGCGACCAGGATCGAACCAGCGACCCTATCTACTCGCAGGCGCACTCCCCGCGTCCAGCCTACGCCGCGGAACTCAACGGCGACATCTCCCTGATGAGCGGTGCTCCTTTCCGGGATTCGATGTACAAGCCCCCACTCGATGACTTCGAGTCCGTGCCCCTCACCGATGCCATCTCCAACGGTCACTCTAATGGCCACGAAGATGAGGCTCACCCCCACTATGGCCCGGCACCCACTGGCCGTGTCGGTCGTCGTGGAGCCCACAGGCGTGTCAAGCAGCAGGTCACCCTCGACGACACGGGTATGTTTGCTGTTGACATGCCGATCCCTACGAGGCTCCAGCAGTTCCTACCTGTCAAGGGCGTTGAGGAGATGAGGACGACCAGGTACACTGCCGTCACCACCGATCCGGATGGGTTTGCCCAGTCTGGCATCCTGCTTCGTCAGAACCGCTTCGACCCTCCTCGCCAGACCGAGCTCTTCGTCGTCATTACAATGTACAACGAGGACGCTGAGCTCTTCTGCCGTACGCTCTACGGCGTCATGAAGAACATTGCCCACCTCTGTGGCAGGAAGAATTCGCGTACTTGGGGTCCCAACGGCTGGCAAAAGGTCGTCGTCTGCATCGTGTCGGACGGACGTAAGAACTGTAACCCGCGTGTTCTCGACTGTCTCGCCGCGCTTGGTGTGTACCAGGAAGGTGCGATGACCAACAAGGTCAAGGACCGTCCCGTCACCGCGCACGTCTTCGAGTACACGACAAGCTTTGCTCTCGACCCTGAGCTTCACTTCAAGTACCCGGACAAGGGTATTGTTCCTTGCCAGATCATCTTCTGTCTCAAGGAGAAGAACGCCAAGAAGATCAACTCGCACAGGTGGTTCTTCAACGCGTTTGGTCCACTCCTCCAGCCCAACATCTGTATCCTGCTGGATGTCGGTACCATGCCCGGTCCCAAGTCGCTCTACCACCTCTGGAAGGCGTTTGATGTCAACTCAAACGTCGGCGGTGCATGTGGTGAAATTGCTGCTTTCAAGGGCAAGGCATGGAAGCTTCTGTTGAACCCTCTTGGTGAGTTGGGAGATGGTTATGAGTGCTAACAAACAGTCGCTGCGCAGAACTTTGAGTACAAGATGTCCAACATTCTTGACAAGCCCATGGAAAGTCTGTTCGGCTACTGTGCCGTGCTTCCCGGTGCTTTCTCGGCATATAGGGTGGGTCCAGTGTCTGCCGGGCGAGCTAACCCACCAGTACATTGCACTCCAGAACGATGCCAACGGCAAGGGACCTCTCGCGTCCTACTTTATGGGCGAGGACCTTCACTCCGGTAAGGCCGACTCGTTCACGGCCAACATGTACCTTGCCGAGGACCGTGTCCTCTGCTTTGAGATTGTGTAAGTATGAGCTAAGGCGGGCCCGCCCCAGCTATAGCTGACCATTACAGTGCCAAGCCCAATGCCAACTGGGTCCTCAAATACGTCAAGTCAGCCGTCGGCGAGACTGACTGTCCCGACTCTGTCCCTGAGTTTATCGGACAGCGCAGGCGTTGGCTGAACGGCTCCTTCTTCGCAGCGGTAAGCTACATGGTGTTGGACACGAGCTGACTCACAGGTGTACGCACTCATGCAGACGCGCCGTATCTGGGGCTCTGGTCACTCGTTTGCTCGCCGTGTCTCGCTCATGATTGAGTTCTTCTACAACTTCCTCAACTTGCTCTTCGGCTGGTTCTCCCTCGCCAACTTTTACATCTTCTTTGTCATTCTCACCAACTCGCTCTCCGATATCAAGGGTCTCTCCGTCGTCAACTCGATTCTACAGTACATTTACTTGGGTACCGTCGTTGCATGTTTCATCTTCGGCATGGGTAACCGTCCTCAAGGGTGAGTCCGACAAGGCAATTTAGGTGTGTACTGACCACTTCAGTGCCCCATGGAAGTACAAGATTGCAATCTGCATCTTTGCTGCTCTCACGCTATAGTAGGTTTTCGGAAAGTTCACGTCGACTGACCTATCAGCATGTTGATCTGCGGTGTGGTGTGTACGGTCAAGGCGATCAACCAAATCGGCCAGCCCGTCTTCGCGCGTATGGTCGTGTCGCTATGTGCCACATACGGTATCTTTGTGATCTCGTCCCTCTTCGCCCTCGACCCGTGGCATATTGTCACCTGCTTCCTTCAGTACCTCCTGTTCAGCCCTACCTACATCAACGTCCTCCAGATCTACGCCTACTCGAACCTCCATGACCTGTCGTGGGGTACCAAGGGAGACACGGCCACGGCCTCGGATCTCGGTGAGATCAAGGGTGTCGGCAAGAACGTCGAGGCCGAGCTCGTTTCGGCTCAGCAGGACATCGACTCGTTCTACCAGGACGCGCTGGACAACATCCGTATCAAGCGTGCCCGTGTGGATTCGGACGAAATGCCCGTCAAGCCTGAGAGCCAGGAGCAAAAGCAGAAGGACAACTACGCAAACTTCCGTACCAACCTCCTGCTTCTCTGGTCACTCTCCAACGCTCTCCTTGCCGGATTGATCCTGGCCGGTAGCGATACGTCGTCCACGTTCACCAACGGTAGCTCGCGCACATCCATCTACATGATGGTTATCCTCAGTGAGTTGCGGGCCCGGTCCTTGGTGAGGGGATACTAACTCCACAGTCTTCGTCGCTGGCATGGCAGCGTTCCGCTTCCTGTGTGCTACGGCCTACCTTATTCTTCGCTTGTTCCAGGTATAGACCATGTAGCCTGGTGAACTCAAATATGACTCTGTATGAATGAAGGACGATTTGTTAGAGACAAAAACAATGTGTGCTTTCAGCCTGGGGGTGGACTGATTTCTGGAATCTGCATCCGCTTGTTTTGATTTGGGCTGTTCCCAACATGACTTGGCGGCAACTTGCACTTTCTATTATTCACGTTTTCGCTAGCAACGACCACTTTTAACGATGGGGCTGCCTCCCATCGTAGAGAAGGTCCTGCGGGAGATGCGTGCTGAACTGGACGATAACAGTAGGCAGGTCACCATGGGTTTTAGAAAGCTGACAATCAGAGACGGGAGGGGAGTATGATCCAGTCGTCACCGACCTCCTCGACCGCACGCTGGTGGACATGGGTGTACTGGTCGCCACCAACACGGACGGATCGAAAGACACTGGGATGGAACCTCCAAGGACAGAAGTAATGGAGCGAGCAAACGTCGCGCTCTGCACGCTCCTTAGTCTGGCAAAGGCGCGCGTCAAGGGGGTTCCATTCAACGTCGTGCCCAGGTCGACATTACGGCTGTATACCGACGCCAGTGTGTTGCTCTCGGCGCTCGACCTGGTATGCGGGGGACATGCAAGATGGAACCACGATGCAAGTGCGGTACAGACTTCAATGACGACAACGGAGACACGGGCGTTCTGGCTCGAGAGTGTGCGACGTCTCGACATGGCCATCATCGTTGCTGGGGCTATTGGGGCGCAGAGGATGGAGTGGGTACAGGCACTCATACGTGCTACCCAAGCCCAGCTCCCTTCTCTGCCATTACCACCGGTGCCGTCAACCTCATCTCCTCGACCGGCCAAACGCCCACGCCTGTCGGACCCATGCTCGCCTCAGCCTCGCCTCCTCTTTGCCCCGAACCCCGTTCCAGAGCGCTCGCCACCCACACCAGACACATATACGACCGACCCAGGCTTGACGTCTCACCCATTCATCATGCGCGGCTTCCTTGCAGATGACACGCACCTTCCTCGCTGGCCAGCGTTGGATCGATGGAAAGACGCAAGGTACCTCCTCGAACGGGTTGCGGGGGAGGGGCGAGTGGTGCCCGTTGAAGTTGGCAAGAGCTATGACGAGGAGGCGTGGGGACAGCGGATCGTGCCGTTTGACAAGTTTCTCGCGGCCACTGGGTGGCATGTCCCCGCTACGACCACTATTAGGGGGAATGACGAGGACGGAGAACAGGAACAGGGCGGAGTGGACGTCGAGGACAGTCTCGTCGACGCACCGCTCTACCTTGCCCAGCACGCCCTCTTCACCCAGTTCCCCTCGCTAGAGCGCGACATTGCGCTGCCCGACTACGTGTGGTCCGAGCCACCAACACCGCCACACGCACCGCAGTACACTCCACCACCGGACGTTCTTACAAACGTGTGGATCGGACCTGGGCGCCACGTCGTTAGCCCTGCACATACCGTGAGCTACATGGCGCGTATTGGATACAGCTGACAACAGGACCCATATTTCAACTGCTATGCCCAAGTGCTCGGCTCGAAACGGGTCTGGCTAGCGCCGCCGAGTGCCGGGCCGCACATGTACGCGTACGGCAAAGACGACGAGCGAGGCGACGAAGCTTCCGAGGAAGAGCCAGCGGCATCCACACTGGCGAGCGAGTACATGGGCAACACGTCCACAGTGCCCATTCTACGCGATGGCCCACTGGAGCCACTCAGGAAGCGTTTCCCGGCCTTCTTCGAGCACGTCTATCCCGACGCTCTCGAGGCCGTGCTGCACTCGGGTGACATGCTCGTCATGCCACCTGGATGGTGGCACGCCATGCGGGGCGAGGGTGGCAACGTTTGCTGGAGTGTTTCGTTTTGGTACTGAATATCTGTAACCATTCTGTGCTCCTCTCTTTCAATTGCAGTCCATAGCATACTGCGCAACACTGCAGTCTCTAAGCATCACCGTAACCTACATCATCTCCGATCTCAATCCAGATCGTGTTCTACTGGTATATATCTCGACAGCGCCTTTCGGATCACTGAACGAAAAACATCGCCTCGTCCTTCTACGTACACCGGTATTTTTACCGGGTGGGCTGGTTCCATGACAGGAGAGACATGTCACCGAGCTTGCGTGGCTTGACGAGGTGCCTAATAAGACCAGCGAGGGCAAGGAAGACACAGAGGATGGCAGCGGCGACGTACGCCCAGCCAAGGAAGGGCTGCTTGCCGCCAATCCACGACACGGTCGAAATGACAATCGACTTTGTGCCGCTGAACTCCTTGACGGGGTAGTTCATGTTGGCGAGAACCTCGTACGTTCCCGCGGTCATGGCCTCGTCGTCGTTACGGGCCCAGAGCTTGCGGAAGGTGGGGAGGGCAGCGACACGCATCCAGATCTGGAAGTGCTCGTCGGAAGCGAGGTCGGGCCACTCGGTGTAGCCGTTGGGGTACTGAAGAGCCCAGTTGGGAGGGGGGAGCGCGTCCGAGGGGCTCGCAGGCCATGTTGGCGTAGCGACATAGTTCTTCGCAATGCCGTGCCAAGCAATACCCTTCTCGGTAAAGTTGTAAGTCGTGTTGTCGGCGCCGATGTTCGAGTTGAGGAGAACAACCGAAGGGAAGGTGTCGTTGAACACACTGTTGGCCACAAGACCGCACGGGTAGATGGGCTTGTCACCGGAACTCGTGATGGGCTTGCAGTTACCGCCGTCGAGTTGGCTGGCAGTACGCTTCTTGCCGAGCAGCTGGTCAGAGTCAAAGCTCTGGACGTAGCGACGGTGGTTCTGGTAGCTGAGCGTTAGCATGACGCAGCCAGACAGGGCAACGCACTAGTTGGTAAGCTTGTAGTAGAGGAAGACGCCCGGTCCAAGGTCGTAGGGAACCTCGAAGCGGATGCGGCACTGGGCCTGCTCGCCAACAGCGCGCGACGAGTCGTTGGAGAACGTCCACTGCGGCTTGGTAATGGAGCTCTTCTTGACAGATGAGCTGGACGAGAGGGAGTCTGGCAAGTGTTAGTGGAAAATGCTGTGTACCAGGCTGGGGACACGTACAGTCATACGTGGGCATGTCAGCCCAAGAACCGTCGGTGGGGGCATTGGCGTCACACTGGGTGTAGTCGAGGCTAATGTTGGTGACCTTGCCAGAACCCCAGATGATGAGGCCGCCAATGGGCGCGAAGATGATACCGATGAGGAAGAGGGTGGGGAGGACCGCCTTCGGTGTGAGGATGGGCTGCCATGCCTTGAGACGCTGCTGCTTGAACGCGGTGTCTGGTTATGTCAGCGGAGGAAAGACGAGAGGGGGGGCGGTGGAGAGGCGACAATGATGTTTGGGTGGACCTGCGCAGCAGGCAGCTGACTGCAACTCACTGGCTGGGCGCTTGGACCACTTGACCTTGTCCTCCTTGGCGACGTCTGCGTCGACGGTGTCGGATGGCTCCTTGTTCTTTCTGTTGAAGAGACCCATGGTGGATGGAGACGACGAGGAAAGCGATGGCCGCACAGCAAACAAACGTCTACGCGTGCCAGCACAGAGTCATCCGAGCATCCGTGGTGTGGCCGTCGGTGGCGCGGCGGCGGGGTCTGCTGGCCCTCGGCGCCCGTGGGCGCGCGCGCAAGAGCACGGCCCACGGCCAGCACTTCGGGCTGGAAAAAAGGAGCACCGGGCGCCTATTTCTGATTCCCCCCAAGGCGCAACATGGCACGCCTACCAATTCCCGGTGGAGGTCCCGGAGGCATGAAGTATTGTGTACCTTTGTGTCCACCATCTTTCAGAAATCTCAGCTAGACACATCCATCGACCACCATGCCCAAGGCAACAAAAAAGAAGAACGAAAAGGCGGCAGACTTCAAAGTATGTCCTATACATTTGCTACCCGCAGACATTCTGCTCACGCTTGTCCTCTAGAAAGCCAAGCTCAAGCTCGGCAAGGGCAAGAAGGCCGCCGACAATGCTACCGACACCTCGTTCAAGGCTCGCTGTGCGTGTAGCTGACTTGCTGTTCTAGGCCACTAGCTGACACGACCACAGCCATTGCTCTTCCGTCGCAGAAGCAGCTTGACCGTGCGATCAACAAGGCTCCCGATGCTGAGGCCGGTCCATCGGCCTCCGCCATCCCCACCACCGCCTCGGGCCTGACGATTGACGATGTCCTCATCCAGCTGCGTCATGTCAACGCTGGCGTGCGCAAGGACTCTCTCAACCATCTCAAGGAGATTATTATTGACGGTGTGAACAAGGGCGTCAAGCTGGGCGAGCGCCACGGCGAGGTGGCCAAGGTTGTCCGCGCATGCGGTGGCATGATTAACGACGAGGTGGGTCAACAGCCAGCGACATCAGGTTGCTAACCTTCAGGACGGATATGTGCGTAGGGCTCTTCACGAGTTTCTGGCTTGGTATCTTCCTCGTCTGCCAAAGCAGGCCCTCTCGCCATACCTCGGTCTCCTGCAGCTCCAGATCTCGTCGGCTCTGTCGCACATCTTCCCTGCCATTCGCATCGATGCGTGCAAGCTCGTCGAACTGCTCCTGGAGACCCACCCTGCCGACGTTGTTGGCAACTGGCCCGCCAGTGACCCCTCTTCCTCCACCAGCTCGCCAGTGAGCGCGATTCCGACCAGCGGATCAACGATCTTTGATGGTCTTCGCCTCAGTGCCGGTCTGGGAGAGGAGAAGGGCGCCAGCACACAGGCTGGTTTCCGCCTCACTCCCGCTACCAAGCTTGTTATCCTGCGCACGATCAAGACGTTTGTTGTCAAAGCTCTCGAATCTACTGCCCAGCCTGGTATCTCTCCCAAGAGGGCCGCCAAGGCCAAGCTGGGAGAGTGGACCCTCACAGAGCTCAATGCCCTCCCCTCCGACCAGTGGTCGCTCCAGACCAGCAGCGTGTGGGGTGTTGAGTGCGAGTTTGACGGTGGAGAGAAGATCCGCAGTGTCGACCTCGCTGTTGGTAACGGTGCCGTGGAGGAGCTTACCGTGAGTTTGACGAGCCAGTATTGTGCTAACTTGAAAGAAAACGTACCTTGCTCTCCACTCCCTCCTCCTTTCGACGTTCATGGAGTCGGCTCCCTCTGCGTTCCCTCCCTCTTCTGCATCGACCTCAGCGACAATCGACGAGGTATCCCTGAATCTCTGCTCAGCCTGCACCGAGCTTGTGTGGGTCTTTGCCCGCACCTTTTTCGAGTCTTCCGACTTTGGCTCGCTGCCCGCCGCTGCCGAGTTAAAGTCGTCGTTTTCCGACTATGTCAGGCGCATGTCCGGCTGGTTCCCATTCAACAAGGGGTCGCTTGCCGCCACGGACGCCAGTGCTATCATGTTCGAACTTTCGCTTCATTATGCCAAGCTGGCGGCTGTCCTGGCGCCCAAGGCGCCGGCGATTACGCTGGCGCGCCGCAAAGACGGTTGGCGGTACCGCGTGCGCGCGATTGAGGCGGCATGGGCCGGGCTCAAGACCGGTAGTGGAGGCAAGGCTGCGTCCAACGACGCCGCTTTCCGATTCGCAGCCGAGTGGATTGAGGAATGCTTGGTGAGTGCCAAAGAGATTCGTGCCACACGTCCGCCACGGATTGCTGACGCGTTTGTAGGAACCAAGCCCCGACGCTCTTGCTCCTCCGCTGAGCGCATCGTCGTATGCCGAGCTGCTGCCCGTCATTTGGACCCTGTTCCTGCGGCCCGGCGCGTCGATCGGCCAGGCGTTCCTCGACGCCGTCCTCCGCCAAGCTAGTTCTAGCAACAAGCGTCGCGCCTCTGACGCGTTCCTTGTCTCGCTTGTCAATGCCCACGAAGACCGGTTCTCCACGCTGGCTTTCTTCATCCCTGCTTCCTCACCCACGCGCGAGCTCATCAACACTTGGCTGAGCTCAGCCCCGCGTACGCTTTGGGAGTTGGGAGCGCGTGATCCCGAGACGTCCGAGACGCTCCTCCGTTTCCTCCTCGACATTGGCACGCGCGGACCTACGGGCTTTGACGCACCATACTCGCTCATCGCCCCCGGCGTCTTTGCGGCGATTGCTGCCAAGATGGGCCCCTTCTTTCACCTCGCGCACCCCACCAAGGGAGCTGTGGAGGGCCCCTGGGCCAAGGTCCCGACCTCGACACAACGTCTCGCCCTCGACGTTGCGCGCGTGTGGACCCAGTTTGACGAGAGTGGACGTCTGGCCGGCGCTGTCACTCGTGCCGTCCAGGGTACCTGGGCCGAGGCTCACTGGTCATCTCGCGCATAGATTACAGGGTCCTCCAGTTTTCCTGTGCCATTTGCCTTGTGTACATTATCTTCCATACCCTGCATTTGCTCTGCTCCAACCACATGCATAACTAGTGTACAACATCTCACTCAGGCAAACAGCTTTCGCGCAATGCTGCGCTGCTCGGTACCGTTTGGTGTAGTGTTCTTGCGCTTGGTGCCGGAGTCCGGCATGCCCGCCACATCCTGGGGGGCAATGTCACGCGGTCTCAGCTCGGCAAGAGGCTTGGGCAAGAGAATAGGCGCAGTGGGACGTTCTCCGGTCGTAAAGAACTTGTGGTGCAGAGCGGCCTTGGCCGAGACTCGCGCCATTGGGTCAAACTTGAGCAGTTCGCGACACAGGTTCTGACCGTCCCTGCCCAGCGGACTGACGAGGTTCCACCACGGGTTCGGAGGGTATCCGGCAACCTCGTGGTAGTCGGGAAGCTTTGTGTGGCCCTGTGGAAGCGTTAGGACACGTATCCATGTGGATCCCAAGGCAACAACTCACAGGCCAGTCCTGCTCTGTCGGCGAGCCCATGGCGTGGAATGTCTTTTTCAGCTGGTCAATGTCGCTGTCGCCTGCAAGGAAGGGCACTCTGAGCACCAGCTCGACGACAATGGTACCAATTGACCACATGTCCACGGCCGGAGAGTAGTAACGCGCACCCCAGAGCAGCTCAGGAGGACGGTACCACCTGGTTGTCAGTTTCGAACGCTTCCCATGTGAAACTAACCGTGTAATAACCTGTGAGGTCATGCGTGTTTTGGCATCACCAAACTCGCGGGCCAGACCGAAATCCGCAATCTTGAGCTCGCCAGTGGAAGCAATGAGCAAGTTATTGGGTTTCAAATCCTTGGAGGTCGTCAGCTCTGGCCTCGCACTTATATACCAAATAGCTGAGAACACTTACACGATGCAAGACCCCGTTTCTGTGAATGTACTCGAGTCCACGGAGAGACATGGCTGTCCAAGACTTGATGTCGGCGGGCTGGAAGATGAGGCTCTTGTCGCGAATGACGGCCTCGAGGTCGGTGTCGAGGAACTCGAGCACGAGGTTGACATTCTGCTTGACAGAGAAGACGTCGAGCAGCTGGATTGTCAGCTAGGCACATCCATGCCAGCTCACTCCAATGATGTTGGGATGGTGTAGCTCCTGGAGAAACTTGACCTCGCGCAGCGCGGTCATGTCCAGGCCATCCTTCATCTCGCCGACCTTGATCTTCTTGATAGCGACTGTTGTCAGCTCATGACCCCGGGACATGCCCAAGCTCACTCTTCCTCCCAGTGGCCTTTTCTGTTCCTGTAATCCGTCAGCCTTCATGACCACATACTCCCACTTGCTCTCGGCGACTCACCCTTGTAAACATTGGCGAAAGTACCTTCACCGATCTTGACACCCTTCTCCCCTAGCTCATCAGCTGCTGACGGACGGCACACTTTTGCAGCACAACTTACACCTCTCTGCACGCGTCTGGTTCTCCAGCGCTGCGAGATCCATGATGGGCGTCAAGGTTAGTGGGTGGGGGGGCTGTGACGACGAAAATGAGAGTGTGGAGAGCAGAGACTGCAACATGACAACGGATGCACCTCCACCACCGCCTGCGTGCGGAGGCAATCTGGACGGAATCAAACTTGGGACGCATGTTTATTATATGAAGCCCCCAGGCCCAGGGCATAGCCGAATGATTCCAACGCGCTGCCTCTCCGCATGGAAGCTATCAGATTCCATCGAATTTCCTGTCGCTGTGCGGATCGTGCAGACTAGCAATCGCTTGGAATATCTACACATGTGATCCAGACTCCCCATTTCCACACGTATAGCATAACGACGCATTCTCACCCACAGCCCCAGGCCCCAACGCCACAGGCAGAGTTCTGTCCTCAGCGGGCAAAGAGTGGTCCCATCCGGAACGACGATTGCAAAGGAGTCTTATGAGACCAAGCGATTCGCGAACACGGGTTAACACCGTCAACGCAGCGGTAAGGAAGGAAGTTGTGGAGTGAGCGGACTTGATCGAGAAGGTAACATCCAGTGAGTGCTCATGTGGAGCGGGAGATCCTTTTCGCACAACAAGTTGCTGCCCAAAGACACAAGATTCCCGAAAGCCGAACACTTAAATGATGATGACGACTTGCATGACGACGACCATTTATTCCGCCCGCGACAGGGAGGTGAAGTTTATTGGCCTCGAAAGCACGGCACGGTTCTGGGGCCTTTTGCGTGTGCCCAGGCTGGTACGGTACCTCTGCCCCCACCACAGAGTGTTCATACCGTAACTCCGCCGGAGTATGATAACATGAAGGATAGAGCGCTAAAAATCCGAGGAATTGCGGCGAGGAGCGCAAAAAGGAGAGGAGGCCAAGCACGGGGCGGAATGTCAAGTGACATTCAGCGACGTCTCCAAGTCACCGGGACACCCCCGGAACTGGTCTCGCAAGGGGGTGGCCCTGACGTGAACAGCGCTAGGAGAGTGACTGGAAGGAACCCGTCGACAGAAAAGTAAAGTGTAAACGGTTACTCCCCACCCTCAGACCCCAACGGGTGTTGTTATGCGGTTATCGTGACTCATAGGCGGGCAATTCCCGTAGTCACCATGCATTTGTTCCTTGTCTCCGTGGGCCGTGTAACCCAGATGATCCGCGTCCGAACCGCAAGTGAAGCGGCCATGATTCATGGCGAGGGGGACGTGTCTTGATTTTCCGGGCTAGGTTGGGCATTGCTCGAGGTGAGTGGGGTGGTGACAACCCCCACTCACGTACTCACAGTCTCTGCCGTCTGGTGACCAGAAGGCACGGGTCGAGCCCCACCGAGAACTTGGCCCTTGTGTCTGCCCGTTCAACTACCACACCGGGACACACACACACAAGGCCCCCACTGGGCCGCTGGAACCGCACTTGCGACTATCGACTACGAGACATGGTCCCAACGGCACACTGTGTCTGAGGTGGGTATAGGAACGTATGCCGTAAATAATATCCAGTCCCACAAGTCCATGTTTCCCGGTTGCCTGTACACGGACGTGCGCAGTGCTGGGGCGGCGTGCTTTGGGACGGCACTGGCGGGACAGGCTGGGCCAGCGTAACGCTTGAAGCGATGCGCGAGCATATTGTCTTGATCGGCGTCAGTGGCCCTGCCACGTATCGCTCAATGTTCCGCTTTTTGATCAATGAGGATGATACATTTTGCGACGTGTTGTCAGGACGTCTCATTTTTCGTTAGAGTCTGGAACATTGCGGGTCCACGGCAAGGGCCCTATGCATTACCTGCGGTTCCTGTCTCTCCTCTACTGCCAAGCCCAGACGTGCTGTTCTATGTCTCGGACAGCAAGCAGCCGTAAATAATGGGGACGGTACTGTACAGCGTCCAGAGCGTGCCTCACGAGATCGAAGGATCCCCCGATACCAGCTGCAGACACGTTCCCCCCCGCCAAGCCAGCCACGCCTCGTACTTTGTGTTGTTGAAACAGTTTACATCAGCCCAAGAATCAGATTGAAAGGAACAGGCTGAAAGAACAGAACAAAGGAAACCCACACCTTGTTGAGAGAGATCTGGAGAGACGGCCCCAAGGGGCCCGATAGAATCCCGGATTTGAGGGACGATGAAATGCCCCCGCGCAACGCGTCGTCAACCTGTGGCGCCTCGCGCAGCTGATTGTCTATTCACAGAGCACAGATCTCACAGTGAATACCGTCTACCCCGACAGGGCATCACCATAACACCAGAGCACAACCTGAGAGACAATTCACAGAGGGATTACTACAGGTAACAAGTTAGCCTCATATTATATGAGACGAATGAGGCTTGATTCTATGAGGGTGGGAGAAGGAGGCGTGCCTATGTATATGCGCGCTCCAGCTCGAATGATAGGAATGCGTTGTGGTCGGTTTTTTTTTCTGCGTTAGAGAGGGTGCCGGGGATGGGATGAGTAACGCTGGTGTCGATGATCGCGATGGACTTCGGGTGCTGGAGGCCAGGGGCGTTGCTGGCGGTCGTAATAAGATGCTGACGGCAGAGACATGGGTGTGGCCCTTTCGATGGGGTGCGACGCAGACGGAGAGTGTGAAGGGAGGCGGATGGGCGGGAGCTGTATGCCACCTCGGCCAGGACTGTAAGACAGTATGCTGCTGCTGGTACTGCGTTCCAGTGGAGGCCGCTGTTGCTGTTGTTGCTGCTGAGGCATGGGCGGTCCATACGAGTACCGATGGTGCGCAGGCGGCGACTGTTGCTGCGCAGATGGAGGTGTCAAGCGCGGACGATGCAGAGAATGTGGAACAGGTGGACCTGGTGTGCCAAGGGGCTGCTGGTGGGTTGCGTGAGCATCTATCTCACCGGCACAAAAAAATGGGGTTGCCGTAACATGGGTTCGGCGAGTGGCGTGCTCACCTCGCTACCAGGATGTAGTGCATCCGGACCTCCACGCCGTTCAAGTTCCAATGATCTACCGTATTGGATCCATTGGTCCAGAGTTTTGCGTAGGCGTTCATTCTCCTCGGTTGCGGTGTTCAGTTGGTCCTGCAGCCGGCGGTTTGCAGACTCTAGACTAGCAGACCGGAGATCGCCGTCGGGCAGTGTCAATGGCGAAGACGGCCGACCGGTGCTGCGATGAACTGGTGGGGGGTATGGATAGTATTCGCGATGGAGTGTGGTAGGAGAAGAGCGAGATCGGTTATAGGGGTATGCACTGTCGTCACCTTGCTCGAGTCGGCGAAGGAGAGCACCGCGCTCCACCTCGAGCCCTTTGACTTTTTCCTCGAGGCTCTCCTGGTAACTCTTCTTCCGGTTTCGGAAGCGTTGAGCAGCAAGGCGGTTGTTCTCGCGTCGTCGCATGATCATCGACTCGTCGGCAGCCTGTGACGATCCCCCGCCGTCGTTCCAGTCGGGAGAAGCCGAGCGGCCTGGATGGGTTTTGGTCCGCGACGTCGAGTCTGACGGTCTCCTACGGTGCAATAGGGGGTCAGTGACGCTGGCCCTTGAGAGCCGTCCTGCCGTCGAGCCTGGCGAGGCACTTGTCGAAGGGGACCCGGGCGAGTGTGACCTCTTGACTCGACTGGAAGAGGCCATCTGTCTATCGGCTGCACCTGGGGACAGGTGTTTACCGTCCTGCACAGCCTGAGTAGGGTCGGACGACCGCCCCGGGAGGTCAGACATCGGGGCGGCGTAGGCTGAGTGAAAGTGGGGAGGTGGGGAGGATGATGTCGATGGCGAGGCCTTCACTTTGGGATGAGGTCGAGTCATGTGCACTCGCGTTGCAGCCGGCGAGCATGCCAGGCTGGGAGCAGAGGGCGAAGACCGTATGTGACCAGTCGTTAGATGTGCTATGTGTGCGTGTGTGCGAGGGTGGTGTGTGTGTACGTGTGTGTATGTGGGTGGGTGGTGATATGTGATCTCAGATGGGCTCTCTTGCACGCGTAAGGTTATGCGCTGTACGTCACGCCCCCACGGCCATGGACGGGCAGTGGCGGGGGTCCTGACGGGAAATGGACGGTGGGGTTGAGGGTGAGAGGGAGGGAGGGGTGGTGAGGATCGTCTGGTATGGAAAGATGGAGATGACAGGGAGTGGGAGGGGGAGCGGGATAAGGGCCAAAACGACGCAGCAAGGCCAAACAATAACAGGCGTGTGGGGGGTGGGGGGTTTGTGAATGAGCCGCGGCCCAAAAAAAACCCTCACAAGTGTCCCGAGCTACGCACCGGACCAGCACATTTGCCAGCAGCAACCAGAGCATGGGGGGGGGGAATGGGCAGGGCATGACTCGCTCCAGATTCCAGTAAACAGCTAAACAGCCCCCGGTCAGGGCCACAACTGGCAACGAGGGCAGCCCGTCAGCCCGTCAGCCCCGGTTGGCGTGCCTCACAACCCCCCCGCGCAAGCGACCAGCACACAGAGGCAGCCAGCAACGACGACGCACCCCGCCAGAGAGACCCGACACCCGCGCGCACTAGGCAGTTATTGCAATTTACACATGCACACGCAACGATGTTCTGCCTGTTTCCCCTCCCCCCGCATCCATCCTGGCGGTCGCGGTCACCATATGTATATCCATGATGGACAACCGCCGTTTCCGTCCCTTCTTCCTCGTGACACCCCACCCGCCCCAGCCCTTTCCTGCTCTCAACACCTGACCCACCGACCCCGCAAGCCGCACAAGCCTCTTGCTCGCCGGTCAAAACGTCCCCCACCTCGGCCCCCTTAGTTTCCTGCAGCCAAGGCCCACCACTCCATGCCTGGCACAAGCCCCCTCGCAGTCAGGCTGACCTCCATCCTACAACACCAATCTGTCGCGCTCGGACTGCGGCCCCTCCCCCAATCCAAGTTCCATCCATGGCGGATCCCATGCTTCGAGGCGCCAGCAATGGAGCGCCCACGCGATCTTCTATCACTTTCCACCCTTCCTCTTCTTTCTCTGCCGTCTGCCAAACACCGAGAGGGGCAGCCTTAATGAAAAAAAAAAACTAAAACGCCACACAAACAGATCCTTGGACCTGCAGGACCAGGAGCAGGCTAACACATCATTTGAGCACAACATGAAACCCCCTACGCTCGGCGGGCGCGATCCTCGGGACCTGTTGGCCAGGTGCGCTTCGACGCCCCACCGCCACACCACAGCCAGTCGCAGCCAGCCAACCAACCGCCTGCGCTGTCGCGGTCCGGTGCGTGCTATCGCAACCAGGTGCGTCAAGCTCACCCAGCAGCGTGCACTGCACATCTGTCCGTTCCCGGCCCACAAGCCACGGAATGAACCGAGGGGGCTGTACACATCGTGATATTCGGAGCATAATTGAAGAACATTCCGCGAAGAACCCCGCCCATCCCCCCCCAAAACACACACACATGTCGCCAGTAGAATGCCCGGGTACATTGTTGGCGCAACTACTCCCCGCTCGCGCCATCACCTGATGCTGCGCATCCACATCTAACCCCGCATTTGGTCCATGGTCGTGGGGATGGCCTTAGCCGGCTTACCCTATCCCCCTGTAAACAATGGCCTTCTGTCGGTAGACGACAAGCGACACTGATCCCTGCGACTCAAGGGCATGACGCTTTCCTTCGTCACATGATCGTCTCATGATGTAATGGTGAACGCCTGCGCCAAGCCATTGGCCTGAAGGGCAGAAGTAGACCTGTTGGCCCATTTTCTGATTTTTTTATTGATTTTTCATGGTGGTTTGGTGATGGTTCGGCAATCCCGAAAGATTCGACGCCACTCGGCTTGGCAAAACTAAAGCATGGTTATGTGAGAGTGGAGAGGCTAACCCATTGACAATTACGCAGGCTGTGCTGTACGTCTGCGAAACGACTACACCGCTTGTGTTGCGGTGGTCGTCGACGACGACGACGACGACGACGGTGTGGGAACCGCATCGTCGCAGCGCAAACAGAGGGCGTCTTCAGCCTTGGCGGTGAATAGCCAGCAACGAGGGCATTGGTGCCCCGGTGCAGCAGTAAGGGTGACTTCTGCTGATCCCGACGCTGGAACCGTCAGCCAAAACCATGCCCCCGTCAAGCCATACGCCCAAGCTCCAGCTCAGGGATGACCGATGGCCGCAAAGGGCCAGTCAGATGCTTACCGGTTGTGGCCTGGCCCGTGAGGCGCCATGCAGACTCGTCAATGCCGTCAACGCCGCCAACGGACACCTGAGACACGCCAAGGATTGTAGGCAAAAGCTCATCTGTCACAAGTGTTAATCGCCACCACCAATCGCCACGGGAGGTAATGCGGAGATCTGGACCACAGAAATCTGTTGGCGTCCAGAAGCCCCCCCTGCAACTCACCATTGTCTTCCAACAGCTGAGACAGAACATCCGAAGAGGCATTGACGACCACCGCAGTCTCAGCAGGAACCCTCACATGCCTTAGCAATGTCAGCCACGCGCGGTCTGTGTCTCGCCAATGATCCGAGCAGTACCAATAACGACTTACTTTGCAGCACGGGCTTCCTCAATCAGGCCAAGGACCTGCGAACGAATGGCCAACAGGTCGCCCATCTGTTCCGCGGTAGCGCCGTCCAGCCATTGAGTCTGGTTGAGTGGTTAGCACGCCACAAAAAAGGGAGGAGCAAGCCCCAGAAATGGCCGTCAGCCCACGTACGTCAGGGTTCCAGTGTTCCAAGAACACGGACGACTTGCGCTCGTTTCCAGCATCTGTCGCCGCAGCTTCATAGATTTCTTCTGAAAGGTGCGGCGTAATGGGCGCGATAAGCTTGACCATTACACCCAGAACCTGCGATATGTCAGAACAATCCACCTCCAACTCTCCCATGAACGACATCTCCAGTTCTCCACTGGTCGCCCAAACCCACATGTTGCAGAGTAGCCACCACAGCCTGGCGGCGAGTGCCATTAAGGTGATCACAGTACAGCGTGTCCTTCACCACGTCAAAGTAGAATGAAGACAACGTCGACGATGTGAATGAGGCGACGTTCTGAAGCACTGGGTTGCGTCGTCAGCTTATGCAATAGGTCCCTTAGACGGGATTACCCCGACGCCACCACAGCACGCCACATACCCTTGTTGAACGAGAACTCGTCGTAAGCGTCCCTGGCAGTGGCTTGCAAGGAACTCAGCTCATGCAGGATGTATCGGTCCACCTAGGTCTGTCAGGTCCCCCCCGTGTTACCCCATTTCTTGGGACCAATAACTCACCAGACTAAGTTGAACCTCGCTCAACGACAGGGAAGGGGCAGTAGCCGTGTTTCCCAACATGAAGCGCAGGGCACTGCGCAGCTTGCGGAGCTGTTCGGCCGCTGCAGAGATGCTGCTGGGACCGATCGAGTTATCGCGGGTGTAATCAACTCCAGCTGCCCACACTCGGAGCACATCTGAACCATGGGCAGGTGTGCTCTGCGCAATCGTTAGCCTCGGGTGTTCGGGGTGACTCATCCCCAGGGCTGGGACCTCACCTTGGTACCATTGATAACGTCCATGGGAGACAGGCCGTTACCCAACGACTTGCTCATCTTGGCTCCGCTCTCGTCCGTGGTGAAGCCGTGTGTGAGAAGGTTGGCATACGGGGCCATGGGCTTTTCCCCGGCATCAAGGGACGCCAGCCGCGTCAAAATAGAAGACTGGAACCAGCCGCGGTGCTGGTCAGAGCCCTCAAGGTACACATCGGCCAGCGGCCGAGTTGTTGGGCGGAGGCTGGCCTCTGCGATGAGGGCCCAGGAGGTACCACTGTCAAACCAGACGTCGAGGGTGTCAAAGCCACGCGTAAACTCTTGGCCCTCGAGCGAAGGCGGAATAAAGTCCTCAACGGGCCCCGACCACCAGTGGTCAATTCCCCTGGCGTCAAGAACTGAGATGATGTGGTCCAGTGACTCAGTGGAGAGAACAGCCTCCCCCTGGGCGTTGAACAGGGCGGGAATGGGGACACCCCAGCTGCGCTGACGCGAGATGCACCACTCGGAGCGAGACATGACCGTGGCGGACAGGCGGTTGCGACCTGTGACGTCAGCATGCGCCGAGAAACCGAGACCTCACCGGTAGCAGGGACGAAGTTGATTGCTTCGATAGCGGTCTCAGCCGCTGGCTTGAGGGTCTGGATGTCTGCAAACCACTGCGGTGTGGCACTACGGTTAGATGCGCACGTCCGGTTGAACCTTACCGAATGAGGATCGGCTTCTTAGTGCGCCAGTCGATAGGGTAGCGATGCGAAACGGTTTCCTGGGCGAGTAACACGCCTTCAGCCTTGAGAAGCTCCACCATGGCCTTGGAGCCAGGTCCCTGGACCTGCTGGCCCACAAGAGGCGCCGTGGATTCGTTGCCGCTGTACGAGAAAATCTCCTCGGTGAAGCATCCATCGTCGTCGATAGGGCATCGCATGTTCGAGACCGAAATGCCGGCCGCTTTGAAGGCGTCATAGTCCTCGTGACCATGGGCAGGCGCAGAGTGAACAAGACCAGTACCCGACTCGGCCGTAACATACGGCGCACTAAAGACGCTAGGGCGAGCCAGGTCCGACGTGACGGGATGGAACAGGTGAGTATAACGAGTACCCACCAGGTCCTTGCCTGAAGGGTAAGTGGGACGTTTCGCATATCGCACTCACCAGTGACCTTGTCAACAATCTCAAGGGGACCAAACGCCTTGCTCAGCTCCTCCACACGTTCCTCGCCAATAACGAGGAGCTGATTCTTCTCGTTGAGGGCGACAGCGTAGCTAATCTCGTCACCAACAGTGACGCCCTGGTGAAGGTCAGTGTAGTCGCCATAGGTTTAACCCACCATGTTACCAGGCAAACTCCATGCAGTTGTCGTCCAGATGGCAAGATGAAGTGTTGCGTCCGCACGCTTCTCGCGGCCCCTGGCGAGAGCCTCCGTCAGACGCGGGGTCATGTCGCCCTCCTCGACAGGGAAAGCGACGTAGACTGAGGTGGACTTGAGATCTGTGTACTCGAGCTCGGCCTCTGCAAGTGCCGTACGCGACGAGGGAGAGTAATAGGTCGGGCGGTGGCGGTGGGTGATGAAGCCCTTGGACACCATTTTCTGGAACAACCGCAGCTGGCGGATCTCAAAGCCGTGATCTGGCAGGTCAATAGCCGGTCACACTTCGTGCACCTACCAAGAGAGCGGTACACGCCATCCTTGGCGTCCCAATCGGCCATCACTCCAAGCTGCTTGAATTCGGCCTTTTGAGTGTCGATCGCTTGGAGCGCGAACTTGCGCGCCTCTTGGCGCACACTGACCGGGTCAAGGGCGGTGTGGGATTTCTGTGGTCAGCTGAGGCTCACAACTTGTAAACTTACTCCAAGCGCACCAAGGGCTTTATGCTCGATGGGGAGACCGTGACAGTCCCAGCCGGGAATGTAGCTGCATGTGAGCGAGTCGCACAGTCGAGCAGACGTACTGGACCTTGCGTCCGCGAACGACGTTGTAGCGGTTAATAATGTCCTTTAGAATCTTGTTCAGAGCATGGCCTTGATTGATCAGCAACTGTTTATCCGCTTCAGCGTCACAGCTCACCCATATGCAAGTTGCCGTTGGCGTACGGAGGGCCATCGTGCAAGATGAACACCTCGCCCTTGTTGTCTTGGAACTGGACGTCAGCTCACGTACAATCGAAACCAGCTCACCTGCTTGCGGTAGAGTTCATGTGTCGTGCGATCACGCAGCTTGGCATCGACCTTGGGCGCATTCTTGACACGCAATGGTAAGCTCGTCTTGGGAAGCAGAAGGGTGGCCGAGAATGCTTTCTTCTTGTCCTTGTCCGTTGCTGCAGTCGTGCTCGCGGTGCTGGCGGCGCGAATGGCGGAGGCTCGGAAGTGAGTGCAGCGGAACCCAGACAGAGCCCTTGGCCCGTGACCCATAGACAGGGTGAGGAGCCGGCTCATTGGAGGCAGAAGACAGTCGTGCGGCCGGAGTTAGAAGGTGAACAACAAGAGCGGTTGTCCCGAATCGCGACTTTCCAAAGGTGGAGGTCCGGACGATGAAGGTCGACCGTGGGAAAATGGGTTGACTGGACTGTCGCCACCACATGAGCTATGATGCTGCGGCGCTTTCCTTTGTTGTCAACATTGCCCTTCTTACTCGATCCCAACAACAACCGCCCTGGCTACAGGTCCAAGATGCCGTCCGAGCGCAAGCGCAAATATGTGTCTGCCTCTGGAGTCTTGTGTGAGTTGAGACAGCTGCAGAGAACATACTGCAAGACGCGTCGGTGGCTTCTGGTGGAGGGAGTCCAAGCTCATTCACCCAGCTGTAGTGAAGAAGGAATCGAAACCAGACGTCAAGCCCTTCGTCACGTCCCGCGCGTCACCTCGTGAGCTCATCAACCTCAGCAGTTGGTTCTGACATAGCAGCTCCAGTCGATGACTTTGAGGAATATGCCACGGCCGAGGCCAAGCACTACACGGAAGTGCGGAAGACTGAGAAGGAACGCGAAGAAGCCAGAGTGCTCAACAAAGAGCTCAAGGCCAACGGAGAGAAGGCGAAGAAGCTCCCCCGAGCCATGAAGGATTGGAATGAGGCCAAGTTTGCCAAACACCGTCATGAGCTAGTGGACAATGACTCCGCAAGCTCCGGCGACGACTCGGGCGACGACAAGAGGGACAGTGAGTGTTACGGCCGCGCCTGTATGCTGATGCAAAGAACCTCTTTTCTGTTTCAACCCACTCCCCGTCCTTGCTAGTGAGTTGCAGTGCCCAATGTTGCGCTGACTAATGAGATCTCCCTCGCGACTTTGATCCAGGGAAGGTCATCGAGATTCTCTCGCAGTCCAAATCGTCCGCCGGCAATATAAAGCAAATCCTGGCGGCGGCAAGGAACTCGCATCAGTCTTCGCCGGCCGGCAGCTCGAATCAAAATGCCTCACACTCGTGGCCACAGACTGAAGGCAAGCGTCTGATCGATGCCAAGTCGGATGTCAAGCTGGAGATAAAGCCGGATATCAAGCCGGACATCAAGCCAGATGTCAAGTCTGACATCAAGCCCGACATTAAGCCTGATGCCAAGCTTCCCATGGGGGACATGAGGCCTGAACATCATGATGTCAAGCCGAGCGTAGATGTCAAGCCCGATATCAAGCCCAGCATTGATCCGGACGTCAAGCCCGACGTCAAGCCCGACGTCAAGCCCGACGTCAAGCCCGATTGGGAAGCCATGGACGATGATGACGACTACTTCGAAGAGGACTATGATGACGAAGAGCCCACTCTCGGTCCAATGCCCACTGTTCCCGTCCTTCCACCTGTACCCCGTGAGGGGGATTCCGACCAAGAAGAAGATTACGATGATGACCACATCTACGAGGGTGAGAGCATCCATCAGTCTGTGTCAGGCTAACTGTCAGCCATGCCACGCAGGGAGTCCATACCCACATCCACCAATGAGGATGACTCTCAATCTCATGAGGTCGACGATGGCAGCGACGACGAAGAGATGGGTAACCGCCCGCCTTTCCCTGCCACTACAGAGCAAGGCCTCATTGGAGCCTACCAGCTCGACGACGACGATTCAACAGTTGTTATTCCCGCCAACATCAACCGCTTCCTTCGCGAGTACCAACGTGAGGGTGTCCAGTTTATGTACAACAAGTTTAAGCAAGGAGCCGGTGGCGTTCTGGGCGACGACATGGGGTGAGCCTCCGCGGCATTGTCAAAGCTAACAAGCACAGTCTGGGCAAGACAGTCCAAGTCCTTGCATTTGTAGGTGATGCCCAGGACAAGTATATCAGTAGCTAAAGTACACAGCTATCAGCGATCATGCGCAAGACTGGCAAGCCTTCAGACTACCGCCGTCGCAAGAACCTAATCCGCAGCCTTCCGGCTGGACCTAGCGAGAACGGGCCAAAAATCGCGCCTCAAAAATGGGTGACGGCGCTTATTGTGTGCCCCATGGCCCTTATCGAGAACGTAAGTGCAAGCCAGCTGTCAGCGCCCGTCTGATGGTTGTATAGTGGTCACGCGAGATTAAGACGTGGGGATACTTTGAATTTCGCGTCTGGGACAAATCCAAGACAGCGAAGGACGACATGAAGGCCGGCTATTTGGACATCAGTACGTTCTCAATGTTTGCTATGAGCTCACCTGCCAGTTTTGATTTCCAGCGCAATGGTCGCCAAGGATATCCGCCACCTGAGGGGACTGCCCATCTCGTAAGTCATTGTTGCAACTGTTGGTTAACTGAGTCAGGGTCATTGTCGTCGACGAGGCTCATCGCATGAAGAAATGGAACTCTGAACTTGCTTTGGCGGTGAAAAGCATCGAAGGTGTCCGAGCCTGCTTCGCCCTCACTGGTACCCTAATCCAAAACCGCATGGGTGAGATGTGGAGCGTTCTCGACTTTGTCCGTCGTGGCTGGGCGGGAAGCCGAAAGGAGTGGACTGGATATGCTGTTCAGCCCATTTCCAAAGGTCACCGCTACGACGGAAAGCTCTCGCAGGTCGTCCACGCAATCGTGAGTCTCATTCTCTGTGTGCGAGGCTAATGGACAAGCAACGCCTAGACGAGGTCCACAACTTTATCCTGCCTCACTTCTACCTTCGTCGTGACAAGAGGATCATTGCCAAGGAGGTAAGCTGTGCTTCTGCTCGCTGGTCGCTTTCTGACGCGTCTACGTAGCTGCCTAAGAAGCGCGACATAGTCGTGCTTTGCCCGCTTGCTCCTCAGCAAGCGACTGTGTACCAAAAGCTCATCGATTCACCTGACGTGGCCTTCATTCTCCGTTCAAAGGAGGAGTGCGAATGCGGATCGGGCTACAAAAGGAAGGACTGCCACTACCCAACGAACTCGGTTGGAGACGACCCACAGACTGCAATCCTGAAAATGTGAGCTTTTAGCAAGGTTATGTTGTTAACGAACAGGTTTGACGCGCTTGGACGAGTCGCAAATGTAAGGGACACACCATGAACCTCACTGACGCCCAGCACGTTGCTCTTCTGTACCCAAGTGAATATCCATCACGCGCGGCGGATAGATAGTTTGCTAACCCATCAGGTTCCGATGATCCGCCTGACGTCCAGGTCCGGAACAAGCGTCTGTTCAAGTTTTGTGTGAGTGACTTTCTGCCTCAGTGCTCCCCTGATGACCCAGACTGGCGAGGAATATGCCACGTACAGCATTCTCGATGCTGGCAAGTGAGTATGATTTCTTGGGGCATGTGTTAATGACAAACAGCGATCCAAGCAATTGTGGCAAGTGGCCTGTCCTTTATTCCCTCCTGAAGGAATGGAGCGCCTCGACTGAGCCCGTCAAGAGTGAGCAGCCTTTATCGGCGTTGCTGATATATCAGTTCTCATCTTTTCCAACTCGGTCCGCCTTCTGAAGCTCGTTCAAGACTTTATCAATCTGTCCACCGACCGTATGTCGCTGCCACTGGAGCTGTGTGCTGACAATCCAGTTCCCGGTATCAACTGTGACATGTATACGGGCCAAATCGACAAGGCTACCCGCAATGCGACCGTGGACCGCTTCCAGGATCTTAACAGCAGCTTGTCGGTGATGCTCATTAGCACGATGGCCGGAGGTGTTGGTCTCAACCTGACTGCGGTGGGTGTTTACGAGAAAGACAAACACAAGCTCATGTGCTCAGGCCAACAAAGTCATCATCTTTGACCCCAACTGGAGTGAGTCTGGCGTCCTGGAATCGTGCTGATCACCGCAGACCCTGCCAACGATCTTCAAGCCATGGACCGTGCATACCGCATTGGCCAGAAACGCTCTGTGTAAGGGTTACCAGGCGAGTACATGACTAACAAGACAGCGACGTGTACCGTCTTATTGGCCGCGGCACGGTTGAGGAGCTCATGTATGAGCGTCAAAGTAAGGAGCAATGCTGCGAACGACATTGACATTTCAGTCTACAAGCAGCAGCGGTCCCGCCAACTCAACGACGGCACGTTTGAGCGTAGGACGCACAGCGGCTACGAAGGTGCAAAGGAGTTGGACGACAAGGGCGAGCTCTTTGGCGTGCACAACATCTTCCGTTTCCAGCCCGAGGGATTTGTCAAGCAGAATGTGAGCAGGATCGTAACGATTGGTGCTGACATGTGTAGCTCGACCGTGTCCAGATTGCCGAAGACCAACTGCGCCAGGACTTCATCGAGGCCGAGTATGAGTCGGACGAGGATGAAGATGACGTGAGTTTCTGTATACCCCGTTGAAACTGACTCGTTTAGGACGAAGAGGCAAAGAAGGTCAAGGACGACCGCTTGGCCAAGGAGTTGCGCCAGGACAAGCTCCTGAATGAACTCACCGCCGACAGCGCTGTTCAGGACAAGCCCGAGGAGGACATCCTGGTCAGACTCGGCGTGAAGAGTAGGTGTCCGCTCTGTCTCGACTCTTGCTAATGGGCTCAGTGCTGGACCACAATGACGCCTTCCGTGACTCGCCAGAGGAGAGAGCCGCCTACGAGCGCGGTCTCAAGGTGAGTGGCAGACCGTGAGTGGGTTTACTGACTTCCAGATTCTTAGAGAGCGCCCCGACTTTGGCGAGATGCTCGCAAACGACGTTGGCAAGGCGCGTCTTGCGTCTGACCGCCGCCCCAAGCGCCCCAGGACGACCGCCGCAAGGGCTAGCCCTCCTCCCGCCGGACAGGACTGGCAGAAGCTCGTGTCTGCAAACAAAAAGAACAACAAGACTGCGCCACTCGTGAACCTGGACGACGACTCTGACTAAAGAAAGTCCCCATTGGTTCTACTGTATCATAAAACACCGCATGTCTGCAAGGCTGTAAAATACCCAGGTTCCGTGACCCTTATGTATGTCTATATTCTATGAACGGTCTCAAGGCCTGCGCTTGAAGATACGCGTGGCGACGTCCTCGCCATCAATGTGACGGCGGGTGTACTCTGAGCGCATGACGCCGTTGGGGTCGACGCGCTGGAGGGTCGACTTGAAGTCGACGTACCGCGGGTAGAGCGCCTCGATGCCCTTGGGTGTGAGCGAGTGCTCCTTTGCCCAGTGTGGGCGGCCGCCGTGCTCGGCGCAGATCTCAGCAAAGCGTCCCTGGTACTTGCGGTACGGGACCGGCAAGCCGTAAGGCCTGTAGGTGACGACGCCGATCCAGCACGTCTCGCGGCCGTAGCTGGGCGAGAGGGGGATGTCGTCTGCGGCACTCCAGCGGATCTCGACGGGGAAGTGGACGCGGACGCCGTTGGGGTCCCGTGCTTCGGTATCGATGTACTCGCGCAGCGCCTCGAGGCACTCGCGGGCTTGAGCAGCGTCCAGCGCCCACTCGGAGGTGTATTGTGGGAACAGGCAGTCAAAGTTGAAGACCTTGTGCGAGTCGTCGACGACGACGCTGCTGGGCTTGGCGAGCGACCATGCCCACTTGCCCACGTAGGGCGTGAACGAGCGCACGTAGCGCGAGACAAACAGCAGGAACTGCGTGACGTGGTAGCCGAGGAAGTGGCCCATGCGGTCGCTTTGGGGCTGAGCTGGGAGGTAGGTCCTGTTGGCGCGGGCGACAACCATGCCGTTGCCCGGGTACCACCAGACACGGACGTGCTGGGCGCTCTTCTTGATTTCGTCGAGGTTTTCCAGCACCTCGTCGACAGTGTACGAGTCCTTGTGCTCCTCGAGGCGGTATGCGTGCTCGACACGGATCTCCACGGTCAGCAGGAGACCGGTGGCTCCCAGGCCGCACTGCGAGGCGGCGAACAGCTGCTCGTCCTCGGTACGCGTGGTGTGCACGACCGGCGCGCCTTCGAGGGGCAGAACAATATCGAGGCTCTGCACGTCCTCTGAGATGACGGGGTAGTCGACACCCGAGCCGTGCGTGGCCGTCGAAATGAGACCGCCAATGGTCTGGTCACTGATCGAGCCAATGTTGCGGAGTGCCAACGGCGGGTTGGCAGCGCCCAGCGCCGCGTGCACGGCATGCAGAGTGGTGCCCGCGGCAAACGTGGCCGTCATCTTCTCGTGCGAGATCTGTCTTCGTCAGCCACGGCGCCACACCTGTCGGGCATTGGGCTGCCAACAACAACCAACGACTTACCTCGAGAGCTCCCTTGAGCCCCTCCATCCGCACAAGCCATCCATTCGTGCACGCCAAGTCGGATGGTGAGTGGCCCACGCCCACCGGGTGGACCGTAGCACCCTCACGGCGTGCCAGCTCGACAATCTGCCGACACTGCTCGTTGGTGGTAGGCGCAAACACCCGCTGGGGACGGCACTCAAACGTGCGTGCCCAGTTGGTGAACCCGGCCAGCGGCGAGCGGGTGGGTACGGACACGGGCTCGAGTGCGGCCTGGAGCTCCGGGGTGGAGATGGACACGAGGTCGCGCTCGGCGGGTGTTGATCCGCTGGGACCGGCGGGGGATGTGTTGTTGTCGGCGCTCATTTTGTTGATTATGCGAGAGTCAAGGTTGTGTGCCTAATATTTATGGGCTTTTGTCTATCTCCGTTGGATGGTGTTGTCTGTTGAGCCCGTTGTACACACTGTGTCTGTTGTGTGCGTCGTTCGCTCGTCGCTGCCCTGTGGGGGGGCTGGGTATAGGCCGATCCGGGGAGGAAGGGGTGCGAGAGAGATGAGGAGGATTGTGTGATGGGCGACGATGCGATGATGGAGCGATGAGAAGCGGGGGTGGGCCGACCGATTACTCAGATTGTCAGTATCAATCACGAAATGCAATCTCAACATTTGTTCCGCCGGCGGCAAATGCCCCACCGCCGAGGCTGTTCCGCGGCGCCCGGGGACAGCCGACCCGACGCAACAACACCCCTATAATCGCCAAGGCGCGATCCCCGCCACCGAGCACGACAGAGCAACACGAGCCAGCGAGCCAGCGGCCGACGCGCACGCGCGGTACGTCAGGGGGGGGGCCGACGCGTGGCTGTATATCACTTCTACATGGTCTCCTCTCGCTACCACTACTGTACTACGGCCTGCTGCTGCTCGTCTCGTCTCGTCGCTCCATCCATCGTCTCTATCGTGTCGGCAGGAATGTAGCACTGGCCCGTCAGTTGCTGCGCACGCACGGCGGGGGATAACCGCCACTCACGCTTCAGCGTACATCTCGTCGGACGATTTCTGGAGAGCGGTCGGTCAGTAATCTACCGCACCCATCAACACCACCACCACCCCCAAACGACTGGGGGCGGTCCGAGCGTCGGACCTACACGGAAGACCATGATGCCCGCAAATATGGCCGCAATGTACACGCCAACGGTGTAGAGGAACCAGAGGAGGAAGTATGCTGCGACCGTCGTCAGAACGATGCTGCCATGAAAGGGGAGTTACTCACCGCTTGAGGGGAATCCAAGGAAGAGGGCGAACTGAACGCAGTCACTGGCATGGCGCTTCTCGAAAACAACATCGTCAAAGTAGTCCCAAACGACGTAGAACAAGTTCAGGACACCGACAAAGAGGACTAGGTGGTTAGCTCATACATCGGCTGGCTTTTGAGCTTACCGTAGAAACGCAGCGCATTGCCGTGGTCACCAAACCACAGACCGATCAACAAGCCCTCGAGGCAGGCTACTGAGACGAAAGGGCTTTGCGGTTAGCCATCGCTTCCAATGCCATGGACTCACATGATCCGGATTGCGCGGACGAGTGGGACAAGCAAGCCAAACGCGATGGTGAATGATGCCACCTTGGAAGCAAAGATGTCGACTTTGGAACCTGTTAGGCGGGCCACACGCACAGCATTTACCACAACCACTCACAGGAACAAAACTAAAATGTTGTCAGCGAGTCTGCCCTTCTCTGCTTGCACTTACAATGTAGAGAAAGCCGATGATCGAGGACCAGATATACCCCATGGTCAACGTGACCATGATCTTGTCGCTCCTATGCAGTTGCTCCATTGTCAACGGGAAGCGTAGATGCTCAGGCGTCACCCGCGGTTCTGTGCGTTGCAGTCCACAGATCATAGTCATGCCGCCGTCGTTTGGGTCCACACAGACGCTGGTTATAGTGCCGCCCATCAACAGGCCAGTAACAATGTGCCCCACCTCATGTGTAGCTACCACGAGGAACTGTAAATGAGACATTAGCGCCACCCGCGGAGACGGAAGACGGTTGAATCCTACCTTGAGACCCATGATAGCGTCACGCAGGTACGGCACGTTCCACATGATGAAGGCGATGAGGATCATGACCGAGGCCACGATGATGGTGTTCACCTCTGTCCATTAGTAACCCGACCCGCCCAAGAAGCAGCTGTCCATCCATGTGGGGAGTGGACGGTGTGGACGCACGAAATGAGTTTGGTGGTGTGTAGCTGCGGGACGCCAGCAGGTCGGCGGCGTCCCCGCCCAGCGTTGCCATTGTTGGCGAGCCCATATGGGTGGAGCTTTGGTGGCCGTGGGTGGTCGTGGGTGTTGGTGTGAGCTGTGGGTGCAGACGATGCAATTGAAAGCTGAGGCTGTGGTGACGGTATGGAGCTGTGAAGGTGACGACAACAGCGCAATGTTTGTTGGCGTCTTTGGCCCCTGTGGTCGCGCCAGGTCGCCTGCTCGCCACCGCACGGACGCACACCGCGCAACTCTGAGGCTCAAGGTACCGGGGTGGGCGGTCGGTCCACAGCCAGCAGGTACCCTGGTTTGCCTATGTCGTGGGCAAGTACGAGGAAACAAAGTGAATGGACATCGAGTTGTCATGTTCCCATCACTCCATGCGTGGGGGAAGCTGTGAGGATGCCGAAGGTGTGCAGGAGAGAGAAGAATCCATTCCCAACACCCCGGGGGATCCTCTGGGGGGGCCGGCAGACGACGCCACAGCAGTGTTTCGTCCACAGATGGCTTCCGTAGTAGAGTGTACACACGCCAACGTCTCAGCGTGCATGCCCGTTCTCCTGTCTCGTGTCGTGTCGTGTCCCCACAGAGAGAAGCATCTGAACGACGAGCAGCGACAAAAGAACAACATTGCGAGCGTCCAACCCATCTTGTGGAGACCCCGCATCGCGCCACTTGTCGAAAGTCCGCATTGTCCCGGCTGGGCGCGGGCGCGGGCGGGTGTCCCTTGCCTCCGCGGGGTGGCCGGCACGGCCGCTCTGACGTCGAGCTCGACACTTGCAGCGTTCAGCTCACATCCCCTTCATCCTCCTCACTCCCCAAAAATGTCTGCCGCTCCCACCAACAACGCCGGCCCCCTCGCCCTCGAGCCCAGCGAGCAGATCATCGCCCGCAAGGTGCGCATTTCACCCGAACGGCCCGCGTCGTTGCTTGACGGCAGCTTCCGAGGCCGCTGGGAACCACTGAACACTGGGACATTGTGCTGACCACGAGCAGTTTGACAACTGCGTGAGTATACTCCAGCTCGCCAGAGTGTCGTGGAATGGGCGAGGTCAGGCTACTTGCTCGTGTGAGACCACGGCTAGCTGGTACGACACCCGGAACCCACATTGCCGACCTTCCACCAACCGCGACCACCTGTCAACTCTCATGGAACAATGCTAACCTCCAGGCCGCTGACCTCATTGTCAACGCCGGTATCGGCTTTGGTGTCGGTGTCGTTGCGTCGGTCCTCCTCTTCCGCAGTACGTCTTCCACCGTCAACAACAACGGGCTAGCAGATCACTGACATCCCAGGGCGTGGATGGCCTGTCGCCCTTGCCACTGGGTGAGCTCTTATCGGGCGACTATGCGCACAGCGACGCGGTGCACATGAGAAAGGGAAAATGCTAATGTCGTCCAGCTTCGGCGCCGGTGTCTCGTACTCGAACGTGAGTGCGGCAAGGGGAAGACAACAAGTCTTCCCCGGAGAGATGCGTGTGTGTGCATACCATACTGACGAGCCGCTAGTGCAACTACTCTCTCAACCCTTACGTGCTCCCCGGCACCAAGGTGTTCAAGCCCTCCGCTTAAGCAGTAGACACAACGAATAACGGTCATGACAGTCATCTTTCCGCTTAGAGATATATGATCGCATGCTAGAAAAGGCAGGCATGTATTGCGGAGGTGTGGCGTCCAGTATTAAAACGGCCTATGTGTGTGCGTGTTGTGTGCGTGTGGTGTGTGGTGTGTGGTGTGTGGTGTGTGGTGTGTGTGTGTTTGTGTTTGTGTCTGTGTCTAGTGTGCTTCTAGAGCAGCGCATGGGTGCGACTGTTAAGCGTTGGGGTGAGGTGTGAGGGTGCTGAGTGCCGACTGCTGAGTGCTGAGAGCTACTGCTACCTCCTCTGCGCCTCCTCGCCAGCGGGGACCCAAGGCGCGCCGCCCAGAGTGCCGTCGCCGAGAATGCTCTTGGGATCCTTGCCCGGACGCTGAACCTCGTTGGGTCCAGGGATACGGCGCTGCTCCTCACCAAGATACGCTGCCGGGGTCAGCTCAGCGTTTATGTTTATGTTAGCTGGGTTCATACGCACTCCTGCGGTAGAGGATGGCGGTGGTGACGACGAGAATGGGGAACGAAATGATGATCGTCTGTAAGATGGTTAGCGGCGGTAGAGATCAAGACAACACCCACCCTCAAGCGCTTGGCGTCTGCAGTAAGTGGGGCCATGGTGGTGGTGTTATTGTTGTTGTTGCAGTTGGGAAAGGCGTACGAGGGGGACTTTTGGGACCATCCACACGCAGGGTGTGAAAGAGAGGCTGTTTGTGATTACGTAATTTATTTATAGAGGTCGTGATGCAACCACCGTCACCCGGTCTCACCCCCAAAGGGTGCAAGGGCCGTGTCGGCGCGCGTGTTGCCGTCTCACTCATCACCCATCCATCCATCACTCTCGCTGACATCCTCTCCCTCTCCCTTTCTTTTCATCTCTTCCTCTCTCGCTCTCTTGAACAGCACAGGAAACCCATACTCTCCCTCCCTCTCTTGATCCCCCAGGCGACATATACATACACTCATAACCCCCTTACACACAACGGTCCCGTAAGAATCAAGCACGCACACCCGCTCCCCCTTCTGATCATTCCTTGACCTGACGCTTAACGTCCAAGAGCCGCACGCACTCAAACCCGTCATGACTGGCTATAACGGAGGTGGTGGTGGCTACCCCCCTCCTCCTCCAGGCCACTACTTGCCTCCTTACCCGCCTTCTGCCCCCGGATTCGACTCGGCGCGTCGTCCCCCGCCACCATCCGGATTTCCGCCTGGCCCACCACCACCGTCGGGCGGATTCCCTCCTTTCCCTCCAGGAGGAGGAGGGTTCAACCAGGCCCCAGCTCCACTTCCACCTCGCCCACCCTTCCCCCCTGTCGAACAGTACAACCCTGTCACTTCGTCTTCGTTGCCGCCCAAACCTACCTTTACGTCGTACGACCCATATGTGCCCGCCGCATACGACCCCAGCGCGCCCCAGATCCATGGGAACTCGAGCGGCGGCGGGTATGTACCCCCACGTCCGCAGGCGCAGCCGCAACGGCCTCCAGCACGCTCCGGCACGGCATCAAATGAGATCGCAGATCTCCCTCTGCTCACGTCCCCGACCACGGCCACAATCGGGTCGTACACGGCCAACGTCTACTCGCTCCCAGACAGTCAGCTGCCCATCACGAAATACGTGAGCGTCAACCCCGATGAAGGCGTCGACATTCACCGTGCCGTCTGCCAGAGTGGCATCACCAAGTCGCTGTGGTACGCCGAAGCCTCAGTGCGCGCCGGTGAGGGCTGGGGATCTGCCATCGAATGGGTCCTTGAGACGAGCATGTCGGGCGCCAAGCTGCGCGTTTGTGCCGGCAACAATGACTCACTGGGCACTGAGCTCAGCGCCATCATCAAGGCTGTCGAGGGCTTCTATGACCAGCTCAAACAGTCCATCCGTACAGCCAAGCCCATGCTCCACGAGCTTGTGCTCTTCTGCAGTTCGCCAGCCGCCATTGTCAGCATCGACACGAGCTCGCGTCCCGAGAGTCTCCAGTTTTGCAGGCTCTGGGCCTCAGTCTGCACCGAATTCGCGCGCGCGCACCTCACCCTCGTGTACCTCCCGAGCGGCAACAATGATGTTGAGGGGCTGGTCCTCGCACGCAAGATTGCCGACGTCGCCTCGGCCAACAGCTACGCCAAGCGCAAAAAGGACCGCGTGATCGAGGACATTTACTACCGTCCAGGTGGCGGCGATCCTGCTCCCCGTGGCAGCACCGAGGGTGGTCCGTGGCAGCGTGGCGACGCCGACCCATCCCGTCGCAAGTCTCCCTTTGAACGTCCCCAGCCTCTGCCGTCCCCCGTTCCAGAGTACAGTCCATCCCCCGTCGCTTCGCAGCCTCCCCAATCGCCGATTGAGGCTCCTCTCCCACTGCTGCGCTCCCCGTTCCCTCCCAACTCCACATTGCTTCCCCCTGTGCCGGACGTGTCTGAAGATGAACCGCTCCAACCCCGCGCAGGCGCTCTTTGCGTGACACAGTGGGTGTTCATTGCGCTTTTCTTTTCGGTGCTTACCTAAACAGCTTTCCTGATAAAGCGTCTGCCAAGGAACTCGGTATCTTGTTCGCCCAGTTTGGTGACATGTGAGTGTGCATGACGCGACATGAGCTCATCGACCAGCAATTCCGTGGACATCTTCTCTATCCCTCCCGTCAAGCCTCGCTTTGCGTTTGTCACCTACACGGAACCCACCGTTTCGATTGCGGGTGTGGTGGCGGCCCTTAACCACAAGCCCGTCAAGGTCGACCCTCAGTTTGCCGAGACGCATGCCGAGCACCTTGCCATTTGGAACGGCCACGTCAGCCTTCTGACTGTAGTCGAGTCCGATGCTAACCGGCTCTTGCCGCTGGCTCTTGCGAAAGAGTTCACAAATCTTCCCGCCTATGCGACCGAGTACAAGGGCACCGATCCCTACGGCAAGAGGGAACGCGATACATCAGCCGACATCAGGCCACTCCCCAAAAGGCTCAAGAGCGGTCTCTCTGACACTCCTGAAGACAAGTCTGACGCCAACCCGGTCGCCATCACGTCCTCTGACTCTCACCCGGCTCGACCTGCGTCCTCAACCCTGTCTGACAGCATGGCCATCGCTGCGCCGAGCTCGCCACCCGACGCCAATGGCTCTCAAAACTCTCACCCTCACGGGCTCCCACCCACCCCTCTGACGGCTTCGCACCCCGGCGAGCCCTCCTCTGCGATGTCAAGCCCCTCCGGCAAACCTCCTTTGACAAACTCTGCGGCTGAACCTCAAGAGTTCCCCATCAAGCTCAGCGGCAAGACGCTCCAGGCGCAGATCAATCTCGTTCGCAACGTGTTTGTGAAGCATGACAAGAGTAACTGGATTGCACACACGTGTCTCATCGCAACGGACCTTGACCAAGCCCGCCGCGCGCTTCAAGCAGACCTCTACGCGACCGACGAAGCCTTCATCAACGGCCGCGACTTGGAAGGCACTCTGTCGTCTCGTGGATTCACTGCCCCGCGCGTCGACGCGTTCATTACCAAGGTTCTGAAGGTGCTTGACGGTATCGCTCTTGCGGATGAGTTGGAGCAAGGCGGACCCCCCGCGGCGCTGGTTGAAGATTCCTCGTCGTTGGAAGCCGAGTTGGCGGCGGCGCTTGACGAGTACCCTGAGCAGACGCGTGAAGCCATGACGGCTGCCGGCAAGGTGTTGGAATACCTCGACAGGGGTAAGAATGCTCAGGAAAAGAAGAGGCTCGATGTGGAGCGCCGCGTTGGTGTGCTCCAAGGCATGGTGAAGATTGGAGAGCAAGTGAGTTCGGTTGTGCGCTACCTCTTGACGGACGGGCAGTAGGTAGCGAGAGAGAAAGAGAAAGAGAAGCCGTAATGTGTCATATAAGTCATGTCGTTGCATGTTTACATTAGGCGTTAGGGGGTAGGGATTCACGGTGGCCGGGACGTTGGCGGAGGCATGCTGTGATGAAGTGGCGTGAGCGGTGGCGGTGAGGCCGTCAGAGACAGGGCCAGCAGGTGGTCTGGCCAGGAGGCCAGTGGTCCGTGGGCATGTGGGATCTGATCTGTCGTCTCCTTGGACAGGCTTGACGAGACGAGAAGAGACGGGAGAGACGGTACACGCATGTCTTGTCTGATAGGAAGGTTGGCCAAGCATAGCACTCGCCGGTGTCGTCTGGCTGGCTGGACGGTCGGAGGGATGGACGTCTGGGACATCCCTGCCGGCCCCTCTCCCGTGCAAGGTGGTGCACGGTTGACAACACGGCCACACGAGTCTGCAAATAGCCACAGCACCGTTCACGTTCGTGTCCACGGTCCAAGTCAAAAGAGTCTTGGGCAATCGAGCTGGACCATGAACATGGCGGGGCAATAGAATGCACGGCGTGTGCAGGATTACGCATTGTTTGGCTACGCATGGCGTCTGGCGCGAACGCGCGAAAGCGCGAAAGCTTAAAGACAGCGCCAGGGGCCACAGAGACCGGGGGGGGGGGGGGGGGGGGGGGGGGGGGGGGGCATGTGGCTGCCAGGTGGGAGGAGTCGTTGCTGCCCGTTGGCGTTGGCTCGTCCTATTCATTGCAGCGAGCGCGTCGCGGCTGGCGGTTTGCACTCGCTCCTTTGTCTTCCCATCGCGTTCACGAGAGGGGGGAGGGGGGAAGGGGGGACTTCGTGTGTTCTCTGGCCTCGTTAGTAGTGCTCCGGTATGCATTGCACTGTATCTCTCTCTCTCTCTCTCTCACGCATCCCCCCCCCTCCCTCTCCTATCGTCTCCCTTACTGGACGCAATGTCGGCGCGTAGTGACCATCCACCGCCGCCGAATCCCCCTCCCCATACACCTCGCTCCTCGTCTCTCGTAGACCCAGACACCTCGTCAGACGTACTTGCTGGGGACCACGATAGCCCGGCCGACTCTAGCACCAGCACGCGCTTTGAAATCGCTGGCATTCATCCGCAGCCACCGCGCACACGAGATCAACACCTTAGCCCCAATTATTCGTCCAATTCATTGTACCCTTGCTCGGACGTGACACAGCCGTCGTCCCTTTCTTCGCGTTCCTCTTTCTCCACCGCGACGACCGCTACCTTCACCACCACCACCACCACTTCTTCTTCTTCTTCTTCTTCGTCGACAGACACGTACACGAGTACACTAGCGCGCACCACGTCGCACACTTCGAGCGCCTCCTCCCGTTCTCTGCTGCACAGCAGTGCAAAACCGCGTGCAGGTCACCACTCGCGCGGGCCCTCGGAAAGCTCGTTCTTCCTTCCCACGAGCTCTCCTTCCTCCCCACGCTCCCTACACCACACTCCTTCTCCCCCATCGTCACCCTCGACCTCGTCGCGCCTGTCGACACTCCTCTCGTCCTTGATGCCCGGCGGCGCACAACCGGCGCGCGAGCGCGCGTCCGCCGCGTCCGGTCGCTTAAATCCCATCTGGTATCAGTACGCGTGCGCGACACTTGTCGCCGCCGTCGTGCTAGGAAACCTCCTGCGCTGGTCGTTCTTGGACTATGCCGACCCCTATGGGTGCGGTGCGCTGATGGAGACGGGCAAGTGGCTCGACCCGGGAACCTGGAAGAACTGGCAGCCAGAAGGCTGTTACCAGGCCGCGCTCAAGGGTGACGCCTTGGGAACGTGTCTCACGACGTCGACCCAGAACACTCCCACTACTGGAACTGCAGGACCTCGTGACCGCCGCGCCATCTTTGTGGGCGACTCCAACGTTCGCCTGCTCTACTTTGCGACTGTGCGGACCATTGACGGCAAGACGTATGGCAAGAACTGGGAGGTGGACGCGCCCAAGCACACCGATCGTCAGGCCACTGTCACGACCAAGTCTGGCGAGCGCCTCACCCTCGACTTTTGGTGGGACCCGTTCCTCAACTCGACGCAGACGCAGGACTTTATCACCCGGCCCGGCGTCGACCCAGCGAGCCTCTTGGTCATTGGCACTGGTCTCTGGTACCTCCGCCAGCCTTCGTCGGGCGGTATGGGTGCGTGGACGAGCATCATCTCGTCGACCTTTAACACCTTGAGGAGCACCCAGGGCATTCCCGCCTCGCCGCTCATTGCGCCATGGGACGACATGAGCGTCACGCACGACAACCTCATGCCTGGGCTGTTCCCCGACGGCACAGGCGCCGACGCAGCCAACCGTACCGCAGCCCGTTTGGCAAAACAGCAAACGCAGACCTCGGTGACTCGCGACTTCAAGATCGCCGACGCCATTATTGTGCTCCCCATCCCGAACCCGGTCGAGGACAAGCTCTCGGAAGAACGCGCCGAGACCATCATGCACGACGACGTTGACGCGATGAACGCCGACCTCCTCGCGCGTCTCTCGCACCCTTCCCCTCCGCCTATTCTTATTCCCAAGATCTTCAACGAGCTGCTCGTCGACGACGAGACCGATGACGGTCTCCACTGGTCCGACAAGATCATGAACAAGCAGGCCGAGCTGCTCCTTGGTTGGCGCTGCAACGACGCTGTCCGCAAGCAGGGCCAGGAAGGTACTTGTTGTCGCCGGTACAACGCCGTCCGGCCCCTGCAGGCCCTCACCCTTCTCTTCCTCGGTCTTTGGGCGCCCGTCACTGCCTACTTTGGCGCGCTGCTCCCTCCGGGCTCGGGACTCCAGAAGGTTATCCCCAGCGGTAAAGCTGCTGCGGGTCTCAGCACCTTTGGCCTTGCCATGTCGTACCTGTACCTCGCCGACCGCACCACCATCTTCCAAAAGGAACAAAAGGACTACGACGTCGTTGTCTTTGGCGGTCTCACCATCGCGGCCCTGATCGCTGGTCTGGCCACCATCAAGAACCGCGGCAAGGACCTCGGTTTCCTCAACCGTGACATTACCGACGAGTGGAAGGGCTGGATGCAGAGTGAGTTATACAAACTCGTCTAAAGAAACATTTACAGGCACTGACACTTTCCCTACAGTTGCTATTCTGATCTATCACTTCTTTGGCGCGTCCAAGATCTCGGGCATTTACAACCCCATCCGTGTCCTGGTCGCTGCGTACCTGTTCATGACGGGTTACGGCCACTTCTTCTTCTGTGGGTTCGCGACGGTTACTGGCTTCCTTTTGGCTAACCCACCAGACTACAAGAAAGCCGACTTTGGATTCCAGCGTGTCGCCAGTGTCCTTGTGCGCATCAACCTTCTGTCGGTTGTCCTGCCGTACACCATGAACACCGACTATGTGTTCTACTACTTCGCGCCGCTCGTCTCGTGGTGGTACGTCATCATCTACGTGACCATGTTTGTGGGACACAAGTACAACGACCGCCCGGTGTTCCTCATTTCCAAGCTACTGGGCGCTGCAACCCTCGTCTCGGTCTTCATGTACCAGACGTGGATGATGGAGGGAATCTTCAAGGTCCTCTACGCCGTGTTCCGCATCCAGTGGAGCGCCAAGGAGTGGTCGTTCCGCGTCAGCCTCGACCTGTACATTGTCTGGATCGGCATGTTTGCCGCCTACGCGTACATCAAGGCCAAGGAGGTCAACCTTACCGAACGCCCTTGGTTCTCGGCTGCGCGCAACGGCTCGGTCGTCGCCAGCGTCCTCGCCATGACATGGTACTTTTGGTTTGAGCTCTCGCGCGAGAACAAGTTTGTGTACAACCGCTACCACGCTGCCGTGTCGTGGGTGCCCATTATCGCCTTTATCGTCCTCCGCAACGCCACGCCCATCATGCGCTCGAGCACGTCGCGCATCTTTTGCTTTATCGGCCAGATCTCGCTCGAGACGTTCATCCTCCAGTTCCACGGCTGGCTCGCGGCCGACACCAAGGCCATCCTCCTCGTCATCCCTGCCACGAGCTGGCGGCCCGTCAACCTAGTCATTTCGTCCATTGCCTTCGTCTGGCTGTCGTATAAGGTCTCGGGCGCGACGGGCGACATTACAGAGTGGGCCGTCGGCAAGAAGAAGAAGCCGGCCGGCAGCCTGCCCGCCCCCGCGACGGCTCCGGGTCCATCCACGAGCGCCAGCGAGGGCCAGAACGGCGGCGCAGAGAGCATCCCCCTCATGGAGCGCGACGCAAACGGCGAGACCAAGCCTGCGGGCAGCGGCGACGACGAGGCCCTCGCCGGCGCGGCCGCGGGCGAGGACACGCCCACGCGCGAGGCGAACGGCATCTGGCCCAACTTTACCTCTGCGACGGCCGCGTCGGGCCGCACCGTCGAGGGTTACGCGCAGGAACGCAGGTGGAAGGACCAGACGATCGTCTCGGTCCTGTCCAACCTGGGCACGCTGGCCGAGGAGCACACGAGCGTCAAGCTCGCGCTCGTCCTCGTCGTGCTCTGGGTGGCCAACTGGCTGTACTAGACTTTATAAGCGTCGTAGAACTTTGGCTCCACGTTTGGATTTTCCCCCGGATGAGCAGCTGCACAGCAAACCCATGTAGATACACACTGCACCCATGTAGATGTCTAGCATTTGAATGCCACCATGTGAACAAGAGACGCGAACCGCTACGGCCCAGCAGCACCCGTCAGGTTGCACGAATCCAGAGTACTCGGCTCGCCTCGCTCGTTCGATGAACCTTGTCCCACACACGCGCGCGCGCTGCGCCACACGCCATCCTGTCCCGTTGTTGTGCATGCCATACATAAAATCAAAAATTGCTATCAACAGGAGGTGGGGTGTGGGGTGTCTCTTCTATGCGGGGTGCCACCATGCGCCGCTCAAATGCTATGCGCTGTCTACGAAATCGTCCCGTGGGATCAAAGGCTGAATCAAGCCCGTTTACTGGTGTGGGCTTCTGGTACTGTCTCCTTTCACGCTTCTCTCTTCCAATCTTCTGGTCGCCTCGACTCGGGTTCTTGTCACCTCGGCTCGGCTCGTCACGTCGTGCACGTCTCGTCATCCTCGTCGTGTCCTCGACTTCATCTTCATTCTTCGGCTGCCTCAGCGGTCATCGGTGATGAAGAGGTCGTCGTCGGTGTCCCATCGCGGGTCGTCGCGCCCGGGGTACCCGTCCTCGCTCGCGTTGTAGTTGCTGCCGTCCTCGGTCCCGCCATCGTCGAACGCGCCGCCCAGGACACGCGGCTTGCGCGCGCTGCGCGGCACAGTGCTGCCGGCAGGACTGGTCGGCGGGGACGAGTACAGCGCCGGGTCGTCCATGCACCGTCCACACTGGGCGTTCTTGTCGTGGCGGCGGTAGCAGGGGCGGCACACTTTGGTCGGGTGGCAGATGGCCGGGTTGGGAGGACGCTGCAGGCACTGGAGCATGTCGTCGAGGTCGGCAAAGTTCTTGGGGTTGGTAGCGAACCGCCTGTGCTTCTTGGACGCGACGTGCTGGAAGAGTCAGTAAGGTCTACGGGCCGGGAGTTGTAACTCACCACCGACAGGTTGGTGTAGCGAATGCGGCAGTTTTCGCAGTACCCGCTCGCCGTGTCCTGCTCCTTGCGCTTGAAGCCCGAGTCGACGTGCTGGCGGTTGGTGACGCGCTCGTCGTACGTCGGCTTCCTCATGGTGGTCGGCGCGTGTAGCTGGTGAAGCATGGCGACGACCTGGGCCTGCGTGAGGAACTCCTTGACAGGTGGAGTTGGAGCGGCGTCCATGCCTGTCGACCTGCGGCGGTGGGGACCAGGGGCAGGGGTCTCGTCCACGACTCCGCGGCGGTCAGCATCGGTGAGCTTCTTGGCCGAGACAGTGGCAGCCAGGCGAGCGTTGCCCTTGAGCACCTGGACGCGCTTGCTCATCTGAATGATGGCACGGTCCCTGGCGGTACCAAGAGCCGGGACGCCGCCGACAAAGGTGCCTGGAGTCGCGTTGGCATTCGACGTCGATGCAATGTTGGACGTGATGACGACACTGTTACCCGAGGCCTTGAGGTAAGGGAGGGACTCTGGTAACGTGGGCGTGACGGGCAGCTCGCGCAGCGAGTTGGAGCGTTTGAGCGTAGGGACAGGTGGCTGTTCGTTGCGGAAGGGAACATTGTCGACAAACAAGGCCATGGCACGCGCACGGAGGTCCTTGACGAGGTTGGACGAGTTGGCCACAGACGTGGGCAGCTGAGACGACGTGGTGAGGCGGAGGAACTGCTCGTGCAGAACCGGCCACTCGCGCTCCTTGGCCGGGTACTCCTTGACCATGATGGGACGAGAATGCTTGGTCGCGTCCTCGACCAACAGGTAGCCGTTACCGGGCTTGAAATAGTAATAGTCGGCGCGAGGAGCAGTCATGTCTCGCTCACGCGTGCCGTTCAGCTTCTCATCGGCGAGGAGGTGGGACAGCGAGTCCTTGACAGTCGCGTCAACAGGCGCCAGCTTGTTCAGCATGTCCGTAAGTTCTGAAGTCGCGTCAGCTTGTGTTTGGGTGTCGTGTCTCTATGCCGGCAAAACCCTTCCAAGAACGTACTCTTCACCGTCCAGACCTTGATACCAAGCTTCTGGGCCTTCTGCACAAGGTCGGTGGTGCCCGTGTGGTCGAGGAAAGGGTTGTCGCTCTCGCGCCCAGGGTGTCTGCCCTTGGAGACGGCCTTGGGTTTCTGTGGCGACGTGCCGCCTTTGACGATGAGGTGGGACACGCGCTGCGAGAAGAACTGGTCGATACGCTAGCAATATCAGCAATTGTATGTGTGTGTATGTGGCTCACCGCTCCCATCTTCAACACGCGAGGACCCAGACGACCGCAACCGTCCTCGAGACCAATCTCAAAGTGGAACACCAGGGTCGGGAAGACCTTTTGCCACTTTTGCAGCCACCGCTCCTGCTCCTCCTTGTGGTGCTTGGCCGCGGCGGCAGTGACGTCTGCGCGGGGACGCTTCGCGATGACGCTGGGCGGCAAGGGCGAGTCGCGCGCGCGCTTTCCGAGCGACCCGGGCGTGGCCGTGGCTGTCGCCGGAGACGCGCGCGCTGTTGATGGTTCGGGCGCGAACACGTCCGGCGTCGCCGCTGGGCGCGGGATCATCTTTGCGCTCGACGGGCCCCGCGCGCCCCAGGACGCGTTTGTGCAGCGATGAAGAGACATTGACGTTGACGCGCGCCAGCACGGCGCGCGCGTCGGCTGCGCTTGTTGCGCCGCCTGTCGCACTTGCGCTCGCGCTCGCCCCCGCCGCTGGTGGTGGTGCTGGGGGCAGGCCTGCCGCTGTGCTGCGCTTCAACATGTCAATCTTGCGCATCGAGGCCGACGTGGCCATGGATCTAGATGGCTCGCCGAGCTTGTCGTCCTTCAAGCCCGTGGGCGCGGGCAAGGCATCTGGAGCCGGTGCCAGTCGCGGCGACATTGCGGGCTGCAGAGGCCCGCGGCGGTATGGAGGAGGGTTGTGGAGGGGGGCGAGGTCGGTGCGGGCCGTGGTGACGATGGACGACATGGACCGCCCGATACCTCTGCGTGTGTGCGAGAGGAGGGGAGGGGGGGAGAGGGTCGCACAAAGAGACGGCGGGGGCGAGAGAGACGGAGGGAGAGAGAGAGAGTTGGATGACAGTGTGTGTTTCTTTGACGGATGGAGGTTTGTTGGGAGGCTGGCATCACAGGACACCAAAGGGCAGGCGCGTACGGCGCGCGCGGGGTCAACACGGCGGGAGCAAATTCACAGAGCACACTCAGTTGTCCGGTGGCGTTCACGGCGTGTTTATCCACAGGTGTCGCCCTGGGGGCCAAACAAAGCAGGCGGCGTGCAGCGTGTCGTTGGGTGGACTCTTGTTGCATGCATGACAAGGGTATAGAGTCGTTTTTGCTTTAACAGTCTTGTACAGGCAGAGTAAAGCGAAGATCATTGCAAACATGAGCGTCGCGCTACAAACATTATTCAGTACCGGCATGTCTCGGGTGTCGCGGAACACAAACATCACGACTGCTCTGGTGTTTATTCTCCGACACTTGCTGCTTCTTTCCTGCTCTGTGTATTTGTTTTGCATAATAGCTTCTCCAGCTCCTATGAAAATGCAATGCTGCTGAAGAATGGCTTGCTGGCTCTTAGAAAACTGTAAGAGCTTCGCCTTTCGGGGGGGTTTGAGAGACAGGGACGACTCGGTCGCTGCTTAGAGCTCGTCGTGGCCGTAGTAGCCCTCGCCGTCGTCCTCGTAGCCGGTGGCGCCACCGCCCGAGCCGTAGAGCTTGGAGGTGATGGGGCCGACAGTGGCCTGGAGCTCGGCGAGCTGGTCCTCGTAGTCCTCGGCCTCGGCCTCGGGGTGGTCGTCGAGCCAGTCCGACTTCTCCTTGATGGCCTCGAGGATGGTCTTCTTGTCGTCCTCGTCGAGCTTGCCGCCCATGCCCTCCTGGTCGGCGAGCTGGGACTTGAGCGAGTAGACGAGGTTCTGGAGCTGGTTCTGGGACTCGATGCGCTTCTTGATCAGGGCGTCCTCGTCGGCGTACTCCTCGGCCTCCTTGACCATGCGCTCAATGTCCTCGGGGGTGAGGCGGCGCTGGTCGTTGGTGATGGTGATCGACTCGGTCTTGCCGGTACCCTTGTCAACGCCCGAAACACGGAGAAGACCGTTGGCGTCAATCTCAAAGGTGACCTCGATCTGAGGAACACCGCGGGGCGCGGGGGGAATGTTGGTGAGGTCAAACTCTCCGAGGTGGTTGTTGTCCTTGGTCATCGAACGCTCGCCCTCGTAGACCTGGATGCGGACGGTGGGCTGGTTGTCGACGGCAGTCGAGAAGATCTGCGACTTCTTGGTGGGGACAACCGAGTTGCGGCTGATGAGCTTGGTCATGACACCGCCAGTGGTCTCAATGCCGAGGGTAAGGGGGCAGACGTCGATGAGGAGAACGCCCGACGAGCCCTCCTCGCCAGAGAGAATACCACCCTGGACAGCGGCACCGTAGGCGACGGCCTCGTCGGGGTTGATGCCCTTGGAGGGCTCCTTGCCGTTGAAGAAGTCCTTGAGGAGCTGCTGAACCTTGGGGATACGGGTAGAACCACCGACAAGGACGACGTCGTCAATGTCCTCCTTCTTGACACCAGCGTCCTTGAGAACCTGCTCAACGGGCTTCATGGTCTTGCGGAAGAGGTCCATGTTGAGCTCCTCAAACTTGGAGCGGGTGAGGGTCTCGGAGAAGTCGTTGCCGCCCTCAAAGGACTCGATCTCAATCTTGGCCGACATCTGCGACGAAAGGGTGCGCTTGGCGTTCTCGACCTCGCGACGGAGCTTGCCCATGGCGCGCTTGTTCGAGGTAACGTCGGTGTCGGTCTTGCGCTTGTACTGCTTGACGAGGTAGTCGATGACACGGTTGTCAAAGTCCTCACCACCAAGGTGGGTGTCACCGGCGGTGGCAAGAACCTCAAAGACGCCGTCCTCGATCGAGAGGAGCGAGACATCGAAAGTACCACCTCCGAGGTCGTAGACGATGATCTGCGACTCGGACTTGGTCGAGCGGTCAAGACCGTAGGCGATGGCGGCGGCGGTGGGCTCGTTGACGATACGGAGAATGTTGAGGCCAGCAATGGTACCAGCGTCGCGGGTGGCGGCACGCTGGGCATCGTTGAAGTCTAAGAGTGACACGTCAGCAAAGGTCGTTTGGAAACGCAAGGAGAAGACACTGCTTGGGCCTTCTGCTAGGGGTTCTGATGTCTGAAACTCAGGCCCCCCCGCAGCTGAAAACCAGCCGATTCTCGGTTACTCACAGGCGGGGACAGTGACGACGGCGTGGGTGACCTTGTGGCCAAGGTAGGCCTCGGCGGTCTCCTTCATCTTGGTGAGAACCATGGCGGAGATCTCCTCGGCGGAGAAGTCCTTGGTCGAACCCTTGGACTCGACCTGGACCATGGGCTTGCCGGCCTTGTTGACAATCTCGAAAGGCCAGTGCTTGCGGTCGCGCTGGACGTCGCGGTCAGAGTACTGACGGCCGACCAGACGCTTGGCGTCGAAAACGGTGTTGGTGGGGTTCTGGGGAGCCTGGTTCTTGGCGGCCTCTCCGATCAGGCGCTCGTCGTCGGTGAAGGCGACCCAAGAAGGAGTGATACGGTTTCCGAGCGAGTTGGCGATGATCTCAACCTTGCCGCCCTTCTGGACACTGGGGAAAGGTGTCAGCACACGAAGAAAGAGATACAGCGGGTGCCAGCGCGACAGGAGCAACGTGGTTCAAAAAGTCGCGTCGGGGTGACGCGACTTTTAACATTGCTGCTCACATCACGCGGCCAGCCGCCTTTTGCGTTTGCTGTACTCACGCAACACAAGAGTAGGTGGTTCCGAGGTCGATACCAATGACGGTACCGTACGACTCCTTGTCGTCCTCGGCGCGGACAGAGTTGGACGCGGCGGGCATGAAGCAGAGAACAGCCATGAGGACGACGGCGGCGAACGCAATCTTGGAAAGGAAGGACGACGTCTTGGACGTCGACCTGCGCCGCGGCCTGTAAGCGCTGCGAGGGTGCGCCATTTCGAATGGTACACGAGAAGGGGAGGGTAAAAGAGAGTGAGGGGGGGGAGGAAAGGGGGGTTGGTTGATGACGAAGAAGAAAGCAGAAGATGGGATGGATCGAGGTCGGGGTATAAACCCTCTCCCCCTCACTCCCTGGCCCGCCGCCACGTCGAAGGCTCCACGTAGACACAATCAGACGCGTCGCTCATCAATCATGACACCGGGCCGTCGTGGCGTATTCTGGAAGGAGATACATATTACACGTCATTGATTCCCCCGGCTAACCAGCATGCTCCAGAGTGGCGGCCATGTCCGTTGCTGGCGTGGCCAGAGAAGAGTCGAGCGCCAGCGAGATGCTAACGACGTGTAAGCTCGCGTATATGCATATGATGATGTGGAACACCCACATTCGCCACCCACCTATACCTTACCCACGTCTGTCAAAACGATAACCAAAGCCGCTGCCAGATATGCCAGATATAGCCAGTTAAAGATTTCGGATGGCTCGGCGCAAAAAAAAACCTTGATCTTGATCAGTACCGACTGGCCGGCTGTACTTGGAGGCCTGGAGGCACCTGCTATGGCAATTTTGCAGAAATTCGCATCTGTTGGGTGGCAAAAAAAGGGAGACCTGACGCATTCTACTTGTTCGCAGCAGCAGAGACAGAGACAGAGTCGTGGTTCTGCGGGGCCTCATTTTTTGCTGGCGGTATGACAGGTGGCATCCCTGACCGCCACGCGCACGCCCGTGCTCTCTCCCCCACTCTGGTACTCTGGACGCACATGAGCGCGCTGGCCGGGTGGCAGCAGGTGTTCCGTTCAGAAACGAGATCGAGGACGCGCGTTAGAACCCTTTGCTGACGTACTAAGGGGTCGGCTCACTCCCCGACTTGCTCGATTCCTCGATCTTTGGGATCTCATGGTCGTTGTCACCAGATCGGTTTCGTGTGTGGTGCCTTCATCAACACCGCCCCAGCGCACGGCACGGGGTGGGTGCTGCGCTCGCTGCGGTTGCGTTGGACGTGTTGGCAAAACCCCCGATCCGACACAGCTGTAGGGTGTACGCGTGTGCAGGAATCGTGTGCATCGCATGGCACAGTGCACAGTGAACCCTCGGCACGCCGGCATCGTCACACGGCCCGCGGTGTGTATTGCAAGCACAGTCAGTGGCAGTGGCCAAGTGGCAAGTGGGCAGTCGACGCCCTCGCGCCCATTACGGATATGTGGGGAGCCCCGTTTCCACTCCCCTCCAGCATGTTCAGTGGCATCAGTGACATTGTCAAGAGCAGCTTGTTAGCATGTTCAATGACAGCCTGGTGCCAGAACGCGTCCTTGACGGCCATGGATAACCCCTGGGGGTGACAAGTTGCTGTCAGTTTCAGCTTACGTAACCATTGTTTCCTTCCGCGTCGACGCCCCGGCCACAGCACTGTTGACCTGTTGCTCGCGGTCGACACACCTTGCCTCTCCAACCCTCTCCACCCATAGTGACACCTTGGCTCAGGACCCGGCACCCGGCGCCCAACCCCCGTTGCCCAGGATGTACAGCACGCTCCAGCGTCTCAACCACCTCGGCTCGATCTCGACGACGTTCGTCATGGTCCTGCTCGCGCTCGTGTCCCTGTCGTCATTCTACACCCAGCCGGCCGTCGACGTCGGCGTCGTGAACGTTCACGACTTGATTGTGTGAGTTAAAGTGGTTAGGAACCCCCCACCCCACTGTCCAGCTCACATCCCCCCCCCCCCCCCCCCCCCTAGCCAGCGAGGCCGCATGCAGCGCTGGAAGGCGCGCGACGAGGACATTGCCCGCCTGCGCTTCGACGTCAAGACGGACCTCACCCCGCTCCTGACCTCGTACAACACCAAGCAGCTCTTCCTGTACCTGACCGCCGAGTACACCGACGAGGCGACCCACGAGGCGCACGAGGTCGTGCTGTGGGACCGCATCATTATGCGCGGGCAAGTGAACGACTTCCGCGCCGTCGGCGTGCCCAACGGCGCGCCGCGCACCACCCGGCCCCGGATCCGCATCGACGACGCAAAGAGCGTGTATACCTGGCGTAACCCGGGCGGATCGTTCCAAGACGTTCACGAGGCAAACGTGACGCTGCATTATAGCCTCATGCCGTATGTCGGCATGCTCAGCTCGGGCGTGGCCGCCACGGCCCGCGACCTCGTCGAGATTCCCGACGTCAAGAGGCGATAGACGACGCATGAGGACGCACGACGATGACGATGAGCAGCATGCATACCTGTATTAGTTGCAGCATAAGAATATCCGAGACCAGATCGTCTTCCCCCCGCACCTGCACCTGCACCTGCACCTGGGCTCTGTTTTCGTGCAACCTCTTCCATATTACGAATATGCTGATGGCGGGAAAAACGAGGTTGCGAAAACTATGGTGCACATGTCTGTGTTGCTACAATGAGGACGGCCGAGTTGCCTCGAACCGCGTGAGGGTGCAGCAGGTGTGCGCACGGGAGGGGTGGGGAAAGAGAGGGAGAGGGAGAGGGCGCGCGCGTGGACAGAGGCGGGTGGGGGAGGGGGGAGGGGGTGGGGAGGTACCAGCTCCGGCAAGAATGGCAAGGCCGATGGAGAGGGTATCTATGCAGTTGTGTATTGTAGGTTGTAAGGGGCGGGGGGGGGGGGGGTGGGAGTGATCAAGCGAATGAGGGGGACGACGACGATGCAGAGACCGCCTAGAGGCCCATTTCCGGCATGCCGCGAGTCATACGGGCTTCCAGTTCGGAACGCTCTTGGTCTCCCCATGTGGTGGCTGGCGAGCTGTAGCTGCGCTCGTGGGCGTGGCCCATGGTCGCTGCCATGCTTGGGGCGGCGCGCGATGACGCAGTGCGCATCGTGACGTTGGAGCGCACCGACTGGTTCGACGTCAGACGCACATTGCGCTGCACTGTGGAGCAGTGTCAGCCCCGAAACTAGAGGGAGAGAGGGGGGACCTTTGGGATCCGCAAAGGTTCTCTGTGATTCTCACCAGTGATCTTCAGTTCTTGTCCCGTAAAGGAAGCGCGGACGTTGGACATGATTGCGTCCTCGCCCAGCTTGATTTCCCACTGGGCATGATCTGCAACTGGGTCAGCCCCTTCTCTGCTCACCCCCTTGCGTGCCCCCTGCTCGTCTTGCTCCTCGTGCTCCTGCTCCTCCTGCTCCTGGCGATGAAACTTACCATTCTCCTCCCACTGGTCTGCCACAATGTGTAGTACTTGGTGTCGACGGGTCACAATGGTAATGTCGTTGATGCTGGCGCGAGGTCGTCAGCAACGATGCGTCCCGGCTACGTTGGTGGCCGCCGGTGGTGACGTGACACTCACGAAAAGCCAGGCAGCCACACCATCACTTCGTAGTGCTCTGGGGTGCTCTTGACAGCGATTCGGCCCTGCTCGCCCTTGAGAACTTCAACCCACTCGCCAGCAGGGCCCTGCATCTGCTCCGGGTTGTGCTTGGTGTCCATGTCTGGGCGACTGAGGCCCGAGTCGAATGAAGAGGCACGCGCAGATGACGTCCCAGCTGCAGCTGCGGGTGGCTGTGCCCAACGAGGTGCGGGTGGACCCACGCTCTTGACAGAGGTGGGCCGCTCAGATGATCCTGACGATGACGACGAAATGACAGAGGACCGCATGTAGTCGTCTGTCGGTGCGGGAGGCTGGTGAACGGGTTGTTCGGGGTGATGAGAAGAAGAATGGAGTGGGTGGTGGGAGGAATGGGAATGGGAATGGGAAGTGTAGTGATTAGGGGGAGGAGGCGAAGGGTTCGGGTCGGCCTCTCGAGGCTGATGCAGGTTCTGGGATGGTTGTGGGATGGGATAGCCTACCGGAGGCGAGAGTGGAGCTGAAATGTAGCAGCCTGTGGTGCTGGAGACGGCGGCACGAGCGTCGTGTTGGGACAGTGGGTGGCCCGACTCGGACAGTGAGTGGGCGGTGTCGTAGCTGGAATGGTCGGGCGACGAGTGGTCTAGGCTGGGTGGCGGGCTCTCGTTGCTGGACGACCCGACGAGGCTGAGGTGTCGGGAATGACAAAGCAGCAACGAGCCCATTTGGTTTTACGGGTGGTGGCGAATAGTTGGAAGAAGCATGGAAAGGAGTGGTGGGAGAGAGAGGGAGAGAGGGAATTGGCCGTGTCAGCAAAAGAGGAGCAAAGGAGCAGGAGGCCAAAAGAGGGGTGTTGGGGGTGGTTGGGGGTGGTTGGTTTAGGTAGTGTGGTTTTGGGCCAACAGAGAGAGAGGCGAGTGGCAGGGTCGTGTACATGTGTGACGTCAGGCAGGAGATGCCAGACAGCAAGCATGTGGATGGAACGAGAGAGAAGGGGGGTGGAGGGGGGAGGCAGAGAGCGCACGGCATGTGCACGGCACGACAAAGCATGCCCCCCCAACGAGGACCAGGAGCATGCAGGAACATGCAGGACATGGCAGGACACGGCGACGACGAGGCGTCGTTTTGGCCCCTGTGTACGGGCGAAAGTGATCCTGGGATTCCAAAAGATGGTGCGTGTGTGTCCTGGCCACCCATCACGAACCACACCACCACCAAACCCCCCGACTGCGCCTTCCCTCGCGCTAGAGGCGTTTTTTTACATATTACCCCGCCTGTGTGGGGAGGGGGGAGAGGGGAGGGATAGAGGGGGGGGAGGGAGCGCTACTCGACCGACCCGACCTATTACGCACCTGGTATACTTCTTTCGCCAGCTCCCGCTGTTGTGTATCACGTCCCGCTTGCGCAGGGACGTCGCAGACCGCCGGCCGTGGGCGTCGCCGTGCGCGCCTTGGCTGGACGACGTTGAATTGCGCGGCGAAGTAGGCTGGGAGGCAGGCAGCTCGGGAGGGCCCATGGTACCAAAGTTGACGTCTCGGAGCTCGGGGGTGCCAACCATGGCTGGCGAAGACGATGACACGTCTGATTCAAACGACGCTTTGCCCACACCGCCGCCGAGTGACGCGCGGTGGTGGTGCTGGTGGTGCTGGTGGTGATCGCTTGAGCCGTCGCGATTTGTCGTGGCCTGGATACCAGCAAAGGACATCACCATGGCGTGTATCAGTGCTGGCGGCGTGGGGAGCGAAGGGGGAGGGGGCGGGGGGGGAGGGGGGTTACAAAGACGAGCTACGACGCGTGTAGCCGCCTGACAGGTGACTGTCTCGGGCAATGTATGGGAGGAGCAGGAGGAGCAGTAGCAGCAGTAGCAACAGCAGCAGCGGCAACGGCAGCAGCAGCGACGGCAGCGGCGTGTACCAGTGTGCGGGAAAGCACCGATGGGATGACACACGCACACACAAACAGGGCGGGGCGTTGATATGACTTGCGCTCAAGACTGCTGCGGGGGTGTACAGCACTCGACGTGTGTCTGTGTTGGCCGGGAGTCGCACCCGGCCAGGGCTGAGAGGCGACTTATCGCTTTGGGGAGAGATGAGAAACCTGGTGGTGAAGATGACACGCCGCTAGTGCAACATGGAGCGTTTAGCGCGGTCGGAACAGGTGGTGTCGGTTTGAGAAGGAGAGAGTGGGGGGTGGAGGGGGGGGAGGAAAGGGAGCGCGCGCACGGCGGGCGGGGGGGGTCACGAGCAACCCAGATGGCCGGATGGCGGCGGCGGCTGCTCCTCGTGCTGAATTATAGCGCGAGATGCGGTGAGATCGGGGGGGGGGGGGGCGCGTCTTGCTATGTATCGACTGCCGTGGTGTGTATGATGATGGGCAGTGCAATGGCGATGAGTGGTGTATGTGTGTGTATGTATGTGTGTACTGTATGTGTGTCGGTTGTCGTTGTCGGACAAGGATGGGGATGATGGAATGATGGTGACACTGGGGCTGGGGTGGGGGTGATATGGATGGGAGGAGAGAGAGCGCGCACACAGGCGACCAACGAGAGAGAAGAGACACACAGCTAAACACCTGGCAGAGTGCGCGTGCGCCTCCCCCAGGGTGAGCAAAGGGCCGAAGAGAGGCAAGGGGGAGAGGGGGCGGGCAAAGGGTGGACGGCGCGGAAGAGAGAGCGCACAAGACGGAGAGAATGGCGCCACAGAGATCAGAGAGAAGAGCGAGAGAGAGATCAAAAGCCAGCCAACACCAAAGGCCAAAGGAAGGAGCATTTTGCCAGCGCTAGCAAACCAAAGGGGACAGTACCACAGATCCGGAGAGTACGACCACGACGGACGACAACAAGCAGCAGCTCTGTGGTATGCAGTGGCATGCAGCATGCCTGAAACTAACCTCACCACATCTCCCTGACTCTCTGCGTTTCCCCCAGTTAGCAAACCCCAGCGTCCAAAAGCATCCAGGAACACGGGCAACAGGCAAACCGGCAAAACGCATCTATCGCACGCGACACGCTCTGCCAACGATGTGGTAACGTCGCTGACATCGAGGCATCATTGCTTACTGTACACGCCTGTCGGGGTCTTTCTGACACCTGGGCACTTAGGGAACCCCCCCCCACAGACACATTGCGCACAGGGGAGAGGAACACAAGCCCATCGACACGCAAAAGGAGGCCTTGTGCATTGTGGGTTGTTTGGTGCACAGACGGTCGTCAGCCAATCGCCCACTCTTTCATCTGCTTCACAGATCACTTCATAATGACACCACACTTTCTCCCAAGCAGCAGCACCCGAGAATCCCGAACTGTTCCTCTCTCCGGCCGGGACGGGTACCCGCGAGCAAACGCAGTATCCCCCAGCTTTTCACTCTCACTCGCCGTCCGTGGATCTATAGAGACAAGAAGCCGGACCGTCTTTCGGGTCCATGCACCGAAAATGCCTCAACAAGGCTCTCACCGGCTTTTTCAGGTGACAGCGGGTGGGTCAGGCTGCCAAAGCCACGATTCCTCTCGCACGGGCGGGCACGCGCAGCAAAGCAAAGCTGGCTGCTGGGCTGGCACATCCGTGGTGTACCGCTGTACCGCTTGTGCGCTTCGGGTGTTGCACCACCCCGGTTTAATCGGGAGGGCCAAGCCAGAGGGCCAGAGGGTCTCCTCTCTCTCTCTCTCGCTCTGTTCCGAGCGGTGACGAATGACAGGTTGTAGAATTTGTATTCCCAAGTGGTACGGTCTCCATATCTGTAATCGCTAGCCGATTAAACATATCTGTAATCCCCAATCAGCCGAGACCAAACCCAAGGTTTCAGGGAGAGAGAACATTGCCGGCCGACACAGACACGCACACGCCAAAAAAAAATAGAAAAAAGCCAAAACATCGCGCTCGCTCCCTCTCAGCCAAACAGCGCCGCACACCACCCTGGTCGTTCCCCTTTGTACGGGTCTCTGCGGCAAGCGCCGTGCTAGGAAGCATGACCCCCCCTCTCCCCCTTTCCCCGATGAGTGGCGCCTGAGGCGACGTGGGCTGCGATGGGGTCTCCTCCCACATGTCCCAGGCAGTGCATGGCGGCAGGCATGACTGCGCCGTTCCAGCAAAAGGTGGCTCGCTCCCGCCTGCCAGCAATCTGCGTTATACCCTTCGCCGACTGGCAAGCACAACCTTTTCCCCCCCGGTCGTCCTTCCTCCCTTCCTCCCTCCTCCTCCCTGCGCGCGTGACCGTTTTCGTACGTTATTCTGCGGGCCAATCGAAAGGGCATTCTCATCAATGATCAATGCAAGCAATGCAAGCAATGCCTAAGGGTCTTTGCATGACGCTGCCAGCTGTCGCAGTACGTGTTTGAATCAATCACGCGCCCACAACCCCCGACGGACATTATACGTAAATGGGTGGTGAGGAGCCCCTCGATACACGGATATGACGACGGGGGCAGACATCCCAGGCTGTCCTCGCGGCCGTCATCGTCATCGCTCCGCTCCCCCCGTCGTTCCCTTTGTCACAACAACGGCCCACACAACTCACAAGAGTCACACGATTACACCCCCCCCCCCCCCCCATCATGATCCCGGTAAGGACACATGGCATTGAGGTGTCTGAATTGCACAGCCAACCAGCCCACCTTTGCTGACACCCAATTCAACAGGTCCGCCTAAGACATCCCCGCGGTGTGACCACGATATCTGTCGATCCAGACACCACTGGCATTGCGGATCTCAAGACTGTCATCTTCTCGCACACTGAAATCCCACCCAGCCAACAAGAAAGTGTGTAAACCTGGGTGTCCATGTAACACGTGTATGTTTGGGCTAACGCTTGGTGTCTCAGTCAGCTATGGGTATCCGCCAAAAAAGCTCCCCGACACGGCCGGTCGACTGGCATCGATCCCGATAACAAAGGGCGAGCAGCTCATCGTCACGGCCTTGCCACCCAAGTCACCGTTGCGGCGCCGCCGTCCATCCGTCAAGGAACTCGATGAACAGCTCTCGGCGCCGTTGCCGCCGCGCGACAGAGGTGCCCCAGAAGCAGTGGTCGAGTCGCCCTTGGCCGAGGGCGACATTCCCGTCGAGCCCAAAGAGACCATCAAGATGCCCGGCGATGCCGGACATCTCCAGCTCCGCGTCGTTCCCGACGACAATTCGTGTCTCTTCTCTGCCATCGGCGTGGTGTTTGAAGGAGGCATCTCAGCTGCCCAGAAGCTTAGGACAGGTGAGGCTAGGCCATTTGTATCTGTCTCTGTGCTCACCCCCTACACAGTCGTCGCCAACGCTATCAAGGCCGACGCGGTCAACTACTCAGATGTGATCCTAGGGTGAGTCGGACCCGTTCTTCGACCACATCTAACCCCTTTTTCAGCCGTCCGCGCGACGAGTACATTGCCAAGATCCAGGACAAGGATACCTGGGGTGGTGCCATCGAGCTAGCCGTCTTTGCAGAGCAGTGAGGCAACATGCACGCAAAAGGTAGTTGCTGACCCCCGAAACAGCTTCAAGACGGAAATTGCGTCATTTGACGTCAAGACCGGTCGCGTCGACAAGTTTGGCGAGGGCAACTATGCCAACAGGTGAGCTGAAGTCATCTGCACTTAGCTAACATGCAGGTGCCTCCTCGTCTATTCTGGCATCCGTAAGCCGCGCGCAAGTGGCTTTGTGAATGGAAGCACTGACAGGCCCAGACTATGATGCCCTCACCGTGTCGCCCATCCCCACCGCTCCTCCCTCGTTCCACACGACCATCTTCCCAACAATGGACTCGACGGTGATGGAGGCGGCCGAGGAGCTGGTGGGCTCGCTCAAGAAGAAGCACTACTACACCGACACGGCCACGTTTGACCTGCGATGCGGTATCTGTGGCACTGGACTGCAAGGAGAGAAGGGCGCGCGCGAGCACGCCATGGCGACGGGCCGTGAGTTGAGGGCGAACGGGCTGTGGATATATAAGCTGACCCCGTCAAGACGTCGAGTTTGGAGAATATTAGCGCGCAGGGCACGCTGAGAGGAGTCACAGCTGGCGACAGTATGAGGGTTTATTTATGCAGCAGTCCTATAGTTGACAGACCCCAGTCCGAGGAAGGAACCCACAAATCACTGACCGCGCGCAAACCTGTCTTCCTCGCCTTCCCTCCCTCCATTCCTTCCTCGGTCCTCCCTTCATCACTTGATCTCGCAGTCAGCTCACACTCTCGACATTGTTCATTCTCCCCATCTCGTCTTCATGTCTGCGGCAGAACCTCTCCCGCCCTCCGACGTCGCCAGCGTCTCCTCCGAGGTGGCTGACGACCAGGTGGCGATGGCCGAGTCCTTTGTCGCAGTCACCGCAACCTTTTCTCCCCTCCCATCTCCCCTCCCCTCTTCCCTCACCACCTCCAGCATGTCCATCATCCCCGCCGTTGCACCCATGTTCGACCTACTCGGCGACGAGGACGACCTCCCCGTCGCCTCCTTCCAAGGTCAGGCCGCCGGCCCCAAGCTCACCCACGACGAGTCCGTCAGCGGGTGGCAGGCCCTCGCCGACTACATGCCCTCCCCGTCTCCTTCTCCTTCACCGTCACTCTCACCTTCCCTCTCCGATATCGAGCGCCCGAGCTCGTCCCCCGTCTCCATGCCCACCTCGTTCCTCGAGGTCGTCTACTCGCCCCTCATCATGCCCCAGCGGCCCGTCAGCGAGCCCGGAACGGCCCGCTCGCGCACCTCCAGCCCCATCCCCGAGGCCGGGGTGAAGCAAGACGACAACGTCGATGGCGAGCTTGCAGCGCTCCTCAGCACGATCATCTTCGATACTCCCAACAACGAGCCTGTCCCCGTCTCGGTCCCAACCTCTGTCCCGGACGCGGCAGCGCCTCCCGCGCCTCCCAACCTCATGGACGCTGCGCCCAGTCCAGTGGACGCGCCCGTCCTCGTGGGCCAGTCAAGCGTGCCAGACGTGGCCGTGGACGTCGCCGTGGCCATGGATCCCATGCCTGACCATTCTGACATGGACGTTGCTCCCACAGCCTTCCTCGAGCCACACGACTCCGACGATGACAGGGGCACGCGCTCGTCGGCGCCTTCGCCCTCGCCCTCGCCGCCACCCTCCCCTCCTCCCGGCGACAGCTGTGGCGTGTCCTCGACCGACGTCGAGCCCGCACACACCACCCAGGCGGACATGTCGGTGGACAGCGAGCACGACCACACTGCCTCCAGCGAGACGGGGCACGAGGGCGTGCACAATGTGGCTGGTCAACAGGGTGAGAGAAGTGGGACCGATGGTGTGCAGAACAACGAGGAGGTGCACGGCGTGTCTTTGTACCATTCAAGTGAGGACGACGACGGCGAGGTCCAGTATGCCGACTGTGGCGAGCACCATGAGCGTCTCGATGGGTGTGTCGAGAACCGAGTAGTCGTGTACCATCCGAGTCTCGAGCAGGAGCAAGATGCCGAGGGCGGCGAGGGCGCCGAGGGCCTCCAGCACGTCCAGCACGATACTGCCGACGACACCGCGACAAGTAAGGATGTCATCGAGAACGCTGATGAGCAGCTCCACGAGGACGACGTCTCCTCTAACCCTGCCTCGACCGCCCACGAGTTCACCCCGCCTCTCACACCGCCGCGCAGCCCGGTCACCCCACCGCGCACTCCGCCACCTGCGGTTGCCAACAAGGAGGACGACGGCGAGAAGCCCAAGCCCGACCACTCGCTTCAGAACAGCCTCGACGAGGTCAACGAGTTGGAGGGGGCGTGGATGGACTTTCGCGAGAGCATGGCCGTCTTTGGCGGCTGCATGGAGGAAGTCCTCGTGCGCATCTCCCACGAGCTCAAGAGGTGAGTTGAAGAAGCAGGGATCTTGGTTCTCAAAGCTCACAAACCAGCCACTCATGTGCGGCATCTGGCGTTCCCGCCCTCGTCGCGGCGCCTGCTCCTACTCCTGCTCCTGCACCTTCCCCGCCCACGGTCGACCCCGAGATGCAGCAGCAGGTAATCCGCCTCACCCGCGAGAACCAGCTGTTCGGCACGCGAGTGCTCAAGGCCGAGACGGAGGTACGCGAGGCCAACACCCAAAGGCAGAGGATGGAGCAGGAGCTCGCCCGCGTCGTTCGCACGCTCGAGGAGGAGCGCGAGAAGAGTGGCCAGGCTGTCGACATGCTGGAGCGCTCAGAGGCACACCGCAAGACGTACAAGAAGGGCTACAAGAGCCTCAGCAGTCGGTTTGTGGCCCTCGAGGAGGACTATGCGCAGCTCACCAAGGACTCGGGGGCACTCAAGCAGGAGGTCAAGGTAGGTTTGTTTGCTGCGTAGACGCCCATATGCCCTCAGCTGACGCATTCAGGACCCCTCTGGCTTTGCCATCGTTCTTATGGAGGGCGAGGCGCGCATGGTAGGTACTGGCATGTGATTCAGCTGACATGCCCAGTTTGATCCCAAGCAAGTCGGTCGTGGCTACGAGGGAGGTAAGGGTAGGATCTTCGGATGACATTGACCCGTACAGGCGCCGCCACGGCAGCTCTTATCCGCAGCGAGGCCGAGCGTCTGGTCAAGCTCATGGCGCTCGGTACCGAGGTGACGGCCATGATCCACCTGTTCCTCGACCTTGTGAGTGTGCTTCAGGCCTACACCGCTGACCCATCGCAGGAGAAGACCATCAACGAGCTCCTCGAGGTATGGCTTTGAGGTTTGGGCCGGGTACAGCTAACGCGGACACAGACCGGCGTGATCAAGTCTGTCAGAGACTTTGATGATTTTCTCGAGGGCTTCTCCTCTGCCGACGACCAGATTGTCATCTCCGACACCACCGGGCTGTTTGGCGCGTCGATCAAGATCAGAGGTGGGTGTACCTGTTGCGATTGAAAAGCTGACCTCCCGCCAGCCAAGATGAACATGCTCGGCAGTCTGCGGCCTTGCAAGCTGGTCTTACTCGTCGCTGGACAGGTGAGATGAAGGGAACCGCCTGATATCTGACAAACATTCAGGACCGCCAGTATCTCGACACGATCGGGCGGCTCGGCGACGAGGTCAAGAGCAAAGTGTTCGTCGCACGCTCCACTGGCGTTGCCGACGTCGACAGCGATCCCTTCCAAGCGCTCGGTAACGGCCGCCTATTCTACATTCCCTTCCTTTTCCCGACGACTCCACTCGAGTGGAGCCAGCTCCGCAGCAGCAAAGGGCGCACTGTCAACAACATCAACGGCAACAACGGCCCCGTCAACCGCGCGCCCAACAATGCGACCCCACGCCCCACCAACAACAAGACTCACGACGAACGCCCCAAGCAAGCGTATCCGCAGGTGCCACAAGTGCCCATGGGCTCTCCGATCCCCTTCACCCCCATGCCCACTGGCTCCACCAACCGCTCGGCCTCGGTGGTCAATGGCTATCAGGCTTCCGACGTCTCCGGCACGGGGTACCAGAGCACAGTCAACACGGAGACGGCCCCGTACGGCCGTCTCCAGTCCGAGGCGAGCTGGGCCTCGTCCAAAAAGTACCCCGAGTCGTCTGTCGTTAGCCACATGGAAGCCTCGGCAGAGACGTACTTTCAGGACCGCGAGCGGGTCTCCCGCCAGCGCCCGCCGCCTCCCAAGCCCGCATCGAGGCAGCCGGCCGCCCCGCCCTGGCAGGAGATTCGCGCCTCGCAAGGCCCCACCGGCGGTGGTGGGGGTTACTCTACTTCGCGCGCTGCTGATATCCCTCTACGCCGGCCGGTGGGTATTCGCCTGGCGCACGACCAAATGTCCGTCGGCGGCAGCCCGCCGTCGAGCGACGACGACGAGCCGCTCCTCAGCCACGTCCCCGCCGCGTCGCGCACGCACGTCATCCGCCCGCCGCAGTTTTACGACGCGATCGAGCGGCCTCCCAGCACGGGCTCGCTGATATCGACTGTCACGACGGGGACCGTCAAGGGCGGCGGCCGGGGTGGCGGTGGGCCTCCTGCGGGCTTCAGGCTCGCGCCGACGTACGGCAACAACAGCACCAGCTATGGCGGCGGCCCGCACCGCGAGGTGCGCCACGCCGACCTCGCTGGTAACCGCCAGATTAGCCCCGAGGCCAAGGTCAAGCAGTGGCAGACATTTAAGGTGAGCTTAGGGATTTTCAGAGCTTGAAGCTGACCTACCGCAGTGATTCTCTGATTCTCTGAGCTAAAGCGCAGTGAGTCTTGAAGAGAAACCCCAGAGCAAGTTGACGCCTTGGCAGTGTGTTTTCCGTACCATCTGTTGTGAATATATCGTATCAAAGAATGTCCATGTTATGTATCACGTCCATCACCAAATGTTCTCTGTCTCTCTTTGTCTCTCTTCGTTATGCAAACTGAACAACAACAACACGGCCATTGTCGCGTATTTTGCCCAACACGGCTTGTTGTCAACAATGCCGGCGGCAAAGGCCATGGCCATGACGTCAGCGGCGCCGTGTCATTCCGGCAGGACAATGAGCCGTCGAGCAGCAGTGGCTTGCCACGCCTCGCCCATATAATTCTCCCAGCGTTCGCCAGCACACGTCGGTGCGTTGACAGCAGCCATCTCCAACTGACAGACACATACACACACCATTCACTCATCACTCACACATACCTACCAGCCATGTACCTCCTAGCGCTCAACTGCGGCAGCTCCAGTATCAAGGGCAAGCTCTTCGACCTGCCGCCGGCAGCGACGCCGGCCGACTTGGACGTGCCGCTCAATGGGGCCGCGACCATTGCCGTGTCCAACATTGGGTCCAAGGGCGACAAGGTCGTCATCAAGGTCTCGTGGGAGGCGGGACGCGGGCAGGACGTGAAAGAGGAAGGCGCGGAGGGCAGCACGGTCGAGCGTGAGTGGCGGCACGAGCAGCGTCCAACGCTGCTGCTGGAGCGAGAGAGAGAGCGACAGCTGCCGGGCTGAGCTGGGAATGGCACGGCAAGCTGACACACTCCGCTCGACACGTCCAGACCGCGACATCTTCCCCATCCTCCTCAAGAACCTTGCGGGCTCGGGCGGCGTCCAGGGCAGCGAGATCAAGTACATCACACACCGAATGTACGCTGCCGAGTTTGTCTTGGGAGACAGTCACTGACAGCGCATTCTACAGCGTGCACGGCGGTCTCAACAAGAAACCACTGATCGTCACCCACGAACACGAGGAGGCGCTCACCGAGATGGACGCGCTCAGCGAGTTTGCGCCGTTGCATGTGAGTTACTTTTAACTGCTGTGAGGTTGGAGATGTGGTGCACAGACACGCGGCGTGCGATTCAATGGCGGCAGTGACGTCGTCGCGAACCCAAATCCGCACCGAACGCCGCAATGTTCTGACCCCCCCCCCCTCCCTTCAGCTGCCAGCGTCTATGCACTGACGCACTGTCCAGAACCACCACGCCGTCCTCGGCGTGCGCGCCTGCCTCGAGGCGCTGCCAGAGCACACGTCGGTGCTGCTCTTCGACACGCTCTTCCACCAAACGCTCCCGCGCGAGACGTACACCTATGCCCTCCCGCCGCCCGAGCTGGCGACGGCGATCCCGCTGCGCAAGTACGGGTTCCACGGCCTGTCGTATGCGTCCATTGTGCGCAGCCTGAGCGCCAACCTCGGCAAGCCCGCCAGCGACATCAACGTGGTCGTCGCGCACTTGGGCAGCGGCGCCAGCGCGTGCTGTATCCTCGGTGGCAAGTCGATTGATACCAGTGAGTCGAGCAGGAGTTGGTACATAGCTTGAGGCTAACCGGCAACAGCCATGGGTCTCACCCCGCTCGAGGGACTCGTGGGCGGCACGCGTACCGGTACCATTGACCCAACGGCCATTTTCCACCACACAAAGGACCCAGGCGGCGACGCGGGGCTCAAGGACATGCACGTGACGCGTGCCGAGCTGGTCATGAACAAGTGGGCCTCAGCTTCGTTTCCGTCGGCAACGTACGTTAGCTGACACACACCCACCACAGGAAATCCGGCCTGACAGCGCTGGCGGGTACCCAGAACTTTGGCCTGATCACCCAACGCATCGCCGACCCGTCCACCTGCAGCCCCGAAGAGGGCGCCGCCGCGCAGCTCGCGTACGACGTCTTTGTCGACCGCCTCATGGGGTTCCTGGCCGCATACCTCTCCAAGCTGCTGTACCGCGTCCCGCTCGCTAACGTCGCGCTGGCGTTTTCGGGCGGCATTGGCGAAAACTCGGCGCAGCTGCGCGCAGACGTGCTGGCGCGCCTGGGGTGGCTGGGCGCCGAGGTGGACGCGGGCAAGAACGCGGCCAGGGCGCAAGACGGCGAGGTGGTGCGCACCATCTCCACGGCCGGCAGCAAGCTCAGGACATATGTCGTCTTGACGGACGAGGAGGCGCAGTGTGCGCACATGGCGCGCGAGGCGCTCAATATCTAGTAGACGTTGGTCGCCCTGCGAGGAGTAAGATAAGTGGTAGATAAGAGGTTTTAGTTGGCTTTAGAGTGTTGGTTAGTTTTAGGTAGTTATCGGGAGAGATGAAGCGCCCCTTTTCACCCCACAATCGAAACGTTTGGTCCTCTTTACAATGAGTGCATGTGACAATATGGCGGTGGATGATAAGTGATACAATGGGCGAAATGGCAGGGCGGGCGGGGTCACGACTCGCGCTATTGCCTAGCTGCGGACGCGCTCAATGCCCTCGGTGGCACTGAGCTCGGCCTTGCGGCAGCTCGAAAAGTGGCCAGCGGTACAGGCCTTGCACGTGCCGGGGTTACTGGAGACGAGTCAGCTTGGGCCAAGGTGAGGTGAGCTGTACAGCTGGTCACGACTTGACTCACCCAGTGCACTCGGTGGCGAGACAGCCGTTGCCCTGGCAAGCAGTGCACTGCGAGGGGTTGGCGGCGCAGCCGGCGACGTCGGTCTTGGCGCAGCCGTGCTCGGTGGACTGGACCTGGGGCATGTTAGCGACTGATGGGTAGGTGGTGGTGGTGGCTCCACACATGGCCCGCGATAAACAACAGGGATCGCCAAGGTGGGTGTGGAGACACTCTTGGGACACTCACGCCACAGAAGCCGCAGTTGGAGGGGTTACCGGAGCACGAGGACATTGTGGTTATCGCAATGGAGGAGGTCGGTAGGGCTTGGCGGGGTAAGGAAACGGGTGGTGAGGCGTGGAGTGTTGTGGTGAAACAGAATGGAGCAGAGCACAGAGTTTATATAGTCCGAGAACAATAAGCGCCAGCGTCGGTGGGCACATGGCCCGACGAGTGGGTGTGACGCACTTGTCGCGCTGGACGTGTAATGTGGAGGCTATTACACCGTGGTGGACCAATCATAGTGTTTGTCATTGTCATCAGAAGCAGTGTCCTCAGGACTCGACTTTGTCCCTCAGGACTCGACTTGTTTGTCCATAGCGAAGGCTGGCCAACTGCACGTGTCGCAATGGTAAGTATCCGCAATCCATCGGCCGATCAGGTCACGTTTGCCAAGCACAAGAGTGTTTGCTGGTCGCGCCGAGCACAGGACATTGGCTATACTTCAAATAGAGCGGGGCTGAGTGCCCGACGAGCATGGCTGCTGTCACCTACACCTCAGCCCCCAACATATGTTCAATGCCATTTGCTCAATCACGTCAAAGTCGTTGGATCTCATAGATGCCAGTGGCTAGTGGCACGACTGGCGAGGAAAGATCGGCGTGAAAAGTCCCGAGCCACATTATTTATCCACCCGACAAAGGCAGATGCTGAGAATCTCAATATCTCTAAAGCTCGCATCACATGTTCGTGTGGCACCCTATATGTGCGAGGATAGCCTTGGACCTTCTGTGTCCAATGAAGACAACAGCTGAGTGCCACTGTCGTTTATGGCCCTCTTCATCGCCCGTGCAAAGGCAGCGAGACGTTGTTCAGAACCGCCACACCCACGTTGCGACACGCTCCACGACGCAAGCTGGTGTCTTTGCGTCCGTCAACTTGCACCCAGAATGCTGGCTAGCATGACGCCAGCTTCCCGTTTTGTAGCTTGGGGGACTACTCCAAACCGTGTCTCGTTGGCGGGAGGGCCGGAATTCGGTTTGGTGTTTCAGACGCACGGCTTGGCTGCGCCTTTGCTCTCGTCTGCAGCTGGCGGGTTGGCGTTGCTCCGCCCGCTGAGAGAGCCGGCAGAAATATCTTTTCCCCAGGTCCTATACGACTGGGCGTTTTCGAATGACCACGTCGACGAGACCCATGGCCGTGTGCCCGCTGTTTAACACCGGACTTTTGTCTATTGCTGCCCCCCACAGCCCCCCCGGTGGCCGGTGACGTTGCGTTCGGACCGCTCCGTCCCCTAATCGGATAACAACCGTCGCGCTATTGTTTCGCTGTTCGGCTATCTTTTGCATTAATGTTTTCCCAGCGTTCATCCGCACGCGCTGCGGTGTATGATGTGGGTCGTTGGCGGAGACACTCCCATGTGGCAATTCGGACGAGGATAACATCAAACCCAAAGAGACATGCCTACCCCCACCCCTGTATCTGCCCCCCCCCCCCCCATGCTTGGCAGTGGACAGACCATGGAGCTCCTCACGAACCCGCGCGGGGGAGAGTGCTGCTTTTGCCTCTGCGATGCCGAAGAGAGAGAGAGACGGGGCATTTGGACGGCCGCGCATCGAGGCGCTGCCCCCCGCTGGCTCTCCAAACGCCGTTCTTTCGCCGCCCCCCGCGCGCCTGTGACGCAACACCCCACGGTGCTCCCCCCCACCCGCACGCACGGCGGCCGGCACATGCCACCAGCCGTTAACCGGACCTTCCAGCAGCCAGCAGCCGGCCGGCTGGTCCAGCCAGGCCGCAAACCCAAGCCGTTAGGCGAGGACAGAGACGAGACACAGCTGGGTCCCAAGAGCCGAACGCACACCCACACCCACATCTTTCCTCCACGCGTGTCCCATTGCTCCCCAGTGTATAAAGAACGGCACATCCACAACCACCCCCTTTCCCCCCTCTTACCACCACATACCACTCCTACCCACAATGTTCGCTCGCCAGCTTGCTTCCCGCGCAGTCCCCGCCGTCCGCGGCCAGTCGCGCGTTGCCGCCATCCGCGCCTTCTCGGCCACCGCCAACGCCCGCATCGAGTACCCCACCGTCGAGAAGGGCCAGTCGCTCTGGAACTTTACCGACGAGGAGAACATGCTCCGCGACACTGGTGAGTAGACCGAGCTACAGTAAAGGCTCGCGTGCGCGCGCGCGCGCAAGTGGGCGTGTGTCGACCACGAGAGCAGCGAGCGCTGGCTGGACCGGCACTGCAGTACCCGCTGGCAGCGACGACGAGTGCGCCGCACCCTGCCTCACGGACAGGAAAAAGTCGCGCGCTCGGCAACGTTGGCCGGGTGACGCTGGCCTCTCTGGCGGCCTTGTTCCCCCTCGTGCTGTGATACAGGCGCTGTGAAGCAGGCTCTTGCTACCTGCGACGTTCAGTGGCCGCGATGTTCCATAGGCGTGTGCTCTTCCACCCCCCCCCCCCCCCCCCCCCCCCCTTTCCAGCCCACAAGCTTACCCGCCTCAGTCCGCAAGTTTGCCGTCGACAACATTGAGCCCATTGTCCGCCAGATGGACGAGGCCGAGATCATGGACCCCGCCCTCATCCAGGGCCTGTTCGACAACGGTCTCATGGGTATCGAGGTGCCCGAGGAGTACGGTGGTGCTGGCATGTCGTTCACCTCTGCCATCATTGCCATTGAGGAGATTGCCCGTGTCGACCCCTCGGTCGCTGTCCTTGTCGACGTGCACAACACCCTCGTCAACACCGTGTTCCGTCACCACGCCTCGGACGCCATCAAGGAGAAGTGGCTCACCGGCCTCGCTACCGAGAAGGTCGGCTCGTTCTGTCTTACCGAGCCCGCTGCCGGTTCGGACGCCTTTGGCCTCCAGACCACTGCCAAGCTCGACTCGTCGGGCGACTTCTACGTCCTCAACGGCACCAAGATGTGGATCTCCAACTCGGGTGAGGCCGACACCTTCCTCGTCTTTGCCAACGTCGACCCCTCCAAGGGCTACAAGGGTATCACCGCCTTTGTCATCTCCAAGGACATGGGTGTCGAGATCATGAAGAAGGAGGAGAAGCTCGGTATCCGCGCCTCGTCCACCTGTGTCCTCAACTTTGACGGCATCAAGATCCCCAAGGAGAACGTCGTCGGCGAGGTCGGCAAGGGCTACAAGATTGCCATTGAGATCCTCAACGAGGGCCGTATCGGTATCGCCGCCCAGATGATCGGTCTGGCCCAGGGCGCCTTTGAGAAGGCCGTCCCTTACACCTACCAGCGCAAGCAGTTTGGCAAGGCCGTTGGCGACTTCCAGGGCCTCAACTTCCAGTTTGCCGACATTGCCACCCAGATCGAGGCCGCAAAGCTCATGACCTACAACGCCGCCCGTCTCCAGGAGGAGAAGCGCCCCTTCACCAAGGAGGCCGCCATGGCCAAGTACTACGCCTCGGTCGTCGCCCAGCGCGCCGCCGGTGCCGCCATCGAGTGGTGCGGCGGTGTCGGCTTCACCCGCGACACTGGTATTGAGAAGTACTGGCGTGACTCGAAGATTGGCGCCATCTACGAGGGCACCTCGAACATCCAGCTCGAGACCATTGCCAAGTTTATCAAGAAGGAGTACGCCTAAGCGACTCGTTGTTGCGTTCTTTCTTAGACTTAGGACTTGGGCTCCACGGACAGAAACGTCACCCCCGGGGCAGCGCAGGCGACACGTGTCTGCGCGGCTACAGCAGTCATCCAAAAAAGTGCATGCGGCAGACAGAGGGCAGAAGGGGTTAGAAGGTTGTTCATAGTTGTTATGAAGTCATTGTTTCATACGTACAAAAACGCCCAGGCAGGCGAGTGTCATAAAACAGTGGTACGTCTGACGTGGTGAGGGCGCTGCGACCTGTTGCCGATCGTCACTGGACCTTCCCGGAGGGTGTATATTGGTGACACAGGTGCCAGCGACGGACACGTTGTCGTCGCTGCAACCCTCTTCGCGCGTCCGTAGATGCGCGTGTTATCGAGGTTCGCTCGCTGTACCCGCCCCCGCCCCCACTCCCGCATCGCCGCCACACGAACGCTTGTTCGGCCGACAATCCGGCCCATGGACAGACGCGTCGCGGGGGAACAAAGAGGGGGAACAAAGAGGACCGAAAGATGTCTGACCGCCTCTCTCGATTTGCCGAGGTGGTAAAGTGACTTGTGCCGAGCGGCCCCGCACTCGGCAACTTGGGCGATATCGGTCGTAACTGGCCACAAAGGAGACAATCGGAGAGGAGAGGGGAACGGTGCTTGGCGTGGGGGGGAACAGGAACAAAGGTGTGGCGGCGGACTCTGTGCCAGGCCTCGCTTGGCTTCTCGAGCCTGGGTGCAAACGCTGGAGTGCTTTATCGTCCGCACGTCTCTAGTTCTATCATTTTACCTGTTTACAAAGAAAAAACAAACGTCAATCATCCAAAACCTGTCTATCCAAAGAAAATCAATGTCCACATCCTTGTCTGCGTCTCGTCTCACCCCTATTCGTGGCGCGGGGTGGGCACCGTGTCGATGGCAAACTGCTCCTCGCCGACATGCTTGCGGTACTCGTCGGTGGTCATGAACGTGACCTGTCCGCGAATCTCCGCTGCGCGGTCGTCGTCGAGCTCGCCGCGGAGATCGTCCCTGATTTCCTGGAGGATATTGTCCATGATGAGGTCGTACAGCTGCTGCGGCTCGCGGGCGATGCCGTCCATGATGCCGAAACACTCTTGCGGCGCCTCGCTGACGCCCACGAGCGTGTGGGCCGAAGTCGAGCCGACGCGCAGGTGGCTGCACACGGTCCACAGCCAGCCGTTGGCGCGCACGTCGTTCTTCTCGATCCAGATGGGGTTCGAGTACGATGTCGTTCCCGGTTCAGGCGCGAAGATGAGCACGGTGGTGTCGACCCACTCGATGGTTCGGCTCGGCAGCGAGACCCAGCACACGGGCAGCGTCGGCCGCGAGCAGTCGTATGTGGCGCGCACGACCAGGTGGCGGACCTGCGAGTCGAGGTAGACCGTCTCGGCGTACGTCGTCTTGTCCCAGTCGGAAGGCTTGCGGCCCTCAAAGTCGACGCCAAAGTTTGTAAACACGACCATCTTGCGCGGCTGGACGATACACTTGCTGCTCCCGTTCGGGTAGAAGCGCGCGACCTCTACATTCTTCATTGTGTCGCGCGCGCGCACCATGCGCCAGTCTGAGCCGTGCCACGGGTGGATATCCACCACGCGCGTGTGCAAAAACGCCGTCTCCCACCGGGACCGCAGCGCCGTGCAGTCGTCGCCGCACGTGTCCTCGCGGTTGTCCGTGACGTGGTTGTAGTCGCACACCCAGCCGGGCAGGCGGCCGCCGTCGTGCGAGATCGGCATGACCCGGTACTGCTTCATGCGCGCCTTGGCCGGGCCGCGGGGCAAGAAACCAGCCATCTTGGCCCATTTGGCGCCCTTGGGCGGCGACAGGCCAGGCGCGAGGATGAGGTGGTGCGCGAGCAGGTTGTCGCACCGCTCACGCAGCGTCTTGTTGGCGGCGCGCAGGGCCAGGAGACCGCCATGCCCGGCCGAGTTGACAATGAGCTCAAAGATGTGAGGGTACGAGCTGTGGTCGAGCACAACTGGGTCGGCCGAGGCGGCGACGACGGCCTTCTTTGACACCTTGCCCTTGGGGGCTGCCTTGGTAGACTTTGCTGTTGTCGCGGCCTTGGTCGCTGCTTTGGCCGCCTTGGGTGCCGCTTTGGCAGGCGCTTTACCCTTGGCAGCCGTCTTCGGAGCAGCCTTGGAAGCAGGTGTCGCCTTGCCAACGGCCGCAGCTTTGCCCTTGGCCGCCGTTGGGCTCGCCGATTTCTTGGCTGCCGGGGCTGCCTTGCTTGCTTTCGCTGCTTTCGCCTTGGGAGCGGCCTTGACAGGTGCCGATGCGGGGTCGACTACGGGCACGACCTTTGGCGTCCTCGTCCGTGTCGTGGGTGCCATCGCTGTAGAGAGAGCAGTGGGACTGGGTGTGTTGAAAGCTGGGTCGCGGTGGAGACGCGACGGTTTTATCAATGTGTTGCATGCGGTTTGTTTTTCCGTCCCAGCCCGTTTGCTGGATTTCCTTGGCACCGTACACGTAACCTGCCGTGCACTGGGCCGTTCGGTGGCGTCTGCTGCGTCGGACGATGGCGCAGCACCCGGCCAGCGGGGGGGACGACCCAGAGAGTGCAGTGCAGTACAAGACCGGCCCACGACAGGATACGAATGCCAAGGCCGGCGTTGCAACGTCAGGTCGCAGACATGGTCAGGTATATATCGAGGCCCCGCAAAAAAGTGGACCTGTCGTCGTCGATCCACAGTGTTCCCGGGAGAGTGGCGCCGTGGCTCTCAGCCACTGCAAGGGGCCCATGCAAGATGCTTTTGCACACTTGGGCACCGCAGTAATGGGGGGCAGGAGGCAGCTTTGCAGCTTGCAAGCTTGGGAACTTGTGACGAGCAACGGGTATGAGGTTTGGGCCCCCGTTAAACACAGGATCCAAGCTTCCAAGGGGTAAAAGTCGGAGAACAACGAGGAGAGCTAAAGAAGCCACCACAGTCCACAGTCACCTCCAACGACGTGCCGCGTGCCCGCGTGCCCACGACGTGCTGGCGTGCTTATAAGGCTGGGTGCCCAGCATCACCATGGTATCTTGTCCTTTCCGCCACCATGGAGCTCGACGCTATCCCTCGCTTGTCGTCCAACTCGTTCTTTGGGCCATGGGACCGCGGGCTGCACGCGTACCTCGCCTCGCGCAACCTCGAAGCTTGGATTACGCAGACGGCGCCACCGGAGCCCTACCGTCTGCCTCAAGACCTCGGGCCAGCGTCCAGAGAGGGTGGTCATGGTGGCGACTCGACGGGGTTTGCAGGCAAGAGTGTACCGGCGGGCTACGAGATTGACACCGACAACTCGTCGGCGACGCTCAGCGACGACCAGCGACGGGAGTGGATAGCATGGGCACGCAGCGAGCTCCTCACGCGACAAGCCATTCTCAAGACACTGGACAGCGCCCTCGTTCTCGAGTTTGAGGCCTGCTGGTCCTCGCAAGAGCTGTACGCCGCCCTCCACCGCCGGTTCACCAACAACCGCGCACACCGGTCACTCGTCTGGCGTATCATGCGCATGCGCCTTGCCGATGGCGCACGCACCCCGGACGGTCTGCGCGCGCACCTCGCCGCGTTCCGCGACCTCGTCGGCGAGTTTGGCGCCATCGGTCGTCCTCGCGACGAGGAGCAGGTGTGTGCGCACTTTGTCGCGTCGCTGCCCGACGACCTTGGGTGGCCGATCGTGGCGGCCGTCCAGGCGCTGCCGCCACACCGACAGGGGTGGGCTGCGCTGTCTGCCTTTTACCTCGCGGCCGCGGCCGAGATGGACGCCATGCGCCGACCAGGTGCGTTCAAGCACAAGGCAATGGGCACGACGGGAGATGCAAGGCGAGGCAGCCGCGCACGCCGGTCGGTGGGGACGACGCAGCCGTGGCCGCCGCTCGAGCTGCAGCTGTCGATATCCCAAGCCCAAGCGCAGGGACAGGTCCGGGGCGGCGGCCCGTGGTTGAGCAAGCGGAGCACGAGCACGGCCAGCGCCGCCAGTGCCGCCAGCGCAGCGAGCGCAGCGAGCACGTCCAGCACGGCCTCGACGACCACGGGGCCCGTGTCGGCCACCCACACCACCCTCCCGACGCCCGTGGGCACCCCAGTTTCCACCCAAACGCGTGCTGCGGCCGGAGACACCCCCAAAACGCGCCCAACGACACCGGGAACGGCTGATCACAACAGCCCAACACCGACACGCGCCAAGCCAGCCAAAGCCCTCCAGACGCCTCCAACGACGCCGCCGAGCTCAACGTAGTGTACTGCGGTGTCGTGACACCCGGGAGTGAGTCTTGTGCTGGACTAGAAGTTGAGCAACTGAACTGACTTCTGAGCAGAGGCAGGACTGAGATCCTGCACACTACTCTGTGGAACTCGAAGGAGACTGCCAGCTGCCGGCTTTAGTGTCTCACGGGATACACTAGAATCACAGTCGGACACTCCTACTCTGCTTGCCCCCACCCCTCACCCTTTTGGTGCGACTGAGACGTCCGTCTCGAGGACACTTTTGCAATACAGAATCTGTGACATTGACATGCTACTCGGTTTGAAACACTAGCGGTACATACGGACTCGAGGAACGGTGGGCCAGCAGGGCACCAGACAGGCATGGAGGGCAGGGCATGGGACGTTGGGACAGCAAGCGTGCAGTGCACGCTCTGGCGTTTGATTTTGGGCATGGTGCAGGCTAGGAAGGTTCTTTTCGGAGGGGCGCGGACGGGTGGCGGCGGTGACAATGGTGATGGTGCTGGTGATTGCCATCAAGCCGGTATCGTCGATGCTGAAAGCGCTCGTGGGTCGGGGTGACCGTTCAGGCGCGCCGTTGGAGCCGTGTTCTTCCGGTGCTGAGTGTTGTTCATACGCGGGGGGTTGAAGTTTCCCCTTGGCGGCCCTCGTGGCTGCGCAGGCTGCTGTTTCTTGTAGTGTGGTCGGAATTTGAGAGGTCTCGACGGAAGAGGTATGTACGAGGGACTGGGGGTGGTTGGCTCGGGGTCGGTGCTTGCCCGGTGAGTGTCGGAGACGTTGTCGACTGGAGGAGGAGTAATGGCGGGTGGGTTACGCGGAAGGTAGGCTTCGGCACGGGGGTTGAGGGTTCTCTGCGCGGGAGTGATGGCTGCCAAGGTGGGATGGGTGGCATGCTCGGTCTTCACTTTCGTCTCCCAATGGGGCTTGGGCTTTGGCGACTCCCAGGCGAGGTATGGGTTGCTCTACCTGTGATTAAAATATCCGTCGTCCTCATTGTCGCCAAGGAAGGCGGGAGGGAAGGCGCCGGAGAAGGCGGGTGGCGATGAGCCAGAGTGGTCCATCGAGCAAGGCGTGCCCGGCGTGAGCGGGGTGAGTGGCGTAATAGGTGTCATTGGCGTAAAAGGCATGAGAGAGAAGGGTGACTCGGAAGCGACAGAGGACGGTCGGTGATAGCGATGTGTGATGTCGCTAAAGAAAGGAGCAGGGCGGCCAGGAAGGAAAGGTCGTGCGGTGGCCAGAAGCTGGTGATGGGTCGTCGGGGGACGCTTGAGGACTGCCATGGTGGCCGGTGAGGCAGACCAGCTCACAGCATGGGCTGGAAGAGGGATAACAGTGTGCGCGACGGCCTGGTCGGTCATTGACTTTCCCAGGCTGATTGCATCTTGGCGGAGAGGCGAGTTGGCCACAAAGTTGGAGCCAGAGAGACCAGCTGCGGCGACAATGGCTTCCGAGAGGGGATCGTCGATACTGCCACAGTGAGCGAGGTATTCCTGGTGCTTCATTGTTGCTCCTTGTCGAGGGCTCCTCGCGCGTGTCTTGACGACGACCTGGTCGACCTGGCCGCAACTTGTTGAAAGAAGAGAGAAAGGGAGGAATGATGGAAGGAAGGAAGGACCAACAAGTGGTTTCACTTAGAGATATGAGGGAAGGAATGGACAACGAAAGGTGACTCATCTTCTCGCTCCGCGGATGGCGCCGCACGCACTTCAGCCAACAAGAGCTATAGCCGGCCCATCGAGCTGTGGCCACCACGGCACACAATCTACGACCGCGATGAATGGCGCTGCCTGCCCTGTGCTGTGTTCCAGCACACTGCCCATCACTGCCGCTGCTTTCTATGCATGACTGCTTGCGCTTGGCCAAACGTGTGATGCGTGATGTGTTTTTTTATGTTTTTTGCCCGCATCCATCAGATCTCAGAGAGCGCGTCACAGCGAGGATTGAATTGATGGCTCAGGCACCCGCACACAAGAAAGACAAAACAAAATCAGGCGCGTCGGGCACCAGGTCCGCAGGAAACATTCAAACAACTGCCAGCCGGACCACACCGGGAACCGTATTGCAATGCTAGTCCGTCTCAGATTCATGCCAGAAAATGGTAGATCTGGCGGAATTACAGAGGCGCAGAAGCTTTAAGCTGGGTATCCAGCCAACCTCTCTCGGGCCTCTGTTGGGGTTTTTGCGGCGCTACGGAATGAATGGGCGGGGGAGACGAAAACACGTCCTCGAGGCCTGTTGTCAGCAGCCAAAGAGTCGCCCTGCTCTGCCGCGTTGTGGGTCACCTGGGGTGACGGTGCGGGTTGTGAGATGCAGGAACGACCAGATCATTCTTCTCGGGTTTTCTCCATCTCTCATACAGCTAACACTCCAACCACCCCACTCAATCACCTCCTCCCGGTCCTCATTCGATACCACTCCGTCGGCACCCTCACTGTTCTTGACACCACCGTCCCTCCCCTCCCCGTTGTCTCCCTTTATCCCTTCCTTCTCCCGCTCTTCGACCCCCTCACACGCTTTGTCGTCCACTCCCGAATCATCGTTGCTCTCTGCCTGGCCACTTTCAACACCCGTGCAGGCATCAGCCGCTGTGCCGGCTCGGGCTGGGTGCCCTGCGGAGCCTCTTAAGACATCCCTGCAACGTTGGCCTTACCTCTATCCACCGTATCCAGCCTGCCCTAATCTCACTTGCACTTACGCTCGTCTCTCACCTGGTGCCAGCAGTTCCTGGCTGCCAGGACGCGTCAAAGACAGGCATCTCGACCAACTCTTGGGTGTGCTCCATTTCGGGCAAGACTCTGGTGATGGAGGTGAGCTGCACAGGAGAGAGTGCCTCTGCTCACACTTAGGTCGCCGTCAAACATTACACCCCTGCTCCAAGAGCTGGAAAGAACGCGCACTCGGAGAATGGCGCCGATCGCAGACGCCGAGCATTGGGCTGGTATCGTCGCCGCCAAGTCCCTCCCGTTCGGCGAACTGTGTCCTTGGCCCCACGCGTGGTCTACAGCATACGTCCCTTCCTGCTAGACTCCAACCGTCTCATCACTGGACCTCTTTTGACAGCTTCGACGTCTGATGGTCCGGGGTTCTCCAACCCGTTCGTCAACATTGCCAGGGAGCTCGACCTGGTCCGCTTCACTCTCTATCCCCAGTATCAGCGATACACTTCCATCGTTGTGGTCCTTGCAACACCATACCTCACCATTCGATTTACTGTTCCCCGCGCCGACGCCTACCCAACTCTCTCGATGGCTGCCTTTGCATGGGAATCGTTCAGCCAGCCGCGTCTCTTGAAAATTCCCAGCCAGCCTTTCTTGACCGTGTTGGACCAGCTTATGCGTACCGCCGTCATGGCATCGAGGGTCCGTAACACTCCAAGTCGGGTCCGGTCTGTCCAACCTGTTCCCGTTCCTTTCTTCGTCCAGCCGCCCAGGCGCTCTCCCCACTTTCATGATATGGGTTCTGCGCTCCTCTCCACTTTGCCCTTCTTCTATGGACCACTCTCTACCTTTGACTTTGAGGCAATTACTTTCATCGCATTAGCCGCCGCCATGGAACCCAAGCCAAAGCCCCTGCGAGCAATTGCGAGCACCGCTAGCACCAACAGTTCCACTCCAGCCCCTACCAAGCGTCCAAATGGCCTTCCTGCCGTCGCTACTTCTCCGGCCAAGAACATAACGACCGATTCCGGGCCCGCCACACGCCGTCCCGCCCTGGCTCCTCTGAGCACCAATGTCCGAGGCGTCAATGTGGCACAACCACGCTCTGCCTCCATGAAGCACCGTCGTAGTGGAGGCATCACCTCCATGAACGCGGTGACAGACGACAAGACTTTCCAGAATCTCAAGGGGGGCAAGATTGCAGTCGCCAGAGACATCCTGAATATCGGGGCACCCAACTTTGACGACGACTTGACGAACATTCCCAAGATCAAGGAGAACGCCGCTCCGCGCACTCGACGCGTCGCCTTTGCGCAGGATTTGCCTGCCAATAACGTGGTGCTCCAGTCATCCGTCGCTCCCCGCGTACCTGCCACCCTCCCAAAACCTTCACCTATCACCAAGAAGGTGAAGCGTAGCAAATCGACCGCTGTTCTCGGTATAGGTGGCCTCGGCCGCAGCCGAGACTCACTGTTCCTCTCAGCCACATTTGGCAAGGCTTCCTTGACAACTTAACACCCAGCGACAACCCAGCGATACCTCAGAGACTCCCCAGAGACACCCCACCCCTCACGACACCTCCACCTCTTCCAATCAACATATTTCTACTCGAACCCATGCCATACGCCTGCATCTATACCAGTGTCTTTACCTGCACAAAACAGGTCTGTTTTTTACGTCTAATTTTTCGGATTTCCTTGTCCACAATGTACCTTCTTCCCTTGTCACCCCAACTTCTTCCTCGTCGAAATGATACACACAATGCATATAAAAACTGTTGGTTCTCTCTAATCCACATGCCCTACTTCCACTCCAACGCCTTGAGCGCCGGCACCCCGACGGGCGAGACATAGTCGCCCGCCACGCGCCGCAGCTCACGCACCGTCTCGCGCACAAAGACGCGGTACGACTCGCGGTGGATCACCCTGCGCGCGTCAATGGCCGACTCGTACCCGACCATGGCGCCGACGAGGAGGTTGACGCAGCGGTAGATGAGCGTCTTCATATCGGCCGGGGTGAAGCGCGACCCGAGGAGCGGGTCAATGTTGCCGAATATCGCGGCGAGGATCTCGGGCCGCTTATCCATGAACCCGGCGCGGTCAAACTCGGCGCCGTCGGGCGGTAAGAGCTCGCGCACACCGGCAAAGAGGGCGTGGTCTAGCGCAAAGGGAAGGCCAAACACCGCAAAGGCGTACTTGTGCTCGATCGTCAGGCGGTCCGTCACGAGCGTCTGGAACAGGAGCGCGATAAACTCTTCTTCGTGGGTGCGGAACGCGCCCGGATCGAGGAGCGCCACGTTGAGCATAAAGTGCAGGCCGACCTGGACGCGGCCGGCGTCGTTGCCCAGGCGCGACCATGACTGCTGTCCAAAGGGACCGACGTATGTGGACCATTCCTGCAGGTGGTGCTCCACAACGACAATGGCCGCGCAGTCGGACCAGCACTTGGTGAGCTTGTTGATCAACACTTGGCGGTCGGTCCGCTCGTCGCCATCGGTCACAGAGTCGAGGACGGGCGGGAGCATGTCGCTGAGGAGACGGTAGATCTTGGGGCAGATGACGTTGAGGATGATCTGTGCAAACTTTGCGTCTGCGACCTCCATGGGGTCGACGGGACGTGCCTCCGTGTCGCCACCGAGCGCGGCCAGGTCGACGGCATCAAAGTCGAATCCAAGCGAGGGGTAGTCGTCGAGACTTTCGAGGGCGGTGTTACGCGCCTGACGTGCACGTGTTGGTAGAGCGGCGGAGCGTGCGTCGAGGAATGCCTGGATGGTCGACACAATCTCGAGACCAGACTTGACGTCCTTGGCGAGGTCGAGGTCAAACACACGTGCCGTCCAGCACTCGTGCAGAAGTGCCGGGTCTGGATACACTGGCTGTGGCCTTGGCGCGTAGCCTGTGTGTAAGATGATTTGACGGAACGCGGTAACGACGAGCACCATGGTGCGCTCAATCTCGACACGGGTGGGGAAGTGGGTCGGGTTGGTGGGTCTGCCAACTGACTCAAGCTCGGTCTGGAGTGTGGCGAGTATGTCAGCCAGACGACCGACAACAGCATCCAGTGGGTGCGAGTGGTGACGGCACGCGACGGCGAGGTACATCAGTCCGCGGATGACGACCTGGCGCGACTCAAAGCCGGCCTTGTCAAACGCGAGCCACTTGAGCGAGTTGGCGAGCAGCCAGGGAAGAAGGGCGGGCGAAAAGTAGCATGCGACCACCATGGTCGAGTAGCGATTCACGAGGGCGCCGAGCTGCCGCGGTGTCGGAGGGGATGCGCGCGTAAAGGTCACTGCCGAGAGGGGGAAGATGCTCATAATGAGGCGCTGGACGTCCCGCTCCGCCTGGTGAGCTGCGGACAGCTCCTCGGCTGACCCGATAAGGTCCGACGCTGCCACAGCGGCCAGGCGGAGGTACAGTTCAAACGCACTCGCACGTTTGGTCTCCTCGGACGCTGTCAACGAAAGGTCAAACTGTGAGATGAAGGCTGGAAAGTCGGCCGGCGGCTCGGTTGGCAGGTTGCGGTGCTGGCGGTCCTTGAAGATCATACCCAGGTCGCGTGTGGCGACCGAGAAGCTGCCTCGGTCAAAGCTCCACGTCCATGTCGAGGACAGGCGCAAGCAGCGCGCGACGACGGTCTTGATGTACCGGTCTCGTCCTTGCAGTTGGTCCGAATGTGCGGCCTCCTCGGCCTCTTGAGAGTGTGTGACCTTGATAAGTGAAACGGCACGGCGCACAAGTCCCCAGCGTGGGTGAGGAGTGTACTCTGCCACAACAACACCGTCGGGGCCAAACTGCGATAGCGCGCACAGACCAAACAGGAGGAACCAAACACGTTCGGCGGCGAGCGGCCCCACCTCGTTGGGGAACCGCTGCGAGAGCGCGTCCACAATGACCTGCGCAAATGTGTCGTCGGCCGCACCGGCACTGGCACTCGCGTACTGTTTGTCGTGAGCGGCGAGGATGTACCCGAGCGCCACCCACAGGGCGACTGACTCGTCTGTGATCTCGGGCGTGTCTGCCTGGACGCGCAGGATACGCTTCAGAGGCCGGAGTGTACGGTCAAAGCCGTAGACGAGAAGCAGGCGGACCAAGGCAGTAGCCGAACGAGGCACGTCCATGGGACTGGCAAAGACAGCCATCTCCAGAAGGGTGTAGCGCACCAACATGAGCTGCTCAATGGTGGCACGGTCTTCCTTGCTGCCAGTCAGAGCAATGCCATCGAGCTTGGCACCGAATTCGACGAGGTGGGTGAACGCAGAGTGCGACTCGGGCGACGAGGCGAAGAGGTCCCGGAGGAACGCGAGCGGCGCAAAGACCTTGCCAGCGAGCTCCGGCTGGCGGCTGGGGTTGTCGATGAACGAGCGGAGCGAGGCAGACGCGCCATCGAGCACGATCGGGAGGACGGCGAGCGTTTCCTCCAGACCCATGTCGGGATGGAGATCGACGCCGTGCGCGTGTACCGGCTTGGGTTCGACGGGGCCTCCGGCCAGAACATCGAGCATGGTCGCGAGACGGCCCGAACCAACCACGGTCGTGGCAGCGCAGTACACGCCCGAGGGCAGCGGCGTAATGTCAAAATCGACCGGGAAGCGGTCGAAATTCGCCCACGAGCGGGCTTTGCCGATCCCTTCATCAAGCGCACGGCGTGGGTCACGAGCAGGACTGCTGTTCCTCGGCGAGCTCCGTGCCGGCGACGCAGACGACCGAGCGGCTTGTGCGCGTGCCCTTGGGTCGTTCTTGGACGACACACGCGCAAACGTCCGCTTGGCATGTGGTGGCTGCACCTCCTTGATAACGGTGATCTCGTCATTGTCGCTCTCAAAGGCAAAGTCGTCGGTGGCGAAGATGACCGAGTCGTCGAGACGGATCGCGGGACGGTGGGTCTTGGTACGGCCCCGGGGAGCGTCGTGTCGTACGCGGTCGCTGCGGTTCTTGCTCTTGCTGGTACGCTTGGAGCTCCTGCTCTCCGGCTTGTCCACGACGGGAAAGTCGAGACGCGCCTGGACCATACCCCTTGGCGACAATGGTGGCGCGCGTACGCGTTTCTTGAGGCCAAGGGCGGGTCGAGGTGTGCGCCGTTTGTGACTCCGTTGGCCATCACCCCGGTCGTTTCCATTGTCTCGGCCACGCTCGCGGTCACTGCGGTGACGTCCATCGGCATCTCGACCTCGCACGAGGGCCTCAAAGTCACCGCGTTGCAAGTTGGCAAGTCCGTCGTGGCGGTTATCCTCGCGTGCCTCAAAGCCCTCCGAGTCACTCGAAATGACAATGGCGCCGTCAGACGCGTCCGTGTCACCTTCCTCGGCCTCAAGCGCCAGGGGTCCGTTGTCGTTGTCACTGTTGTCCGAGGCGAACAGGTCGACCATGTCCTCGAGACCGTGGCCGGACCCTCGGCGCACTACGGCGTGTCCCGGTCGCACAGGAGATGGGGTATCCCTGTCCCGACCAGAGCGTTGACGTTGCGCCGCGGCCTTGCGGGCCTGTCTGTCCTTTTCGGCAGCAGCCAGCCGCTTGAGCATGACACCGGGAAGCATGCGGCGTGCAATCTTCTCGCGCCTGTCCGCTGGCGCGGGCGCAGACGAGTCGTGCGACTCGGAATCGGCGTCGGCGTCCGAGTCGTCCCCACTCGAGCTGGAGGGAAGGCGCCGCCGTTGTGTGGACACTGGTCCACGAGAGTCGCGTCGGCGCGGTGGAAGCGGCGTACCGTAGTCGTCTGGCCCGCCGTCGTCACCACCAAAGTCGTCAAAGATACCACCACCGAAATCATCATAGGCTGGCGCCTCGTATTCAGGCAAGGGTGGTGTCTGGTCACGGGCACTGGGCGACCGACGGCGCCGAGGAGCAAGCACCGGGCTCAGCGGAGTAGTCGACGGAGACGGTAAACGGGCGTGTGTCGGCCTGCGAGTCTCCACCTCGGGTGGTGCATCGGAGAGCTCAGAGTCGCCGGACATGTCGAGCAGTGGGCGACGGTTCTTGCCACCGTAGGTCTTGGTGCGAGGCGTCTTGCCGCCATTCGATGTCGGCGTTCGAATGGTTCGTCCGGCAGTCTGCTGGTCAGCTTCTGGGTCTTGGACTGTGACTTGGAGCTCACCTTGTTCCTTTCAAGTTGCCTCGTGCGAGCCTCGTCCCTCTTGGCTTCACGTTCTCGCTTGCTCTCCGCCTCCAATTCTCTTCTCGCCTGCCGCTCCTGGTCTCGCTTCTCCTTTTCCACTCGCTCCCTCTCTTTCCTCTGTCTCCTCTCTTCCTTGTCCTTCTCCCTCTTCTCCCTTACGGCCTGCGCCTGCTCGCCCGCCATGAGCGCCTCAAACTGGCGGCGGACCTTGTCCTCGGCGCGCAGCTGCCGTCTCATCTCCTTGGCCTTCTTGAGCCGTTCCCGGGCAATGACCTGTAGTCGCTTGGCGGCCTCGTCATCCTCCTCGACAGCCACCTCGCCAAAGCGCACAAAGTACTCGTCAAAGTCGGCGTCGACGAGTTCCTTGGGCGGACGATGCCGTGGCTCTCGGGGTGCCTCTTGAGTGGCACCAATGACGATCGCTTCAGGTGGGGTCGCGTCTTCGTCGGCCGCACTCGAGACGTCGCCGCTCTCGCTCGTGTCCGTGTCCTTGTTGGCGGTCACTTCAGCCGCTGGCGCAACGGCACGGCGGCCCTTGGTCAGACCACCTTGGCGTAGTGCGGACTGGTACTGCTGTCGCTCCCTTGTGTAGGGCTGCAGCTGGAGAGCCGTGCGGGTGCGGAACGAACGCGCAGAGCGGAACTGAAGTAGAGCAGGGTCAGCCGCTGCCGGTGGTGGCATCATGAGGTGGCGCCGGAACGAGGATGGGGGCGGAGAGGAAGGAGGGTCGGTGAGAGGGGAGCTGGAGCGAGACTGGGGCCGGTTGTGGACCCCATTGTCAGTCAAGGGCGGCACGTTGGGTGACTGAGGTGATCGTGGCGGGGTAGGAGCCAGAGGGCGAGTCCGAGATGACGGAGGAGACGGTGGGTGTGGGAGGGAAGGGTGAGAACGTGGGGGTGGCAGCGGCACTGGGGGTGGGCTAGGCGACTCTGCGCCGATGAGGTCAAGTGGGTCGGGAGGGGATGAGGGAATGCGAGGAGGTTGAGCTCGTGGAGAAGGTGAGGGTGAATGCCGGGGAATGGCGGCAGAATGTAGTCTTGATGGCGGACCAGGCGACACTCGCAGAGGGTCTGGTGACTCGCGATCGACATCTAGGTCTGGCTCCCGGTCTGGCTCCTGGTCTGGCTCCTGGACTGGCTCCCGAGTCGTATGTCGTAGAGGTGGAAGCGACTCGTCAAAGTAGTCATCATCGAGATCCATGCCAAGGTCTGGCTCGAAACCGGCAAAGACGTCAGCGTCGCCGCCACCACCACCGTCTGGTGGGTCTGGCGGCTTGTGTGCCGGCGATGACAAGCGAGCAGCGATCGGCGACTGGCGTTCCGGTGACAAGGACGGAGATGGTGGGGGGAGGGACGAGCTGTTCCGCGCCTTACTGTTGGCGACAGACAGGAGGGGAGAGGTGTGCTGCGGCGGTGACCGAACCGACAAAGGTATCACGGCTGGCTGGGACGCCAATGACACCACGACGTCCAGTGGGGCAGGGGAGGGCGAGCGCGAGAGCACACACCCACCCCGAATCACTTCTTTGCCCTTCCTTGACGGCACATAGTCGTCGACCTCAATGCCGTCGTCGAGGGACGACGACGAGGCATAGTCGTCGAAGAAGGCCTCGAATGCAGGCGGCGCGGGAACAGGCGGCAACGAGGCGTGCGGAGAAGCTGAGCGCCGAGAGATGGGGGAGTTGGCGGGACTGAGACTGGGTCTTGGACTGGGCTGCGACGGTCCTGCTTCAGACTAGAGTGGGATCAGCACCATCCCCGGGGGTGGGGGGACAGGAAGGAAGGCAAAGGGCACGTACCTCGTCGTCCTCCAGTTGCAGCTGCTCGGCGCGCTCGATGGCGCGCACAGCTCGCCACGCGTCGTATTCCTCGTCGTCGCTGGGCGGGACGCAGTCATCGCGACTGCCTTCAAGCTCTGCGAGCTCTGGGCCTCGTACAGATCTTCGGTGTCGAGTGCGGTACGGGCTTGGTGCGCGACCTGTCGGGAGTGGGGTGGACGTCGCGTCTGAGCGTGTGGACCGAACGGATTGGGCCCGGGTGTTACGGTGCGTTGCTGGCGTTCGCTGGGTGTCGGGGACGCGTCTTGTGCTGCGCACAGGTGTATTGGTGGGGGGTGAGTCCTCCCCGTTGCGCTTTACGCGCTTACGGGGGGGCATGGTGGGTTGGATACGGATAGTATCGTCAAGGACAAGACACGACGCGGTCAAAATCAATGTTCCTCGATGATGCTCTCGAAGTCGCTGGTCGACGCGTCGGAATGTTTGGTTCCGCCACCGTCGCCCAACACGCGGCGATCCACTCATGGCCACTCATCTGCTCGTCATTCCAAGATTTCATTCGGTCCAGCCATGCATATCACACAGATCATACACAGCTCGACTACTATACAACGATACACCCTTCACGCAACACAGTTATTGATAGATAGGGAGGAGACTGTTGGACACATCACACCCAGGGCCGATTGTCCATAACACGGAGAGAGGAGAAAGGGAAAGGAATCAGAGAGGTTTTGATTTGGTTGGGGGTTCGAGTACACTTTTGGCTCTTTTCAAGCAGCCTGTCTCATACGTCGTAGCTCTCAGTCCTGCGGTTAAGCATGCCAAGGTTGAGACCTGCCTTGCGGCGAATGCTGGAGGCTGGTCAGCCTTCAATTGACAATTGCGGAGAGAAAGAGACAAGAGCGTGTGGCTTACCTTGAGGCAAAGTTTTTCTGCTTGAGCTCGTTGGCTGAACCTGGAGGTCCAAATGGCTGGCGAGTAACAATGGAGACGGGAGCGCGCGAGGTATACGAGTCGGTAGAGCGCACGTTGTTGTCGTTTGTGCGGCCCTGCGAGAAGGACTGGGAGCGAGGTGCTGCAGCCAAGCGGTGGCCCCACTCAAAATAGGATGCCGGGTCCTTGTAGAGAATGTGGCCCGAGTCAGACTCGACCTGGCGGCCGCCGTTGGACTCGGCCGACCACTTGCGCTCGGAGCCAACATGGTGGGTATAGCCCGACTCGGAGGTGGGCGAGGTCGCGGGGATATCGGGGAACGACAGCACTGACGAGGCGTCGTCGTCGACCTGCCTGCGGCGAGAGAGAAGAGCTGCCAGAGGGGTAGTGCTGGGCGCTGCGGCACCACTACCGCGAACGGCCTGCTCCTGCCGGGCGCGGGCAAAACGCCCAATACCAGCGGACACGGGCGGCCCAGTCGAGGGCGCCGGCGGGGAAGGTGCTCGCGAGTCAGCACGCGAGTTGGAGCTGTTGGTGCGAGCAGGCGCTGGTGGCGTGGTCCATTGTGGCCAGTCGGGCGTCTTGGTCGTTGATGTCCATCCCACGCCAGCCGCAGAGTTGATGGGAGGCGAGATCGGAGGGAAGTAGCCCGAGGGCGCGCTCTCAAACATTGCCCGCAAGTGAGCATCGTCGGGGCTCAGAGGGCGGGCGCGAGCCTCACGTTCACGCTCGCGGCGAAGAGTACCGGCCTCGAGCTGAGCGGCGAGGGCACCACGGTGGCCCTGCGCAGTGTGTTGCTGCTGCTGCATTTGAAGGGCGAGCATTTGCTGCTGGAGGGCACGCTGGTTGACGGCGGCCTGCTGGGCACTCTGTTGGGCGTATGCACGCTCGAGGTGACCCGCAGGTGTGGTCGCAGCAAGCTGTGCGCGCTGCAGTTCCCACAATGCCATTGCCTCACGACGTTGCTGCGGGTCGTTCGAGGTGACGATCAAGTTGTACAAGGCGGCGTCACGCTGAGCCTGCAAGAGCTCCTGCTGGTCGAGTTGCTGCTGCTGCTGCTGAGCATGCTTGAGGGCCTGGAGCTGCATCATCTGCTGAGCCTCCACTCGACGCTGAACCTCTGCCGAGTTGTTGCTGCTGCTTTTGTTGTTGTGGTTGTGGTGGTGGTGGTGATTGTGGTGGTGGTGATGGTTGTGGTTGTGGTTGTGGTGTGCGTCGCGACTGTAGCCGCTGCCGCTGCCGCTGTTATAACCCAGGCCGAGCGAGGCCATCTTTGCTGCGATAAAGTCCGAGTCGTCACCGTCCTCCTCCTCGGAGAACGTGGGGCCGAGAGTGTGGTCCAGCCCTGCGTAGCGGACACCGCTGCGCGAAGGCTGTGTGGACGACAGGTGGAGCGGTGGAGGGGGAGGAGGGGCAAGCGGTGTTGCCAGAGGCGTGGCCATGGGCGTCGCAAGCGACGAAGCAAGCCTGGGAGGGACGTCCAGCGTCGGTGGGTACGAGGCTTGAGAAGCCAGCGGACCCGAAATGTGATTGCGGAAGCGTGGGGCTGTGTTGTTGAGTGCACTCATGGTATGGTATAGATGTGGTGGGGGGCGAGGACAATGAGGGCGACGATACAGGGCCACTGTGTGCCGTGGTGGGGGACGTTGGGGGTGGGGGACAAGGTGTCTTGGGGATGGAGATATGGTCCGTCAGATAGAAGCTTTGCAGTCGATCCGAAACGTCTAGTTTGGGTGCGCGACACGGTAAATAGGTGGTGACGCGCGTTGTTGGTCTAGCAACTGGCGAGAGAGCGAAAGACGTAAAATTATACTTGAACAGGGGGCGTGGTGGAGGGGGATGTCGCGTTTTTTGAGTCGTAGTGGGTATCGAGAACAGAAAGCGACGTGGGGGATGTGGTGGTGGTGGACACGAGGACGAAAGAAGAAGAATGAAAAGAGGGGGTGGGGGGGTGGGGGGCTTTGCGTTGATGAAAGACGGAAAGTGTGGCGTAGAGAGAGAACGACGAGAGCGCAAAAGCCAGAGACAGGGGCCAAACTGAAGGACGCGGAGATAGGGTACGGCGACGAACGACGGCGAGCAGAGGACGAACGGTGGTGAGGGGAGGGGAGGGGGAGATGAGGGGACGAGGATGTGGACGAGTGAGGGAGTGCCAGTATGTGTGCCGGGGGGGAGGGAGCAGAGAGCAAAGCAAACGACGAGACACTGGAGAGGAAACGCGAGCCGCCGGTGACGAGAGGCGGACGAGAGGGACCAAGACGAGGGGGAAACGAGACACACAGGCACAAGTTTCACCCATATATATTTCGCGTGCACGCGCGTGTATCCCCCCTTCACCCAGGACTCTGGCGCGGGCCGGGCCTCACTCCTGTTCTTACGTACAGACAGAAGAGCGTTCATCATCGTCTTCTTACGTCGTGTCTTCCAGCTCCCCCTCGTGTGCATTTATGCATCCCAAAGCATCCAAACCGCGCGTAACAGCTCCAAAAAACTGGGCAACGATGGCTTGGGGGCGCCTCAGTCGGGGGATACATGCCCCCTCTCCCTCCCATCAGATCCCCCCCTCTGGCCTCTGGGCGCGCTGTTCAGGTTGCTTTGGGCCTCTTGGACCGACGCAAGCTCTACGGCCATGAAAGCCTCGACCATTGCACAAACGCGCGAGCGAATAAGGCCTCCCCTGTGGCCTGTGGGGGCTGTGGCCCGTCGGTTTGAACAAGAAACGTAAGCAGGAACCCGAAAAGCCGGGGTCGTGGGGTGTGTGATCTCTCCTCCATTCCTCCCCCTGCATTGGAACACCACTTGGCCACTTGCTGCGTTTTCTAATTGTCCCGCCCTGTCCCGCAAAGCCGTAAACGCTTTACCAGAGTCCTTAACGGGCCCCTCGAGTGAAATGCATATGCAGATGTCAACGGCAATCGAGCTTATGCAACAAGTTTGAGCATAATCGCGTGCGTGGCTCGTGGCTGAGCCGCCTGAGGGCAGTTTGCTTCAACCTGTGCGCAGCAGCAGTGGCGGAGAGGCTGAGGCGGACGGGCCGCTTTTCCGTTGCGTCATTCCCAACCGACCGACTGTGGTACGGTGGCCACGAGCGGACTGAATCAACAACCGCAACAACAAGCCTTCTCAGCCTGTCTCTCTGTCTCTCTCTCTGTCTCTCTCTACACTGCCCACTGTCGTGTCCGTGCTTCACACCGTCATCCCTCCTAAATGCACCCCCGCTGGAACCCAGACAACCCCACCCCGTCCGCATCCTCACTCCCCAGCACCCCGTCCACAGTACACCAGCCGCGCACTCCCACGCCATCCACACGCCGCACCGGCGCCCATCTCACATCAACCGTCTTTGCGGCCTCACCGCCGCCTCGCGTCGGCATGGCGCTGGCCAGCCGGACAGGCAGGACATCGTCCATTCCTCCTCGCATGGCAGATGGCGCGTATGAGACCAAGCAGACGGCCTTTGAGTGGCCCGTTCGCGACGTCCGCGACCTCAAAGCACGGCTCGAGGCTGGGGACGACGACGACAACGACGACGACGCACAGCACGAGGCCCTCACGACCGAGGGAGCCTACTTTGACGATCTCGCTTACAAGCTCCACATCGGTGCGCTCTGACCCCCTTAAAGGGAGAGGGAGAGGCAGATGGAATCCTCCGTACCATGCTGATACGTTTCTTTTCCTGCCCAGAACGCACGCCCGGTCCGCTCGTTCGACCAGACCCCGAGGTCGAGCCTGTTGCCACCCAGGAACCGTCGATCGTGCTGGCCATCATCGCCCTGTGGGCCAAGTATTCAGACCTGCCACTCGACGAGACGTTTGACCGCAGCGTGTTCGTCGGCATCAAGGCCTACGAGCGCGAGGGCGAACACGTCCTGGGCGAGCCCAAGTGGCTGTGGTCTGCGTCTGAAGTCGTTGCCTTCTCCAAGCGCCAAGAGTTCTGGGACGTGACCCTGCCGCCCTTGTCGACGCTTCTCGATCTCCCAGAGGTTTCGGCCCGTGACGCCTTTTCCATCCGTGTCGTCGTGAAGCATGCCTCCCAGCCTGGTCTCCCACCCATGGTTCACGCCGACCAGCAGTACATCTCGCGCCGCGTCACCCGCCAGGCAGCGGCATTCCTCGACTCGATTCGCACCGGCGACGTTCAGTTTGTGTGCCTCGAGCATGCAGGGACTGGCACGCCTGACGAAGACGGCCCACGGAAGATGGTCCGCCGGAGGGTGGTGTACGCACATTCCGAGCTGCTCGTACACTCTGACTATTTCAAGGCAACTCTCTCTGGCGGTTTTGCAGAGGGGTCGCAGGCACCTGTGACGACGCTCTTGGTCGAGGACGCGGCATTCAACACGGTGTACTGGGTCCTGCGGTGGCTCTACACGGACGAGATCCTGTTCAGCAACGTTGACAGCGTGCGGACCGTCATGGCGCAGGTCCGTGTCGACACGGCGATCGCACGCCGCGTCCTACAGCTCGAGAGCTGGGAGTATGCGTCGTTGATCCCCGAGGAAGAGGTCGACGATGCCGACATTCGCACCGTGAGAAGCACCTCGAGCGTCGGCACTGCGGCCTCTGGCCGCCTCTCTCCCGGAGCTCGCAGTGCTGCCAGCGTTGCATCTACCTCGTCTCCGCGCCGTGGGCCCGCGCCTCCCATCCCGTCCTCGTCCTCATCTAGCACCAGCACACCCCGTCCGCCCCGCCCCAAATCGTCGTCGCCTACGAGCGCCACCCAGCCTCGCCTCTCACGTCCACCGGCAGCGGTCCCGCGTATCGCCACGACCCCGGCGTCGGGCTCCACCGCGGCGGCGGCGGGGCGCAAGATGGGTCCCCAGACGTCTCCCGTGGCTGCCGGCGGTTCTGGAGCGTCGGCACCCACCTCTCCGCCGTGTGCACGCAACTTTATCCCTCGCAGGAGCCACGCGCCGCCCCCCGATCCCCACAAGCACCCTACCAAGCCTCCGGCCCCGCCATCCCCGCTGGCCGTCTTCTTCCTCGCGCACAGGTATGGTCTCGAGGACCTGCAGGTGCTCGCGCGCGACGCCCTCCTGCGCAACCTCACCCCGGACACGTGCATCGCGGCGTTGCTCGCCACATACGCGTTTGGCGACCTGCACGCCGCCGTCATGGACTATGTTGTGAGTGGAATGTGGAAGAGAAGAGAGTGGCCTGAAAGCTCACATATCAGAGCGACCACTGGGCCGAGGTGTGTGCGTCGCCCGAGCTCGACAGGTGTTACCAGGAAGTCTCGGCGGGAGTGTGGGGCGAGCTGCACGGTGGGCAGGTCCTGCTGGGCCTCACGCGCCGTCTGACCGGCATGTCCATCTGAGGGGAGCGCGAGCGGGGCTTGGCTCGGGGGGGGCTGCGTGTATCAACAAATGTGAATCTGAGATTCCGTGTTCTTTTACTGCGCCGTCTTTTTATTTTTGGTGTTTGATTTTCTGCACGTAAACGTTGTACAGACACTGCCAATGCAGCTGTTATAGCCGTGCATTGCCACAACAAGCTAGCCGACCTCGCATTCATTCTACTACGCGGCCATCATCGCCTGCCTGTGCTTGCGCGCGTCCTGTTTCTCTATGCGCCGCATCCTTGCACGCCTATACCGCGCCACATCCATCTCCGTCGGCACGGTGGCACCGTCCACACCGCCGCCCTCGCCGAGCCATTCGCAGAGGTATGCGCGCAACACATGCTCGTCGCGCACCAGCGCCGAATGGCCGTCAATCCTGACGTTGTGGCGCGGGCCCTCGGTCTCGCCCACGTACGTGAGCGCCACGAGCATGGAGGCGCGGTCGGGCTTGACGTCCAGCGCGCGCATCCACGCAATGACCTCGCCCATGTCGTCTTCGGCAAAGTAGGTCGCAACCAGCTCGATGTACGACCGGAAGCTCTTGTAGCCTGGGATGAGGAACGCGTATTTGCCGCCGAGGGGCATGGGCCGCAGTGGCGCGCCGGCGAGCGAGGGCGGTGCGATGAGCGCCTTGAAGTCGGCAAACGCGCTGCTGCGGGTAAGCGGCGAAGGGACGTCCTTGAGCCCCGGGTAGTTTGCGAACAAGATGTCGTTGCGGAACAGCTGCCGGACCTCTTCCCAAGGAGCGGCAGCGTGCTCGCGCCACCAGTCATAATTGAGCGGGTCCTTGGCGCACGACCCGGCGTAGTTGACCCAATACTCTGCTGGCTTGTCGAGCGGCGAGTCTGGGTGCCGCTGCCTCTCCCTTCCAGGTAGATGGAAGGCCGAGGCCAGTATCTTGAGTCGCCTGCGAAGCATGTCACCGCCACCAAAGTCCCCCGTCCCCTTTGTGGTGCAAAACCGTGCCGAGTCGATCAACAGGGCAAGACTCAAATCGTTGGGCAGCACGCCCCACCGGGGCCGAGCCGCCGACCATACACGCAACGCAACGCTCACACGGCCCGTCCAAGCACACATGTGTAGGAGTTTGTTGACCACTCGCGCGTCGAGGGGGACCGAGTTGCGCACCTTGATGCCCTTCACCAGGGGAGGCATGTGAGTTGCAACGCCGCCCCTGGCAGCGTAGTACTCGACCAGCTTGAGCGTCTCCTGGAGCGCAAAGTCCCGGGTTGGACCACGTGAGCGGCGGAGAAACTGGAGTTGAGCTGCCACGGCCAGAGCTGTTGAATCCAGCATGCGGTGCCGCTCAGAAGGCAATGCCGTGCCGTGCCGTGCTTTCATATCGTACCAGACATGCCGGGCTCGGTCCAGCTCGCCGCGTTTCATTAAGCCGAACATGAGCGGGGTGAGGGTTGCGGCGCAGAGTGCGACGTCGGGCATGGCGTCTGCTGCAGCGATAAGGTCGCCGGCAGCGAGGTTCCTGTCGCGTGCAGCGCGGGTTAGGAGGATGCTCCATATGCGAGTTACCACTGCACGCATTGCCTGTGGAGACGTGTCCATGACGTTAAGCCACGCGTCGATTTCATCGGCTTCGTCCTCTGTGATGGACGGAAGCGAGGCGGCGTCCTGGAATTCAGGATCATCGTCGTCGGTGGTCGTTATCGATGCTCTTAATCTCTTGGTAGCGCGATATTTGTCAAGCCGTTCGATGAGAGGCATGAGCACCTTGATGGCTTCGGTAAGGTGCATGCTGCGCTGCGCCCCCATCATAATATGCACAGGGTGCAGGCCGGTGAGCTCGGGATACTCCTCAGCAAGATTCTTGGATGCGCGGGCGGTGTATGCGATGCCGTCCTCATGCATACCAGCTTGATACGCAACCGAAGCGGCGTGTCGCCAGTGGCGCTCTTGCAGGACCACCCCAGATCCAGGCGACGCGATATACGCCATGAGCGGCCCAAGAGTCATCGGTGTGAGGTACCTCTTGAAGACCACATCCACCAAGGATGTGGGTAAAGGCGGCACGGGCGTGTCCGAGCCGCCCTCGGCAGCGGTGCGTATCCGCTCGAGCTCACCGAGGAGATGCTCAACCACCTGGCCTACATGAGGGAGCACCGCCTCCTCTTTCCCCAGATGTGACAGCAGAATGCGGTGGTTCTCCACCATGGTTGTGGCATCGCTGTACTCCTCAAACCCGTGGAGTATCTCGGTGAGGATAGGAGGAAGGAGAATAAAACTGTTCAATCGCACAGCCGCTTTGATGAAGTGGTACTGGATCCACAGTCGCGTCGCGTCGTTGTCGATGGATTCAACGAAGGAATAGAGTGTGATTAGGGTTGATGGAGTCCCCGCAAGCCCAAAGCACTTTGCAAGCCGGGGAGGCGAGACGTTGTGGTCCTCATCCCGCCATTTCATCTGATCGAGGTCGAGCGCGGCCTGTGGGGACGGTGCTTGTTGCGAGGGCATATGGTACCAGTTGCCTGTTGGCCAAAGGGGTTGAGGGGTGGCTCTACGGTGCCGTGTGGAGCCTTCTGGTGGGTGATGGTCAAGTGGGCCGACCGAATTGGAACTTGGTATCGCAAGCTGGGCCCCGGCAGTGGGTTTTGCTGTGTCGGCTACCACCTTGCGTGGTCTTCCTCTCCGCTTTGGGGCGGGCGGCTGAGGGACTGGAGGATTGACAGCGTGGGCATCGGTTGTAGTCGCACTCGAGCTCAAAACGTCCACCTTCCGTGGCCTTCCTCTACGCTTCGGTGTGGACGGCCCAGCAACTGGAGTGCTGACGGCATCGACATGGGCCTCAGCCGCACTCGAGCTCGAAGCGGCGCGAGACATCCTCGCGAACGAGGTCGGCAGAGGTCTAGGACGTGCGCAAGTGCCGCACACCAGTGGCCTGAAGTCAGTTTGTTGTATGTACTCTCGGAAACTCACCTTGCCAGTGCCAAGACCGTCATCTGGTGCACATGCGTGAGCATTGCTCTGCACGGTGTGTTGTTGAATATCTGTAAGAGGAGAGTCTCGCAACATACATGACGACAGGGACGCCCCGGACACTTGATTTTGCCACGCGGAAAAGAATCACGTGACCGGATTCAATGTTGATACCGAGACGGACGCGTCGCGCGTTTGTGGCCTGGGATGATTGTTGTGACCTGGTGAACACTCTTTGCATCGACTCTCGCCTCCAAGCACCAAATCTTTCACCTGCGGGGCAGTCATTCCCATACACCATGCCGGCTCCATCAAATCTCCCCTCTGAGCGAGTCACAATCCGCTTTCCACCCGTAAAGGACGTGGAGGAGAGCTACCAGCTGCTCGAGCTCCCGCCCGAGGTCCTCGCTGCCGTCGAGGGTGGTGCAGTTGTCCCGTGAGTACAGGTAAGGCAGTGCAAGCCAACAGGCTCTCTGCGGTGTATCTCACCTTGTATTGACCCACCGCTAAATCCATTCCCAGACTCACGATCAAAGGCCGACCCAACGATGACGCTGTCCTCTGCACCCAGGACAAGACGTACACGCTCCGCAGCGTAGCCATCTCCAACTCGCTCCTTGTCCTGCGGCCACCCACCTCTTCGTCAGCAGGCGACGACGCCACTCCGCCAACACTACAGATTCGAGACGTGTGCCACGAGGTCCTGGAGTGCGTCCCCCGCTGCGGGCCGCGTCGAGCGCGTGCGTGCTGTCCTCAAGGAAAGCGCATGGACGGGAATCGACAAGGAGCGAGCCGGAGGCGAGGGCCGCAAGAAGCGTAAACGCGCAAAGAGGTATACCCGTGCGCAACTGGAGAGCATCATCCAGGCGAGCGAGGACGAACTTTCGGCTGCGATCAAGGAAAACAACATCGTCGAGGTGGACGGGGACATGCTGCTTCTCCCTGAGGCCGAGCTGGGCGCGCTGCTGGCCCTCGTGCTGGCCCTGATCACTGTCCATGCGAGTTCTTCACTGTCGGGAAGCAGTGTTCCCGTCTCGGTCTGTGCGGTGGCCGAGGCGCTGAGTGAGGACCACGAGGTGCCGTCTGACCTCTCGCGCGGAGTCATGGGCCTGTTTGGCACGATCGACGGCGACACATGGGACGCGGACGTGCAAGCCATGGTGCGCGAGTTGGGCCGCGGTCTCCTCGTGCAACTCGAGGTGGGTTATCACGACTGCATCTTACAGCTACTGACCCAGCAGGAACCTCACCCCGTGGACGAGTTTATGATCCGGTGGCACCAGGCCTCGACCGACGACTGGAGCCAGCACGCCGACATCACCCTCCTCAAGGGCGAGTACCTCCTCACTGACCCGCCACCATCCACATTCGCCCAGGCGGGCCCGCTGCTGTCCTACTTCCCGGCCCACTCGCTCCCAGCCCACCCGCCCACGCGCTTTGCCGACCTGTTCCTCACTCGCCCCAGGTGGCGACCAGACGACATGGCGCCGTTCCTGAGGGGTCTGTATCGCGAGGGAGACTCAAAGGCGCGCGACAAGCTCATTGCAAAGTTTGTGCGCGTGGTCAAGGAAAAGGACGGGAGCTGGTGGTACCCGCGTCGTACGGGATAGAGACAGAGAGAAATGAGTACAGTACAGCTGCATGGTGTGTGTTATGTAAACAATATTAGTATTCTACACTAGTGAAGCAATGGCGGAGCTCGTGAGGTTGTGATGACAAGGAAGGGCATTAGATAAGCGGGGGCATGCCACTGCGAGCTGGAGGACTGCCGGGGGGAGTACCTGGAGCATCGGCAGGCGGTGGCGGGCTTGCAGGTGGTGTCGGGACGTATGCAGGTGTATACTCGGCTAATTACGTTAGTCACTATGAAAGGAGACACGATGACGTACGAAGAAAGTCCTCGTCGCGCTGACGCTGTTTCCACGCCGCGCGCTCCTTTTCGATCCGCTTGTACAGGTTGTGTCCGAGCCCGTTCCCCACGACCATCTTGACCACGAGGTCCTGCTCGGACCCGGTCTCGGGCAGGTTGGGACACAGGTGGTCGTGGTCGCGCCCGAAATGGATGTTCATGTGGTTGGGCGCAAAGAGCGGGAGCTTGAACTCGATGTTGCGGATCGTGGCCTGAAGAAGAGGGGGTGTTGGTCAGCACTTGGTAGGTACCTCTCGGTGTGGCGACTCACATAAGGAATGATCACGCTCGTGAGCGTTGGGTGGTCGTCGATGGTGCCAAACAGGCCGTCGTTGGTCTCCTGTCCCGTGGGCTTGCGGGTGACGTAGATGACCTATATAGGGATGATTAGCAAGATGCATCCAATGCGGTGTGTCGCGTTACTCACGCGCTGGTCGGTGAGCCACACGGCACCCACAGACCGGTCGCTGCGCTTGGGACCTTCCATGGTGGCGGGAACGCGTAGCTCGCAGCTTGACGCGTAGCCGGGGGTGAGGAGGTGCTCGCCGCGGTGTATGGGTGCGCCGTTTGAGCCTGCTGGGACGGTGTTGGCGGACATTGTGAGTGAGAGAGGGAGAGGGAGAGGAGTGTGAGTGGAAGGGAGAGGGAAAGAGAAAGATTGCAAGAGATACTGGGGATATATGACTCGCTGTAAGTAATCTTCTCCTCGCCTAATTATGATCTCACAGCTTTGTGGCCACCGGATGGATGGATCGGCTCCACCAGTTGTGCCGGCGGCGGCGGCGGCGGCGGCGGAGGCGGGTGACACGGCCGTTGACGCGCAGGCAGGCTCGTCGCGCGCCCCGCACATTGCCCGCAGCTCGTCATCAATGACGTGTGTATTTGGGGGCAGGCTGCGGTTGTGGGTGACTTCCAGGTGCGCGTCCTCTTGGCTTGGGATCACTGCTGCTGTTGGCCTGCACCAGTCCCTGCTGTTGTTCTCTACCCCCCCACCCCACACACAACCTCTTTCTCCATTTCCTCAAGCACAACAGAGGCCTGTACACAGCCGGGTCTCTGCGGTTACTACCCGTCGTCCCTGGCACCCAACAGCGTCCCCTCCACCGTCCGGGCCTCAACCCACACCCAAACCCGACCCCCACACCCACTGAACCCAACAACAACCCTCCGCATGGTCAAGGCCGAACGCTCCCCCAGCCCGGCGAGGGCCAGAGGCGGCGCCCAGCACCCCTCCAACGGCGACACCAAGCCCACGGTCAAGGGTGAGGTCAAGGTCGACACGGCCGGTTCTGGTGCCGCTCACAACGGGCATGCCGCGCAAGCCGAGGCAGCCGGCGCCGACAAGGCAGCGGCTGGGGATTCCGCACGTCCAGAGCGTGTACAGGACGAGTGAGTACTGCCGAGACCCAGGACTGCGAGAGGTAGCAAGCGGGGTACGACGAGGATAGCGGGGCATCAGTGCCGCGTGCGCCCCTCACCATTATCACCTTCGTCACCTCTCCTCTTTGCATGCACACGAGTGCCACAAGCACCCAAAAGGGCACACAGCTGACTCGCGTAGCTGGCAAGTCGCGTATACATGGGCGTTCATTGTCAAGTTTGAGCTGCGCGACAAGATTCGCAACCTCGAATGCTTGGAAGAGTGAGTCTGCAACGCCCGCCGTGGCCGTGGCCGCGCGCGGGCACATAACGTGACCGTGGTCTGCCTGCTTCCTTGCCGACCGGCCGGCGTCTCGGCGGTTCAGGTCGTTCGGCGTCCCGGGGTTGGCCCCCGCCAGCCAACCGGCAGCGTCTCATTCCCGCGCAAAAGTGGCACTGCTGACACGAGTCTACTAGTTTTGAACGCTGCCTCATGGAGCCCGTCGCCCAGCGCCCAGACGACATCCTGGAGGGCGTGCTCGTGCGGTTTCTGCAAAACCTCAAACCGGGATTGCGCAATGTCAAGTGGGTGTCATCAACTAGATAGAGGAGTCTGGCTAACTGGGGCGCGCAGTTGCACCAACATCCAGGGCTCGCTGTCCAACTACATTTCGGACATGCTCGAGACGTCGCCCGAGTTTACAGTGTGGGACAAGCCGTGGTTGCCCAACGAGGATGCGCGCGGTAGCTGCTGCACGACCGAGGCGGACCGCCTGATGCGCGGACGGTTGCGAGAGCCCGACGAGGACCGCAAGGAGCGCGTCAGGCGCAACCCGCTGAAACAGATCGAGGCGCAGGGCGGCGGCCTGTTCGAGCTCGACTGGCACGACCGCGCCAAGCTGCTTCGCCAGCTGGTCGACTGGCAGTGTGGGTGGTCGCAGGATCTGACAAGGACGTAGCGCTGACCTCTCCCCCTCCCCGCAGTGACGCACGCCGAGTCGATTCGCGAGTTTATCAAGGAGCGCCAGCCGACAGGAAAGCGTAACGCCGAGGTGGTCGACCCGCTCAAGACTGAGCCGTTGGGTCTGGATCACAAAAAGAACCGCATTTGGAGCCTTGACGGTGAGCTTCAAGTGGATCAGGTCCTGTAGCCCGTAAGCTGACTCTGTTTTCAGCGTCCGCACGCCTGTACAAGTCTGGCAACCCCTTCAAGCGGCCCTGTCCGCTCGTCCCCATCACGTACACGCGCGCCGACGTGGTGGCCTTGCAGGAGACGTACACGACGTACGGCAACACTGTGCCGCCCAAACCGTCCGGCTCGGGCCCCAAGGGCAAAGTGTCGAAAAAGGACGAGGGGCAGTACAAAAAGCTCGTCAACGGCATCGACGCCGAGGCGCGCCTGTCGTCTGTGCTGGCCGTGCAGGTGCTGCCGGCTGCCGAAAAGGACGAGGCGCGCGTGCAGCGCGCACACAAAAAGGCCGCCGAACAGCGGTGGGCACTGGCCATGGCGTCTGAGCGTCCATCGCGTACGCGCCGGTCGACCAAGAAGATCGACTACACGTACGACGGGTTTGAGGGTGTGAGTACACGGGTACACGGGCAACGAAACGAGCGAATCAGTAGAGGTGGGCTGACGGGATTTTTTCAGGACGAGGGCGACGAGGATGACGACACGCCGCGGCGCGGAGGTAGGAGAAGGGGGGACGCGGGAGCCGTGGGTTACGATCCCAACAAGGGCCGTCCAGTGATCCCCGGCGAGAGGCGGTCGGCGCGTGTGCGCGGCGGACCGGTCGATGGAGACGACTACGCGGACGGCGAGGCTGGAGGAGGAAATCTTTCCTCTCCAGGAGCAAGTGGAGGGGGAGGGGACGGGGACGAGGACGATGCCTATGGCGACTCGACCCATGTGAATGGGGGCCGAGGTGGGGAGCCGATCGAGGTCGACTAGAGAGGGAGTGTGTAGTTTGTGTTTGTGTCCACAGCAGCATGTAGCATGCACACATTTGCGGCAACAAGCGGTCAGTAAAACGGGTCCATCATCAGGGTGAGCGTGTTTCTCAAGGGGCCAATGTCAAGTCCTGCATGCCAATACTCTCTCGGCCTTGCTGTGATTAATGTGCTGGGGGGGGGGACAAGTCAGCGTCTACTGGCACATTGACGACAAGCTGCAGCAAAAACTCACCCTCGGGGGTCTGGAGAGGGGGGAAGAACGTGGTCAGTATCCAACAGTCACAACACTAGCTTTCGGCGGCGGCGGACGCCGGTCACAGTACTAACCTTGACGACGTACTCGATCGCTGGGAAACGTCAGCAGGAGCTCAACCTCGGATACAACACGGCAAACGCACCCTGGTCAACCGAGTTGATGGCGTCGGCCTCGGCGTCGGGGATCTCAATGGCGAACTCCTCCTCGATGGCCATGACGACCTCGACGGCGTCGAGCGAGTCGAGGCCAAGGTCGGTGGTGAACGAGGCGGTGGCGGTGAGCTGTGGGAGAGGTGTTAGCATTGCGTGTTTGGGCAGGCGGAGAACGGGGAGGGGGAGGGGGAGGGAGGTGCGAGTCCGAGTCAGTCCGAGCGACTCCGACAAGCGAACGAAAGATGACGACGCCGACGTCAGTGACGGTCTGGACGACGACGAGGACGGCCTGGACAGAGGACGTATGTGGAGTCTGTCCTCGTGGTCCCTCGTATCGACGGCGCCGTCGTCTCTGTGGTTTGCATCTGTCCTTGTCCTTGTGTGATTCCTGGCTCGCTATGCGCCGTTTCCTCGAAAAGGACACACAGTGTGGGAGGAGAGCAGAGAGAGAGAGAGAGAGAGAGAGGAGAGGGTAATTCTCACCTTGCCGGCGTCGACCTTCTCAAACGACTTGAGGACGTCGAGGACGCGCGAGGTGACGTCGGCGGTGGAGAGGGCGGCGGCCGAGTAGGCGCGGGCGGCCAGGGGGGTGGTGACGGCGACGCGCTGGGTGGCGACGAAGCGGGGGGCTGCGCGGAGGGCGAGACGGAACATGGCTGTGGGTGGAGATGAGGGAATGGGATGCTTGCTTTGCTAACTGATCTATTGCCAGTTGCACACACCGTCGCAGAGCCCGCGCTCACCCACCCACGCAGCCAGTGCAGCCAGCCAGGCCAGCCAGGCGAGAGCCAGTGGGCAGCCTGCGAATCCACTCGGGCGGGCGCGCGCACCCAGGCTGTGGCCCGGCGTTATCTGCGCATTTCTCCGCAAGTGTGGCGCCCTGGTATACGCTGCAGCTGTTGAGACGGAGCCTGATCTCTCCGGCGCCCTACAGCCAGGCGGCAGGCTGCAGGCAGGGGTGGCTCTGGCGCTCTGGGCTCTGGCTCACAGTCTCGGACAAGCCAGGCAGCAAAAGTCCAACGAACCGAAGAGCATTAACCTCGTACAACCACACCACCACGACCCACCATGAAGCACGGCCTCAAGCTGCGAAAGCTCGGGCGTACATCATCCCATCGTTATGCCCTCCTCAGGTGCGTACATCGGCACTCCCCATGAGAGCTGCTCGGGCTCCCGCTACAGCGGAAAGGTGCGCTGCGAAACAAAACAGCTCACATCTACAGGAACCTCGTCTCCGCCCTCCTCCACCATGAAATGATCAAGACCACCTTGCCAAAGGCCAAGGAGGCCGCCCGCATGGCCGAAAAGGTGTGTGCTATCAGGTGTTAAACCCGCAACCATGGACCTGGCCCAGCTGACAAGGATAGATCATCACCCTCGGCAAGCGCAAGACCTCGCCGGCCGTCCGTTCGGCCCAGGCCTTCCTCATGGTGAGCACAATGGCCAAGCCGTCGAGCACAGCCTGTGGACGTCTCCTCTGACACCACCATTAGCCCCCTCACCACTACGGCGAGTCGTCGACCCCGCTCGTCCAGCCTGTCCCCAGGCCCGCTGCCGCCATCGAGGGCCGCACCTTTGACGACGTCGATGCCGAGACTTTTGTTCCCCCTACCTCCCTCCTCCCCAAGCTCTTCTCCACCCTCGCCGAGCGCTACGAGGATCGTCCCGGTGGCTACACCCGTATCCACAGGTTTGGCCGCCGTCCTGGAGACAACGCGCCCGTGGCTATTGTGACACTGGTGGACGGACCCAAGGACCTCAAGTTTGAAATGACCGCGCGTGCCGTCGCCCGTGAGACTGCCGAGTTCGACCAGGTCGACCTTGAGACTGTCGCTCTCCGCCCGAACACCAAGCGTGCGGTTGAGCAGGTTCTCAAGTACCGTTCGGAGGAGGACAAGGGCGCGTGGAACGAGAGGATTGGCGAGCACAAGGTGAGTGCTGTGTGTGGTTCCCGGAGAAACGCAAAATGGTGTGGTCTGAAGGACTACCCCTGTGCCATGCGTGCAGATCGATGGTTACCCCCCGGGAGTCAACCATGACTGGCTCTGCGCCAATTCACACTTGCGCTACTGTTCTCCGCCTCCCCTGCCTGTTTTATTTGGCCCTCTGAAAAACAACACTGACTTGCTCCCCAGGCGAACCTCATCAACGAGGGCCTGGCTCTTGGCCATCGCCGCCAAGCCCCTCCCGCCGAGTACGCGTTCAGGAGGCACGGTCCCACCGCACCCCACGTCGGTCGTCGTGTGCTCTCCGGTGAGCGCTTGTCGGGCATGGACGTCGCCCCACACCGGTCTCGGTCTCGCGCGTGGTACTCTTGGTCGCCGCTCCCCCGCGGTTGCTCCCAAGCCCCGCTTTGCCGCCGAGGAGGAGGGTGCCGACATCAACACCGTGGACAAGTAGGTTGGGGGGAAGTCGTAGACATGTATGCATTTTGACCACTGAGTAACGAGTGAGAGGGGTGTGTGCGGTAGCTGGGACGAATTGTTTGAAGCATGCCCCCACAAATCGCGAATCTGTCCTCCAAACCGCCTGATTAGATTGACATTGCACACATGCGCTGTACACCCATAATGGTGTGCATTGCCTCCGAAAGGTATATGGTGGATGAGGCTCGGAGACGGCGGCTTGAGCTGCTGCCACCCTTTTGCCAGCAAGTCCCGCCTCCTGCACCGACATGGACACCACCACCACGAACACCACCACCGCGAATCCCAAGGTACCGTAGAGCCTGTGCCTCTACAAGCCCGGCGCCATACGATCGACCTGTGGCCTGTGGCTGTTATCTAGTTGGACATGTGCGTGCGGCTGAGAAGCAGCTGCAGGCGACGACGAGAAGCAGAACCAAGAAAAGTGGCCGTGTGTTCGGTTTTGCCGGAATGTGCCACTCGGCCACAAATCGGCAGGTGATCGACTGGGAGACTCACTGCTGTGGTGTGCCTGGCGCGGCGGTCTCTCCGCTCCGTCCACCCAAGATGGGCACACAAACCATCACGACCTTCCCCCATCATCCCGTCGCCCTCTCTCTCTCTCTCTGTCTCTCTCGTCCATCTCTCCCTTTCTATATCCCTCCATACATCGCTCCCTCCTACATGATGGCGAGCAACGTACGCTGCGGAGCTGCCGCGCTCGGTCGATTGCGCGGCCAAGCCCACAGCACCCACCACCACCTTGTCAACACGTACACCACCGCCGCCTGCGCCGGCAACCTCGCCAACGGCCGCGCCGCCGCCCGACCAACAACAGCTGAACCACTGCTGCGCGTCGCCGACGCGGCACGCCGGCCTCAACGCAGGCACCTGGCAGACTTTGTGCGCGGGACGACCCCGGACGGCAGTGAGTCCGCCCACACACCCCGCTAGACGTCCCAGGGGGACACAGAACGCGTGCTGACACTGCCACCAGCGCCATACAAGGTGCCGCTCAAGAGTCCCAAGGTCGTCGGCGTGGTGTCGTCTCGTGGAGAGCGAGCGTGAGTGCCCAGGACGCCGCGCGGGTGCTCGGGTACGACCAAACCGAGCACACTGACTGCCATCGGCCAGCTCCGTGTCTTATCACAACCCAGCGCCGAGCCTTTGACTAACCGTAATCAGATACCAAGAGGACGCGACGGCAGTGTGCGCGCTCGAGCTCAACCCCGAGGAACTGGCACGCTCGTTGTCACGGGGCACGACATGGGACCCGGTCAAGGCCGGACCTCTTGCTGGCCAAGTGTCCTTTTTCGGCATCTACGACGGGCACGGGGGCAGGCAGGTGTCCCAGTTCTTGCAGCACAAGCTGGCAGCCTTGGTCGAGAGCGTGACTCCGGCAGACATCCAGCCAGTGGTGGAGAGCACGGTCGAGCTGGGCGGATACTTTCGCCGCTGGCGAGGCGGACCCCTGCGCCGGTTTACAGAGTGGACCCTCGGCGAGCGGGCTGGCGAGAACGACCTGTTGACAATCGAGGAGCGGTTGACGCTGGCGTTCTTGAAGGTGGGCACGGCTGGTTTTTGTCACTGGCGTGTGCTGACTGGTCGTCTCAGGCGGACATGGAAATCCGCACCGAGATTGAGCAGGCTGAACACTGCGGATCGACAGCCACGGTCGTCCTGGTACACTCACTCGACACGCCCGCCCAGCCCCACTGGGCTACCAAGCGGTTGCACTTGACCATGGCTCAGGTCGGGTGCGTCCAGCTATCTGTGTCCTGGTACTATGAGCTGACATCCGCCAGTGACACGCGCGCCCTCTTGTGCAACGTCAAGGACGGCGAAGTCATCGCCCTTACCGACCGCCACCACGCCGAGGCGCGTGTCGAAGCCGACCGTCTGCGCAGCATGGGTGCCGACCGATTGATCTCGGACAGCTTTGGCGAGACGCGCTGGATGGGCGCGATTGAGAACACTCGCGGCTTTGGTGATACCCAGTGGAAGGCGTCCGGTGTGACGTGCGAGCCCGAAGTCACCACGCGCGTTGTTGATGGTGGGTAGCATCGCAAAGCATACCCGCACTGACAGCGTACAGGCGACGAGAACGCATACCTCATACTGGTCACTGACGGCCTGACGTCCATGCTCTCGGACCAGGAACTGGTCGACCTGGCCCGTCGCTCTGCCGACCCAACGCGCGCGGCAAAGACCGTCATCCACTTTGGCGAGGACCTCGGCGCCCGCGATAACTGTACCTGCGTCGTCGTCCCGCTGGCTGGGTGGGGCAAGGTCACTGGTCCAGACACGACCGAGGCGAGGCGTGAGTACCGCCGCCAGCAGGCCGGTCTGTACAACACGCGCATGCAGCGGCAGTGAGCCGATACCCTACCTAGGCCGCCGCCGCCCTCCTCCTCCTGTGCGTCAACTGCTGCACATGTTCTTTACTACGCTCAAGCGCATCCATATATATCTGTATCTCCTGGCACCCACAATGCATCCACTTACCATCGTTACAAGTGTTTGCGCGCTGGTCCATCTCAGCCTCACTTTGGGTTACTGCCACTGCTGCCCGCCACTTTGCTCCCGTGACTCGAACGTCACTGTTCAACGCCACCTCGATTGCATCCAACTGTCAACCACACCACCCACCATGGACGAGGAAGAGTCGTTTGCACGCCTCCTCTCAGCGTCCACCCCGGCCCCTCGCCCAACCCTCTTCCCCTCGGGGTCTGCCGGCGCCGACCAAGACCCATGGGCCAACCCGTTCGGAGCCACCAGCGGCAGCGGCGCCGGCGGCGGTGCAGGAGGAGCGTTCGGTAACACGATGGACGACGCTTGGGGCGCCAGCACCATCCCTTCCATACCCGCCGATCCCACCCCAGCCGCTACTGCTACGTCGCCTGCAGCCGGCCAGCGCGAGCGTTCGCCTTCGCCAGCATTTGGCGGGGCCGCGGGCGATGAGCGTCCCGACCCGCCTTCAGTGATTGCTGCGCGCGAGCGCCAGGAGCTCGCGGCAGCCACCGGAGGCGGTGGTGGGTTCGGTGGCTCGTCGTCGGCTGGCTGGGGCGCCTTTGACGACCCGTATTCTAGCACCACGGCCGGATGGTCGCCCCCGCCCAAGGCGACGTTTGGGCCGCAGAGCCCGACGTCGCCGACACGCAGCAACCGGGGGGCCCACTCGCGCCAGACGTCCGGCGCGGCCAGCCAGCTCGGATCGCCGACGTCGCCCAAGACCGCCAAGGCCAGTGCTGCCGCCGCGGCCGCCGCCGGTGCGTCGCGCGCTCTGCCTGCTGGTCTCATCGATGAAGAGCTCCTCGCCGAGCATGACCCGCGTGCCAGCCTCACGCGCGCGTTTGTAAAGTCGGCTCCCGTCGCGGCACCGCCTGCCTCTGGCCCTGTCGCCCCGCAGGCGCACCCCACACCCGAGAAGAAGGTGTACGTCTTCAAGCCCAGGGCTGCTGTCCAGCACGAGATCGAAAGGGAAAAGCCGGCCGCTGTACGCTCCTCGGACCCCACTGCAGTGCCCCTCCCGGAATCGGCGGCCGTGACTCCCGCCACCTCGCGTCCTGCCACGCCCGCCGTGTCGTCGCCGCCAGCCTCTAGCACCCTTGCCCCCGAGTCGGTCGAACACCTGAGCGTGTCCCCGCTCGACACACCGGCGACCGAGACAGACTTTGGATTCCGCTCGCTTGCGATCGGCGGTTCTGGCGCGTTGGCGGCGTCGAACGGGTCGCCTGGCGCTGCCGCGACGCGCTTTGGCGGACGTGGATGGGGTGCCGTGGACGCCGAGGAGACGCCGCTCTCTGGCGATGCCGACGGCGCAGACCCGTGGAACGAGGGCGGTAGTGGAGGAGGTGGCTGGGGCGAGCCCGCAGTTGCCGCCCCGGCGCCGATGGTGGACACGGACGTGGCGACTGAAAGCGAGCAAGTCGACGACGCGCCCACGCCGTCGCCGTCGCAAATGTCCCCGAGCGCCTCGTCGTCGCGTGGCAGCCCACGCCGCTCCAAGCTTCTCTCCACGCCCCTCTTCCAGATCTCCGTCTCCGACCCGACCAAGGTCGGCGACCCCGTCCGTGGCCACGTTGTGTACACTGTGCGCACCAAGACCACATCCCCCCACTACCGCCGCGGCGAGTTTAGCGTCTTGCGCCGGTTCAGCGATTTCTTGTGGCTCTACGAGTCGCTGACGTCCAACAACCCGGGAGTCATTGTGCCCCCCGTTCCCGACAAGCACGCGTTTGGCAGGTTCCAGGACCAATTTATCGAGACTCGCCGTGTGGCCCTCCAGCGCTGCCTGACCAAGATCACCGCCCACCCCATCCTCCAACTCGACCCGGACCTGCGACTGTTCCTCGAGAGCGACACGTTTGCGCTCGACGTCAAGAACCGCCGCATGACGCCCGCAGAGGGCACGACCTCGTCGGGCTTCATGTCGTCGTGGACTGGACCCCGCTACATCGAGACGGACGAGTGGTTTGACCAGCGTAAACTCTACCTCGACCACCTGGAGGGCCAGCTCAAGGGACTGTCCAAGTCGCTCGATATCGCCAGCAAGGCGCGTCTCGACATGGCCACGTCCATGGGCGAGTTTGCAGACACGGCCGCGGTGCTGGCCGAGAGCGACCTGGGAGCAGCCATGTGTGCCGCCCTCGGCCGTCTCGCCGACCTCGCCAGGCGGGAACGCACCACGGGCGAGGACCAGGCCAAGGCCGACGTCGGGCAGCTGCTCAACCTCGCGGAAGAGTATGTCCGCTTCATCGCCAGTGTGCGGCTCGCCTTTGCGTCGCGCGTGCGCGCGTACCACGCCGCCCAGGCCGCCGACAAGGAGGTCCAGCGCCTCAGGAAGCAGCGCGAGAAGGACAGGGTGTCCGGCAAGCCGCCCGCGTCGACAATGCACGAGCTGGGAGAGGTGCGTTTTTGACCTACAACACTAGATGGCTGCATACTGACATTCTCCCCCCAGGCCGAGCGACGCGCCCGCGATGCCGGCGCCGACTTTGACGCCCAGTCCAAGCTCGTCAAGACGGAATTCGCGCGGTTTGAGCGCGAGCGCGTCGACGAGTTCCGCAAGACGCTCCTCGCGCACCTGGACGGCCAGATTGAGCGCCAGCGCTCGCTCGTCACCGCATGGGAGGAGTACCATGCCATGCTGCTCAAGATGGTGCAGCGCGCGCAGGCGCACCAGCAGGCGCAGGTGCAGGCCCAGGCCCAGGCTCAGGCTCAGGCGCAGGCGGCGTAGACTATGCTCCTCTCAGGCATCGCAGTGAGAGTGATGAGTAGGAAGGGCAGAGGCGGGTGGTGTAGAACGTAGAACATGTGGACGGGGAGAGTGGACTGGCACTGGGGACGTTGCCAGCGGCGCGCCGCGTCCCAGTGGCCAGTGGTAGGGTAGTGTTTATACAATTTTGTCAAGGAATACATTCGTCACGACTAGCCAAGAGCTTTGGCTGGCCTCACCCACCGTGCTGGCGACGGCAGGCGGTTGCCCGAGGACGTGCCGGTCTCTCCAAGCAACCTTTGTTTCCGTCGGTACTGTTACCGCGTACCGCGTGCGTCATAGTAGCCGTCATCGACCCACATATGACGAGCATTTTGAGAGCAGGAAAGGGTTAGAGGGAATGGTTTCAGCAGTCCCATCGCTCCTCACACAATGGTGAACATGCCACCGTATGGCCACATCATGCTAGCAAACCGCGCCTGACCCGTCTGTTACCGGTTTGCGGTTTGGACCGTTCTGGCCACCCTATACCCTACCAGGCCACCAGCAGCCAGCAGGTGTCGGGACGCCACATGGCGCCAGCCCGAGCGTCGAGCCAACCTGGCCAGCCAGCCGCCAGCCTGGAACAATTTCGCGCCGTGGCGTGCTCCAGGACGTGTATTGTGCACCCGGCTTTGCGTGCATACTTTGCCAAAGGCCAGAGGTACGAGGACGACGATCCGTTGCGATGTTTGGTACCCGCTCGTCAAGACCCCCACGACGTCTGCCACATTCCAAAATCCTATTCTGGCTCACAAGGACTGTATTTGTCCACCTTTGCACCTTATAGACCTAGCGCGCAAATGCGGCCCAGAATACCCCCAAAAAAGGCCGGCAAACTAAACTGTACCTGGGAGGGAAGGGGTCGTAAGGAATGCCTACTTCGCCAACGTGCCCCCGCGCTTTCGCTTGCTTCCCCCCTTCGCTTGCCAGCTTACAGTTTATGTCTCGATCAAAAATAAGGAGCACCTCAATCAATCATGTGGCATGTGGGAAGGAAGAACGGATCTGGGACCTGTGTTTCGTTTCCGCTGGGCCGCTGATCCCGCGTCACTCTCTCGTTTACGGGGCCCTTTTGGCTCTGCCCTCTTTGGAAGCGCAACCGGCTTTGCAGGCCCACAGGCGGCGGTCACAAGCGTCTGTACACTGCCTCGTTTCAAACCACAATGCATTTGCCTACTGCGTGAAAAGATGGGTATCGTCGGAGGGTCGCGTGGGGTGTGGGTGGGTGTGGGATTTTTGGACAAGGGTGGGTATCCCGCAAAACAACGTCGTCGTAAAAGAGCATTACTGTACGCAGCGAGCACGCCCTAGTTTCATGAGCCGCTCGGTCATGTGTGGGTGAGGGGCACGTGGGCGGTTCGGCGCGTAGGCCTGGGTGGGGGTGAGTGCGGTGCGGTGCGGTGCGGTGCGGTGGGTCGATGGCATGGCCTCGGGCAAGCGTGTACGGTGTGGTGTGTGAGAATGTCGGGTGGGGCGACAGGGCGCGGCGCGGACAGGTAACAACAGTTGAGCGTAGGCGGAGGCGTGTGATGGGCTGGGTCGGAAAGGGAGATGTGAAGCGATCTAAGGAGGCTGGGAAGAGGAGCGATGGCAGCGGACTGTTTTGGTTTACTCCTGCTTGAAGCCCTCGGTCTCCTCAAGCTCAACGAGGCCGGCGTCACCGAGCAGGTTGGCGATCCAGCGAGCGACCTCGCCTTCCTCGACGCCGCCGTCCGTGTCGACGACCTCTCCCACAGGCTTGCCGCTCACGACGCGAGCCTTGTGGATCAGGCTCTTGCCGTTGTTGGACGTCGTGGACAGTGTCAGGTGCACGAGGTACGTGGGGCCGTGGGGCTGCGGGGACGAAGGAGGGGGCCCAAGAATGGACGAAGACGAGGAAGGGGAGAGGGTCGGGGAGGACATGGGGGAGGCGGTCGAGATGGGCGAGCTGGGGCGCGAGTCGGGCCCGACACTCAGGACGGGCTCGGGAGGAGGGAGGAGCGACGTCGAGGTGTGGATCTGGATGAGGTCTGTCTCGATCTGGGAGGGCGGTGTCAGAAAGGCGCTTTATACACCACAAGTGATACAACTCACGCGGTTGACGATGCGCCTGCGACGACCACGAAACACCTCACCGCGCTCGACCCAGCGCTTCCATGCCCAGAGCGCGCCCTGGAAGAGACCATACGACACGACCGCAATCCAGAGGTATGGCTTTGACTCTTCAAACGACATCTTGTAGCAGTAGAGCATGGCGCCCAGCGAGATGACAACGCTCGCATATCCCAGTCCGAGGTGCACGGTCGGGTGTAGACGTGATGGCGTGAACGCCTGGTCGACGAGGTGCTGGAAGGGTCAGCATGGCGGCTCTCGATGTCACTTGTCACCACCTTCTCGCGGGCAGACGAGCAGAACGGAGGCGGTATGGTGGCGGAAAAGACCAGCGTTACCGACACCATACCCGGGCCCGGGCCTAATTTACACACACACCTTCTTCACAATGTCATCCAGCGAGCTTTTGATCTCGGCGAGGTGTGCCTTGTTGACGCGAACGCATGGTAGGGGGTCTGTCGCGAGCGATCCCGACCGGACTGCAGCGGCAGCGCTGTTGCTTCGTGCGCTGGTGGCCTGCGATGTTGATGTGCCGGTCACCGCAGACGACGTGTCGATTGAGGCTGGCGCCTCGCGACTTGTTGCTGCTGCCTTGCGTGGAGGCATGCTGCTGGCGTTGAGGAAAGGGGTGGTGGGTTCCAGCTGGGCTGGGGTCGACGTGCTGCCGACTTGACTTTCTGTCCGATGTGAGCGGGGGTGAGGGGAATATGGGCGATGTGGGGGGGGACGAGGCTGTTGTTGAGAGGGAGAGCGAGACGGTGTGAGCTGGGGAGATGGACAGACGAGGAAGAAGCACCAGAGCTAAGACTGTGTCTAATGACCATTCCTGGCTTTGACTGCTGCCAGCTGCCAGCTGCCAGGCTGTCACGCACGCGGGGCGTTGTCTCACAGTCACACCGTAACACGCACGCACTAACGATACAATGACGTGTGTCAAACTACGGCATACGCTGGAACGGGTAATCTGCGGGAGTATTGTTATCATCCCTCAAGTGGTCCCTTGACGCACGCACACGGGCGGAGAGGGGGAGACACCACTCTGTGCGATCCACAAGCGTGACGACACTCGTCTCAACAGTCCCCTCAACCACCAACCATCATGAATGCCCTTGGGTTCAACGTGAGTACCGCCCGCTTCCTTCCATGGCACGCAAGATATTCTCGCATACAGATACCTGGTACGCATGGCCTGGGATACACCCATGCTATGCCGCCTCGTAAAGCTCGCTGTGCCGAGCCTGTGACGTCGCCTCCACCCTTCCCCGTCCCCCGGCCCCCCCTCCCCCAACTGACCTCGTCTAGGTGAACAACGGCTACCTGGAGGGTGTTGTCCGCGGATACAAGGGCGCGCTGCTCACCGCCAACAACTACCACAACCTCACCCAGTGTGAGAACCTCGAGGGTGAGTATGCACGTAGAGCTAGTGGCGGCCCGCTGGACCGCAACGCAACGTGTCTCAGTTACGACAGGACAGATAGTTGCCGGGAATGTCACCCTGGGCCGTTATGGACTGCTTGGAAGGCTTGGAAACGCTTGGGATGACGCTGACGTGCAGACTTTCGCCTCCAGCTCTCGAGCACCGACTATGGCAACTTCCTCGCCAACGAGCCGCTGCCTCTGAGCACTGCTACAATCGCCGATAAGGTGCGTTCGTTGCCCAGATTTGGCGCGCAGAATTGGCCTTTGCAAGGGTGCGACCGGCCTCCATGGTGTGGCGATCGTGGCCGGTCACCAGGTGGGCATGGTGTTATGACCTGCATATAGCTTGCGGTTCCATCTGCAAGGCTATGTCTCCTCGGCACATTGATGCCTGGGTGCACCCACGTGCCAAGGAGTGACCTTGCCCTATACATTGGGCTTCTTACCAGCGTTGCCTGCGTTGCCTCACCTGCTGACCTATCCTCCAGGCCACTGCCAAGCTTGTTGACGAGTTCCACTACATCCGCACCAACGCGGTCGAGCCCCTTGCGACGTTCATGGACTACATTACCTACGCGTACATGATCGACAATGTGATCCTCCTCACCCTCGGCACCCTGCACGAGCGCGACACGCACGAGTTGCTGGAGCGATGCCACCCTCTGGGTGTGTTTGACACTATGCCTGCCCTCTGTGTCGCCACCAACGTCGAGGAGCTGTACCACTCGGTCCTTGTCGAGACCCCCCTCGCCCCTTATTTCCGTGACTGCCTTTCTGCGCAGGACCTGGACGACCTCAACATTGAGATTATCCGTAACGCCCTGTACAAGGCGTACCTCGAGGACTTTTACAAGTTCTGCCAGACTCTCCCAGCGCCTACTGGTGAGGTCATGAGCCGCATCCTGGCGTTTGAGGCCGACCGTCGTACCATCAACATTACGATCAACTCGTTTGGCACCGAGCTCACCAAGGAGCAGCGTGCCCGCCTCTTCCCGACCGTGGGCCACCTGTACCCTGCTGGTAACAATGCTCTCGCGCGTGCCGACGACATTGAGCAGGTTGTCGCTGCGGTCGACCACTTGAGCGAGTACCGCACCTTCTTTGAGAAGGCCGGCACTGCCAACACTGCCTCTGGCGGTGACGATGCGGACGCGGGGTCGTCGCTCGAGGACGAGTTCTTCAAGTACGATGTGGAGCTCAACAAGCAGAGCTTCCTGCAGCAGTTCCAGTATGGTGTGTTCTACTCGCACATCAAGCTCAAGGAGCAAGAGGTCCGTAACTTGACCTGGATTGCCGAGTGCATTGCCCAGGACGCGCGTGACCGTATTGGAGACTATATCCCTATTTTCTAAGTCAGCCAGCACGGCACACCCAAAGGCTATTTTAGAAAGTGATTCAAACGTAGAGAGACCATTTTTGTAATGCATTAGTCAATGGCTTCAAATGCCCTTCAAATGCCCCACAGGGGTGCCACGGATTGAAACCCCGGTACCCCCGACAGGAGCCCATGCCGTGCCAGGCGCGCGCCCGCCGGCAGAGCCAGGAGCGCAGGAGCAACGCGCGCGCGTTTGAATATGCCCCCCCCGCCGTTCTCCCTGACACCGAGCGCTCAACCCATGTAAATTGCTTCCGTGTGTCCACCGCCTGTGCCACGCAGCACTCCCAGCCCGCACCTCGCCAGCGCATCCCTCTTGCACCTCTACAACCCCTTCTCCCCTTCCCCCCATCTCCACATCCTCCCCCCCTCCTCCTCTCAGCTAGTCACCATGGGTCTCTCCGTCTCTCGCCTCCTCTCCGGCCTCTTCGGCAAGAAGGAGATGCGTGAGTATACCATGTCCTGCCGTCCCAAGGAAAAAGGATCAGCACGCGCGCGCGCGCGGCCCCCGCGCAACAGAGAACCGCCCAGAAACGCATGAAAGCGAAGCGGCGCGTGCCGCGTCTTTACCTTGGGCGACATGGACCTTGCACCAGCCTCCTCCTCCCCTCCAGTAGCTCACACAACCAGGCATCCTTATGGTCGGTCTCGACGCCGCCGGTAAGACCACCATCCTCTACAAGCTCAAGCTCGGCGAGATTGTCACCACCATCCCCACCATCGGTAAGCCGGACCCCTCTCCCCCCCTCTTTCTCTCCCCTCCACAGAATGCAAGACCAGTGAGCGCCAGGCCGCTTGCCTGCGATCTCCCTCGGCCCCCGCTTGTGCCAAGGCCGCGCGCACACGATCACTACTTGGCAGTGGATGCCAGTTCGCAGAGGAGTGTTCTGGTGGCGCGTCGTGGGCCTCCAAACCCGGCGTGGTGCTGGCGAGGTGTCCCGACAATGGCGCTTGCCACGTCGCCGATAACGCGCACAATAGCGGTGTACCAGACGTTGTCGTCGCCACGTCGCTACGCCACCCACAGAGGCGTGCCGCAGACGCGGCCCCGTGGCCCCGTCCAAAACGAGCGCCGCTAGTGCATATCTGGAGCGTGCGCGTTTGCCGGATCGCAGTCGCGACTCCGGGCTGGCCGCGAAATGCGCGGCACGCCTCTTGCCTCCGAACTTGAACAATCCGGTTACGGCCGGCTCTCCCCTCTGCGACCATCCACCAAACATTCAACTAACACTCCCCAGGCTTCAACGTCGAGACTGTCGAGTACAAGAACATTTCGTTCACCGTCTGGGACGTCGGAGGTCAGGACAAGATCCGTCCCCTCTGGAGGCACTGTGCGTATACAAGCTCGGACCCAGGCCGTTTTCGCCTTGTATCGCCAAACTAACGCGACGCAGACTTCCAGAACACCCAGGGTATCATCTTCGTCGTTGACTCGAACGACAGGGAGCGTATCACTGAGGCCCGCGAGGAGCGTGAGTACCACTTTTTTGCCACCTCAGCCCGTCCAGAGATCTGGGCAAGGGCGGGTCGTGTGACGCCAGTTCGACCGCGCGGCGGAATGTGGAGCTGACATCTTATCCAGTCCAGCGCATGTTGAGTGAGGACGAGCTCCGCGACGCTCTCCTGCTCGTGTTCGCCAACAAGCAGGTGAGTAGAATAACAATGACATGCCCCACGCTTGCACCATACTGACACCCTGCGTAGGACCTGCCCAACGCTATGAACGCCGCCGACATTACCGACAAGCTCGGCCTCCACTCGCTCCGCCAGCGCCAGTGGTACATCCAGGCCGCCTGCGCCACCTCGGGTGACGGCCTTTACGAGGGTCTCGAATGGCTCTCGACCAACCTTAAGAAGCGCGGCCAGTAGATACCCGGCTGCAACGCGTCCCCGTCGTAGGCGACGATGACTCCCGCCATTTCCCCTCTCCTCGGCTTGACCCATGCCACATCTCCCACCGTCTCTTCACTCTACCGGCCCTCTTCGAAATGAAACTAGTATTCCTTTCCGTGTGCGTCGCGGTGTGCGAGGCCTGTAGAGTGATATGCCCGTGACGTTTTCTCTTTTTTCTGCGTAGTCCGACCTTGTTTTTGTTTTTCCCACAGTCCAAACCCGACGCGTCGCGCGGTGGCTTGCTTTGCTTTTGCTTTGTTCACAAACGACTCACTGGGCGAAACTGTTGCACTTACCATTGGAAATTGACGGGGTGCAGTATCACAGCCGCCCCGCGGCGAGCGACCTGCCTGCTGCACTCAGTCCATACGTGTGTGCTTGTCCGCCGGTCGGGCCCCCAGACGTGGTGATGCGTTGGAGTCGCCTGTGTCCATGACGACATGACATGCGGAGCCACGCAGGTGATATCCCGGCGAACCTATCTACCAAAATGGCAAGCTGTCTTGATCCCCGCATCGTGTGTGCGCGTGGGCGGCCGTGCCAGTGGACAATCCCAGTTACATGAAGTAGTGGCCACCAACGCCCGCCCATATGCCAGCCACAGCCAGTTGCTGACCAGTCCACTTGGCCACTTGGGCCGCTGGTCGCTGGGCCGTTGGTCCATGGCGCGACTGTGGCCTCCGCGGCCGGACATTAGTAAAGGACCAGCTGGGGGAATTAGGAAACCCCCTTGACGAGATATCAGGACGAGGCTAATGGGCACTCGTCCAATTGGATGGACGTCCACGATGAGATGGAGATTAGGACGTTAGCACTGGTCTGGACGCTTTGAGAAGCAGTGGCGGGACTGGATACGCATCTGAACATGGGGATGAGCATGATGAACATAGAAATGGACATGTGTCCATGGTACATCACTTTTGTTCGCCCTTGTCCATTTTGTCGTCCCCGACCGACCCGAAATGCCCACACCGCGCCACGGCGCCACGGCCCAGCAAGGCCAGCGTGATCCGCTCGAGAAACACATAGGGGAAATGTCCCGTCCCACCCCACCCAAATGGGGTGGGACATTTGTCCCACCGTGTCCCATCTTGGCCCATAGTGTGTTTCTCACGCCGGGGAGAAACGCATAGGGTGTCCCACGTCCACATTTTATTCACGTCAACCGCACCAAATTGAAGACCAAATGTCCATCCTGACCATCGTCTCCAACACGTAGTGTGTTTCTCGTGTCGCGGGTTTTGGACAACCCCGTGGGAGAGCTCTCGAGAAACACATAGCGACCAAATGTCCACCTCGACTCCACCCAAATGTTGCGAGGACATGTCCACCTGTCCTCCATAGTGTGTTTCTCGTGTTTTGGTGGGGAATCTCGCGGGAGAGCTCTCGATAAACGCATAACGACCAAAATGTCCCCTCGACTCCACCCAAATGTTGCGAGGACATGTCCACCTGTCCTCCATAGTGTGTTTCTCCTGTCGCCGGTTTGGAGGGCAACCCCGTGGGAGAGCTCACGAGAAACACATAGCGACCAAAATGTCCACCTCGACTCCACCCAAATGGACCGAGGACAATGTCCACCTGTTGGTGTGTTTCTCAGGATGCCGGACGAACACCCGCCACGTGACACCGTGGCGATTGGAGCAGAGCTCTAGGGAGCTCAGGCTATCTGGTTGTCTAGAGGGCGGGGCTGGTAGCTGGATATATGTGTTCCACAAGAGTGCGGTAGAGGCAACGCATTTGGGTTGTCGGAGAAGGCAGACCGGATCATAGATCGTTAGGTGGGGACAAATGCCACCGTGGGATCAGGCAACATCATTAAGGATGCTTGGTGGAAGGATTCGAGACGAAGTGGTCGACAGACGCGGACTCGCCAGGCCTCCAGAGGATGAGGAAGCACAGGAGCTGGAAGGTAAGCATCTGAGATCAATGTCGATACCCACCACGAGGGACTGGGATTGAAAGCGGCAATGAGACAGCTTGTGGTGTCGAAAACGACAGACCAAAAATGAATCAAATGGGAGAGGAGGGGGAAGAATCCATGTGTAGTGTTGGACGCGACACTAAGATACGGAACGCGACGAACGACACGACGGAAGAGGAGAATAGAGATGCCGGGCGTCAGCATGACGCGTCTTTGGACCGTCCTTGTCTTGGTCCATACATATCACACCGGTGTGCCGAGTGAGTACGTGACTCGTCTGGACCCGGGGCCGCGGCTGTCACTTGAGCGCGTCGCCTGGCAAAATGGCGTCGCAACATCACTCTACGATCTTCAGTTGCTCTTGGTTGCTCCCGTGGTGTCAGTCAACGGTGGTCGTCCTCTGGCGGCTGGGACTAACAACGGCCCAATCCAGACATTGTTCGGTGACGCCAGGGTATGACTGTGGAATGTTTTGTCACAGGGGGTCACAGGGTGCGGCAAGTTGAGTCACGCCTCCACGACAGTCACTGAATCCCGCCAACAATGGCCGTTCATCGTCATTGATCTTTCTGGGGACACTCTCAGACCGTACCATCTACAAAACTGTGCTGATTTATAAGCTTGGTAAGCCTGGCATGGCATCCTTTTTGGAAGTCGATGCGATGGGGCCCAGGAGTCGAGAAATATAGGCACTTTCGCCGCCTACTCTCAAATCCTTCATGGACCCAGGTATTATTTCATTAATTGTAAAATAAATCATTTCGGTTTCTTGACCCCCGGATGTATGCAACGTGCATCCCCCCCTGGGCATCTTAGGCATCGAACCCATTTAACCCGTTTGACGTCGTTCACAACCCCCGTCGCCATGTTCACCGCAGCGAAACCTTGCGCTCCCAGCCCAACGTCCGCCTACGTCCATCTTCCTTCTCTCCCTCCCGACGAGGCAAATGACCAAATCGGCCAGTTGCCTCCTCCGCTCCACCCACATTCCGTGGCGCCATACCCCTCTCTCACCCTCCAAGTAACTCCCTATCATTGGAGTGGTCTACCTGTAGACGCCTGTGGGTGCAGCAACCCGGAAGTGCAACACCGCCCCGCGCCCGTCTCAGACGGTAAATACCGTGGTGGGCTCTACAGTTTCCATCCATAACCCCATCCCCAGCACATCAATAGTCCTCCTCCGGGCGTCCCACCCTCTCTCCTCTCGGTAAAATGCGCCCCGCAGATTACAGCGGACCTCTGGACATGAGCGATCAAGACGCGAGGCCGCCAGCGTGGCAGCCAACCGAGCCGCGAGTGCAAAACACCGCCGGGCTCAAACCACAGGGTTCCTTCACCAGTAGGCGCGCGGGTACCGAAATGCAGGTCGAGATCGGGGAGGCAGTCCATCTGCGGAAGAGTCAGGAGGTGGCAATAAAGGTAGAGCCCAGAGTGGGTCCAGAAGGGGATCATCATCATCCCCTACCACCTCGCAGTCTTCCGTAAGTGCTTTCACACTCCCTCGTCGTCGGGGCGACCCGAGCCCTGGTGGCAGCGCAGGATCGGTCTCTGGATCTGGATCTGGGGTTTCCCCCACGGCGCCAAAGAACAGGCCCTCTCAATTGCCTTGGAACTTTGGTCTAGCTCGCCATCTTCAACGAGATGCATGGGGGCTAGAGCAAGCACCCCGGCAGGGTTCGTCCGATACTGCTGGCGCTAGGCGCCGGTCGCCGGACGGTGGAACGTCTCGTACCACTGCAAGCACGTAACAGCCCCCACCATCACCTCCTCCTCCCCTCCCCTCCACCTCCCCTCTCCTCCTCCTCCTCCTCCCCCTCTTACGTCCGGTGAGATCCACTTTTCGCTCGCCTGGATGCGCATCTGTTTCGTAGTCTTGCGGTTTAACCCCCCCTCCCCTCCCAACCCGTAGTCTACGCGGCTGTCTCGTTCCCTTGAATGGCGCGTTGTTTCTTGGATACCTGGAACCAACTCGTGGACCCAAAGAAAACACAAAATTGTTCGCCGTGACAAACCTGTTGGCCTTTGACTGATGCCCAGTTTGGCACGTTCCGCTTCAAACCCGCGCCACTGCCACATCAAGCCTCTGGAGCAACCCCGTCTCTCCCTCCTCAACCAATATACATACACCTCAATCCCTGTACTTACCAACCTCTCAACTATACTTGTAGTCATGCATTTCATGCTCTCCATGCACGCACATGTCTTTGGCCGTCCGGTTTACTTGTGTTTGTCGGGAAAATAGTCGTAAATGGACAGCAATTGGCAAACGGTGCACGCCAATAAAGTGCCACCAGTGAATTACACTTACGTAAAGCGAATTATCCGCGCTGCCGCCCGGCTTTCGTCGTCGTTCTCTGTTCTTTTCAGCGGCGACTCGGCAACATACATTACTCCTCCAACCACATACACCATGTCCCGCGCAGGCCAGATCGCCCTCATCACCGCCGGCACCGTCGCCACCGGTATCCTCGGCTATGTCGTCTACTTTGACTACATGCGCCGCAACTCGTCCGAGTTCCGCAAGGGCCTGAGTGAGTATGCTTTGCAACAACTCTGGACAGATGTCATGGGAGACCTTCGGCAGGCTTCGGCTTGGCCAGGCTCGGGCTGTCTCGTCTCCACTATGCTGGCAATGGCGAGAAAGACTTTCATCTTGGAGTTGGCTGGGCTTGTATTGCCTGCAATGTGTGCTAACAGCCCTAGGGAAGCAGCAGAAGAAGATCAAGCAGGCCGCTGAGGCTGAGGCCAAGGAGCAGGCCGTCCGTGACCAGCGTGTACGTCCACCGGCGCGAACAACGCGAACAGCTTGAGCTGACAAACAGGCCCTTACCATGGCTCTCGTTGAGCTCGAGCTCGAGCAGCCCCCTGCCACCCCCGAGGCTATGGAGGCCTACTTCCAGGAGCACGTCGCTACCGCTGAGGCTCTCGCCGCCCAGGGTGAGTTGTGCAACAGTGGAGGACGTTGCCGGTCCCATCAGGAGCTGAGGTGGCTACCTGTCACTGCAGCCCTGTTGATGGGTCCCATATTGGGCTTCTTGATGTTGAGGGTTGTCTCAGTTTCATATTGAGACCCCTTCCACATTCCAGAGGTGGCAATGTCGTCCTTCCTTACCCCACTAGCGACTTTTACTGATCTGCCAGGCCCCTCCGAGTACGTCAACTCGGCTACCCACTTCTACCGCGCTCTCCGCGTGTACCCCCAGCCCGTCGAGCTCCTCATGAGTGAGTAATTGAGCCAGCGTTTCCGGTTTATAAACAAAGCTCGTCTAACTCTCCACAGTCTACCAGAAGGTCTGCCCCGAGCCCGTCTTCCAGCTTGTCCTCAAGCTCACTCAGCTCACCGCCGCTACCGGTGCCGGTGCCGCTGCTGTTCCCGCCGCTGCCAGCGTCGCCGACATCGACGACGCTGCCCCCACCGTTGCTGAGGAGAAGGAGGCCGAGGAGGAGGCTGAGGCCGTCGCCGAGGCTATCGTTGAGGCCGTCGAGGCTGCTGAGGAGGCTGCTGAGGAGGCCGCGGAGGAGGCTGAGGAGGCTGCCGAGGAGGTCGCTTCGGAGGGCCCCGCCAGCCAGACCTCGAGCGGCGCCGACTGGGAGCGCGTCTCCGAGGAGCACACCGCCTAAGGTGCTCGTGCTCCAGGTCTGCCCCGGATTGCAGAGCCGACCTCAGGCTGGTAGTATGGCCTGAGGACTGAATCTGGTGCGGCGGACCTATGTCTTTCTTGTTCATTGGGATACTGCGCTGCGCAAGGCAGTGGTTATTCTCGACGAGCTGGAGAGGAGGGAGGGAGAGTAGAAAGAGAGACAGAGAGAAGGCGCCACGCCACCTATACGTAGGTGGTGAGGAAACGAGCACTGCCTGCATGCTCAAAAGCGCTAGACGTAGCACCATACAACCCACTGCTCATGTATCGCTTTGCGCACTGAACTGGTCATCGATTTGGAGAAGCGTTTTGCATGTCTGGGAAGAACGGAGCAGAATCGTGAAAAGGGTCCGATGCGAGAAGATGACGGTAGTCGCGTGGCTCGTTTGTTGTGGTTGACGCGTCTCCCTCCTTTTGCCGCCCTGGCCGCCCTTTTCTTCTTCTCTTCGTCGGTCGTCAACAACAACCATCTATCCTTCTCGTATCACCTATTCATCTTTGTCCCCACATCGTACAGAACCCATCGGCAACACTCCATCTCTCACCCCCACCCCGCTCACGCTCATGCTGCGCACACCGCGTCGCTCCACGGACGCGCACGCGCACGCGACGGCTTCGCCAGCGACGGCGCCCCCTCCTGGCCTTGTCGTCTCCAAGCTCGGCGTCCAGGCCACTGCTTCAGCCGGGACAGCTCGCGGCCTCCTGTGTCTAAAAGTACGTCTATGCCAACCCTTGAAGCCCCGATGTTGACCTGCACAGATTACGTTGCCGAAAGGGGATGGCACCGAACAACGTTGGCCATTGTTTAGTGGTATGTTGATCGCCGATGATTCACAGCTGACATGGCAGGCTCTGCGCCCAAGCTACGCTCTATCCCGGCCCTCTACCCACTTCCAGCAAGCGCTCTACGCGGTGCCAACCTCGCGACCGCCGCAGTGCTCCTCTCACTCCCTGCGGCAGGGTCTTACCCGCCGCCGCCAGCTGATCCGGCCGCCCAGCGCCCGTTTATCGATGTTTCCGCGACGACAGGGCAAGTGTACATTGTTATCGAGCCCAGTCCGGCGCGTAGGGGACGGAGGGAGAGTATCGGTGCTCCCGGCACACCTGGTACGCCAACAGCTGCTGCCGCGAGGGAGCGGACGGAGTGGCTCGTCAACATCGAGTTTGAGGTCGAGGTGGAGGCGTCGGTGGGGCCTGATGAGCTGTTCAAGGTGCGTGGGACGCGGTGGGGGCGAAGTGGGACTTGCGAATGTATGCTAATGTCTGCAGGCTGTCGTCCCCGTTCCCAGGTGTCTCGACAATGTCGTGCGGTTCCACATTTTACCAGAAGACGAGGAAAACAGCGACGTGTCTATTGCCACCGAACCCAAAGTTCTCCCCTTACCGTCTTCCCACTTTGCTGGCAATCGCCGCGACCCTGGTCCATCATCACCTTCTCGTCGCCTCCGCCTCGAGGATGATTGGGAGGACGGCGAAGTTCCCGGCGCCGAAGGGTCGTCATCGGATGAAGACGACGACGGAAGCTGGCTTGAGGGAAGGTTCCAAAGGTGAGGTTCCTTGCGATAAACACATCGCTGACAATCAGCACGGATACACTTACACTCGAGTGGGGCTTTGTCCCATCTGTTGGCGCGCCACCAGACCTTCGCCTTACGCCGAGATGGGACAATGTCCGTCCCAGCATTGGCGTCACCTTTGATGCTACGCTGCAGAAGCGTCCCGGCCCTCTGAGTCTGGAGGCTTTGCTACCTGACGGCTGGGGATGGAGCGAGCTCGAGATTCGTGGCGACGGCTTGATATCGTGGCGGTCGACGGACGAGAGTCTCATGTCTCGCCGAGCTCCTACCGAGGACGACTCTGTCGCGACAACTGTCGCCGCAGACGTCTTTGGCTCGCCTCGTCGCATCAACGGCCTCGCCACTCTTGACTCTGCGGACGACTTTTCATTCGAGCTGTCGTCGTTTGCCGACGGCGGTGCCAGAGCAAAGCCCTCACACCCCAACACGCCATCCCGACGTCGATCTCTCACCGCTGAGCGTGCAACAGCTGCCTTGCACAAGGTCTCCCCACGAGTGCCTGTCCCTGCAGCACTGTTTGAGCTCGAATTTGAGCCCACCGACGACGACGAAGACGACGATGATGACGACGAGGAGAACCGCGTCCTCCTGTTGGAAGGAACACTGGTTCCCCTTCCTCTGACGCTGATCGGCCCCGATGCACCAGTCGCGATCCCGTTTATTCGTTTCGACGACTCGTCTCTCCCGACCCAGTCCGCCATTGTCTGCCCAAATGCGTCTTTCCAAGAATCACCGTCTCCCGCGACTCCTGCCTCACCTACACTGTGCAGCACCTCTTCCATCTTTGTTGGTACTTTCACCTGGGTCGACAATGAAGGCAACCTAGTACCACCTCGTCCCACCGTTCCCGTGACAGGACCTATCCGGCTTGCTGTGCAGCGCAACATTTGGGGTGTTCAAACCATCTCAACTGCGTTCGACTGGCCACCGCGCGCAGCAGAGGTTGCACTCGTGCTTCCAGTATCAACTGTGCGCGTAGTCCAGGCGACGTGCCGGGGAAATCCTTGGCAAGGACGGTTCTGCCACGAGACGGCTCTGCCGAGGTCCGCGTCGCAGGTGGCCGCGGAGGCGTGGAACTGGTCCTTGAAGTGGCAGACGAGAAGGGTGTGGCCCTACCCGTCTTTCCTGGAAGCACAGGCGACTTGCAAGTGGAGCTGGCGGGAAGTGGCTGGGACAGTGAGTGTAGAATATCGGAGTGGAGTACTGACATTACCAGAACTTCTCGCCGAGACACCCGAGACTTCGCTCAAGCGCGTCTCCGACCGTGGTTTCACTGGCGACTTGAGCTCTCCCGCCAGTATCACGTTTGCCCCGTCCAAGCCGCGCGAGACTGAGAAGCTCAGCCGCAAACTTGTGTCATGGTCAACGATCATCAACCTCTTGCTCCTCTGGGTCCTTGTGTCGCTTGGACAGCAGGTGCAGCGTCTTCGCGCGGAAGTGGCGTTCATCGTGGACGAGACCAACGACATCCGCACTTATGGTTACGTTCTGGACGACCTTATCCGTGAACACAAGTCCCACTGGGAGGAGACCGAGGTGCCAGTCCCAGTCACCCCGCCACAACCACCTGTACAAAAGCCTATACCGCCGCCGGTGCCGGTGCCAGTGCAGCCGCACGTCACCGACTCGCCACCAGTCCATGACGTGCCGCCTCCTCGACGTGAGCCGCCGCCAGTGCGAATCCCCACAGCCCCTGCGGTGCCACGTCCCAATGCACCTGTCTCCAACTCGCTTCCTAAGGGCGAGGTTGTGCAGGTACACCCGCCAAACGGGTTGGGGCGCGTCGTCTTTGGCCAAGGCGGCTGGGCCGCGTGGGCCAACCATCCATCGTGAGTACATGTGTCAACCCAGTGCCTTGCTGACGTCAGTGTCCGGACTGTAGTGTCGACATTGTCATATCTGTGGAGGACCGTCGTGTGGATTCTTGTACCGCAGTAATGAAATCCGGGGTGCTGGAGCGGATGGAGGTGTGGTGATACATTTGCGGGGAGGGAGGGTGATGACATCGGATACCGTCGTGTGCCTGACGTCACTCGGTTCTGGATGGATCTCTTCTTCCGCAATGGACTACCTGGGTCACCTGTTCATGCGTGGTTGCATTGCACACTCTCACGTTCAACAGCTGCAGACGCTAATATTGCCACTGTGCATCACACACCAACTCACTCACTCTTCCACTGCTAACCATGGCGATTGAGGAAGCTATTCAAGCCGTCTTGGCGACGACGACCATCATTGTCGACCCCCCTGGTGGTACCCACCCCCACCACGCCCCCTACCCCCAGCCCACGGTCGTTCCAGGTCCTGTAAGTCTCTGCGCTTCCAGTGGTATCAACTGGAGAGGCCCCACACGTCTTCCACACGACCTGTGTCCGAGCATGTGCAGTTTTGGCTGACGACGTACCCAGACCCACACGGCCTACCACTTCCAGCATGGTACTCAACTGTCCGCTGTTTTCGTTTGGATCTTCTTCGGCGTCTTCACCGGAGGACTCGTTGGCACCGCGTTCCTCACAACTCGTGTAGAGCGCCGCCTGCGTGTCTTCCACGTGTGAGTATGCGTCTCTGTCTGACCGGTGGAGCGGGAGGACTGGGAGCTTCGCCGCCAGTTGCCTACTGTGTGACGGTTCAAGTCTAGCCCGCTCGGCATTGATGTTCTGGATGTCAGAACATGAATGTCAGGCATTCAAGTAATGTGCTGCGCACAGCCTGTTCTCTGTGTCCTTATGGGATGTGCTAACGGTCCAGTCTCTCCGGTGTCGCCCTGGCCATCACGTCCATGTCGTATCTCATGCTCGCGACTGGCCTCGGGATGACTCACTGTCCGCCTGGCAGTCGCCATGGCCACCACGGCCACCATGGCCACCATGGCCACGACCATGATCACCACAAGCCCAAGCATCCCATTGAGACTGTCTCCACCATCGCCAAGGCCGCCGTTCCTGTCGTCGTCCATGTTGTGCGGCAGCGCCTCTGGATGCGCGAGGTAGCGCACATTTTTACTCTCCCGATCGTCATCCTCCAACTCGTCATCCTCTCGGGCATGCCACTGATCGCTGGCCTCTGGGCGGCTTTCTGCGGCAGCATGTCCTGTGTATGTGCATTCATGGGCTTGCACTTTAGTGCGCAGCGCAAACTCCACGTTCGGGCAGAGTTTGTTGCTTGGGCCATCGTCGCGCTCACCTGGGGCGGGATCATGTTTGCCTACCTCTTCATATCGGGTGTTCGCGCCAGCAAACTCCGTCCCCGCAAGACTCAGGGCAGGTACTATATGCTCACTGCGCTGATCTTCATGTGAGTACCAAAATGGTCAGCGGGCTTCAAGAGGAGGTTCCCGTTTGCATCCAAAATCGGTGGTCTTGTGGCCCAAAAAGTGACCGATCAATCTGATCACCATTCGGCTCTATCCCGGGGACCAGTTGTTCGTTGCTCGCGTCATGATGCTGACTGCTTCAGCGGGTACCTCCTCTTCACCGTATTCTACATTATTGGATCAGGACTCGGTATTCTCTCCGTCAACGCGGAGAACATTGCCCTTGGAATAACCGATGTGTGAGTTGAGGACCGTTCCATCCTTGTTATCCCATGTGGCAAACAAACACCAGGATTCCATGAGGGCATGCTTTGCACAGGGGGGTCAGCGGCCTAAGTCATTCCCGAAACATCGTGGCCCCCCTCAAAATATATCCTGTAATTGGGGTGGGCGAACGCATCGCTTGTCTGTGCTATCGCCTGGCCCGTAATCACTTCGCTGCGAAAAGTCGATCTTGTTCGGTTCGAGATCGCTGACAATACAACACAGTTCCACTCAGCTCGGATTTGTATTCTTCCTCCTCCTCACGCACGTTCACGATTCCGAGGACGACACGTACACCTTCCCCGCCTGGTTGGCCGAGCCCCGCGGAGACGGCCGTGGCGAATATGCGCCAGTGGCTACCGGCGCAGAGGCCAGCTAATCTCCATTGCCGGAGACCAAGCTTTCTCTGTACCATCTACCACAATTTCCACCCCCCATCCAAGAACCCCAGCCCCGTAAGAGCACGACCCAACGTTGCCCTGCGACATAGTGTTTGCCCTGTTGTCGATTAGTAACGATAGGCGACGCAAAAGTCAGAAGAAGAAAATTACCAAAACTGTGTGAAGAGACAGTGAACCCTTCCTGTAGTGAGATGAACGAGTAGTAAACCCCAGCAGCGGACACCTGTGGTCTCTTTCAAAACAAATGCCATAGTTCACACACTAACCGCCCATCTAGAAGTGTCCCCTGACGCCGGGTACACGACCTTTGTGTCGGACGCGGTCGTCTCGGCCGTGTCCCGACAGTCATGTTTCTTGCAATACCTTTTTGCGGCGTTCCTTACTATCGGGTTCATAGTCGGCTGTGTCGGAGCCACGACATGGTCACGCGTGCTCACAGTCCACGCGCTCTAGGCCTTGGCCTTGTCTTTGCTCGGTGCTGGGCGCCAGGTCTTGCAGTGGGTGCCAGAACTGAGCCGGCGGCCAGTGTCCCATTCTGTGATCTGGACGCAGTCAGTGCTTGGCGAACCTCTGGAAGAAAGTTCGAGCAAAGTTCGAGCAGCTCGGGCTTCCAAGAACCAGGTACATGTTTTTCCACTGTCCCGACACTCACATCACACCTCAAGTTGGCCAGGGTCGGGCTGAGGCGCTCCATGGTGACCAGGATACGAATCTTGGTGCCCACTGGCGCTGCGTTGAAGAAACTCGTGTCCAGAGTCAGGCTCACGCCGCCGGTCATTGGTGGCCCCCAGAACTCTGGGGTGTGCAGTGCCACAATCGCGGCCGAGGTGCAGCTAGGCGGGGAAAGTCAGTGATCGAGATGGTGATGACATCGTGGGTACGAGACGCAGGTGCGCCGACCGCCAGGTAGTTATGAGACAACGAGGAGTGCCACTCACGTATCCACAACCCAGGCGACAGCTGCGCCGTGCATGGCTCCCATTGGGTTGCCCCACTCTGTAATGGTCAGCACAAGCTGTCTAGAAGATACACCAGAGTCCCAGACACACGGCCCGCGTCGTCCATCACAGACGAGCGCTGCCTAAACGGGGCAAGACCACCACGACCCCGAGTCATGAGCCCTAAGTGCCACGCTGACGAGGCCCCACTCCACGTGGTGATGATGATCGACATGAGCGGGTGGAGTGACTTGGCCAAGGTCCCTTCGCTTCCAGATCGTCATCGAAATGGAGTGGACGTGCCACTGTCCTGGAAGCGCCGTCTCCACACGGGAAAGGAGAAACAACCTCCTCGGTTGCGGTCCTAGCGGTGCCGTTGACGTCCTTTCACCGCGTGACGTTTTCCGTCTTTACCGCGTCCGTCGCTCCGTCATCGCTCGTTGCGCACCGCGCGCTGCGCATCGTGCGTCGTCCATCGCGCAACGCGTGCTGCCCCGCCTTTGCCCACACCACATGCACCCCAACCAACCCCGACGTCATGACTCACCAGGCTGCACCACGCCCTCGTACACTGCCCGCCAGCCTTCTGCGTTCCTGCCACCGCGGAGGTTGAGCGGAGGGATGGGGTCAGTCGCATACGGGGCAATGTTGAGCGCGAGGCCGGCGCCGAATGGCGCGTGTTGGACCAAGCGCTTGAAATTCTCAATGTCGTCCCTTGTAGACGGGGTCATGGTGGCCATGGTGAGTGACTGTGTAGGCGTGAAGATGCGAAAGATGGACAAGGACAAGAGGATGGTCGATAGATATGAGTGGAATGAAATCGAGTGCGCTGGGGTCGGATTCGAACTTTGGCTGCGGTTATGACGTTGCCGGGTATCGGCTCTCGGCCCAAGCCGTGGCGGCGGGGTCTCGGCGTGGGCGTTTGGCGCGTTTGGGTGGCAACAACGCAACACAACATCCACAGAGCGTGTTGTTATGGTCCGCCTGGCCGCCTGCATGTTTTTTTTTGGCGGCCACTCCCAACTTCCCAAAGAAACAAAAGGGTAACATTTAGTCAAGATGGTATGGTGTAAGGTATCTCTCGTCGTTACTGCCTAAAAACAAAGTACTATATTATTGGGAACCGTGGTCTGATACAGTTGAAAGCAACCACTGAAAAAACCCATCCTCCTCCTCTCCTACTCAGCTGGCTCCTCCAGTCTGCGCCAGTCACCGTTCGTATCCTTCCCCGTCCAGCGGGGCACATTTCGGAGTGGGGGTCGTTCGTCGTCTGTGACCTTCTTTGGGATGGAGGCCACATGCAGCCCTTGCGCCAACTGCTGTTGCCGTTGCCGTTGCCGTTGCCTTGGGTTGTGTTGGTGTCGCACAACCAGTAATATTTGGCCCGGGTGGTGCGACAGCTCGGATTCCGTCATCCCCCCCCCCCCCCTCGTCCGCTCCCCTCATCCTTCATCTTTCCCCTAGCGTCCCCTGTTCCTTTCCCCCAGCCGCGTCATAATTAAAGTCTTCGCCCCCTGCTTGCATTCATGTCGAACGCGGCTGGTGGCAAAGACGGTCCAGGACGCACGCGAGTTACTCGTTGTTCCCGACAACGAGGCCCAGTGAACTGTCAACAGAGGGGAGTGGCGCCATGTTGAGGCGAGAGCGCAAGTCGTTGATCTCGCGCCTGGACGCCTGCAGCTGAGCCTCGAGCTGCATGATACGGGCATCGCCTTCCTTCTTGGTGGCCTCGAGCTGGCTGACATAGTCTGTGATTGTCAGTCCTTGGACCAGATGCTCATATAGGGCTGTAACCCACCCTTGCGCTTGGCGCGGAACCTGCGGGCTCCAATACGGTTGCGGACTTGCTTCTTGTCACGGGGGTTGAGGGCCTTGTACTGGTCTTGAGGCATGCCCCAGGGCTGCTCCTCGTCGTCCTTGTTCTCATCAGCCCAGCTGTCTCCCGAGCCCGAGTTTGTGCGCCTCTTCTTCATGTGGTGGCCTGGGAGGTCGACCTTGGAATGGGGCGGGGGCACAGAAGGAGGGTACGAGGACGCCGATGTGGACGCGGACGAGTGAGGAGGGTACGCCACGTGCGTTGATGGCGACAGCGGCGAGAGGGGGTTCATGCCTGGGGATGCCGAAGGGTATCCGCTGGGGATACGAGGGGAGTAACCGTGTGGCTGCCCCGAACGCCCGGCGGGGAGGGCGGACATTGTCGCGGGCGACGACTGGAGCGGGTAGTGGTACGCGCCGATGGGTTGCGACACGCCGCCCATGTGCCCGCTGTAAGGCATACCGGGGGCCATGTGCATCGAGGTTGAAGGGTTTCCGCCAGCAGGTCCTCCACCACTTGAACCCATGCCGACGGCGCTGGACGACGAGCCATGGTAGCTCGAGCCAGGGTACGAGCCGGACACGGGAGGAAGAGTGACTGGCGGTGGCGGGGGGAGGAAGGTACCCTGGTTCATCGGCCTGCGATGGGGTGGGGTATCGTCCGTGCGGTCTTGGTGAGGAGACACAGGTGGCGGACGGTCACCACCGTAGTAGTTGTTGTAGAGCCCCTGTGGGAGTGTCAGTACTTTGCACAACGACACAACAGCAAGTTGGTGGTGGTGGGAGTCTCGGCGGTGACTCGCAAAAGCGGCGACGGACACATGCCGCGCTCCGCGCGGGCCCCTCTCCCGTCCCCATGGGGAACGGCAGGTGGGGGTGGCGTCGGCGGCGGTGGCGTGAGTGACTTACCCAGTTTGGCTCCATGGAGATGGGGGTGATGATGTGGGTAGACACGGTGGGCAAATGGACGGCCTATCGACTGAGCCGCAAGCCACAAGGTGACGGTTTCTCTAAAGCAGTGTGTCGTGTGAAGGGCCGGGGGAGAGAGGAGGGGGGGCCGTTGAGGGTCGTGGCAAGCAGCGTTTCACGTAAAATAAGTGGTGGGTGTGCGTGCTGTGTGCAGAGTGTCAGCCAGTTGTTGCGGTCGTCCACTCGATGGGAGGTTTGTCGGAGGGATGTTTGTGGTGCATTGGGTGGGGCCGAAAAGTGAAAGTGCACAGAGGGGGCTCGCAGAAAAATGCCATGACGGACCCATCCGTCCAAGCGGCGAACACCCTTCTACTGGCCGTCCGCTCAACACGGGTGGGGGGTTGAGCCGCACGTCCTCGGCAAGGGGAAGTGGAGGGCAAAGAGAGATGGGGGGAGATACGAGGGCGTCGGGGCATCGAGGACATGACTGCGCGCCCTACTGCTCGCAGAACAGATGGACTCACCTAACGAGATAGCCGCAACAAGAGGGCGTCGTCCACACAAAAAAGGGTGAATACCAGGACGTGGGTGCACTGCAAAGTGGTGTCAATAGATGGGCGCTAGCTTTTTGAAACGCTATCACAGACACCCACAACGTTCAGTGTCGCCAACCTATCGAGCGGTGTACAACGTTGCTGGGCGTCGGCGAATGTATATGTGAGAGGTCGTGGACAAGCGTTCGTGTGGTGTTGAGCGTGGAAGAGAAAGAGGCGAGGATCTCACTTGGGCTTGCTGCTTTGAGGGACTTGAGAAGTACTCGGTGGCTCACGAGTTGGCCGGGTGACGCAAGGAGCAGGTTCCACAGTCACGGGCAAAGGAGCTAGATATTGATAGGTATATCACGTCTGCTTGTGCCCTGCCGCGGAGAAAGGAGATGACAACGGGGAGGAGGAGAGGGAGACAAGGGGCAGCTCCGACCCGGGCGAGGGAGGGGGACGAGGACGGGGTGGGGTAGGGGATCACTTTCTAGTACTGTATTGTCTGTTGCCGTCGGACAGCCGGCAAGCGCAAAGGAGACAGGAACCTGGAGAAGGAGACTGTTGTACAGGTGTCGGATCGAAAGCGTCTCGTCTTGCGCGCTGCGACGAGGCGGAGAGATGACCTGTGCTCTTTGGGATTTGCACCTGCAGGCCGGCTTCTGGGGCTCTGGTGGTGTGGGGTGAGAGTCTGAGTTGAGCGGTTGAGGAGATGGGTCGATGGGTTTGAATGCAAAAGACGGCCTGTCTGGGCTCTGGCCACACTCTCTTTCTGCACGTCCTCTTGCGGTCAGCAGCTGTCGTCGCTCGACAACGGCCAGGGCCAGGGGCAGGCCGCGTTACGGGAGGGGAACGGAAAACGAGCGACCTGGACGGAGGACCAGACCTCTGCGAGGAGCACGAGTCCGCGCAACTAGACAAGGTGCGGCAGGAGGGGGACGACCCAGAAGGGGGACTGCAAGGGGATCGAGCCCGTGGGACAGAGAGAGAGAGAGAGAATGGGACTCTCCTTCTCTCTTTGCGGGGACACTGCACAAGGGCAAAGAGCACGGCAACTCACTTTTCCCTAGGAACGAGGGCGGGAGAGAGCGGGATGGAGTGAAGGCAAGTTGAGAGGCGGTCGTGGGTAGGGGTGTTGTGCGCGGCCGGGGTGGGGGGAGGTGAGATTTGGTTGTGGATCACAGGGCCAGGCAGTGCGCACGATGTACCCAGCGGGAACACAGTCTGCCAGAACAGGTGGCAAGGCGGGTGGTGGAGGGGGGGAAGTGGGTGGATGGTGGTGGGGGGATTGGGGTGGAGTGGAAAAGGGACGAAAGCAGGCAGCGGTTCGGGGAATCCCAGATATGGAAATGTACGGCAGCGAGTTGCGGCCTTGCGGGGGGTGTGGTGTGCACGCGATGAGGGGTCGGCAGAACGCACCCAAAGTCAAAAGGGGGGATATGGACAGAAGAACGGGCGTGTTACGTTAGGCAAAGGCCAATCTTATACATTGTCCACCCAGAATGGGGGTTGGGACGTCAGGACCAGGACAGGAGAGAGACACAGGACACGAACAGGAAAAGCGAACGACAGAACTGTGGCGCGGCTGGCTCTCATGGCCTCTGGCGCGCTCTGGCTGTGTCTTGGCTCCTCGTGTGGCTTTTCGTCCATCCCAGATCCAGCGAGCACTTTCTGCTATACAAATAGCGTGTTTGTCTTACAGCCAGCAACAGCCGCATTTGCTCACTCTGTGTGTAGTCTCTACGCATGCGGCTAATGTTGTTGCCTGGTCGCCGCCTGTTTTCCTGTTTTGCTTTCAGCAGATAGGGGCCAAACAAGAACGGATAGGCGAAGAACGAGAGGTGACACAACCTCCGAGACACAGCTCCTGGCGTTGGGTTTGCCTGCAATTGCCTGGCATCCCCCTTCCTGACATCCTCCCACGCGCGTGGTGGGCTGTCCAGCGTCGGGCCCTCGGATCTCCACCCAGATGCCAGGGGCCGACCGCTGCTGCCAGACCGTCAAAGGTGGAGTAAATGTCGGTCAGTGTGGTGCGCACAGGTGGGCCATTGTCGCATCTGCTGGGCCCAGCCAAACATTGAGACCCAGCTTTCCCAACCGCTCTGCCATTCGCCGCAGCCGCTGCCCTGTTGGCCCGGCATGAGGTCGAGCAACCCAACAGGCACAGCACAGCTGCAGCTGTCCCATTTTTGCCTGCGGCAACCACAAAGGACCCGCAAGACGCTTGGAACAGGTGCCCACGCGGGGAGAGTTGGTTAAGCATGGCCCCGAAAGGTGAGAGTCCTGAGCGCGGCAGAGGACGAAATGCCACTTTTTTTACCTACCCAAAAGAACGTGCACCGCAGCCCCCCCCCCCCCCCCTTTCAATGCTCTCCTGCCGCCGTCTTTACCGCGGGGCGGCGTAGGCGGGACCGTGGCGCTTTCCCTACGCGTGATCGACGGCTGTTCTAGAGACAGGCGCAGAACCCACCGTCCCCGTTCCCCCCTCCCCCTCCTCTCCCCATGTGGCCCGCCGCGCAGCAGGTCACATCTCTCTGCACCGCATCGTGTCGGGCGGAATGTGATGGCCTCCGTCACACCACATCCAGCTGCAAAGCTGCCAAGGGTGTTGATCCGACGGAAAAGAGCCGGCAAGCGGCGGGCAAGCAGGTGCAGGTGCAGTTGCCTGTGGCCAGCTGACCGGCCGAACCCAAAAACGGACAAACTGGTAAAGGCAGAATCGGGCTTGACGGGCTTGACGGGCAGAGGACGCGAGGAATAGGTAGGAATGCGTCTTTGGCGCTGCCTTAGTCTCAAACTAGCAACAAGCCCACTTTGGCATGCTGCCTCTCCACGGCAGGCTACGGAAGACGCCCGCAAAACCCAGGACTCTGCAAGCGCGCAGAGTGGGCCTCTGGTTGGCCCCATAGCCTGGGAACAGTCTTGTGGGATCTGGGCTCCCTTGACGCGCACGGTGGGGCGTGTCACAACTTGCACCCCACCCACACCCCCGCCCGGGTCTTCCACCGGCTCTCTCTCTCTCCATGTCTCCTCTCTCTCCCAGGCTGGCAACGCATATCACCCGCGAGGACAAGGTTGTGACCCTAAGGCAGGCCCGGGAGATCGGCCCTGGGCAGGCATCTGGCGTCTTATCCGCCAGGCCCCCCCACAAGGTCCGCACCAGGAACAGTCTGAGGAACCTTGCTCCGCTGGGTGGGCTTTCGGGCTTGATCCGGGGGGGGAGAGGGGCCCTGTGCCCCGTTTGCCAGTCCTTTGGCTGTCGTCCTTCTGGGCCTTCTGATGACGCAAGACTGACAGCACGCGTCCTCAGGCTGCCAGAGACGGACAGAGGGGCCAAAAAGGCCGTAAGGTCCAGGCCACGCTGCCTGTCGCTGCACGCACTGCAGGACTGTCTCCTCTCTGGGTGGTGCCCATGCGTGTCCTGCGTACTGTACCATGCGTGCCAGGGCGGAGCCTTCCAGGGCGAGTGTTGTTTCCACTCTCTCGGGAAACTTGTGCGCGGCGGCGGAGGCAACGTGTTCATTGAGCGCTTGGCTTGACAAGGGATGAGGCTGAGACTCCAACAGCCCCATTGGTCTGTCTTTTCTTTTGCAGCAGAGTGCACTGGGCGAATAAAAAGGGTCAATAGCCTCATGAAACTAGAGTGACCAGAGTGCATCCGACCACATTGAATGAGTGCATCCGACCACATTGAATGGCCATACCACTGGAGACGTAATCCGCCACACGTAAAAGACGTAAGCCACCACCACTCAACACCGTGCCACACACACACACCGCCGATCCAGACGCGTTACACGGTCGTTCTGGCCGTCAATTGGCATTCCGCAGCACATGACATGCATCACATCAGCTCCACCTCACCACAGCTTTGCCAGATGCAGCACGTCAATGGACTGCCTTTCTCAGAGCAAACACCTCCTCACCTCCTCCCGCCACACATGCATTTCCGAATAGTGTGGTAGCTGGTATCGCCAACTCTTTTGGCTATTGCAGTTCTGGCATACGATATGACGCATTGGAGGGCATCCCATGACTTGTCGGGTTGGGTCGAGGCACGTCACGGAGATAAGGGCAACCGAATACCCACCAAAGAAACAGGACAACGCGACGCTAGGTAGTGCAAGGCAGCGAGCACACCACCGCGCCACCGCACAGCCAGCGGCTAGCGGGGCAGGACAGCACAGGACAACCCGGCACGTAAGGAAAATCCAAAGTAAGGTAAGGTAACGAGAGGTGGGGATTGCGTCAGCTGATCGGATCGTCATCGGCTCCAACAATTGTGTTCCGCCCGGCAAAGGCGGCGCTTGGCCTTGGTTGCAGTGGCGCCTCTCCCCCGCCCCCGTGATCCCTCTGCGAGGTCACAGGTCGCATCGGACCGAGTGTTGACCGAGACCTGTACACACATGCCGAGAAAGGGCTGCTGGCAAACCACAGGTGCAAACGGTGCAGAAAAGGTGGCAAACGGGCATTTGCTCGCGCAGTATTTGGAGCAGACAGGGAGAGAGAGTATGCGGACGGGATGTGCCTGAGTCATGACTGTTGACCGGCTGCTCAACTCGGCACCTGTAGTCCTTTGTACCCTTGTCCTGTCCGCAATAACCGCGGCAAACGTAGAAGAGCCAGGGGGATCGACGTTGTTCGGTACACAGGTTGCGATCGCCCGCAGCTGTACCCCATACCATGTCGGGTCGTCCCTTCCGCAACAACAATGGAAGACTGAAAGTTCAAGGCAGGGAGGCATGGGGAGTCGCAGCCGTGAAGGGCGATCTGGGGGGTCCGGGATGCACGGAGAGTTGAGCGTCTCTCCGTCGGACGCTTGGCACTGGCCAGGCTATGTAAACTAGCGCAGAATGTGAAGCTTGTGTATGTAGGAACATGAAAAAGGTGGCACACAACAAAATGCCACTCTTGTGCCACGTCCCACCACTCCTCCTAGTATCTCGTCGCAGACGCTGCCACCCGGGAACATACTGTACCCCTCTTTTTCTGGTCGAGAGGCACGATATCTCCAGGTATGACGGGAGCTCGCTCAATGAGGACAATGAAAGCAGCCACGGGACGGCCACAATGTGGGACAGAAACAACAGCGGGTCTGGCGTCGTACTGTCTGCCACGCAATGTTCTGCCCATCTTTTGGGGGGTCGTCCACGTCGTCGTCGTCGTCGCTGACGACTCTGGCATGGTGTATAGCCTTGGACCTGGCCTGTAACAACCAACTGGTGTGACCAGACGACGATCCCGTCTGGGGCCACTGGAACTGGAACGCAGGAGGTCGATGGGGATGGGTATCTGTTTCAAGTCGGAGGCATATTCAAGAGCAATAACATGGGAAACCATCGGAACGTCGCTCCAGGCATTGGGAAACGGCAATCAGGTTCCAGCCCTTGTTCGACATTTTTACAACCTCCCCGTCTTCTCGATTCTGTCGGGACATCGCCTCCTGCCGTCTCGGATGTCTTGCACGTCCATCAGCTCATGCATACGGTTTCCTGCCATTTCGCGACGTTTACCCCGGGCGTTCCATCCACTCTACACCGCTTGGCTCATCGTTGGAGTCGTGTTGCGTGACGTTTCGGTTCATGGCACCATGGGGTCCATGGAACATGTCATGTCTGGTCTAGGATCAACGATCCGAGGTTTTGTCAGAATCGCGGAACTGGCAAGCCACAAAACTATAAGCGTTGCGCTCAAGGAAACGCGGAGACGCTTTTCGGTATGGGGTCGTCCCGCTCTCTAGAAACAGACTAAGTTCGACCTGCTTGCACTCGGCTCACATCGAATGGCCGGCCGTTCTTTGCGATCGAGCCAGGGTTCCCTGGAAATGAGGTCAGAGCCTCAACGGACGTCCCAGAGTGGCCAGTGGACGGGAACGTGCTGCGTCCACATCCGTCCGATTCCCCATGGTTCCGCCAGACCTGTGGCAAGGGAATGCCGCAGCCCCCGAGACACATGGCGTCAAGCCGCTGTCTGCACAAAGGGCAAAAGGAAGAGGAGTGTCAGTGTGTTTCTGCCTCTTGAGGACGTGCCAGCAGAAGTGGAAGAGTATGGCACGGCCCCAACGGACCGGCCCCACCTCACTTTCCCGCGTGCTGTGTATTGTTTCTGGTCCGAACGAGCCAAGCGAACCGAGCAGAACTGTTTTCCGATGGGGTGGCCTTCTTGCCCACTCCGCTGGCAGGGTGTCTCTTTTGTTCTTTGTTCAAGGCCTGAGGGCATTGCCCAACGTTTCCAGCTTTCCCGCGCTGTTTCCCATGCACATTCTGGCCCCATTCTCAGCTGACAGGGCATGTGGCGTGTGTACAGCATCGTACAACCCGCACCTTGCGAGGTGTCACAAACTGGGGCGTGGTGTTGGTTACATGGCGACCAAAAACCGTTCCAAGATCTCATGGACAGAGACCGGTGTGTGGGCTGGGTGGCCGACCTGGCGACCTGGGAAGCGAAGCAATGTTGTGCACCCACACACATCACAATGATGACTGATGATCGAAGCATGTACGTTATGCGTCGATCCAGCCGGGCATGCCACGGCCAGGGCCAGGACCACACCCGCTGGGAGGACGACGACAGTACGACAGGCCACCTTTCAAACGTCAAACACGCGCTGAAACATGGGGCCCCTGATGCTTCACCGAAACGCATAAACTGAAACACGTCGTGTTCCGTCCTTTCCGAGTTTTCGGTTTACAATCCAAGTATAATGATGATATCATTTTGTAATGCCAAAAACTTTTTTTTGTTCCATCCAGGATACACGCTACAAACAGTACAGTCAGTGCGCCAGTGCTGTGCCGTACGACACATGACACTGTCCATCCATTCGGCTTGCTTGGAACGTGGAAACCCGGCCTGCCGTTTGACGTTCCCCGTTTACGGTGCTCTAGCAGCAGCAGCCTGCTTGCTCTCATGCACACTCTTGGCAAGCTGTGGACCGTCAGTTGGCTGTTGCTCGGACAAAGGTGGCTGTGGGGCTGTCGGCGTTGCGGCGCCCATGTGTCTCATGCGTGGCCCCATCGTCCCAACAACGGCCCGAACGGGGCTGAAAGTGAACATGTCTGAAAGACAGGCCAGCCCGATCGTGGCTGGCCATGGCTGGCGCCAGGTCGCGCGCCATGCGCTCCAGGTGTGGACGGACACAGGGGTGGACGGTGAGAACCTGGCTGGCCTGGCTCACACCAGATCTCGTGTGCAACCTGACCGGAACAGGTGGCGGCGTCCCGTGGGGTGGGGTCTGCGCCACAGCGAGGTATCCTACAATCGTTACTCACCTCGAACAGCTGCGCCTCCTCTCCACTCTGGCGACACAGGTCACGGAAACTGCCGTTTTCGTCTTGAAGGAGATCCCATGGTGTGCCAAACTCGATGACCTTGCCGTGATCAAGAACAAGAATTCTAGTCGCGCATGGTCAGCCTCAATCCTGCTTTGCTTCCGAGACATGTCCCGCGTATGTTAAGGCCGACCGACACAGGACACGAGGCAGACGCCCCGACAGAGAGGTTGCAAAGGGCGTTTTCAGCATCATGCTTGCTGACATGCACGACCGTAGCCAGGCCCTGTGGCGCTGCTGTTGTCGCTGCCGACACCATGATTGGGTCGAGAAGCGGAAGCGTTGTTGCTTACGGGATTTTACGGTAGCCCACAGGGGGGTGGTTGAGGTATGTCACCGACCAACCACATAATACCCCGACCAACCTCACAACGTTCATGAAAAGGAGGATCTCAATGCCTCCTCGTGATCTCCGCCTCCGCTCCATTCCACGACAAACAGCGAAAATAAAAGAAAAGTGACTCACTTGTCAAGACCGCAAACAGTCATCAGGCGGTGCGCAATAACGAGCATCTGCGTGTCTGCCAGGCCCGTACGAAGGACGTTTTGGATAGTGGCATCGGTGGCGTGGTCGAGGTTGGCGGTACTCTCGTCCATGATGAGGAAGGAGCTCGTGCGGAGCTTGAGCAGGCCGCGAGCGAGCGCGAGCAGCTGCCTCTGTCCTTGACCTGTGGCGTTAGGTGGTGGTCCGCATGGCTAAAAAAAACGACTAGGGCCAGCCATCCCATCCTGAATTTGTTTGGGTGGGCATCTGAATCAAATTGAGATCCGAGGCCACCCCCACCCGGTCCAGTACTCACTGAAGTTCTTGCCACCAGCCGCCACCTGTTCGTCAAGGCTACGGATCATGACTCGCTCCTCCACATCGTCCTCGGCCGCTACATCCACCTTGGACGCGACGCGGCTAACGGCGCGGCTCGCCGCGGCCGAGGCACCTGGCGTGCGGCCCGAAAGGCCACACTGTCGCAGCGCCTCCCAGATCTCGACATCCTCGTGCTGAGTGAAGGGGTCCATGTTGTCGCGGACGGTGCCCGAGAACAGCTGCGCCTCTGTGTAATGGTCAGCGACAGCGCGTGTGACAGTTTCAAAACTGTGCCATTGTCCTGGGTGAGGCGCGCAGGCGCAACAGGTGGGTGGAACATACCCTGTGGCAGAATGGTGAGGCGTTCACGGAGCGTCATGAGACTCAGCTTGCTGATATCGAGCCCATCGATAACAATCCCACCGCTCTCCCGGTATAGGAAGCGGAAGAAGGAGAGGGCAAGCGTGCTTTTGCCGGAGCCCGTACGACCGCAAATACCGATCTTTTCCCGAGGCGCAATAGTAAACGACACGTTACGGAGAACGGGGTCCAGCTGGGGGGCATACTTGCAAGTGAGGTTCTCGACCACCACGGACCCGTCCCTGCTGGGCCAGTAGGCTGGGGGTTCGACACCCTTCGAGTCCTCCTCCTCCTCGACCTCCAGCTCGAGGTACTCTGCCACGCGCTCCACCGAGTTCATGGCCATCTCGGCGCTGGCGTACATGCGGACGACCCAGAGGACAGACTCGGTGAACGAGAGGGCATACGTGATACTCAGACCAGCGGCACCGGCGCTCATGCCGGGAACAGAGAGCGCGAGGACACTGGCGCCGACAGTCACGAGTGTGCCGACAAAGTTGGACAAGTTGTTGAGCACACGGTTGGCCTGCCACATGTACCAGAAGCAGCGGTTGTTGGCGTCAATCTCGCCGAGGAGCTTGCGGATGAAGCGGGCACTGTCACCATAGGCACGGATGGTACCCATGCCAACCAGGGTCTCTGCGAACGAGACAAACAGGGGCGAGCGCGTAGTCGAGTCGTAGCGCTTGATCTCACGGTTGGTGGTCACGTACAGTGTGCCCACGACCCAGTACATGATAATGATCCAAACAAGCGCAAACATGAATGCCGGTGTGGTGTACACGACAACGAAGAGGACGGCGACACAGCTAAGCACACAGCTCCAGAAGATGGCGATAATCTCAGAGGTCTGCGTGTCGATCGACTGCATGTCCTTGGACAGGCGGTTCATGATGCGTCCCGAAGGCGTCGAGTCGAAAAACCTCATCTTGGCACCGAGGATACGCTTGAGGAGATTGCTGTACATTGTCTTGCTGGCGTGCAGCGAGCCGTAAAACATGAAACCCATCCTGCCAGCAATACCAACCAGGTACAGACCCGAGATGATAAAGTAGACAACGAGGTAGTAGACCGAGTCGTGCTTGGCACCGCGCCAGAGCATGTCGCTCACGGCCTCGGACCACTCCTTGACCCAGGCGTTGGTAAAGACTTGCAGAGCCTGTGTTCCGATGAAGAAGCCCACGAGCAGCAGCCAGAAGGGCACGTTACCCAGTGCGCGGCAGTAGACAGCGTATGTGCCCATGCCAACAGCACCCTGTTCGGCCTTTTCGTCCTGAACAAGCTTCTTGTCGCCAGCGGCATCCTTTGGCGCAACGCCCTTGGCCGCCTCTTGTTGGTCGTGATGCTTCTGTGCAACAAGGTCGTCGTGCTCGGCACCGTCCAGCGTGTCCTCGACAATGTCCTTGATCTTGACCGACTTGTCCACAACGGTGGACGACGAGTCATCCTCGGACGGAGTTCCGGGTTCGAGAGCCAGAGCACCAGAGGCAACCAGCTCGGCGGGGGTACCAGCGGCAACGACGCGGCCGGCATCAAGGGAGACGACAAACGCCGCGGCGGGGACACAGAGGTTGACGGCGTGGGTGACAAGGATGCACGTACGGCCGTCCATGAGCGGGCCCTGGAGAACGTGAACGTAAATGTGGCGGGCGGTCTGGGCGTCCACAGCGGAGAGGACGTCGTCGAGGATAACAGTCTTGGCAGGCGAGTAGAGCGCACGGGCCAGGGCGATACGCGCCTTCTGGCCACCACTGCAGGTCGTTCCCTTCTCGCCAACCTCGGTCGCGTCGCCCAGGTCAAAGATCTCGAGGTCGCGCTCCAGAGCACAGGCGTAGATGACATCGTCGTAACGCCTCTGGTCCCACTCGGCGCCAAAGACAATGTTCTCGCGGATAGTAGCACCAACGAGCCATGCGGTCTGCGAGCAGTATGCAACAGTGTCGGACAGTCCGGTGGTGGGGTCGACGGGGCAGAGGTCACGGTTGGCTCGGTCGTCGGGCATGAAAATCTTGCCAGTGAGCAGGACCGTCTCGCCAAGGAGAGACAGGATGAGGGTTGACTTGCCGGAACCAACAGGGCCCGTGACGAGCGACAGCTGGCCTTGGGGGAACGACAGGTCAAGCTCGCCGAGGCGGAACGGCTGGGCCTCATCCTGACAGTCGGTAGCCTCCTTCTCCGAGCCCGGGTAGGCGATGAGGGCGTCACGGAAACCAATCTCGGGGTCGGATGGACCCGGCGTAGACAACTGCTTGTACTTGAGAGTGTCGGGCTCGTTGAGGAAGTCTTGGATACGGGTGCACGAGGTGTACGCCTGAATGATGTGGGTGATAGTCTCGATGAGGATGGCGAAAGGGTCGCGAATCATGTTGAAGAGGACGAGCGAGGCGAACGCACGGTCGGCCGTGAGAGGCTGGTGAAGGACGAGAACGTGAGTACCAAACGCCGCACCAGTGACGAGCACGGGAGTACCCCAGGTGATAACGTTGGAGAAGGTAAACAGCGCAAACTCCTGAGCGAGGACCTTGAGCTCGGCCGCACGCGACTCCATCATGCGCTCGTAAAACTTTTGTTGCCACGAGTTGTACTTGATGAGCTTGATAAACGAAATAACTTCCGTAGCCACGTCAAGACGCTTGTCTGTCGCAGCCATGAGACGACGAGAGAGAATGGTGTAGAGCTTGCCGATGAGGGTCTGAACCGGGACCATGAGGACGAGGACTCCAATACCCGCCCACGACGCCATGCCCAGCGTGTTGTAGAGAAGGATGAGGTTGACCACGAGGCCAAGAGGGCACGAGATGAGGTAGAACGTGTACGCGGCTACCTCGGACACGTTGAACGCATCTCCACTGACGAGGTTGTTGATGCGGCCCTCGGAAGACGACTCGTCAACACCTTCCTTCGTGGTGGTGCCGCCACGGTCTTCGCGGCGGAGCGACTTGGCGAAGACTTCAGTGACAATGACGCAGCGCATGCGGATACACACGCGGCGACCGATCGCGAGCGCCTGGCCAATGGCCGTCACGCCGACACTCTGTCCCATGGCCATCATCGCAATGTAGAGCACAGCGACGTGCCTCGGCTGCGGGTTCGTGTCGCGGGTCTCGACGTACTGCAGGATGAGGCGGAGACCAACAGGAGGGAGGTACTGGAGAATCGTAAAAAGGACGGCCCAGAACTGGGGACGTCAGCGACTGGCTCTCGTCATGGTTGACACGTACAGCCTGGAGAAGGAACTCGGGCATGAAATAGTGAACAATGTCGACACCGAAGCTCCTGACCCGCGTGGAACCGTGCTTCTTCTCAAACTTGTAGTCGCGTTTCGCCTGGAACGCACGGAAGCCGCCCACAACAGCGGCGGTTCCATCATCTTCACGCAGGCCCGGAATGTCCTTGCCGGTGAGCGGCTGGCGGTAGTGCTTCCAGAGGAATGGGAGGATCCAAGTGTACGTGGCACGCGAGAATGCCGAGGTGGGCTCCTCGAGGTGCGCAGGCGCGCCCTCGCCAGTCCCAATGCCGCCGTGGCACACAGCTCCCGCCAGAAGCCGGTCGAGAGAGTCATAGTATGGGACGCTGATAAGCGCTGCCCACCAAATAAACTCGACGACTGTCGGCACCAGGGTCCACGTCTCACCGCCAATGGCGGCCGTGCGGAACAAGAGCAACGACGGAGTGAGGTAGACAGTCGCAAGGGGTGTGACAGGTCCTCCAGTAGCGGCGACGAGGATCATGAAGATCTGCGGGTTAGAAGAGTGTCCAGACCGCTACAACTCACAGGGTAGACCAGGCGCTTCCAGTCGGCATCGAGGACGAGCAGGCAGGCAGCCTCACTTCCGGCCCAGGCCAGAGCGCCGACCAGTCCCAGCCAGAAGTGAACACGGGCCCATTGCCTTGCACGCGCAGGGAGGTCGTGACGGAAGTCGTTGACGACCTTTTCAGACTCGCGGGGCGGAAGGGCACCGCGCTGGGGCTTGGTGACGCTGGTAGCGCCGTAGCCGATATCCTTGCCCTCATGGCTCTCATTCAGCACGACATCCGCGAGCGATCCGACCAAGACTGTGGCTTCAAGACGCGCAAAGCCGTCGCCTCCGGGAGGGACGAGGTCATCAATTGTTGTCTTGCGAGAAGGTGTCCTGAACTTTGACCAAGCGGCCGCAATGATCAGGACAGTGCCCGCGATGCTGGCGAAAGCAATACCAGCATTGTCGAGGTACGTCTCGCGAAAGCACGGCGTAAAGTCTGCGCCGTCCCAGACGAGATCGCAGGTCTTTTTGGTCAGTTAACCTTTGTGTCGTCCTTTCCACCACATGAGCAAGCTCACCATTTGACAGTGCGAGATTGGTACGTGTCTGAAGAAGTGGTGATCGTCGAGAGATGTAAGACTCCAAAGTCGACCTTGCGCCAAGACGATACACGCCGCAAGCAACCAGCGGCTGAGGCCGGTGCCGAGGGGAGGGTAAAGAAGGGCTTACTAACACCGGGCGGGGTGTGGCCCACGCGGGCTAGGGAGGTTGAAGGGGAGTGGGCACAGGGCCGTGAGTCGAATTATCCAACAATGGTCCTCAGCGGCGGGCTCGGTAATCTCGTCCGGAAAGATGGGTGCGATAGCGCTCGCAGCGTAGATTTCGTATCAACCGCGCGAGTGACGACTCTGTCAAGTTGGAACAAGTTTCGGCAGACGTCAATGCGATGCCCTGGAAGTCGGTGCTGAGCGCTAGAGCACTGTGGTGAATGAGGAGGATGCAGATGATCACCGACAGGAAAGACTTTGCTCAGATTTCTCGGCGACCAACGCGGGGCATGCGGGGCGTGGCGCTAGCAACGGCGGACTTGTCCGTCGCCAGCGGCCAGCGCGCTGTCACCACGTGTGTCCCAAGCGGCATGGCGCGCAACCACCCTGTGCTCCATCCCGCGCCTCCGGAGCCGACCGCAGTCGACTCGTCAACAGCCATCGCTTTGGCCGGGCCGGCATGTACAGGCAAAGTGGAGTCGACGAGCAGCTGATTTGACGCTTGGCGATTTCGCGAGGACCGAGCCCACTCATCACACCTGAGGCAGGTTTGCTGCTCCTTGCCAGGAGCGCAGGAGCCAAACTGCGCCGGCTTATCGTGCCGCCTACTACGTCATGTCCGGCACATCCGGCGTACAGCCATGTAACAATGCGATAATATACTTCAACGAGTGTCTACTACTTATATCAATACTCTACACGCTACAGTCGCCCCGCGGCCCATCGCTGTGCTAAACGGTATGAGAGGAATGCGCCCACTGCCGCCGCAGTGCCGCCGATCCGGAACACGAGCCCCACAGCGTTGGGCGATGACGGACCGTCCGTGGTGGCGGCAGCACCATCAGCAGCAGCTGCTGGCGCCGCCTCGGTCCCCTTTGCGGGTTCCATGATCATGAAAACGATGCTGGAAATGAACGTTATGACAAATTGAGGAAGAACAATAAACACGTTGTGGATGCCTAGAATGAGGCCCGCCTTGTCCGCCGTGCTTGGTGCGGCGTCGTCGACTGGTGGACTGGTTGGTTCAGACAAGACGGACATTTCGTCCGAGTGACGGATAATGACCGTGGTGTCTAGGTCAATCTCCATGGACGTCGACTCGCGTGGCACTGGTGTCAAGTCGGAGCCTGGGAGCACTAGACGGGAGAGTGTATGGGACTGGTTTGCGTTCACCACTTCATGTGAAGGGTTCCGCACATGCGACCTCGATGCGGTGCGTGACGGGTTGCGAGAGTGAAGCGATGGAGACTCCTCCTGGGACAAGTCATTGTCGGTAGCAAACACGACCTCGGTGGCAGGCGCTCGTTGCAAAGTGCGCATCTCAGTGCGGTCGGGCGTGTCGATGAGGACTAGTTCGCCGAGGAGGGCAAACGGTGCCCACTGTGCGAGTGACCATGAAAAGCCGGTAATGGCAATGACAACATAGGCACCGGCCACAGTAGACGTGAGCCAGCTTGCGACCATGCAGCAGACAAAGATGCACTGCGCAATGCACCATAGCTTGATAAGGGTAAGCCCGGGGATGGGAAGTGCCAACATTGAGCCAGACTTGATGCCCTTGATGAATGTCGCCAGTGCTTTGGCGGCACGGCTTGGTAGCGACCGCAATGAACGTTCCTCTTCTTCGCGCTTCCAGACTGCCGAGTTTGGCGGCGATTCATCGTCGTCCTCGTCGTCTCCAACACGCAAGTACGCGTGCGATTCCTTGGCCTGGACGCCCGACTCGCTGACGAGGAATGGGGCACAAACGCTCACGATGAGTGCAATAACCGACTGGAGAAACAGTGCGCGAGAGCCAGCACGGACCGCGTCCGCCTCCCAGGTCTCTGTTGACAAATCTCCCTGCGGGTTCTGGAGCTTGTAAATGTCCGCGACCCAGATGCTCGTGAAGAACAAGATTGGGTACCAGCCGAGGTTGGCAAAGAACTGGATGTAACAGACTGTGCGGATTCCGGGCGGCAAGGTGAACATGTTGGTCCAGATTGCGCGCAGAGACGACATGAGACCAGAACGCGACTGCGGGCGACTGTTTCAATTAGCACAGCCCAGCCCAGCCAATAGCCCATAGCCCAAACTCACTCGTCTCGCAGCAAGATGCGTTCTGTCACTGCCCACGAGGTCGACGTGTGTGCCAGAGCCAGAATGGTGGATGTGACGAGGGATAGGATCTGGAGCTGGGACTTGCCCAGGAAGGGTACGATTGACGTCAGGTCTACATTGCCGCTGTGTGTGTCAGTTGAGAACGCATTGCCTGTTAACTCACACAAAGAACCCTGCCACACCACCGATACCGCACATTCTGGCGCCCCACGCGTTGGCCGATTCTTGCTGTGTCGGCGGAAGTGTGTCGACGATGAGTGCGCGATCGGTGCTCATGACCGCGTTGATGCTAAAGTCGATGAGGTAGATGGAGAAGACGGCGCAGGCGATGGCACCCCACGTGCCGGTGCCAAACAGGCCGGCCACTTCACGCGAGTACGCGAGAAGCATCATCCCAAACACGGCCACACCTGTACCGGCCAGCATGAACGGGCGACGACGTCCAAACTTTGACCGACAGCGGTCCGCATAGGCTCCAATGAGGGGCTGGACAATGAGACCTGAAAGGGGACCCGCCATGAAGACGAGCGACATCCATGACTTTGACAGTCCGAGTTCGAGAAGGAAAGGCGAGGCTGAAGTGGAGTGAGTGGCTGGAGGCAGCAAAACAGTACACTGGGTGGCTGCATGTGGTCGTCGCGTAACAGAAGCACTCACCATAACCCATCTCAACGCTCCAAACAACCTGAGTGCCCAGCATGCCCACGGTAAGGAGCGGGAGGCGCGCCCATGTCGGACCCTTGACCCCGGGGGTGCCAACCCATTGGACGGCATGGCTGTCTGGGTCCCCACCTGCGTTCTCGAGGTCGCTGGGTAAGGGGAGGAATGAACCTCCGCCTGTCATTGCGACTGGTGGTGCTGGTCGCGCGTGTTGTCGGTAGGCTTGGGACAGTGGATGGAGACACGAACGGCGTAACGTTGTCGGTGAATACCATCCAGGCCCTCCTGGCGCGGCGTCCTGTGAACGCGATCGGTGGCCACACGCGAGAGTCCCTGGCGGGGGTGGGTGGGATGGGAATTTGCTTCCGGAACAAATAGGTTACGTAATAATAAAATAATACGTGGAAATTTGGTTCCGCAGGTAGATTTCTGTGACATCTTTCAACGACCGCGCTTGTCGTCTTCCAACACCACCAACTTCTTCATCTTTATCGACCAGGGATCGTCTCCGTGAGGTCACTTCTACTAGCAACAATGTCCGCCCCCAACGCCAAGGCCTTCCCGCTCGCCAACGCGCAGCTCACCAACCAGATCCTGGATGTTGTCCAGCAGGCGTCGCACGTGAGTTTTCAGTCGAGATTTGACCAAGAGCGCTCCTGCTCTTGTCCATCGACTTCAACACCGAACACCATGACTTACGCTTTGATAGTACAAGCAGCTTAAGAAAGGAGCAAACGAGGCTACGAAGACTCTTAACCGCGGGTACGTCGACAAACAGCTCGTCCTCGCGACCTGGAAGGTGGCAGAAAAGACTGTCGCTCGATTGTCAGGTGGCGGGGAGAGTGGCTCCGAAGTTGGACTTGGATTTCAGCAGCTGACAACAGATAAGTATCTCTGAGATAATCGTCATGGCTGGGGATGTCGAGCCCATCGAGATCGTTCTCCACCTCCCCCTCCTCTGTGAGGACAAGAACGTTCCCTACGTCTTCGGTGAGTCTTGTTGTGGCAACCGCCGATCGTCATATTTTCTCCGATCCTAATCCTCCTCCAGTTCCCTCGAAGACCGCTCTCGGCCGTGCTTGCGGTGTCTCGCGCCCTGTTATTGCCGTTTCGATCACGACCAACGAGGCCCGTGAGCTTAGCAGCCAGATCCAGGCCCTCAAGAACGAGGTCGAGAAGCTCCTCATCTAAGTTTTACCTGTAGGCGCGCAATGGTAGCAGGAGACAGGAGACGAGGGACCTTGACTGGTTCGCTCGCCTGATGCACTGTTGCTCTGAGAATGGTTTTCGCGGCTCACAGCTGAAGGCGCGCGACTTGTAACATGGACACTGACAGAACAAGAAACAAGTGACTGACGACTGGCTGCTTGCGGCTATGCCCGTAGCCCGGGGGCATCCAACTGGGTCACAAATGCCAAAGGACAAGTGCTTACGTATTGTACTTGGTGGCAGCCTGGTTCATTCTCCCTGGTTCATTTATATTCTCGCCTTTGTTTACCTTTTCCTTCCTCTCACTTCGTCACTTATCATTTACCCAAAGTTGCTTCGGTGCGTAGGCGTGTGGGCCTGTCGCAGCCATGGACGACCTCACCGCCGACCAGCTCAGCTTCTTCGACGCCACCTATGACACCTGCTACGATAAGATGCTCCAGGATTCTACCACCTGCATTGAGTGGCAGAACCTTTTTGGCTCTGACTCCTTCCTCGGATCGGACATGACCGCCCGTGAGGCCCGCTACGACGGCTTGTCGATGTGGCTCCCGCCCGCCTCATCGAGCTCCTCGTGGCGGACCCCTCCAAGGGCGAGTCCCTCCCCACTGTGTCCGACCTGCTTAGCCTTGGCTACACTCCACGGTCGGTTGCTACTTACTTCAAGTGCGCCATCTCTGACGACCCGGACATTCCCGACGTCATCTCGGTCGGCCAGAGCTCATGTCGTGGCATCCCGTACGGCGCAGATGGCCGCCGCAACGTTCACAATGAGCGACCTCAACAGGGAAACGCGTGAGTTTTGATGTGTTGTCCTATGCTACTGTCGTCCTGATGAAGCTAGTTTGCAGCCATCGCTGACAGTGCAGGATGAATGGATTTAACAAATTCTACCAGCAGCACAAGGAGCACTACGACGTGTCCTTTGCCACACCCATCGCCTTCCCCAAGCCCAGGAAGGAGCCGAGAGCTGAAGAGCTCATTTACCAACCAACTATTATCGAGTTCTCCGAGGCTCTCTTTTCATTCTGGCTGGGAACCATCGGCGGCAACAACAACCACATGCGCCCACGCACCGCTCCTCATGACCCCGCCGCCTACCCCTACCTTCCTGGCAACTGGAAGAACCCCCTGAGCGACCCTCCGGCAAGCCGCGGCATCTCCATCTCCCGTGCCACTCACGAGGAGGTCAAGGCCCAGAGGAAAAAGATGCAACCAATCTACTATGCAAACATCATGGCGAACCTTCGCGCGGAACCCATCCGCCTCGCCAACTACGCCAAGCGCTGGGCCAGGAACTGCGCCAGGATGACCGCTCGCCGTAAGGTCGACCCCAAACTGCGCGACCACAACAACACGTGGCAGCGCGAATACCGCATCAAGATGGCGACAAGCTCCGCGCCGACCACCGCGCCCGCCATGACAAGAACCGCCACGTGGTCCGCGCCCGCAACAACGAGTACCACGCCGAGAATGCGGAGTACATCAAGGGCCGCAAGCGTGCGCACCGCGCCGCTAACAAGGACAAGATCAACCCGAAGGCTTGCAACGCGCCACCTGAGGTGAAGGCAAACAAGGCCGCTCAGGCTCGTGCCCGCAGGGCCAAGACGAACGATGCTACTGCCGAGTCGGACTAGGACTCATACCCCGTACCCACATTTCCGACCTGGCACTCTCCCCCTTCTTCGCGCCTCTCCACTCCACCCCGCACGACTCCACGCGCGCATACCCCAGGTCGGACCTCCATCAACAAGTTCCCCCGGTCTCCATAGCATTCGCATTTGCCAACGTCCCTCCCACCACAAACTCGTATCCGGATTATAGCGGTGTTAGCTGTGACGGAGTATGATAGCCATACACATGTACCTGTGATATATTACGACGCAGAACGTGGTCAGGTCATAGTCAGTTTACTAGACGTCGTTCAACGTTTGAGGAAGGACCGCAACCCAGCCGTCCGCCACTAACGAGGTCCAAAATTCAGAAAAATGGGCGAGAAAAGGCCCCGTTCCTTCTACCGGCCTATGCACACCTCCCTCTCGAGGTCACGCGACGTGCGCGATCGTGACGTATAGCACCTATGCCAGACAGCCCCCGCAGCGGTTTCGTACACCCGATACATAATTGGCAGCCACGCTGTTGTGACACCTGGGTGTGAATGTCGCTGGCGTTGATTCAGGCACACGGTTCTCTCCCTCTGCCCGCTTCCACACCCGCTGGCCGCTGGATATCCAACGCTTTTGCTACATGCCTCACACGCTCGGTCCGGTCCGCAGCTGACAGATTACATGAAACCTATTGCACATGCTAAAGAGATGAAAACACACTTCACACCACTAGGGGTATGCTTTTCGCCTGGCCCAATGGCCAACTCCCGGAAATCTTGGGGAATCGGCCGTGCTCGGCGCGTAGCTGATCCGTGCGGGGCGCGTACTTGCCCCCCACACACGTCCTACACTAGGCCACTGATCCACTGAGAGGAAAACAGTGTCCCAGCCGTTCCTTACACGAGTCCAGCTTAGGCCCACTTGGCCATGAACTCGTTGTGGAACTGTTCAATCTTGCCGACATAGTCCTCGACACCGGGACACAGGGCGGTGACGCGCAGGTGGTAGGTGCCGGCCTCCTGGCCGAAACCGGAGCCGGCGACGGCGCAAATGCCGGTAGCGTCGAGGAGCTGGAGCGAGTACATGACGTCGGCGGGCTTGCCGATGCGCTTGGCCTCCTCGACGGCCTTGGGCGGAATGTCAATCTTGGGGAAGAGGTACATGGCACCCTCGGCAGGCTGGCACGACATGCCCTTGAGCGCGTTGAAGCGCTCGCACATGTACGACGAGCGCGAGGCGAGGTTGTCGTGGGTGAGGGTGGTCTCGGCGAGCCACTGGTCGTAGCTCTCCTCTCCTGGCTTGGGAGGGTTGACGAGGAGGTCGACGCCGACCTGGCCAGAGACGGGAGGGCACAGGGTGACCGAGGCCATCTTGTAGATCTGGTCCACGACGTCCTCGGAGAGGTTGACGAGCTCAAAGTATCCACCGCGACGACCACACTCGCCAGAAACACCCTTCGAGATCGAGTGGAACGAGACGAGCTCGACAGTGTTGGCAATCTCAGCGGGCATCGAGCGGACGACCTCCTTGAACGAGATGAAGGGGCGGTGCTCCGGGTCAAAGATGTTGCGCTGGTACACCTCGTCGGCGAGAAGAAGAATGTTCTCGTCGTAACAGAGCTTGACGACCTGCTCCATGGCCTCGCGCGAAAGGCACGCACCAGTGGGGTTACCGGGGTTGATGACGACAAGGGCCTTGACACGGACACCCTCCTCCTTGGCCTTTGCGACAGCCTCGGTCAGCACCTTGGTGTTCATCGACCACTGCTCGGGCTCCTGCAGGTAGTAAGGAATGGGCCTGCCGTGGATGTACGAGAGAGTGGCCGTGTAGAGGGGGTACTGGGGGATGGGGATCATGCAGCCGTCTCCGGGCTGGAGGGAGAGGCCAAGGATCTGGGAGACACCGTTCGAGGCGCCGGCGGTGAGGAAGATGTGCTCGGGGTCGGCAGGGTAGCCGTCACGGGCTGTGATTGCGTTAGCGCTCCAAACTCACATACACAGGTCTCCCCCACTCACTCTCGATGAACTTTGCGACACGCTCGCGAATGGCGAGCACGCCCTTGGAGTGTGTGTAGGCACCAATGCTGCCAATCTCCTTGTAGAGGCCCTTTGCACGCTGGATGACGTCGTTGGGATAGATTGACTTGATGACCTCAAGGTGCTCCTCCATCAGAGCGGGGTTTTCAAGCAGAGAGATAACCTGACGCCAGTACGTGATGGGGCGCTGGTTGAGGCCCTTTTGCTGGGGGTTGCCAATGTTGGCAGTGACGACCTTGTCAAAGGGAAGGCCCTTGGCCTTTGCGGGGTCCTCGAGGGCGTGGACATACTGGTCGGCCTTGAGAGCGAGCTCGCCACGGACAGCATACTGGACATCAAGGACAGCCTGGTTGATGGACTGCAAGGTGAGGACCTTGGGGCGGCCATTTGCCTGGTTGGTCATTGCGCGCGACTGCGTGCGCAAAGTAGAGGCGATTCGCCAGGCAGGGCGTGCAATGGAGCGCATGGTTGGCGTCGTGATGGTGGTGGTGGTAGTTGCAAAGGAGAGAGTGGTGTGGTCAGCAACAAGTTTGCACAACGGGGATGATGGGAAAGCGAGTCGAGTAGAAGTGACTGCCGTCTTTGGCACAGAACCGACGCTTCGGCGACCCGCCAGCCCTGAGAGAGAGCGACCTGGCAGCTGACAGGGCGGCAACCACTGGCCACTGGCCAGCAGCAGCCGTCGGACCAAATGCCGCCGCACAGGACAGTTACAGGGATGGGCATCGGCGACCAGTGCTCTCACCTTGAGTGTGTAATGTTGATACAGAGAGAGAGAAGGGGGGGAGAGGAGGTCGATGTGGTCTATGTCTATGCGGGTGGGAGGTGGGAGGTCGGAAGAACCACGGCTCTGTGGGCTTATATCGGGGTTGTGCGTTCGGGAGGACGAGGGCGGGCGGGGTTCTATCTCGTTGCTCAAGGGCTCCCTCCGGCGGTTACCGGCTTGCCCGCCCGGTCCGCGGTCGTCATTGCAACCTTCTGCGCTCTCCTGTCCCCGGTTGGCCCCCAGCATGGCCCCCACCTTGCCCGTGTACCCGTGTGTGCAGCGTACACGCGCATGGGCTGCCCCCGTCTCCCCCAATCAGTCGGTGTCGGACAGGGTGTGTGGTGCAAACAATACCGAGACCTCCACCTCCACTTGTTTTCCAACTCGAGAGCTATAGCCGGAACTATGCCATTTGCCAGGTGCAGGTGGGTCCAGATTGACTCGGATCAATGCCGAACACAACAAGGGACGGTGTGTAATCTGGCAAATGCAGCGGCTCGACACGGCAACAAGGGAGGGGGGAACAACGCCACCACCGAGCCACCACCACGGGCGACGCCGAGAGCAGGACCCCGGTGTCTCTGAACCCCCGCAGTCGCGACAGCCCACCATTATCCCACGGCGTGTTTGCGGGCCTCCGTGGCGTGCTGACTCGACAGACCAATAGAACCATATATGAGATCCCATAAAGGTAAACGTCAAGCTCCGGGAGAAACACTGCCTACAACACCCACAAGAAAAAAGAACGGAAAACAATAAGAAATAGATGTCCGATAAACTTTAGTTCCACTGCCCAGCATCCTGCTACGTCAGCACATGTGCGTCTGTGTAACACAACAGAGGTCTGATCGCCGACGCCGTGCGCCTTGCGGACCCCGTGCGCCCAGAAACCCACCATCATGCGCTCGTTGCCCTGCTGCTGCGTGGATGACGCGCGGCGCTCGGCAGCGAGCTTGGCCGAGAGCTGCCCGCTCTTCGGATTCGAAGTAGACACGCCCTTCTTGCCCTCCTGGTGGGGTGGGTCAGCGTCATGACATTCATGGGGTGGACGGCAGAGAGTGGAGTGTAAGAGTGTACAGAATGCAGTGGCGCAGAGCGTCACTTGACTGGACGGGCCCACGGGGCAGATGCGGGGCATGCGCCAATGCCAAATGGGCGAACAATACAATGGGCCTTTGGAGCACCTTGGGGATGGCAGATGACGCAAAGCAAGCATCCCTCAAGCACCAGGCCAAGCAAACGCCATGCCAGGCAGGCAGGCAGGGGGGGGGGGGGGGGGGGGGAGGTCCATGTCACTCCGCCTTGTCTGTGACCTCCAGATATCGGGCACCTTCGCAGCATCACACGCTGCATCACTCTCACTCACTGCCTGTGCGCGCGCTTCAGCCGCTGCCAGCGCTGCAGACCGGGGGTCAGCCCCACTGCTGGGACTGCCGGGACTGCCTCCCAGTGCTTGAGGTGGTCGTGAGGCCGGAGTCGCCTTGTTCTTGCCGCCTACACTGCCTGATGGCTTGCCAGCAACGCTTCCGCCAGCGGCAGCCCCGCCCGTTGGGGTGGGTGTGCCAGAGCCGAGGCGCTGCCCACCAGACTGCTTGGGCTTGGATGGGTCCGAGAAGCAGTTACCCATGGCTGGTTGTGTGGGAACTGGGTGTTGATTGAGAGGTGGTGCGAGGGAGGTGATGAAGGGGGGGGGGTTGGCCGCCTAGTGCACAACCAGTCGTAGACGAGATGGATGGGTGTGTGGGTACTGGGCACTTGCTGTGTCGATGTGGTGTGAGAGGCCTATGCGCTAGTCGCTGTCGGCGATGCTGTCGATGCCAAGACTGGCGTGCATGATGAGGACCGCCTGGGGTCGTCATCGCCCTTGTCCTTGGAGGGAAGGCGAGGGCTCCGCATTGACCTGCCCGCACGCACGCGCTTTTCAAACGGGCATTATACAAACTCCGTGTTTTGGCGGCTGGATTTCTGCTTTCGCTCACGCCGTCTGAACATTATTGACGACAGTGCTCCCATCCAACACCGTCCACCCACACAACAAACAACATGGCCGCTCCTGCTTCTGTCGAGGCCACCCTCGCCGCCGCCATCACCCAGATGGAGGCTGACGCCACCCTCCGCAAGGTAAGCGCCTGCGTCTCAATGGGTGTTCTCATGTGCTGACAAGGAAGACCGTCAAGGAGGCCACCGAGCCCATCGAGGAGATCACTCGCCAGGCCACTGCCGAGCTCAACCGCCTCCACTCCGCCAGCTCGGACAAGCGTGAGTAGCTGATAGGCGATGCTGCTCCGCTGTGCTCCTCTGACATACAACTCCAGACGAGGCTATCGCCAACAAGGCGCTCGAGATTGTCGCTACCGCCCACCCCACCTGGGTCGAGATCGCCAAGCTCATTCCCAAGGGCGAGTTCTTCCGGTAAGTCTAGCTGTATATGCTTTAAAACAATAGCACTGACAGCTCGCAGCTACCAGTTTGCCGTCTCGCCCCTGTTCAAGTCGCTCGTCACCTCGATCGCCTTTGCTCGCTTCATCCTCCACAACGAGCTAGTCCCTGCCTTCACCGCCGCTACTCTTATGGGTTGTACGTGTGCCCCTGTCCCCTCTTGGTGCATTTGGGTATTGTGCTAACAGAACTACAGTGACAGGCGAGGACGTCGGTGAGCTCCAGCTGTCGTCGGACGACTACCTCCAGGGTGTTATTGCCATGGTCAACGAGCTCGTGAGTGCCGTCTCCCTGGCTCCAGCGGTTCCTCCTTCAGCTCCAGCTGTGGGTTTCTTTAATCCTCGTACTGACCCTTTCAGCCCCGTCTCTCGATCAACTCGGTTACTGCCCAGAACTTTGAGCTGCCCGGCAGGATAGCCGCCTTTGTCAACGACATCTTTGCGAGCTACTCCATGGTACGTACCTCGTCTAGCTAAACCTTGTGTAGATGCCCCCGGCTGACAACTTCCAGCTTAACCTCCGTAACGACAACCTCCGTCGTCGCTTCGACTCGCTCAAGTACGACTTGAAGCGTTGCGAGGACGTTGTGTACGACCTCACTCTCCGTGGCCTCGGTGCCTCCAAGGCTTAGACATGCAATGTACTTTTACTGTGCCACTGTGACACTGCATACCTGGCGCCTTTGTCTCTACATGGATATGGAGTCCCACAGCCAACTGACAATTCAGATATACGCATCGGAGGAGGGTTTCCGAGATGCAGTGCAATGCAGGCAGGCAGAGAACTGACCCCGAGCTGTTGCGTCCGCAACTCACATTCCTCCACTTATCCGTACGCACAGCCACTTGGCCCTCCTCCTCATCGGCTGTGCTATAAGACATCTACGCCTCATCCCTGCGGGCATCCCCTTCTGCACCCATTGCACACGATGCCTATGTTTTGTAAGTAGCACATGCGGCTTGAGGTGTACAGGGTTCCACGCCTCGACCGAAAGGCAGGGTCAGAAGTTGCCTGACATACAACCCCCGTCCTGCAGTGGTTATAGCAAAGCACCGTCTCTCTCATGCATCATTGATGTATTCACCCATATACTATACGCACGGTCCCACGCGTCTCGACGCGTCTATCTGCGTGCGTGCTCGCTGCCTGACACTGGGTGTGCCATCAAAATGCCTGTCCGCAAGCGGGGTGTGTGCCACAGCGCCACTGGGCAGCGCGGCCCTCGTTTTAATCCCGTTCCGGCCGGGGCGCGCACGCGTTCCCCCTCTCCGGCTTTGTGTGTCTTCAATTGCACCACCCAAATCACTCTCTCTCTCATCCATCCACTACCCCATCAACATCCACATCAACATGTCGTCCATGGACATCGACAAGCCCCTCGACGAGGTCCGTCCCATCCACCCACTCCCTTGCCGGTACCCCAACTGACGCGAATCTCCCGCCTGCCCCCGCTTTTTTTCCTCCCTGTTTTGTCACATCGCACGTTTGTCCGCGCGTCCTCCCCTTCCTTTATCGCCACCCGTCCATGACCTTCTCTCATGCGTCCGCCATCGCATCCGCGCTCTCCAACCTCATTCTTTATCCTGCATGGCATCTATGGACGAGCAGATCATTGCCTCGAAGCCCCGTGGTGGTCGTCGCGGCCGCGGTCGTGCTACTGGCGGCCGCTCCGCTTCTGGTCGCTCCGCTGGCGGTGCCGCCAAGGAGGCTGCCATCGGCGGCGGCGCGCGTACCCGCTACGCCGGCGCTGCCCCCAAGTCGGCTTCGACTCGTGCTGCCCCCGCTGCTGCCCCCAAGCCCATCACAGCCGATGCCGTCAAGATCATCATTTCTAACCTGCCCAACGACGTGACCGAGGCTGCTGTCCGTGACCTCATGCAGTCGACCGTCGGCCCCGTCCGTACCGTCCAGATGAGCTACACCAGCGCCGGCAAGTCCACCGGTGTCGCCACCGTCATGTTCAAGAACAAGGGTGACGCCAACAAGGCTCACTCTGCGTGTACGTTGGGTTGTCTTTTGTTGCGATGGTGGGGCGTCCTGCTGACACCAACACAGACCACAACAGGATGATCGACAACCGTTAGTGTCTTCCCAGTGCTGATCCCCCCGTTCCCACACGTGTTCCCCGCCGCTGCAAGCTAGCTGCAAGCGGCCCCTTTGATCGGGCCAAGGTACCTCAAGAGTACGGCCAGGATGAGTTTGCGGTACCAGAGGCCAATGACGGCAATGACGCGCGCGTGCAGACAAAAGTCCCAAGAAGCAAAGCCCCGACGAACGGCGCGGAGAGACGGCAAGGTTTGAACCCCTCCGCCAAAGCCCCGCGCCCGGTTATCCCCTTCTCCAAAGTCCCGTATGGGTGCCCGACCGAGCTCGAGATGTGCCAAGCGACCACAGCGGAGGTGCGGCAGTGTTGGTCGTCGCTGGTGAACGCGACTCGCTCGACCGAGGCGGGGCGGTGACCTTGGCGGCGGCCAGGCGCCGCCCACTTGGGTCGCAAGTTCCCCTGTTTGGGGGAGTACCAGAAGGCTCGAGCATCGTGACGCGGCGAACATCGAGACGCAGCGGACGAATAGCTCGCCTTGGTACGCGATCCACCCGGCAGTCGGATGGATGCGCACTTTTGCGATTACCGGTCACCTCGCCCAACCGAGGTGTACCCTTTGCTATCCGCACGGCCGACGATTTTCACTCCCACCGGATGACTCGGATGACGCCTGCAAGAGATGACACAATGCGTCTGGAGAGCTTGGCTCTCAGTATGCGCTGGTACCCAGACGCTCCAGAGGACTGGCAAGCAGCAGCGGCGCGGCTCTTCCTTCTCGCCCCCCCTTTCCGATTTCCACCCTCCCAAGACAGGCGCTGATAACGCCTTTCGCATCTTATGTTCTACAACTTGACATCATCTGCACTTTTACGACAACCAATGACTTTCTCGACCCTCCCTCTTATCAACTGCTGTATCGTCTCGACAACTTGTATCAACAACTCGACAACATGTATCAATCAACAACAAACCCTTTGTATCGACACTCGCATCCACCCACCTCCCCATGGACCTTTTTATTCTTTCCCTACGCACTATCGCCAACACGATCCGTTTCCACCAACAGAGCGCCCCATGAAGGTCGAGATTGCCATCGACCCCAACGCGCTCCAGACCCTCGCTTCGCGCGTCGCGCCCGCCCCGGCCGCCGCCAACACCCGCGCACCCAAGGCTGCCGCCGGCGCCGCCCGTGGTGGCCGTGCTCCCCGCACTGGCGGTGCCCCTCGCGCACCCCGCGCTCCCCGTCCGGCCAAGAAGACCGCCGAGGACCTGGACGCCGAGATGGCCAACTACAAGGCCTCGTCCACCGCCTGAGCAGTGGAGTAGCCTGTCTCCCCCCATTTCTTTCTCGTAGCCTGTGTGCGACCTAGGATACTCGTGATGATAAAACAGTGTAGCAGTGGCAGTTTGTTGCAGAGCAGAGAAGCGGGCTGGCTCCATTCAGAATGTGCGACGAGCGGCGCGGGTCAGGATGGATGAATGCATATGTCCTGGCAGGGAATCAGGAAGCTAATATCGGACGGGGCGTCTCTGTGCTTTGCGACAGCGAGAGCCTATGTGCGGGACGAGTGTCCCAGCCTATGAATTACGGTCGGGTGGGGGGGAAGGAGGGGGAAGACGAGGTCGAGCTCGAGGCAGGACAACAGCAGCCAGTGCTTATCTCAACAAGTGCCGTCTGCTGTGCGCTGCTGGCCTGATGCTGCTCGTTTCTCTCGTCGCCTAGTTGAGCCAAGTGCTCTCCTTGCCAGCGACCTGCCAAGCGTTGGTGAACGAGAGGGGGTTGACGCCCGGCTGGGCCTTGCGCGCCTCCACGAGACGGAAGATGAAGTTGGCCAGGATGGCAATGAAGAGCGCGACGCAGATCAGGAGCGGGCCGACGAGCTGGTCAAACGAGCCCGGGTAGCGCGTGGCAATCATCGTGAGGCGCTTCTGGTAAATGACGTAGCCGTAGATGAGGACAGCGGCGGCACTGGGAAAAGGGCAGGTCAGCGTGTGTTGGTCGGGAAATGGGAGCAGATAGGGCGTGGGAGAGGGAAGTGGGAGGTGGACAGTGTATGGCTGTTGGATGGGGCAGAGAAAGGTTCCCCATGGGAGGACGGGGGAGGTCTGGACGGACAGTCCGTGGCCAACGACGACGATTCGCAGACACTCACATGAGAGCATAGGCAACGGCAAAGTAGCGTGCGAGACTGTCGCGCGCACCGAAGAGGAGACCCGAGGCGATAGTGGACAGGAGGAGACCCATGGAAAGGTACGAGATGTAGGTGCGCTCGTTGGCGAACCACACCTTGGCCTCAACCTTGACCGGGGTAGGCTTCTTCTCTGCAGATGGTTAGCTATGTTGGCTGTGGTCGGATTCATAGCAAATACACGATGACAGATGAGGTCGCACCAGTCCAAGGTCAGACCAACCTAAACCAGCTGATACGCCCACCTCCGTTCACCGTGCTGCACACCAATGCTGCGGTTGCGCAGAGCGTATACTCACTGGGCACGCGGACGCGAATAGAGGGGTCGTTGATCGAGTGGTAGTCGGTCAGGAGAGGGCGGGTGTCACTTGTTCGTCAGCTTCCTTGCCTCGAAGGCGATTAGCTCGACTCACGAGTCCGGGAGGTTGTCGCCGCGCTTGCTCTTGACACGCATACCCTCGCCGCGGCGGGGGAGGAGGTTGAGGGCACCCTGCGAGAAGCTGCGCTGTTAGCTACGAGTAACGATGAGAACAGAGCTACGGTGCGTGGCCGGTGGACAAGTCACCAAATGATAGCCTCAGATGTGAGGACCCCTGGCGCCAGTTGGGGGCTGGACGGCGAGGGGACAAACAACACATGGAGCTGCCACCAGGTGGGTGATTGCGAGCATGACGAGATACTCACGGCTGCCAGAAGAGCTCAGACGCATCGTTGATCACACGGCTGACGCCTGTCGACGGTTCACCGCTGTTGGGATTGAGGGGGGTGGTCTGGAAAAAAAAGGTGTGAGCTGGTCACGAGAACGTGGTTGACCGAGGAACCAGATGTACGGTGTGGCTGGCGGCTGAGGTTGGATGGAGCACAACCATTCTATGCACGCCGTCGGCATGTATCTGCAGTACCTACCTCCGAGGACATTGCTGGGCCAGGACGATGATGGAGATGGGAGATGGGAACGGTGTGCAAGACGACGACGACAAAGAGTGACGCCTGCGAGGATGGTTGTGTCCAGAGAGAGACTGGAATTCACAACCGATCTTGCACGTGCGTCGGTCTCCATCCAGTGAGCAAATGGGATTGGCAGCGGTCATCTGGGCCAAGGAACCCAGCAGTCTAATTCCAGCGTCCAAATACCCAATCCCACCACTTTGTAATCCCCAGTGCAAGTGCACACGATAGGTGCAGACCGCCCCGGCGCACAACAGTGCTGTTGCATGCATTGCAGCTGTGGGAGCGAGGCAGCTGTCACTACTGGAGAGCGAAACATGTCCAGCCTGCTATCTTTCCAAAAGTGGAAAGCGAGAGTGTGTGCCTGGATTTCTGATGTCATCGAGACGATGCGATAACCACCTCTCTGAGTGTGGCAAGTGGCAACTGTTGAAGCATCTGCACGGTTTGGGGGCGAACATGTGGGAACACCTCGCACATGCTGGCAGGTATGGGACACTTGACATTCCTTTAGAGGCGTACATGTCACTCTAGAGACTCAACGCCCGGTGCAACTTTTGATGGCATCAGCGATCACACATTGCAAAAAAGCCCATCGGCTTTCACTCGCCCCGGCTGCCCATACCTTCTTCTTCTTCTTCTTCGGCACCCTTCCTCTCTCCATACTACAACCTCTCTCCCTACCTTTCCTTTTCCTCTTTCTACTATTTCGCGCCACAGTGAGGTCTTCGGGTTCTTGAATACTGCTTGCAAGCACCATGGCTCCTAATCACATCATCCAACCCGACGTTGCGGAACTTGAGGAGTGGCAGAACGTTTGTACCCGTATTGAGGAGCTCCAGTGAGTAGCAGCAGGAGGGTACAATCCATTTCTCACATCAGCTCTTCTATTTCGGTCAACAGACCTCTCGTCGTCAACTTGGGAGTGCAGAGTGCCGGAAAGAGTTCCATGTGAGTGGCCAAAGTGCGCACAAGTGCTGCTGACGTGAAGCCTCAGTCGTCTTAGCAACGTAGGCGACGTCCTCACTCACATCTGCTGACAACAGGTTCCCCTTCACATCGGCCCCAAGGCTACTACTCTGTAGGCACATCGTGTATTCACACAGCACGCACTTGACCCCCTCCCAGCGGACCTACTCTCATTGAGTCGCACAAGACAAACGCCCCGTTCAAGGCAGAAATCTTCATCGAGTTCTCTGACCCCGCCTTTGGTGTCCCCAAGGGTCGGATTCCCTTTACCATTTGCCCTCTTACCACAAAGGACAACATTACCCACATCCTGCGTCTAGCAGGCGACGAGGCACGTCGCTCCAAAGACGGTTCCCGTGCCATACGGTGAGTGTATTATGTGCACTGTCTGCTGACGTCAACAGTAACTATGAGGAGGTCACGGCGCTGGGAGACGCACGCAAGGACGGCGCCTGGCCTGAATTTACGGCCAATTTGGTCGTCTTGAAGGTAGCGTCAAACAAGACTGACGACATTCTGACGCCCCCAGGTGTCGGGCGACGAGCAGCCCAATATTTCCGTTATAGATCTTCCGGGTAGGTCGTTCACCAGTGTCGCAGACTAACCCACACAGGAATTGCCTCTGAGAAGGAGCACGCGAATCTCATCGGTGAGCTTTGAACCACTTCTGACTGACGACATCCAGAACTCGCGCGTGTTTATCTGAAGAAGCCCCACACCCTCAAGATCTTTTGTGTGGCTGCCAGCGGCGGTGAGTCCCCAACACGCGACAAGCCGTATACTCATGAGGAGGCGCTCCCAGCTCAGACACCACCGAGGCCAAACTCCTCAAGAGGTGCGATCCGGGTGGCAAGTCGACTATCGGTATGTTCTCCACTTGCCACAGCTGTAGAGCTGACGTCAGGCCTCATCCCCAAGGCGGACAAGCTTGACAACGTGTCCGAGGACGAGTGGGGCGACTTAATTGCTGGCGACAACCAGAACTTTGCGTCGTTCCAGCCCAAGTTTGGCTGGTGGCCGACTCGCTTTCGCACCGGTAAAGAGGCCAACCTCACGGACCAAGCTCTCAACGCCGTCGAGGCACAGATGTTTGCCCAAGACGACTGGTGCAAGGTCGCCGAGAGGACCGGCAAGACTTTTGGCTGGCGTGCCGTTGAAAGAATCATCATGAACTTTTACATCAAGGAGGTGCGAAAGCAGTGAGTCAACAAGAGACGTAGGATGTTTCGGTTGGTGCTGGGTTACTCACGATCAGCATGCAAGAACTGGCTCCTCGTGTCACCCGCCTTCTCACGGACACCGGCACCCAGCTCGACAAACTGGCTCCCGAGATTTCCAATGGCGTCGAGGTCCTCCACTGCGAGGTCATCCCCAAGATCGCCGACAGGCTCCGCCAGGCCATCAACTCCAGCGCCGCCGGCTCTGACCTTCTCGTCCAGCTGCAGGCCGACTTCCGCAATAATCTCCATGACACGGTCCCAGAATTCGTTCCGTTCCTCAAAGAGCACCAGCAGGAGGGGATGACCTACGAGCCGTTCACGACCAGCGGCTGGCCAACTTGCCGGTCCATCGAAGACCGGATCCACATGAACGAGATTCATCAGCAGTACGCCACGTGAGTACTCTGCGAGGGCTGGCTGCTTGCTTATACGTGCGCAGTTACTTCAGGAGACGGATGGGTTGTATTGACACGCCGGCTATCGAAAAGCTCCTGAAAGGCAAACACTCTGGGAAGTGGCAGGAGCTGTGCACCCGCTACAACGACGCCGTCTGGGATTCCGTCATCAACTTGGTGTCCGAGGTCGTCACCGAGGTCTGCGCTCAGAAATCTGGAGCCGCTGAAGTCGCCATGTGAGTTATCGTGCGTGTCATCGCTGACAGGGTGTTCAGTGAGACTCTCACATTGCTCACGGAGGGGTTCAAGCAGCAGGCCAACAACCTCATCAAGTGGCGCTGTGGACGCGAGCTGGACGACCCTGCAAACATCGAGCACCGCACCGCCAAGTTTTGGCAGGAACAAGAAGCTGCTGTGGGCCATTACCAAGCCCAGCACCTCAAGATCTACCGCCAGAGTGCAGGTAGCAGTCCCCAAAGCCAGTCTGGTTCGCGTCATGGAATCCACACACCTGGGGCCTCCCGCCGCCCCTCAGCCTCCGTCCAAACTCACCACACGCCGGACGGCAGTGCTAGGATCCCCGATATCGACACCCATCCGTTCGAGTGGGCGATCGATTTCGCCAGCAACCTTATCGCCACGGGCGTCGCAGTCGTCGCTCAACTGGTGTGCAGCACCCGTCGTCTTGACTCCACCGTCGGGCCGGACATCCAGCGCCTCGTCCAGGACTTCCTCAAGCAGGTTCCCTACCGTCTTCTCCAGGCGTTCGACCTGGACCACGTCGAGGCGCCCGTTTCCAAGCGTGCCCGCGATGTCTGCGAGCCGGACGCCGAGACCGTCCGCCAGCGTGACGCCTTGAAGAGGCAGCGCACTCGTCTTGAGGAGATCAGGTGAGTCTTCGAAAGGGTGACATCAGAGCTGACATTGTTAGCCAGATGCTCCAGCGCAAGTAGCTGTGGAGTAGGGTTAATGGATTGCGAATAGGTTTGATTTGCTTGGGGTAGTTTTGTGGTCGGGACGCGCTGGTCGCGTGTGTTATATAGAACCACAACATATGTGCATCTACTACGCCTAGTACGCGGCCGCGGCAACAAGCTTGGTAAGCTCTGTAGAAAAAAAGTCAGCATTGGGAAACAGAGGCAGGCAGTCAGACGCACGCTTAAGCTCAACGTTCTCCTTCACGACACCGGCCTTGACGTCGTTGTCACCGTTGGCGGGGACAACAGCGACGTCGCCGTCAATCTCCCAGCCGGCCTCCTTGGCCCAAGCGGGGACCTCGGCGGCGGGCAGGTCGAGCCAGCGGGCGAGCTGGGAGACACGGACGCGACGGAACGAGGCAGCGATCGACGAGGCAAACTGGGCACGGAGCTCGGGGACCAGCCCCTTGTACGCCGGGAAGTAGTTCTGGTTCGAGTGCAGGGCGTTGGCGGCGTCGCTCGAGCCGTTGAACTCGGACCAGAACTTGGTGAACTGGCATGACCGCACGAGCTCGTGCAGGTTCTCCAGGAAGGGCATGACGGCAATGAGGGTGTCGTCCTCGGACTCAATGTCGTGGAGGATCGCGGAGGGTTCCCTCAGGAGGGCAAGGCAGAGGTTGAAGTCGGGGCCGTGGACAGTGGCAGCGAGCGACTTGGTGAGGATCATAATGATCACGTCGGGGTTGGAGAGCTGGGGGTTGAACTGGTAGCTAAAATAGAAGGTTAGTGACGGCGGCGGCGGCGGCGGCAATGATGATGGGTAGTCTCATTGTGACGGCCTTGCAATACGCACAGCTTAAGGACAGCAAGGTTGGCGAGGAGGTCGTACTCGCTGTTGGTAACCTGCGACTGGAGGTACTCCTCCATGAAGCTAAGGTTGGAAGGGTTATACCTGTCTGTAGGGAAGTCGTCAGTTCAATGATCGCGTGGCCGAGAAGCGGCAAAGAGAGAGGGGAGAAGGGGCAAAGGGGTGACGCACCGACACCGTGGATGAGCTCATGGATGACCTCGGTACGGCTCTCGGGGGTGTGCCACTCCTTGAGGGCCTTTGCTGGGACGGGGGAGGTCGAGGTCGCCATCGTGGATGCTGTCGGCGACGTTTTGGGTGCTGTATGCAGTCTCGGAGTCGTTTGAACAATGCTGCTCAACGAAAGGAGGGACGCTTTTGCATTGATAAGGTGGCAAACAATTACAACACAATTACAACACGTCATTGAAGCCACGCGTCTCCAGTCGCGCGCCGGCTCACTCGGCGGCGCGTGCAGTATGACGACGCCGACAACACAAACCGCAATCGTTGTCCTCTCCATTCCACTCGTCCGACACAGCATGCCCAGTCCGACATGACCACACCAGAGATACCCCTCGGAGCCCGTGTCGCCGTCAAGGCTGGCGTAGGCTATGTGCGTTGGACAGGTGTAAATCCCTCGTTTTCGGAAGGCAAATGGGTCGGCGTCGAGCTGTGAGTTGCAGTCAGGCTACAAGACTGTTTGGTCAACCTTGCTAAACGTGACAGCGAAACACCAACCGGAAAGAACAATGGTTCAGTCCAGAACGAGCAGTACTTTGACTGCAAGCAAGGCTATGGAGTGTTTGTACGCCCAAGCCAGGTCACTGTCATCGACATGGCCCCCGCGCCACCAGCACCGCGAGCCGTGAGTTGGGCATGGACTGTTGGGCATACATGACCCGTATCGCAGACCCAGCTGACACCCACAGCCTCGACCATCGCTAGCTCCAAGGACCCCAGGAAGCGCAGCTGCCTCGCGTCTCTCGTCAGCCGGTGCGTCACGCGCATCGACTCCCGGTTCGCGCAACACCACGTCCACTCCAGCTTCACGTGCAGCGTCCGGAGCGGCTCGGCGCCCGCCCATCGAGACGCCCAGCCGGTCTGTTTCTGCTGCTTCTCGAACATCAGCAGAGAAGACCACGCCTCCTCGTGCAGGATCTGCTGCGAGCCAGGGCACCGTCAAGCGAGTGGCAGCTTCATCGACTGCTGCGCGCACGGGCCGTCCGTCGGTGGCACCTGGCACCCGACCACCGCCGGTGTCCGCCTCAGCCGTCACGCCAAAGGCCCGTAGACAGTCGACCGTGTCGTCGATTGCGAGCCCCACCCCATCAGCAGCGGCCTTGCCACACTCGGCCAGGCCACCATCTACTATCTCCCTCGCTTCAGCTGCTAGCGTCGAAACAGCCGCGCAGAGGCGTCAGTCGACATCCTCGTCCCGCCTCGCCTCACCGCTTCACCAACCCGCTGCCGAGTTGCGAGACCCAGATGCTCTGGCCATGCCACCTCCCCCATTGCCTGTTCCTCAGTCGCCGGTGCGGGGAGGACTGGGTCTGGTGCCCGCTTCGCCAGCGCGCAGCACAGCGTCCTCAGTCCCTTGGTCACCAGCCAGGTCAGCATCTGGCACAGGCGTTCCTGCCTCACCATCGCGCAGTGCCATCCCTTCATCTCCCACGCGTCGTACCTCGACATCTCTCCCAGTCCCACAGTCGCCAGTGCGCACGAGTTCGCCCGGCCACATTCCCGTACCTTCGTCTCCTTCACATCGCGCCGTCTCGCCCATCTCTGAGCGCGGCACCCTTTCCGTGTCCGACCCCAACAAGCCGGTCACATTCACTGGTGGCGCACCCCTGTCACCTAGAGTTTCTCCCCGACAGCCACTCGCACTCTCGGTTCGTTCGACAAGTCCAGACCGCGAGACAGCGGCAGCTGTGTTTGCTCAGAAACGTGAGCTCGACGAGTTGCGCATCAAAGTGCGCCTCCTCGACACGCGCCACAACGAGGACCTGGACAAGATCAAGGTGCTCGAGAAGAAGGCGACCGACGCAGACCAGCTGCACGCAGTCCGTGCCAAGCTTCAGACCAAGTTTCAGGAGCAGCAGGCTGTCCTCGTCAACTCCCAGCGTCTCGCGCGTGACCTCCAGTCGGAGAATGCCCACCTCGAAACGCGTGCACACGAAGCCATGGAGCAGCTCGAGATGGCCACTCTGGACCGCGAGGTTGCAGAGGAGAAGGCCGAGGCTGCCGAGTCTGATCTGTCACGGATGAGCGAGAAGGTCGCCGAGCTGGAGATGGAGGTCGCTGTGCTCAAGGAGGAAAATGGTACGTTGCCGTTCTGTGTCGTAGCTGACCACAACAGCGGAATACGAGAAACCCATCTCAGGCGTCGAGGGTACCGAGCGTTCATCTCTCGCATTCGTGCAACTTGAAAAGCACAATGAACGCTTGAAAGAAGCACTCATTCGGTATGTTACGCCAAGCCAGGTACAAGCTAACTTCGCAGCCTCCGCGATGTCACTTCAGAGTCGGAGAAGGAGCACCGCACCAAAATCACCGACTTGGAGAAGGAGCTCGCCTCGCAGGAGGACCTGCAGAGCCGTCTCAACCTGACTGAAGCCAGGCTGTCCAGCAGCGAGGAGCAGGTTCAGGACCTGAAGCAGCAACTTGATGACGCACTTGGTGCCGAGGACCTTCTCGAGGAGCTCACCGAGCGCAACCTCCAGATGAGCGAGCGTCTCGAGGAGATGCACGCCACGATCGAGGACCTTGAGGCCCTCAAGGAGCTCAACGACGAACTCGAGGAGAACCACGTCGCCACTGCCAAGCAGCTTGAGGAGGAGATTTCTGTTATCACCAGCAAGCTGCGTGACGAGACGGGCCGTTCTGGTGACCTCGAAGCAGTCGTTGTCGACATGGAGGCTACTATTGGTCAGTTCCGCGAGCTTGTGGCCAACCTCCAGAGCGAGATCGACACCCTTCGTGTCCTCCAGGCCACGCAGGAGTATGAGTCTGCGACTGCCAGCAAGGAATCGCAGACTCTGATGAACCTCAACCTCAAGCTGCAGTCGTCGGCTGCCAAGACCCAGAGCAAGACAATTGACCTGGAGCTCAAGAAGCTCGAGGCCGCTCAGCTTACCGAGCATCTGCGTATTGTCCAGGCCTACCTTCCCGACCCCTACCTGGAGACCGAGGCCGACTCGACGACCGCTCTCCTTTTCTTCTACCGCGTGGCGTCCAAGGTCGACATGCTCATCAACGTCATCTCTCACCTGCACGGTCTCCCTGCGGCGCTCCACAGCGTTCAGTCCGAGGCTCTTGTCGGTGTGTGCGAGCTGCGCGGCAAGCTCCACCACTTTGCAACTCTCAACCGCCGCTTTGCTGCCGTCATGCGCAGGGCGTCGCCCGATGACTGGGTATCGCTCGGCCGCGTCGTCGGCGAGCTTACCGGCGTCGAAACTCGCGTTGACGGCTGGGTTGGACTGGCAAAGGCGGACACGTTCAACGAAGGCGACTGTGCTCGCGAGCTCGTCGCTTTAATCGCTCAGTTCAACCACCTCGCCGAGGTCATGTTCAACCACCCGGGTCTGGACGCTGCCGAGCAGCAGCTTGACCTCGCATACAACTTTGACGACGACCTGGACAACTTTGCTGCTGCTGTCGGCTTTGTCCGCCAGGCCGTCGTTACCCTCATCAACGACGGCGACATTGATGTTGAGGTTGGAGAGTCGACTCTCGAGGAGGCCGTCTACGAGCCCGTTCAGCGTATCCTCAACCAAGTCCGTGCTGTCAAGGCCCCCGCAGGCAAGCTCGTGTCCGTGGTCGAGGAGGCCGTCGCTGCCGAGGCTGCCCTTCTGCCCGAGTTTACGGCTGCTCTCGGTGACCTTGTCAACTCGGTCTCGCACGCTGTCGACCTTGCAGTGCAGGTCGCCCAGCGTATTGGCGAGCACATTGCGTCTGTCCGCGCGTCCAAGGAACCGTTGCGTCTCGATGACATTGTCAAATTCCTTGCCGAGGTTACCAACCAGGCCAACGCCGACCAGCCGCCATGGGACGTCATTGGTGCCTTTATCACACGAATTGGCACTGACCTGGCCGACACGTTGCCCAAGTTCCGCGGTGCCGCCAAGGCCAGCCAGACTGTGTCACTTGCTGCTTCCCCGCCCTGGCTTGCTCGCGTCGCTTCCATCAAGCAGGCCGCCACGCACAGTGCCGAGGCAGAGCACAAAGTGTCGCGTCTGTCCGAAGAGCTCAAGGAGATGCTGCGCGAGATCAAGATCCGTGACCAGAGCTTGCAAGAGTCTGGTGTTAAGATCGAGACACTCGAGCACCGCCTCGAGGCATCGCGCAGGCAGGCGGACATGATCCTGGAGCTGGAAAACGATATTGCCAAGTCCAAAAAGCAAGAAAAGGTCTACGAGGAAGCCATGGAGCAGCTCCAGGCCGAATACGACACGCTCGAGGCAGAAAACGCACGTCTCCGCAAGAACCGTGGATCGAACACCGATTCGCCTTCTGCATCGGCCTACGGCGAAATGCCTCTCCAGTCCCCGTCAGCGGTTGAAGCGACCCACCTGGTCGAGCAGATTGAGGCTCTCCGTGGCGCCGTCCGGTTCCTGCGCTCCGAGAATGCTCTCCTCAAGTCGCGCGACATGTACGACGACATCAACATGCTCGCTCCGCTCCGCACCATCAGTGTGGCTCCTCTCCCGCCTCTCCCTGCCCTGCCGGCTCTCCCACCCCTGCCCGATCTGGTGGGTGGCAAGAAATCCAGCCAGTCCTCTGGCAAGGCAGACGACGACAGCGACGCAGAGTCCGAGGGCCCCGTCACGCCGCGTACGTCTTCCATCCGCCCCGATGCCAGACAGGCACTCGACACCGAGTCCAAGCTCCTTCTCCGCGAGCTGGCAAGGTACAGCGCTGCGCCGCGCATTGTGGATATTTCGGGTCTTGGAGCTGGAGGTCCCGCGTGGCGGAGCAGGAAGAACTCGCCCGAAGCACAGGTGTTCCGTTGGGCCAACGAGAGGCGTGCCCTTGAGCAACGCGTCGAGGACCTGGGTGCGCGCGTGAGAGCCTTGAGGCGATGAAGGAAAGGCCAGTAGATGGGCGACGACGTGTAAAGTAGAGACCACTACACCGTAGATAGTACACTTTTGAAATGCATATATTACGACCCTCCGGCTACAAGGCAACTAACTACCTCTTCTTGTACACGCACGCACGGAGGATGCTCTCGCCCTCGGCGATACGCTCGTCCCATCCAGGCTCACCACGGGCAGGGCCCTGCGGCACTGTGGCGCGCTTGACGAAACGGAACAAGGTAAAGTGGGTGCTGGGCTCCTCCTGGCTCTCGAGAGTGAGGCCAAACGAGGCGACGGTGCGCACAAAGGCCTCGGTGTTCACAAAGCGGGACGTGACCTCGGCAATGTGGAATGTACCGCTGGGAAGATGTCAGTTGTAGCGCAATGGGTGGCAAAGTGTTTTGAACTAACCCGTGCTTCAACACGCGGACGGCCTCGTACACGCCTCCAACCCAGTTGGTGCCCATGAGCGAGAGACAGCAGACGACGACATCGACAATCTCCGCCGCGTGGCTGCGACCCTTCTTGCTCTCCTTCTTGGCCCACTTGCTCTCCTCGACCGTGTGCTCCACTCCACCGGGCCGGCCGGGCAGAGGGACGCGCGAGAGGAAATCGGCCTCGACGACCCATCCCTCACCAGCGGTACCGGCGGCACCGCCCGATCCGACAACCGCCGCGTCCTCGCCACCCACGCCCGAGTCGCCGACGAGGTCGTACGAGAGCACAACCTTGCCCTGCGGCACGAGCGCGCGAGCGAGGCCGGCGTCACCACAGCCCAGGTCGGCGATGACGGTGCCGCGGGGGAGCGGGGCGAGGAGGGAGACAATGTGCGGGAGAGGAGGCGAAGGCCAGCCGGCCGTGAGCTGGCGGTGCGTGTTGTGGTACTGTTGTTGTCAGCTTGCGATCCTCTTATTGGAGCTCACGTCGGCAAAGATCTTGGGGTCCTTCTTCATCATGGCCACGGCGTCGGTCGAGGGAGTCGAGTACAGCTGCTCGTTGATCCAGCGGAAGCGGGCGCCCTCGAGCTTGGAGCGCATCTGGCGCTGCATGTCGGTCAGTCCGGCGTCTGAGACTTCGGCAGTCGGGATCTCGGGCATGGGCAGCTCGACGGGAGCCGGGCGGTCGCCCTTGGACTTGGACTTGGACTTATTGTCCTTGCCCTTGCCACCCTCAGCCTGCTTGCCCTTTGTCGGTGTCGACTTTGGCTGGTTCTGCTGCTGCTGCTGCTGCTTCTTGGGCTGGTTCTGTTGAGGCTTGCCGCCCTTGCCGCCGGCGTGCTGCTGCTTGCCCTGCTTGCCCCTTGGCGAGGGCGCGGGCTCGTCGTCAAACGCGCTCTTCCTCTTCTTGCCCATCTGGCCGAGACTCTCGCGGCCAATCTTCTCCTTGATCTCGCCGCGGTCGAGCTTGTCCATGAGCTTGGAGAGGTTGGCCGTGGTCGACCGGAGCTGGTCCTCCTTGCCGCCGAGGCTGGCGCGCTTGCGCTTGCTGGCCCCCGTGGGGTTACCAAGACTGGCCGTCTTGGAGGGTCCAGGCAGGCCAGCGTCGAATGCTGAGGGGAAGAGCGACATTGTGGGTGTGGTAAATGAGGTCGTTGGTTGTAAATATCGCTTCAGATATTGAGAGATGGACCGGAAATCTTGGACTCGTTGGGGCCCCGAGCCAAAAGACTGCCACACGCCTATTGCCGTAATCTCCGGGGCTTGGATGTTGTTTGCCACCCATTTCGTCAAGTCCGCCATCCAAGCCAAGGAGCGGACCATCCATCGTCCACTGCACGTCATCCGGCGCGTGTAGAGACACAAAGCAAACACAATGGGTGAGTGCTACAAGGTGTAGCGTATCCGGATGTGTCCAGTGCTGACGCTCCTCCTCCACAGATTACCAAGTGCGTCGACCCTCGGAGCTCTCCCGCCGCGTCTGTCCAAAACAATTGCTGACCATCAGAACCGTGCAGGTGCCAACAAGGGTGGTGGCGGTGTGGCCGGCTCGTCCGAGTCGGCGATTGACCGTCGTGAGCGTCTCCGCAAGCTGGCAATGGAGACGATCGACCTGGCCAAGGACCCCTACATCCTCCGCACGCACCTGGGCACCCTCGAGTGTCGTCTCTGCCTGACGCTGCACGTCAACGAGGGCTCGTACCTCGCCCACACGCAGGGCAAGAAGCACCAGACCAACCTCGCGCGTCGTGCAGCAAGGGATAACCACGATGCCATCCTTGCCGCGCCGCCACCGCCGGCGACGACGGTGCGCAAAAAGGTCTTTGTCAAGATTGGACGACCGGGTTACAAGATTGTCAAGATTCGCGAGCCGGTGACCCAGCGCCTGGGTTTGCTGTTTACCATCTCCTTGCCCGAAATCAAGGACGGCGAGCGGCCCCGGAGGCGCTTCATGTCGGCGTTTGAGCAGAAGCGCGAGATTCCCAACCGCGCGATTCAGTACATGGTGGTGAGTCCTGATGGGCCTTGCAGAGACGCGCGCGAGCGCTCCCGCTTGAGTGGCTACTTTCCTTCCCTTGCGGTGGAATAGGTTGCTGACAGACAGATTGCGGCCGAGCCGTACGAGACGATCTCGTTTGCCATTCCAGCAAAAGACATGGCCGACGAGGAGGAGGACCCAGACTCTGTATGGGAGCACTGGGACGCAGACGACAAGGTGTACAGCTGCCAGCTGCTGTTCAAGTAGACCTAGACCGTGACATGCATTGTATCAGGTACATCAAGATCGACGTCTGGAGCTACTCCAGGCCGCGCTATGGCGGTGGTGTGAGGCGCTTTCCTGCTCGGCAAGCCCCTCAAGAGCTCAGAAATTGGACACGCGCTTTGCTTCCTGGAGATCTGGAGATTGCGGCGAGAAGGTCGTCTCCGAGGTGAGCATCGTCCACTTGCTTATTGTGGGTAGAATGTGAACCGCCAAAAATGGTCGTTTGACGTCGTCTCGGAAGATATGATGGCTAAGCATGGCCTCGTTTGCTGAAGGGACGCGAACGCCGGTGCCAAACCCTTTGTTGTCTTGTTCCTCGCACCCAGTTGGATCCTAGAAGGCCCGTTCGTACTGTAACTCAGGTGCGCAGTACCAAACAGTGCAAAGCGGTCCTGGATGTAGACTGGGCCCAATCGTCTCTAACAAGACGGGACATGCCAGGAATCGGGCACATGAGTAGATGCTCTCCAGTTCCCCCCCTCTCTCTCCCATTCTCTGTGTGTGTGTTGCAGATCACCCATAGGATCGTCAGTGGCGGAAGGAAGGGTCAGAGATCTCCTACAGACGAAGTTTCAATAACTCAGACATGATGGACTGCGGACCAGTCGCTGTATTGCTGTGTGACCCCCAATCTTGAAGCACATGGCCCCTCCCACCGCCCCATCGTCATAGTGGTCGCTGAGGCAGTTCACACGCAGTTCTCGCCCTGCTACGCGAGCAGATGTGTTCCAAGCCATGTCTCTGTACCATACATGCGCATTTCTGACTTTGAACAAGGTCGCGGGTAGCGTCTCTGTGAATGATTTGTGGATCTGTGGCGGCACATCGGATCATGGAGTAAGGTATATGGCCATGAGGGCAGGAACCGAGTCGCCTCTAGGGTCTTGGTCGACTGACCGAATCTCGACCCAAATTACGGTGGTAAGGCGCCTCTCTCCGGCGCTGCAAAGTCGTAAACATACCTGATCCTGAAGCATGTGTGTGTCTTCGTTCCACCAGTAGGAAGGGACCACAAGCTCACAAGCAATGGATGGGACGGAGGCAGTGGAGTCAAACTGCGCATATAGATGCAGAGAGGGGTGGTTACTGTTCCAGGAGCTATTTTCAGCGTTTTTCCGACGCCACCAAACGTTCGCGTCGCCTGGGTCACATCTGGCCACTGGAGACTGCACTGCGCCAGGTTCGTCCACTCTTGGGACATGACGTACACTGGGTTTGCGAGCGACACAGCCCGCAGACACACGGACCCAGTCGCGCCTGCCTCAAGAAGACTAGCGATGCCTTGAACAGGACAGGGCCGGCAGAGGCCAAGAGGTATAAGAGTCGCCCCAGGCCAAAAGACGCCGCCTGACCCACACTCCCAAACAACCCTTCAACCGACCCCCACCAAGCACCACACCCCAGTCACAACCATGCCTGCCGAGTCCAACGTTGTGTCCCAGCCCGCCGCACAGAAGTCGATGGGTGAGTCGTTTCTGGCCAGACCAGCGCCTCTACCACGTCCTTTGCTTTGATTCGTGGCGGGAGTAATCCCCAGTGGCGGAGAGGCGAACGAACGAGTGCCAGTTGTTGTGGCGGCGCGTCATATCAACCCCCCCTCCTCTTCCTTTCCCAACTAACCACCGCACACAGTCGCCAGCAAGCCCGCCGAGTCCAAGGCCAGCGAGCAGGAGCAGACCACCAAGCCCCTCCGTCTCCGTGGCGGTCTCGGACCCTGCTGCGCCATGATCGACGCTTGCGTGAGTACTCTGCCATGTTGGTGCGCTGCCACATCGAAAAATACGGTTCCGCTTGTTTTGGTTTTGCTGCAGTACTGACCTCCCCATCTCCAGCTCTGCTGCTGTGCCCTCGAGGAATGCTGCTGCTGTGGTGTGAGTATCGCAGAGACCGCGCACTTGCCCCCCCTCCCCCGGGCACGCAGGCGTACTGGTCGCTGTTGTCAGTGTGCTGACGCCCTCAGATTGCCGAATGCTGTTAAACAGGGGTCCACCAAAAGCTGCCATCAGCTCTCGCGGCCGTTGCCACACACGACAGAGACCACACCGATCAGCGCGCGTCGCGAGGGGCTGTAGGGCCCGATGGAATAGTAAATCAGGCGCGAATCCTTCCTCTAACACGTATTCGACAAGGACCTGCCTAGTAGAGTTGGGGAATAAACAAAGCCCTATATGCATGTAGTAGTGTGTCGTGGTGGTGCTGTGTGCCTGTGAAGTTGCTATCTCTCTACCTAAGTTGCCCTGCCTGTCTGCCTGCATGCTATACGCGTCCGTCACTCGTGGGACCACTCTCATGCGTCTCGTCATGTCATGTCACCGTCGAAACCCTAGTCGTCAATGACGATCACGTCGTCTGCGCTCGTGCCTCCCGCACCTCCGCTCGTGCTTGCCCCGTTTGCGGCCGTCTCGCCCACACGCGCGCGCTTGGATCGGCGTGGTGCGCTCGAGGTGCCGTTGGGCCCACTGTCGCCCGTAACCTCCACATCGTCGTCATCGTCCGCGAGGTTGATGGGCTCGCCCACACGCGACCCGGCACCGTCGGTGGGTGCCGAACGGCGCGTACCAGCCAGTTGTGGAGGCGGTGTGGGGTCGCCGTTTGTTGGACGCTGGATCGCGCGAGGTCGGGATCCCGAGGCGCGGTTGGCAGCTGGTTCTGGTGCAGGAGGAGGCGGGGCAATGGTCTCGGTCCTGGGGAGTGCGTACCTGGCTGTCAGCAAAGCTTCGTCCAACCGCCATGTCACTCACATCTTGACCCATTCACGGGCGGTCTGGTCGTGCTTTTTGCGATTCTTCTTGTACTCCTGGGCAATGGAGGGCACGAGAGGGTCGGCCGGGTTGGGATCGGTGAGAAGGGAGGAGAGGGAGAGGACGACCTTGTAGAGGGATAGAGCCGGGGACCATGCCGTCTTCAAGAGCTGCGAGATGTTAGTACATCCATAGCAAAGGGGTAGGGAAGGGAGGGGTGGTCCAGAGGGAAGGCGGGAAGGCACACCCGTCAATGTGACGAGGGAAGGCGGCATGGCATCACTCACATCAAGACCTGGACTGTTAGCTGCCGCTCGCATTCTGGTGTAACTCACAGATAGCACCCGTGTGGGCAATGTTGCAGTGATACACCTTGGTAAGGAACTGGAGTTGGGGTGGAGAAAAGCTAAGCATCAGCATCAACCCTGGGCAATCACGAGACGCACGGATAGTCATCTGGCACGCGAATGTCAACGTCGAACACGCCGCCTTCGTAAGGAGAACCGGTGGGACCAGGGAGTGTCGCGCGCCATTGGAAGATGTTGGACTCGTTGGGGGTAAGGGTGATTGCACCAAGGTTCTCGCGCGCGAGGTCGGCGATCTGGAACGGTGGTCAGCGGCGCTCGTGACTGTGACGGGTGGCAACAGCCATGCAAACAAGACGCTGTTGTGGGGAGCTCACCTCTTTGCGTATGCGCTTTGCGGCCATCTGGAGCGTCAGAACAGACGCGTGAGAGTTGCTTACGCCGTTGGTTCCTGCTCCTGCAGGACGTCTGGCAGCCATGTCGTCTGGTGTGTGGGTGTGTGTTGGTGGTTGCAAGAGTTGTTAGCGAGCGGCCCGATTTCAGATGACTGGGTCTGAGCAAGCGTCACAGTCGCGCAGGGGCGGAATCAAAACAAGCGCGATGTCACGGAGATTGTAATATGTCCATGTTACATATATTACGTAATGACAATTGGTTTAATATTACGTAACATTTTATTGCCACTGCATTACGTAATTGGAATTTTTGGCCTTGTTTCGTTGTCCATTAGCCCTTGCTTTCTAATCACCCCCACCAAGCGAGGAGCAAGGAACAAGGACGCTTAAGGACGCCGCGGGCAAAGGTCAAGACCGGTGGATGTGCCCCTTGACTGCGACTTTGACAGGTCTCCTGGTAACTAGTGTGGAATGGCGACTGGCAAGCGAACAGCCAGTGGAATGCTTCTCGATGGTCAGCCCCACCGCGGGTCACCTGCGCTGTGTTGTATAAAACGCCCGCAAACTTCGGGTTGCAGAACTTTCCGCTGATCCGTCTGATCGTCGACTGGAGGGGGATAACCAAACATGTATCGGACCCCTCTCTGGATCTCTGGACATCTGGACCTCGTTCCAGCGAGATCCCAAATGCTCCGCTTCTTGCCTGCAGCCTGTGTTCTTGCTGCCGGTGTGCGTGCTCTCCCCCTGTCGTCACAAGTGTAGGTTGGGATGTGGTGCGTTTCGGTATTTCAGTTTGAGGACGCGCAGGGAAAAAGCCTGTCGCGCGGTTGTTGTCCACCTGCTGCTCGACGGTGTTTTGTGTACGGATGTCTAAGGTCTTTGACTGTACTAGCGCGGGTGTGGCGCAACCTACAACGAGCACCGAGGCATGGATCTCGCACTCTCTGCTTCGATCACCCGCTGGGGCCGGCCGCTGGACCCTCTTCACATGTCGGAGGCCGGAGGGAAGGGCTCCTGGACGGGATCCATGCTTAAAGGGACAAAATACGGGCATGACCGAGTAGTCGTTACGGTCGTCACGAGCACCCATCCATGCACAGAGAGCGAGAGATCGAGATCCTTGGGAATTGGGGGATCGGCCTGGACGGGTATTGTTTGGCCGTTCTCTCGTAAGGACAAGCAAGGTTTGGGACATGCTGCGAGTGAGTCATTGGATCACTGGCCCACTGGCCACAGTGGGCCACTGGAAGGGCTGTGCCAAAGCAACGGCGACGACTACCTAGGCACCGAAGCTGTCGACGCGAGGACGGGCACACCTCTATCACAGAGCTGCCGCAGCATGACGCTGCTGCACCTGCTGGCCTGCTGTTAACGGGGGTCCAGTGTGATTGTTTGTGTCTTGCGCATTGTCGGTTATTATGCGCAATAAAGGCTGCCCCCCCAGGGCGCGCCTCGTATAACCTTTTACGCGTCGGGCGATTATAGTCCTGGGCGTGTGCGTGTGCAGGGACCCAAAAGCCAGAGGGCCCCATCGTTGGTCTGATCTTTGCGGCCGTTCCGTCTCTGCTGCACATGCATGTGTTCTGGAAAAGAGAGGCACAGGCCACACTGGCCCACTGGTGCACTGGTGCACAGGCCGGCCACAGGTGCAGACAGGTGCAAACAGACAGGTGTGCGCCGGTGCAGTCCTTTGATCCTTTGACCGTCCCGTGGGTGCCTGTGGTCCCTCCCGAGGCCCGACTCGGGCGTGGCGCACGGCCCTTGCAGGATCCCGTCCTCGTAAAGTAAATCGGCACAGACACTGGACGCAGGTACGCAGGACGACATCTTGGCGCGCGCGCAAATGGAGAGTGGGGAGTGGGGTCGCTCGCCCACAGGCCACACAGACACCCCGCGCTGCTGCCGTGCATTCGTTGCATTCTTGAAACTTCTCTTCAACACATATACAACATACACGCATACACACACACGTCATGAGGCGCGCGCTGCTTGCTCTCGCTGCCATCGGCATCAGCACTGTTCACGCCCTCACCGGACAGTGGGCGTGTGCAGACGTGAGTTACAAGCCCCCCCCGGAAATAAACGCGAGGCTGGTGCTAACCCGATCTCTCTCTAGGAACTGTGCTTGACAGCGACGCGCGACAATGGAATCGACACTTGTGAGTAACAAGGAACAACATACCTTTCCATTTGGTGGCAAAAGCTCTCTATGCCAGACGACATTGGCGTATGCTGACCCGACCACAAGATACACTTCAACCCGTGGCCGACATTCCCCACAGCCACTTTGGATGGATGGCAGTGGGATGGGGCGCGCAGATGAGTGAGTCGGAGTGGCGACGGGCAAATATCGATGGGAAATCCGCTAATGTTCAGTCGGCTCCCCGATGGTCATCGTATGGCCCAATGAGGACGGCACTTTTACCTTGAGCCAGCGTCAAGCAATCCATCACCAGGAGCCACCTCGTGAGCTAGGCGGCAAAATCTCCCCCCAAGCTGACCATTATCAGTGGTCGCATCCCCACCCAGGACAGCCACGCTCGAGTCTGACCTGTCATGGTCCAACGACACCAGCACGAGTATCACGTTCACGATGCCGTCCAACTCTGACAACACGACGAGCTTCATCTGGGCACTGTCCAACACCAACCCGGCCAACAGCGACCCAGGTGCCAACCTCATCGAGCATACATGGCGAGGTGTCATTTTCGCGTCCATGGAGGCCGACTGGACTGGCAACAGGATCCAGATGAGCAGCAAGTTTGACACACACAGCCCGGCCAATACCAAGAGTGGTAAAGCCTCGTTTGCGCTCATTGCACACATTACGTGCGGCGTGCTGGCCACCATGATGGTGTTGCCTGGTGGTGTTGTTGTCCCACGCATTACCCGCGGCCTGACAACGTCAAACTGGTGGTTCCGGTTCCACCAGATTTCCCAAGGTATCTGCGCAATTGCGCTCATCGCTGCCGGCTTTGGCATCGCCCTGAGGTTTGGCGGTGAGCTCGACAGCACGCACCGCAAGACTGGCGTTGCGCTCTTCGCCCTCACAATCGTGCAGATCCTCCTCGGCCTCTTTGCCCATTACTACACGCCCGGCTGGCGCGTCCGCCGGTTCGTTTTTGAGACCAAGCGCGGCCGTGGGCCCAGCAACTTTTTGCACGTCATCATGGGCGTGATCATTGTCGCCGTGGGCTGGAGTACCTGCTGGACGGGCTTGACAGACGAGTGGCACCGCCGCGGCCACGGTATCCCCAAGAATGGCTTCCGCATTGGCTGGGGCATGATCATCATGCTGTGGATCGCCGCCTATTTCCTGGGCATCATATTTCTCCTCCCTCGCCAGCTCCGTATCGAAAGCAAGCAGCGCGACGAGATGCGCAAGTACGAAAACAACGAGGTGTACCGTAACAGCGCCGTCGCCCTCGCCAACGAGTACTACATGGAAGAGCGTGGCGTCAAGGTATTCTCCCCAACATCCGACATGCACCAGCTCTCGCCCGAGGTCCACGGCAACGGCAACGACCTCCCACGCTCGCCCACCCACTCGCAGTACACGTTCCAGTCGTACCCGCGCTCGCCCGAGACGAGCCCTTCTCAATTGAACATTTCGTCCTTTGGCAACTCGTCGTCTACGTACTTTGGCCACTTTGCCGCACCAGGCGCGCCAGCCCCGCCCAACCCTTCAAGACCAGAGGGTCTCGACGGCGGCTCGGTGGAGCACGACCCACCCGCCACAAACCTCTCGGCCAACCTCTCGGCCGTGACCATCCCCATCACGCTCGCGCCGTCCAAGGCCGTCAGCCCGCCCCCGCCGCCCAGGCCACCCAGGCAGCACAACTGGAATCTTATGAAGAATAAGATCTAAACGAGCTTCCCCACCACCACCACCACCACATTTCCTTTTTTTTCTCCTTTAACGATCGATCCCAAAGTCGAGACCAGGCTCGCCGTAATGAATCCCACAGGAGTCACCCAACACACCCCCATCCCCAAGCGTGTCGTGCGGGACCAACCTCCTTGTATAATAAATACCATGCAGACACGTAAGAATACAGAAAAAAAACAAAAGAGCAACAGATAGGGAGAGGCAGTTAATTGTCCATGAGGTGCGCGGCATTGGCAACAACACCCTCGGCGCGCTTGTTGTTCTTTTGCGTGACGGCCAGCAGTCGCTCCAGTTCCCTGCACAAACATGTCAGCCTCGATATCTCTCACACCACCGATGCCTAGTGACGTACCGGACTTGTGCCTCGAGCTGGTGTGCGCGCTCCTTGCCGCCCTGCTTCTCCGCCTTGACTTTTTCGCCTGCTTGGCGCAACCTCGCCTCGTACTCCTTGACGCGCGCCTCCCACTTGGTCTCCGCGACGCCGGCGCGCGACTGCAGTTCGGCGATACGTGCCTCGAGCTGGGCAATGCTCTGGGCCGACGTGGCGGAACGTTTCTCCGCCATTTGCGCACGCTCAATGAGCGAGCGGATGTGCGACGACGACTCGGCGCCACCAGACGCGCGCACGGCCGACAGCTGTGCCTGGAGCTCGGCGTTGCGCGCCTTGAACGCGTCCAGCTCGCCGTCCTTGAGCGACAGGCGGCTGCGCCACTGCGAGCGTGTGAGTTCGAGCTTTTTGACACTCGACTCGAACGCGTCCAGGGCACGCCACTTGGCGTCCAGCTGGCGCTTGAGTCCGGCCATCTTCTGCTCCATCCGGACCTCGGTCTCTTTGATGCGCTTGTCAAAGTCGGAGCGCGCGCCGCTGATCGACCGCAGGCGCTGGATGAGCGTGTCGCGGAACACGCCAAAGTTGGCCGGCGTGACATTGTCCTCGGCGGTGACGCCCAGGAAGCGGTTGACGTCCTTGAACACGCGCAGGAGCAGGTCCGTACGCTCCTGCCTCTGCCTGTCGCTCTCCTTTTGCATCTGGAAACGCGAGTTTTGCGTCTCGGTGAGCAAGGGCTCGAGGTCTTCGAGGCGTTCCCGGAGGTTGGCAGCTTCGCGCTCGTGATGGCGGACCTCCTTGGTCTTGGCGTCGAGCTTGTCGGAAATGTTGAGGCGGCCCTGGCGCTCGGTGACCAGCTTGCCCTCGAGGTCGCGGTGCTTGTCCATGAGTTCGGCAAGCTCCAAGTCACGGTCGTGCAGAGCCTGCTCGCGATCGCGCAGCTCCTCGCGCGCACGGTCCAGCTCGTCTTCACAGCGCGTAAAGTCGCGGTGCAGGCGCTGGATCTCGAGCTCGAGCGACTGGCGGCCAGAAGACTGCTCGTCGCCAAGCTTGCGGCGCTCGTCCTCGACGCCGCGGAGAGCGTTCTGGACCGAGGCCAGGTCACGGTCGCGCATGGCGACACGGTCACGCGCGGCCTCCAGCTCGGTGGTGAGGCGCTCGTTGACCTGGTCCCGGCTGGCAAGAGCGCGGCGGTGCTGTTCGGCTTCTGTTGCACGCTCATTCTCCCAGGCCTCGCGGTCGGCGTCGTGGGCGTCCTCTTCGCGGCGAAGCTTGACGGCCTCATCGTCGCGCTCGTCCTGAGCCTTACGGCGTGCCTCCTTGAGCGCAGCAACAAGGTCCACAAAGTGAGCCTTTTCTTCGTCGGCGCGCTGCAGCTCAATGTTGAGGTCGTTCTCTTGCCCACGCAGCTCGTCGATCATCTCCTCGAGGTCATATACGCGTTGGCCAAGCTGCCGTCAGTTTACGGATAACGCCACCCCAACTCACGCTCTCGACTTCGCGGTTTGCGGCAATGAGGTCGCCATCCTTCTCCGCATTGTCCATCTCAATGTTTCGCAGCGTCTCCTCGAGGCGATCGTGGGTCTCGCCCTGGACGGCCTCGAGCTCGCCAATACGGTCGCGGGCGATAATGAGTTCCTCCTCGCGCTCGATAAACGCCTTGCGGGCCTCCTCGAGGTCCTGTTCGCGCTCCTGGAGCACGTCCTTGAGCTCGTCCACATGTGCGCGCGTCTCGAGTACCTCGTCGCGCCACTCGGCCTCGACCTGCTGGATCTCCTTTTCGTGCTCTTGGACCTTGAGGTCGATCTCGTTGTTGAGCTCCTCAATCTCCTCGTCGTGGCGGTCCAGGTCGATCTGGGCGGCGGCATACTTGTCGCGCAGCTGGTTGTTCTGCTCTTCAAGCACCTCGAGCTCTGCGTGGCCCTGGAGCAGCTGCTCAATCTCGGCCTTGAGCTCGTCCACTTCCTGCTCGAGCCTCTGGACCTGGCGCGACTCGCGGCCCTTGCTCACGCCAACACTCTCGCCCAGGTCGCGCTGCTGCTCACGGAGCTGGTCGAGCTCGTCCTGCGCACGGTCGTGGGCGTCCTGGAGCTTGGCCATCTCCTCGGCCTGGTCCTCAAGCTGGCCGCGCGCCTGGTCGAGGTCGTCTTCGAGGTTGCTGGCCTTGTCCGACTGCAGGTCGCGCAGACGCTCAATCTCCTCCTCGAGGGCGTCCCTCTTCTCCTTCTCCTGGCGGTACAGGGCCTCGAGTTCGCGAGACTCGGCATCGCGGGAACGCACGCTCTTGCCCTCCCTGGCAGCCGCTGCCAGGTCCCTGTCCTGCTGCATAAGGAGACGCTTGCACTTTTTGAGCTCCTTGCCGAGGTTGAGAATCTCAATCTTAAGCTTGACATTCTCCTTGAGCGCCGCTTCGATGTGGTCCGGGGCCATGCTAGCGAGACGTTCCTTGAGAAAGTGGTTCTCGAGCTGCAGGTTGAAGTTTTCCTTTTGCAGGGCGTCCACGTTCTGATCGTCAGCGTCACGTTTGGTACCACACTGCGCGCAACTCACTTGCTCCTGTTCGCGGAGTGTCATCTGGTTGGACGTCGGGTTGGCAGCCACACTGTGCCGTCCGCTACGCTTGCTCGGGCCGCCAGCGTACGACGTTCCAGAAGCACGGAGCTGGGCCGCGCGGCGATGGGTGACATTGACGCTCAGCGAGCCAAGCACGCCGTCCTCGTCGCTGTCCACCGTGTCGCCACCGTACTGCGGGGCAAGTGCGTCGCCGTCGCTGTCGGAGCCCGAATCGTTGTTCTTGGCCTTGGCGTTCGACGACCGCATGTAGCGTGAGCGACGGGGAGCGCCTTGATCCAACGCAGATTGTGACGACGTCCGGCGCACACTTGTAGGCGGGGAGACGGCCACGAGTGCGGACGCAGGCGTCTGTGACGACAGCGGGGTAAACGAAGTGTCCTTGCGGCGTTGAGCCTTGTCGTCTGAGGGAGGTCCGTCAGCGCTGTTTGTTTGTTATGTGTCGCTCTGGGCGTGGCCATGTATCATGTCATGCCAGACCCACACAATCATCACACTCACTCCTTGGTGTACCCATGCCACCATCGTCATACTCGCCGTCGTCTGCCGAGTGGAAGCTGGAGCCGAGGGAGCCAAGGGAAATGTCTGGTAACGTGCCGCCCCCGCCCACGACTGTCGAGCCGTTGGATGACGCGACAGGCGAGTCGAGGATGCCCGCGAGGGACGATATGGGAGGCATGACTAGCCTCTGTGTGTGTGGGTTGCTTCTGCTATCGTTATTGTGATCCTGGATGGAGTGCAGGACGAGTGGGTGTAAATGGAGAGCGGGAACGCCAGACGACCGAGACCAACGGGGACGCCAATGTTGTTGACGCCTGGGACACTCCAGGCGGACACGCGCCGCCCAACACGCGATTTACCCCTTTCGGCAATTTTATATGCTCCCCCGTCATTGACCTTTCGCGCCAGTGCGCCAGACCCCCGTTGCACGCTGTCCACGCTTGCTCGCACGCTTGGTCTCTCTACTGGTTACACACATGTATCGGCTAGATCTACAGGTCCTTCAACAATCCCATACCACCACGGCGCTGCAGGCTCTGCGCGAGGCTCTGCTGGCCGCTCATCTCCTCCTGGTGCTTCATGAACATGCCAGCAGCCTCGTCGCGGTGGTACTTGGAACGCGCCTTCTCCTCGCTCTCCAGAACCTTCTTCTCCTCCTCGGCACGGCGAGCAAGCGTCTGGGAGCGCTCGGCGTAAAGCGAGTCGGCCGAAGCAGACATGGCTGCCAGGCGCGCAGCGCGCGCGTCGTCCAGCGAGCTGTTGGCGGCAGGTGCGGGTGCAGGCCGACTGGGAGCAGCAGGAGGGCGGCTGCTGTATGGGCGCGACTCGTAAGGCTTGCGCTCGGGAGACGGACGGCGAGGTCCGCGGTCATCACGGTCATCGCGACGGCCATAGTCGCGGTCATCACGGTAGCTGGAACCGTTGCGAGAGTCCCTCGTGTCGTTGTTGCTGTAACCCCTAGAGTCGCCATTGCGGTGGTCCCTCGAGTCCCCGTTGCGGCGGTCGCGCGAGTCGGCCTCGCGGTCACGACGGTCCCTCGAGTCGGTGCTGCGGGGCGTCTCCCTCTCCTCCTTCACACGCCTCGGCGAGTCCGAACGGGGACGCGCGTCGCGGCTTCCGTTGGCGCGCGGGCTCTCGTCACGGTAGCGCTTCTCGTCGCTGCGGTCGCTGCGGCGCGAGTCGCGGCGGGGTGAGACGGACCGCTCACGGCGGCTGTCCCTGTCGCGCTCGCGCTCACGGTCCCTGCTGTCGCGAGGCCGCCTCCTGTCATCGTCCGAATAGTCGGAGCGAGGCGAGTCGTCGTAGCGACGGCGTCTGTCGTGACGGTCGCGACGGCGTTCCTGTAATGTCAGGTCTTGCACTAGGTCAGACCTTTGAAAACTCACCTCCTTCTCCGCCTTGCGGCGTGCCCTACGTTCCTCCTTGTCGCCCTTGCCCTCCTTCTCCTTCTTGGCATCACGGAGCTGGCGGCGAATATCGGGACGGTTCATGAGCGCAGCAAGCTGGGCCTGCTCAGCCTTCTTCATCGCCAGCAACGGGTCCTCGCGGACCTTGGACGCCGTATCGCGAGCCGAGTTGGCGTTCTGGACGGCGATAAAGTCGTTGTGCGAGTTGCCGACGTTCTTGTCGCTCGCAGCGAGCACCTCGTCAACACGCTTCTTGCCGAGGAGGTACGATTCGAGCTCGTGCTCAGTCATGCGGCCGCCCATGGCCCCCTCGTTGTTGCCGGGCGCGGCGTACATCCAGTCGAGCTTCTCAGTGCGCTTCTTGCCCGTAGCTTCCTCCTGCATGCGCTGCAGCTCGGCAAGCTGGCGCTCCTCCTCGCGCTCCTTGCGGAGCTGGTGCAACGCCTTCTTCTCCTCCTGCGCAGCCTTCTCCGCCTTCCAGACTCGCTCCTGGTTGACGAGGAGGCCCGGGAACCAGGACTTCTTGAGATTCAAATCGCCTGTTAAAGCAAGACGATGGAGAAGAGGAGTAGAAGAACGAAGCGGAGGTGTAGGAGGGTTGGTGGTGGGACGGAGATGGAATGAATGGAATGGCGACGGACAGGGAAATGAAACGATCAACGGTCAGCTTGGGCGCCTACACAGGGTAACGTTACGCACCTCCACCCATTTTTGAAGTCTGTCTTGAGGGATTTGTGTTGTGGAAGGGTTGCCTGGGGCAAGGTAGTGGATGAAGACGGGAGACGAGCGATGGATGCGATGTGAGAGGTGAAAGAGATCGTTGGGTGGCGACTCCGATCAAATCCCTGAGCTCCACATTTGATTCCGCCTGACCCCCCACGTTCGAGGCACCGTAGTGGCAGCCATGACCCCATGGCCCCATGCCTCCTGCCATTGTGCGCGGCATGCACAGTGGCCATACAGTGGTGCAGCGGTGGTTAGGACATGAATAGCATGATGAGCACAGTAGAAACCGACTGGAGTACACTTGGAGGAAATCACTCTCGGCGCTGGGACAGAGTGCCGTCGTTGGGTCCCTGTGCTTGATTGCTGGCCGTGTTCGGCACAGTTCAGAAAAGGGTTATATACATCAACGATTACATCTTCAGCTCAAGCGCTGATTCCAGCTCAAACCGGGCCCGTAAATAGCGGACACGCCTAAGACTACAAACCACTAGTTTTATGTACAACTCTATAATGACCGCTGCTCGGTGGCAGGACCCTTGCCCCGCTTTTAGTAATTTTGGAAGGGAGGTTTCTTGTTGGTGAAGTCGCTTTGTTGTTGTAACCCTTCAAAGTCGGTCAGCATGGGTCTCAGATAAGATAAAGGAACCCACTTGGTTTCAATTACTGCCTCAGGCGCAACATTCCGACCCCATACTCCATCAACACCTTGAGGTTTACAGGTAAGGGATTCACATTTCGGCGTCCAACGAGTAGACTGGAATGTGGCAGTCGAGGCCACTGCTGCGTAAAGGGATGGCAGTGGACTCAAATGACGCAGTCATTCTCCGAGTCGAAGACGACAATGATGGGACAGGGTTGGAGTGACTGTTCGAGATCCTCCTCGTCCGGGGTGCTTCGGTGTGACCCGGCTTGTTGCCAGCGTGACACGAGCGGATTGGAGGCTTGTACGCGCGTTTATCAGTAGTGGCCCCATACCATCACGTCTGTGCGTCCCTCGAGGACGTCCGAGACGGCGTCGATAACGGAGGGCCCAGGGGACTTCGCAAAGTTTGGCATGGGTCAGTGCCGTTGCTTCCTTGGTTCCGGAGCCAGCGAATACGGCTACGCGGATCTTGGCGCAATCGATCTCGTACACTGACGGCATCGTCAGCGCGAGCAGACATGCTCTCGGCGAACTCTTCAGCGGCGGCCGGCATCAGGCCCACACCACTGGAAATGACACGATAGAAAGCATAAAACTTGCGGCTGGGATCCGGGTGTTGCTTACCTGTATTGACCATCAGCGACCGCGCGTGTGCATTGCTACCCTCTAGGTGGACTTGCCCCAACTGGAGACGTCGCGTTCCTGGCAAGGTTGTGTACGAGTGTTCGTCTGGTCGGTGTGGATGAGGTCTTTTGCGTGGCCTCGTCATGGTCTTTTCTGGGTTCGTTCCCTTGGCGCATGGGGTCATGTTGGGCTTGTACACAAAGTTCTTGTACTGGACGTTAGCTTTTGCAGAATTGAACCCCGTGTCGAGGCCATGTACTCATGCAGATCGCTGCTTTTGCGGCTGAGAGAAGATTAAGGGATTGTTGTTTTCAGAGTCGCGCAGGCGGGGTCCTACACATTGGGATCGGTCAGAGCCATTACATATCATCCTGGGAGTCTGAGGCTGCAGCCTGCTTCGCTTTGCCCTTGCCCTTCGAGTTTGGCAGGGGCTTGTGGCGCTTGGCTGCCGGTGCATTGTCGTCCGAGTCAGAATTCTGACCATCGGCGGCCTCAGCCCTCGCCTTGGCTGCTTCCTTTTTGGCCTTGGTCTTCTCCTGGTGCGTAACACGTGCCACGTCGTCGGGACAGTTACCAGCGGTGTGGCCCAGCTTGTTGCGTGCACGGCATGCCGGACGGGAGTCTTGTAGGCACGTTTTGTGGATGCGCAGCTCGCCCTGTTGTGGCCGACGCCACCACATTGTGTGCAGTGGTGGGTAGACTGCGTAGCCTGGGGTGCGTCGATCTCGCCACCGTCAATCTGGCGCTCAATTTCGAGCTGGGTTGCAATACGGGCGCTCTTGAGGGTGTTGTGGTAGTATTCGTTCTGCCACTCGTTGTGCGTGCGGAGTGCCTCGGGGTCGGGACATTGGGTGATAAGGTGTGAACCACCACACCCCTTGCAGCGTTCACGGTGGTACTTTTGGTACGCTGCTTTCTCCGTCTCGTTTAGGCAGTCGGCATACTGGTGGCCGTGACGGTGGCATGCGTTGCAGCGGTCTCGGCGGTCCTCGAGCCACGCATTGCGGCGTTCTTCATGTGGACACTCAGCCGTGATGTGTGTCTGCTCACCGCACACAGCACACGAGTACGTGCGGCACGGGTTGCAGATATCGCCGTCCGGAGTGGAGACGCAGTCGGCACGGGGGAACTGTGCTGTTAGTTCTGGGGCTGCTAGATCTTTCGACATGAACGACTTACACAACACTTAACACACCACGACTGGATGTGGTGGCCGTGTGGAACAGCGGGCGAGTGGAACGTGCCAAGTGTCTTCTTTACCTTGGCCACTTGAACAGAAGTGACGGCCACCGGACGACGGTCGAGGCGAGAGCCCACACGTGTCACGGACGCAGCGGTACCATCCAAGATAGCTTGGACTGCGGTATCGTTAGCGATTCGCTACGCGTCTACAGCAGGATCCTCGTGCTCACTAGTGTCCCCGTCTACTGGTGCGCGCCTGCTCTGGGCCTGACTGGTGTCCGAATCGTGTGACACACGGCTGGCGACCTTCTTGTTGCAAGAGTCCAGGCGGCGCCAGAGATAGTGACCGACAATGTTCACGGCCGCTTGTACGCCCGGGTGACCAACGAGGTTCAAAGTTTGCATGGCTTGCTGGACGAAGGCAACGCTTCCCAACTCAAGACATCCCGTAGGGTCCTCGTCCATTTCGATACCTCCAGTGCCGTTCCAGAGCAAGTTGTCGGCGAGGAAGTCGTTGAGGATTAACATGGTGTCGTAGACGGTTTTGGCTGAGAAGATCTCGGCCACGCCACTCTTCAGAATCACGATGAATGCCCCGTCGCGCTCGGCGAGCACTTTGAACACGTTCTCGGCAAGAATGGGGTTCACGATCGCTGTGATTCCCTGCCATACCATCACGTCGGTGGCGCCCGCGAGTAGCCCGTCGTGTTATAGGGAGAGGGAGAGGAAAGGGGCCTCCTTTGCCCACGCGTAGAATACCACATGGGGGCAGGCCACGTAACCGCAACCCGTGGCGATTGCCACCCGAGTGTGCTGACCGCCCATCTTGAGTGCGTCCATCGCATCCACAGTACGCAGCGAAATATGCTCGCCAAACTCCTCGGCTACGGACGACTCCATGCTCGTGGTGGTGGAGGAGACGAGGAGGGGGTAGGAGGAGACGAGGAGGGGGTAGAAGTGGGGCGAGTGGGGATTTGGATTGCTGGATACTAGGACGGTGAGTTTGAGTGTGTTTCGATGCTTGAGAGAGAAGAAGAAGAGGGAAGGAAGGAAGGAAGGTTGACGGTGCTAGGTACCGTCAACCCCCGCCACCTATAACGAAAGAAGGGAGGGATCAGCGAGTGAATGCAATTTTCAGCGACAATCGCACAAGTCGTAGTTGGAAGATTTTTGGACCTCCAAGCACCCATGTACATCTCCTTGGCACCGCTGCACGACTTTGTCGTGTCCAAATTTATAATCTTGAAACCAGTTTACAAGTGTCTGTTCTCACCATTTTCTCGTCATTTACTTCCTATTCCTAATCATCCTTCCTCCATCCATCTCGTCCATCTCGTCCGGTTGGCGTATTTTTGATCTCGTTATCCCAGAGATTTGCAGTACTTTTGGGGAGCCGAGCACATGCAAGTCGACCACACTGTCTTCCAACCGAGTTGTCGCAACACTCTGCCACGGATACAAACACGTAGTATTAGCCTGAACCCAAGACAAACCCAGGTGTTACCCACCCACCTGGTACCTGATTTGCTCCGCTCAACTCCACCGCTCCCACCTCACTCCCCATACAGTGTACATCACGGGGAAGCACCGGTGACATCACGGGGAGGTGACAACCCTTTCTACAACTTTTCATCTTCCACTCCACCCTCAATCTCCTGCTCGAGCCAGATCCTAATCTCGATCCAGTAGCCCGGGTTGAGATAGGTATCGTTGTGGGTACCGTCAAACTCGCACCAACGGAGCCTGCCGTCACCACGGAGGGCACACAGGGCCAGCATCTGGCTCTGGGGCACGAGCTGGTCTTGCTTCCCGCTCAAAAACAGCATGGGGGTGGTGGCTGGAATGAGAGAGATGGTCTTGGCGGCATCCCACTTCTCGCTGAGAAGCAGGCGGACAAGCAAGAGCGGAATAAAGGGCATGACGTGGGGCACGAGGGAGGTGAGTGAGACAAAGGTGTTTTCGACAATCACGCCAGACACCTGTGTGGGTTCAGCTTTACGACTGTTACCTTGAAACTCACCATGTCAGGGTACGCCGCCGCAGTGTCGATGCAGACCGCGCCGCCGATGGACTGGCCGTAGACCTGTATGGTTCAACGAACGTTCGGTCAAGAGTCACTCACCACCAACTTGGTGTCCTTCAGGATTGGGTGGGTCGAGATGTACTCCATGGCGGCCTGAGGGTCAGATAACAATCACAAATATGAGACGTACGCCAGCGTCGATGCGAATTCCTGAAAAAAAGAGTCAGCACAGCCCAATGTTCAGCACCAACCCTTCTCCGAAGGAGAGCCCTCCGACAGGCCGTAGCTGGTAGCGGTCAGCGTCGTTTCTCCAACCAGTCCACACGCCGAACTCACCCACGGTAACTCAGCATGAACACGTTGCACTTGAGCTCGGACACAAACTTGCGTGCGAGTGGGATACGGTGTCCGACATTGCCCGCGTTGGCGTGGAACATGACGATGGTCGGGCGCGACTTGGCGTACTACTGGGTTAGCTCTATGTCGCAGGCTGTACACCTACGGCAATCGCGTCCTCGGAATCCTTCTCCTCCTTCCAAGCCTCCATCTCAGCCTTTCCACGCTCCCTCATACCGCTGGCTGACAGGCCCCGGAGCTCCTCCAGCGGCACAAACTTGCGGCGAGCAGGGATAACGTAGGCCCGGAGCTTGACGCCATCGGGAGTGGTGAGCCGCACGTCTTCGTATGGGAGGCCGGCGTCTGTTGGCCGTGGCACATCTGGATGTCAGCTGAAAAACGGTCCATACAGCTTACGTTCGCGCGATCCCTCTGGAAAGTTGGCTGGGTAAATCATCTTGCGTTGGAAGAACCACAGGCCAGCGGCGAGCAGGACCGGGATGGAGGCGCCGACGCCGAGGCAGTACTGATGTCAGCTGAGAACGCGGTGAAGAGCTCACTTTGAATATCGTAAGGAGGGTATTTGACGACACCATCGTGAGCGTGACGGGGTATTGCAGCGGTTGTTGTGGATGACAACGATGGAACAAGCAGTGACGATGCGCTGGTCGGCGGATGTGGAGGTGGAATCCATTAGGAACCCCACTGCTAATCCATTTACAACACACATTTCAAATCAAGGGTGGCGGGAACAAAATGTCAGCAACTTTCCGACCATTGCGGTTTCCTCACGGCAACACCATCAACACTTGTCTGTTTCTGCACTCCACACCCAACCACCACCACCATGACGCTTGTCTTCCCGGGTTCCGAGATCCCCATTCCCTCATCCTCCAAGTCTGTCACTTTTGGCCCAGGAATCGCGGCCTCGACGTCCCGCGCCGACCTGAACAGCTCTGAGCCCTCGGAGCCTCGTTATGTCGCGACCCGTATGGGCCTGTTGTCCTCGGCAAAGGGCAAGGACCGCAGCGAGAGTCTCTGGGTCGAGGGCGTGAGCAAGCGTTATATTCCTGCCCAGCGCGATATTGTGATCGGCACCGTCATTGCGCGCCATGCCGAGGGATACCGTGTCGACTTGGGTGGCGCACACATGGCCCGTCTGGATGCACTGGCATTCGAGGGCGCTACCAAGCGTTCCAAGCCAAACCTCAAGGTGGGTGCAGCGATGTCATGTTGGACTTATTACTGACAACTAAGGTTGGCTGCCTCGTGTATGCCCGTGTGTCGCTCGCCAACCGCGACATGGAGCCCGAGATTGAGTGCTTTGACCCGGCAACCGGCAAGGCCGAGGGCTTTGGCGAGCTCAAGAGCGGTCTCATGGTGTCGTGCTCGCTTCAGTTGGGTCGCAAGTGAGTAGAAACAGTTAAATCTGACATCCTGCGGTCCTGTAGCTGCCAAATGTTCCGTCCGTCCAGATGCTGACTTGATGCAGACTCCTCAGTCCCAAGTACCCTCTTCTCCCCCTCCTCGCCGCCCACATCCCCTTCGAGACTGCGATTGGTCTCAATGGCCGTATCTGGTTCAAGACCGCCGAGGTGGGGCAGACCATCGCCCTGCACCGCGTGATTGAGGCTGTCGACGCCGGAGAGCTTGCGGTCGAGAAGGCCGACATTGACCGCGCCGTCAAGGACTTTTTGGCTTAGGTTCTTGGAGCATGTGTAGATTATAGAGGGACATGTACAAGATCATATAGGACTTGGGGTTTTACATCGTTTGCATCGCGGGCGGCTGACTGGCATGACTGGGGAGACGATCAGGGCTGCTTCTGAAATGAGTAGCGTGATTGGGGTCCGGCCAGTTGGGCTGTACCCTCCTAGTATAGTGTGTTGCTCAATGAAAATATCCTTACGTTCAATGCAATGGTACGTTGGTGCGCTGCACGGTCAGAGGCTGTCGTAGTGCAAGCATCCAATGCATGGCCCACCCGTGTTGGCGTGCACGTTGGCCTCGATGCGTCGTTTCGATGCGCCACCCGCATGCGGCCACTGGCTGAGAGATTGTTGGGCCCACCGCCCAGGCCCGGCAGGCCACCATACATACGTCATTGGCAGCCGTCAGCCTCAGTGACGCGGAACGCAAGCCGCCCCGTCGGCCACTCTGTCCGGCCCCAGAGTGTGCATCCACATATACCTCTCACTCTCGCTTGTGTCTTGTTCTTCTTCTCATTCACATATATCCACGCACACGCGACTTTGACGAAGAGGATACGCCCCATCCTTGGCATCGCACCGTCGCCACCGGTTCCTCTCTCTCCCCGCTTTTCTTCCGGTCATTTTGATCACATTTGTTCATCGACGCGGCCCCCAATACTCTGCCGTCTTCTTTCATACCCCCTTTACCCCTCGCCCGCCATGTTGGGATTAGGCTACATAGGCCTCATGATCTCGTGGCTTATTAGCTACATCCTTGGAGGTATCACCTTTGTGTTCATCCTCGGCTTTACTCTGTGGAGTGAGTTGCCCGCTCTGTCCGACCAGCCTGCAGCTGCTGACCACTACATCGCAGGCGTCGTCTGGTTTTACGGGTCCAGCCCCATCGGCGACCCAGACCCGTCCAAGCGTATCCAGACCAAGCTCGAAGCCGAGGAGGTGCTCAAGGCCAACCAGACTGCCGGATTGGGTCAAGAACCCCAGGCAGAGCTCGAGGGCTTCTTCATTATTCGTCGAAGCTTTGAGGCCGACGCCAACTCCCAGCCGCAGTCCCGCGAGTTCCTCAGCGGCAAGGACGATAGCGAGGGTGATTCCAAGGACGGTGGTGCCAACAGGCCCCTTCAAACCAAGGATGCTGGCACCGGCGCCGTTCCCCCCAAGCCGACGTATGCCGGCCGTCTGCTGCAGACCTACCGCACCGTCTCCAAGAGTGCTGTATCGAACAAGCCCCCAGACGTATACGTCTGCAAGCTCAAGGGCAGCGTTCTTTTCATCTACAAGCAAGAAAAAGACAAGGACGGGGAGCGTGATTGCGTGGCCGCTCTCACGATCGACCAGTTCAACGTCGCCATGGAGGACCACAACGGTCCCTGGAGGGGCAAGGATGGACGCCTGTTTGGCAAACGACACGCCATCGTTCTCCGCAAGCTCGCGTCAAAGAACAACGAGAAACAGGGTCTTGGGGTGCTTGCCAAGGGCATGAGTGGCACAAACGCTGATACCGCCGCCGAAGAGGGTGCGCCGTGGTTTCTGTTCTCAAAGAGGAACAGCAAGTGAGTAGTGGCGATGTAACCAACCAACTGACCCTCAGGACCGAGGACTTTTACCTTGCCTTGCTCAAGGTCTCGGCCAACCCGCCTTCCTACTCTCGCTGCTTCTCGCATGCCCACATGCAGTGGTTCATCGATCAGGTCGAGAATCGCCCGGACCGCAGCAGCATGGACTGGTTCAACCTGTTTGTCGGCCGCATCTTTTTGGGAATCAACCAAACTGCCCTCGTGGAGCAGTTTGTCATTGACAAGATCAACAAGAAGCTCGCCCTCGTCCAGCACCCCTTGATTGGTCCTCTCGTAGCCACCGAGGTCAACGTCGGTCACATTCCTCCAATGTAAGTGACACACGCATGGTAGCGCCCTGCTGACCAGTAGCTTCTCCGATGCCATGCTCAAGGATACCAAGGCGTCGGGCGAGATTGCCTTTGAAATGCACATGGACTATCGTCAGCCCGAGGAGCTTCCCGGGTCTGGTATCCGTATCACCATCGAGGCGACCAAGATCGGTTTCAAGGCCGTGCTGGCCGTCCTTGTCAAGAGCATTTCTGGTAACATGAGGGTTGTTATCAAGGCCCCTCCCTCAAATCGCTTTTGGTGGGGTTTCACCGAGGAACCCCAAATGGAACTCGCCATCGAGCCAATCGTCGGCTCCAGGACGATCAATCTCAGCATGGTTCTCAGCTTTATCGAGCGCAAGCTGCGCGAGGGGGTGAGTTGCTCCTTCCTAGTCGGATGAAACTAACTTTTCAGCTCAGCGACTCTGTTGTCCTTCCCAACATGGACGACACGCCCTTCTTCAACACGTCCAAGCTTGACATCCGTGGCGGTATCTTTGACGAGGCGAGCAAGCACATCCAGAGCGAAAAGCACAAGGACGACCAGTCAAACTCGGACGACTCCGCCAGCTTCCGCCACGACGTTCTGGCAGAAAAGTCTTCCACTTCGCAAAAGGCCTCATCTCAGAAGAGCTCCAAGAGCTCGAAGAGTGTCACAAAGAGCACGACAAAGCCGGCTCCGCCCTCAAAGCAGACAACGGTCGACGATTTGGACATCCGCGACCGCCACCAGGTGGTTCGTTCCGAGACGACCCCGATGCTGGGCGACAGGCGGGCGACCTCAAACACCTCAAACACCGTGCGCCCGTTACGGTCGCGCAATGATGCGTCTGATGGAGGCCAAACGTCCAAAAGCTCCCTCGCGGAGGAACGGTCCGCGACACGACGACTCTCAAACCCCGTTACCAGCTCTGATGTCCCCCGGTCTTCATCACCGTCCAGCCAGACATCGCGCGAGACGCCAAAGGACAGTTCCGTTAGCCGTATTTCAACGGAAGTTTCTGAAGCGTCCTCGCCGACCAAACCCATGACCACCTCGGCCATCCTTCATGCTGTCCGCGCGCGCGACAAGGAGGTCATCCAGAGCCAGGTGTCCACGGCCAAAGACAGTGTGAAAAAGTGGGGTACCAACTTTATGAACAAGCGCCGCGGTGCCAAGCCGGCCGACGACGACGAACACGCGGGCATGCCATCATCTTACTACGTCCCCTCCGAAGACGCACGCCCAGTCCCAGCCCTTAACCACCGACATGCAGATGGCCGCACATTGCAGGAGCGTCTTGCTGCGGCTGCGGCTGTCGCCGGCCAGGCAACGAGCCCGCGCGACAGCTCCTTCCCGCAACGTCGACCCATTTCGTCAATATCGGCCGACACCGTTTCGAGTACCGCTTCGGCACCAAGCATCCCCGTGCGCCAGAACCCACCCGTCGAGCCTAGTGGCAGCGAGCTCGGTACCTCTCCACCCACCGTCATCCAGCCAACCCTGGGACGCACCATGATGGTGCCCTCAGTCCCCAAGCGCCCAGGCGTGGTCACCAGCATTGCCAATGACCCCACCGCCACGCCTACCACATCGACTCTGTCCACCTCTGTGCCGGGCGCACCGCCCTCGCTTCCGGCACGCTCGGCACCAGCTCCGCCGAAAGTCAGTCGCGGTGACAGCCTTGCGGACAGCGTCGCCTCTGAGCCTCTGATTTCGCTTTCGAGCGAGCACTCGAGTGAGGAAGGGGAGCTCATTGATCTTAGTGCGAGCATGACCAAGAGCGCAAGTGGGGGTGGATCTGCAAGTGTGTAGTATGGAGCATGAGAATCTAGAGTAGTGTGAACCTAGCGAGACTGTATGCACGATCAACTGGTGTGTCTAGTATTGTCCTTGTCTTTAGCAGCGACTGTGCCAACCCTATGTTTAGCAACAATACAATGCTGCACGACCCACGAGTGCCACCCCATTCTGCCATCATCGTCATTGCTGCGTGCGTCGTTCCTGACATTGGCAGACTGGGTGGCGGGTGGGCGTAGACCGGTGATTGCCGAGCTGGCCGGCAGCACCGCTGTCTCCGGTATGCTCTCTCCCTCCCTCCTCATGCACCTTGTGTCATCCACCACAGCATCCACCTTCGCCTCACTCGCCACCCACTTTCTCTTCTGCCATCTTCCATCCTGAACCGCAACACGAAGCACACACCTACTGCAGGAGGTAGAGCACATCGAGGACATTACACATCACTAGCTCTGCTGGACGACCATCATTTGAATCCGTTGTCGCTCAGCACACGCATCCAGCAGTAGTCCCCCTCAGGTGACTTTTGTTCACCAGTCTACATACCTCCTTCATTTCTTGCCTCGACGGGTTCACAACGCAGAATGTCGTCGATGAATAGCAACGATGGACCGAGCAGTGTTACTGTCACATGTGAGTGCTTTGGGAGCGACGGAGAGCCACTCGTCTGTCGGACGGTCCTTCACCTGTGGTTGGCGGTCAAGCGAATTAAGGCCACCTGCAGCAACTCTTGGTTGGAACGAGTTGCTAACCTGTGAATTAGATCAATGGGTCGTGGTCGCAATCGTTGCGTGAGTAGACGCTTACTCCCCTTTTGCTCGCCAAGGATGGTAGAGAGGTCGTCCCTGTTGTCGTTTCCACTCGCAGCCGTTTTTACGCAACAGCGAGAGCTCCAGTCGCCCCCGAGCCCCAGTCTCCCCCAACCCACAGCCCAGCTAATACTTTTCACAGATGCGGTGTCTTTGCTGTCGGTGTAATCACCGTAATGTACCGCAGAAGGCGAGCGCAAGCGTATCAAGACGGCATGTTCTGGGGCAGCACGGGAACCCGCCTCGTGCTTGACAACACTGGGACCCTCATAGCAGTGCCTACAGGACAACTTCAGGCGCGGAGACCGCGCAAGAAGCTGGGACCAGAGCCAAAGTTGTGGGATTCTGAAGTGGGGGATACCCTCGACTCGGGACTGGACAGGATGGACCAGTGGCATGTGAGTTGTGGCACTGGATACTGAACCATGAAGGACGGGACTTGGATGGCGGCATGTGTACTGTCACAGACCGCGTATCTTGTTCTGGTCCCTCCATATATGTGTCTGTTACTGACTCATTATCCAGCCGATTGCCGTTGCTGTTCCCGAACACTCGTCGCCAGCGCCAAGCCCGGAGAGCTCGCGGGCCCCAAGCCCCAAGTTTGACTCTAGATCAAGTCAACATGAACCAGCCCCACACGTCGACGTCACGGTGCTTATTGCCATGCCTGATCCTACGTGCACCCCACTAGGTGACGACGATTATCCCCTCTACCACCCGCCTCCTAGTTACAAGGCCGAGGACGGTATTCTCCCTCCCATGCAGCTGGCCACCACCGAAGTTCCCCTTGTTGGCCACTGGGCTGATGTCGAGGGGCTCAGGCCTGTGAGGGAGCCTAGTCCCTCGCCACCAGGGCAGGTGCAGCGCGTGCGCGTTGACGGGTTCTCGCGCAGTTTCCTGCGTCGATGGTAGCCACAATGTTGTGCCCGCATAGACGTTTGTTGTACACATTTTTAATATATCTTCCACATGTCATCTACCCCATTTGCTACAGTACACCTTTCCTACATGTGTCGGCACGCTCTTGCTCATTCAATGTCGATGTACGACTCATTGGCGATGCTGTCCTCTTCCCTCTGCTGCGTCTTCTTCTGGCGCGCGTCGGTACGACGCTGCATGTCGGGGTCACGCTTGATGTCCGCCTTGGTGAGAACCTTGTTGCAGCCAGCCACGGGGCATTTGGCACCGACGTTGCGAGAACGCGAGGCCTGCTCAATGTGCATGATAATGGCCGCGTACGAGTAGTGGTGGTTGCACAGGGTGCTTCAGAGTGTCAACTTTGGACGCAAAAGGTGAAATGTAAACTTACCTGACGCACGCGTCCTCGAAGTAGTGCAGCGTGATGGGACAACGGAAGGTGACAAGCGTCTGGCCCATTTCGATCTCGTCGTCGGACCCTTCCTCGTCGTCGTCGCCGCGTGGGAGCCAGCGCGACAGAGGAGGGCACGCCTCGTTATCGTGGTTGACTTCCTGACATGGTGGTCAGCGTTTGGGGCGGGAGAGTTTATTTGCATGACATACCCAGATGTCTTGGCGGAAGTTGCGGTAGTCTTCGTTATCCTTGACTGCAGTGTGAGTTTGCCTCCCACAAATGCGAGACTTACACTTTGCACGCAACGACTTGGACGTGTACTCATTGACCTTCTTCTCAGCACGCGTGTGGTACAATGCTTCCACGCCGACCTAAGAAGACATTAGCCCCTTGACGCGTCTTGCCCCACCCACTCACCATTTCGCCGTGGTTCGTCAACTCGTTGATAACCTCGTCGATCACGCCCTTCTGGATTTCGAGTACCTCCTTCTGCTCCAGAATGGTCCACAGGTTCTTCTCGACTTCCTCTATCAACTATATTGTCAGGACTGTCGGCGTGCTGCTAGCTCACCTCGTCATCGGGGCTCGCTTCCTCCAGCGCCTTGCCCGTCTCCAGGGCCAAGTCGACACCTTTGCTGAGGTTGTCGGCCACTTGGTTAAACTTGTCCTGAATCTCACGCAGCTGCCATTCCGTTAGCTGCATCGACAGAACAAGACAACTAGCTCACCACCTTGATAGACGCGGCCTTGCTCATTGGCACGTCTTCGAATGTCGCGCGGGACCAGTGCGAACGAGGGTCGTCATCCTCGTCGTCGTCCTCATCGTCCAAAGTGGGTTTGACCTGGCGCTCCGCTTCGTCGTCAGAATGCTGCTGCGTGCCGTTCGTCTGTCTCCTTGAAGAGGATGCCGCTGCGTTGCTGCGCGACATGATGTCTGTAGTGCCGTGAGAGGATGACGATGAGGATGATGCATGGACGCGCCCCGTCCAGAGCAATGTTGTCATTTCCGCCTGTCCGTCCACCAGCCTCACAAGTCACGTGACCGTTATTGGCAGACGCGACGCGTCGCGCCCAAATATGGGCAAGGGTCCAGTCCAGTCAACCACCCTCATCTTCTTGACAACACCTTTCCCCTTCATCTCTCTCCGCTTCCCATCATCATCAACAACAATGGCAAGCCCTCTCACCGCCGGCTTTTGCCAGCTCGTTCACGCGTCTGAGGACTCTCCCGAGGGTGTCAAGCCCACGCTCCAGGTCCTCAACGTCAAGCGCATCAACACCCCCAACAGCAGCGGCGCGGATCGCTACCGGTGAGTAGGCTCGCCTCAGCGCGACCCCACCATTTGGTCGCTTTGTTTTCATGCTGACATTGGTAACTCAGCGTCATCCTCTCCGATGGCTCCTACTTTATCCAGGCGATGCTCGCAACCCAGCTCAACGACTTCGTCGAGGACAATGAGCTCGACAAGAATGTCGTGATCAAGCTCACCAGCTTTGTCACCAACTCGATTAACAACCGCAAGTAAGTGGAGGCTTTAGTCACAACGACGTAAACTGACATGTAGGCTCATCATCATCCTCGGCTTTGAGATTGTTCCCTGGACTGGCGACAAGATTGGTTCCCCAGTCAACCTTGACCCCGCTGAGGCCGCTGCCGCTGCGCCTGCGCCCGCCGCCGCCGCCGCTGCCCCGGTGGCGAACCGTGGCAACGCGTCCAACGCTCGCCAGCAGCCTGCCCCCAACCGCCCTCGTGCCGGTGGCAACCGCGACATGGGTCCCATCTTCCCCATTGAAGGCCTGAGCCCGTACCAGAACAAGTGGACCATCAAGGCCCGTGTGACCCAAAAGACCGACATCAAGCACTGGTCCAACCAGCGCGGCGAGGGCAAGCTGTTTGCCGTCACGCTCATGGACGAGACCGGTGAGATTCGCGCCACGGGATTCAACGACCAGGTCGACGCCTTTTACAATGTTCTCGAGGAGGGCAAGGTCTTCTTCATCTCGAGGGCCAGGATCAACATTGCCAAGAAGCAGTTCAGCAGCGTCAACAACGAGTACGAGATTACCTTTGAGAGCGGAACCGAGATTGAGCCAGTGGGTGGCCCAACATTAGAACCTTGCTAACCACCACCAGTGTGATGACGACTCGGTCCCCCAGGTCAAGTACACCTTCAAGAGCATTGGCGACCTTGCCGATGTCCCTAAGGACGCCAACACCGACGTCATCGGTGTCGTTAAGGAGGTTCACGAGCTCACCTCGATCACTTCGAAGGCTACCCAGAAGCCGTTCGCCAAGCGCGACATTCTGCTCGTCGACCAGTCCGGCCAGAGTGTCCGCCTCACCCTCTGGGGTAAGACTGCCGAGACGTTCAGCCACGCGGACGAGCCTGTGATCGCGTTCAAGGGCGTCAAGGTCAGCGACTTTGGTGGCCGCTCTCTTTCCATGTTCAGCTCGGCCACCATGTCTGTCAACCCTGACATTCCCGAGGCCCACTCCCTGCGCGGCTGGTACGATGCCGAGGGCCGTAACAAGTCGTTCACCGCCTACAACAACTCGTTGGCTGGCACCGGCTCGGCTACCGTCAAGCCCTCGGAGATCAAGACCATTGGCCAGGCCAAGGACGAGCAGCTTGGTATGAGCGACAAGACCGACTACTTTACGACCACTGCCACCATCATGTTTATCAAGTCGGAGACATTCTCGTACCCTGCATGTGCCAACAAGGAGGGCTGCAACAAAAAGGTCATTGACGAGGGTGGCAGTTGGCGTTGCGAGAAGTGCGACCGCAGTTGGCCTGAGCCCATCCACCGGTGAGTTATGGTGTGGCTTATGGTGCGGATTATGGTGTCTAACTATCCAGCTACATTCTCTCGATGAACGTCATGGACCACACTGGCTCGTTCTGGATCACGGCGTTCAACGAGGTCGCGGACCAGATCATGGGCGTGACCGCCAACGACCTGATGAGGATGAAGGTAGGTACAGCTCTGCTTCTTTTTTGGAGTCTGCAGCTGACATTACCTTTCAGGAGGAGGGCGACCCCGCACTCGACAAGTACTTTACCAAGGCGGCTGCCAAGACCTGGAGCTTCCAGATGATGGCCAAGCAGGACACGTTCAACGACCAGGTCCGCGTGCGCTACCAGTGCCGTCGTATCAGCGCCATCGATTACCCCGCCGACAGCGCCCACCTCATCCAGCAAATCAACGCTATGTCCCTGTAGAAAACCTGATAGTAGCAAACCGTAGTGGCCTTGTAAGGATGCGGCCCACCCCGCACACACGCTCTCTCAATCTCCATGTAGTCTTTTCTTATGCTTCTCCTTTCTCTCGTCACAGTCGCTCGTTTCAAAAACATGCAAGATACCATTGCAGGGGTACAGAACAGAGGAAAAGGTGGTACAGACATGGCAAAGGAGGGCACAGCAGCATGCTGGCAAAGTTAAGGAAATAGGGGGCTGGGAAGCGCGCATGGGAGGGGGTAAGGGTAGGGGATGAACACGTTTTGGGGGCCTTACATGCCCTTCCAGCGCTCCATACGCTCCGTGAGCGCGCGCACCACCTCCTCCTGCACACGAGCCTTTACGCGCTTCTTCTCAGTATCCGAGAGTCCACCCTCGGCGAGCTCATGGTCGATCCTTCCGGGAGTGAGGTTGAGCGGGTTGAACGCGATTGTGCGTCCATCGCTGAGCGGAATCTCGGCAGAGGCGGAATCACCTTCTTCGCCGTGACCCTCGTCGTCGTCAGAGGTGCCGAGGTGCTGCTGGGCCTTGGACCGTGGCAGGGCAGCGCCGCCGCCTAGGCTCTGGCGGAAGATGAGGGAGGGGGCGCGCTTGACCTTGTGGTTGCGCTGCGAGGACGACTTGTCGGTTGCGCGCGACGAGGCAGATCGACTGGCGGCGAGAGCCTTGCGCTCCATTGCCTCGGGATCGGGAAGCTCGTCCTCGTCTTCTTCCTCCTCTTCACTCTCACTCTTTCCCTGGTCCAACTCGCTGTCGTCGTCGCCCGACTCGGTGTCGGCACCCAAATCGACAGGCGAGCCATTGGCGGAGAAGAAGCTCTCGTGACGCTTGGGCGCGCGAGGGTTCTTTGATGCTGGGGTCTTGGGGAGTAGAGGGTTGAAGACGTGGTCTTGCGGCAAGGTACTCGCACCGCTTGCGGCCGGGAGGGTGAGCTTGGTGAGCTTTGTCTTGCGGACGACACGGCGTTTCGAAGTCGATGTGGCTGGAGTGCCGCCGGCCGGCGTCTTGGTCGCCTTGGTGCGGGCTGCGTCGTTAGGCGCTGCTCAATTCGAGAATAAGCGGTGATCACTTACCAGACTTGGTGGAGCGGCGCGGCGTACTGCTTTCGAAAGGGCTCTGAACCTCGCGCTTGCTACAGTCCTGTCAGCATTTGTTCGTTGAACGTGCGCCCGAGTCACTTACCGCTTGGCAGCGGCGGCCAACTCTGCCGCCTGATCCCGCTCCGGGTGGTCATTCTGAAAGCGCTTCTCAGCCAGGGCGCGGTTTGTGTCGGCAAAGTTGCCCGCCCAGCAAGCCTCAAGCTCGCCAAGGGTCATGGTACGCATGGCGCGCGGGATCTTGAGCACTTCCGAATCCACGAGGGAGAGAAACGACGCGAGGGCAGCGTCGAGGTGGGCGCGCATGTCACGGGTGCGGTGGCCAACTGTGGGGTATGTTAGTGTTGGGTTCCATGCCGCACAGCATAGTGGTCCGGGACGGTGCAAACACCACACGACGGAGCAGGGCAGCTGTCGGGCTCACCTTCGAGATCAAAGTTGTCCAGCACGGCCTTCTTGCTCGCTGCCCCCGAGTTGGCAGCAGGCTTACGCTTGGGCGTAGCTGCAGTCTTGCTGGACGGAGTCGCCATTGGGCGGCGGGTCTTGGTGGACATTGTGGTTGACAGGTGAGTAATGGGTGGATGGATGGAGCGAAGTAGGAACGTTGCTTGGACCCCAGAGCCCGTCTCTGTTGTTGATTCAAGGGGGCAAAGTCAAGTCAGGCGCGTAGGACGGGAGTATTTGGGAGGGGTGGGGTTAAAGGGGGAGGGTCGGATAGGCACGGTAGCTTGTGGCGCCGATCGGGAGACATAACCACCACACAAGGCCCACCGACAGTCAGCCTAGAGCCTGCAGCCTGCAGCCAGGCGGTGAATGTTCTGCTGCCCGGTCCCTACAGCTAGGATCCCACACATCCTGCTTCTCCTGGTTGTTGTTTGTTGTTATTTATCATTTGTGGCACCATGTTAATAGTTGATTCTCCTTGCTCAGCGGCAGTTCCTCGCTCCTATCCAAATCTGACACAGTTGAGCATCACCGGACTGGTGTTCATACATGTGAGGTCCTATTCTACTATCTACCCAGTGGTCACATGCGCGTAGCTGCCATACAGCTCCTTGCGAACGGCAAAGTACGTGGCAGAGATGGCGCCCTCAATGACCACCTGACCTTCGGCAAGCTTACGGACAGCGACAATACTGCCTGCGGAGGGCTTCTTTTCGTCGCCGTCCGAACCGGAGCGAGCGAGCACGCCAGGTCCACAGACGAGCATACCCTCGCCGGCAAACTCGGCCGGGATAGAGAGTGCCGCCAAGCGGTTCTTGAGTGTCAAGAGCCTGAGGTCACCGATGAACAGGGATGAGGGGAGGGCGACCGGTGCCGCGGACATGGCCGGTGCTGGTGCGGGGGAGAGAGTCTTGTCGTCGTCGTCCTCCTCCTCGGCTGGCTTGTCCACCTCCATCTCCTCGTCCGCAACCTTGGTGGGCTCATCGGCAGCCTTGATCTCGTCCACGGTGGGCTTGACGTCTCCATCTTCCTCAATGACATTGGCGGCGGCCTCGGCTGCCTCGTCCTGTGCCTCCTCCACCATCGTCTCCGTGGCCGGATCCGCGGCAGGAGGCTCTGGCAGCTCCTCCTCGACCTTGACTTCGGGTTGGAGAGGCGGCAGCTGGACAGAGGACGCTTCGAGGGTCGGCACAGTCGACCCCGTGGCGAAGGCAAGCTTACCATCGACCATGGCGACTTCATAGCCCTCAAACTGAATTGTCAGCTCCGAACGAGCCAGCGAAGATCAAACTTACCTTGGACCACTTGCCGCTCAACAGAGCCGAGATGCTGTCACCGAGCTGGAGCGAGTAGCTCTGTACATGTTCACCAATACGAACAACATCGTTGGACGAAGGGTAGAACACGTCGGTGGTGATTGAGGCCGTGGACTTGAAGAACTCGAGCAGGGCGCGCGTAGATTCTTCCGTCGATTTGACGACGACAAGCTTACGAGGCTGGAGATCGGCAATGATGGTCTTGATGGCCTGACCGTCGTGCAGACCATCCATGTCGACATACTCGATGGATGCGTGCAAGTCGATGGTGACGTTGGCGCTCACAAACTTGGATGGAGGCTCTGGTGCTTGTTTCTGAAAACGTCAGCTGCGGTGGACAAGCGTCATGTTTCAACTAACCGCCTTCTCTTCCTCCTCCAGCTTGCGGCGCTTGGCCTCGCGGACTTCCTCAGTCTCGCCCTCTTCCTCAATCTCACGGCCCTTGCGGACCCACTGGCCAATGTCGAGACCCTCGCCGTACGAGTCGACCTTGCGACCCTTGGCAATATAGGGGAACATACGGAAACGGGCCATCTCGCCGACAGCTCCGCGGCCCGTACGCATCTGCTGACCCTTGACGAAAATGTCAAACGACATGGTACGGACGTCTTCGCCGTCACCGGCAAAGGCGTTGGCGCCCTCGGTACGTGTGATGGCGTCCATGCCGTCTGCACCGTCGCCGGCTTCCGAGTCGGAATCAGAATCAGACTCGAGGTCGTCGGCCTCGAGCATGCGCCGTGAGCGGTCGAGAGCCGCCTGGTGTGCTGCCTCGCGCTCCTTTTTCAGACGCTCTTCCTCCTGGAACGCCTCGAGCTCGGCGCCAGTCAGGGCCACTTTCGAGTCCATCTCAATGGTCAAGTCGCCCTCGAGCGTCTTGACCTCGCCGATCTTGCCCATGCCAAACTTGGCACTGTCGTCCTGCTGGTCTTCCCAGCGGTTGAAGAGGTCCCGAGCCAACGTGTCGTCCTCTCCGCGGTCGGTGAGGAGAACAACGTTTCCAGGTACCTGGGCCATGGACGAGAAGAGAACTCTTGATGGGCCGTGGGACATGGCGGGGGGGATGGCAAGGACCATTTTGGGCCTGTCCTCAGGGAAGGCTTTAAGAAGGTCGTCTGGAGTAGAGAAGAACTTGACATGGCTAAAGTCAAGAGCGCCATACTCGGATCCAAGTGCGTTGGCGGGTTGCCGCTTTTTCCTCTTGTTCTTGTTCCGTCCGTCCATGACAACGTCATCGGTACCCGATTCGCGTACAACACCGCCCATCCACTCGATCAAACTGCGCGCAAACGAGACCATGTCCTGTGCGGTGCGGCTAACGAGGCAGAGGGGGTAGTTCCAATCCGAATTCTTGCTTGCTGGGTTGAGCTTGAACGACCAATGTTGGTCTAGGAGAACCAGAAGCTCCAACAATCTTGGGGACGCGTCACATGGGAGGAGAACCGAGTTGCCAGATTGGAGTGTTGAAGTAACGATATCCAAAATGGCCGTTTCACGGTCACGACGCTTGGGGTTGACGACCTGACTGCGGTCGCCTTCCACAATGAGAAGGTCAGGTCGACGGATATCTTCTGCGTACCCTGCCAGTCCTCCTTGCCCAGTCACCATACCGTCAAGATGACGCTCGCCCGTGTGGTTCATGCCGACAGCGTACAGCACGGTACCGGATGTTGGCGAACGAATCTTGAAGAGCGTTCCACCAAGGACGTGTCCCGATGGGAAGGGCGTGAGCAGCAAATGTGACAAGTCGCCACCCAGATGCAGCGGCTGGTTGTAGCGAGTCGCCTTGATCCAGTCAAAGGCTTCGTGGATTTCCTCGATTGTTGGGACAAATGGTCCACGGAGAGGCTTCTTGCCCTTGTCGAGCACCACGGCACCATTGTCGTCAACCTCGAGTTCCTCGCCTTCAACGCCGGGAACAGGGCATTCGGAACGCCAGCTCTCGGCGTCTGCAAGGCATACCACGCGTCCCATCTCGACAGTAGGCTGAGTGGCGTAGACGGGGCACTTCAGACCCCAGTGCGCTCTGGCGTAGGGATAGAGGCCGAGATATGTCGTTGGCGAGTGCGACAAGAGGACAAGCGAGAGCGTAGGAGCCAACCTGGATGGTTAGTACGGTACGCATTAACTTTAAAACCTCACTCTCTGATCTTCTCCTCGTACTCCCAGTTGCCTGCTTCTGCGCTTGCGCGGTAGTCGCGCTGACCCATGTCGAGGAGGATACGCGCATCATCAAGCTGGAGAAAATAGGCGACGGGCTCCGTGGTAGATGACTCTGCAGCCGAGGAGGAGAGTGGTGTGAGGATAATCATGGCCGGCCGTCTTGTGACTGTCTGTGGGAGGCGGTCCGGCCTGTGGAGTGGAGAGGAAGGTGGGTGTGGATGTGGAGGATGTGATGCTCTCTGTACGTACCTCTGTGATCTGTGATCTCATGTAGCGAGGTGTGTGGGTATGGGTGACAGCGGGAGTATTTTTTGGACGGTGGCCGCCCGTGGGAATCTGGCCCCGCGCCCCCGCGCTGCGCGGCGGCCAAGAGCGGTGTGTGGCCTGGTGCTGGCTGGTGTGGTGATGAGAGAGCGCTGTGTGAGACACAGTCCAAGACGCCGTATGCCGTTTGATCTCTCTTGCTCGTCCAAGACACTGACACAATCCACCACCACACATTTCGCATTTTCATTCATCACAAGCTTCACATTCAACACACACACACACGCGTTCAACACGCGACACACGGCACACAACAGACATTCACCATCCACCCCCCCACACTCCCCCACCCGAAATCTGGACACGACATCTATTTCCTCTCATGCTGCGTTACCACCGCTCTTCGTAAAGAGTCCCCCCACCACCCCTCTCGTCCCCTCCTCCATCTCTCATCCTCTCTCATCGGTGATCCCTCCGCCACCGCCATCCACCACTTCATCGCCACTGCCTATTCCAGTCCTAACCATCCAACACGCCCCAAATGGCGTCGCCGGCGCACTTTCACGCGTCACCGACGCCGATACCATCGGCTGAGATTCGCTCGCAAGCAATCGCCAAGCTTAAACGTGCGGCCTCACTCCCGCGCACCCCAGATGGACGCCGCCCTCCTCCAACAGGTCAACTGAGGAGTGGTGGTGCGAGCACAAATCCCAGCACAGCAACGTCCGAAGAAAGCCATGCGCCGTCGGCCAACGCAGCCACCCCGTCACCGTCCCGTCTGATGAACGACTATGGGCATGAAGAGCTCTTGTCGGCAGGTCCCTCCATGTTTGGAGGAGCCCCAGTCATGCAGCGCTCAACGTCCGACTCGTCTTCCTTCCACATCCCAACACCTCCTCACGTCTATGGCTCGTCCAACGTGTCGCCATACTTTACGGCCCAACCATCGCCTGTGGGAGCCCCTGGGACAGATTGGGCAGCCTACCAGCTTGCACAGTCGTATTTGCCCTCCATCAGCCCTGTCACAGCCCCTCCTTCATCGTTCCCCCAAAGTCTACAGACTCCCACTGGACCTGGACGGAATACCCCAAGCCCCTTGCCGTCCTTGGGAGAACTCCGCACACTGTCGAGATCCAATTCGGCCATGGCTCGAGCCAAGGCCATGATGGCTCTCACAGGCCAGGCCAACCCTGATACACCGACACGCAGCACCAACTTGCCCACGCCAACGTCCTCTGATGAGGATATCACACTCGGAATTCCCGGCTCGCGCCTGACGCGCGCCGGCACTATTGGTGTGCCACGGATGTTTGGTATGCCTGCGGACGAGCCTGCGGTGGACACGACCACGAGTGTCGCCCCTGCAGTGGCCCCAATGGCTGATACGACACTCGACGTTCCCCGGCCACGCCTCCAACGCAGCTTCACGGTTTCTTCATCCAACATGGGCGAAGAGCGTCGCAGTGCAGTTGGTCGCCGGATGGTCGAGCGTCTTGCCGAGCGTCGCGCGGCTCGTCAGCAGGAGGAGGTGGAGGTGCGGCATCTCTGGGAGGAGCGACGAAAGACTCGGCCACCAGATGCCGATGGCAAGCAGCCTACTCAACCCGCTGAGGATGACGAAGAAGAGGACCCGAGCCCGATCCCGGTCCCCAACCTGGCCACGTTAACGCTCATGGTCCCGTCGGTCGACGCCACTTCTGCTTCGGCTCCCACAACGGGCATCCCAACCACCGTGCCTTCTCTGGGACCCTCGCTGGCAGCAAGCAGTGCCGACCGCACGCCGTCACGGAACACCGAGCGCTCAGATGAGGCGTTCGAGTACGAGTCACATCTTCGCAGAAGCCTGTCGAGCCGGACAGCGCGGGAAGTCATTGAACCGAGCCCTGAGGTTGCTATGCCAAGCCCATTGATAGAGGACGCAGCCGAGGGCGTCCACGGTTCAGTTTTCCAGCGCCAACAACAACCATCATTCACCCAGCCTTCCCTCGTGGGGCAAACCGCGCCACAGCTGTCATTTGGCCAGTCGTCGCCATTTGGTGACTCGTCGTTTGGCGACTCATTTGAATCATTTGAGCAGCGGCCGTCACAAGATCGGACATCATTTGAGCGACCATCCTCTGAGCAGTCATCATTCGAACAGCGTCCATCCCTCGAACTGCAGGACGATGAGCAGCTTCTTCGTCCTGTACAGCCATTTGCGAACGCCCACATGCGCCATGTGCCCCACGACTCAACATCCTCGGCAGGGACAGTCATGCCACCAGCCGCGGGCAACTCGCCGAGCAGTGAATCTACGGCCACTCTCGATAGCGCGGGTTTGTTCTACCGGCGTAGCCCTAGCAAGACGGCGGAACCTCCTATCGAGGAAGACGAAAGACTGAGCAGTTGGGATGACGACCACAACGTCGACTGGGTCACTGGCCCGCGCAGCCAAGGTGAGCACTTGACGTTTAGCAGACCAGAAGAGAGCTAACAGACAGGTCACCATGACTATTCGGACACCTATCATTACCAGGAGACAGTGTCCGCCGTGAGCCACGTTGGCCACAGCGGTCACGGCGCGGACACTGAGTCGCTCGGTCACATGAGAACCTCGCACGATATTCACGACCGATCCTCGAGCCGCATGTCGTGGGAGGAAATTGGATCGGTTGACGAGCACGAAGCTCAGGCAGATCAGCACCAGGGCAAAACGTCTGGCAGCTTTTCGCGCAAGAATGGTCGTGGCATGCTGAATGCTATGCGCAAGTATAGCCGTAGCGGGTCCATCACCAGCCAGGTCACCAGTCCTCCGGCCAGCCCCAACACTGGCTTCGCTGGCGCCTTTGCCCGCCGCGAGTCGGAGTCGTCGACATCCACCGGCCAACGCAGCGCCACTGTGGCCGCCCCGCGCGAGTCACCAACTGTCTCGAAGGGTGTCAAGCATCAAGCGTCCAACGGCTCGATTACCCCATCGTTTACCACTACGGGTCCTGCCGACACTGTCGCTTCGGCAAACAACCTCCTGATACAGCACCAGCTCGCCCACGCTCCTTCCCCTATCAGCTTCTTACCTCGCCCTGATATGAGCGATCCGCGCATCCACAACTCGAAGCTGTCGCCCTTCCCTGGTATTACCACTTTGGAACAAAAGCAGAGGAGCCGCAGTGGATCCGACTCCCGCGAGCAACCTCGGCTTGTGCAGCAGTTGTCAGACCCCACTGTCCCCACCAACCGTGCTGCGCCCGTTTCGGCCTCGTCGGATCGCGAATCGGCCGACGCTGCCAACGGTTCCACCAGGCGCCACTGGTTTGGCAAGGGCTCCATCTCTCGTGGCAGTGGTAGCGGGTCGGGCGGTCGCAGTCAGCAGAGCTCTCAGCATAGCCAAAGCACCAGCGAGGACTATCGCAATGGCAGTATGAGGCGATTGGCCACCGAGTCCCCCGTCGACGAAATGGACCCACTGTCCACCGCAAGGGGCAGGTTGTCCCCCGAGACGGCAAAGAACTCCAAGAACCGTCCCGAGATTCCGCAATACATGTTCAACCGCCGACGTGCGCCGCCTCCGCCCATCGAGCTGGGGTCGTCGAATGTGGAGTCGATCAACGGCGATGCCGCCCCCAAGCAGCTTGGCAACTCTGTCGCTGGTCTTGGAGACAGGTCGACCGAAGTCCTCAACCGCATGGACGCTGTCCTCGGCCTATCGGCTCAAGACCCTTCACGCCACGATTTCCTCGATGACCCCCCGCGCAAGCTTCTCCTCTCTCAGCAGGTGCTGCAGGTTGTCAACGTCAACACCGTCAAGGACAGGTACCTTTTCCTGTTCAATGACATTCTGGTCATTGCCAAGCCCGTGATCACAGTCGGCACACAAGCAACGCTGGACATGAAGTTTATCGTCAAGTCGGTTGTCGGTCTTGACAAGCTGGTCGTCTCGGGTCTCTCAGATGAGCCTACTGCCGAGCCTCCACGCCATCCGGCCGTCACCCAGTTTATTCAGGACTTTGGCGAGGACGCCCCCACTGCGGTCCAGCAGCTCATCGAACGCAGTGCGCTCAAGATTGACTCTGTCACCTTGTCCAGTCTCCTCTTCAAAACAGTTGAGCTGGACAAGTCCCAGATCGGTCAACTCTTGGCACATGACTCGCAGTTGCTCGAGGCTTTTGTGGACCGCTTCCAATTCAGCCAAGTGCGTATCGACGACGCTCTCCGCATGTTCCTCCTCGCCATCCGCTTGCCGACAAACCTGGCAGATGCCGAACCGATTCTGCGCGGTTTCGCTCACATATATTGCGATGCCAACAAGGGCAACGTCGAGTTTGACGGCAACCTGGCGGGCGAGCTGGTAATCTCTATGCTTGAGCTCAACGACATGCTTTACTCGACTTTTGGCTTTGCGTTCCCCAACCATGCTATCTCGCGCGACGCGTACGTCAACGGGTTCTATGCCAAGGACCCCGACGGGCTCGTTCCCGACGACCTCCTGGACGAGATTTACGTGTCCATTCGCTACGCCAAGCTCGTGCAGGGTCTCGCTCCCAGCGAGGCTCATCTTGCTCGTGATATCACCGTCACCCCTTCGCGCCTCCCAAGCAGGATCACGTACAACGAGTGGTCGGAGCGAATTGTTGTCGCCATCCCTCGTCCAGACCCTGCGTTCAAGGTTGAGTTCGTGGGCGAGGGCCTACAGTTTGACCCGCCCTTCCTCGACTTTACGGACAGCCACGAGGTATCGTTCCGCACTCGTGGCGTGTCTCTGGGTCCCAAGACGATGCTCTTTCACCGCACTGGAAATAATGCGTAAGTTGTTCTTAGGTCTTTCGATTCGTGCAACTTGTACTGATAAATCAGTGCACTCTATGCTGGCATTGGCAACGGTCGCTCGTTCAACGTCGAGCGTGCTTTCATGCGGCACACGTTCTACGTGCAGTTTGTCTCGCACTTGGGCAACCGCCGCAAATACTGCTTCTCCGTCCCCGACGCAGCGGCCCGCCAACGCTGGGGACAAATGCTCACTCGTCAAGTGTGGCTCACAACCGAGAAGAAGCAAGGCGCTGGAGCGCCCACGACGCACGCGCAGCGGGTCCGCCGCGCCGCCGAGGCCGTTAGCTTGCAGGTACTGCGCGACGCACTTATTCCTCCCGACGAGAACCCCGAAACAGCAGGTGGTGGTGCCCGCAAGCTGAGCCACACGGCCGCCCAGCGGGATCCTCATCGCGCAGCACGTGTTGCCAGTGTCTCGCTTGCATATGCCGCGAAGGCTGGTGGCGATGAAGCCGCCCTCGGCCCCCTCATCGCCACCAAGGGCAACAACCCGGACGCGACAGGCATGGTGGATCTGCAGACAGGCAAGGAGCTCGTACTCCTCTGTCGTCAGAACAGTCTGCTCCCTGGTGTCCTCGAGCTGCTCCAGAGCGGCACGGGTGCCCAGGCGACTGCTACTGCTCCAACATCTGCGCCGGGGTCAGCAACGGCGCCCGCATCGGCCATCCCCCACGCATCGCACCTCCAGCCAAGCGGAGTCCAGCCCCAGCGCTCGGCAGGCCTCAAGGCCATGATGCAAGACAGACGGTTGTGAGGAGGAGATGAGGAGGAAGAAGATGGTGTGGAGGAGATTCAATTTTGAAACGGAAAAGACGAAGAAAAATCCCTGTTCAATTCCCCTTTCACGTTGTTGTCATTGCATGGATCTTCCCCGCCTCTGTACATACACACACAGTCCCCCAAACCCTATGCACATTCACTGCAACACCTTGCTCGCTCGCTTGCTCTGAAACGAAAAACACATGATGCAGACTAGACTATGGACTATGCGAAAAACTCTCCTTCTACTCCTTTTCCCTCTTTTCATGCTATCCTAGCCACGCGCTTCATCCCCTTGGTACGCAGTTCGACGGCGTGGCGCAGCTGCTTCGATGCAGCCTGTGTCGCCGGGTCCGTCTTCTCGTCCCCCTCGTCGGTAGCAGCGAGGACCCTGTCAATGAGGTTGTACGGCACATCGACGGCGCTGGGCTTGTCGGCCTGGATAAGGTCTGGGGGCGTGACGCGAGACAGCACCTCGGCAGTCCACCCGACGGCCTCGCGCACCCATCCAAAGGACAGGGCGCGCGAGATCCATCCCTCGGGGTCGCGCGAGAGCTCGCTGTCCACCAGCCACGCGGGCACTTGCCAGCCCGAGTTGGCGTCCTCGTTGAGCCCGAAGAACACGTCGGCAACAGTGTCCGTGTACTTGAACTCGGTCTTGAGCGAGTCGTGGCGCTCGAGGGCGATCTGGAGGTATCGCAACGCCAAAGCCGCGGGCGGGCCACGCAGACGAGCGGTGACTGGGGACGAGGCCAAAAAGGCAGCGGCGGGGTTGTCGAGCTTGACGCCGGGCATGCGCGCGAGCTCGACGCAGCGGGTCGCCAGGGTCGCAAACAGGTCGGTCATGTCGACGCCCATGGCAGCCGCAGAAGACTGGGCCTGGTCGAACATGGAGCGCTGGGTGAAGAAGCCCACAATCTCCTCAGAGGAGAGGGAGACGCCGTGGTCGTACAGGTCGGGAATCTGCTGGCAGAGACGGAGCTGCGAGACGACAGCAGTGTACTCGCCACGAATGTCGTCCAGGGTCACAATGCTGACGGGGCGGTTATCGATCGAAAACTCGTCGTTGGGAATGTACTTTGTCACACGGCGACGCTTTTGGCTCTGCTGTGAGTCACGCGCAGAGTTGACCGAGATCCAGGCATTGCGTTTGTCGACAAGGGCGAGAGCGTTGATGGCCGCAAGGTAGCTCTGGGCGCGCATGGCCGACAGCTCGAAGGCAGACACCCTGGAAGTACTGGCCTCGGCGAAGCGCTGGCCCTGAGCGTACATGATCTCGCCAGCGGAACGGTAGTCGCCACGCGAAATGTGCCAAGAGTAGAGCACCTTGTAGTAGTTGGGAGTGCGGAGGGGGTCCGAGTTGCGCGCCTTGAAGTTGAGGCGCTCCTCGACGTCCTTTTGGAACCCAATGAAGCCAAGGCGGTTGAGACGGCCGACCTGGTTGGACTCGCACATGGCCGAGATGAGCTGGCCAAGGAGGTCGCGCTTAATGTTGTGGAACGGCGCACTGGTGATAGTCGAGTAGGCGTCCTCGTATTGTCCAAGGGCAATGTAGGCAAGGAAGACACGAGTCCAAATGTCGCGGGTATTGATGTCGCCAGACTCAATGGATTGCAATGCGAGTGTGCCAAAGCGAGCAACGGGGCCTTCGAGCCCATACTCGTCCACAACGGCCATGACGCGGCGGTAGTACTCGCCAAGACCCTTCTTGCCAACACAAGTGGGCATCACAGCCGCGAGCGAACCGTCATGGGTTCCAGCAGCAGCCAGCTCGAGGTGACGAACACCCTCGTCAATCTCGTCAGCCTCGAGGAGCGCGCGGCCTCGAACAAACGCAAGGCCCGAGGAGAGAGGGTACAGCTCGGTCATTTCGCGTGCGACCATAGAGTGGCCATCGGCGAGAGCGGCGTAAGCAAGTTTGACATCGGGAACGCGGGGCTCAATGTCGATCTGGTTCTCCTTCAAAAGGCCAAGCTGGCCAAGGAAGGCGGACGCAGAGTCGGACAGGCGCGCAACAGTGTCGACCGGAACAGGCTGGGGGAGGACGCGAGCGAGGAGAGAATGCATGAGCGAGTAAGCGGTGTCGTAACCGTCAACGTCGGTGGGCTCGTCGTCGCCCTCACGCATCCTGAGGCTGTCAAACTCGGCGAGAACGTCGTCGTTACCACGCAGGCGCTTCGCCTGGCGACGCGCACGCGCACGCTCAGCGGCCTCCTCACCAGTCTGCTCCGACAGCCACTGCAGCACGCGGTACCGGTGGTACACGGCCAGTGCGCGCGCCAGAGTCTCGATGAGCTCCTCGGCCTCGTCGTCCTCAGAGGACAAGTCGGGGGACACAGACAGGTAGTAGAGAGCAATCAGGAGGACGTCACGGGCAAAGGTGTGGCGAGCGGCAATGGTAGCCATGATGGTCGAGGTGAGGAGGGCATTGCCAAATCCAGAGTATGCCCAGGCATCGACAACCTTCTCAGTCGACATGGGAGGAGGCGCCGAGGTAAGAATGTCCAGGGCGTCGGACAGTGTGCGTGAAACTGAGGTCGACTCGGAAAGGGCAAGCTGAAGGTTGTCACGGTCCTCCTGCTTGAGGAACGGGTCGACACGCTCGTCCCATACACGGCCGGCGAGGCTCTCTACTGGCTCTTGAAGGCAGACGGCAAGCTCACCGTCAAGAGTGTCAACAAGGGCGTCGAGAGCCGATCCAATGGCACCCTCGACCTCGCCGTTCTGAAGGGCAGCAGTCAAGGACTCGCCAGCGACGGCCATGCCGCACAGAGCGCGGCGGGCTTGGGGGGCAGCGAGGTTGGGGTACGAAGAGACGAGCGAACCCTCAGGCAGGGTCTGGAACTCGCCAGCTTCCATAGTCGACTGGCCGAGGTGAACGAGAACGCCAGGCGCGTCCTCGTGGATGGGAACGGAAGCACCGTCACGATCAAGGATGAGCAGCTGACCGTTGACAGACGACGACGCCACGGGCCAGCGGGCCTGCTTGTCCAGTTCACGCACACGAGCCCAAATACCCTGCCACTGCTGCTTCAGGTCCTTGCGGAACTGGGCAACCTCGGGGGCACCGGTCTGGCTGCTCGTACCCATGTGCAGGGCCGAGCCCACAGCCGCCTCAAAGCGCTTCGAGAGCGAGGGGTAGACGCTGGTGTGCAGGCGGTCCTGGTAAGGAAGGGGGAGCTGGTCAATGTACTCGTCGAGAGCCGTGACGAGAGTGAGCTCGGAGAAACGACCCGGGTAGAAGAGGTGGGCGAGGAACTGGGCGGTAATGTCCGAGTTGTTGTACGGGTCCGTGGGGTCGGCAGCCTCGAGATCAATGAGATTGTCAAAGTAGGTGTTGTCGTAACGCTCAACACGGGTGTCAATCGATGCCTTTTGCCAGTCGAGAACCATACGAGCACGCGATGGGGGTTGGTGGTACGTGGTAAACTGGAGAATGTCATTGACGAGGACAGAGTCGGCCGAAAGTGTGCCCTTCGAGTCCCAGACAGCCCACAGTCGCCAGCCGTCGGCACCATCCTTCCTAGTCGGTGGCTGGATCTCGAAACCGCGCAGCTCGCTGCCAGCAGAACCAGACGAGCCAGGACGCTCGCCGGCGTATTCGAGGTCATTGGCACCGTGTGACGTGTTGGCAGCGCGGTAAAAGACAAAAGTACCTGGAACGGAGGGGTCGTAAGGGGTGGGGACGAAGACTACCACAATGTGCGAACAGCGGGAGGAAGGCGATGGGTGGGCGATGACGCGGATGAGAGAAGGAGTAGCCTCGTGCGAGGGCGCCAGCTTGGAGGCAGAGCCGTTCTGGATAAGGTCGGTGGACGAGATGCGGACGTCGAGCGTCTTGAGACACTGGCCCGTCACGGCCGACCATGTTCGGAGCTTTGAGTCGCGCGAGTACGTGTAGAGCACGGGGATCTGGTCCTGGTACTCGTACTTTGCAATCGAAGTTACAAGCTCATCGGTCGCGCGTGAGAAGAACCGTAACCTCGAGGCGCCACGGTGCTGCGATTCGGACCAGAAGGGCTGATCGGGACTGGAGGAGGGCGAGCGGACAGCTTTGACGATGCCACCGTCGGCACAGCCAAGGATGACGGTGTCCTCGTTTGTGACGGCCCACGAGCCAATGTCGCCAACGGAGCTAAGAACATCGGGGTCAATCTCCCACTCCTCCACCCACTCGCCGTCCTTGGTGGTAAAGACAACGCGGTCACCCCTGTCCGTGAACGACTGAATGTTGAAGCTCAAGCGGTAGATGACGTTGGTCTCGGTGAGGACAACAATCACCAGCTGCCCCAAGCGGACCGACGGCACGATGCAGCCGTCGGCGAGGGGGCGAAGCGCGTCGGGGAAGAGGATGCGGATGATGGAGGGGTCCTCAATAGTACGATCACGAGTGACGACTGGCGAGAGGGAGCGGAGCTCGAGAGCATAACCGTTGTGGACAACACGGGCGAGGGTGGCTGTCCTTGGATCAAAGGCGGCGCTCACGGCGTGATCGGGGTGGAGCGGAGCAGAATAGATCTCTGTAGAGTCTGCAAAGGGACGCTCAGACGGCACCGAGACCTCGGCCACTGGTCCCGGCACCGTTGGGAGTGCTGGGAGATGGGCGTGTACGAGCGAGTGCGGGGAGTAGAGCGACATGTTTGGCAAGCGCTGCTCGCGGCGGCAGCTCGCAGGGAGATGGGTGGTCGCTGCCCAGGAGGTTTGGAAGGCGATGGGCTGTCTCTTGGATGACCTATAGTCGCGGAGAGGCCCTGTACGCTGTTGGGTGTTGTTGGTGATGACGACGGTGTTGCCAGAAGATGTCCACAATGGTTGTTGAAAACCCAGCCCAAGACGCATCATCCACCGCCCGCATATTTGCTTCCGCCGGTGCTTGTACCGCACTCACTACTTGTGTTTCGGTTGCCCATCAAGCGTCCTGCTCGTCCGTCCAGTCCAACATCGAGCTCCAATCATCCACATCCAACAGTCTAGACCATCAGGTTTAGGTTCCAGATTGGTAGTTACAGTGAGTTGGCTGAAAAGATTGAGGCTGGAGACAGTCTCGCGGCAAACAGCGGGTGAACAGCGCTCACCTCTCTCCTCTAGGAAGTTTCCTGCAGTAGCCATGGACCCGCGCCGACGTGACCCCCGTCAGAGGGGCAACGCCCCGTATGGTGGGCAGCAGGGCTATGGTGGTGGTGGTGGCGGAGCTGCTGCCCCTCCCAACCAGTACGGTGGCGCGCAGGGCGGCGGTTACGGCGGTGGTGGACGCGCACCAGCAGCACCGTCCTCGCAACAATATCCTCCTTACCAGGCTGCCAACAACGATCCTAGGTACGGACGGGGACCTCCATCAGGTTCATCGCCATACCCACCCTTCAGCGACCCCCGTATGCGCAACCAGGGTGGCACTGGTACCCCTCCTTACCCACCACCGTCTGATCCCCGTCGCCGTCAAGACGACATCCGCTCTGCTCCATCGGACCCTCGCGCTCGAGGACGAGTCACATCAGACTCTTACGCTTCAACACCACCTCAAAGTGGATCTAACGACTACCGGTCGCCTGTGCCACCTCAAGTATCCGAGGTGACTCGCACCAACGGCGCAGCCAACGACGTGGACACCTCCACTGCCATCCGGCAACGGCCTCTGTTCTGCGTTGTTTGTGCCAGTAACAACGTGAGTTTTGCAGCTTCAGCCATGATTCACCCGCTGACATGACGTAGAACCGTTCCATGGAGGCACATAAGGTGTTGAAGTGAGTTTTGACGGAACGCATCTTCACCTAGGTGGTGTCAAATGGCTAACCCCTTCTTCCAGTGCCGCTGGTGTGCGCGTGATCTCGGCCGGCACTGGCTCTGCTGTCCGTTTGCCTGGCCCTGCGATTGACAAGCCGAATGTGTATGGCTTTGGCACCCCTTACGACGTCATCTACAAGGACCTCGAGTCCAAGGACCCAAAGCTCTACACTGCCAACGGCCTGTTGCCAATGCTTGACCGCAACCGCAAGGTGAAGCTGGCCCCGCAGAAGTGGCAAGAGATGAAGTCGATTCTCGCCGACGTCGTCATTACTTGCGAGGAGCGCTGCTACGACGCAGTGTGCGAGGGTAAGTTACCCGTTTTGAGAAGTGGAACCTAACTTTGCAGATCTCCTTCTGCGAGGTGGCGAGTACAACCGTTCAATCCATGTCATCAATGTGGAAATTAAGGACAACCCCGAGGAAGCTCACATTGCTGGCAAGTCGATTCTCGAGTTGGCGCAAAACGTACGTACTCTGTCGCCTGAGCGTGACGTTATTCGTTACACCAGTTGTCAGAACGCTGACCTGTGTGACAGATTGAGAAATCACGCAACCTGGATGCTGAAATCGACGGCATTCTTGTTCGCCACGCCGACAAGCACCCTCATGCGCTCCTGCACACAGTACAGTTCTTTTAATCTGTAGCCCCCGCAAAGAGTGGATAATGTGGTGTTGGTGGATGCATATGTGTAAGAAGCGCGATCTGTTGGTGCAGTGAGAGCGACTGGAGTAGGGCCATCCATCGCACCTGCCAAAGACCTTGGTGCAACGTACATTGAACCCAACTGCCAGTCTGAAATCTCCCAACTTGTGGCGCCCCGCTGAGACGCTGAGACGCGCTCGGACCTCTTTTGCTCGTTTGTGCCACGTGATTTCCGGCGCGTGATCGGACCGTCTCGCCGTCCTCGCGGCGGCGTCATGGGCTCTCTGGGTGCACTTGTCTTTGTTGTTCAACAACACAGGACCCTCCACTGGACATCTCCCACGCACGCGACGCGCCCCCAGCCTCTCAGTTCCCAATACTTGCCTCCAAACGACGCTGGGAGCCGCTCAACAACGGCTGGACGACCCATCATTTCGACACTGCCTGTGCCGTACGCTCCGGATAACGTACACCTCTCCAACATTCCCCTTCGCCCGCGCCGAGGAACGCAGCATGCGAGATGGGGTCGACAGCGGCATTGTCCCATTATCAGATTGGCGACCTACTAGGTCGAGGAGCCAGTGGTAATGTCTACCGCGCTCTCAACTTTCTCACCGGCGAGACGGTGGCGATCAAGTCGATCTCGGTCGAGTCCCTCCCAGCTTCCTCCCTTCCAGACCTCATGTCCGAAATCGACCTCCTGAAGAACCTCAACCACCCAAACATTGTCAAGTACAAGGGGTTTGCGCGAGACAAGGAGAGCCTTTTCATCATCCTCGAGTACTGCGAAAACGGGTCACTACAAACCATTGTCAAAAAGTTCGGCAAGTTCCCGGAGGGCCTCATTGCCGTCTATGTGAGCCAGGTCCTCGAGGGCCTCGTCTACCTTCACGAGCAAGGTGTCATTCACCGCGATATCAAGGGAGCCAACATTCTCACCAACAAGGACGGCAGGGTCAAGCTCGCTGACTTTGGTGTGAGCTCGCGTGCCCCAACACCGGACCTCGCTGCGGCCTCAGATCCGGACGCCGACAATGAGGTCGTTGGCTCGCCCTATTGGATGGCCCCCGAAGTCATCGAGCAGAGCGGTGCCAGCACAGCCAGTGACGTGTGGAGTGTGGGCTGTGTTGTTGTCGAACTCCTCGAGGGCAAGCCTCCATATGGTGATCTCGCTCCCATGCAGGCGCTATGGCGAATCGTCCAAGATGACGCGATGCGTATTCCCGAGGGTGCGAGCCCAGTGAGTTTCATACGCGCAGCTGTGCTATATGTGTATTGACCCTGCTCTTCAGATTGTCAAGGACTTTCTGTACCAGTGCTTCCAGAAGGACCCCAACCTTCGTGTGTCGGCCAAGAAACTTCTTCGCCACCCATGGATGCAGACGGCGCGGAAAAACATGTCCGATGGCGCCAGCGAACCGGGAACGTTACCGCGAGCCAGAGCGTCGAGCAGCAGAAGTGGTGATAGGACTCCGTCCGGCAGTGTCCGGACACGACCAAAGCTGGCTGACATGTCTTCTCCGCGAAAAGACTCTACCGTCAGGTCGAAGCAGCCTACGGAGTATTCCGTGGCTGTCCAGCGTGTTCAGGAGTGGAACGAAGCGCTCAATGGTACGTGACTTTTGATACGACAGTGGAGCTGATAGAAATAGCGTCGCCAAAGAACCTGGGTACTATGCGTCGTATTCCCGCCGTGCCCAGACGGCAGACTGAGACCCGTGCCCGTTCCGACTCGTTAGGCTTCAGTGGCGCGACGGCAGGTGGCTCGTTGAGTCCTCCTCTGCTTGCAACACAAGCCGCGGTCACTGGCGGTTTGCTTCAAAAGAACCAACACGTCAGCGATGTCCTCAGCCGTGCTCGCGAGAGTAATGAGGCAGAGAGATGGGACGACGACTTTGCGTTTGACGTTACAATTCCGAGCATTAAGCGTGAGCTGTCTGCAGCTGTTGTCGATCTGACGTTACAGCACGTAAAAGTCTTGAAAACGCGTTTGAGGAGAACATCCCCGAGCATGATTCCGACCACGAGACTGTGCGGCCCAGGCTTTCCGCTGGCAAGAAGAAGCCGCCCACTCGCTTGAATGGTATTGTCGAGGACTACTCGGATCTCGCCACTGGCGACGACCAGCTGGAGTTGAAGCTGTCGAGCATGAGGGTGAGAGATGATGAGCCGAAGACACAGCAACTGACTTCTAGTCACGAAACAAGGACAATGGTCAGATTCGCCTCATGCACCCAAAGGACCTGCAAAAGATGGGAACTCTGACTTCTACCCCTTCCAAACCTGCGCCGCCTCCCAAACCTGCACCACCGCCAAAGACAACCGTCTCTACATCTGCTGCAGCTCCTCCCACCACGTCTAGCCCCACAAGCACAATGCGGACCCCACCTGGGTCTCGGAACAGCTCCCTGCGCGGCCGCAAGGCCGTGTCCGAGAACCCCGAACTGCAAAAGTACACGGAAGCTGACGACGAGGATTATTCGGACATGTTTGATGGGCCTGTGATGCCTGTTCATGGTGCCCACACGGTTGGCTCTCTGCAACTCACGCGACGCTCTAACCGGTCGTGGCAAGAGGAGGACGAAGAAGAAGCCGACCCCTTCGCCGAGTTTGACGACTTTGAGCTAGACGACCTCGAGGCAAACCTCCACCACAACAAGAAGGCGGCCCTATGGTCTAGTGTCGAGAAGTTTGTCGACCAGCTCCAAGTCGGCACCTCCATGGCGACTCTCAAGGCAGTATGCGACGAGCTGGTAAGTGCACCCTTGGGTGAAGCACATCAGATGCTTACATTCCAGTTGAACATGTTTGAGACTTCTCCGCCGGATATGGGCCTGGAGCGTCACTTCGTTCAAGTCCACGGCATGCTGGCGTGAGTTAGCGTCGTCCTTGCGAAACTGACCAACAGTGTTCTTGAGGTTTTGGAGTCTCGTTTGTCTCGAGACGTTGCCGTTCGGTTGTTGAAGATTGTCAACTTTGTGCGTAGCGTGATGAGCGGTCATGGCTCACCCATCAACAGATTGTAGCATTTGACGTGGATAATCTCGAGTCCTTCTGTCTTGTCGGAGGTATCCCAGTCATTATTGTGAGTTGCGCCCGGTGCCGAGTCTGCAGCTGACAATAGCCATACACCAGCAAGAAACACACACTTGATACCCGCCTCGAGGCATCCACATTTATTCAACACCTCACACGAAGCGCATTAACATTGCAAATGTTCATTTCGTAGGTAGCGTATTCATAGGTGTGTGTCTAACCTATCCAGATGTCGTGGCCTCAAAGTCCTTGTTGAACTCTTGGACGAGGACTACTCTGTCAACAAGGCTCTCATCCTCTCTGCGCTCGAAGGCATTGGGAGCGTCTTTGACCTCCAGTCTCCCACACCCAAACCCGACTTTTGCCGCATGTTCACCCGCGAGGGTATCCTTGACCCGCTGTCGTCGGCACTACTGGCCGTCACCAAGGATCCCGAGATTGTGGATGACACGCCCAAGCGCGCAGTCGATGTGCTCCTTCTCTTCTGTCAGGTGGCACAGAGCGATGACCACGTCCGCTCCGCATTCGCCACGCGTACCATTATGATGCGTGAGTTGATGCAGTGTTTTCGTCCACTGACACCGCAGGCCTACTCAAATCTCTGGACCTCCTCCCTCGCAAGCTGCTCGTCACTGCGATCAAGGCGGTCAAGCATCTCGCGACCAACCCCAAGCTCATCGAGGTCCTTCAGAACTCAAACGCAATGGAGGAACTTGTCGAGCTGCTGGGCAAGTCGCTCAAGGGCTCTTACAGCAACGAGATTTGCTCGCACATTTACCAGACCATCTACTCGATGTGCCGTCTGTCCAAGGCCCGCCAGGAGGAGGCCGCCGCCGCCGGCATCATCCCGCTTCTCAAGCGCACAATCGTCAACAAGTCTCAGCTCAAGCAATTTGCACTTCCCGTACTTTGCGACCTTGCCAACGCAGGTAAGGTCTCACGCCGACTGCTGTGGCAGAACGATGGCCTGTCCATCTACCTGGAGCTCTTGGACGACCCATACTGGCGTTTCAGTGCGATCGAGTCGGTCTTGGCTTGGTTCTGGGAAGACCCAGCGCGCGTGGAAGACTACCTCCTGCAAAAGTTGCCCGTGGACAGCCTATCCAAGTGCTTTGTGCAGGCGGCCAACGTCTCCTTTGAGCGTATTGTGGACCCTTACTGGAAGATCTTCCGCCAGTCACCCACACTCGCTGTTGCGGTCGCTTCCTCTCCCTTCCTCCGTCGTTTGGCCGAGGCGCTCGAAAAGCCCGCCGACGCGGTGGTCAAGCTCGGTCTGCTGCGCATCATTCGCTTCCTGTTCGAGAACCACCCAGACCGCGAGACTATCGTCACGCGCCACTCGTTCGACACCATCGTTGAAAAGTTAATGATGCAGGACAATGCCGTGCTCGTCCGCGAACTTGCCAAGGAGGTATACGGGATCCTCGTACCAGGCAGCGCCGACATCGACGAGGCCGCCATGGAGTCGGACTTGCCCATCGCGGAAGCCAAGTCAGCGGCCGCTCCCGCCCCGCCGTCGATGCAAATCAATCGCGTCCTCAGCGTACGTCGGCCGAGTGATCCGAGCAGACCCAGTGCCAGCAAGAGGCTTGTTCGCGTGCCAAGTGCATTAGGCCCCCCACCACCACCCAAGGATGGCCACGCAAGTTCCTCGGCCAGCTCGCGTTCCGTAACGCCGACCAATTCGTCGACTGGCCAGGGGCTGCGCAGAGCGGCACGGCCCATCTCGCGGAATCAGTTACGGTAAGGTTGCATGTTTGTGAAATGAAGCTAACCAAACAGCGACGTGCAGTGGGAAGCAGACGAGAACGGACGGTTAAAGTCTTTGCGCTCGCCCGGCATTCGACCCAGGCACTCGAGTAACTCGAGTCGAGAAAGTAGATAAGGAAAGGAAAGACAAGGGGAGAGAGGCAGGCACGGAGAGACATACGAGAGATATGCACACCGCATTGAGACGCCCTGCAGTATGCTTGCATGCGCTACCTAATGATTGAGAGTGATGGTGGACTATGGACAGAAGGGGGAGGTGGAGTTGGATGCGATGGTGGGTTGTATTGCGTCAAAACGGGTGCTCTAATTCAGGTCCTGATCGTCTTTGTCTCGCCACGAAGCGACGGGTGGCTTCTCAAATTGCTGGAAGGGGTCAGAATTCTGGCCGTACCGCTTGACAGCGAAATTGTCAACGATAAGTTTGCGGTTGAACTTTCTCAGCTCTGGCTGGCGACGCAGGCGGTGTGGGCGGGACACGTCATCCTCGCCCAGCATGCGGAGACCGAGGCGGTAGGCCTCGTTGTCACGACGTTCAGTCTGTGTCGAGTCTTGCTTGGCCATCCACTTGAGTATATGCTTCACCTCCTTGGCTGTGTGCAGCGCGAGGCGAAAGAAGCCCGGGTTGCTGTAAGTGCCGTTGATGGTCTCCTCGTACTTGGTCCACGAGGTTGTTTTGCCGTGCAAAGGCGGGGGGCCCTGGAGATCGGGGAACTTGATGGTTGGGGTGATGTCTTCAAGGACGTCCTCTGGACGGGTTTCGGGTATTTTGCCCGTCCTCCAGCAGTAGTGTGCGAGGAAGAAGATGGCACCGGCGGAGTCACCAGTACGGCTAATGGCTCGGGCAATGGACGCTAGGGAACTGTCGTCCAGCTTGATCGTGTTCCACTCGCGCTTGGCGAGCGTGACGGCCGCGTCTGGCTCCACCAGGGCAAGAGCGTTGATCATCTTCATGACGGCGGCCGAGTCGACGCCAACCTCACGGCGCAATAGCTCGTACATGTTGCGAGAGCGCTTGACGTCGCCCTTCTCGGCCCAGCCGCGGATGAGAAGGTGGTACATCCATCGCGACGGCTTGACCATGTCCGCAGCAGCATGATCCATAACCCTTTCGGCCTCGATCATGTCGTCACACTCGACGTAGGCTTTCATAAGAGACCGGTAGTGCCTCTCACCTGGACGGAAGCCGCGCTTGACGAACACATCCCATGTCGCCTGGATGGACCTTTGCGGGGGAGCAGCACTCCTGAATGGGACGACGTCGTACATGAGTCGCGTGTGGAGGTTTTCACGGCCAGACGTCTGACCCTGCTCGGCGAGCGTGTTGATACGGGTCTGGAGCAGCTTCTGTAACTCACCGCGCAGGGCAATGGCGTTCGGGTCCATCAACTGCGGGCCATCAGACGACGGACGTTCAATGTGCTTGGGATCGTCTCCTGGTGGAGTGCGCAAGGCGACACGCACAGCCTCAGCGAGCACAACGTTGATTTGCCCCATCGTCATGGGCACGTTGGTTCGAGTGGACAGCTGGTGGAGGAGGCGGCTGAGGGAAATGGGTGACGATAGGAGGTTGTTCTTGGCAAACTTGAGCACCTCCATCACGGTCCATTCGTTCGGCTTAATACCAGCCTCCCTCATGAGTTCGGCCACAGCGACAAGACCCTCGTATCGTTGATAACGAAGCGCAAGCTGGAGCACAGTGTTTGCCACAACAATGCCGGGTCGGTAGCCGGCTGGAAAGTCCCACGACGAGGGCTTTCCCTTGCAAGCGGCGGCGAACATATCATAAACGGCGTCGAAATGCCCAAGCCGGTCCAGTGACCGACATAGATGTGCTACCAGCTGGTCGGTAACGATTTTGGGATCAGCGACGGCGAATCTCCACAACTTGTCAATGGCGCTAATGTCGGTACCCTTGACCTTGGACTGGAGCGACAATGCTAGTGCGATGGTCGTCTGGTCAGGCTCCACGCCGTTGGGACCGTCGCCAAAGAAGTGGAACTCGGAGAGAAGTTGTTTTGCTCGTTCTAGATCGTTGTCGGCTAGTCGCAGGCGAATAAACTCGTTCAGGATTGGCGCCGCCATTGGAGCCCCGACGTGTGCCAGGGATGCGCGAACACGCTCCTCTAGCCTGTCGTCGTGTCCCAGAGCACGGTAGCCACGGAGCAGAGACATTTGCAAGTCGACAATGGGGACATTGGAGCCCGTGGCCACGTTAACTGCTTGCTGAGCAGCTTCAATGTTGCCCTGTTCAAGATGAGCCTGGATCAAGATGCCCTTGGCGTCCGTGGTGGTATTGGAGAGAATACTGAACAGCTCGACCGCTACCGATGGTCGCTTCACCACGACGTTTGCCTTCATGCCCAGTTCTACGAGCTTGGGTGTCCACAAGGCGACGGGGAGTTGAGCCGTCATTGACAACATTCTTGCCAGGCATTCCCACTCCTTGAGCTGAGCAACATCAAGAGCGACGCCCAGAGCGTCCATTATGGACGGACCACCGAGGCGCTCGTCCTCTATCTTAACGTTCCAAATGTCGAAGAACAGTTCGCGGGCGCGAAATACCATAGCCGCGTAAAGAAGAGAGCGGATCAAGCGACGGGCCGAGGCAGTTGCCTGCTTGGAAGTGCTAGTTGCAGATGCGTTTTGGATAATAGCAGTGACTCGGGTGAGGGCAACACCTGCGTCGTCGAAATTGACACTGCCGATGTCAATGATAGCGCCTGATTTAACGTTGTCGCGGATGAAGAAGAGGACTGCGCGGATATCTCTAAGGTTGATAGTTGTCAGGTCGGCTCGTGACATTTTGGCGATGGAAAGCAAGGCGCCGATGGGATCATGGGGCACTTGGCGGCTGAAGCGATCGCCAGCTCTCAACTTGTCGCCTGTTGGGTCCACCGCGTGCCATCGGCTGGCAGTGATCGGTGGAGGGTTGGTCGGCGCGTAGGTCGAGTGACCGCTTTGTCCAGCACTCGCCGACTGACCCTTTTCCGGGTTTGACCTCTGCAGGTCGTAGGCGGCGGCACTCGCGAAGCCGCGTTGACCGGCATGTGGTCGCAAAGCACGCGCTTGTGCTTGGAGGCTGGACTCTGCAGGGAGCCGAGAAATAGAACCAGCTAGGCGGGGCGCAAGGAGCGCGCCCTGCCTTGCGGTAGAGAGCATTGGAACGAGTTCGGCTGCAGTCGGGCTTGCGGAAGCTGGAGTTAGCTGACTGGTTCCACCGAGTGTTGTGCGAGAGCTGCTTACCCAGGTGTTATGAGCAAGACCCGAGGAAAAGAAATGCTAGCCTAGACAGCCATGAGTGCCACTGGGATAGGTTGGAAGAGATGCGCGTAAGGATGTCGTGACGAGAGGGCGAGCTTGATCGAAAAGTCAAAGCCAAGCGAGAGCGATCCAGCACGGAAAAGGCCGTTCAACCAGCCAAACGGAAGCAAATCGGAAACAATGCCTGAGCTGTTCTCCACGTGCAAACCACGTGATCACATGACCCCCGCACTCCTCCGTTATCCGTCCCTGGCTCGAGTCGGGTCCACTGATCCACCGCCGCCCATGTTGACAAGCTCCCCGTCCCGTCCTCTCTCACTTCCGCGCGTTTCTCTCTGACACTTCTAATACCCACTGTATCGCAACACACGATAGCCTGTCGCCATGGCTACTCCGGAAACTTTTGACCTTCCTGCGGAGGAGATCGAGCTGCCCTTCAGCATTCTCGATACCGACCTCTACAAGGTAAGATAACCTTTCGTGTCTTGTGCACCCCGTCGGAGAGGAATGTGGCTGACCACATGCCCTCAGCTCACAATGCAAAATGCTGTTCTTCGCCACTTCCATGACGCTCAAGTTGTGATCAAGTTTACAAACCGTGCGCCTCAGATGCGCTTTACGCGCGAGTGCTTTGATTGGATTCAAGAGCGCGTTAACCGTGAGTTGATAACCCGGCTTCCCCGGCCGCCAGTCACTAACCGTCTTTAGGTCTGGGCGAGCTCCGTCTCACCAACGAGGAGCGCAAGCGCCTCGAGGCCGCGTGCCCATACTTCTCCGCGTCATACCTCGACTTCCTTGCCAGCATCCAACTCCACCCGAAGCAGCAGGTTGAGCTGAGCTTCCTCCCAGGAGCGGACGGCGCCGGCGAGATTGCCTGCCGTATCGAGGGTCTGTGGCGCGAGTGCATTCTATACGAGGTTCCCATTATGGCCATCAGTTCGTGCTACCATGTTGCTTACAATGCTGACGTGGTGTAGTCTCGGAAGGATACTTCAAGTTTGTGGACACGGACTGGACCATGGACGGACAGTTTGGTGGGTCCTAACCTGGCGGTTGTTGCTGACTTGGCCAGAGCTTGCCAAGAAGAAGGCTCTTGACCTCCTGTCGCCCCCTGATGGTATCAACTCGATTGCCTTTTCCGAGTTTGGTACTCGCAGGCGACGCAGCTTTGCTGTCCACGATGTAGTCATGCGCGGTCTGGCTGCTGGTCACGAGGAGTGGAAGGCCGCGGGTGGCAAGGGTGCAGGGCTTGCTGGTACCAGCAACGTGAGTTGGGGGACTCCATGACAATAGTTGACATCAGGTCTACCTTGCGCTCAAGTACGGCATCAAGCCCTCGGGAACGGTTGCCCACGAGTGGATCATGGCCATCGGTGCCTCGTTTGGCTACGTCGACGCCAACTCTCGCGCAATGGACATGTGGGAGGCAGTTTACCCAGCCAACGTCAAGGATGGACTCCCCCTCATCATGTTGACCGACACCTACACCGCCGAGGTCTTCTTCCGCGAGTTCTGCTCCGACCCTGCTCGTGCCCTTCGCTGGGGCGCGTTGCGACAGGACAGTGGCGACCCCTTCACCTTTGTCCGTCAGGCCAAGGCAGCCTGGGAGGAAGTTGCCCGTCTTGCGGGTACCGAGGGCCCCGCTCTTGCTGGGAAGCGCGTTGTCTTCTCGGACGCGCTCGATGTGGTTCGCTCGATCAACCTCCAGAAGGGTTGTGACGAGATTGGTCTTGGTGCTGCGTTTGGTATTGGCACGTTCCTTACCAATGACTTTGTCAAGAAGTCGGACCCTACACAGACCAGCAAGCCCCTCAACATGGTTATCAAGCTTAGCCAGATTAACGGCCAGGACTGTGTCAAGCTGTCAGACGACAAGGGCAAGCACACCGGCACCCCCAGCGAGGTCGCACGTGCCCAGCGTGAGCTGGGCCTGGCACCCTAGACCGCTTTCCCTCTCGGATTGGATTGATGCTGCGAAGTACTCGGCAGTAGTGTTGTGTATCGTTACGTACCGCTTCCACGGGTTCCTAGATGTCACGACGTAGACCTTCTTAACGATTGATTGGCCTTTGCGTCAGGCCATTTCCAGAGTGAAATGGCCACATAGTTTTGGTGGTAAGCCTGGTTTTGCGGGGCAGCGCAAAGAAGTGGGGCTCATTTTTGCCGCGTGCCCGAGAGCAGCGTCATGTGCTGAGCTGCTGATCTGCTGAGCATCGGCTTGTGCATGTCAGCAGCCTAAATGTCTCATCGCGACCCTTGTACATATCTGCACGACCGCCGGAATAACACATAGGTTGCCGTTTCCCGGAACCGCGTCCTCAGACACACCCTTTGTGACCGCACCAGGCACGGGACCCGACATTGAGTGCAAGACAACCCCCCGCCCCCATTCACTTCACTCTTCCTAGCCTTTTACACACCATCTACACTTCCTTTGTTCGTCATGGCGCTCAATGGTGCCATCAAGGCCATCTTCTGGGCATGGATGTGAGTCTTGAATCACGAAGCAACATGCACTGACAGCAGCTCGTCCTGGTACTGTACGTCAAATGGCTATGACGCGTACTCTCCCACCCCTTCCTTACCTCTGACACCCCCGCAGATGGTTATCACTTGACAGAGCTCAACTTCCCCGTCAACTCCCTCACATGCTGGGATAGCACGCATGATGGTCACCCACTCCTCCCCCCCTGTCTCGGCCTCACCTCGTACATGTATAGCGGAGTGACGGCCATTCTCACCGTAGGCGGCCTCGTGGGCAGTCTGATGTCCGACCGTGTTGTGCGTTCTGAGGGTCTTGCAGGCGGCATCGCTTGGACGGCGTGGATCAACCTTGCCAGTGCGCTTCTCATGGCTGCTGCGCCGCACTGGATCGTGTTTGCGCTGGGACGGTGCGTTCAGCTTGGCAACATTGGCGTTTGCTGACGTCCCAGCTTTGTTGCCGGTGTTGCATGTGGCCTCGCGGTGTGTTTTGTCCCGCCGTATCTTGCCACCGTGGCTCGTACGACTCCACAGCTCGCCCCCCGTGTGGGCCAGATTGGTACACTGCACCAGCTCGCCGTTGTTCTGGGCATCTGCTCGTCGCAGGTTCTCGGCAGGATCCTCACCGGACCAGTAAGCTTTAACTGTGGGGCAGTACTGAACCCGCCAGAACGGTGACAAGCTGGGCGGCTGGCGCTGGGTGTGCGCCATGTCGGGAATGGCCTCCATTATCCAGATTGCTATGACGGCCCAACCGGAGGACTTTGAGCGCAGCAGGCCTGCAACGTCCGACCCCGAGGACCCAGAGGAGGCAGACCGTCCACATGCTATCCCCCGCGACGAGAGTGAGTGTAAATGTAAAGCTGGGATGACAAGGCTGATACATGTAGTAGCTGCCCCGCTTATCCAGAACTCCGGTGGTGGCCCTGGGACAGAGCAACTCTCGGCCCGTGACCTCTTGTCTAACGCCACCCTGCGTCGTCCGGCTGTGCTGGTCATTACGTTGATGAGCCTGCAGCAGCTTTCGGGTGTGAACGCCGTGCTGTTCTACTCGACTCCGGTCCTCCAGTCCATCTACCCGAACGCCGGTGCTGGCGCTGTGAGCGTGTTTATCACCGTTGTCAACGTTCTTATGACTTTCCCGGCCATTGTGCTCGTTGACGTGAGTTGCACATAGTCCGCCCATAACTTATACATCAGCGTGTTGGTCGCCGCCCACTCCTTCTCACCTCGAGTGTCTCTATGCTCCTGATGAGCTTGCTCCTCGCCTACGGTTTGGATGATCACCTTCAGAAGCTGAGCGGTTTCGCCATTGTCGCTTTTATTGTGAGTCGCCATCCGCTTCAAAGCCGTCCAGCTAACGCATCAGGCCGCTTTCGCCCCCGGTCTCGGTCCCGTCCCTTGGCTCCTCGTCTCGGAGATGGTCCCTCACCACGCTGTCCCGGCCTTGTCTTCGCTCGCTCTCAGCGCCTCATGGATCACGACTGGTTTCGTCGGCCTCGTCTTCATTCCACTTCGCGATGCCCTCTCGTACCCTGTGGACCCTAGTGACCCCATGAGCGCACGCGAAGGCGAAGGTCGCGTGTTCTACGTGTTCACCGTCTCGCTGGCGATCACTACTTTGGTCATCATGCGCGGCGTAGCCAAGTAAATCAGAAAACATCAAGACAATTTGGAAACAGAAGTAGATTGCGGTGCTCATGGGATATCTTTTCTTGCGTGATTGCCTTGCACTGATGTAAACGGCCAGGGGGGGCTGCGGTGCACTGATGTTCATCACTGGTCATTTTCCAAGTTTTCATACGATAGAGCGGTGGTTTGTCTCCTGTGGAGGACTAGAGCTTTGTCCAAGCACAGGGTCCCGTGATCCATTGACCCCGGAAGTCGGTGTAGAACACGCTGGTCGGCAGCTCGCCTGGCAAGCTGATAACGCCCTCCAGTTGATACACTTGCTGCTCGGCCTGCTGTGCGGGTTGGCCGTCCAGCTGCTGCTTGGCCTGAGCATCAGCTTCCCTCAACAACTGAACCAACGGCCGGTCCCGCTCTACTTCCGCCATCAGCGCCTGGAACTGCTGGGCCAAAGTCTCGAGCTGCTGGCGCTGAGCAACCAGCTCCACGGCCACTTCGTTGCGCCAGGTAGACTCCTGAAGACGCGAAAGGAGGTGAAAGTACTTCTCAGACGCGTCCACATGGTTGGCGTCGGGGCGGATGAGGTTGTGGTCCGCCTCGTAGGTGTACAGGGGCGGCCCGGGAAGCTGCTGGTTGTGGTTCTGACCGGGCTGCAGAAGTGGCGCGGGTAAGAGCGGCTGAATGGGCTGCTGGAACAGCCCGCCGTTGGCCTTCGCCACAGACTCTCTCAGACGGCGGAGAGCCCGGTCCTGGTCTTCGAGCTGCTGGCCGATGTTGGTACGGAAGACCTGGCTCCTGAGCCACTGGAGGGTTGCCAGTGGGTCGTCACCAGGAGGTGGGACATAGTGCGGGTCCGGGAGCTGAGGGAGGGCTGGGTTGTGCTGAGGCTGAGGCTGCGGCGGCTGGACGGGGGGTTGAGGGGGTTGAAGAACCGGCGGTATGGGGAACTGGACTCCGAACTGGGGGTTTAACTGGAGGTCGAACTGTGGGTTGAACTGCGGGTTGAACTGCTGGTCGAGCTGGGTGTCGAACTGGGTGTTGAGCTGGGCGTTGAGCGGAGGGTTGAATTGCGGATCGAACAAGTAAGGCTGCAGCGGAGGGTACAGAGGGTTGTACTCTTGGTGTTGAGGCTGGATGGGCGGAAAGGCCTCGAGGAGCGGGATGTGCTGCTGCTGTAAGGGTGGCGGTGGCGGCGAGGCAGTTCCGTACGTCTGGTCGCTCGCCGCCGTGGATTCAGTCTCCGAGTTTGTCGGCGTCGAAGAGCCGCCAGGAATTGAGGCGAGCAGCTGCTGCTGCTGAATATCTGGATTATGTCGGTTCGTTTTCCCGTCCAGCCTACCGGCCGAGTCTTGAGAGAGAGAGAAAGTACACTCACCGGCTGCCCACTGGATGAACTCCGCAGGAATCATCAGGTCTTGTTGGCCCAAGACATTGTCAGTGCCACCCATTCCAAAGTCCAACATGTTCTGGTTCACGTCAGATCAAATAAAGAAGAAGGGGGTGGCAGGGGTGCTTATAAGTCAGACCTGTCTGGGCGTGAGGCCACACGGGTCCATCAGTGCCACGTCTGGACGTGACGCGGTACGCGTCTTGTTGACTCCAACGCCACTGATGGCAAACAGCCATCAAAGCCAAGCGGTCAGAGACATTGGCAATATAGACTCTGTAGAGACACGGACGAGGTTCACTGAGGTGCGATTGCTGCACCTGGGTGTTGTAAAGCGGCGCTGGGGGACATGAAGAATGTCCTATATAAACAAGATTAATACGTTTAACTAGATAAACTGGCACATACGGTGGTAGATGTTTGCATACCCGTCTCGACAAGCTCCTCCACCTTTGCATATAATTTTGAGAACCCAGACCAAAACTCCATGCCGCCCCAGCATGAAGTTGTGCCACAGTATGGGGACGTACATAGTGCATAAGACGGCCCACAGTCGGAAACTCTGCCTCTGCAGACCTCCACAGCCTGACTCGGTTCTGCAGGGCTTATTCGAGGAGATCTCTGATTCGACAACCCCATCAAGGCCCGTGGCGGAACCGTGTTGACCAGAAGGTGGACAGGCTGTGGCAAGGCAGGAGAAGAAGAATTCTGAGACCGAATAGTGCTATCAGTTGAGGGCCAAAACGGGGGGCCAGCCCAATGGCTCCCCCCTAAACACGTCATTTATGGTTCAGCATGGGTTCCTCATAGTCAAAAGTTCCTGTGGCCTCTGGAAACGGCAGCCACACCTTGCCGAAGGGAGGCGCAAGGCAAGACCAGCAAGCCACTGCACTCCAGTTGACTGTGGCTGATGTCAGGTCGATATGTAGCAATTTTATGACGGACTGAACATGGCATTGGCGGTCTATGTGGGAACGGGTCGACAGCCCGACTCTCCCTATTTACAGGAGAGGTCCCCCAAAACCGCCTGGCTTTCGGGGTCGTCCAGACGTCGTAAGCGCTCGAGGAGATCAGATCATCGGCCTGTGGGGAAACTGATTGAAGCTCGAAGGTCGGGATAGAGACAACAGAGAGGCTGTGGGGGCGACCACCACGCTAGTCTGTGCATCCAGGACGGCAACAAGGGTGTCCCACGTCGATACAGCGACGTCGTCGTTGAGGGTACTGCCGCAGCAGCCGAGAACCTCTGCGCGAGATAATCCGCGATATCATAAGTGGAAGTGGCTGCATGGCTGCGGAGGTTTGCCGGCGGCCTCCGAGCTGCCACAGGGTACCACGTTCGCTGTAGAGATTGCACCGAGACATTTATAGCTGATAGGCCGTTTTATAGAACCCGAAAGTGTCCCTCACAGGACCACAGGCGTGACCTAAATTCGGATCCTGCAAAGCGCGCAGTCCGTTCCATGTCCCACGTCCGAAGGGTACATTCACCACGTTCTTTCGGAGATGGATGTTCTGAAGCGAAAACCACACTTCCATTTGTACAGCGACGAAAGGAGGGCTACGATTAGGGGAGGGGAGGGGTGGTGGTTGTGGTGGCGGTGGTAATGGCCCCTTGTCTATCGTAATGGCATGAGACGGACAAGGACAGCAGAGTTTCAGGGGGATCGGACTATCGGGTCCAATGGCACATATCCTGAACCACTTGCAACTGTTGGTGCAGCTGCTCTATCTCACGGAGCTCCAGGCGGAGACGGCAACGTGCGCAGATCAAACCTACATCTCACAGGTTGTGCCGCGAAATCTATTCTGGAATTCCTTGACAGCCTACGACGTGTCACACAGCCAAGTGTCCCGGGTCATTTTTAACATTCCTGTGAAGCATGTCTGAGACAGCTCGGAATTGCTCCTCACGGTGAGTGGACACTGGTCGGTGCACCATGCGGCGCCAAGGCTGGCCGCCACGGGGTGTACGGCCATCTCGGCCCGGACGCACAGGGTGTGTCGGTCGAGCGGAGGGCAGAAGACCGATGTTGATGTGGTCTTTTCGTAGGCTTGACATGTGTCCATCACATGCATCTGTTTAAAGCTTGCACGTTCGTGTTCTTGGTACAAATCCAGACGTCTGGCACGGAACGCGGATCAACCGGGCACGGACACATGGGCGGCACTTGGAAATACGGCAATGACGGCAATGACAATGACGAGTAAGCGTCGTGCGCCGTCCTCGTCGCCGCAGCGCGCAGCTCGGACGCTCTCGTGTAGCGTCAATGCGGCTGCCGCCTACTCCAAGAGGACGCTCATTTAGGCAACGCTGTTGTCCGTCCTCTGGTTCACGAACGTTCGATAGTTGTTAGATCGCGACGCTCACGAACGTGATCGAGGGCAACGAGTGACCCTCCTGCAGCGTACTTTTTTTTTGAGTTGACAGGTGCCTAACACCCGAAGCGAAGTGTTGTGAGACTTTAGTGCGTTGCCGTGAGCCAAGGTGGCAAAAACCGAGGCTCACAATCATGGCAGACGGATGTCAGCTGGTTGACGCCTGATCGAGGAGATGCATTCGTTTATGGGCTTCGTTTCACTGTGCGCGGCACGCATTTGCAAATTCCTGGACCTTGATAGGTGCTATCGTTGGACAAGCCGCCACCGGCGGCACAGGCGAGGGCACCGGATTGACTGGCGTGTTGCTCTGCCGCTTGTCGATCCATCGACTTGATCGCAATTAGAGCCTCTAGCCGGTGCCCTCTGGCAGCTCCTCAGATCCTCTTGCATACACGTTCGTCCCAACGTTTCATACGGTGGAGGGGTCTCCTACATGAGCGTTCGAGTCCCACATTTATTGGACGGAATACCGCTGTGACGCACATGAGATGTCGGGAAGAGAGGCACGACATGGTCCGCGTGCAGCATTGCGCAGACGATGCTTCCCTGGACCGAGACAGCACAGTCGGGCTGGGCAGCCCAGTTTGGCACGCACAAGAGCAACGTTGAAGCTTGAAGCGGGATAAGCGACACCCACACTCGGCCACTGTGTCCGCGTCCCCTGCTCACCCCCCCACCCGGTGCGTCGTCGCGGCGCGTGACGTCGCAGGTGGCGCCGACCGCCGACACGGCTGAGCGCCAGACGAGCCCTGTCGCCTCGTACGGCGCTCATCGGGTGCAGGGACGATTAACCTTGCCAGGCACGACAAGCCAAATCGTTGGCAAAAAAGTCTACGCATGGAGAACCCAACGCGGATAGCGTCCTTGCCGACGTCCATACCCAGGCTCCGTGCTCGCTGGCCCGCTGGCCCGCTGCACATGGACATGACTGCGAGGCCAGGTCAGTCGCCCCCTCTCTTAAAAGGTCACCCTGTCCTAGATCGTTCATTGATCTTGAAAGACCCCCACAGCGACTCCACAACAACAAGAATCGCCACAATGCCTCTTACGAGCCACAGGACCGTCGAGGATGACGAGCTCGCAAACCAGGAGGTCGCCAACCCCAACCTCCAGCCTCCAGCCCAGCCCCGCGCAGGCGGCTACAAGCTGGGCAGTGTCGGAACGTGAGTGCAGAGAGCGTGCCGCCCCCCAGGGTGACGCACCCATCCGCTGTGGCACCGCCGCTGACTTTTGCCAGTATCTTCGCTTCTGTAAGCTCAAATCGCGACCCAGGACGCGCCCGCAACAATCACTGATGCATGCAGGGCTCTGCCATGTTTAGCGATGGTTATTCCAACGCAAGTATCGGTGAGTCCGGAATAACGTCTGGGATGAGGCTGCGTCATGGACGAGGATATGGAGGATGTCGAGAAAGGAGAGAGAGACCAAAAAGGAAGGAGGACGGGAGGTGGAGGACGACGGCAACGAGGTCCATTTCGCTAACGCCGCTCAGGACCTGTGAACACCATTCTGGCTATTGTTCTGGGCGACGCCTTTACGAAGCACGACAAGGCCGTGCTCTCCGCCATGGCCTTTGCCGGCATGGTTGCTGGTCAGCTCTGTAAGTACTTGGAACGGGTGTCTTATCGGAACATAACTGGATGGGAGCCAGGGGTCGGCTCATCTCGTGCGCTGTACTGGACCGTGACATAAAGTCCTTGGAAGACTCCTGGGACGCGCACGGCTGGCTCCATGGGGACACCCAATCAGCGATTTGAACCCCAGTCGGCAGGTTCCCCGAGACAGAGTACATTGGTGTTCAAACCAATTGCGAGGGCCTCTTGGCAGGAGCCATGAGCCTTGAGAGTGGCCATCGAGGACCCAACCGCCGCCTCCCCCCTGGGGCCAGGGCGTTGCTCAGTTGATATGTACGGCGATGGCCTGCTCTCCTGAGAACTGGGGCCCATTGTAACGCTCCTTGTCCATGGGTGCCCCACCGTTGTTGGTATGTGGCAACTGGCTAACACGAACCAGCGTTCGGTTACGTCTCTGACAAGATCGGCCGCAAGATTGCCATGTTTATCTGCACTGCCATCATCTTTGTCTTCAGGTAAGTGCAAAGCTGTCGTTAGGCACCATGTACGTTCGCTTACAAGCAGTATCCTCTCGTCTGCGTCGTCTGGTTCGCCCCAGACCATCGTCAAGTGCCTCATTGCCTTCCGTTTCCTCCTTGGTGTCGGTCTGGGTGGCGAGTATGTGAGTCGCCGGCTGTTGGAATGGCTCTAGTCGCCAGACCAGACGTGTTTGAATGAGGCCTTAGCTAACCAAACAGCCCGCCGGTTCGGTCACTGCCGCTGAGGTTAGTACATACCTGCCTTCCCACATGCGCGAGCCTACAGTTGCGCTCTGGCAGCCTTACTGAGCGCCACATGCTGGGACCACCTCCTTGAGGCGACCGCTGACTGATGTACAGGCCACCGAGAACAACGACATCAAGAAGGGCCGCCAGCAGCGTCTTTTCGTGAGTGCCCGAATTTCCATCTCGAGCTGACCTGGTAAGATTTGGGCTACCAACATGATGCTCGACTTTGCCTTCGGTATCGCTTGGTTCGTCGCCCTTGTCCTCCTTTGGATCTTTGGCATGAACCACCTCCGTGTTGTCTGGCGCGGCACCCTCGCTCTCGGTGCCATCCCCCCTCTCATCCTCTTGGTGGCTCGTCTGTTCATGGAGGAGCCCCAGGCCTACAAGAAGAACAGCATGAAGCACGCCCCGATCCCTTACCTCCTCCTCATCAAGCGTTACTGGCTCAAGCTTCTTGCGTAAGTTGGTCTATCGTGAACGGCCTGCTGACAACCCAGTGTCAGCATCACTTGGTTCATCTACGACTGGATGTAAGTGTCGTTGAAGTGTATACATACCACGCTGTATGCTAACAACCCTCTCAGTACGTACCCCTTCGGTATGTACAGCTCGACCATTACCGACATGGCCGCCCCCAACTCGACCCTGTATGAGACTCTTGGCTGGGGCTGCCTGATCAACGCCTTCTATATCCCCGGCTCGATGCTCGGCTCGTTCGTCTCGGACGTGAGTGACGGTGCCAGTCACGCACAGAGGTCGTTTCCTAACATACCACAGTGGATTGGCCCCAAGTACGCCATGATCACCGGTCTGCTCCTCCAGGCCATCTTTGGCTTTGCCATGTCGGGCGCCTACAACCAGCTTACCAACAACGGCTCGATTGCCGGCTTCGCCGTCATGTACGGAATCTTCCTTGCTTGCGGTGAGCTTGGCCCTGGCAACAACCTCGGTCTCCTTGCCTCCAAGGTTGTCGGTCCCACTGCCGCCCGTGGCCAGCTCTACGGTGTCGCCGCTGCCGTTGGCAAGATTGGCGCCTTCATTGGCAACTACACCTTCCCCTACATGATCACCTCGTTCGGCAACCGCTCCGAGTACCTCGGCAACACTGGTATCATCTGGGTCGGCTCGGCCCTTGCCATCTTCTCGGCGATCATCACCTTCTTCTTCATTCCCAACATCGGCCCCGACTACATGGTCCGCGAGGACGAGGAGTTCCGCGAGTACCTCGCCGCCCACGGCTACGACGTCTCGCAGATTGGCGAGGCCGGCTACAAGGCTCACGACGAGATCCCTTACGACCCCGAGCTCGGCCACACCCGCTCCGACGGCAGCGACGAGAAGCACCACGAGAACTAGACCAACGGTGGTCTCTAAACGGGTGTGGTGTGGTGTGCTCGGACGCACTTGTCAGTCTTGGCTGGTGCTTTTGTGAAACGGGCGCATCAAGGATGTTCTTGTCAGGAAGGAATCGGTTTTCTGCTCTCTTTTTAATTGGCGACCAACCACATGTGGTCGGCCGAAGTTAGGTGTCTACGTAATATCAACCTAGTTGGGTATGCAAGTCCATTGCGTCGCCTTCTGCACTGTCGGGTCGTCTGCTCTAGCCATCAATGATAATGCGTGCCCAGGACCTGCCATGTTGACGGCGGGTTGGTTAATTTTGTTGTTTCCCCTTATTTTCCTTCATTTTTGGTTTTTCAGAGGGATCGGCGTCAATAGCACAATGTATGGGCGCCCGAAAGCGCAGGTCAAGCCCACACTCCCCACAGGAGCTTGCTTGCTATGCTTAATAGTCCGCCAAGAGTTGTGCGAGTTGGGACCTCCACCTGGTCGCAAAGCAAGTACATCCTTGGTCGATTGGTGGCAGGTACAAGTGTGGCAGGATCCGTCGTTTCTTGCTCTTTCCACCACCAATTGCAACCTAATATACCCTAGCAGCTCTCTTGAACATCAGTGTCTGGGGAGCCACGTAGCGGATGCATCACCTTCACTGGGATGACAGACATATGTCCGTGTCAGGGAGCTTTCCCCCAAGTCCTACCCAACGGAAACCTTCCATGTCACCCCCAAGTGTTTCCCTGCTCTTCTACATCTCCCTGCATCTCTCCAACGCCCAAAAAGGTCACGACGGGGATCGAACCCGCGATCTCCTGATAAACGAAGCTGCAGTCGTAGTCAGACGCCGTACCATTTGGCCACGCGACCGGCGATGTCAGTGTCTGTGCGCCTCTCGCTGCGCTTGCTCGCCTCGTTGCCATCCATGTTGGGATTTGATGCCGTTTAGCGCCCGAGACCGATGGTCTTAAGCTGGCAGTTTGTCTTTCAGAAGAGGATGGGGATGCATAGGCGTCTACAGAGCTGCTTATATGCACACAGAAGGGAGGCCCGAGCACTACAGAGAAGCATGAGGACAATGAAGAAGCAGAAAGAGCAGCATTGGTGCAGTACCCTTGTTCTCCGGTCAGCTCGGTGCCACACTGCAGTGGCGCAAGTGGTTACGTAATCTCAACACATCCAAGAAGTATATGCAGGGACTGAGGACGACGTAGACGGTCACAAGGCCTTCTGATGCAGGCCCAAGATGCGAGGCTACCCTTGTAATTGAGAGACGGCCGGTAAAACGTAAGCTCGGGCGAGAGGACATGATGTTTGTGGCACCGCCAATCTTTGTGGATTTCCTCCGCGTCTCTGGACGTCCCTCAACTCTCCAGACACCCAACCTCATCCTCGCCCTCTCTCGGACGCAAAGGAGGCCTCCATGGCACTCCGCAGGGGTGTACAAGTTGCCAAAAATGACGTTTGACGGGGTCGAACCGCCGACCTTGTGCGCAACGCTTGACTGGAGAACCAGTCCTAGTGTTAAGCACACGCTCTAACCAACTGAGCTAAATCGCCTTCGATGTTGGTCGTTTGTTAGAAACACGTAACCAGATTGCTTCCGCCGAATGATGTCAGCAGTCCCCCAAGCGCTATCCATATAAAAGACCATCTACCGCTAGTATACCATGCATCTCCGTTTCTCTTTCACTCTATACCTCATACCCTCGTTACCTCGCTGGTACTGTCTGCAGCAGTGCTAGCATCGACATCCGAGGCTCTCTTTTCTTACATCGTTTGCTGTGTTCGAGTTCGGCTGTGACAATTATCATCGTCAGAGACTTCCAATTCCAAGGACATGGGCGGGTCAAGAGAGGATCGGACCAGTTGAACAAGGAGCACGGTTTGAGAAAGACTGCCTGAGAACGATTTCTGCTACCGTTATCGAATGCCGTCGACCTCTCGATCGTGGCGTCTGGCGACGCCATTGACCAAGCTCTCGGACAACCCTTCGTTCCCAGCCTCCTGCTGATACGCTTTGGACATGCCCTCGGTACCTCCATGTCTACCAACCACGTCTTGCATCCCGATTCACGGCAGGTGTCTTACCAAAGGAAGAATCCCAAAAATACTGGCCAAAATTCACCCAAACCCACCGTCCACCTCCCTTACGCTCCACTCTTCCTCTGCTCTTCTCTCCCATGTGTCTGGACGACCTCCCCCCCCATCCAGAGCCTCCAGAGGGCTCCAAAAAGGTCACGACGGGGATCGAACCCGCGATCTCCTGATTAACACGATCGTAGTCAGACGCCGTACCATTTGGCCACGCGACCGGAAGATGAGGATGTCTGTGCGCGTATCGCCGCGTTCGGCGCGCTCCTCTGGCTCCTAGAAAGGTCATGCGTGCATGTGGAGAGTATCGTCTGAAAGCAGAGAAGCGGCGAAACGGTTTTGGGTCTTTTTGGACACTGGTTCCAAGCGTGGAGGCGTGAAGAATGACAATGACAAACCGGAGTACAATGAAAAACAGAAAATCAATCCTCGGTGAATTTCTCTTCTCCACCGCCACATCATCACCCTACTGCGAATTTCTCGCCATCCTCGATCTTCCCTTCCCCCCTTGCTTCCATCTGCTGCGTCTCCCGTGCTCCCTATGCGTCCCGCAGCGTCCCTAGAGCTCCAAAAAGGTCACGACGGGGATCGAACCCGCGATCTCTTGATATCACGATGATGAATCGTAGTCAAACGCCGTACCATTTGGCCACGCGACCGGACGATGTTGTGTTCAGGCCCCTCATCGCCGCGGTCGCTCGACGGGTACGGCTCGAGGTTTGAGTGCTCGCACGGCGCGACTGGATGGACGAGATAGATGCTGAGGTGAAGAGCAGGCTCTCGGGTCTAGGAGTGTACAGAAAGCATGTTTAGACTCGGCAATGGCCCGACAGGAGGCGAGCGGGATCGGGGTTTCTGGCCTCGTGTGAGATCGTGACCACGACGCTCATTTGTCCGACAGAGCCACACTGTCTTGTCCGGACCGCCAGCGGCCCATCGTAGACATGGTGGAATGTATGTATTGTTACATTCTCCTGACATGAATGTATGCATGTCTGTCGTTGCTGTCAATAATGAAATGATGAACGGCAACACCGCCCCGGTGGACAAGAATGAGGAGATCTGGTTGTCGGCCGTCCGATGGCCGCTGCCGCCACATTCAAACGTACTTTTTTGTCCTGTACCACAGCGCTGCCTGTGGCATTAACAGGACCTATACTCTCCCTCCTTCCCCTCCACGGCCACTTTACATCGCGGCCAGTTATACGTATACCGCACACCTTGAATGTGTGTGTTGGGGGGACCCCGCACGCGGGACCTCAGTCGGTGGGAAACGTGGCGTGGCGCGCGGCCGCGCGACCTGAAGATGTCTTGGCGCCACGGTTTGGTCATCCTTTTCAAAAGCATCGGTTCCAATGTCTCAGAACGGACCGGGGTCGGTACCTCGCCCCAACGGGCCAACGGGGGCAGCAACACTGTACACTGGCGTACTGGCAAACGGCAGAGATGGCGGGACACATGCCGGTGGGGGGGCGGAAGAGATTGTGAAAATGCAAAATGAAAACCACGACGACGACGTCTGCATGCCGCGCTGACACGCTGAATTGGTGACTGGCAACAGAATACAGTCGGGCTCGGGCGGTGCCACTCAATCGACGCGCGATGGGTAAGCGAGCGCATGTACATTGGGCATTCGGCAACTGCCATCATGGCATTGTTGCATTCTTGACGGTTTCACAGGTGCACATGCGGGCGATGGATGCCGACGGACCGGCGGACGCCAAAGGGCTGTGCTGTGCGTTCACACGACTGGTGCCAGGTCCATGTTGCCGTCGTCTAGTCGTCTAGTACGAGGACGGCCACAGCAGGGTCCGAGGGGGGTTGACGGTACGCCCACTCCCCCCCCAATGTGATTAGCGTGTGGCTGCACTGGTTTCGTCTGGGTCGGTTCGTGAGTGTGGCGGTGTACTGCATTGGCTTCCGACGTGGACGGAGATGCGTTGTGCTTTTCTTTAGGTCGTCGCGGGACACGCAGTTTGCTCAATTGCTCACTCATGTCATTGTGGACTGTTGCTGCAAGGGAATTGAAAGCTGCATTTGGACCAGAAACACATGGTCTGCACACCAAACCGAGCACCCGACCAGCCACCAGGGTAACAGTGTGAGGCAGGCAAGCCCAGCTGATATGTCCATCAATGTCAAGTCAATTCATCGGTCCATGTCTGGCCATTTCGGCGGCAGGTACAGTACCCTCAGCTGCCTGCCGGTGGGCTCCTTTTGCCTTTTGGACGTGGCTTTATCGGGTGCGAAACCATGCCTCCCTTATACACCAATATCGCAATTTGGCGCCAACATGACAGCTTTCATGCTGCGGGCGTTTCAAGGAACCGTTGTGTGGCTTACACAGTACTTCACTTTGCCACTTTTGTCTGGTCGCTCTCTACCTTACACCGAGTACATGGACCACATACGCTACACGATACAGTTTCCCCTTCCCCTCCCGAGTGCTCCGGAAGTGCTGGTCCCTGGCTGGCCGTGGCTACGGACTTGTAGAAGCGGCCCGACAGAGTGGTCGGGACTGCGGATGCTGTGGTGTGGTGTGGAGTTGCGCCACCAGTCATGTTCGCCTTTGTCAGTTCATCCACACAAGTCGGACACGGGTGACGAGCATGGACTGGGGACAGGAACCCTTCGGTGTTGGGAATGTGCGTTGCGGCCGCCAGACCAGCAGCCTAGGCCACAGTCGCACCGCGTGGGTCGCACCGGACCTGTGCTCCAAGGGCGGTTTGATGACGAGCGGCACCCCCCAACACACACGCGTGCCACCGCCACAGACGATGACAAGGACCCAAAACCACGTCACTGGATCTCTACCGGCGCCCCACAGGGTCTCTTCCCAAGAGACAACCGAGTTCATGTACGACGTGTCCGTCACCGATGCCGGTGTGCCACTGTGTGGGCCCCACATGCTGCTTCCCGTCGGCAGGCGAGCGCGTCGACATCGGATATTTCTTGGATCCAGCCAGAGGATCAGAGAGGAGCGGGAACCCGTGCTACGTCACTGATCTGGGATGCAAAGGAGCATGCACGCGTCTTCACCAGTTTGTTGCCCCTCCTCGCTGAAACGATACGAAGTTACGAGGCCGCGAATGCTGGTGACATCATCATATTCGCAACCCCCGGCATATCCGCCGGCGTTGCTGACCCCGCGGTGTGTACCTCTGCGTAATGTTCGGATCGGGAAGTGTGCCGCATGTGACGGGTTGTCCAGGTGTGGCCAGGTGAAAGTCGTTAGCTGTGTGATAGAAGCATCGTGCTCGCGGTTGCACGCAACCCGGTATCATGTGACTAGGAAAGATGCCAAGTCTGGTAGGACGGCGTTGCTCGAAACCACACTTTGGGTAGTGGAATCCGTCGTGGTCCATTGGAGGTGCCCGCCTACCCGTACCGTAGTATCCTGTTGCGGTGACATTGGTACGGTGCGGGGTGCAGCTGCAGGTGCGGCTACGGCTCTACGGGATCTACGGTCAGTGGGAGCGCATGGTGGGCCTGGGGTGATGGCTGGTGTGCCGCCGGATCCCGTTGGTGACCCCGCACCCCCGCATGTCGGCATACGGCGCTCTACTTTGTCAACAGAACACGCCAACCAGCCCCCCCCACCCCCGTCATAGCTCATGCGGCATGTACACGTCTCGTGTTTTCAATGGCACGCTGGAACGGCTTGGGAATGGCAGATCTAGCATATGAGACTGGCCTATTGATCCTTTGCGGCATGGGCGCATGGGCGCATTGGGAGGGCGATCCTGGCGCAAGCAGTTGCATGTGTGCCTTGGTCGCACCCTCGGCCCTCTTCCAGTCTCTGGCCGGTCCTGTGGTGCGCATGGGCGTGCAAATGACGTCGTCGTCAGCCAGGGGGTGCGGCCGAAATGACCCGCAATCAATCGCAACATGACCGCACGGGCAGCTGCGGAGAACTCTATGAGTTGCGCTGGCCAAGACAGAGAGAGAGAGAGAGAGTAGTGTGGGAGCGCTCGGTCTGCTGCTGCGCGGGGCGATGTCAGAAGCACACCTTTGGAGCACATCTTTGGAGCGCACGTTTTTGTGCAAACGGGGTGTGCGAGAGCCAAAATAAAAATAACAATGCGGGTCGCAGCAGCAGCAGCTGGCAGGTATGTAGGTTAAAAGGAGGTTGCGCGTGTGCTATTAAGGACCACACAGGGCGCGGGGTCGCTGCTTGTATGTTGAGGCTTTGCCAGCGCCTTGGTATCTCGGGACTGCGGGGACCACGTCAGATCTGGCGCCAAGTGGAGGATGATGCGCAAGCTGGCCCCCCAGGTGAGCACCATTTTGCACACACACTTTTTGCCGTGTCGACGCCGAGAGGGGCTCTCTGCCGAAGTATGGAACCGCGGTTCAGGCGTGGACACGTAACGGCACGGCACGGGCGGTAGCTGGGTGTGTCTTGCGTCTTACGTCTTGCGGCTGGTATGCCCTTTTATTTTTGAACGTGTAATGGCTATACAGTTTCCCAAGTGTCCCTGTGTGTGTGTCGGCAACGAGCATGCAGCATGACGCACACATGCATTTTCTGAAAGCATGCACGATGAACCGACGCCATGACATGAGAAACAACCCCCCGCCATCCACCACACACCGGCCACCTCCCTTCCCCTGACTAGCTTTTATGTGCGCACGCCCAAAAAACAAAACGTCGTCATCGGCTGTGGCCACGGAGCCAAGAGCCTCCCGGCTCCCATGTTCCCCAAATGCGACTGTCAGACAGGCCAAGCGGCATCGGAACGAGCAAATCGAGATGAGCCATAATGCTTCTTGAGGAAAAAAAAGGAAGAAACCAGATGGAGGAGGAGGATTATGGGGACTGTGGTGAATTCTGTGTCTCACGGCCCCGTGTGTGTGTGTGGGTGTTCAAATGATCAAATGAAGCAGGAGGAAAAGGAAGGACGAGCAAGGAGACGGGCCCCTTGTGGTGTGTGTTGGTTACCGGCCACCGCGCGACCCAACGGCACCCTGTGTGCGTGTGTGCGTGTGCACATATGCTTGTTTGTGTGTGTGTTGGTGGTTGTCATTTGCCTCTGCATGCATGCATGCTCTCTCACATGCACTGTACACTGTCATGGCACAGCCTCTCCCCCCCGCTGGTGGATGGATGGTGGTGGTGGTTGCAGACGGACAGGGACGGCCCAACAGGGGGGCGGCTTCTCTGTCCATGTGCGGCCTCGCCTTTTTTTCCCGCGCTGCACCAGAGGGGCCAGAGGCCAGAGAGGGTGTTCCGCCCCCGCCTTCACTGCCCCCCCCCCCCCCCCCCCGCCCAGGCGCCCGCCCGCCCGCCCCCCGGTCCTGCCGCCAACAACGTCACTGTGCAAGATGAACGCCACCGCTGGTACGGATTGCTTGGCCCCCCCGTCTCTCTCTGTTGCTGCTGCCAAGTGCTGGCTGGGCCGCTGGCTGCGATGCTGCGGCTGCCCCCCCCTCCCGCCCCCACCCGGCATGCACCACCACCACCACCACCACCACCATCCACCACCCCCACATCCAACATCTCTCCACCGCTCCATCCTTCCACACAACAAACCAACAACACACGACACTCTCATCGCACCCTCCACTCCACACCTCCCTCCCCCTCCCCCCCCCTCCGCTAGGGCTGCACCCGCCTCCCCTCCATCCTCTCCCCCGGAATCGATTCCACCGACGCCGCCGCAGTCGCCCCCCGTGCTCGACAGACAGACAGGATCACCCCTTCATCTCTCCCACTCGTCCCTCACCGCTAGAGACCAACGTCACTTATCAGTGTCGCCCCGTTGCTCCCCCCCCCCCCCTGTCTGAAACCAGTCATCCCTGTCAACCTTCCCTCGCGTGCTCGCCCCGTCGTCGTCGCCGTCGTCGTCGTCGGCAACCCCGCCTGTGCCAAGTGCATTCTCAAGTATACCACACCATGGCACGTTTCGAAGTCTTTGCAGAACGCCAGCCGTGGGAGGAGGTGAGTACAATTTATTCAGACCCATATCCCACCTACCCCTGGCCCTTGGTGAACGTGCGGGACGTTTGGTGTCCATGAACCCCCCCCCCTCCCCTTGCTATCTATGCCTCATTGCGAAACCGCCCTATGGCGTGCCATGTAGACGAAGAGAGAGACACACAGGAAGAGATCAAGAGAGCAAGTGCGGGGACCGATAGGTACAGAGGTCACCGCGGCGAGAGTAGACTAGAGTGCGCCAGAGTTGGAACGAGGGACACCAGCGTACAGCATGGGTCCGCCGCCGCCGAGCCCGCACAGTTGTGCCCAGAACGGGTTCCGCTCGGATCGCGGCGTCGTTGCCCCGTTGGTAACCTGGAATCTCTTCAGTTGACCCTTTTGTGTCCTGGCATATCTGGGCATTACTGGGCATCGTCAGCTGTAATCCTTGGCACTCTGCGTATCTTGCTCTGCCACCCAACCGTTCTCGCTCTCCGTGTTCATCTTTCACTGTCTCATCCACATTCATCTACCTCTCTACATCACCGTTCCTTTCCCGCCGCCGTTACCAAGGTGCACTGCCTTGGCATACGGTCCCTGGTCCAACCTTCTCCCTCCCCCTCCTTCCCATTCCATCCTCTCTCTTCCATCACTCCCGCGCGTCACCCCCTCCGCTGCACACCCCCACCCATTTCTCTCCACTTCGGGGCTGACCCACATTTCCCTTCCAGCAACAAGCTCCCTCACCGACCGACGAGCAGTTTGAACCGACACCGTTGACTCTGGCGCTGTCACGAACACGTTCACCACCGTCTTCGCACCAGCAGCCTCCATCACCCACGTCGCCAAAGCTCACCCGTCAACTTTCCGGTGACCCGACTTCCCCCCCTCCTGCGTGGCAACGACGTCCTTCCGTCGGCCACCGTAGCGTTCGATCCAACAGTTCCCAGGACTCATCCATCGCTGGCTCACCACCACCGTTCAACACTTCCCCGCCTCTTCACAACCAGCGCCGCCCCCCGCCAAATCTTACCATGACACGTGCTGGTGTTGCGCAGCGTCTGATGCGTGAAAACGAGGCCCCACCGATGCGTGGAGGCTACAATCGTGGACCGCCTCCCGGATCGTTTCCTCAACCTGGCGCTGCACGCCGCAGTCGCGCAGCAACCGGCGGCTCGAACCGATCATCTCTTGTCAGCCAGGACGGACTGACCGGTGAGGAGCTCTGGGCCCTTGAGGACGACACACCCGACATGAGCAACCCTCTTCGCCCCTCGGCCGAACGACCCCTCGACACCATTCACCGAATGAGCCGAAGCTTTGACCAGCCAATGTACCCCATGGGCGCCGAGGTTCTTTGGCCGACCGCACCGGAAGACGAAGAGTACATGCAGCAGTCACCGCTGCACAGCAAGTCGATGAGCAACGTTGCCGGCGTCGGCGTGAAGAAGAAGAGGAGTATGCTCTCCAAGAAGCCTTCGCGTGGGTCTGGTATCGACGTGGGACCGTACCCGCAGAGTGCAAAGGAGGTGGTGCTCTCGTCGGCCCACTCGTCAACAACCTCGCTTTCCTTCCCCATGAACAAGTCGCAGCAGTCGTTGTCGCGCCCACCATCCATGGCCTACTCGCTGGACCTGCTCAACACGCTTGCCCCGCGTGAAGGTGGTTACGCCATTGCCGCGCAGCTCGGTTCCTCGCCATACAGTCCATCAAGCCCCCACGGCTCTGCCCATGCCTCCCCTCCCAACAGTTTCCGTGGATCCCGTGGTCCCCCCGCCAAGAGCTCCGGCATGCGCTGGAGTGTAGGCGGCGAGGAGTTTACTCCTCCCATGCTTCCTCCACAGCCCGGACGCCTGTCGCCGTCGACCACCATCTCCAACCTGTCGACTTACACCGACGACGGCGACGGCGGCTCGTCATCCGGACCATCCTCACCCCACCTCTCCGCGGTCCAGGCAACGCTCCCTGTCGCGCCCAGCCCTCTCAGCCAGCAGACCACGGCCGCCGAGATTGACCGTGGTCACCCTTCGCCTTACCCCATGGCAGCAGTGGAGATGCCTGTGGCAGCAGCAGCAGCAGCAACAGCAGCAGCCGTCGCGGTTTCCACCAAGCCCAAGTCCAAGAAGGAGCGCAAGGCAGAGGAGAAGGCGGCTGAAAAGGCGGCCAAGGTTGAGGCTAAGCGTGCTGCGGAAACTGCCGCTCGTGAAAAGGTCGAGGCGGCACGCAAGGCCAAAGAGGACAAGGCCGCTGGCAAGGCCGCTGCTATTCGCAAGGCCCAGGAGGACAAGGTCGCTGCTGCTCGCAAGGCTCAGGAGGACAAGGCTGCATCTGCCCGCAAGGTGCAGGACGACAAGGTTGCCGCTACCCGCAGGGCGGCGGAGCAAAAAGAGGCGGCCCGCCTCGCCGCACAGACCAAGTCGGCGTCCAAGCTGGAGTCGCCTCGCAAGGACGAGCGTGGCCGCACCAAGTCTTCCGGGTCGGGTATCGGCCGCAGGATGTCTGGTTTGTTCGGCGCCAAGCCGTCAGCGGCCGAGATTGCAGCTGGTGCGACCGTCACCGCTGCAACTGCCACCACTGCCGTGGTCTCCAACCGTTCCAACAGTCCCGCTGGTGCCTCGGCATCTCCCGTTCGCGCCCCCGCCCAGCAGCACCAGCAGCAGGTGCCGCCGCCTCCTCATCCCTTCCCTGTACAGCGCCCTGCACCCCCTGCACAGCTCTCGGCCACCGCTGTTGCTCCCATGCACCAGCAGACTCGTGCTTCCACAATCGCCGCTGTTGCCCCCCAGCAGCAGCAGCAGCAGCAGCAGCCGCCGATCCCCAGGATTGCCCAGCAGCCGCCCTCGCCTCCTCGCCAGACACACCCAGCAGGTCCCCGTCAACCGTCGTCGAGCCCTTCGCGGCGCCAGGCTTCAAACGGCCCCATTGTCATTCCTCCTCGCGGGGCCAGCATGGCCAAGACGGCGCCTGCCCCGGCCCCTCAGGCCCCCCAGGGCGCGATGATGAGCACTCCTTCGCTTGCTCACACGGAAAAGCGCGGCAAGTCGCCCTCGACTCTGAGCGCTGCGCCGTCGCACGCCTCTGCCTCGTCTGGCGGTTCGGGTTCTGCCTCGTCCAAGAAGGGTCTCTTCAGCGGACTCAAGAAGCGTTTCTCCATTGCCTCGATGGAGACTGCCCCCACTGCTCCCCCTCGCCAGCGCCCGGCCTCGTTTGCCGCTTCGGCCTCGCAGCCCACGGAGAAGAGCCTGCCTAACGTTCCCCCGATGCCAGCTCCTCGTCCTGTTATCCAGACCCCGGCCCCGCAGCCTCCTGCCAAGGCCCCCGTTACCCCGGTTCGCGCAGCTCCCGTTCTGGCCCAGCCCAAGACGGCGTCCCCGCCTCCTGCTCAGCGCGCTGTCAACATCCCCCCACCGGTCATTGTCCCTCCTCGTGGCTCGTCCATGGCCATGCTCCAGGCTGCTGGTCTGAGCCCCATTCTCTCGTCGCCCGTCCCACCACAGACCGCGCGGGACGCCGCGTCCATCTCGAACCCGTCGTCGGTCGTCGTGACGCCCACCACCAGTGTGACCACCACAGAGGCCAACTCTCTGTTCGACCGCCCTACGCCTCCTTTTCGCGACCGCTCGGGCTCGACCACCAGCGCAACCGGCTCGCAGGTGACCGACCCGAGCTCGTCCTCGACGCCTCTGACCGACGATGAGGCGCACGACATGCCGGCCTCCAAGCTCGCGCTCGACGCAAAGGGCATGCCCGACATGGCTGCACCCCAGGCGGTCGCTGCGCACTAGCACAACAACTTGCTCGTTTACATTATGCCCCCGCCTTTTTTTTTATTTATTTGCCTTGCTCGCCAAACTCGCTCGCCACGGAGCCACCCCCCCCAACACACTATTCTTTACGACCTCGTCTCTCGCCAAGTGTTCCCCTTGTCTGCGTATTTCTTCGTGTATTCCCCTTTCCACTCTCGCCACCTCCTCTCCCCCCCCCCCCCCCCCCCCCCCCCACCCACCCAGGACAATGCAGCGCACCGATTTCTGCGCTCTAATAAAACACGACGACTCCAAATCCCCTCCCCCCCTTCTCCGATTTTATCCCATTGATCACAGGCTGCAAGACAGCGAATGCATACATGTAGTAGAATGGCAGGTGGCAGGTGGCAAGTTGCTGGTGCAGTCGCGAGGGAGACGTGTGGTGTGTGCCATGGATACACGGAGGTCAACCGTGAAGACGCATTTTGCCGCCGCCGCTGCCGGGACACCCGTTTGCCACCGAGAACCTCCACTACCAACCTGAAAAGTTCAACCCAACGCCCCGTTTACCCACCACACCCATTCTCCCCATCTCACCCATTTCCTCGTCTCGCCGGACATGACGGACACGCCCACCGCCGTCACCCCGACCACCACAGCTGTATACGAAGACGCGGCGGAACGCTTCCAGCGGGAACGATTCGAGCTGGTCGAGCAGGCCCTGCGCGACAAGGAAGCGAAACGCGAGGAGGAAGCAGGCGACAGCAACGGCGACAGCGACATGGACAAGGTGGCCAAGTATGCGCGCGGGATGCACCCCATGCTCCGGTACTGCAAGCCGTACTGGTGGCCGTACAAGACGTTTGCCAAGCAGAGGTGCGTGAAGAGAGGAAGGGGAGGGGTTATTCCAGGCGTGGCGTGGTGTGCTGATGTGCCGTGTGCAGGTGGCTCGGGCGCCAGCTCCTCGAGGTCATCTGTTCCGAGTTCCGTGATCGCAGTGTCGACTACTACGTGCGTGTGATGGTGTGGGCGTTGGGTGCTGGGTGCTGTTGCTGACTGTGGTCTTCCCTTCTGGTGGTGATGGTGATTGTTTTCGTCGACTACCGTCAACTACCTTCCTCACCTTGCTCGTCTTCTCCACCTCGTCGCCTTCCCCCGCGCCTTCCCTCCCCTCCCATCTACACTCTACACTCTACACCCTCCAGCGCCACGCCCTCGAGTGTGGTGTCACCCGCGTGAACGGTGTCCAGGCGTACCCAGAGTACATTATCCGCAACAACGACCGCATCGAGTAGGTACCAGGACGCGCGTGCACGCCGGCTAACCTACGCAGCAACACTGTCCACCGTCACGAGCCGCCTGTCAGCAACGACCCCGTCCTGGTGCTGCACATTGACGAGGAGCGCAAGTTCCTGGTCGTGTCCAAGCCTGGCAGTCTGGTGAGCTCGAAGACCGATCCACAGCTGACACCTCCCAGCCCGTCCACGCTGCTGGCCGATACTACAAGCACACGCTGCTCGAGATCCTGAAAGAAGACTATGGGATCAAGGCCTATGGTGAGAGCTGTTGGGACGGTCCCCTTTAGCTGACATTGCGCAGCCGTCAACCGCCTGGACAGGCTCACTTCGGGTCTCATGATCCTCGCGCTGTCGGGCCCGGCATCGCACCACCTCGCGCTCGAGTTCCGCGACGGCAAAGTGCAAAAGGAGTATATTGCGCGTGTGCGCGGCTGCTTCCCCGAGGAAGAGGTGGTGGTCGACCAGCCGTTGCTCACTGTCGACAGGCAGATGGGTCTCGTCATTGTCGCCCCCGAGGGCAAGGTGGGTTCTTGAAGCGACTATAGCTGACCCGCGCAGGAGGCCAAGACAATCTTCAAGCGCATGAGCTACGACGCCGAGCGCGACCAGAGTGTCATCCACTGCAAGCCCGTGACTGGAAGGAGTGGGTGAAAGGGAGCGGGTTCGTCGACTGACCCACCACAGCCCACCAGCTGCGTGTCCACCTGCAGTACCTCGGCTACCCTATCGCCAACGACCCGCTGTACTCGTACAAGGAAGTCTGGGGAGAGGACTGTGGTAAAGGCGGCGTTGCGCTGGCCGACCAGACCGAGTCGCACCAGGAGACGACGCGGCGTATCGTCGATGCGGCGAGGGCGCGTGCGGCTTCCCCCCCGCCTGTCCCCGACGACTCGGCGCGTATGGCCGGCAACGAGGAGGCGCCCGAGGTCGGCATCGCGGCGGGCACGAACCGCGACTACGACGACATCAACAGCCCCGTGCGGCTGACGGAGCAGGCGCGCAGCGTCATCACAAAGTTGCGGCAGCAGCGCGACGAGGCCGAAAACTGGATCAAGTGGAAGGAGGTGCTGTGGTCTGCGGCCAAGGCGCGCGAGCAGCTGGACGAGGACGGCGCGTTCGAGGCGGCGGCCAAGCCCCGCCGCAACGAGATCCCCCACTCGCGCATCAACAACCGCGTCAAGCGCGAAAAAGTAAAGGACCGCAAGATCATCGAGGGCATCGAGTCGCCGCTCACACCGCCGGCGTTCCTGCCCCCCGGGTTCTGTACCCAGTGCTACGTGCCCGTCCCGGACGACCCGGACCCGGAGACACTGTTCATCTACCTCCACGCCCTGCGGTACACCACCGAGAGGCTGGGTACGTGGGAGACCCCGCTGCCCCGCTGGGCAGGCGAGAACTGGGACGGCGACTGGCGCGGGTGGGACGGCCAGCCGCCCGTCAACGTCGCGACAAGGTCCGAGGCCCCCAGCGGCGTCGCGACGCCGGCGGCGGAGCACGAGGCGGAGACCCCGGAGACCGCGGAGGCCGCGGAGCTGGCAGACGAGGCCGTGGAGGAGGAGACTGAGAAGATCCAGGCTACAGCGTAGTAGAATGCCGCCATGTAGATAGCTACAGTATGTTAGAGGAGCGAGTGCATCTTGGCCAAGCCTTGGAGGGTAAGGGGGTCATCATCACAGGGCAACAGGGACGCCGCCACGCCCAATGACGAGGGGTGGCACTGACGCACTGACTGCAACAGCTGCGACGGTGCCTGCGTAGCCTGCCCATGTTGCCCAGCTGCCTGGCGGCAGGCTGCCTGGCTGACAGCACGTTGCGACTACGCGGGTCTGTGCACAGCTTATACGTCTTTTCTGGCAGAGTACTTATGGCGGCTGTCTCGGGCGCGGTGTGTCAGTTGCAGTGTAGCCCCCAGCCCCCAGCCCCCAAGCCCAGTGGGCCAGTGGGACATGGGTACATGGGACATTTGTTAATCAGATCTGAGACCGCGGATATCTCAGAAACACCGCAACCGGCCCGCTGGCCAGCTGTACAGCTACGTACAGCTGTCTGCCTGCATATGTCTGTTGTTCGGAAGCGGCTGGGAAATGCAATGTGGCGCTCTGTCCGCAACGCTGTACCACTGTCCGCCGGCCGTCCCTAAAGTACCAAAAACGACTAGTATACATTGCATACCCGAATAACGAGGAAACGGGGAGAGAGAGAGAGAGAGAAGAGAGAGAGAATGAGAGTAAATGTCGAGGGAAGCCATGTGGGAGAGAATGAATGTCAATGATAGTCGTACGGAAGCGGCATGCGGGGGGGGGGGGGGGGTCCGATCCGGTCATGTCTGTTGTGTGGTGTGTGGGTGTGAGGGCGAGAAGGATTACGCCAGGGAGGTGCGCAGTGTACAGTGTCCTTGTCCTTGTCCTATGTGGGTGCGTGGGTGGTACTGGGAGAGCTCAGGACAGAGAAACAGAGAAAGTCCTGTCCGCGGCCGGCGGCCGTGTGGAATGCCGACTTGATGTGTTTTACAGTTGGGTGAGGTGTGTGGGTGTGGGTTGGAAAAGAAGGTAACAGTGGCGAGGGGAGGTCCCAGGTGTTCATGTTTCAAGCACAAAGGGTTCACAACGTCCGGCGGGGGTGTGCACGGCCTTACAGACGTCTAGACGTCCAGGAGGATGGCAGGATGGACAGGATGGACAGGCCGTGGTGGGCTGCGCCGGGCCGATGTGGGATCCTAGCGGAGGGGAAGGCTTGGGGTGAGGTCGTACCAGTTTGCACCGACGCCCTCGCCGTTCTTGACACCGAGGATGCTGGGCATGTTAGCTGCTAGTCCGGGGGGTGACAGGTGTGGCCTGCAGGTGGAACTCACAAGTCGGTGCCCTCGGGGTACGCGTCGAGGTTGGGGACGGCCCACTTGTAGCTGTTCTCGGTGGTGTTGCTGACAATGGTGACAAACTGGACACACGGTGCGTCAGTGTCTGCAAAAGGCACAGGGGAACGGAAGGGTGCTCTGAAGTCTGGGCCGCCTCCTCTTTGCAACTCTTTGCAACTCACCTGGTACTCTGCAAAGCCAGGCCAGTGGGGCACATAGTACAGCTCGCAGCCCATGCCGTCACCACCTTCCCACTCGAGGTCGAGATGTGTGCCGGCGGGGAAGTGGTCGGCAAAGTGCGTCGACCAGCGCAGAGGGACAACGGGTGCGATCGCCTCCTGCTGCTGCTCAGCGGCAATGATGGCGGGCACGACGTCGCCGTCGCCGTCTGCTGGCACTGGGGCGGGCGCAGCGAGCGCGACCGAGAAGGAGAGTGCGGCAATGAAGAGGTTCAGGCCGAGCATGGTGGGTGGGGGGAGGGAGAGCGACAAGTGGATAGGTGACGAGAGGGGACGGTTTGGTGAGAGATGGGGTGTGAGTGGGTGACGAGGAGGTGGAGTGAGGACAGAGAGCAGTGCGAAAGGTTGAAGAGAGAAATGTGTGAACGTGAGAAGGGAACATGATCTGCATATGGCAGGGGCGTGCAGAGGCCTGGAACAGGACCGTAGAGGATGCGTGGGTATGTGAGTGTCTCGGGTTGGCCGGCATGGCCGGATGGGGAGAGAGAGAGAGAGTCGGCGACGACGACGATCTGATGGAACAGAGACAGACCCGCCCAACACCAAATAGACGCCTTCCCTGGGCTCACCCAGGGTCGCTCACCTCACACTCTTTTCTCTCATCGGGGTCCAAATCAATTTAACGAGGCAAACCTTGAAAGGCCAGCCAGCGGTACAGCGGTGCCAGCGGTGCCAGACGAGGGAAACAAAAAGTCCGCACCATCAGCCTTTGCGAATGGCGCTAAATGGGCGAGAGTGGCCGGACTCTGTGACTAGACGGGCCTTTGTTGACATCAACAACATGGCTCTCCTGGCAGACGCGTACCGCGTCCCTCATCTCCGCGTGCGTGCTCACGCGTCTCAAAGTCACCCGTTTCTCGTAGTTGCTCGTAGTTGCTCTTCAGTGTGCCCCAACTGCTTTAATGTGCGTGAGCCTGACTACTATCTCTGGGATCTGGGATCATGGTCATCTGGCAGCACGTTTGCCGTCTAAGAAGGAGGGACGGCCTAACGAGCGCACACTTTTCATCGGCATTGACCAAACACACACACAAGCGCGTTACAAACCTGTCAAGAATGGTTAGTGTGCACAGACAAGTTTGAGGGGGTTCTCTTTCCCCTGCATGTCCCCCCAAAGCTTGTTGTGTGCCGAGGACGCGTCGCGTCTGACCCTCAGAAGGTGCAACCGGCATGGGCAGGTGTGATTTCTTTCGCTGCGCGATTCAAGGACCAACGCGCCAGTCAAGGCGCCGATGAACAACACGGCGTACGGCGTTTTGGTGGTCTGGTTGCTGGAATCCTGGATCCAGGACACACAGGCAGCTGGTATTCCACAGTAGACCACCTTCTGGGCTGTGCCTCAGGTACGGGGGCGACTCGCAGAGCAGGAATGCGATCGCACAGTTCCCGGTCACGGGTGGTGGTTGCTGCACGCAGCCATACCGTCTTCGCACCCATGCTTGCCACCTATCCGACATTCTGGACACCGAGGCAAGCGCGTATGCCACCACTCTAGTACTCTAGGCTCCCTGCCATCACCGTCCCAAATCCCAGAACGGACAGGACGGCGCACGAGCATGATGTGCCTCAATCCAGGTCGTCCGTCGTCGCTTTCCATTCACACCCAAATGTCCGAGTAGGCGTCAAATGCGGCGCCCATTAGCCCAGCATTCCATGCAATGTTCACAGGCGCCAGTGGCCTGCCGATAACCCACTTGCTCGGCAGCAGCGTCTCTCAGTCCCAGCTGTGCGTGGCGGGAGTGTCTCGAGTGAGGCCTGACCACAACATGGCGTCCAATTCTTCCTTATCCTTGAGCGGCCTCGTCCGCCAGGAATTCGAGGAGACCAGGAGGCCAGGAAAGGCAGCAACAAAGGCACGGATGTGTGGTCTGTTTGTTGGCGCGTACACGGTCTTGACTACTGGCTGAAATGAAGGCTTTGCCCCGAGGCCTGACGGCCTGATGTGCCAGGAGGACTCCGCTGTCGGGTGCGTGGGCCGTGAGGGGGCAGTGAGCGCCGATGCCCCTACCAGCAGACTCCGCCCCAATCTCGGCCATTTACCAGGCTACAAGCGCCAAGGTGCAGCGTGGCGCATGTTGCTGACGGACCGCGGTACCAACGACGGTCCGCGGTACTGCGAGCTATTGATACATCGGCGTAACTGGAGACTGGGGACTGGTGACTGAAAGCTGGGATGATGTTGTAATGGGAGTTTCACGCAGAGCGATGCTTGAGGGGTTGGTCCGACTGTCGGCAGCACCGCGATGCGCCCAGAGGCCACTTGTCACCCGTCTTCCTCGTCCTCCTTGCACCCCTGTCGTCATGTACACTGTCTCTGCGATCTTTGCTGCTGCGCGGAAGCGTTCTGTTCACTGAAGAGGGGAACCCGCAGGGGCACACCACGCACCCATTGTCAAGACTGGCTCTTGGCGGCGCTGCCGCTGGTTTGTACACACGGTGGACACGCGACGGGGAGCGGGTCGTCACACATCACACCAGTACTCTGCAACAGAACCCTTGGCGCTTGTTCTTGTCCCAGTCAGCAAGCTGCAAGTCAGCTGAGCAGTCAATCAACGGGGAAGCCTATGTGTCTCCGCCCAGAATGGAAGGCGAATGGGCCGGCAAAGTGATCGGGTACGCTGCGATAACGAAATGGGTCCAGCCAGCCTCCAAGATACAAACGATCGGGAAGCTTGAAGGTCACAGTTGCCCACTGTTGGCTTCCTGAGACCAGCTCAAGGTTAGCTGCATACAGCAACAGCAACCCTTGACACTCACCGGATCACCGACTTGGGGGCTTGGCGTGACGGAAACCGCTGCCCAGACGTCAATGCCAGCATGGTCGGGGTATGACCATCAGGCAGCAAACGACCCGAGATTGGAAACGGGCGAAAATCCAAAACAGTCGTCGCTCCTTCACTCTCCCGATCTCCCTCCTACCTTCCGTCACGGTCACGAGTCCACGACGGCTGGTGTTCACATGCTCTTGTCGTAACGACTGGGATTTGCCGACCAGACGTAGCTCCGAATGTGAGGTTGGACAGTAGAACCCAGTGGCCAGTGGCAATTCGGAAACCGCAGGATATGGTGGGCAGCTAGTCGTTTAAAATGGAGGGACACCTTTCCTGACCGCGCAGATGGCCGTCCGTCGCGCGATCTGTCGTCACCGCCGCCCCCGCCAATCCTCCCACCCCCCGCCACCACCGACACACGCCCCGCTGAACATCCAAGATGGCTTCAACCACCACAACCACAACCACCACAACCGCCGAGATGCGTCTCCCGTCCTCCATCCTCCGCGGCGTCGGCGCTCAGCGCAGCCTGCATGCCTCTGCGCTGCGCCGCGTCCCACTCGTCCTCAACCCCACAGAGCTCAAGGCCCTGGCAAAGGTGCGTGGATCGGCTTGCCCGGTTGATACTTCCACTTAGTAGACGCGTGACTAACTGTCCAGGACAACGTGGTCCCCATCGACGTCTCATGGCACATGCCCGCTGCCCCGCGCAATGCCGAGGAGGAGTACCAGACAGGCCCACGCATCGTCGGTGCCCGCCGTCTTGACCTGGACAAGGTCGCAGCTCTCGGCCCAGAGCGCAACCCCCTCGGCCTGACGCACATGCTGCCCAGCGCCACCGAGTTCCGCACCGCTGCCAGTGAGTACAGTCGTGTGCATTTGTGGCCATGGCTCTGTATGCCCATCCAGAACCATGCCAGAGCTGGTGGTGCATGGGAACATGAGGAGCGTCATGATTCCCAACAATCATAAACCTCCTTCACAACCTCGCAAACGCCGTGTGGTTTAATCTGTAACGTCACCGGTCCACTAACGCGCTCCCGCAGAGAAGCTGGGTGTGACTCCAGACTCGCATGTGGTGCTCTACGACACGCAGGGTGTCTTCTCGGCCCCGCGCGGCGCATACACGTTCAAGCGTAAGCCGGTCATTTTGACCATTGCGATGCCGTTGCTGACAGACGTCTAGTGTTTGGACATGACAAGGTTTCCATTCTCGACGGCGGTCTTCCGCGCTGGATCGCCGAGGGAGGTGCCGTGGACGTTGGCCCGCCCGAGCAGTTCACTGGCGACAGCAACCTCAGCGGCCCAGAGCACAACACCTGGGTGCGATGTGAGTAGCGACGGGGGCACAGCCAAAACCAACCGACATTGTATGCTGACCGTGGCCAGCGTACGAGGACATGGTGGCCAACGCTGGCAAGGGCGAGGCCGGCGACGTTGTGCTCGACGCCCGCGCTCTCGGCCGGTACACTGGCGAGGCGCCCGAGCCCCGTCCGGGACTTCCCTCGGGCCACATCCCGCACTCGCTCCCGCTGCCGTTCAACGACCTCCTCGAGCAGCCCACCGAGGACAAGCCGTACACGCACCTGAAGAGCCCCGCCGAGCTCAAGAAGATCCTCGTCGACGCCGTGGGCGGCGACAAGGTCTGGGACGAGGTCAACCAGCCCGGCGGTCGCCAGCTCGTGCTTACCTGCGGCTCGGGCATGACGGCCGCTGTCCTCTGGCTGGCACAGCAGATCGTCGCCGAGGCCGAGGGCCGTGCCGCTCCCCTTGCGTCCATCTACGACGAGAGCTGGACGGGATACGCCCAGCGCGAGGATGCCCCCATTGAGACTGGCGACCCTACGCAAAAGTAGAACCGCCAGTGGGCCGTAGTAGTTTTAACCATAGATTTGGAGGCTGAAGTGGGGCGAGGTGGTCCTGAACTTCCGACTCGACAGACGCCCACTGTCATATGTAGTGCAGTGCATGCTGTATCGATGTATGAGTAGTGCCGTGTGCCTTCTCTCCTCTAGAAAACAACCGTCTAGATACCTCCCAGCCCAGTGGCCTTGCGGACCTCGTCCATCGTCCTGGCCGCCACCTCGCGCGCGCGATCGCGGCCCTTGGCAGCCACCTCGCGGATGTACCCTTGGTCCGCCGAGATACGCGCATACTCTTCACGGATAGGTGCGAGCTTTGCGACCACAACGTCGCTCACCGCCGCCTTGAGCTGAGCTCCACCGCCACCGGCCTGGTTCAACTCGTCTGCGAGCTCCTGTGGCGTACGGCCAGCGTCGTCCAGGGCGCTCCAGATCGTCAGGAGGTTGGCGACACCGGGACGCGTGGCCGGGTCGTAGCTCATGGTACGCTCGCCGTCGGTCACGGCCGTCTTGATCTTGGACACAATGTCCTTGGACGAGTCTGTGATGCTGATACGCGACGCCGGCAGCGGGGCAGACTTGGACATCTTCTGCAGCGGGTCGCGGAGGGACAGGATGCGCTTCGAGTGCACTGAGTGAGTCAGCTTTGAAGACTTTGGTCACCCAGCAGCTCACCAATGCGCGTGTCGGGAACAGGGAAGATGTCGCCAAACTGCGAGTTGAAGGCCTCGGCCGTGTCGCGGGACAGCTCGAGGTGCTGCGTCTGGTCCTCGCCGACGGGCACAAGCGTCGACTTGTACAGCAGAATGTCGGCGGCCTGGAGGACGGGGTACGCCAGCAGGCCGAGACGAAGGTCAGACTCGGACACCTCGTCCTCTGAAGCGGCGTTGCGGGACGTCGCAAGGCGGGACTGTTGTGAGCTTTATGATGGCTGCCGTCAAATAACTCACTTTCCAAGTGGTCATACGCTGCAGACGGCCAACGGAGGAGATGGTGTTGAGATACCACGCGAGCTCGGCGTGCTCGGGCACGTCTTCCTGGAGATACAGTGTTGTGCGTTCCGGGTCGACTCCACTGGCTAGCAGCGCGGCAAGCATGTTCCGGCGATCCTGGACGAGCTGCTTTGGGTCCTGCGGCAGCGTAATGGCGTGCAGACCAACGACAGAAAGGTAGATTGGCGTTGTTGTTGGTGCGGTCCTCTGCAACTCGAGGAAGGGTTGGAACAGACCGAGATAGTTGCCCATCTGCTATTAGCGTCCACCACCACATTTCATTGCTAAGTAGAAACGCACATGAGGAGTTCCTGCACGTTAGCATTACCTCCATGCCGGTTTGTTTGGCTCACCTGTGGGCTGGATGCCGGAGAAGATGACCTGGCCGTGCTGACGTTTCTTGGCTTTTGACGAGGACGCGCGTGCTCCCACCGACAATGCAGGCAGCGCTGAAGCACTACATGCGAGAGAAGGTATCCGTTGAATGCTGGTGCGCATGCTCTATGTCGTAGGTCGTTGACAGAAAAGGTCGACAAAGGCCAACATTGCATACGCGGGTCACCCCTCCCAAGACGGACCTCCACCGGGGAAGAATGGCCCCTCTCCCTGTGCCGCCGCCGCCGAATGTGTGGATGGAGACTTTTTCCCGATGCACCCGTCGCCGCTGGCTCACCATCCACCTCGTCGTCCTCGGCATCTCGTCTTTGCCGCTTAACCCTACAACCCCCCCTAATCACTCACAAAATGTCTTTCCTCTTCGGTGGTGGTGGTACGTGTCTCGGCCTGCACTGGAGCTGTCACTTGGCGGCGACAGTTGCTGTGCGTGGAGGAAAACACCGCTTGCTAAACTCGTAACCGTAGCCCCCCGCGACGCTGGCGCGATCGACCCGGTCAAGATGGAGATGGCCGTCTCGGAGCTTGACATGATCACCGACGTCTTGTACGTGTGCTGCTGCCTGTTCTGAGGGTTGTGCTGACCTTGTCTCTCTCCCTCCCTCTTACGACTGCCTTTGATCCATCTCCACCGGCGACCCATCATTTCCTCCGCCGTCGACCTTCTCTCACCTTCCCCGCTCGCCTTGACCTTCTGTCTCCTCTTTTCCCCTCCTCCCTATTCCTTGCGTGCCAACAGCAACCGCCTCGTCCACTCGTGCCACGCCAAGTGCATCCAGCCCGACCCCATGAAGGGCCGTTACGCCGAGGGCGAGCTCCTCAAGGGCGAGGGCGTCTGCATCGACAGGTGTACTGCCAAGTTCTTCGAGGTCAACAAGAAGGTTGGCGAGCGCATGCAGACCATGGGCGGCGCCGCCCAGTCCACGGGCTCGTTTGGCCGTTAAACTGTTTTTTGCCTCGTTTACACACACCCCTTTCAAGCGTAGACAAGAGACACGACGACCAGTGCGGTTGTGCGGCGTAACGCGGTTACCTCACACACCCCGGACATCACCATTCATCGCGGTCGGCCGACTAGTAGCAGAGACATGTATCATTGTCGCATCGCGGAGCGGCTTGGGCGTGGAAGGGAGGCGGTTGCTGTACTAACGGACGGATGGATGGGTTGACAGTGTCAACATGGTGACAGCGCCCACTTTCGCGGCGCTGCACTCCACTACAGGATGCCGTCCGCGCCTCTCCGAGTGGCTTCCAGTTACAGCAATACATGTACATGATCTAAATGGAGGGTGGACTCGTTCTTAACCCAGACTTGCACGTCATGGGCCACCCTCACCGCCATTGAGCTTGAGCTCGGCGGTAGCCTCGATGATCCCCTCGGCGACAGTCGCCTCTTGTTTCTCCTTCTCCTTCTCTTTCTCCTTCTCCTTCTTGTCCTTTTTGCTCTTCTTCTTCTCCTTGGGCGGCGGGTCTTCTTCCACCCAGTCGTCGTCAAAGTTGTCTACCTCGCCGTCCGCCCACCAGGCCGGCAAGCGGTGGTTTGGTGGCAAGTTGACAAAGTCGGGGTCAAAGAGCTACGTGTTGTTAGCCTGACGCCACCCATGCCAGGCCAGGAAGGGAGGGGCTCTCACCTCGATGTACGTCTCGTCCGCATAGCGATGCTTGGTAGGTCCCGAATGTGATCGGTACTGGACGGTCAGATGACAAGCACAGTACAGCGCGGGGAGGAGCAGGAGAAAGTGACGTCCAGTACACACCTCGGACAGTGCAGAGGCAAAGTTCCAGCCCTGCATCATACGCAGACAGCCGAACACGACACCAGTCTGGTGAATCCCGACTCTAGAAAAGATGTCAGCGACCATGAGCCTTGTACAGCTCCGTTGAGAGTCTGCTCAACTCACGGGTCAATGACGAGCACAGGGTGGCTCCGGACATCGAGGATCAACTCGAGAGCGGCCTTGACGACCTCGTCGCCGATGGGTTTCCAGTCTGTGAGTGGCTGGAAAAGCGTGCTGCCCAGGTGAACCTGTAGGTCAGTGTTTGTCCTGCCCGATGAGGCTCAAGCTCGGGGCCTCTCCACTCCACAGACGCGGACGCTGGCAACACCGCGGCCACGGGCCCCAAGGGCGATGGATGCTCACAAAGTCGACACCTGATGCACGCGCATAGGATACCAGGGGTTTGATAGGATGCTCGGGAGAGAGCGATACGATGGTTCGCAGTCCCAGGGACGTGAGGAATGGCACCTGTGGGCGATTAGCAACCTGGCCAACGACGGCGGGCAGTGGCCGCTGAAGCGTGTGGATGGCGACGGGCGAGTTGGAGACCGGACGGAGAGCTCACCTCTACGGCTGTTGGGGATGCAGAGCGGTATACACCGGGCTCGACGATGGAAAACCTCGTCGGCACCTGTATGAATGACGAGGAGGGTTGCTTCGAGGCCATGGCCCCAGGCGGAGCAGAGAGGTGAACGTCACAACAGATGAGCTCACAGTCACTTCGGCAACCCACAGGCAACAGGACCCCCAAGTGACGATTGTGGCTCATAAAAATGGAGATTTCGCTAATCTCCGTAAACTTAAAGGGGTGGTCTCTATAGGTAATGTGCCCAAGTGTGGCCGATGGCGTCCAACGACGCCTGGCTGGATGCAAGCAACTCAGCAACAGATGACCAGTTTTGCGTAGATCAAGTCACAGGTGTCACATGCGTTCATCACGTTATTATACAACTCTTGAACTGTTCGCTCCAAACAGCCACAACATACTACGAGAGAGTCTGTTGACCACGCTCCGGGTCGGAGAGCTTGATGACACGGTTGTGGTTGCCGCTAACGTTGACGCCGCCCATATCCAGGGGAGTGATGAGGACAAACTGCTTGCCATCACTCTGCTTGGCACCTTCAATCTGGTCACGTGAGCGCGGAACGCAAGATATTCACTCACCAGCATGTTGGCGGCGACGCTGCGGTTGGCGCTGTCGAGGAAGACATCCCACTCGTCCAGGCAACTGATGGTCGTAGGCGCCACATTCCACAGCGCCAGCAGGAACGAAATGGTCGAGTATGAGCGCTCTCCACCGCTGAGGTTGATGGGCGCCTTGAACTGTGCCTGGGTGGAGTATGCCTGGGTCTCACGCAAACCAGTCGTCTGAACGAGAATAGAAAGACTGAGCTGGTCGTGGTCAAAGAGGAGTCGGCCTTCAAAGCCGCGCTTGTTGATAAACTCAATGAAGGCGGTGCGAACACGGACGGACAAGTGTTGACGGAGTTCTTGCCACTTTTCCTGGCGCATCTGGATGCCGTCTTTCAGAATATGGACGAGCTTCAGGAAAGTCCTGGTGCTATCCTCCATCGTTTTGAGCGCGGCCTTGGCCGAGGTGAACTTTGCAAGAGTGTCATCCAGGTTGATGTTGTTTCTGAGAGGTGAGCACAAGAACTAGCGCTAGAACTCACTGCTTGGCTGCGTCTGCAATACTCTTCTCCAGAGCTTTGATGCGACGGTGCAGGTCATCGACCGACATGTCAGAGTCGATCCTGTCGCAGAAGTTCTGAGCCTGCGTAGTCCATGTCTACGAGTTAGGACGACTGCCGATAAGCGAATAACTTACCTCGAGTTCCGCTTCCGACTCTGTGATCAGGTTGGTAGTGGCCTCCAGCTCCTTCTCCGTGCGTGCTCTCGAGTTCCTGTAGAACTGCCTGTCGTTCTGGGCCTTGGTCTGCTTCTCGGCAAGGACAAGAATGGCAGCCTGGGACGTCAATGCTGCTCCATGAGAATCTACTCACTCGCTTCTCATCAGTCTCTGGACCAAAGCGCTGCTGCTCTTCGTCCAATTCCTCCACCGTCTTGGTCGCGGTTCTAATCTCTTGAAGAACTTCCTTGTGAGCCTCCTCCAAAATCCGAAGCTGCACCTCGATGTTGTGAAGTTCATTTTCGCGTTCCTGCTACGTCAGATAGACCCGTCGACGCTAAACTTACGGTCTTAAAGGTCACAAGAAAGTCACCATTGGCTGGCTGGAGATCGGCAATCTCATCCTCTAGCCTCTGGATGTCTCCCCTGAAGCGTGGAATACCCTTGTTGAGGTGCTCGACGGTTTGCTGATGAGTTAGAATTGTACACGGGTCACCAATAACCTACGTTGGCTTTGGCGAGGACGGTCTGAAGGCCTTGCCTGTGTCGCGCGTGATCAGCGCAACGTTGAAGCGCAGCATCGGCCTCTGGTTGCATCGTGTTCACTCTCTCGCGAATGTTGCTGTTGGATGTTTAGCTTGGCCTCAGGCAACAAAAACCTACGCAAGCTCCGTAGCGACATCCTTTACGAAAATAGGGTTGGACTTCCAGTCACCTAGCGGCCCAGACTGAGTGGAGCTAATCGTAAGCACAAAACGCCATGATCGTCTTACCCATTGCTTTTGCCCGTCTGCGTGTAGCCATCTGCACTGATGAACGTGACTTGAGGAAGGCGTGTCTCAGCGAGCACACGCTTCATTTCGTTATAGCCTTCGCGCTGGGTAGGGGCTACGCCGAGCCTCTCAATGTGGGCCATGTTGACAAAGATGCGGAGGGCAGCATCGTTTGTGAACTGAGCGTTAGACTTTTAATCAAACTCGATTGGAACTTGCCTTGAGTTTGCTCAACATTGTTGGCGCCACACGGGACAAGTCGCCAGCCGAAAAGTCAAACATATCATTGGTGTGCTGATACACGGTGGGCAAAGAGTTAGGACCAAGCACTGATCGGAATCCACTAAAGCATGTGTGTCAGGTTCGCTCCACGGACAATCGTTATCAACTCACTGGTGTTGCTTGCACTCTTTGAGAATGTTGAGAAGTGTATGCTTGTCTCGATGGTCGCGAACAGCAAAACCACAAAGCAGTTGGCCGAGAGTGGCATGGGCGGCATCTCGATACCGCATGTCTTCCAGCTGCACGTACAGGCCAAGAGGTCCCAGAGGTTCGGAATGGTGCCACCTCGCCTGCCGAATCCTAGCCATGACTTTATCGAAACCCTGGCCATACACAGCCATGCGATCGGTAGACTGGCGCTGAAGTGTCGCGGCAGATTGCTTCGCCCGGTCCAACTGAACTCGGATATCGTCTCGACGGCTCTCAAGCGCAGTGTACTCGGCCTCGGCACGATCGAGCTCCTGGGCGGCGTCCGTGGCCTTTCGCTCTGCTTCAGGAAGACGGCGGCGCAACGAACTGAGACCCTCTTCAAGCTTCTTGCGCCTTTCCTGGAGCTCACGTTCACGAGGGTTTTGAGTTGCGTCGGGGCCAAGCTGGCGGGCAGCGATTTGGCCCTCGAGGTTGGCAATCTCCTTGCGCACGCGATTGACGTCCTCCTTGATACCTTTCATTTCATCCTGCAGAGTGTCAGCAAGGCTCGTGGTTGTGCAACTCTGCGCGTTTGGCATACCTCATTGAAGCTCGCTTTGAACTGGCTTTTGTGGAGTTCGGTCTTGGCCTTCTTCAACGCCACTTGGGTAGGTCTGCGGCGCTCTGTGAGCTCATTGAGCTCGTCGTTGAGAGCACCAATCTCGCGCTCAGTGGGTCCAAGTTGTGCCTGCAGGTCAGCTTCGCTGGTACTACATGCACTCACTGTGATCTCGTCGATCGACTCCTGCGCCTTCTGAACTTTGGTAGTGAGGAGCTCGGCTTCGTCACGGTGCTTTTGGGTATCCTGGGCAAGTCAGCCTACACAATGCAAGTAACTTGTTGCTTACCTTCTCCTTGCGCTTGACAAAGGCCCAAGCCAGCTTTTTCTCACACTCGGTCTTTTCTCCCTTGAGCTCGCGAGCCCGCTCGGCAGACCGAATGTCGCTTTGCAGGCGTTCCACCTTTGCCCGCTGGTTGGGGATTCCCTCCCTCGCACGCGCTAGGTCCGAGTCCATCTTTCGCCGCGTCGCATCCATCTGGGTGTACTGGTCGGCCAGTTGCTGAAGACTGGTGCCCTTGAAAAACAGCTAATTGTTAGCCACACAGCGTTTGAACCACCAACCCACCTCGTAGAGCTTGCGGTTATCGGTAGACGCGAGGAACGTCTTGGCATTGTCTTGCGTGAGGAGGGTGAGAGGCGAGTCGATATCGATGTTGAAATGGGCGCAAATGGTGCTCAGTTCTTCGCGCTTGGTTGTGATAATCTTGCCATCCTCTGTAGCCCGGAACTTGTAGCCAGATGAACCGTTCTTGGCGATCCAGCGCTCGATGACAATCTGGTCCGGGTACTTTTCAGGCTCAAACGCGTCATAACCCTTGTTAGAAAGGATGAGGGTGATGATGGCTTTGCTGTGGGGATGTCAGGATCCACGCAACAACCACGGGGCGCAAGGAAGGCTCACTCGGCCTCTCGAGCAACCATGTCCTTGACACCTTGGCCACGGCCAGTGACCGAGGCCTTGGCTCCAAGGGCGACTGCGAGAGCAGTGAGGATGGCCGACTTTCCACTGCCGTTGTGACCAACAATAAAGTTGATCTTTGGGCCAAAGCTGTTGTACGAGAAGTGCTTGTGACACATAAAGTCGACGATGCGGATGCCCTTGATCACGCCGGCTTCGGGTACCGACTGTGCAGGTGGTCAGCAATGGACAGCTGTGGCACGTAAACAGAAACACATACGCCATAGCCCATGTTCCTCTTCTTCTTCTCTGCGTTCGCCTTGGCGCGCAGGTTGGCAGCATCGTCGTCCAAGTCGGTATCAGAGTCTGATGCGTCGCGGTCGTCCTCCATGTCCTCGTCTTCATCGCTCTCACGCCCGCGACTGTTGGCACTAGTCCCGCGGCGTGCGCGCTCAATGTTCGCAAACCGAGCACGCTCATCGTCATCCATGCGTTCGAGCTTGACGCGTTTGACCTGGTGGCGTCAGTGCGGGCACGGTGAAAGTGGAGGGACGATGAGGGACAACATCGTGGGATGGACGTACAACATGGCGCCCCTCTTCGTCGCCACTGGCGGGGTCCTCCGACTCTGAGCGTCTCTTGGACATCTCACGAGCCATGGTGAGGGACTGTTCGCTGTGGAGGAGGTGGTGGTAAAGCTGGACTTTGTTGAATGCGCAAAGGTGGAGGGAAGGATGAGGAGAAAGGGTAAACGAAAGGGTTCGCCGCTGGACGCGCGACGCGTCAACAAGTGGAGGAAGGAAGTCAACAACATTAGTCAACCGATTATATTTCTTAATTCTTTCACGATTTATCCCGACTACGATTAGGATTCGTTACGTCATGTATTACAACTCGCATCCTAATCAACTAACAACTGCCTTGCTACTTCCTCCTGGCCATGAGCTGGTCAACGTGTGCGCGCGTCTTGTCTTCCCAGTCATACCAGGTGATACCTGCCATCCAGGTATCACGCTGGCCGCATTTCTCAAGCCTGCCAGGGCGGCCGACTGCTCTGTCAGTGCTCACATTGACCCTAATCTAACTTACCATGAGCGCTTGGCTTGCCCTCTGGCACGACAATCCAAGCCTTGATGATACCCTCATGGACAAATCCCAGACGCTCGGCAGCAGCACCGCTCTTCTTGTTCAACGAGTTGGCTTTCCACTGGCATCGGCGAAGGCCAAGGCCGCCTTGCTCAACCGAGTCGAGGATACGGTGCATGAGGAGACCGCACGCGTTCGACAGGACGTGGGTGCGCTGAATGGTCAGAGAGAGAGCGAGACCCGGGGGGAGAGCGGAGAGACTTGCCTGGAAGGGGGTGAGGATGAATATCCAACCAATCTCGCTCATCATGTTATCGTAGCTCGACTCAATCATGGACATTGTGCCGGCAAAGACATAGTCCTCCACAGGAGCGTCGAGGCGGTCGAGAGGGGCACTGTAGACGGAGTAGCGGAGCTCGCCCTGCCATGTCAGCAACCTAATACGAGATTTGTGACTTACGGGGTGCCTCCTTGCCTGCTCGGCCCAGACGCATACCTCGTTCAGAGTCTGCCAGACGCCGCAGCCCACATACTCGACCAATTCCGGGTTCGCTTGGATGCCGGACAAGAGGTGCTGGGCGTCGCGAGACGGCTGTGACGGTGGTGTTAATCCTGGACAAGAGATACTGAACCATAGCCCAGCTTAAGGCTATTCCAACCCACCAGGAAGGGACGCAGAACAACGCGGTCCGACTGCAATGTCTTGGGCTCAAACATAAAGTTGTAGTCATAGTCGGCCTCTGCAGTGTCCAGGTGGACGTTCTCCGGGAACGACGCTGCGGGAGCCTTGTAAGAGTTCGTGAAAGTGGACATCTTGTGAACGATGTCGGTGGATGGGCAAGTGTACAAGCTTACGAGCACGCTATATATGCAGAGCAAAGCAACATGACCCAGTCGTGGAGTCGGTTCATGGAGGCTTGAGTCGAGAGTTTAGCCGTTAACCGAGCCGAGCTCATTTCAGGCACCATAGATAGGGAGACGGGCATGGCCGCATGTTGCTGCCTGCGCAGCAACAGCAACAGCAACAGTAACAGCGAGTGGCCAAAAGAGATGCTGTACATGCAAAACGAGGATGATCCGACAATACGAATAAAGGGGGCAGTGTACAGGTAGATAGAAGCGTAGCCAGGAAGACGAGGAAGACGTGAGGTAAGGCGGGAGATTAAGACTGGCGGGAGGTACCGATAGACGACGACTTTTTCTTCTCGTACTTCTTGATCCACGGGTGGCGGAGCACATCTGCAAGCGGAAGACGGTCTTCGGGGTTGTATTGCAGCAGCTGGACTGTCAGTGTTTGTCTAAGAAAGTGTAACTCACTCGTGTGATGAGGTCGGCAGCCTCGGCGGAGACATAGTCCGGAACGTGCAGGTCGACATTACGGATACGCTTGTACGTAGCACCGTGGCCTGACAAGTCCTCGAACGGTGGGGCACCGACAATGAACTCGTAGCAAAGAACACCGAGAGCCCAAAGGTCGACCTTGGCGTTGTGCTCCTTGCCCTCGACCATCTCTGGCGGGAGGTAATCAAGGGTACCGCAGAGGGTGTGCCTACGGTCGGACGGGGCGTGGACGCTCCACCCAAAGTCACCAATCTTGAGCTCTCCCTTTAAGCCTGACATGTTAGTTTTCGTCTCCTGCATGCAAGAAAGCTCACCAATGAGCAGGTTCTCAGGCTTGATATCACGATGGATGACGTGCTTCTTGTGAAGGTAGGCGAGCGCATCTGCCATCTGGGCAATGTATCTGCTCGAGCGTTTCTCGTCAAAGCGGCCCAGCTTGGAGAGCTGCTTGTAGAGCTCGCCCTTGGCGGCAAACTCGAGCACGAGGAAGATACGCTTCGAGTCGTGGAAGTAGCCGTACAGGCGGAGGATGTTGGGGTGACGGAGGTTCTGCTGGATCTCAATCTCGCGACGGACCTGTTTCTCAACCTTGCCGGCCACAATCTCCTGCTTGTGGAGACACTTGAGGGCAACAATAAAGTGCGGGGCGGTCTTGGTACGGGCCAAGTAGACACGACCAAACTTGCCCTTGCCAAGTGGACGGCCGATCTGGAAGGATGGCAGCGAAAGCGACACGGTTCTGATGTCAGTTTCAACCTCTGCCAGATGACAAACTTACCCGTTGACGGCACCACTGTCGAGTTCCAGCAGCTTGCCAGCTTCGCCAGTGACGGCTTCCTTGCCAGCCTCATCGATCTCAAAGCCTCCATCATATTTGCCAATATCCGCCTTGCGGGATGCGGATGAGGCGGGGGCGGCGGCGGCGGCGGCGGGTTGGTGGTGCGAGGAGGAAGGGTTGATGGACGACGCCTGCGTGCGAGAGGCCGTGGCGTGGGCAGGGCCGTGTATGCCGTGGGCGGTGTGCTGCTGGAGCGAATGCTTGGACGACTTTGGTGAAGTAGGCTTGGACGACGTGGAAGAAGACTGCTTGGCGGGAACGTTGGTCGCACTGGCGAGGTTGAGCAGAGCCGCCCGCTGGGCTTCGGCATGATGGCTAGCGAGACCAGCGTTTGGGGGTCGCACAAGGCCAGGGTTCATGTACTTCTTCATGAGGGGCGGGAGTCGGTTTCCCGGTGAAGGTGGTGCTCGGGCTGCGCTACCATTGTTGATGGAGAGACCCTCCATCAGGTTGGGGAGCTGCGACGACATGTTGAGTGGTTGGAGCAGAGAGAGACTGGGGGTCGATGTGATCGGTCATGTTTGTTGTTCAGAAAGCAGGCGCGTGGCTGGGCAGAGCTGATAGTGGCGGAAAATAAATACACGTCACTTTTTCCTGCGTTTGTGGCGAATCCATGGTCTGTGTCTCTTTCAGGCCGGTGTGCAATGGTTGGCGGCTTCTGCATGCATGGTGCATTCTGGTTGTTGTTTTAAGTGTCCATAGTGTGTAATAGTGGGTTGATATGGTGTGTGCCAAAGAGGAGTGATGTGTGACGCCCACAGCGCACCCCATCAGAGGAAACAGCTGAACCACGAGTACCGGTCCGCACAGTCTTCTATGTCTCTTCCCGTGCGATACACCGACACGCTACGGTGTTGAAACAATTGTCAGTCAGAGTCCTTTGGCTCCCCCTAACTCGCGTGATGGAGGGTCCTTGGCTTACCTTTCCCATCACTGAGAAGCCATCACTGTTTGGCATCGGGTGACCGACCCGCGGCCGGCGCCCCCTATCGCTGTATAAAACATGGTACCACCTCCCATCGCATCTTCCATCTTCCATATTCCATCAACTCCCCAGTCCTACCTATCCTTCACCATAGGAGCCGCAATCTCAGCACTCTACTACTGGGACCCAGTAACTCGCCAGTACTTTCCTGGCCGCCGCCGTCGCAGCATGCACTACGCGTACATGTACAACAACCAGGCCTATGAGCCAATCTACAACGTCGCTCAAGGAGGGTACGTCTACCCGGGAGATCAATACCTGTACCCGCCCTTCGTCAACTATCCTTTTTCCCCCACGTACCCTGCCCAACACGTTCCCGGCGGATTCCATCCTCCCATGGTCTACCCCTACAGCCACCCATATTCGCACCACCCACCCAACTACAACTACACCGTCGTCCCGCAACCTCACGTGCCAACCGCTGTCCGTACCGTCTCCGCCCCTATCCCACATGCCGCGCTCCCGCCTCCGCCCTACTATGCCCAGCAACAGTACGACCGCGAGCGGCAGTATGAGCTTGACCGTGAACGTGACCGCGAGAGACAGAGGGAGCGCGACAGGCAGACGCGTCACGACTGGGATGTCGTACAGCACAGCAAGGAATCCCACAAGGCCAAGGAGCGGCAGGCATACGACAAAGGCTACTCGCACGGCAAGCACGCTGAACGCGACCGCCTGGGGGACCGGTTGGACCGCCACATAGAGCGTCTCGAACGCGAGGATCGCCCGCGTCGACGTGGCGTGCACTTTGAGCGGCAACACACGCAGCCCGCCCAGATGTACGAGTACAAGATCGCCCACCCCAGCGGTCACGGCCAAGTGGGCATCCTGTCCAACCAGCTCCCGGTGAGTTATTTTTTGCGACCTCTGCGAGCCCCGCAAAGAGCCGCACCCCGGCTGACCCCGTCCACAGCAGTTCTATCCCGCCAAGGCATGATCGCCAGTGCCATGGCGGAATTCCAGTAAGCGATCGGACGCGCCATGTCCCCGCCATAGGTCCGGCGTCCGGCGTCCGTCGCTCCCAGGTTAGACACGGTAGGTGCCATCGCACACGGAAAAATGGCCACCACCCGGGGGAGTGAACGTTCCTTCTTGTGTCAGCCCACACCTCCTTTGGATTTGTTGTACAACTCCTAAACTCTCGCCCCCCTCCCCCCCCCCCCCCCCCCCCCCCTCCTCTCCTCAGTCCGTTCTGAGTCAGTGGATCAGTCGTCCGATTCCCAATGTCCATGTCCTCCTTTCGCTTCTCCAGGGCCGACGTGGTGTTGTACATACAATAAGTCTTTGCCATATGCACGGGCATTTGACGTACCGGGGCTTCAGCCACTTCAGAAGCAAACCTTAGAAGGCTCGGATCCCGGGGCCCACGCCACCGGGTCGCGGGGGCGGTCACACGCCGGCCTGACGCATATGCCTGCTCGTGTTTGCTCGTGGCCTCGTGGTAGTCACCAACAAGGTTCACACAAGGATCACACGCTGCCAAGCGCCTCACTCGAGCTCTTGGCGTGTCTCTAGACCTCTGGCCGCTCGCGGGCCCGCGTGGGGGTTATGAACGACAAAAATAATGCATGAACAGGCTATTAGTGAAGGTATCTAGCGCACAATCGGTCCGGGGGTATGATAGCCATGATCGTGAGATATTCGTTTTGCAATCGTATTAATGATTACCGTAGAGGGGATGTAGACTGAGAGAGTTTGAGAGTTGAGAGAGTGTGTGTGTGGTATGTGGAGCGTGCGGTATTTATTCCTTGAGGTCGTTGCTGCTGTCGTCGTCACGCTCGAGAATGGTCGATGACTCGATAGCCGGCAGAGTCTGATCGGGGTCCTCGTTGAGGGGAGGCAAGGAGGTCATGGACTGGAGGGCCACGGACGAGAGACCAGACATGCTTGTGGGAAGCGCGGCGGTCTCAATCCGGAGGTCGTCAAAGGAAGAAGGGTCGGTTGCGAGCGACGAGGATGTCTTCTCGCTCTTGAGCCCAGAGTTGAGCCAGGCAGCCTCGGCGGGGGTGCCTCCAAAAGTGTGGACGCTGCTGCGGTAGTTTTCCACGACGCTCTGAACAGAGTTGCGGTGGTCGCTGCGCAGATCCATGGGACCAGGGCGGGGAGGGCTGTCAGCCAAGCGCTGCTGCAAGGAACCGAGCTCGAGCGTGGGAGTCTCGTCCTCGTAGGGCGTCTGGTCACCATGTCCGTGCTCAGAAAGCTCAAAGGGGGTGTCTGGTGCGGTCGCAAAAGTGGTCGGGTCGACCTCGGGCGAGCTGGCCTGCGACGCCACTTCCGAAATGTCCGAGGCCGGGGCCTCGACATCGGGCGGCGAAAGGAGCGCCTCCGAAGAAGCAACCAGGTCCTGCTCGCTTGTCGTGCTGGGAAGTGGTGGCAGGACGGCGTTCTGGTAGAGCTCCACATGCTCGGGAAGGGGAGCGTCGCGCGGCATGGGGGAGACAGCGCTGATTGAAGGGTCGCGCACAGCCACCTCGACCTCGAGATCGTCACCGGCCGCAGGGCCCGACAGGTGAGGCGAAGGTGAAGGAGCAGTTGAGCGCTTGAGACGCGAGTCGCTGCGCGAAGGCAACGAAGAGGCGTCAGAGTCGTTGGCCTCGTTGGCCAAGGCCGCCACACCGGCAACGCCAGCAACAGCAACGCCCGCAAGAGCCGCGGCCGCGGTGAGACCAGTCGACGACGAGTCAAGGGGAGTCTCCTCGTCAACCTTTTCAAGTGACGAAGAGTCGACAACCGAAAAGCGGCTGGGCGCAGTAAACTCTGGAGTGACAGCAGAGAAGCCCTGGACGGGGGCCGGCATGCCATCACGTTCAGAGGCAGTGGGGCTACCAAAGACGGTCACGGGCGAGGGAGGCTGAACACTTGGCGTCGGAGGAACGGGGATAGGCTCGTAGAAGGAGCGCTCCGAGCCGCTGGCGAGGTCGAGCGTGGCAGGTGTACGCGGTGCGTCGATCGAGGCAGGGGTACCTGACGCAGGCTCAACATTGCTGGAGAGGTCCTGCTGGGTGGTGACAGGAGGCTGAGGGATGTCCTCAGTGAGGTCGACGACGGGCGCAACGTCGTCACCGGCTGTGATACCAAGGCCCAGGCCGGCGAGCGAAGGAGGCGCAGCGGCGGCCTCGGGGGCCGGCTCGGTGGCCTGAACCTCGTTCTCGGGCTCGACTGGGGCCGAAGCCTGCTCGACAACCTGCTCCTGGGGGGGCTGCTCGACGGCCTCGACGGGCTGCTCGACTGTCTCAACGGGCTGCTCAATCTGCTGCGAGACGCGCCTGGAGAACTGAGCCGACGACCTGCGGTCCTTGGCACGAGCGGCCGCCTGAGCAGCAAGACCGGCAGACGCGATGAGGGCAGCGGCGCCGGCGGCGTACACAGGGGTAGCCTCGACCTTCTTGGGCTCCTCGACCTCTTCGGCGGCGCTGCGGCGGCGGAGCGAGAGCTTGGACGGCGAGGGAACAGGCGAGAGGACGGGCGAGGGGACAGGCTCTGAAGAAACAACAGGCTCGTCAATGGTCTCAGAGATAGGGCTCTCCTCGACGGCGGTCTCCTCGATGGGGGCCTCCTCGAGGGTAGGCTGCTCGACGGGAATCTCCTCGGCGGCGATCTCCTTGGCGGCGGGCTCCTGGATAGCGAGCTCGTGGAAAGCAGGCTCCTCGACAGCGAGCTCCTGGACAGCGGGCTCCTCAACAGCGAGCTCCTGGACAACGGGCTCCTCGACAGTGGGCTCCTCGATGGACTCCTGAACAGGCACAGGAGACGCGGGAACCTCAACAGCGTGCTCGGCGGGAACCTCCGTGAGCTGCTCGGCGGGCTGGGCCTCCTCGGCGATCTGCTCAATTGGCGCTGACTCCTCGATGGGTTCCTCTGAGACTTCAATCGTCTCAGCCACGGGAGACGGCTGCGAGAGAACAGCCTCGGGCACAGGGTCGTGGACGAGCTGCTCGGTCTCGATCTCTGGGGTGGGCTCGTCGGCCGTGATGTCGACGTGCTCGGGCGCCGGAGTCGTGTCTTCATGGGCGGCGACAGACGCAGCGGCAGCGATACCGCCAACTGCAAGAGCGCCGAGAGCGATGGGAGCAATTTCGGCGACGGGGGAAGGCCCCTCGGAAGCAGCAACCTCCTCGGTGACGGCGGCAGGGACGTCGTCGTTGCTGTCGACCTCGCGAGTGGCCGGAATGTCGACAGTGGCCGGGGTTTCGTCGTGAACAGGCTCGGTAACCTCCTCTTGAACTTCGGGAGAAGTCTCAGCGGGCACGCTGACAGCTGCGGGAGCCTCGACCTGGATGGGCTCGGCAACGTCCTCCTGGACCTCTGGGGTAGTCTCCACGGCGCTGTCGACAATAGCCACAGCATCGGCCTCCTGAACGGGCTCGACACTGGGTTCGACGCTGGGCTCGACGTCCTGAGCCTTGGGAACCTCAGCGGGGATGTCGGCGACAGCTGGGGTGTCGACAACTTCGACAGGCTTGTCCTCGGCCGGAATGTCGACAACAGCGGGCGTCTCGATGGCCTTGGAGTCGTCAGACTTGTTCTCGGCAGGAATGTCGACCACGGCAGGTGTCTCGATGGCCTTGGAGACTTCGACCGGGGCGGCCTCGGCCTCGGGCTCGGGCTCCTTCTTGTCGGAGCTGATCACAACCGCAGCAGTAGTAGCAGCGGCAACGACGCCGGCGCCAGCAGCCACGACCGCGTCCTTCTTGCCAAACAGCTTGGAGATGGGCTTGGAAGGAGCCAAAGGAGCAACAGCCTCCTCCTGCTTGACCTCCTTGACCTCCTTGTCCTTGAAGGACAGCGATGCCTTGCGGAGGAAACCGCCAAAGCCGCCGGCGACACCATTGCCGCCGCCGCTCTCGCGCCTCTTGGGAATGGCGATGCCCGAGGAGCGCTTCTCGGCGAGGCCGTTGGTCGGGGACAGGGGGCGGCGGTCCGTGTCCTTGTTCTCGATGGACGCGATGACGGCCCTGACGCGCGACTGGACCGAAGACGAGTTGGGGTTGTTGTTGCTGTTGCGACGCTCAAAGTCAAACGACGGGCGAACGTTGGCACCGTCAAAGCTGGGGCGGACGGGTGGAGGCGAGACCGGCGCAGCGCGCGTGAGCTCGGCCTCGGCGCTGGGGGTGACTGTGCGGGTGAGGGCGACGGCGCCAGCTGCAGCCAGAACACCGGCGCCAGCGATGGCAGCCGCTTCGCCGACAACTGGCTCGGGCTCAGGCACCGAGGGGCTCTCGACAGGCGCTTCCTTGGTCTCAACAACTGGCTCGGCAGTTGGAATCTCGATGGGAGGCTCCTTGGTCTCGACAATCGTCTCGGGCGCGAGCTCCTTGGCCTGAGCGTCGAGGGGAGTACTAGGGGTAGGCTCGAGCTCCACAGCCGGGGTCTCAGCAGTGGGGGCGGCCTCAATCGGCGCAGAAACGACCTTGGGCTCCTCAGGAGTCTGTTCGATGGTTGTCTCAACGACGGCAGCCTCAACGACGGGCACCTCCTCGACCATCGGGGTGTGGTCTGGCTCGGCAGGAACATCAGCCGACGCAACCTCCAGGGGCAGGTGGATCTGTGACTTTTCCGGCGCGTTCTCAGCGACCTTGGCGAGCGCAGAGGTGGCGTCCTCGACTTCAGGGATGGTGTTGGCACGCTCGGTGTTGGCACGCTCCTCGGTCAGGATTGCCATTGTAGCAGCTGCAGCGGCGGCGAGAGTGGTGACTGCGGCCGCGGCGGCTGTGGTGGCTGCCGTCTTGCCGGGTGTTCCAGGAGCGGCGGCACGCGAGACGGCAGCAACGGGACGCATGTCGTCGCTGTCAATGACGACGACGCCCTCGCCGTTGGTGGCGGACCAGTGGCGCCAGAGCTTGTCGTCGAGCTCGGCCCAGTGGCCCAGCGACGCGAGGGGCTTGAGGTCGGTGTCGATGAGCTTGACGCTCGACTTGGCCTCGTCGACGGTGAAGTTGCCCTCGGTGTCCTTGGCGAGGACGGCACGGACAATGATGCTGCAGTCCTTGAAGATGGCCGACAGGGCGTATGCAATCTCCTGCTGGCGCAGAGTCCACTTGGAAGCGCCGTCGCCTGCCTTGTAGACGGTGACAAACTCGGTCAGCTCGGCAGCCGAGGGCTCTGGGACGAGGTCGGGCGCAAAGAGCTTGGCGGCAGGGTTGGCAGCGGCAAAGTCGCGCGAGAGGGACGAAATGTCGCGGTGGTCGAGGGTACTCTGCAGCGTCTTGAGGGTGGAGAGGACGCCCGACGAGGCAAGCAGCGGCGCGACAAAGTCGTAGGTGCCCTCGGGTTCGGGAGTGTTGGAAGGAATCTCCTTGGCATCAAAGGGAAGGATACGCTTGCCGTCGACAAAGACGCGGAGGTTGTTCTTCTCGCCGCCCGACGAGCGCCAGGCCGCCCAGAGACCACCGAGGGCCTTTTGGACACGGTCAGCCTCACCCGAGTAGAGGTCGAGCGGGCAGTAGGCGCCCTCGAGGGACGCGCCGCGGTAGTGCTGGTGGATGCAGTAGCGGCAGTTGGAGGTCTTGATGAGGACGCTCTCGTTGGGGGTGACGTCGGCGGCGGTAGGAAGGAAGCCCCACTTGGGCTTGATCTCGAGGGCGAGCACCTTTTCGCCGGGAACCGCCGCCATGTGGTTGTCCATGAGCTGTGCGGGACGGGTATAGTCGACGATCTGGTTAAGGGAGCCCTCTGCGCGGCGTGAGGAGGGACGCAGCAGCTCGGTGGGGGTAACGAGCGCGCGAATCCACTTTTCTTCGACGGTGGCGGGTGTGGTTTCAGTATGGAGTGTGTTGGGGACGAGCTTGGGGAGAAGGCTGTCGGCCCAGGTCTGGCGGAGGGCAATGTCGGGTCCACCGGCCTTTGCGATCTTTTGCAGACGGACCGCGCGGCCCTGGAGGGAAGGCTCGACACCACGGTAGCGGAAGATGACATGCGCACCGCCCTCGCCAAGGTAGACCCAGTCGGTGGCTGGGGTTGTGATCACCGCGTTGGAAGTGGTAGGACCTGAAGAAGAAGGAGAAGTAACAGACGCGCCGACGGCGGTGGCGGCGGCAGCACCGCCGGCGAGCTCAAAAGATGAAGGAATCTTGACAATCTCGCCCATCTCGCCAATAGTGTACTCTGTGGGGGCATCCGAGGCGCCCGAGCCACGGTGGCCCGCGCGCTCAGCGACGGCAGAGAGCGACTCGGACTTGACGGCGCCCTTGCCGTTGTACGAATTGTTAAGGAACGACATGCGGGATGTGGACGTCGAGCGCGAGTACATGCTGGAACGGCGGAACGTGTTTGCAAGGTCGCGGAAGCCAAACGACTGCGAGAGGCGAGAGACAGTGCTCTCGTTGGAAGGAGAAAGGGAGCGTGTGAGGTCGGCGCGGAGGTCGGGGAAGGGCTCGTCGATCGAGGGAAGACGCTTGATCTCGCGCTTCTTGACGGTGACGAGAACCCAGTCAATGGCCTCGTCGCCGTCGGTCCCGGGAACCGGCTTGGACAGCTGGACAAGAGCAAAGCGGGGCCACGACGACGACGCGACGGGGTCGAGCTGGCCGTCCTCGACAAAGTGGATGAATGCGTCGTCAATGTCGACAATCTGCTCGCCGGCAACCAAGAGAGAGGTGGAGGTGGGGCCCTTGACGACAATCTTCTTTGGCGGGCCGAGACGCAACGGCGAGCCCGGGGTGGGCGAGCTGTGGTGTGTGTCGCGGAGCGTAGTGCGGGGCGAGTTGAGCGAGAGGGAAATGTCGCGCACCGTGTCTGGTGAGTCACCAAAGCCGCTGGTGAGGAAGTCGTCCCACTGCGGGGTGGCCTTGTCCTTTGTCGGGCTGAGCTGCACTGCAGAAGTCTGGCGGACGAGCTGGCTGCGGCGGGGGCTGCCGTCGCCAGCTGGCACCGTGTCGAGGGAAGGTGCCTTGGCGCCGCCAGGTACGTCGAGGCGCGGGATATCGCCATACGACTGGGAACGACGGCGAGAGTGGGATGGGGAAAACTTCGAGTTGACAATACGGTCACTGTCGCCAGCTGCAAAGGGGTGGTACTTGTCCTCGTCAATGGGGGACGTGGGGGACGTTGGGGGAGAAGCAAACTCGAGCCCCTTGGCAAGCGACACTTCCTCGAGGAACGCGCGCGAGTCGTCTGACAAGACGTCGTCGAGCGTGACGTGGGTGTCACGGACCGCCAGCCAGCTAGAAGCCTCGACTTCGTCGTCTAGCTTGGCGATCAGTGCGTCGCCGAGGACCTTGACTGGGTCGGTGCCAATGGGCAAGCTGGTGTCGGTGCCGAGCGAGACGTGGAGCGCCTTGCGCGAAAAGGTGGACGTGGGCGGGAGAGGAAGGTGCTCGGCAGATGCACTAGACTCGCCAAAGGGGTATGAAAGGATGAGCTGAATGAGGCGGCGGGGCATCTTTTGCTGTGTGCTCTGCCAGCGGATACGTGCGTAGAACAGGTGCTCGGTACGCTGGCCAGCGAGCTTGTAGCCGTCGTACAGGGCGGACCAAGACGTGGTCCCATCGGGAACCTCGCCCATGAGCCACCAGCCGAACAGGTGGCAGAGACGACCGGCACCCATGGCGTTGGTCTCGGCGTGCATGGCAATAGCGTTGCACACCTCGAACACGGCGTCTAGCAGACCCATCGTCTCGTCTGACAGCTGTGGGAGGAGCATGGACGCATACGAGCTGCGCGGGTAGCTCGCGGCGTGCTCCTGCTGCACGAAGCGGACGTAGGCTGCGGGGTCGATGATCGGACGGTCGGTAGCTGCCAGACGCCTCAGCATGGCCTTGAGCACCTCTGCGATATCGACCGGGTTGACCGTGTCCTTTGCCACCAGCATGAGACGACTCTTCCACTCGTCCGTTGCGGCATCGCCCGACACTGCAGGGTAGTTGCTCGTGATGGACGGAAACTTGTCTGCGAGCTGCGGGCGACGGGCAAGCACGAACAGTGCGCCAATCTGGCGTTGCCGGTCCTTGCTCGTGAGCAGCCGGCGTGGAAGCATGATCCCGACAGTCTCGGCACCTGCGGTCGTGTGTCAGTACAAAACCATGTCACGGTTCGTGGAGCTGGTGTCTTCTGTCGGTCCCTGCCATATCTGCCTATCCCGACGTCACCGCTGGTGCAAGAAGCAAGGCAAAGCAAAGCACGGCACCGCATCGTATCGTATCGTATCGCAAGCACGAGTGCAGTACGATGCACACTCTGGTGGCAAGCAAAATCGAGACACTGCGCCCCTATGTCTGCTCGCGCTCGCGCACGCGCCGCCGCGGCGAGACGGATGGCTGACGCCACGGACACAAGAGTCCCAAGCGCTGCCCAAACGAGAGCATTAGAGAGAGAGAAAGAGAGAGAGAACACGCACCCCGTTCTTTGACCTCAGGGCCGAGCCAGTCCCAGGCAGCACGGAGGTCGGCCGGCGTGTATCGCTGCGAGTCGAGCGCACGTCGCTCCGAAGGTGTGAATGAGGGTGTGCGGCCGACGCCGTCGAGGCCAAGGCTGGTGGTGGTGGTGGTGTCGGCCTCGCCACCGCTGCCGCCCAGGCCCGCGCCGCGCGCCTCGAACGGCAGGTCGATGGTGATACGCGGCGGGGTGTGCGACGGCGACACGGTCCCGCTGCCTCCGACTTTACCGCGGCGGCCACCGTCTGCACTTCGTCGAGTGGTACCGTGGACAACTACCGACTTGCGGACATTCTTGCTGCGTGTGCCGACTGTCGCTGCTGTGCTCGAGGTCTTGGCC